GGGGGGGGGGAAACTAGCCGGAAATGCTCGCTAGGGTGAGTAGTCATTGCTGAATTTGCCTGTCCTGATGAGCTTGTGGTGGAGGGTATGCGTGTGTTTTCTTCTTATGGAATGGATTGGGAGTAGAACAGTAGAACCCTGATCTGAATTGGTAAAATGATGTATGAAAATAACCTCCAGACTTTCAGACTGGAAAACGTATTGTAAGACCTCGCTCGAAGCATAAATCAAACACACAGTTGAATCCTTCGCTCAAAAGATAACAACACGGAAAGAGACCTTACTAACAGGTCTCCGTGGGTAAATGCTAACCGACGTGGTTCTTAGCGACTTCAATCATTCAAATCTTGTCTAGCTGGTTACTTGGAGCGAGGATTGATCATCCCGGTATGGGTGAGGCTTTAAATGGGCGTGCATCGTTCCAGTGTATATATGCACCAATGTCTGCAATACAACACATTCACAACAACAGTGCGGATAGTGTCCAGGCATTGCAATCGACACATTGTCGAAAAAACCACTATAGTCACAACAAGGCCATGGCCACCAGACTTGCTCGAGCAGAATTCACTGGAATTTTCCTCTCGCAACGACACATCTTACTCTCACGGCACTGTGCTCTGAATAACGAACAGCTTTAAGAGGATAGACTACGTGTCTAAGCTATACAGAAAACAAAGAGGGCAATGTTGGATTTCAAAAAATTCGTTGCTTAGGTTGTTGAATGTAAAACCTAGCCCAGTAAGTTGAGTATGTGGAAATATTCCCCTCGGTCTAGTCATTCTTGGTAAATTGTGAGATAGCGCTAGTTTCCGCGTATTGTGCGCTGAGATTGTTCTTGCTCGTTTTCTGAGAAGAGGGGAGTGTTGGTAGAGATTGGGTGTTGCTGCGTACGTCTAGAAAATTAGAATATCTCGCTAGTGAAGTAGATGGGTAGGAGGAGGTAGTAGAGAATTAAGAAGGGAATACATACCCCGCTGCGTGGAGGTACACACGAAGGTGAGTACATGTGTTTTCTAGGTAAAAGTTGTATTCTAGTATATTATCTAACGAGATCGAGTATCACCTCGCAGATCTATAAGATGGTCACTTTCTAATCCCTAAGTGTATATCTAGTTGCGAAGTATTGTAGTATCGGATCAACCCCAAGCTTTTACGGGATAGGTATTTATTGTTTGATTATATCCGGTTAGAACTTGACAGCGACAAGAATTGGCAGCCCTTGACTATATTCTTTAGCAATCAGCCTTTGTGGTAAGTGAGTTCATCCAGATTTATCCAACTGACTCTCTTTTCGCCATCTACACAGCCACCGAATAAGCTTTTGCTTCAAAGATCTAGTCAGTAAGGATATATACAGTACTTCTCGAATAACGCTCTACAGCGGTAAACTGTTTCTATAATTATTCAAGATTACATAGTTTCCTCGTGAGAAGCGGCCTGCTTATTCCCGACACATCACTGTGCCTACTGACACTACAGAAAGCAAGGCTGTGCAGGTCTATTTAAAATGGCGAAATAACAGTGCATGAACGCAAAGCACGACATGCCATGACATAGGTTAGAGTTCGCACATCCAACTAGTCGCGTCGAAAATATAGTGCCCAGACTACACAATGAGTAAGTGCGGAAGCGAGAGCGAGAGAGAGACCGAACGAAACGACCGTCGCCGCTCACTGGCCGCTTAGACACGAAACAGCATTGTATCAGCCCTAACTAGTATGCTTGCTCCAGGATGGTAAATACGGCGTATTCCTATTCGTCCGTAGATTGATCGTGACATTATGGAGAAACATGGTCCCAGCATACGCGTATCGCATCATCTGCAGCCGGCCCGTTTGGACCCTCAGACCTCAGCCTCTTTCTCCTGTTCTGCGCTGATCCAGCGCCTGGGTCAACACCCTTGATGTGATGTGGTGGGCGGACGAAACGGGGTCTAGATGGGAGATTGCACGGCCACACTATGTCTGGGGATATATTGCTTGGAGGATGAGTGCGAATTATATAAAGACTGAAGTGCGTGGCATTGAGAACAGCATCAAATACCAGAATACTTACTACCATCTCAACCAAGCCACCGATCATAATAGATATGTTACTCAGTGTGGCTCTTGCACTTCTGCCCCTGGCGGCTGCGGGCTCCAAAGCTGCTAGCAACAAGTTCGCTGATCCAACAATTGTTTGCGAACTACTCAAGCAGAAGTTCGCCAACTTGACTTACCTACCCAACGATGATGGATACAAGAAGGAGGTCCAAGGTACGTGTTCACCTACCTCATAATAGTTCAAGACTAACAAAACTAGCTGCCTGGGATGCGTCTGCATGGCAAGGGCCTGCTTGTGTGTTCGCACCGCAAAATGCCCAAGACCTCTCGTTCGCCGTCAAGGCCTTTGTCAACTCGTCGACGCTGTTTGCCATGCGTGGAGGCGGACATATGCCAATCTCGGATGCGGCGAATATCAACTCGACTGGCGTGCAGATCTCCAGCTCGAATCTGCAGACACTCAAACTCTCGGACGACAAGCAGACCATGTCCATTGGCCCCGGTCCGCGCTGGGGTGACGTCTTTGAGTACATGGACGGCACGAACTTGACCGTTGTCGGTGGAAGACTTCCGCCAGTTGGTGTCCCCGGTCTTCTTCTCGGTGGTGGCATCTCGTACTTTAGCGGCGCCCATGGGCTTGCGGCCTCGGAAGGAAAGATCAAGGCGTATGAAGTTGTGCTTGCAGATGGCACAATCGCCACCGTGACTGCAGCCAGCAAGTACGCGGATCTCTACTGGGCGCTGCAAGGTGGTGCAAACTCGTTCGGCCTTGTCACCCGCTTCGACCTGAAGACCTTCCCACTCAAGACCGCTCTCCGCGCCGAAGCCGCCTTCGCGCCCTCCCCGCAAACAAAGGACGCCTACCTCAACGCCGTGCTGGACTTCACACTCCACGGCGACGCAGACACACACGCCTCCATCATCCCCGTCATCCGCTGGGCGCCCAACTACACCGTCCCAAGCTACGAATCCACACTGCTATACAACGGTTCGGTCGCCCCCGCCACAGGACCCTTCTCAACATTCTACTCCGGCAGCATGCCCGCGCTACGCAACTCATCCACCCTCCGCACCCTCTCCCTTGCAGACTACAGCCGCCGCCTACGCCCAGCGTTCTTGCCAGGCGGGCAAGGATACGGACTCCGTCACCGCTTCCGAGTTGTGCCCACGCTAGCCACCCGCGAGGCTATGGATATCGTGCACGACACATGGTTTGCGCTGCTTCGGAAAAACGACCTGGCCAACCGCGTTCCCGGCTTCCTGGCCAGTCTGGGCTACAACTCTATCTCGCGGACCTTCGCAGAGCACAGCCGTGGAACCCCCGCCGAGTTTGCGCTCGTGCCGCAGTTCTGGGTCGAGGAGAGCTTGTCGTGGTCGAACGCTGCTGATGACGCGGTTATGGAGCAGTTCTTGCTTGACGTCAATGCGCAGATTGAGAAGAAGTTGGTGAAGAGGAAGCTTACGACGCCGTATGTTTACCTCAATGATGCGGATAAGGGTCAGGATGTGTGGAAGGGATATAAGAAGGAGAACGTTGCAAGGCTGAAGAGGGTCAGGTCCAAGTATGATCCTGCGCGCGTTTTCACCGATCTGATGCCTGGTGGATTCAAGGTTGCGCACGCCGCACCAGGGAGTGGGGCTTGAGATGTGAGGGGTGGTTAGTGGTGTTACTTCTGTTTTCCTCTTGCTTTTCCCCTTCTCTCTGTCTTTTCCGTCTTAGAATTCTCATAGGCCAAGCCAATTTACCAAACTACCCATAAAGCACCGCATGATCCTGGATCATCATTCTTGACTTGCCAGTGTTTTTTTCCAATCTCGCAGTGGTGGTAAGTTGGTTGGGTATTGAGGTTTCCCAGGACGGCTGGATCCCGAATCACCAGCCAAATCTTTGCAACAGTTGATAGTGCATCTGAAGATTGATTCGACATTGCAAACTGCGACTTGAACGGTCGTTACTATTGAAATTCCATTTCGGGGCATTGAGCCTAAACGGTATTGGTAAAGCGACTACGAGACAGGTTGGCGTGAAGCAAAGTCGATATCTGAGCTGGGTACGACCGTTTCATAAATGATGAGGATGTGTTAGGACATGTCATTTTCCTCGTTCAACCTAGGCTTACTGTTTCCACTGGTACGCCACGAGCTATCAGCGCCTCTGGGGAGAGTCGTAGATCTGAATTGATCACCTCTCCAGTAATTCAATTCTTATAATGTTGCACGTTATATCCAGATCGCATGTTGTCTTCCTTCTTGATCTCCTCCCATTCTTCAGGAAGAGGGCCTAATCTCGGGTTCTGGTAACCTTTTTCCCCAGTCGCAGGATTTCAAAAGACTCAGATACGTGATACCAGTGTTCCCGCGTTCTGCAACATCCAAGGTTCGGGAAGTGCCCCTAAAAGCACTTGTGTATCTATCAGACTGTGAATGAAACACTTTCCCATACATTGGAATTGATTGTTTCCCACAGGACGGGTTATCATTGGGTTTGTAGCACCTAGAAGGACGCAGATCTTATCACCCGCTCGTACATTCTTGTTGCCACAACCTATCTGCTCATTCTCGGTCTTGAAGAACCTTTTTCTTGAAGTCGTCCAACAAGCATATCCGGCCACGAATTGTTGTCGGGTGTAATACTACTCCCTATACTTTTGCCATTCCAGCCTCGGAGGATCACCTTTGCATCACTCAAAGAAGGCCAACTGGTCGACCGCGATCGGTTTTGTAAGTGTCCTTGCGTCAAAGTCCACATCTCGATGTTAGAAATACTTTCCTGTGTGCCTGATGAACATGTCGCATTGGTGTCACTCCAGCACTGTCTTGCAGCCGTCATAGCTGCACTGAGATCGTGGAACGTGTCGCTACTGGTGGCCTCAACGGTAGTGCAAACTATACCACTAATATGTAGCTCGTGCGGAGCAACATAGGTTGCACACGTAGCTGATGAACCACTGGCGAGTAGTACCTCCGTTTCACCCCGATGATCAGACGGGCCGGAGACCCACGAAGGTACAAACACTCCGGATAATTCAGGTAAGAATCCTAAAATGTCTGCCCGACGCGAGGTAATGACAGCTGCCATGACCGCTTGGACGTAGACGTCTGCGATAGGCATTGAGTACAATGGCTGGATAGAGTCAGCCATCCGCTGAGGGAGTAGACCTAACATCGCATAGACCCTATCTCGGTCATCCATGCAATCATGATTATGAGCGAACTGAAACACACCAGGGAATGAGTGTTTCGTCAAATTTCTCGAGAGAAAGCTCAAGCGATTGTGTTGTTTACGCATCGACAGCGAAGGAACGGATAAAGCAGAGGGTAGCGTGTAAAACGCCCTGCGAAGAAGATACCAAAGTATTTTTACATGTCCGCATTGAATGATTGACTGTCGATTCGCCAATTGGATCTCCTGTATGACCCAAAGACGTGTGAACCACGGGCGATTTACCAGGTCCACAATGGCCTCCCATATCTCTTGCTTGATTGGGATTCTCCCCCGATACCAATCTTTCTCCGCGCAGTTCGGTGCGGGAATAGAACGATCCGAGTCCAGAACTTCTAGCTGCACACCAATATACATGAGCGCGTAAAGCGCCGCTATTGAACCTCGATCGCTTGGGCCCAACCAGACCACCACACGACTGGCGTGCTTGTAAATCAGCCGCATACGTCCGACTTGTAGGTTTCTCTCATTCAAATCGTTCTGGTTGATACACAGAGCATCGATCCAAAGGATGCGAGAGTTCCTTTGGTGCCGCAGTTGCGTAAGTGCATCGTGTAGGTTTCGTCTTACTGAGAGCGTGCTAACGGGTAGTCGAATTCTTTCTGCCAAGCTGTTCCTTGTGTGAGAGATGATTTGTGTCACCTCGATGTCCAGGGATCCATCGACAGAGCCCCAAGTGTACGACAAGGCTTCAAAGCAAAGACCGACCTTGGGTTCTTCGCAATCGTTTGCATCGCAGTAGTAACGTCGCGCAATGTCGTTGTCAGGATGATTATATGAAGTGATCGAATATCCATACGCGTCTCGAGATCTGAAGATGTATCTGCCCTCAAGTGTTGATTTAACCCACCATGAATCTGGCAGGGTACTTCTCAGTTCCTCCAAAGACATTCGTTCATGATTTGGGTTTGGCCATTCCGTAGGCTTGAACGGAACATGTGCGATAGAAATACGAATCGGCTCCTCTGGCGTGCCAGGATGTAAGGTAAGGAGCCGAATCTCTTCCGTGACATCATCCAGAGGTTGGTAGACGTATGGGGCCATACTGGGGTCTTATGCTATTGTTGTCTCCGGCGTAGGGTAATTGCTTATTCTAGATGAGTTGAGCGTAGAATCTAAGCAGTCTTTCGATCGACGAAAGGGAAGGCTGGAGAGCGTCAGTTAGTTTCATTGCCCACAAGTGCTCCGCCTCAGCCTCGCACGTGCACCTGCATTGATTGGTCTTTGCAGGGAAGTGGATGCATCGACTTGGTCATCGTTACCACGCAGAATTCAGCCAAATCGGATGTACCGTATGAAAGCGACCTGGTTATTTTTAGTAGGAAGAGCGCTCAACCTGGAGCTCAACCTTTGCCACGAACCCAGTGAACATACACCAGAGTATGGCGCCGCATAGTAACGCGAGCGTGATGAACTTATCTAGTGAATGCAGTTGTAGACCTGCATCTTACAAGTTTATAATATTGAATGTCAGGTCAGTGTTAGTGTCTCAGCACGACTACACGATCAAGAATAGTAAGATCTGTCAACACCACGCCAAGCATCGCGGGATAACGTAGGACCTCCCCCCAGCATGTAAACCATTCCCAAACTCGAGAATGTCATTTCCGTCAGAACTCTGATATAGAGACCCGCCTATATCTGCATCTAGCCTCGAGAAAGCTCCTTCTCGCCGACACCCAGCCGTACCGCACACATGTAGGACAGCGTAAAGCGACATTACTGTTTTAGGGTTATAGCGTATTCATGCTTGTTGTGCAAGCGGATAGACGCAACACAGTAAAAATCTAGTTTAGTAACTCAATGTAGAAGCTAATACCCAGCCCTTTTGCACACAGTAAGCATCAGTAAGAGTACGCAGTAATAGTAACAGAGAGCTAATCAACCGTGTCTTGACGACTGACTGCTGAACTGTACCAATGCGGACGCGTGTTCGGAAGCCCAGGCAGCTATAGATTAATCGAAGTTTGGTTCGGTTTTGGGTCGTGGTAAAGCGGCATTACACATTCGCGATGATGAGATCCAGAATATAACAACACAACATACACACCCGACGTGAGCTATGTGATGGTTCCTCTTATCATACTCTGCGCAAGGCAGATCTGAACAACACAACACAACACAGTTTGATACATATATATTGCTGTACATCGAAGAATATGAAAGGTTCTGAGTCGGATAGGACGATTCAAAGACACAGTTCATGAACCTGCACTCTGCACAAACCAAACCTATCCTAATGACACTACTCCACAACCTGACAGCACATCGGCGTTTCATCAAATTCCATCTCTAACCAGACCATCTCATTGCCGTCATCATCTTCGGGATCTCTCCAATTCTCATACCCCAAGACCAGATCGGGAGGTAAGAGCTTCCTCTCTTCCTCGCGATCTTTGTCATTCAACCAAGGATCGCCCCGATACCCCAACTTCTTCCCTTTGAAGTCGGGATTGAGATCTCCCCAATTCCACCATTCAATGCCGGGTGAACGTCTAAAGTTGTTGCCTTCAAGTCGAAAATGGACAGTCTCCCCTTTGGATAGCGTCAGGGTGTGCTCTTCTGGGAGAGACGAGATATCCAATTCGCGGTCGACGGTGTATACCTGGCCAGACTCCAGTGAGGGAATCGTGACAAAGCCCAGTATTTGCTGCCAGTCTTCCTTCGAAGGCTGCTTGGAGCAACGTATAGTCGCTGGCGGCATCCAGTTTAGTGGTTTCCATGACCCTTTCTCCAAGCTAGCGATCCACCAGGAAAAGAAGTCGCCAGTCCAATTTCGCCCGGGCACTTCCATATCAAGTGGAGTGTGGCGGGTGCAGATCGTGAGTGGGCGATCGGGATGCGCGGACCATGTTTGGCGCGCGGAAATGGTGAACGTTACTGTTGGGTTGGAGAGAGAAAGGTTAGGGGATTTTAACGTCCCCGAGAGCTGGAGAATCGTTTGAAGGTGTGATCTATAGCAGTCAGTCTACGCAAACTAAGTCTACACAAGACGAGGGATAAGACTACCTGTTCTTATTCTCTACGATGACCTCTCCAGGTGGGGCAATCGTTGGTGATGCCATAACCTTTTGGACCGAGCTTTTCAGGCTGAGGTTTATTGAAAGACGATATATATCCTGGTGAGAATCTACCTTGATGTTTCCAGTTCATGGCGCAGTTCCCACTACGTCATATTTAGAACATGTCTCACAATTAGCGCCCAGATTTGACGCCCACTATCATCTTGAGGCGGATGGGCCCACTTTGTTCGAGGCGTATTAGTACAATAGCTCAAGGCATATTTCAGGCGCGCCAGCAATCCTCATTCGGGTGAAACAAATATTATGTAGGTGTACGGCATATATTTCCTACATAGACACGTCTATGTGCGATGAGCTCTTTACTCGACACCAGCAAAGCATAAGTGACTAAGTACATGGTACAACATCAAAGACATAGTTATGTTACGTAAGAGTCTGAAAACGTCTCCAGGGCATTATTGATACATGTTGCCTGAAGTATACGCAAGGCTGCCAAGTCGCTGATAACACGATGCAATGCAGCGCGAGTAATGAGACTGAACTTAAAACTCTGAATAGATCCTAGGCTCCAAACCTTGAACTCCAACCTTGATACTACACTTACACCTCACCAACACAGCCACAGTCTACTGCAGACGAAAACAAGATGTGGGAGAGTGAAGGGAAAGACCCCTTCTTTTGGATACGTGCCAAAAATTGTTGTGGACTTCTTCTTCAATGCTCGACCATTACCTTACAATTAAGTCAATGTATAGAACAGGAGTTAAATAGCCAACCTTGAAGTCGACCGTTCAGTAAGCCATCGCCTTAGGTACTCGTTGCTCAGGTCATAGCAGATCTCGTTTCTTTTGTCTACAATTCTACGCGCCTCTTCCAGATCTACCATGGACGGATTATAGCCGATGGATACAATCCTGGCTGGCTATAACTGGTAATCTAATTATACTTCCAGCCTTTCTGCCGAGCTTTTACAAAATCAGCCTTGGGGTCACCTGGGACGCATAGCTTACGGCGGTTGCCCTTCTGGCACTCACCGGAGACTGAAATAAGATTTCATGGAGAGTGGCGACAAAGCTGCACTACGCCACTTGAACTCACTTCCACATGATCGAATTAGCTCTATCATAGTTCAAGAAAGCCTTGCGACTGAAGCACGAAGCTACGCAGAGTATGTATCATTGGCCTAGTAGTTATCCCACCAAACTTCTCGATCCACAAAAGCCGTTGGCTCTATATCCCAAGTTCAAAACTTACAGGCCTGACCGCGGACAAATAGAATGCTTCAGACTTACGTGCCTCTCTCCAGTCGTAAGACATTGATGTTACTTGAACATGTTGCGTTGTGGCGAAGCAAAAGGGGCGCTTGGAATACTTTACAAGAGTGCCTACCAACGGTTATAAAAGGTGCTCATCCAGTTCCGAAGGAAGATCAGCTTCATTACAGCAACTTCACTTCATCGTCTTTATCAGATTTCCAACCACCATGCACTTTTTCACAGCCATCTTTGTAGCGTTTGTGGGCTTTGCTTCAACAGTTTCCTGCATTCCAATTGGGAATCTGTCAGAGACCGCGCTACTCCCACGACAATCACAAACACAAATGTCCGGCTGCTCCGATGCCCAAAAGGACCATATTCAAGCCTCCCTCATACAAGTCTCCGGCCTTGCAGTCGGCGCTTATGGTGTGCTAAGCGAAGACGCGAACGTCTGGAAAAAGAACAAGGGCTACACTCACTACTTCAAAGAAACGGATTTCGATCGTGTGAAAGATATCTACCAGGTCCTCATGTCTATCGGCGGCAGCGATAGCAAAGTCCAATTCAACATTGTCTGCGCGCCGTCTTGTGCACCCGGAGGCTTTGCGTTCGCCGATCCGACAGAGGAGGATTACGAAGGCAATGGGCACACTAAGGGTACGAGAGTCGTTACCATATGTCCCGAGTTCTTCGAGGACGAGAGAACGACCAGGGATCTGCCAGCTGCAGGTGATACGGACGGCTTGAAGAGATACTGTGAGTTCAAAGAAAGTAAAAAGATTACAGACTTTGAAGTTGGAGGTACGTTGCACTCATGAGAACCATGTCATTATGTACATTAACAACTAGAAGGTCATACTCTTCTTCACGAGATTTCACATCTAGATTCATTTGGCATAGCAGCAGGCTATCCTGAACTTACATGGAAAGGCGCCCCCTTCGAATACAAGTACCATGGAACGGTTGATTGGAAGGGCAAGTCTACCGCGGGCAGTGCTCGGACACTCAAGAACTCGAAAGCTAAGGATAAGCCGGAGACGTGGCAGAATGCAGAATCCCTGGCTGCCGCTGCGACGGAAATGGGAGCAATGTGGCGGTGTGACATGACAGACGTCTCTGACTGAACTTAAGGTCAATTCGAACAATTCTGTTAAGGCTTGGTTTTGTCATTTTAGCTCAGGCTCGGATTTGAGATTGTAGTCTTCGGGCTTGGGTAGTAGTGAGTGTTCAAATTATCGATTGATAGGACAAAGTGGTGTAGTTCAAGATAGTTGTTATGGTTAAATCATAACGTTTCGTTTTAAACCATCTTATTGATGACTTGGAACAGCCATTTTCATTGAACTCCAACCATCAAGTCTCCCCATCACCAGCCTTCAAACCGAACAAAAGCCACAACTCATATCGCCCAACCTACAAACAGACAGGACAAGCCCATCTGCTATATCCAAACACACATCAACCAGTACAAAGAAAAACACTAGCCCTACACTGTCCGTTTAGTGAATCAACTGCTACAACATACGACAAACCGCGCTCCGCCTGATACACTACGCTAACCAGAAAGCACGAGAGGAAAACAAGCATCATCGTCATCATGTAAATTCGATTCGATCTCATAAACGAGCAGCTACACAGCCAGCGTATATGCACTATCTACGCCTCCCGTCCAAGGTGTGTGAGAGAAAAACGGCCGTAAAAGAGCGCCAAATGCTAACCCAACCCCCCAAGCGCTCATAAGTGGAGCGACTATCCGAAAAACCCCCCATGAGAGAAACGCCTAACGAAAAGAACAAAGCCATCAATCATCATTTCTCTGTCTTCTCACAGCCCTCTCCCGCCCCAAACTCGCCTGGCTAACTCTCCCCCGGACCTTCAAACTGCGGATAGACGGTGAAGGCGACGGCGACGGTCTCAGGCTGGGGCTCGATTTATGCAACTGCTCAAACCTCCCCGCCATCTCTTTGACCCTGCTACTATTTTCCGACTCGCCTTCTCGCGCCACGGAAAGCATGCTCGTGGAATCTGTATCCGCGTTTACGACGCGGAGTTTGCTCTTGGGCACTGTAAACATGACCTGCACGACACGACGCTCTACGGCGGCCTCAACATCCCAGTCGCCTTCGCCGGCAGGCGTGGGCGGTCTGTCGTCGAGGCTTAGACTAGGGATGCCGAGTTGCTCGGAGCGGATAGGGGTACGCGGGGTGGGCATCTCCTCGTCGTCGGCGATGAGGAGGTTGCCGCGTTCGCGCCATGTTTGACGCATGCGTTCGCGTTCCGCGAGGGCGATGTCTTCAGGTGCGCCCCAGTCGTCGCCGCTATTGCGCCGCCACTTGGGGTCCGATTCGTCGTCGATCCAGTCTTGCTTGCCGCGTTTGTTGCGCCAGAAACTCGCATCTGATGCGGCGCGGCGGGGTGGGACGGATACCGAGGGGAAAGACTGCGGTTCGTTGGATGTGGTGAGCTCCATGTTGGGGAGGGGGTTGTCGGTGTAAGGTTCTTGGTATGGCATGGATCTTCGGAGGGGACGTGTGCGCTCAGCGCTCGATAATGACCTTTTCAGTACTCGGCGTACGGTTCCCAGCCAACTCTTGTTTGGTGCGCGGGGCCCGTTTCGGGAGAGCTCAACAGCAACTGATGTGAGCGGACGACTGTTGCTACCTTCGTTGTCTCGGTATGTATTGAACATTGATGGTGATGTATCCGGTCGTGTGTGCTCATGGTCGGGCTTCCCACCGAGTAGTGCTTCGCCCTCGGCTTGAAGTAGTGCAAACGAAGTCTGAGCGGCCCGAAACAAGTCAATGTCCCCGTGACCAGTATTGCGCATAGCAGTCAACGATTGAGTTCGTGCTTCTTCTGGAGACTGACGACCGCTGTGACCGTGGCTTCTTGGCCTCTCGCCTGTCAGGTTCAAGTCCGGTGATCTGTATGGGTCTGCTTGAGCTGCGGCGTTCAGTAGCGTAGCGGAGCGCAAGGACGAATTGCGAAGCAAGCCGCCGTGAGATGAAGTCCAAGAGAGATTTGAGCGGATGCTTTTCTCGCTTAGGTTAGAACCTGTACGCTCGGAAGGTAATTTGTCTGGCGACAGTCTACCAGTAGAGTTGGGATTTGATGAGTGTGTTGCTGTTGCAACAATCGTTGACCGCTCCGCTGGGATAACTCCGTCTTGATTCAGACGTCCTCGCTCTGCGCGTACAGGAGACGAAGACGGAGAACAGAAGGCGCTCTTAGGGTCCTCGCCATATCGGTGTGGGTCGTTGAAAGGATCGAGGACCGGTGCCTGATCCAATATTGAACCACCAGGTTCCGCTCTCCTTTCCGTCATCTCAAGTTGTCCGATCAACGGCACATTTTGGTTCGCTTGCTCATTATCTTGCTCTTCCTCAAGCTCCTGGATAGAGTGGATGTGTCCTGGACCTCGAGCCGCGCCCGCTGTGTGGGAGATTCTGCGGCTGAGACTGCGTCGTAATCCGCGAGTAGGACTTGGTATCTCCACAAGTAATCCACTTCTTTCCACATCCTGTCCATTCGATTGCCTCCAGCCGGGACCACCCTGAGTACCTGAAGGGAAGTAGTAGGAACCGTCTTGTCCAGCAAAAGCGCCTACGCCATCAGGGCGACCACCACGACCGTCGAAACTTGACGAAAATTCGTCAACGTTGTAGCGGTGAGTGGTAAAGGAAAGGTCCTGGAGTTGCTTTTCACGTATCTCGCGTTGTCGCTTCCAGCGCTTCGAGTACCACATGTACAATGCGAACAGACCACAAAGAGCAGCCAGTCCGATACCAAGACCGATACCCAGACCGGTTTTCTGTGCTTGAGTTGACAAAAAACCATTGTTTCCACTTGATTTCTCGGATGGCGGGGAGTAATCAGTAGTCCAAGTGTTGGATGTGGTGTTGAAGAAGTAGGCCGTGTTGCTGGTTGTTGATCTAGTCAGCCGCGAACTGGAGGGTATCGAGTAACCTCCGGTGATCATCATAACGCCTCCAGGCAGCATGGCGGCACCATGTCCGTAGAGTCCCGAATTGGCTGGAAGACCACCACCTGACGTGGATGGCACAGTCCACTGCCAGCCGCCATCTCCTCCATAACCGTCAGCTATATTCAGAACAGCCAACTGAGGCTCTGCGGGAGTGTTGACATCGCCAACCCAGCCACCGAAGACAATGATACGTTTCCCGTCCGGAGTAAGCATCGCAGAATGGCCAGAGCGAGGATCGACTGACGCAACATCTGTTCGAATGGCTAGATCGGTTCGAGTAGTATCTGGCTCTTTGATTCCAATGAACGTCCAACTTTGTTCGGGCAGCGAGAACAGAGCGACCTGCGACATGTTGATGAAGGCCGCGCTGGCGTGGCCTCCAACAAGGACGAAGTTCTGTTGCTGGGTTTGGGTGCCATCGCTCCGGTTAGAGAAGGTGGGCGACAAGCTAGTCAACGTAAATCCAGCTTCGGGCACTGGTGGTCCGCGGCTCGTAGATACATCCAACTGATATGTAACGGAGTGGCTACCAGGAGCTTCCAGTGCGACCATGGAGTTCGAATAGTTCGCGGCAGACTGCCAGTCGTCGATCGTGGCGTTCGAGGATGGGCACATGCCGCCGAAGAAGTAGGCGTTTGTGCCCGCAGCATCGCCGCCGACGATGGAGGAGAAGGACATGCCAGCGTTGAGGAAATTGGGGCCCACTGTCGACGATTGGGCCTTGTTCCCGACTGATATCTTCATCTGCTTCCAGTCGCTCTTTCCACGGGCTGCTGAAAGGCTTGGCGTGAGGTTCCATATCTCCCCTCCGCTTGCACCCTCTGAGCAGTCTCCGGCGTACACTGTAATGTTCCCTTGATCATCGAGGACTGGTGTGAAGGCGCGCGGGGTGTCGTTATCGAGGAAGGGCAGCGTCGGGTAGAGCGTGGTGTATGGCAGACGAGCGGCTTCGATACGGGACGATATGTCGATGGAGCTGAGCTGGAACTGTGAAGGCGTCTTCGGCGACGGCTGGAACACATAGAGGAGGTTGTCCTGTTGGAGAATCCGAGTCGGGTTGTACGGCATCTGGGCCACGGCGACAGAGAACATCAGTGGCACATGGAAGAAAGCGAGCCATCGCAGCCAAAGCTCAGACGGTGTGCTGGGTTGACGCATGACGTCGTTGTCTTCAGAGGGCCTAGACGATGGTAGAGGGTGTTCACCTCGAAAGCGTTAGTAAGTACTCCATGAACCGCGTGGTGTGGGCGATGCAGGACAGCGTCGTGCACAACGAAAGAATCAACGACGCAAACAGCTGTCAGTAAGGCAACGGCGGGACTCGAGGATATGCTCAGATCCATGGTTCGCGCAAGGGTTCAGAGAAGGCTGGAACAGGCCTGTAAAAACAGACCTTCCAGCTGGCCAGCCACCCGTCCAGCGTCCAGCCAGCCGTGTTGCGTAACGGCCTTGCTTTTCCGTCATAGAGTCAGCCAACGGTCCAATGACCGACGAGGAATAGCGGCCGTTGGTTCCCTTCGCGTCTTGTGCCGAGCCGCTTTGCTGGGGGCGATCGATCGAAATGGCCGAGAGTAAACACGGTTGCTGGGGAAACCTCGTTGTGGCTTGGATCTGGTGATGGTCCAAGGACGCGGAACCTTCTGGACGCGATTGCAGCGAACATGTGAATACCTATGCTTTCCAAGAAGACCCTTTTTGCAATCTGAAATCTGACATGGTGGGTGTCGACATGGAACAGAGGTGGCTGGTTGAAGGTCGCACAACAAAAGCACGTGCAGTGCCGCACAAACATGGAGAACCCACTCGACGCCTGCTGTGCACATTACCGTGTAGCGATCTGATTCGTTCGACGACACAGCTCACACGAAAACATGTGCGTGGCATCTCGTTTACATGCATATATAATTTCTTTTTTGTCCGTACCAACTTGATATACAGCCAACAACATCCTTGATCGAACCCCCAGCAAGCCCATTCGCCTGCTGGCTGCATGCATAGCCCTCTCTAGACGCTGAACTTCATGCCGCCGTTCGCGCAGATGACACTGCCTGTTGTCCATCCTGCCTCGGGCAGACAAAGCATACCGACCACACCAGCAACCTCCTCGCTATACGCTGGTCGTCCTCCTGCGTTCTGCGAAGCCTCATAGATCCTTTCTGGGTCAATGCCCTTCCTTGGGGTTGCAAGGGGCGTGTTCTCGATGAATGGCTTGTTCTGCGCAATGAACGCCTCATCGTTGCCCCAGTACATATCCGTCGCTACTGGACCAGGGTTGACAGTGTTGACCGTGCATCGCTCTGACAATTCTCGAGACCACGTCCGTGTCATACTCTCTAGAGCTGCCTTTGTGCCGCCGTATATAGACTGACCTTTGTATCCCAGCGACGAGCTAACTGAGGAGAGGCTGACAATGCGACCAGAGCGGTCGTTGGGCAGATACGGTATCGCAGCCTGCAGAAGCAGCAGGGGACCCCGTACGTTGATGTTAAACTGCCTTGCAAAGTCCTCACAGTCTACGTTCTCAACATAGTTGTTTCCAGCCACCCCGGCGTTGTTGATGATAATGTCGAGCTGGAACTTGCCCGTCTTGGGGTGTTGGAAATTGTTCTTCGCTATTTCTATAAGGTGCTTTGGCCCAGTCTCTGAGCCCATGCTGGCCTGCACCGCGATAGCCTTGACATCATATTCGGACTGGAGCTCGGCCGCGAGATCTTCGGCGATCTTGGTCGACGAGTCGGATGTATAGTTGAGCACGATGTTGCTGCCCTTGCTGGCCAAGTTGCGGGCAATCTCGACGCCAATACCTGAGCGGTCAGTACAAAGGCCCGATATTGCGGAGGGCGGGCGTACCCCTTGATGCACCCGTGACAATGGCCAATCTGCCTTGAAGGACGCGAGAGCTGGAGCTAGTGCCCAGATTGGTCGATACGGTCCGCGAGTGCGTTGGTCGAGCAGCCATGATGGAGTTTGAGGGCAAGATTTCCCGAGAGGATTTGTGATGCTTTTTGGACAACTTCCTCTTGCTGGTGGGGTCGAGGCTGGAATGTTATATGCAGTGCGGGGTGGGCGGCTACGGAGCCATCAGCTCTTCGGGTCAAATACCGCCGGTCATGTTGGCGCGTTTGAGACACAACGGCAACGGAAGGGTGTCCATCGTGGGATTAGATTGAGTAGCTGTTCAAAGTCCGCAAGTCTCGTGGTGACGCTCGGAGAATATGTTGTATCTTGGCACTATGGTTTGAAAATAAGTCCGAGCTTGCGGGATTGGTGGCATCATTGATTCTGGGCGAGTTTTGTTGAGATGTAGCCGTGATCCCTGAAGATCCCAGGGCTACCCAAAGCTGCTTCGTGGCATGGCTCGGACACCGACGGATCAGTCGCGCGTGTCGATGCTCGGTGTCATCTTGCAGGGTCTTGTTTGACGCAGAGTCATGTCCAACCATCCGCATTTTGATAAACTTTGGCGGGGTTGTTGATAGGTGTACTGTCCATCTGCGATCGTCAACCATAACACGGTACAACTTTGTAATCGACAATGCTCTGATATCTGAAGTATGTTGCACTACACACAGGCGTCTTTTGAGAACCGTGTCAGGTTCTAGTAGCTGTCAAACACTCCATCATGAAGATGCATAGTGAACACCACAGCAACCGTGCGAGGGGACTCCGAAACCGGAGAGACCCTAACAATGCAACAACTGATGCAAAACGAAATGCCACAGAGGTGATCTTATGAGTGATTGTAGCTTTCATCGCGTGTTCATAAGACCGGAACATAAAATTGAAAAAAATCGTAGTGCTAAGCTCGCGCTGCAGGAAGCTGTCCGCCGCCAACGCCAACGCGCTTACTAGTGCATGCGGGGCAAAAAGATTCAAAAGCACCTCATCTCACATTATCCTCCCACACTCCTCACTCCCTCCTCCCCTCACTCCTCCCTCCCCAAATCCCCCACCTCCCTACACATCACCTTTGTTTCAATTGTCCTTGCAGGACCACTACACAATGGTTCACTCATCTGTTCTCGGTTTCCCCCGCATGGGTGCGGACCGTGAGCTGAAGAAGGCCAACGAGGCCTACTGGGCTGGCAAGCTCGAGCGTGACGACCTGCTCAAGGAGGGCAAGCGTCTGCGTCTGGAGCACTGGAAGATCCAGAAGGATGCTGGTGTCGAGCTCATCCCCAGCAACGACTTTGCTTTCTACGACCACCTCCTCGACCATATCCAGCTCTTCAACGTAAGCCAGCAGTCCTCGCCTGGTTGCAACCCTCGCTAACAATCCCAGGCTATCCCAGAGCGCTACTCCAAGCACTCGCTGCACACACTCGATGAGTACTTCGCGATGGGACGTGGTCACCAGAAGGACGGCGTCGATGTTCCCAGTTTGGTAAGTCGAGCGGGTCCCTGCCACTTGATACACCTACTAACACCCCTCGCAGGAGATGGTCAAGTGGTTCGACTCGAACTACCACTACGTCAAGCCCACCTTCCAGGATGGCCAGACCTTCAAGCTCTCCGAGGACCCCAAGCCCGTCCGCGAGTTCCTCGAGGCCAAGGAGGCTGGCATCACCACCCGCCCTGTCCTTGTCGGTCCCGTCTCTTTCCTCGCTCTCGGAAAGGCCGACCGTGACCAGTCCGTCGACCCCATCTCCCTCCTCGAGCAGCTCCTGCCCGTATACGTTGAGCTCCTCAAGAAGCTGAAGGATGCCGGTGCCGAGTATGTCCAGATCGACGAGCCTGTCCTCGTCTACGATCTTCCCCAGAAGGTCAAGGATGCTTTCAAGCCCGCCTACGAGAAGCTCACTGCCAGCGGTCTGCCCAAGATCGTCCTCGCCACCTACTTCGGTGACGTTGTCCACAACTTCGACGTCTTCCCCGCCCTCCAAAACGTCCTGGCTATCCACGTTGATCTCGTGAGGAACCCTGAGCAGCTCGAGAGCGTCATCAGCAAGCTTGGCCCCAACCAGGTTCTCTCCGCTGGTGTCGTTGACGGCCGCAACATCTGGAAGACCAACTTCAAGAACGCCATCGAACTTGTTGAGACTGCCATCCAGAAGCTCGGCAAGGACCGTGTCATCGTTGCCACCTCCAGCTCCCTTCTTCACACACCCCACTCCCTCGACAGCGAGAAGAAGCTGCCCGAGGAGGTTAAGGACTGGTTCTCCTTCGCTGTCCAGAAGGTCTCTGAGGTTGTCGTCATTGCCAAGGCTGTCACCGATGGCCCCGCCTCTGTCCGTGAGGCTCTCGAGGCCAACTCCAAGTCGATGCAGGCCCGTGCCTCTTCTGAGCGCACCAACAACAAGGCTGTCAAGGACCGCCAGGCCAGCGTCACTCCTGAGATGCACGAGCGCAAGTCTGCTTTCCCTGAGCGATATGCCCAGCAGAAGACACACCTCAAGCTGCCCCAGTTCCCCACTACCACCATCGGCTCCTTCCCCCAGACCAAGGAGATCCGTATCCAGCGTAACAAGTTCACCAAGGGCGAGATTACTGCTGAGGAGTACGAGAAGTTCATCGAGAAGGAGATCGATGAGGTCGTTAAGATCCAAGACGAGCTTGGCCTCGATGTCTACGTCCACGGCGAGCCTGAGCGTAACGACATGGTACAGTACTTCGGTGAGCGCCTTGACGGATACGTCTTCACCACCAGGGGCTGGGTCCAGTCCTACGGTTCCCGCTGCGTCCGACCCCCGATCATTGTCGGTGACATCTCCCGTCCCGCTCCCATGACCGTCAAGGAGTCGAAGTACGCTGCTTCCGTCGCCAGCAAGCCCATGAAGGGTATGCTCACTGGTCCCATCACCTGCCTGCGATGGTCTTTCCCCCGTGACGACGTCCACCAGTCCGTCCAGGCTCAGCAGCTTGCTCTCGCTCTCCGCGATGAGGTTGTTGACCTCGAGGCTGCTGGCATCTACGTCATCCAGGTCGATGAGCCTGCTCTCCGTGAGGGTCTTCCTCTCCGCTCCGGTAGCGAGCGTGAGAAGTACCTGTCATGGGCTGTTGACTCGTTCAAGCTCTCTTGCGCTGGTGTCCAGGACTCCACTCAGATCCACTCCCACTTCTGCTACTCCGAGTTCCAGGACTTCTTCCACGCCATTGCTGCCCTCGATGCCGATGTTCTCTCCATCGAGAACAGCAAGAGCGACGCCAAGCTCCTCAAGGTCTTCGAGGACAAGGCCTACCCCCGTCACATCGGCCCCGGTGTCTACGACATCCACTCGCCCCGTGTCCCCTCTGAGCAGGAGATCAAGGACCGTCTCGCTGAGATGTTGACCTACCTCAAGCCTGAGCAACTCTGGATCAACCCCGACTGCGGCTTGAAGACCCGACAGTGGAAGGAGACCAAGGCTGCGCTGACAAACCTTGTCAACGCCGCCAAGTTCTACCGCGAGAAGTACTCTTCTTAGGTTTCTCTGCCATTTGGCAACCCCGTCGGCCGCGTTTCATCAACGCGGTTGCTTCGTGTGGCATATCAACATGCCACCGTGTATTGTGTGTAATGACGTTTCTATGATACCCAAAAGTTCAACCTGCATTATGGGTCGTTACGGTCGGTTCAAAGGGGATTCGGGATGAGGTGCGTGCATGAACGATCTCAACATCGGCGTTCATCGAAAAGCAGCTCATTTGCCGCTGGCTTCTGGCGTTTTTGGTAGGTATGGTTTGCAATCGGCATACAGTCGATTCATGATTGAGTAGTTACTGGCATCTTAGAGTAGTTATCATCGTACTCTATGGTTTGCATCAATGAGAAGATCCAACAATTCTGGCATCGCTGTGCACTACACTTCGGTTCAACGTGATGTTTTCCTTGACGTGCGCTCCCATAGGCAATTTCTGGACCGTGCTCGCAAATGACGACACCCCTCGACAAGCTCCAAGATCGGAGGAACGCGCTCTGTGACCACAATGGCTGACATGGCTTTGCGCATAGCATCAGTAAGGTCACTTCTGCCTGACCTTGAAGCTGCCCTGAGCTCCTTCACGTCATCGCCCGCTAAGTTTCGCGTGGTGAGGACTGTCAATGCTTCGACAACGCAGCCGAACACGCTCTACATTCTCGATTCATCGTTCAACCCACCCAGCATTGCCCACCTCGCCCTCGCGACATCTGCCATCAAACAGGCGGCGCACTCAGACAAGAGCCCGCCTAGACTGCTGCTATTATTTAGCACGCACAATGCAGACAAGGCGCCTAGTCCCGCGAGCTTCGCGCAGCGCATCGCGTTGATGACCGTCTTCGCTGAGGATTTGTCGCAGCGTCTTAGGACTGCAGCCCCATCTCCAGACGCTATCACAGATGTATCCATAGACATTGGCCTGACCAAAGAGCCGTATTACTCCGATAAGTCGGCAGCCATCACAGAAACCACGCCTCCCTTCTACCCATCGAACCCGATCCACGTCCACCTAGTTGGCTACGACACCCTCATCCGCTTCTGCAACCCGAAGTACTACCCCAAGTACGACCCGCCCCTCTCGGCGCTCAAGCCCTTCTTCGATGCCGGACATAAGCTGCGCGTCACCCAGCGGCCGACAGACGCGAATGACAAGTCGTCAAGCGAGTTTGGCACGGTCGAGCAGCAGGAGAAGTACGTGCAGGACCTGAGGGATGGCAAGTCTGAGAGCGCTGGGTTTGAGCCGCAATGGGGCGGCCATATCGATATGGTGCAGGCGGAGGACGAGGTAGGCGTCAGCTCTACGAGGGTGAGGAAAGCTGCACAAGAGGGGAGGTGGGATGAGGTGGGTGAGCTCTGCACTGAGGGTGTTGCGGCTTGGATCCAAGACCAGCAGCTCTACAGTGGGGATGCTAGTGGGAAGAAGATGATGAGCTGAGCATTGTTCAAGCACGATGCTCAAGTGTCAGATTGCGTCAAGTAATGCTGAGACGTGCAGAATACCGCGGTGGCCGTTCTGCGGTCAAATGGATCACTCGACAACTTCTACGCCCACCTGGAAATGCTCAAGAAAGTGTTTCTGGTGAGATTCGAAGTGGAAGGTGCAAGTTGGTGTGTGGCCTGATTGTGACGGGTGTTCTTTCCTCGTATATCGTATTGCACACGCCGGCGAAGCAATAGCAGCAATCCTCGTTACCGTCATGTTCAATCCGAAGCCTTGCGTTTGATCTTTGCTTTCCATCTATGTGTTGTCCCTCAAGCGTTTGCTGTTGTCTCTTGTTGGGCGTATTTGCGGTAACAACTGCAACCTCCTCCTTCCCAGAGTAGGCAGCCGCTCCACAGTGGTGCAAAGTCAACAGAACCCAGGCATCCTCAGAACCATCTCATCCATCTCACCACAGACTCGAGGTCATGGCTTCGAAACTGTGCTGCACCGCCGAACAGGAGAGTCGACCAGACTCGCCCGAGCTGCCCAATGCCCGTCTCACCAACACGACGCCAGCGATGGTGCCTCTGCTCCCCAGACAGCCCAGCTTGCCGAATTCTCGCTTCACCAGCGCTCGGTCTGACGAGCTTCATGAGCTTCGTCAGATCTTCGAAAATGCTGAAGATCGAGCCTCGCCGACCAAGGGCCCTCGTTCACGCCTTAGCCGTTCGTCTATGCACAGCTTGCACAGCTTGCACAAGATGAAAAGCATGCGATCGATAATCAGGCGGAGGTTTTCGAAGGATCTCACCAAGAAAGGCACAGGTGTCGACCCGAGGGTAACGAGCCAGGTCGCTGATGCAGATGCTGCTACGGTGATCAAGCAGCCACGAGATGCAGCGAGCGAGCAGCTCAAGATCGTGAAAGCCGGCCTGCGGAAGGACTTGCTCAGTGACAAGAGACCAGATGAAGGAGGTTACGACTCTGACGCGGAAGTGCTTGGTGACATTGCGAAGAACATCAGCAAGAAGTCGCCCAGTAAGAGACCCAGCATCCACAGCATCGAATGGTCATCGTCTATGAACAGGTCAGTCACATCGTGTCCGCGTCTGGATTCCCTCACTGAACCTCCCCAGTAAAGCAACACCCGCATCATCGAAGGAGAGTCACTACAGCGCAGAGCTCGGTCACGAATTACAACCTTACCAAATACTAAAGCCCCCAGCTGCCTCACTCTCATCCCGTTTTAGTCATGTCTTGAGCACGCCGAATCTGCGAGTACCCGCTCTAAACGACCAGGAGCGTAGTCTGAGGCGCTCACACTCTGCTACATCGCGTGCCCTACCAGCCCATTCCCCGCTCTCACCACTCAGGCTACCCAGTCTAGGTACTCATGACAAAGATGGAGTACCTTGGTCTGAGGCCATGCACAAGAGCCTTCGCCTATCGCAGTTCCCGATGCCGCCACGCCATGTCAGTCCGATGCCTTCCAACGCAACCCTGGACAAAGAACAACTCTTGAAGCGTGGCGCAAACAACAATGATGGCTCGGTTGGTGCCGTATCCGTACATCCTCATGTTACAGAGCCCCACACTGTCGCGTCATCTACTCGTGCCATCGAGATTCGGATCCAGCAGGCGACCTCAATCGCATCTCCACGCCCGTCCACGTCAGTACGAGGTAGCCTCCGCGAAAATGCTCCACCTGCGAAAGTAGACACTACCGCGGAAAATCAGGAGGATAGCGAGGATAACCCACGCCGCTCTGTGCACCTCTACAGTATGCGCATTTCGCACCACTTACGCTCAGGTTCTCTCCTATCTTGGGACCAGTTGGCCGACACGTCCGAGATGCCACCAACGCCCCGTGCCTTTCGAGAGCGTACTGTTTCAGATCAGAGTCGGTTTTCCCACAAACAGAAGTCACTTGCCAGACATGAGCGGCAAACATCAAGTTCTGGGTTTGCCAGCTCGAAGATCCCACACAAATGGGGTAGAGTGCTTCCATACGACCGCGACCCTCGATGGGATGTGGCCTCGTCGATATACTCCAGCAGACCTCAGAGTCCCCCGGGCAGCTTTGGCGGTTCCATGATCAACTTGTCGCGATCGAATACAGGAGACACGCCAATCGCAAGAAAGCCGAGACGCTCAAACTCTTTCCCTACCGACAACGAGGAGACACCAAGGGCTGCACAACAGTACAGCATGACAAACCTCAAAGCTGCTCAATGTTCTTCGCCCAAGAGCTCCTTACTAGCGACGCCCACACCATTGGCACGTAAAAACAGCGTTGCTAACACAAAGAAGTCGAAATTCCGGGAAGAATTCAGTCCCTCCCCACCGAGGAAGAGATTGACACCATCAGAGTCGATCATGAAGTTCTTGAACCCCAAGCGAATGAGTATACGCAGTAACAGCGAGGCCAACCTCAAGTTCGGCCATCAAGACGTGGCGGCTTTCGACGGACCATTCGACACTCTCGACGTCCCTGCCGAAAAGGAGCGTCGGCAGTCACGATCGTTGATAAGCTTGCAGGCCGAACAAGAAGAGCTCAAAAAGAACAATGGCGCAAACCATGTGTGGGATCGTGCTTTGAAGGCTCATCAGGAGGAGAAAGCGTCTATGTTCCTTCCGAAAAACCGGGAACTTGCTGTCCATGCCAGCCCATTTCGGGAGCGCAGTGGGAGCACATCCATTCGACGGGCCAGCATCGACGAGGATTTGCACCCTGCTGCCGCGACTCTCGTGGTTAACAAACGCTATTCAGCGCCCACTTTTGATCCTAAAGGTCCTGGCACTCCTGGGCCCGAGTACCCTCCCGCACTTACCTCGAGACGCAGCGCTACGGCGGGTAGGGAAGATTGCAGTCCTGGCCGTGCAATTGCTAATGCATTCGAAACACAAGGCGATAGTACTCAAGTTGTTGGAGTGTGGGGTAAATATCCTTCGCACACACGCCATGATCGTAATTCGTCGGCTGGTAAGGTGGACTTGGTGGACACTCGTGACTTTGCTTTGGAAGCGGCGATCAGGTTCGCCTCGGCGCCAGACCATAACGTGGATGACGATCTCGTCGACCCAACGGAACGACTTCCGTCACCACCCCTGCTGCCTGGGGAAAAAAAGAGGAAGAAGAAACTAGGTAGTGGCCGTGTGGCAAAGAGCAACTCGATGACCTTCGGCAAAACGTTTCTCAAAAACTATTCCAAGATCTTCAAGAGTCAGAGTACCGAGTTTCGCCGACATGGGCGCGGTCATCGCAGTTCTATCGCCAGTGGTGGCATGCTCGAGTACCCTGAGCTGGAAGTTCTACCTGAAGTTTGGAGGCGTGGATTCTCCGAGGAAGGCTCTGCTGGGCGTAGCAACGTCGTAGGTGGACATGATGGTCCAAGTGATGATCGAGTTGCAGGCACTGTGCAGGCGAAAGGAAAACTGCCCGCGGACGACTCCATGGCGACGCTTCGTCCTCGACGAAACTCATCAGCTCCTAATCTCAACCAGCTCTCTTTCCTTCACGACGGTGCTGATGATCGAGAAAACGTCAAGGACAGTGCCCGTGTTTGGTCGGTATACTATGAGTCCTGCGTCCCTTCATTCCCTCGTCAGAGCACGGACAATGACCTGGAGGACTTTGGTCCATCTCGCCTCTCGTTCGACAGCAAGCGTACCTCGATGCACTCGCGTACCATGCCGGCTCGCCTTACAAAGCATTCTCGTCACGGGAGTCATCTGAGCCGCGCTAGTGTGGTGAGTCGAGGAAGCGCGCGACCAAGCTTCCTGTCCATGGGCGAGGACGATGTCGGCGAAGACAGGAGCCTGGTCAGTGTCAGGCGCAGCACGATGGATTTGATTCAGCAGTTCAAGGAGCAGGAAGCCACCGAGCACGACAAAATCCTGGCTCTCACGGGGATAGGGGGTAGGCACGAAGGAGAGGGCTTGGCGGCGTTGTAGGTACCACTGCTGCTGATTGGAGGGCATGAGCGATGCATGGTTCTATGGCAATGGACCCTGATGAGATATATTATTCCACGCATTCTCATTGCTCAGCGTGGAGTCTGTTAAATGTTCAACTCTGGTACCTATAATCCATAACCACAAATTGTGAGGCTCAGGCAAATACAATATGTATAAATGCTCACAACCCATTTATGGAAAAAACGTTGTATCCGCCATAACATACTATCACATCTGCAGTTCTCCACCGGAAAACTCCTTGTAGCCTTCCCATCACATTATCCCACACACAAACACACACACACACACACACACACACACACACACCTTCACCACCATGAACATCCAAGACCTCCTCATCCCCTCCCTAAACGAAACATACTACCACAACACAGGCCTCGTCGTCCGCACGCCCGCGCGCTTCAACACCGCGCAGCACGGCCAGGAGGCCGTGTATGCGGCAAGTGCATCCGACGAGGCGCCAAGACACGACAGCGCGCGGCAAGATGGAGAGGACACGGTGACCGAGGATGAGGATGAGGATGAGCGTGTTGGAGAACACAGTAGTGGGGACGAGCGCGCGATGCAGATCCTGGCTACTGTGTGTGCGGCACGGTTGGCGGAGGAGGAGGCTGTGAGTGCGAGGGAGAGGGAGAGTGGGGAGAGGGGTAGGGGGAAGAGGACGAAGAGGATGACGGAGAAGGCGAGGGCTGCTGTTGAGGAGGGGGAGAGGTGCGTGTATTCTTCAAACGTTTTGTTGATGATGTGATGGCTGACGCTTGTTTTAGTAGGAGTCAGGAGCGTGTGGCGGCTGGTGCTGCTGCGGCTGTTCGTGTGGGTCGGGCGAAGACGAGGGTGAATGGGCCGGTGAGGAGGTCTGCTAGGTGGGCGGAGAGGAACGGGGGGATGGCGGGGATGGAGAAGTAGTTGGGGGGTTGGGGAGAATACATGGGGTTGGGAGGTGTGGGATTGTGCATTGTGAAGCGTATTGTAGGCGTCAGGGTGGGATGGGATGTTGCATTTTTGCGTATCATGTTGTTTGGTTTTGGTCGTCTAGCTCGAGCTCCTCCTCATCGTGAACGGGTTCGTGACTGTAGACAGAGGTTGTGTTCCGGGGCTTACGCGCATACCAGAACAGTCTGTAGAAGTCAGGGAGTGAGAATAAGTATTCTGCTACGATCAACTTACACATCAGCGTAGTAGTGGCGGTCTTTCCGCTTCGCTTCTGCTCTGCACTCGGCCAAGAACACCTCGACTTCGTGCTGCGTCCATTTGAGTACTCTGGTGAACAGCCCAAGCGAGCTGCTCGGTAGCCAGTCCATCAAATCCGCGTACGCGAGATCGCCGAGCAGCTTGAACTTATCGCCTTTTGCCCATCGTCCAACTGGCCATTTGCACGTCTTTGCGTTGATGTCGACGAAGCCGGCAGAGCGGAGCTTGGGCCCTAGATGACGAGGACCGGTCCCATCTATGCCCAATTTACCCGCAGCTTCTACGAAGAGCGCTGACCACTTCATGAGAGGCGAATTCTCGTCCGTGACGCTAGGATCCATGCATTTGATAGGGAACGTTAACTCCTGACACTCCAAATAACCACCAGGCTTGAGATTGGTGAATGCTTGGGAGAAGAAGCGGTTCCAGTCCTTGACTGCGGCAACTAAAGCGCGGGTATGGATAAAGTCGAACTCTTCGTGAAAGATCCAGTCCAGCTCAAAATCATCTATGAGGAATTCGCAATTCGGCGGAACAGAACAGGGTTGAATCGGACTCAGGTCTGTTCCAAGAACTCTCGCAGAAGGATGCTCGTCGGCGAACTCGATGGACCAGATTCCTGTTCCGCAACCTATGTCTAGGACGTTGTGAATATCTTGTGGGATTGGGGCGCGGTGAAGTTTGCCATCGAGAGTCAAGCGGAAAGCATGGTGTTGCAGTTCGAGTCTGTCCGCCTCGACCTAACGTCGTGACTGTGAGTAACTGACGGTACGACCGGGAAGCAGGTATGATGCGCACCTCGTCATTTGGCACAGGATACATTCCCTCGGCATAGGCATGGTACCGTCTGCCATTCTCATAGCGAAAATTGAACACGGATGAAGTCACCGACATAGTATAACTTCCTGCAGTCAGTCACCAAGCTCGAGAAAGAAACTTGTCCATGTGTAGGACGTACGAAGTTTGGTGGTCGCTATATGCAGAATCGCGCTCGTCGCTCTGATGATTACAAGTTGATGTCAGCCAATGGCGTTCACATGGGAACGGCACGCCATACATCTGTGTCGAACGACGGCTCGGAGCTACTAGCCCCATCTGTGTCTGTTATATTGTTGTTGGGCACGCTGGCATCAATCTCTGTGATCTCTTCCAGAGCAGCCATTGCCGTGTAGAGGCCAGAAAAGAGGAAAACTGGACGCAGAGTCAAGCACCCGATCACATCTACCCATCAGCAAACATTTAGGGGACAAAGCAAAGACCAAGTAGATTGTCGTCCAAGCGCGGGAACTTGAGCGGTGCAACGTTAGGCGGCACTCTGCGATCGACAAGCCAATTGTGTTGTACCTATGCGGGATACGAACACGCAACTGCAGCATAGGCGCACTTCCGCGCAAGGCACGTGCCAATGCAGGCCTGTCGGGTGATGTTGCGGCAACTGGTTCCATCAAAAAACTCTTCCAAGACGATATAATACGCCTACTCTTCAACACAGTGCAAGGTTCCGTGCCTCTTTCGGTTCTCATCCCGCCAGCGTGGAGGCGACCCATCTCAACAAAGGTGTTGCGCAGCGTTTGCGTGTGGCACTATGGAGAGCAAAAGGCTGCTGCGTAAAGTTCGAACACCCCGGTGGAGATCCAGCGGGAACCCAGAGTGGTTCGAAACGGACGTGACTCGCAGTCCGGCGGCGCTTGTCACAGACGCGACTGGTTAGGGGTGATCGATGCATGCAAGCCGCAATTCGGTAGCTCTGCAATGCTGAAATCTAAGTGGAAAGAAGAAATAGAGGGCTTTCAAAGTAGAGACGCGAGGAACTAGTTATGGCGTTGAGGGAAGGCGCGTTCGAGTCAAGTCAAGCTTCGGCCGTGTACCCGCCGCCGCGACACGTGCTGCAACGTAAGGGGCGTAGATCTTACTGACGACCACCAGCACGAAAGCACCAACACCATCAGAGTGAGTCAAACGAGGAATATAGCCTACACGTAACAAAGGCAGGTACGAGTTTGACGGACGGGCTGCGCCAGACTTTGGGAGGCGTGGCGGTGAGTATCCTCGTTATCCTGTCGTGAAGGCTCTCACCACCCTGAAATACACGCAACATCGTAAGGAAGTATCTGAACATCCATTTTCTTTCACTTGCACCTCTACCGCGTGACTTTTCGCGCGTTGTCGTGTTTGTCTTTCTGTAGTCGCGTCGTCGCGTGTTTCTACTGTCGACGCGTCGCGCGCGCCTTCCAAAATTGTTCAACAACAGCACAGTCTGCGTAGTTCTGCTCTCCTCGACCACAACTACCGTTTCACGCCCATCGAGGCATCAACATCAGGATGACTTATTCAAGCCAGCACAATTGGCGTCCCAACCAGGATCATCGACCTACAAATCGGGGTAGTGGGCGTCCATACCAGAACAACAACAAGCGATGGCCAAGCAAGAACCAAGATGACAAGGACCACCAAGCCGATGACCAGATTGCTCCAAGGCATGCATCCGGCTCCGTCGACGACCTCCAACGATGGGCACTGACTACTGCCAACTTCCTTCAACACGGTCACGGCAAGAGAGAAGACCAGATCATCGAGCGCGTTCAGCGGAGATACGCGAACGCCGACATTGGCGGATACGAGAACCCTCACGCCAAAGAAGATACGGCACATGTTCAAGGTCTTGGCACCGTTCCAGGAATCGATCAGGCATCCACCGATGGAGGCTCTGTTTCAAGGATGGATAGCGCCTCCATGAAGAGACGGCGGTCAACGTCGCCTGCTTACAACAGTCAGAACAAGAGACCCCGCTCCAAGTCGCCGCTTCATAAGGCACGGATGGAGAAAACTACGGCCGACTGGGTTGAGGAAGACGATGACTACGCGCAGTCAAGTGAGTGGAGCTTTCCGGGAAGTGAAGATGAAGGATGAACACATGCATGAGCGTGTTTGTAAGAGTAATACTCAGCTCTGGGAGCTTGAAGCTGACAGGCTATGTTGGCAGAATAGCTGGTTGATGGAATGACAGCAAGACTACTTCGCGGATGGAGATGCCCGAGGAGCACACAAAATTACTCACGATTGCTGGCGATGGCCAAATATAATCCAACCCTTCATTAGTCAAGAAGAACAGTAAATGCTAGGGTATGTAGCTGATATAAAATCTTTAGCTATGCTGTTTTACTTCATTCTGATTACGTCCCTTCCATGTTTTCTTCCGATACCGTAGTTAATGGATCCATTGGAGTTGGTTCTTTCACGTCCTCGATCTCCTTCTGTGGCTCCAAGTACGGTTTCAACTGGTTACGAACCATGGTCAGCTGCTCAAACACATACCCAACTTTCAGCACATCCTCATCTCGACCCACTCGTCCAAATACGAAACCAGAAAATCTGCACCACTTGTCAGCGTCTCCGCATAATTGAGTTTAGCCGCCTAAAACTTACGGAATCCCGGGCGCAGCAGTAACCATTCCGTTCTTTGGATCCCTCTCGATCGCTGTCTCCTCCGGAAACACACCCATCGGTACACTCATCACCGGGCTCCCCGCCCTCGCGGCGAATGTTTGCATGGTGACCGAGAGGGTGGGTATCAGCAAGACATCACAGTTGTACCGATCCAGAGCACCCCTGATACCGCCTTCACCAGCGAAATAGATATCTCTCTTCAGCATCCGTTGGTATAGCTCGTGACTTGGATGTGTGGCCTGAGCACGTTCGAGCGCTTCTACATTCCACTTCGAGAACTCTTCCTCTGGGCAGATCTTGAGGAATCCGATGAGGTCATAGAGGGTGTTGATATCCTTTGGATTTACCGTAAGGGAGCCAAGATATGCGTTAATAGCGATCTTCATATCTGTATCGAGAACAATGTGTCTCTCCGCCTGAGACAGACCCTCGAACTCCTTCGCGCCTTTGAGGTTCCAGAAATTCACAATCTGCGCACCGGCAACTTTCAGCTTTTGTATAACGCCCTCGAACGCTTCCTGCTTGCACGCAGGAATGTCCTGTGTCTCACGAAGTCCTCGGGGAATGCCGATGCGTATACCTGTCAAATCGAGGCTGGGACCTGTGGCCTGGGTGTGCTGTATGATCTGCAGTTGTCTTTCTGTAAGTTGGTTTCCGCACTGAGGCACAAGCTCCATGCACATCAACACCGCATCATCCACCGTACGAGTCAAGAGGCCGACGGTATCCTGTCGTTGCGACGCGTATATGATACCCTCTGAAGGGAGTACATCGCGGGAAGGTTTAAATCCGATGATTCCGCACTTCTCGGCGGGGGCGGTGATGCTATAGCATGTCTAGACTTCCCGTCAGTAAAGCAAGCAAATCATCCACCTTCGAAAAACACACCTCCGTCCCTACCGCGGCAAAACACAGCCCAAGCGCCGTCGCAATCGCACTGCCCGTACTACTCCCACTCGACTTCATCCCCGGCCAGAATATCCCCGTCATCTGGCCACCCCGTGGACTCCACCCACTACACCCATTCGTCGAGCGAAATCCCGCCCACTCCGCCATATTCGCCTTTCCGAGAATGACAGCGCCAGCTTTTCTCAGTCCCGTCACAACGACGGCTTCATCCGGTGGTTTACACCCCAGAAGAGCGAGGGACCCGCATGTTGTCTCCGTGCAGTCCAGGGTGGGGATGTTATCCTTGAGTAAAATAGGGAGGCCGTGGAGAGGGCCTCGACTGCCTCGATTTTGCCTCTCCGCGTCAAGACTCTGGGCGATTCTCAGCGCGTTGGAGCTGGTTTGGATGACGGAGTTGTATTCGTGGTCAACTTCTTGGATGCGGGCGAGGTATGCGTTGACGAGGTCTACGGAGGTAAAGAGGCCGTTGTCGAGGCCTTCGTATATGTCCGGCAGGGTGATCTCGCTGAGAAGGGGGATGTTGTGTTGCATGGTGGTTACATGTGCCTTCTATTCTGGTATGCTGGTTTGTGGTAACAGGTAGGGTTGCAATACGAACATGGTGTCTGTCAATATATATAATCATCGTGTACAAACACTGAAGATCGTGAATTCAGGCGGTTCTGTTGGAATTTCGTGAGTTTCTCTGTGTAAGATGTTGTGAATTTTGGGGTTGAAGAGGGTAGGTGACTATATACTCGTCACAGAGATTGTATGCCATCTATGAATTGAGCACCAGATGTGTGGGAAACACGGTTTACGAGCAGCACTATGAACACTTGAGGTTATCCAGGCTTATTTTTGTTTGGTCTATAGTGTTATGTTGTACCATTCACGCGCGACGTGGGAAACGTTCTGCGACTCAGTGAAGTGGTGCTCTTGTACTTGAATTTTCAGCTCGGTATGCCAATCTACCGTTTGGACTCTTTACTTATATGCATACAGCTCCGCGTCAAGTGAGCGATTTCACTGTGAGCTATCAAACGGTGTGGTGATGAATTCTGAAAGTGAGGCAGAATGACGGTATGTCAATCTTTGACCCGTGAGAGTTTAAGAGTCATGTCATGAACAATTGTGAGATAATTCACTAGCGCATACAAATGTTGAAGAATGTACAGTTTAAATCTTATTTCAATCGTTACTACGTCTAGCGCATACGCCTAATGAGAGTTTATAAACGCCAATACCATGACCTTGAGCTGTCATATGCTTAAAGAAAGATCCTGTCCTAATCATACAACCCAGTCTTATTCTGCTCCTTCCACCATGCTGAAGCCATGCACCACTGATTCCAATCCAAACCAGTAGATCGATCATTCCATACAGCGCGCCTAAGTAGATCGACGATAATGACGACTCGATGACCTTCTTGAGGGCTGCCACTGTTTCCGTTCCTATATGGTCCCCTTTCGTATGAAATTGATGAGGTAGTACTCGCCACTGGCGACCAAAGAGCCGAGTAGTGGTCCGATCCAATAGATCCAGTGATAACCGGTGAATCCAACGATACACGCGGGTCCGAAGCTTCGAGCAGGATTGAGACTGCCGCCAGTAAAGAAGACACAAGACAGCTCGGAGACGAACAACGCAAAGCCGATGTATGCTGGTTTCGCTGATCCACCCTCCATCATGAGAATAGTCAACACCAGCTGCGACGTGACAAAGGCTTCCAGAAAGAACCCGCGAGTAATACTCATGGAAGCATCCAGCACAGTAGCAATGATGAGTGGGCCAGGTAGTACGCCGGAAACGAAGCCTGCAGCCGCTATGCCTGCGATCATTTGGGAGACAATGGTTTGGAGTGCGCGGTGCCAGTGAATCTTGCCAGTGACCAATAGAGCTGTGGTTACCTAAATGAATGTGAGGTTAATAACTGTTGCACGGACGTATTGACCTCAAGGCCGCTTCGGGACGGGAGTAGTGGGATACAAAAGGACAGGCTGAACTTACTGCAGGATTGAACTTTCCACCACTAATATCAGCAAAGATTGCGACATTGACCGCAAGGGATGCACCGAAGACGAAAGCGATGTAGAGGAGCTTGGCGACATCAGGCTTGTCATCCGCTGTGAGTTCGCTGGTGCCAGCTGCGTTGAGAGCAATCTGTGTGCCAGCAAAGGACATGGACAAGAACATGAATGTTCCAATGAACTCTCCTAGAAACGCATTGACTTCGGTACGAACGGTATGATAGCGTATGCGATCTTCCGATGGAGGTACATGAGAGGGCTCATGGAATGGCAAGCCGGAACTCCTATCGGTTGAGCTCTTCTCGTCCATCATGACTGAGACTGGATTGGTGCTGAAGGTACTTGAAGAGAAGGGTCTTAATGAAACAGGAGAGGATAGAGCCCGTGTGAGTGAGGTTTCGAACGATGAGATGGATGAGGTGGATAGAATAGATACGTGCTTGGAAGAGCCCGTTTTATATTCAAGTGAAGCCATGATATTCCGATGAGCTGATGTACAGCAAGAGGACACCGGGGATTTTGAGAAAGTTTGTCCTACCCCAACGGGGTCCACTGTGCACTGTAGAATAGATCATTCACCCACTTCCGGTTCCAGACGACGTTTGTGAGGATTCATGGGGACCAACGACCCATGTACCTTGCCGAAACCTGCATTACTTCTGTATCGATGGCATGCGACATCTTGAATGAAGCGATGTTGTACACAGAAACTTAGATAGATTGTATGGAAGAAGTGTTGCGATCACTGGTTGTGATGTGGTCTGACCCTACATCTACCTTCGTTCTGATTGATCGGTTGATCGATTGAATGAGTATCAGTAACAGTTTTCGCCACATTATTAGAACCATGGGATCTTCATGGGGGCAAAATCTCATATCGCGGAAGCCGCGATACTTGGACACATAGATTTGCGAAGGCTTCTGGAGCTTGCATAGTAGAGGTGTCGTGTTCGAAGCCTCATTCATGATACTCGTAGATGGCTTTCGCATGATTGTTTGGGGTTGGATAGAGTTTGGATAGAGTTTCGCGTACGTGGGCAAAGTGTTGATCGTCATCGGTTTGAGGAGCACTTTCGAAACTATGGACGCTACACAGCATCACGTACCTGTTACCTCAGTCCCCACAGTCGGAACTGTGAGTGCAAAAATCAAAATCGGGGAACAAATTTGGCTTGATGAATTGGGATACCGGTTTTCATTGGAGCTCTTGGCTTGGATGCACGACATCTGAGTGGAGTGATGGGGAGTGTTCTTAGGAAGCGTTGTTGTGATTAACGGCCCACGTTAGATTGATACCTGCGTAAGATACATGTGCACGGCGTACGGATCACTTCCGCAACCGGCGTGAAGTGTGGGACAGGTTGCGTCTTGCAGCTATTCGAACATCTGTCAGTGTAATAACGGTTGCCTGACATGTCTGTCGCACCGCAGACAGGATACGGGATTTCTGCCGCTTCAACGTCGCTGTACATAAGCAACCTTTGGATGCGGATGCCATGTAACTCCTTCTCGTTGTCGTAACGATCATTCAAAAATGGTATGATCTCCAGAATACTAGGTTCCAAATATGTGATGCAGTCATCAAATTTATAACTGAAGCGAACCATACGCGTCATCGCTAGCTTCACTGGCCACATGAACTGTCCGCCGACCATACCTGTACAGCATGATTGATCTGGTCTCAATGTACGTCAGGATGGAGGGATTGAGACTAGAACAATCGTTATGCGTAACCTGTGGTAGTAAACCGAGAGGTTCTACTCTGTTCCATATCAAAAACAACTGGATATGCTACGAGACCTTGACTGCTTTCGCGACAAGGAAAGACTGAAGGATCCAAGGTAGCTAGAGGCGAACTGTAGTGTTACTATAGAAGTTCTCAAGACAGACATCAGTCGGATGAACTGAGCATGATGACCATAACAATCGACTGAGGTTTGCATGGTGATCGTCTTCATGCGTGAGCTACCGGTCGCTGCAGGGAAAGAAAACGGCTGTCAGATCCGATATACCAACTCGCGAAAGATACGAATTGGTCTTTGTAACCCATGAGACAACTGAGAATCAATAAATCAAGCTCCAGTTTAGATGAACTGTTGAAACATGCTCAATCCTGCGTTTAACTGGGGCCCCACACTGACTCCAGTTATCCATATTTCAATATACCCAACACCCAACCCAAGTGGTTTGCTTATGTCATTCTCGAGGCTGTTATTTTTTGACAAGAAGACTATGGTGTGTCTCATGCTAAGCTTGGTTGGTTCCAGCACTAATTGCTGTTCTAACATACTGCAGCACCTGGGATGCTAGGAAACGTCGCATTCTATTGCCGACAGTACCATTTCACCGATCAACTCGATACGTCTACTTCCTGGCTCTTCGATGATCCGCCAAGATGACTAATGTATAGGTGGTACAACGATGAACATCGAACCAACAATGGCGTGACTCTGAGATCAACAATGACCTTCCTGCTCTTGTCATGTTTGCCACACCAATCTGAACAAAGACGAGCTCCGCATCCTCGGTGATGCTGGAACATGTCTCGGCTTCTACAAGCGGATGTTCCGAGTATCGCCACAGCAAGCCAGACAAGACTGCCAAGCCTGGGTTGGCGGGTGAAATTAGGTATGTCGACTACACCCCAAACAATGTGTTGGGAAGGAAGCGATGTTGAGATAGTGCTGGTGTTTGTGGTTTGAGCTACTCGAGCAACTCACTGACCTATGCATTCGGCCGGCGAGTTTGCTTAGTCAGTACGTCTCTAGCTTGTTATCCGGTTTCATCTCATGACAGAACCAGCTGGCAGCTCTTCTCTCTTAACTCATCAGCGCAGCGATTGCATTTCAATATTGTTCAGGTGGCTAGTTGAAAACAGCCTGCCAATGCTCGTCCCGCACGACAAGCGACTATTGCAGAAAGGTGGTGTAACTGAGAACAACGGAATCGATGGAGGTGATGGACGCGAAGCGCTTACGACGTGCTCCGGGTGTCGCTAAAAATGGCGTGAGTACCCCATCTCCATCTTGAAAATCGCCTACCCCACATGCACACTCATGCACGTACACGATGCACGCCAGCGCTAAGGTAGCACGCCAATCCACCAGTAATGCACGTAACAACGCTACGACGGCAGTACTACGAGTGATGCCGACTCTGGAAGGATGACAGGCTGCAACAGGCAAACTCGTCCGCATGTGTTGCGAGACGCAGGTAGCCGATGTATCAGGATTAGTGTTGCAAGTATGCAGTGTCAGGAGTTAAGTACAATATGTGCAATATCTGTGGTTTTGTGCCGAGACTTCTTAGATAGTCGCTCGCGCCTTGGAACACCTGCCGCCGCGCACGCGTTTAGTTCGATGACCTTTCAGCAACTCAGTGCCTAACTCTTCATCACGTCTTTCCCTTCATCGTTCTCCAGACTCCGACCAAAATTGTCGCCTTGAGGAGCATCCGTCGATGATACTTTATCATTTGCTGGCAGACAACACACATACGGGTCCAACACTACTGCCGTACAACCATCCTCCCAACCACTGGGCAAAAGGTCGTGCAGCGGGAAGAAAGAACCACTAGATGTTTTGGTGTTAACCACTCATGCTATGTGGATCCATCACCGACAACGGCGCGTCAGTCTGTTCATCTTTCCTGATCGACCTCGTCATATGTCGACATGTCCGCAATGTTAAACCAGTATTGGAGATGCGACTTGGCCCCTAACACATTAAGATCTTCTCGAATTTGAACTCTCGGAATGTTCGAGGTGGCTCTGATTCAGCCATGGATCAGGGGCTTGAAGCAGGAGAAAGAGCCTGGCCACAGGGTGGATCACCAACGTGTCCGTGTATTACTTCTGCGATCAGAACGACTGTCAGCATGACGTAGTCAAAACGTCTGTTGCTTTTCGTGACCCTTTTTATGGAAATTGCTGATAGAAAGAGCGTGGCAGGAAGGCGATCGAAACGGCGTAGAACGAAAGTAATACCAGTTTGCGATTTCCTAGTGTCCAACTGACAACTCTTGTAGCCAAGCCATCGCTAATCCAATCGTTGCAGAAGCTGGCATTCCTGAATGGCACGTTTCCTGAGGAGGTAAGGCCCAGACAGTAGCCTAAAGAATACGAGTCGCTTCTTCGTACTGCCAACATCATTGCCTTGGACGCTGACGTTGAAGGCGGTTATGACGCAGTCATGATGCTCTTGCCACTGAGGTAGGGATTGGACACAACATTCACTGTACATCGTTGAGGCTTCTCGAATGTTATGAGCCTGCGAGAGAACGAGATTTCCTCCTGGGTCGCTTGTGAAGAGTTGCATGTCGCCCAAGACGCAAGAAACAGGCTGGTCCACAAACGTAGACGGGGTTTATGTGAAGCTCGAATTAGCTTTGTTCGATACGTCATTATGGGAGTCTGGCCAACGCTAGATTTGGAAACGCGCGATTTAATAGTGGCTAGAGCGGTGAGGGAAGGACGGGCGTGGCGATCAGGACCTTAGTGCTTGAGGCCGGTTCCGTGGTTCGCTGAGGGGTATCCAGGATGTTACCGCAGTTAGCGAGGAATGTTTCATCAAACAACATGGATATGCCTGACCTCGGGGTAAGTCACAGAACCATAACTAATGATAGTGCTAGAAGAGGAGACTAATGGTCTTGGAAAAGGAGACCAATGAAACCAACTATGATCCTCTTGGGGAAAATGCGGAATTATTAGCTCTCTAGGAATGAAGGAAGCTATGTCGTCTATACAACTTCGAAACTTGGTTCAATACTCATCACAGATCCTAGATGTGCCGATAATCCAAGAAATCACGCAGGATCGATTGCCGCTGGCGTTGTCCTTGCTTTTACCCAGACCTAATGTCCACCGCTAATACGACGGGGCGACCTCCGCGGCTGCAATGTTGCTACCCAGCCACAACGCGCTCGTAGTCCGCGTCTGAGACAGGATCTGGGCGCGTCAGCAGGGATATGGCAACTTTTCAGGAACATAAACAAGGCGGGCACGTGTACGTGTACTGTCTAGACTGTGTTGGCGTTACAAGGAGGCTGTATCACGTCTACGCCCGTACGAAAGAGGATTGGCTGATTACGAAATTTGGATGAGTGCATAGGTCCGTGTCATAAACCCCCGAATAGAATATAAAGACTATGGGGAGCCGCGATTTCATGTACATTCACTTCCAACATCTACAACCTACCATACCTCTCCTTCAAACCTACCAACCAACCAACACCCCAATCCCCAACTTCACAACCATCAACATGCGTTTCTCCGCCATCGCCCTTCCCGTCCTTGCCGGCTTCGCCGCTGCTCAGTCCAAGTACGCAATTTATTGCTTTCTAATACTTACCGCTTTCTGACACTGAATCTAGCGTTATCTCATCCCTCCAGAGCCAGCTCACTAGTGCTGTCTCTTCCATCGCTGCCTCTTCCGCCGCTGCCTCCCGTTCGGCATCCCTCTCTTCCGTTGCCGCATCGGCCAGCAGCGTTCTCGCATCCGTCTCCTCTGTGGCAGCCTCTGCTACCCACACTGGTTCCGCTGATGCCGTTGTTGGCGAGCTCGGTGGTGTTGCCGCCGCTGCCATCGGTGTCGCTGCTTGGTTGTTGTAGATGCATTGATGGTTCAGATATTTTGAATTATTGGCAGTAATTAGGGTGTGAACGTTGGTTGCAAATGTCGAAGTAATAGTCATCAGAGGTCGTCTCACAGACGAGGTATAATACGAAACAGGTCACTTAAACCATTGACTCCCCATGTGATGAGTGGCAACTACTTCGCTATGCCTTGCGTTCAAACCCGAAACCCCTTCTTATCTCACCTTATAACGTCTTCCGTCCCAAGTGAGCTTGTTTTATGTTAGATCGATGCCATCACATTTCTCCCAGCTTGATTCGTTGTCGACGTTTGTCTTTACCCGGCATTTCCAAACCATAGCGCTTGAGTCAAGGTCGATCACAGAGTCTTTGAAATAAACAAGGAATCGGTTCGAAAGCTCTCACGTTCAGGGATTTTGGCCAATCTTAATTTGAAGAAATTCATTTGAGATTATTACGAAATAGCGCGCTTAGTTCAACATTTGCCATCCTACTTTGACATCACTCTTCCACCAATTACCTGTCCATCCTGACACAATTAGCCTTCCTCGCCCGTCCCCAACGCGTGTCTTCCGTTCACAGAAGAGCAATTCTCCTGATTTGTGGTGCCGACGCCCTCGGCACAGTGATTCTTAGCACACCGTCCTTGAAGGTGGCGCTAACATTGGTTCCATCAATGCGTTCCGGGAATGTGAACACTTGCTCGAACGATCCATGAACACGGTCATCATTCTCGGTCCGTTGTTGCGTTGGTTGAGCTGGAGATTCAGCCTGTAGTTGTTGCGCGACAACCGTTCCTGTCTTAACAGCCTCATCAACAGATTTCTCCTTGCTCTCGGCATCTTTCGGCTCGGTGGTGCTGGATGGATCTGAGGGTGCAGAGAAGAGCGATGAAGCCTCGGCTCCAAGGTCTTCGAAGTCGTCTTCCACGAATGCTTGGTAGGACTTGTGCGACTCAGTACTGCTAGAAGGTGTGGCCGAGCGAACAGTCTCGGTTTCGGACTGGAGCGTGGACTGGGTCTCAGCATTGGCAACTGACGTGTCATTGATCTTGTCGTCTTCATGTCCCTCAGTGAGGTGCTGGTCAGCTGCAACTTCCTGCTGTTTCTCCGCCTCTGCTCTCCACTCGGTGTTGCCGACAACCTTCACTGTACGCTCATCTGTAATCTCGATGCTGATATTCTCCTGTTCGAATCCATGCACATCGCCGTCGAGCTGCCACCCCTTTCCGTTTTCGCTGACAGCGAACCTAGCGCGGAGAGCATTTTGTCGCTGTTGTTGCTGTCGATCGGCCTCACGCTGCGCCTCACGCTGTGCCTCGATCTGTGCCTGGCGCTGCGCTTCGCGATCGATGCTGCTTAGCAGCTCATCAACTTGGGAGAAGAAGTGATTGAACGACGAGTAAGCGGGGCGGTGAGGCTGTGGTCGAGAAACGCTATAGGTGTATGCAGGTCGTCGTGAGACGGGAGCGTAAGAGCCGAATGGGTTACATTGTGATGCCTGGTAGGAGGGTGCACATCGTGGCATGAGGAAATAGGCCATTATTGGTGTGTTTGGTGGCGTCTGAGGTGAATTTCGAGTCTGGTCAATGCAAAGAAGAATTGAGAGTAGTGCAAGATTCTGAGTATCTGCTTGTTTGTGTGTATTCTGAATGGATGATGATGAGAGATTTAGAGACTACGAATGCCGCTTTTATAAACATAATGCCAGGTCTGCAGGCAACAGCGGCTTGCATACTCTTTGATGCGAAATGCAGATGCCGTAAGCGGAAAGAGATTGAGAGAAGCAGCCAGATAATTCACTGTGTTTCGTGATGTTGCGAGATCTGCCGGGAAGACGCGTGAAGCTTCGCGACTCTGCTAGAACATTCCGTCATCATCGTTCCGTTTATGGCTAGCTCCAGCTGAGGTAATGCCCTTACCATATTATGGTCTTTCAGGAAATTGATTAGCGCCTCATACCACAGCACCTCTCAATACAGTTCAGTCGAGACTCCGTGCGCAAACATGTGTTCCTGAAACTTTGTGTTTCAGATCTGGCGCTCGCATGTATCGCCGCACCTCAACCAACTGCTTCAGATGAAGTTCATCTGCCGAATCCAACCAACGACTTATATATATACTTCAGGACGCGTCTCTCGTATACACCATGAACTTCAACGAGATCGCATGGATGATCGATTTCTTTACTGAGGATATGATACTAGCTCGGGGATCAGGAAGTTCGGATCTCAAATTTGAAGTCCTGTTCATTCTCATCCGTTGGCTAGGTTCTATACCCGATAGCATCATGGTCAAGGCCTTCCAACCCGGCCGTGGCTTTGTTGACGATCCCGGTGACTTCTGTCTTCAGGCTGCATGCGTGTAGTATGTTTTGGGATGAATAACCGTGACTACTGTAGCCGGAATGTCTCCATTCCGGTGACATGATGTTTTGAACCAGCTTACACAGGCTATCGAAAGTGATTTTGTAGAACGGAATTTCTGGTCGCGGTGAAAACAAGTCCAAACGATCGAGTTCTCTCGTCAATGCACCTAGTAGAAAGGATCCGCACTGGAATGATAGGTCATCGTTCCTCGGGCAGACATATTTGCTATTACGATACTTGTCGAGCAGGGCATGTAACGGTTCTATCACGGATTCGATGACTTGATACCGCTTGCGAACGATCTCACCTATTCAGTACGGTTAGTGTTGCAAGCGAGAAAAGCCGTCAAGCGCCTACTTGAAATTTTGCTGGGAATGGGTAAGCCCAGGGTTTGTATCGTCACTGCACTCTGGCTAATTGCCACCATAGTTGCCAGCTTGAATTGCTCCGACAACTCGAACGTCCACGCGACCCAAATCCACAAAATTAACTCCCGACAGAGGGTTGTGGGCATAGGCATCTGTTTGAGATCATGCAGCCACATGGTTGTAAAGACTTCGATAGCTTCTCCGCACTCATAATAATCTACCAAGACTGCGACCTTAGCCAGCATCTCTAGTGTTACCGTTCGGGGCACCTGGCGGTTGCGCAGGTGGAAGATGTTGAGGACGATAAGGAACGCTTCAGCATCCCAATCTTCGGCATAGACATGGAACCGTCCGTCGGATTCATGGCGACCAGACTCAGACCACTTTTCTTTCGTCAAAGCACGCTTGAACCAGGATGAGGCAAGCATCAAATGCCTTCAAGAGACGTGGTAATAAATACCTTCATCTTCAACATCTCGCTCTGGTTCTGGAAGACTCTCTAGACCATCTATGCGTATCACCTGAGCAACCTGATTTGGATGTTGATGTTAAATAGCTCACCTTCCATCAATTCGCTCGTCACCGCCTTTCTGTTCTTTCCTTTTAGCTCCTTCTTTGCGCCCCACACTGGCACCGTGAGCTGCTGAGATTCCTCATCGTGGTGCCATGGCGCAAAATTGTCGGAAGCGTTCCTGAGAACAATGATTGTATCTGGTTCAGAGTCGATCTCATGAATAGTGGGGGGCATACTGAGGGTTTCCTTTTAAACCTGCATCAGCCTATGCTTTTTTATAGCCAAGACGCCTTACTTCTACTGACACGAGACTAGAAAACAACGAATTTGATAATCTAGTAAAGGTCCTCAAAAGTGGTACAGATATGATGGGTCCTTTTTATCTTAGTGGTGGGGCGTTTTGAGGTTTTTCGATACGTGGGAACTGCAAACAGAGGGCTGACGACCAAAACCATATACGAGCGCTTGAACATAGACAAACCCCTCCCTTGCATCGCCTGTTGTCAGATTTTACCAGAAGTGTTTGTTCGATCGTGTTCGGCTGCAGAAAACCGCTGCGATTCGTGTGGTATCCTAGCGAGCGCCTCTAGCCGAGTTGGGATTACGATAAATTTGATTGTTTGATCTTTCGTTCGAAATGAACTCAGTTTGAGGATGTACCTGACGAATCTTGATTTCAGCCTCCCCTGAGAATAAAGATAACCTTTTGGTTTAAAACCTCAGCCCAGCCCTCAGTCAATCGAATTACCTTGAGTGTAGCTACGTTCTACTCAGCGACTAATGCAACTAAACTACAAATCAAGAACTACTTGACAAGCTGATTGACAAGGCGCACATACTTTACACAAACTTTGCATGTACTTCTCAAGCTGCAGGAACTCGCTCCAGCTTGGTTCCCAGTATCGTGCATGACCGAGAACCGCGGTGCAATGGCACTTTAGATGATCACTCGGCCTCGTGTAGACAATTGGTGGGCGGTCTTCCATAAGATGAGGAAATTGCTTTGATCCGAAAAAGCGGGTAAAATTTGTCGTATATACAATCCATAATTGAACAACATTTCATCAAAATCATTTGGGCTTGTGGTTTAGTGGTATAATTTTCCCTTAGCACCAATCTCTTCGGAGACCGCGTGGGAAAGGTCCTGGGTTCGATTCCCAGCAAGTCCATTTCTTTTTGCCGGCTATTTTGCTTGCCTTTTGTTTTGTTGTGTGATTGCTCAAAATTGGGATCGGGTTCTCTTTTGTGTAGAGACAGACATACGTGGTCGGCCTGGGATCTTTCTGGAATTCGGCGAGGCAATCGAGTTCAAAAATCAGTGTCACGTCTCTTCTCTTAACTTTGGACCAAGTGTCGTACCATCCTGGGTTATTGCAGTCATGCTATAATACCAAAGGTACACGTGGACATATGGGTTTTCAGAGTACAGATATGGTCATGCCTGTTGCTTACAAAATTGCTTCCTATAGCTAGATGCCGGGGTATGCCATGCAGTCTCTATATACTGGCTCTTTTACGCACGCGAATAGGAACCGTGCAAACTACATCCTATGCTGAACAGTAGAAGCAGTACACGCTGTCAGTGCTCACAAGTGACAGGCTTCGCGCAACACCCAAAACGACTACCACACTTCCAACAAATCATGGCCCTGGGCTTCTCCAGAAGTATTGTACGAGACCCACAAACTATCGACAAGTTGTCGGTGTTCTTCAAACTCCTTCTACAACGTCTGTCTTCCTCGGGTCTCTATCGGGAGCAGCAGCATGCTCACGAACGCCGCAATGAACAACCCGCCCGATGCATAAATTGGGGCTTTAGGGTTGGCGCCTCCAGCGTTGATGGCAACAATCGGTGCGCAGAGTCCAGCAACGCGATTGAGGAAGCTAGACATCCCAGTGCCGGTGCCTCGAATCGGAGCAGGGAAGACCTCGGGAGTGTAAGCGTAGAGAACGCCGTACATGATGTTCTGGAAGAATGCTTCGAGGCAGGTAAACGCGAGCTGAAAGTTGGAGTCGGACGAGATGGTGAAGAGAAACACGAAAACACCAGTGATGGCTGTGGCAATCGCCATAGTGCCCTTCCGGCCAAGGTATTTGAGCTCGACTGTGTACCAAGCGATGACAGAACCTGGGACACCTACGATGGCGGTGATGGCATAGTTGCGGTATACAATGCTGGTGGAGTTCTCAATTCCGCCTCCGGTATTGGCTAGGTACTGCGGGAGAAAGGCATTGAAGAGTGGATAGGCCATACCAATAGTTGACCATTGAAACCAGAGCAGCCCAGTTGTCATGGCAATCTTCTTGTCCTGGAATAGCGAGCGAAATCGCTTTAACGAGAACCTACCCAGAGAGCGCTTCACGATCTGAACTGTACCGAGTTTGACCTCCTCACCGGTCACGTCCGGATCACCGCCAACTTGATTGAGCACGTCTTCTGTGAGCCAAGTTGTGGTCTTGTTGTAGTGTGCAATCCCGTATATGGTCGCTACAGCCTCAGCTTGGCGGCCACGAGACAGCAGGAACTTCGGCGATTCGTACAAATGAAACAGGAAGAGGCGACACATGAACATGGTAAAAGTTATAGCTCCCAGAGCCAGAATCAAGTAGCGCCATCCCCAGTTATTAGCTCTGGTACATTCTCCAAGGGGAGTGTCTCCAGGGCACGAGAAGTTAGGAATAAGGGCCCAAGCAACTATATATATATCGTTAGCTTCTCCATTCGTATTCAGATTGCAACTAGACTTACGAAGCGAGGCGATCAGATTACCCGCAGGCCAGAATACCGAAAGCAGAGTAAGAAGACTGCCAGATGCCTGGGGTAAGAACTCCAAAAACAGAGCGCCGTCAATGGGGAGGTTGCCGCCGACACCCAAACCAATGCAAGCGTACAGAGCCGAAGCGCCAATCCAGCTAGCAGCACCGCCTGAAGCCAGGCCAAATGTACCAGCGAAGAAAAGGGTGCAGTTGAAGGCCAGACGACGTCCTACGACATCGGCAGAGGTACCCCAAAAGGAAGCCCCAATGCAGAGACCGAGAAAGAGCGCCAAGGTGGTGTAGCGGACATCGGTCTCACTCACACCAAACTCGGCTGAGAGTTGAGGCAGTGTAAGAGCAACACCCTGTGTGGTAGTAATCAGTATTGAGTATTGTTGCTGTGTCTCTTGGTACTTGCTTGAAGCCAAAGATTGTCAGCCATCCATCCACCTCCACACAAAGCAAACAGCTCCCATTGATATCTGCCCATGCCCATATCTTGGAGGGCCCTGTTGATGACCTTTGCTTTGCCTATTTTTGATTACTACAGGTATACTAGCGGGCAGCAATGCATGACGAACGGTCGTAGGGAGTGTCGGTTCCAGAAGCTGCCACATCTGCCACGATCTCTACTTTCAACTTCTCGATAGCAAATGCATGGTTCACGACGCTAATCGCTGCGTTACCGCCAGATGGTCCAGATGCACCAGTCGGCTTGTCATTGCTTGTGATCGCGTGTCCGCCCGATACGGTTGAAGCCTGTGAAGAACGGGGGGTATGATAGGCAGCTTGATCAAAGGATACATGGACACCTGGAAATTCAGACGCGGTATGCCTTTTGAAGGGGTTGACGAACATAGTTCGAGGCATTGTTGCCGTGAGGAGAGAACGGACTGTGCGATTGCAGGTCGACAGTAGGCACACTGAGTGTAATGCTATGGAATGGGGTGGAGCCCAAGGCAGAAAATTTGCTAATAAATTAATAATGGTTGTGCTTGTAAAAATTTGTAACTGTCTTCCAGCCCTGCCCTATCACAGAAGTTGGAAAGCAATAGTGAGAAGTTATGGGTCAGTGACGGCACTGTGCCGAGCAGCATTGTTGCTAGGGCGATGCGACGCATCGTACGAGTATGTGCTACCATAGCACCACCTATGGTTCTCGGTACAAAGATCATCGGTTCATGCCGTCGTGATGGAGGTCGAACGGTTGACTTTAGCATTCCACTTTTTCGAGACGCTAGCAACACTAGCGCATCCATTCCACGTTACCGCTCCGGTCTCGCGTCATATACGTTCTTGCCTTTTCGTTATCATATTGAGAGCAATGTCTGAAGTGCACATTCTGTGATCGTGGTCTTTGTAGTCGATGCACACAGCGCAGGGAGCCTTAGCAAACGACTCATTGCTAACTGGTCTCGATTGTCCCAGACCACGAGAGTGGAAGGTTCACGAGAGGTGGTGGAAATGTCACTTCTGAAAGGGTCTCTTCATCACCGCCCAACCTTTGAAGTGCACCTTCTCATTCTTTAATCTAGCAGTCAGGGTCTACCGCACTGGGTCACCCATGCGATAGTTGCCACCCCAAAACCTTCGTGTGTGACTCGAAGTCTTTCTCTTCGTTTTCTCAAGCCTCTTTGAGCTCATCACCATTCTCATTAAGTCGATCAGTTCATATCTTTCAGTCATCCGCGGACCATATACTATCTCTCTTCTTCTTATCCCGGATTACATCACACATCAATCCACGAAACGGGCTATCAAGTCATGTCCGACACGACAAGCAGCACCAGCATTGAAAACATGCGTCATATACAAGTTCGTTGGCCAGTCTCAACGAACGACCGCTATTACTCCAATCAGATGTCGTGCCGACACACCGCACATGACTTCTACGCAGACCAGCGAATTCCAGACGACGTGTACGAAAGTAGTGCGGATACCCTTTGGACTGCGCCTACGATCGACCACTATTGCCCCGACAAGACGACATGTAGACGGTGCCGCTATGCTGCGAACGACCTCTCTTCAGCACAAACCACGCTGGAGAACGAGCCGCTGGCTCTCACGTCATCATACGCGCAGAAGCAAACTTCACATGTGGTTCAGGAACATCGTCCTCAAAGACTTCAAGGTCAGGTTTTCGCTTGGAACGCATATACGTGGGACAAACATGATCGAGATGAGATGTGAGTGTGCGCTCAAGCCACGAGAGTATGGCTTACCATATATAGAGATGATGTCAAATACGATATCTCTCATCTCGTCGCACATCCGCCAAAGCCTCTCTCCGCTGCCACCAGTCCGCCGACAACGCCAACTGTTGTCCACGATCACGACTACGAAGCAGACAAGGTCGATCGTGCGTTCATCGAGGAGCTCAACCGCCGGAGCATCATCACCGAAGTGAAAATGGACGTACACGAACGTTTGTCACAAATGAAGATGGAGAAGCTGGAAGGACAGTGCAAGAATTTGACCGAGCTATGCAATGAATTCGCTCAGGAAGCAATCCTCTCGAACCTAAGGTTTTCCAAGGTGGAACGCCAATGCGAATTACTCGCCGAAGTGAGCCATTCGCTAGCTCATCATTGTAGCAATCTCGCTACCAAACACAATGGCCTTCTCGATATCACGATAAGACTTGGCGACGAGTTGGGCCTGCACGCGCAAGCTCTAGACGCATTCAAAGTCCAACGAAGGGATGTCCAGGGGTTGCAGCCAGAATCGTACTCGCCGTCAGAGCGAGCTGTTGCGTGGGCCTTGTCAACGGCATCATCTCCTGTTGCGGTCGACATCGATCTCTCTGATTTCGAACAGGATGTACTAGCGCCAGGCATCGGGAAGCGCAACAAAATGCGTGTGTTTGGAAAGAAAATATCATTGTCGCAACCATCAGAATCTACAATACACACGAACAGCTCGCATAGCTACCAGCCTAAACACGACGCGCACGGATCAGACACTGCAATCGAGGAGTACGATGCGACGCAAACCATCGTCTATCCATCGATATTGCTCGAAGAGCATGATCAGGGATCCGCCAGCCTGAACAGAGTCACTGAGTCACTTGATCCAGCGGGCGTGGAATACACCCAAACTCCTTCCAGAGACATACAGACTAGCTCAGCCACGATCGTCGAACAGAGTGATGAGGTATGTACGCAGAGAAAGTCGCCGATTGACCAATTACCTCGGAAGCGGAAAGCGTACGCATCGAGCAACGATGGTGGGAGGCTTGCCAAGCAACGACGAGATTCGATCATGGATTGAGCGGAGGCCATGATGTATGGTCTGCAGTGGCAAAGGGTGCGGAATCGCAGCCTGGGATCTGAGTCAACGATGGCGTCGATTAGCCACTTTCTTCATTCTAGGTTCATGTTGTGTGGGTCTTGAACAGGCTTCTCTCGTTTGTGCACCAATGGTAGGTTGAGAGAATAGCGTTGGAACAAGACGGATGTTTGGTCATCGACAGTGGGCTGTGGACGATGTATGCTCGAAAATGCGTGTAGTGAGATGGTTTGAAGGGGCATATCACCACGATAGGGTTGTTCTACTACTTCGTTTCTGATCCAGTGGATAATTGGACATCGGTCCCTCCTGATACCATATGTTATGCGCGGAGTGGATTGAGGTTGAAAACCAGGGTGGTTGATATAAAAGACAGAGCATCGTTGAAAATGCTGCATTATACCAATTGTGAGCAAGTAGAACTAATACATGGGGGATGACCTTTACCTAAACACTCCCAAATCGTGCTCGTAACACTTGGAGGATGGAGGCTTGGACGAGGTAATCGGTGCTGTGTGTCGTAGGGATTTGCGCGAAAGTGTCACAGTTGGATGATGATCAACAAGATCGTGAAGAGTTATTAATTGATACACTGACCTTTGGTCGGGGCGTATAATAACGCGGTATCGCTAATTTAGGTAGAGACCTGAAAGTCCGTGTCGCGCACGTGGAATTGAACTACGTTATGTCGGTCGGACTGGTAGTTTCGAATGTAAAGGCCAGGCGTTGCAACATTCAGACAACGCTAGAAAAGTTGACGCTATTGCTGTCTTTGAAATCTTCGTCGATTGGCTTGGATTGACATGAGATGCATTTCGTCTCGCCAAACCCAAGCTCATCAGGACTGACTCATTGTGAGATTCCTTGCTCAACTTGTCCGTCGAGGTTCAGGTTCTCCCAGTCCCAAATCTGTTCCATTCCGCCCATGTCGAGAGCGGACTGATTCCCAAAGGCTCCAAAAGGGTTTTGAGCCAAGAATTGATCCAAATCAAAGCATAGATCGTCCGTAGTGGTCATCGACGGCAATGGATCTCGCTCGCCAATTTGTGGATGAGTCCCAGACGACAACGAACTTTTGTTGATAGTCGCAGGGATTGCAGTGGTTTCTGTCGGAGCGGCTGGCAGGGCGACTGGAGGCGTACATATTGGAGGTGATGATTGAAGCATAGATGGAGAGCTTCGTTTGCGACGTTTGCAGCACGGTAAAGACCGGAGCTCGGGCGTGGCCTGCACAAGTTTATAAAGAAAGTTGTACGATGCTGCGCCAAGTTTTGTTGTGAGACTTAGCTGGTACAGCATGTCGAGTGAGCTCTCGATAATATTCATGATGTCGTCGCGACGGGGTAGGACGCAGCCGCGGTCGTGGATGATGGCTGAGCATAGAATCGTGGCAGTGTCAAAAATAGAGAATACTACCATGTGAAATTTGGCGTTGATGGGAAATTCGTAGTTGAAAAGCTCCTGCGCAACTCCCAGGGCCAGCAGAGCTATGTTGACGCCCATTCTTCTGAACTCATCGTCTTGATCGGTCGTTGTTTCGTCTCGAGTTCTGGTGAGATACGGTTTTAGAAAGTGGAGCATTGTCACATAGATGACGCAATGCAGCTGAGACCGTTGGAAGATGAAATACGAGTGCTGTGCGTCGAGGGAGGTATCGGGGTCCTTGACCTTGAAGATTGGTGGCAACTCCTCTATGAACCTTTCGCACTCAGCTTCTACGGCGAGCACCTGCTCAGCTGACAATTCATTGCCAGACTCCGCATCGCCTATGGCAGTTGCCACCCGTCGACCAAGATGAGCTTGCAGGGCCATGTGAGCAAACGGCGAAAGTAGGTTTGGCTCCGTCGCGGATTGATCCAGTCGGAGCGTCGGGAATATGAAGGTCAGATTCTTCTGGTCAATAAGATTTGGTCTGCCCAGCCAAGAAGACATTTGCCTGTAGGTCAGTGAGTTTCACAATACTCTATCGTCGTGGTTTGGACTTACCAGTCCCAGATGTAGAGCAGTGTCCAGATTCGCCGCCGAATTTCAATATCAAATTCGGACAGATCCTCGACGTTGGCGTCTCTGTCGATACCTGAATATGTCAATAAGATGGCCATGGAGATGAGGACAGGACCACCTCGTACCTAGCTCTTGTGCTGCTCGGATCGTGGAACTCAGCGTATGCCATGATTCAACGATCTTTGATTCGGACTTTAGCCAAGCACCTTTCAGGAATTGTTCTTGGACACGCTCGATGCATGTGTTCGAAGCCTCGAAACTTTGGCTAAGTTGCTCCGCAGCGGATGCAAAACGGTCAATCAATCCTTGCGAGTCGCATGCCAGCTCAAACTCGGCCATATTCCGCAACGATGAGGGAAGGTATTGCACAGTGTATGCGCAAATTCTTAGTAACAAACATGTAAACTCTGGTGGGAGCCTCTTGCCGTTAGTTCGATCAGTCCACCATTGAACATAGTTGTCGGTGAAAGTTGGTCCGTATATGGCGCTATATCGATAGTTCACAACTCTGAGGAAGTATTTGATGAAACCATCTTTATAAATTAGTACTTGTCGGTTGATGGACGGTGTTTACAAACCAGTGATCGATCTAGGCGGTATGGCGTACATGACTTTGTCGACTTCATAGGAATTTGCTGCGTCAGACGATGCACTCTGTCGTCGGCTCCCCTTTTGAATGTCGTCAGTTCAGGTCGTCACTTTTACGAAACGAACAACTCACATCCTCGACAGTGCCAATCTTGTAATGTATATGTCCAGGCATATATCCCCATACTTTCAGACCATCTTCGGGCTCTTCGCTTTGGCCCGAAGACGCACCCGACGATTCGAATGACTCTTGGCTTTGGAAACTTCTCTTCTGGCCTCGAACCTCGCTCGGTGTCTCACTGACAATTTCGGTGTTATGGCTGCGATCCTGCTGAAACGGGAATTGACTTACTCACCGGATGGACTCTGTTGGCGACTCTTCTTGTGCCTTCTTCACGCCGAACTGACACAGGTGAGCGACCTTGCGTGCCTGACAGTGATTGCAAGGCCACTCGCGGGAGCACTAGTGAGCCGTTAGAACTAGAACAGAATGCAGGGTCTCCTGGAGCTAGACTTTTTGCTTCCGTCGCTGGCATTCTGTGCACGACATTGTCGAGCGACCTTCTTTCTGATATTGCATGTCGTTCAGTATACTCATGGCAGTTGAAGCAGCGCTAAGACATAGGACTATATAACATTAAATTGGTGAGGTCTACGCCGGGGTCGACTAAGCCCCGATATCCTACGCTTGGCAGTGGCGCTGGAAGCCACAACTCAATTTGCCAAGTAGCTTACGTGATCGATCGATGCCACGGACTTGTCACTAACGCTTCCCGCTGCCCAGCCAGGTGGAAAGTCTGGAAGATTGAGTCAGGGGCATCGGCTAGAGTTGTGTGTTACTTTGCGAACAACGGACTTAAGAACTGAGTGATATGATTGGGTGACTCAGGCCAAACCAAGCTCCTGAATAGTTTTGTAACGCCATTGTAATGTGTTGAAGTACACTGAAGTCAGCCTGATCGGACCAACTCAGCGATGAAGGCTATTGAAAAAAAATTGGTGGTATTTTGGCAGCTTAATGAGATGGAGAACCAATTTACCGATAGATTTTTGATGAGATTTCAAATGTTAGAAACTTCTATCTTCGTCATCTATAGATCTGGATAGAAGCATAGATCGGTTTGTTCATAGGTATATTTCTTACCCTGCTGCTTACGCGGCGGAGTTGGTCGATTTGTGGGCTGTGCAGCGTGTGTGCATACATTGTGTCTTCGAAGCGAGCTCTCGATGTCAGCGGAGGTAGGGGATAAGGATTAGAAAAGCGAACTTTAGTGTCTGCTTGATCAGAAGTCGAGTTCTAGAAATTATAGCGTTTTGCGCAATAGCTATAGCTACGGAACGTCATCCGTGAGTGGCAGGAAGTAGATTGACATGTCTGGACCCTGAACACTTGAATCATTTGTGACGGGAAATGCAAGTCTAGAGATCGACAGGCAAATAGGCGACGAGTCATGGTCTGGAAAGTTGAATTACTCAACGATCCATGTGGATCTGCAGTTAAACCCAAGAGATTTTGGGGTCCCAAGGGACAAGATTTAGCATATGTCGATCATTTGGAATATTTGTGCGAGGAAAAGGACGGACGACTTCAAGCGGAACAGTAGGGCAAAAGTTGGGACCGTTGGAAGTAAATAGGGTTCTTTAGCGTCGATTCAGGGTCCCCAAGGCTTGATACCTGTCGATCATTTCCCCACCATGCACGGATCGCGGCTTTCTAGGCCAAACCCAAGGCCGATACTTTGCCGTTGACATCATCTTGATCAGTGTGTAAATTCTATCTTTATCTCGGAGGATGCATAGACGCGACCTGATGACTGCTGCAGTAGGCATCCCGTTGATATCTTCCCGGTTGTACCAAGGCTAAAGGAAGCGCTACAATTAGTTCCGAAAGCCACGACAAGCTTTCCAATTCGCTAGAATTAGAATATGAATACGAGCTGTCCGTGTGGGGCGACAAGCTGGGAAAACTGCGGGATTCATGGTAGAATGAGTGTGGAGGTTACTTTCAGAGTTTGTTTTTGGGCGGACTTGGAGCTGGTCGTTTAATTTCCAAGAAAATTGAGGCATCCAACACCTGTGATTTTCTTTCGCAAATAGGTTGTGTAGTATCTCGTCTTCGCCAATTTCACACGTCATCAAAGCTCTCATGCTGTACTCTGAAGCCGAAGCCCTGCCTTGCAGATACATAGTTCAACATCTAGATACTCGGTGGTATGGTTCTCTTACATGTAGCAATCATGAATCTTGAGCAGTCCATATCTCAAAAACCCAACATTAGCTTGATGGATTTAGTGTCGTGACCGCGAATTGAGGGCTTTTTGACATTGGAACCAGCAGCCACACAACCCTATATCTGGTAGACAGCAAGCCCATGGATCTAGGGGACTTTCTGAACGTATTGGCTTGGGTGAGTAGACCGCGCAAGCATGGTCTTGCTATTCTGAGCCGACAAAACGTTATGTGTGTTAGGGCGATGTTGTACCTGGTTTTCAAACGCCTTAGGGCGACGATTTACTCAACATTCTCACTTTCGATACAGCTAGGCTAGGGGGCTCTTTTTTCTTGCAGGCCGTCATATATGCGTACGTGTTTGGGGGTTGAGTAAATACCAGACGTCCTTGCTTCATCGCAGACCGAAGTCCAAACCTTCCACTCACGACTGTAGCAGCGTGAAAATTGTTCAACCTCTACACTTCGTACCTTAACAGCCAGCCAGGACTCAAAGTAAGTCTGATTCACGTACAAGCAGCATACCGCGCAAGGTTGTAGATGTTACATGAGAACCGTAATCTCGCATATGTATCCGACCGTATTCTCGATCATTCCGGCATCGACCAGCGTCGTACTTAACATCATCGTCGTGCTGGCGTACACAGAGGAGCCAAGCTCGTTCGAGGACTACTATCTGCTTGCTATATATGTATAGACCATTCCCTGTGGTTACATAATTGACATTATATGGTCGCATACCGCCGATGTCAATGAGTATCGTTTAGCTGACTTGTGTTCACTGTGCTTGCAACAGACCCACATGACGGAACTGGCTGCATCACTTGCTCTCCTCGGGTGCATCAATGCTGTTAGTTCGAAAGTATAGTAAACCAATACTGAATGATAAACCAACACATGGATTCATAGTGTCTATCATTAAAAATGTCAATACACCGCCAAGCGCCGCATGTGCAATCATAACATGCAATTTTATAGCACACCAGGAATTGGGCCCTTCTTCTCGTTCGCGCCCAACTCTTCCTCATTCCACCCACTACCGGCGCCAACCTTCCGTCCTCCTCCCTCTCTCTTGACCCTGCACCACAAGCTGATATCCTTGTCCCATACAAATTGCCAGATGACCCACACCCAGCTCTTGTGCTGCGGCAACTCATCGTAAAACTCGTGTGCAATACGGTTCAACGCAGGCAGGCGTGTCCACGGCACGGCGGGGAAGTCGTGGTGCTCGTTGTGCAGGCCGACGTTGTACGTAAAAAAGTTGAGGATTCCGTAGTACGAGTAAGTCTCAGGAACGGCGATCTGGTTCGCAGGGTTTGTCGCATCTTTGATGGGCTTCTCGAAAACGTAGTGCTCGGCGATGAAGTGGCCGGCGCAGGGGTGTAGCGACCCAGCGAGGAAGCTGCTCAAGATGAGGTATGCGAGCGCCTTGCCGCTTGCGAACTGCACGAGCGCGTAGTCGAAGGCGAGCTGTACGACAACGTTGAAGAGATGGATCCTCGTGAGTGGCAGGTTGTAGATGAACATGGGGCGGAGGGCGTAGAAGAGGATCTGGCAGGTGGCGAAGAAAGCCTTGCCAGCGACCGAGTCGAGGAAGAAAGCCTCAAAGGCGGTGGGCAGGTCCGTGTCGAGCCCTTCGACGCCGAGCGACTTGTGATGGGTAAGATGGTAGGGCTGCCACACGTTAGCTTCGTGACTGTGTCCAGGGACGGCAGGCTACACACCCTGAATGAAGCACTGTATGGGATGCCAATAGGCAGATTGGCAAACACAGCAAACACCCTGTTTGCCAGCGGGGACCTGAAGGCCAGATTGTGCGAGATCTCGTGTATAGCAAGGAACAAATTCTGGTTCGCCGTGGCGCCAACGACGTATGCGGTGAGGAAGAACGGCCATGATAAGAAGGGCGTGTTACGAAGGAGGTATGCGCAGAGTATCTGGATAGACACGACGAAGACGACGACGTATTTGGTGAGGGGCTCGGGACCGCAGAGCTTTGTTACCTGCGCAATTGTCAGCTGTGATGCATAGATAACACATCAGACGATACATACCTCTGGATGTGCCTTGATAATGGCCATTCGCCGTGTCCTGTGCGGCTCCTCTGTGTACGTCCAGAAAAAGTGGTCGTGTTCATTGTCGCTCTTCAACACCTCCTGCTTCCCCGCCTTGACGGTGAAGCTCCTGTTTGCGGGCTTCCGCGGCGGGACGGTAGCAGTAGAGACTGAGGACCGCATCTTGGCAATCGGAGGAATTGCGGTGTGGAGTGTGAGGAGAGCTCTGGAGGTGGGACGTGGATTTTGTGAGTGAACTTGACCCTGAGCTTGGCGTCTGAACGGGAAAAGTGGGTCGACGTCGAACCGTCGTGCCATTGTTGGCTGACGACTGACGACCACAACGCCACCGCCACTAGCGCCAGGAACATGCTGGCCAGACTTCGACCATCCATGAGATCAGCGCTCAGAGCGAAATGCTCTGTCGTGTACTACATCACCTCCTCACGTGGAGCACTGTTCTCCCAAACACGTCGTCGTCCTCGACCGTCGGCTGTGCTACCAGCCAATACCCAGCAAGCCACTCCACAACGCGCGTATTGGTTGTATCTCGATTACGTTGCTCTGTGGCAGGCCTACATATCACCGCTCGAGGCCTCTTTGCCCCCTCTGGCGCGTTGACGAGGTCAGCCATAATCTCTCTGTACGGCTCATCTGGCCTGAAGGTGATGAACAGACAGTCATCGGTCATAGTGGCCTGCCAGCCCGACCCGTTGCTAGAAACCGTTGCGGAGATTCTTCCCGAGGTATTGAAATGCCCGTTGAGGTAGGCCTTGTCTGCGTCTGTGTAGTATGAATCTTCGAATGTGACATGGATAGTAGCCCAGGTCCTGCTTTGTCTATCAGCGTCTGCGTGTGTGTTCTGATTGACTCGAGTTGTCTCGGTCTACGACTTACTTTGTTTCCTCGCTGTAACTGCTTTTCCTCATCATCTGTACAATCTCCCAAACCATACGGTGCCGACGGATACTGTGCAACCACTGACCATCTGTCATGTCGTGAAGCGACCCGAGGCCAACCACCAAGACATTCCTCAACTTGACTCCGCACTTCTGCTCAGAGAGTTCTTCGTACCATATGACGGAGCCGAATGAAGTCTGCTCTGGGAATGAGATGCTCGCCCTTGGCACCGGTAAAAAGTTCTGCGCCCATGTCTTCTCGTTCTTGATCCACTCTTCACTCACACTGTAATATCTATGTGCTGGGTTTTTGAAGTCAGGATGTGTACGGGCAAGAGACCTGGAACGTGGGACCCGGCGCCAAAAATCGTAGATCTGAGCTATGAGTTTTCCATCCCACTCCGAGTAGTTGGCGTACTGCACCTCCGTCTGTCCATGAAATGCCCTGAGCATCGTCCACACTGGGTGATCGTTGTTGACTCTTCTGGTGTCATAGAGACGAACATCGCTCATGGTTGCGCCGTACACACTCGCTTTCGAGCCATGAAATTGCAGACGGATTTATTCTGGGTATGAGGCCGAGGAGAAGGTCGCTATCGAGATTTGATGCAGTCGTATCCTTTTCCAAGACGGCGCCTTTCCCATCGTTGTCGAGGGAGCCGCCTTGGATACATAGCGGCCGTGATGTTCAGGTGCTGAGTTGTTTGTGTTTCCATGTCGCGAGGAAATCGGGAAGAACGGATTCGTGCCACAAATTAGCTAAGCATCTTGAACACCAACAAGATGCCCCACAGCTCATAAAATCCACACTCTTCTTCATTCCTCTACATATCGAGATCTCAGCCATGACTCTCCAACAGCTATGTTTCAGTAACTTCGAATCGAAATTGGTATGTAGTTGCATATAAGGTGGTGTGTAGCAATTCCACCGACAAATCGTCCGCTCAAGCAAGCTCGTACTGGTGCAATGACTTAAAACCACGAATAACAATGCAGGTCTTCATGAGCCAATTATAATGCTCGCAACTCACTCCGCCGTACAGTATACAGAACTATCGCGCAATTTCACAAAGATATACTTCACCTCTCGCTCGGTCGAAATACTGCGGAACAAATGTCCTCGAAAGCCGTTCAACACCACCCAACATCAAATAAAGACATTGCTAGCTCTACTTGAAAGACTGAGATATGGTTTTATACCTGTTGTTATAAATTTAATATAAAGTGTCCTGTGACTATCGTATGGTCCGATACGGTTGAGTTTCGAAGTCCTTAGTTCGGGTATTCCGACTGACTGACTGAGAAATTACCCTCTAAAGCTTCGGGTGCACTATCCGCCAATCATATACCGCCGGTATGTCGGTGTTGATCTGATCTCCTATACTTCAACCTTCCAACCTCTGAGCTTACTCTCCGCAACAATTGGTGCGATATGACGTGCTCTAAATAGTGTAACGTACAGGGCGTTGAATACCGGTGGAAGAGATGGCGAAGCGGTAATTCAAAAAAAGAAACATAAGCCAATACATTGTAGGCAAGGTTGGTTTGATGCGTGTCGATGGGTTAAGTCGATCGGATCCACAATTTATCCACTTCATATCTTTATGAAGGAAAGTAATAGTCACATAGTGAACCAGCCTTATGCAGTATAAACAACGATGTCTCACCTTGAACCTTATTCGTCCACCTTCTCGGCCTGTCAAGGCGATGATTCAATCCCTCTATTTCCGGTGAATGACTTCCAGGGCATTGAGTGAGGTAGCACAATCTATGCTCCAACATAAAAAGACCTAGTACGCGAATGAACCCTGTTCAAGAGTGCATGCGTCAATCTACGGTTGGTGAGGGAAGTGGGTATCCTGTGAACACATCCTGCTTGGTGACTAGACAGGGACGGCTCCGATTCATCAGAAGAACATGCATAGCTAAGCGACACGCAAGGCTTGATGTCGCCTATCCTTTTGGGAAGCCTTCGCGGATACGCCGCGCATCTGACAGCGTCTGACACCTATCTAGCTCGAAGCAAGAAGCAATTTAGGTAGTGATAGTCAATCGAATCTTGAGATCTACCAAAGTCAGACACCAGTATCAAGAAACTTTATGCTGCCAAGAGCAACACAGCATGTATACCTTGTACCCGTTCATGTACCTTCGCCGGGCCTTTCGATCTCTGATGGATATCCAAACACCAGCCCGTTTTGATTAAGTGCCGAGAGGCAATTGTATTAATGGCGTCATACCAGAATGGTACGTATCCCTGTGTTCGCCTAGGATCTGTAACGTTGTACGGATTAGCGTAAGAGGAGCAGCCTCCTCGGACAGTCTGTATGGCTGACCCGACTAAGCTCGAGTCTGGTTAGCTGGAACACGTGGGGCCTAAAAATCCCATCTCTGCTCGACGATGCTTCCGCGGAAGACCAAAACAGTATGTTGCTCGTGCAGGGCACAAGTAGAAACTCGGTTACTTGGCAAGTGTGATGGATGGCGAGATGGGCAAAGGATAGTGTGACTGTCCACACCACCCAGTTGCAAGGCATTGCTCCACAAGAAGCACATGGTTTACTGCAAGTAGAGGAGGAATCGTTGAGCTGGCTGGAATGTTTGACCGAACATCGACCATGTCTGGCATATCGATCCGAACAAGCTCACCAGACATATACTAGCCTCAAGATTCTTCACTGCGCTAGCCAAATCACCGTGGTGTCCACACCCCTTAGCTAAACGTTGTATATGTCCCTACGTCTTTCGTTGTGCTGGGACAGGATATCCACTTTCTTGTAACTTCCCAGGCTGTACAGCAGTAGCTAAGAAACACGATCTCATGGCGTCGCCAGCAGAGGCTGTGCTTGTCGAGCTCCCCCTCGCCATTCCATTCGAGGCCTCCCTACCAACGTTAGATGCCATAGTCGCACCACAGTTTGCCAAGCAAGCCGGCTGTCTATGCCTCAAAATAGGTATGATAGTTATCAACATCAGTGTATATGTCTCTTGCTGACGTACCCAGGGCGCAAACTGGAAGTCGACCCTGAGGGGCACTGGGCCATGATTCTTATCATATGGGAGTGTGCTGAATCTCGCGAGCGTTTCCTTGAAACTGCAGACGTGCAACGACTTGATGAAACAATCCCTGGGTTGATTCGTGGCTTGATGACGGTCACTCGCTATCAGTTCATCCCTGGAGACGAACTTGTGGACTACATTCCCTACACCCAATTCCGAAAGTATCAGATCCATGCCATATCGTCTACGACGAAGCCGCTGGATTCGTGGTTAGAGCAGGCTACAGGGTCAAACTTACTGTCGGCTTGTGTGGAAGAATGCCAGAAGAATGTAGGGCGCAAGATATGCAAACCTGACTGTTTCCATACAGCTGAAGGGTTGATCTTGGTGGCGCTTTGCGGGTTGAGTGCCGAGTCAGTCCGCGAGAGGCCGGTGCTTTCCGCCGAAGCAGAGCTGCGCACAATGTTCACCGTGGAATGGGTCAGTTCCAACAGTACAAGGGCGTCTGATAAATGGATTAGTCCCATCGAGCAAGAATCCTCGACAATCAAGTCGAGATCATTCTGGGACACAGTGTTGACTGACAACATGCAAGGCATTTGACACAAACACTCCTCAATGCTGCTCTCCTCTACGAACCAAGGTGCTGTGTTCAAGTGATCACCAATGTCGACTGCGTATGGATGTCGTGTGATGGTTGTGCACAAAGTATATTTGCGCTCATCTCCGAGCGACAATAACTTGCTTGTCTTTGATCGAGATGAGTTATGCAGTGCTGCCCGATGTGGCTGTTACATATCTGAACGCGTCCGCTATGTCATACATCTGCTGAACGTATGAATTGCGGGAAGTGGAGATGAGACGGTCATGAGAGACAGACGCGACGTAGCGCGACATGCTCTTGGCATGACCTCACTTGATTGCACAACCGCGACGCATCTTTGTCCATTTCCACTTTTACGCATCCACACCTTACACTTAGAACCAAGGCGGAGTCAGACCTGAGACCGGGGCTCAAGCTAGGTTTAGTCTGGCATTCACACATGGTGTCGTATGCAGGGCGGGGATAGCGCTATGCACACAGGTAAACCAGTAATGGGTGATGGGGTTACTTCCCTTCACCACTCCACGAACAGCCACCTCTTCTCAGGTATCTTAATCCATGTCTCTGGCTGAATACCACGCGCGTCTACCGTCTCCGACGCACATCGCTTGATCGTCTCATCACGCCTTTCTCATTGCCTTTTATCTCCACGACTACATGCGATGGTTAAGATAGTCACGAACTCGAGACGAGAGAGCCAAGCAAAATCTACACGAGACAATGTCACTTAATTGGTAGGGGCAGCGAAAACTCGAGGTGAAGTTTGATCCAGGACATCATGTTGAACGAAAGTGGTAGTGAGGGCCGGAATCATGCCATTTTCCATCCCTCTCTAACTTCTTTGGTCTCAACTCCAGTCCTCCTTCGTGATCCCTCAATCAGCTTACCGCCTTCGCCAAAAGCAAGATGACTAACTGCAACACCACAGGCGCTTCTAGACGCATGTCTCGAGCCAGTTCGCCCACTCTATCCGACGTGTCCGTATTCTCAGTATTCTCGAGATCTCCAAGTCCAGTGCCCGACTATGAGACGCTCCTTCTTCGACCGCAGCATGCGAAGGTCGTTGGTGGTTTCGGGGTAGCTTCTGAGACACTCCGGGGTACAGATGGACGCTCTGCCTCGCGCATTCCTAAGAGAGCCCGTTCTCCGGTAGCAGAGATGTTAGTATAATCCCAAGCATGAGAAGAGCAGCAGGTTGATGGTGTTAAGGTCGCCCAAGAAGCTGCGAATTGGTCCGCCGCACCATTCTTACAGTCCACAGAGCCCGAAGAGCCCGAAGAGCCCAAGAACTCCTGGGAACCGTCGTAAGTAGGCAGGTGCAGTACGAGTTCCTCCAATACGCGAGCCGACGAGTCTAACACCGTAAGTCGCAGGAGAAGATGGCTATGGTACGCTGGAGGTGCTGCCAAAAGAGATACGTCAAGCGATCTATGGTCATGCATTTGATATCGACCTTCCAGTTACAGTCAGGAATTGCTGCGGACTTGGCACAACCAAGCGGGAGCAGGACGCTTGCAAGAAACACGGTCTTGGAACCATTCCGCGAACTGGCAGATTCAACATCCTACAGGTGTCGAATGCGATCAAAGAGGAGGCGTCGTGGGTGCTCTTCAATCAAAGCTCCATCCTCATCAACGCGAACGATTCAATCACACCGTACCTAGCCGGCTATCGTTCACCAAGCCTTCTTCAGCTATCGACCTCCATGCAGCACGATCAGCGCATAGTGGAAATGTGGATGTCAGTCACAAAGTTCAAATTCGTCCACATCCAGATCCTAGAGAAGCAGCTGAGGTGGGAAGACCCGGGGGTATTCCTCACCACTCTAACCGACACCGTATCCCTACTCTGCAGTACCTGAGCCCAGCACCCTCCTTCATCGCTGACCCCCCACTTCGTCACGATCAACCTTATCACCCTATTCAGCGAGATATTCCCCTTCAACACTGGAGATATAGCATTGACTAAACGCGCTGAAGAAATCTACCGGAGGCGCGGCACCGTTCGCCATGTGAGTATGACGGATTGGAAGAAGATGAGGTCGGACAGCATCTTCCATCTGAAGCGCTTGGTGGCGACTGTGGGCAAGTACGGCGGCCTGCCGCGATGGGTGTTCCTTGCGCACACGTATCTCGACGAGGAAGATGAGCACAGGGGCGGCGCGGCGCAGTTGCACGCTTTCCAGCGTGACTGCGCGGAGAACGGGCTGGCGTTTGAGAGCAGTGGTTGAGTGGAGTTGTTCACTCCACCTGGATTTCTCGGCGTCGGGGCGCGAGTATACCCATCCTCGACACACGGAGTGCAGAAGGTGCCTTTCAGAGCTGGGGCTTCTGCAATGCTTATGCTGATATCATATGGCGTCTACCGATCGTCGCTCAACCAGCACACTCGAGCGAGCGCCTTGCCCACAGCCTCAATCCCACCTCAAATCCCACCTCAACCTCAACCTCAACCCAACCCAACCCAACGTTAAGACGCACATCCCCATCCCCATTCCCATCCGCCACACTCCAGTCTCCGCAAGTATCTAAAACAGGACGGAATCTACAAACTATATGTTTCCCCATTCCATCACAAGCCCATATCCCCAGTTTATGCAGTGAGTTGAGAGGGCTGTGACGACGTGATATGCAGACTACTACAGGCAGTGCAACATGGTACTTTCCGCTGTCTTGCTTCGCTTCACTTCACTTTACATTCAATGCACCAAGCACACTGTACACTGTAAAGGAGTAATACTAAAAAAACAAAAAAAAGCATCTTCATTCGGGTATAACCACACTGCACACTGCACAACTACTCTAACTCCAGGCTTGACAAACAACCAAACTCACTCCCTCTCGCGTCAAAATTACACACCCCCCCCTAATCATACAAGTTCTCCACCCCCACCCCCAAGAAAAAAGGATCAAGCCGCAACCCTCGCCTTCCCCTTATCGAGCGGCACACCACTACTCAGCACCTCCTCCTCGCCATCACTCGCCTCCCTCGTCCAATCCAGACTCTGCCTACTGATCTTCGCGGGGGCGAGTTGATCCCTCGGGCTCGCGAGCGGACTAGTAGGATTCGCGCGCATACTGCTGATACTCTCTGTGCGGCCGTGTCCGAGGAGGCCGCTGCGGACGCTGAGGCCGTCAGCATTAGTGTTCTGCTTAGCGGCGTAGTAGCTGTTGCGCTCGCTGGAGAGGACGGGGGCGGTGACGCCCGAGGCGGAGTAGAGGCTTACGCGCTCTGGGTTGGGGAAGCCGGATGGGCGGGTGGAGGGGGAGTAGATTGCGTCTGCGGTTGCGGAGAGGATGCTGAGGGGGAGGGATTCGCGGCTTCCGCCGTATTGGGAGGAGGGGGCTAGGGCGCGGACCGAGGCGTTTGTGTCTGCGGAGTTGCGGCGGCGGCGCTTGGAGGACGAGGCGAGGGTTAGGATGGAGGCGTTGTCTGTGAGGATGTTGTTTGCTGTGGCGCCCTGGTAGGAGTGTGGTTGTTGATGGGGCGCGAGGTGGGGGGGGATGGCTGAGGGGGGCGGTGAGGTGGGGAACTGGTGGGAGAAGTGCACGGGTGGTGCTGTTGACGGGGTGGGCTGGGGCTGGGCGGCGGCGAGGATATTCGACGGGGCCGTGGACTGGATAGTGGTCAGGGTGGTGGTGAGCGAGTGCTCCGAGGCGTTGGGCGACGAGAAGGTGCTGTTGCCGCCGACAAAGTTGCTGCCCGTGTCGGCCTTGGAGCGCATCGAGTGGACGGTCTCGGGGACGGTCGCGACTGTGGGGGCTGTCGACTTTGCGCGGTTCTGCTCGGTGCGGCACCCCTCGGCCGAGGTGAGGCTCTCGTGCGAGTGCGGCGTGTTGGTGGTGGAGACGGAGTGGCGGGCGGGGGTGCTGTTGGTCGCGTAGGCCGACTCGGGGTAGGGGTAGTTCTTCGCGGCGGCCTTCTTCGCCTTGGCCTCGAGGGCGCTGCTGCTCTTCTTGCCGGAGCCGCTGGGCGAGTCGGACGACGAGGGCTTGAGGTTGGCGAGGCGCTTCATCCAGCCGGCAAAGGGGCGCTTGCGCGTGTGGCGGTCTGGCGAGGTACGCATTAGCGGGTGCAGTGAAGGGTGTGGATGGGCATGCGCAGATGGGGGAGAGAGTGGGTGGGAACGGGGACATGCGCAGATGGGGGGAGTGGCTGTGCCGGGACGTACCAAGCGTCCGCGATGTCGTCTCGGTGGCCATGTTGGTGCGAGTGGGTGGGCGGGAATGCGCAATGGCACGGCTTCAGGCTGCACTGGGGGCGTCGTGTGGAAGGGACGCTGCCGTCGAGGGACAGGGACGTGCTGGGGATGGAATGGACAGGGTGGCTGGCGCAGGCGACGTTGGGTTGGGTGCCGTCTCACGCGGGATGCAGGCAATGGGTGATGGATGTGGGTGTGGGCGTGGGTGTGGTATAGGAGAGGTCGGCGCAAGCGGAGGGCACGTCGCGTTGGGCAGTGGTGCGGACACGAGACGGACGGGACGGCGTGGGTTGTTCGTCGAGCGCTCAATTCCCCGGTTGGCTGGACCCTTTGTTCTGCGCTGTCCGGGGAGCCGCCAAGCATGACGCGCCTGTGCCTGCGCCTGCCTGCCGCCAGAACGTGCGTCGTGCATGCTTGGGATCGTCGCGGAGAGTGAGAACAAGCCCGTCTCGGAATCATGGCGGCCTTTCTCGACGCCGGCGGCGGATAACAGCTTCACCACGTCATGGCCAGCCCCAGCAACGACACGGCCGTCGACGAGCAGAGACGCATCCTGCCCCTGCCGCCAGACGTCGTCGCCCAGATCAAGTCATCCACGGCCATCGTGTCGCTCTCGGGCGTCGTGCTCGAGCTGCTGAAGAACGCCCTCGACGCCCGGGCGGCCAAGATCGAGGCAACCGTCGACTTTGCGCGCGGAGGCTGCACCGTCGACGACGATGGCCTGGGCATCTCCCCCCGCGACTTCAGTGACGCGGGAGGCCTGGGGAAGCTCTACTGTACGTCCACCACCCGGTCACATGCCAATGCATACCAACCCTCGCAGGCACATCCAAGCACGACGCCCACGAGCCTCTCCTCGGCCGCAATGGCACCTTCCTCGCCTCTCTCGCCGCCATGTCCCTCCTGACCATCACCTCGCGCCATGTCCAGCATCGCTCGCAGAACACCATGACACTGCACCATGCCCAGGTGCTGGAGAGACAGCTGCCTGCCTCGTCCACGCACCAAGTCCACACCAACCACGGCACGCGAGTGACTGTGCGTAATCTGTTCGGCAACATGCCTGTGCGCGTCAAGCAGCGGTCGGTGGTGCTGCAGCAAAAGGCAGAGAGTGATCGGCTCTGGGACAGTTTGAAGAGAGAAGTCGTTGGTCTTCTGCTCGCTTGGCAGGGCCTGGTGAACTTGCGAGTTCGAGACGAGAATAACAGGCTGCTCTTCAATTTCAACACATCCAACACTCAGCCTCCAGACCAAACAAAGTCTCGCTCTGCGCACCTGTCTTCATTGCTCAATCTTCTAACTCAAGCCGAGTACATATCCATCCATGACTGGGCCCTATGGGTGCCCGTGTCAGCCTCGACGTCTACTGTTTCCATCCAAGGCGCCTTCTCTCGTGACCCAGCCCCTAGCAAGCACACGCAGTTCATCTCGCTCGGCATCCAACCTTTGTCTCCTGATGCAGGACACAACCAGCTTTATGATGAGATAAATCACTTGTTCGCTCTCTCCAGCTTTGGCACTGTCGAGGACGACGCTGACGTCGACGAGTTGGAGAAGATTCGACGGCGGTCTGACAAGCGCTTCAAGAACGACGACTACACTAACCGGCAACTCAAGGCACGGAAAGGCGTTGATAGGTACCCCATGTTTCACTTGCGCATTACACTCAAAGACGTGAGGAAGTCAAAGCTCTCCGAGGAGCGGCTCATGAATGGTGAAACCAACCTCCAAGCTGTCATAGGTGTTTTGAGCGCCATGGTGACGCAGTGGCTGTCGGTACACCATCTCCGTCCAAGGAAGCCACGCACAAAGCAAAGTCGGTTTGCTACTGCATCGTCTTTGGGTGAGTCGAATGGAGGTGAGAGTGGAGTAACTCCTGGAAGCCAGACATTGCCACCAAATCCAGTGATGAACCGAGGCTATACCAAACCAAGCACACCAGACTCCAGTTCCGTAGGAGGAGATTCTCGCAAGAGAAAGCGGTCGGCACTGGTGGCAATGGACAATCCACCGGAGAAGGCCCAACGTCGAGCGTTTGCGGAATGGTCGCGCATCAAAAGTGGCAAATCCGACTTCTTCAATAATGTGTCCGTCCAGCACAAGTCTGTCCTCAAAGATCGTCCGCAGACGGTGACCAATAGTGAGGCTGGACTGGAACCTGTTCAGAGCTTCGCAAAATTCCATCAAGAGCCACTACTTCCAGGCTCCTTGAGTGCTGGGTCAGCTCTTAAAGCGCCTTTCAAGACAGTAGATACTGTGAATGATGCCTCCGAGGAGACGATCTTATGGACAGATCCGTCAACCAAAAAGACGCATGCACTGAATGCTCGGACAGGCTGTGTGATGCCACAGGCACAATCGAGGCCCAATACCCACTCCGGCGCTTCAATGTTTGCAGCTGCACCTCAAGTCATGCCCCAATCACTGCGGCTTACAGCAAAGCCCGCTACAGCAGAAACAAAGAAGACTCCATGGTTGAATGGCCTGCTGCGATCGTGGGACAACCCAGTGTTCAAGCCGAGTGAAAGACGTATTCAGCAAGTGTCCCTGCAAGAGCCAGAACATAACCAAGGACATTCCCACTGCTCACGTATCGACGTCGAGAAAGCATTCAACGAAGCTTCAGCAACGGGATCCAGCAGACTATCGAGAGAAGGGCTACAGGGTGCGGAGGTTCTCACGCAGCTAGACAAAAAGTTCATCTTCATCAAGATGCGGAGTTCAACAGATGCGACGGCTGACCTACTGGTCTTGATTGACCAGCATGCAGCTGACGAACGCATCCAAGTTGAGTGTCTCCTAAAAGAGCTCTGTACACCTTCAGCAAAAGACTATCCTCAATCGGGGTACCAGTCGAAGCTTGGTCATACATCTCGTGTCGCCTTCACCAGTCTCGACAAGCCAGTACAATTCACCATCTCCTCACAAGAACGAACACACTTTACAACGCACGCCGCAAGGTTTGCAGCCTGGGGTATTTTATTTGACATTCTCGGAACGACACGTCCAACTGAGACGCTCGAGACTTCGACAAAGAGCCAATATGTGTTGTCCGTGACGACGCTGCCGCCTGGAATTGCCCAACGCTGCCGAGCAGATGCCCAGGTCTTGGTGTCGTTTTTACGCTCCACAGTCTGGACTTATGCCGAGACTCTGCATCTGCCTGCCCTGGTCCCATTCAGCACTGACGATGACCCATCAACATGGGTCAGGAGATTGGCGACATGTCCACAGGGGCTTGTCGACTTGGTCAATTCGCGCGCCTGTCGCTCGGCGATCATGTTCAATGACGAACTCAGTCTTGGCCAGTGTGAAGACTTGGTGCAGAAGCTGGCCCGATGTGTATTCCCATTCATGTGCGCGCATGGACGGCCGAGCATGGTGCCACTCGTGGATCTCGGTCGTGTTGGTTGGGGTGGCCATGCTGTAGACGGCGAGCAAGCCAGCAATAACGACGGGTTCGTTCGGGCTTGGAAGAGATGGAAGGGGTAAATACTGCAATGCCAAGCATTTCCCCTAAATGCTTGTGCTACGTCAAGCTTCCCATCGGCCCTAATGCACGACCGGAACATTTCCCCACGTTCACTCTCGAGAATCTGGGGGGCGGCTCGGCGATTGGCGGAAACTGCAACGAACCACCAATCATGATTCCTTGCCTGCCCGGTTTTTCCCCCGCAAACTCGCGTTGCGAAGCTACCGTTTTAATTCCGGGGTACGCCACTGCTGAACTGCGTGTCCGGATCAGACCTAGATGCGGAACAATTGCACGTTATGAAGAGCCGGCCCGTCAGTGTTACAGCCAAGGGGCGAACAGGGGGAGTATAAAGTCTAGCAATCTCCGAGAACGGACCAGATTAAGGCATTGGAATAGTCGTTTGTAAGTATATGCAGTAAACATGCTCAGGGGGCGAGACGATCCTTCGAGCAGGAAAGATATAAATTTGAACCTTGCTAATATCTGCCCCAGACTGTGAACGTCTCACTTCAACTACCATCATGACGGGATTCCACCGTCTCCTCGCTCTCGCCTGCCTCTTCTACGTTGCTATTGCTGGCCCTGCAGTCCGGCGTGACCCCCTGGCCATCAACACCTCCATCAGCCTCGCACGCAGCAAAAAGCAAACCAGCCCATCCAAAGGCTCCCTCGTTGTCGACGCCTCAGGCCAACACGCAAACAGCTACACCACCATCAGCGCCGCCGTCCTAGCCCTGCAGCCCAACACCACAACCCCGCAATCAATCTTCATCTACCCGGGCACCTACAACGAACAAGTCTACATCGGCCCCCTCACCAGCCTCCTAACAATCCAAGGCTACACCCCAAACACCTACGCCTACACCTCCAACCTCGTCTCCCTAACCTACAACCTCTCGCGCAACACCCCGGGCCTCGCTAACAACGATGCAACCTCCACCCTCCGCCTCTGGTCCCCAAACACCAAAATCTACAACCTAAACATCACAAACTCGTTCGGCCAAGCAGCCAAAAACGGTCAGGCCCTCGCCCTCAGCGCTCAGGCCTCAAACCAATCCTTCTACGCCTGCGCCTTCGCCGGCTACCAAGACACCATCTACGCAAACGAAGGCCGCCAGCTCTACGCACGCTCCTACATCGCCGGCGCAGTAGATTTCATCTTCGGCCTGCGTGCGCGCGCCTGGTTCCACGCCGCCGACATTTCCGTCGTAGGCACCGGGTTCATCACAGCGAATGGCCGCGACGCCGCGAACAACACATCGTTCTACGTCTTCAACGAGGCGCGCGTCACAGGCGCGACGCCAAATTCTACCGTCCTCGGCAGGCCGTGGCGCACCTTCTCCCGCGTGGTGTTCCAGCGCAGTTTTCTGGGCGATGTGGTCAAGGCTGTGGGCTGGGAGAGGTGGGATGATGTGCAGAGTACGGATGATGTGTACTATGGGGAGTACAAGAATTATGGCCCCGGTGCGGCGGGGGCAGGCGTGAGGGCAAACTTTTCTAGACAGTTGACGCAGAGGGTCAGTGAGGAGGAGGTGCTGGGTGAGGGGTTCAGGGCGGAGGCGTGGGTCGATACGGCGTTTTTGACGTGATTGGGATGAGGATGGTGGGGGAGGGGGGAAAGGGGAGTGATACACATGTCGGTGTGTCTGTTTGTATTTTTATCTGAACATATAATTTTGCAGGTTCCAAGTAAAACATGTCTGGGGAGAAAATTTTGTTTGCTCTCGCTGTCTCACTTTTGGCTCTGGCTTATCATTTCATTCAATTCTACTACCAATCTGTCCCTAACTGTCTACTCAACGCGGAGGAACCGGACACTGCGGAAGTTTTGTTTATGCAGTGGATATTTGTGTTGCGTGGCTTGCATCGGCACTATCTCCGACACTTGACAACTGACAACTGACAACATGCCAGCCTGTAGATCACTCAACCACATCAACAACACGGACACGCATACACTTTCATGAATTGTAAAATTCGAACAGTTCATTATTGGCTAATGTTACATGTCATAGAGCAAGCCTCACAGTGGGCTCGTCATGTTTTGTGTATCTTTCCACATCATGATCGAAGAACTCAATCTTTGCCTTCGAGAAAAACTTCCAAACTCCTTCACCAGCCACTAGCGAGATATTTACTCGAAGGGGTTGGTGCGGGTTCCCCAGTAGGTGAGGAACAAGCTGAGGCCAACGGTCTCGAGAACACGGGCAACACCGCCAACGAGGATGGTGTCAAGAGGGCGCTTCTCGGTGAGGACCTGGGAGACGATCTGGAACATATTAGTACGGATGTTTCAGATAGGTCTCATGAAGATGACGTACCGAGGGGGCAGCGGAAGCGAAGAAGATCAAGGAGCCGAGGTAAGCAGCGCCCTTGTAGGTGAGGGTGCCGGTGGCGTTGATGAGAGCACCAACACCGTAGGTCTGGACGGCAGAGCCGACGATGGAGCTTCCCCACGAGGCGGCAGCGGTGGCGGCCTCCTTGGAGTTGAAGTACTCCTCCTTGGAGTTGGCCTGCTGTGCGCGACGGTACGCGTCACCGAAGACGGGGCCGAGGACAGCGAGGGAGATGGCGTGGTTGAAGGCCGTGCCGAGGGCAATGGCAGAGGGCTTAACGGAGGGGAGGTCTACACAGATGACGAATTAGCAATTGATACATGAAAGTAAATATGCAAGAATTTCATCGTATGAGGCGGGGTTCATCGACTGCATCACTCGCGGCGCAACAGACGGTAGACATACAGCTGAGAGACATTGTGGATGTGGTTGGAGATGACTTTTAGGGGTGATGAAGTCGAATTGTTGGCTGGATGAGAAGAGTAGGAGGACCAGGGACAAAGGTCGCTTTTGTACTGGGAACGCACGCAATAGCCTCACACCTGACATGTACGTGACGTCAGGCTTGGCGTGCTAGCGCAGCACAATCGCGTGGAGAAATCCAGTTCCAGCCACGCGCATCATGGCAAAACAGATGGATTTTGCCTTGGATCCGTCTGGACGCACACGGCATCCCCGTGTGATGAAATTGCATGGATTGGCATGCCGCGCGTGAAGACTCTGCCCCATTGATGTTCAGGTACCGGTACGTCACTCGTCGAGTGTGCCAAATCCTCCAAAAGAGCATGCGGTTAGCGCTCACCTCTTCCACGTGAGTGCGAATACGAATCTCAGGAGAGACGGGATCGGGTGGGGTTGAAGACAATACCCTATGCACATTGTCGTCCGCACCGAAGCTCAACCCGAGCAATCCACGGCGAGCCAGCAAGTACACTCGTGGTTGCAGTGGTCGGACCTATCAATCACTTCATAGTCGACAGGCCCCACTAGAATGATTGTCCCCAGGAAAGCCTTTGGGACGTTGGTGCTGGTGTTGTTACTGTCTTGCTTCGTGATCTTCTCCCAACAATGGCAAGGCATGCTGTTTGGGAACCCTGGACCAATTGTCCCATACACCACGCATATCGTTCTGTTCCAGTTCAAGGACGGCACCAGTCCGATCGCTATCAAGGAGGTGAGAGTTTCAGACTCGTCATAGGTAGTCTTACTGAGAGATATCGTCAGATTGCCTCCAAGTTCATTGCCTTGAAAAGGTCGTGCATTCATCCTAGTACACAGAGACCGTACATATTCTCGCTGTCAGGTGGGAAAGACATTTCAATTGAGAAACTGCAGGTAACGTGATGCCGTACCAATATTAGTGTTCGACGTTGACATGGATGTAGAATGGGATAAGCCACGCTTTTGTCCTGCAGTTCTACTCAAACGCAGACCGAGACTACTATGTGAATGAGGATCCGGTCCACCAAACCTTCAAAGAGGCTGCTGGTGCGGTGGTCCAGCAGACGTTGGTCGTTGATTACCAGGACGGCGTATTCACAGAAGCGGGATAGGACATGGAGAGAATCACTCTCGCCGGTATATACATATACTATACGCTCAAGTTATTCCAACATTTTGATCGCCGGTTACTTTGCAGCAATTGTGCCAATCAATGTGACAATAGTCACCCCATTGTCAACTAAGTTCTCGGTTAGTCGAAATGCTAGAGACCAAGGTGCAACGACTTGACAACTACATCTAGGATCAGTGTGGGAGCCTTGAGCCTAAGTTTGTAGCAGTATACGTTCGGCATACGATTTATGTAATCTCTTAATGATGAGGTCTTGCGACTATTGAGAGCCACAAACATCACGGTTTACCTCTCGCTTTTATACTTGACCCAGAGCCAAAATCAACCGGTTTCTTCACACAACATAAAGCAATCCACTGCAGGAGATGTTGCTCAAGTAGTGGGGACAGGGTTCGTTGGAGATAGATTGCGATTGCTTGGAGGTACGCCATGTCTTTTATTGGGCTCAAAGTAGAATGCTCAGGCACCAATGTAAGAAGGCAACAAAGTACAACTGGTATGTAAACATTGTATAATACATATTTCAGTACATCCTTACACCGGTGCTGGTGCCACCCCCTTCGCAACCTCGGCCCTTGTTATCTCATTTTCCGTTATGCGGGCTTTCGTAGGCTTCTTTGCCTCCACCTTCTGCTCCTTGATCCACGTTGGGGTCTTATTGGGGTGTTCGTAAAAGCCAACCTCCTCTTTGTATTGCATCTCCCTCCTGAGCCATTCTGTGGGATACACTGTTCTGGGTGCGGCAAGTGCCCTGTCGTCGAGGCCATCCTGCTTCTCGATCCTCATCCGCTTGATCATGTCCCGTAGTTCATTTACACCGTCTTCGCGGAATCTTATGGCTTTATTGATATTGCGTGCTTCTGCATTGCTCGGTTCCTGGCGTGGTTCCCGGTTTGCTAGTATCTTCGCAGTCAAGGCAAAGCGCATGTCTTTCGGGCCGTCGACGAATTCGAGGAGGGCGGATTCTGCCTGGTCTTCCTTCATGGGCTCGATGCGGAGAACACGGGTGTAGCCGCCTGGCCGGCTCGCATAGCGCTCTCTTATGGGCCCGAAGAGCTTGGGAACCATCTCGTTCGGTTCCTGGCAACCATCAGTATGCTGCTGGCGCAGAGGCGAGGGAATGCCCTACGAAGAATATTTGCTGCGCTCTCCGCCGCGACGCTTCTGTGTTCTTCTTTCCCAGTGTGACCAGCTTCTCAGCCAACCGCTGCGCTTCCTTTGCCTTGTGCCATGTCGTCGCTATCGATTCGTGCTTGAAGAGTGATGTGACGAGGTTGCGCAGGAGGGCTTGTCGATGCGATGACGACCGAGAGAGATGACGGTATTTCATGTGTCCGCCCGCCATGCCGGGCAATTGATGCTGGTAGAGACTGGTTGGTGGGGTACAAAGGCGCGGAGGACTCCCGACTGCATTGCTCGCATGGCCGATTCGATGTTCTCGAAAAGCCCGGACGTCGGCGCCTGTTTCACCGACGCGCCCACCTCTTCACGTGACGATGTGCTCTCTAGCGCGACTGACAAAGCAATTGCACGCGTTGCCAGGGTGTTACCATCGCGAACCCAGCGCGTCACAGACTATTTTCCTTAAGAGCCCTGCTATCCTGCCCCTCGCTGCTCTTGCACTCGCACACTCTCCACCCACTGCTCTGATACCCCTACAACTCAATACACATCATAATACCTCTGCTCGCTCACTATGTTTGTCTTTAAACGTGGTATGTAAAGCCTTCCCAAGTCTTGACACATGTCGTCTAACAGGACTTGCCAGATGGACGCAAGGAACGCGTGCAGTTCGACAAGATCACAGCACGTGTGTCGAGGCTATGTTACGGCCTCGACCCCGACCATGTCGACCCTGCTGCTATCACAATGAAGGTCATCTCTGGCGTGTACCAGGGCGTGACGACAGTTCAATTAGACGACCTGGTATGTCCCAACCCGTCCCACACCCCTTCTAAGTACTCACAATACCCAGGCCGCTGAGACGGCAGCATACATGACCACGACACATCCCGACTACGCCATTCTCGCTGCACGTATCGCCGTAGCAAATCTCCACAAGCAGACCAAGAAGAAGTTTTCGGCTGTCATATCAGATCTCTACACCTACGTCAACCCCAAGAACGGCACGAGCCAACCCATGATATCTCAGCCAGTGCACGACTTTGTACAGGCCCACGCCGAGGAGCTCAACTCGGCCATCGTCTACGACCGCGACTTCAACTACCAGTTTTTCGGTTTCAAGACCCTCGAGCGCTCATACCTCCTCCGCATCAACGGCAAGGTGGCCGAACGCCCACAACACATGTTGATGCGTGTTGCTGTTGGCATCCACGGTGAGGACATCGAAAAGGCGATCGAGACATACGACTACATGTCGCAAAAGTACTTCACACACGCGTCTCCCACACTGTTCAACGCAGGGACACCGTCTCCGCAGATGTCGTCCTGCTTCCTCATCGACATGAAGGAGGACAGCATTGACGGCATCTACGACACCCTGAAGACATGTGCTTTGATCTCCAAGACTGCTGGCGGTATTGGTCTCAACGTGCACCGTATCCGTGCCACGGGCGCATACATCGGTGGAACGAACGGAACATCCAACGGTCTCATCCCCATGCTCCGCGTCTACAACAACACCGCCCGCTACGTCGACCAGGGTGGTAACAAGCGTCCAGGTGCCTTCGCCATCTACCTGGAGCCATGGCACGCCGATGTTTTTGGCTTCCTTGACCTGCGAAAGAACCACGGCAAAGAAGAAGTCCGCGCCCGCGACCTTTTCTATGCCCTGTGGATTCCTGATCTCTTTATGAAGCGCGTCCAAGAGAACGGCGAATGGACTCTGATGTGCCCCAACGAGTGCCCCGGCCTTGCTGACGTCTACGGCGACGAATTCGAGGAGCTTTACCACAAGTACGAGAAAGCGGGCAAAGGACGTGAGACAATACGTGCTCAGAAGCTCTGGTATGCCATTCTTGAGGCCCAGACTGAGACTGGCAACCCCTTCATGCTCTACAAGGATGCCTGCAACAGGAAGAGCAACCAGAAGAACCTCGGTACCATCCGAAGCTCGAATCTGTGCACGGAGATCGTCGAATACACTGCTCCTGACGAGGTTGCCGTATGCAACCTAGCCTCCCTTGCTCTTCCATCCTACGTGGACTACAAGCGAGGCGAATTCGACTTCAAGAAACTCCATGAGGTTGTTCAGGTCGTCACACGCAACCTGAACAAGATCATCGAGGTCAACCACTATCCCGTCGAGGAGGCTCGCCGAAGCAACTTCCGTCACAGGCCCATCGGTCTTGGTGTGCAAGGTCTTGCTGATACATTCCTTGCCCTTCGCTTGCCCTTCGAGTCCCCAGAAGCCAAGAAGCTCAACATTCAAATCTTCGAGACCATCTATCATGGTGCTCTCACGTCGTCATGCGACATTGCCAAGGAGCTTGGTCCTTATGCTACATACGAAGGCTCGCCGGTCTCGCAAGGCCTTCTTCAGTATGACATGTGGAATGTTACTCCCACTGACCTCTGGGACTGGGCCTCCCTGAAGGAGAAGATTGCGCAACACGGTGTCCGCAATTCTCTCCTCGTTGCGCCCATGCCCACCGCCTCCACCTCTCAGATTCTCGGAAACAACGAGTGCTTTGAGCCCTACACGTCCAACATCTACTCCCGCCGTGTGCTTGCCGGCGAGTTCCAGGTCGTCAACCCATGGCTACTCAAGGATCTGGTCGATATGGGTCTGTGGACCGAGAACATGAAGAACCGTATCATCGCCGACGGCGGTTCCATCCAGAGGATTCCCAACATCCCCGAGGAGACCAAGAATCTGTACAAGACTGTTTGGGAGATCTCACAACGAACAATCATCCAGATGGCCGCTGACCGTGGTGCTTTCATCGACCAGTCTCAGTCTTTGAACATTCACATGAAGGAGCCGACCATGGGCAAGATTACTTCCATGCACTTCGCAGGATGGAAGCTCGGTCTGAAGACTGGCATGTACTACCTCCGCACGATGGCTGCCTCTGCTCCCATCCAGTTCACGGTCGATCAAGAGGCCCTCAAGGTCGCAGACACAAATGTTGCGCGAGCGCTCACCAACAAGAGGCGTCAGCCTGGGTTCCAGAACGGACCTTCCGGCTCTCCCGCTGTTGCCCCAAGTCCAATGTATGTCACCAAGTCGCCCAACGGTGCCGCCGACCCGAATGATGTGCCCGCAGCTAGTACAGCACCCACTGTCTTGGAGAACAAGAGCGTTCCCAAGGAAAATGCTCTAGCCTCCAAGCCCTTTAAGGCCGACGTTGAGGAGGGTGACAGTCCTAAGGTGCTTGCTTCCGATCCCCTTAACAAGCCGGTCGAAGAGGAGTCCCTTGCGACCGCTAAGCAGGACGAAGATGCAAAGGATGATAGCGAGACACGGGACGGTGATATCTATGCCGATGCCGTGCTTGCTTGCTCAATAGAGAACCCCGAGTCCTGCGTCATGTGCAGCGGTTAGTCGAGGACATATGATGACTCTGGGTTGGTTTTGGATTTGCTAGACATTGGCAAGGCAGGTTGCGGTTGTGTATCTTGCATGTTCCTTTTGGACGGTTCACGGCGTTGGACAGTTTCACGTTTGAATGTTTGGTCGACGCATGGAGGCATGAGTTTATGAGTTTAGATATCACCCACAATATGAGTAGCGAATTGACGTTTCCCTGCATGTACAGTTCACCTCTAACCTAGTCTTTCTATGAGTTTCTACAGCTTGACAGATCGTCTGCAGCAACGTTTCGCTACCCCATTCGTGCATCTCGAAATACAGTCTCGTGTAACCCCGCGGGCTTAATTCCGACAGATCGACAGGGCCCCACGTCCACCTCGGTATACGCCCTATCAATTACAACACCATAAAACTACCCATCTTGTCCCGACCAAGATTTCCCACCGCTCGTAACCGCAACCGCAATAAGAATTTCCCTCTGTCTGTCTACCGGCCTACAACAACCCCACCAGCCACTCCGTCCATCCGTCGTATGCTCATCCTCCGCCCACTCCTCCGCCTCACCCCGCGAACCATCGTCCCACACGCCCGCATCAGCATCCGCACAATGGCGTCCGCACCAGCAGCTCTCCAGGAATGGCTTGTCATCATCCCCGACTTCGATGGCGCGCTTGAGAAGCGAATTGCTGTCAGGTCGCAGCATCTTGCTGGGCTGAAGGCTGATAGGGAGGACTTTTGGCTTTGGGGTGGTAAGTTCAATTTACCTACTTGTTTTTGTTGTTGGACAGGTTGGGAAGCAGGCTGTCAGTTTAGATAGAGGGAAATGATGTTGCTTGGTTCTTGTTGATATATGTAAGTTGAGTTTGCTAATGCTATGCAATGTAAAGGTGCCATGCTTTCCGAACCCATCCAGGAGGGCGACTCCGGGCCGCCGAAGATGAAAGGCTCGGCTATGCTGATCGGGGCTAAGACGCGGGAGGAGGCTTTGGAAAGACTCAAGAGGGATGTATATGTCGAGGGAGGAGTGTGGGATCTGGAGAAGGTGCAGATCATTCCTTTTAAGAGTGCATTGAGGAAAGCGTTGTAGGAAGATATGTTGGACTGGGGAATTTGAGGGAGGGAAAATGCAGGGTACGGAATTATGGTGTGAACAATAGGAGAATAAAGTTATCATGATGTTTGATCGTCGATGTTATGTGTGTATTTTGGCTGATCACAAGGAGTTAGGATATATATGCTGATGATGGGTGTTGTGGTCCTGTTTGATACATCTGAGATCTGAACAGTTGTATTATGATTCGAGGCAAGCACGATTGTCCAAAGTTTTGCTTACACAAGCCTTGACATATGTCACTCTACGTTCCCTATAATCTTCAGCTATTCTTTGGAGAATACCCAAGATTTCTGCTCATACTGGTACATGAAGGTCTTTCCATCTCATGGTTGCAGTCAGCCACTGGTTCTCTTGGGGGATCGTAGATGGCGGTATCATCTCTTGTACGTCGTTTCTCTTTCACGGCAAATACTCGAAAACAATGCAAACGGTTTTGAACTCTGGGCCACACAGGCACAGTCTGCCTCATATTACTCTATCAACTTCACCGTGCGGCACGAAATCTCAAATCTCCTTTCCCCATCGGTCATCTCGTACCGCTGCCTCCAGCAACCCCGTCACCGTCGTGATCCTGTACCCCCTCCTCTTTAACTCCGGCAAAACCTTCCTCAGCATCGGCGCCGTCCATCCCCTTCGATCATGACAAATGATAATCCCACCCGGCCGCACCATACTCAGAATATGCCGTGCATTCACATTGGGATATGCAATCTGCGGGTCGTGGGGATATATACTCCCTAACACAAGTCGATACTCCAGCTCTTTAGCCTGCTGGCGCATCCTCGAGCTGAAGAACCCGGATCCAGGGCGAAAGTAGCGCGGTGGATGGGGAAGATCGAGGGCATTATAAGTGCCATTTATGTAGCCCTCGACTTGGCGAATTTGCGAAACGAGTTCAGCCGGGGACAACGACCGTGACGGCTCATCGTGCATTGCATGGTTCCCCAGTTCATTTCCAGCCTTGACCAACTCTTTCAGTGCTTCTTCCCTTCCACGGACCTGCCCCCCAATCACGAAGAAAGTCGCACTTGCATCATTCTCTTTCAGCACATCTAGAATTTCTGTTGAATACTCTGACGGCGCATCGTCAATTGTCAATGCGATGACTTTCTCTTGTGTCGGCACGTGCCATAGGACGTCCGGCCAGCGGGCTTGAAAGTATCGAATCAACAATGTTGGCGGTTTGTAGATGACGTAAAAAGGCGTTACGAGGCAGAGCGTGATGAAGAGAATTATCAACATGGTGATGAGCCGGCTGCGGCGTGCACGACGCCGCAATTTGGATGGGAGACGGAAGAGGCGACACGGTGGGCGATACATTTCCTGCCGCCGGTCATGTTATTGTCAGGGCATTTGGAGAACGATATCGTAACTGTTGTTGAAGAATTGTACAGGAGGAGGTTAGGAGAAATGCAGGGGTGTCGAAACGGGGATAGCGCGTCACGTGAGGATACCATCTGGCTAAAATTTCTTGCACGTTGGCAAATCTGTTTTCTTCCCACAGCTTTGGTATTCGTCAACCCCACGTCGAGTGACCTGATGGTCATATATGAGCGGCATCATCATACAGATCAGTACCGCTTGCAAGTTCCACGCCTTTGCAGATATCTGTGTGCATACGGATTTCGGGTGCTTCCTCGTTGATGAGGAACACCGTGCGCAAGGCTGCATCCATACATCACTGTCCTATGTATCAAAACGTAGTCGTATACCACCCGACAATATAGCTAAGTATGACATGTCACACGTGCCACTCAGGAACCAATTTGTCACGCTTATTCGAATTCACCACCTTCGCAATAAGCCCTCTAAGAATGTTCCAAGATCGAACTATGATCGTTTAATTGACCTGGCTGCCAATTTTGTGTGGCTGTCCGGGTCTCATTGCGTTCATACATCTTCTCTGTTGTTGATTACTTTGTGCAAGACAACGTTGTGTTGTAGATATGATCAAAGAAAGGTCCGCGTTATCAACAAGTTCTCGTTGGCACTGTCCTTGGCTTCTATATCAGATCTTTATGGGCGCATGCTATTCGCCACAAGAGATGATACCGTGAGCACCATCATGTCGAAACTTGATTTGAGCATTCAGGTCCCGATGCGAGAAAACTCGGTTGCTCACATATCAATTTCTATTCGAGTCCTTGGCCATCATCGTTTTTGGCAATATGGGACCCTTTATACACTGTTCGCTTACCTTAAAACTCGTGACTGCAATTTGACAGATGATTCGCCGTCCATTGGCAATGATAAGTCTGGAAGGTAACTCAACCGTCTCTTCATCAAGACCATGACCAGCTGAATGTGAGAGAAGGTGCCGAAGACATATGCTCTGTCTAAGCTCAGAAGAAGAAGAAATAGTGGCTGTCAAAGGCTACCACCAGAACGTAGTTGATATCTGATCATGGGCAGTAGGAGACAGATTACAGGGACTGCAATATCGCCATCAAGGAGCCAAGGTTGTCCATGTCTTGTCATAGGTCATTGATACGAGTAATAAGTTGTCGACACGAGTAACAACTGGCCGAAGCAGGGTAATCGGTCATTTGGTAACTCCAGACCGGCATCAAGGTACGTCGACTTCTGGAGGGGCAATCAAACGATAGTCGTAGTGAACAGAAGGATATCTTGGCACGCGACTTTGTAGTCGGCCCGAACTGTCGGAGCTGCGCAATACCCAAACACAGACTGTAAAGCTAATTCGAACCATCAACCATGCCGAGATGGACGATCATCCGGTGAGGCAAACTGTCTGCGTGAGAATTCGTAAGCTGTGGATAGAGAGCGAGAGCGGGGCATGAGAGCGAGACCGAACCCCCAACGAATCTCTACATACCGATGAATTGGTGAAACGGTGGCGTGCGTGTGTCAAACTAGGTATGAGCATGAGGCTTCTGAGTGGCAGGAAGCGAACAAAGCGCAAAGACGTTATCCAGTGGATGGTTACGACTTCTTTCATTCGTGGACAATGATCCCGAACACTTGATAATAGGACATCGCTGATCGCACAAACGGAGACGAAAACAGTGTTCGCGTATCTTTCCCTGAACACTTGATGAGAAGATCTGAGTCTTGTAACATGCCTAAAGCAAAAGCTTATAATCGACTGAACACTATTCACCCTTGGAATATGAAAATTGATACTTGAGTGAGACATCTTGCGCTTGAATGCAGCTAGTCACCCAATTAATATCGTTGCTATCAAAGCAGATGCCAATAGGCGAGGGGGGGATTGTGTCTATGCAATTGTCTCGATAAGAGCGACTGAAGCCATGCATCATCCTGGGAAAAAAGAAAGATGTGGTGCCGGTGTCAAGCCGTGGAGACGTCGTGCTCGAAACCTCCATGTATTGCAATTGAAATTGGCTTAGTTGTTCTGATCGTCCAGACATCTGTATGACAATCTGTAAAGCTTTCCTTTTCAAGATACCCGTGAGGCAACAAATGCAAGATAAACGCGACGTTGTACAGTATCGGATTTGGACAAGCACCGACAGATCATTTTCAAACAGACTTTTGCAATGAGAAGGGCACTAGAGGGGGTCTCAATACATCGATACCTGGAAGATCGTTAATCTAGCTCCTGGTACAATATGGCAAAAAAGATTGAAAGAGCTTTCGAACCCAAAGCGGAAATACTCCCCTACGTGTTCCTCGTACGATGATTTATATTTAGTAATGGTACGGTCGATCATCAGCAACACCCAAACATCGCATTAGTGATCTACCTACGAAAATACCACAACATGAGGAGTAGTAGAGAATGAAGCAGTAGTGGTCGCCGACCTCCACTCTCGGCGCCACCTCCGGAGGGAGAGTCCGGACGACGTAAAGAGTAAAGTTCTACGATACCCAGGCATGAATCCGGAGCAAGTCCTCGATGTAGCGTAGAAAGGGGTCTGAGCGTTTCGCGAAACATGCAAATGACGACCGGCGGACTGGAAAACAACCATCGGCGACAGCATCGCGATGCTTAAGATAGGTGGGGCAATTAGAGTTTCGGAGTAAGTCCAGAAACGTGCAAGTGCTATGCTCTCGTGATGCAAAGTGCACCCAATGACAACTGACCTTGGCACCACTTATCTAAACTGTCAACATCACCAATACCATTTTTTTGGTATATACTTTGTGATGCTTCAGGTTGAATGATGATCTGACACTGAAGAGAAAGAAGGTGTCTAAGCAAAGCGCAAGTTATATAGGATTTGCACTATTTGCACAGAGTTCCGGTTGGTGTTGATGTTCCCCAGTGCACAGGCCTTCGGACGTACATCTGGCTTGTTCTACATCACGAAGGGTATTGTGTGTATCTGGATATAAATCCTAGCTGTAGGGTCTCGCCGTGGTCACAGGGTTGGTTGATTGATCTGCTGGCAGAGCGGGTTCCGTAATGTTTGCAGTCCGGGTAAGAGAGAGAGACGCACCTACCCTACTGTAGGCGGACGGTTGGCATGCCACTAGCTTAGGATATTTCGAGTGCTCTGTCTATAGGAGAAAGACTGTATTACAAGGCTTTAAATAAGCACATGTGACCTTACTGCACCACAGCCGACAAAAGAGGGCTTTGATGTTGGAATCCCCACATCCCGAGGTCCAGACGAGATGGAGGTCGAGATTAAGTTTGCCTGGCGCTCGTATGATGTGCATGGTAGTGGGCAGCAGTGCCGCTGCCTTGGGTCCAGCGAGCCCAAAGCAATTAGCCCTCCAGCAAGCCACTGGCTTACAGGTTTCTAATCCGCATTCATAGAGAAAATCCACAAGGATGGTTTGACAATGAAAGAACTGGCTGGCACGAAGAGTTGTCCAATTCGACTCGCTGAGGAAAATAAGCATTCCTGTCTGGAATCAGTTGAAACCTAAAATTCGTCTTTCACTTGCGTTGCCTGGGTGGTTGAACAAATCACAGGAGCATTACGATGGTTGGTACTCTGGACACAGCATCGACAATCGTCACTCAAACGTAGAAAATACGAATATGAGAACGCCACAGTTCCCACACAGGAAGGTTCTGTGCTCGTAAGACAGTTCCGTCGATAGGAGCAAGACCAGCCCCATTGAGTAGGTGAGAAATCAGAGTTGCTGGCTGGAGCAGGATGTAGCAGCGCTAAAATGTTACACACCTATTTTACATGTATGTAGTATAACGTGATCGTAATGCATGAAGAGTCGAGAAAAGTCATTGCCTCAAAGTTGATGAAACCCACGCCGATTCTAGGCGGACTTTGGCTTCTTCTTGCCGATGTCGTAGCCCCATTTCCTTAACGTTTTGACAACCTTTGGAAGGACGGCTGCAGTAAGCGGCACTCGAAATACGATGAGAGATTTGTGGACGATATAGGCCAGACCGAGTTGGGTCCATATTGCTGCGATATGATTAGCAAGTGATCAAACACGTCAAAAATGCATGCAGGCGCTCCATACATGCGTCCGCTCCGCGTCCTTGAACGGCAACTTCGCTTACGCCCAGAACCCCTTCTCTTGCTGTAGCCTCAGCGACTGATTGAGATCCCGACACCTCTTCTGGCGTGGTCCCTGCGCCTGGGAAGATGGTCCGCACAATATTCCAGAATCCAGTCTTCACCACGTCCTCATAGTGACCTATCCTGTCGGTCCCAAGCAGTCGTACAGCCAAGAAGCAAATAGGAAAGTCCACCGCAGACAAGGCAAGGTATACACCTAGCGCCGACCACCCATATTCGCGGGATAACTGCTTGAGCCGCTGTGATAGCGAGGGCGCCGGCTCTGGACTGCCGAGATGTGGCGTTGGATCGGGGTGCTGGGAGCTTGGTCTGTCGCTTTTGAAGCGCAGAGATCGGAAGCGGCGGGCAAGAACGGAGCGTTGGTAGCGGAAGTAGAGCAGGGCACTCTGCTCTAGGGGTCTGCTTGGCAGTCTTGATGCAGCGGGGGAGCGTGTCGAAGCGAAGAAGGTCCGCAGAAATGGCGATGGTTGCGACACAGCGCCCCGTCTGAGGCCTCCAAACAGGAGCTGTTCGGTCCAAACACGTGCGGCTCGCGTCTTCATCGGTACAGTAGTGATTTGGTGAGGGAGGAAAGGGCTGCTCACATGTAGCACATCGAATTCAAAAGGCAAATGGCAAAGACGTGTTACGTAGGCGCGTTCAGCGTCATTTTCGAGCTTCGGATAAACGTCTTGCCGACGCCACCTGTGGCGCAGCGCTCTCTTCCCTTGGTCAGGTACCAGAACCTTCTCCTGTCTTTGGTCGGCACATGCGAGTCAATGCATCCAGCATCATGTCACCCAGATGTCACCCACGCCGACTCGCTGTGAGAACGGACTTTTGCATCATCTCCGTGGTCGCACTTTGGGACATGCTGACTCAAGCACTGGGAGTTGGAGCCCCTGTTCATCAGAAACACTAGCTGGGCGTATCCTCAAACGTGCCATGAAAATCTCCGAGCCCGCCCGCACTCTTTAGGGTCGTGAGGCTAGCACGTCAGACATAACCCTCGTAAGAAGTCATCTACTCGTATGCACGGGCGGAATGCTCCACAGCGCGTATGTCCTGGTGGAACCTGGGCAGCATCCGACGATACACCCTAGAGTGATCTTCATCGGTGTCTCCCGCGAACTGTTGTTTGGCATCGGCAGTTACGAAATGCCAAAAACTTGTATCGCTTTCATAGTACCGTGTGGTGTGTTCACCGTCATCATTGAGCATCTTCAGTCAGAGCTCTTGCTCGGTCGACGTCTTGCACCAGCAACTTCCTACCAAGAATCATGAATTGCGGGGCCCGATGACTATTCGGCTTCGTCCCAAGTCTGCGAACCTGTTCGCTGGAATTCTTAGCGTTATTTGGGAAACAGAAGAGCTCTCTGTCACACAATGCTCACAAACGTCCTACTTACTACCAGATGCACCCTGCTGTGTGTGGGGCTATGCCGAGCCATGCACCGTAGCGTTTTGGGCTTGAAACTGTGACGCCGCGTACAGATGGATACATAGTGGCACTTGACATCCCCACGGATGCAGCCGGCCTTAGCATCGTCCAACGTCTCGCATTAGCCTGATTTGCTCTGACACCGATGTAGATACATTTGCCACAATGGCTCTGCCGGAGCTGGGACCGCTGCTCCCTGTCACAACGTGCGCTCGTTACCCACACCACGCTTCCTTGCTGAATGATGCACCCGGCAAACGTGCTGCACTCACCTGGCACGGTACATGCACAACTTCTACGTCGATTCGCATCACCCGCCTTTCTACCGTCGGCGCGGCTTGCTCGATCTCTAGACTACTAACCGCATCGAGATCCGTCCCTGACACGGCTCGTAGCCTTAACCCAATACCCTGCGAAGGTTCATGGTCCACAAACAAAGTTTCTGGCGTTTTCATCACCCCTGCAACCGCCCCAGGCCCAAACCTTGAGCTACCAGCACGGAAGGCGTTATTCATCTACCCAGGATTAGGTATTGCATCAGTCGAATCAGGGCCGCGTCACCCACGTCACCCACTTGGTCCCAAGTCAGTTCACAGCGCCTCAGTCAGAACATTGGGCTCGTCTCTAGTCGGCAGCGGCGTCGCGCCTACCCAGCAACATAGCTGAACTCTATCTGGGATCATTCCCTCTCTTGGCGGTGGGACCTCAGTGCCGTCTGTCACTTCCTGGCAAACGGCAGTCTGGCCTCACACGTTTGTCGGACGGATCTGTACAGCCAGGTGTCGCACCCGTTCCCTTGCCTCACAAGTTCACAACGCCCGAAACGGTACACTCCCGCAGCCAATTGTTTGAAGCTTCGACTAAACTCTCATCTTACGTTGTTGCATGAGTCTTTGCTCAGGATCTGCCTGTTAGTTTAGGTAGGTTCGATTTCGTTTCTGAAGAGTCTAATTACTGCTTGGTATATATACTTTCGTTCCGCCCTATCTCCTCATGACACCTTGCCCCACCGCCCATTATTCAGCTACCCTTTTATGATACTCGGCTATCTTACATTCTCTTATTTTGCTGGACACCTCCCTCACTTTGACAATCTCAACGCTCTTGTCTCACCCTCGCCTACAATCTATACACCTCACATCAACCAACATGGGTGTTAACGCAGAACGTATAGCTGGCCACAGCAACCTTTCTCTCGCCCAAGCTGTTTATATCGCTCAGAACAGTGACGGAGGAATCGATCAGCAGCTGGCTCGGTTCCTCGAGAAACGGCTAGCACAAGTTTGGTCAAAGCTTAATGCTCAACCTAACTCTTACATGCTGCCATCAGACGAGTTCGCCCTTATCAACTACTATCGACAACGTTTCGGTGACTCGGAAGTCCTGAAGAGCGCTACAAAACGGTTCTGGGACAACCATACGGGGACTCAATAACTTTTCAACTTTTCCTGATCGTTGCACTTGCGAGTTTTGAAGGTAAAGGATGTTCTTGTCTCAAGTCGACTCTCAGAAGCTTACACTCTCTTCGTAGCAAGCACAATTTGAGATATTTTCAGCATTCAACGGACCGGAAGCCATTAGGAGTTTTTGCATTTTTCGCACGATACCTCTGACAACGGCGTTACACCTGCTTTACTCAGCCGCGGAAATCACCTTTCTAAAGGTCTTGCGAGGCACCTCGTACAACCAAGAGCAGAACTACGGTACAAGCATTACACTGTATAGTGAGGGGTTGGATACAATGGCAAAGGCAGCACCACCATTATGGCCGGCGGCTAGCGAAGGACCACTGGGTTTCATGTTCCTCGTTCTAATGTTAGTTTTGGTGCCTCATTTAGCATTGGCTTTATTCGTATCGCCGCCGCACTTGCTTGACCAAGTTTCCACTCTGGATCGCTATGTACTGAACGAGTCCTCGTCGCTCGAGTGTCTACAAGTTACAGCTCCAATATTCAGTCCATCTGAGAGCTGCCAACAAATACTGATGACTCATGTCTTTGCCTTTTCCTATGGGCAGCCCTTCATAGGCAAGTGATACATCATTGCGACTCCCCTGTGCTAAAACCTCGTTCGATGTTTTCTTCTCCCGTGATAAATCTGCAGGGATCAATCTTGGCTCATGAATATATGCTAATAGTAAAACAATAGGTGCATACTATCCACCAGATTGCAGTTTCAACCGCGTAACTTTCAAGTTCGCAGTTATGTCAGCAGGACGACAATTCGATAGGTTAGCACTTATGTTCTTTGGTGACATCGAAATCTTCCGTACCTCGACTGCTGAGCCTACCCAAAATGGCATTACCTGGACCTACGTCAAAGATATGACAATGTATCTTGCCCTTTTTCAAAGGCCACAGAAGATCATTTTCGACCTGGGCAATCTTGTTGACGATACATATACCGGCTCATGGAACACGACATTGACTGCGCACTTCTTCACTACCGACGAGACAATCCAACCTGCCGACAATATTATACCAGTGTCGGCTAGGCAATCCAATGCCAACAAATCGAGTGGTTTTAGTGTTCCTGGGTCGAAGGCAATCAACACCCTTACGTTTCCCCAAAACGCCAAGAAGGCAATTTTCTTGATCTCCGCCTGCGGCCAAGCTGCTGAAGAGTTCTGGTGGAGCAACGTGTTCTCTTCTAATACGCAAGCCTTTGGCGGCGAGGCGAGCCTTTACGGTCATTCGCCTTTCAGGGAAGTCCAACTCTTCATTGACGGCATTATGGCGGGGGTTGCCTGGCCTTTTCCAGTGATCTTTACCGGTGGCGTTGTCCCTGGGCTCTGGCGACCCATTGTCGGCATTGATGCGTTTGATCTGAGGGAAGACGAAATTGATGTTTCGCCGTTCATACCTTTGCTTAGCGATGACAGAGAACACACGTTCGAAATTCGTGTTGTTGGTATTGATGACGATGAACATGGGAACGGGACCTTGACCGAAGCTCTCGAGTCGTATTGGATCGTGACTGGAAAACTCTTCATATGGTTGGATACAAATACCAGCCTCACCATGGGAACACCTCCAGTTGTTTTTGCACCAGATCCATCAATATCCATGTACTCCAGGCTACGAAAGAACGCCAGTGGTATTGTACAATCTCTGGACTACTCTGTTCAAGTGTCCCGGGAGTTGATCATCACATCTACTATCCAGACCTCTTCCGGCTCTGGAATCATCACTTGGAAGCAGAACCTTACGTCTTCCAGTATCGGGACTTTGTCCAATCAAGGAAACACTCAAATTGTATGGCATTCCACGGTCGGCATGCATTCGTCCCCTTCGTCAGAGTACTACAAGACCTTCGATTACCCTCTTTATGTCTGGTCATCTTACAACATGTTTTCCGGTGGCGAATATATCATACACGCCGACATGGATCGTGGGAAGTATGCTTATCAGTTCGGAGAACTAGCATATCCGAATGAGTGGAAAACGTTTGATCACGCTGGTCAGGCATCAACGCCCTTCCGTGGAACGACCATACACAACCGGCAAAATGGAACCGCCTCATATTATGGCATCCCTGCACAGAGAAGAGCGTATAGTTCGGGCAGCACTGAACAGTCATTTTTGCTCAAAGGAGTAAGCGAAGTGACCGTAAGGGAAGTAGGGTTGCCAACATTGACCAAAGAGGAATTATATCGGCGACATGTGATTGCAGCAAATGACTCGGTGGTGTCTGACGAAACGACTTTTGTTGAGGAGAGTAGTCAGAGGTACGTAAAGCCATGGATGCAGGCAAGGGGGGCTCATAGGTTTGCAATGAAGGGCATCAAAGCGTGGCTTGGGAGAGGACCGTTTTAACCGAAGGATGGACGATCATAAAGTTCAATTTGTAGGGATGTTGTGTGACAGTCACTCATCAGGCGAGTTTGTATCACACATTCAGTGTTCCGGCCAATACTAGATGGCGCTCACAGAAAGTAGCAATAACTCGTTTAACAAACTACCCTATGCCTTCCTCGAAGAGACCCAGGTCTACTTGCTTGCGGCCCCTCGATATAAATCTGCAGCGTCTCGACGGGTAGTTTCGGTGTACTACCTGCTGTAGTTGGTCGGTTGTGAATTATCGCCTTATCTAGATGTGGCTGAATTGAAGGGGCAGAACTTTTTTAATCATGCCACTCATGTCGACTGGGGTTTCACTGCGTTGACCCATGTATTCCCTTAGCCTTTCGACTCCACAACATGTGCTCATTATTCCCTGCACTCACCGTTTGCAAGGGATCAATTGCCGTCACAACTAAAGGGAATACGGCAGCTGTATTCGTACTCGTATGACCCCTTTCCTCGCTAGCTAGGTGCCGTCTGACGCAAGACGTTGTGTAATAGGTAACCGAAGGGCGCACCCCAGTCTGTCATTACTCATGGGGAATGCGGGAGAGGTCAAGATCCCTGAATATGTTGCGCTTTGAAAAACGTGTGTCACGCTGCAGATGCACGTTTGATAGGTGGAGTTGCTTAGAATGATTTCACCAAGCGAGCCGCAGACGTAGCCCTGATACGTGAAGATGCCTACCGATCAGTGTCCGAGGAGACGGATGTATCGCTAATTGGCCTTCCGCCAGAGCATATTGTTCCTTCGCTCGACTGAGTCGCTTAAAATCGCCTGTTGAGAACATAAGGTCGATCGGCGATCGCCCCATCATTACAGGGCCAGAAACTTTAATTTTCGGATGGGAATAATCAATCGGCTTGTATAGGGCAGCAAGCATGAGGTATGAGAGTTTACATAGAATCAAAGAATATGATCTGTAGCTTGCACAAGACATGCTTATGGTAGTCGACTAACATCGAAAGCTTAGTAGTTGGCATTGCGGCATATACAAGTGTTATGCGCCAGGGTCTCTGCCAATCCCTCTTCTAAAGCGCGCGAACAACGGGTCGGAGACAGGCCGCCGACTAATATACAGACCTGAGACTTGTGTGGAGGCGAGATTCAACTCCGACTGGATTGGATAGGTAGCAAGCATGCTGATCCACCCGTAAACTAATGCGTTAGATTGGAAAACTGAGACGTATCTTGACTCGCTGACAACCATGTCTTAGATATTACATACAATGTTTTCTTGTGCCGCTATGTACTGCAGCATCTTTAACTAAATCAATAGTTGCATGCTTTAGCAAAAAGAAAAGAAAAGAAAAACATGCCCCTGTCAATGATGCAGCTATTACCAATGAGCCTGTAAACCGTTGATCGGCCAAACCCTAATCGCCCTCAAAATTATATTGTATCTTGAACAAGCTTATACTAGAGCGACAGCTAACGGCTACGGCAAGCCAGTGTCCCAAGCACACCTGACAGGTCGAAAGAGGAAGTGGTGCAGGTTGTGAGGCGTTTGGCTAGTAAGAGTGACGTATGGATTAGAATGCATAGTGATAAGAGAGCGCTGAGTTATGCACTTGTTACGAATGTCAGTCACACCTGAGAACAGAGAGCGGGCACTCGCAAACGAAAGTTGTGTTCAAAGAGTTAGCGACGAGAAAGATAAGCCCGTCAATGATTCCCAGGTTTACCGTTAGCTGAGGGTTTAATATCAAGGGAAGATTTGCAGCAGGCTATCACCATGTCTTCCTAAGTCCATACCATCATACGACCAAGATTGAAGGCTTGGAAAAACACGATGGACCAGGGGGACGTGGGGACCGACAGAACGCCTGACACAATTTCCCCAGGAGTGCTGACGTGTTAGCGCGATGCCGACCAGAAGCTTGTGTATTATCTACTGAAGGGCCATGAAGGCTTGTTTCGTTCGCTGCTAGCTTGCCTCCGTCAGTATTAGTTTGAGATTATCAACAGATACAGCATGCGTCTCAAGATGCACTGTGATATCTTCCACAAGTACAAGCCACGCGCCACATCTCGATATATTTAGGCCGTTGGCAGATTGGTCAGACGGGCTGCATTAGGAGGAGTGGACAATACGCAAAAGTAACGCCCCTTACATACATCGCGTTGAGCATAGCATGTACTTCAGAGGTTATCACGCGTGTTGAAGGAGACAATTGGAACTTGGTTGACTTGGAACGGAACCAAAGCCAATCTTCCACGCGGGACTAGCCCACTTGCGTCGATCAATTTGGCAACGCGGGGTAATCAAACGTCGTAACATGCTTTACCAACACTCCTACCGTAAATACTTCAAACAATGGTAGGCCGTTCGGCTTCCGTGCGGCTCCTCATGATGAACCTGATCGGCGAACGAGCGGGTCAAAAACAGGTTGACGGACAGAAAATGAGGGGTGGATGTGTGCGTGTGGGGTGTTCACTGCTCGTGTACTTCTGACTAGCTCAACTACAATAAGCGCCTTGCTCCTTCGCGGATGGTGCAGTTGGCTTCCCAGCCTTTCTCCCGCCATCATGTCTGCGTGTCATTGTAACCAACCTCTATATGCCTCCGCTAGGATCGCCAATGATCCAGCCATCGCCGCCCAAAGTCTTCGACAACTATGACAAGTACACTCCCGAGGCTTCGCTAGATCCCGGAGATAAACCCGAGGCTCTGCTCAACGTCACGCGCGGGGCAATTCGTGTGCCTTCTCCAAACCCGTCCCTGATATCGATAGACGACTCGAATAACATACGGCTTGGTCGCGATGTGGATCACCTACCTGTACAAGATGGCTGGAGACATGCTTCTCACTCACCAGTTCCTCCACGGACTGTGAAAGACAAGGCAAGACTGTTCTGGGTAGTGAACAAGGGCTTGGTTTTTGTGATGATTGCGCAACTTTTCGGCACGATGATGAATGTTACCACAAGAATCCTGGAGGTGGAAGGCAATGATGGTATGGCGGCAAGAGCATTCAAACTCCGATCAGACGCAGGCTCATATCATCTTACAGGCAAAGGATACCATCCGCTCCAAATTCTCTTCGTCAGAATGATTGTGACAGCCGTCTGCGCATCGTTCTACATGTACCACCAGAAAATAGAGCATTTTCCGTTTGGCCTGAGGGAGATAAGGCCTTTGTTAGTTGCCCGTGGTGTGTCAGGCTTTTTTGGAGTTTTTGGAATGTACTGTAAGTACGCTTTCGTGAAAGTAGACGTGATGATGCTGTCCACTTAACGTTCTTCCAACTGGGACGCGCTCACGGGTGCTCACTGCAGTCACCATCATGCAAAACTACACACCATAATGGAGCTCACGATATCGAACAGAAGGGTCTACGAGTTGGATACAATACTAACCCTTGATAGATTCCTTACAATATCTTCCTCTCTCTGACGCCACAGTCATAACGTTTCTAGCTCCTAGCCTCGCATGCTGGGCATGCTCCTACCTGATCAACGAGCCGTTCACCCGCATGGAACAGATTGCTGCATACATTTCTCTCTTTGGTGTCGTTTTGATCGCAAGACCCGCCTCATTATTCACCTCGATCTCACATCCCGATGCGCCAGCCCTAGGCGATACACACCCTGTGAATGCGACAGTCAGTCGACTTTCCTTAGACTATGACTCTGTTACGCCAAAGCAGCGAGGAATGGCAATCGGCATAGCAATGTTGGGCGTATTTGGAGCAGCAGGCGCATACACGACCGTCCGGTGGATCGGCAAGCGCGCACACCCGCTTATTACGGTCAACTACTTTGCGACATTGTGTACCATTATCAGCTTTGTAGCGATGTTTGTGGTCCCTGATGTCGGGTTTTTGCTTCCAAGGTACTTCAAAGATTGGTGTTATCTGATGTTCTTAGGACTCTGTGGGTTTGCTCTGGTGAGTCGCTACCTACTGTTCGACTCCTTTCTCATGGACTGACTTGACGTAGCAATTTCTCCTCGCGACCGGCCTCCAATACGAGAAATCATCGCGCGCAACAAATATGGTGTACACGCAGATGTTGTTTGCATTGACGTTCGACAAGTTGATCTGGGGCACAACACCCAGTGCTTTGTCGATTGTTGGGTCATCCTTGATCCTCGGTTCAGCGATCTATGTTGCGATGAACAAGGAATATGTGAAGAAAGACGATGTGGTTAGAGGACGTGAAGATACAGACGAAGAGCAAGGATTGATGTCTTTCGAAGAAGAACCAAGAGATGAAAATACGAGTATTGCCATGAGACCACTGAGGATATGATAGGCTTTGCCTCGTTTGGGCGTTACGGGAAAGGTTACACATATCATAGATCACGATCTGGAACGATAGCATGACAATGTCAAGATTTATAGAGTTATACAATCACTCTCGGTTTCATACTCTGGTATTCACTGGGCTCGTCTGGAGAATGATTCGTTCTCTACTCACAAGAAGACTATGGTTAAATAGGCACAAGAGATAGCTTTGGTTTCATGTTGCGAAGCCTCTAACCTGCTCGTATCAATGGAAAAGTTCCTCCTCTTCCACAAGCTGAACCAATCCAGCCCAACAAGACACTAACACAGGCTGATGAACCGAGACCATTCTAGCACGGTTGAATTTGTCGATGAATGTGTAGAATATGGACATAAGATGTTATAGACTTGCGAAGACATACACCAACCATTAGGAAGTTCGCGATACTAAGAGGAGGAAAGATAATACTCTGGCTCCTAATAATCTCTCTGTTCGTGTGATATAATATAGCTCAAAATGACACTGGACCCGAGCCAGCTTCTGTAGTTGGAGGAGACTGCACGGGTATAGTCAGAATGGAGTGAATAGGCAATATTATATTAACAGGTGATTTGCTGCTCTCACTGTCTATAAGTCAACATCATTTTACGCAAGGATTGTGTGAAGTGCAGGGAAGGTTACAAAGATTGGAAACGAAAGAACGCGGTGGATCGATTTTAAAAAACGGCGACGCAATGTGGTTATAGTTCTAGAGAGGTTATAGGAAAGGCATCAACTTACATGTTTGGAGCTGAGATTATATACAATCGTACCCTGTAATAGCGAGTCGATATTGAGAGAAGCGAAACAAACCTGTGAAGGCGAAAATAAAACTGGAAGATGTAAAGATGAGGTACATGTTATTCAAGATTGATTGCAAGTCATGTCAGCTTCGTCATGTCAAGCTTACCAGACCCTATCGCTAACAGCTTCTACTACTAGAGGTAGTCTTCCTCGGTATCGAAATCAGACCTTCAACTTCCAGCTCATCAAGCAAACTAGTATACCGTTTGCCCGACAAGTTCTACTCAGTAGGTCTTTGGACCTATTCATCTACTGCGGTCGAAAGTCCGATCGGAGCACAGAGAATGTCTGGAATCACAGTTCACTCGCATTATGTTGATTTGTTGAACGTAATCTGAACTTTTGGAGTGACTTATTTCCGCTGGGAAAGGGTGGTTTGGATAAACAAACATGGATTTACGTGGGAGACGAAGATAAGCAGAAAAAGCAAGATGAGATTACACACTTTCGTCACCGAGACTTCACACATTACGGTGACCAAATGACAGGCATAGACGAGGAAGTGATTTGATAACAGATAATTTGCTATTTGGCCTGCGTATGAAAAGGCTCAGTGATATCTATTGGCTTCGTTGTTTTCGAGGTATACACTTGATGACAATAATCATTCTTTACCATCACCAATACTACTGCCGGAAATATGCAAAACCCCCAATTATCATAGGATCAAGCCAACGACTGAATATAAACTAAGGTCTTATGTTAAAGCGAAAGTCGTTCTTCAACGGACTTCACCCTCAAGTGGAACTTGTTCTCTATTGGCTAGGGAGCACGATAAGCGAGCAAGACCCACAGACACATATGTGGGACCCATGCAGCGAAATTGAATAATTACCCTGAACCCACGTCGCTGGGTTGCTGAATGCGGTTCTGCCAACGCATACAATCCAGACGTAAAACGATCATATACCAAAGATCTTGGAAATCTCCCAATAAAATCCATCAACCAAATGGTTCGATTGGGAATTCCCCTGTGGCGCGTAAGTTTATTTGAGTCATCAAACACTCAGAAACACAGTGCTAACGGTATATAGAATTGGCTAGCGCGTCAGACTGTTACATCTTCGGATACAAGCAAATCTGGAGGCTGGAAGTTCGAGCCTTCCCGGGGGAGATTTTTTTGAACTTCGGTCATTCGCATTCAAACCGTATTTTTGTGCACCGATCGCCGATGTAGCTGTTGGACCATTTATTCCTCAATGGCCCAAGCGAACATTCCGCTCTAGAGATATGACCATGCATGGACCTCTGTGGGGGCTAATAGAATAGAGACACCGATACGCGCTCACTGCGTTGCATATACTTATTTCGTTGCTCACGATGTACTACTTGGAACAAAAGAAAGGATGGGGGCGTTTGAAGTGATGGAGAGCAAACGAAGAGTGAAGACCTATACGGCGGAGTCGAGGCTGTAACTATCATCATGATCCTGGGCTGGCAACAAGCGCAATAGCTTCGCATTTCCCTGACCTGTCTTCGACCCTGCGTATGTGCTTTTCACAATGATACCTACTTGCCCATCAGCACTCTGAAACAATGGGTAGTTGTAACCTTTCTGCGCCCAGATACCAGGTTCACGCTGGGATAGACCCGCCTTGCCAGTATCTACGACTTGGTGGAGAATTAGGCGATCGCCATTGGGTAGGATGCACCAAGGGTTGTCCAGTGCATGCTGAACGGCAAGGATCTGATCCATGGTGCATTTGCTGAAGTCAATAAAGCGATGCTGCTTCGTGATCTTTTCCGCATGGTCAACAGGCCTGGTAGGGTCGTCTGGGTTCGCATACCACCCTACATTGTCAAGTGGGGGAACAAACTTATGTTCCTTGAGGACTTTTACCAACAGCTCGGCTCCTGCTTCAGCCAGCTGTTTCTCTAGATTCGCTGATGTCAATCCCCGAGAAATTTCCACACCTGGACTTGGCGTTTGGGCAAGTATAGTGCCTTGGTCGAATTGTGTCGGATGCAAGGTCTGTATGGAGACACCGGTGTAACGGCGCCTTTTGAGGATAGCATGCTCTATGGGTGCTGGACCTCGCAGGTCGGGAAGGAGAGACGGGTGGACATTAAGACCGCTGTACTGCGCGAGGTTGAGTATTCGTGGAGGGACGAAGAGGCCAAAGGACACGGCGACGACAAGGTTGATGGGAATAGGCGGTGTCCATCCGGTAAAGGTATCAATCGCATGGGTGTCTAGGCACAGCTCGTCGGAAGCTACATGCTTAATGGGTACTATGCTCGGTCAATTGACACGACGTGCCATAGTGAGGCGGTGGACATTACCATCTCTCAGAGTCTTCAGACCGCGGCCTGCAGGCTTTGCTGGTCGATGGACGACATGGATCGAATGTATGAGCTTGGGCGCAACACGCTTTGCCGCGCACAAGGCGCGCAACGACGCGATGCTGAAGTCGTCCGAGCCACAAAACAATATGCGCAACGGTTCCGCAGCGCGAGTCGGTGCTTCTGTCGAAGCGTGTCTGCGGAGCGTTGGCAACACTAAAGAGCGGACAGGGTATGGCAGTTTCCAGAGCATGCTTGGATGCAGGTTCCGATCGTGACCAAATCGCCTCATCTCATCTCATCTTATCTCGTTGTGATGGCGCTTGGCGGGGCTGTTCGCGTCGCATTCGCAACGAGCCGGGCGCATCCTAGCTTCGACTTCGCGTTGGAGCAGAGCACAGCAGAGCACATAGTGATGGGTCCACCGTCTTTGTCGAGAAGGCACGCGGCATACATATAAGCCGGGGCACCTGCTCGCTGTTGGCAGTGCACAACGAACGGCCTTTGTAGGTGGCAGACCGAGACCCCCGAATTCACCGCACAAGCGTGACGCAACCATCTCCGAAGCATCGCAGCTGGTAACTCGCGCGAATGCCGTCTACCAAAGTACCCAAGGTTGTCCCTGCACATCTGTCCTTTCTGGCCATTTACAATCCGTCGCTCAGCAGCTCAGACGAGACATTCCACCAGCAGATTGTGTTCTACTACACGAAAGCTGCCAGATCCCCCAAGACCAAGAATGCGAATCCTCAGGCAGAGCAGGAGCTGCGCGACGAGGAGAACGAGAAACTGCGCCAGGTCGGACTAGCCCAGGGCATGGTTGGCTTTGCCCGGAGCTTCTCCTCTGGCGAGCCAGTCGACTCGATAGAAACGCACAAATCGCGCATCATACTGTACGAGTTGGAACAGGGTTGGTGGGTACTTGCTGTGAGTACGTCTGTGTACATGGGAAGGTTCTGCTGATGCAAGTCTAGTCCATCAGCCTCACCCAACTGCCGGCTGCGAACAGTGCCTCCAAACCCGACTCGGGAAACGCAGCGTCAACCGTTGAATACTCGTCGCGGGAAGTCAGCCCACCTGCACTCCTGATACAACAACTCATTCGCACCCACACCATCTTCCTGCTGCACCATGGTGCAACGCTGCAGGATCTCTTCTCCAAGCATGGCCGTGTCAAGTTCTGCAACATCTTGGACAAGTACTGGTCACGGTTTGCAACCACCTGGGACGTGCTCCTCCACGGCAGCCCTGCTGTCGAAATGTACGGTGGCATGAAGTTGGCGGCAGGCGGCGAGCTGGGAATGGGCGTCGGTGAAGAAGAGTGGGGCAGCGGCGAGCGTGATGTCTTGGAGGACTTCGCCCGTCGGACAGAAGGCCTTGTCGATATCATGGTCTCCCGTTTTGGCGAGGCATCGCCTCTGCAACAAGCCATATCGTCCACGAACCTGGATACACCTGACGTATCTGAGATGGAACCCTGGATCGGAAGTGGGAAGAATGCCAGTGCGGCAGATGGAGTCGTCTTCTCTGGCCTCGGGGCACTCAGTAGAAAATCACTACGAGATGTATCACACTGGGTAGAATCCATCTACTGCTATGGCGATCAGGCGTATGGAGTACGAGACAATCCAACGTCTGATCGCAGAAAATGGCGAAGAAGGAATCTGAGATCAGTTACGGAAGATTCGCTCCCAGAAACTCCTCCGCCTACCCAGAGCATCGAGTCCCGAACTACACATTCCCATGCAGACTCGGATTTGCCCATTGGTATTCCGCCTCCTATTGTCAAGGCCGTCGAAAACTCGCTGGACAAAGCTGTGGTTGCAGTCGATACTGCAAAGAAGAGTAGTGAAAACACACCACACCAAAATCATGAACCACTTCTGGCATCTTTGGGTAACACCGAAATCTGGATGAAATACATGACATTGGGATACGGCACAGCGTGGGGCGGTAAGAGGGCGCTGGAAGATCTTCAGACTGCTGAACAACAGCCTGTGCCTGAAAGGACACCATCACCAGAAGCCATGCGTTATGTCGAGCCAGAACCAGACGTAGACTTGGCTGGAGGAAAGTTGAAACTGCAGATTCGACAAGAGAACGATGGGTACTTCCTCATCGGGCTCAAGGGGGATATGGGAGATGCGAATACAGACGCTGACGATGAGGAAGATTGGGACAATCGCATTCTGCTTAGAACTATGCATGTTGATGTTGTCCGCAAAGAGAGTTCATTGACGACGCCAGGCGTTGATCCGGATGTGACCTCGGAATGGGAAAGGGAAATGAGTTTTCGAGCTACAGCGAGCAAGAAGCTGTCCCGATTGCGGCCTATAGTCTATGTGGTAGGGCTCATCATCTACCAAATGTCAACATTCACTAACTATTCCATAGCATCGCCCCTTCATCTACACGTTCTTGTTCGATCAACAAGCTACAGCCCTAAGTATGGCCTCATTTTATCGGCATGTTCACAGGTTCTTCTCCCCTCTTCATCGTTTACTCGACAAAAACACTTCGCCAGAACGAGTTGCCTTGCGCCTTACAGCTGCTGCAAACCCGTACACAACCGTTTCTTCGACTAGCGGGTCGGAGCTAAACACACAGATCATATACGATCTAGTCTATGATCCCCGTACTCTTACCGTTCACTCCAGTCTTCCAAATATTCCGGATCCTGGTACACTCATCGCCGAGGGTCTGAGCAGCAATAGCATCAACGCATCGGGCTGGAGTAGGGTGGAAGCGTTAAACGTGCACTCACAGATCCTAGCTACAGTAGCAGACACACGCCGTAACCTCTGCGAAATTGAGCGCACATGCAAGACAAGCCGTGGCTGGTGGGTAGTTTGGATGCGCTTAGCGCCTTCTCAGGTCAGCGAAGATGCCGTCACAACGGTCAACTCGAAAGGCTCCTCGCAGGCGTTCAACACCGACGAGCTTCGCGAAGCTTTTCTGGTGAGGCGAGCCCGCGACGCTGTACCCGCTACGGCGAAGAGTTCGGGCAGCAGATTCGCGAGTGGCATGTGGGCGGGGATGGGAATGGGTGGTAGTGGACAGAGTCAGAGAATGGGTGGCGCAGCTGCTGGATGGGGACCGAAAGGACTGGCAGATGGAATTGGGATTGATGCGCGGAAATATGTGGATGAGTTGTTGAGCTTGAATAGATGAGGGCACATGAAGAGTGATGAGTTCGTATACTGGCTTGGAAGCGGTATCGTTTAGAGTAATGGAAGGCAAACGAAATGGTCGGCATATTGTCCAGACCACCAAGAGGAACCATAGCGTGCAGATAAACTTATGCTGAGAAGGCCTCAGAAGGCTTCAGAAGGCATTCATAACCGTGAGACTGAAGATGAGTGGTGGGCACTCAGCAAAATAGGAAGGTTCGCAAGACACAGCTGTAATCCCTCTCCCAGGTACACTGAAAGGTACTCACGAGCCGTCAAAGCTGACAATAAGACACATATGCTTATGCCTCATATCCCTCCATCAGCTGTCCACTCTCCAGCTAGGCAAGGAATGGGGATTATGAAATCATGCATGGCATGTGTTTCGTGAGCCGCTATTGGCGCACTTAGCAGGCGAGGGCGGTTTCAAACTAACGTCCCATCGTATTCCAACGACATCCAGGGGTCCCCCCCGCGTTCGCCCATCATCAGAAGTCGCCATCTCAGACTCGCAATGATGGAAGTGCCAGCGAGCTTTGCCCAAAGCAGAACCAGCAGACAATATGAGGGCGCTTCCTTCCGTTCCCCGCCGTCTTTTTCGTCTTGCCAGGTACCGGTTTTGTTATGGTTAGTCGGGAACGCCTTGTAAGAAGCTTAGGACCACGGCGGCAATTGTACTCTTGGCTTTCCCCTTCTGCATTAGGTTGTCTGACAGGAGACGCGGGACCTGATGTTCTGAAGTCGCCTTCTTCTCATTGAATACAAATTCTCTACTTCTCCTTATATCGTGTCGAGTCCGAGCCTTTTGTTCGGGATTGGGACGCTATTTGTACCGCCACGAGCAACATCCAATTCGTCCTCGATCAAACGATTACCAGCCCCGCAAACAACGATATCTTATATTGCAATCCTTCGAAGAACTTTTCAAAATAGTGATATCCAAAGACAAGGGAAGAAGACGTAGGATTATCCCAACAAGGAAGCTGGATCGAGATCGCCTTTCTGAAACGGGACGCCTGTTCTATTCTGCTCAACCATAGGCTATTCGCTACACGTTGAAAGGCACCAGGGTGCTCGAGATCAACAAGACGTGTTTGTGAGCAGTTTTGGCGGAATAATCTTTCAACTTACCCGAAGCGGAGCATAGCCTATACTACTACAAAGGCATATCACTGTACAAATCCGGCAACTCAACCCAAAGTTTGAGATCATGCGTGTCCTACTTTCAACATGGCTGGTAGCGCCAGCAGTATTACTGCCCACCGTTACAGCCTTCTATCCATACCACCACGACGACGGTAGTACCTCGACTTCTCGCACGCGACAAACGTCTCGGCTATCAAGTTCAAATCCCAAATTGACGACGCTCCCTCTCCGCCGCGTGCCTGGGCCTATTCGCCCGCCGCAGAATATCTACAACATTGCGAATTCGAATGATCCGACACAGAAGAATAGCATGGCAATCGATCAGGATGGGGGTGATCTGAGCTATATGGTTGCGGTGACTTTCGGCGACAGCAAGGAGGAATACCATCTGCTGCTCGATTCGGCGGCGAGCAATACTTGGGTCATGGGGCAGGACTGCAAGAGCGATTCCTGTAGTACACATACTACATTTGGGGCAGGGGACTCGAGCACGCTCAAGGTAAGACTTTCGTAAGGTCTGGCAAACACCAAACTGATTCCCTACACTTTAGACGCAAAAAGATTCCTTCAACGTCACATACGGCACTGGATCTGTGTCCGGGACGCTCGCAGAAGACACCCTCCACATCGGCTCCTTGTCCCCCTCCTTCACCTTCGGCCTCGCCACGAACGTCTCCCAGGAATTTAGATCCTACCCCATGGACGGCATTCTAGGCATCGGCCGCGGCGAGAAAGTAGTAGGCACAACCGAATCACCGCAAGTTATGGATGTGCTTTCGAGCTCTAAGCTGATCGGCGCGAAGCTCTACGGCATACATCTGAGCAGAAATACAGACGGGCTGAACGACGGTGAGCTGAACCTCGGCGAGGTGAATACGGATCGCTTCGACGGCGATCTAAACTGGAGCGATTGTGTGGAGAACGAGACTGGGTTCTGGGAAATCCCAATCAGTGACGCGGGCGTAAACGGCAAAACACTCGGCCTCAACGGCCGCACTGCAATCATGGATACTGGGACGTCTTTCGTGCTCATGCCGCCCGCCGACGCACTGGCCATACACACCCAGATCACGGGCTACAAGCAGTCAGGCGAGACCTTCAGCGTGCCCTGCGACACCAAAGCCGTGATCCAAGTCTCCTTCAACCAGAAAGCCTACAACATCTCCACGGAAGATTGGCTAGGCGATAAGCTGGACAGCGGACTGTGTCGCAGCAACATTGTCGGGCGACAAACGTTCAGCGCGACGCAGTGGCTGGTTGGCGACGTGTTTCTCAAGAACGTGTACTCTGTTTTCGACTTTGATGGCTCGAGGGTGGGGCTGGGTGTGAAGGGTGGAGTGGCGAGCGCGCAAGCGACAAAGGGTCAGTCCATCTTCATTTCCCCAGCATCAATCGCGATTAGTACTGATAGTTTCTGCACAGCTGATATTCAGACGGCATCTGCGTCTTCGTCTCCGTCTGCATCCGTGTCTGCCTCGTCGTCTTGGGGAGCGATTGCTACGGCTGGCGCAGGAACTCAGACACAGGAGAGCGAGAATGCCGGAACATCGGTGTCGACGGCTTCGGCGTCTTTGATCGCGCTCATGGCGGCATTTGCTTCTGTTTCAATATTCATGTGAAACCTCTCTTGTGCTTCTTGATAGGCGTCGCATGGTACGGCACGGCGTTCTAGAGTGATATGGTGATTGGGGTGTAAGATCTGGCGTTGTTATAGTAAGTATGCATTCAGTATCGACATGGCCAGTTTCGTGAGCTGTCTCAGGTTGGGTTCATAGGTCAGGGATAGACGCGATAAGCGGATGATCTCAAAGCAGGCTATGCGAGTACGGATGAGTGGAATGATCAACGTTAGGAATCACCTTGATATGAATAGATGTCACATAGTACCAGAGAGGGAGTCCTGATAGGATGCAAGCAAAAAGCACGTTATTAGAAAGATCCTACCATTGCTCAATCTCGACCACACGCCCTGAGAAAATAACACCTCGTGAACTACCCCAAGGTGATGTACTGCCAAAACAGAAAAGATCCAGCGCAGTAACGCCTCGTGCCGTGGAGGAAAAGGCTCAAACTAGCTACGATAGTCGACTCGTCTTCCAGCCAATGACCATCCACATGGTTGCCTATCTCCCGAAAGGACAATCCGCAATTAACACACCTAGTAACCGCCACAGTATTGTTCTTGTCCAGGTTCAACATCGCGCAGCTGTGACGGCTCCAGTTCATCTAACGCAACGACATGACCCCATTTACAAGATCAGGCACTTCTTCTTCGACTTCTCTTTCCGGGTGAGCAGGGCAGCTCGTGTAGCGTGCTCAAATACTTCTCGGACGCCCTCGTTCGTCTTCGCCGAGCACTCGAGGTACTTCTGAGCACCGATCTTCTTGCGGACATCTTCGGCCTGGTGACGGTTAGTTGAGCCGAAGCAGCCTCGATCGAGATGGTACGTACCTGCTCGGGAGTAACGGGCTTCTGGGACGTCTTGTGCAGCTCCTCAATCGTCTTCTGGTCGAAGCGCAGATCCTTCTTGCAGCCGACAAGGATGATGGGAAGGCCCTGGCAGAAATGAAGGACCTCGGAGATCCACTACATGACGTTGTTAGCAGTGAGGCGTGCAGAGTCGTGACACGTGTGTCGTACCTTCTCCTGAACGTTGTCCAGCGAATCGGGCGAGTCGACGGCAAAGCAGATCAGGATGACGTGCGAGTCGGGGTAGGAGAGCGGGCGGAGACGGTCGTAATCCTCCTGGCCGGCGGTATCCCAAAGGGCGAGCTCGACGTGCTTGCCATCAACCTCGACGTCGGCAACATAGTTCTCGAAGACGGTGGGGACATAGACCTGCAGCGGACGTCGTGTCAGTAGGTGCGTCACGATGCGTGCATGGGCGGATGATGCGATGAAGGCGCTGGCCAGCCGGGCTGACGCAGCTCAGGGATGGGGGCGAGGAGCGCGCGTCGAACTGACCTCAGGGAAGGTGCCCTTGGAGAAGACGCTGCAGACGGCTGGTTAGTCGCTGGGAGCGAGTGCATAGGGGCTGGTGCTGGCACTTACATGAGCAGACAGGTCTTTCCACAGGCGCCGTCACCGACAATAACGAGCTTGCGACGGATCTCGGCCATGGTGCTGTGGGTCGGGGGAGTGATGGGCTTGTTGGAGACGGGTCAGGAGGCTGCGGCAGAGGCAGAGAGTTAGCAGGGCGAGATGGCGGAGGGAGTGGGTGGTGGAAGGGTTGAGGTCGTGGTTGAAGCTGGAGGCAGCACGCTCAGGGCCGCGAAAACCGCGCTAGTGAGCAATGGGGTACGTGCAGCGGCTTAGCAGGCCAAACGTCGCACGGGATGGCAGTGTGCGTGGCTGGTATCCACCGGTGCACAATCAGCTCAAGTGACGATAGCAACACAGAGTGCGTCGCAGCGAGGGCGCGTGTGGCAGCTGGAGCCGTTGTTGCGGGCTTGCTGTGAAGATGCAACAGGCAGTGCCAAGCCGGACTAGCCTCTCCAAAAGAAGCACGACGGATGGCTGATGGCTGGCCAGATAGCCTTGCACATGCAACAAACAGAACAGACGACGCTTGCTCGCCCTCCGGTGAGCTGCTCGATTGCCAGACAAGCGGCGCCAACAGCATGCACACGGTAATAATCGACGTCCTCCGAACTTTGGTCCATCCATCCATCCAACCAACGGCAACCGCCGCGACGCAACAGCCAGCCTATCGAGTGGCGTTCGTCATCATAGCAACACACCAGGTTGTGAAAGCATCTTTGGTTTCAGCACCCAGTTGACAAGCCAGACGATCCGCCGTCCGCCGTTATTGTGGGGTCCGTTATTTCGGCTCCCAGCAACGGCCCATGGTGCTACTAATCTCGTTGTCAAGGGATTCCAGTCAGACGGTCAAGCTCAGCTGGCATGGTTTGGTCATGGCCTTGGATGCCTGTTGCTTCGCCACTGCAGCATATCACTGATGTGTCTGGAACTGCGGGGCCGCCGAACGCATGCGTTGAGACAGGCTCTGGTCCGTTTGGCCACCAGTCTCTTTAACGGTTACTTACTTCTCCACACCGTGCACCAGGACCTGCTAGGGGTCGCAGCTTGGCAAGTCCATCTTCAACTCCAAAGGAACGTATCCAACGAGCAGTTCTCGCGTTTCAACACCTGCTATCGCGTCTCCCGAAAACACATGCTATTCGCTACTTCTTGATGCATCCAATGCGTTTACACGCTCTCCTGGTAGGATTGGAAGCTGCATACAAGTATGATCCCCAGAGCATGGCTCGCACTGCATAGGGAGACTACAGTAGCGGTGTGGTAGCACATACTAGCTTTGAGTGTTCACCCTGTAAGTATATCTTGTAACTTGTCGTTTGAGATCATTGTGCAGAGACAAGTGAACGTGCACGTCTTTGAGCCTCATCTATTCAGCTGCGGGAAGCGTAATCATTCAAGACATCCGACCCGTATCACAAACATGCGTGGGTGCCGTCTCTCGCGTACTTTGCTACGAACCTGATCAAAGCTCGTAGAAGGATCTGGTGGAGGGACGACACATGAAATCGTCTTCCAGAAAGTAAAGTCATTCATATTTTGGACATGTGTGTTCCCAGTCGACGTGGAGACATCGCGTACCTGGAATACATCGAACGAATGCGTAAACATAGGCGGCAATGCTGATGCATGCTGCTGTTTTCGTCTTGCTTCCACGGACTTCCGATCTCCATGCACGTGAAGTGGTGCTGCGGGAGCCAGTGTGGCGGGGCCGCTAGGCAGCTTGAACCGCGACGGGCCTTTACTTCGATAAACTACAAGCCTCGCCTTCAACTCGCGCCTCTTGTTGTCTGATTCCCTGCGTCACCGTCATTGCCTCTTGCCTGTCTCGTCTACTTCTTCCCCAGACAACCACACATCATGGCTGATCAACCCCCACCTGAGCAAGACACGGCCATGTCTGACGCCGACAAGGTACAGCTCCCCAACCGCCCCTCTAAGAGACCCGCTGACGGCGACGTCGCGCAGATCCGCGCCAAACGCCTTGCAAAGCTCGGGGGTCCTACCACCCCAGCTGGAGCTTCACAGCCCTCCTCAACAGGCCCAGAGGCTCCAACCTCTGGCAGCTCAACACCTAAGCCCGCAGAGGCGCAGGCACCCGCACCGCAAGCATCGAACCCATTCTCACAACTAGGGATACAGCCCCAGGAGAAGCCCAAAACACGAATCAATATCAAGTCAAAGCCCACCGAATCGTCAGGCAATAGCACCCCACCACCCCCGCCTGCACCCAAAGCTCAGGAAGTCAGCCTGGAGGCATGGGAGGACCGTACTATCAGCGGCATCTTCAGAATTACCTTGGATGAGACTCGCACACAAGATTCAAATGGACACAGGCTCTACTTTGCCTCGGGCGCGCGGGGCGATCTAGAAGATGAGGGCAGGGCCATCCGATTCACCACAGATCTGCTGGACTCTGTGATATTAGAGGCTGCATCGAGCCACTCGCAGGGCAAAGCGTTGGATTATCTACTCTGCTGCTGGAAGCGGGTTTCGAAACTGTTCAAGAACATGACCAACAAGAACGATCCCAAGCACGACATCGTAAAGGAGGCTCGACGGCTGTGCTTCAGCTACTGTATCTTCGCCGCCACCATGCCGGACATGTTTGGCGAGGAAACTCCAGCAGAAAATGCTTTGGCCGACCATCTACTATTGGGACCTGAAGACGAACACGGCGTTTGCTTCGACTTTCTCCACGAATCATGTGCTCGTTTAGACGAAGACGAGAGTGTCAAGGAAGCTCTGGTAGGGGCTATGGAAGACTTGAGCCGGAGACTAGCAACCATCACTATGAATGGTGACTATCGGCCCTACATGATGACGTTGCGAAGCTTTCTGCGATTCCAGCCGCTCGTCGCTGCCTTGTCGCAGTCTGCAATGTTCTTGCCAACAGAAGTCGAGGCCCAGAATATAGAAAGGGAGACTCTGCTCGGACCTTACTTTGGACTGTCTCCCTTGCAAAACGAAGTTGCACTGAATTACTTTGCCAGTGCTAGTACCCAGGATAACGGTCTCATCGCAAACGCGCAAAGAGCTCTTCGTATGACTCTATCGACTCACCAAGACGAGCTCCTCGAGATCGCGAATCACTTCATTAGGCACAAGGAATCTCGGGAAGCCATGTTGAACTGGTTTGCCTTGGCAGTGAATAAGAACCATAAGAGACGGGCCTTGCAGGTCGACTACAAGACGGTATCGTCTGATGCGTTCATGGTCAATGTCACAGTCGCCCTAGATCGCTTGTGTGAGCCATTCATGGACGCCACCTTCTCCAAAATCGACCGTATCGATATTGACTATCTGAGACGTTCACCTCGTATCGACATCAAGGATGAGACTAAGATCAATGTTGATCAGCAAGCCTCAGATGAGTTCTACGATGTCACTCTCGGTGGTGTGAACAACTTCATCTCCGAAGTGTTCTTTCTGGCTGTGGCGGCTCACCACTACGGTACCGAGGCCGCCAACGCGAAGCTGTCGTCGCTGCAGAAGGATGTCAAGTACCTGAAAAAAGAGTTGGAGAAGATGGAGGCCGAACGGCCGAAGTACTCTTCGGTAAGACACTGTCTCCATTGTTAAACCGTTGTTCACTGCTAACATGCTGTTCAGAACCCTGCGCAATTGAGGGTGTTTGATATGCATGTCAAAAGGACCAAAGACAGCATTGAGCGGGCTTCTTGCGCCATCCTGTCACTCCAGGCAGTATTGTTTGATGAGACCACCCAAGCTCGATCCATGCAGTTGATGCGGTATGTAATCGTATGGTTACTACGGCTTGTATCGCCCGGCAAAGACATCCCTAGAAATGAGTTGGAGCTTCCTCTGTCCGAAGAACAGCCCATGGCATTCAAATGCCTCCCAGAGTATTTTGTTGAAGATATTGTCGGCAACTTCAAATTCATCACTCGGCATATGCCGCACATCATCACCTCCACGCAGTGTGAGGAATTGGTGAAGATCTGCATTACGTTCTTGCGGAGCTCAGACTATATCAAGAATCCGTACCTGAAATCGGGTCTTGTCACGATCCTGTACTACGGTATTTACGAAATCCCCGGACGATCCAAAGGTGTGCTCGGTGATACTTTATACGGACATCGCTTTGCAATGCAGCACCTGCTCCATGCTTTGATGAAGTTCTATATTGAGTGCGAGAGCACCGGTGCGCATACACAATTTTACGACAAGTTTAATATTCGTTACGAAATTTTCCAGGTCATCAAAAGCGTATGGCCCAATACGATTTATCGCGACAATCTTGCGACCGAGGCACGGTACGTTCAACTAGAAATTGCCACAGCTGGTTGTTCGATTGCTAACGTTGCACAGTGTCAACCTCAACTTTTTCGTCCAATTTGTGAACCTGCTCCTGAATGATGTCACTTTCGTGCTTGACGAGTCTTTCACAGCGTTTATACAGATCCATGAGGTCTCAAAGCTGTTGAAGAACCCACCAGGGGACATGGACCAGGCCATGAGGACAGAGCAAGAAGAGAAGTTGACAGCTGCACAAGGCAAAGCCAAGAGCTACATGCAGTTGACAAACGAAACCGTTGCGATGCTGAAGCTCTTCACCGAGGCACTCGCGGACTCTTTCACCAAGAAGGAAGTCGTCGTGAGACTGGCGCACATGCTCGACTACAACTTGGAGGCTCTGGTAGGACCAAAGAAGTCGAATCTCAAGGTGGAAAACCCCGAAGAATATGGATGGAATCCACGACAAATGCTCGCTGAGCTCACAGACGTGTACCTCAACCTCCAGGGCAAGCAGTCGTTCATCGATGCGGTAAGCACAGACGGACGCTCTTACCGCCCAGAGTACTTGACCGAAGCCCACAACATCCTACAGCGCTTCAGCCTCAAAGACCAGAAACAGCTGCTAGAATGGGAGAACATGGCCGAGCGTATCAAGACTGCAAAAGACATGGCGGATATGGAGGAAGCAGACCTTGGCGATGTCCCTGAAGAGTACATGGATCCGCTGCTCGCGACGCTGATGGAGGATCCGGTTACCTTGCCAATCAGCAAGCAGATTATTGACCGCAGCACCATCCAGAGCCATCTCCTCAGCGACCCGCACGATCCTTTCAATCGCACACCTCTCAAGATTGAGGATGTGATTCCGAACGAGCAGCTGAGGGAGGAGATTCAGACTTGGAAGGCGAATCTGTTGGCAGAGAAGATGGCAGAGCGGAAAGCTGCGAGTGCTGGTGAAGGATCGATGGATACTTCGTGAGAGGGATAATGGATGGCGAGGCGATGGATGAAGTGCATTTGCGAGGAGTTATGGTCTCTCTTTGGTCGCGCCAAGGGGCATGGAGTCTGGTATCACTGGCTAGAGGTGCATGCGGTCATGGAGTATATGCAGTCTTTAATGATTGGCAATGTGTTTATGAAGAATCCCAGTCTCGGTGATTGTTGGGTTTGGGTGGTTGTGGTATGCTTTCGTCAGGTTATGTCTGGGAATCTAGTATCAGGTTAGACGCACGCAAGATGACAAGAACTAACGCTCAAGCCTTACTTCTCCGTTCAACATACTTGCTTCGTTCAAATCATTGAGTATATGAGTACAGTACATTACAATGGGCGAGCTTTCAGGCATCATACCGCCGCCTCGTCCTTTTCCCTTTTCCCAAACGTATACGCCAGTCCACACCCAACCACGTTGACGGCACAAAGCGCTAGAGACCCTCCCCGTACAACACCCCGTACTGTAGCCTTGTTTCTGAGATTCTGCGTGCTGTTAGCTTTCATTGTCCTGGACTGACCGGGTGGAGCAGACGATTGTCCAGGTAATGGACTAAACAAGCAAACAGATAAATTAAGGGAAGACTCACCTGACTCCGGCGCAGTGCCAACAAACCATATAAGCCACTCCACGCCGCCGTGATACCAGCTGCGTCGGTCTTGTAGTTGCTCAGGTTGAGATAGGAGGAGAAGAGGAGGACGGGAGCAAACATCATGGGCAAGGGCTGGAAGGGACGGGCATGTTGGGCTGTGATGAGAGTGGCGAGGAGGGTGGGGGGAACGGAGTTTTCTGTGAGGGAAGGGGTGAGCATACATTCCAAAGTTTGTGTGTATGGGGGTAGATATGTTTGGAATTTTGGTTGTTGGTGCACGTGAAGGGTAATGGAAATGGATGGATGCGACAGTCAGACAACGGGATAGACGTACCTCCCCAGTTTCGCAGGGATTGGAGGGTGGATTTTTTGTCGGCCATGGCGGGCGTTTGCAGGGAATCAACGGGTTTGTAAGAAGGGCTTTGTTTGATTGAGGAAAGGAAAGGAAAAGAAAGGCTTTGTCGAAAAGAACGGCTTGTTGGAATTGGAGTAGTTCCATGACGTTGCTTGGAGGGCCGCCCGTGCGATGCGAGGCTCATCCCTGCATGGCCGGAAAGTGCAAGTGGCCTTGACGTGAACAACGAGTGTCGATCGATACGACCAACTGCAAACCCGCCTTGCACACCATCCGCCCACGCATCGTGTGAATCTCTCGCCGCAGCCCCCGTCCACTGCAGCAGCAACTGCAGGCGCATCGACTCTGACCTGCGCCGCCACCGCCCGCCCACTGCGCCCGCGCATTGTGTGAATCCCTCGCCGTCACCCCCTCCGCACGCCGTCAACAAACATGTCTGGCAAGACTAGCGGCGCACAACCGTCCGGCAGCGGCGATGCGCGAAGTCGACAGCACCACGACGGCAGCTCGGGCCGGGCCTTTACCGTCGAGCAGAAGGCGGCCGTGATGCGGATCAAGCGATGTGGCCCGACGGCCTACTACGAGGTGCTGGGGCTGGAGGATGTAAAGGCCACATGCTCGGACAGCGACATCAAGAAGGCGTACCGCAAGCTGTCGCTGCTGACACATCCGGATAAGAACGGCTACGACGGCGCCGACGAGGCCTTCAAGCTGGTTGCCAAGGCCTTCCAGGTGCTGTCGGACCCGGACAAGAAGAAGAAGTACGACTCGTTTGGCGGCGACCCCGATGCGCGCTTCAACCCAAACACTGCGGGCGCGGGCGGCGCTGGTCCGTTCAGCGGCTTTGCGCGGGGCGGCGGCGGTGGCGGCGGGAGACCGGGGTTCCAGGAGGAGATGACGCCGGAAGAGCTGTTCAGGCAGTTCTTTGGCGGCGGCTTTGGGGGTCCTTTTGGTACGTCGAGCGGCTATGTCCCCTCAATCCCCCCCATCACCATGACACAGACTGACGTGAGCAGGCGGCTTCGACACAGGCCCCGGCTTTGTCTTCAACCTCGGCGGCGGCCCCGGCGTGCGCGTGCACCAGTTTGGCGGCGCTCGACCGCGCAGGAGACCCGGCACCGCACAGCCCGCCGGCTCCGAGCCCGCCCCCAGCTTCGGCAGCGCCATCTCCAACCTCCTCCCGCTGCTCTTCCTCTTCATCCTCCCGTTGCTGTCGTCCCTCTTCTCCGGCTCGTCCACGCCCTCGGGCCCCTCGCTCGTCTTCGAGCAGCCGCGCAAACCAAACACATACGAGCGCGTGTCGACGCGCCTCAAAGTCCACTACTACGTCAACCCCACAGAAGTGCACGACTACAACCCCAAGAAGTGGCGGAAACTCGACGACCAGGCTGAGAACCAGTACGTGCATGCTGTCAATACGCGCTGTCAGAACGAAAAGTTCCACCAGAGCAGGATGATGCAGGATGCTCAGGGCTGGTTCTTTGTCGACGAGGAGGCCATGGAGCGTGCGAGGCATCTCGACATGAAGAATTGCAATAAGTTACGGCAGATGGGTCTTACGGTTTGAGGTGGATATGATGAATAGGGCTTGCGGCTAATTAGAAGTGGTGGTTTGTGTATGGAGATATCATGTCATGCAAGGCGCAAGAGGCGTTTTGATACGTTTGTATGTCTATACGAGGTACTTGGACGCAACCGTCCGTTTTTTCCCCCAATGAACTTGTTACTTCTCTTCTCTTCTTGGATTCGCGTCGTTTGGTAGAGATATATCCTCGCTAATCAATCAATGTACATATCTGGTCCCGAAACACATCATACAGTCCCCCCAACTCCAAGCCATGCAAACACACCCATATCGTACACACACACACCCTCACCCTACACCAAGATCAAAAACCCCAATACTTAGCAACCCTCATCTTAACCCCCTCAACCGTATTCAACTTCGGCCTAACATCCAGATAAAAACTCAGTCCCTTCCCCCCCTTCCCCTCATCCCTCCCCGCATAAAAATCAATCACATAATCAACCTTCACCCCACACCGATCCACAACCCAATCATGCCGATCAAACGGCGCCTGATACCCCAACAACGTCTTCCACCTCGCGCGCGGCGTCAAACTCGTGCTCAACCCACTAAACGACTCAAGCCGCGGCCCACCGCACGCCTCGCTCCCGCGACCCGCCTCCCACGCCTTGATCTCGTGCCACGCGCGCTCGTTGACGGCGTTGTGGATCGGCACGATGGTCTTCATGTCTGTTTCAGACGGGTCGAAGCTCTTGCGCTTCATGGCTTCGAAGAACATGCGCTCGGACGGGTAGATCCAGTTCCCCGTCTTTTTGTCCGCGCCCGTGTCGCGCTCGGCGTTTGCGGGACGGGGTGCTGGCGTGGCGGGGAGGGCGCGCGGGATGGTGCTTATTTCGCGGGCGGTGGCGAGGCTGAGGGAAGAGAGGACGGTGGGCGCGGGGGAGGAGGTGGTGGTTTGGTCGAGGGTGGAGGAGTCGCAGGAGGCTTGGACGGGGGATTGTGGGGGAGGGGTGGCGGGTGCGGGTGCGGATGTGGCATGTGGGTTTGGAGGCGTGGCGGTTGAGTTCTGCGCCCGGGCTTGGGCGAGCCAGGCTTCGCGCGTCTTGTGGTCGACGGGGCAGGCGTCTGCGGGGGCGTCTTTCGAAGACATTGCTGCTGCGGCGGCGGGGGTGGGTGGGTGTGCACTTGACGTGCTGGTTGGGAAAAGTTGAGCTTGGACGTGAGATGGTTCGGAATGCGATCGGACGTGATTGGTTGGTGGCGGTACAATCGACGGCACGGATGCTGCTTCACCGCTGCGATAAAGTTTGGGACAGTGTAGATACGCTCGCACAGTGTAAAGACTAGAACTCTCTCGTTAGAGTGAGTATTCGAGTCGAGTACATCTAATCCCCAAAAAATACAGCATTCGTCGTGGTACAAATCGCGCCGGGGACCCTGCATAAACAAACCTACCCCACCAATCTCTCCATTCACTCTCCCCTGCATCCACCACCCCGATCCCCACCAAACACCAGCGCCGCCAACATGTCCGACATCCACCGCGCCAGCACCACGGCCCCCGTCAACATCGCCGTCATCAAGTACTGGGGGAAGCGCGACCCCAAGCTCAACCTCCCCACCAACTCGTCCCTCAGCGTCACCCTTGCCCAGTCCGACCTGCGCACCCACACCACCGCCTCGTGCTCGTCCTCGTACCCCGCCGCCGACTCGCTCCTGCTGAACGGCGAGTCGCAAGATGTGTCTGGCGCGCGAACCCAGGCCTGCTTCCGCGAGCTCAGGGCGCTGAGGAAGAAGGTCGAGGAGCAGGATTCGAGCTTGCCCAAGCTGGCCGACTTGCCGCTGAGGATTGTGTCCGAGAACAACTTCCCCACTGCTGCGGGCCTGGCTAGCAGTGCGGCTGGCTTCGCTGCGCTGGTCAGGGCTATCGCCAATCTGTACGAGCTGCCGTCTTCGCCTACGGATCTGTCACGTATTGCGCGACAGGGCTCTGGCTCGGCGTGCAGGAGTCTGTTTGGCGGGTACGTGGGCTGGGAACAGGGCGCTGCTGCCGACGGCTCAGATAGTCAGGCATTCGAGGTCGCTCCCGCAAGCCACTGGCCGAGCATGCGCGCCGTCATCCTCGTCGTCAGTGCGGCGAAGAAGGGCGTGTCGAGCACGACGGGCATGCAGACGACTGTTGCCACGTCCTCGCTGTTTGCGTCGCGCGCCAGCGACACAGTGCCCAGGCGCATGAAGGAGATGCAGCAGGCGATCCAGGCCAAGGACTTTGAGGCGTTTGGTAAAATCACCATGATGGACAGCAACTCGTTCCACGCCACCTGCCTCGACACCTTCCCGCCCATCTTCTACCTCAACGACGTGTCCCGCGCTGCTATCAAGGTCGTCGAGTCCATCAACGCGGCTGCAGGCAAGATCATCGCGGCGTACACCTTCGACGCCGGCCCAAATGCCGTCGTCTACTACCTCGAGGAGAACGAGAAGCAGGTTGCAGGCCTGTTCAAGCTCATCTTGGTCGAGAAGGACGGCTGGGCTGGAGAGAGGGGTGCTGCCGTGCAGGCTAGTCCCGAGGCGTTGGAGAAGGTCAAGGGCGAGGCGGGGGTGGCTATTACTGTGTTGGAGGAGGGCGTCAGCAGGGTTATTCTCACGGGCGTTGGGGAGGGTCCTGTCCGGACAGAGGAGAGTCTTATCGATGAGAAGGGCGAGCCTGTCGTGAGTGCGTGATCATGATTCGATACCCGCGAATGGAGTTGTTATTTCGACTGCATGAGACATGCATCAAGTCATATTCAACATGATGAAAAGCTGTTCAAGCGTCAGTCGCCACTGCATCTTCCATGCTCTGGGTCTGAAGAGAAGGCGTGGATGAGATTTGTATTAGAGTAAACGAGAACGCCATATGCAGCGCCATGGTATAAATGTCCCCCAAATACACAAAGCGAACATGCAGAATGCAGAACGACAACAACAAGATAACAAGACAAGACGAGACTAATCCAGCACAACGGCCAAGATGATGATGACTAGCACCATGGCCAGGATGAGCAGCAGAATGCAGGCCTTGCTCCGAGCGCTCTTCTGGTAGTTACTCGCCTGCTTGAGGTTGACGTGGGCGCCCCGCGACGCATCGTTCGTGACCTCGACGTTCTCCTCGATGACGTCGAGCTGGCCGCCCTGCTCGTGGACCATGTGGGCCACGTCGCGGAACAGCTCGTTCAGCTCGCCGACCGACTGCTCGATGTTGCGGATCTCGGACTCGCGCTCGATGATGAGCGACTCCTGGAAGTCGACCTCGTCCTGGTTGGCGAGGCGCAGCTGCTCCTGCTCTTGCTGCTGGATCAAGTCACCACCGCTGCCGCGCTCTTCGCTGGGCGACGTCGTGTCCTGCAGGGCGGCGCGCGCGGCTGATGCAGACGCCTTTTCCTTTTCAATGGCCTGCTTCTGCAAGTGCTGGAACTCTGTGAGCGAGGCCTTGAACTCGCGGCTCAGCTTGGACTGGGTGAACTTTTGCGACGGCTAGTCCTTCTCGTTAGCCAGGGACATTCGATCTTCCAAGCAATGGTGTGCAAAAAAACATACGCCGACATCATGCCATGTGGTGATCTTCTTCAGGCCCTCGCCAATCTCCTTGAACTTGTCCGACGTCTCCTCGACGGTGCTCTTGACGCGCTCCCGCACGCGCGCCGTCTCGTGCTTGGTGCCGAGCTTGGCCAGCTCCTGCGACAGGCGGCCCACGTTGCGGGTCAGGGCGAAGAGGTCGTCGGAGAGCTTGTTGGCAAAGTCGCGGAACTCGGGGTCGTCGGCGTACTGCGGGTCGTCTTCGCGCCGCCAGGTAGTGGGCTGCGCCTCGAGGGCCGAGGAGCGGTGGAAAGACATGGTGACGGTCGCGGATGGTGTGGTGCGGTGGCGGTGCGATCAGAGGTCGGTACGCGGTTATGTCGAGGTTGGATGCCTGTCGTCGTTCCGGCCTGCCATGACGAAGGCCAGCCCGCCGCACGTGGCGCAGGCGGGACTAGCGCTGCATGCGACAAAGACGTCGGCGAATGGATCATCCTGGAGCTCCGCGCCTGTGTTTGTTTGCCAGCGTCGATTCACGTATTCAGTCACTTGCACGGCTCCCTTTCGTCTCTTCTTTTTTCCCGCCAGCTAGCGCTGTCCTCCCGCTCCTCTGCTCTGCCATGACATAGCCAAACCGCGCCTCTACCTCGACGTCCACTCGCACCAACCCTCGTCCACACGCAGCCATGGCGCTTGCACCACTGGGAGCGCAGACGCGCCCGTACAAGGACTACCTGACCCCCGCCCTGCACCGCCGCTTCACCAAAGCCAGCAGATACACGCTTCTGCTCTGCTACCTGATCGCATGCTGGATGGGAGAATATGACAGCCGTGAGGACGAACCATAGCCCTGCGCAGTCGACTTCTTGCTAACGCGACTGACAGTCATATGGCTGCTGTCCCCCATTGGCCCCACGGGTATACGGACCCTCCTCCTCTTCATACCCGCCCTCACCATCTACGTGCTCCGTGTCGCCCAGTGGCACGTCGGCCCCCGCCAAACGCAGACGCGCGCCGAGACATTCAACAAGTACTTCCTGCGCAAGTCGACCTTCCTGACCCTCGTCTTCTACACCTTCTCCGCCTGGCTCTACAACGAGGTCTACGTTTGGTCGCGCGCGGGCTGGAGCAGGCTTGGATACACGGAATATGGACGCGCACAGGAGCGCCTCAAGCTGAACGAGAGGCCGCTCTACCTGCGCTACCTCTTCCTTTTGCTCGCGCTCGCTCAGACCGTCGTGCACCTGTCCGAGGACTATGATAAGATTGCGATCCCGACCATGAGCCCAAAGACGCTTCGCCAAGACTCGTCTGCTCCTGCGCTGCTGAGGTCCCCCAACCCCAGGCGGGTGCTCGTGAAGAAACTCACAAAGATGGTCGTTTTGGCTGGCATCACCGCCTGCTCCGTCACCCTGGCTGGGACGGTCATCTACTTTGCTGGACTTCGCCAGCTGATGTGGGATTACCACTACAGCTTCAGCCGCTACTTCATCAGCTTGGCAAAGACCTCCAGACCGACGGGACTTGCGCCCTTTCTGCCACTAGTCGCCAGCTTTGTCACTGAGGGTACTTTGCTTGTCCTTTTGTGGGAGTTTGTCAACGAGGCCTTCAACCTGTACATTGCGCAGGAACCGCTGAAGAACGACCAGCCCATCACAAACGATTCTACAGACCCCAACGGCACTCTGCTCAACGGGTTGAAGTCAAAGAAGGAGGCTGTTAAGGTAATTTACACATGAGATTCCTCACTCGTATAATCTAACGCTGACAACAACTAGGCCATCGCTTTCTGGGAGCTTGCCCTGATCACCGACGCCTTCCCCGACCGACGTGCCACAATCTACCGCGAAGTTGAGCGCAAGAAAGCACCCACCTTCCAACAGGTCACCGACCTCTGCCTCGCCGAAATCAAGCTCCTCATCGATCGCGTAAACCTCGGCCTCAATCCCGCCTACAACCCCCCATCCGCAGCAGGAAAGCAAGAGCCCGCCGCTCCCGTCAACCTCGTCCCACAGATCGCACAACCCCTCAACAACGACAAAGCCATCACCGTTGTGCCACCAAAAACCAACTCGCGATGGGAGCTCATCGAGAACGCAACCGCCGACATGGCAAAACTCCACAGCGCCCCAGGCAACGCACAACAAGCTTACGGCCGCGAAGCCCTAAACAAAAGCATGCAGAAAGCCCAACAAGGCGCCCACCACGCTGAATCTGCTCTCTCCCTCTACTACAATAAGCTCGTCGCCTCCCCACTCGGCGCTCCCTTCCGCTACTCCCTCACCCGCACAGCAAGCCTCGTCGTCCTCGGCGCGCCGTACTCCCGCATCTCCCTAATCTGCAATGCTGTCACAGCTATCACCAATCTGGCTGTCTACTCCATCCGCGAAGACACGCTGGGCCGCTTCAACGAGGGCGTTCCGGCTATCATCCGCGTCTTCACCGCTGCTATCAATAAAATCGACGAGTATATGGAGAATGTGGAGATACACTGGTCGGACTACGACACGGCTAAGTTGCCAGAGGCGCAGAGGCGTAAGATACCGGAGGTTGAGCGCGTGAGGACGTGTTTGAAGGATGGGCTGGAGCTCGTCTTGGGTAGCTTCAATGAGTATTTGCTTGGTATGGGGATGAGCAGGGTGGAGGTTCTCGAGGCGAAGAAGGCGGTTGTTAGGGCGCCTGAGATGGTGGAAAATGGTGCTGGGGCTGGGCAATGAGGGGGGGTTTTGCCTCATGGGGAGATTACGCGCTTTGGGTTTGGGGTTTGGAGACAATCTAGAGGTTCTTGGTGGATTGGTGCAATGCAATGCAATGTAGAGGAGACAGATACCCATGTACACTTTCACGATTAATACCACGATACGGTAGCCATGTTAGGTTATTACTGGTGAACAATGAATGCGTCGATAAAAACAAGGGTATACTAAATACAGCTACCTACCTACCAAGCATCCCCCCAACCCTCCTCTTCTTCCTCCTTACCCTTCGTCTCCACGTGCTTGACCTCCTTCTTAGGTGCCACAACGGCCTTCTTCGCCATGGACCCCGTCGTACTCGCCCGCACACTAACAGTCGGCCTTGCACTCTTCAACGTCGATGCCGTTGGCTTACCCAACCCCTTCGGCAACGGCTTGCTGGTCACTTTCTTAGTTTGTGACTGTGCGGCCAGCCAGCCCGCGAAATCAGGCTCGCCCTTGTCGTCGTAGGAAGTTGTGGAAGTGGGCGGCTTGGACACGGCGGGCGCGCCCCATGGATCGTCCTCTTCTCCGTCGTCCTTAGTTTGTGTCGTCGCCGTGTCGTCGCCGCCAAAACCGCCCCAGTCGTCGTCGAACTCTTCGGCTTCGTCGTTGAAGGATGCAGCGGGGTCTGGCGAAGTGACAGTGAGTATTGTAGCCGAGCTCTTGGAGTTGTGTAGCGTCATCCCGGGCTTTGAGGCCATGGGCACCGGAGGCTTGTGGGATGACGCCAGGGGAGGGACGGAGGAGGATCTTTGGTCCGCGTTGCCGTTTGCAATGGAGCTGGCTTGTATTTCTCCGCTTGTGGAGGCGAGCTGCTTCGTGAAGCTCGATATGGCCCAGCCGGCCCATGATGTATCGTTCGCGGGGGTTCCTATCCGCGGGGCGACCGCTCCGCCTGCAGTGAGGCCCGGTGATGGGAGGACGGTGTCGGGCATGGAGGTAGCGTACTTGCGAATGCGCGTGAGGTAGATGTCGACGCTTTTCTGGGCTTGGTCGCGAATCAACTTCTCCTTGTCGACCAGGGATGGACACATGATTGGGAGTAGCTTCGAGGCACATTCCTCTTCGTTGAAAAGGTCTGCAGTTGCAGCTAGCGCCAGTAGAGCGGCATTGCGGGCGTGGACAAAGGGGTCACGGAGTGAGCGAGAGAAGGCAGCGGACAGGACTTTCGCTCGGGTCTGGCTGGATGTTAGTGTGTGGCATTTCCCAGTGCTGACAGGCTCAACTTACGCTCACGCCCAGGTTCCGTGCAATCTTGCCTAGACAGATTGTTGTGTTGGTACGGATACCAGGCTGCTCGTCATTCGCGGCTTTTGCGAGATATCGTAAGAGTTCGCCATTTACTATCCGATCCGATAACTTGGGAACAACAGTCAAGACAGCCTTGACGGTTTGTTCTCTCACGACAGGCGCTACGTCCGAGAAACCAGTGACCTTGCGTGATATTAGTGGGTGATTGAGTGAGCATGTATTACCAGCTTACCATCTGAGGGAAGATCTTGTCGTTGACGAGCTTCTGGGGTAAATGATCGATCATCAGCGGAAGATTGTCCAGCAAGCAGACACGTATAGCACGGTCTGGATTTGCGAACAGTCGTACGACGACTGGGTTAATCTGCGTCTCGTACTCTTCGTCTGACAGCTTCTGCCCTATTTGCATGACAGTGCCAAACACCTTCGCGCCGCCACCTCCAAACTCTACCGATTTAAGCAGCTCAGGTAATACTTTCATTTTGAAGAAGTCAGCCGGGAAGTCATCTGCAACCTCGTCCAGCTTTCTGCAGAGATCAGTACAAATCATACTGTATGGATCAGCAGGGTAACCTACCCAAGCAGCTCATTTCGTTCGTCCTCGGCTTTGAGACCTAGATTCTCAATATCCTCGGTGACCTGAATCAACGGCGTGTTGAAGAAGCCTCCTATCCGCTTTCCTTGGTCCAAAAATTGCCCAACACTCATTCGTGCCTTTGGGCTTGGGTTGAGAAGGCGTTTGTACGTCTGGTGCATACTCGCGGGAATGCTCTTCAGTTGTACCAGCTGATCGCTGCTGCTGTAACTGCCGTTGCAGACCTCGAAGATCAACACACCGAAGTTGTACGCGTCGACAGCGTGTGTCGGATTCTGCTTGATGACCTCCCACCCTCCCTTGGAGACTTCCGGCGCCATATACCGGCCCGCATCAGGTATTAGACTGCCATAAGTTGGCAGTATAGAGTCGTCTTCCTTCACGGAGCTTAGCGCATCGAAGCCGCCGAGCTTCCACTCCCCACTTTCACTGAAGAATATCGAGGCCGGGCGGATGCAGCCGTGGATCGAGGACGCATCCACGTTGATGAACTTCAGTGTCTTTGCGACGGTGTGTAGCCCCCATTTGATCGTCTCCTCGGTGAGGCTCTTCCTCTTGACTTGCCAGCTCAGTGGGCTCAGTCTCTCGGTCGCAATGTATATGTACGTGTCCGTCTGCCATATTCAGCACTGATCGCGGCCAAGGCAGACTCTGTATATACCTCGACCGTATCCAAGACTTTTACGACGCCTGGATGACGCAGGGTTCGCAGCTTGCGAAGCGCATTACGAGCGAGCGGTAGTCGGGATTTGTTTGCAGTGATGTCGAAGGAGAAGATACTACACTTGGAGCCGTCTTCCTAGCAAGACGCAGTCAGTTGACGAGCACATGTGACTGCAGACACCCGGGCCATACTCGCTTTGTGCCGTTGTGCAATGTCCAGATGGAGTCGTCAATGTCCACACGGTCTCCGAAAGTGTAGCCAAATGCCGGGTATCCTTTTGAAATCGCCGACGCCACTGCCGATTTGAGAAAGTCCATGGCTAATGATCTATGCGAAAGCGAATGTCACGAAGCTGGTCGAGTCTACTTGCATTGCAACACCGCAGGCCCCGTGGCATCGAGCCTGTTATCGAGAGACACGTGATCGCGCGTCGACAACAGTAGTACCTCCCTTGTGGGGCTACGCCATTATCGCGTCTCTTTCCCCTTGCAAACCGCTTGGAACAAAGGAACTGGCGCACGGCCTCTCACCCTCTTCTTTGCTTCATCTGTCTTGCATGTCATCTCACAGCTCACATGGCTGCGTGGAAATCGTCGCCCTTCCGCCACCCTGAATCATACAACCATAACCGTCGCGTCACGGCACCGCCAGGTACGTGATATCCAAAGTTGTATATCCTCCACTACATGATGACTACTGGTAAAAGGTCAGATCGCGAACATTGTCGATGGTTTTCCTTTGGTTTCTCTTTTGAGACTTCTCGCTTCCGTGCGGTTCTTTACGTCGTGGGAGTATCAGCTTGCACGTAACTACCCAAGGGCGGGTCCAAAGAGGAAGCCTCCAATAGCGCGAGATGCTGCTCTACAAAACAATCTGAAAAAAAACTACAGAACTCTACATCACACTCACTTCTGAGAGGCAGAGCGCTGACTCTTCTATTCGACGAATTAGATCCATAGCTACCATCTTCCGGCAAGGGCTTTCTCAAAATGACCAATCCGAGCCGTGGTTCTAGGCACTTGCTCGCTGGACATAATGAGGTTGACCGAATTCGCCATTCAATGGACGCGAATGTATCCGGCCTCCGACCGAGTGATCTCAGTAGAGAACAACTGCGCTCTTCGACCAGGATATCACCACCTCCTCTGAAACGTCAGCGCGTAGACACCACTGTCTCCAACGTGCTTCCAAAGAGGCCAAGCTTGACTGATGTTCCTGCACAACCATCCTTACGTCCTGGCAAAGTCGAGTGTAGGTATGACATAACACACTTCTCACAACACACGATTGTTGACATGGCAAAGTTGCACCGGCCCCAGACATTCAGCATCATGCAAAACAGCATTTGCTCTACAGAATGGCAATCGGCCTAATGACGATATGATGCTAACCTCTGCCCCAACAGGTCGCCCTAACACATCCTTCAATTCTGGTTCATCGAGTAAGCGTACATGTCGCGTATGCGAAAAGGCATCTGCTACCAAGTATAACCCTATCATTACTTGTCCGTCCTGTCAAAGGCCATATCACGATAGCTGTCGAAAACCGCGCCTAGTCGAAGGGGTAGACCCGTAAGTACTTGCTTTGTTCCAAGATTGTAATCAACTGATGGGGTTAGGAAATGTTGGAAATGCTGGAAATGTCAAAGCAAGACTTCGAAGCGTAAGCCAACCAGTTTTGCTGCTTCGCGAGCTTCCCTATCGTTTTCCAAGGCAGCTTTCGACGCCCAAGTATCGTCAGAAGGGAGCGTTAAAGTCGCAACAAATGTAGACCCGGATGTATTATCGCGTTTGAATAACATCCACGTTCGGCCTGATCATGTCGTGGCTATGGCTGCGTCTGACAACTGCAATCACGCAATTCTGGACGCGACTCATGGTTCAAAGCCACCTTCAATAAATCTGTCGGTTTCTGAACGCAAAGATGAACAAGGAGAGCATTCTGATGGGACATGCAATGACCGGAGAAATTTCATCATCGATGAAAAGTCTAGCACGACTTTGTTGGACAAGTTGGTTCCTGCAGTCGATAATGAAGAACCTGGAATGTCTATTCTTCAATTCAAAGAGCCGAAGGCTACACTGAAACCCCCCGAACCAGTTCCTACCACGAGAATAGAACGCACAGAAATTCCGAACACGCCCACACAACGCTCAAGTCAAATATACATACCCGAACTGAGTCCTCGCAGATTGCCATCGCTCGACGACGATGTGTTTGGTGCAGATGACAACTCGTTGTTGGTTGAAAACCTTTTAGCTGAAGGAACTTCTTCTAATGCAGTGTCGTGCTCGCGGTGTCAGAAACACCAGCTTTTCGCAAAGAGAGGCAGCAAGCCCTTGACGTGGTGCGAGTCATCTTGCTCACGCAATTGTACCATTACTGATTATTCTAGTAAAACTTGTCATAGTCGGTCATTCACTGCTGACGCAGGACCGCTGGTAATACCAGAATCACCCGATGTGACGTCCTCTGATCGAGCGAAGACACAAAACAGCTCTCAAGCTCAGGGCCCTACGTCCAGCACTTCCAACCCCACCCCCGCAGCAGGCCCTGCTTCAAGTTTAGACTCACAGCCAGAGCTGATCGAGGATACTCACTATGCAGAAATATCTCGCTTGTCCTGCAAATTGGAAGAACCCTCGATCGAAGAGGACACCACGGACGTGGTTCAGACTGTCGACCGGGCCAAAGAAGCATCCACTTCAAATGCAGATGAGGGAAGCAGGACGCATTTGGTCGAAGAAGGTCCGGGCGATTCATTATCATATTCGATCATCACCAGAGACATGTCTGTGAAGGAGGAGCCCGAAAATACTATCACTCGAGTCGAGAATGTTAGCCAGTCGTCACCTTTACCTAGAGCTGGACGGGCAAATACGAGCGTACCTGACGAGTCGACCGCCGACCTCTCCAGACACACCACTTCTGCTACACTCATCGGCACCATACCCAATGCTCGATCGCCTCTGGCATCTCGAGTTTCTGGAAGCCCAATATGTGCTGCCACTGCTGCAAGTGTTGCCGAAAGTAACTATACTAATCGCGAGTTGACGAGAATAGCCTTAGTCGCTGCAAATGGCTTGCCTTTGACTACAGCAGAGATCGTTGCTTGGATACTACAAACATTACCTCATTTGCGCAAAAAAGGCGAGGGGTGGGAAAAGAGCATCTCAGCAACTGTTTCGAAATTTGATGAGTTTACAAGCTCCAATATTGTTGGGAGTTTGAAGAAGCAATACATGTTTCGCAGCGCAAGTCTGAGGGCACAGTACGAGAAAGAGTATTCTCGATACCATACCAAACCCGGATATCCTACTGCGCAATCTGGCTCACCATCAGCAACGGTCGATCATGACGATGTCACTGTCCAGCCTTGTAAGGAAGACAAAAAACCATCCAGGAGAGCTGTGAAAAGCGCTCCAACTCAAACTACCCGCGATCGTATCAAAGAGAAGCGATCACAACCTGTAGTACTTATAGCTAGAAAAAGCGCTCCCACAAAAGTTACTGCTGCACTACAAAAACTCGACCTAGCCCCCAGACTTAGCCGATCTATGAAAGCAACACATCCGAAGGACAACAGAAGTGATGACCCACAGTTCATACCTTTCGAACGCTCCGCATCGTGTCAACCACGACACACAATTGGCTTCAATCACGGAATGAAACGAGGAACAAGTCCACAATACTGGAAGTCGTCAATCGAGACAATGACCCAGGCGGACATTGATGAGAAAATTGCAGAGATCAAGACAAGGCCTCCAAGAAAAAAATTCTTCGGCCCGGATTATCGGCTAGCCCATGTGCGAAGATATGGGAGACAGGATGTACATGACGAGCGTGAGGGCATGTGGAAGCACGTCCTCTCAAATAGAAATGAGGTGATGGAGAGAGATGAAGAAAACTGGACCTTAAGGGAGGTCTTCAGCTTGCCTAAGAACGCAATTCCGATGAATGATGGACAAAGTGAACTCGCTTTTCGAGACGGTACCCTCGTGAGTTTGCGTGAGAATGATTGCAACTTCACAAAGCTGACGAGATCCAGGTGAACGGAAGGCTGCCGCGACCACGACAGATATACAAAGTTGGCAAGATGTTTGGGGGGGAATTGACTATCCGGACATCTTGACGGAAGGGGCACATCAATGACAGCTGGCATTAGTATTGGTCGGGATTGAAAGTACTATATTCGGCCTTTAGAAACATGGAGTATCACGTTTCTGAGCGACCGTGTCAATTCTACTGTGCAACAACCGCTTTCACGTACATGCCCTTGCACTTTGACAACCCAAGCGCGAAACGCTGACTTGCTACATCTCGGCAATCTCATTTGTCGGACACTCAGTTGCACATCCACCCGCCCACCACGGCACCTCCCATTCATTACCGATAGCCTCGAACTGCCTCATGTATATGCACATTACTCCATTTTTGTCCCAGCGCATCAGACGAATCAACGCCAACACTTGGATGGCGGCTCCTCTTACCGCCCGTTGTCCATAGTCGCGTCTGAAACAAGACCCGACGCGTTTCAAGCTCTCACAGCCAATCGCTACGCGACTGCCACACCTTGACCAAACCGGACTGGAGTGCTTGGATGCCCGAATCCAAGGGCCCTCAAAGTTCGCCTGAGGGTGGGAAAGCAGGTCCAGTCAGACGTTCTCGCATTGTCATGTTCGGTTGTCGTGCTGCTAGGCTCCGCAGCGCACGCTCGTTTCACCTTCACTTAGCGACTCCAGGTAGTTGTGGAGCAATGTGAGCCACTCAATGGCAGTATCATGAAATGCGCGAGCGCGATGGGCCTTGTTTGGAACTATTATGAGGCTCGCGACAACGATACACAGGCTAAGCTTTAGTTTTCTTCTTTAGGCCTGCTTCACCTCAGTTCTCTTTCTATTCTTCATCTTCATTCTCTATTGTTCGTTATTGTGCTATTGTTGAGCGGGAAGGCTTTCTGCCTCGCAGCCAGGGATATCTTTTCTACATTTCTCAAGACACCATCTTTCTTTCAATTTTTTTTAAACAATCAACGCTCGACGCGTCCTACTCGACTGCTGGACAGCCCATACACCAATCGCTACTTCCACCAGCTCTCCCGACTTCTTACGGCTCCGTCGACACATTGAAAATGGCACTCCTTTCAGCAGAACATCTGGCCGGCCCAGGATACATAATTCTCAATGTTGTACGTGGGTTGAACATCATCGCTCTCGCTTCTGTAGTGGCGAGCAGTGTGGTGATGCTTGTCAAGACCTTCGTGATTTCTAAGGTATGTGAGAAATTGAGACTCGGATCAGCTCAGAAGCTTATGTTGTTTAGTTCTACTTCTTCGACGCCACAAGTCACATCATTACCGGCCTTGCAGGCAGTAAGCTAGCTCATGTATTGTCAGTGAAACGGCAGGTCTAACGTTCTTCAGTGTTCCTCATCATTTCCGAATGCTCGCTCTTCCGTAACTTCTACGCTCGAAACTGGCCTCTTCTCAGCTCTAGGCATGGCTTCGTCACCTTGGGCTGCGCGATGATGGTATTGGGACTCAACACACTCGGCAACATGAACAAGCAGGCTACAAGCCAGGAGTCTTTGGGTATGCCTTTTTGGCGACTGTTGATCGCCTCTGGCATTATTGCCATCGTCATTGGCTTCTTCAACGTCGTGACTGTAAGTGCATTCATCTCGCACGGCAGACAGCCTTACTAACACTGCCCAGAGCTTCATCTTCCGGGACAAATCTCGCAACATTACCGCTCGTGGTGTCCGGTCTCGAGGCGCCATGACGCTCACTGAAGTCGACACCGAATCGCAATACGCCCAATCCCAATACGATCCTAAGCACAAAGCGTTTACCATCACTACCCACCACACTGGCAGCAGCTCTTCCCGCACACATGTCGGCGGTACACCTCCAATGCGTGCGGGTACACCACCTGTCAACTGCGGTTCGCCTCAAATGGCTGCACAAAACAACGATCCCAACCGTCTCTCACAGTTTAACTTCAGCCCCATTCGTGCCTTCCACAACGCGCGCCAGTCTTTTCTCCCATCGTATCACAGCACAGCGCCCACCAAGCCTAGTATATTTGGCCGACGACCAACCTCGTCGCTCTACTCGAGAACAACATCCGGCGCCGAGCCATCGAGAAAGAAGTTCTGGCAGCGACAAAAGGAACAAGAGGAGATCCCGCAAGTGCCTGAGATCTCGTACCCACTCAACGTCAACCCTCAATTTGCGCACTTGGTTAAACCAAACCTTGCGCATCATCCGAGTCTGAGGAGACCTGAGGCAGACTTTGATAGAATTTGAACTTGTTGCGAAAGGTTGGCGTTTATACAGCAGAACAACCCACATGCAGCTTGATGCATGATCACTTTATGATACCACTTTCTTTTCTCATCGGCTGGCTTTCCTATCCCAAGATGTCATGTCATGTCAGGTTCATGGTTTTAGCGGCCCGTCAATATCATCGGGCAGGCGTTCATGCTTTCAGGCGTTACATAAAACTCGACTCGATATTACGGTGCAGATGCCCATCGTGGCGCACATTATGTTTATTTTATTATGAGTACACAGACAACTACTTTACTACTATCAATTTCGTATTCCTGACGAGCGTGACGGTGCTCCGTTACATCCCACTCAAAGAGAGTAGACGAGCAGCCATTTGAAGGTTTCTAGCTAAACGCTTGCATGCCAGCAACTGCGCTCAAGACGTTTGGTATACCCAATGCCCTTGTTCTTCTTGGGCTGACGTTGTACATGATGCGATAATGTACAGCTATATATATATACACATGTTACACGGCAAATCGCTGCCCTCACCTTACTCGACACTCGATTCACAATCGGGTCCTATCTTGTACAGCCTGCCAAATTGATTGCAGGCCTAGAGATCCTTGCCGTGCCTTCGATGCACTATGTTCTGAACACCTCCGATGCGTATCATCCCTACTATCCAACCGGGTCCATAAACGGATCAATGGCGTTACCCTCAGGATCATACAACTCTAGCTTCCGCCCATCCTCCATGGTCAAGCTGTACTCCTGCGTGTGATACAATCCACCTCTACCCTTCCTCCTGCACCTTAACCTCACCTCCCCATTGCTCTTGGTTCCCTTGACTGAAAACCTGATGTCGATCTTGCCATGCACCTGATTGATGTCGCCGCTGATCCAGGGGTACTTTGACGCAAAGTAGATCTCGTCACCTAGCTCGGAGCGGACGAGAGGATTTGTGCGCAGCGCATAGAGTGTCGATGTGACAACGGAGGACTCTTGTTTTTGGTAGTTGAAGAAGACGGCCATGGACACTGTCATTGCGAGGATGAAGAGCGGAAAGGTTTTTAGGACTTGAGGGGAGATGAAGGGCGGGACGCTGAGGAGCATGTTAGTACATGTGCGCGTCCTGGGAATCCGAAACGTACGGTGGCAGCTCACGGTTTGGCTTGCGCTCCATAAGGATCTCGCCATCTTTTGGCGGCGGAATCAGGTTCTCGGGCGCCCATACGCTGTGTGGCGTCTTCCAAGGTACGACGGGTTTCGACAGGTCACTCGCCGGAACGGTCGATGCGCAGCGGAGGTGTGCGGCGCGGAAAAGGCATTGGTATCTGGCCTGGGGGCGCGCTCGCAGCAACGAGGAACAGATTCGTGGGGGAGGCATTGTACGAGCCTAAATATGGAATGGTGGCTCTGCCGACGGTGAGCTCGTGAGATCAGGTGGTGGTGGTGGTGGTGGTGGTGGTCTTGTTTGCATGGTTTGCGCCATCGCTCGTCGGCTCGGCTTGCCCGACGACTTGTCCTCTCTAACACCCTCACATTAGACTTGTTAATCACACAACGTCTGAACCCTAGCATGCACATATATCAACGACACGATACCTAGCCGATGTGCCAATTAGCTAGAGGGGTTGAGATTGCATGCCGAGGAATGTGTTGGACAGCCAGCGTCTGCGAACTAGGAACTGCTTCTACACAGACTCTCGGCCAATCGCAATACCAGGAACCAGGGTGCAGTGAAATCATGCAACAGCTTGACAACTACTACTAAGTTTGGTGTAGGACTCTTGCCCATGAATTTTAAGCAGTATACGCCTTGTGTGTAATTGAATAAATTTTAGTTGTGTTGTTTTACGGCTTGTAGGAGCCACAAATAATGTAGTTTACTTCCCTCTTTTACAGTTGACCGAGAGACAGGTACGAGATATCTGTGACTGTCAGTCATGATTGTTTCCTATCTTTACTAGTCTATCAGCATCATTGCGTATTTCGAGACTTTCGTTTCTCCCATCTTCATCCGTCCCTTTAGACGACCTTCTCTCGCTCTCTTTCTCAACTTCCTGTGGCATATCCATGTGCGTCTCTCCTCAGAAAAGTATGTTCAGGAAGAAATGTGAACCATACGAGCAGCCGCAACGTCTCAAATCATTGCTCAGAATACCAATGCGTGTACACAGCTAAAGCCAGAATGGAACTCATAAGAGCGCTCCGTCGTACCAAGCAACATGGTGTAATTCAGGTCACTCGCTACACGGATGCCCGAGTGTGAAATTCTATGAATGCCTATTGTCAGCTTTGCGACACAAACAACGACCACACTAGCGTTCACGCTAAGGGCTGCTCCTACTTCACCTGGACACGCTTTCGCTCACGTACCTCGTTCAGACTGCAGCTCCAAGACCCTTCCCTGCACCGTGACTGCTATCCGCACTGAGCCACTCACCATGCCAGGTCTCTCAATGCGCAAGGGACCAGCTGTGTCTCTGGTCCAGGATCAGGATATCACTCTCGTGGACGACACTGATGCGGACCTCACCATCACAGTCATCGGCGCGGCCGAAGAAGGCGGCACCAGGTATGTGACTGACATACTCGTCTCTTCGAAAACTTGCGAGCAGTCTCCCTACCTGCGCGCGCTGCTCAATGAGAGCGATGACAAGACCGAGATCACCTTAGGCGGAGACGCCAAGTCGAACGAGGTTGGCGAGAACAAAGAAGGGATCCTCGTGTGGTTGGCTCATCTTCACGGACTGACTCAAGAGCGTATGAAAGAGCTGGGACTTTGGCAGATATCTCTTCTTGGCGTCTGGCATGCTATCAGCTCATGGGACCTGCACCAGGACCCCAAAGTCAAAGAGAACCTGGGCGCCTGGTTCAATAATTGGTATGAGTCCAACATGGCCGGCGTTGATCTAACTATTCCCACGGCACGAGCTCTTGCCTACCCGTGTTACATCTTCGACCACGCCGTTGGCTACGCCCGCGTCACAAAGTACCTCGCCTACAACCACATTGGCCACGTCAAGGAGCGCCCGCCTAAGGGCTTTAAGGGGGGCAGGCATCACCATATTGGCGAACGCCAGTTTCTAGGTGAGTTAATACTCTGTAGAGCCTCACCGTCGACCCTTTACTGACGTATACCAGGGCCCATCAACCACGCCCGCGGAGGTCTCAGGAACACTCTCCATAAGAGTTTGTACAGCAAAGTCGGCAGGCTCCTGCGATTCGAGACGGACATGTGTACTTGCTGGGATGCTACAATCGGACGCTATCAGTATGTGTTACGGGGACCTCCATCTGACTGCCGGTATGAGAAGATTCAGCTAACCCAATGCCTTAGGTATGCTCTGACCAAGATCGATGCTTGGCCAGTCGACGATGTCCTCAACCACAGCAGCATCAGCCAGGTCGTTCGCCGTTTGAAGGGCTTCCAGTATAACCATGTCCCCAAGTGCAAGCGATGCCGTGGTATAGACTGGGAGACTATCGTTCTCAAGGCACAGTCCAACACTGATGGTTACTTCAACGGTATGTGTCTCGATTGCATGGATCGGAGCAAGCCAAAGGGCGAGGATCTTGATGATGAGTACGAGAAGCACAATGAGAGCGTTGGTGGTCGCTGGGATACTCGTTGCCGTATCAAGCATGGCCAACCCACCTGGTACATATCCTGGCTTGGTCGACCAGACACCCGCGAGAAGATCCTTCGAGGACCAGAGGGTTATCGTCCTCGTGAGGAGGAGTGAAAGTGAGCGCTCGTAGGCAGAGAAGATGACACATATGTCCGGCGAAAACTATGGTTGACACCATAACATCAACTATGGAGGGCTCTTCATGTATTGCGAATGGCCCGATCGGGCATGTAGTGTAGAAGCAATGGGCTATGATCGATCGTAGGTATGGCATATTGATGAGTAGTGTACAACAAATGGAAAAGTCTTCGCTAGTTTCATGCGATGTTAATTGGAATGGCTTGTGGGTCTGCTATATAAATCGTGAAATCGTAAGTCCGTTACTATCGTCTCTGAGATGTTTCCTCGTCGATACAAACCCCTAACCGCTAACAATAGTTCCGCCGTTGGCGTGAATGGTCTGTCCGCTAATTGAACTGCTGTCACTGGAGGCCAAGAAGACAAAGCATGTTGCAATCTCGCTGGGCTGAGACGGCCTCCCAATAGGCGCGGTAAAGTTCTTCAATGCCTCCTCGTTCATCGTCGCTGGAATAAGTGGTGTCCATACTGGTCCCTGTACATTGTCAGTGTGTGGTCACTTGTCGATGCTTGACTAAACTTACAGGCGCGACAGCGTTGACGCGGATACCCTTGGAAACGAACTGGTTCGACAAACCACGAGTGAAAGAGATGATGGCGCCCTTGGTCGATGTGTAGTCCAGAAGATCTGGGCGACCGATGTAGGCATTGATTGAGGCGTTGTTGATGATAGTAGCGCCCCTCTTCATGTGTGGCAGAGCGTACTTTGAGAGGTAGAAGAAGGGGTGAATGTTGGTGTTGAAGGTGTGTACCCACTGATCCCTGTTCATTGTTAGTTTCTGTCTGTTGTCTAGATTCAGGTCAAACTCACTCATCGAGATCCTTGATGTTCTCAACCATCATCTGGTAAGCGTGGTTGTTAATCAAGATGTCGATACCGCCCATCTGTTTCAGTGCCTCATCGATAACCTTCTTGCAGTTCACACGGTCCTTCAAATCGGTTGGGTAGCAGTAGCATTTTTGACCCTTGGCCTCGACCAATTTCTTAGTTTCCTGTGCGTCTTCCTCCTCCTCGGGCAGATACGCAATGAAGCTATCAGCACCCTCCATGGCGAACAAGATCGCAATTGAGCGGCCAATGCCGGAGTCTCCGCCAGTGATGATGGCCTTCTTGCCCTTGAGCTTGCCAGCGGCCTTGTAGAGCTCCTTGCCTCCTTCGGCAGTAGGTAGGTGGTCTGGCTCTGGCTCTGGGTCCATCTTGCCTGTCCAACCTGGGGCCTCCTGATGCTGTACCTTGGGCTGGTAGCCTGTAATGCAGTATCAGCTTTGTATTTTGGATGCAACGCTATCAGGCTTACCTGGCTCGAATTGTCCTTTGTCAGCCATGGTGTAGTTTGGTATTTGTGTAGGATGCGTGAATTTTTGGAAAAAGGAATTGTATACACGATGGTTACAGGCGTTGAGATGGTGTTGTTAGAGAGTGTAGTTTTGTGCGTTTCGAGCTTCAATTTTCCGTGACATCACAACTTTGTCACGGCGCGTTCATAACGTCGTTTAAGGTGGAGCTACTCCTCATGGAATACGAATAGAAGCGTCTGGAAGGAAAGGAGCTGGATCACTTATCTGATACATATAAGAACGACCTCATGCTTCTTTCTCTGTTGTATTATGCTGATCCTCAAGCTGCAACATGCCAACCGTCGACCGGAAGCTAACTTACGCGTCAACACAGCTTTCGGAAAGATCATCAAATATGCTAGAATCCCATTGACCCTTGACAAGACTGTGAAGAGGGAGAGCTGCTATTTTCTGATAAAGACTTGTGCGATTGGAGCACACGCGCCTTTTTTGTGGTATCAACAGCGGCGAGCGCGTGGGCCAGTACGTTCCCGCCAAGGGCCAACCTTTCCAGCGACGTCACTTATCGCGATCAAATCACCAAGTCCTTGTAAGACCCCCGCTGGATCCTTTCGGTTACACGGCTTCGTGTTCGAGAAACGTTGTTGCTATGACGGGGTTGAAGCTATTCGCGGATTTATGACGTAGTCGCTGTTAGAATCAGGGTCCAGCCGTTGCTGCGCCTTCTGTCCAACAACGTCTCCACCAAACCCTGCCATGATACTCGAAATCGCAGGGTGCCTTGGATCATGTCCCGGTAAGCCACGAGGTCTGATACGCCAGCCGACATCATGCGCCACAAGTTTCCCTGCATGACGTACCTCTGCTACAGGTAGGGCTGATCATATCATTTCCGGGGTATGGAAGGCAGAGAACTTGATTTTCAAGATTGGACAAGAAGGTCCGAAGTCATGGTAAGAGCAAGCATATAAAGTCGTGTACCACTCGCTGGAACCACATCGACAACCAAATAAACCAATATTGCAAAAGCCTATCCAAATCGACTACCTCCAACTTTCGAAAACAACACCTTCTCCCAACACATACAATCAACATGCCTATCATGCGTAAAACCGCGCCCCGTACCACCCATACCGTTGCGCCGCGGACTACACGCACAACACGTTCTGCTGCTCGTCCTAGCCTCAAGACCAAACTCCTAGGTGGAAAGCGCACTGCACACCGAGCACCTGCTACAACGACAACGACCACGACCACAACCCGGACTACTCGAACTCACGGTACTACGCATGCCCAGGCAGCCCCTGTTCACCACCACAAGCGCAAGGCTTCCGTAGGCGACAAGGTCTCCGGCGCCTTGTTGAAGTTGAAGGGTTCATTGACTGGCAAGCCAGGCGTCAAGGTAAGAAGAACGCACGATTGTACTGTCTCGTACTAACAACTCTATAGGCTGCTGGAACGCGCCGTATGCATGGCACCGATGGACGCAACGCTCGCCGAGTCTACTGAGGTTGATCTGTTCGGGGCAAAAGTATTCGTTGAGATCCCTTTGCCCTATGATTTCATGACTTGTACTATATCGATGCACGATACCCTGCGCTTGTAGCTTTTGTTGATACAATTAATACTTCCACATACCATATCTATCCCCATTTTACGTGCTCTATTTATCTTTTTAATACTTGCCTATTGAGCGTCTACCATACGTGGAGATGTAGTGGCTGCCGTGGTTACCAAATGTATGATGTTATCTATACATTCCAATATCTTACGACTCACTTATCGGCGGAAAGACTATTGTGCATGTTATTTATAATCATCATCTTCATATTACCTAATTACCTCTTCATTTGATACAACTGGACAGCTTTCGACGTGAACTGCACCAACCAACGCTATGACTGGTCAAAGAATGATAAAATGTGAGAGAAAACATTAGTGAATCGAACGCCAGGCAATAGCAGTTGTCAATTAGAATAACGCTACATGTTCGCTATACAATATATGTTGTGGCTGAAACGCCAAAATAGACGTATATGCAACCCGGATGATGTGTCCTCCCGCATGTCTCTTGCTTTACAATAAACATCTTGCTCAACGACAGCGTCAGTGCTACATTGTTACTCTTGTCCTGGTCTCTGGATTGCTACCATGGACCCATCCTTCATCTTCCGCATGAGACTGTTCAACTTTCCACTTTTTCCTTCAATCTGCGAGCCAGACACCGGTGGCCCTTGGTATGGCGTCTTCGTACCCAAAGGCTGAGGCTGAAACGGAGGTTGAGCGACCTCAAGCGATGGCCGAGAGCGGTGAGAAAACTGTGCAGCTTCGATTTCGGAGCGACCGGCTTGGATAGTTGCCAAATTTTTAGCATGTGCAGCCGAATCAACACCACCATAACGTCGGTCGAAGGTATCGTTGAAGGTCCCGCGAAGTGTTTCTCCAGCGCCCTGTGCATCCAGTCAGTAAGTATGTCCAAACACAATTCGTAGGTATAGGAAGCTTACATGAATTCCAGCCGCAGCCAGCTTCAGGTTTGCCAAAGTTGATTGCCTCTGCGGATAGTCCTGAGTTTGCATTGAACCCTGCCCCACTGGTACCCTCACAGGCGCAGGATGGTTCAGATCACCATATGATCGCGATCCCCCCAAAGGTTGTTGAGGAGTTGAGAAATGCTGAGATGGAACGTGGCGTGGCACTCCCTGAGGCGGCGCTCTGGCAGGATAGGAAAAGTTTGCTCGTGTAGGACTACCCGCAGTCATGGGACTGACCGGATCGGCCATGGGATTGGGTCTCTCTACTCCAGGAGATACAGAGTCCAGTTCGACCCTGTTTCGTATATTGCTCTTGGTTGGTAGAGGTGGGGACGAGCTTTCGAGGTTGGACACCTGCGGTGCAAGGCTTTGGCCTTGGCTGTGACCTTGACCCAGGCTTTGGCCGTGACCGTGGTTATGGTCGAGATTGTGGTCGTGACCGCGATCATAACCGTGACCGTGATCATGATCGTAACTATGATCGTGATCGTGATCGTGACCTTGACTTTGGCCTTGACTTTGGCCTTGACTCAGGCTTTGAGTGTGACCCAAACTTTGACCCTGACGTAGATACGTAGGCATTGGTGGGACAGAATCTCCAGGTATTGAGATGTGAGGCTGGTGATCTGAGCTTTGCTGGTAATGCCCCGGGTTTTGTTGATAGCTGGCGAGCACAGGAGGTGCTGGCGATGGAGGGCTTGGACCAGTTGTACTGGTTATGCTACCTCGCAAGGGATCCGTGCCAACAGGCTGCTGCACCACTGTAGAGCCTCCTGGGCCGGTCGTTGTAGTAGTAGTGGTTGTTGTAGTTGTCACCGTAGTGACTATATTGCCAGTACGGATGTCTTGGTGTGTTTCCCTAGAGATATTCTCCTGGCTCGCATAAACGGGGTTGGGAGGTGGAGCATAGCTCTCTTGTGCAGGCGGAGTTGGCGCGGTTATGCTTGTCGTAGGTGCTTGGGTTGACGCAGGAGTCGGCAGAGGAGTTGGATGCCATTGCTCTCCAGATGCAGGGCGCGGATTACTTGCAAAGCTTGGATTTGCACTGGTACTGGGCTCGCTGCTACCGTACGCAGAGTCTACGTTCGAATCCAATCTTTCCTTGCGATCGTTGGACTTGTCGTTGGGCTTGTCGTTGGGCTTGTCGTTGGACTTGTCCGTGTACTTGTCGTTGGACTTGTCCATGTACTTGTCTTTGGAATGAAATGGGTTAGACATCCGCCATTTGGATCGTCTTTCCTTCTCCGCGGCAGACATGTTGTTCGGCGCAAGGGGTTGTGATGTGTTGGCTGATGGCGTATTGAGGGCTCCAGACATATGCGCAGACGTGGCGTCGTTTCTTTCCCGGCTCTTTCGTTTCTGGAGTTTGGCGGGTGGTCGTGAAGACCCTTCCATCACCAATCAACGGCTACCGACTTAGAACACAATACGCGTCGAGGACAATCTTAGACGCGGTAGGTGCTCGAGACTCGATGTGACACAAAATAGACAGAGTTGAAGTGAGCAGAGAGAGGTAAACGGTTTCCATGAGAAGTGGTGCAGATGTCGAGGCCCGCGCAAGAAGCAGGGCTTCTCTGCGCGTCCCACCCCATGATATCATACAGAAGTCTGTGGCGTAAGCCGACTGTGGCACCCAATAGGCCAATGGGTAGCGGATATAAGCCTGGGGGAACCTCGACTCCTTGACCAACCGGTCGAGTTCAAGAGCTGGAATGCAGGGTTGTTGATGCTCGATGGCGTAGGCGGGGTCTTCAAGCCGCTGTCAGCCCAGGTCAGCCGGTTTCCACGCGCGCTACCAACCTATCTTCACAGCGACTCGTGCAACGTCGAGTAGGACATCTGGCCAAGTTTGCATCTACAAAGTTCTGGTGTGCTTTGCAGTAGCGATGCGTGCATGATCAAAATCCCTTGTGATTCGACCTGCTGTTTGGATGCCCGTCATGTCAGCTTAGACCCCGCCCGCTCGTGCCAAATAGCTAATCAGAAAAGATTTTGTCACTTGAAAACCCCTTTTCTTTAGCGCCTACAGACCCTAGGATCTGGTACCTGACAAGCACTCTTGCGCACAATTCAAGACCCCGGCCTCTGGCTAATGCTATCCGATCATGGCGGAGACGATCGGCTTAGTCGCAAGTGTCCTCCAGCTCGCCAGTACGGGATTAAAACTCTCTCAAACGCTTTACCAGTATGCCGATGGAGTTGCAACGGCCGATCGCAGGATCAAGGGCATCGCCAAAGAGATCCAACTCACTAGTTACGTGATCGAAGAACTGGGAGTTGTTTTCAAGCAGGATGGAACAGCATCGTTGATCTCCAAAAACGCGCTCAAGGCGGCTGATGAGACCATGAAGGAATGTTCCTCGGTGTTTGCAGAAATAGATGCAACTCTCCAGAAGAGCAAGAAGAAAACAATTGGTCGTCTGATGTTACCATTTCGAGACAAGAAGATCGAACTATTGCGAACCCATATCGACACGCTAAAGAGCACGCTGCAACTTCTGATGCAGGTGCTTACTCATGCACACCAGGTCGCATCTAAAATGCTAGACCAAGAGGCTGTAGTCAAGCAGCGTGAGCAGATAAAAGAGATGCTAGAGCTCAAAAAAAGGTCAGATGAGCGGTATGAACAATCGCTCAGAGATTATAGCATGAGCGAAGGTAGTACCGTTCTCGATCTCGAAGATTTAGATAAGGAGAGCGGAGATCCCAGTTCTGCCGATCATCTTACTGTGGCCACTCTGGCTTTAGGTTCAACCATCTCGAACGAGTCTCTAGGGATATGTGTGCAACACATACGTAACTTACTCGATGATATTGAGGCCTTGCAGCAAGCACTCACCATACAGGTCAACGGTGATGATCACTCTGGTTATCATCAGAGCGTAGTGGGATCCTATTTTCGCGCTCGCGGTTATTTTGATAGTATTCTCCTTGGAAATCCACACACCGTGCAAGGGAATTTGCCTGATAGCACGGCGCAGGGTCGATTGTCTCGTAGCAATATCTCAGTGGACAAAAAGCTAGCCCAGCTGAATGAGAGGGCAGAGACCAAGGTAACGGAGCTTGAAAACTCGACGAGGAAACGTGTACAGTCAGTATTAGAGCCTGATCGGCCAGATGACAAACAGCACCCTCCTATCAAACTCCAAGATACGATGGGTAGGAAATATGTTCTTCCCTTCCATCTTCACAAAACTTGGAAAGTACGTGCTTGCCGCTAGACTCGATAAAGGAGGAGTTAAAACGTGGGGTAGCTCTGACAAAGTGCACAGGACATACACAACCTCATCATACAGATATATATCGACGTGGATGAGTGGAGCCGACACGCTGTAGAGGGCAGCTTCGATTTGATCAACGCCGACGGAGAGATTATGATGCCAGCGTATTGGAACTTTGTCATTTGTCCGGGCTCATTTGTGATTATGAAATTCTGGCCATCGTGCAACCAACTCAGATCGCACAATGCGCCTCGCGTCTCAGATATGAATCTGGACCAGGATCTGGAGAATGACTTGCAATTGCACTTGGGACAAGAGGTGAAGCCGGAGCCAGAAGAGCAAATATGTCAGTTGGAAGCAGATACCATGCCACAAGTCCAAGACGATATCGACGCCAACCTCGCAACACTGAGCGATACACGCAAAGCCGCCCGTGTGGATAACTCGACATACGAAAGAAGTCAATCGAGACCAATAGAGCAAGGGTTTCACTACTTCGCCCAGAGACAACCATCCCCTGGTCTATTTGCAAATGGCCTCGACTGGTTCGGCGCGCCGTCGAACATAGCAACATCGGATTTTACTAACAATGGGGCGTCTACCTTTGGCCTTGACAGTGAGTTTGGGTCGAGGCCGGAAGCTCGGCGACTGCCACCTCCGCCACCTCGTTTTAGTCACGATGCATTTCCCGTACCAGTAACGTCTTCAGCGGCTTGGATTCCAAGCGGAGATTCATTCGGCCTCGGCTCACCGGTACCAAATTTGCACTATCCGACGAAAGAGAAAATCACGAGATCGGACGAAGCGAAGACGAGTGCAATTGTAGGCGCGGATGATGAGGTCGATGAGCTGTTGAAGGAATGGACCACTGTTTTTGGATGAGTGAGAGGCCAGTAACTGCTGAGTACACGGAGACACGTAGTACGAAACAGACCAAACCAAACCAAAATAAAACACGATCAACATTCAACGAGAATCAGGAAGGCTTATTTTTAGTCAAATCCCAAGTGCATATGCAACAGCCGTGTTCAGGTAAGTACCTCGAGCATCCAAGACCACCATTTTCCACGATATTCTCGTTCCTACAATTTCCGATCTCTCATTTCCCACATTGGGTTCCAGTCCCATCCAGCCACTCCACCACACCGAGAAAACCTCCGGTCCCACACGGCGTCCGCCGAGACCCTCTTCTATGCCGCTGCCACACGACGTGTGCACCCTAAGATTCTATTACTCGATACGTGCACAATTCGTATGACCGTTTGGTCAAGTGCGGCCCCGATGAGTATGCGAAAATAGTCACAGCGCGGCAAGAACAGCTATGCTTTTCGGGCGAACCGAGTCCGATTGGCTGTTACTTCTTCGCGCTTTCTTTTCAATGGTTGCTTCTTATTGAAGCTGCTTGTGCCATGACGTAGGCGTGTGGCGGGGTAGCTACTGGAGATTCAAGGGAAATAATTAGATATGGAAGTTAAACAGAAAGGCTCGACAAGCAAGTCGCGGCATGTTTTGAAGTTACTTCATGATCATTCTATCATTCTATTCGTTAAAGGTATCTAAGTATTTACATCGAAAAGGTTCAACCCGAATTCCGTGCTCCAATATTAGCAAATGTTATGATTGCAACCGAAGACACTAGACCCGGATACGGAGACAGTCCGTCCAGCGGAGTCTCGCTCACCACCAGTCACCCTGATCCTTCATGGCAGCTGCGACCTTGCGGAAGCCAGCGACGTTGGCGCCAGCCTGAAGGGATGGGAACTCGCCCTCGGCAGGGGTGATGTACTCCTTGGCAGTCTCCAAGCAGTTGTCGAAGCATGCCTTCATGATGCCCTTGAGCTTCTCGTCAACCTCCTCAGATGTCCAGGACAGACGTTGGGAGTTCTGAGCCATCTCAAGACCAGAGACTGCTACACCACCAGCGTTGGCGGCCTTGCCGGGAGCATACCAGATGGCCTCGCCCTTCTTCTCCTTTCGGTGGCCCTCAAAGACCTCAATGGCCTCTTGCGTGCAGCCCATGTTGGAGCCCTCGGCAATGAACTTGGCACCGGCTTCGATGAGAGCCTTGGCCTCGTCCTCGGAGACCTCGTTCTGGGTGGCGGAGGGCAGAACGACGTCGACCTTGCTCACCTCCTTCCATGGACGGGCGCCGTCGACGTACTTGTAGCTGCTGTTTCCAAGCGCAGTCAGAGCCTTACGCTCCAGCTTGAGTGTGGCGATCTCGCCAATGACCTCTGGCGTGAAGCCCTTGTCGTCGGTAGCGATCAAAGCGCCCTTGCTGTCGCTGAGGGAGATGACTGTACCACCAAGCTCGATGACCTTGAGGGCAGCATACTGAGCAACGTTTCCAGATCCAGAGATGGCAACGCGCTTTCCAGAAAAAGACTCCTTTCCACCAGACGCGTACTTGATCATGTGTTCGACGTAGTAGACGAGACCGAAGCCAGTGGCCTCGGGTCGGATCAAGCTGCCTCCCCACGAACCACCCTTGCCGGTCAGGACGCCTTCCCAGCGGTTGCGCTCTGCCCTGTATGTGCCGAACAAGTAGCCGATCTCACGACCGCCGACGCCGATGTCGCCCGCAGGTACGTCAGTGTCAGCACCTGTCATTTACGTAAGTTTGTGGTCCCAATTGGATGGTAGCAACGCCTTTGCCGACTAGCGCGTGCAATAGGCGCGGAGAGGGAAAGACTTACCGATGTGCTTGTTGAGCTCCCTCATGAAAGAAACGCAGAACTTGCGGATTTCGTTGTCCGACTTGCCCTTGGGGTCGAAGTCGGCACCGCCCTTGCCACCGCCCATGTTGACTGTGCAGCGTCGTCAGTGTTCGCGTCCCAGCTTCCACAGCACGGCATCACTTACGGCCAGTGAGGGCATTCTTGAAGATCTGCTCAAAGCCCAAGAACTTGAGGATGGACAGGTTGACAGTGGGGTGGAAACGGAGACCGCCCTTGTAGGGACCGAGGGCAGAGTTGAATTGCACACGGTAGCCCTTGTTGACCTGGCACTCGCCCTTGTCGTTCTCCCACACAACGCGGAACTGGATGATGCGCTCGGGGATGGAGACAACCTCGAGGGCCTTCTTGTACTCGGGGTTCTTCTGGAAGAGGGAGGAGTTCTCGAGGGTGGAGACGAGCTCTGGAGCCAGTCAGTCATGTGCAGATGCAATCGGACCCGTTGGCAGGCGACAGCCCCATGGAGACATGTGCCTAGTGAGAGGATGTGCGGAAGGTGACTTACCCTTGCGGGCTTGCTCAAACTCAGGCTCGGACATTGTGAATGAAGATGTGGGTGTTGGGTAAGGGAGTTGGGTATCTGGTGCTGTGGAGGGGGAGTTTGGGAAATGGCAGCAAGGCAGGAGCAGAGGCGTATAAATATGTTACTAGACGGGCACGGCTGCCAGAGCAAGCTTCTTGGGTGTGGCGGGGTGAATTTGGTGGAACGGGTGAGGCAATGACATGGGATTAGGAAACGTCAGTGACCGAATGATTGCGTCCGGAGACAGTCTATCAGTGGTCAGTGGCTGCCACCAGCGCCGTTGCGACTTTCACCATGCAAAACCATGGTGTCGTTCATAGAGATAAGGACGTCGAGCCAATCGCAGCTGTCGCGGGGGCGTCTGGCGGCCACAGGGGGCGCCAGTTCTGCTGTCATTGCAAATCGTCATGTACCGTAACAAAGACAGCCGAACTCGGCGTGAACGGGTGGTGTCGGGTTGCTGCTACGTTGGCTTCTGGGGTTTGGTTTCTTGGGACGCGACCCGGGCAGGGTCTGAGGAGCGGGGTTGCCATTGAGCGATCGCGGGCGCTACAACTCCGCCCTACAAAAAAAGGCAGGGGCCAAAGTGCACCGTGATATTACAACAACTAGACACTGACGGCTAGGACAAGTGTAAGAGTCTGGTACTTGAATTATGGGCATTATACGCCTAGCACGCACTTTTGCAGGATTGTATTCTCGTGGTTATAAGGCTTTTGAGGGCTACACAGACGGCAACTTGTCTCCCGCTTCTACACTTGACTGCGAGCGCGTTTCCTCGGAGACAGCCCCGCGACGCGTGTGTCCCACGTTGGCTGCCGTGGGAAATGCTCCAGCACCAATGCCGTGCTTGCAGCCCTCCACCCCCCTGCACTCCATCCCACGCACCTCACTCAATCACAGTCTGTGGGGTCCCAATCTGGAGGGGTACGCGTTAGTCTGTGTCGCCGAAATCGCTCGTCTCCATCGCAGACATTGAACGCGAAAACTCACCAGTAACCAAATACTCGTCCAGTGCATCCATCTTCGCCATGTCGTCCGCCTCAATCTCGAAGCCTCCGACCTCTCCGTTCTCGACAATCCGCTCCTTCCTCACGCTCTTTGGCAACGGCACATAGCCATGCTGTAGGCTCCAGCGCACCAGAAGCTGCCCAGGAGTGCATGCGTACTTTTTGGAAAGTGATAGGATTGTCGGGTGCTTCATCTTCAGCGCTCGCACAAGCGGGGCATAGGCCTCGACGACGATGTCATTTTCCTGGCAAAACGAAGTGATGTCTTTTCGCGTATTGAACGGATGCACCTCGATCTGGTTGATGGCAGGAACAATCTTGGGGCGCGAGTCAAGGAGTTCTTGCAGCTGTGTCCCTGTCAGCCTTTTTGGCCCAAAACAGTGATTGCCTACTTGCATGCTTCACTCCGTAATTGGACACGCCTCCAATCTTGACCTCGCCGTCGTTGATTGCATCCTCGACCGCTCTCCAGCTGTCAAGTCGCGCCTGCTTACCACCGTAAGGCGAATGCAAGAGAAATAAGTCAAGGTAACCAAGGCCGCACTCCTTGACGGATTTTTTGATAGACTTGCGAGCTACGTCATACGCAGAGTTGGAATCCAGCTTCGAAGTGTAGTGGATATCCCCACGGGTCAAAGACTGAGTGTTTGCCTCACTTGAGAGGAAATCCGAGATGGCCTTCCCGGACTCCTTCTCGTTGTGATACATCTGGGCCGAATCGATACTGTGGCGTAATCAATCATCAATAACCACACCAGGCCAAATGCCACGACAGCATACCCTCGATATCCAGCCTCCAGCGCCCATCGAACAGCCTGGTACGTCTCTTTTCCAGACGTCAGATACACACCAAGGTGTATCGTTGGTAAAGACAGTCCATTGGAGAGCTACAAAGGTCAACGAGATTGTTTTGTTAAAGATGGGCTGATAAACACCTTAGTACGCGAAGCTAATGAGAAAGTGCGTTGTGCCATCTTTGAGACGCTGTGAACGGGATTGCGCAGAGAAAATATGATTTGTGAGGCGGCGCCGGAGGTAGATGGTGGCATCGTTTAGGTACACTATCGCTCGTGCCAAGGCACTTGATAAACATTTCTTTTTACAGCGATCAGTCGCGTTTAACCAACTATATCGCAAAGGCACATCTGGCATAGAAATGAGCTTTCGTTCCTGCCTTGCCTGTTCTGAGAAGAACTATTCGTTCGAAACTCTAGTTTCGTTTACATTCGACGAATGAAGACGTGGAGGCGTTCGAGGCGCATGTCGGTTCTCGAGTCCATGATGACAAAAAGGGATCTGAATCTAGATGCATTTCGGCGCCTCCGGTATCTCTGGGGTATGCAACAATCCTCCAGCGCCGCAATGAGCACATGCAAATCAGCAACACCACGGCAGTGGACTGCCGGGAACGCACGGTCAAAAATTACAGAGGTTCTGCGCCCAGGCCGTGCATGAACCACGGAAGAGGGTTTCCGTCTGGCGAAGCTCTCTATTGGCGCGGGTAGGACATCCTTGCACTGCTGGGCGAGGGCTTGCCTCGACTCGATCACCATCCAGGATTATTCCAAAAGACTGTGAAGCCCTCGAATGCTTCAATGATTCACGGGTGGTTCCTAGGCGGCCCCGACCGACGCCCTTCTGACCTTTACGAGCCCAGGAGCTTCGTGAACCCGATAGCTGGGGGGTATAAATCTCCGTAGCGCCTGTCGCAAAGTCCTCAGCGTCCAACGCCAGATAGGACACCAAAGTCAACATCGTCATAGATCTGGATATCTGGACCCTGAACCATTCTCCATCACTCAACACCAGAAGTACGCGTTAGAATTGTACATCTTACAGCCGTCGCGACCAGCTTTGTTGGTGAGTATCGGCCAACCAGGCGTTGCCACTGCTGACATCTTGCGTTCCTGCAGTAGCCCCGATCGCATTATGGCGAGCCTACCTGGCTTCACCACCAACTTCCCTGCGGGCTATCCGACGTTCCAGACCAGAAGTACCTTCCCAGGTGGCGCGAGCACAAGTTCTGGCGGATCGCCCTCTGGCCAAAACGCCTCTTCATCGCCTCAATTCGACATCTTCGATTGGCACCCCGCATATCAGAGTTGCCAGCGATACTTTCTCGACCATGCTCAGCATGACAACGGTGTCCAAGCCGTAGCCGCCCTGATCAATATCTGCTTGCCCTTCCAGTGGTCAACAAATCCTATTATGAGCGCTTCTGGACCTCTCCCCCATTCATCTGGTCCTGCTGCTTACAACCTACCATGGCCGCGACAAGGTCCTGTCACCAATTCGAGAGGTCAGCCTGCACCTGCATGGATCTCTCTGGTACCCTACATACGGCGTCTTGTCATCACCGGTATGGACAGGGACGGCATCATGCACGGTTTCTTTGGCGAGGACTGGAGAAAGGGTGTCGGACCAGTTCACGAATGCGAGCGACGCAACTATCTTTTTGCGGCCAAGAGTGGAGGATGGGAGAAGGTCAAATGCCAGTACGACATGTCTCCACACGAGTCGGTTCCTTTCCTGAAGCCTTTACAAGACGTCCAGCTGGCGGAGATTGAGGGCGCCGAGAAGACCTGGAGTCAGTGGCTGGCCATGGAAGATTGGATGGTGGGTCCACGGGCACCAGAAGCCGAGGCTCAACCGGGAGATGCTCGTCGTCGTGGGTCTTGAAATCAGGATTGAAGTGTGGTGTCTGTTAGTATTTGTGAATCGTCAAGCCGGGTGCTTGACCTTAAATCGTGCGAAGAAGCGCCTAAGAATCGCGTTGGTTGGTAATGGAGACGGTGCACCGCCTGCGGCCAGGTGGCATAACGGCGATATTGGTATCAACATCGGAACCAATGTTCTTTTCTCGGGTTCCGTGTCATAGTTATAAGAGATTATTATAGGTATGCCCTCGTCTACGAAGTCGATGGCTCAAGGTAGCTAGCCTTGCCCAAACTGCAAAGCAACCCTCCAATCTATCGGTATGAGCGCGACTTTGTGGAATGGAGCAAGAGTGCAGACGAAATGCAGTCACCTCCGGCACGAATGCTGATGTTTTTGACAATGCAATCCGTGAAAGTCTCAGGACCATCCAGTTTCTCGGACGCTCTTGCCTTGGGCTGATCTTCGGCATGGCTAAAGTTGCCCGATCGGATGTCAGCCTCGTTTTTCAGGCAACTTTCGAAATGCCAAGATCCCGAACACCGATCAAGCCTCACCCTCGTTCCTTGCAACACTCCAATCCACGACATTATCATAGCGGCCGACCAAACATTCGGCCAACCAATTCTTACCCATGGATCATGGACTCCTCAGTCAAAGAGTGGAAGTTGTTCTTTGAACGATGTGTCGAGCAAAGAATTCAATCTGATCTATTCGAGGCTGCAGCCGCGCAATTACACGCCAAATCACCTCTCCCTGGCCGAAAGCTCACTGGTCTATTACTACAGCCACGCTCTACAGGCGTATGCAGCGTTGATCCGCGTATGCTAATATACCTTGAGCGATTACTGGCATCTAAGAAGGTTGATGCATCGGACGTCTTATCTGCGACCTTTCAGTACTCCAAAGATCGATCTCCAGGAACAGGGGATCATGGCTCTTCGCAAGAGCCTAGATTGATCAACCCACCCGAGTTGGAGGAGATCGTCTTCCACCGGCTTGCTAAAGCATTCGCAGCAGAGGAGCGTCCTGTCGATAACACGGAGGGGTTGAGAACAATCATAATCCTAGCAAGATGGATGCAATGTATGGTAACGTCGCATACCAGTGATACAATGATTCAAGCCATGGCCGGGATTCAACAACAACCCCAACAACAGTCTATCAATGTCCGCGAGGGTCTTGGCATGCTTGTGGTTGGTCTGATTGAGAATTCAAGAATTCTTCGGTTGCTGAATAATCCTAAAACGAAAGGTGGGTGAACCGAAACAAGCCCCTGCGTTCCAGTTGGTATCAAAGACTCGCTTGCGTTTGGGAAATTTTAGATCGCATTACTCACGATGCGATAGATCTTCGCAAAAGCTTTTCGCAGTCTTTGTCATCGTTTGTCCCGTTTCTATCGCATAACCTACTTGGATCCCAGGGATTATTGCAAATCGCTGGCCGCCTAGAAATATCACAGAAACAACATGATTTTTACGACAAGCCTGGTGCTATTGAAAGAGAAGGAAATGAAAACACCAGCCTTGAAGTTGCTGCGCTTCAACTTGAAGCAGTCATGGATCTTCCACTGGTAAACACAAGAGCTGGGCTCTATGTCTTTCTGAATGCTCTGGTACGTATCGATGCCCATTGCGCCCTTTGTTTACTGACCTGATCATAGCTGATTGCACGGCCGCTTACGGATACTTTCACGATCCTGAGCTATCTTCATACACGCTACAAAGTAGGTAGAGTTTTCCTCAAAACTTTTATATTTGCCTGACCGCCCACAGATGAGTGCGCAAAACATGGCTACGGATTTGGTTACTGCTGCCTTTGACATTTTAGCCAATGCCATGTACCGCAGTGAGCCTGGACAAACCATGTTCTGCATAAAATCGTTCCTAGTCAACAAAGTCCCCCTTCTCTTGACGCAACTTTCTGCGTCAATATTTCCAATGACACCCGAAATCTGCATCACCCAGGCCCTTGGCCATGTCGATCCCAATGTTTTTCCAACATTCTCTCAAGGCTTTGACGATATGATGGGTAACAACAGTTCGCTTGCAAACGTAAAGCATGAGTTTCTGAATGCGTGTGCACTCCATGGCCTCATCTCGGCGATAACAGTCGAGCGGCTGCTTGGTGAGTCGTCCATGCAAGGTCCGCCAGAGACAAGGTATACGAAAAAAGAGCTGCTCGATCAGTGTAAGAACAACTTTGACAAGATCAACACATACGTTGACGAGCTGGAGAATCTCGATGGGAACGCTGGTGCCATTGTCGAGGCCGTCACCGAGGTATGAGCATCACATCACATGGACGGATCGTTTGCTGATCGGCGGGTAGTTTATAGCCCATCTCTGCGAAACTCAGACAACCATGTACTTGAGGCAGATATGTAATCTACTGTCGAAAAAACCACAAGCCCTGGATGTAATTCTGCAGTTCACATCGCCTGCTAGCGTCCTTCGACCCCTATGCCAGTTTCTAGACGACTGGCATTATGACAGTGATCAGGGTAAGAGCTTCGTATCTACGTTACGGTCTGACGCTGACTCTCCCAGGCGAATTTCAACCTGTGTACGATGAATTTGGAGCGATCCTAGTCTTCATTATGGCATTCGTTTATCGCTACGACCTCAAGTACTATGACATTGGTATAGGCCATGAATCATTTATCGCACAGATGATTGAACGTGGGCACCAAAGCACGCCACTGGATGACTTGACAGAGGAGCAGGGTAAACAACTTGGCAGTTGGCTCAAGGGTCTGTACGACTCCGACAAAGATGGGCTTAGCAATGATGTGTTTGCTTCGTGTCGCCCGCAAGACTTTTACTTGATCGTTCCCACGTTCTTCCAGCAGACAGTCACGGCATGCTCTGCAGGTGTTTTGTCGTTCGAGACTGTAAAGGGCGGTTTAGAATGTAATAACTTTCTGGCAAGTTGGCTGTGGATATGCGCTAACATCCTGCAGACCTTAGTGAGACGTTTCTTTTGCCGTCCCTCATCGGCGGCTTGAGCTGGATGGCGTTGCATGCTCATGAACAAACTCATAATGATCTTGACGCTTTGATGCGGATATTCCACGAAGTGATATTGTCAGTGCCATCGTCGGGAGACGCGAGGGCCATGCATTCGACAATTCTCGCCATGGTCTCGAGCCGCTTAGACAAATGCTTCCGCACTCTACAACGACGCGACCCGAGTCGCACGCACGTGGAGCCTCTCCTACTGGCGATCAAGGACAACACGGAGTACGAGCGCTCTATTTACTCGTCGATGAAAGAATTGGAGCAGTGGACAAACGCTCCAAACAGCTCATTGAGTATGGCTTTGCGCCACACTGTGCAACAGCTTTCCCAATGGGCCACCACCGCGTCAATCCAGCCAAATCCACCAAGTTATACTCATCGGCAAGTGTATGCTTCGCTCAGCATTTTGGGTGCTTCTAAGACTTTGCACGCTATGATGGACGAAGTAAAGGCACAGACCAATGCCGGCAACGGCGCAGTTGCTCTTGATGTTGCAACATCCATCATTTGCGCACCGATCGTGGAAGACAGTCCTATCAACGTGGGCTGGGTTGGAAGTATAATTCCGTCTATACCACCACCGCGAACTCGCATAAACTTGCGCGAGATGCTCAAGCACGAATTTATCAACGCGGCGAGCCTAGTGGCCATCGACCCCTTGACCGCGGAAACAGTTGTTCGTCTCCACCGCCGCGTTGAAGCGCAACTTGTACCAACTGGCGGCGATACCCTACAGGTACCAGTTATCAACCTGCCAAGTGTTCATATAGTAGATATGCAGTCCCAGACCATCTCGGAAGACATCGACAAAGCCATTGATGAGGCCGCGGCAGTTGGCATCACGAATAATCTATCAAGCATGGACAACAAAGCGCTCCAACGCAGCATGGAGGAACTTGCTGGACCTGATGGGTTGAATCTAGCAAGCATGGGGTTGGAAGCTGGCAACACAGGCGAGAGCGATATGCATGCGGATTTGGGCAACCTGCCAGATTTGGATTTGGGAGACATGGGCAACATGGCCATGGATATGGACATGAGCATGGATATGGGCGGAGGTGGCGACGATGACTGGGGCTTGGACTTTGACAACATGTAGGAATGTAGTTATTGGGGTAATCTGAATGTTTGAGAAGAAGAGGACGTTATGGCGAGAAGTATTTCCATCCAGGTTTATACCAGTCAGAGATCTCGCCAGAGGAAAGTGTGAGAAAAGTATAATCTGGGAGGTCACTTGACAGCAAAGAATGTTTGGTATACGTGTATTGTATTTTGACACTGTTGTCGCTGAGTTTTTAATGCGCACATTCAGCACCCAGGAATTGCATTGTCTGACGGCCCCTCGTGTTATGACGGTCCACAAGTTCCGCTACCGAGGCTTACCTTCGTCCCCAGCGGCATGCACCGCGGATAGCGGGGTTTGATATACCCCACGTCCACACTGCCGACCTGTTCGCAAGCCCATTTGTTTACTTGTTTACTACCAACATGCCGTACGACTTGAAAGGAAGGAATGTACTTGTCACCGGGGGTTCAGCGTACGTCAACCTCACCATGTTGCGAGCGATGATTCCTATTGATTGCTAATTGCTACGCAGCGGCCTCGGTGAATTGATATCGCTTACTTTTGCTAAGCAAGGATGCAATGTAGCCATCAACTTTTTCAATCGACTGGAGCCAGCGCAGAAAGTGCAGAAGGCATGTGAAGAGCAGGGAGTCAAGGCGGTTGTTGTCAAGGCAGTGCGTTTGCACCCAAGTGGGGAGACACAATGGCTAACCTGATAGGATATGACTTCTACAGCCGAGGCAAAGCGGGCAGTGGAGGAAACGATTGAGCAGTTGGGCGGGATTGACATTGTAATTTCTAATGCGGTGTGTACTCATGGTCATGTGCTGCATAGAGCAGAGGAGAGCTGATGCTAGGACTACAACAGGGCTGGACAAAGTTCTGCGAGTGGACAGATCTAGACGGGTTGAGTGAGGCGGACTGGGACCGTGTATGTTGTCCCCGCATGATGGCTTGTTGTGAGCAGCGCTGACTGTTGCAGTGCTGGGCAGCCAACGTCAAAGTGCCAAAAGCCCTCCTCCAAGCCGCGAAGCCTGCGTTTGACAAGAATCCGGACGGCGGCCAGATGATCACCACTGGATCGATAGCGGTTTGTTTGCCCTCTGCACCTGTGTCTTGGCTTGACTAACAACATGACTAGGGCGTTAGCCAAGGCGGGTCCAGCATGGCGTACTCGGTGACCAAGTGCGCGCAGTTGCAGCTTGTCAAGTGTCTTGCTGTGACGGTCGGCCCAAAGATCAGAGTGAACACGGTTCTGCCGGGGCTGCTGATGACAGAATGGGGCCAGAAGTATTCACCCGAGCGCATCGAGGCGATGAAGAAGGCGGCTGTGCTGAAGCAGGATACGGACATGCAGGACTGCGTCGACGCGTTTGTGATGCTGGCGCGCAACACGAGCATGACGGGGATGCGCATCCAGGTCGATGCCGGGCTGAACGTGCAGGGAGCGTAGACTGCAGAGGTCATGTGTATCGAGTGTCTGACGTGCGTCTTCAATCTTCATCAATGCTCTCCGTGTCGTCGAGGGCGCGCAGGACTTCCTCCATGTCGCGCGGCGTCACGATTCCCCACACGCCGCCGCCCTTGACGGTGCCCTTCATGCCCACCTCCTTGCCGACGAGGTTCCTGCCGACCTGGCCGGGCCCGATGCCGACGTAGCGCCGCACCCTTTCTTCGTTGTGCAGGTACTTGACGCTCTTCCACCACTGGACCGTCTCGGTGATGTTGCGGGCCAGCAGGTCCTTGAGCTGGTCGCGGCTCTCAAAGGGCTTGCCGGAGACGTTTGAGATGCACGGGATGCGGCCCGGCCACGTGACAATGTCGCTGCCGTCGGGGCGCTCGCGGTGGAGGATGCGGCGCATCGTGTCCTGGGCGGGCTTCATCAGCGGGCTGTGGAAGGGCGAGTCGGACTTGAGGCGGACGTGGCGCGGGTCGTGGCCGCCGAACTGGCGCAGGTTGGCGAGCAGCGTGTTGATGCGGGCGATGCTGCCGCTCAGCACGATCTGGTTCTTGGAGTTGATGTTGGCGATGAGCACCTGCTGCACGGCCGGCACGTCGTCGGCCGAGTCGGTCTTGGAGCCCGGGCTGGACAGCTCGAGGAAGTCGCGGATGCCGCTGACGAGGGCCTGCATGCGCGCCTCGGACTCGCACACCAGCGCCACCATGCCGAACTCGCCGCCGTCGGCCGCCACGGCGTCCCTGCTGCAGCGGCCCATGACCTCGGCGCGCGTGCGCACCATCTTGAGCGCGTCGCCGAAGCCGAGGTAGCCGCCGGCGACCAGGGCGGCGAACTCGCCCAGCGAGTGGCCCAGCGTCACGTCGACGCGCTCGCTCGTCTGGAAGCCAAACTCGCGCTCCATGACGCGCAGGATCAGCGCCGACGTGGCCATGATGGCGGGCTGGGCGTTCTCGGTGCGAGTCAGCTCGGCGTTGGTGGCATCGGCGATGATGGCCGAGAGCGGCAGCTGCAGCGTGTCGTCGATCTCGTCGAGCATGGGCTTGACGGTGCGTGGGAAGGCGTCGAGCCAGGGCGTGCACATTCCCACTCGCTGCACGCCCTGGCCGGGGAAGAATAGGGCCGTCTTGGGGCGGCTGCTCCTGCTCAGCCATCTGCTGTGTCGGACGGGCCAGGCAATGCGTGCGACGGCTCTGCGGAGAGCGACACGGGGGCTCGACATGGCTGGCAGTATCATGTCCAGCTTCACCATGGCACACGTCGAGCGGGGACCTGCTTGCCTGGAGCTTGGACGCGATCCCCCCCGGCCGAGGTCATGCTTTTCCGACACGTCGGACCATCTGACCCCGAGCATGCCTTTTTGGTTATCTCAACTCTTCTGCAAACTACGCATTGTAAATTACTAGCTCATTCACAGATCCAATACACTATCTACATCAGCCCATCTTGTCCACCCCCTGCTTCTCCTTCCTCTTTCGCCACAGCGACGTGTTGGCTCCATTCGCTTCGTAGAGCCTCCTCCTCTTTCGTGCCTCCCTGGCAGCCACTATGTAGAACCCAGCTGCTGTGATGCAACACGTCCCCATCCATACCTGCGCCCCGAGGAACCCAGACGTCAATCCGTTCAGCGCAAAAGCCACTGGCGCACTGATCAAATAGCCAATCCCCGCAACAGCGTACACCATACCCAGCCGCGTCCCCAACAAGGACATGGACGGCGTGATATATGGAAGCACAATGGCTGGTAGCGTCACTGCCATGCCTGAGAGAAATCCATACACAATGATCCAAAGTGTGATGCCCGTAAGAGATCTCGCAGCTATCCAAGAAAACGCGACAATGCTGGCCGCCACTTCAGCCCCCAACAAAAGTATTTCTGGACCGACCCAATCCGTCACAAGCGGAGGCAAAGTGCGGCCGAAAAACTGTGCTGCATTAAGAATACTGAGAAGATAGGAAACATCCTCCGTGGGTAAAGACAAGGTCGTCGAAGCATATGTCGTGATTAGGATGAAAGGGAGGAGAATTCCTGAAAAGAGCAGAAAACCAGCAATTGTAAACACAACATACGGCGCATCGGTATAGGCAGCCAGATCGATCAGCTGACGAGTCGAGCGGGGCCCCAATGGGCGGATCAACCCAATGGAAATGCCTATGGTTGCCAGTGCCACAAAACCGATGATTCGGTTGGCCCACGCAAACCCATAGCTGATGAGCAAATAGCGGAACATCAAAGGGTAAACAACGCCGCCAAACGAACCACCAGCTGTCGCAAGACCAAGTGCCACTCCGCGCCAAGATTTGAAGTACAACGGGATCAAAGCGACACTGGGCACGTATAGGAAGCCCAGACACAATCCCAGCAAGACACCTTGCGAGAGAATAATCTGAGTGTAGGTTTGCGCAAGACTCAGCATCATTAGAGCGAAAACTACCCCAACTCCAGAAGTGATGAGGATACAGCGAAAGTAACCCTTGTCAAACAACGGACCTGAGAGAACGCCAACGATAAGGAGAAGGGAGCCCTGGAGCGTTCCAATCCAAGAGATGGAGCCAGGGCTGAATTCGGCCAACAAAGTGGATTGGTAGTATCCTTGGTAGACACCAAACGAGTTGACAAGGCCCCAATTGTTCATGTTGACGAGGAATGCACCGAGAACTTGCAGCCAGGCAGTAGTACCTCCGTCGACAGGGTACAGTGGAGCTGGTGCCGAGGAACGTACAATATCCCTCAAAGCCCTCTTCTTCTCGCCTCCAGGTTGACCGTAAGTATTCACCAGTCGCGCCCGTCCTTGTTGGAAAACCTCTTCCATGAGCAGCCATGTGCGCTTTTCGTCTTCGTTATCGGGATCGAAGTCAGAGTAGCCCTTGATGCGGACGCCCGACGTCAATGCAGCAGCAAGCTTCTGGACAGTCGGATTCTCATAAATGAAGGTCTGGTTGACGGGTTCCTTGCTGGCACCTCGAGCCTTATTGATATCTCTTACGAACGTCAAGACATGCAACGAGTCCATTCCAAACGTGAAGATGTCGTCCGTTATGTTGATGTCATGTTCTTCAATACCCAGCATGCTGCTCACATATCTCATAAGCGAATCCTCCGATGAGGATTGTTTGTCAAGTTGCAATATGGGCATTCGGTCGTCTTTCTCCTGTGGTGGTGCTTTGGAATACAGTGCATCTAGCTCGTCATTGTACAGAGCATAGCACTTTGCTCTTTGCACCGTTCCCTTTGCTGCTCTCAGCAAAGGTTTGTCAGGAGCCGTAACCACCAACAACTCCAGTGAAGCCCTGCCATACGTAGGGCATATACGGTTCGCCTGTTCGACATAAGGTTTGAGCTGGCTCAAGAGTTCCTCGTATGAAGTCTCGTGGGATTTTGGCTCGACCAACAACGAGGTCTGAAACCTACCTTGACCATAAATCAAAACACCCTTGACAGCAGAACATCCCTGCAAGATTCTCTCCATCGGGACTGGATTGAGATTCTCCCCATTACTCAGAATGATAATATCATCGAGACGAGATTCGTACTTCCAAAGATTGGGTTTGGAGGGATGTTTTGAGAAAATGTCTTTGGTGTGATATTCATCCAGGTCGGGAAATGTGACGAATGCGCCTTGAAGATAATCTAGCTCTGGTCGACGGACAAAGACAAGTTCATATAAACCCTCTTGGCCGCTTTCTCGCCATTCGATGCCGGCTCCTGTCTCATCAAAACGAAAATAGCCCCAGTCCTCAGCATCTTTCGCATTGACCGGCAGGCCTCCATACTCCGTGGCACCCATGGAAGACGCTAGGCTGGTTTGGCGATTCACCAAGTCCGCTGTATGTTCTGATAAGGGTCCTCCAGAAAATGTAAGCCCATCAAGACGACGCAGTGATTCATAATATTCGTCGTTCTGGACGAGCTCTTGGACTATGGATGGGGGAAGAATAGATGAATTCACCGATCCATGAGTGTGTATAGCGTGGATTAGATCTGTGTTGATGGGTACTCCAGACGGCGGCAAAACTGCAGTGGAGTCGACATAACATGGAACCGTTACCGTATAGTTGAAGCCCGCGATATGGAAGGGTGGGAATGGAGAAAACAGTCTTTTGTTACCATATAGTGGAATTGTCTGGCTTCCAGGAAGGTGACCCCACCCATCGATTGTCGCAAAAAGGCCATGCTTCAAAGTGATGACTTTTGGATTACCTGTAGATCCAGAGGTGTGCAAGAGAAGCAGTGGTTCAAAGCGATGATCTTCAAACGTGCCTTTGAATGGCATGGGCGGGACTTGTTCGTCATCAAGAAGCTCTTCTAAGCTGGGCATAGCGAGAAGTTGCATTGGCCTCTTCTTGAGGATACTCTGAACTACAGGCAAGGGTTGTGACAGAGAAATGATTTTGGTCACTCCAGCATCCTCGAACAGTGATTGGAAGGCCTCGACTGTGTTGCGTGGCGAGGGGAAAAACATCTGCAATACTATTAGATTTGGATTGAGAAGTCTTCTAGACTGAACATGTACACACCACATACCCTGCTTTCACAGCAGCCATGACCAAGATTTGGTACCGCAAATCGGGAGTGGCTAGGTACGCAATGACCTCGGTCGACGATGGCCGCCCCAGCGACTTCACCAGCCAATGTGCACATCGGTTGATGGCATTAGCGAAAGTGACATAGCTGACTTCATCGAAGCCTTGCTGGATATCAGTCGATTTAGGAATTGCAGCATATGGTCTAGCATGGCGCGCGCTGGCGCGCTCATCGATAATTTGTGGTAGGAGTCGATGACCGAAAGGAGGATTAATAAGTTGTAAAGGTTTGTGTATGTTATCCTCCATGACGCGAGTAGTCGAGATAAGGAATCTGTTTAGAGCACTGAAGCAAGACGAGAAACATTCAAAACTATCCTTAGAAACTTCAATTCCAATGGTAAAGACTTTCGACCTAGTATGGCGAGTCAGGTATCAAAAGCAATGCACTGTGACGCGCGACGCGCTAGATTGCCCATAAGATCGTGCACGGCAGATCTGCTATCCGTCCACAGATCACCTCAAGGATTGGGAACGCTAGTTTAGCACAGAGACACTACCCCTTTTCGAGCAAGCCACGAACTCGAGCAAGCTCAATATGCAGCGCGCTACTGGAATAAGTGACTTCAACTAATCAAGCGCGATCTCAAAAAGACGCGACGTCCAAGCGATGCAGAATTGCGTGACGTATCACCTTATCAGTGACTTCTCTGTTTTTTATTTTGTCATATCTATGCACACCTTTAGATAAAATGGTGATATTCAACCCATCTTACCTTTCGAAATTACAACCATGTCAACAACCACACATTTTAACGTCATTGAGCACCGCGCTCCATGTTCACACATTCGCGAGTACGCCCGGGCCACCTCGTGTCTCGATGAGGATGAGTTGTATCTCGCTGTCAAACAGTATGTGCCACGTGTGAAGGTATCTGGAGACCGCCAGCGCGGCACCGGCATCACACTCATAGCCTGTCATGCAAATGCCTTTCCAAAAGAGCTTTACGAACCTTTCTGGGACGCTTTGTATGAGTACATGCAAAAGGCTGAGAAAACACACATCTTGAGCATTTGGATTGCAGATGTTGCAAACCAAGGCCAGAGTGGGATCTGGAATGAAGGGAAGCTGGGCAATGAGCGTAAGATGATCCCGAACGAACGAACGTTGGAAGAATGACTGATTGGTGTTTGTTCCCAGCCTCATGGTTCGACCATGCCCGTGATATTCTCGCCATGGTGAATCACTTTCGTAAAGATATGATACAGCCCATTGTTGGTTCGTATTACCCTATTATACAACCAATAAATGGTAGCTGATAAATTCTAGGCTTTGGTCACAGCATGGGAGGAGTTGTTCTTCTCAACGCTGCTTTGATACATCCAAGACTTTTTACTACTCTGGTCACCTTTGAAGCCACTGTTTTCAAAAATCCACGTCAACATACCAGCCTCGGCGCCAACCCCATCACTTTTCGAAAGGACCAGTGGCCCTCGCGCGAGGCCGCCGCTAAGTCACTAGTCAGATACCCCATGTTCAAGGCGTTCAATTCCACAGTCATGGACCTATTTCTCAAGTACGGTCTCCGAGATCTGCCTACCGTCTTGTATCCAGCCTCGATACCTCCTGGTTCCCCTATACCTGTCACTCTCACCACCACTAAACACCAAGAGGTGTTAAACTACACCCGCGCAGCCTTTCCTCCCAACCGTTCAACTCCTCTTTCCGAATTCGTCCCAACTCATATTGCACATCCCGATATTGGCGATGCTGATTGGCGCCACCCAAGAGAACCTTTCTATCGTCCTGAAATACCCTTGACGTTCCTCCAATTGCCGCGTCTTCGCCCATCCTGCTTTTGGTTATACGGTGCAGACACTACTTTAATGCCCGAGAAGTTCAAACGTGACGATAGGACCAATACAACAGGCATTGGCATTGGAGGCAGCGGTGGTGTTGCTCAAGGGCGCGTACGAGAGCAGGTGATCCCAGGAGGAGGACATTTTCTGCCTTTTGAACAGCCGCAAAGCTTGGCAGAAAATGTTGTTGGGCCGTGGTTTAGTTCAGAAGTCGAGCGTTGGGAGGCAGACATGAAAATTGAACGTAAGGCTTGGGAAGAAGTGGACGTAGCGCAACGTAGCCAAGTCAGCGACGACTGGATGCACTGGATGAAGACACATAACGACCCAAGGAAGGAGACTCGAGCGATGAGATTGAAGCTCTAGAATTTCTATTCATGAACTGCTATGTATCAATTACATAGAACGACGCACTATTTACGTATCTTGCTTGCAAAGTGCTCAACATCTTATCACTTGCACTCATCCTCGTTGGCTCAATGAGTATTCAATTAATCAAAGCTCAAGTGGGTCAGAATTACAGACATTGCAATTGCGGCGGGTTGAACAAGTCTGACATTGTGGCCATGTTACTGCTTACACAATTTTCGTAAGATGATGACGCGTAGAAATAATACTCTTTGACTGCTTGTTGAAAACTAACGTGAGCTACTCATGATCAGGAGATCTCCGATGAATTTCAAATCCAAGTTGCTTTCAAATAAGTCATGATTTTGATGTGATTAAAGAATTTGTATTTATCAACTGCACACTATGCCTACACCTATTACAACACTTCTTCGCCCTGCACAATAGAAACGCAGACTGAACAAGACTTGCTGATTTCCCCAGGAGCGGTGGTATGCATTTTCTCGATTGTTTAGCAGCTGCTCGCCTTGGTAGAGTACTTCACATCGTCAATGACCAAGGCCGACAAGGGGTTCGCAGCAGCCATGCCTCCAGGAAGAGAGAACTGGATTACAGCAAACTGAATATCCTTCTTGGCGCAGTCACTGAAGCTGCCGAACGCTTGCTGTTGCAGACCGAGAATGGACGTAGGGTTGTATGAGTAACTTTGCGAGCAAACTTGCTTGCTGGCGGATACGGTGTTGTCGCTTCCCTTGTAGCCGGTAACGTTGATGTTGCAAGCGGTGGGTACGGCAGTTGCACCTTGCCCAAGTTGCAACACGCATCCAAAGTAGAAGCTCTCAAGCTGAAAGGACTCGATTTTGCTGGATGCGTAGTTGGTTGTAAGCATCGGTGTGCCGCTGAGCTGGGAAGCAACATTGATGGCTCCATAGTTCAGCCCTGAGTGAGGCGTAACACCGGGTTGAACAGTGGTGCCTGTTCGGACGACCGTTGTGAACGCAGTGCCTTGGTATAAGAGGCCTTTGTACGGTGTTGGAATAGTGTTGAGAATGACACCCGGAACGCCCGTCAAGTCATCAAAGTTCGCATTTTGAGAGACTGATGAGCACTTCTTGACGCTGGTGGGTGCAGCGACGGCGGCAACGGTAAGAGCGGCCAGAGTGAAAGAGGTCTTCATGTTGAGGAGTGGGTAGTTGGGAGGAAAGAGGTTGTGAATTGGAAAGTTGGTAGATAGACTTGAAGAGGTGAAGTGAGATGTGAGTTGATGTGTATCTTATGGAGTAAAGCACCTAGTATTTGTACTCAAGATTCTATGACATAGCTTGACGCTGAAATGTGCCTCTCGTCATTGTGGACGACGGGGACAAAACATCGGCTTGACAACAATCCGTCCTTCTGATTCAGGGTGATACATTAGGCCGATATCTTTTGGGATAGTGAAGTGTGCTGTGTGAAAGATCGACAGCGGCTTGATCTGTTGATGCAGATCAATAGTGGAGACTGAGGTGTTTGTCCGCGATAGGTCGATTGACGAAAGCGCTACTGGCCAGAAAAGGCTACTCTTGATCGGTAGGATTTCTGAGATCCCTAACTAAAGCAAGCCAACGAGTCACCGTCCCAAAGAACTGATCCGAGCACCTGGTTGAATTGAGTATGTATTTGTGGGGTACTTCTCCCGCAAAAGTAGCTGGAAACAATGACGTCTCATCATTCTCACCTCACCCCATTACGAACGATGGCAGATGCCAATGTGGTTTTGACAGGTTCTACCGGACACCTTGGCACGTACATCTTGGATGCCCTTCTCGCAGACGCGAAAGTGCAGTCAATTCACTGTCTGAACCGATCAGCAAATGCTCAGTCTCGGCAAGAGGCCCAGTTGAAAAACCGTGGACTTCGATCTCTTGAACGGTCCGGCACAGCTACTGTCTCCTTCTACACTACTGATCTCACCAAACCCCGTCTGGGGCTGTCAGATGAAGTGTATGATGCACTAGGTGCCAACACAACACATTACATCCACTGCGCCTGGCCCGTGGACTTCAACAAATCTTTCACCACTTTCGCGCCGAGTATCAACGGTCTACTCAACCTAATCGACCTGGCACTGACTACGCCTCGCCGACCGCTCTTCCTGTTTCTATCATCCATCAGCGCAATTGGGAATTGGGGGGCTGTACCCGGCGCTCGCCTACAAGTACCCGAAGAGGAAATCGACGACTGGAAAGTGGCTCGGTTTGGTTACGGTCAGTCGAAATTGGTAGCGGAACGGCTTCTTGCCGACGCCTCTCGCGTCACTGGTCTGAAAACTGCTATTTGCCGCATTGGGCAAGTTTGCGGACCAATCGAACACGGAGAACAGGGTTGCTGGCCTCATCAAGAATGGTTTCCCAGTCTCATTGCATCTGCCAAACATCTCAACGCCATCCCCAACTCCTTAGGTGCACTCGACTCGATTGATTGGCTTCCTGCTGATCGAGTCGGGCTGATGGTCGCCGAGCTACTGTTTAGCGGACATGACTCAAGCGACGTCGCATACCATCATCTGGTAAACCCTACTCCTTCTTCATGGACTACTCTTCTGCCATATGTCAAGATTGGCCTACAGCAGCCAGATATTCAGGTTATGAGCTTAGTAGCGTGGGTAGATATGCTGAAGCGGAGCAACTGGGATCCTATTCAAAATCCGGCTGTGAAGTTGTTGCCGTTCTTCCATGATCTGCGAGACAAAGCCATCCTCGTTCCGGATGCGCGAGCTGTCACACTTGAAGTCAAGGCCACTGTTCGAAGGTCTACTTTTCTCAAAGAAACAAAATCGGTTCAGCCCGAATGGATGACATTGTGGTTTAAGCAGTGGAAGTTTTGATAGTCTACCTCACGGTCCTGTGATAGTGGCACTAGGATGAGGGATAGTTACACCACGTCTCTTGACATCAAATACAACTTTGCCTGCATCAAGTCCATAAGAATCGTCACAGATATCTAGAATGCCTTCGCTGGTAACAGCAACTGCTCTTCCTGTGATTCAAGTTGTCAGGACTAATGTGTTCAAGAGCATGATGGTGGAATCTTACCGTTCATCTGCGGGTCACTAGCCATACGAGAAATGGCCTCCAATACCATTTCCATATCACCCATCTGGACACCTTGGCTAGTCAACTTTTCGACTAAGTGCGCCGTCATGGGTGTTGCCACAAAGGTCGGGGCTAGGAGATTTGCGCGCGCGCCTAAGGGCAATAGGGTCTGTCGGAGACACCGAAAAATGCCACGGACAGCCCACTTGGTTGCGGTGTAGTCGGGTCTGTTGGCAAGTCCATTATACCCGGCGAAAGACCCTAGCAGGATAACGGACTTGTCGCCGTGTTGGTCGGAAGTTAGGCCCATAGCGTATTTGGTACCCAGATAGATGGAATTCATGCAACCTGTAAGACCAATGTCGATGCATGAAGTGGAGGGTGCCTGAATGTGCTCTGCTCTTTGTAAAAGCTCCATCGGGCTACAAGGGACCATATTCCAGCTGTCCGACCCCCCAACGCCAGCACTGGTAATGAGGATATCTATCTCCTGTGCAGGCAGCACTCTCAGCGCAGCAGCAAACATAGCTACTTGAGAGTCCCAAGATGCAACATCTACCTGTACGAAATGCTGTTGTAATTCAGCTGCCAGGGTTTCGCCAGCTTGCCTGTCCAGGTCGGCAATAACGACGTGAGCGCCTTTGGAGGCGAACATGCGAGCCGTGGCAGCGCCAATGCCCGATGCGCCGCCCGTGATCAGAACGCGCTTTCCGGTGAAGTCGGTTGGAAATGGGTTGTCGAAATCGATTCGGCCTGCTTGATCTGCCACAATGATTCGTTGAAATCGCTCCTCTGCTGATTCGGCCATGGTTATCACGATAAAACTTTTCGCGACCTAGAGAGAGACGTGCAGTTGCATTTCAACCTGTGAGGTTTTCTCATCACAAAAAGCGCATGCATTAGCATTCGGCAATATAAGCCAATGTCATAGGCACTAGTGTATGGATGAGTGACGTATCCGATGCGCTTGCAGTGATAATCGCAGGTAGTTAGCGCTGGTTCGTGGCTGTCATTCGAGGGATAAAAGATCTACTATGGCTTTTCAACCTGCAGGATCAGTGTATAAGCTAGTTGACTAGCCAAAGATCTGGCAGAAACGCTCAACGAATGACAGCGTCGGATATGAAATGACACTAATATAGATCCCGCGCGATCGTGCGTGGGCAGTGATATTGACACTACGTGCGGAGAAGTTGTATGACGTTACTCTTCCCTCGCCAGTACCTATCAACATTAAGCTATCCTGGTATGATGCTGAATTATCCATCTCCGCTTGGTCTATCAATCGATTGTCCACGCTCATCTTTGTGTATCTTTTCGCGACTTCTTGCGCTGGAAGATGAGTCTACATATCGCCTCGATTTGGCTAGGCCTCACAATCCTATATGGCATTTATCGTTTTTACCTTTACCCTTCTCTGTTTTCACCGTTGCGCCACATTCCTAAAGCACAAGCAGACTGGCGCTTTCGGTTGTATCAATGGGTATACACCGAACCCAGCCCCATCAGGCTAAGCCAATGGGTGAAAGACACACAATACGAGGGCCTCGTGCGGTACTCAGGCCTTGGAGGCACAGAACGTGTCCTTCCACTCAGCTCTGATGCAGTCAAGGAGGTCCTTGTTACGAAAGCATACTCCTGCTTTGAAAGACCACGCCTTTCACGAGAGCGGCTAGGAGCCCTCCTTGGCAATGGCTTACTTGCCATTGATGATAATCAGCACCGGGCACACAAACGCAAATTGCTCCCAGCGTTTGCATTCCGTCATATCCGACACTTGTATCCGGTCTTCTGGACAAAAGCTTGCGAGCTGGTCAATGGCCTCGAGATGGCGGTTACTTCTTCCACAGACATCGAACTTCGTCCATGGACGTCCCGCGCTGCTCTCGATGTCATAGGTGTAGCTGCATGGGGAAAAGACTTTGGCGCTCTGGCAAACCCCAACTCAGAGGTGGTGAGCAAATATCGATCCATACAGCAAGGTTCCCCGCGTGCGAACAGACAAGGATACCTTATACATGCTGCAGCTTTGGTCATACCTATGAAGATGCTCACACGTCTGTTCCCTTGCGAGTTTTTCAATAACGTTGCAGAGGGTAAGAAGGCCATTCGTGGAGCATGTGCGCAAGCCATAGATTTGAAACGCAACACAGAGAAATCGGAGAAGGCAGAGGAGGCAGGGAAAAAACGGAATGCAAATATATCATCAAGGAGCGACATCCTCGGCCTAGCATTATCAATTGAAGAGTTCGACGATGAGGTTCTCACTGGACACATGCTGAACATCCTCGCTGCCGGCCACGAGACGTCCAGCCTGGCAGCAACATGGGCGTGTTACTTGCTCTGCAAACATCCCGAAATTCAAACTCGCTTGCGCGCCGAGATCCGCTCCACGTTGCCATCACCTTCAGCTACGATAAGCGAAACGGGAACCGAGGTCTCTGCCGATATTCTCGAAAACATGCCTTTTCTTCGAGCTGTATCCCGCGAGTCTCTACGCATCATTCCTTCTGTGCCTCTTGTGCGTCGGGAAGCTTCAAAGGACACGACCATACTTGACTATGTTATACCTGCCGGAACTAGCGTTATTCCTATGGCATGGGTGCTACACAGGTCAACGAGCGAATGGGGACCTGACGCGGCGGAGTTCAACCCTGAACGATGGCTCCAACCTGGGCAAGAAGCGACTGGTGGCGCCAAAAGTACGTTCTCAGACTTGAGCTTCTCAACAGGGCCTCGTAGTTGCATTGGGGAAGGATTTGCGAAAGGTGAGGCTTTGGCGTTGCTTGCCGCCATTGTGGGCAAATTTGAACTAGAATTAGCGCCCGAGTCAGACATTGAGTTAGAGAGGATGAACCTGTTCTGGGGTATAGCAGTAAAGCCCATTTCACTGAAGTTTCGAATGAGAACATTAAATGGATGGTAAAGCGTATGTGGGACTAGCTAGGACCGAGTTAAAAGCAATGATTGGAGTTGAATTTCGCTGCTAGTACTATGTGTAACAAAACGGATGTGACGAAGGGGTCCTAGAGACAATGGATTATGTGAACACTGTCATTAATGAGTGCCCGTTCCGGAAGGTGACAGATCACCGGTATATGTACTCAACCATGTGATGAGGGGTTACGTAATGCAACATTGCAACGTACAGAGAGTGTGTTTTCGAGATAAATCCTAGAGCAGCCACAGACAAGATTTGTTACTGCTAAATCAAGCTGCGGACATTACTGCATGTAGTAAATAAGAAGTGCATCGTCTAGCTACCCTCTTCTACATCTACACTACGGTTAATCAGCGACGTGTATAAGGCAGGGGCCCTCCAGCACTGGGTAGGCTATCCTCTGCTACTAGTAATACACTCCTCTATATAGGGGACATTTCCTAGTACAAAAGGATACACTTACCTATACATAAAGGTAAATAATTCTAGCCTATAACGACCTATCTAGCTGCGTCTATTAGCTAACTAGTTTAGTCCTAGTAATTTCGTTTTCAAAATCCTAGATACTATAGGTTATTTGTTAGAATTTATTTTACTAAGGTTAACAAGAAACTTTTTAATAAATAAGAAACTTACTTAAGTAAATATAAATCTTAAATAACTAAGTTAAGTTCTAATCCTTTTTAAAAGCAATAGGTTATTGTAAAAGAAGTAAGTATAATAATATAAGGAATGTAGAATTAGTACGTAGGAATATATAGAAGAAAGTTATTAAAAGAGGTCTCTATTACTCTATATTATTAAAAATATAGTATTAATACTATTATTAGACTTAAGTATATTAGTAACGTAATTTCTAGAAGATAAAACTATAGTAATTTAGGATTACTAGTAAATAGTTTTAAATTTACTTAGAGAAAGGTTTTATAAATATATAACTTCTATAGAAAATAATATTTAGGTATTATAGAATTTCAAGAATAGAAATAGACTTAAAATAACTATATAAATTCTGTAATTATATACTCTAGCATTAGAAATAAAGGTTTTAATCTAGTATTAAGTTAAAATAATCTATTATTACAAATAGAAAACTTAGTACTTTATCTTTACAAAACTAGCTAGTTTCTAAATATTTATAGATGAGTTTTATTAGTTAATAGTAAAGTTATACACTTTTAGATTCAGATATATAAGTAATTATAGAAAACTAGTATAGTATAAATCTATAGAGTATTGTTTATTGTAGTTTTAAGTTATAATAAACGTAGTTTAATAAATTTAATATATATTTATATTTTTGTAATTTAATAAGTTACTGTTTATATAGATTAAACTAAAGTGTATATATTATTATAAAGAGAGCTTAGCTTTTTTTTATAAAGCTGTACTTTAAGTCTACTATTAAACTTAAAGTTAATAAATATATTCCTATCTGTTTACTAGATTTAAATGTAAAAATACTTAGCAATTCTTTGCAAATTTATAAAAAACATTGCTAGGTCTATTAAGATTCTACTCAAGATATATAGATATTATTATAGAAGTTATTATTTATAATATTTAATCTTTATCTTCTTATAATAATTAGGGCCTAGTAAAGTTATACTTAGACTATATAAAAAGAAATATATTTTACGTTAGCAAGAGCATAAGTTTTAGAGATAGTAAAAATAAATAGATAATTTAGGTCTAAACCGTAATAGACAAACAAAAGATCTATTTTATACTATTAAAAATAATAATTATTATTGTAATTATTTTTAAATCTACCCTTAAGTAAGTTCTTAACTCTAAGTTAATTCAGACAGTTTCTTGATTTAATAATTAATTTGAACTATAACTTACTAAGAGTTATCTAAAGATTACTACTTAAGAGTTTAAATATACATCTTTACTCGTATTCTAAGTTAAATATCTCTAAGAAAACTTGTTAATACTAATTAGTATAATATTTTATAATTAAAACTAAACCCTGCTATATATAACAAATAGACTTTAAGCTTTAACAGAAAGGTAGTATACTATATTTGTTATTTAACTTATAAAATAGAGATAAAATTTAAATATTACAATTTTCTATTCTATATATACGTTTTAATGTCTTATTATTTATTCTGAGGTTATAGCGTATTTTTGCTTATTAATTAAGCAGATAGACATAATACAGTAACACTATAGTCTTATAACTTAATAAAAATCTTTTAGTATAATCTTTAATATATTGTTAATGTTAGTAAGATTATATAATACTTGTATAAAAAAGTTAATTAACTATTCTTTTAGACAACTTAATTAATATACTAGTAAAGATTAATTTAAAAAGCCTGCGCAGCTGTTAGTAAAAGTTTAAAGTTCAGTAAATTTAAGTATTTATTATAAATTTTAGCTAAGTTATAAAGACTTCTTAATATACTAGTAGCTTTATTAATATAATTAAAGTAGCTTTAGATATAGTATAAGTAATAATAGTTAAGATAGATTAGCTTAAATAATTTTTTCTTTATACTTTTAAAGTTAAAGTCTTTTTCTATTTTTTTATGTTTCTTATTTTTGTCTTCTACTAAAGTAATATATAGCTAATAATATAATTCTACTAGTATAACCTAGAATTCCTATACTATATCTTATAGTAAACCAATAATTAGAGAATTAACGTAAGTAATTTCTAGTACTAGTATAATACTTTAGATAATTCTAGTAAGAATTCTAAATACCTATTTAGGCTATAGAAAAGATTAAAGCGTATTACTTAGTATTATAATAATACTCTTTACTTAGTAGATATAAATATCTTTTTCCCTAAAAGATAGAGATTAATATATAATCTTATTATTATATCTTTATATAGGTATCTTAATTATTTATTAGTTATAATTACTTATACTAACTATAGAAGCTAAAGTTTAACTTAGTTATAACTTTCTAATTTCTATTACTATTATTTTTACTATTACTATTACTATTACTACTACTTCTAGCTTTATCCTTATTTTATCTTAATTATACAGCCTTATAGTAAGGTATTATACTATTAAGCTTACTACTAAAATTTTTTTTTTTAAGGCAGTATACCTAGAATTTATAAAAGCTTAATTAAAGTAGTATTTATTTATAGTTAGAGTAGTATTTTTATATTACTTAGTAGTAAACTTATTAAATCTAAAAAGCTAAAGATTAAAGAAACTTTATTAGTTTTCTAAACTTATATAAGAAAGAGCTAAACACTAACTTTATAAAGTTATACTTTAAGTTTTTTATTAACTTTAAGGTACTATAAGATTTTTTTTTTTTAAGTAGAAGGTATTACTATTATACTAAGTAATACCTTTTTTATTTCTACTATCTAGCTAGGTTTTTAATAATCTTACTAGTAATATTTAAGCTACTATACTAGTGCTAGTAATTACTTATATTAATTTTTAAATTATTAGTTTACTATAAGCTATTGTAAAGGAACTTTTAGGCTATACTAATAAGATTATATTATAAATCAAGTATAATATTTATAGTAAAGAAAGATAAGACAAGATAGATAAATAGATAAATTAAGTATTTGGACTTTAACTCTTAGGGATATAAAGAAATTTATATAGTAGCTTATTTATATAAACTATTATAACCTAGTTATATTTTTAGAAATACTAGTTAATTAAAGAGTCTTTTTAACTTAACTATAGTTTATAACTTAGAGATAAACTAAACTTTAATTTTTAGCTACGCAAGCTTTTAAATACGCGTCTGTATTAGTAAATTAAGTAGCTAGTTATTAATAGATAGTATACTAATTAGCTTTCTGTTCCTTTTACTATATACTCCTACTAATGTTTACTATATAAAAAGGGGCTAGGTATTAGCTTCTATACTAAGTTACTATAATAGATTTTTACTGTATTATATCTATCTGCCTATACTATAAGCATAAATACGCTATAAACCTAAAATAATAGATATCTTTTAGTACTTAAAGCTTAATAAAAGAGTTAAAGTATAGCTTTATAAAGTTAAAATTTAGCTCTTTTTTAGATAACTTTAATAATTAGTAAAGCTCTTTTTATAACTAAGTATTATTTACCTAATAGCTTTACTACTACGTAGTATAGTTATACTAATATAACTAAAAATAAAAGGCTTCTTAAATAAGCTTTTATAGACTTTAAGAATACTACCTTAATAAAAAGACTAATTAAACTAACTTAGAAAGTATATAACTTTACTATAAGACTATAGAATTAATATAGAATTAGTATAAAGCTAACTAATTAGTAGTAGTAATAGTAATAGTTACAGTAATAGTAATAGAAAGTAGAGGGATATAATTAGGTTAAACTTTAGCTACTATACATAGTATAAGTATATAAGAAAAACTAATAAGTAATAAAAGAGTGTACGTAACTAAATTATAATAGTAAAATAACTTATAAATATCTATTCTTTAGGGTTTAACTACTTATTTGCTTTAATTATATACTTATATTTACTATTATATAGACAGATACGTTAAACTTATAGATATTAGCTTAACTATTAGTTAGATTATATTAGTAAGTAAGTATTAAACCTTTTCTTTAAGTTTCCTTAGTTTATACTTTACTAGAGTTTAGTAGGATCTAGCGCTTAAATATCTAGGCTTTAGTAATAGTATTATTTTATAAGTATATAGATTTAGTTATAGTAAGATAAGATTAAAGATTAAATAAAAGATAAGTTAAAAAGCCTTTAAGTATAAAGAATCTTTATATTCTAGCTTACCTATATAAACTATTCTTGGCTAGACCCTTACTAAAGCTGTATATTAGATATTTAAGATTACTAGTTAATTAATATGTTTCTATAGCCTAGCTAAAGTTTATAATAGAAACTAAGGTTTATAACTAAACTAAACTTTTTTTAATAGCTACTTAAGCTCTTAAATATACGTCTGTACTAGTATATTTAGTAGCTAGTTATAAAGAGATAGTATACTAATTAGCTCTCTATTACCTTTACTATATACTTCTACTAATATTTACTATATATAAAGGGGCTAGGTATTAGCTTCTATATTAAGTTACTATACTATAGTCTTACTGTGTTATGTTTATCTCCTTATATACTAAATATAAAAACGCTATAACCCTAAAGTAATACTAGTATATTAAGCAGCTTATTATTAGATAAATAGTGTTCTAATTTGCTTTCTATTACTATTACTATATACTTTAACTAATATATACTATATAAAAAGATGCTAGGTAATTACTTCTTTACTTAGTTACTATGTTAGATTCTTCCTATCTTACGTCTATCTGCTTATACTAGAAGTATAAATATAGTAAAAACCTAAATATAATACGTAGCTAGTTTTGTATAGTATTTAATAGTTATAAGTTTATAAAACTAATAGGGCTATCTTTAATTTCTAACTTTTTGAATCTAATAAGCTTACTACGAAATAGTATAATAATACTTCTTTAACTATAAATAAGGCTACTTTAAGTAAGCTTTCAAAAATCTTAGGTATACTACTTCAAAAAAAAAGAGTTATAATAGTAATTTAGAAAGTATAATACCTTACTATAAGGCTGTATAATTAATTAAAGCAAGGATAAAGCTAGCTGATGTTGAAGTAGTAGTAATAGTAATAGTAATAGTAATAGTAATAGTAATAGTAATAGTAATAGCAATAGTAATAAAAAGTAGGGGGTTAAAACTAGGTTAAACTTTAGTTGCTATAGTTATTGTAAATAATAAAAACGAATAAATAAATAAGACGTTTTTATAAAAACACAATAAAAAGATTACATATAAATTCCTATCCTCTAGTATAGAATATAAATTAAAGTGTTATATAGCTATTATATTTTAGTTACGCAATCGTTAAACTTACTAATTAGTTTTTATTATAATTTAACACTAACTATAGTAGCTAAAGTCCAACCTAGTTATAGACTTTCTAGATAATTAGCCCTATCCTTATTACTACCTCGAGTATTACTATTACTGTTATAATTGTTATTACTCTAGTAGTTACTAGTCTTTATACTACTAATAGTAGATATAAATTTTATATCTAGCTATACACCTCTTCTAATCTTATATTATAGTTATTATTCTTAGAATATATATAGGGTTACTTATTATTTTAGGTTTATAGCGTATTTATGCTTCTAGTACAAGCAGATAGACGCAACACAGTAAGAATCTAATATAGTAACTCAGTATAGAAGCTATTACCCAGCCCCTTTTTACACAGTAAATATTAGTTAAAGTACACAGTAATAGTAACAGAGAGCTGATCAGACGTCTCTTTAACGAATAGGGTTACTTATAGAAGCCCTTATTTAAGGTTAAAGTAGTCTTATTTTACTTCGTATTAGTAGGCTAATTTAGTAAACATAGCTAAATATCAAAAAAGCTTTTTTTAGTTTTAAAAGTTCCTTAAGTAGAAGCTAAATTCTAAATTAATATATTTTAAATTTTTGTTTTTTCGGAGTATGGAGAACTACTTAATTTTTAGATTACTTCTGTAGAATATACTATAACTGTATTAAGTAATTCTTTTTATTTCTTTGTATAAGCTAACTTTGTTATTAATGAATTAAATATAAGTATTAGAAGTACTATACTAATACTAGCAGTTTCTTATATTATATTCTTACTACTTAGTTCAAAAATAGAGAAAGTAATTAAATCCCTAAATTAGCTAGATAAGTTATGTTAAAATTTAAGAATACTTTTGGATATAGAAAAAAATAGAGTATTTGGAATTAAAACTTAAAAGAGGAAAAGACATTGATATTTAAGCTTATTTATATTAACTATTATAACTTATACTTTCTTTAAAGCTGCTTTAGTTATATATTTAAGATTTCTAGTTAAATAATAAGTTATAATAACCTAGCTAAAGTTTAAAATATATTCTTAAGTTTGTAACTATAGTACACTTTACCTAACTGCTTATTATACTTCTAGATACACGTCTATATAAGCTTATTAAGTAGACTATTACTAGGACATAGTTAATCTGTCTTTAAATACTAATACTAAATACTTTTATTAATATCTACTCTATTTAGAGGAGCTAGGTATTAGTAGGGACACTAAGTTACTATACTATAGTCTAACTATATTATTTCTGAATATTAAGATAATCAGTAAAGCTATACTAAAACTTAAGAATTATTTAGCTTTCTTGAATTTATTACATTACTAGTTAAATAATTTATAAGTACTACTCTAAGTCTACATATAAGATAACTTTAGTTAAAATCTTCAAAACCTTTAGTAATATAGGTAAAAGAAAATTTGTTACTAGTTAAATAGTTAATCAAGACATCATAAGTAATTTTTACATTATTAGTTAGGTTATAGGGTATTTATACTTATTGTTTTAGCAGAAAGACGCAACACAGGAAAGCTAAAGAATAGTAACTTAATATAATTAGTAATACCTATTCTTCTTATTACCAGTTAAAAAAAGAAAGAGTATAGAATAATAGTAATTTAAAATATAATAATAAATTATCTTCAATAACGTTCTGCTTACTATACTAGTATAGACTTATATTTAAAAGCCTTAGTAGCTATTAATTAAACTTTATCTTACAAACAATTTCTAGTTTATATTAGAAAGTATAGCTGGGTTATTAAAATTCTATAAGTAACTATTAGCTTTTATAATAGAACTATAGTAGCTTTTGAGAAGGTATAAGGAATAATTTATTTATATAAATGAGCAAAAATAAACATAATTTCTATAATTTAAAGGTTTAAGCTTTGTTTTATTTATGTATCTTGTTAATTCTCTTTTAGAATAAAATAAAACTAAATTAATAATATAATTATTTAAGTATAGCCTCAAGGTTCCTACGCTACGTCTTATAGTAAACTAATAAACTTAAAATTTAAGGAAGTAAGTACTAGTACTAGTATAGTACACTAGATATTTTTAGTAAGATCTCTAAAGACTTAGTTAAGTAGTAAAAAGAAATAAAAGGTATTACATAGTATAATAGGAATATAAATAACTAAAGTAATCAAGATATTAAGATTAACCTTATATTTAAATATTACTTAAAGTAAAGCTTTATTGAATAAAAGTAATTCTTTTTTAGAATTAGTTAAAAAGCTAATAAAGCTTTGTTAAATACTTAGCTTTTACTTACTTAACTAGATTCCTACTAAATAGTATAATAGTACTAGTCTTACTTAAAAAAAGAACTTCTTTAAGTAAGCTATTATAGATTTTAAGTATTATAATCAAAAGATAAGATTAGTAAAAGTAGCTACGTAGGTATAGTATTTATATACACTATTAGTAGTACAGGAAGTAACTATTATAGTATTAGTAATAATAAAAGCAATAATAATAATAATAGCACAAAGAAGCAAAATGCTAACTACTAATAACTAGCTAAAACCTTAGCTACTGTAGTTAGTATAAATATATAACAAAAACTAATTAGCAATTAAAACGTATATATAACTAAAGTCTAATAGTAACGTAACACATAAATCCCTGTCTTCTAGGGACCAAGATATTATAGTAACGTAACTCTTGAATCTTATTCCTTTATGTTTAATTTATCTATTACTTAAATATAATGTGTTATATTATTTATAATTTATTTTCCAAAGCCAATTTCCTTTTTACTATTAGTATCTCTACCTGTATAGCTCTTGCCTATAGGATAAAAGATAGATTCTAGAATTGTAATACTACTTTAACCTAATAGTTAATTAACTTAACACTTATCTCTTAGCCTAGAATTGTAAAAGTTTTTTAGGATTATAGTGTAACAATACTGTTTATATATGCACATAGATACAGTATTATAGAGATTAAACGAAAGTAACTATATATAGAATCGAATATCTCGTCTTATGTTATATTATATACATATAGAGATATATATAGTAAAATTAATAGGTTACTAATTTAATCATAGTCCTTTATTAGCTAGGTACTTAATATACTAATAAAAATATATATTTTAATACGTAGGCAGTTATTAAGTATAAGTTTAAATATAGTTTAACTACTAAAGCTAAGTTAGTTACTTTTATTTATTTACTTAGGATCTTAAACGCAGAACTAGAAACCCTAATAAAACTAATAGGTACTAATAGTTTTTCTAATAAATCGAAAATATAGTTAAACAAAAATAATAAAAGGACTAGTATTGATTAAAAGTGTTTTTTTATTTCTGAAATTATAAGCCTTTTAGTTTTTTAGAGTCTTATGTTTTAAAGAAAGCTATCTACTACTAATGTTTTTTTACTAAAGCTTAGTAAGTAGATTTTATTTTATGTATTTTAAAGTACATCTTGAACTTATGCTCTATTTCTGGTATTTAACTAACTGTATAGAAATTCATTTACTATTCTGTAGTACTAAATTTAAATCTGTTTTCTTTACTATTTGAATAAGATATTTTAAATTCCCTTTTTCGAAAATTTAAAGATTGTGTATATTTACTTAACTTTTATCTATCTAGCCTATACTAAATAGCTAGAAAGTTTATATAGTTTGAAAAATATTTTTATCTATTATACAACGTTTTGATAAAACTTAGATATTATAATTTTAACGTATAGTTCTGTTAGTAACATACTCTATTCTATCAGATTACTACTTGGTATAATAAAAAATTTTTTAGTATTATTCTTGAATAATACTAAATTATTCTTTTAATGTTATATAGGAGATTATAGTATTACTATAAAAGTTCCTAATATTTTCTTATAATTTTTCAAGACAATTTTACGTATTCAAATACATAAAGGACACTTAAAGGATACTTTAAATACTATAAATCTTTAGTATCTTAAGGTTAAAAAGATTAGGTGCTTTAACTTCAAGAAATAACAGTTAACTTTTACATTAACTTGATATAAGTTGTATTGAATTTATAGCTAATAAGTTAATTATCAAAGAAATCTATAATAAAATATCTTCTCGCTCTCTATTAGGTAATAATATATATTAAATGCCTCAACTGTCTTATTAAAGCAATGTATATCCCATAGACGGGCCCGTTGAACCCGCGGATTTCGGCCCAACTATTAGCCAGTTAGATCGCGTTAGCATGTTGGTATTATGCCTGCCCTTAAAGTATTCTTAGTACAGAGTTTTAGTTTTAATGTTCCTAAGTTATGCTACACAATTTTATTAGCCGAAATCCGCGGGTTTAACGAGCCCGTCTATGGCATACTTCTAGCTACGTGCTTATAAGCTTAACGCAATAACATAGCTTAATGTTTTTAATGTATTTTATAAGACAAAAACTTAAAAACTATTTGCTACTATAAATAAATTAATCTAAAACATTATTTGAAAAATAGTTTATACTAAAAATGCTATAAGAGCTATTAGTAAATCAGAACGTAGTAGTAGTACTTTTACTTGCTTAGTATCTTAATATTTTTGTTAATAGTGTAGTTAACTAATTGTATTATTAACATATACGTGCTTACTCTAGAAGATAGAGATTAATGTATTATATTACTTCCCTATTTTGGTTTTAATTACGTTCTAAATACCTGCTAGTTTTTATAAATTATAGTAATAACAGTAGCTAAAGTTTAACATATTTATAACCCTGGATATATTATTGCTATAGTTATTACTATTACTTTTGCTATTACCCTAATTGTAACTAGTCTTTGTATTACTAGTGGTATATATAGGTTTAATATTAACCTTATAGCTTTTACTAAACTTTATTATTAGTTCAAAGACTAAATATTAATAAAAGTATACTTAGCGTAGTTTATATATAGAGCTGGGACAGTATTTTCTAACTACCTAGTAGTAAGCTACTTATATTATAACAGCTAAGAATTAAAAAAAGCCTTATTAGCTTTATAGACTTAGATAGATAAGAACTAAACTTAACCTATTAAAAGCTTTACTTAAAGCTATATATTAGCTTTAAAGTCCTAATAACTAAAAGGTTTTATTAGGTTACGTTCTTAATTATAAAAATAAAATAAAATCTAGGATTCGCTATACTATAGTTTACTCTACTGCTGATACTTTAATTATAATAAATACTATACTATAACTAAGTAAAACTATACTTATAAGAAGGCGTTAACAGTTTATTATAAAAAAAAAGAGATAAATATAGTATTATTACTATACGAAATAGCTCTCTAAAGAATATTATAAGCTTTCCTTTTTATCTAAAACTATTTTAAGTCTATTCTTACAACTCTATAATACGCTAACTTCACTAGAAGACAGATATAGATGTATTATAATACTATTATATTTTTTTCTACACGTTTAAATTACTTATTAGTTCTTAATATAAATTTACGTTAACTATAGAGACTAAAATATATGCTAGTTTAAACCCTTTGCTTTCTATTACTATTACTCTTACAATTACTAATACTATAATCTCCTTATAAGATCAGGTTATTTTAATTCTATTTTCTATTAGTTCTATTGTCTTTTATTAAGGTTTTAATTCTTCTAAACTACTTCTATAGGTGACTTGTTATAGGTAGTATACTTAAAGTATTTAAAAGCCTACTTAAATTACCTTATAGATATAGTTAAAATAGTTTTATTATACAACTTAGAAGTAGAGCTGTTTAATTAGAAAAGTAAAGTCTTAATAAAATCTTTAAATCTACTAAAACTTTATATAAAAATAAACTAAATTCTAAATTTAAAAAGCTATCCTTAAAGTATTAAATTAAGTATAAAGTAGAATCAGATAGTTATATCTACTAAGTTAAAAGTATTAGGCTTTTAATAAGTAATCCTTTCTTATTCTTTTGCTACCTAACTAGGTTTTAAAAGATTTGTCTAAAGATATTTAGTAGACTAGACAGAAACTAGTAATTACGTATAATAATTTTACTACTATTAGTCTACTATTAAACTTCACGTAGAAACTTTTAAGCTATATATATAAAATTATTATTAGTTAAGTATAGACTTAGTGTTTAAGAAAGATAAGAATAAATAAGTAAATAAATAAAGAAACAAAAATCTTAAATATTAAAGTAGATAAGATGTTTTTATAGTAGTTTACTAAGATAAATTATTATTACTTTTTCTTTTTCTTAAGCTACTCTAGTTTTAATATTTTAATTACTAGTCTATTATTAATTTTATATAAATTAGCTTTAGTAAATAATTTTATCTAAAGATTTTAACTAAACTTAACTTTATCTTACAGCTGCCTAGACTTCTTGATATACGTTTATACTAGAATCTTAAGTAAGTAGTTTTTAAGAAACAGTAAAATAGTATCTTATTACTATTACTATATACTCTTACAAATTTATACTGAATAAAAGAAAGCTATAAAATAACTTATATGCTAAGTTAGTATATTAAGTCTTCTCTATATTATCTATACTTGCTAATACTATAATTATAAATGCGCTATTAAATCAAAATATTAATACTATTACAAACTTTAGTATAATACGTAGAGATAGAAGGAATTTTTATAAGCGCAGGGTGTATATTAGTATACTACAGAGGTAGTATTTCTGTAACAAAAATAGTAAACAATATTATATACTCTATAGAAAAGATTATAAGATAGTTGCTTTTATTGTAGATATTTATATAAGCAGAAACTTAATTATACTAATAATTAATGTAGAGGCGTAGTTAATTCTTAAGAAAATGTATACTAATTATTTAACTGCGTATATTCTTATAATAAGTAAGACTAAAGACTTTAATAGATAAATTATACTTAAACTTCTATTTCTATTTATTTATAGAATATTCTAACTCTACTCTAGTAGGTAGCTACTTCTACCTATAGATAGCTATAACAATTATATAACTAATAAGTTTGTATAGCTAACCTTCTACTTAAAGACTATACTATTAGTACTTCTACTTTATATCTCTTATATATTTTTAAAACTAAACGTTTGTAACTTTTAACTACTAAAGTTGTACTATAGTTAGTACTTAAACTATAGTATTTGTAGTAGTAGTAAAGATATTCTTATATATAAGACCTTCTTAAAGCTTAGTGTAAAGGTAGGTAAATACTAATTACTTTCTATACAATTAAATATAGCTTTACGTGATTAAGCTATATATCTTTAGATACTTAACTAAGTTTTCGAGAATATACAAGTATAACAAGAAAGCTCTATACTTACTATAAATAGTAAAGTAAAGTAATTTTGTAAGTTATACAATAATAAGTATTTCTTAGTAAAATAGAATATTTAACTAAGTTTGTAGTAAAATAAAAATAAAAATATAAGCCTTTACTTCTAAGGTAGTAGAAGTACTTTTAAGCTTAGACTTAAATAGCTTATAAGTATAAGCTTAATAAGCTTTAGACCTACTATTAAAGACGTTCCTTATAAACAACAGTATTTGCTAAGTAGTAGATTACGCCTTTTAAAGAATACTTACTAGACTAGTACTAATAGAAGCCCCTAGATTTACTGCCTAAGTTTATATAATAGAAAAATATTATAAATACTTAAAGGTACTTATAAAAGATAACTAGTTAAAAGATTACTAATTAAAACTACAAATAGAACTTAAGTTTAATATTTAGTAGGTATATACATAAAGAAAGTCTTTTAAATATAGGTAAAGCTTATAAGATAATATAAAAGAATTAAAAGAATAAAGCTAACGTAGTTATTAAAGCGTATATAACTAAGTTTGAGAGGAAGCAAGTAATTATAAACTGCGCTAGGTATAATATAGTATAAAAACTTATTATTTTAGGTTTGTAGCGTATTTATGCTTGTAGTACAGGCAGATAGACGCAATATAGTAAGAATTTAATATAGTAACTTAGTATAGAAGCTAATACCTAGCCCCTTTTTATATAGTAAATATTAGTAGGAGTATATAGTAAAGGTAATAGAGAGCTAATTAGCTGTCTCTTAACAACTAGCTACTCAATGTACTAATACAGACGCGTGTTTGAGAGCCGTATAAAAACTTATAAAATAGGCTAAATTTAGATATTAATAAAAACTCTTAAAGTATAAGTAATTAAAGATATATATAATAACTAATAACCCCAGAAAACGGGGATTAATGTGTTATATTACTATTGTGTTTTAGCTACGTACGCGTTTTAATTACTTATTAGTTCCTGTTATATATTTACACTAACTACAGCAGCCAAAGTTTAACCTAGTTGCAAGTTATTAGCTATCTAATTCCTATCGCCGTTGCTGTTGCTGTTGCCCTCGCCGCTACCTTAAGGTTCTATACCTCCTGAATTACTTCTACAAGTCTTCTTTTCTAGGCTACTAAGTGTACCTAGAGTCTATAAAAGCTTGCTTAAAACGCCTCTTATCCTTAGTTAGAACAGTATTATTACGCTACATAGTAGCAAGGCTATTAAGTTAGAAGAGCTAGGTATTAAAGAAAGCCCTATTAGCTTTATAAACTTATATAAAGAGGAGCTAAACCTAACTTTATTAAGCTTTACCTTAGGCCTTTTATTAAGTATAAAATACTACTTAATATCTAGATTACTTAAGCAGAATATATTACTATTATTCTAAGTTATTTCCTTTTTTTTCTTTTATTACCTAACTAGGTCTTTAGAGATCTTACTAATGTTATCTAAAGTACTATACTAGTACTAGTAATTACTTATCTTAATTTTTTAAGTATTAGTTTTTTAAGACGTAGCATAAGAACTTCTAGGCTATACTAATAGGATTATATTATTAGTTAAGTATAATTTTAGTTATAAAGAAAGATAAAGAAAAATATATAAGATAGATAGATAAATAAATAAAGCTTTTAACTTTTAAGGTATATAGGATATTTATATACTAGCTTATTTTAATAAACTATTATTACCTATACCCTCTCTAAAGCTACCTTAGTTATATATTTAAAATTACTAGTTAATTAAAGGGTTTGTTTAGTTTAGCCATAATTTATAATATAATCTATAGTTAATAACTAAACTTAAATTTAATTAACAGCTACCTAGGCTATAAACTATATATTAATACTAGTATATTAAGTAGCTGGGTTATTAAAGAAATATTTTATTAGCTTTCTATTACTATTACTATATACCTTAACTAATATTTCTTATATAAAAAGAGGCTAGGTAATAGCTTTTATACTAAGTTACTATATTAAATTTGTACTGTATTATGTCTATCTGCTTGTACTATAACCAAAAATATGCTATAAACCTAAGAGAATAATAACTAATAAGAGTAATAGAAAGCTTTATTATAGGTAAAGAATATATTTATAAGTAATATTAAGAGTTATTATTTCGTTTTAAAGGTTAATCTTTTGAATAATAATAACAATAATAAAGAAGGCTTAGTAATTTGTTTTACCTATAAATATAAACCAAATAATTAAAACTTCTATTCTAGTTATTTTTATAAGGATACAATTATATATCTATAGCTAAAAATATTTATATTTTATACTTAAAGATATTAAGCTAACTATTCGTAATTAGCTTTAATAGACGTATAATATATAGCTTAGTCGTTAGCCTCTAGTTAGCGTTATCTCTAAAGCTAGAACTTAAGGCAAGAATATTTTACTTTAACTTTTAAATTACTACTACTATACTCTTATTTAGTATACTAATTAATAGCGTAAAAGCTAAACTAATATAGTAGAATTTATTAATTTTTAGACTATGCTTATAGACTTAGTTTAGCGTAAAAGATATAAATTACTATTTTATTTATAGTATAAAGTACCAGTTTAATATAATAAAATTGCAAACTACTTGTTAAAGAAATCAGTACTTATTCTACTAATTAAAATCTCTTATCTCTAACTCGCGCTCTACTAGGTTACTATATAAGTTAAAAGCTCCGACTCTCGAACTCTTAGTAATATATATACTAGAGGCTTATACCTATAGACTTAATACTATTCTATAGCCAAAACTTACTCCTACTTAAAATTACTTATACGCTACTAATCCCTAGAAAGCAGATATTAATATATTACGTTGTTTTTTTATTTTAGTTATTATTTTAGGTTTATAGTGTATTTATGCTTAAAGTACAAGTAAATAGAGGTAATATAGTAAGAATCTAATATAGTAACTCAGTATAATAGCTAATACCTAGCCTCTTTTTCTATAGTAAGAATTAATAAAAGTATATAGTAATAATAATAAAGATCTTATTATCTATCTTTTAATAACTAGCTTCTTAATATATTAGTAAAGATATGTATTTAAAAGCTTAGGTAGCTGTTAGTTTAGGTTTAGTTAATTTATAAACTTTAGATTATATTATAAAATATAGCTAGGTAGTAGAAAGTTTTTACTTAATTAGTAATATTAAATATATAACTAAGGTAGTTTAGGGAAAGTATAAGTAATAATAGTCTATATAATTAGGCTATTATATAATTATCTTTTATAACTTAAAATTTAAGATCTTTACTTATTTATTTATTTATTTATCTATCTTATTCTTTTTTTTTTGCCTAAGATTATACTTAACTAATAATATAATCTTATTAGTATTACCTAGAAGTCTTTATACAGCCTTTTTTAGTTAACTAAGAGTTAAAGATTTAAAATAAGTAACTATATATACTAGTAGAATACTTTTAATAACTCTAGTAAGATCTTTAAAGACAAAGTTAGGTAGTAAAAGAAAATAAAGAAAATTAATTAGTATATTAGTAATATATTTTACTTAAGTTCTCTATATATTAAGTAGTACTTTACATTTAATTAAAAGCTTAAAGTTAAGGTTTTTAAAGTTGAAATTTAGCTTCTTATTATAGATATATATAAAACTAATAAAGCTTTTTATAATACTTAGATCTTTTAATTTATTAGCTTAATAATTAATTAGTAGAATAATACTATTTTAACTACAGAATTAATAGTATTTTAAGTAAGCTTTTATAGACCTAAGGTATAGTACCTAAAAAGAAAGACGTATAAAAGTTATTTAGAAGGTATAAAACCTTACTATTTAACTATAAAAATAATATAGAATAAGGATAAAGATAGCTAATCTTGTTAAAAAGAAGTAGTAAAAGTAATAATATTATAATAATGCTAGTTAGCTAAGGACTAATAAGTTATTAGTAGGTTAAACTTTAGCTGCTATAGTTATTATGAATTAAAAATAAGAATTAGTTAGTAATTAAAATGTATACATAACTAACATAAATTAGTAATATAATATATTAACTTCTATTCTCTATTAATAAAGGAGTTATATATTTTTTAAACTTTTTATAGTTAACCTATTATCTTTTATATCTAAGGTTTTATTAAGATTGTTTTTAGAGATTTATAGTAATTTAAAATTATTCTTTTAAACTTAGTAGTATACTCTAAAAACCTAACTATTATACTTTCTCTATCTAAAGATCTATAAAAAAAGTCTAATATAATGTAATTTCTTTATCTAAGATAGATACCCTATTTTATTTTTATTTTAATAAAGTCTTAAAAGTAAAACTACAAGAATAAATAAATAATATAAAGTACTATTAAGAACTCTAGATTTAATAAATTTATCTTATTAGAATCTAAACCTTTTCTTTTTGTATTTAACTATTTTTAATAGGCTTAGTACTAGACTATCTAAAGTTTATTAGATACAGCACTTAAACGTCTAGGCTTTAGTAATAGCGTTATATTATAGGTATATTATCTTAGTTATAGTAACATAAGATTAAAAATAGAATAAAAGATAATTTAAAAAGCCTTAACGTATAAAGAGTATTTATATTTAGGCTTATCTATAAAAACAAATATTGCTTATACCCTCTCTAAAGCTCCCTTAGTTATATATTTAAAATAACTAGTTTATTAAAGAGTTCTTATAACCTAGCTATAGTTTATAATATAATCTAGGATTTATAACTAGACTAAACTTTAATTAATAGCTACCTAGGCTCCTAAATATACGTCTGCACTAGTATATTAAGTAGATTATTACTAAGAAATAGTTAGTCTACTTTTTAATACTATTATTACATAATCTTACTAATAATTACTATCTATAAAGAGGCTAGGTATTAGTATCTATGTTAAGTTCCTATACTATAGTCTTACTGTATTAGGTTTATCTACTTAACTAATAAGCATAAATACGCTATAACCGTAAAATAATAAAGTTTATTAAGCTTAAATTTATATTTATAAGCCAAGCCTTTAATTCTTAAGTAAATTTTCTACTGTAAATTATTTCTTTAAAGAGAAGGCTAGATATAGTAAATATTAATAGCTTTAGTTAGACTTAAGTACTTACCTTATTTTATTATTTCTTTAATTTATACTTCTATATACTTAAGTACTTAATATATACTATTACTAGGTAATAATGTTTATAAAGTTCTTTTTTACTCTAGGAACTTACCTAAGCTTCTAGTAATAAAAAGCTCTACTTAAAAGAAAACTATTACAAGTTTTTAGAGAGTAATATTACTTATAATACGTTAAGGTATTTTATAAAATAAGGCTAAATATACGAGATTAGCTAGTTCTAAGTTTATAAATTACTAGTTACTTACTAATAACGTACCTAGCCTTAAAAGTTTTATTATTAACTTTCTTAAGACTACTATTGCTTAGTATAGGTCTTAATACTTAAATAGATTATTACGTAGATAATTAATCTAAAACTACTAATATTTTATAAAAACTAAAACTATAGCTTAAAATTTATAATATTTAATATAACCTAACGAATTCTAAAATTTATTTATAGCTTATATACTATTAGATCTTTAAGAAACTTTTAATATTACTTAATTATACTATATCTACGAATTAATAGCCTTAGCTCTTTAGAGATCTTTAATATTTAAAGCTAAAATAAAAAACCTATAAGATATATATATATATTCCTACGTTATAAGCCTTACTTAGAAATAAACGTCCTAGAAAACTCTTAAATATACTTTAATTATATTATAACGTATTGTAAATTTCTGTAATTTTAGTAATATAATTTGTATTCTGTTACTTGTATAAATAAAAAGCTTATACTCTAAGTAGGTCTTTTATTCTAATGTTTAAAGAATTGTTTAATCTAAGTAGTATTTTTTTTTTCTTATTTTTTTTTATTTCTAGAGTAAAGATTTTAAAGTAAATATTTAAATAAAAGCTTATAAATTTATAGTCTAGTAAGTAATAATTAAAACAGATAATTACTTTTAATATAAAGTGCTAAGTTTATAATTATAAAAAAAGAGCTAGAAGTAGTATATTTTAAAATTATACTATTTAAGTTTTAGCTATCTTGAGTTAAGTATAAATCTTTTAACTTATATTATATAGAAAGTAGTAAAATAGTTATTTAAAGCTTTTAAGTTTCTTGGTATATACTAAGAATTTATTTAATATTATTATAACTGTCTAATTGCTTAGGTAACGCGTATACATTCTATTATAAGTAAAGTAGTTATACTGTTCCCTAACATATCTAAGTCTACACTAAGGAATTCCAGAGATTAGACTAACTACTTTTCAAATATCTATATATTTAAATATCTATTGTGTAGTGAATTCTTTGTAAAGTTGAGTTAAACTAATAGAATACTTACGTCTACTATTTCAAGGTCTATGTTTCTTTATATTATCGCTTTTAGTTAGGCTAGCTCTGAAGCATGCTTTTGTATTTAAAGGCTAACGCTGCCTTCCACCACCCTCAATTAACAGCGATCGTTAGATCTAGCCAACCTCAGTCTATTGTGATAGCCCGTGGAGGCCGCAGAGGACGAATGGGCTCACTTAGCCGCACTCAACGCGCCAAACCCCACGTTCTTCCATTCACAGACCACCTAAGAAAAGACGCGCTCATGGTGTTCGGAGGCCTAGAATCGTGTCCTCTTCCACCGCTTTACAGTTTCACCATATACTCCACCCATGGGGAACCGGACCCTGACGAACATGTTGAAGAATCGCGCCATGGTGATGCCGTTGCTATCCATGAATGATTGACATGTCATGGGCGTGACTATGGTTCCGTATTCGATACATCCTTTAATGGCTCCGTCCTTCGCGAGATTAGACAACACTGCTATAGCAGCCCAGGTTTAACAATGGCATGAAGACGTTCTCTGATTAGATACTCTTTCCTCTTCTTCTCGGGTATCGGACCCAGGGTACCTAGCCGATACACTATCTTAGGTGGCGATGCAGTACCAAAGCCCCTTTGCAGGCGCGCAATTCGTGGAATTAGCTTTGAGAGACAAATTCATATGTTGGTCTTAGCACTTGCGGTGTTCAACAGTTGTGGATGGAATGCTTACCAGCTTTCCAATTCCTCCAACAAAATCGCCCACCCCATGGCAAGAACCTCGCAAGCCGACTTGGCCTGGATAAGCAGAAGTTCCGGGACTGGCAGATTCGCGCCATTCGTGTCCAAGAAACAATCCTTTCTGGTTCTCTTTGCGAGCGGGGAAGGCGTCGACAACCTGATGAGTGGAGGTGTCGCCGGACTTGATGCTGTAAGTTTTGCCATCACACTTCTCTGATGTTGTGTTTCTAGGACTCGCTCTAGTCAGGTTAGAGGTATGTCTCGAATCATGCATGGGGGGATGACGTACCCTGCGAATGGTGTTGTAGACCTCGCAAGCGGGAACCCGGTCTTCGACCAGCTCGCCGTCAAAGAGCTGTGGTTCGATTGGAGTGCATATCTGCCGTTGATTGGTGACCCAGCCTGGAATAGGTATGCTTTCATGATACAGTCATCGCACATGTCGACTTCCATCTGATTCAATATTTTTATACAGTTGTTAGATGAGCTCAATATTATGAATCGACATCAGAGACCAGCAGTAAACCCTCCTCAGGTTTGCAGAGTCTGTTGTAACGATACAGGTTCCCGCATGCTTTCCCCACGGACTCGAGACGCTAGCAGGGATCATAGACGGCTGAAAGTTCCGTTCCGTAACGGCGCCCCGACTCCTTTCAGCTTCTACTCTGTTGTCTTGGAGGCTTCGACGATGCGACCATGAGCGAGTCGCAGAAGCTCCTGCAAGAGCACCCTGACGACAGCGATTCCGAGCCTGAGCCCGAGCCCGAGCCCGAGCACGAACAACAAGCCAGTCGGCGACAGCTGTCCCCATCGCCGCCCCCGTCACGGAGCACATCGGCGTCGCCAGCAGACGTGGCATCACGCCCCAACGGCTTCAAGAGGCAGTCGTCTTTTGCCCGTCCGCGGCCCCATGGCACTCCCAGGACGCCCAACCGCGTGCGCTTCGAGGACCCGGTGCGGCGAGGTAGCACAAACGGCCATGCCGAGGGCCACGACTGGATAGAGCTCGACGGCGATGACTACGCCGACCATGGGCAAGTGCAGCGCCTGCCACTGCTCACGGGCATCGAGGCGCCGAGCGTCACCGTGGCTGAAGAGGCCTTCCGCCCCGAGGACCACCTGGAGAGCGCGCGGCCGCGCAGCGGCATGCGCAGCGCCTTCATGAACATGGCCAACAGCATCATCGGCGCTGGCATCATCGGCCAGCCCTACGCCTTCCGCAACGCCGGGCTGCTCACGGGCGCCCTCCTGCTCATCACTCTCACCGTCGTCGTCGACTGGACCATCCGCCTCATCGTCATCAACTCGAAGCTGAGCGGCACCGACTCGTTCCAGGCCACGGTCCAACACTGCTTTGGGAGGTCGGGACTGGTGGCCATCTCGCTGGCGCAGTGGCTGTTGTACGTGCACCGCCGCAACATGGGCAGGACGCTTTGCTGATGGACCGTAGTGCGTTTGGCGGCATGGTGGCCTTTTGCGTCATAGTCGGCGACACGATCCCCAAGGTCATGGACGCCTTGTTCCCCTCCCTGGCCGACACGTCCTTCCTCTGGCTCCTCACAAACAGACGCGCCATCATGGTCGTCCTCGTCCTCGGCGTCTCGTATCCGCTCTCGCTCTACCGCGATATTGCAAAGGCATCCACCCCACACCGCCCCGCTCACACCATGTGCTAACGTGTCCCAGCTCGCCAAAGCCAGCGGCCTCGCTCTCGTGAGCATGATCATCATCATCGTCACAGTCATTACCCAGGCCTTCCGTGTCCCCACAGAATCTCGAGGCCAGCTGCGTGGCTCCCTCGTCATCAACTCTGGCATTTTCGAGGCTATAGGCGTCATCTCTTTTGCCTTTGTCTGCCACCACAACTCCCTCCTCATTTACGGCTCCCTGCGCAAGCCTACCATCGACCGCTTCTCGCGCGTAACGCACTACAGCACGAGCATATCTCTTGTGGCATGTCTAGCTCTCGCTCTCTCTGGCTACCTGACCTTTGGCGACAAGACCCTTGGCAACGTGCTGAACAACTTCCCAAACGACAACTTCATGGTCAACGTTGCGCGTCTCTGCTTTGGCCTCAACATGCTCACCACACTGCCACTTGAAGCATTTGTCTGCAGAGAGGTCATGAACAACTACTGGTTCCCCGACGAACCCTATCATCCAAACCGTCATCTCATCTTCACCACCTCTATCGTCATCACAGCTTTGACACTCTCACTTCTCACTTGCGATCTCGGCATTGTCTTCGAGCTTTTTGGCGCAACTTCAGCTTGTGCATTGGCATTCATCCTTCCGCCATTGTGCTACATCAAGTTGTCCAAGAAGAGCTCCCAAACGTATCTTGCCATGTGTGTTGTGGCCTTTGGATGCACTGTTATGCTCATTTCCATTTTCAAGACCACGAGCAAATTGGCCTCGGGCAATAGGGAATCAGCTCAATGTACTTGATCTTCTGTATATGAAACGAATTGCATGTTCGGGCGTTAATGTATTGGGCATTGGTCCACTGTCCACATATGCACTTCATTTGGATCAGAAGAACAGCCTTATTCAAATGAACAACCATAGTTTAGTCGACATTTAGCTCAAAATTAGGTAGATAAAAGAACGCCAACAATCAAATCCGTTAATCGGATGAAACAATCCAACAACTCGGCGCTTCGTCAACTTCATTCATACCAATAAACAGTTCTGGCGTTATCTTTGGAAGTACAAATGCCAAGCAGTATCAGACATGGTCATGGCCTACAATGGTTAGTACAAGTCTCACAACTCGCGTGAGGATACTTACGACCAAGAGCCCGTCCTTTCTTTCCAAGCGCCTTTGCCTCTCCCTGCTTGATCTTCGCCAATCTCGCTTCCTCCGCTGCTTCCCTCTCTAATCTCCTGACATGCTCTCTGGCCTCTCTTACTGCATTCTTCGCGACGAACAACGCACGATCCGCATCTCTTTCAGCAACCTCGGCTTGCCGGAGGCTGTGCGTAGCAGCTGCAATAGATGGGTCGCCTGAGTGGCTTTTGTGTAGGATGGATGAGTGGCGCTTGGTGGTCGTGGTGGTATGTGATGTAGCTGGTGGGGATCTGTGCATGTTCGAGGGTGATGTGGAGCGTCGGCGCGAGAAAAGGCCTGTTCGGGCTGTGTGAGCTGGCGCAGGTGGGGGAGAAGGCTCGCGGCGTGACCCGAAAAGAGGCATTATGAATCTGTAGTTGAGTGTTGGTTGTAATTTAGCTCTAGTCGATGTGGATGCCTCAGTGTGAGGAATAAGGGATATAGTTCGAGAAGGCCTTTCAACTGACGGAAGATCTGTTATGTAGCGATGATATTGGAAAGAACACTAGATAGACCCATTCTTTGTTTATATATTCGTACCACCACTTTACGCGGGCATTTGGGTTGGCCGAGAAGCAGGATCCTGGTGTCGCATGACGTCAGAAAATCCACGAATTCAGGTGTGATCAGCAACCATTTCAACTTCCTATCGCAGTGCGTCATCGTCTACTGAGTTGAAGTGTTCAACGTTAAGATGAAGGTATCGGATACAAACGATACTTGCGATGCTGCTTTTAGTCTTCACTAGTGTGTCGTAGTGCCTCCTGCAACGCCGTTGAGATTCCCCAGAGCTAGTTAGCTTAGTTTGTCCCCTTAGCGCCGACGTATCCAGTTCAAGGTTGGAGTTTGAACACCTGTGTCAAGCCCTAATATTGGTCAGCTTTAGTTGCTACATGACAGCTACAAGCTATAACCGCTTCACGGATTCCGGTAAACCATACAAAGCGAAAATGTGTTAATACGATGTCCTTGAATGCTTATTTTGAATGGCACACAGATATCTTCTGGAAAGCAGTAGTAGTACACATGAACGGGAAAGCTAAGTACAATGAAACTTTTATTTTTTTTGCTCTGTGGTAATTTGCGGCAGCTCCTTTACATTGTATAAAGGCGAATGTGCGGGCTGAACAACGGTTTTACTCCAGCCGTTTTCAAGGCCATGTCGATCAGATCGGTATACGTAGTATCGGTAGGAATCAAGTAGTGATCTCCTCGTTCATGGGGTAAAGCTGAGGTCTGGAGTTGCAGTAGATGCGAAATCTCAAATAGAGGCGCCGCATGAGATATTCTAAGCGAATAAATTATCATAGTGATCGACTTTCGGAAGGCTGTTTCAACAGACCCATAGGTTAGCTGTCTTATTCCTTTTTTGAATCTGATCTGCCGTGTCAAAGCTTGCAGTCTGAACTTTCTGAGTATACTTCATAAGCTGTGTGCCTGCATTATGGTAACATGTCGTCCGCTCCATAGCGCATCGTACAATCACTGTTTACGCTACCTCAAAACGATACGTACGTGCAGCAGCACGGTTACACATATTTCGTAACAGTCCTTTAGAGTTGGTCATGGCCTCATTTTGTCTCTATCCAACTTGGCTTGTTGATATCAACGAGACGCAGGCAAGACTTCTCTTGATCATGCACCACACCTATCGATCCACCTGAATATTGCAGTAAAACGACTAGGGTGTGTACTCACACTGATCAACTGAGCATCACTGCCACCGTCGTGGATGATTGAAATGTGTGATGTCTGGTTACCTTTCAGCGTATCTGGCCCCATTCATGCGTAAATCCCAGTAATTACTATGGCGTCCATCTCCAAGCGCTTGACCCCGACTGTCTCATTGATAGCGTTGTACCGAGGAGATCGGACAGTGCACATCACGCCTGCGATCTGGCGACAGCGGACAACGGTGGGAACCACGCTGATCAACTTCGTTGGACCCCAGGGCTCCGGGTGCCACTATCTCTTATCACAAACACAGAAGGCCTAGAGACTGTGACCCATCTAGCGAAATTGGTAAGCTAAACACTGGAGAAGTGTCCGAGGGCACTCGAGGCGAGCCAATGGGCTGAGATATGCAGAGAAGCGAGAGCGACGTCGAGGCTAGCGGTGGGACGAGGTTCGAGGCAAAAGTCTATGATCAACTTGGAGATGGGGATTCAGAAACTGTATTGCCGAGATCTGTGGAATTTTCCAATGTACTACCAAATCAGTTGCAGCGTATAGCTATCCATCAGGCTTATACACTTACGATGATCGTAAGAAGTGGGATATATGAGCAAGTGCCCAGAGTGATCGATTACGAAGGACGTCGTTATTTCATCCTTGTCCGATTGACTGGGCTTACTTCATCGCTAAAGCGGCTCTCGTAGTGAGGTACTCCGGGTGGCGATTCTCGTCGGCGCCGTTATTGGTCGTTTTGTAGCTTGCTATGGTGGCTGTAGAGGCATCCAAGCGCGACTTTGAGGGACTTGAGATAGGGTTGATACACTGTGTTGAGAATAGGAAAAGGGAGATGCGTAAAGCTAATCGGTCTGTGCTCTGGCGGGGTGGGAGGACTAGAGAGAGCTAGTAAGTCCTCGATTATCCACTGACTGAAGTGTTTCGCAGCGTTCTTGGAGACGACTCAGCCAATCTCAGACTATTCGAGTCTTCAGATTCATGAGTTTCACATTGTGATTGAAGGCCGCGTCTGATAGACGAAGGGTTGGGTTTGGTGTGTTCACAACGTGCCCCGTTACAAACCGCCCCTTTCCTTCATATTCACTGTTTGATTTTGGTACATCCTCACCTGAGCCCACAACAGGCTTTGATCTCAGACGTCTTGATACTCTCTTCTTGTTTGCGTTATAGAATCAAAACTAGTCCAGAATTAATCTACAATGCAGTGTGGGAACAAACTTACTTTCTCATGCCAATCATGAATATCTCTCTTGAACTTAGAGGCTCTTCTTCGCATTGCTGCACAATGAACAGGATATTTACCTATTGAGATATACCTGACTGTCTTGATTTGTCCAGTCCGCCTCTCGGGCAATACCGACGCTAGCAGCTGATGGTGAAGGTATCTCGAACCCCTACCCTTCGCATGATGTACCGTCTTTCGATAACCACAAATTGTGGTCGGGTTAGTGTGAGTCGAATGGCCTAATTCGCAGCATGCTCTACAAACTTCTCCGGTGTCGATAGGGTTTCGTGGCGATGTTACAGGGTGCTGTAGAGGGACTTTTCGAATGGGAGGCGCAGATTTACTCCATCACAAGTGTTTACGCATGCGCACTTGTGTTTGTAGCCTTGTTCTCCGCCCACTTCTTTCATCTCCCTCACTCTACCCTGCACCTTCCACCACAACAACACTATTTTGGAGAACTGCGCCGCAAACTATTTTCCTACCCTCTTCATCAACATGGGTCGCGCGAGGGACAGGTGGGTTTGGCTGCAGCTTTACGTCAACTGCAAGGCCTATAAGCTGCGGAAGAAGCTTGGCCTAGTCAGGGTAAGCCAAAGTTGCTTCCGAGTTTCTGCTCATCCTGCGCGTCTGATGCTGGTACCGTAAGCTGCTGGCAGTCGATTGCATCTCGATGCCTTGACCTCTTACGCGTTCTGTTGTCCTTCGCCGTGGAGCATTTTCCTCGCAGCAGCATCACCTCACAAAGGCTTACTTATCTTCACCGTGTGCCTAGCTAACTGACTTTGTAATAGCGACGATAAACGGATGCATCTCGAGGTGTCGAAGCCCTTCAGAGGCATCGTGCGAACCTCGCGGTAAACAATGCTTCGCACGGACACCCCCTCGAACATCGAACACCGTCTTGAATACGTCGTTTCAATGGCCCGAGGAGACCACAAGATGGTTGCGCTGGGATGGCGTCTGGTTTCTGGTTCTTGGTTTTTGGGATTTGGTGAGTCCCCGCTGTCCTTATATTTTCCTACACTCCGCGAGATGATGAACCATCTGGGGCTGTTTTCAGGTCCAGTGGTTACACAGTGATCTACCTGAGAGATCCCGAGTACCCATTTCATGTGTTCTTCGGACACCTAAGATGTGGTGAGACGTGGTTCTCGATGCTACAAACCCTCAAAAGAGCTTACTGATGGAGATATCGCAATCGTGTCGGAGAACAAATTGTTGATCGAGAAAAAGGCTAACTGCTTGGCATCTAGGCCACGACGGTGTTTAAGCATGGTCTCGTGGTGTAATGGGACGGACTGGGAGAATTGAAGCGGCGTCGGTGTCACCCATACCTCGCCATGGATCTTCGACTTGAATGTACCGCAGTCTTGGTGACTAGCACAGACGACTCCATAGACGACTCCATGTTCAGCGCGGACATCATCAAGGACTTACATCTGCTCACCAATGTCATGACATCCAGCATTCCCATCCGTTCCACCATCTCGCCGTGCAACCATTGCGACGCAATCCTTGTTGTATACATGATCAACGGGCGTAAGTTTAAGTACTATCTCGAACCCGCAAGCAAGAGCCCTGTGGATGCTCCGCTAACTCGATATTACTATCTTTTCGTCAGTATGGGTCGGGCTCTGTTGGTCGTAATCGGTTCCCGAACGCATCGTCGAACATGGATATGAATCCTAAAGCTTGTACGGAGGGAGTGCGTTTGGATGTCGATAAGGTGTAACCCTGTTGCGACAAAAAGACTCAGCCACAATCTGATCTTTACTGAGTATACTACTCGACATCGTCGAAACGGTTCCGTAATTAGCGTCGACTGTTTTCGAAAACTTGTTGGGAGCATACGATTGGCTACTTGCTGACACAATGAGACGTCCAGCGTACCCGATACAATCGACAGCAGTAGACTCAAAACTCCTTAATGGAGTTGGTATATATAAAGTCGCCTGTAGGATTGGCGATTCGAGGACTCCGAGGAATGTAATCCGGAATCATTTTCTCAGGATATGTTCCGCCTTTTCATCTATCTTCACGGTCTTCCCTTCCCTTTGTATATGGGGGGGGGGTTTCTCTCAAAGTTCTAGCAGGTGAGCCGAGTACGCATCAGGTGTTATATTGTTGAAGTAAGTTCTACCGATCCTTCACGGTAGTCGTCATTCTGGGATCTGAAGATGAGTTGCTGAGGGGTGCTGATTGTCCTAGATCAAGAAGTAAATGCATCCAATAACATGATGTAGGCGATTTTCCAATCGTAATTCCGAGATGGAATTTGGAATGGGGAGAGATGCACGAAGTATCGGAGACAGGTCGTCAGAGGAGGTTTGTGTGGCTTCGGCTGCGGCTTCCCGATGCATGCGCCGGCCCCACCATCCCTTTCTAGCATCAGACGTCGCTTCATCCTTGGGGATTTGTCTTTGATCTTCAGCGCCAATATATGCCGTTTCTCTGGTAGAAACTGAGATCTCCCGGGCCTTCGTTTGGCGAATTAGCATGAGCGTGATGCGGCGGTGTCGCGCTTACGACGGATGAGGGATTCCATCTTCTGAGGACTGCGAGGTGTCATTAGCAACAGTTTCGGACACGCTCGAGAAGATCATATATGACGAAAACGTCTGAGAGCCACGAGGTACTCTGCTGAGCCATCATTCGCACGAGTAGGTCGTCAAGATGCCTACCTGGGCCTGCCACCCTTCCTTGACACCGATCGCACGAGCCAGGCTGAGGTCTTCAACCCCCCTTTCCTCGTTGTTGTTGCCGATAGTGTCATTAAGGGTTCCTGAAGAGAAGGCTGTGTGCATCCCTCGTGGAAATCGATCGTACCTCTGGAACTGGTCTCCCCGGCGGAGCACCACAATCCGGGCGATTCAGGACTGCGATTAAGCACGCGGCAGAAACCTGGATGAACTCTTACCAGTGTCAGCATTCTCATGAGGAGTGGAGAAGAGTGTTTGGTGTTGCGACAGGGGACGAAGGAAGGGCACTCACTCCAAACCCGCGGGCTTCGTAAACACCGGAATGTTCGCTGATAGCCACACCCACTGCAGAAAGAATCTCCGAGAAAGACATCTTGGGAAGATGAGGGCTCGGATGGGTTTGCGGATGTGATGTTTCAAAGTTTGTTGGTGTTTGAGCAGAGTCTGCAGCCTGCGGTGGTGTTTTCCTCCGCTACCTACACTGGCGGGAGGGGCTAGGTGAAGGCAGTATACCGTCGCGAGCGTCATTCGAATATACACAACAAAGCCACGGTATTAATGCGCAGAAAGTTGCTAATCAGGCACATATCTTGTCCGCATCTACAAAATATCAAGAAACAGCAGCGGAAGCGTTCAATCAGAGGCTACAGTTGGCTCAAGCACGACCGTGCATGTTGCACGTTCTTTTGAGCATCGTTGTCTCCTCCTGTAGTACGCAGAATGGAGTCAACAAGTCAAAGAACAAGATGCTCATGCAACAGTTCAGCTTGAGTACATGCGAGCGCTGTACCTAATGGAAGTACATCGTCATGTAACGCTACAAGCTATAGGTACTCACTGCAGGATACCCATGGTATGATCCTCTAATTTACAGCTTCCAAAAATATGTAGCATCCGTTTCCGAAGAGCTAAAGCAGAGTCACTCTAGGTCCTCTTGCGCGGTTTCATCAAAGACTCTCACACATTATCCCAGTCCTGATACCACCTTATGTCTTCGGTTCCGCCTCTAGACGTTCTATACACCGTCTGTATTTCTGTTTTGTATGTTGGCTTGTGATTGTCGGTATAACGCTGAGTTGTGTAGCATGTCATATCGTTAATCTCGTTCTTACATTCACTTCTACAATCTCTCTAGCTAGAGACAACTTCACACACTCTCGACGGCACCCAGTAGGTTCGGCACGAGGTTGCTCCGCGTGGGGCAATGAACTGCACCAGTTCATCATTCTCATGTTCGCGCTTATGTTTCTCGAAGGTCCAAAGGGAGCATACGTCGATTTCGACCGTATCCTGTAAGCTCATTGATGGGCTTGTAGTCGCATTGCGGAAGGGGTATGGTTCAGGTATTTCAAGTTCTCGCAAAAACTCCTCGATCGTCACCTCACAGAGTCATCAAGTCGAACAGATTGCAATACATTGATACGGTAGGCCCATACATGCTGGACATGGATCAGGTTCAGTACCTCGTAAGGAGTACCTCTTCCTTGCGGTTAAGTCAGGGGGAGTCGATGGTGAAGGTGGTTCTATGGACTGTTTATTGTCATCTTGGCAACACTAGCGAGGAGCACATAAAGGTGAGCCAATTCTGTACCGCTTCTCTCCTCTGCGACACCATAAAGTATCAACATGGCGTCGCGTACGCATTCCCACTTCTTCAGCATGTCCGCTCGTCCACCACCATCTGGCCCGGCGCCTCCTCCGCCTCCGCCTCCTCCTCCTCCACCTCCTCCTTCACCACCACCACCACCGCCGCCGCCACGAGGAGAATCTCCGCCCGCGCCACCAGCCCCCGGTGACCCCTCTGGGCCTTTCGTCCAACCCTCTCCGCTCCTGCCCGGCTGCCGTAGCTGGACACTGTTCAAGTCGGACATGGAGCTCTGGGTGATGCTCGTGGAGTCTGCCCATGGGTCTCAGATGTACACGGGGCTCGTCGCCCATGAGTACACGAACTACGAGCGGATTGTGGAGTACGTGCAGTCTTTCGAGAACCTGGTAAGCTTTGTCCCATTCACTGTGTGGTAAACGTCTCTTTGGTGTAGTGCTTGCTCATCATTGATATATAGGCACCGCTTGAGAAAGCAGTAGTGCTTTCCAACATTGACCGTGCCCGGCGCAACAACGGGGCAGTCATGTCTGGTGAGAACTGAGGACAACAATCAGGACGATGGCGACGGTGACGACGGTGACGACGATGACGACGACGACGACGACGACGACGACGAATGGGACAGGAGCTGAGGAAAGACGGGGTTCATTTGGAGTTGGGCTTGATTCTTTATGGCATTCATCTCCACGTAATGAATCTTTGCCGCCGGCTGCCTTCGCGCTGCGTTTTTGAATCTCACAACTCCCCCTGTGACTACTTGTAACAACATCGACACTACATGGCATGTCACAGAAGGGTTTCATGTACTTCATGCTACTGTCATGAACTTGCCCTTGTTCTGATGATCTATAGGAGATGAAGAGAGTCCCTCAAATCGATCAAAACTTCTATCAACCATAGTGAATTGATTGAAACAAAGGTAACTCAGCTTAAATCAAACCTTGTAGGATATCGCCCTTACCAGGCAGTACATAAATTGATGCCACAATCAAGAGGCGATTATAAAGGTCACGAATTGTAGCAAATATTATCTTGGTTCAGGTAGCACTGAGTAGAGTCGAAGCCATTACGATTCAATGGCATGGTAAGATAAAGATTTGTTCAGACAATGTAAGACCACATGTTGTAGCGCACATGAAGATCAGTCCACGTCTACTAACATCGTCACATCTTTCAGCTAATAGCAATGGTCATGTTGTGTATATTATGTTTTGCATAAATGAAAAGTGTGAAGACCAATAATTTCCTGTAATACTGGGTAAGATTGCTGGCATTCAGGGAAGGACCTCAACTATATGGCTAGAGTTTGCTGGAAGTCCTCATGGTATCGAGAGTATATCAGTCTTAATGGTACCTGCAGGGCAAGTGCTAGTCATGGTGTAAGGACGAAGGGGTCGCCGACGAATAGATGAGAAGCTTACAAAACCCGGCTTTCTCCGGCTTGGCAGACGTCCAGTCCGCTCAACCTCACCAAGCTTCACGATCCGGTCGACGAAGGCGCAACACGACGAACTCCGCCCATTGGCCCATCTCCACTCTTCCAACGCGTGACCAGTGACTGGGTGCTCAACATGGCGTCCAAGAAGGTTGCGACGACCTTTTCGGTGCGCTTCACGACCCCTCCGATACGCTCTAGCATCGTCCCCAGCCAGTAAACTGATGGCTCTAAATAGAAATACACGGTCCAGCCCACAGGCATCTATGCCGCCATCAACAAGTTCTTTGCTATCGACCCCAAGCGTTCCACGGGTATTCCCATGAACCCACAGTTTCGCAACCCACCCCCAGGTGCCCTCGACCCCAACGCGTACGATGATCCCGTCACCGTGCCCGCCGCCGACATCGCCGAGAACCCGTACTGGAAGCGCGACGTGCGTCGCAGGTACCCGAGATCCTCAGTCGTCACGCAGGCTGACGCAGTCGCGCTGCTCGAAGTTGGAAGTGCGGCGGCCCCCAAGCAGGAACTGATTGGCGAGGCAGGCTCGAAGCAACTGGTAGCTGCGCAGGAGCAGGGTACGAAGGGGCTTGCTGTGGCTTTTGAGCGAAACGTCGGGCTTGCAAAGGATGTACTAGGGCCTGGGGGCATGCCTCCGCTGCCAAGTGGGATGCACGTACATGGGCCTGCGGGATCGAAAAGATATGACTTGGAGAGTGAGCAGGCGTATCCTTCTGAGTAAATGACCTTCCGGCCCCTTTGATGACGCTGACGCTGATTGTGCTACAGGTACCCCTGCCGGGTCTTCTCATAAGTGTGCCCCTGGAGGGTTGGAGAGTGAGTAGAGGATGACGGGCTGTATCCGTACATATGATGATAGGCTTTTCTTGCACGATGTCAACATGTGCTTCTTCGTGTGTGATTGTCTTTTCGTGCTCTTTGTCTCATCCGTGTCCTATTCTGGCTAGTTTGTGCGTTTCCAGAATCAATTCTACATTTCCCCCCACGTTCCTTATATCTTTTCACCTGATCAAAAAGGGCAGTCGCGTCAGAGTCTTGAGGTCTTGGCAGCAGCATCGCGACTTCCTCTTCTCACCTTGCTATCGGTTTTGGTCGAGCCTCACCTCAACCTTGTGCGCAATTTCTTTGCCATCATGTCTCTCAACTTGACCACCACTATGACTTCAGACCCGCTGAAGGCACCGTCAGAACCAAGCATCCCGCCCCTTAACTTCATCTACGCCTGTTCCATCTGCTGTGCCACATTCGCCGACGTCTACGAAGGCGACCGCGAGACAGTCCAGGGTCTTTCGGACGGAATCAACCCCAAGGAGCGCCGTGTCTCCAGGTTGTTCCTGGCTAGCTGCTGCCACGTCTTCTGTGGCAGTCACCTGGAAGGTGGAGGTGAGTCCGCATGGAAGCTCATGACATCACATACTGTGTTCACGCGTTGACTCACGGCACCGACAGGACCACCTTTCCACCCGGCTGGACAACGACCGCAAGCGCCATGCCCAGTGTGCGCCAAGGAGAAGGATGACGGCGAGATCCGAGACCTCTACTCCCTTCGCGGATTGCACAAAGACGAATGTGATCCTGCGATTCCAGCAGCCTGGTTTGTTACACCTCCCATCAGGCTCGACGGCAACGGGAAAGAGATCGAAGCACTCCGCGTACGTCACATGCGAACAGTGACGCTGCACCCTTACTCACTGTGACCAGTTCCAGTACGTTGCGCTTATACGGTATTGCCAAAACACGTATGCAAGTCAGAAGCCGCTCCAGGATGAGCTAGCGCAAACGCAGAAGAAGTTGGGAAGCATGCAAGACCTTGCGTCGGCAGAGCATGCAGAAATCCTTGAGCTGCAGAAGGAGAACGAGAGACTACGCGCCGCACAACACCAATTCGAGAAATCCCAGACCTTGAAGGTTGATATGACACGGCTGCAAGAACTCGAGCAGGAGGTAGAACAGTACCGCCGCATTGAGGTTGACCTCCGCGATTTTGAAACCTTTCAAAGGGATAAGCCTGCGATCAAGCATTATATGAAGCTAGTCCCTATGCTGATCGGGTATGTTATTATTAGTGTCATCTTGCACATTGACTGACCTGTCTACAGGCAAAACGAGAAAATGAAGGACCGGCTTGCAAAACTTGGCTTTGCGATGGCGCTAGAGCCGATACCCAACTTTTCGGGACGTATTGCCCTCCAGGACGAATATGACAGTAGCGAGTCCGCAGATCGACCAGGCACGTCGCTACGTAAGACTACGTCAAGTCGTACGGCGGGCAGGTCCGCGCACACTGCGAGCAAGGACGAGACCGCACGATCCAGTCCGCATACTCAGCGTCCACTGAAGCGACAACGCCTGAACTCTCCTCTCCCCACGAACATGCAACTTGTTCCACCTAGTAGCCGAGACGCTATGCCTCCTCCATCAAAACCAATGTCCAGGATGCGCTCGATGCGCAAGATCTTCCCAAGCCTGAGGAAGAAGTTGTCTCACAGTCACTCCACACCTCCACTGGATAGGTCTTGTAGTGCGGACAGTGATATTCAGATGTACGACAATGGACGATGGCAAAACACATCGGCTTCACGAGCTGCAGATGACAAGGAACCACCAACCTGTCATGGCGCCTACAACGATGCGTTATACATGTCGGGTGCATTGCCAGTCGAACGTTCATTGCGGGCCACACATCTACGAGAAGCCGGACTTTTCTCGAATACAAGGATTAATGGTACAAGCCCCAATTTCACATTCAGAGCCTCGTCGCCTGTTGCAATGCGCAAACAGCCAGAAGAGTGCATTCCAATTCACTTGCCCACGGAGCCGTCCTACATACATCTGATGGATGGTCTATCCCGTGATACAGGGATGGAACTTGGGTTGAAAGATCCTCGCGAAGCCACGCCTGGAGGTCTTCCGCCCATCGAGGTGAACGGGGCAATTACGAATATCTACCGAGATCAGCGTAATTCTTATGATTCTGACAATCGAAAACCATGGGGTCTAGGACATGCGTTCCTTCGCCAGTCACCTAATTGCTCAGCCGCTCGCGTCACAAATGTACTTGGAACCCACCAGGATGATGTTCGTCTCAGCAAAACCTACAATGAGTCAAACCTGAATCCAGTTACCCCCGCGCCAAGAAGGTATCAACAACTCAGCCATCAGGTCGAGAGTGTAGTAAGTCCCTTTTTCAAGAGCAGTCAGCATCACTCGTCGAGCATTTCCAAATCCAGGATCGCTGAGCCACGGGATAGTTCCACTTATTTGGAGACCTATCGGTGTCCAAACCGCCAACCTCAAGCACCTGAGTCTCATAGACGTGAGCCACAGAGTCTGAACGGACTCTCGTTTTTTGACTCACCTCGCAATTTGAATAACGAACCTATCCAATACAGTCGTACACAACAACCAGCAGAGCCAGTGCTACACGCATCATATAATCAAGGTCGCAATCTTGACTCAAGGGGCTTCATCACTAGGCCAGAGTCAGGACAATCGTCATGTCTCGGCGCCAGCGCATACGGTTCTTCCTTGAATCGACCGTCATATTTGCGACAGGAACAGACACAGTCACATTCGGCAATTCCTTTCCCTCCCGTCGGTCGCTTGTCGTACTTTCGCACTGGACAGCTTCCTTCGTCCATGCCTTCAACTATTCCAGGGTGTTCATCTGTCCACTCCCGACCTCAGTGGGAGGTTCTCAAACGTATGGGCGTGAAGAGCAGTCGAAACAGTTCCACCAATACTGTAAAGAACACTCGTGGCGGTACCTCAAGACATCTTTACACAGGTTCTAGTCGACGCAGTGTCAGGCGGTGATCGACCTAGGAGTGTATGTGTGGTAGTTGTCTCATGTTTTCAAATCTGATACTTGCGATACCTCTTCCCTTATTTGCCCATATGACTCGACGTAGAGCCTTGAAATATTCCATCTTGGCAGACTAGAACAAATACTAAAACGATTTTACTATAACTTTGCCGTTCGTCGGAATTGGTTCAGTTTCATGCTACTGCAATGTAAACATGCCAGGAAATGACCCTCTGGGCCTCCTATGATGGCAAAGTGAAAATCAGCCTCAACTCCCACCTTGCTCTAAGTCACTAACTATCTTCCTCCAACGCAATCACAATCATGACTCGCTTATCAGCTACTCACCAAATACAGAAGCAAAGCCGAAATCCGAAGTATAATGGGGTTACTAGAATGCACGTCACATTGCATTCCGGAAAACACTAGCGTGTATTGGGCATTGATGCGGGAGGTCAGATTATATATGGTGTGGTTAATGCCGGACGAATTTCTCGGAATGCTTTGTAGACCCATTTCTTCAAATCGAAGCCATGCTATGGATATAGGATATATAAACGTATACGTACAGGACAATCTGAGGCATCTGAACATCTGAGCCCATCCAATGAGCGGCGAGTCATGGTGGGGTTGGTTTTGGTCGTATCATACATGGCGAGCCGTTTCTTTTCGTAAGTGTAGGAATATCGGTCTCACCGCAAAGTATTCCAGGTCATAGTATTAAGGAGCTGTCTTGAGCTTGGCAGGGCAGTCATTCATATTTGTCTACTTGGGTTCCTTGTATAGCTGCATAAGAGAACTGGGGCGGATGCGTTCCAATGTAGCCACATACAGCCTCTGGGTAGCAATGTGCCCAATCAAACAGACTAAGAAGAACCGCCCATTGCATCCGGCACGGCACATTTACACTGTAATCTGCGGCAGTTGAGGAAGCGGTCTGTAGGTTTCGGCGCCGGTGTTCACCGTAGCTAAATTTTGTCGATTCGCTGCATGTTGAATATTTACCTATTTATCAAGCAATCTTTATTCATCTATCGAAATCAACCTCTTTTCCAGGACCGACACACCATCCAAATTATAACAATATGGTCAAGATTGCTGTAGCAGGAGGCACAGGCAGTATGTAATCCTAAGTTATTTCATACTCTGGTTATCGATAGCTTACTATACACGCATGTACTCGTGCTTCCAACCTACTAAACACATAGCATAGACGTCGCAACTGAGATTCTCCGCGTCGCAATCGCTTCAGGCAAACATGAAATCACCATCTTCACACGGTCGCAACCCTCGAAACCAAGCCCAGACGTGTCGTATAAGACGGTCGACTACCACGACCGCGCATCCCTCACTAAAGCTCTCGGTGGCTTCGACGTCTGCCTCAGTTTCTTAGTCGTGCATCTAGACACAGACTGCACTGTGCAGAAGAATCTCATCCATGCGAGTATGGCAGCGGGGGTGAAGCGTTTTGCCCCAAGCGAGTGGGGCATCAAAAACAACTCGGGCGTACCGCCATATGCGAACAAAGACGAGATCGCGCGGTACCTCGCTGAACTGAAGAATAAGGGGGAGTTGGGGGGGATGCAGTACTGTCTGTTCCAGCCGAGTATCTTCATGGACTACTTTGCGCATCCATATTCGCTGTCGCCGGAATTGATCACGTGGCCGTTCTTTGTCGACTACGAGAATAGAAGGGCGATGGTGCTTGATGACGGGGACCAGCCTATGGTTCTCACTGCGATTGCGGACGACTCTGCGATGTTGGCGAGGGCGCTCGAGGATCCGGAGGCGTGGCCGGCGGTTGGTGGGATTCGCGGGTGTCGCACTACGATCAACGAGCTGGTTGCGCTGGGGAAGAAGATTCGCGGGGGCGAGTGGAAGATTGAACATGTGCGTGGCGAGGACATTAAGAAGGGTGTGTTTTCGACGAGTTGGGTTCCGCAGGTAAGCCATCCGGTGATTCCGGACGCAGATCGCGAGCAGTTCTCCAAGGACTTTGTCGTTATGTTTTTCCAGGGCATCTTGAATGGGTCGTGGGATGTGACGGATGAGTGGAATGGGAGGTGTCCCGACTATAGGTTCACGGGACTGGAAGACTATCTGACCAAGGCATGGGAGGGCAAGGCATGAGGAAGAAAGATGAAGGTGGAAAGTATATACATTGAACTAATATGTCTACCTGCGAAGTCGTACTACTCTGCATCAATGAGGGGAACGTCAGGCAAGGGCTTCTCGGGCAAGGGCTTGGTCGGAAGGGGCTTCATGGTGTGAGTCTCATCCGAGTAAACAGGCGGGTGCGTACTACCTTCCTCGCCAGGATCGTCCCGATACGCGCCGTGCAGTAAGGCGTTCTCTTCTTCGTCGGTCCTTTCCCGGCGCACCTGTTCCCAGACAGCATCCATGCCGTCCCATCTCGCGAGCTCCCGCTGCTGCAGGACTAGCAAGACGAGCCGGTACAGGCCATAAAGCACGACGAGACCTCCCACTGTACTTGCCACGATGATCCACACCAGGGACCACAAGTGCCAATGAACAAAGTGGCCAAACATGTCGCGGAGTGTCCCCTTCTTGCCCCAGTCACCCCACTCGCGGGACAGGTAGACGAGCTGACCGTCGTGGTCCCATATGTCCATGCCGAAGAAGGTGCGTATGCTCTGCCAGACGGTGCGGGGCGTCTTGGCGGGGAAGCGGTATCGTCGCGGGGCCAGGGCAACGTCGACGATGCGGTACTCGTAGACCTTGTCCTCGTCCCCGACAGAGCCAAACAGGCTGCTCCCGGGCTGGGGTGTCTCTGTCTTGGCCTCTGTGCCGGCCACGACTACGCGCAGCATCTTCTGCTCGGGTTTGTCGAAGACGGCCACGGCATCGTCTTCGTATCCGTCGGAGCCGCCGATGGCGTCGAGAGCCAGCTCCCAGTACTTGGCGTCGGCGGGGCTCTCTCTGTCCGCGGCGTGGGCGTCAGTCGGCGCTGCCGTGTACAGGTAGTCGAGCGAGATGGCGCCCAGGGCGAGGTCGTAGCACCATTCGACGCACTCGGCCTGTATGTGCTGGAAAAACGCCTGCCGACAAGACGGATTCGGGCATGCCAGGGCGGCGGACAGGTTTGCGTACGAGAAGGTCGGGCGCAGCTGCGTGGCGTAGAGGCGCGGCGGCCCGGGCACCGTGGCCAGGTGTGGGAAGACGGGCTCGTGGTTGAGCAGCACGGTGCGCTTGTCGTGGGCGAGGCTGACGTTGAAGAACAGGGCGTAGTCGCTCTTGACGACCCTGTGCTTCCGCTCCGCGCCCTCCTCCCCGTAGCGCTCGACGACCTCGCAGTCCCGGCAGCCTATCTTGGCCGCGTACAAGGAGCCCGGCGTGACGGCGACGACGTGGCTGATGGGCTGCGCGCACGCCTCGTCGGGAGCCTCGTCGGGAGTGCGCCCGTCCACATGGCACGCTGGCAGAGCAGAGCCCAGGGCATGCGCAGAGGCAGCAAAGCAAGCGAGGTGCGACAGGCGGGCCAACAGCATCGTCGCCGTTTACATTGGCAGCCTTCAGGAGCGGTGCTGCTAGTCTGCCCTCGCCAGCGCGTCAGGGGAGTAGCCAGCCCCAGATACCCGCTCTTCGCTTCGATAGCCGCTGCACGTGACCATCTTCCATATCTACAATCCACCTTCCGCCGCTACCCGTCGTCTTCCGCGCCATATACCTAACCTTCCCCGTCAGCAACACGCGCACGCGACTGCTTCCAAGCTGCCCGCGCCGTTAGCCTACCTGCACATCAGCAAACTGCATCGACTGCTGGGTATTGCGGGAATCCGGTTGGCCATGGGAGACATGCTGCCCTTGTATATAAACGCCTTGTGCTACTCTGGAATACAATATTCAATCTGCTTCCAAGATTGTCCGAACTCAAGCACGGTTATTTGGTGTCCATGTTACTACTCACATAACACAAGCACCTTTATCCAAAGTCACGTTGACGCGTGGACAACATGGCACCCCACGTCTCCAGCATCCTGGCCTCGCTCTTAACCTCGCCGTTGCTCCTTCTGGCATCGCTGTTTGGCGCCCTGCTCCTCTACGTAAGTCCTCGCTACCCATCTTCCCTGCATCAACCAACCGACATCCCTCAGATATCTGCCGTCATCCTCTACAGATTGACTCTGCACCCACTCGCCAAGTACCCCGGCCCACCCCTCGCAAAGATAACAGACATATACCTCGCCTACTACGCCTACAAAGGATCCCGTCATCTCGCCTTCCACAATGCACATGTCCAATACGGTCCCTACGTCCGCCTCGGACCCAATCTCCTCTCCGTCAACACGGCCACAGCACTGAAGACCATCTACGGATTCCGCGCCAATGTCCGCAAGGGGGATTTTTACAAGGCCTTTCCCAGCACACCAAAGGCTGTCAGTGTGCACTCTTCCATCGACAAGCTGCAGCATGCACGAAAGAGGCGCGTCATGAGCCATGCATTCAGCGATGCCGCCATCAAGAGTTTGGAAAAGTACATACTCGCTAACGTGAGGGTGGGCTGTGAACTACTGGGGCGGACGGCTGAGCAGCAATCTTCTGAGACAGGAACCTCCGACGAGAAGGCGTGGAACGGCGTGTGGAACGCGGCCCATTGGTGCGAATGGCTCGTCTTCGACATCATGGGTGATCTCGTATTTGGCAAGGCGTTCGGCATGTTGGAGAGTCCTGTGAATCGGTTTGCGACAGATCTGGTCGGCAACGCGGCGCATCGTCATCTGATTGTGGGTATTCTCTTTCATATCTTAAAGGAAAATATGTACTAACAGTAGCAGTGCGGCACCCATCTCACAATCCACAACTGGCACCTCGACAAACTCCTATTCCGCAAAATTGCCGGTCAACGTGCGCAATACATGCAGTACAGCAAAGGGCAAGCCATGGAACGGACGAAACTTGGCCTTGACGTCGACCGCAAAGATTTCTTCTACTACCTGCTCAATGCAAAAGATTCTGAGACCGGCAAGGGCTTCACTATGGACGAGCTATGGGGCGAGTCCAACCTGCTGATCATTGCTGGCTCCGACACTACCTCAACGGCCATGTCTGGAACCTTTTTTTACTTGGCACACAACCCAACTGCGTTGCGAAGACTTTGCGATGAGATCCGCAACACCTTCTCAGATGTGGAGGAAATCGTGACTGGACCTAGACTCAGTGGTTGCGCATTCCTGCGCGCTTGTATTGACGAGACAATGCGCATGACGCCTCCCGTGGCTGGTGTACTGCCTCGCCAAATCCTCGCAGGTGGTATGGACGTTGATGGCCGTCATTTCCCAGCCGGCGTCGAGCTCGGTGTTCCAATCTATGCCATTCACCACAATCCCGACTACTTCCCTCGTCCTTTCGACTACCTCCCCGAACGCTGGCTGGCCGATCCTTCCGTCAATCCTCTGCACGATAGACTTGCGCATGCGCAGTCAGCATACAACCCTTTTAGCATTGGACCCAGAGGCTGTATTGGTAAGGGACTGGCGTATGTGGAGTTGACAGTAACGATTGCACGTGTGATGTTCTTGTACGATCTTAGAATCGCACCGGGTACATCGCTGGGCGGCGGCAGCCAGGACTTAGAGATTGGCAGGACAAGGACGACCGAGTACCAGATCAAAGATGTGTTTGCTAGCAAGAAGGACGGGCCAATGCTACAATTCCGGGCGAAGGCTTAGAATAGACTTCTGATGATATGTACTCAAGACCTACTCGTCGTATGAATTCTCTTCCCTTGTTTTAATCTCTTCCTGTGCATCTCATCACGAAATCCGGACTTATGATCGGGTAGCGTATCCATGATGTTACGTGATAGAAAAGACGATGAATGAACGCGTCAAAGAAAGATTCCAGTGCTCACGTGGCGAACCGTCCGTGCGTCCGCTTTTTCTGCACGCCATCAGCATCTTCAAACCCACTCAATTGCTATGCCACTACAAATTATTGCCCTCAACTATAACGATTATCCTCAATCTTTACCTACTTGTCTCGAATTGTGCACCCACAATCATCATGGCAGCACCTAGAGCTTTCACGCGGTGCCGCACATTTCTCTCTGGAGGCCTTGCATCATCACGTCCGACCACCTCAATGCTCCTAGCATCCAGAGTCGCTATCCCACAACGACAATTCACAGCAGGGGCACGATTTCTGGAAGGTTATGTTCAAACACCCAGCTCAGAGGCGGAACGTGCACGGTCGCTCGCTCTACTCATGCTTCCCAAACGAGCTACAAAATCGGAAATCGAAGCGTTCCTTCAAAAGGCGGGGGTTGACATGTACGTTTCTCAATAATCCCTTTGGTTGATGTTCAAGCTTCTTTACGTCATGTGTTCTTACAGTCCGGCAGCAAGAGGATGCAACTAAGGCTTGACCGTTTCACCTTTCACAACGACACAATATGTTTCGTGGAGCTGGCAAACGAGAAACAGGCCCAGGACGCTGCAAACCGTTTGAATGGAAAGATCCTCCTAGAGAAATCAGTCACTGTCTCGACGCCTCTCAAGGATGGCTTTGTTTGGAAACAAGGCTGGCAGCCAGACTCTGAGACGAGTGGGAGTCGATACTTCCTACATGAAGATGATGCAGCTCCGCATGAGGCCATCAAGCCTCTTCTTGAAGGCCGCCGCGTAATGTTCTCCGTGATGACTCCGGGTTGGGGCGACGGGATAACCAGCACCCGCCAAAAAGCGTCACGGGAGATCCTCCATAAACATCTCGACAAGTACGGAATCGAAGCTATCAGCGGCCTGTCTCCTTTCCTCGGCGACAAAAGGCCAAGTCCCCGTCTGCTATGCTTCATCGACTTCGAGACCAAGGAAGGTGCCACTTCTGCCATGGAGGCTCTCCACGAGACCGAAATCGAAGGTCGGAAAGTGTGGATTAAACCGTCAGAGATAGCACCCTGGAGAGCGCATCACTTTGGAAAGGTGAACCAATCTGTGCTTGCTACCCTTCAGGAGAAGGGACTTGCGCCCCAGGAGCTTAATGAAGACCTGTTTATCAAGCAAAAGTCTCAAGGCAAGACAAATGACACTAAAACTCGCAAGCCCAAGCGGAAGCCCAAAGTGCAAGTTGAGAAGGTTGAATAGAGTGGGATGCTTGGGAAAAACCAGGTGATGTTGAACACGCAAAGGGAATTATGTACTTATATTTGTCTGCATCAATTACTCACGAAATCATTCTCCCATATGATAACCTGATAATACTTGTATTATTATCCATATGCTTCTTACAAACACACAGTGCAATGTACATTTACTTTCGATTTGGCGTATATAGACCGAAATCAATTCTACAGTATCTTGGAAGATGGCAGAAGATATACAACCTGTGGAGCGCTCAAAAGACAACAAAACATAACGCACGGCTCGCCAAGTAATATCAGTACTGTGTTATTCTTTAATGTGCCATAGCCTGCCATGGCCCTTGAATCCTACGTGCTTGTTCTTATTTACCAAGACTAGCCCATCAATCGTCGCCGCCGCCCACTATCAACATTGACTGTGTTATCTGGGCCAATCGAGATACTAAGACTTGAGTTTTCATCATCGCTCCCCCCTCTCATTCTCCGGTCCCGATTCCTGTCCCGATCGCGTTCGCGTTCACGCTCCCGCTCCCGCTCACGGCCCTGGCTTCCACTTCTCTCGGGTTGAATGACCAGCCATGTGGATCCGCCTGCATCATCGTCTTGTTGCATGAGCTGTAGTTGCGCACTGCCGCGTCCTTGTGTGTGTGTTCGTGTTGGCTTGGGTGCTGGTGGTGGAGGGAATAAAGTTGTAAATCTCGTAATCTTCAGCGGAAGTGTTGCGAAGGCAGCGGGTATCGGTAGAGATTCGATCAGAGTGACTTTCTCGAGTGGTAGGGTTGAGAGGAGGGATGGCGGAAGGTCGATTGGTGAGCAACCGAGGATTACATGGCGGAGATGCGAGTTTGATGTGTAGAAGGAGAGGTTTTCTGGGAAGAAGTAAGTCCTCCGATCAAAACGTATGGTATAGGTTGCTGCTGCTGCTGACCTCGTACTTTCCTGCCTGAACTGCCTTCTTTACCAACGCCTACATCAATCCAGTCGAAGCTGGATATTCGACCGCAGAAGCCCGTGGAGAAGGCGCGGAGCTGCCCAAGGTTTCGGACTTTGTCTTGTCGTACGAGGAAGTTTGCCAGACCCTCAAGATTGGCATACACTCGTACTATTATGTCCAATGTATCCGCATCTTCGTATAGTGGGCGAAGATATTCTCGTATCCGAATGAGCAGCTCGTCGGCCAGAGCCTCACCACCCTGCGCTTTCCGCGTGATGTATTTGTCCTGGAACTGCACAATGTCAGGCTGCAGTCCGCATGTAGATGAATGCGGGGAAGTGAGTGTACAAGAAAGCCGTCTGCGTCTGCATCTATGAGGGCCAGGACGAACGGTCGCCGTGACTACGATGAATCAGCGCTAGATATATAGCATTGATGCAATGTATCTAACCTGTTTCTGAACGAGAGCCTCTTCTCTCGTCTTCGCTCCAGCCACTTCGGTTTGCAACGATGCTCTTGCTTCAGCGACTTCCGCCTGCAGTGTCCGACGGACGCTTTGTTCTGAGGTGAGGTCAAGTTCCGTCTGGGTGAGCCGGGCCTCGGTTTTTTCGAGTTTCTCCAACAACTCCTGTTCACCCTGGGATCAGCCAGAGGCCCATATTTCAGCCCAAGCGATGATCACGCACCTCGATCAGCTCGAACCTCTTCTCCTCTAGAATCTTGAATTGCGCTAATTTTTCACGGTACGTAGTAGGAACAGGTGGAAGTTCAGCCATATTTACAAAAGCGGTCGCTAAACAAAGCCTCGAAACTTTACAAATCTGGGGCAACCCGACATTTATACGAACGTGAACTAATGTTTCGGGCTCCCGCGCAGCCCAGGTGGCTCTGCATCTATGTCAAAGGCGGTGACCCGGATACGCTTAGGCTGGTCAACGTAGCGGGCGCTGATTGGCTGACAATGTGGAGTTCATGCATCTGATCTTGTGTCTCGAGACCAAAATTGGCCGGATCGAGACATGAAAGCGTGAGCTGGCGGGCGGATTGGAAGAGGCCAGAATCGTACCAGCGAATGTGAGGAGTTAAACGGTTCAGAGGCGGCTCCAGTCTGCGCGGCTATCACTTGCAAAGTATCGAGGAAAGCTGGTCTTACCCATGCAGATCACTCGCGTGTCGATTGGCGATCATAACGGGTACAAGGAGGGGTTGCGTTCTTCTCCAGAACCATAATCGCGACTTCGTAACATGACCCCACGGTCGAGCTTTTCGAGGTCACTTGGGTGACTCTCGCTTCGAACCACACACACACGTGAGGAAGAGTTGCGGACAGCGCCGACATACTATCAGAGCCTGCAGTAACCCTATCTCAATATGTCTATAACGATGCAAAAGGTTGAGCTTCACGGTTGACACAGCAAGCAAGGCGTGGGCGCAGACCCCACCAACTTCGCTCGTCCAACTCCTCGTCTTGGGCTATTAACTTATATGATCTATCGGATTTGCCCCTTGAATCAAGTATCATACAGACCGAAATACCGAAAACGAAAAGGAAATATTCTCATGGAGTTAGAATATGACGTCACATCTCCTGGGAAACAAGCACGAACATACAAGCATCTTGGAGACATCCATTACATTTTCATACGTCCCGCTCAAAATCCTCTCTGGCCCGTCGCGCAATATCTTCGTCCATCAATACTCGCACTGCCAGCATCGCCATTCCTTTCGCGCATTTCAAGGCTTCTTGATGGCCCCCATCCGTGCCAGCACGGGCTGCAAATGATGCATTGTGTAGCGATACACCGGGTGCGGCTGGAATCACAAATGCCCCATGAAAGCTAGGCACAACATGAGAGACGTTCCCCATATCTGTCGATGCGTTCATTGGTTTTTCCTGATCGATCATCACCCTCGAGCCTATGGCACCCATGCCTCGAGCATATGTCTCGCACAGTGTCTTGTTGGCGCGGAGGTTGAGATAAGTTGGAGAGCTAATCGGTATTAGCAAGTCCAGGAATGGACGCCAAAGTGGAGCACACTCACGCAATGTAATCCAATTTGCACCCGGTCGCTTTTGCACCCGCCTCGATACAATCCTTCACTCGTAAGAGTAACCTGTCTGCTCTTTCAATCGTTGGACTTCGCACGTTCCAGTTCATCCTTGTATAGTCCGTGATCACGTTCGGAACGGTACCGCCAACTTCAATAACGCCGTGGACGCGCTCATCAGGCTCCATCTGTTGCCTCAACAGCCCAATATTGTTGTACGCCGCAACAGCTGCATCGAGGGCATTCACCCCGTTCCAAGGCTCACCAGCTGCATGTGCGGACTTCCCCCTAAATTCGGTACGAAACTTGTGGCTTGCAATCAGCTTGAACCCAGCAAGCCCGCTGAACCCACCAGGCTCGTGGAATATCTGATGTCCAGATGTTGGATGTGCCATGATGGCTGCAGCAGTTTCTACGGGAAAAGCACCAGCGTCAATCAGTTTAGCTTTCCCACCTCCACCTTCTTCGGCTGGGGTTCCCAAAATACGCACACGGCCTTCGATGCCATGTTCCCTCAGTGCTTCGGCAGTGGCGATAAATGTCGCAATCGAGGATGTAGCAATCAGATTGTGCCCACATGCGTGGCCGATTTGAGGTAGTGCATCATACTCCGCGCAGATAATGACGAGGCGACCTCCCGATCCAAACTCGGCCTCAAAACTGGTCTTGAGTCCATAAGTGTGCTTATGAACGTTGAAATCAAGCGATGCCAGATATGTCGTGATGGTTTCGTGGGCGAAGTGTTCTTCGTAAGCGGTTTCGGGATTTGAGTGAAGAGCTCTGTTAATCTTACGCAATTCTGAATTCGACGCGTCGATGGTCGAGATGATAGTGGAACGAGCCTTTTCCAATACTGATTCAAAATCATTGTCGTCTAAGATCAGATGTTTGACGCCACTTCGACCAAATAATCGAAGCTCATCAGCACCGGATAAGGTAGACCCGGTTGGCACGGCCATTGTAGATTTTTATGAAGAAAGCTTCACAATGAATGAAGAGGGCTTGATTGTGAGCTGATAGTAGGTCTCCCTACACATATTTGTAGCTACGCAGCTGTTGCAGGCTGCGATATCATGACGAACAACACCCTGTTTTTCTAACCTTGCATCGCTTCTAGACGTTACCCTGGCCTCGATTTTACCGCTGAACGCTTATTCGGTATACTGCCCGTGCTCTGCTGTGATAGACGCAGCCGCAGATGTGTCGCTTATTTCGAAGCGCCTTTCACCACGTAGCGCTTATTTCATCGGATACGGCTCTTCCCCGCTTTTGCTGACTTTACTTCACGCTATCTTCGACACTCTTCTCTTTCTGTGGCATGTCCCCTGAAGTTCGCCTTTCCCAAAAACTCTCCATATCGTCTCCACTTTCTGTGTATCTCGGAACATGACAACTGTGTTATTGGCAGAGCAGGTTCAGCCTGGGCCCACGTCTGACTCTCCACCTACAGGCGGCCGAATTAGCTCAAGATCGCGTGATGGATGCTGGATATGCCGGGACAAGAAGGTAAAGAAAAAGTGTGACCAGCAGCGGCCAAGATGTGGAAGATGTGTGAAGCACAAGTTGAGCTGCGACTATTCGCCCCGACCCACGCTTGCCGAACGACGCAGGGCCTCACAAGACATCGTTATAGTGCAGGCCGCCAATGATGTACCTAATGATACTACCAATCTACTACCAGCATCTCCGATCGGGTTACCAATAGTCACTGGCGCCTGGTCTCGGAACTTGTCGACTGAGGACAAAGAGGCTATTGCCTACTTTCGCACGGGGTTCGCCGAGTCTCACCATACCAAGAACCCCGATTACGGCCTCATCTCTCTGATGTTCCGTATCGCGCAACAGGAAGAAATGGTGATGCACATGGTCATCGCTATCGGTTTGCACGAAATGGATTTCCGCCGCCTGAGGCCCACCGCAAGACAAACTTCCCTACGGCACTATGCCACTGCTCTCAGATTGATGGCTGTGGCTATCACCTCGCCCGAAAAAGCCAAAGATACTGATTCGATATACACCACTCTGTGGCTCATGCTTCTGTACGAGCAACAGTTTGGCGATGCAGAATGTAGAGCCTACGTCCACCACCTCGAGGGTATATCCTCACTACTACAACATCAAGGTGGACGTCTTCTGACTTTATCTCCTCGCAAGCCAGGTACGGTGAACAGGACTTCTGGTTTTCTGGGGAACTCGACGGAGAAAGCGACATCTAAGATGTCAGTCTACTCAGCGCGTGTCTTGGTCTGGATAGCTTTGCTTGATGCAGCAGCAGCGTCGTCTGGCGTGGGCGGACAAGTCAACAGTACCATTCTCGCTTTGATGATTGGAGACACTTCAACACCTAAAGTACAAGTGGAGGATCCCGTGAAGACATTCACTCGTCTCCATCGTTATTCCAATTCCCTCTATCGTACGGCATGGGGCGATGCGTATCCACAGAACGAGTTGGTCGATGACGTCGAGAACCGCAGCATCTACGCTTTGCTATGTGCATGCGCACAGCTGCGCTTTATGACTGCACAACTTGCAACGATCTATCGCAGAGGTTCTCCTGCTGCTGCTCAAAATTCGATTGACGTCGGCAATTCCATTGCTGAGGTGGGCGATCTCTTCGTAGAGCTCTTAGAGGTCGCCAGCGAGTTGTCTCCAAACACAAACAACAGTCACCGGCTCGTCGCCAACGTTCGTGCCATTGTTCCCATGTACTATGCTGTGATCCTGGACTTCGATCGTCTGACTGCCTTCGATGAACCGCTAGGCGAACGACAACAGTGTGCAGTTGAGGAAATAATGAATCTCGCCTGCCAAGGCTATGAACATGATGGCGACGAGGCTATCATCAGAGTCGCGTGGCCACTTTTTATTGTAGCATTGGAAACTGACGACTTGGGTCATCGAAAGTGGATATTGGATCGTTTTGAAGCTATAAGCAAGTTTGGGAAGAACTTCCAACGTGCGCACCAATTCTTGCTCGGGGCAATTCCCATACAAGATAGACTTAGGGTTCGGATCGACTTGAGAGATCAGATGGAGAAGACGGCATTTTTCGTACTAGGGTAGTTTGCAACTTCTGAGCCAGTCATCATAAGCCCCACCCATAAACTGAGCGCTTGTTTCGGGAGCTTCATATGCTATGTATAGGCGATGCTTTAGTCTTGTATGTTATTAATGCCTTCTGCTCGTGCCACCTGGCAGCGCCTAATTTCTCGCATGATGAGTTAGATCAGGGCCACTGTACATAGGCTCAACCAGGATCTTGGTGACTCGGTCGCGAAGTGGGCAGTGAGACATTTTGTTCAGGATGGCAGTCACCCCAATCATGTTCATTACATTACACTGCAGAGCGTTTCTTCGCGTCAACGTTATATCGCCGCTGCCAGATAATATTGTCATTCAGCGCTTGTACATTTTGTAATGATCGCCGATGACGAAGGGTAATGATTATGCTTGAACTTCGGGAACGATGGGTGATCTTAGTGTCAGTGGAGAACTTTGTTCTGTGGAGATCAACTTCCAGATGTTTCACCAGTTCAACGTGAAGTATCATCGCCCGTGCAAGTACATATATCCGTTGACAGGATCAGCCGGCTTCTCTTGGTGGTGCTATTCCCTCCTCCATGGTTTCTAGATGAGCCTGCGATATCTTCGCAGCCAGATTTCGGACCCTATGGAACGCTGAGCTTGTAGACTAGTATTGTACACTATCCCGACAATCATTGGTATTTATTCAGGGAATAATTCCAGAGCATGTGAGGGTGACTACTCTGGCAGGCAAGATGGATAAGGAAGCAGTGAACTTCCGATACCTGCACTGACGAGTTCTTATGTACATTGCACTTTTAGTAGCTATCAGAAGTGTGATGATAAAAGGAGCTAAATCGTACAGCTCTTGCTCAATCTATGTGCTCCACCAGCAATGCCAAATTCTCATACGCTTGTTTCACGAACAAGGTGGAAGGTCCATACAGCTTTCAAGGCTTTGAACAAGAAGACAATACGTTCTGAGTGGAGCGAGAGGTTGATCTCAACTGACGGGAAGATCTTGTTGATGCATGTCAAAGAAATCGAAACCAAAACAAAAAAATGGATGACGTCAATAGTGTTGCGTTTTACCATGATCATGCTTCACGTCAACAATCTCCATACCCATATCAGTTTTCTTTGGAGCGTAACACGTCTAGACACATGGTTGATTTCATGATTATTCGAGATTGAAGAAGCGGATATTGAAACTAATGCACCCTCTGCCCAAAACGGGCTCGTCACGCAACGATTTCAGCTACTATCACGACCCTTTGAGGTCTTCACACAAGGTTAACTTTACGCCTTCTCGACCGGCTCTTCCAAAATGAACTTCCACATAACCTCAGCCGCCGTCTCTGCCCCGTCCATGGAGTTCAACGTCTTGGTCAGCATTCGAGCCTTCGCCGCATAGGACGGATCTTTCAATACAGTATGCACCGTCGAGCGGATGTTTTTGGCATTCCAAAACTGCTTTTGTATACGAATTCCTGCTCCAGCATTCATGGCGTTGTCCAAGTTGGTCTGCTGCTCGACTTGCAGTGCAACTCCAACAATGGGCTTCCCTGCTGCTAGGGCACACTGAACAGTTCCTTGGCCTCCGTGGGTGATGATGAGATCAGCAAGGGCGTTTGCAGCAGGCGCAGAAATGAACCGATCGGTCACTAGGAGACGGAGATCACCATCCGCGATCTCGTTGGCCTTGTCGATTGAGCATATGGACTTTGAGGCCAAAACCACGGCGTTCCAATTGTCCTCCTTGTTCATCTTCAACGCTTTGATGGCTTCAAATAAGAAGTCCTCGGTGCCGGAAGAACCCATTGTCACCAGGATAGACGGTCCAGATCCTCGTGTCAAATGATTCACGATATCTTCATCGAGTTTTGAGGTGTTCCTGGCGTACAACGGGCCAGTGAGAACGATGTTCTTTGGGAGTCGGTGCAAGTATTCTTGATGGAAGATGGGGTGATCATTGACGATGTTGAGGTCCGCCATATTCATATCAAAGAGCGAGATCGGCCCTTTGACTGGCCATCCACAAGCCGCTGCCGCCGCTCCCAGACGCTGCTGACGGAAGATGGGTGCCTTGACCATCAGTCCGCTGGCCCACCAGGCCAATCTTTGTCTGACCGGTCGAGGAAGGCGAGTGAACAGAGGCATCATATCTGGAAGATCGCGAACGAGGCCATGCGCGAAGGCCCCAGGATGAAGTGGAACAGGCAGGAAGTTGATTGTCCGGATTTTCAAAAGGCGTGCGGCAATCGATGCAGGCGCCCACATCCCGTGAAACACAATGTCTGGCTTTAGTTCCTTGAAGGCTGCTAGCTGGCCTTCAATGAACGTTTTTGCGATCTCTTCCGAGCCAAAGAACTCAGGCCAATCCCATCCGAGGTCATGTGCAACTGATACGCCTCCCACGCGAGGTTGTGCCGGAACGATGTTGAAACCGGCATCTGTTATCTGGTACTCGAAACGAGAGCCACACGACAAGAAGTCGATTTTGAGATCGATGCCTGGTGGGCACATATCCCGCAATGCAATAGCCATTGCAATAGCTCGCGTCGTATCACCAGCATCTTGCCATGCTACACTGAGCACGATGTGAATGGAGTCGAGCGTCATAGTACTGGGAGATGTATGGCCTCGTTAAGGAGCTAGGATATTCGATTTAATAAAGGAGAATAACCTCGAGAAGAACTTGGCACTTCGATCAACATTCATCGCTGCATGTTCTTGCAATGCCCCTTATATGATGCGCTTGAGACTTGGCTGCCCAAGGATCTGCGTGGTCTTCTATTAGACCTATCAGGCTTACAAGATGCTTAGCCAATCCCCTTCATACCGAGAAAGCTCATAACCGAGACTAGGGATACGCTTTGCAGTTACCACTATGCCGTCACGGTATCGGAGTCGACGAGCGTGAGTTTAGGTTTCCGGTCCGGACACCTCCATGTAACCTTCAGCTGCCATCGAGCCTCAGATAACGGCAATATCGGGACTCCGATTGTTGGATAAGCAGTGCGCAGCGAACAGGACCTTGTGTGGGGAACCGTGGAGGAACAATGAGCTGCGATGGTGCTGTTGGATTGCCTGATGTTCATGTCGCTTATGGCTAAATGCGGATCTCTCGCCCACTTCAGAGCTGATTTCGTAAAACTCCATACCCTTTATCGCCTCGAAAATAATTGCCAAAGAGTCTTGTCGGTGCTAAAGTCAAAACAACATCGCCAGCGTTCCGCAATGCCCCCACTTACTTATTTTGAGCTCTACCGGAAACTTGTTCTCATACCCGCTTCCCGGAATGGAGCATCAGCTTCCGGGCTGACATTGCACAGCAGTAAGATAACGAACGATCAGAAAGCTGACCAGTGCCATGATAGCATCTCATGTCAGACTGACGATCTCTATGCATCCGAACAAACGCAGAATCCAAAATTGGATCTCGATCAAAAGTAGAATTGGCAAGTCAGGAATAGATCATCCAGTGCGTACCCTTTCTCGATAGCATTAGGTTTTTATGTCTGACGTCCGACGCCTATTTTTGCAGCAAATTCACCCACGGTTTCAAGTGTAACACAAGTGTTTTCCAAATTACGTTACTAACATATCTTCGCATTCTATCGTAAAATCTGATGAGATGAAAACGAGTGAGAGCTCGAAACCTTACCACGATGTCCAGCCTTGCAATACTCAGACTAAACCTCTGAACTCCAACCACCAAATATTTGATGCAATCTATATACGATTTCAGGAACTACCCATGCACATTGTATCTCATTCTATCTGTGATTGATACACGTATGCCGTGATCCAGTCATCGATCCAAGATATATCATCTTCTAGCTCTCGGCAGATTGCCACGAAGGTCAGGGTTCACTTTCGCTGTCATCCATTCCGAGAATTGACCACTAGACCGGTACATTCTCCTCCAGACTGCAGGAGGTGGGGCAAGCAGCGATGGTTCACTTTCTTGGGTCATGCTGGGTTGGGTGGTCGTTCTCGTGAGGGCAACATCATTGAGACGTTGCTGGGCGATTGACTCTATTTTCTCCTCATCTTGCGTAGCGGACGGTTGTTGCTTCTCCTTGACGCTTCGCCATTCCATGCCCAGAGCAGCAGGGACGGCAAAGCAAGCCACAATGAGTGCAGCGAAAAACGTGCCCTTTGTGAGGGAGTTATTGTATGCCTCGAGAACCTGTAGCCGTAGCGCTGGTGGGACCGATTTTGTCAGCTCCGTTGCACCTGCGTCTAAGATACCATGAGAGTCGAGACCCTTGATGCGTTGGAGACTGTCAGAGAATTTATCAATGTACAGGTTTTGTCCGACCGCTGCAAACACTGCACCGCCTAGTGTCTGGCAAAGTGATAGGATCGCTGTGCCGATGGGAACATCCTGTCTCTGTAGAATGACCTGGACTGCCAGATTCGGATGCTGCATCGTGCAGCCAACGCCAAAGCCTAGGATGACCTGGTAGCCGATCCACATGCTACTGCTGGTATTCATGTTCCAGGTTGTGATTAGGCCAGTACCAGTGGCCATCAAACTAGAACCTAGAATCATGAAGGGAGTGTAATATCCAATGCGCTGCACTAGTCCTCCTGATAGAATTGAGCCCACGACGACGGACAGTACGAGCGGGATAGTGTTGATGCCAGACTGCATCGCCGTAGTCCCTTTAATCGCCTGAAACCAGAGAGGGATGTAAATTGAGATTGTGAGCATGGTTGCTCCTACACAGAACTGAGAGGCACCGCCAAACGCCACACTGCGCTGAAGGAGAATCCTCGCTGGGACCGTCGCGGTAGTGTTTCTTGTCAAGTACTGCCATACGCCGAACCCCATAAAAAGCACTGCAAACACGACGAGTAGTGCAATCAGCCGTGGCGAGTTCCAGGAATATTCTGCCGCTCCCCATTCTAGCGCGAGCAGAAGGCAGGTTATCGCAGGGAGAAACAGGACTGTACCGAGCGGATCCAGATGCCTGACGGTGTCTTTCCAGTTGTTCAACTTTGGCTTCTCCTCTTCTAGCTTCAGAAGCAACATGACGACCAGGATCGTGATTCCTCCCAATGGGAGGTTGATGTAGAAGCACCAACGCCACGTCAGTTTACTTCCCGTGAATGCACCACCCAGCAATGGGCCAGCTACGCTCGCTACCCCGAAACACGCTCCGAATAAACCCTGCAGCATCGGTCGTCGGTGCAACGGCACTGTGTTCAGCATGATCAGGATTGCGCCGGTGAAAATTCCACTACTACCCAGCCCAGCAACCGCTCGTCCAATGATCAACACCATGCTCGTCTGCGCAGCACCGCAGATGGCGCTCCCGATCTCGAAGAGCAAGATTCCAGATAAGAACACGGGTTTCGTGGGGAAAAAGGTGTATACTCTTCCATAGAGAAGGATGAAGCCAGATGATGTAAGCATATACGCACTGCCGTACCAGCCAATGTCGGACATGCTGTTGAACTGATTCGTGATGGCCGGAATCGCGGGCCCCATGATAGTACGGTCAAGCGCGACGAGGAAGATAGAAATATATAAGGAGATCATGATGACCGCCGTTTTTGCTGCTGAAGGGTATGGAGGCGTTGTCGGTAATGTGGTTTCCGCTTGTCCACTCATTGTCCTTGGAACATGGTCTTCAGGCTCGTCTTCTTCCGAATACACCTTTCTCAAAAGGCTCCTTGTGCTGGTATGGTTACTCGTTGGGCGCCTAGGAAGATTGACGGCTGAGTCCACGACCCCACTCTGATATCTCGAGTTCAGACTCGAAGAATAGAACGGCTTATGGAAACCCCTTACATTGGTCACAAAGTCTTGCTGATCCGCTGGCTTGGCTTGTCCTCGTCCGCGAGGTTCCATATTGCTCATCTCAAATGATGTGCTCGAGTCTCCGCTTCCACTACCGTAAGACACGGACCGTATTCTGTTCAACTCTTCTTGCCGCAACGCGTTCCAAGAGTGGGAGTTTCCGCTGTAAGTCAGAGAAGATGGACGCGAGAAGGCATTCTCGCATTCGAATGCTAAGTCTGCGACGATGAAGGCCATGGGGTCGTGATTGTTGTTAGAGCTGAAAGGCGTGCTTCCTTCCACAGGCGTCCAGTCCATCGGTGTTTGATGTTCTACTGGCGTCTCCATATCGACTGCCGTCTGTAAAGAAGTAGTCGACAAGGTCGCCATGTGAAAAGACATAGTTATGTCGATGCCTCCGGGACGAAGGTTCCAATGAACTAGTTCTTCTGAACTTCGCGCATATAATCAAAAGCGTAGATCAAGAAACTGAATGACAAGTTTGAGACTCAAATCGAGGTATGTATCATGAGGTAGTCTCTTGCAACAATGAATACTTTGTTAAAGCCACCAACTTCAGCACGAAAGAGATAGCTAGGTTTGGGCAAAATCAACTTGGCAGGCCCTCTTCTGCACTGCTATTCACTCAACAGTCGGCGATCCGCAGCAGATGGCAGCCGACGGTGCACAGCCGTGTGCACGCCGAGACCCTGATGACTGTGCATCCATACACCCTCATAGTAGCAGCTTGTCTATCACGGTGGAACACCGATCTCGCTTGTGCATGCGTGTTTCTTGTGATCTGCAGCTGAACTGTGAGGTCAGCCGGCAAACAATTCGGGGAGCCGGAGGCGCCTGCAGGTCATCATCCTCTTCCAAGACAACTGAGACAAGAAATCGATCGAGACAACAATACTGGCGGTGCGAGTCTATTCATAGACAAGGCGTGATGGTGTGAGATGAGAGGTGAATATCGAAGTGGCAGAGCTACCGTGCATCGGTCTTGTCAACGCCGACATGGTTGTACGGATTGGCTGCAGAGCTTATCGAATATAGTACAGGTATGGGAAGGTAAGAATCAAGCTGAAGTCAGGGTTCGAGTGGATGAAGTTGTAGGTCACGATTCAAAGGGCGATGACATGTATGTCGACAGAAAGCGTGTGGGAAAGAAATATGGTATAGAATGGCCAGGGTGTCCAGTAACGGCAGTCATCTTCGCGACCAGACAGCACCAAAGCATGCTGGCGAAGTTGTCAGGCGAAACAGGCTCAGTTGGAGATGTGTGACGTGCACAGCTGGCGTCGAGGCTTGGGAAGTCGCGACCCACCCACGCGGCGCGTCCTCGCCGTGTTGCATCATCGCGACAACACCAACCCAAAGTCACATAATCACGCGCCATGGCCTTTACAGCGCTGAACACACAGGCGCCGCATCCGCCGGAGATTGAGAGTGCCTTTGCTGGCAACCACGAGCTGCGGAAGCGTGTGCACGCGGCAATTGGTGTGTATTCGCCATCTGTTGTTTTTGGGAGACTTGATGCTAACGAATGCTCCAAGACCAAAATCCTACGCAGGGCACCCTTTTCCGCGACATTTCCACGTATATTCTCAATCAGACATCGACCTCGACCTCAGCCTCAAACGTACAACCCCCAGCGGAGCCTGCGGCCAAGAAGCGCAGGCTAGAAGACAGCAACGACGCGCAGAACAGCTCCACGGCGACAGGCGGAGGCAGCCTTACCACCGCCGCGACAAAAGCATGGCGCTCCTACCCCGGCGTTAGCTTCTCCATCCCACAGCGCAAGAAGTTTACACTCGAGCTGCTCGACACAAAAGACGGCGGGATCAGGGCAGTAGGCCCAAGTGGGAACGTCGAATTTGCCATTGCGTGGAAAGACGTGGACCAGGTCTTCTGCCTGCCTGTGCCGGAGAAGGCGAAGAAGCAGCACAACTTTGTCGTCATACCCGTGCACGGCGACGGTGTCAACCCTGTGCCCGACGAGCTGAAGGCGTCGGTGCAAGAGCCCATGGTGTGGACGTTTGAGGAGGCGACGGGTAAGAACGTCGTCGAGGGCGAGGATCCAGGGCCAGGACCCATGGCTGATGCGCTACGCCACTGTCTGAAGCAGGCTGGCACACGAAAGAACGTTGTCTTCCCCGACGCCGACGACTTCTCCAGCGCCGTCCCAGAGAGCCATCGAAAGAGCGAGAAGGCGTATCACGTCAAGGCGCACAGGGGGAGCAAAGAAGGTTCGTACACAATGCTGTCCAACCTGCATACGCGCTCGTCACTAACACTCCACCAGGCTACCTCTTCTTCACTTCCGTAGGCATCCTGTACGGCTACAAGAAACCTCTGGCCTTCTTCGACTTCGCCGCTGTCAACAGCATATCCTACACTGCCGTCCTGCGCAACACATTCAACCTCGTCATCACTACACCCACACAGGAAATCGAGTTTGGCATGCTCGACCAAGCAGACTACGCCGGCATAAACGACTATGTCCAGAAACACGACCTGCAGGATGCCAGTCTGGCTGCAGCACGACGCGCCAAGAAGCTCAACATCAATAAGACGGATAAGAACAAAGAGAATGGGGCAGAGTCAAACGGCGGTGATGCTGCGGGTGCAGAGGACGACGAGTCGGAGATTCAGAAAGCCGAGCGGCTGTTGCAAGAACAGGAAGATGAAGAAGACGAGGACGAAGAGGACTACGATCCTGGGAGTGAGGGTGAGAGTGAGGGCTCAGGGTCCGACTCGGAAGATGAGGAAGGCGGGGAGGGGTATGAGGATGCTGACATGGAAGAACAAGGCGAAGGTGAAGAGATGGAAGAATAATAGCTATCATAATCCTCAGGAGAACATCATTTCTCTTCACTTCGTGATCCTCGCTCAACGCGCGCACAAACACATCCTCATCTCCCCTCCCTTTAGCACCCCTGTCTTTGCCTCTCCCAACCTGACCTCCGTTTTGTACACGATGAACCACGCCAAACAATGCGCAATCAATATCGCAAAGCCAAATACAAACAATACAAAAGCCATCGCAGCAATGCCAATCTTCAATACTGACATGCCCGCTTGTGGATTCTTCTTCTTCGACACAGATGACAGAACAGACTGCACCGGAGGCGCATTAGGCGACATAAACGCAGCTTCCACCGGCATCTCTCCAGTCTCCTTCTCTGTTGCAGGTATATCCGCGGGGAACAATCGTCTCGCGCCCCCCTTCTCCTCCAACTCCCTACCCGTCTTCCTTCTAGGCGTCAAACTTCCCGGTAAAACACTCCCCTCCCCTTCTTTCTGCACAGGAAACGGCCTCTCCCACGGCTTCCTCGTCACCGTACTCATCGGTTCGCTCGTCGCGGCTCCCTGATCCTCACTCGCGTCCGCTCCGAAGCGCGATCGCGCACGTACTGGCGTCGTGGTCTCTCGTAGCGCTCTGAATCGAAGGATCGCGGGTCGTGCTTCTGGAGGCTTGGTTGAGCGCGGCTTCTTAAGGAGCAGGTGGCGGGGGAGCTGTACCGAGATGATTGGGAGGCAGACTGCTAGGAGGCAGGCGAAGAAGAGGAAGGGCGCTGACATTTTGTTGCGGTATGGATCTTAGGTGGATGTGTTGGTTATTCGTAGGTTGTATGGAATGGTAGGTGGATTTTGGTGTAAAAATGTAGCCTAGGGTGGTGTGGTGTGGTAGGATTGAAGAGGAATAAGGTTGGATTGCCATATCGATTTGGGTTGTTGCTTCCTGAACGGTGGTATGCTGGGATGCGAGGAAGGTGCGAGGTGCAACAGACCAATATTCGTTGCCCATCCTTCCTTGACCCGTTGACACCTCTGAACCGGGGAATGCGATTACTGCGCAATGGAATGCCTGCTCTTCTTCAATGAGAAATCATATTGCTTATTCCAGGAAAGGCCAAATTTTCCAAAATCTTCGGCACGCGATACAATCTTACACGTGCTCCACGCGTCCACTCCTACCATCCGCGCGAGGAGACTCTGGAGTTATCTGCCTATCAATACCGCCCATATCCTCCCTTGACATTTCGTTTGACGAGACTCGATCGATTGAACGCATTGCTTCCACAACAGCCATGGCGGCGACATTCGGACGTTCGACCTGTCCTGCGCTTGAAGGATGGGAAGGAGGGTGGAAAAGAGCCGCCTATAACATCGAGTTAGTATGAGAAAACAACAGATACAGATGGTACGAAAAAAGTTACGAACCTCGTGATCGTCAAAGTCCTGGCCCGGATTGACAGTCTCATACTCGGCCATCTTGACAATTTTATACATGGCCCACGCCAACAGCGTTCCCATGATAGGGCCAAACCAATAGATATAATGGTAACTCGGAAACGTTCCTGTTACAACACAAGGTCCAAAACTCCTTGCCGGATTCAAGCTTCCGCCGGTGAAAAAGACTCCGACAAGTTCCGCGACGAAGAGTGCCATTCCAATGCCAATGGGCGCTAGGAACGTAGCCTTGTGCTTTTCAGCCGCAAGCATGAAGATGGTGAAGACGAGGAGCGAAGTAAGGAACATCTCAAGAAAGACGCCGCGCGCGGGGGACACGCCGTTCCCAAGGTTTGTGGAAACGTTTAGGGGACCAGGGAGAATGGCTTCAACAACAGCTGCGGCGCACATACCGGCGAGCATCTGAGAGACGAAGCAGAGCGCTGCGCGGACGGATCCAATGGCGCCGATGAGATAGAGACCTAGTGTGACCTGTTCGCCTTTATTAGCATGCGTCCTTCCTCGTTCTCTCGTCCCACAAGTGTTTTTACAACTACCGACAGGTAAGACTTACGGCAGGATTGAACAAGCCACCACTGACACGGAAGAAGACCCAGACATTGACCATCAGGCTGAACCCAAAGATCAGGCTGATATAGAGTAACACACTTGTATCAGGCGCTTGTGTAATGCTGTTATTGTTCTGTCCCGCTGTAGATGCATTGCTGGCCACGGCGGCCGAATTGGCGACCTGGGTCCCTCCAAACGCGAAGAAAAGGAACATGAATGTGCCAGCAAACTCCGCAAAGGCGGCAACAAGCTCATTCCGCCATCTGTTGGTGAACCACGAGCGTCCTTGATTCGGGCCATTGGGATCCGGTCTAGTGGTCTGGCCGTTGCTTTCGTCTTTTATGCTCGCCGCCGAGTCTTGGTTGTGTCGAGGGAGGATGTTGCGGAGGGGTGTCATAGTGGCGGCTGCGTGGTTGAATCGGGTGTAATCGAAGATGCGTAGCAGCTGAAACGAAACTCGGAGAATGACGCACGTATAGAAGACAAGGAAGACAAATATGAAGGAAACGGGAGATTACAAAGGAGAAAGTATGCAAAAGCTCAGCCGTGAAATCGGATAGAGAGCTTCCACCTCTTTACATAGTACGGAGGAGGCTGACGTCTTTTCACGGATATAGCTCATTGAATTTTGGTGGCGTTGACGCATCGACTGCCACTAGGACTAATCCAACGGTTTCTTTTTCACCACTCAAGAACGTTTGCTCCACATCCCAACCTTCCATACCGTTCCGGTTCCCACCAATGGTGATGACACCCCGCATCAGCTTACCTGCGAAGCGACCCTGCATGACCACTCGCTCTATCCAAAGACAGGTCGGGCGATTTTGACGGGCTAAGCGATTGGAATCGTTGGTACAGATGACGGTAGATGGTGGAGCATACTCGCAATCCCTTTATCCGGGTCCGTACTTCACGACGGGCAAGCTCCCGTCAACGCAGGCCGCGTGTTGACTTGTCAAAGGACCACCTAGCCCCTTTCCTGTCGGAGGCTGACACAAAGCAGAAGTAGCTGTTAGCTGCGGCGGGCAGTTTAGCGAGTCAAATCAATACAACCTGACATGCGGTGGCGCTGTCAAAATAGATAAAGGGATGGTAAAGTACCGTCGAGTATGTGCAGATCGAGGCTGTGAAAACGTTAGCGTGTGCAGATCGTGACGTAAATTTGGCGAGGCTAGTGCCCGCGGCCTAGTCTGCCGATTTTCACTACTGCCGTCTTGGTACGACATCCGTGTCTGGGAAGTGCTGGAAATATATCGGAAACAGCACATTTCGCCTCTTCGGTTTGGTGGTGTTTTCGATCAGAAGCCACAATTGCGAACACGATCACTTCACATATCTACGCAGCACCTCGTTTCCACTCAAAGTATTGCCACCCGCTGCATAGTAGTCCTAATACGGAAGTTTCGAATCAGTTGGGATCTACTGATATTACGCATCACGATCTTAATATTCAAATCAAGCCGCGCCTTCTCTACTAAGGTTCGGCAGATCGACTGTCCAAAGCACACTGTGGGGATTGAAACAATGGCATTGATTTTGAGCATCCATGATCCCAGGCTCCAAGTACATTATCTAGTGCAACCTTCAAAGCTAGCAGTCGCCACACTTGCTTATGTATCTCTCCTCAATGATGTCTTGCATCTCAAGCTATGTCGTGATCATGGATCTATGACTTCTTGTAGCCTTGGCACTTTCTACGCCCCGGTCTCGCATCATCAGCCAGTTGCTCATCAGTCCATGCTTCGTCAGACATCTCAACCCACTCCAAATCACTGAGATCATCCTCATCTGGTGCAATTCTCATATCATCAACTGCAACCGAGTCACTATGGCCCAGAACTATCTCAACATGGTGAACCTCGGTTGTGTTAGTGTCGGGGATAGCGGCCTTGCCGAGCGAGTGTTGAATCCACGACATTTTCGCACCGCAACGTGTGACCCTATCGACTGCACTGCGGGGAGCTTTTCAACATCACCAGAAGCAGGCGTATGGAGGTGCATTGTGATGAAACATCGAGTCGTCGCATATCCAGTGAAGTGGATGATCTTCCCACCCAAGGAACCGCATAGTGAGACGCTATGTCATAAGTCCCTCACAAATCGGGTGGCTGCGGTCGCTTGTCTAGCCAATCGATATATTTACCTTTGAGGTGCCGCGCTTCCGGGAACCCATACCCATGTGATGAGCCGCTAGCGGAGATCACCCCTATCAAGCTCAGGAAGGTTGTACCAAGGATCTAACAAAGCGTGCACAACATCCAATGCACATGTCCAACTATTTTGTCCGTTACCTGACATATATGCTAGTACTTCACATACATAGCCCACCTTTTCGCTCGATATAATATGAGTATGGGTGTTCTCGAAATACCAAGAAATACGGCGCAGTGGAATCTTGCAACAGCTTCACAACTACGCCTAACATTCGTGTGCAAGTCGTGTGCTTGGACTTTGAAAAGGACACGCCTAGCGTGCACTTTTGCAAATTGTACCATTTTGCGGCTTGTAGAAGCCACAATAACGCAGCTCACTTCCCGCCTTTACACTTTGTCCGAGAGAAACGACCACGCACTAAAGCACAATCGTAACCGAAATCTAGTAAGATGAACTGTAGCTCGTCGCAAGACACGCGTTAACGTTGATCTACAACAATATCATACAAACAGCTACACTTAGCGAAGTATTGTTTCGACTACATACGAAAGAAATCGAAAACATCAAAACTTGTACATTGTATGAGCGCACGCCCTCAATAACCAACCTCCCACACCGATCGACCGATCAGGTATTGCACTCGTGTTCGCTTGTCCAAGTGACACAATAGCCGGTAGACAAGCCACATGGCGCTGCGGGAGCTCGTACAAAGCAATCCAAGAACGACGCACTCGTTCGTGTTGTGCATATCCGGGGTCGAGAAAACTAACACCTAATACGAGGGCCTTGCTGCATGGGTGAATTGCAACCAATGCAAGTTTGACTTGACATGCTTTTTCACGTGATTCAACAACACCAGATAGGAGCGTAAAGCCCATGCTGTCCTGTTTCGAATCGCTTGAAGATTGGATTATAAGCAGGCGAATTGAATATATATAACTATGACTTGTCGCAAGGAACTACAGACGCCCGTACACAGAAATCTCGTGGTGCTTTTGTGTAACACGGCGTCACGTCGTGCAGATGACGTTTTCTCACGTCAAGGGACATGGTGTCAAGGAGTGGTTTGACAGCCTGACCCAGCAACCTGGATTCGGTTGACGTCCCGCTCTACCAGAAAACTCCGATCTCCATCTTACCAGATTTGCGTCATACGCTGACCCTTGGCGAGTGATACCGACTGGGGCCTTTCTCTTGCTGGACGATCTGTCAGTGCGTCCTGCTGTCAGTCAACGATGACCAACATGGTTAAGAGGGAAATGTTCGTCGGTGGATTGACATCTGATTTGAGTAGGATATGTGAAGACGTTATGAGAGTGTGTGTCAAGCGAGTTCAAGAAATCACTTGTCCAAGCAAACAACACGAGAAGAAAATCAAAAGCTTCGGAAGTAGTGAATAGAAGGGTAACCAAATGCGAGCAATGCCAAAGGCGGCATGCAAATGCAACATGTAGAATTTGAGTAAAATAACTAGGTACAAGAAGAAAGTTCAGACATAACACGTTTTGTCACAAACTACGAGCAAGCCGAGTCCTGCCCCGCGTGTTCACCATAACCGCATCCCTCCATCGAATCATACTCAGTACTGGCCTTGGGTAGCCGTAGGTGTAGGCCTGACCTTCGTCTCGAGCGTGCAAGGCGTGCTGGAAGCCGTGCCCTTGCCCATACCGAAGTTGTACTTCTCGGGCTGGAAGTTAGCGGAAGGCCTTCCTGAGGGACGCGGGTGAACGTGTCCCGCGCCGTGCCAAGATCCCCAACCGGAGGGGCGAGGGCGGCCAAAGCCGTAACCGGGACGTCCGTGGTTGAAGCCCGGTCGGCCAGTTCCCATTGGGTACGGGACGGCTCCAGTACCGGTGGGAAAGCCGGAACCGTATGCAGACTCGGGAAGGGCAGTGGGGTACTCGGTAGGCAGAGCGGCGCTGCTCGGGACCTCCTCACCGGCGACGTTGGTGGAAGCTGCCTCAGTGCCAGTGCAAGATGTAGAGGAGGCAACAGGGGTCTCGGAAGACTCAGGGCCAATGGTTGGGTTGGGCACCTCGGTGCTTGATGTGAAAGCTGGGGCCAAAGACATGATGAAAGACTCAAGGCCCGGGAGTTCCACAGACAGCGAAGCGTTAGGCAGGTCGAGGTTGACGGATGATGCCGGAGGTGTGATTGTAGCTCCCGAGGTCACAAGCTCAAAGGTGGGAAGCACGGTGTCTGCAGGCACTCCATAAGCAGCCGTGGTCGTAGGTAGGACAGACGCGTCAACAACTGCGGGTGTGCCAGTCGATTCAGCGTTCACGTTCCTGGACGTAACCTTGATGACCTTGGAGGTCCTAACCCGGGTAGTCCTGACCTTGGTGGAGGCCTTGACTGTAGTGGAGGTCTTGACGGCAGCGGAAGACTTAACAGCGGCAGCGGAGGACTGAACAGCGGCAGCGGTGGTGGGCTTAACAGCAGCGGCAGAGGAAGATTTAGCAGCGGCAGCGGAGGTGGCAGCAGTGGAAGCCTTGATAGACGAGGCAGGGGTAGCAGCAGCGGAGGCCTTGACAGATGAGGCGGAAGCACCAGTTCCAGCTGTAAGACCCATGCAGGCGAAGCTGATGGCCTTGACATTGGCGGCAGTGACGGGTCCATCGAGCTTCCAGGCCATGTCGACGTAAGGCCAGCAGATGCGGCCATCGGCCATGGTCACCATATCACCAGCAACATAGGTATCCATGCTCTTGATTGGCGCACCAACCTTTACACCGTTGTTGACAAGCTGGTAGTATGCGCCCGTGAATGTGCCCTTGCAACCCATGGCAATGAACTCGCAGGTTGGCGCGGCAATCTCCTCCCAAGTAACAAGAGCATTCTTGCCATCGAAAGCGGCGACGTGGGCGTTCGAGCAATCGGCGGAACCGGTGGTGATCCAGTTAACTTGAGAGTCACCGTCACCACCAAGCACGGAAGTAGCTTGCTTGCCAACGATGGTCTTCTTGTCCGAGAAAGTGGCGATGGCAACGTTGCGGTTGACGGTACGGTTAGCAGCGTGGGTGTATCCAGCGCCCATCCAGTCATTGAGCGTCAAATCCTTGGCTCCTCGAGAGACCCAAGAGAAGATGTACGAGTCGCTGCCGATGAAACGTGCAAGGCCGCTGTAGGACCCACTCATTCCGCCCATAGCCTCGTTGCTTGCACCGTTCTGAACGTTCTCGTTGGATACCTTGACGCCGTTGTTGTTCATGCCGGAGTCTCCAGTGTTCAACCAGATGGCGCCCTGGTCCTCAGCGCAAAGACTAGCAAAGGGAACAGCGTCGGCAGCCTCAAAAGCGATACCGGTGTTGTGCGAGCAGCCCCAACCGGAGCTGGCGCCCTGGATCTGCTTGAGGGAACCATCCTTAGTGACGTACTGAATAGCATCACCAAAGTGACCCTGAGCGTCGCCATTGTAGGCAGAGACGACAATGTAAGCACCGTACATGCCAGAGGCCTCGGAATAGGCAAGATCACCGTTGATGTCAGGTGAGAAAAAGTTGCCCATGCCGCTGTCAATGTCGGGGCCACCGATCCATGTCTTGAAGGTCTGTTTACCAGCGGTGTAACGGTAGAGAACAGCGACAGGAGAGGTGGCCGGAGGCGCACCAGTCGTGGTAGAAGGCATGGGTTCGTTGGTGAGGAGCGCGAAACCATCGTTGTGCGCAACCAATCCACCTGCCTCCTTTCCAGCAGCAACAGTAACGGCCGTGCCTACAGCAGCGAAGGTGGTAGGGTCGACCTGTTGAATGTGTACACCCGTCTTGCTGGCATCGAGGTATGCAAGGTAAGCAGATTTGCCATCAGGCGAGACCGCAAAGGGTGTACGGCGATGATGGGGCAGGCCAGTCCAGTAAGCCTCCTGGATAGGGTTGAACGACGCGGAAAGTGACAAGCTTCCGACATGCTTCACCAGGTTGCTGTCGGAAAGCTGAGCAGTCACGGTGCTCGCAAGCACGGACAAAAAGAAGGACGTGGTCAACATGTTGCAGGTAGATCTGAAGTTTTTTAAAAGAATGACAAAGAATGAACGGACGACCAGCGGGTCCAAAAGAGTGACAAAAAGAGCAAATGTTGCAAAGACCGTGAAGCAGTAACGACTACCATAGAGCTGGAGTCGCCTGTGTATATAAAGCAGACGGACATGAAACGTGCCATTCACGCCAGGATCAGGGACTGAACTGCCAACCGTTTCAACGGGAACCACTCCGGAGACAACCTCATGCGTCAAAATGCGGGCACCAACAGCTCCACCGACCGAAAGCGAGGAGCAGCCACGAGTGGTGGAATCATCGGAATGAGAGCCTGTGGTAGACAAGCGACATTAGGATTGTTTCAATGTGTTTCGCTCCAAGGCGCTAGTGGGAAATCACCCATAGTCACATGATGCATCTAGCCACCAATGGACCACGATACCTTCACTCTTGTACCAGCATTATACGAGATTGTCTCCTTTCTATCCAGCATACCGAAAACGCTTTTGTGCATATTGCAATCTTTTACAATGTGTGAATTGTCGTTTTGAAATTTGATCTGACCAGGACGAGCGAAAAATCAAGTCTCTGTGTCGCGCAGCACTTGAAGAGAGCATCAAGTGTGTGGGATTTGGCAGTGCCCAGTCGAGTCATTCTCGTTGAGTAGTGGTCTGCTCGCCACCTGAGTCAGTCAAGAATTCGGGTTGAGCGATCATTACAATTGACCGAAAGGCCCGCATGCATCGTGTATATACGACGCCAGATGAGGTTGAGTATTCCGCCCGAGCCGGAAGTAACTGGGACATGACGAGCCGTACCGAGTGGAACACGCCATACTAGAGCTTGTCCGTTTTATATCCGTCTCTCCAATGACTCCGATCGCTGTAGGATTCATCGGTAGATGTCTTTCAGAGTTGGCGGTCTACAATTGGAGTCAGTCCTGACTAAGGGCTTGCCTACCGAAGCCTGCTCGTATCTCGACAATTTCATCCTTCCACCGATGGAAATGAGTGCTGACTTTGATTTTCGACAGTATTACCGCCTCTCCGATGAGATTCAAGACGGCTCTCGGCTCTGATGGGCCTACCCCGGTGATGGTATGAAGGATTTCAATAACCCCTTGGATTACAATGTCGTATATTCTGCCCGAAAATTTACCAGCATGCGAACGCATACAAGTACTGCGCATGGCGTATCAGAGCGATTTGGGTAGAGGCACAAACAGAGCGAAGAGTGCATCTCAATCGCTGTGTGCAATATAACCGGGTAAGGCTGAGGAGTAATGAATACAGTGGTATCCCCACTGAAAATTTCCCGAAGCGCGATCCCGCACGGACAGGCTTCGGCGAATCAGAAGGTTTGTTGTAGTCTCACTCCTAAATTGTAGTATATCTGTACTTCTGTGGGATACCACAATATGGTCAATAGTCGTGCACGCGTCGAGGTAGTGTTACTTGCTTGCCAAGTCCCCTAAGCAAAGTGGCGTTTGGGGGCCAAATGCTCACCACTACAACTCATCTGCTATCACTTGAAACTGCACAACGCAGCCTCTCTGACGTTGTCCTCGAAGCTCTGCTCTCATGGTCAAATACAAAGTGAATCGGGTTATGCCGGCACTCGATTGACACACCAAGAATCGGATATCGACCTCGAAATCGCCCTGGAGATGTGTAGACTCTTCATTTCGTTCACCGGTCAGCAAGACGTATATATGCAAGGGCCCTCGTTTCCATTACAGCCGTCCATTACCAACGTGATTTCCCTGCAGGCCAAATTGGAAGATACTATAAATTGACTTCAGTACGTGGGAAATAGCCAATGATGGGTGGTACGGACTGCAGCCACTCGTTACAGCACTGCAGCCACGCTGCCTTTTCAAGGGCGCAACTCGCTGTACGAGATTCTCAGCGTGCATGATTACTGCGCCCTGGGGTGTGGAAAGCGAGGTACGATAGATGCGTGGTCTTGGTCTATACCTGGGTAAGCGAGTGATCAGGCTGAACTACTTGCGATATGGAGTTACGGTGAAGGCTGCAAGAGCGGATTGGTGAGTTTGACATCGATATGTGATGCAGGCTGGGCTATGCCTTTTGCGGGAGTACAGCTTCTCGTACGGATGAGGTATGTGGAGGCTGGGTCAGAACGTCCACAGGACAGACTTTGTGGGTGTCTAGGTGGCAAGCTGGAGTCGTATATAGCCTTGCGGGGTTTGCTGTCAGTCTCGTTTTAGTTCTCAGACATCTCGTTTTACCCATCGTATTCTCTATACAGTCAGTCGTTCAAATCAGCATTTCAATATACTGCCATCATGTACACTCAACTCATCACCATCACTATCGCCATCCTCTCTACCACCTCCCTCGCTTCTCAAGCCTTCACAAACGCCAACGCGTTCGGCGCCATGCTTCGGCGCGGCGACGCTATTGCAAAGCGTCAAGGCTACACCCCCGATACCGTCCTTTGCGGCTCTGGCGACACATGCGAGGAGGCGTGTGGAGCGGGCCAGGTCGAGTGTCCGTCGAGCAGTATATCTACGCTCTACTGCCACGATTCGACGGACGGTTCGCACTGCTGCTCTGACGGGTCAGGAAGTGAGTATCCCATCATGTCAACGTCCATGCCAGCTCTTACTAACAACACAACCAGACTCGTGTGACGCAGGATTCTACTGCACCACGGATGGTACCGACACATATTGCTGCCTCAACAGCATAGATACGTCTGCGTGTGCGGCTGTGTACTCGCTCTCTGCATCGCTGATCCGCGAGACTGCCAGTGTCATCCCGTCGGCTGCTCTTTTGTCTAGTAGTGTTCCTGCGGAGACGCCTGCTAGTACCTCCAGGTTGATTTATGTCTCGAGTACTGTTTCTTCTGCGTCTGCGTCTGCGTCTGAGTCTGCCACGTCCAGCTCGACGACTAGCAGGTCGAGTACTAGGTCTGCGAGTGCTACGCTTGCGAGCCCTACGTCTGCGAGCCCGACGCCTTCTCAGTTTTCTGGTGCTGCTGCGAAGGTTGGGGTTGCGGGTATGGCTGTGCTTGCGGGTGGGCTTGCTGGACTGTTGTAGGGTGAGGGTAGGACGTGTGGATGATTCAGCGTGGGTGGTTGTCGATTACATCACTTGGACAGATTATGCAGTGGATGAACCTCCACTCTGGGATAGACTATGTAGTGAATGAATCTATCCTTTGAAATAGATTATGCAGTGAATGTACCTATAACTTGAGAGATGAAAGATGAGACGATGGATGTGACGGGGGCTGCATCTCGATAGTGCTGAACAAAAACAAAGTTAAGATTGACGATAGTCCAAGTCCCAGAAGAAATGAGTACACAGTAGTTCAAGCGACGAATTTGGCACGGCTTCATAGCTGGCTTTGCGCCGTGATACGTCACTGCATAGTGTATGTGGTGTTTGTGTGGATGGGCAGGTTGTAGATGATGCACGTTGATTTGGTTGCTTGATGGTATTCAAACTCCAGAGTAGTCCAAGCCGAGAGTGATTCAGACTCTCAGTGGTTGCGGGATGCAGGGCTGCGTCATGATGTGTGGATGGTCGAGGGAAGCGCCGGGGTGATGTGCTGTCATGGCTCAGGCTAATCACGCTTGACGAGCTCTGTGCATGGGGCGGAAGCTACTGCAGCAGCGAATACGACGTCGTTGACGACGGCCGCCGCCCACCAAACCGTCGCCAAAACGCGAGTCGCAACAGCTTTCCGCATGCCTGGATGCATGACGAGATCTCGGGCGAGCGTCTGCTGAGCACTTGACCGGGTCGGATTCGCGGTAGAGACGGGGTGCGACGACGAGACTGCTGGACACGGCGGAGGCCCATTTCGAGGCCCGGCCAGGATCCCCAACTAGCAGTCAGCCCTTTCAACGGCCAGGACGCAGGACGAACCCCGCCGGCCGCGACTATACGAGCAGCCGCCATTCGACGTCTGACGCCTCTTGGGACGAGCGATTGACGGCGGCAGGACATGCGCATGCACACGACGCCGGGCACACTGGTTCCCTCGACCCCTCCACCACGGCCAGGACGCAGACGACGGGCAGGATAGACACGGCGGGCAGGACAGACACAGCCGGCAGGACACACTCGGCGGGCAGGACACACACACTCGGCAGCATGGTGTCGCACCCGCCCAAGACGGCGCACGCGGCCGTCCACTCGCGCGCCTCGAACCACCACCCGCACGTCAGCGCCAGCACGCCCGGCCATGCGAAGAAGCCGTCGTCGTCGAACCTCAGCGCCCAGTCGCGCGACCGCGAGCCCCGGCCGAGCAGAGAGGGCGCGGCGCAGCGGGCGGCGCAGGACGTCGCGGGCCTCAAGGACTTCCAGCTGGGCGACTGCCTGGGCAAGGGCGCCTTTGGCAGCGTGTACCGCGCGCTCAACTGGGGCACGGGCGAGACGGTGGCCATCAAGCAGGTCCGCCTCGAGAACCTGGGCGTGGCCGACCTGAAGAACATGGAGATGGAGATCGACCTGCTCAAGAACCTCAACCACGCCAACATCGTCAAGTACAACGGCTTCGTGCGCAGCTCCGAGAGCCTGTACATCATCCTCGAGTAGGCCAACGCTCCACTCTCCCCAGACACAACTGACGCTTCTAGGTACTGCGAGAACGGCTCGCTGCACAGCATCTGCAAGAACTTCGGCAAGTTCCCCGAGAACCTCGTCGCCCTCTACATGTCGCAGGTCCTGCACGGCCTGCTCTACCTCCACGAGCAGGGCGTCATCCACCGCGACATCAAGGGCGCCAACATCCTGACCACCAAGGAGGGCCTGGTCAAGCTGGCCGACTTCGGTGTCGCTACGAAGCAGTCGGGCCTCGACCAGTCGAGCGTCGTGGGCACCCCCTATTGGATGGCCCCCGAGGTCATCGAGCTGTCCGGCGCCACCACGTCCTCGGACATCTGGAGCGTCGGCTGCACCGTCATCGAGCTGATCGAGGGCAAGCCGCCGTACCACAAGCTGCAGCCCATGCAGGCCCTGTTCCGCATCGTCAACGACGAGCACCCCCCGATACCCGGCAGCGCCTCTCCGGTCAGTGCTCCCCCGCCATCCCCCGCTACGCTTTGCTAACACGCACAGCTTCTCCGCGAGTTTCTCATGGAATGCTTCCAGAAGAACCCCACCCTGCGCATCCCCGCCAAACGCCTGCTCAAGCACCCGTGGATCGTGAGCGCCAAACGGACCGTTCCCGCAGTGCCCACCAAGCCCACCGAGTACCAGGAAGCCGTCAAGTCCGTGCAGGAGTGGAACGAAGCACTCAGGTCGCCCAGCTCCCTTCGCCGAAGCTCTCGCATTGCGTCCGGCATCCAGAAACCCGCGGCTCAGTTCCCGTCCCCGGCAAACGTCGCCGTCGCAGGTCCTCGCAAGACGCCAGTCAACGTCAACGTACTAAAACACAGGCCCACAGCCGAGTCTTTCCGTTCGCCAGAACTCGACCATGACGACAACTGGGACAACGATTTCGACGACACTATCTCATCCCGCGCACTCCAGATGCCGCATCTGAAGCCTCAAGATAACTTCGCTGGCTTATTTTCAGGAGATCGACTCAAAGCATATGCCAGTTTCGATGCCGTTCTCGAAGGCCCAGATTTCGGCGACGGTGAGACTACGGTGAAGAGTCCGCTGAATCTACGGCACCTCCAGAACTTTCCACAGGCCTTTGCGCGAAAGCAGTCGAACAGTTCCAAGGGTTCAAATGGTAAAGCGAGAGGGTACTCGTCGTCTTCCAGGTCGACATCTGACGCCAACTCGGATCTCGACGACAAATTCGACGCCCAGCCAAAGACAGCATTCCTACGCGGGATTCACAAAGCAAATCCTATGCCAAAAGCGAAGGTGACTGCCCCGGCAAGACCAAGTCAGATGTTCAGCGAGAGTCCAAGTGAGGACTACTCAGACCTATTACCAGCAGATGAGGGCGCATTCGCGAAAAAGCTCAAAGCTATGCAGCATGCGCAATCGCCAGCTGTGCTACCCCCTCAGCCAGTCCTCATAGCCACTTCTAGCTCGCCAACCGAATCCTTCTCGCCACGATTGTTCCATCCCAGCGACCTGAAATCTGCGCCAAAGTCTATACGAGATACAAAGAGCGGGGGAGCCGTACGACATCGGTCCGGGAGTTCGACATCTATCCGAAAACTGCAGCGCACCCAGTCCCAGATCGAGATCCAGAAGTACGCAGAAGACGAAGGCGATGACTTTTCCGATGTATTTGGCGACTTCAGAGGACCTTCCAGTGCGAGCCGTAGTAGAAGTGAAAGCGAGACCGGCAGCGAGCACAGCGGCGTCGCTATGATCACCTCCAAGATATCGACAACATTTACCATCGCTACCGATGAGGAAGATTTGGACCCTTTCGCAAACCTGGACGAAGGGCTTGACAACCTGAATCTTGAGAATAATGTTGCTCGAGACCGGGACGACCGACTGACAAAGGCGACGGAACATCTTGTCGGTTGCTTGAAGACTAACCAGCCTGATGATGAGCTTTTAGAGATTGCTGAGCAGCTTATCCAGATTCTGTACGAATCACCAGACAAGCGTAGTATCATCGTGAGGAGCCATGGCATGTTGCCTATATTGGAGATTTTGGGGACCATACCACCGAACGATGTCGTTCTTCCGCTCCTGAAGATCATCAACTTGATGATTCTCGAAGATGCCGAAGCGCAGGAATCACTATCTTTCCTCGGCGGAATACCAACGATATGTCAATTTGCTTACAAAAGATACCCCTCCGATATCCGAAAGGAAGCCGCGGCGTTTGTGAGACAGATGTATCAGACGAGCACACTGACGCTGCAAATGTTCATTGGCTGTGGTGGCATCAACGTCCTAGTTGAGTTCTTGGAAGAAGACATTGACGCAGAGCGGGACCTTGTTCTCATTGGGGTTAACGGTGTCTTTGGTGTGTTTCAGTTGCAGGGGCCGACACCGAAGAACGACTTCTGCAGGATTTTCAGTAGAAGTAGTGTTTTGTATCCACTATCACTGGTATTGAATCGCATGGTGGAAGAGGATGGAGAGGTTGCAAGACTCATTGTCGAACGCATTGTACACATATTCTTGATCTTTTCGCAGGCGGAAAGCCACGTCAAGGATCTCGTGGCGGACCGTATGATTCTGAAGCGTAAGTCATCTCGTCCCTTTTCCGTCAATCCTCCGAGATATGGCTTCATCGCTGTCGAACAAGTGGCTGGAGCAGTGTCGCCACGGCCTTGTGTTTGCCGCTATCCTATGGAACCTGGCTAATCATTCACAGGTGTCTTGAAAGATCTCCGAAAAATGGCGCCGCCACATCAAATCACCATGCTCAAGTTCATCAAGAACCTTAGCTCGCTCTCCTCAACCCATGAAGCACTGCAGAATTCGAATGCCATCGACATTCTTATCGAACTACTCAAATCAACTCGCCAGAAAGATGCAGTCTCTCGCAATCAAATTCGTTCTGCCTCCGACCCAACCCGACTACCACCCTTCCACCGCGAGATCTCCAACCAAATTCTCAACACCATGTACAATCTTTGTCGACACAACAAGTCACGGCAAGAAGAAGCAGCCTTGTCTGATGTTATTCCGCTACTCAAGGAGGTGGTGCGCGAAGGCGGACCGCTCAAGGAGTTTGCCTTGCCAGTGCTACTGGAGATGGTGAACTCTGGCAAGGTGTCGAGAAAGATGCTTTGGGATGCCAAGGGTCTTGCTTTTTACGTGTCTCTATTGGGCGATCGGAATTGGGCGGTCACAGCCTTGGATGCCATCTTTGTATGGTATGTACTCTTCACGCTCCACTCTGGAAATCGATGATGCTAACCGAGTTCAGGCTCCAAGAGGAAACGGCCCGGGTCGAGCAATATCTCCTATCTTCACAGTCCAATTTCACACCAGCTATCATCTCCGTGTACACTTCAGCGGATCTCTCACACTCAACGTTCGAGAACATGCTCGAGCCGCTACAGAAGCTCGTCCGCTTGTCTCCACCTATCGCCGCATCTCTCGCCGTTCCTGAGATCTTTGCTCGCACGGAGCAAAAGCTAGGCCACAAGGACGCCGTCACACGTCTCAACCTGCTGCGCATCTTGCGAACGATATGCGACGCCAAGGAAGAGGGCTGCTGGCTCATCCGCGCGTTCGGCTGCTATGGACGCGTTACATGGCTTATGGAACAAGACCCTGCCGTCCTTGTCCGCCAGATGGCCGAAGAGCTCGTTCGTGCGTGCGACGAAGTCGAAGTCAACGGTGTCGGCGCAGGATCCAACGGCAAACGCAGCATCTCCCGCGCCTCGAACATCGGCATGAACCTACGGCGCCCCACATCATCAACCGGTCGCCGCGACGGCTCAGGCTCCAGCAGCGGATCAACACTCCTAGGCATGACGCCCCCAACACCCACCAGCCTGAAAAACACATTCCTCATCCCTCCAATGTCAACACCAACCCACGTAGGCAGCGGCCGCGATCGCATCACACGCAGCCACTCCTCAATCGGTATGTGGGATCTCGCTGAAGACCCCGCCGCCCCGCCTTCATCCGGCCGCTCGAAACCCCCCGCCCTAACACGAAGCTCGACTTCCTTCGCCGCCCTCAGCACACCGACATCCTCCCGCACCCAGGGCTCCAGACCCGCAAGCAGAGACGCAGCCTCGTCGCTCTCCCGCCTCGAAGCAAACGCAAACGCAAACGCAAGCGCAAAATCCTCCACCGACCGCTCGCGCCTCCCCAAAGCACGACAGGACCCCCGCCACGAACCGAGACACATCCAGAGCCGTCTGAACTTGCATGACCCCACGAGTCGCCGTAGACAGAGCGGCGTCGGCACAACAGAGAATGACTCTCCTGTCGCGGTGGTGGCTACTCCGCCGCCGTTGCCCAGACTGCAGATCGTAAGGCGCAGGAGGGAGACGAGTGGTGGCGAGATGACGACGGCGGCGAGGAAGGCGGCGGGGCCGGCGACGCCGAGCGCGGATTAGAAGTCTGCTGCTGTTACTCCTGCTGCTGCTGCTGCTTCGAGTGGTGATGGATATGTGGCTGTGTGTATTAGGCGGAGGAGGGGATGGACTGGCATGTGATGCGAGGTGATGTTATGGTGCTTTTCTTTGCATTTTCTTATGTCTTTCATGGGGTTTATTTTGATTTGGGGAGGCTTTCTCTTTGGGGTTCATTTGTTCTCAGAGCATGGTGTTTTTGGAGTTTGGGTGCATCAGTCGATTTTGCAGCATTTTTTAGAGGGAGGATATGCATATTATTGGCGTTGGGATACTGGGGCAGGGAGCTCGAGCTCAAGCTCCTGGCTGGCCTGGGATTCGGGACTGTAAGAGGGGTATGCAAGGGGAGGTATTTCTGTCTTGAATATCATGGTTGTGTAAGCTTTTTGATTGGTGTATGGTATTCAAGGAAGACGGTTTATTGTTGTCGTTATTGTTGTGATCGTTTATTCGTTTCTCATGTGTCTATTTCAGACGTGATCGTACAGAGTGCAAGGTAAAGATTTACCGACATCTCTGACTTATCGTCCAGCAACCACGTTCAGCACACCGCCATCGACGGCAACAACCTCGCCGTTGACGTATCTGTTCTTGGCAAGGAACAAGACAGCTTGCGCCATCTCCTCGTCGCTCCCCGCACGCTCCATCGGGACATGGCCCTTCTCCTGGATCTTCTCGTCGGGCAGCTCAGACTTCTGCTTGTGGTCGCTCTCTGATGTGGTCATCTCAGAGGGGAAGTACCCTAGCAGATGAGTTAGTTCTTTTCTCCTTCCACAAAGTGTTAAGAGAACATACCAGGCGCAATGCTGTTTACGCGAACCTTCATCTTCGTGAACTCGGACGACATGAGTTTCGCCAAGTGCACTGTTCCGCCCTTTGCAGAGTTGTAGCTGAAGTGGCCCTGTGCGTGACGCATGATGCCCGACATGGAGCTGATGACGATGACGCTTGCGGAGAGGTGGCCGTGGCTCTCTGTACCTGCCTGGAGCAGCGGCAGCAATGCAACAGTTGTGAAGTACACAGCGGTAACGTCGGTGTTGTATGTCTCGCTCCAGCCCTCGAATGTCTCGTTCTCAAAGGCTCGCTTCTTGAACTCGGTGGCGGACTCGGTGTCGGGGTCTGCCTTCTCGCTGCTGATGCCGGCTGCGGCGACGAGAAGGTTGATGTGCTTTTCTTTCGAGGAGAGCTCCTTGGACATGGCCTCTAGGTCGGACTTCTTGGTCACATCGTAGGGGCCGAGACTGGACAGATGTTAGTGTTTGGAGGGTGAGTAGAATGGTGATATGTACGGAATGATCTGGCCATCATCATCGGGGCTGTGGGACTTTGCTGCCCGCTCGAGAACTTCTTGGCGTCGACCTGTGATGTATACTTTGGCACCTGTGTGTTATTGGTTAGCTCTGTGTAAATGGTAAGAGGTCAGTGCGAAGTCGGATAGGTTTCCTACCATTGGCAGCCAATCCCTGTGCGCACATCAAACCAATACCAGAACCTCCTCCTGTAACAACGCAGACATAGTCCTTGACCGAGAAGAGCTTCTCTGCGCGGAGGTGGTGAGTTTCAGCCATGGTGTATGAGAGTGTGTATGAGTCGTGTTGTAAATGTGAAGGATGGTGGAATTTTGGTATGCCAAGTATCTCTCTACAATTGAACCGTGGGAAGAACCGAGATTGATTGTAAGCTTTATACCGAGCAACGGATCACGATGTCGTAGAAAAGAATGTTGCGTATGACGTAGCGGAACAGCCTATAAGCTTTCCTCCAAGCGGCTAGCTGCCGTTAGCGCTTTTTGCTGCAGAAGGTGTGGCACGCTTTCAGAAGCTTCAGCCGCAACGCGTCGTCGCGCTTTCAGCATCACGGTCGGAGTTGTCAGGAGGGGTCTTCTTGTGTTCTCACCGTTGCGGACACGTCTCTTTATTCGTTCCTGCTGTTGAACGTTTGAGTTGTTACAGGGGGCTGATGACGTGAAAGACTTTTTGCAGTGCCCTTGCAGTTAATCCCCTCGACGTCTCTTTCATTGATATTCGCAAAAGAACACAATATCGTCTGGCACAGAGGTGTGGTTCAAGTACGAATAGAGTCCCTTCATCAGAGGCTGCCTCGAGACATCTCGAATCCACACGCGTGCGCACTTCCTTCTATCAGCAGGCAACAGACATCACAACTGATTCCCTGAACATCTTCAGACCACTATCCTTAGCCTCGCACCTTGCAATCATGTCGGTGTCATCTTCCACCGAACTGATGGCGCCGAGGTCAATATCCACAGAGCTCAAAGTTTGGCCTGAGCCTCTTGACACCCCCGGATACATCCCGCATCATCTCAAACGAGCAGCAACATCTCAATTTCCGATCATCGAAGTGCTTCAACGTATACTATACCGGCTTCAACCCAGTACCGACCTGGAAAAGGTCTTGGCGTTGGTAGCCATCTACAACGCAACTCAGCCTTTATTTAGACACATAAAAGACCTATTCATATGGTCATTCACAGTTCAGCTGACCATTCCTGAGGTTGATCCTGTCGCCAAGGAGGTGATGGGCTGGATGAGCTCGGAAGTTCTGGCTAAACATTATACGAGAAGCGCCATGATCACAAGCGGAGCATTGTATGATTCCAACGAGGGCCATCAAAACCACCCTTTTGGACCTCGTCATCATCAAAACAGTAAGGCACGGGAGGATGAAGTGCAGTGCCTAAGACCGCCCATCGGAAAGCGCATATTCTGGTAAGCCTACGCCATCACACTTGACTTTAAGCACTGGACACCATTCAGTATCATCTAAACACACTCTTGCTGAAATTGATAGGGTTGGGTACCGTCCGTTCTTATTTTCTCGAGCCGGAGGAGAAGTCTCTCGAAGGTCGGGCGGCAATGTACTTGATAACCAGGGTGAATTGCAGAACGCTTTAACAATAACCACCCTCGGTTGGAACCTGAAACCTCTGCAGGACTTCGCCAACATGTGCCGCGAGCATAAGTTGAAGAATCTCACAGGGACGACGACAGTGTACTTTGCTGAAAGTGGTCGTGGTACTTATAATGGCGTGGAGTGGGCGTCTATTTCCAAAGCCGTACGCAGGCTCGATACGATTGATATGGACGAGAAAACCAAGACCGATATCGTTCGAGATGCGGAGTACTACTATAGTGAACAATCGTAAGTCAACCTGGAAATCTTTAGCGAGCGTTGTGATCAGCATCACATCAGTGAGATGCTTCAACGCACACCTGGCTACATCATGGACAAGCTAACTATCTCCAGCCGCCAATTCTTTGCAGACTGCGGTATACCTTATCGCCGGGGCTATCTATTGCATGGCCCACCAGGCACTGGGAAAAGTTCCTTTAGTGCTGCATTAGCTGGGCACCTCCGATGCGATATTTACCTTGTAAGTTACTTTTGGAAGATTCCTGAGAACCAACAATCCCTGACACTTATGTGCAGATCAACCTCGCAGCCGGCGATATGAACGATGGCAGGCTCCACCGGCTCTTCCTGAGTCTTCCCAGGAAATGCATCGTCGTCATCGAAGACGTCGACTCGGCAGGCATCAACCGTGAGCAGGCTGGTACCGAAGCAGTCGTCAGTGGCGAACATGCACCTCTTCAGTCCATTACTCAGGCACTCCGATCCGTTGTCACACTTAGCGGTTTGCTTAACGCCATCGACGGCAATGCATCCCAAGAAGGTCGCCTTCTCATAATGACTTCCAACCACCCTGATGCCCTTGACCCTGCTCTCCTGCGCCCCGGCCGCATCGACAAGAACATCTACTTTGGCAACATGAACAAGGCCGCAGCGAAGAGCATCTTCCTCCGTCTCATCGGACAATCCGCACTTGCGCACGACGCCGCCTTCACAATGTCTCAAATTGAAGAGGATGCCGCCGAGTTTGCAGAAAAAGTACCGCCAAACGTCTTCACGCCAGCGCAAGTGCAAAATTTCCTCCATGGCTGCCGTGGAAATCCTCAAAAGGCATTAAAGGAAATCGATGCCTGGGTCGAAGAGAATCTCAAGTCGGGAAGACGCAGAACTAGCGACTCGGCGATTCTGGTGGATCGGGAGAGTGAAAAGTGATAGTTATCATGACTATGCCAATTCGAAAATGGTTATGAACATGTGTGAGAGTTTGCTGAGTGATACTCAAACGGAGTAAGCGTTGTTAGGCCAACTGAGCAAAATAGACGAAGCTTGGCGGATGTGTTTCAGCCTTCCCCTGATGTCGCACTGCAGCAAACGATGTCCAATCACCTATTTCTGTGTGCTTCGGCGGACAGCTGAACGACTGCGTTGTGGTGCCATCAGCCAACGTATTTCCAGTCGGTCGATGCCTGAAGACATGAAACAAAACGTGCATGTCGGTATAACCGTGTTTCAGGTGAGTATGCATGCTGACCACTATCTTGTGCAGCTGTCTATCAGCCCTAGTGCTCGTGCTTATTTGGTGACTTTATAGATGAGGTATGTTTGTGCAGCCGATTCCTCTTGTCTCGTTGTGAATTTTTGGCCTGCGTTTGGAAGTCTGATCGCATGATGAACGGTTATGAACATTATAGCGCTGGAACGCAATTCTTACATGATGTTACGATGGGAGGAGGTCCGGAGTCCAACACGAATATTCCGACGCATTTGAGTGCACAGCAAACACAGAGTAGTCCGCAAGGTTTGCCCTGGACTTACCAACAAAAGATTTTGGGTACACATTTTACCCACGCAAAAGACTCACAGTGAGCGAAGCGTACTGACAGGTGACGCAGAGTACCCTGCACACCCTGTCCAATTACCACGTCATCAACCGTCGACCAGCATAAAGCCTCAGCCACTTCTGCACCGACCACATCTGCCAGCATCTACTCCTTCGTCGGTGTCTTCAGTTTGGCGATGGTCGGGCGAAACACTCTTTTCTAAATGGGCAGATAAAGGTTCGACTGCTCCTTCTGCCTCTACATGGTCGAATCATCTAGAGTACCCCAGCGACCATCATATTTTAGGGGCCGGATATCCTACAGACTTCGTCTCGTCACCACCTCCTTCGCACACATCAGATCCGGTCGAAGGGCTCATGTCACCATTATCGCCATCAAAGAATCGGACAACTCACCGCCGGGCCACAAAAGAAAAATCAAAAGATCCATACGCGACGTGTGTTTCGAAAAGCCAGCGATCACGACGTTCCAGCAAACCGCCTAAATACTTCTGTACTGCCTGTGCTGAACCTTTTGTGGAGAAATTTGACTGGAAACGGCACGAGAAAACGTATCAAGAGCGCACAGAAATGTTCAAGTGTGACCTCTGCAACGCGATATATTTTCTGGAGAAAGATTTCGTTCACCATCATGTCAAATGCCATCGGTGTCAAATGTGCTTTGAAAAAGGCCACGTCCAATCGTCTAAGAAGCTGCGCCGGAAAAGAACGGCTTGGGGATGCGGCTTCTGCGTTCATCTCAGCACGAGCTGGAAGGACCGGTGTGAGCACGTTGCGCAGCATTTCGAGACAAAAGGCGTGGACATGTCCAAATGGCTTCACAGCTATGTTATTTATTCGCTTCTTCAACAGCCACCCATCCTTCGCGAATGGAACAAGATCCTCGAGAAAAAACGACACTTTAATCCAACTTTTGGGTGGAATCAGCATTCAACCGGGCGTGTCGAAGGGTATCCTGAGAGTAATCCAACCCCTCACCTTCAGGATCTCCTCGAATACTATACCCCCAATCAGGATGCAGCGGCGCTGGCGTGTCTAGCATACAAGAAAGCAGTGAAAAGGAAAGAGCTTCCCAAGTCGCCTGGTGCGCCGCCTGTTCCACCAAAGGACTATGGCAGTATTCGTGCACCGCCTCTTCAAGATGCAATGAAGGATCGGTTTTCACGGAGTAACTGGAACTTGATCGAGAGTACGATCCAGGAAGATCCTGAGTTACCAACGGACGTTTGCATGCTCGATTACGATTTAATGAATGAAGCATTCCATCATGAGTTTGATACCTTCTACTCATGAAGTGCGGAGTACCTAGATAGTAATTTCTAATGATAATGTTTGTAACACCTCAAATCTTGATATCTGGCGCGTGATCCTACGCTAAAGTCTTGCCCAAGTCGGCAAATCTGCCTCAAAACTTGTCGACTATGTTCACAAGGCTGACTAGGATCTGTGGCTGGAGTCTTGTCTCAATCTCAAACTCCGTTTTCTGTCTCCCAACATATGCGATTCAATCCCATTGGCTCATCTAGGAGTTCCGGTGACCGGTTCACAGCCCGACTAGACATTCTGCCACCCACACACATGCACACCAAAGGTCACCTGAAACAGATCGTAAAACTGTCTGTTCTACCGCACCTCATAAACAAGGCTCTCTTTGACTCCACATTGACGTCTCCCTGATGATACATAAAGTTTCTACTGGTAGATTACTCTTCACCTGAAGCATGACGCCCGCCGGTGTAATGGCACGGCAGCTCAACTGTAGAATCGGGGAGATAGATCTGGTTCAAGGCAGTGATCCGATGTATAGATCTGTGGGAGGTTGGACAAGTGTAGATCAGGCTATATAATGAAGTCTTGCGCATCCAGATAAGCAAAATATCTTACACCTCGGGAGTTTACAATAGCTTGCGCGGCTTTTATCACTTGACTTTGCTTTGGTAAACAAATTTCCTTCGGTTCTCATGTGGATTGGTTCGACTGCTTAGATCCCTGAACTCGTCAAATCAGATGACAGCTATCAAGGTAAGCTATCGCTGTCCTGATTTGTTCACTCTATTCGTTTCGCTGATTCAAGCAGAACCAAGTCAATTCGCGAGATGCAAAAGTGCTCATCACCGTCTACCTCGATTCACCACCACACAAAACATCCCCACCCACTTCACATACGCACAGCAACGTGGAAAGGAGGCAGGAAAGGAGAGAGCTTCGTAATGCTATGATAGAATCATGGCTTGCTGAAACCCCCAAGCAAGAACCCTGGAACGCGTTGACGAGCTCACGGAAAGATTGAAGTTCTTGTAAAAACAACCCCTCGGGACCTAGCGATAAATTGCTGTTATACTCATAGGTAGATCTTAGCCACACCCCTCATAGTTAGTTTCAAGTCGTAATCTAGCTCTTGAGCTCTCAACTACCTTGGTTCTTACTGAGTGTCGATGCACACTTGCTCAGGCCTCTATTTGGGCTTATCTCGTTTGCAAAGGACGTGGCGGTATATCTACTATACGACGGAGCTTCGTCCAGGGAAGCGCAATGGAGCGTGTTGGCGTTACTCATTCCTAAAGCCTGCATAAGGGCTCGAGTAATATACTGATAGTTCTTGCTCAAGTAGTAGCGTTCGCTGCTTCTCCTCGAATGTCCATCCATTGATGTATCAAAATCATTACTACCGTAAAAACCACATCTTAAATAGCATGTAGAGAACTACGCGCAACCCTCCAGCAATTCCGAGACCTCTTCTTCTGTTATAACTTGTCGGCACCTCAACGCGTTATGCTTATCACATTCGGGAACGAGGATACCCTCATATGAACTTGCGAAGATTCACGAGATAGCATATCGGACTGCAAATGAAGCATGAACACCTCTCAGGACGATGAATATTGAGGATTGTGGGTGGCTGGTGACATAATTGGCGCCAGGTTCCTCAACGCGCTAGTGACGCGCTCCAACGCGCTAACCCGGTCTTCTTTCCTTGACCTGCTCAGTTCAGCTCTGTTCACAGTCTCACTCCAATCCATATCGACTCTTTCGGAGTCTTCGTGCTTCAGACAACAAACCCCCGATTCTGATCTTCGACATCGTGTGCTATGATGGCGCGACGCGAAGAGAAATAAAAACTAGATATCATAGTCAGTCCTTCATTACCTTCGCGGCTCGATGCTATGTCCTAACTACCTACAGATGTGATGAATTGCTTGTACCCGTCGATGAGCTGATTCTGCACGTCAAGCAGTATTGTTTGTTTCTTTTCTATCTTTTATTGTGGATCTCATATCCATCACGGGCGTAACGCATTCGTGGTCTACGGACCTCGTCTGCGGGTTCAGCAGCCGGGAGTCTATTCTACATCTTGTTGATGAATGGCTGCTGGACAAAGGCAATGCCCCAGAATGACAGATCTCGGACCCGACGAGCATGAGCTGCCTCGCAGCTGTAGCACGTTGGTGACCGGGAAATGGTGAGCCTCTTTGGCGTTTTTACCCTGCTGCTGCACCCTCTTTGTTCCTGTTTCTTGAAACAGTTGAGCATTGATGGGCGCACGGCATTCAATGGGATTGACGTTCCGTTTCAGTTCATACACATCCCTGCAGGATTCTCCCCACACTATGTTGTTCGTTATTGCGCACTTTTCCTATTCTGTTATTACTTCGGCGGATCGTCTTCCCAATAGAGGAGATCGCAGTCAGACATGAGGCTGATGTTTCGCATATGAGTTTGCTCTTGCTGTGGTTGGAGGACATAGCGGACCGTACAGCCGCTCACAACCAGTACAGACCGAACCCCACCTCGCGATTGATTTAGCCCGAGGCGCGGGTGTTGGTGCAGTTCAGCCTCAATGCTGTTCCTAGTTTATATTACTCAACCTTGTATCACCCCACTCGCGTATTTGCACCGTGCTTTCTCGGTTCACGAGCTGGATACAAAAACGTTACACGCTTTAAGTGTTCATATCTCCCAGGTCGCTACATTTGTCACTCCCATAAGCTGCACGCCATAACCAGATCGCGTACTTAGCCTGCAAAAACCACATATATCTTTAGTCACTGCGTTCATCAACATCTCACAGTGAGTTGCGTACTCTGAGACTCCATACCATCGCTTCAACTTGTCACTAACGGGCTTCCTAAGTTTCCTCTCGGTGATACTAGTACTCGTCAGCATCGATCATGATACGCACGACTCAAAATGGTGAACGATGCGAGCTCACTAGCCCTACTGCCATGCCTAAAGCAGGCGGCTTTCTCTGGAATCAGCGGATGATGATTCAAATGACCTGTCGCGGCTACGCTACCGCACAATACATGCAGCCGGAGCCGGCGAAATATGCGCATGCACCGAATCTGGAGGCAAAAACATTCATGCAGCCAGAGCAGAGCTATTACACACATCATCCTGGTCGTTTTGTATACATCAAAGATGAAGAGACAGGTGATATCTTCTCGGCGCCTTACGAACCGGTGCGAGCTAGCCTGGATCTGTTTGTGTTTTCTGTAGGCAAGAGCGACGTTTCATGGACAGCGGAAAAGCTCGGAGTTCGCGTGGAGATGAGTTTTCTACTTCCGACAGACGATGTCGCTGAGCTGTGGACTGTCAAAGTGACCAACTTGTCAGGTCGTGCCCGCAAGTTGAGCATATACCCATACTTCCCTTTAGGCTACATGTCTTGGATGAACCAGGAGGCGGAATGGAGCGACAAGGTGGGAGGTATCGTTGGCAGTAGTAAGACACCGTATCAGAAAGCAGAAGATTACCCAAAGACAAAGTATTTGAAGGACAAGACATATTTTCTCTGCGAATCACCTCCAGTTGCATGGGAAGCAAGGCAAGAGACGTTTGAGGGCGAAGGCGGATTGCATGCTCCATCAGCCATGATGGAGCCGCAGTTGAGCAATAGTGATGCGCGCTACGAGACTCCCACAGCCGTAGTGCAGTACCGCGTCAACCTGACAGCCGATACTAGCAAAGAGTACCGATTCCTCTTTGGACCAGCTTTTGACGATGCGGAGATTCTGAATATGCGCGAAACTTATCTGAGCCAAGAAGCATTCGCACAAGCTGCGAAGGACTATGCGAGCTACATCGAGCAAGGGAGCGGTTGCTTGCGTATCGAAACGCCAGACAAAGACCTCGATAATTTCGTCAACCACTGGCTACCGCGACAAATGTACTATCATGGTGACGTAAATCGTCTGACGACCGATCCTCAAACGCGTAACTACCTGCAAGACAACATGGGAATGAGCTTCATCAAGCCGGAAATATGTCGTAAAGCCATACTCACCGCTGTCAGCCAACAAGAAGAAACTGGAGCCATGCCTGATGGTATCTTACTCATTGAAGGCGCAGAACTGAAGTACATCAACCAAGTTCCTCACACAGACCATTGTGTCTGGCTTCCCATCGCCCTGGAAATCTACCTCAGTGAGACTGGCGATTATGCGTTGCTAGGCGAGCAAGTAACAAGTATACATGGTGACGTTTACACGGTTTTCGAACGCTTCCAACGAGCGATGGACTGGCTGCTCTCCGACAACGCCCGCGACCATCGAGGTTTATCTTATATTGCACAGGGCGACTGGTGTGATCCGATGAACATGGTTGGACCCAAAGGCGTCGGTGTATCGGGCTGGCTCACTGTCGCTACTGCATATGCAGTCAATCTCTGGGCTGCTGTGTGCGAACAAGCTGATCAGCCTGACATGGCAGCAAGATATCGTAAAGAAGCTCAGATAGTGAATGATTCAGCCAACAAGCATCTTTGGGACGGCAACTGGTACTCACGAGGTATCACTGATGCTGGGGTGACCTTTGGCATCAAAGAGGACAAAGAAGGATGTATATGGCTTAACCCGCAAGCGTGGAGCATTCTCGGCGGCGCAGCATCGCCGGACAAGATTTCCAGGCTTCTTACCCAAGTTGACAAGCATCTCAAGACGCCATATGGAGTGGTCATGTTTGCTCCCCCATTTACGGCGATGAGAGAAGATGTGGGTCGTGTAACACAAAAGTATCCAGGTCAAGGCGAAAATGGATCTGTGTACAATCACGCCTCTTCTTTCTATTCATGGGCACTTTACGAGATAAACGAGCCTGACCGCGCCTTCGAAGTCCTGCGAAAGATGATTCCAGGCCCAGATGAGGAAGACCGTCTCCAACGCGGCCAGCTCCCTGTATTCATTCCTAATTACTACCGTGGCGGCCATGGTATCCCGCACCTTGAGCGTACAGCAGGACGAAGCTCCCAGCTTTTCAATACAGGTACAGTGAGTTGGGCGTACAGATGTTTCATCGAGGGCTTGTGTGGAATGAGGGGGGTCAAGGAAGGATTGAGGATTGAGCCAAAATTACCGAGTATGTGGGATGGAATGAAGGCCACACGATTATTTAGGGGTGCGACGTACAAGTTGGACGTAAAGCGCGCGGATGTGGAGAGTATGAAAATCTTTGTCGATGGCAGGGAACTGGAAGGACTTGTTATCGAAGATGTCGAAGCCGGGGGAACATATCACGTGGAGGTGTTGTTGTCGAAGTGAGCAGAGAATCAAGACTCGTGGTTGGGCTAGTTTTGGGAGAAGATTTTTCAGCTCAGCTTTCAGTACAGAAGCCTCTATGACATATTTCAAAACGGCGATGTTCAATGTACGCCATCATGGGAGCCTTTGAACCCGTCTAACATTTCGCCTCCAATTCAAATAATTAGGGCGGGCACTATTCGGTGTAGTCAAAATTCTATTCAGTGTAGCGATGCCTGTTACTAAGGCTTAGAGACGAGCTTTTCCTCTATAGTATGTGCGGTAATTAATCTAGAATTGTACATAAATGCAACGTGTTTGTAAAGCTTTAAAGTAGTAATATAGGGTAGAGCGCTGCAGATAGTGTTGTACTAACCGTAACGTCTTAATGTAGTATTAGAATCTAGGGTTTACACGTGCTAGAGCACTGCTAAGCCTTCCTAATCTAGTTATGCTTTAGAACCTATTAATTGTAGGTAGATTTCTAGAAGACTTTGAGACGAAAAGCTCGTCTCTACGCCTCAGTGACAGGCATCGCTACACCGAATAGAATTTTGACTACACCGAATAGTGCCCGCCATAATTAGCTCTTCCACCTGTGACTTACGTCGAAATCACACGGATATTGTATCAGTATCTTGCACACGTGGTTTGCGTCATAACATCGAGAACGCGCGGATGCCGTCCTGAGCTCGTATTGAGGAAAGCTTGTTCCATTGTCCCTGATTAAGTGTTCGAAACCATGGCGTGTTTCTATCTTGAATCGGTCGTGCCGCTAGATCTTCAACTTCTGAATCATCTACAGTCATACTTTTACACTTACTACAGCTCGACTTCCACTGGCGCATGCCCAGCAGACCTGAAGGGCACATATGAGTATCCCCACCTTATTGTGCCCGTCAATCGCCAGCAGCCCAGTAAAGCCTCCGGCACATCCTGCTTCGGCACTATAAACAACACCACATGCAGCATATCTAACTTCGACATCCCCATATCTTAAGAGCTGGAGGGGAAAAATATTTTTGCAGCGAATGAAGGTAACCTTTTGATAAGTCGAAAATCATCCGTCGTAGCAGAATTTCGCAACTGGGCTACAAGATCGAAAACTACAAGTTCAGCTGCATAGGCATATGCACTGGTCCTACACTAGTTGTACACAAGCTTTGCGTGTAGTTATCGAACCATTTAAGATTATGCTCCTTCCCCATATGTTGACTAATTGAGAGCTGATTCGACTTGCCTTTCTGGAGTGTGAATAGCCACCTAGGCGCTGTAAAAATGTCCGGAAATGTTAAGTCATGCAGCGTGGCCGCGGAGGGTATTGTACTTTAGTGGCGCTATGTCAAAAATGGATTTCGGACGTAGCATGCAGGGGCGACCCCGCTGGAAGATGAAAGACCGAAAGAAAGTAGCTCATTCCTTACCTCACACCTCAAGCCCTGTCCTGTGGGGGGGGGCAAAAATACAAGGTCAAAAACATACAACAGCGGGAATTCGCTAATTGTCACCAACCCAGCTACTAATCCACCGGTACACTGCTTGAGTACAGCTGAGCGAACGGGAAGCTCTATTTTCAGTGTCCTATGGTCGTATGTGACAGTTTTGGCAAACTTAGTAGTAAATGTTCGCGATGATCATCGCAGACTTGGAAAAGAAACTCTGGAACCTCAAGCAACCTATCAAGGTGGAAAAAACATTGGCCGAACTACACAATCTTCGGGATTTCCCCGCTATACAATCAAACAACATACTATATACTGCTGTCATAACTTCAGTAACCTCAGAAAAAAGAAATGTTGAGAAGTTTGTTTTTGTTTTCACCATCTGGTTTTCACCGCCCTTGCAAACAAACATCAGCCTCCACGGTCAACAATACGTCACACATCGTGGATGCGACTTCCCGCAACCCCGTTGGACCTGACTAGCTGAATCCAGCACATTGCATGGTAGAAGAGGAACAAACAAACCCTTTTCACCGTGAGCGCGCATCATCGACCGGCATAAGGTCATGCAACGTCACGGTGATGACTAGGTAGTGAAGTAGTCTAATGCAGGTACAAAATAACTCTCCGCAGTCTCCTTCTTCCTGTCAACGCACATCTTTCTGCTGATCACATCACCATACAGCGCAAACATCAGCAACAATGACACGCAACATCTGCATCACAGCCTCAGATGGCCACACAGGCTTTCTCATCGCTGAGCTGATTCTCACAAACAGTGACTTCAAGAGCAAGGTCGACTCTGTCAGCGTTCTTTCGCTTCATCCTCACTCGGCGAAGGCCAAGGAGTTGCAACAGATGGGCAAGTCACACTAATCCGCTGGTAAAAGCTGAGCTGACATGCCAAACTACAGGAGCAGTAATCATTCCGCACAAGCCTGGTCGTGAGCGCGAGATGGTCAAGACTCTCACGGAATCCGGTTGCGACACTGTGTGCTTGATCCCACCTGCTCACAAGGAGAAGTACGACATCACCGTCGAACTCATCAATGCGACCAAGAAGGCGAACGTGCCCAACGTGCTCTTCATCTCCTCTGCCGGTTGTGATGTTGCTGAGCGCGACAAGCAGCCCCATCTTCGCCAGTTCATCGATCTCGAAGGCTTGGTCATGGCTAGCAAGGGCGACGGAAGTACGTCAACTGGACACTCACCGTGCATCATCCGCGCCGGCTTCTATGCTGAGGTTTGTTCCTCACTTCTTCATAACCCCAAAACCATGACTGACGGCAAAATAGAACTTTCTCACCTTTGCTCCTCAAGCACAGAAGGACGGTATTCTTCCCATTCCAATCGGAACCAACCATCTCATGGCCCCTGTTGCGTTGGGAGATGTCGCTCAACTCGCCGCCCACGTGCTCACCGGCCAAGGCGAAAATGGGTTCAACGACCGTGACCGCGGCCAGCTTATGGTCCTGACTGGTCCCCGGCTGTGCACGGGCAGCGAGCTAGCTGAAGTTGCGTCTGAGGTCTTGGGCGTTGAGATGCAGTTCGAAGACGTCACCGAGTCCGAGGCTAAGAAGGTGTTCAAGGCGCAGAGCGACAGCGATCCTAGTGAGCTGCTGTACCTGCTTGAATACTACAGCTTGGTGCGTGAGGGCAAGACGAACTACATCTCTACGAATGCGTTTGTGAACGTCACGGGCAACCATCCACAGGAGCCTCATGACTTCTTCAAATCCTACGCCGAGTCTTTCTTGCCGAAGGGTCAGACTGACGGACATGCGTCGAAGAAGAGGAAGACCTAAATCACGGCTTAGTCTGCACCGCGATACGCGACGAAATGGTCGTCTGGTATGATGGGATCTTGACCGTTCCGCTTTTCCATTTGGGTTTGTCAACTCGTCTAGGATAGAACGTCGATTCTGGAACGGGACTGGAGTTTTAAAGTTTATCAATGGATGGTAGCTCAGACTGACCGGACATATCAAAACACAATCGGGTATTCAAATGTAAAACTGCACACTGCCACAAACTCGATACTGTTCAAGCTTCATGCTCATTGTGATGAGAGTGAACATTACCAATAAGTCTTCTCAACCCCTCGCTATCCATTACGCACGCTCCGTTCGAAAGCTGACCCCAGCATCCTTCTAAACACACTCTTCCTCTTCTCCTTCTTCCCCGTTTCTATCACTACATTATCACCCTCTTTCCTTGTCTTCTGATTGACACTCTGCCCTTGTCTTTTCTCCTTAACGATCTTCTCCTGCGCTTTCTCCCAAAAACCCCCTTTCGTGTCACGCTCTCGAACCGTATTCCCAAACCACTTATGCCATTCTTCCTCGTCCCACCCACCGCTCCTCGACCCCCACTTATCAGAAATAACCTTCTCGAGCGCTTCAACCTCCGCTCTCGAACACGAAGGGCAAAGCGACTGAAGCGGCAGCAGCGACGAGTGACGACGCGTCGCATAAAACGCGTGAATATAATTAGCGAATGGCGAGTAGAACGGCGCGGTACAATCTTTCTTCGTGCAGGGCCGCGGTGTGTACCGCCAATCCCAACTCCACTCCCCCGGGTCTTTCTCCGCCTCCTTGCCCTTTGGACTCAATGCGCTCTTTGCAGGCCCGAGTACTCGCATCTTCATCCCGTCGTCCAGCGCGCGCCCCGCCCCTCGCCTCTCATCCCTGAAGTGCTTGAGGAAGTCGTCGAATTCTACGGAAATGGCGCCAAGTGTCTTGCGGCCGGCGCTTTGTCGCATGCGCTCCCACTCTTCTTTGCATATGGCGTTCGCATCCTTCAGGTCTTTGGTGGCGTGGCGCGGACAGTATACTTGGTGGCGAGAGAGTAAATAGGGTTCTTGGGGGTGGTAGTACGTTGGACCTGCTTGGGCGTGAGAGTAGTGCGTTGTGCATCCTGGGTAGAGGCAGGGTATATGATTCCGCAGGGGGTTGTATTGGGCTTCGAGACCGGATGCAGTTGAATGAGCGGGTGGAAATAGTGCTCCAGGCGCGGACTGGATTGACGAGTTTGAGATTGTGGACCCGCAGGATGTTGTGCGGGCGCCTGGAGACAATCTTGGGGGTATAGAGCGCGCTGGCGGCGGGATGCTAGACCATCTAGGATCTAGCAGTTGATGTTGGACAGGGGCGGAAAGGCGTCTGTCGAGTTTCTGCCTCGTCTGCTGGGCCGAGCCGACACGAGCTGGTGGTATTACGCCGCCCATGCTTGGATTTGACATGCTACGTGCAATGTGGAGATGTCGAGGTGTAAGCCGTGGATTTACCATGGGGTTGAATCCTTCTAGTTGTTGTCTGGCTTCTGGCCTGGATATTGGTTCTGGGTCCAGGAAGCGTACTGTGGGTGGTACTGATCTCCTGTTCAGGTTTGCTCCTACAGATTCCATGGGCTTGAAATTGGGTTTCATGGACGAGCGTTTTGGTCTGCTAGTTGGAGCCGACGACATGGAGGACGAAGTGGATGACGGTGAAGAAGCATTAAATTCATTAAATAGCGACGATGCAGTAGAACGTCTCGTCGAAGTTGGCGTAGTGTTGTCAATGGAGGCTGGAGTCGACATTGCGTAGGGTTGTACTAAGCTACTCGGTGAGCAAGCTGTCGAGAGGCTGTAGGCGAAATGTCCTCGGGAGACTGAGTTTTGTAAAATCTCGAAATGAGGCTCGCAATGCATGGTGTCATCTGATTTTGATTGAACGGGCTGAAACGCAATGCTTATGCCTGGCTGGGATTAATCCGGGTAGTTGCCTATTCGAGCCAAGTTTACCGGCTGATCGATGAATATCCGGGAAATTGTACCCACGGTAATGAAAATCAGCGAATTTGAGGAGACCCTGCGGATCATATGGCGATGGAGTAATGAAACTTCGAATTAGAGACGCGCAATGAGAGGGATGAGGCCAGCAAATGTGCAATGTCTGGTTGGGTGAAGGACGAAGCTTGACCAAACTCCTAATATGCGAGACATCTTGTACAACGACTCAAAATAGAGGCAGCGATTAGACGAACAACATGTGGGGCTGGAAAATCCCCACAATGCTTGAACATGCTTACGCAGCTATGCTCGTTAGACGCGCTGTCAATTCGTCCGCAATCAACCATGCAGGAGTGTTATTCGGCAAACAAAACCGTTCGTTCCATGGGTCAAGCATGGAATCTGACTGGTTGAGCTTGTGAGCAGATGGCTTTTCGTGCATAGCGCCTAAACGAAGCGTATTTTCCCAACGTGTCAGGATTCGACCCGAGTTGGAGCCCATGGCGGCACGGTTGGTGAGATATCAACTCACTGGGGAAAGATGCAGTATTCGTGCATGAGGCTGCATAGAAAAATCGGTAGCATTTGTGGAAAATTGCGGAGAAGCTGCGCGATGTCGCGATTTAATCTATTCGTGCAACGGAGGAAAACCATCTAGAGCAGATCTACCCAAGGACTCTATCGACCGTCTAAAAATAGCAAGAACGTACAGTACATCGCAGGCTTGTATGGACAAGGGAGGAAGTTTATAGCTTAGCCTTTGGCTGCTCTTGCTTTAGCATGGCTTCGGCAACAAGGCGTCTTTGGATTTTGCCAGTCGCCGTCTTTGGCATGATATCGGTGAAGAAGATCTGTGGCATGTCAGCTCGTGCCACAGGCTTCGGTATTACTGGATAAAACTGTACCTTTTTCGGCAACTTAAACTTGGCGACGCGGTCCGCCAGCCAGGTCTTCAGCTCTTGAGCGCTAAGCTTCTGACCCCCCTTCACCACGATGGAGAGGCCAACATCTTGGCCGTACATCTCATCTTCAATCGCGAAGCTGACAGCTTCGGACACGGCAGGGTGTTGCGCAATGACATTGTCGAGCTCAATCGGGCTGATTTTCTCGCCACCCTTATTGATCAACTCCTTGATCCTACCGGTAATAATTACGTAACCCTCTTCGTCTTTCTTGCCTTGATCTCCTGTGCGGAAGAAGCCACCCTTGGTAAAAGAAGAAGCATTCGCAGATGGATTGTTGAGGTAGCCTTTCGTGACATTCTCACCACGAATGCAGATTTCAGCTTCCTTGCCTTGAGGAACCTCGTCACCATTATCGTCGAGAATCTTGACTTCTACGCCCTGGCCAAGTCCTACGCTGCCGGGCTTGCGCTTGTTCGGAGGCAAAGGGTTACTCGTCATCTGATGCGAGGCCTCGGTCATGGCGTATGCCTCCAGTACAGGCGCACCAAGAGCCTTCTCGAGCTCATGGAACGTCTTCGGCGAAAGAGGCGATGAACATGAACGGATGAAGCGGATTTCCGGCACTGGGCTAGGAAGGGGGCTCTTGAGCAAGATCTGGTGGATGGTGGGAACGGCGGTATACCAGTTCGCCTTGTGCGCATTGAAGTCTTTCCAGAATTCAGATGCGGAGAACTTTGGTGGTACGACAACCGAGCCTCCAGAGGCCAAGGGTGCAAGGAAACCAGCGAGGAGACCATGAACGTGGAACAAGGGCATTACCAGCATGGTGCGGTCTTTCGGCGTCAGCTCATAGGTCGCCTGCACGTTCTTCATGGTTCGAAGAAGATTACGGTGCGTAAGCGGAACAGCCTTTGGCCGTCCAGTTGTGCCGCTGGTGTGTAGTACCAAGGCGACATCATCTGGCTGCGCCGTCTGCACAGGTACGCTCTTGCCACCTAATTTACCAGCTTCTTTGACGTCCAAAACAACCTCCGTGCCGTTGTAATAGCACTCCGCAATAGCCGCATTATATTTCCTCGCCGCCCTCACTGCTGCGGCATCCTGCGCAAATGCGCCCTTGGGAACCAGCGCAATAGCAGAACTGAGATCGTCGATGTAAAACTCGAATTCCGACTGCTTGTACGCTGGATTTAGGGGAGCCGCGATTGCTCTCTGCCACGATGCAGCAATGAAGGAGACGATGAACTCATACGTGTTGGGCAGCGCGATAGACACGGCTGCTTGCGCGCTCACGCCAGCCTTCGCCAACTGCTGTTGGAAAGCCTTCACGTCGGCAGCGAGCTTCTGGTACGAGACAGTCAGGGCGGGTGAGCCGGGGACGATGACGGCGGTCGATGGAGAGTCCTTCGAAAAGGCGTTCTCCAATGTGGTCGGAGCCATTATGAGGTTATTAGAGATAAAGAGATAACTGAGCACTTGGTTGATTAGCTTCAGCGCCTGGAATGCGCAGTGGACATGCAAATACCTTGGAACTTCCTAAGACAAACTGCAAACTCTATCGGTCTATGACGTTCAACAACTGCTCAGGCGCAAGATGAAAGAAATTAACATTTCTCCGGCCCCTATCTCATTGTTGATAGCATGGATGACGCGATCCAAGCCTAAAACACATCACGTGTCTAATGATTGCTTGGCGTGGGGAACGCGAACTCCACGAGGTCACGCTTTCCTCATTCGACATTCTAACAAGCCACCTGCACATCCCACCATCTTCAGCACTACGCGCACCAGGCACTTGTCTCTGGCAGCCACCTATTCTTGTATCTGACGACTTATTTCCAACATCTTGCAGCGGTCTCCGTTTGCAGCGACGTGCAGCAGTTGTCGTCTTTCACTGCAGCGTCTACGCGGCCGTTCTTGCTAACATGGCCGATCAGCAACCACAGAAAACGCAAGGCCTACCCAACCCCTATGGACTACCCAACCCGTACGCCCGGACGGGCCTTCCCAATCCATATGCTCATGCGACTGTCGCCTCCGCTGCGCCTGTCAAGTTCTCAGCGGAACAGGCAAAGGCCGAGCAGAAGAAAGCACCTGGTATCTACTTGATTTGCTCCATGCCTCACCGTTCAACCACAACTCATGTGATCGTGTAGCATCTCACTTTCACAACCCGCACAACATCAAGCGCCCCCAGGCCAAAAAAGCTGGTCCCACTGTGAAGAAGCCACTCATGCCTGTGGCATCATCAAGCTCCTCGGATCCCGCCCCGACTGCTACTACGACACAGCAACATGGTATCGACTGGTACCGGAGCACTGCCGACGATGATGCTGCTGTTATTGAAGAGAGGAGGCAGCGCCAGTGGGAGGATAAGCAGAAGAAGAAAGAGATGAAGAAATTCCAGAAGCAATTTGGATACTGGAACCCCCAGGCCCCGCATAAGCCTGAGCGATACTCGAACCTCAAAGCGTACAGGGCCAGTGGTGGATACAGACGCAAAATAGAAGACTTCAATGCTTTCTTGCGCGGAGCCGCTGGACAAGCATCCAAATCTCGCGACGACAGTGAAACTTCCAATGCCTCTCGACCTGGCTCTTCGTCAAGCTCGAAAGCTCCAACCTCGGCTCCCAAATCTATGTTTGCCCCGCCGTCCTTCTACGACGCACCAACTGCGAACATCCCAGACGATGACTCGGACGACGATGAGTATGCTCGGCGCATGCCTCTTCCTCCACAACAGAACGACGCTATTCCACCGCCTCCTCCATCTACAGAAACACAGCACCTAGTTCCTCCGCCGCCACCCCCAGCACCCACCAATACGCTTCCACCACCCCCGCCAGCTCCATCAGCCGACGCCCCTGGTACTTCCACATCTTCGAATACGCCCTACCACAGCGCAACGATATCCGCGCCTCCAGTCCGCTACGCCAATGCAACGATATCCGCGCCCCCTGTTCGCTACGAACGTCCTGATGTACCCATGGCAGATGCCGAGAATGAACCAGTATACGAGGAGCGCCCTGCCAAGCGGCCCAAGATCAGTAAAGCAGAAGCTATGATGGCCAAAATGGGTTATGTCAAGGGCCAAGGTCTAGGAAAGAACAACGACGGTGTGGTCACTCACCTCGAGGTCAAGAAGCGAAAAGTGCCACAAGGAACCGCTGGCTTCGACGACGATGGGGCGAAAATCAAGTCTCAAATGGTCTGGGACGTGCATGGAGGTCTGCGGAATCAGCAAGATGAGCCGAGCAAGTTTGGCGCGGAGTCGTGCGTTGTCGTTACCTGGGGTTGCGTGGACGGCGTTGATTGGGATGAGAATCGCGAACGGAACGACGGAGGTATTCGGCAGGACATGGGCGAGGTTTTCAGCAGCAAGGTACGTCTTCCTGCACTTCTGTGGTACCACATGCTAACAGCGCTTAGTTTGGTCCTGTTGAACACATCCAAATCGACGAATCCAACAAGGACGGCGTCGTGTACATCTTATTCGAATCAGTCATGAGTGCCCTCAACGTAGGTCTACATATCCTCTTCGTTTTGATCAGTTCTAACATGCGCTTGCAGGCCGTCAATCGATTCGACGAGGGCTACGAGTACAGAGGCAGGAAGATTCGCGCCCACTACTACGACGAACGCAAATTCCACGCCGGCATTTATGAGCACTAAGAGGACGGCGTTCCCCGGCTCTTGCAAGGATGATGCGCCGTCGCAGCAATTCGTTGCATGTTTTACTAGGGTGTGGCTATATCTGCGTGTTCTTGGATGGCCAAGGGTGCTCCATCTGAGAAGTGTGGTATATATGGGTCTAGCGATATTCCACCATTTATTTGTTCGTTTGTATGAATATTCAGCTCTATTGAATCGCAACAGAACGCAACGTTGTCTCGAAGTATACTCAACATCTATAACAATCCTGTTCACCAACGCATCCAAAAGAAAATAGTATGAAATCTCACATTGTAGTACAGAGTCGAACAAGTGAAAAGCGCCCGTGGCAGACAAACAGACAGACAGACAGACATAATCCCCCCCACTCAATCTATTTTTCGTCAATAGCTCTCGATACGATACGCCAGCCCGCTGATAATCGGCACAAGAAACATTTCATCCATCTAAAAGAACCCCCCACCATCCCAAAAGCAGACGTCCATAGAACGTATATGCAGCAACTCCATAAACATGCAAAGACGAACGTCTTGCCCTCTTCCCAACCAAATACACCATTTTCGCCTACCCCGACTACGCCCGACCCCATCCACAGATTAACCATTCCCAGGTTTCTCCTCAGTATCGATGTGCCAGACGACATAATTGGGCAGTCCGTAGACCTCATAGCCCGCGCGTTTGGCCATTTTAGCGAAGCCCTCTGTTTCGGCCTGGTTTTCAAAGGCGTAGCAGGGGAAGTTGATGCCGGAGCGGTGCACGTCGGCCTTTACGATGATGTTGACGCCGCCGATGCCGTCGAGGGGGATTTCTACGTCCTTGTCTGCGCGCCAGTCGCCCATTTTGGCCATGTAGATGCGGTTTGTCTGGTACTCTTTGTAGCCTGGGTAGTGTTAGGTGGGGGGTTGTGTGTGTGGGGGGTGGGAAGGGGAAGAGGGTACCTTCGGCGAGGACAACGTCTTTGTCGAGTGTGGCAGCGAGCTTGAGGGCGGAGGGAGATTCTTGCCAGGAGTTGTAGTCGACTGGTGAATGTTAGTGGGGGGTCAATGGTAGATGGGAGGGCATGGGCGTACATCGGCCTTCAATGTCGACCATCTTGCCCTTCTCCTCTTTGTATCTGTGGAACCAGATATCTGTGGCTTGTCAGTCTGCATACGTGTATGTGTGCGCTGGAGCACTTACTCGGAACGAGTACATCCCTATCATGCGCAATGAAGTCTTCGATGATCTTGGCAGGGCTGTCCACGATATCGATATCCCTCCAGTACACCCAACTATGTTCTGGTTTCATGGCAGCTGAAAGCAGGTAATTCCTCGCCTTGCCCAAAGCCTTTCTCCGCGGCCCTTGGGCTGCAAAGCTGTGCCTGTATTCGACGTCCTGCGACAGGGTAATGCCAAAATCCTTCTCGACGATCATGGCGGATCTGAAGGCCACATCTGGGTTGTTCTGCATTCTGTCGAGCTCTATGGCTAGCGCTGCCGTTGTATCGTCGGTTGAGTCGCCGACCAGAAAGGCCAAGTCGATCAGGTCGTGTGGGTATGTGAGCTGGGTGAGGAGGTCAAAGTGTTTTGCAAGGTAGAAGGAGGCATCGCGCAGTGGGGTCAGGATGAGGACTCGCTCCTTGTTTCGTACTGCGTCGATGGTGGACTTGACGGCGTTGAGATCGACGTGCTGGATGTCTCTGTTGCTGACTTCGACGGGCTTGTGGGGGTTGAACAGTACGGGTGTTTGGAGGTGCCTGTGCCAATCTGCATTCTCGTTGGCTGACATGTGCATTGGGGGTTTCGAAGGGCCCCAGCAGTGGAACTTCTGCATCTCGCCGGCGGCCGACCCCATTGACCGCCATAGCAGCAGAACGGCGGTGCACAGCCCCAGCGACAGCAGAAACTTGGGGTTCCGCACCGTATGCAGCACCTGGCGGTAGGGCGGCAGGCGTGCTCTGGCAGCCTTCCACGAGTAGCCTTTGCTGGAGAGCATCTTGAGATGCCGTGCGCCTGGGGCGCCTTTTTCTTCCTCAACCTCCCCTCGGCTCTGTGATATGAGGATCGACGAACTCCGCGCGCGGAGCGTGTCCGTATTGCTCCTCTGGCGCTGCTTGGGGAGGGCCGGCAGCTGGGACTGTGGTGTAGCCAGCTTGCTCGTAGTCGCGACCGGCGCGCGAAGCTGGGTGGAGTGGAGCTGCTGACGTATGTATGGCCAACGGCGATGTTGCGAGACGTCTCAGGAGGCTCGAGCTCGTGTCGTGAGAAAGAGGAAGCGACAGACGGGTCGACTCGCAGGAGCGTGTTGTGGGAGCGCGACGAGGAAAGAGCGACTGGCGGCGAGCGAGCGCAGTTGGGACCGAGAAGGAAATGTATGCAATGTCAACTGGCGAGCGTGCAAGAGAGCGACCCTGCGCTAAATGGATCGGCCGGCCAATTACTGATGACGAGGCCTCATATACAGAGAAAGAAAGCTCTCGATTGACCCGAGTCGCTGCTCTGCTGTGTCTGGCCCTCAATTGCGTTTCTCGCAGTGCTTCTCGCCAATTGCTTCACACGTGGAGCATTGGAGCAAACGGAACATCGCGCACCCCTGCCCAACACGCGAACGTCTTCGCAGCAGGCAGGGCCGAAATAACCCCGCACTAGCTGTGCACTGCAGCCGCCGTTGACAACGAGCCTCACAATCTTCCCCGTCTCCCCGCCTGGCCGTCTGGTGGTCCCATGTTTGGAAACACTCCATATGGTACGCACGTCATAGGTCTAGTCCTAGCGTACGCGGCCCGTTGTTAGGCGACCCCCTTACACGAACACGTGTGGCTTTGCTCGGTGACGGTTCCAGCCACCACCATAAAGAGGATAAGCAAACGACTCTCTGGGCTCCTGGGTGGATGTGGTCAAGGAAAAGAAGGCAGGCCTCGGTGAAAAACATGCGCTTGTACGCATCCGCAAATACGTCATTCCAGCTTATGTGAGCTAGGCTTCACAACAATGCATTGTCTCTGGAGGCACCTGAAGGCACCTGATGGCCATGGATAACAAGAAGTGCACGAGGGCAAGTTTTGGAGCTGAATCGGAGATAAACCCATGTTTCAGTTCGCCCACTCACATCCTGCAACTCCCACAATCTGCCATACTGGCCAAAAAGGGTTTGAGGCATGAGATCAAGAAGCCTGTTGTCAGACACAACACACGGAGAAGCATCGAGGTCAGGAGGATGTAGCCGTATGACGACAGATCAGATATCTTAGATCCAGAGGATCAGAGCGCCAAGCAGTTTGCAGATTCGGAAGCGGGGCTGTCAGAGACAATCGGTGTATATGCCAGATACTCAAGACAAGGTCATAAAAGATACCACGAGCTGTTAGCGGAGATAACTCCGGACCCTGTCAGCCCAGCCCAGCCATTCCCCCTGATCACCTTTCACGGCTTTCATCTCGTAACTGCAGCAGCCCATTGGAAAAGTATCGACCGCCCCGCATCCTACCCAATCCAAGCTGCAGGAAACAGACAGGCCGCCGTAGATCGCATGCATAGTCTTCGACAGGGCTATAGGCTTTGCTTCCTACTGGTGCGTCCCGACATACCTTCATATGTGCACAACGCAGGGAGGTATTAGCTCCGCCATGCCCGCCTCGTACCAAAACTGAACAAGATGGAGGGGTGCTACTCCATATCACAAACTCCGAGGACTCTTGTAAAGCTGGTAACACTGATACTGTGCAAAAGCCATGAGCGAACAGCTTTATGAAGCAGTACTTCGGCCCCTGGAGATCAACGTCGAAGGACCAAGATATCTGTCTCTTCGTACAACATTCAGTGTCAGAGTCAGGCCAAGGCGGCAAGTGCGACTGCACGAGTCCTACACAAGAACGCGCTTCCCTTGTCGACGCGAGACAATGGCGTACATACACTCCCGTCGCTTGTACAAGCCAGGCTTCAGGAGACAAGGATATGAGAACGCATCGCAAACGCCACAGTGATCAACATACGATCCCTTATCCGGTACTGTGCAAACGGCTTTTACCTTTGCTCTTCTGCTACCGGCAAACGCATGTACACTACCGCCTGCGCCTTGAAGCCTCATACCATAACTCAGTCTGTCCGTTTCCGCGCTGCCGTTGTCCAGCGTTTTGCTGCAGAAAGCCATGCCCTCAATTTACCAAGAGGTATAAAGGTGATCTCTCCTTCTTTCTTTCTGACAGGCTCAGTCTCATCCTGCCTGCATGATCAACTCTCTAAACTTGGGTCTCGACTCCAACAATCTGTCTGCTTATTCTTCTTTTCCACGCCAGCTATTTTTGATCATCATGTATCAATTCCATTTACCTGATCCAACAACACTTGGGTTGTATAGCGGTCCACGCGAGAAGATGGGCCTGATCAAGCAACCGACCTTTTTATTGCGAGTCTTACCCGGCCGGGTACTGGTTCGGCACCTTGCTGACCATCTCGAGCAGCCCTGAAGCCATAGAACTACCTCCGATTCGCCAGGATGCAGTTGACTGTTACGTTCCTCGGAGCATGGTTGTGATGTCGCGTAGGCTATCCGTCTCTTCGGTCTCTTCCTCCAACCAATCAAACGATCGGCCTTCTCGTTCCACATCTCCAGCCATACCTTCTTCATACAGTCTTGACCTCCCTCACAACCACGCGATTACTGGCCGCCGCTTGCATATGCAGAACCGCCACACCAGATACTCTCCATACCCTGAACCCCGCCAACACAACAATCGATGCCCCTCGTGCCTAGAGAAAGGTGACGCTATTCTCGTCTCCCCGGGAAAACCATGCTCCCAGTGTGGCAATCTCACTCCCAGTCCCGAGGTATCCCCAGCTCCACAAACATCCCGCAAGAAACGCCACGACAGAGTCCTCTTCTCTCGCCAAACCCTAGTCACCACCTCGTCCTCTCAAGTTGCGAAATCGGACCGAGAAGCCGGCCGCCGCTATGATCAAACCCTGGTCTTCTCACTCCTCGAAAACGAACTCTTGTCCCTCAACCCGTCACTGCCACAGACTGCTCGCCCACGACAAAGCCACCCACAAGGCGGGCTGAAAGAACTAAAAGGCAACAACGTCTCCGGGGATATCAAAAAGTATAGTAATGTCGAGCCATTGCGATACGGTAAGATTGATAATCTCGAGGCGGCCGTATGGGTTATACGGGACTCGACTACCGTTATCGAGGATGTTATCAGAGAGAGGGCGAGGTTAAGGGACGACGCTGAGAAGTTGATGAAAGAGGGTGCAGATGCTGAGCGGGTGAGGAGGTTCATGTTTGAGCGGATTGTGCAGGATGACTGGTCGGAAAGGGTCGAGGAGTCGAAGTTGAAGCGTGGAGGGAGTGATTGTATCCGTCCTTCTCAGTCGGATACGCTGCTGCGATGAGAGATGGATGATGTCTTTGCTTACTCCAGCAATGTTTGCTCATGGTTCGCGGGGCGTACATAACCCTCCTTTCGAGGGCTTATCTTCTCTTATGTCGTTCTCGATATCCTTTGAACCTTGTTCTTTGCCTCCTTCGAGGTTATCTACCCCTCTTTAACTTCATGTGTATAGATAGCGTCACTGCATTGGCATCTTGGAGAAAAAGTTTATCTCTAATACTCCCCCCACATCCCGCACCATGACATGTACCCGGACCTCAAATCTGCTCAACGACACATGTCAAATACACCATGAACCACTACAGTCGCACATTCGCTTCCCAACTCCCAACTCCCAACTCTCCAACACAGTATAACAATCAAAAATAAACACATCTCCACCTTGCCATACTTCTTCTTTCATCACATCTCTCGTTCCCCTTTCCAACCGACGTCTCAGCCTCACTTTACCCAAATGGCTCGGCACCCACATCCGACCCGTCCCTTACAACAACAAACATTCTCGCAGCGAGTTCTCACATCATCTTGAAGTAATTCCGGTAGCCTGGCATCCAATGCTGTCTAATCACGCATTTCCACGGGTTGGCCTCGCGTGGAGGGACGTGGTGTGATATGATATCACACCACACGCCGTCTACCGTTCGCAGGCTCAAAACAAAACAAAAAGAAGGCCCGGTGGAGGCTTCGCACGCTTCGCTGGCTTTCGCGACCCACCTGATCAGTTCCAACTACAACTAGACTGCCTAACCGGTCCGTGGAGATGCAATGCAATGCCATGTTATCGGCCTGAGAATCCGTCCAGTCACGAGGACTGACTGCATCCCATCCCCAAAATAACGGGTTGCGGTGCGTGCAGAAGAAGGAAAGAAAGAAAGAATGAAGAAGGCTAGGTGGATGTCTGGACGGGGTGCTTCTGGGGGGAATAATGGGACGTGGCGGATGCATATGGAACGGGTACATGGACGTACAGGCTTGCTGCATCGCACCCTGGGAATCCTCAGGAACGAAGCTTCCGGGCGTCTCTGAACTGCCCGGATCCTTGTTTCCGGGCTTGCGCCTCCAGCGGACGGAGATCGGCACGTGGGCATGTCCGTTTACACTTGTGATGCATTGCTACCCAGCTTATCTACTAACTGTACCGTATGATGGGTACCTACCATGTCCACAAAGGATGCGTTTAATACAATGGAATGATATAGAATACATCCCTACCCATTCGCTACACCACCGTCGGTTAGTCTGCACATACTGTGAGATCCAGTGTGTATATATATATCATGGTGACACCGCAGCCACACGTGGACGTCGACAGCCCCGACACGCCCATCGAAAAACAGCACGTCTTCGCCTACAAGTCATACCGACACTGATAATGATACAGCAACACATCAACAGCATCGACACACATCCTTGACCAACCCTCCTCATATCAAGAAGGGACCCCCCACGCACACATCCCCCCACCAACCAACCCGCATATTCCCACACGATCATCATCCACAACCCCCAAGTAAACACACACCAACAGGTCGAATCTTCACATAATCAACCAATCAAGATAGTCCACGCAAAGAAGAAATCAAGATAAACCCGCCGTATTCCCATCGCTCGTTCCTTCCTTTTCTGGGCGTTGGTGCAGCAACCACGCAAACACGCAAGTAGATGCAGAAACATGCAGCTGTCCACTTAAGGTTTTGCTGAACAAGCTTTGGAGCCTGGGCAGCCGAGACAAAAAGGTCGCACAACATCATCCATGGCAACGGGGATGGGGAGCTTGATCCCAGTACCGTTAGTACGAGGTAAACATGCACTTTTCTCAGCACGAGTAAAGAGTGAGGCAGCAAAGCAATGATTAAGAATCTTCAGATCACTGACAAAACATGTGAACATCCAAGCATCACGCAACTGATGGCCAACGAGACAGAAGTAGAAGAGGAGCAAGCAATGCATTTTGATTTATCCCATGTATGACAGATAACTAACAGAAATCTCACCTATCCACCCAAAGCAAGAGGAGCGAGGGCACAGACTTTTCCCCTACCACGTCGTGCCATTCCGCACGGCCGTGTCGGAGAAGAGCAGCCCGTATTGTACTGATTAAGACTCTGCTGCAATTCGACCATCGTAGTCAAAACACACGCAAGTGATGCATACTGATCCATTAACCTATCTCCAAAGCCACCCCAGTCTTCGAATGCTCAACTCAAGCCTAAACGCTCGCATGACGAACGCTATATGCTATCACAGGAAACCAAATTGCGGGAATAGTCTATGCAATTATGATGGAAACGCCAGAGTCATGAACCGTTTAGAAAAGGATAACAGCAGCCATGGCAGCGAGGCCAAGGGCACCGTTAACCGCGCTCAGGGTAGAGGCAGCGCCGGTCTTGCCGTTGTTCTTGCTGGAGGAGGTGCTGCCAGCCGTTCCGGGGTCGACGAGAGCGCCCTGGCAGTAGTACTTTCCGCGGATCAGCTTCTGCGACTGGAGCTTCTTGTAGAATGCGCAGGCCTCGGTGATGTTCTCGGAAGACTGGAGGTTGAAGGCACCCTTCACATCGTCAAGCTTGGGAGTGGAAACACTGGTACTCGTTAGTAGATGTTCGTTGATTATACAGGATTTTACTTACTCGGTGAAGTTACCGCTGAAGTCGAAGGCACCACCAATGCTCTCGAGCACTGGGAGACCGTCAATTGCATCAAGCTTGGTGTTGTTGGCAATTTGGATGTTGTCGTTGATGGAGGTCAAGGAGCTGAGGGTAAGGTTGGCCAGCTCGTCGTTGGCAACGATGGCAAGAGCCTCGCCGATCTTGGTCAAGCTAGGGGCAGAGAAGTTGGAAAATCCGTTGTTGTACAGACCGAGGGAGCCGTTCAGGGTCTCGAGCTTGGGCACCTCGAGGGAACCGACGAATCGGAAAGTCAGGTTGGTGGCCCAGGTAAGGTTGGGCAGGCTGATTGCGAGCGCCTCATTGTTGTCCGCAAAGGTCATTGCGTCGGAGATGTTGCCCAACTGCAGGTTGACGCTCGTGATGTAACCGTTGTTCGCGACGAAGATGGTCTTGGCCTCGGAGACATCGATGTTGTTGAGCGATCGAAGTCCAGTGTTCTGGATGTCGATCTTGTCGGCCTTGGTGAGGACAGAAGTGAACCCGATAGTGTTAAGAACGGGCAGGGCGTTCCACACGATAGAGTTGACTGTCTTCAGGACAGGGAAGTCGATGTTGTACAGACGCTGCAGTCCGTCGAAGTTCATGTCACCATCAATCTCCTTGAGCTTGTTGGCGCTGATTCGCTTGACCATCTGGGCGTTCTTGCCGATGAGGTCGCCGCTCAGCTTCTCGATGCCATCGAAGGCAAGGTCGTCTGTGGTGCCGGTCGCAATGGCGATGCTGCCAGAGAAGGTCGAGCACGACGCCATAGCAGTCGCGTCACCAGCATTCTGGATGGTGGTGGTGCCGGAAACAGAGCAGGCGCCTGTGGGTGTTTGTTAGTAGGGTGGTCGTGTGTTGTTTGTTGTGAAAAAGAGACATTAGACGTACCATAGGCGGTGCTGGCGGCGGCCAGAACTGGCAGGACGGTCTTCATGAAGGAAGGCATGGCAATGGATCTACAAACTGTGTAGGGGACTGGCGGATTAAGACTGCGCGCTCCGTGGGCGGGCTAAGTACTGTGGGAACGGGGTGATAGATGTCTGGAGAGAGGGACAGAATTATCAAACGAAAGTATTAAAAGTAAGTAGTGACACAGGGTGTGCCGGGGAAGCCGTAGTTGGACAGAAGTGAGTGGCGGAAGGAACGAAAGAGAGGAGCAGGTCGAGAGAAGCACATTCAAGAAAAGGAGACGGCGAGCTTGGGCAGGCGCGACCACACACGCGCACTAGCCGGGTTGGGACGCAGATTGGATCGACGGCCGCACTACCGATATGAGCCCACCGATGATTGGTTTTGGCGCGTTTCTGATTTCGCGTCCGCTGCAATGAATGAACTGTTGGGCAACGATGCTTGCGCTGGAACTCCCCGCAGACGACGACGCATCTGGCGGGTTTCGTACGCGCCTGGGAAGTCTGCAATCAGTCCCAGACTTTGCCGTGGCAACAGATCCACAGTTTCAGACGCTTTCAGGATTTTTTCGACAGGCGACTGAAATCGCCGGTGTTTCTGAATATCGCCAGCACCTCCTTAATGACGAGTGGCAATTCCGTGTCTGCGATCCCACACCAGATATCATGAGCTCCCCCGACCGTCTTTGACAACTTCCTCTCACTGTACACAGCCCCAACGATATCCAGCCCTGCATGCATTTTCTACGCTGGTTTCAGTAATTTCAAAGATGCATCTGGACTTGCAAACGCCACTGTGCAACACTAGGCAACCACTATTCGTCATTCAGCCTAGCTGCCGGTAGCAGTTATCGTTTTTGTAGAGCCTCTGCGGGATCGGTTATTGATCGCGCTCGAAGCATCTGACGGTTGCCCCTAGCATAGATGCAGCATGAAAGAATTAACGAGGCACCTCACAGTCTCGCAGCTTTCGTCGCCAGCTGCCACGTCTGTATCCACTTCAACACGATTGTCTGCTGTCGCGTCCGCCACTGAACAGGTGCAGGAAGTTGGCCATGCTTGCGCGTCCTTGGCCGAGGCGGACCCCTGCACCCTGCTCGTGCTCGAATTGGATCGATGTTGTTTTGGCAAGTGCGGCCGACCCTTCCAACTCCTATCCACATCGTCATCATATTTACAATATCACCCCCTGCCTCTGTTGCTCAATGCGGTTTGATTCTCGATTGCCATGTTTCCCGACCCGCGCAATGACGGTCATCAAATCTCCTTGTATACATACTCTCCCGCCGTCTTGCAGAACGATCAATAAACCGGTCTTGACATGTGTCAAGGTTGTCGTCTCCGAGCAACGAAAATAGGTACACGACAGCTTGATTTGCAGCCAGTCTATCCTGATCAACGTTGCGATATTGCGAGCTGTTGCAAATGCAGGGACCCATGGACGTCGTGTCCAACCATCAACATGGGTTGTTTATCGACTTATCTAAGCCACCCTGAGCCGATCGGGTCTCCATATTAAACTCTCTACAAGAAGCACATGCTTCATAAATGTGCACAAGCTTTGGCCAGTTCCACATCCCCTTCCCATCGCCTCCAAGCACGAGACGAAATACCTCCGACGTGTCCCAGGTTCTCCAGAGACGGTCTGAAGATCGCAGCAAAACTCCACAGACACTCCATGATCACCTCGCATCAAGAGTTCCCAATAAACGTCCAACAGGCAAACTCCACTTAAACAACCGACATCTCCACCGCAATCACCCAAGCAACTCTATCCACTGCACGCAACGCATCGACCCATCGGCGAAAAAGGGGAGGGGTTCAACATTTCCTTTTGCCCCCGTCACCTCATTAAACCCAAACCCAATTCATCGACACTTTTCGATCTGTATCTTTGCGGCGTGTCGGTACCATGAGTAAGGCGCGCGCCCGGGCATGTAAATTCGGCGTGCAAATCCGAGATTGACACAAATCTCAACATGTACCTCGCGTACCTGAGTACATACCCTGTGCTCATCGGAAACCTACTAGATCATAGCAAATACAACACAGCATATCCGAACAACAAGCAAACAAACACGCTACCCGTCTTGTCATCTGCAGACCAAGACCTTCCTGTACGGTAGCTATTATTCTCTGCGCGAGTATTGTTTTGTTAAGACATTTCGCTACTCTAAGCTGTTCGCATTTCACCACAAGCCACCACCACCACCACCACCATGTTTCTCTACTGTGGTCCCTTCCCTAAGTTGAAGCCATTCGCCACCTCAAAGTGCCTCTCAGCGCGCTCACAGATTGGTCAAAATTATCTTAATCGCTGATTCTGTCGAATTGGAGATTAGCACGTAAAGTGGAGGATGGCTTAAACTTAGGGAGGGGACCACAGTAAGCCAGTGCAGCGCTTCCCACCCGATAGCTAGGCTATTTGTGAGACTTTTTCGGGACTCTGGTTCTGTTTGTCACTTCACTCGCCATTGATTGTCCCTTGAACGGAAACTCAAAATAAATCTCACGTACGAAGACAAACAAGTAGATCGTAGACCCCCCGCAACCTGAATGTCGTTTCGTCTTATCACTGCATTTCAACGCCTCCGTCGCAGTAGTTGCACTGCTCTCCATCTCCCTATATCTATATCGTTCCTCACTTCATAAAACCCAACAATAAGACAGCGAGCGAGCGAGCAAGCGGGTCGTGTTCGCGCTGAGGACGGTGAAATGTGTATATTTCCTTGTTTGTTCGTTCATCCATCTCATCGGCTGTTTATTTGTTTACTAGGGGGTGATGTGTCGAAGACATGCGATGAATTAGGTGAGTGATACATTATTTCGCCTCATTCACCTCGCCTCATTTTCTTTCCCGACGTTTTGAATCATCGATCAATGAAGAAGAGGATATACATTGGCAAGAAAATACTAAGCAACGGTGCGGCTTGAAATGCAGAGTTTGTCTACCTATCTAGATAGTAGGAGTTGTTCCTTCTATTCCATTTGAACCTCTACTCGTTACATCTACCCCATCCATCCCTTCTCGTCCACAACTTAGTACCTAAAGCGCCTTCACGACGCATCCCCGTCCTGCATGCCGCTCACATCTACGTCTACGACGCGCCACATGTACCACATGAACAGGCTCCTGTGTTGCCGCGTTAGTTGCTGTATGATGGGTCAGGGGATGCGGATGGACAGACCTGTATGGTGAAAAGGTAGATGCTATCGAGAGCATTTCCTGCTCGGACATGTATCTTGTGCGCGGTTAGCGATGAGATGGGATGGAACGAGGGGGGTGGGGGGGTAACAAACTTCCACTTCCCGCCTTTAGCCTTGAGTTTGCTGATATCGCGACCCATATACGTCGCCATACCTCTCCTATAACGTTCACACACACCGGTCAGCCAAACGTCCACCACCACCGCCATTAACAAAACAACCCAAAAAGAGGGAAGGAAAAGCGAAAAACTCACTGCACGCCCAAATCCCCCGTGGAAAAAACATCCATCCGCTTCAGCCCAAAGCACGCAAACATCTCCACACTCCACCGGCCCAACCCCCGCACAGCAACAAGCTTCTCAATCAGTTCGTCGTCGCTGGCGCTGACTAGCATCGCGGCGGTGAGCTCGCCGGACTCGAATTTCTCGGCGAGGCCGTGGATGTATTCTGCTTTGCGCTGGGAGAGGCCTGCTGTGCGGAGGGTGGGTAGGTCTAGGGCGAGGACTTGGGCGGGCGTGGGGAAGGAGGGGTGGGTGGCGGGGAAGAGGGCTGTGAATCTGTGGGGAGGGGGAGTTAGCTTGGAGTTTATGAGGTGATGGTGGGTGGGGATACGGACTTTTTGCGGATTGAGGCTGCGGCCTGACCTGATACCTAGGGGAAGAGTGTTAGTCATGTTCTTCCTCAACATTCTGTATCATTATATATATTTTTCGTTGGGAATATGGAGTGTTGGTATACCTGTTGCCCGATGATCCCGCTGCTCAACGCCGTGAACGGATCAACAGCTTCTCTCAACCCCTCGGGAGTGAATATCTTGCATGTGTGTTTCTCCACCAGGCTCTTCATCTTCGGATCGACTTTGACCAAAAACGCCTCGGCATCATTCAGCAACGTGTCGATTGTGGCGGTTGGTGGTCTCAGGGCCCCGACGTCTGGGGGTACGAGTTCCTTGGCCTTACGCTTCTTAGCTGGAGACGCATTTTCGCTTTGCGGCGACGTGTGTTCTGATTTCAGAGGAGACGATGCGTAGGCTACAACTTTCGAACCATCGGGTGTTAGCACGGGGGCGTTTGTTGCAAGGGGACCGGCGGGGCGTGGTTTGAGGGACGCAAGGTCGTCTAGGGGGTGTTCTGCTTCTGCAGATCTGGATGTCGACGCCATCAGACCGACAGTAGCTGGAGTTGGCGTGAAGGGTAAAGCTTTCGCAGGAGACTCTTCCGCTGCTTTAACTTTACGTTTCTTGGATAGAGGTGTTTTGGGGACTGCAAATTCAGAGTCTGGGGCCTTTTTGACCTGTTCTGGTGATGCTGTGGATGCATCACTCTTGCGTTTCTTGGAGGCTGTAGGTGTGGGTTTTGTAGCGCTTTTCGCGACGACATAATGCGAATCTGCTATTGTAGAGTCTGCAACGCTTTTTGTCACGTTGCGAGCTGAGCGCCTGAGAGACATGCTGAGTGGTCTGTACTGTGTTGCGATGAAAGTCGATGTCTGACGTCATTTAGTCGACGTCCGATACAATGATACACTTTTCACAGATAACTCACTATACGTTTGTAAGTTTGGGCGAGGGAAGGGTTGGCTCGAAAGAGCATTAAGCTGTTAGTTGGGTAAGTGTGGAGCTGACGCGATGTTGTGGGGAGCTTGAACCGTGGAAGCTGGGGTTGGACGCCTGGGCACCTGACAGCGCGCTGACATCCCACATCATGTTCACTGCGTCATGCAGATCTCCACAGGTATGGCGATCAGCTCGGTCAGCATGTGTCTGCATCTTGGTTGGATAGATTGTTTGGATTTCATTGATATGGGAGTTGAGAGGTGATTGCGAGGTGGACTGGGCCAAGTGAGTTGCATGTAACAAGCGTGAGGCCTAATCGAGACATGCATAGTTTGCGTGAGGAAGTTGATGAACAGATGACGATATGTAGTTACGCTGCATGTGCTGAGAGTCAGTCCTCGCTCGTCCGACTATGGTTCACATCATTGGCGTGGCTTGAAATTCAGTAGAGATGGTCTCGTACAAAAGACATTGATGGTATACACTCTATTTGACAATGCTCAACTCAACCCATCCATCTCGAAAGCGTCCATGCGGTATATACATGGCCTAATGGCCAGTCTGTGCATTCCTCTCTCTCTTGGTCACAACCATGGCTTCGAGATCCTCGCGCTCGGCCATCTCGGTCTCGATCTCCTCGATGAGGGTCTGCAGATATGGCACATCCTGTAGCCTGTCAGCTGCTGTCTTGTCTGGCGATTACGATTTTCTCACCTCCTCGGGCTTGGTCCACTCATCCTTGGGCAAAAGCTGGTGAGACATGGACAACTGCGGTCATTAGCCACCCACTCCGTCATGTCCACAACTTGGTCGAAAGTACCTGGATGGCGCGGCGCAGACGGAATACACGGTCGTAGGCGGCCTGGGGCTGCAGGCGCTTGAGGGCGGTCTGGACGACGTTGTTCTCCTCGGGGAGGATATCATCGGCCCTGCGAGGCGGTGCGCGTCAGCTCATTGCTCCAAGACATGGTGCATCCTCGACAGCCTGTCGCAGTCTTCCACAGCAGAATGGCGACCAGACTCGTCCTCCAGGGCGCCGTACCTCAGGCCGAGCTGCCTGTAGCCGGCGGCATTGCAGTACCAGTTGGAGAGCGGCTTGACCCAGCGCTGGAGCCACGGGCGCTTCAGGATGTAGGGGGCGAGCGAGGGGGCAGACATGGTTGCGGGGGGTCGACGGCGGTGTGCGGGCGTGTCGGGGGCGGCGTGCCGTCAATTGCAGTTTGCTCGGTCGGAGAGTGGTGAGGTCGTCTCGGCCAGTCAGGCAAAACGACTGCAAGCGAATTGGTCGGCCTGGCCAGGTGGGTCTCGCCTTGGCACGCGAACGCCTGCAGTCCCCTCGTTCGTCATCTGTCAAGCAAGCTTCGAGCTCCACGACGCTGCGACGCCGACGCCCTCGATTGCCCACCGCCCGCCGCCGCGACCGCCGCCCACACACCGACCATCCGCCCAGCCCGCCCGTCAATGGAGCCGGACAATTGCTAGACACTGTGCTACTCGAGTGCTGCGGGGTCCCGCTCGCACACTGAGGCGCGGCCAGAGGGGACGGCCTGTATGCCCTCACACCCACCCTCACCTGCCGCCGGCCCTGAGAATGGCCCTGACCGCGCCGTGACTCCAGCCTCCACCATGTCGACACACACCCCCGCGCCGTCGGCGACTGCAGCCTCCGAGGGTTATGCGCCGCGCCAGGACCCGCCAGCTCCGAATGGCAGTCGCGCCTGGAGCCCCCTCGCCGTGAAAATCTCCAAGCTGCCCGACGGCCCCGTCAACGCCCTGTGCGGGGCCACCGCCGGCGTTGCCTCGGGCATTGTGACGTGCCCGCTCGATGTCATCAAGACGCGCCTGCAGGCCCAGGGCTCCTTCCGCCCGCGCACCTACACGGGGCCCACGCGCGCCGTCTACAAGGGCCTCACGGGGACTGCACAGGTGATATGGACCCAGGACGGTGTTCGCGGCCTGTACAGAGGGCTCGGCCCAATGCTGCTCGGCTATATCCCCACGTGGGCCGTCTACATGAGCACCTACGAGTCGACGAGGGACTATCTGTCCACCAAAATGGGTGAGTGTGCATGTGCAGTCTTGCCATTGCGTGACTGACGTAGCTGCGCCAACAGAAAACAAGTGGCTCGCACGCACGCTCGCCTCGGTCGCCGCTGGGGGCTGCTCGACGCTCGTCACCAACCCCATATGGGTCGTCAAGACCAGGTTGATGGCCCAAGTGAGCGCGCGCGCCGCAGAGGAAAGCCGCCCGCCATGGCACTACAAAAACACCTTCGACGCCTTCCACAAGATGTACACCAAAGAAGGCATCGGCTCCTTCTACTCTGGTCTTGCCCCTGCCCTGTTGGGCCTCACCCACGTCGCCATCCAGTTTCCACTGTACGAATTTCTCAAGATGAAGTTCACCGGCTTGGAAATGGGCAAGGCGGATGCGACTTCAGAAGACGTCCACTGGCCCGGCATCATGGCCGCAACCTTCATAAGTAAAATCGTTGCAACCTCAGCTACGTATCCCCACGAAGTCCTACGCACCAGGTTACAGACGCAACAACGAGAACTTCCCACCAATTCACACGACCACGTATCGTTCCGCGGTGGACGGCACGGTATAGGCCACCAGACGCGTCCCCCCGGCACATCATCGTCCGACGGCATGGTCAATATGCCCCGCTACCGTGGCGTCGTCAAAACCTTCACCGTCATTCTCCGCGAAGAGGGCTGGAGAGCCTTCTACAACGGCATGGGCACCAATATGGTCCGAGCCGTCCCCGCCGCCATCACAACAATGATGACGTTTGAGTCGCTCAAGCTCGTCCACCAGAGGCTGAAGAACGAAGGAAAGAGAATGAAAGACCAAGACTCGTGACACGCCGATTCAATGCACCATCGTGTTGAGCAGCAGGGGTGTTGTAGCACACGCACACATCTTCCTGCAGGCTGTTCATTGTAATGTTTACTGAAGCGAGATATTCCCTTCCCCCTTCCTCAGTCAGCTACTCCTGCTTTCATCCTTCTATACGTCTCGATTTATCTCCGCACCGCATCGCCCGTGAGCAGTGGCACACGATAGCAGCATTGGAGCTTTGGCGTTGAGGAGATACCTTTCTACACATTGTTTGTTTATCTGGGGACGGGACGGTTTTGGAGGTTCACGTCTACATGTCTACGGCTTGGCACTTTTTGAGATACGATACATATATATGCAGACGCTTCTGACGATTGGATTGGATTGGGCGTTTGGCAGGTAGTGAGCTACCATGGCATGGCGTGGGAGGCAAACGCAGTGCTTCACGGGCATTAGTGTGTCATGTCACTGTGTACTGACTGTTTGAGGGGTCGTAGGGTTTGGTAGTCTGACATGGCAGACATTTTCGTTCAGTTCAACACAATTCAATGCTGGTAAACGCTTCTGTCCAGCGCAATCATACATCGTCTTTTTCTAGTATTTCTGCTCTTCTTTCCCCGAGATAAGATATCCCCACTTCCTTCTCTCGCCGCCCAGTCAAATCCACATTCCACATCCACATCCACATCCACCAGCCCTCCAACTCACTGCCCCCAAATGGACTACCCCACAGAAAAAACACCGCCCATCCCTCCCCGAAACCCCCTCCGCCTCCTCCGCGCAAAAAACCCTCCAAACACCAGCAAAACCCCCCCCAAAGCGAACCCTCCAACCCAATCCACCCCAACCACCACCACCCACTCCGCACAAAAGCACGTAAACAGCTCCCCAACCACCCCCACAACAACCCCCCTAAACGCTCTCTTCCGCCGCTACGGAATCGCAGACCCAACATCCCCACGCCACAAAGACAGCGCAGAATGGGGGTCCGGAGAGCTAAGCGGATGGACACCCTCACCTGCCCTACCGCGGAAGACCAGCACACGCAAGAGCATGCACTCGGATAAAGACGTCGACGCGCAGAGACGCAGACAAGACCGCGCGTGGGCGTCTGAGCAGCGGCGTTGCGTGCATACTGCTGGCTCGTCGCCCATGGCTGGGGGGACGGAGAGTGCTACGCCTACGGGGGGGGTGTCCGTTAGTCAGGCTGGGGATGGGGATGAGCATGAGGATATACAGCAGCGCTCCTTCCGCGCCGCCGTCGTGCCCGTGCACGACGAGCATATGCGGATTGTGCGGGAGATTAGCGCGCGGGGAGATATATGCGAGGCGGAGAAGCAGATGTTGCTTCGGCGGGAGGAGGAGGCGTATCATGAGCGGATTGTGAGGGTTAGGGAGGGGATGGGGTGTGCTGTATGTGTTTGTGGTTTTTTGCGTTGAATGTATATCTGCGTGTTTGGCGGTTCAAAGTATGTGTAGCTGACGCGTTGGTGAGATAGGTGCTGGATAGTTCGTATGTCCTGGCGAAAGGCGAGCAATTATCGATAATGTCAGACCGGCTTTCTGTCCCTTTTGCTTCACATCGACAGAAACAGCAAGCAACAACACTCCACAGGGTAAAGCAGCAAGCAGGCAAACTATCCCGCTTCCTCCTCGCCACCCCCTCAGACCCAGACCTAAAAACATACTCGCGCCGCTTCCCGCCGCAGGACGAACATGAACGTACAGCGCGCGTCGTACTCCAGACGCGAGACCCGGTGCTGGCTGGCACCACGGCGGTGGACAGCCGTGTGTTTTCCGACGTAGAGCGGTATGTGGGGTCTGTGGGTGCGTCGTCTGTGGGTGGGGGGGTTGTGGGGTATGGGCGTGGGAGGGTGGTTGAGAGTGGGGAGAATTCTGTTGCGGGGTGGTTTGTGGGGGATGGGGAGGGGGGGTGGGCTATGCCTAGGGGTAGGGGTGGTGGTGGTGGTGAGGGATTGGGGGATGGAGGGGGGTTGTGATTGTATGTTGGGGGGTTTTTTTTTGAATGGCGGCGTGTTTCTTGAGGTAGTTTTTGGTGTGAGAAGTTTGGGATCTTGTCTTCTAGGTCCTTGGAGGTCTGGGGGATGAACACGGGGGAGGTGTCGGCTTTTATACTGATCTTGCATGGTACTGTTTTTCAAAGAAGAAAAGGGTGCGATAATGGCCAGAGAAGTTCGTACTTTACATTGTGTCTAGAGAGCTGTCTTCTCAGCTGCAGCTCCCAGTATCAATCATGACACACCATTATATATATCATACCTTCCAATATTGTACACAGCTCATACGCTTCGAGCGCAGAATAGAAACGCACCAACGCACAGAGTCGAGAAAGGTTCCAAAACGCCGGGAAATGCAATGCCGTAAGACCAGCCCCATCAACAGTTACATTCGGACAGGGCATCAATGCCCGAAGCATTCAACGCAAACTCCACAGCCTCACATCGATCCCAGAAATACTCCCGCATCCACGCCGTCATCATGTCCAGGGCTGAAATCGCCGAACTACTACTCCAGATCTTCTCTTGTCGGGCCCAGGGGGATTTCTGCCATGCTGTCCCGGGGTAACGTTGCCGGAGTGCGGGTAGCAGGCAATGTGGCGCCGTTGCGCGTGTGTTGTGTAGAAGACCGGTTTGTACTAGGTGGAGGATGCCTGATGCCACGCTCATAATGGCGATGAGGTATGGATTTGAGTACTGGGCGGTGAGAAATGATGTTGCGGGCACAGATAGTTCGCTTGAAGAGAAGGAACCGGGGATCATGAGGATATCGAAGAGTGGTGCGTTAGCGAAGGAGTTCTGCTTTTCAGTAAGTTTTTGCATATGATGGATTTGTTTGGTGTGGATGTAATGGAGGGGTATAGTGGCCTTTACCTCCCTGTCAGATCCTCTCAGTTGGCTACGAGATAGTCAAGACCGGGTGAATCCAACGCGACCAAGAACACTCTCTTCTTGACCAAAGGAGGTTGGCTTGTGAAATGTGGTTGGTAATGCTCGCCGTACTGTCAACCCGAGATAAAGCTCACCGTTACTGGTATGCGAGCGCCAGACGTGGTGGAAAACGATCCTTCCCCGCTTGCGTTGACAAACCGAACGTCGATTTCGTCCACGGCTTCTTCGATTACTCCAGCAGAGACCTTCATCTTGTTGACTCTATTCCTTCCCATCATAGTTAGGAGATCAAGAACCGCCAGATCGAGAAGTTGAACTTGGTCCTGGCCGCATATGACAACACCAATTCGTAACGAGGATTTTGATGGAGGTAGGTAGTGAATGTTCAAGTCCTCCTCAGAAGTCGAGGATGTTGTGCAAAGGTAGAATAGATCCGCCTGACTCGGAAATGCAGTGAAACCTCTTGGGGGAGAAGGCATGAGTTGGGAAGATGAGAAGTATGTGTAGGAGATGTCAGTGAGAATAGTTGGAAGAGAGGTGACTGGACAAAGACCAATCTTGAGATATATGCTTTCTAGTCCTGCGACTCCAATGAGAATCTTATATAATTCTTGTTGGCGAAGGGTGTTGCATCATGAAGTCAAAACGCGTAGTGCAAAGCCACCAGACTCTGCTCTTACTCGTCATCTCGGGTAGAGACACGCTTGCCTGAAGTTCTCGAAATATGGGAGGATCTGCGATGGTGACGTGCAGCTCCTGGAGACTGGTATGCTCGGGAACATTCGTAACGCGTGTAGCGACAATTCCCGACCAATCCGCATCTGTTGCCAACGGGAAGAGCAACGAATTGCGGCGTCTCGCGTCGGATTTAAGCCGTGTCAATACGTCCGTTGATCTGATATCCAGGATCAAGTGTTGTGTATCTTGATCATCTGTGCGTATGGCAGGAAAGTAGCCGTCAGAGTGGAGAAAGGCTGCCAGGCAACACAATTTGCAACGCCGTGGTTGGGAGGCTCGCTTCTCGGTCTGCGGCACAGGCAGCGGGAACTCCGAATGCAGTGAGCATCTAAAACTTCAGATGCCTCCAATCTGATTAGACTGTGGCTGTGAGAGCAGTGCTTGAGGAACAAGTCGGAACCATGGGAGATTAAGGTTGCAGCTATGATGACAACGAGAAGCCTCAAAGCTCAGGCGGAAAAGCCTGACAGTCATCTGCTCAGGAATTACATCAGCGGAGGATTTATCGTGACCAAGATGGTAACGGAAGAAGATGAGGGGTGGGTCAGGGGAGATGTGTTGTTGCGAAGTGTCCCGAGTCCAGTTCGTGAGTGCTCTCGATGGGGAAGGACCGCTCTAGGCTGCGAACGACGAGACGCCGCGAACACACGGTTGGCCGAGCGCATGCTGGCAGTATCAGAGGCACACAGAGTTGTGATCATCCGCGAAGATTACGTTGCTTCGCGCTGCAGTTGTGATGGGTAGGTGTTTACGGGAGCTGCACACTCCCCACACAATGGGAACCATCTGAACCGCTTCGAGGCCGTAACGCAACGATGCAACGAAGCGCATCCAATCTCACATCCAAGCCAGGCGCGCGCATGTGAAGGAGGAAAGGGTATATTTATATCGCGTCCATCGAGGACCACTGCTACAACAGCGTTTCAACCACAAACTTGTCAAAGAATCCATCGCTCACTACTAAAAGGACATGCGTCGCATACGGCCAGCTCCTGCTCCGTTTAGATGTCCCTCGGCTCACCATCAGCCTCCCCAGACTTGACGACTTTGCCGGTCTTCTTGATCTTCTCGAGGACGGCGTCGTAGGAGAGCGAGTCTGCGGCGACGATTTCGGCGGTCTGGGTTTCGAGGGACACGTTGTACGACTCGACGCCTGCAGAAGGTCAGCAACCAGCACACGGTGGAAGGCGCGTCAGACGGCGCATGAGTACTCACCATCGAGCTTCTTCAGCACGCGCTCGATTGCGCCGGAGCAGCCACCGCAGCTCATGGCGACGTTGAACTTGTATGTGTGGGGCATCGTGGTGGATGGGAGTTGCAGATAGGCACGGGAGATTGGAAGGTTGGTTATGTACGCTGGAGTTTGCTGGCGGGTCAGTGTAGGGTGCAGTGTCGGGCAGGAGCGGTGAATGATATATATAGGAATGGCGCGACCTGGATGGCGGATGGTGTTGCAATGTGCTAACCCTGGCGGGGTCTTTGATTGGGACGGCCCCGCTGACACCTGCTATGCCTGTGTAGATGAGTCTGGGACGCCCATGAGACCGGGCGTGCTCTTTGCTGTTTCAGATCTGGTCTTCCAGCGGCATGAAACTTGCTCATTGCATCTCTCGGCTTAGCCGTGATACGGATGCTGAGGGAGGACACTGTGTCTTTGACATGGCGAGGCATTTGTTGTCGAATACAAGGTTAGCGTAGATAGCTGAGTAAGCAGTAGATAAAGTATATAAGATATTCTACTGCTATCCTAGGTAGTTAGTTAATAAAGAATTATCCTTTTAACAGGTTATAAGCCTAGCGCTTTACTGCGCCTAATTACTTTAAACAAATTAATTAAAGACTTATTAGCTTACTACCTATATTCTCCTAATAAGTTTATATATTATATAAAAAACAGTATTACTAAGTAATTACTACTAAATACCTATTATTAAATAATAAGCTAAAGAGACAGCTAATACTATTAAATATTAATTTAAAAAGATTATGCCTAAAAAAGGTATAATTAAAGCTATTCTAAATAGGTACTTAAAGCTACCTCTCTAAATCCTAAGATAAGTTTACTCTATTAAAGGATATAAATAAAGGAAGTTACCTATTATTATAAATACTAGAGATTACCTTTATTTCTAAAAATACAAAATTAGTGTATATATTTAGAGTAAAGGAGTTAACTACCTCTATACCCTATACTATAATTGCGTTAAGACTAGTAAAATATAAATAAATCCCTCTAGGTTTAATAATAGAAGTATAGCTTTATTAATAAGAAGTCTTATAAATTAAAAGTAGCTATAACTGCGTTTAAATATATAAAAAGACTTATATAATAATAGTTCCTAGGTACCTAGTACTATAGTTATTCTGTTTATAAGTAGCTAAAACCTAAAGCGTTATAACTAAATATCTAATAAAATACTTAACTAATAATTAAAAGTATAGGCTAGGAAAGGTAGATAATACCTAACTTAATACCTAACCTAAATAATTAATATTTACAGTTCTTCTAATAATTATCTAAAGAATACTATAGAAGAGTAGAGCTATTAAATTAAAGTCTTAAAAGGCTTAAGTAAAATAATAGATTAGGTAACTAAAATACTATTTTACTTAAATCTTTACTAGCTATAAATTAATAAAGCTAAACCTAAATAGTAGCCTCTACTAAGTATTTAAAAATTTAGGAACTTTAACTATATAATTAATAACTTAATAATAATAATAACTAACTTTATAACCTCTAATCTTTAGCTATTTTACTACAATTTAAAAATATATTATAGCAGTAGACAGCTTCTATTTAGTTAAAAACACTAGTGCTACTACTATTAAATATATATAGTATATAAAAGTGTACTATAATAATAGACCTTAGCTTATATATTAATAAACTACTAGAGCCTATATAATATAAAATATAAATAGGTACTTTAGACTTTACTTCTCTACCTAACTAACCTCTATTTAATAATAATAAATTACCTTCTTTAGATTATACTAATAGCACTACTACTAGGATAGAGACTTAATAAGCCTATAAGGCTTAAGAAATATATAAATAAGTAACTCTATAATAGTAGAGATTACTACCTAATATTAATAATATATATATAGTACTAATACTAGCTAATTTAATAAGTCCTGTAATAGCAGAACTAACTAATAATAAAAATACTAGCACTAAAATAAGTACTATAAGGTTAGTTCTAAAGTTAACTATAGTATAGCTAGTCTTAAGTTAGGCTGTTATAGCTAAAATATTTATAATAGAATAAGTTATTAAAATAGCTATTAGACTTATAAAGAACTCCTTAAGAAATTACTCTAATATAAATACAGCGCTTAGGTTAATAGCTTAGAAAAGGTAGCTAAAATTAGAAGAGCCCTAGAACTATAATAAATAGTATAATAAATTTAAATTAATTACTATTACGTTAAAGTTCTAGTCTTTCTTTAAGCCCTAATTTAATTCTAAAAATAATATTACTAAGCGCTACCTAAATAATATACTACTTACCTTTAAACTACTACACAATACTCTTATACTAATAGTCTAATTAATAATTTAAGATTATAGTATACTATAAGAGGTATTTACGTACCTTAGTATATATAAAGCCTCTAGAAGTGCCTATCTATATATCCTATTTTAATAATTCCTAAAGTCTAACCTTATAAATTATAGCTTAGTTATATAATTTTAAGATAAGCTAAATATAATTTAGCAATATTTTTAATTAGTTAATAAAAACTATATTTTACCTCTATAGCTTATAAACCTCTAGTTTCTATATAACTTTAATAACTCCTATAATTACTAGATTAGCGTCCTATATAATAACCTATTAATTATTAACCTTAAAAATCTAAAGAACTTTAATAAACTTACTACTAATATTATTAGTAAGGAATAATAAAGACTTACTAAGGCTAGTACTAACTTTATTACTTTTGCCTTATTTAGTAGATAACGCTTACAGGGCTAAGGTAGAAGTAACTAAGGAGGTAGTAATAAGAAATATACTTACTATACTAGCTTTTAGGCTCTAGAGTATATATACGCTAAAGTACCTAAGAAAGTAATAAAGAGTTACTACTATTATTTTTCTAGAAATAAGTAGCTATAGTAGGTATATTTTAAGAAACTTAATAAGAATAGCTACTAAAAGAAAGCTAAATATAATTATACTAATATAATAACTATAAGTAATACTATATAATAATAAATTAAAACTAAGCCTTTTACTTAGCTAACAGTAGTTATAAGAGTATATAGGCCTAAAGATAATTAACTTAATAAGGACGTAATACCTATAAATATTATAGTACTAGCTATACTAAATAGCTGCCTCTTAGAGTCTAACTAGGTACTAGATAGTAAAGTAAAAGCCTATTATACTAGCTTATCTAAATACTTTATAGATAAAATATATAAAGTACTACTTAGTTAGTAAATTATTAGCGTAGAAAGAATAATTAATATTACCTATATTAGTACTATTTAAATACTAATTACCCTAACTAATAGTAACACTAAAGTTAAGAAGATATTTACTATTTAGAATATCTTATTTTTAGTAAAACTCCTATTTAATATTATCTCTTAATACGCCTTAATAATTTTAGGTTAAGGTATACCTACTAATATAGCCTTCTTTACCTACAGCTATACTATAGAGATCTAAAGGATACCTACTAATAATATTATTATAGTAGAGTCCTATTATAAAATAGATCTCTATACTCTTAATATTAATAATAAATAATATATAAGCTCTTAATACTTATATATTATAATAGTATTTAAATAGAACGTCTCTCTAATAGTATAGTATAGATAACTTACCTACCTTAGAGAGTAGTAACTTTAAAAGCTCTTAGTTTTACTAAGAGTTTAAGTTTCTAGTAAACCTATAAATAAATATAATAACTACCTTTAAGTAGGCCTTTTATAATAAAACTTTTGCTAGCCTATATAATAGGCTACCTAACTACTTAAATAACTATTCCTTAACCTCTTTAGTGCAGTAACTACTATTAATAAAAAAGAGGTATAGTATAAAGTAATAGGCCTTTTTATTACTAATAACTACTTAAGGTTTTACTAGGTTAGGCTACTATTAACTAAAGATAAAATAACTTAGTCTTTTATAAACTTCTAAAAATAGGCTAAAAATCTCCTAAACGCTAAAATTAGAATTCTATAAAATAATAATAGTAGTAAGTTTAGTAACTACTAATTTAACTAGATTTATATAATAAGTAGTATTAACTATAAACTAATAGTACCTTATAACCCTAAGTAAGATAGAGTATTAGAATAGAGTATAAGCTTAGTAGGTTTTACTATTTATATAATTCTCTACTACTTAAATTTACTAGAAATTTACTATAGTAAACTTCTAAAATTAATAGTACTACTTCTTAACCTTACGCTAATATTAGCTAACCTAAGGTTAATAACGCTATATAAATAGCTCTAGTAAAAGCTGCCTTCTATAGTATACCTATATATAATTAGCTATAAGTACTAGATACTAGTCCCTTAGCTAGCTATTAGGCTGCTAAAACTAAATAATTATAGTAAGAAGTACTATCTCCTAGGCTATACTATATGTAAAACTAAAAACTACTACTACGTATAAAATACAGACTAAAACTTAGTCTATAAAGCCTAAAATATATACTTCTATAAAGAGATCTTTTCTAAATAGGCTCTTAACCTCCTCTTTATAGCTAGGGTACCTAGATTTATATTCTAAATAGTAAATAATAAAGCTACTACTACGCTTAAGAAGGAGATAACTAGTATACTTATAACTATACTAGTACTAATTACTTATCTATCTTTTATAATAGCTTCTAGTAACGTAGATCTTATATTTAGAATACTATCTAGAGCAGATCTTCTTCTAGATAAAGACTCTACTAAACTAATTAATAGTACTAACTTTAATATAATTATTACTTAGATTACTACTCTAAAATCTCTAAAATACTAGTAATCTATAAACTAGCTTACTCTTCTTAAATTATTAATACTAACTAGTAATAATAAACTAAAGATATATAAAGCTACTATCTTAAGCCCTAAAGCTTAATAATAAATCTTATCTATAGGTAAAAAGATATAATCTCTAATTAATAATAATACCTAAGATATAGTAAATAAAGCCTAAATTAATAGTATAGTACTTATTAGTAAGTATATCTATAAAATTAAAGTTAATACTAATAGAAAACTAATTTAGTATAAATCTTACTAGGTTATTTATAGCTTTAAGTAAAAGGAAGGTATTAACTTTAATTAAATATTTACTTTAGTTATAAAGCCTATAAACTATAAGGTACTTTTTATTCTAGCCTATATACTTAAGTAGTATATTAAATAAATAGATATTAAAACTGCCTTTCTATATAGTAATATTAATACTAAAGTCTATATTAAGCTACTCCCTAACCTTAAAGAGAACTACTTACCTAGTTTAGCTTATTAGCTCTAAAAGGCGCTGTATAGGCTAAAATAAGTACTATAAATCTAGTATTAAACCTTAAAGGTAGCTCTCCTAGACCTAAGCTTTAAACTAATTATAAAGGACTATAGTATATTTTTAAATAAAGACTTTAAGATCCTAATTACTATCTATATTAATAACCTTCTACTCTTTAGCAGGGATTAAACTACTATTAATAAAATTAAAGCTAAACTTAGCTTCTACTTTAATATAATTAATCTTAGTCTAGTCTCTTACTATTTAAGAATTAAGATCTAGTATAAATAGTTCTCCTTTAGTAAATACTTAAAACTATTCCTTACCTAAGCAGTATATACCTACTAAATAGTTAAGTTAGCTAAGGAGTACCTCTCTAGAAAGCTAAAGAATACGCCTATTTTTATAGATACTAACTTAGTACTTATAGTAAATAATAAAAAAACTACTAAGGATAATTAGCACTTCTATTAATTTCTTATAGAGTTACTAATATACTTTATACTTTATACTTAACCTAATATTACTTATATAGTCTTATAGCTTAGCTAGTTTATATTTAACTCTTTAAAGCAGTATCTAGATACTAGTCTTTAGGTAGTTTAATACCTATAGTAAACTATTATATAAAGACTTATAATTAACTCTAACTAAAAAGGTAACCTAATTAGGTATACTAATTTTAACTAAAGTTAAGAAGAAGGCTACTAGTTAACTAGTAGCTATATATTTATACTTAATAGTACTATAGTAAGCTAAAGCTTAAAGTAATAAACTACTATTATTCTTTTTAGCTATAAGGCTAAGTATATTACTAAATTAAAGGCTATAAAAGAGGCTGTTTAGCTAAAGTACTTACTTAAGTAACTTAGTAGTATAATAGTAGGTAGGTACCTAGGCCTAGCTACTATAACAGTATATAGTAATAATAAAAAGGTACTTACCCTTATAAAGAACCCTATATTTTATTTAAAGATAAAGTATATAGATATTTACTACTACTTTATTTAGGAGATAGTAAAGTAAGAGCTAGTAAACCTATAGTATATACCTACTAAATAAAATATAGCTAATAGTATAATAAAGCTACTTTAGAGACCTACCTTTACAGACTTTTAGTAATAACTAAAAATAAAGAAGGTATTTAAGAAAGAACAGCCTAGTAATATAGTATATAGGCTTCCTAAAATAAGCCTTAAATAAGTAAGAATTAAAGGGAAGCTACTAGTATAATAGTATATAGGCCTAGCGTTTATACTTACTATTTTTACTTACTATAAACCTCCTATTACTTATATTAATATTTAGACTTTAGATTCCTTACTTTTAAACCTTCTATTACTTTATTTTAACTTAGTACTACGTTTACCTTATAGGGGAGTATTAAATATAAGGTTAGTATAAATAGCTAAGTAAGCAGTAGATAAAGTATATAAAATATTCTACTGCTATCCTAGGTAGTTAGTTAATGAAGAATTATCCTTTCAACATTTGTAAGCCGGGCGGGTGCTCGCATTATCCATCCAACTCCCAGACAAGTAAAGTGAAGCACGCCAGCAGTATGATTCTCAGAAAATGCAATGATGACCTTGCCTTCTGTCGCATACGCAGGTGCAGGCGCACATGCTTGTGCTTGTACCTGGATCTCCGTACCCTAACGGCCAGCCCCACGCTAGACCCTTGAATCGCGGGGCAACGCGCAACCAGCAGCGAGTGACGTCTTCCTATGTGCAAACTCTCTGCTGTGATAGTAAACAACACCCCAAAAACAACCCTGCCATGGCTTCGTATGTTCTACATGTCTGTAACAACTGCAGAAAACTCACAACGTGCACAGCAACATCCTCTTCCTCCCCTTCCGGCGGTCGCATACCGTAAACCTCACCGAAGCCATCAAGCAGTACATATCCTCCAAATATGACCAACATCCCGACATGTTCAAGAGCGACCTCGAGACGATCGAGAAGCTGCGTTCCACAGCTGTACACGCGCAAGACCCGCATCCGAGTAACATCCCTAAGCTACAGCAGTACGCGGCGCAGCTGGTATGGCTGAGCGGAAAGTTCCCAGTCGATATTGGCGTCGAGTTCCCATGGTATCCGGCTTTGGGATACAACACGAGTCGCCCAGTATCGCGCAACAACCTCCGTTTCGAACTCGCCAATATCGTCTTCAACCTGGCTGCCATGTACTCGCAGCTGGCCATGTCGTCGAATCGAAGCACACCAGAGGGGCTGAAGACGGCTGCCAACAACTTTTGCCTGGCTGCCGGAGTGCTGTCATACCTGCGAAGCAGCGTCCTACCCGAGTTGCGGACTGAACCTCCAGAGGACATGGACCTCATGACCTTGGAGTGTCTAGAGAAGCTCATGTTGGCACAGGGGCAAGAGTGCTTCTGGCAGAAGGCTGTCAAGGACGGCCTAAAGGATGCAACCATAGCAAAGCTTGCCGCTCGCGTATCGGATCTCTACAACGAGGCTGGGGATGCGGGCATACAGTCAGACTCGATTAGCAGCGAGTGGATACACCACATGACAGCGAAGCATCACCACTTTGCTGCTGCCGCCCAATACAGAGCAGCCTGCGATAGCCTGGAGAAGCGCAAGTACGGCGAAGAAGTGGCACGCTTACGCGATAGTCTAATCTGCGTCAACGATGCCCTCAAGGAGCAGCGCTATATCAACAAGCTCGTACTCGCTGATCTCAATGGGCTGAAGAACAGGGTCACCGAGGATTTAAAGCGCGCAGAAAAGGACAACGACATGATCTATCTACTACCCGTCACTCCGAAAAGTGAACTGAAAATTCTAGACAGAGCGAACATGGTCGTGTCGCGGATACCCAAGGAATTGTCGGAATCCAACTCGATGCTTGGAGACAAGGGCGAACTTGGCCCTGCTCTCTTCTCAAAGTTAGTCCCTTACTCTGTGCATCTGGCCGCCAGCATCTACGTGGACCGTCGCGATCGACTAGTCAACAACACTATCGTCGAGGAACTTGAGGCCCTTACAAACCAAATCCATGAAGTCCTCCGTAGTCTCAACCTTCCAGGCTCGTTACAGGCCCTCGAAAAGCCTCTAGGAATACCGCCAGGTCTCCTGGCTCATGCTGAGGAGATTAGGCAGCAAGATGGTATCAACCGATTGTTGCGCTCAATGGAAGACACAAAGAAACTGAAGGATAGTGATCATGCAATCTATCAGGAAGGCGTCGATACCCTCAAATCCGAAGCAGTCGAGGATGAAGGCGCTCGCCGAAGATATGGGACCGTACATTGGACCCGACCAGCGGCCGAACAAGCAGCCCCCAAGTTATATGGCCAAATTAATGAGATCGATGGCTACTTCAAGGCCGCAGCACACAGCGACAACGTTGTCAAGACGAAACTGAAAGAGAACGAATACTTCATCCACTTGCTGAGCGGATCAGATCATGATCTCGAAAATTATGTGCCAAGCGGTCGGAGACCCGCGATTACAGGCGACGTAGAACGAGAAGCTGGCAAGTTGCGTGGATGCTTCAATGAAGTCAGTCGACTTGAGAGTAGGCGACGACGAAAGATCGAAGCTTTGAGAACGAAGGCGAAGCAGGATGACATAAGTAAGCATCGCGCTCCTCCCAGTACATATCATGCTTACAATCCCTCAGATCCAGAACTACTACGCGAAGCCGCTCGATTGGAAAGGGAATACCCTATGCAAACCATCGAGGCTGTGCAGTTTGAGAGCCTCTTCGACAAACGACTCCAAATGTACGATGTCGAACAAGATATGGTACAAGAAGAGGACAGAGAGCAGGCAGAGGCAATCAAACGGTTGCAAGACGCGAACGCTACCTTTTTGTTAGCTCGTCGAGGAGACCAGTCGACCAAGCAGCGCGAACAGGCGTTACAAAGCCTTGAGAACGCTTACTTCAAATACAAAGAAATCATCTCGAATCTCGACGTCGGCCGAAAGTTCTACAATGACCTCGCCAAGATCGTGAATCGATTCCGGGATGATGTGCGCAGCTTTGCATACCAGCGGAAGTCGGAAGCTTCTCAAATTGAAGCGTATGTGTAGATCCGTTCTTTTCTCAACTTCCACTGACTGGTTTATAGCGACCTTGCAACGCAAATGAGCTCTCTCAATCTCCAACAAGCGACTTCGACCTCGTTACAGCAACAGAAGAAGGCAGACGCACAGAGCTCGCAATACGGTGCCAGTGCACACGCAGCTGCACCATTAACTGCTCCGACACCTACAAGAGCTAGCATACCGCCAGCAGGAATGTGGACGCCAGAGGTTGGTATTAGGTTTGGTGGGGTGCCCACGTCATCTGGCAACGCTCGACCATCAAATGGTCCTCCACAGGATGGGCGATGGGATCCTACGCAGGGGTTGAAGTTTGGGTAGAACGGTACAGGCAATCACGTCGGGATGTCTGGTCGTTTTGACAATGGGATATTCATTGATAGCGACTACAGTTTCCTGTCTGGAACAGACGGGAAAGTTTTCGGAATGACATGTCTTGTTACCCATGTCGCAGTGATGCAATGCAATGCGGATCCTCAAACCCTACAGGTACGGTGTGTAGCGATGGATCTACGCGAAATCTGCCTCGCGGGCCTTGCAACGTTTGTGGCTGTGCAACAGGATGACTTCACTCGCAGGCATTAACCGCCTGCGCGCTTGTGAATAAAGAGTAATTGAAATTAGCCCAGACGTGTAATTGGTCCTCGTGCTCTCGAGGATGGGACGCCTTTCGGTGCCTGGTTCCAGCGGTACCTGAGGATCTCGTGCAAGACGATGAGTTGAGGTGGTTGAGTGGGTCATTCACCGATTGCAGGCTCTCTAGAACCATACACTCATCTCCAGGGGACAGTGTGCAGGGCTTTAAGAGCGAGGCTCAGCTGCGCGTCACATCCCTCCCTTCCATGATCTTTCCAGAAGCCGCCAGCCTACCCTACCTGACGGTCGATTGCAACAGCTGACAAGGACCAACGCATCATCCCAAGACTCACGGTTTCCTCATTATTTGCGCAAACCACTCGCCTCTTGGATCAACAGCGTTTGAGGTCTTCCACGACGTCATCCCTGGCCCAGAAACCGACAACGCACCATCGCGTCTTGAGCTGCACTCCAGTGTCAGTTTCACATCCTCGACGGCCTGAAACGGAGAGGGCAGACGAGGGCGTTTGCAGCCCGCGGGAACCACATCGAGCGGGGTTTATTTTGGGAAGCAGTCAGAGTCGCTAGGCTGCATCGAGGACTACACAGCCTACAGCTCACCACAGGCAGGACAAGACGACGGTGAACACACAGCCTCTCTCACTCACCAGCCTCACGCAGGTCGAGCCCGCACGCCAGGAACGTTGTGCGTTGCCGTTGTTTTCTGACCACTCACTGAGCTTGATTGTACGCTGAAGGCCCGATCGCGTCGTCCCCGCGCAGCCCTGCGACCCTGGCCCGAGCGCGTATCTCTCGTCCCTCCTCTGCACATCCCACAATAGCAACACGCGCCAGACACCATGGACATCCAGCAGCGCGGCCGCTCTGTCTCTGCGGGCCATGTCCCTCATATAAGGCACACGCCGTCGCCGTCTCCCCATGCGCCATTCCACAGCAACGTGCCCGGCCTTGGCTTCGATCCGTCGCTATCAGTCAACGACCCCTCAAGCAGCTTTGCCGTGACCACCGCCGGCTTCGACAGCACCCAGTACATGCCGACGACCCAGCCGCAGCAATTCCTGCAGCCCAATTCCTTTGTTGATCAGGCCTTCTTCCCGAGCAATCAGAGCTTCTCGCAGCACAACACGCCGCAATTCGGGCCGCAAGGCAACAGCATCTCGCCCGACCCGCTTGATCTCACGAGCAACGCCGCCGCTTTCGGCAACTTCTTCCCGGGCAGCGACCTCAACGCAGGACAGGCCATCAACCCCTCGTACCTCAGCAACACGCTGGACCCCCAGCTGCTCGACGCCCAGCTGCAGCAGAGCCAGTCCATCAACCCCTCGGACCTCTTGAACCAGATGGCAACCTCACAAGCGCATGCGCCGACACCTCCCCACCTCATACCCAACCTGAACCACCGCACCCCCAGTCCGCATGCGTCTCCGAACCTGAATCAGGGTGCCTTCTCGCCGCCAATTTCCAGACATGCGTCTGCCACTCTAGATCCTAACGCCGCGTACGGGCAAGTCCAGAGCAATGAATGGGGCAACATGGCAGCTTTTAGGGTGCACAGACGCGCTCCCAGCGAAACAGCCTTCTCGGACGTCTCTTCAGCGCACGCCTCCCCGTATCTGGGCCATCAAGACAGCTTCGAGGAGACGCATCCCTCGCCTCTGCTCCACGCCCAGGCAGACCCTCAGCTGTTCCAAGATCCTGTCATGCAGTTCAACCAGTTCACTCTGAATGACAACAACTCGCACATCAGCCCTGGTCACAGCCCTGGTCCCTCGCCCCGCTTGATGCCGCAGCAACAGTCGCTCCCACATTTCCAGCCTGGCTCTTTTGGCCTGGAGCACAACATGAACAACCCCTACGCACAGCAGGGAATGGGTGCTTATCAGAATCAGGGCTCAGAACCATTTCCCTCGCTGAATCAGCCCATGCCAGAGTTTGGCCAGGCGGACGCAATGTCTCCACCTGAGATTAACATCGACTTTGCGCCGCCGTCACGACAGGCGAGTTTTGAGCCGCCGAAACCCGAACACCGCGCAGATGCTCTTAGTCCGCCAGATCGATGTAAGCATGTCTGCAGTGATTCTTGAAGCCCTCTAACAATGTACCAGCACGAAGTAGGAACCGCGGACGTGCCAAGTCTGACCCTTTCAGCAGCGCCAGCTCGCGTGCCTCGACGCCGGGCTTGGAAGTGAACCGGTCGTTGTCTCCCAGTGCTGCCAAGTCGCGCTCTCCATCGCCGTCTGGCAAGTCGTCTCGCCGTTCATCAACTTCCAGTGTACCCAACCGTGACTACATTCTGGACCTCGCGGATCCCTCAAGACCTGCTCCCCTTGACGGCTCGAATCCCAAGCGCACGCAAAAACACCCTGCGACGTTTCAATGCACCCTCTGCCCGAAGCGCTTCACAAGGGCGTACAATTTGCGGTCGCACTTGCGCACGCACACAGACGAGCGTCCATTCGTGTGCACTCATTGCGGCAAAGCGTTTGCTCGCCAACATGACAGAAAACGGCACGAAGGACTGCACTCTGGGGAGAAGAAGTTTGTTTGCCGCGGCAGTCTGAAGGACAACAGCAACCACTGGGGTTGCGGCAGGCGTTTCGCTCGTGCGGATGCGTTGGGACGTCACTTCCGCAGCGAAGCCGGGCGAGTCTGCATCCGCCCACTACTTGAGGAGGAAGCTCGAGAGCGCGGCGACTGGGACGACCAGAACCAGCAAGTGAACAACGAGAATGGCATGTTTGGCGCGCCCATGTCCCAAAACTACGGTGGCATGATGCCCGCACAATCGGGCTTTGAGCCGTTCCCGCAGATTTCTGGTGGGATGACTCAAGCGCCGCCTTTTCTGCCTGCCGCTCTTCTCCAGCTGTACCCCGCGCTCGCGGATATACAGTGGAATCAGCTTCCGCCCGGTGGGCCCGAGGAAGTCGAGGACAACATCAGCGGGCGCGGCAGCTTCGACGCGTCCAGCGGCAACGATGCTTTCGACGAGGAGAGCGACTACCAAGCCCAGCAGCCCGTGTACGGCGGCAACGGCGGGGGTTGGACGAGCGACTACGACGGACACTAGTTGTGACACCGCGATCTTTTTCACACGGATTCAACGATCTTTACGCCTTTTACGACTTGTGTTTCTCCTCACGAATTCGTTTTGATTGTTCGTCTTCTTCTGCGCGCTTTTACTTCTGGATACCATTGTCGTTGTTTATGGCCCAGCGTGTCTCTCCACGCGAGTTTGCGGTTCGGGATGGGTCCGTTATACCCCAGTTTTCGGTTCGGGTTGGTTTTGTTTGGCTTGGCTTGACTTGGTGGTTTGTGGGCAAGGAGTGCAGCGGGTGTGTCGGTCTGCCGTGGCATGGCAAATGTGTTCGGCTTGGGTTTAGACCATAGACGATGTTTTTTGTGCGCATCAAATGGAGATTTTTTACTTCAATGTGCTTCTATCACATATTTGTGTGTCTCAATGGTCTGGTGTGAAAACTTATCGCGCGAGGGTTAAGTGTAGTGGTTTCCTTGTGTGTAGGCGAGTGTTTGAGGGGAAGGTTGTGATGTGTGCATGATTATGAATAACTACCTTGTGGGCGATCCACCGGATATGGCAGTACCTTTAAACACTTTAAATGATAGACATGACGAACTCAACAGACGGTTAATGCGTATGGGGTATGTATAGAACGGTAGACAGAATGCTCACTCACACCCAGCATCGTTTACCATATCCCCACCTTCCAATCGCCACGTGAGCTTCCCCATGCCTCCCCGAACTTCAAAAACATCGTCCATCCCCCGCATCTTCACACAGTCAGGCAAAGATGCTAGTGACACGCAAAAGAGCAAAAAAGGGCCTGGCCGGGACTCGAACCCGGGGCCTGTCACATTGAAGGTATCAATACCCAGGATGGTGATCCCGAAGCGACAATCACTGGTGGTATGTTAGAGGGGAATGCGTGGACAGATGACGGTGCTACTTACTACCACTAGACCACCAGGCCGACTCGTACATCTCTGAGCTCTGAGAGTTTTGATGGAGGTCAACAGATGTCAAAACTTTATAATTCTGTTTTTTAGTTACACGAGCGATGCATGAACGGATCTGATCCTGTTTTCTGCCAAGATCGACACAAAACACGCTCAATTAGAGTCCACCAAGATGCGCAAACTTGTCGCGAACTCTACAACGACCCCCTGGACAACAAACAAACGACTCACGCATAAGGTGTCTCGAAATATTCCACGCCCGTGCTCTGCATGGCGGATGGCTTGTGGGGCCTTGCGACGCGAACGGTCCCCCGAGTCGTGGTAGACTTCACCCAAATCGGCAGACCTTGCGGCGACTATCTGGCACGACAAGTTTACAAAAATATCGAAACCGCACGGCTACATGTGTTGAGCTGCTGTTGAAATTGAAGCTTATCATCCACCAACCCTTCGTGACGTCTGCTTCCCCGGTGTTCTCGCCGGAGGAAATGTTATTGGTCGATTGGAGTTGGGATTGAGTTTCTTATCGTGATACTCGTATCAGCATCATCATCACCATCATCATCGCGACTTTGAGGTTGGATGGGATGGATGTGGTGCTGGGGCTGGGCGGAGAGCCGATCTGACAGGCACGGCGCCGCACAAGCATTTCCGACATCGCACCTGCAGGCTCGACCTGGTGATCCCCCTGTGAAGTGAAGCGGACGTGCGCTCTCCGGGCCTATGCACACCGACATTTTTAGGAGCAAGTTGCGAGGCTGGGAGTGTTTTTTTACAACACAGACGAACAGGTCCGCACCTGCAACTGCAATTGCAGTTATCAATCGAGGTGCATTAAAACTCCCCGAGGAGACAGGGTGCAACAGCATGCTAGAAAACCAGGCGGGTGTCCAGCCATCAAGGTTGTGGTCGCCAAAGTGCCAACATTGCGGGGTGATGTGCTAGTCTACCAAAAGTGGGCTTCGTCCATTGGCTCGGAATAACGCCTGTGCTTTATGCAGCGTACTGTGGTGTCAGGCAAAAGTAGTGTACATAACCAGGGGGGTGCAGCACGGAGATTACAGTGCGCTAGGATAAATACAGATAATTCTTTACACATAATTATTATACAAGCTTCTAGTATTTTATATACCCTCCTTTAGTATCTATTACTACCTAGTATCTATCTTTTATACTATTAATAAGATTCCTAAGAGTTTTCTTAGGAATTATATCTTAGGCTTTCTATATAATACTACGTAATTAATTATAAGTATACTACTTTCCTATAAGTAGATCTAGGTAATAGGAAACTATCTAATCCTTTATCTTATTCTATACTACTTTAATAGGGTTAAGATTAAAAGAAAAGGTAGGCTAATAAATAAAGTATATCCCTCTTTCTCTTAGCTCCTTCTATATATAAGTAGCTACGTAGCTAGGAGCTCTATTTTATATAAAAGTAAAAGATAGGTATATATATAGCTATCTATAAACTAAAGGAACTATCCTCTTATAGTAGCTCTCTTTATTAATAGACCCCTACTCCTTCTCCTAGAATAAAGATAGTCCTTTTAATATACTAAAGAAGTAGCCTTAGAATATCTACCTATACTTCTTATATACCTTATTAACTAGATATATATTATTAAGCTCCTCTCTTACCTAACGTATAACCTATATCCTTCTATACCTTCCTCTTATTACCTAAGTCTTATTACTCTACAGTATCTCCTACTACTAATTTAGTACCTAATCTACGTAGGCTAAAGCCTACTTTAGGTAAATCTTTTTATTAGTATTAAAGAGAGGAGGTTTAGTAAAAGCTATCTTATATATAAATCCTCTCCTACAGAGGGTATAGCGTATAGGATATTTAGATATACCTTAGTAACTAAAGGGTCCTTAAGTAAAGGCAAGATAGCTTATCTATTATATAGCCTAGCTCTAGTATACGTAGTATACTAGCTTATTAATCTAATCCCTAGATAACTATAGTAGCTAGCTAGATCTTTATTATAAAGTACTCTATTTACTGTTAACTGCGTAGCTAACTTACCTCCTTATATAACCTAAAAAATCTATAATCTATTAGTGCTTATGCCTAGCGTAAGTAAGAGTTTAGTAATTACGCCTTTAATTATAAGTAAAATAGCAGTAGCGTAGTATAGATAGAGTACCTAGTAGCATAATAATAGAGATAATAGAATAATAAATAATAGTAAGAAAGTTAGTTAGAGAGATATAGTAGTAAGAGAAACACTAGATTTAATATAAATTACTATAGTTTAGAATGTAATATTAGCTAGTACCCCTATTTAGAAACTCCGGCGCGCCCCCTAACTCACCCCCTGGTCATGTACACTACTTTTGCCTGACACCACAGTAGACTGCGTGCCATAGCTCCATCCATCCATTCGTTGAACAACCACCCTTCTGGTAAGTTGATGCGCAACCGTTAGTGCTGCGTATATCTCACGCGAGTCTGTTGACCGCTTCGAGCCAAGGTTTCCGACGAGCGTGTGCTCTCAAAAGCAAGAGCTCCCCTCGCCGTCTAATCCTCACTCCTCCTCTCTCATCACTGACAAGTCTCGCACTGAACTGTATCCGCCCTCGCAGCTTCGTTCCAGCTCTCTGTCATCACATTCCACTCAATCCATCTCCAGTCACTGCTTCTCTCCAACCCTACTCTTCCCCCTCCTATCACTCCCCACATCTTCACCATGCAACTCTCCCGAGCATCAACCCGCGCCCTCAAGGCCCTCACCACCACCACCAGCAAGCAAACAACCCGTCACCTCTCCATGACCGGTGCAGCAACCTCATCCTCGCTCCTCACATCCGACAAGCCCGTACTCGGCCGCTCGCAAGTCCCCCGACTCCCTGCATCCGCGAGAATTCCCGTCCCAGACACCACCGACACAGGCAAGCTCACACGCCACTTCAACACAAGCCGCAGCATGAAAGCCCCAAACGACACCTCCACCATCGACTTCACAGTCATGCCCGACTTCGACCCGGATATGCGCAGTGGCCCCGTCCAGATCCGGGTCCCCATCCTGCCGTGGACAGCCGTCAGTGAGACAACAAAAGCAAGTGTCGCCGAGACAGAGCAGCCGGTACGTCACCCCGCCATCATCATCATTCAATCATGTTTGCATTACTGACGTTGAGAAGATCTTCGTGCCAGTTGTTCACACCGTTGCTGCTGACGACGCACATGTCCACGCACCCTCCGCCTTGACCGAGAAGCCCGATGGTGGCCACATCGACTTCCAGGCCATGACTACGCAGTTCGCGACCAAACTCAACAAGCCCGTTGAGGAGGGTGTGGGCATGGTGCGCCAGATCTGGAGCGGGCTCATGGAGGACATTGTTGGTTCCAAGCAGGGTCCTGCTAGGACTTGAGTCAGGAACTCTTGTCCTGTCGAGGAACATCTTACATAAGCTGTTATTAACAGGTGTCTGGAGCGATGCACAATTTTTCCGTGTCTTTTCCATGGCGGTGGATATCAACTACGTCTGTATGTGGCTTGAAGTGCTCGAGCTTATGAGACATGAAATCTATTTTAATACATTTTGTTGCAAACTCATTGTTTCTATGGTCATACCCTGAAGTCTCTCCGTGTCATCAAAGTATTGGTCTCTTTCGTCATGACTCGTAGCTCTCCTGGTGTTATGCAAAGATGCCAGCAATCCTTTTCACTTTCCTCAACAGAATTTCGACGACCATGCTTGAAGCAGACTTGGTGCTACTTAGTGTCCCGTTCGTGGGGTGTTGGTGTACGACCTCTTCTTGCTTCTCTAATCCCATTACCCAACAAGCATTTGGCACCAGCACCTTCTTGCGATAGCCTCTCCGGCACTTCCAATTGAACGCAACAGCTGCTTTGAACCATGATGCAAAGATATTATTCATGAGTTTGTATGTCCTGCGTATTGTTGTGTTGAGCATATCCTCGCCAGAACCATTCCCTCTGTTCTTCATCGCATCTTGTCCAACAACAACAACTACTACTACTACCACAACAAGATCAACGTGTTTCCTATCAACGTTAACATCCTGATAGACTCCTGCTCCGGCTTTGAGAGCAGCGCGGAGCGGCACAGCACAGTCTTGACCCACTTACACGCATCAGATTCGACGTCGATGAGAGCAAAGCCATGGTCCTCCTGTGCTCCGCCAAATGCATTGTTGAAGTATGTGGAGTGTAGGTGAGAAGAGCCGTGTAGACTTCGTACCCCTGACCCCGATGACAGTAATTCCGCTGTGACATGCGGTGCTGCGAGAGGTTAGCCTTCCTTCATGCTGTAAGTGCAGTGAGACAGTGACAAACCCTGAAGGTGGTGAATATAGATTTGGCGCGTTGGTGATTATAGTAGACATGCTGAATGGAGATGAAGCGTGGAGGGAACGGTGAATCGCGATCTGGATATGGATTGTGCACGCGATGTCGTCAGAAACTCTATCGCTGCTCATTCTGTGCTTCCACTAGCTGTGCTATTCGTTCTAGAGTGTCGACACTCCTTTCTAAGTTGATGGCGGTGATTCTCGTGTTTTCAGCGATGCGCTCAAGATTTTTGAGGGCAGCCGTTGAATTGTGGTTGAAGATAGTAGGGCGTTGGATGCGTTCGTGTACTTTCTGCGACGCGAGTGTCAAGAAGGAGCCACATGCTACGTAGGCGACAAGAGAAAGGTCGGTATGTTTGAAGGCACTGAGAATCTTAGACATGTTGCTAATTGGATGTTACGAGTGGAAGCTGAGATTGTGAGAATGTGACGTGATAGTATGGTGGTAAGTGGGAGATGGGGGTTGATATAGCAATTCGCAGAGTACGGGACCATGGTTCGCTCTTACCTCAGAACCGAATCCCAAGTTCCCCCTTCCAATCGCATATTCCCTAGCAACGGTTAATCGCGGTCTGGACGCGAGAGAACGGGAAGGCGCTGTGAATCTGTCGACATCACCTCGTCACCAGGGAGGGCAAAATTACAACGGAGCAAGTGAAGAGTTGCTAACAAATGCCATTGACGACATTTATTCTATAGACAGTAAACAATTTACACGCATGTCTTCACCATGAAGATCCTGGCTCCCCTTTGGAGTTTTGCGTTGTTATGCGATGAATGTTCACCAGAATCAACACCAATGTACATCATCAAGGTCTAGCAACCTCATTGTGGAGTTCTATAATTGCACTGGTCCGCCTATCGTGCTCATGATCTCAAGGTACTTATTTGTTCTAAAAACCTAATGTAAGAAATGGCTTATCGTGTTTTGTGGGCTCCGTTCTCTCCCTCCTCGAGTGAGTGCGCGGAAGGACATGCCCAGTCGAGTGCCTCTTGGAGACAGTGGGGAAGACAAGAGATTTCTGCCGCCTGGAAAATGTGAGTCATGGCTACGGCTATACTATATTTAGGCAAGTGTGATAGAAGAATTGAATTACCATAGGGACTATGAGTCCGATATCGTGATGTCTTGATAGACTCTGTTTTCTTCGGGCTAACCAGTATTTTCGAGGTAGAGGCATGCATCTGCTATCGATCTTCGATATGCGTTTTCTCTTGCAGAGCCTACATTTCCTGGCCTCATTAGTCGGTAGTTTGTTCTCCGAAGAAGCCACATTGTAACTCTTCGTCAAACACCATGTGTTCATGTGGACAGTCGTTGGCCTCTTCCTCCGATCCATGCTCGTAGTAACAACGCTTGACTTTCTTGCTGTTCCCCTTGGCATCATTGTCCTTGCTCTGATCATCGCGGTTCAGTTCACGTTTTGTGGCCTCCACCTTCTGCTCAGCAAATCTCCTCATCACACGGACAAGAAAGGCTTGAGGAAGTTTGTCTAGTAGAGCCGCATCACCCTCATGCCGTTGATACCAATAATCGCAGTGATCATCTACAAGCAACTGTAGAATCGGCCGGTCCGAGGGGATCGTTGCGAACGCTTCTTGAGCCATGGCTACCATGTCTTCTATTTCGACGTATAATTCCTTGATGAATGTGACAAGGTCGTTGTTGACCGCTCGTCGAAATGCAGGAACTAGGAATCTGTCCCCAAAGGCGTATGCTTGGATACTCACTACGAAATGTCTTGATGACTTTTCAAGATCATGGCCGAAATCTTGATCTTTGTAATCTGGTGCGAGTGTATGCGTGTAGAGCCAATAGACAAACGTGTTGACTGCCTTACAGTCAACGTAAATTATCAAAGGCAAATGGTATTGCCGACGTACAAACGTGAGGATCAACATCCTCCAGCACGATCTTGCCTTCTCGCGCCTCCTTCCATGAGCCACGTAGCGAATTTCGGAAGTACTCGGAGTGATAGACAAGCAGGCCCTTATGGACGTCGTACTTCCGATGGTGGGGTCCCACCTCGATCACGACACAGCCTTTGCTGACGATGGTGCTGAAGTGAATTAGCCTCACGATGTACGAAAGTAGCTTGACAGACTTACCCGAAGGCCGGTGGCTCTGTTACTGGCTCTTTGTGGTCGGAATGTGCCATGGTAGGAGTAGCTGTGGAGTGATTGGTGGTAGGTGGAAGGTGGAGATCAAGCTTGTAAACGAAAATTAGGGTTGGAACAGTTGATGGACTAGCTTGGCAGGGTCGAAGTAAGAGATACTGGAAGTGAAAGATGTCAAAGTGAAAGACGTTAAAGTAAAAGACGTTAAAGTAAAAGACGTTAAAGTGAAAGACCTAGACAGTAACTTTATAGGAACCGAATGCCCTATAGCGCACCACCTGACGAAAGGCTACAGGACATTTCGAGGCTGACGAGTCGTATCACGTTAGCAGCTATGCCAGAAGCACGAGAGCATAGTCTTATAAAACATGACCAACTACTCATAATATAGACTTCAATGGGTATCATACCAAGACATAAGAGATAATTATCAAGACAACTTCTTCCCGTTGGAGGATGCAGTACTGCTGGTTGTGGGGGAGGAGGTAAAGCTACTCGGAACCAGACACAATTACGTGCAGACTTCACGCGACATTGACGATCGGCTTGCACAGCTGTATGAAGCTCTTGAAGTTCCAAAGAAAGGGTGCATGACCAGAGGAGATTGGAGATGGGAGATGAACTACGGTGACGGCTTTTGCGTCTGAAGAATTTGAGAGAGGATGTTGGTGGGCTGAAATCACGCTGAAGTGTGAGCTAAATAGAGCTTTTTCAAGCCTGATTTCTACATCTGATGTTTGAGTGATGGAGATCTTGGAAGGCGCACGGCTGATTGTGGACCCACGTTACGGCGAATCGTCGGCCCGCTAGCGCCCGCTGGCCTGTCGCGAACTTTTCTTCCTCTCGAAGCACCATCATCCAACGCTCACCATCAGCAACAACTACGCCCCAGCGCACCCAGTTTCAGCGTGCGACGCAGTCGAACAGTCCAATGTATGCTGTTTGATGCGTCGCTTCTGCGATTGCAGTATACCTTCCAGTAGAATGGCTCTTTCGAAGACTCGACGATTCGCTACTCTCCACGATCGCGAGTTCAATTTGTAGCCTAGAACAAGCCCATCGATCTGCCAAGATCATCCCACTCGTGTTGCAGTGTCTGAGCGAAAGCCAAGACGACTTTGCGTCTATTTGTGGGAGACATTCTCCATGTAAACATTTTCAATTGTTCTATGCCGCTCTGATAATGTGTCCAAGCTACATGGTGAAGGTCGTGTTACGTGTTATCATTACAACTCCTTCTTTCCCGACCTGGAAGCAGGCTGCTGGTCTGCCAGAAATGCCATAGCCTCCTTCTCCCGCTCCTGGCCAGCCTGCGTAGGAGTCGGCCTCTTTGTGACCAGTACCCATGCAGCCGTCAGGCCTTCTGCTACCAGTGCGATCATGCTCGCACACGCGATGCCCCACACGTTGATGCTCACGCTGCCTAAAGGTGCTCTCGGGAAACTCAATATCCACTCGACGTAGTATGGCACCCAGCCTGCAGGCATCCAGAACATGGGCGACTTGGCACACCAGAATTGTAGGACGAAACGGAGGCCCTGTGTACCCACCCAGCGGACCGTCGAGACGGCGGAGGTAAACGTCGCTTGTTGCGTGCGGAGGGAGCCATCTGATAATTATTGTTAGCCACTCAAGGATGTCTAATGGTATGCGGATGAAAAGGGAACGTACCCAGTTTCTGGTATTCAGACACCGCCTTGTTGTGTTGTCGATCGAGCTTTGCCCATCCCGAGAAATTGTCCTGCGGCGACGTGTTCCCTAGCTCGCGCTTCAAGCGTATGATTTCCTTTTTGAGCGTCTGAACTCTCTGAGCTGAGCCAGATGTCGGTGTAGGCAGTTTGTTATAGAGAATCCATAGCTATGGCGTCGTGTCAGTGCGAATCCTGCGCTCGAAGAGAGTGGCTGCGGGGACATACCAGGTCGTTTATTGCGTTCACACCCACAGTATTGATGAGGTGTAGCATTAACTGCAGGGTGAATACAACCAGAAGGAGAGACGGCATTGCGACGGAGAAGTTGTACTATCGTGACGTGGGGTAAGCTCAGCGCATGTCGTGGTGTTGGTGTTGGTGTTCAGGGCCGCGTTATGTCATACCTACTGGATGAATTTGGCCAGACGCTAGCTTGAGCCTGTGCGCCACCAGTCACTCTTCCCAGTCCTCCTCGCACGTCAACGACACTACCTTCCACAACGCATGTTCGAGTAAAGTCACCGGATTTACGATTGAATAATGTCCCGTCATGGCTCCTAGCGACTCCGCAGTCGCCAAGCTCCAGAAGCTGGCCTACGATGCTTTGAATGCCTATTTTGAAGAACATGTGGATGCGGTAATCGAGATTGAGATTCTGCCTCCGGCGATACAACCACCGGATGGTATTCTGATGAAGGATGGCTCAAACTTGGGAGTTCCGAAAAAGATCCTGGCCTTGGCCTTCGTAGAAGCCCGAAAACTATTCTTCGAGAAAGCTCACGACAATAAAACATCCGCTCTACAAGCAACGAAAGTTATGCTTCTTTTTGACCCAGAGCATCTCACAGCTGCACATTTCCGCAAGCGCAGACTTCTTGAACTCAAATCTGAGGTTGAAACCGATAGTTCGACGGAATACCAAGAAGCGTTGCAACAAGAGCTTTGTTTCCTAAACAGCATCCTCACATCTCCTTTGCACCGCCAGTCAAAGTCTCCGACCCTTTGGTACCATCGTTTGTGGCTAGTGACACTTCTGATGCCGATCAAGAAGCATGCAACCCAAGATCAGATCACAGCCTTTTGGCAATCTGAACTCGACGCCGTTTGCAGGTCGGGAGAACAGCATCCCAAGAACTACTATGCCTGGCAGTACGCTCGCCGATTGGTCGAGAGACTCGACAGCACCAATATTGTACTTGCGTTTTCTCATTCGGTCAAGGAGTGGTGTTGTAAGCATCCGAGCGATATCTCTGGCTGGTCGTTCCTTCAATTCCTGATGATGAGGTTGGACCCTGTGGTAAAGAGGTTGGAAATTGCGAAAGATGTCTTAAGCTATGCCCTAGATTTGCAGGCAGAGCAAGAATCGCTTTGGGTCTTCCTTCGGACAGTGTTGGCACACGATACTTTGCAGGACGGGCGCGATGAGATTATCGAAGGACTGCATAATCACAGTGAAGACGTTGAAAGTATCGGCAAACCCCCAGCGTTGTCGCATCGAATTACTCAGACTTTACAATGGGTCCAAACATATGGAGGCTCTGTCATGGTCATCAAGCCTACCAGCACGACACGATCTTAAAATGTCTTCCATTTTTCATATCGTTTCATATTGAAGCTACCGCTACAGCCAACACACCCTTAGCGTTAACTAAGAACCGATCGAAAGGGCTCATACCATCTGGGTCGAAAGACATGGTGATCATCCTTTCTACAATGTCAGGAGGAGCCTTTAGTAGTCGATTCGCTTTCCGAGAGCCGTGTTCACTCGGTTTGGGAAAATCCAACCAGGGAGATGTCGATGCCCCTGGATAAGCAACTGGCACTGTCGACCCTGTATTTGACAACGGGAGTCTGCTTTCTTGCGAGCCTCTCTCTTCGACTTTTACAATTCGTGTCGATACCTGTACTGGCATCGACACTGACTTTTGCAAGCTCAGGCTCGGCAATTGTGGACCGGACTCGTACATGGTCAAGAATTTACTCTTGGCCAACAGCCTCCTCATCGACTCGCCCTCAAATTCAAAGAGCTGCGTGTGTGGAGTTTCCGAGTTTGCGTATGTCCTCAGAAGCGACCAGTCGATTTTGTAGACGTGTCGAATGTTCACGTAGGAATCCCATCGCAGAGTGGCACCATTCGCAAGTTCGAGTGTTGGAAAGCGTTTCCTGGACTTCTTTGAGGTGGCATCGGGATGATCTGGAGTAGGTGAGATGGGCAAATACCACGACCGTCGACTGGCGTGGAATTCGTTGGCTTTGTTGTATAACTGATCGAGCTTTTTGCCCTGCAACGAAGTTATCTAGAACAGGTCAGTGATAGCCCTTTTCTCTTAATAGTAGTATGCTTACAAGATGGAAGTGTACCACATTGTCTTCCTCCGCTGGCCTAGACACGACAACTACTGGGTGGTTGTATATGCCTTCTTCGATTGCACCTTTCCCATGGGCTCTCCTCACTGCACGCTCAGGAAGTTCTTCTCTGGACGGCAGCCAGAACACCCGACCTTGTACCACATCTCTCTCGTCAAGTCTCTTTTCGATTTGCTCCGTATAAGCTCTTTGTACATCATGCGGGATATCTCCTTGCTGAGGAGCATAGTGGGTATACGCATACGAGTTCGCCATAACTATCTATATTGATGGCATATCATCGACGAGTTGACATTCCATCTTATACTTTCGATCATTCAAGCGTGCTACTTACGCCCGGACATAGACGATCTGATACTACGCCTTTGCGCAGTCACATTAGCAACAGTCAGGCACACCTGTCTTCCCCGCATCGGATTCGCTACTCCGTCCGCCCCGTCAGAGCCTCAGTGTTACGCAGCTGTATGATGGGTTGCATTTGCCTCACTGCATGGATGATTCATGTAAAAATCGTAGAGTTTAGTCGAAGGGCTCAGCTACAGTGCACTCACGGCGCGGCCGACGCGCAAGAACGCGTAGACATCAGCCAATGATATTTTTAGGTTACTGTACGTATGTGGCGTTGTGGGTGGCGCAGTGACGCCAAGACCGGTCCATGGACCAGTGACTGCGACCGTGGCTGATGACATTTTCGCGAGCTGGAAAACGGTTGGGTCGTATAGCCAGATAGTTTGTCCTAGACCGCTATTATGCGGCACACACCCATTGTCGCGCGTCTAGACTTCGCCTTGACTGTATGTCATCGGGTTGCATATCTGCACCTCCTAGACGAGGTTTTGCATGTCACTATCCATGCACAATGGGAAGCCCGACAAACTCCTGCATCTTTTTGGCCTCCCTATACAGGGCATACAGTGAATGTGACTTCGGAATTGGTTGTACCTCTAAACTTTACGAACACGAGACTACATGTTATGGCATGTGCATACAGTGTCAGACTACGTTAACGTGGTCGTCACCCGTTACGCCGCTTGTACGACAAACTCAACGCCTCAGCATCCCTATCGCCACAGCCCACTGACCCTTTCCCCTAATTCACTAGCAATAACACTCAATCTTCGGCTACCGCTCCTCTCCCTCACCGCCACCGCCTTCTTACCATCCCTTTTGCAGTCAATCCTAGGCTCCACAGCCCGAAACTCCAACCTGTACATCTCATTCCTCACGCCTAGATTCCGCAGCTGCCTCACAGGATGCGCCACACTCCGATCCCACAGATCACTGCTAACCTGCACGCCATTAGGCCCCAAGCTCTTCTGCAAAGGGTGCTTGAACCTATCCCCATCGGCGTGAGTATTCCATTGGAAGACCATGACAAGCGTCTCGTCTTCCACCTCAGGCAACTCGTCCTCGTCTTCAGAGAAGCGTAACGACATGTTTTTCTCGTCAGAGTTTGTGCTCTGAAGTTGTTTGCCCAGACTCTCAGAGCTTCCAGTGGCTATGGAATAGCTAGTGGAAGTAGATGGTGACATGGGTTCCTCACTGCGTAGCTCCGCCCATACCCAGAAATCTCGGATCAAATCGCCAGGCGTGCTGAAGGCGGCGGATGCGCAGCTCTGCATCTGTGCTGATAGGGAAGAGCGCTGGGGATCCCAGCCGAAGTGTTTACCGATTGTGACAGCGACGGCAGGGGTGGGCGCTTGCAGGGCGATGATGTCGCATGGTATGCGAGTTTCTGGGGATGAGGCGGAGAGGGAGAGAATGGAGCAGGGGAGGTAGATATTCCGAGTCTTAGGTGGAATGGCTAAGTAGTCTCGGATATTTTGGAAGATTGATGATTCGGGATCGGAGCATGTTTTACTTGCTGTTGTGACAACGACGATAGTCGCAGGATGCGAGAGACAGGGTGACCAGGAGGTAAAAGTTGTGGGACGTAATGTTGATTCCGCATCGTCGATTATGTTGTTCAACACGGTGTTGAGAGCTATGTATGGCTCCGAGCCGGGTTGAATTCGTCTCTTGAACGTGAGTGTTATGAGGCATACGTCGAGTTGACTTTGCGTCGTTGAAGAAGAGGTTACAGCGTCATTTCGATGAACGCACGTCCGACAACACGACGACATAGATGTTGTGGTGGTGGCGAGACTATGCTGCTAGAGTTCAAGAAGAGATCGTTTGGTGCAGAGTGACGAATTCTCGATAAACCCGTGCCTACCCGTTCCCAAATGGAGACTTTCTGGCGTTTACAAGCTCCTGTGTTCGAACAACTAATCTCGTCTTGATGAGCAGAAAGCCTAGCGCAATGCAAGCGAGTGTGAGGAGCAACAATAGAAGCAACAGAAGCGAATGCTAACAGTTGAGTGAGTTGATTAGAAGTGAAGGCCTGACGATTATCGTGCTGGCAAACCTGCCTAGACGAGGTCTCACCCAACACGATCTGACGTGAATCATTGACAATGGATGCCTCATGCAGTTGCACTGCCTCCTTGGTCGGATCTGGTCCTGCGAATCATGAATCACAACGTGTGATATATTTAGAACAAGAGTGTTTACTATGTTTTTCCGGTACCAGATTTCCTTACCACATATCAATAATCTAGTGCAGCTCGATCCAATCTGGTGTTGCTTTAAGTTACGGTAAACCTGGATGCGAACTGACGTGTCTACACTTTGTAAAATGTTATCTTCGGGTGTCTTGCGGCTTTGACCGTTGAGCGACGGGGTGGGCTGATTGAAGTAACAACAGCAAGAGTGAAGTCCGCAGTGGGGACATGCAAGCGCTACGTATGTACACAGTATTGCCAGTAGAATGATCCCAAGTCAGAAAGAGTCTAGAAGGTTTCGAAACATCGCCCGGCGCGCCACGCTAGGCTAGGTGCCGAACTTGCCCCACTTACCCCACTCTTCGCTTGCCGTTTACATCAGTGCAGTCAAGTCCAGACTTTGTCATTGTCACCCGATATACCAAAACCAGTCTTCTAATCATTGCTTTCGATCTTCTTCCTGCTAAGGAGTTTGGTCGGCTCTTTGTCTTTCGGGGTGATCTGGTTCTTCGTACATAGAACGCGACCGATGAGCTGCATCTGATAACGTTCATTGCAACGGACAAGACGCACTTTTGCAAGTTCAGATCTGGTGTACTTCGAAACGCTCAATTCTGTCCGGTCCAATGCAGATCTAGATGTGGCTACTACAAATTCATCGATAGCGGAATAAATTCACTTTAACTACTTCCTTTCATCTACACAAATTATCTTCCTTTATCCGACAAAGAAGCGAAGAAGCGATACATTCAGGCAAAAGAAACACCCATCAAATACACAACCGCCACTATATATCCCCTTATCCTACTTCTACCAACCAGCCTCCATGCACTAAACTCCTAACACTCCATAATCCCCTCCACACCCTCAACCTCCTCAATCCAATACACAAACGTCTTCTTCCCCCCACCTGGTCTTTGCACCTCATACCTCACACCATCCCCCTCCTTCAGCACACCCCCATCCATCCTCTTCCGCACCGTATCCAGATACCAATTTGCCTGCTGACGCGTTCTGCAGTGCGCGACGGGGAGTCCGTCGATCTTGGATGGCTCGATCTGTGTGCTGGGGTATGAATACCGCATTATATTGAATCGTGATTTGCGGTCAGCTGTGGGTTTGACTGTGGTTGGGGAGTGAGAGTCGGATTTGGACTTGGGTGTGAATGGGTGGATGGAGGCCATGGTGAGGAAAGCGAGCGCGCCCACTACGTATGCTACGTATTTTGTGCCTGTGGAGATCATGGTGGTAGACGATGGTTAATGTGAGGATTGTCGAGTCGAGTCCGTCGAGTAGATGTGGTTAGTTTTTGGTATTGCGCTTTGGTGTGGGTCGTGGGTGAGTTTGTATTGCTGGTGTACAATAGAGGTTTGAGAGTTTGTGGGAGATATCGTGGAGACTGGTTATGAATTCTATCGTTTCATTCATCAATTGGCTTTGTGAATATGTGGTTTCGCGTCTTTGTTTCTCGGAATGTGCGCTATTGGCTGGCTAATGCGTGTCTTCACAGCGTAAGTTGCATTTTCATATGTGATGTAATCATTGTATTGCTCTAATTAGAAGCACAATAGTTATGCTTTTGGGCATCTATACTTGCTCGTCTCTTCGAAACATCTAGACTCCATAAACTCCGCAAATCCATCAACTAAATGCAAAGACTGGCCACGGAGTCTCCAGAGTACTCCCTAGATCTCGGGTATGAGATCATGCCATCAACTCCTCTCCCAATTTTACTACCCAGTATCTCTCTCGATCTTTTATTGCTCCTCAATCACGTGGCCCCACTCGTGGCTCTCCATGCCATCTTGACCCCACATGATCCCCTTCAACCAACTCCTCACTATGCTAGCATAAGCTCCAACGTCGCCCTTCACCATCGGAATGTCAATATCCTTGCCGCGGAAGTGAATCTGGCTGATCGGCGCAACAAACCACGCGGTCCCCGCAGCGAAAGCTTCTACAATACGACCCTCCTTGGCTGCCTCCTCAACCTCGAAGATGTTGAACTTTCGCTCCACAATCTCCAGGGGCTCAAGATCAGAATCGGAGGATGGAGCTGTGAGTTTCGCGCGTGTAAGCTCCAGGATTGAGCGGCGAGTCACACCATCCAAAACGATCTTCTCGTTCAAGTCCGCGGTGACAAGCTGCAACTTGCCCTCCTTTGTGCGCCACACGATGAAGAAGTTGCTCGCTCCGGCTTCTGTGACTGTGCAGTCCTCGCCGAAAAGCCAGAGAATCTGGTGGTACCCGCGTTTCCTTGCTTCTCCTTGAGCAACTAGACTGGGTCCGTAGTTTGCACCGACCTTGGCGTACCCGAAACCTCCAGGCCACGCGCGACATGTGTCGTCTTGCGAAGCGAGAAGCTTGATTCCACCGCTCATGTCGCCCATGGGGGCAAAGCAGCACAGGATCACCATGAGAAGGGCTTCCTTTGGTCGTTCGACACCGAGTGCGGGGTCAGAGGCGATCATCGTGGGGCGGATGTACAAGAAGCTCCCTGGTCGATCTTTCGGCAACCACTTCTTTCCATCTGTAGCACACAGCTTGACAATCAACTTGAGAAGCTCCTTAGGCGGGAAGGCGGGAAGAGCAATGCGGTTGGTGGACATGAGCATGCGGTTGCAGTTTAGTTCTGGACGGAACAAGCGTAGTTTGCCGTCGTAACCGCGGTACAACTTCATTCCTTCGAAACACTCGGTTGCGTAGTGGAGGCAAGATGCTGTTGGCGCAAGGGAGATGGGGCCGAATGGTTGCAGCGTTGGTGCGTCCCAGCCAGATTCTACGGTCCACCGGGCTTGGATCATGTGGTCGGTGCAGACCTTTTGGGACGCCATTTCTGGAGAACCTACGGCGGGAACGGCGCGAGGGGAATCTGAGTATGTACATTGAACGCGGGAAGCATCCAATTCAGCGAGAGGGGCGTCAACGGCTTCTTTTGACCCGGATGATGGCTCTGATGGCGGCGTGACGGTGATGGAGCCTGTCATCGACGCTGATTTTAATTGCGAGGGGGCGGATTTCTCTAAGGCATGTTTGATGCCTTGGCTTGTGAGGTCGGAGACCTTCTCGCCCTCATTTGGAGGGGTGATGGCAACGGGAGACATTGTTGCTGTGCTGTGATGTACAATAGTACAAGGCGGTGTCTGTGTGGTGAGATGGTAGGTATGCGATGAGCCAGAAAGGGTTGTTGATATTCAATGTCAAGTGAGAAGGAGGAGATGCAGGGAGGACCTTTATATGTACCTAGTTTTACAGAGAAGAGTCATGCTTTGTTATCACGCGCGGCGAACCGATGGACGGATCCTCGCTCAGCCCTACGTTAGCATTACGGAGTACCGCGGTAAGCTTAGGTGTTTTCCTGTGAGCGTGTGTAGAAGGATTGAGGTCGTCTGAACCCTGAGCAGAGAATTTTCAACCTCTTCAATATCGGCTTAAGGCGATTGGGCAATCACGCCCTCAAATCAATGTGCAGAGTTTCGATGTTATCTGGGGCAAAATGCCAACATGACGAAATTTTCTTCGATAGTGTCAGTGTGCCTGGACATTCGCGCAAGCAAAGGCGTGGTAGGGCGTCCGAGACTATCCCCACGCCGTCTGTATCCGCCAACGCGGAGGAAGTCCGACGGATCCTGCGAACGACTTATAGTCAGCCTCACGTTAAACATCGGACGCAGGGTAGAATCTCTCCGCAGTTCGAATAAATAGTGCGTTGTTACACAAGGCGTCTCTTTGCAGCAGCGATGTCGGCGTCCAAACACGTGAAGCGCACCGTGTTGTACATCCGTAGATTTGCACAAGATTGTTCAAAACGCATGTCGGAAAGCAGCGGCTCAACAAGCAACCTCGACGTCACAATCATCGAGTGGCTGAGATAAGAAGGCAGGTGAGGATAAAATTTTGCAACAAACGAGGATAGCATAGATCCTTCAGACATCGAGGGAAAGACAACGTGCACGATCTTGTAGACATACGTATGTAAATTCTTTATGCATATTTGCTTTTCGGGTTTCAGTTATATAAGTGCTAAAAGCTCAAGATTCAACAGCCGATGCAGACGCTTGGTTTATGTGGCCTGCAGAACCAGCTTGTCGCATGCCGTCAATACTCCGTAGTATACCATCTGCAACTTCACTTACACGGCCTTCTAACGAGCTGAAATCCATCTTGCTTACCACCTTGTTGATCTGCTCTGTGACAGCTTCATCCTGCACCGTATCTGCCATAACCTGCCCCTCTGTTCTCCAGTATTCCTCCCTTACGCCTCGCAGTGCTGAGTCGCGATTGACCGAGTTGGTGAGCAGACCGAGCCCACGTAGCTTGTTCAACGTCTCTTCTGCCTGACGTGAGGACATCTCGATTCGTTCGGCGATGTTGACGGGCATCGCGAGCCAGCGGTTAGTGCTGGTTGCCCAGAGCACGAGCGCAAGGGCGATGTCCTGCAAGGCGAAAACGATGTATCGAAGGAAGCGGACGCGCCAGTATACGGAGTCGATGTCCTGAACGAATTTGGCGCGTTTATTGGTGGTGATGTCGTAGGTTGCCATGAACCATGTTTCTACTATCAGTGCCGATATCCCCATGATGGTCGCGTGGGTGCGAAACCTCGAGCCCTCACTGCCCACCAAAGATGACGTAGCCAGACCAAGCACGAGGAACTGGAATATGTGTGGGGTGACTATCTTGGGTAGACTATACAGAAAATAGTCCTGCTGGTCGTTGCCGTTTGCTGTACCACACCACCCGCAGTTCAACAGTGTGTCTGGACCGTATACGAGATACAGCAGCTTGTTACGTGCACTCCCACCAAACTTGGTCCTCAGCGCATCATCCTCCGCCGTGAGCGGTCGCAGATGCCTCAGTCGCGCAAACAACACGCTGACCTCGGTCCGTATGTGACTCTGCGTCTGCAAGAATATGTTCTCTGGCGCAAAGCGAGACAGCGAGAGGACTACGCACACAACAGTAGCGACGAAGAGCAGATTGAGCGCGTTCTTGACTCGTGGCGGTGTTGGGCGGACTGGGACGCTTCGTGCGCTTGCGCGAGCGACGTTTATCCAGTCAAAGATCCGGGGTATGATGAAGGGCCCAAACATGATGAGCAGGGAGTGGACATTTTGCGGGAGGAATGTCAGGCGCGGGATTACGACATAGGACACGACGACGAGGATGATCGAGCGCAGGTTGAACATGCTGGGCGTGGGGAGGGCATGGGCGACAACTGAAGAGAGGTGTGGGTGAGGACATATTCAGAGTGTACACATAAACTGGCCACTTGTTGCGCGTAATACAGACCTAACCTATTTTGGGCTTAGCTTACCACTCTATGAGATGGCATGTACACAATCCATCTTTCATCACTACCACCGCCATCTTTCAGTATGCCGTTTTTAGTCAGTCCCTCGTTGGAACTCGCTCACGACATTGTATCCCATCTCGCACATGGATGATATTGGGAGTGCTGGCAGAGTATACATATGATAGAATGTGTGCAAGACGCACCAATGACGATGAGCCGAGATTTGGCGGCGAAGCAGACAGAGAAGCGAAGAAGAATACAAGTGAACAGCAATATCCATAATCCCAATGCCGAGACTCTTGTAAACAACAAACCTAGACTCTAGCTACTCCTGAAGACCAGACAGATTGGTTCTAGCTCTCAGGTCTTCTTCGGCCAAGTTCAAGCATTTGATCGGAACGTAGGTCGATATTTGCTGTCTTGGTGGCTCGAGGCGTACTTTCACACCAGCAATGTAACTCTGTTTTTATGCCATCAACCTTATAGTTGTGTGATAGTCACTTTGTAGTATATCTAAACACTAACACTCCTTCCTTGCTTATGCACGACGTGGTGCACTTAGGACAATACTCTACAGCAAACACCACTCTGTAAGCAGGGGCCTAACCTTACATGAAAAGGCATATCTCGCTGGCTTCTTTTGCATTTTTTCTCCGTGTCTACTGTTTTAACGCTCTTGACTCAAAAACTGTCCAAGTGAATCCCGATATCCTTGGATCTTGCCAGTTCCACCAACTTATTCCCAACCGCAATATCCATGATCCCAATGCCGACGCTCTTGTAGATTACAAATCCAGACTCCAGCCATTCTCGAAGACCAGACGGGTTAGTCTTAGCTCTCAGGTCTTCCATTCGGCCAATTTCCAGCATTTGATCGGAACTCAGGCCAGCTGTGACCAATTCTCCCGCCTCTTGCAAGCACCCCTCAATACTATCGACAGCGATATGACCTTGCCAAACCTGATGGGAAAATGAGCCGGAAGGATCTGTAACGGCCTTCAACAACTCGGGGTCAATCTCTGCCATGTCAAGGCGGTAAGAACCGATAGCCGAAATGAACCGTGTCTTGACTCGTGCCTTTTCAGACGTCATAAACGTGGCAGGAAATAGAGGTGTCGTGCTTGGGGTGGTGCAGAAAATCGCATCTGCAGCTGTGACGACGTCTTCCAATGTAACCTTATCATCCTCCTTTTCGCCAAAAGCCTCCAAATCGATATGTAAAGGTAATCCTGACTCAGTGATTGCGTCAAATAGTTCTTGAGTCCTCCGACTGGAGCGGTTGATCACAGTGATCTTTCGGATATCTTGGCCGCGCAGAAGGATTGCAAGACGGATATGCCACAAAGCCTGCTTGCCAGCTCCGAATACAACAATATTCTCAGTTACCTGCCGCAGTCTATATAGAAGGATCGATCCCAGAGCTGTTCGAAAGGCTGTAAGCTCGGCAGCGTTCAATATGCCGGTTGCCTGGCCCAAGGCGTCGCAAATGGTAAGAGCACTTTGCAACGCAGGTTTCAGCTTCGCATCCTGCGATGCGCCAGCAGGATCCTGCGATGGACTGATACCAACAATCTTGACGCCAATCGATTGCTGGGTTGTCGCAGGCATAAACAAGCTGACCTGATTCCCTGGTCGTGTAATAACATTGCGATGCGGCTGATACTGCTGCTCGTCATGACACGAGTATTGGACGAATGCTTGAACGAGGTCGTCCGCTATGTTGGTGACTTCAAATGGCTTGAGGTCTCGAAGGACTGCTTTGACATCGGTGTCAGACAGGACAGCGAAGGGCATTTTGCACAAGTGTAACAGAGGTCTGTAGCAAGAGACGGGTGATATTGTGTCTGAACTACTCAGAGCCGATGGATTAAGGATAGTCAGGCAACCACGATCATGTATTAACATTGAGTTTCGTGAAGTGCAACTGGCTCCTGGTCCGATATCGGTCTCTACCATCCAATCACCGGATGATCGCTTACTGAATAACGACCCCACCCTGCAGTCCAAGAGAGTAAGAAACATCGACAAGTGGCCTTCTAATCTTCGTTATCTTTGGGAATGACGAACCGTTCTCGTTGGCTGGAATACTCGTCTCACTCCAAGTCCGAGCATCGCTAGAAGATGAGCCGAAACGGTAGTAGCGGTTACCTCAAGCCAAACTTCTAATCCGATACGTACTCCTTCAAACAGACCTACGTTTTTTATGCTTTTTCTGGTAGACTCGTAGCAATAGCTTCTTGTACAGCCCACTCAGTCGCACTGGTCGGCAGAAATCCTTTACATCTTTTGGATAAAGATAATCCATTCATACCAGGAAAACTTTCAATCTCGAACAGCACTGGGCAAGAAACTCGGAGTACTTCATCCTGGCCGCTGCTAGACGTAGCATTTGCCTCCAATTTCAATTCCTCGAAACGAACTCCCAAAATTTCAGGCCAACCAGAGCGGCATCAATTGCGAAATTTCAAAATGAGGAAAAGCAGCACGCAAACTGAATCAGTTTTCCAGGGAACTGCGTACGTCCATGGCAGGGCTTCAGGTAAGCTCATCGCGAGCGACCTCGCCTTAAGTTTCTGGGGAGGTATCGACCCCCAAACCGGCGAAGTCATCGATCGCCATCATCCATTGAGCGGACAGTATCTCCAGGACACTGTTCTTGCTATCCCTGGCGGCCGTGGTTCATGCTCCGGTAGCGGCGTCATGCTAGAACTCTTGCTCAACAACAAAGGTCCCAAGGCAATATTGTTCGCAAGGAAGGAAGACATTCTCACGCTTGGTGTGATGATTGCTGAGGAGATCTTTGGGAAGTCTATCCCTGTTGTTACTCTGAATGCAAGGGATTTTCAGGATATACAAAATGCTAGCTACGTTCGTGTTGATGGCAACCGAGTCTCTCAGATTGAATCGAATGCCACTGCTGAGACGCCGCAGCCTGGTTGTACGGATACTCAGCAGGAACCTCCCACTGGCGACATCATGCTTACCGAATTGGACAAAGCATTTCTCCACGGGTTACTTGGCGAGGCAGCTCGTACGGCAATGCGTATCATCCTGCGCATGGCCCACTTGGCAGGAGCCCAGCAGCTCATGGACGTTACCCAAGTTCACATAGACGGTTGTGTCTATACAGGGCCGGGTTCGCTCGCTTTTGCCGAGAAGCTACGAGACCTGGGAGGACGTGTGCTAGTTCCTACCACCCTCAACTCGATCTCCGTTGACCAAAGGCGGTGGCGCGCCCTTGGTATTGACTCTGCGTTTGGCAAGGCATCTGAAAGGCTGGCGACTGCCTATACCGACATGGGTGCACACCCTACTTTTACCTGCGCCCCTTATCTACTGGATAGTGCACCGAAGCGCGGTGATCAGGTAGCCTGGGCTGAATCGAACGCAGTCGTGTATGCGAATAGTGTACTTGGGGCAAGGACTATGAAATACCCAGACTTCCTTGATATATGCATCGCTCTGACTGGCCGAGCTCCGCTAGAAGGGATGCACATCGAAACAAACCGACTGGCATCGCTATGTGTGAAATTGCCAGACATTCAAGACGTGAAGAATGTTGACGACTCGTTCTATCCCCTGTTGGGGTACTGCATTGGCGGCATATCTGGAGGCCATATTCCTGTCGTGGTAGGACTTGATACATTAGCCCCCTCGACCGATGACCTGAAGGCTTTCGGTGCTGCATTCGCGACAGTGGCGAGTGCGCCTATGTTCCATATAGTCGGGGTGACGCCGGAGGCTACCACACTAGAGGCGGCAATAGGTCAAGGGCGCGAAGTGAATACAGTTGATCTGGACTTGAAAGAGCTTGATTCCTGCTGGAAAAAGTTCAATACGGCGCAGACCCACCAGGCAGTTGACTTGGTGTCTCTTGGAAACCCTCACTTCTCGTTGACCGAAGTCAAGAAGCTCGCCAGTATTTGCCGGGGTCGAACGAAAAATAAGCAGGTAGCCGTTGTGGTAACATGTGGACGCACTACATATGGGCTAGCTAATCAGCAGGGATTGATTGTGGAGTTGGAAGAATTCGGGGTACAATTTCTCACCGATACCTGTTGGTGCATGATTGTCGAACCTGTTATTCCGCCTGCTGCGAAAGTCATCATGACTAACTCTGCAAAGTACGCGCATTACGGGCCAGGCCTTACAGGCAGACAATTTTGCTTCGGAAGTCTAACAAGCTGCGTTGAAACTGCATGTCAAGGTAGGTATGTTCAAGGAAGCGTGGTATCTTGAGGCTCGTACCATGACGAGATGGCTCATAAATACTCGTAGATGAACTCTGGCAGTCATATTACCTACCATACAATCATACTCGAGTTCTATCCGATCCCTTGACTTTCATCTACAAAATTTCTCTCTTCCTGGTATTACAGATCCACTGAGGTACCGCGTCGGGGTAATTTACACCGGCACCGGGTAATATACACCGGAGAATTGGGTAAATTTACCCTTTTACACGACAACATAAAAAAACTGTAATAATAGGTTTTTAAGGTATAAATAAAGATTTCCTACCTTCCTTTATATATCTATGTAGTAAGATAAGATTATTTCTTAAGATAGAAATTTTTTATTTTTTTTATTTTAGCGTTCACTGCTAAGCCTCTTTCTCGCTACCCTCCTCCTGCTACGAAACTTCAACGTATCTTTTTTATTATTAGCTAGAACCTGCTAAATAGGCAAAGTTTAGGTAGGAGGAGTGTCTCTTGTACTAGGCGTATGTGTGTATATAGGTATATAGGTACGTACGTAGGTAGTAGAGGGAGTAGACATAGAGGTTTATCTACTTTAGAAATAAGAAGCTTACGTAAGCTTGTTCTATAATACACCGTATCTTCTATATACGCTAAAGGGCGGTGTAAAACACACAGAAGAAAGACCGTGTTTTACACCGCAACGGGGTGTAAAGTGGCGGGGTAAATTACCCGATTTTGTACCTCAGTGAGATCATATTACTCTGCGTCACGAATAGAGCAACGAATGTCTCCCGTGGTTGGTCATGTGCTATGCCAATGACATACTCACGTAAGACCTCCGGTACGAGCGTTTTCATCTCAGACAGGGCAATGTAAGATATACCAACAGTCACTCATTGCGCGGAGGAAGAGTTGATACTTATATGCTTCCCGATACATGATCGTGTACCGGCACCAAGGTTGAGCATAGCCCGGTCCATGATCCTGGTCAGCTCCTCTCAAGCTATCTTTCCGGTCTAAACACATGAGAGTCTTCACCAAAGACACTTCTGTCCATTTGAACACAACTGGGAGGCGTGCTGACAATATATCCGGCCGCGATACGTCGATTATAGAGCTCAAGCCCTTGTCGCGGGGAGACTCGTGGCATGAGTACTTACCAGGCTGGGAACATGCGTGCAACTTCTTTGATGACGGCTTGGAGGTACGGAAACTTGATCACCTTGTTATATTGAACAGGGTGTGACAGAGTGCCGTTAGCAAACGCAGCGTCAATCTCGGCCTGGACCTTCTTCATGGAGCGAGGACTGTTCATGAGACTGTAAAAAATGGTTCTTATAGTTGCAGCCGTGGAATCGACACCAGCGAAACTATCACAAATGGTTAATACCAACTCTATCAAACAGTTAGCTCGAAACTCACGTTCCAGCCACCATCTCCGTGCGCAACTTCTTGGGCGTGTAACTTGCGCTCTCCCCTCTTTGGTGAACGATGGTCATAAACTGAGACAGAAGATCGACTCTCTTCACTGACATATCCTTGGATCGAGCCAGCTAGGCTTGCATTTCCGTCTCAGTCCGTTAAAAGTTTAGGAATTGCCGCACCTCAAATGAGCAAAAAGGGCCAAAGGTATCGCGGAGCCACAGAGATAATGGCCGAGAATGGAAATGCGAGGTGCGACGCTTGCATGAAGTTTCCGTAGTCACTCCCAGACTCGAGGAAACCAAACTGCCCCGCCCATGAATATAGCGCACCTGGGCAGCTATCAGTCTGGTGTCTACTGCATACTGATGTCGAAACTTCGAGACTCACGTCTCTAGCCACTTCCAAAATCAAACGGCTTCTTAGCATCTGTAAACTTGTCCAAGCGTCTCACAAACAGGTTCAGAACCTCGTCCAGCATATACTCGTTCTTCAATACCGATGTCATTGTATACACACCACCCACGATATTCCTGTACTCCGAATGCTCGTTTTTGTCTGTAGCAGTAAAGAAATCGTCTCGGCATCTTAAGACCTATTACACCATGCAATGTACATGTCTGACTTTTACAGCGGACGTTGGGTAGGATGAATCTTCGCAATTGCCTCAGGATCCGCAGATAAGACTTCATTGGGTGCGATGCGAACGAGCGGCCCGTATCTTTCGTGCATATCACGCATGCGGTCTGTCAGTCCGCCCCGGTAGATGCGGTACATGTGCCATTTTTGCGAGACAGACGGCCAGAAATCTCCGGGCACTTTTGCGATCGGGTGGATGGTGCGCGTGTATATGATCCAGGATAGGTGGCATACTATGAGAGAGACGGGGAAGATGATGGGAAGACATGTTTTTATTCCAGTTCCGTGTAGGAGCTCATCGATGAGCGCCATGTGTACGGGCAGCTAGAGTTTATTCAAAGGCGCTCCTCGAGGATGTCGTAAGTGACACATTGCTCATTCGTGGAAGGATTACATGACTCGATGTGAGGATTTACATCCATGCTCTCACTTCCCTGTTGTATTTGGAGTGTCTAGACCCGTCAATTCGATCTCGGAACATTCGACTCTCTCCAGACCTGGAGCGTGGCGTGTGACGAGAAACTGTTCAGACATTAACTAGCGCTCTAGCACGATGCGAGGGCGGTAACACATGTTCTCTCATTGCGCGTCAGCTTATTCCATTCAGTTGATTCGCCATGGATTTCGGTGTTTCCTCCCGGTTTTGAATAGGGGAGCAAGTGCCGAACTGTTGCCAGCGTAACTCAATCGTTGAGCTGTGAATTAGCTTTAGGCAAGGACAATATTAGGTCATTTCAGCCTTATTATCGGCGGTGGCGTGGTTCTCTTCGTATCACACCACAATCGTTGAAGGATGTTGTATGGCGTAAGATCCATTGATCCGATAGTGCCTGGGCGTCCGGGGTCGTTGCGTTCGGTAGATCATGAGGAACGAACCACTGGATGAAATAGTGAACGGGGCGAGATTAGCGAAAAGGTGCCTGGAGTTCCCATTGGTGGCTTGAGCAGCGAGCCGCGGAAAGCTAACGCCCGCGGTACGATGTTTCGAGCACTACTTCACCACACAAGCTTTCCAAACCCTCTTTCCGCGTCTATTTTTCGACTAACTCATGTTAGACAGGTTGAATCTCTTTGTTCGAGATCAAGTACAACATAACATGATGCATACATAAAGTAGAAAGAAAGCACGCCACCCTTGCTCGCCTACCCAGGCAATACTTGCGCAGTCTCGTGGCACAGTTGTTGCCCATGACTTGCGAACAATGAACGATTTCGCCAACCCGATTGGCGTTATTAAATCCCGGCAGCCGCGAGAGTAACGAACAATTAAGCCACGAGGAAAGTTGTGGAAAAAGAATAGGTTAGACAAGGGCGGCTCGCGATCGGTCCCCGCCTTGGTACCTTCAGATATATCGTTGACAAATATGTGCCGCTCCAATGCAAACTTGCGGCACAGCAGAAAGGGGTCTCTACGTAATCCTACCAAGAACGAGGCACAAGTGATCGCGTATATCGCGTCTGCGGAGCAGCGTTGCCGCGCTTCGACACTTACCTTTCTCTTCAGACATTACTATAATTTTCCGCATTATTTCGTTGTAGTGGTATAGATCAGCATGAAGCGTGCGATAATCCTGGGTGTGGGGTTCACTCTGTTGGGATTTTTGTTACCTCCAGTGATCTCGCTGGAGGTGGAGTATCCAGCATGCGTTGTAAGTATGCTCCTCTCCAGAGACTGAATCCTAGAGTGTAAGTTCGTCAATATTTTGGTGATGATATTGGCGTGTCGACGCGAGATCCGTCGCTGACTTGATTGAAGACAAATTGCACACAAGCAGTGCTCGAGTGCGATCCTACGAATGCAATATGCATATGCACAGCATCGCCACTTCTGAAACAAGGAATCATTGCCTGCGTCAAGGACAACTGCACTGTGAAGCAAGGCTTTTGTACGTTGCCCGGTTCGACTATTGCTCAGGCATAACCCCAGACATCGCTGACTTACGAAGCTGCTGCGGGTGCGATATCTTTGATGTGCCATGTACCAGTTCGAAGTCGCTCTGAGGCTATAACCGCCACCACTGCTACATCTGGGGTCCTTTCATTCATCGCAACTTCAATGCGTACGTCTGTAGCATTGTCTCAGGGTAGTTTCGGATTGGACGATGCAAGTGCTATCGTCGCCGAACTAGCGGGCATCTCGTTCACAGTCGTTGTTTTCTACCAAAGCTTAATTGGCCTCGGAAAAGACACATATACTGTTGATCCAGAAGATATATACCCCTTTCTGAAAGTAGGTAACTGCGCTGTCATTCTGGGCGAAACCGTGTAAAAGAAGCTAACATCTTCGGGTCAGCTCACATACTATGGACAAGGCATATATTTCTGGTGCTCGGGCTTCACGAAACTTTGCTTCCTGTTCTTCTTCCTCCGAATCTTTCCTTCGCAAAGGACAAGAATGTTTTGCTTCATTGGTATCGTAGCCAGTGTTTTGTACACATTGGCTTATTCCATCGCAGCATGGCTTCAATGCAAACCCATATCTGGTGAGCGCTCCAATATCTGAGAAGGTGTAGCATAGTGGAGCAAGGTCACTAATTTCGCAGCCTCGTGGGAAGCATGGGACGGAGAACACGGAGAACCCGACTATTGCATCAACCTGAACACTTTCTGGTACGCGGCATCGGGAGTCAACATCGCACTCGACCTTGTCATCGCCGCAATCCCCATTCCGGAGCTTGTCACGTTGAATCTTAGCTGGAGGAAGAAGGGGTCTCTCATCGCCATATTCGGTGTTGGTTTCATGTATGTCATTCCCACTACGTTCCTTCCCAGATGGCCTTTGATACATTTGACTGACACGAACCCCCCAACAGAACAATCATGGTCTCTTGTGTCCGTCTCCCCACCCTGCACACCTACGGCAACACATACAACCCCCTCTGGAACCACTCCTGGGGCAATCTAGTCAGCACCGTGGAGCTAAACGTGGGCGTAATATGTATATGCTTGCCCTCTTTTCGACGGTTCTTCCAGCGCTTTATCCCTAAACTATGCGGCGGAACCTCAACTCCAGACTCAAACTACCGGCATTACGATGACGACCACACGCCGAGAAAAAGGAGAATCCATCGCGACTCGGATCTATTCAACACTGTAACTAAGGCGGGGGATACACGAGTTGTAACGGTCCAAGAGGATGACGACGATGAAATCGAGCTGATGGAGTTGGGGAAAGGGACGGGGAGAACAGCGAGTATTGAGGGGAGTACAGAGAGTCAGCAAGATATGTATGAAGGGCCTGAGCAGCAGCATCAGGGCTGATTATCTGGTATCAGCCATTTTTTTACCCTCTTCATGAATGCATCTCAGATCTACAAAAAATACCAATTTCGGAGTATACCCAATGTTTAGAAATACACACTTTTAGTACCTCAAGATTCCGACTACTGTTCCAGTTCATGATTTACGTCACCCATGTTTACCATGTCAGATGCACTAGAACTTGAGTATTAAATTATAGATGTTTCTATAAAGTTGTTGCATAGACTCTGCCATATGTAGTCACGAAACTGCAAGCTCAAGACCATCCTACACAGTACTTTACAAATAGGTATGACTACAAAACAGCGTGGCCAACCTAAGCCTATACTACTGCCTGCCCTCTTTGCAAATCCAAATTTTCTTGTCCAACAGCACATGCCAACATAGTATATTATTTGGCTGGTTCAATCAGAGTAAATTCTTGACACGATGCAAGGTACATACACATATGAAAATATGGTCCAGGCGACTCGACCTCCTGTTTCTGCAAAAAAAAAACCCTGTAATTCGACTAATCAACAAGCAGACTACCTCATACTCACACTTCATCTACCCACCATTGCACAACTCCTCAAACGTGCCCAGGAACCCCAGCACCCCAACCCTCACTATCCAAGATCTTCTTCCTCCTTCCCCCTTCATAGCCCGTCTAGCATATCATATACACAATGAAACCTAGCTAGCTCCCTCACCATACACACACACGCACACATATACACACCACCACCTAGATACCGTGCTAAAAATCCACCACACCTCCCTTCCTCCCTCCCTCAGCACGCAAACACCTACTACCCGACCAAACCACAATCCGCAGAATACAAGGCTCTATCTACTCACTTCCGCGACAAACGAGCACGAGCATGATCAAAAACATCCCTTCTCTCTCCGCGCCCGCAGCTTCGAAAAGCAAGGCACAGACTTATTGATGGACACGGCTTATTGTGCGGTGTGGGTTGGTGAGTTGGGATGTAGTGAGTTGGGATGTAGCGAGATAGGATGGGAGGGGATACATGTATATAGGTAAGCAAACACTAGTATATCATGTATTCCCCCTCTATCCCCAGCATGCCGGTCCACAAACCCCCGAAACCACCGCACATCTAGCCCAACAGACTCAGCCTCTCAAACGCCCTAACAACAGGCGCCTCCCTCCTCCTCCCCACCTCCTGCACACTATCCCAAAGCGTCGCATCCCCACCCCTCGGCCTCAACTCTCCATCCCCCTCACCTCCTCCCGCAGCATCCACCCCCTCAGTCGGCGTAGCAGAAAGCGGCGTATACATCTCCGCGACCGCCTTCCGACACCCCTCCAGCACCTCACCAACCGCCGTCTCCACCGCCGCAGCCCGCTCGCGCATACCCCTCTTAACCAGCCCCTCGACCAGCCTCTGCATCTCGTCCTGCATGCCGTTTATGCGCTCGATGAGGCGCTCGATGGAATTCGTGAGGTACTCCTCCTCGTACACCGTGCCCTTCTTACCGCGGGCGCGTTTGCGCTCCTCGCGGCGTTTGTTCTTGCTCGTGCGGCGCGTGGTGGCTGTATTAACCGTGCCAGTCGCGTTAGTGTAGCGCGTCATGAACGTCCCACCGGAGGTAGTGTCCGTGGGGGCGAGGGAGATGTTATCGGGGATATTCACGCCCGCGGCGTCGTCGAGACCCTCGTAAAACGCCATGGGGTCTTCGGCTTTCTTTGTGCGCAGGTCGCGGAGCCGGGGCACTTGGGCGAGGAGCTGGGATTTCATGTCGGCGAGGAACTCGGTCATGTCTGCGCTGCGCTCGATGAGGCCGGGGTCGATGACCGAGGTGATGAGGTCGGGGTGCCGGCGGAGAGTCACGATGCGGGTCGCTTCGGCGAAGTAGCTGCCTCTGCAGAGGAGGCGGGCGGCGGTTGGGAGGTCGGAGAGGTAGTCTAGGGTGATGGTTGAGGCGGGGAGGAAGTCTTTTGATTCTATCAGGCCTTCGGCTAGGGAGGACGCGATCGAAGTGATTTCCTCTGTAGATACACCGGCGAGAGTGGCGGAGGATAGCGCTTCTTGCCAGAGATTGGCTGAGCGGTAGCATGGCCAGGCTGAGGCGTGGTCGTTGAGGTATTCGTAGGCTAGCGCCGCCTCTTTGTGCTTGTTGCTATTGCTTAGGTAGTCTGCATAGAGACGCATGATCTCTTTCAGATGAGTTGCATCGTACTGGTACATGCTCAAGGCCTCAGGGTACAGAGCGTGTTTCTGGACGTAGTCTTGAACTTCGTCAAACGCCTGCAGATCTTTGAGGTGTATGAGAGCCTTTGCGCGTCGGCTAAGCTGGTCATCGATCTTGAACTGGCGACGAAGCTGTGGCAAGTCCTGGAGAGACTGGAGATGGGGGAGATATTCGCGAGGATCCTATGCGCAAGATCAGCTCGAGTAAGACGGGCGATACTTGATTCTCGTACCTTTTGTGACTGTTGCGCAATAAGTAGGGCAAGGTCTAGATTGTACAATCCTAGCGCAGTGTCATATAGTTGGTTGACGTCCGCAAGAAAGCAGATGTGCTCGGCAGCTTTCTCCGTGAGCGGATCATGAGAAGCTCAATAACAGTCAGTACTGTTCGAAAAATGATGGGGCTTCAAGTACGCACATTGTAACCTTCCAATCATGTCAAGACCGGCCTCCAAAGCTGGTGGCACCTTGCAAACGTGAGATGTGATGATGTTTTGCAAGTGATTTTCCTTGTACTGAGATTGCTCAAGTACCGCCAGGAAAGCGTCGCAGATAGAGTTGACTTTGGTATCGATCTGTTGCTGTGATAGCCTAGACTTAGTAACCAGGTCTTTCGCCTTGAGTGTTTCCTTGTACATCGTTTCTGACACGTCCTCGTTGCTAGGATTGTTAATCATCATCCGGGTGGAAAGAGGTTGTCTGCTTACCGAAGCTGCGAGAGAAGCAGATCAATATGCTCTATCCGCTTGATTTGTGTCAAGATTTTCTCAACGTTGGCCATGAAACGATCAGGATCATGGTCATGAATGATGTTCATGTCTACACGCTGGTTTCGGCACGCGAGGAACGCCTCATCGTATCGTTCGGCCTCGATACTGCGTCGGATGGCGGCCAGTACAAGTGCTCGTGGATAAATGGTTTCCAAATTTCCTCTTGGCATCTGGAGTACCACCGAGTAAGTTGTCGGCATCACGGTGACGAGCTTGGCACCTCGCTCGATGCTTCTACAACGTTCATCTTTCTGCGGTTCATCTGCGGGTACTTCGAGTTCTGGGTCATGTTAGCGCCCTGGGCTATACATGTTTTTTGGAGTGGGGGTACTTACCACCTGCGCTGGTGAGATGCACGAACTTGATTAAATGCTGCGATGTCGTGAATATGAGATGAGCCGGTGTGACTAGGTATGATGTGCAGTTCCTGACAAGAATCCGGTCGTTTGCGAACAAAACACCGCTCTTGGTCAAGCCGAAAGCCAGCGTCTACTACGATTAGCGAACGTTATCAAAATAGAATTTGGCATGTGTACCTGTTCATCGAGAACAATGACTCTGACTTCAGGAGCAAATGAGGGGAACTTGTGAACAAGATAAGTCTCAGGAGGTAGATCGCTCGACGCCCCACTCGTGCTAATTTGATGCAACGCGCCGTTCGCAAATTGTGTGTAGAGATTCTCGAAATCCGTACTGAACGTCAGCGAGGATATACTTTCTGCCTCAACTATAGGTCCTTGCGGGAGCAACTCCTCTCCTTCACTCCTCCAAAGGCAGCTTTCATCCTCGTCCCAGCTGTCTGTGAGAACGTAGATCTGCTCATCCCCAACAAAATTGACATGCCGTGGGGAGTGGTTTTGAACTGCGTCGCTTCGCCAGAGAAGAGCGGGTTTAGGCAGAGGTCGTTTGTGCATGTCGAGAGCATACACGGCAAGGTCTTTATCTGAGAGGACTGCAAGTCGAGTTCCTGATGAGGACAGCCCAACGTCAATGGGCTTCTGCTCGAGCGCAAGAGTGTGCAGTGACATGGGGGGTGGAACGTTTGCTATTCTCAGCGGCGTGAGTTTCAAAGCCACTGGAAATAGTCAGTACCGATTAAGATCGGATCAAGCTCAAGATCTTACATCCATCAATCGACGCAATCATCCCGAAATCATTCGGTGGTGCGACTGAACCCGCTGCTGTCGCTGAGAGATACTCAAGTATTTGAAGTGCGCCTGAGACATGCGTTAGCAAGATCAGCTAAGACTCAGTGTTTGCATACCTGGAGTTGACAGAGCTATCGCTAGCGGTCGCTCTGAATGCCATGTGCATACGACTGTCTGTGCAGCGGTCTCCGGGAAGGCCAGCTCCTGTTTCAGATAGTAATGGTAGTTGCTCATAGTCCATAGCTGCACTCTGTTTGAGTACGACACGGCCAGAACGTTGGAATCGCTGTTCCACTTGAGCGTGAGAGGTGCGACCAGTGCGTCAAGTTCTTCTGTGGTAAATCGCAAGTCGAATTGGCCGTGACGAAGCCCATTTCGTTCAAAGAAGACCACCTCGAGTTTATCGCTAGCACGCTTGATAGAAGCGATCAGATTACCAGATGGTCTCCAGCTAAGAGCTCCTTCAAGACCGTCCACTGGTTCGCTGACGCTATCTAGTTGCCCTTCTCTTGAATAGACTCGGATCATACGGCGTTGCTCTTGCTCAACTTTGCTCACTGCAAAATATGCTCCGTCGCCTCGCCAGCTGATAGTCACAGAGCGGTCGTCGAATGGACTCAGGATTCCTTCGTCAACTGTCTCTGGAACGGTAGGGTCTTGCAGTGCTCTTGCTCTCTTTCCCTTGAACTGCGTCTCCTTCTTCCCCCATCCCACAGAGACATGACTCGAAACGTTGACATCTTCTGGTGTGAGTGTAACGCTTGCGATATTCTCGATTTCGCGGCTCATCAATAGGAGTGTGTCGGCTTGTGTTGTGATGGCGAGGAGTTCCTCGTCTGGCGACCAGGCTGCAGCCGAAATCCCAGCATCGACTGATCCAACAATCTCAACTAGCTCTTCGTTCGGGTCCTCTTTGATTAGAATGATGTCTCCTCCGGCCAAAATCAGACATGATGTCGCCGTATCCGCAAAATGGTGAAGGCTCAATACCGAGTCATGGGTAAGCGATGGTAGTGGACACGGCGCATCCCACGCAGCAATGCTTTCAAGTCGATCTTCAGCGCCGTTGCGAGTGTAATGTAGTCGTTTGAGTTCGATGGCTGCACGTGATTCGGAAGGTCCAAACGCGCAAATGAGCGCATTCGATGTGGCGTCCCAAGCTGTGGCAGTGAGGGGTAACGGATTTTCCCCAGAGAATCGCAGCAGCGACCTCGCCACAATTTTAAGATTCCGCATGGTAGCGATTTGTGAGGTTTATTCGTGGGGCGAGCCAGTCATGTTGGTGACAGTCATTTTGGGAATTTTTGTTCGGTTACAGCTTCTGTCTTGGCATGACCGAATCATCGATGAGTAAGTGAAGGCGACCAGCAAAGCAAACGACACATGATGCGTCGAGGCTATTTCGCTGCAGTAACGGACATTAGCTACTTTGTTGTTCCTGGGTTTGTTTAGTGGGGTGTATAGTGGTGTTGTTGCAATTGTGGTGTGTCAGCAGCACTGCATCGCGTGCAACTCTTTGGCATGCAGCTGTGAAGACGGATAATGAAATTGGTGTCTAGTGCCCCGCCTATTCTACAAGTGCCATGCCCTTCTGATGTCCCAGAACCGCGCGCATATCTCGTCCCAATGCATCTAGGCCTTGTTCTTCTTTGTCTGCCAGACTGTAGCACCACAACTGTCAGATATCTGTACAATAGACATGGGGTCAAATTAGGGATCTCACCAGCAAGGAGGAAGGGCAGAGAGAATCCGGTAGCTGTCTCGATTAGCCAGAGTGCTGCCAAGTTCCCTCGCTGCAAGCTTACCCATGAAGCCCCAGTACTTGAACGCAAAGCCCCTCTTCAGAGGATCAAAGGGCAAGTTGCTGCGCGGGCCCTCGGGGTAGTGGTAGGGGCTGGAGAACTGCGCGCGGGTCGACTGGAAGCCGCGGCGGGCGACGAGCGAGGGGGCCGAGGCGGCGCGGAAGGTGGCGCGGGCGAGCATCTTGGAGAGTCAGCGGGGAGCGCAATTGACGAGGTGCGGGCGTGTACTTTGGCTGTGTGGTGAGAGTGGAGATTGTCGAGGGCGTCGATGGGGTGATGTCTTTGGAGATGATGCAGCTTAGCTCAAATGCTTGGCGGGCGGGTTGGTGTGGCTCGTGCCTTTGACGATCCCAGAACATTTTCTACCGATGGTCGGTCGCGCGTTCTTTCTCTGGCACGCCGCGTCAACGACACTAACCGTCGCGTGCACATCCGACCACGCACAAGCATACCCGCCATGGACGACGACCTGTTCGACGTCTTCGAGGGCGGACCGGGCTCCGCAACACAAGTCCCGCCTAAGAAGAGCAAGAAGCGCCAAGCGAACGGCGACGTGAAATCGCCCGCGCCCGTCGAAGATGCGCCCATGTCGGATGCGCTCTCGGAAGCGCCCGAGCCAGCAAACGACGACGATGACGAGGACGAGGACGAGAACGGCACACCACAGGTTCCCAAGCGGCAAAAGCGCGACGCCGAGCCCGAACCCATTGTGACGGACGACTTCGAGACGGAGCAGTCGCGCGAGATTGCCGCCGCCGCCGGGCTGCAGGCCCAGACACAGCAGGAGGGACAGGCCGTGGTGCTCTCCCACCAGGTCCGCCACCAGGTCGCCCTCCCGCCCAACTACGACTATGTCCCCATATCCGAGCACAAGCCGCCGCAGGAGCCTGCGCGCACTTGGCCCTTCACCCTCGATCCCTTCCAGCAGGTCTCCATCGCCTCGATCCAGCGCAACGAGAGTGTCCTGGTCTCGGCGCATACGTCAGCCGGAAAGACGGTCGTGGCCGAGTACGCCATTGCGCAGTGCTTGAAGAACAACCAGCGAGTCATCTACACCAGTCCCATCAAGGCGCTGAGTAACCAGAAGTACCGCGAGTTCATGGCCGAGTTTGGCGACGTGGGTCTCATGACGGGTGATGTCACCATCAACCCGACTGCGACATGTCTGGTCATGACCACCGAGGTATGTGCTGTGCTGTGCCTGTCCTGTCCAATTGCTGGTCTAACATGCTCAGATTCTGCGTTCCATGCTGTACAGAGGCTCCGAGATCATGCGCGAGGTGGCCTGGGTCGTCTTCGACGAGGTCCACTACCTACGAGACAAGTCGCGTGGTGTCGTCTGGGAAGAGACCATCATCCTCCTGCCAGACAAGGTCCGCTATGTCTTTCTCTCGGCCACCATCCCCAACGCCATGCAGTTCGCCGAGTGGATCACCAAGACACATAGCCAGCCCTGCCACGTCGTATACACCGATTTCCGTCCGACCCCACTTCAACACTACTTCTTCCCGCAAGGCGCAGATGGTATTCACTTGGTCGTCGATGAGAAGGGCGTGTTCCGAGAAGAGAACTTCCAAAAGGCAATGTCATCCATCGCAGACAAGGCAGGCACCGAGGCCTCGGACTTCACGGCCAAGCGCAAGGGCAGAGGCAAAGACAAGAAGACCAACAAGGGCGGGAACAAAGACGGCTCGGATATCTACAAGATCGTCAAGATGATCATGATCAAGAGCTACAACCCCGTCATCGTCTTCAGCTTCAGCAAGAGGGAATGCGAAAACTACGCGCTCGCCATGAGCCAGCTCGCCTTCAACGACGAGTCCGAAAAGGCCATGGTGTCCAAGGTCTTCAGCAGTGCCATCGAAATGCTGTCAGAAGAGGACCGCGCGCTTCCCCAGATCCAACACATCCTGCCACTTCTGCGAAGAGGTATCGGCGTCCATCACTCCGGACTCCTGCCTATCCTGAAGGAAACCATTGAGATTTTGTTCCAGGAAGGCCTGATCAAGGTCTTGTTCGCGACAGAGACTTTCTCCATCGGATTGAACATGCCGGCTAAGACCGTGGTCTTCACCAGCGTCCGCAAATTCGACGGTGTATCCCAACGATGGGTCACTCCCTCAGAGTTCATTCAAATGTCTGGACGAGCTGGTCGTCGTGGTCTCGATGACCGTGGTATTGTCATCATGATGATTAACGAGCAGATGGAGCCTGCTGTAGCAAAGGAAATCGTACGCGGACAGCAAGACAACCTAAACTCTGCTTTCCATCTTGGATACAACATGGTTCTAAACCTGATGCGAGTGGAGGGCATTTCTCCCGAGTTCATGCTGGAGAGGTGTTTCTTCCAGTTCCAAAATACCGCTGGTGTCTCTAATCTTGAGAAACGTAAGTCGATCGATTTCTTGAAAACGAATACTATTGACAACTGTGACAGAATTGCAAGAATTGGAGCACGAGAAGGCGAGCACAAACATCACAGACGAAGCGACCGTCAAAGACTACTACAACCTGCGACAACAACTAGACACCCACACAAAAGACATGCGCGATGTCATCATGCACCCCAACTACTGCTTACAGTTCCTGCAGTCTGGCCGCCTAGTCAAAATCAAGTTCAAGGACCACCACTTTGGATGGGGCGCCGTCGTAGCATTCGTTCCTCGAAGAGCCAACAAGGGCGAGATCCTGCCACCTCAGCAATCCTACGTCGTCGATGTTCTCCTCAAAGTATCAAGCGACACGAAATTCGCACCGCAGGCAAACGAGGGCCTGCCGCCTGGTGTGCGACCACCCGCGCCCGGCGATAAGGGCAAGGTCGAGGTCGTGCCTGTGCTCTTGAGCTGCATCGAGTCGATTGGCCATCTGCGCATCTTCCTCCCTCAGGAGCTTAAATCCACAGAGCAGAAGAACGGCGTGCGCAAAGCACTGGACGAAGTCGAGAAGCGCTTCCCAGACGGTATCGCCATTTTGGATCCGATCGAGAACATGCAGATCGTAGATGACAGCTTCAAGCGTTTACTCCGGGTAAGCCGAAAAACCCCATCCTATGCCTTTTCTTCATGTCAATGCTAACAGGTGTCCGCGTGTAGAAAATCGAAGTCCTCGAATCCCGTCTCCTCTCCAACCCCCTCCACAACTCCCCCAGACTACCAGAACTCTACAGCCAATACGCCACCAAAATGGCCATCGGCGACAAAGTAAAAGCCATCAAAAAGCAAATCGCAGACGCCCTATCCATAATCCAACTCGACGAGCTCAAGAGCCGAAAGCGCGTCCTCCGCCGCCTAGGCTTCATCGACGACGCCGACGTAGTCCAGCTCAAAGCCCGCGTCGCATGCGAAATCAGCACCGGCGACGAGCTGGTCCTTAGCGAACTGCTGTTCAACCGCTTCTTCAACGAGCTCACACCCGAGCAGTGCGCCGCTTGCCTCAGCTGCTTCATCTTCGAGGAGAAATCCGCTGATGTGCCCGCCCTGAAGGAAGAACTCGCAAAGCCTTACCGCGAGATCCAACAGCAGGCGCGCGTTATCCTGAAGATCTCCCAGGAGAGCAAGCTCGCTGTCGATGAGGAGGCGTATCTCAAGTCGTTCAAGTACGAGCTTATGGATGTTGTGTATGCGTGGTCCAAGGGCGCGAGTTTCGCACAGATATGGTATGTCCCCTCCCCCTTCTGCATTATTCTCGAATGCATTGTGCCCGTCTATCACCCGTCGCTAACTCGCTCGTCCAGCAAAATGACAGACGTCTACGAGGGCAGCTTGATCCGCCTCTTCCGCCGCCTGGAGGAACTGCTGCGCCAAATCGCCCAGGCTGCAAAGGTCATGGGCAGCGAGGAACTGGAGCAGAAGTTTACCGCTGCGCTGGATCTTGTGCGCCGCGATTTGGTGGCTGCGCAGTCACTGTATCTCTGATCTGGTCGCATCATCCTGAAGAAAAATCAGAAGACGGGTCAGAAGCTGTGTGTATATATCTGTAATGGGATGACGCGGGGAGATGTTGGGTTGGTCTTTGCGTCGTTTGCTAAGGTAAGGTAAAGTAAGGTAAAGGGGTTACTTGCATGCATGCTTGGCGTTTTGATTGTTTCTATCTATATGCGTCGAGGTCTTACGATTGCGGAGGGGACTTGCGCGTGCCTATTCACGTGGACTGGAGGCTCGACGTAGTGGCGTGACGTCGATGGGGGGAGGAGTGGTCCTGGATTACCTACCTGGAATTATTGACTAGATTTGATACCGCCGACTGATGCGGTAAAATGATCCCTCTACCCCCCTCACAACATGCCTGTCTCGAAGTGTGTATGCATTGGTGTGAAAATATGACCCGCTTCATGTTGTTATCACATCCTTATCTAAGGCCTGTCCGTTTGCTCTTGGAACGTAGTTACGTTACGTTGCAAACGACAATGTCATGTTGTGTGCATGCAGAAAAGACTTGTGTTGATTCTTATATTTCACGATACGCGTACACGCTCGCTGCCGTAGAAATCGCGATTTGAAAACAATGATCCCATGATCTTATCTCAGCTTAGAATGAGAAAGTAGTCACCTCAAGCGTAAATCGTCTTTGAGCGTAACTCTCTCACAGAAACGAGGAGTTGATGACCATTTACGATCATGTAGTCCTGGAAACAAAAATCCAAATAGCTGACGGTATGACCAAGACGTGTAGAAAAATTCCCGAAACGCCCGTGACTAAACTCCGTAATCCGCAGCATCTGAAGTTGATGCCGTCGTAACAGGGTGCGACGATGGATACATTTTGTTTCGTCGCCCGCGTCGATAGAGGGAAAGTATAGTGGCGATAAAACGTAGAAGCGCAGCTTATGCCTTTACAGGCTCGCTGCCCAGCTCACCGCTCTCGTTGTCGTCGGATGCTGATGCTTCCCGGTGCAAGCTCGACTCGCGGTGCAGGAACGAGATGCCTTCCTTGGCTGGGCTGCCAACCAGCTCCTGGGGAGTTCCAACCTGTCCGGTGGGGGTGGGCGGGGCCGCCATGTGTGGGATCTTCTCGGGATTGGGGTGCTCGCGACCGACCTCGGTGACGCCGGCGTCTGAGGCCTTGCCAGCCTTGGAAAGAGCGTAGTCGCCGCTATCGAAGTATTTGCGCTCCTGTAGGAAGCGAATTAGCGGAGAGTACCACGATGGCTGCATGCGGGCCGAGTCGTACCTTGAGCTTGTTCTGCAACAAGTCCTTCTTGTTCGGGAGTTTTCCATAGAGGCGGAAGAGACGGGCCTCATCCGGAGACATTTTCTATGTTATCGTGTTAGATTTGGCGCAATTATTGTGACTTGGAAGGGTAGCATCTCAAGCAGCAAGGATACTGCATAAGAACCGCCATGACGTACGCTGATGTCCACCTTGTTCTGTTGGTGCGGGTTCATGTTGGCGGTGGTAATTGTTGGCGGTGGTGCGGGTGGAATGCAGATGACGATAGTTGGAGGGGTAGTTGCTCGCGGGGATGCAGGGGAAGCGTTGTGTTTTGTCCTGTGCTAGTCCTTTGTTTTCGGAGTTGTCGAGAAACGGGACCAGTGCTCGTTTATCAATGGACGCTGTTAGTCGTTGGCCCGCGTTTGCTGATTGTGTCTCGTTTCGGTGGGGAGCGTGGGCGATTGGGTGTCAAGTGACGAGGAAGCTCGGGCGTGTCTCGCAGTTGCTGCCTGACAACACAAAGCACGGCGACTCCTGTGCGGGTGGTTTCTTGCTGTGCTGAAGACGTGGGTAGATATCCGCGATATGCGAAGCACTTGAGGTTGTCTGTATATGTGGACAAGGCAGTAAGTGAGACGCTGTACAGGTGCTGGGATCAAGTGTGTGTCGAGAGAAGAAGGAACGATGGGAGTTGGAAAGGAGATGGGTGGTGTGGTGATCGTCTGAAGTTGGCGTCTGCTCCGAATCGCTTCTGCAGTGAAGCTAAGGAGGGGTAGAGTGTGGATGAGACAACGCGTGGGCGAATTACGACAGTCACGCAGCAGTGGCTTGTTCAAACACTCAATTGACTCGATAGCACAGGAACCTGGAAGTCCACTGCCATGCCTGCATGATATACCGCAATATACAAAGCTAACGAGTCCTGGTGGAATGAATACGCTGGATTGTCGTGACCGTTACCGTTGCTGGACGACTACAACGTCACGCGTACTGATCATCATTGGTTTCTCGCGCGCTAGATCGCCAGGAACACATCAGTTCATGATCATATTCACGTCTTCAATTGGCTCCTTTGAGTTACTCCCTGAGCGTCCACGATGCATGAAACACAGCTGTCAACTAAATGGGTTGATTTTACGGTGCAACTCAGATTTCTAAGGTTACGAATGGGCGACTTTACCTTCACAAAAGACGCTAGTACGGTAGAGCTCCGATCGATGTCCGCCAAACCCTGATAGGAAGCCTTTTTGACCACATGTTCTACCTTGCAAATCACTACTGCAGGCTTACTCGTAATTGTCCAAAAATTGACGATTGGTACGATCTTGTGAGTGCAGCATCATCAGGGTCTGAAGAGTTGAACAGACCCGCAACCAATTCGCGGGGTATCCAATTCGCCAATTTCGGACCCCTCTGACACCAAGAAAAAAACACGCGAGTAAAACCGTCCGCCTCCAACTACGCAATGGCAAACGCAGGCAAGATCTTTGTGGTCGAGCACCTTGACCCAGAGCTGGAGGAATGGTCATCTCTCGAATACTCGACCATTGCCGCAGAGAGCCATGCTTCTGGTGCACAGTTCCTGCTCTCTTCAGTACCAACGTCCTTGAAGTTACCCGAGAATCTAAAGGGAATTCAGGGTTTGAATGTCGAGACAAGAGGTGTTGAGCAAATCTATGCAGATAGGAAAGACAGAGTGTGTCTGCTGGATCCTTCTGCCTCAAAAGACTTGAGCCCTGAGGATGGCGACACATTCGACATCTTTTTGTTTGGTGGTATTCTTGGTAAGTCAACGTAGAAATTAACACGGAAACTAGAGGGGGTTTGTTAGATCGAAACTGACATCAATGCAGGCGATGATCCACCCAGGGGTACGTGATACAGTGCGCAACGCTTCCTTCGTTAGACTGACAGATGTCATCATAGATCGCACTTCAGAGCTGCGCAAGAAGGGCTACGAGGGACGTCGTCTGGGACCAATTCAGATGACGACCGACACTGCTGTGCGCGTCACACGATTGATTGCCCATGACAGGAGTATGTGAACACGGAGATATTTGTTGTTCGAAGGTGCTAATCGTGGGTAGTTCCCGTCGACAAGATAGAATACATCGACAATCCGGAGTTGACGATCAACAAGAATGAGAGTACCCAAATGCCTTTTCGATATGTCAAGGGCAAAGATGGCAAACCAATCATGCCCAAGGTAAGATCAGAAGCCCTTCCACTATGCAATGCTTCGATAGAAACAGTATACTTATTCTCGACAGGGCATGGTCGACCTGATCATCAAGGACTCAGAAAAAAGTCTCGATGATCTCCTGTGAGGACATACCCGTCTGACCATATCGAAGACTCAGCACTTGGAATGCTGCAGAAACGACAGGACATATCTATACTATTGCGGTACGCAGTCATCCACGATTCTTCTCATCGATGCAATTGTTCTGGCGGATCAACTGGGATAATACGAGCTAAAAGAGTACTGGTGTGATACGTGCAGAATTTCAGCCTCAAATGGGTGTCGAGGTTCACGGATAACCCGCAAATCTTGGTTTCTTTGTATGGATATTCGATGAATTCTGAGGACTGCATTTTGGGGAAGGCAAAAAAGCCTCGGGGTCGCGTAAAATATTTGAGCGAGGGAGTCAGACTTCCAATAGTAATACACACCCCTCGAGACAGGCCAAAGTACTTCGGATGTCCACACCAGCAATGGCTAACAAGGCAGGCTCATCGCTCTAGATGTGCAAAGCCTGAACACGATGATACATGCTTGAGGCACGTCGCAGGATTAGGGCTGTCTGCAATGTCATGGTCATGGCCATGAAAGGAGGTGGTGGTGAGACGGACGCGCCGGGTATGCACAACGCGTGATTGGGTCGTCCCTGCTTCTGATCATGCCACGCCTAGCTAGCGTACCGCCCACGGCGAAGCTTCATTGAGTTCTTAATAGAACATGGCGATTTTGTAGACATTTCGCGCCTCTTCTCCTGACGCCCACATGTAGTGACGCGTACTGCATTTCGCTTCACCTTTTCCTCTTGTGAAACCCTTGCGGGCCTGTCCAGCCCCTAGCTTCGACGTTCTTTACCGGCATTCGTCAGCTGCCGCCGCAGTAGCCACATAATCCGCACCCTACGGACTTCCGTCGTCTTCAAGGACCCTCAACACTCAGATCGAACGCTCCTCGCATCGCTATATACAAGTTGAGGCTCATGAGATAGCGACCACAGTCGGGATTCTCCCTGGACCCAAACCGTCACACGCGCAGCCTCGCCATGTGGTTCACATCCTCGTCAGCGCCCTGGCGGACAGCGCTTATAGGTGGCCTACTGGCTACATTGTCCTGGCTACCAAGCAGTTCGGCAGACAAAACGCAGGCCGACTATTTCATAAAGTCACTGCCCGGTGCGCCAGAGCCGCTGTTGAAGATGCATGCAGGGTAAGAGCACAGCTTGGGCATGGTGTATGCAAATACTAAGATTTTGTCCCAGGCACATCGAAGTCGATGCAGAGCACAACGGCAACCTCTTCTTCTGGCACTATCAAAATCGCCACCTTGCGAATAAGCCGCGAACGGTTCTGTGGCTTAATGGCGGTCCTGGATGCTCCTCCATGGACGGCGCAATGATGGAAATTGGACCGTACAGGGTGATAGCAGACGGCAAGCTCGGCTACAACAACGGGTCATGGGACGAGTTCTCCAATCTTCTATTTGTAGACCAGCCCGTGGGAACTGGATTCAGCTATGTCAACACGGACAGCTATCTTAGCGAACTCGACCAGATGGCCGAGCACATGATAATCTTCTTGGAGAAGTGGTTTGCCTTATTTCCAGAATACGAGGCTGACGACGTGAGTCTATTGAATAACATAGATGCGTGCATTTACTGACAGAGTACAGTTCTATCTCGCTGGAGAGTCTTATGCTGGCCAGCACATTCCATACATCGCCCGCGCTATCCTCAACCGAAACAAAGATAAGACGAAGACGCCCTGGTCACTCGCAGGTCTGCTTATTGGAAACGGTTGGATTTCGCCTGTTGACCAGTACCTTTCCTACCTCCCTTTTGCCTACCAGAGTGGTATCATGCAGGCCGAGACGGATGCGTCTCGGCGCGTGCAAAACCAGCAAGCCTTATGTATCAAGAAACTGCATGAAGCCGACACTGTCCATGTTGACGTTCCAGTCTGCGAGCAAATTTTGGTTACTATCTTGGAGGAAACTAAGAACCTAAAGGCCGCACCGGACCAGCAGTGTCTCAACATGTATGACATCCGCCTGCGAGACGACTCATCGTGTGGAATGAACTGGCCCCCGGACCTCAAAGGTGTCACACCTTACCTCCGCCGACCCGATGTCATCCAGGCTCTTCACATCAACCCAGACAAAAAGACAGGCTGGTCGGAATGCAACGGAGCTGTTTCGGGACACTTTCGCGCCAAGAAGAGCGAGCCGGCTATCAATTTCCTACCTGCGCTCCTCGAACAAGTCCCCGTTCTTTTGTTTTCTGGCGATAAGGATCTCATCTGCAATCACGTTGGAACAGAGGCTTTGATTGATCGGATGAGCTGGAACGGTGGCAAGGGCTTCGAAATCTCTCCCGGTGTTGTGGCTCCCCGCCGTGACTGGACTTTCGAAAACGAAGCAGCCGGTACCTACCAGGAGGCGCGGAATCTTACATACGTTGTCTTCTACAACTCTAGCCACATGGTTCCATTCGATTACCCTAGGCGCACGCGCGACATGCTCGACCGATTCATGGGCGTCGACATCAGCGTCATCGGCGGCGATCCTTCTGACAGCCGTCTCGATGGCGAGAAGGGCCCGCTCACAAGCGTGGGCGGTCACCCCAATTCCACAAAGGCAGAGGAAGACAAAACCCAGGCTCTGAAGGAGGCTGAATGGAAAGCGTATTACCGGTCTGGGGAGGTTGCACTTGTTGTTGTCATTATTGCCGCTGTTCTCTGGGGTATCTTCCTCTGGCGCAACCGAAACTCAAACAGCGAATACAAGGGTGTTGATGGCGATGAGGGTCGCGAGTCTCTTCTTACCGGTATGGGCCTGGACAATTTTAGGAGAAGAGAGCGCAGGGCAGACCTTGAGGCGGCGGATTTCGATGAGAGGGAACTGGATGATCTGGACGCGCCTAATGGACACACCAAGAGTGGGACACGCGAGAAGCAAAGAGTGCCTCAGAACGACTCGACATTCAGCCTAGGGGAGGATAGCGATGGAGAGGCAGACAGCAGTGATCGCGGCAGGATGAAGGAGCATTCATGATTGTTGTATGATTTTAGTCTGATGGACGCGGTCCACTTAGAAGGGAGTGGGGTTGGTGTATGTTGAGCATGGCAGGACAAGCATTGTAGGCGTCTCGATGTGGATCTGGGAAGACATGAATCTATTTTTTGCACCATCAAGAGCAACGTCGTGAATGCTTTGAAGTTTTCAACAATCCTTTGCAATTCAGCAGCATGGATCGCCTGGAGTGCGACGCGGTTGCCTGCATGGGTCACGTGTAACCGCACTTAGCGCAACGCGTTCCCTCCGACCCGAGCGCGTCACTCAGCCACCAGGCCTCAATCTCATCCCAGCGGCGACTTGATGCACACCACATCCTGACCCCACCACAATGCCAGCGTATGTACACGCGCTCTTCTCGCCTCTCCCTGTGGTTAGCCATCGTGTGGTACGGTCTTGACTGACGATGACGCAGGCCAGGCGATCAGTACCATGGCGGCAACGTCGTGAACCCGTTCGAGGAACGCGTCGTAAACCGCTTCACAGCCCAAGAAATTGCGACATTACAGAGCAGGCTCAATCAGAGACTCGGCCCCGAATTCATATCGCAGAGACCGGGTAATGGTGGCGGCAGGGTCGCGTATTTGGAGGGCAACAAAGCCATAGCCCTTGCAAACGAGGTCTTTGGGTTCAACGGCTGGTCGAGCTCGCTAGGGCAGGTGCAGATCGACTATGTATGTTTCTGTGTGATAACAGTAGAGAGTTCTATACTAATGGCCACAGGTCGATGAGCTTCCGGGTGGCAAAGTCAGTTTGGGTCTCTCGATAGTAGTGAGGATCACGCTCAAGGACGGCACATATCATGAGGTACGACAACAGTTTCCTTGCTACATGTGCTTCACTAATCCTCGCCTAGGATATCGGGTACGGCTCGATAGAAAATGGTAAAGGCAAAGCAGCATCCTTCGAGAAGGCGAAGAAGGAGGCAGCCACTGATGGGCTGAAACGTTCACTGCGTACTTTCGGCAACGTCCTCGGTAACTGCTTGTACGACAAAGATTACCTCAAGAAAGTTCAGGCTATGAAGGTTAAGCCGGCACCGTTCGAGGAAGACGATTTGTACCGGCACGTGTTCTACAGACCAGCTGGCCAAGAAGAGCAGACAATTGTAAAGCGGGAACCAAACCGAACGCCTATGCGTCCGAACCAGGTGTTGAGAACACGTACCGAACATCTTAACGAGTCCATGTCGGCGGACTTTGACGATGAGTTTGATGGGAACCTCTTCGACGGGGTTGATATTAGCATGAACCAAGGCGATGAGTTTACCTTCGGGACAGCGTCAGGGTCGGGCGAAGGTCCGTCTAGAGCGGCCAGTCCCTCAAAACCGGCGATGGGACCAAACGGCGCCCGCCCAACGCCCGTAGCTAATGGTGGCCAACCCCGACCACCTAATCCACAAATGCAAAATGCACCTTCAAGAGCTGGTCCAGGAGGCGCGCAAAAACATCAACCAAACCAAGGACCTGCAAGGCCAGCGCCGAACGGAGTCTCAAACACCAGAGCTCCTCAGACTCCCGTTCAGCAACAGAACCAACATCGGCCGGCGCAGAATGCAGGACGGATGCCCCCTCCCACCACTGACAATCACGTCGCTCCAAGACCCCCCGTTCAACAACAGCACAACGCTCAACAAGCTCCCCAAAACCAACCTCTCCGACCAACACCCCCAGAAGCACAGCGAGCTCCGGTCCAACCTCGTCCAGCCCCCCAAGCCCAAGCAACATCAGCGGCGCCCGCAAACCCAGCACCTACAACAGCCAATAACCGAGCACCCGTAGGTTTCGTAACCTCCCGCGCCGCCGAACTCATGCAAAACTCGGACGCGGCCGCCTCTCTCAGCAGCCTACCTGCTTTCAACCCCCACGCCGAATCCCCCATTCCAAAAGAGCAGCGCACACCCGGCGTCGAGCACTCACGTAGCGCCCCCGTCAAATGGCGTGAAGTCGGCGCTCCCCCCATCCCGGTCCCAGTAGCAGCAGCGACATCCGCACCTCGACCCGGCGGCACCGCCTTCAACCGTCCCAACTTCGTCAACCCGAATCAAGACGCCACTCGACGTATCGGCATGCCCGGTGCGCCCAACTACGCCATGAGCCCCAGTGCAAACCGCGGCGCGTACAAACCGCCTTCCTTTGCGAATGGCGCAGCGCCGAATGCGCTCAAGAGGCCGGCGCTGCAGGATGTCAGTAATACGGGGATGAACGGGGGTGTGAGTGTGGAGACTGGCGATGCGAAGAGGCAGCGGGTTGAGGTGCCGGGCGTGGAGAACGCGGATGTGGTGGGTTAGCTGATGGTGATGGAAGATGATGAATGAGCGTTGGATGGAGTATTGGGACATGGACGGCGCTTTTTTCTCTTTTGGGGAAGGGGGCGAAACTGGCGTTTTACATACAGGTGCAACGACGCTATGTTGAACATTTTTCTCAGACATCACAATCACAATTCACGCTCACATTCACATTCACAATGATCATCACCACAGCAAAGCTGGTTAGGAAAGGAAGCATTCGGGAATTGAGGGTTGCAATCATGTTTTTTGTACACGAAAAAGCGAGCCCGTGGGCCCTTCTTCTTCTCCTTCCTCTTGCTCCTTCTTGCTCCTTCTCTTCCGTATTTGACGCCCAGCCATCCATTCAATCCAATCCATCCAATCCAAAACGCTAATGCAGAAACAAAAAAGAAGAAAAAGATACTGTGATATCTGAGATCCAAGCTACAAACACACAGCTGCGCTACATTGTGTTACACTGCGCTGTGTTTCCCACTCAAAGGCGAAACGTCCCTCTCGACATACGCGCCATCCCCGCCCCAAGCTCACCTCTTCTTACTCCCGGGCCTAGGTTTACACTCATCCCCCACAACAGGATGAAGTTTAAGTTTCAACGGATACTGGGGCGTATTATTCGCATAGCCCTTACTCCAGTCGTAGCTAACGGCGTACGCGAAGATATTTCCATCTTTGGAGAAGCCCGTGGCGGTGATGCTGCCGCCGACTTCGGGGTAGCCTTTTAGACGGTGCTTTGCGTCCTTGTCCCAGAAGTGGAAGGTGCCGTCGCTGCCGGCGGTGCTGAAGGTGCCGTGCTGGGGGTGGAAGGATATGGCGTTTACCGAGTAGACTTTTGCGACGTCGCGGTTTGAGGGGTCTTGTTGGCGGTGGCATTTGAAGGAGAAGTTTAGGCTGGGGGTGGGTCAGTATGGTGGGGATGTACATGTCGACGAATGTCATGTGTGTGACAACGAGAATGGGAGACTCACGCAACGTCCTTGTCTTCGACGTATTGGATGGCACAGCGGCCTTCGATGGAGCCGACTGCAAAGCCCGACGCGTCTGTGAAGCAGCTCACGACGCGCGTCTGCCACTTGAGCGGGCTGGTGATGGTCTTGTAGATTTTGGTGGGCTCGTTGAGGTTGACCATGTGGATGTGGCGCTCTGCGGTAGCGACGACGAGCAGGTCGTTCTTAATGTCCATGCTGTAGACGCGCTCGGTGGTGTTGAGGGTGCCGACGGGCTCGGCGCCCTGCAGGTCCCAGTACTTGACCGTCTTGTCCCACGAGCCCGTGGCGACAAAGTCCTTGCCGCCCATCTGGAACCAGCGCACGCACTTGACGGCCTCGGCGTGGGCTTTGGCCTGCTGCGCCTGGATCTGGCCGCTGGCCGGGGCGCTGCGCAGGTCGACGATGTTGAGCATGCCCGTTGAGTCGCCGGCTGCGAGGCGGGCGCCGTCCTAGACCGCCGTCAGTATACGCTGTGTCTTGTATGTATGTATGGAATATGGCGAGCACGCACCTTGGACCAGCCCAGTCCCAACACATAGCCCTGGCAGTCGAACATCCACTTTCCGTTCGCGCCGCTCCCGTTGATCTCGTAGATGTACACCTTCTTGTCCCAGCTCGCCACGGCCAGGAAGTCGGCCGTCGGCGAGAACTGCAGCTCCTGGATGCTGTCCGTCGGCACGGGGCTGACTTCGATGTCGTTTTTGGTGTCGCCCTGCGTCGTGCTGGCTGACGACGCCGCCGCCGAGCTCGTGCCAAAGAGGGCCATGTTGCTGGGCGTGGGTGGGAGCTTTGCGCGAGCTGTTGTTGTCGCCGCGGTGCTGGAGTCGCGAGGAGGTCTTGGACGCGCCTCTTCTCTGCGTGGTGACGCGATTGAAGGGACCTGATTGAGTGGAGGGGAAGTGCTGTCGTCGTCGTCGCGCAAAACAGGCCGGGCGTGGTGTTTATATTCGATTCGACGCTTCACTGCACCGACGCGCAAAAGACAGCCAGGCAAAGAAACACTGCGCCGTCCAAGCTTCTAGGCACCCCTGCCAGGCTACAGCCCATTCCCGCCTAGCGCTGCCTAGCACCGGCCACGCCGTTCCTCCGCTCCGGCCCGTGATAAATTTCGTCCACCTCACACCTTCCACCGCCAACGTTCCTCGCCCGAAGAATCGCATCGAAGCACACACACAGAGCGCCTTCGGGCGTCTCTCCTGGCTTTGGGAGAAAGTCCCCGGACATCGATCTTCGCGATCGCACTTTTCAGCAACGAACCGCCATAGAAGCGCGGCCTCTTACCGCCTCCGCACTTCTCACCCCTCTTTTCCGCCTGCACTCTTGTTCCCAGCTTTCTCGACGCACCCGGGTGGAGGAGCCGGCACCAGGGCGATGATACGAGTCCGCTGGCCACCTTGCCCGTCTGCCAAGGGACTGTCGAGGGGACGGGAGGAGGAGGGAGTCGTCGGGTTGTGTCAGGTATGAGGGTCTTCTCGTCCAGTTTATGGTTATGCGATTGCCTCTGAGCATCTCGATAACACGAGGCGCGAGGGGGTAACTCAATGGGGCTTATTCTCGGCGCGAGGAACGTTCCTGCACATCTTTTTTCGGATCTGCGAGTAGTCGTCTTCGGGCGGGCTGCGCGTGCTTGGTCGAACAAGCCAGATTCTTTCAGCCATATGGTTCAGGTGATGAGATAAATGAAATAGAGTCAAGCACTGAGGCGGTCTGAATCCCAAAGGGTAGGACGGCCTATGCTGAGTATTTCTAACAGTATCTGATGAATCTGATGGCTTAGATGGGGTTTGAATTCAATCACTCTATCTTTTGAAACTTTTTGTCTTGTCTATTGTGTGTTGTGGTATCCTTGACGTTTGGCTTTCCATACTCCATACTATCATGCCTCATTGCCAACGACAAACTCCCTGACCTCCTCGTACGCCTTGTCCAGATCATCGTTGACCACAATCTTGTCGTGCGGCGCCTCTCCACTGTTTGCAAAATCCATCTCGACGCTCGCCTGATTCAGCCTCTTCAAGATAGCCTCCTCCTTATCCGTAGCCCGACTCCTCAACCGCTTCTCCAGGATCTCCATCGACGGCGGCGAGAGGAACAAGAAGCGTGGGCGAGGAAACGTGGGGTGATTCGCGACCTGCTTGACGCCCTGATAACCCACAATTAGCCTCTTTCCCCCATCTCTCCACCAGCAACATAAAAGCACAGCTCATACATACCTCCATCTCAATATCCAATATACACACCCTCCCCTTCTCAGCAATATCCTGCACAGCCTTCACACTCGTCCCATAGCAATTGCCCCCAAACTGCGCATGCTCCACAAACCCCTTGTCCTGCACCAACTTCTGGAACTCGTCGTGCGTGACAAAGTAGTACTCGCGGCCGTCCTGCTCGGCGCCGCGCGGCGCCCGCGTCGTGTGCGAGATGCTGAAGCCGAATTTCGAGGGGTAGTCGGCGAACAGGCGCGCGAGGATAGTGGATTTGCCTGCGCCGCTGGGCCCGCTGATGACGATGGGCGTGTGGGCGGAGAGGGCGGCGGTGGAGATGGCTGGGGCCATGGTGGGGGGCGTGGAGGTGTATGCGCGGGTGAGGCGTGGGAAGTGCGGGGTGTAGTGTGTGAGACGGGTTCTGGCGAGAGTCCTGGATATGGCCGCTGGGCTTTTGGGGAGAGTCACTGGCATTGGGGAGCTTGCATGAAGGTACGGGGAGCGGTGCGGCGTGATTGGTGGTGGGATCAGGGTCTGCGTGCGTGTTTGGGGTGTTTGCATTGCGGGGCTCTGGATGGGGGATGGCGGGTGGTGATATCGCGTTTTCGTGTTTGTACTGACCTCATCGATTGGGCTTAGTAGTGCCTCGTTTCTTTCGTCTGGCTGCACGACATCGCTTTTTGTGATTGACGACCGATGGCTTTATAACTTGCCGCACTATTTCCTGATCAGCTGTCCTCTGAGCTTGAAGCTCGACACGACTACCCATCATGGTACCTTGCCGCCGTCCCTCACTAATCCCCACTCTAACACTCCACAGTCGAAACAATACCTCACCCTCCACACAGCCGAAAATGCACACCCCAAAGCAAGCGACGTCTTCGCCCTAGCACCGACAACCACACAACTCCTCTCCGCATCCGGCAGCTCGTCAATCAACGTCTACGACACCACACAGCCCGAGTTCCCGCTCGTCCAAACCCTCGAAAAGGCGCACCAGCTGGGCATCCACCACCTTGTCACCGCGAGGGAGGACAGGGCGAGACGAGCAGCCAGCGCGGGGTTCGAGGGCAAAGTGAAGATCTGGGGACAAGGCGAGGACGGGAAATGGGTAGAGGAGGGCGAGATTGTTGGTGGGTAGGCTTTTTGTGCTTTTTTCCCCCACCGACACAGAACTTCACCAGTGAATTGGACAGAGGCTAATGCGGGGACGTGCAGATCAGAATAAACCGGGTGAGATCTGGGCCATTGCTCTGAGTGCCGATGGCATGTATCTTGCGAGCACCAGCATCAACGGGAAGATCAACGTCTGGAGTTTGGAGAAGGAGAAGCATATGCCCAGGATTAGGGAGTATGAAACCAAGGGCAGCTTCGGGCTTTGCGTCGACCTGGTAAGCTCATATTTCTCCCTTCTTTCATTCAGTCTACTGACTTCCATCCAGAGCCGAAACGGAAGCTTCACAGCCTCAGGCCACGAAAACGGATCCATCTACATCTTCAACAACGAGAGCGGTCGCCTCGCACACTCCTTGTCCGGCCTCGTCCACCCCGTCCGCAGCCTCGCCTTCTCCCCCGCCTCAAAGCTCCTCGCAGCCGGCGGCGACGCACGCATAATCGCCCTCTACGACGTCACATCCGGCGAGCAGGTGGCAAACTTCACCGGACACGGGGGTTGGGTGCTTACTCTGGACTGGAGCGATACGGGGGAGTATCTACTATCAGGGTACGTCACATCACATCACTTATATCCCCTCGCGAAACAAATTCCTTTGCTAATGCCGATGTAGGTCTCATGATTCGAAAGCTAAGGTATGGCGTATCGATACGAGGGCTTGTGTTGCGACACATTCTCATGGCGATAAGCCGCTGTGGACGGCGAAGTGGTTGCCTAAGGCGCCGGCGAAGAGCGAGATGTTCGCACTGGGTGGGGGGAATAATTCTATTAGCTTCTATAGGGAGGCTGCGGGTTGAGGGGAGGATGTTGGACTGTCCAAGCATGATGATGGGGTGGTGATGGGAAGTTCAGGGGGAAGATGGAGTTGTTAAAGGATGGAGTGGGAGATGATGATGAAGATTCGAGACGGAGAATTGCGCATGCGGACCTGGCACAGCGCGAGAAAAATACGGCCATAGAGATGACGTTGCTGGGACATGTATAAACCTTGCTGGTATTTGAGACTTAAAAGAACAAAATGATGATAGTTCATACAAACACCTATCTACCATAATCTTGCCTGTAGTGGAAGAAATCAACGGAAAGAAAGTAAGCATCCCATCTCTAATTACAGCCATTCAGCTTCCCCATGAAATCCACAACAACATCACACATACACAACACCCCTCAAACCTCGCAATCCCACTCCAACACATCTCTCCCCTACGCCTCCCCCCTCCCCCTACGCCTCCCCCTCCTCCGCACCCCCCTCCACGTCCCCGCAAACCTCCTCCGATTCACCCACCCAAACACCACGCACCCCCCAAAAACCACCACACCTCCCCACTCCCCGCCCACCCCCTTATAAACGCTCTTCACACCCTCCCCCATACCCCCCGGCGCAAGATCCGGCATCCCCATAACACTCCCCACCGCGCCCGAAACACACCGTGCGCCCACTCCCTTGCCCGTGACAGGATCGTACATTTCCCACGTACTGCCTGTTTCCTGCCAGGCGGTGAAAGCAGTGCGGACTATATTACGGCGGAGCGCGGTGTATATATCTCTGCAGCGAGCTTGTGAGGGACCTGGGGTAGTAGCGAGGCTGTGGAGGCGGGTGAGGAGGAGGTAGTGCGTTGTGATGTGGATGGGGGAGCGCCAGTTGCCTGTGCCTGGGCCGTATTTTGCGCTGTAGGGGCTGAGACTGCGCAGTCCGTGGGGGGTCCAGAGGTGCGTTATTAGATCGAGGACTGCGGGGAGGTGTGGGTGTGTGGGGGAGAGGAGGCCGGTTATTAGGGGGAGGAGGGAGAGGTATCCCTTATGGCAGACTAGGGAGTGTGTTTCGTCACGGACGAGGGCGTCGCAGTATGTGGTTTCGCTACTACTCCAGTGCAGGACTTCAAGGTTTGTCTGGATGCCGCGTGTGTGGGCTTGGTAGGCCAGCGCGTCCGAGGGGTTGGATGTCAGGTGGGCCATCTTTTCGAGCGTACGTGACATGACGCCTACCCAGCATAGCGCGTCGACGTGCAGTTCGCTGACATCCGGGGGCTCGGCGCGCGGGTAGTCGTACATGCCGCTGGCGAGATTTGTGTCTGGTGTGCGGCCGCGCCATCTGTAGCCCTCGTTGAGGTTTGCAGCGGGGACGGAATGGGCTTCGACGTCGCCGGCCTGCGATTTGCGGAACCAGGCGTAGTGTTTCTTCAGCAGGGGGTAGGCCTGCGCGATGAAGGTGGTTGAGACGTTGCGCTGGGTTACGTATGTGGATGCGTGGCCGTTGTACTGCATTTCGCCCTCCACCATGTCGATGTATTTTGACAGGACGAGGAACATGGTTGGCGGGGTAGCGATGTGCGGGTATTGCGTGGTGGATTCATCGCGCGTTCCGCTCCTGACTGAGTTGCTAAAGATTTGCTCCCGCGCGATCCAACCGTCTTCGTCTATGAGGGCGAGCCAGCTGCGGACTACTTCGATGGCCAGGTCCGCGTCCCAGTCTAGTACTGTGAGGAGGTGGAGGCCTTCATCCCAAAGGGACCCTCGGGGAGAGACTGCACGCGAAGATGTGTGCGTGAGCAACTCATGCGGTCCACGGGTTTCGGGCGTTGCATGTTTCTTAGCTTCGTTTGACTTGTCCCAGAACTTGCCCGTGGTTTCTGCGTGTATTGCCTTCTTTGATGTATCGACTTGAGCCGTGCCATGGAGATATGCAAGGCTGCCGAATAAGTTGGAGAGGACTGTCTCGGAAAATGTGCGATGCTGATCAGTGTTGAAGGGCGCTTTTGGACCGAACACAAGGGATAATGATTTCTTGAAGGACTCTACGGTACTTCGGAGTTCTCTTGTAAGTTCATTGGCTGAATAGGATTAGTATGGTAAATATAAGAAAAGCAGCAAAGCGTGCATGACCTGGAGGTGTCAGGGACGACTTACGTGTCATGGAGCGTGTTGCTGCGCGACTGGAGTACAACACGTCAAACTACTGAAATCTTAGCTTTGTCTTCAATTCATCATTGTCAAACTGACCTCGAAGTTGCCATCACAAATCATTTGCACAAAATGCATGTTGCCAGCGCCAGGCTCGTTGTGCAGCACCAGATCGATAGATCCAGTTCCTTTTCGGTTGACCGTCTGTTGTTTTAACGTATCCAAGAAAACGACTTCATGCGTAACTTGTTAGTCGTCGTTTCTTGATTCTCGTATGAAGCTTTTCAACGTGATAAGAGCAAGCACTTTGGGAAGATTTCAAGGCGCCGGAATATATTCGACTCACAATTTGCTTGCCAGAGCTTGTCCTCGGCTACATTCAGTGTCTTCACGACCATACCTTGCCGTCCGCTGTTCCCTACCGACGCCGGAATATGAATTCCCGCAGTCCCAAGTTTGGGGTGTTTAAGCTCCATATTCACAGCATGAACAGAAGGATCATCCCCAATTCCCATCTGTTCTCGCGCCTCGAGTACACAGCTGGTGCAACTCTTCATCCCCTCCATACCCATGTAGAATATGACCGAAGTTCTTAGGCCATCTTTTCTTGGGGTCCCCTTGATCCTGAGACCCCAGTTCCCAGCACTCTGTCCTTCATACTTCTTTATGAACTCGGTGGTGATGTCTATGTTGTTGCCAGGATCCTCAATCGTCTGTATGCCGCCTGCTCGCGCATCGTATGCTCTCCAATCATACGTAGTTATTCCATCGCTCTGGTTGACCGCGTGTCGTAATTCTGTCATTTCGTTAGCTTAATGACCTCCCTCCTACGACTTAAACCCACTCTTTTCTATATCATTCACTTCTCCCCACATCAGCCCCGCAATGAGACTGTCTGGTACCCTGGCGCGGATTCCCAGGTATAAGTTGGGTCGATATGGGCCCCATAGCAGCGATGCGTTGAGCGAGGGAAGGCTTTCGGCGGCGGTGGGAGAGGATGACGCAACAAGAAGGAGCGCAAGCAGAGGCGCGGGAAGCTGCATTTCGGGCTACGACGCGTTCCGAAGACGCGTTCGCCAATTGGCTCAGGGTGTCAAGGCTGGTGGCCTTAGTGAAGAATCGCGTAATGTGTCAAGCCATGCCTCTGTCACATTCGCGAGTTCACGAGTTAAAATCACTGGAATTGCTTGTCGCAATGAATTGACTTGTCTACGCATCCTGAGCGTAGGGAAATGCTCAGCCCCTGATCCCCGCGTCTTTCGCAATTGAAGGCCAAGCTCAGCCCTACGCGGCTTCCGCTTCCGTCATCTCTCCTCTCATGAAGAAACGTCTTCCCCCAGTCTTATCAGACGCGAGACGAAGGGTTTACTAATGGTGTGTTACACGATAAGCCATGCGATTCGTTCTCCGGCAGCTATACATGGATTTGGCATCACGTGTAGAACAAGACGACGTCAGAGCGGCCAAGCCCCCACAGCCTGCGGGTGTGCGGGCGCAAGACATACACAGTAGTCACTATCTTGTATGCCGGCCGATGATGATCGCCCTTGGCATCATCCGGGTAATATGTATAAAGACAATGCCTGTATGATCAGCGTCGTTCAAGACAGACATCATTCAATATGGAAGAGCAAATCGTTCGATTGGTAGACAGAACATGGGGTACCATGCCTTCGCCTTGGTTGTACTGGACGATTTGAGCTTACATGTGTAGACAAGTTCCAAGACGTCCCTGCGTCGAAGAGGCTTCTCATCGCTGTATCAGGCATACCCGGCTCCGGTACGAACGAGCGACATGCAACCCTCTTATATCCGTTCAACAAGCTAAGTATCAGCAGGCAAAACCACACTCGCCGCCACAGTCTCCAATCGCCTCAATAAAAAACATGTCCAGCAATCTCCCGGAACGTCCAACAGCAGCCCACTTGCAGCATTCATCCCCATGGACGGCTACCACCTCTCGCGAGTCCAACTCGACGCCATGCCAGATCCCGCAAACGCACATGCCCGCAGAGGCGCAGCGTTCACATTCGACGGCGAGTCCTACTTGCGGCTTGTGAAGAACCTACGGGAATCGATCTTACCAGAGACAAAAACCCTGCACGCCCCAAGCTTCGACCACGCCGTCAAAGACCCGGTTGAAGACGACATTGCAATAGCACCGTCCGTTCGCATTGTGATCTTCGAAGGCAACTACTGCTCTCTCAACTCGGCCCCGTGGAAAGACGCCGCAAAGCTCATGGACGAATTGTGGTTCGTCGATGTCGATTTCAAGGTTGCGAGGAAGAGGTTGGTCTACAGGCATGTGAAAGCTGGGATTGCAAAGAACGAGGAAGAGGCAGGAAAGCGGGCAGATGAGAACGACCTGGTGAACGGGCAAGAAATTGTGGACAACAGGCTCGACGTACATGAGCTGATCAAGAGCCACGAAGATGCATATTGGGCCCCAGAGGAGCAAGGTGTAGGCGATGGCAAGGATTCTGGAACATCGAAAGAAATGGCAGAGGCTGCATGATGGTTGGCGTGAGAAGTTTATTGTATATAGATGTGAGTATGTGTCGTTTCGCATGTCGTCTTTGCTATCGAAACTTTCAGCTTAGTTCCGTCAAAGCTTTGACGCCTAGTTTGCGGTTGTGGTATAATCATTGTTGTCTTTGCATATATCAAAGTCTAATCATGCTAAATACCCATTGGCCTTCGTCGCATATGCCGGGATGTTTCCAAAGCACTTGCGTCCATCCTTTGCAGGTAGCATGCCTCGCGACGTACCAGTGTGATGGAACACCCTTTGAAGATTTGACATTATACGCGAGTAACTAGCCTACATGCTACGTGTAGTTGTGGAAAGTAATGTTGATAAATAGTTGGTTGGGTGAGGAAGGTCGAAGGATGAGTAGTCTAATGTGGATATGGAGTGTACAGTGGTCTGTTGCAGAGTCTAAGACACTGAAAATGCGGATGTAAGAACATGGGTGGTGCCGAAGCGCTTGTTGTTGGTCGCACGGGCTTCTAATATGGAAGCAGGGAAAGCGAGCGATGAGTGTCAACTGCCTTCCTTTGTTGGAGAAGCAGTGCGTATCGATGTTACAGAACCTGTGGCGCATTGGTAACCGTAAAGCTACTCGTTGGATCACCATCTGTATCGATTTCGAGTGTAGACGAATCGAGATACACGGGAAAAGATAACCGTGGTTGGAGCTCTATGACAGCCTCGTCGTCACTGTCGAAGATTCGGTTAAGACCGCCTCGTAAACCTGCAGTGGCCTCAACATCGATATGGCTCGCTTCTGTCCCAGTCAGTCAAGATCTCGCAATCTTGTAAAATGAACATGAAGTGAGGACAAATATTTACCATCAGACCAGGCTCTGAGAAGACTCCGACAAATAAGACAGCACAACGAATCCCTATAGTGTAACCCGGCAAGAGTTGCAATCAGAGTGAAGATGCCAAATAATATGACGAGAGAGGTGTCGGATGAGCCTGACATATTGAGTGAAGACTGGTCGAGGTGAAACTTGAGTAGGTATTCTAATGAGGCTAAGAGGCAAGGATATGTTCGTGAATATATTTTTCTGGTCCAAAGCCGGTGTGACACTAAACAATATCTCTGGGCGATGGAAGGAACTGGTTGCTCGATGTATGTTGAACATTTGGGTCGTGGAGGAAACAACTATATATTAATATAGTTGGGCATTGCTCTGTGAGCCCTGACCAGAGTAGACGGAGGCTTTTGCTTTCGTAGACATGCTTCTTTGGGATCATCACGTCCAATCGGAGGATTAGGTTGGGAGGGGAAGGCGGCCACTTGCACAGGGCAACCTTTGCGACCCTTGCTCAGAAATGAAGGCGCGGGCGGAGCGAGGACAGTATCCTATTGGGCAACATTTCTTAAGAAACTGAGGCTCTAGTCATTGTGGCTTGTGCCCGTTGGAAACATCTGTGGAAAAGATGACCTGTCACAGTACATTTTGAGCACGAACCTCGAATAGCTTCCGCGTCGAGTAATGGCCTTGCATAAACACTGCCAGGTAGATGATAGTTGCATTCGAAAACGAACTTCAAAAGACACTGTAAATAAACTGTGACCGTAGGGACGAGGAGACGCGAGTTGCTAGATGTTTTACTAGCGATGAATCAAGACACATGATTTTGATAACCTATGAAAGGTAGGTCGTCTGAATAGCTGATGATCTCTTCATGGATCTGGTACCCAGCCCATGCGGCAATGCCTTGTACTGTCAGAGTGTAGTGTCCCCAACCTGCGTGCAGGTCATGGTACCCTGTAAGCCACCGTTAAGAAACAGGGCCTCTCGCATATCACACTACTTGCCTAGCTGGACGCAGCCAATGGGGATTGCATCTCACCGGCTTGAGTAGGTCTGCAGATTCTATCGTTCTACCGGTACCCAACTTCAGCCGTCATCCCGGGTTCCAAAAACCAACGTGCAAAGCTTGAAACTTGCAGCACTGCCTCAACTGCATCATGCAGTTCGACGGCGAGGCTGAACCGCCATATTCGACTACCAAGTAGACATGCAGTTTTTAATGAATCACTGGGCAAGCTGAAGGTCAAGTGGATCTGATTCAAAGCCTGAGCGAAGAGTTTTTGTAATGCGACTGCAAGTAGGGAGGGCTGTTAGTGTTGAGATATACTACAAAGTAACTAATACATATCTATAAGGTTGATGGCATAAAAACAGAGCTACATTGCTGTGGTGCGACTAACGAAAAGTACGTTTCGAACGACCAAAACAACAAAAATAGTGCAAAAAGCCGGCAAAAAGAAATGGACTTGCTGGGAATCGAACCCAGGACCTTTCCCACGCGGTCTCCGAAGAGATTGGTGCTAAGGGAAAATTATACCACTAAACCACAAGCCCATTTGATGAAGGTTAAGACTTTAATGATATAATTATACTGCATTATTTCAGGCTACGTCTACCTAATGCAGCTCTTTACACACTCAAGAATTTCTCCTTGATTCACCGAGCTGAAAGTTTAGTCCACCTGTGAAGAACTATTTTCTTAGCTTGTAATTAGTCGGCTTATACGTCGGGGTGCAGCCAGCTTCCTGCGTTCTCATTGTTATTCAATCAAGTGCAAAGAGCACTATTAATTACCATTGCACCCCCTTCTAGCTTCAAGCCAAGTCTTTTTGACGTCGAACACCTAAAAGTGCACAAAGACAGAACCAAGTGACTCCGTCCACCCGTAGAACCTCCCTCGGAGGTAAAGACTCAGGTGTAGAGAATTGCACATTCCCAATCCGGCTAAGCGCTTACCGGTTAGGACCTAACCCGTTACTACATGTCGGGATTTGGAAGCAAAGTCCGAAATGTAGTACAAGTTGGGAGGTTACAAATAATGTATATAAAGACGTCGACATCATCTCCATCTAGAGTCGTTCATTTTCACATTTACTACCATTCTCACTGACCTCATCGATTGATTCAACATGACGAACGTCGCAAAAGAGATCGTCTTGGTCACTGGCGGTATGTATACACCATCCCATCATGACCATAACGTAGCTAATGCAAACCCCAGCAAACAGCGGTATCGGCTTCGAGATCGCCCATCAATTCCTTGCCAGAGGAACCTACCACGTCCTCCTCGGCTCTCGCTCCCTCCAGAAAGGCACCACCGCACTCCAAGACCTACAGTCACGTAAGCTTCCCGGAAGCATTGAGCTGCTCACGCTCGACATCCAAAGCGACGACCACATTGCGCAAGCCACCACTTCCATCACGCAGAACCACGGCAAACTCGACATCCTGATCAACAACGCCGGCATCGCCATCCCCTCTGGCACTGAGCGCGAGCAGATGCAAATTGCGTTTGACACGAATGCAACAGGGCCGTATCTTCTAACCCAAGCCCTCATTCCGCTCCTTCGCAAGTCGTCAAACCCTCGCGTTATCAATATCTCTTCTGGCGCGGGATCGATTGGTCGACGTCTGTTCCCCGAATCGCCCATGTACAAGATTCAAGCTGTGCAATACCGGGCGAGCAAGACGGCGCTGAACATGATTACTACGTGCCAGTATGTTGAGTATGGATTGGACTTCCAAGCGCCGGAAGAGGCCAAGGGAAAGCGCATCAAGGTGTGGGCATACGATCCTGGATTTACCGTGAGTAACCTTGGATCGCATAACAAGAAGGAGTTTGGCGCCAGGAGCGCAGAGGAGACGGTGGTGAGTATCATGGACGTAGTGGATGGGAAGAGGGATGATGAGCAGGGACAATTTATACATAACACAGGCGGGTATCCTTGGTAGGTGGGGACAACGTTATTTGCTGAAGATTCTTATAAATTGACAATTATTGCGAAAATCTATATCATCAACCATATAGCAACATGGAACCGTAAATGCGAAGAGTCAAGTTGTCAATCAGTGAATAAATGTCCTGAGCGAATCGTATGCGATTCAACTCAAGTCCAATCTTGCGAACACACTTTGAAACATCTTGCAATCGCAAGTGATATCCATTAGTCCAATACGATCACCTCATTATCGTCGCTCGGCAACTGTCGCTTATGCATCGCCTTCTGTCTCGTTCGCAGATTTATCGAATAGAGTTCCACGACATCAGTGTCACTGAGAAGAAGCTTATCCCGAGTCCAGCGCCCACGATGGTTACAAAAGAAGGGCGTTCGCGCTTCACGCGCATATATGTCTCCTTTTGCTCCTGCGACGTTGTTCAGTACACCGTTTTAGAAACTTGTAACATTTGACTCACGCGAAACCGCCTCACAATGGCCTCTAATTGCTCCCTGTTCAGTTGACCAAGAACACTCTAATCATCCCCCAAAAGGTCGAGTGGGTCAGGCGTGTGTATGATAATGTGAAAAGCCTTGAGAGCGTCTGTAAAGCGCGGACATCAGTGTGAAATCAAACATGGTAGGCCTACCTACTCACTGATTTACAGTCGATCAAAGAAGTACGTTCGCATGCACCATGTTGAACTGACATGTGAGATTGGTCCAGAGCACATCTGGTCTTTTGGGTCGAAAAGTTTACACAGCCAGACAATAGGCTTCTCAATGTCCTTGCCATCTATAGGTATGGCCATGGCGACGGGGCGCTCTGGTAGAAACGGTGCTTTGAACGAGAAGTCAATCTTGAACTTGGTACTGGACTGTGCCCCAACATATTGCTCGACGGTTCTGGCAGGTACCTTGGCATGCCGATTTCTGTGCTCGCGCAGTGGTTGATCGTCAGCGAAGATCTGGACTTCAAGCCCAAGGCATTATAGTGGTTATGATCGAAAATGTGACGTACATACGTAGCTCGACCGTTGGTCTTGATGTTGAGGTGGAGGTGAGTAGCGACAGATAAAAGGCAAGAAAAGTTAGCAAAGAAGGAGCAAAAACCTTGTCCGGCAACAAACGAATAAGCGTTTTTGAGCTCTCACTAGATCAACTGCTTGTCATGCCGCTTCTCGATACGGTAGTCGCGATTTGTCCTATTGTATGAATGGGGACCACATTCTAGTATAACTGCCAACTTGAAGAGTACGCTTAGGATGATCGCCGATGCGAAGGGTGATCGTGTGTATTAAACTATGTAGAAAAGATCGGACTAAAGGTTGGTCCAATCCGTGAGACTTGCCCAGTGGACTTCGAGTATCACGCCGGCACTCGTGCGGCACGCTCGCTGATATACTCCATTAAACACGATATAACCCAACATAATTCATGTCTCGTATGAACCCCGCTTCCCTTCTTGGGTTGCGTCTCGTGCTGTACCTCTGCTTGTGTTGCAATCATTTTTCAACGAGTATACCTCCATCAAAAACTCCGAACAATGAGAATTGATACCAGGAAGAGCATCAATGCGCGTAGCCAACTAAGCTATAGTGCCGAGACACATGAACCTGTGCCAGCTCAGGTCAGATCAATGGTCTCCATGCCGTCCTCGTTCAGTGTAACAGGGAACCTCCGTCGCTTAGCAGAAATGAAGGACAGCTCGTCGTCGTCCACATGGGGGTCGGTGTCCGTGGCCGTGTCACTCCTCTCGCGCTTGACGCCTTCTCGCTTGACTGCCCGAGCGGCTTCGTCACGTTCGCGCTGGCGTCGTAGAAGTTCCCTCATTTCTTCGGCATTGAGGGTATCGACATCCCGCTCCTCAAGTGGGACAGGGCTTGGACTTCGCGGCATGATCAGGAGTGACTGCAAGGCATCTACATGATAAGGTTATCAGTCTGGTATATAGAGCCTTTTGAGTGAGAACAACTAACGCTTGGAACGGTACTTGAACTTGTAGGTAGCGATTGGCTTGTCTACTGAGTCCATGTAATCATGCTCCCAAGGTGCTGTGGGGTTGCATGAAACAGGATTGCGCAAGCTATGCAAATGTAAGTCCAGATCCACTTGTTGCGTTTATCTAACTTACCTAGATTTGTGTGAAAGAGTCTTTCCTTTCAGAGCCTTCTCAGGAACATTGTCTGCGTAAATACCAAGATCTTTGCGACTGCGACTACTGTTCTGTTCGCTCCGTCGCAGATTTTTGACGCGGTGAACCCGTACGGTGATCTCACCCATGTCTTTCAGATCCTGTATTAGCTGATCCGAAAAGTCACGATTGTCAAATTCCTCTAAGGGCCTGGTCAGCAAATAGTTAAGTTCGAACTCACACTTATGTACCTATCTTGAGCTCAGAGAAGCAGAATTTCTGCAAGTACCATCTATGGCCTTCTGAGTACCTCAACCCTTCAGTGAATGTTTCGAATGTGTTGCCGAGAAGGTCGTTCTGCATTACATAGGCGCCACACACCCATTTTCCGTCGAGATAGAATTGCAACACCAGGGTACATCCTGGTCCTGGCCTCGTGAGTGTACATTTGATCGCGAACTCAGAACCTGACTGAACTTCAATGTATTTGGTGACCATATTAGATGATGCCTGTTCTTCATCGTCCTCATACTCTTCGAGAGCACTTGAATTCACGACAATCTCAGCCTTGAGTCTTGGGAAGGCTTCGACGATCGCCATGATTGCTTGTAAGAGAGTTGCAAGAGGAAGTGGATAGAGGACAGAATGAAGAGATCGGGGCAGCGCGCCTCGCTGCCGTAGTGAGGTGAAGTGAGAGTGGAGAAGGTGAAGCGGGGAGTTCGCTACCATAAGTCGCGCCTGACAAGTCAGGCCCACGCTAAGTCACGTCAACACGTGTGAGCACAGACCCACTTTAAGAAAGGAAGTTGCAACGCCCATAATAGGAGCTTGCATGTTCGTTCTACAGACTAAACAGCCAAAACGCAAGTACAAAAGAAAGCCCGTTCTAGTTCCTACTCCTGTCCATCCTCCACACCATCCATTCCCGCCCAGTGAAGAGATCGCAAGACGCTGACTGTCCACATGCGCAAACCTGCATTGACATGGACCTTTTGAAAGAAACTGTAGGGTATAATACCCAATATCAACGCTGGTAATGATGCCAAAACATTAAGCCGAAAGGCGAAACAAGACTCAAAGAGATTAAAACCCCCGCATCCGATACGCCTGAGAGCCCCTACCACCAGATGCTATTTTTATGTGTGTATGTATGTTGTGTAATGAAAACGCTATGCAGGTCGTAATCGTGAAAGTATGCCTCCATGCAATGATCCTGTCTGTCGGTGTTTTCGAACCCGTGTGTGCTGGAACTGTCGCGGTCGGGTGGTATTGATACGGAATGAGCGATGTGCGTCGATGATTCATCCGTCTGAGGGCATTGTTGGGTGCCGGCCAGGCGTCCGTCATTGTCGATGATTAGAGCGCTTCCTCGGTCCAGCAGGTGTTTCGATGCGCTACCAGGTGTCAGATCTACCACGCACCAACACTAGCAGACGAACCGGCGCCATAGCTTCCACTCAACAGCTGCTGTCGAATAGACATAGCATCGGCTGAAGCGCCGGCCGCGGGGTTCGGTACGTTGGCGCCCATCCACCCCAAGCTTCCGCGCAGCTCGTTGACGGCCTCTTGCATCCGCCCGCCCGAGGCTTCGTTGTGCTTTGCAATCTTCTGGTCCCACCCGCCGTGCAGCAGCTGTATGCCACCTGCCTTCTTTGCCGCCTCCCGGATGACCATCGCCCAAGCCTTGGCCATCTCCTCGTACGCCTCCTGCTTGTGTCGGTTGTGCTGGTACGTGTCCCAATCGGGAAGGCGGTGGATGACCTCGGTAGCACCGTCAAGGAAGTCGAGCGATGTGGCAGGCTGCTGTTCGTAGGGTGGCAGGAAGTGTGGTGTGAAGTCCTTCAGCGACTCCAGAAGCTCGGTGAGCTGCTGCTTGACTCGGTTGAAGGCATAGTCGGACGACGAGCGGCCGCCAAAGGGGAACGCTGCCTGGAACGCTGACTCGTATTTTGCCAGGACCTCCAGTGTCGACTGGATGCTCGGCCGCGGTGCTGTCGACACGACTTCGTTCCCAATGTCCGGGTGACGCTGGCAGATGGACTGCAGCAGGTTCCGCATCTCGTCGGCGCTGAGTGTCTCGAGCAGGCGTGGTAAGGGGAGGGGTCGGCCCGAGATGTTGGACCGCATCCGCTTCGTCATGTGTCGTGGCAGCGGGCGCGCGAGCATGGCGGGAGACGCAGAGGGAGAGGCCGACATGCGGTCTTCGTCGATGCCGCTGCCATCGTCGTCGGCTTTCCGCTTGCGGCCAGTCATGGCAGAGGAGGGCGAGAGGACTGCGTGGAGACTGCTGTTAGCGCCTGAACGGTGGGCATACTGTTGCTGGCAGTGGGCCGACATACTGTTGCGAGTTGGGGAGATGCGGTTGTTGAGGAGATGCGGAGGGGCGGTGGTGAAGTTCTGGTGGACATTCATGCTGGCGGCGGCCCGCAAACGCAGCGAAGACACAGTGGGTGTGTGTTGGTAACAGAATAGGGTCACGGGACCAGGGCGGACGTCGTCGAAGCGTGTGCTGCGTGGGTGAAGCTGCGGTTGATGGGTGTTGTGTTGTGCTGCCGCTATGCGCACAGAAGTTACTAGCACTAACGTGTTTTATCAGCCCGTGCACGCCATCGGCTCGTACACGCAGAACACCATTTCATCCAATCTTTTCAACCCTACACAACACTACTAAAATAGGCGATATAAAGGCTGCGCTTAATAATTTAAAATGCCTAAAGCTAGGAGAATCCCTTAATTATACTAAAGTAGCTAAGAAATATAGTATTAACTAATCTACATTATCCTAAAGGCATTACAAGGTAACTATAATATATAATAAATATATAATTAATAGCTAAAATCTTAACTTTATATAAAAGCATAAGCTTTTACAGTATATTAATAAGCTTTATAAAAGAGGTTTACTACCTATAAAAGAGATAATTTAGAATTTTATATTAAAGATAGCTAGTAAACTAGTAAGAAAATACTAGGTTAATTACTACATTATACGCTATAGTATTTACCTAATTTTATATTAAATAACTAGAATTAACGCTAATTACTATAAAGCTAATTCTACCTTTAAATACACCTTATACTTTAAGTAACTATACTATAAAATTAAGCAGTATAGTATTAAGCTATATTATATATATAATATAGATAAGAAGGGCTTTCTTATTAAAGTACTCTTAAGGATAAAGAGAATCTTTAGTAGAAACTAATATAAATATAAAAAGATTAAGGTAGTACTCTAGAATAGTAATAGAAAGTAAATTATATTATTAGTATATATTTATACTAATAGATTAGCTCTTACTCTAGTACTTATCTATTAGGCTACCTTTAGAAATATTTAAAATACTTAGTTATAAGATTTTAATCCTTTTATCTATTAAGCTTTCTTTACCTTATTACCTACTAGATAAATAAGTAACGTTATAGGCCTAGCCTAGCTTAAATAAGTATTTAATTAAAAGACTTAGAAGAAGGCCTAATACTTATACTAGCTACTTATTATTAACAGCTATAGCTCTTATATTACTATAGATTTTATTAAGTACTATAATAAAAATAAGATTCTGCTTATAGTACTTCTACCTTACTTAACTTATACGCTCTAGCCCCTTAATATAGTTATATTTAAGCCCTTATTAATAGCTTACTTAGCTAAGCTTTTAAACTTTATAAATAAGTACTAAAGACTCTTATTTATTACTAAGTATAACTTCTTCTAGCTCTTCTATTATACCTAAAATAGCTTATTTAAGCCTTAAACTATCTAAAAGGCCTTTAGCACTACTAGTATCTTATCTATAGATCTTAATATAATCTTCTATAAATTCTAGTTAAATAACTCTTACCTATTATTAAGCTTCTTTATAAGCTTAGTTTTAAGTACCTTAGACTAAAGAAAGATTAAGAGACTCTTAAAAGAGGTAGTAATTAATATAAGCTTAAATTAAACTTAGTAACTTAATTAAACTATCTATATAATCTTAGTTTAAAAAATACTTCTAAAGTATAAAAATAGTTAGCTTAAGAAGGCTCTCCTAAATAAGAAGAAGTATAGGTAGTATAGTAAGGTATTACTACTTTAGCTACTAACTTAATATAATAGAAGAGCTGTTTTTTAGTCTTCTTTAAAGGTTACTACTACCTATAATTACTAGAAGTAAAAGAACCTTAAATAAGAGCAGTTATAATACTAAAAGAGTAAGGTAATTAAGCTTTAAGATAAATAAAAGTAACTTAAGGTAAATCTCCTTAAAAAGAGGCGTTAGAATTAGGTAGTAGTAAAGAAGGTAAAGGTTATAAAGAAGGCTAAAAAATAAGCTTAATAAAAAAAGAAAAAGCTTACGTATTAGGCTAATAAATAACTCTAAGAAGATATTAAACTATCCTAAAAAGGTAAAAAGCAAAGCCTTAAGCTTATAAAAGCTCTAGCTATTAATTTAGTAGTTAAAGATAGAGTAGGTATATTAGTTAATAATAAGCTAACTTTTCTGCCCTAGTCCTACTATAGCTGTAAAATTAACCTCCTAGGCTAATTTAAATAGTATAAAATAATAATAGTACTCTATTAATTACTACCTTAAAAAATCTTATAATAATTATATTTATGTATAGCGTTACAGCTTTAAAAGTATAGCTTAAAAAATAGTGTTCTGCGTGCACAAGCCGATGGCGTGCACGGGCTGATAAAACACGTTAGCCGACAGCGGTTGACTAACAACGTCACATGCCGAACCAGCATTCCGTTCCGTTCACTTTATATTTTGAAACCTGGTCATCACAACAATCATTGTCATCAAAGTTTGTAAGCCTCCCATCTAGGACACCACTTCTTTGAGACGTCTCGAACGGCTGGAAAAGGTAGGTAACTGTGGCTGTTGCAATGGGCCTTCATAGGGCAAGCAAGTGCCTTCAACGAGCCCTACGTACTACGGGTAGAGGCTGTGGAGGCTGTGGAGGCTATGGCTGACGGCAATCCTTTCTCAAAGCATTATTGTTGCTAGTTACACCTAACTACCGTAAACAGGGCATGGGCCAAGACACTAGTAAGTAACTACGTGGTATCAAGACGTGCACCATCCAACACATTCATCTACCTCTAATCTAAGGTAGTGGTTGTCAACTGTCTATCAAACACCCTCTCTCCGATCTGCTTCACCAGCCTTTTCCGCAAAGACCTCTCTCATGCTCTCCTGCTCTTTCAGCCTCTCCATCATAATCCCATGCGCCTTCACCGCAGGCTTGATTTCAAACAGCTCATCCATTCTCTCAAGCGGTACACCCTTCGTCTCAGGGATTAAGAAATAAACAAATGGCACAGAAAGTATCATCAGACTCGCGAAGAAAAAGTATACCCCATATCCCATCGTGAGAAACATTTGCGGCGTAAACCTAGAAATGATGAAATTCCAGAACCAGTTATTCATCGCTGCGGATGCCTGGCCCAGAGATCGTGTCTGCGGGGAGAACATCTCTGAATTGATGACCCAGGGTGTGCCGTTCCAGGAAGGCGTGTAGAAAGCGGTCCAGAGGTAGAAGAAGAAGATCGCTGCGATGCCGCCGGATGAGAGTTTAGCGTCAGGATCCGCGGCTTTGCCACCCGAGTCGGCGATTTTGATGTATGCGCCAATGAACCACATGCAGAGGGAACCACCGATGGCGCCGTACATAAGAAGTTTCGTGCGACCCAGACGGTCGATGAGCCAGAGTAGCCAGATGAATGTTACGATCGTTTTCACGACGCCAAAAATACCAGTAGTGAGGAAACCAGTCGACGTCCCAGTGATGCCGATAGATTTAAAGACCGTTGGGGAGTAGTAGTTGATCGCGTTGATACCGGATCCATTCTGCCACAAGAACAGCATGCCGCCGAGGAAGAAGCGCCAGAGAACTTTGCGCTGCTTCAGTGCAGCAAAAGGGCTAAAGAACCCAGGACCAATGTGCACGCGATCGTGTTCGATTTGAGCGTCAATTGCTGCGACTTCCTCCAAAATGTACGGGTCATTCGCATCCAACTTACGGATCCAACAAAGGTTCTTAACTGCTTCCTCATGCCTGCCTTTCGAGAAGAGCCAACGTGGCGATTCCCGCAGCCAAAGAGCGCCAAAGAGAAGACCTCCAGCCGGGATGAGCTGCACAGCGAATGGAATAATCCATTGCTGATGCGTAGAGGCCATGGTTTGCTCGAGACCATAGTTGATCCAGAAGCCAACGAGTCCGCCGAGTTGCCATCCAAGCTCGTATATGCCAACAAGTCGTCCACGCACAGCTGGTGGAGACAGCTCGGCAATGTAGATGGGGACCATGTTGGAAGCGGCGCCCACACCAAGGCCTGCCAGGACACGACCTCCAAGGAGAAGTCCTAGACCTCGTTCGCGATTCGCCCCAAGCATCATGCCTGCACCTAAGATGAAGACCAATGACCAGATAATGAGCGACTTCTTCCTGCCGAGGAAATGACTGGACACATAGGCTCCAAAAGATCCAAAGAAAGCGCCGACCTGATATACTGAGACAATATTTGATTTCTCGTAAGCGAGCTGGGAAGCGGACAATTTGTCGAACTCGAATTCCGCGGCGAACGATGGGAGGCTCAGTGTTGTGCCGATAAAGGCAGAATCATAGCCGATCACTAGAAAAACGTCAGCAATCGTGTATTGTGTTCAGCTTGGGTCATACGTACTGCATGATGCCCACGACGCAACTATGGCGGCCGTGTAGACACGCCAGTTGTAGACAGCCTTGGGCGTTGGCCTGTCCTCAACAAGAGTAAGGATCCCCATCGCGAAGAGTGATGGTGAGAAAAGAAAAGCAGAAGATGCAAAATCCACCGAAATCCTTATTATATGACTCTTCACCGACTCCGACAGCGGCTAGTTATGGAGACAAAAGCTCGTCCTTTTGCCTACCCCAGAATTTTCATGTTTGAGGAGCAACCAGCCATACTGGCAAAACACCATGACGAGACGCGTAGTCAGGGACGTGTCCTCGGCATCCACAAGTGTTATCGCGGCAACGCATGCCGGGCATGTATACACCCCCTGTCTATCTCATGTTGAACATTTTGTTGTGGGATGAAGGATTTACGTGGTTGACAGAAGCGTCATCCGTGTAAAGCAGGTGGCAACTGCCCACGCTTTGATTGGACAAAGCTTGGGAGAGACCCACATCGGCTCGGGTTTAAGCGTCCGCTATGAAAAGCTTCAATATGGGTGCACCGGTCCGATGTCGGTTGAAATTTTGACTGGATTGGATCCCAGTCGTCTTATGCGTCGTTGAATACAAGGCGCCACTGCGTGTGTGTGTACGTTCGTCTCACGGACGAGTTCCGAGAGGCTTACACTATCTGACGCATGCAGCTCGAGGTCATTGTAATCGACACGCAGGCAACTCGCAGAAAGAGACATCATAGTTCCACACATTGTCAATCTCACTACACTCGATAGAAATTCAAGCATCTTCCACGGCTTCTAGACGCAGACGTTGCCTACCGCTAAAGACATCATGTCAGCAGAGGTCAATACAAGCCTTTTGGTGCCAGACAACTCGCATCTCGACCGACATGGATACCTCTTCGGCCACCCGATAGCTCATTCCTTGTCACCGCTGTTCCACCAGACCATCTACGATGGACTGGGTCTGAATTGGGCGCAGCTACTACTCGAATCTACTGATATGGAACTGTTCCTGAAGTTGATGCAAGATCCCAAATTCTACGGTATGAAGCCTTTACGCTCATGCTGAACTCCGTCACAGCACGTCTAGTTGACACATGTCAGGTGCTTCGGTTACCATGCCGCACAAGCTCGCTATCTTACAACATCTCGATGTAATCTCGCCCGAGGGCAAAACGGTTGGCGCTGTCAACACTCTTTATTGCCGTCAAGATTCTGCCACTGGTAAGCGTCTGTTCCTAGGAACAAACACAGACGTGATTGGTGTGCGAGACGCTTTTGACTTCAATGTGAAAGACCCCGATACCTGCTTCCACGGGCGTCCAGCATTGGTTGTAGGCGGTGGTGGAGCGGCTCGGAGTGCAGTATACGCCCTAAGAAAGTGGATGAAGGCGACTAACATCTACCTTGTAAACCGGGACCGCCAGGAGGTGAAAGACGTGATCGACCATTGTGTATCGATGGGTTATGGCGACGGGTTGATTGACGTATCGACTGTCGAGCAGGCAGAGCAGCTAGAAAGCGTTGGGGCCATCGTGGCATGTGTGCCGAATTTTCCGGCGAGGACACCAGAAGAGAAGGAAGCAAGGTCAATACTACAGAGCTTCCTGCACAGGTCCCACAAAGGCGCTCTCCTTGAGATGTGTTACCATCCTTCGCCATGGACAGAAATTGCAGAAATTAGCAAAACCAGTGGTTGGCAAGTCATTCTAGGCACGGAAGCCATGATCTATCAGGGACTGGAGCAATCTAAATACTGGACGGAAAGAAGCATCGATGAACTGCCGGTGGAGAGGGTACACGAGGTTATCGCAGCAAAGCTGAACGAGGTACACCATTAGTTTAGGTTTGGTGAACTGTCATAGATTTTCCTGCCTTGACTAGCGAAAAACGACTCTGCAAAAAACTCCCATTTTATGGAGTACAAGCCATCTCGAAGCCTTCGTATTCTTTGGAGACTGGTAGAATATACGCGTCGCATTGACGGATACATGGATATATATCCCTCAAAGATAGCATGTTAAAACATGGCTTGCATTTCTAAAGGGGACCACAGTGATAGTTTGATCTTCGTGCAACGATCCTCAACTAATTATGGCAGAGTTTACCCCGTGTAGTCGCGAAGCTTCTTCCCCTCAGTCATCACTGTGAATCAATTTCGCCCACAAAAAGTACTAATGCTCTCCTGATCAGCTATTCATAGTCTACTGCACTGCAGTGTGGCGTGACCTAAATACTTTTCAAAGCAGATAGAACAAGTGAGATCCAACTCTACGCATTGAAGCGAAACTTAGAAACGAAGAAAGTGCCTAGTGTCTTTTGTTACAATAGACGTAGGGCGTCCTTGCCTGCAAAACAAAATATTCTAGCACATTTAGAAGGGTTCAAAGATACTTAGTTAACTGCCAAAGTCATTGTTCTACTCATTACCGTGGTGATTTCACCAGCCTAGTCTAACAGTCTACCGATACTCTGTCTAGTATTTCGTAGTTGAACTCGCCTACATAATGACTAGACTTTTATAGTTCTTCAAGGTTTGACACTATGAGCTTATGCTAACGTTGAACTTAGTCTCACTGCGAAACATTTACGACATAGCTGCAATTCTACTTAAGGGAAAGATTTGGCGTGTTCACATTAGCACATGGAGTGGCCAGTCTTGGAGGGATGACTGGTCATCTCTGCTTCACCACCATAACTGCGTAATTTTACTAACTGTCACCATGCGATAAGGCGTTGGTCTGTAAGATCTGTGCTAGGTTATAAAACGAGGCTTGTCCTTGTATCATGCTTATCTGTTATTTCAGGCATGAAGAAGCTAAGATATCAATCAAAACACGAGAAAGACCTTAACACAAATCTTGAGCAGAAGGCGTTCTCGATCGCTCTGGTATGATCTTCCGTTGATTTAAGGATTATCCTTGATGATGTTAAGGAATTCGCTAAAGAACTCGATACGACAAAAGGAAAGTATGCTAGACTAGAAACATTTATATGTCATATTTTCACCTCTTTGACTTTCATTATTTCATTGGAACTTGACTTTATTTCCTTTTGGAATACTGGTTTTTCCAGATAGAATCTGACGTCATAGACTTTCATACACTGTGCTGGGTTGCGGGCTCGGAGATGCGAGCCGAGGGCTTCCGAAATTCAGATCCTGCAAGATGTTGATGAGAACGCCACTCATATCGTTATCAGACGTCATCTCTCATGCGAAGCGTATTCGTGATGCTCAACGTTCGGCTCTGGAGTTGAATAGAAGAAGTTTGATGCTGAAAGTCACAACGAACTTTGAATTACGCTAGTACTCCGCGGGTTGCCCATCATTTTAAGTAGATAGACAGACGGAACAAGAGTGCTACTATCTGATTGGACTCCAAATTAGCTACGTAGCTATATCTACTTCTGCGAAACGGAGGCAAGAAGGTCGAATGGTAAGGCAAACTATAGATGGAAGTTTTATCATGTGATGAATGGTGGCGACTTAATCGTACTAGTCTAAGCTAGACGTCTCTCGAATTCGTCGTACCAAAAATATCCTTACTCGTCCTGAACTTCTACATCAGCCTTTGTCATTGGATTCTGGGAGCTTGATCGTCAACCAGATCGCCCCCGTTTCGAACTTCGATGCCCCGCACAAGCCCGTCTTAGCGCGCCAAAGACGCACTTCATTATGGACCACTCAGACAAATCACGACATCGTCACAAACCCATATCCAAGGGCAGAAGGGAGCGCGACGTCTTGCAGTACTGTGCAGCGTTTCGTGGCATCCACTGTTTGGACAAGTTAGGCCCTACCTTCCCGCCCCCCGAACATGTCCCTCGCCTATCTTCGGACGCGACTCTCACGGCCTTGGCTCAATTGACGGCCATTCGTCTTGGAGCTGAGCGGGCCATGATCTCCTTAATTGATGATAAATGGCAGTACATACTGGCTGAAGCTGTTCCCACTATATCTCTACGTCCTGAGACACCTGGCGACGCGTCAAGCATGCTATGGTTCGGTAACACAAGGATTTCTCGGACGGCAGGGATCTGCGAGCGGTGTTTAAACATTGATCTGGCAGCAGGTGATGATGTAGCCGTCATCGTCAAAGATGTTGCTTTAGGTGATCAACAATTCTTCTATGCCGGAGCACCTTTGCGGAGTCCTTCTGGTGCAGTCGTGGGTACCGTTTGTATCTTTGACGACGGGACCAGAGACGGCCTTCGACAAGAGGATCTTGGTATTCTGCAGGGCCTGGCTGCGACGATCATCGAGTACCTACACACATACACGGTCAAGGATCAGTACAGGCGTGGCGAACAACTCACGCGTGGTCTTGTATCTTTTGCCGAAGGAGCATCAGCTTTGCTGCCGTTTGAAGATCTAAAGCGCGATGATCAAGAAGACTGGCCAGCCGACATATCCTCTGAGACTGAGGCGAGCACTGAGACGGGAACGAAAATGGGGACGAATATGACTCGCTCGGAAAAATCGACACAGGACGGTCGAATACATCCGCCACAGTTGTCGCCGTCGGCGGGAACAACTAAGACCGTATCCAAACGAAACAGTTCACTCGTTAATCTTCAGGAGAACATTTTGCCTAGCAATGCCAAATCTATGTTTGTGCGTGCAGCAAACGTACTTGTGGCTTCTAGTAGTTTGGACGGGGTCATGATTCTTGATGCTTCTGTCGCAGCAGCTGGACGTCGTCAACGAACAAACACCACTGAGCGTCGCCCTGAGTCCGGGGTATCTGGTATGGAGAGTGCGGAAGACTCGGCTAATTCCGAAATTTCTCCTGGTGAAGAAAGCAGTTCTATACGTGCTCTCGACACACAAACACCAACATCAGCCTCCAAAACATGTCAGATACTTGGGTATGCAACTTCAGACGGATCCGATACACTTTGGCCGGGGGTCGGTCCGGATCCTGGACGATTACTCGAAAGTGATCTGTCGCGGCTGTTGCAGGAATTTCCAGACGGCAAGATTTTCGATTTCACTGCAGGAGGAGTATACGTGTCTGCGACAGACGATTCGTCCTCAGCAAATTCGCCAGGTGCCGGCGTCGATGTAGAGCGTTCTGGTTCAGATGGGCAATCAAAAAAGAAGAGCCCTGGCAGTCGAAGACAAAGGTGCTCAAAAGCGATCGAAGAGATGTTTCCTGGCGTGCGAAGTGTTGCTTTTGTACCCTTCTGGGATTATGAACGTTCAAGATGGTTTGCAGGCTGTCTGTGCTGGAGTCGCAGTGAGGATCGACTGCTGTCAGCGTCTGTGGATCTTCCTTATTTCAAAATCTTTAGTCATTCAATCATGCGTGAGCTTTCAAGGCTGGACGCTATGGCGTTAAACCAGGTACGTTATTTCAACTATCCTTATACTACCAGAAGATGTTGCGTACCTATAAGAGCTACAAAAGTGCAGTAAAGCCGCGCAAGGTGCCACAGCACACTTCGACTATATGCTGTTGCTGAATGTTTACCGCTAACATAACTACCAAATATAGGCAAAGACCACGTTTGTCGCTTCTATCTCGCACGAATTGCGTTCGCCATTACATGGGATACTTGGCACCCTGGAATTCATTAAGGATACTCAACTTGACTCTTTCCAAACGAGCATGCTCAATTCCTTGAATGCGTGCGGCCAGACTCTCCTTGATACTATAAACCATGTCATGGACTACGCAAAGATCAGCGAAGCAAAAAGACAAGTTTCTTCTAGGAGACTGATGAACTCAAATACAATACGCTTATCTTCGAAACCTTTGAAGGGCCGACGATCAAAGGACGCCGCATTCGATCTTGGAATTGCCACGGAAGAGGTAGTGGAAGCCGTGTTCTCAGCATCATCATACGTCTTCGTATCCAGTACACAGGATTTAGCTGCATCGCCAAGGGAAAGTTCATCCGACAATGGTAGAACTACGTTCCACGATTCGACCCCGAAACGTAAACCCACCTTCATCGTACTCGATATAGCATATGAAGAAGACTGGTTGTACTGCTTTCCAGTGGGTTCGTGGAAGAGAATTGTAATGAACATTTTTGGCAACGCAGTCAAATACAGTATGTGAGATCTGTACTCCCCTTTCATTGCTCAGCTTTGCTGCCTATAATACATTATACGAATATTGACCCAGGACTGGAAAGCACGATTCAGGTCTTAATCTTGGTTTTTTGGTTTCCATTTGCCTGTTACATGGAAAGCTAGATCTACAATATGAACTTACGCTAACAATCTAACCCCCATCAGCTGAATCTGGATATATTCACGTCTCTTTGCATGCTAGCGATCCGGTCAAAGGCACGGGTTCTGCTAAATCAGTGACATTAACGGTCACTGATTCTGGTTCTGGTATGAGTTCTCCGTTCCTCGCAAATAAAGCCTTCCAGCCATTTTCCCAGGAGAATCCACATGTCAGTGGAACTGGTAAGTGAAACTCCATGTCTGGTCTCTCGTCTGAGATGCTTGCTCACTAGTGTTCAATAAAGGACTTGGGCTCAGTATTGTCCGCCAGATTCTCGAAACGAATGGCGGAAAGGTCGAGATTAGTAGCGATCCTGCTATTGGTACTAAGCTCACCGTGAAGCTAGCCTTGGCCAGACCAGATGTGGTACAAACGTGTCTACATCAACGTGCTGAGTATCTGGACTGGCTTCCGCGCCTGCAAGGTCGGCGAATATATGTTCTTCACAAGAAACTTCATGTGTCATCCAACGAACCCGACTTAGCACATCCTACCGAAGGATTCAAACGATTTACCAGCACTTTAGTCACGACTTTAGCTAACCACCTGAAGATGGACGTTGTTCAAACGACAGATTGGAACGAGCGTGACGCTGAAATCGTTGTCTGTCCAGAACCATCGTTCGATTATCTCGCCACCATTCGGCGAAATAGAAGGGCGAACCAGCGAGCCCCAATGACAATCTTTGTTGCAATGGATGCACTCGAGGCGGCTACACTGCGCTCTGACGTGCGTATAACCAACAGAGAAAGTGTGGTTGAGATCATGACGCAACCGTAAGCCGAGCTTGTACCATAGTCCTACAGACTTTCTCCTGACATGAAATAGTTGTGGGCCATACAAATTGGCATACATTCTCAAAAGATGTCTCGATCGTTTTGAACACCCTGGGGAAAATCTCCCACACATAAGCTCACCTGCTACATTTCCTCAACTTGATACATTTATCGGTAAAGAGGCCCTGCATTATATGACCGTGTTGAGTCCTCCACCTATCATCAAGCCCTCTGACGCTGCGTCTTCTGCAGCGGGATCTGCTACCCTCGATCACGCGATCTCGTTACCCCTCCCAGAGAAGTCAGGCGAATCGCAAATTCTGGTCGTTGACGATAATGCGATCAATCGGAAAGTATGTAGACTCGCGATCCCCTACGTGTAACTCTGTTCACAATCAATCTAACACCTTTTTCAGCTCCTTGGGGCCTTCATGAAGAAGCGAAAACTAGAACATGTGGAATCCGAGAACGGGCTTGAAGCACTACGCACATATCGAGAAAGCACGCAAAGATTCGATATTATTCTAATGGGTAAGGACGTTTTCTCTTTATGCTGTAGCCATCTCGATTAAGCCATTCAATTGTTAGTGCTACGCCAACCCATGCTAACATTCGAGAAGACATGTCTATGCCAGTCATGGATGGTATGACGGCGACACGTTCTATCCGCCAACACGAGCAGGACTACAACATCGATCGCTGCTGTATCATTGCCTTGACGGGCCTTGCATCAGCAAGCGCAAAACTGGAGGCCTGGAGCTCTGGGATTGACTATTTCATGACAAAGCCGGTCAACTTCAAAGAGCTGGATGAGCTTCTCAAGAGGGAGAAAAGGAGACAAGGGAAGAAGGCCTTGTCCAAGGACGAACAAATCAGCGATGCTGACAACGAGGACGAACCTACAGCCTATACTTGATAAACATGGATGGCAGTTGGGACTGTACCGAAAGATGACATTACGACTTGATGTCAGTGCGAAACGTGGGCATTGCGTACCCACGTTAGAATAAGTATGGGTCGGAGATTGTTGTAAACGCAACAAAGATCCCCGGAAGAGGCTTCTCGTAGTTCATAATTAGTGTGCCGTGCTGCACAATTGTAGGGTATATCTAAGCAGAGATATCTGAGGAGAGTTGAGAAGTATACACAAGAGAAGTAATGCAGCAGGCCCTGCAATCACAATGCATAATCATTACACATATGTCGGTCCCAACACACTTCGTATTAATCCCCACCGCGTTTTGTCTCATTTCTTTACTTGAACATTTGCGTATTCGTTGGGACGTGGCGTACAGATGACGTCATCTTGATCGACTTGTTGTATCGCGTTTCATTTTACATATATTCGTGCGTTGTTCACGTCATCCTTCGAGTCCTCTCTCTGGCAGCCACAGTACTGTAGAACGAGAAGGAATATGCTTTTCTGAAGCTTGAGACTGTTCGAAAAGATGAGCAGTGCATGCGGTTCGTTTCATTTGTAAAAACGGTGAGTGAGACTGGGGTGCAGCAGGAACAATGCAACGCTGAAAGATCTTAAAATCGAGTAATTAAGACAATATTAAATCTATGAAGGAGCGATCTTAAGACGCCTGCCAAGATGCAGAAGCGCATCTTTATGCAGTCTAAGTCTAGTGTATCCGGCTCCGGAACGCCTTCGCATGCCAAAATGCTTCATTCAACATCCATGTCTATTTGGACACAATCAGTCCTAACCACATGCTCATAGTATCATAGCCACCGCTACCGCAACCACGAATCCAAAGTATTTAGCAGAGGGGTGGAAAAGCACATTTGCCATGGACTGGGTGCCACAGCAGTCTCGGTTGTATGTGACGTTGTTCGCTCGAGCGGCGACTTCAAATACGCTGCCATTCGTAGGGCCTTGATTATAGAAGTCGACGAGGAGGAAATTGGGTGGGCGGCCCCACGTCGCTGTCAAGACTGATAAGTGATTGTTTGTCAAAATCGAAGAATCTGGAGCTTACCAATGCATCCATTGGACATTAGCCCGACACTCCCGTTCCCTGTAGCAGCGTTCGTCACATTCAAAGCGGTGTAATCCGGAACAAGCAGACTGATCCCTGCGAATGCGAAATCAACATTCAAGTTACTGGAAAGAGTCAGTGACTGGTCATTATCATCATACCCAAGTTGAACTTACGCGTTCGCCATGTACATCATCTCCCGGGCTTTCTCGTCGCCGAGACCATCCGGTCTGTCGATGGTGCAAGGGAAAGCGGCATTTGTGGGAGAATAGGGCGTCTCCCAGACATTGTAAAATTGCCACAACATCCAAGGAACAGCGTCTGTGTCAAAGTTGTAGTCGATGAATGTTACGACCCTCTTCTGCTGGAGGAGCATTTCGCCAAGCGTAGGCCAATCTTCGAGAGTCATAGCGGTTTTGGGAGGTTGGTAGATGTACTGCTTGAGGCCGGATTTCTCGATCGGGTCGACGAAGTTGGAGGAGGTAACAAGTGGCTTGCCGTCCGTGCCTGTCTTTTCGTAATCGTAGTTTCCGAAGATGATGGTAACGACGTCAAAGGGATGCGCTTGCACCCATGTCTCGACTTCGCTGAGGTAATCTTCGACGGTTCCAGCATCGAGGAGGTCACAAGAGGTGTGGCAGTAACGGAGTGTTCCATTGACAAGATGCGCTTGACCCTGTAGCACCCGAATTCCATCGTTCAACTGTTGAGTAGCTCCGTAATCTTGATTTCGTCCTGCGTTTCGAGCCCTAGTAAACATCGAGTTGTGTGCGGCAACTTCTGTAATATTGGAGTAGCGTCTGTTGCAGAATTCGAGGTAGTTGTTGCATGCCTGCGTATTCTGTGGTACAGCTGCTGATGTGCCTGAAGCGGTTGGTGTTCTCGTCCTATTGCTCCCTCCGATCTCTGTTAGAGGATCCTCTGAGCTCGTTGCATTCGACGCTCCAGATGATCCAGACCCAGTGATGCTAGAACGCGCTGACCTGGTTATGGTTGCGATAGTGCTGCCCTCAAAATCCGACGGAACAGTCGCTGTTCCTGCCGCATCGCTTGACAGTTGCCTTTGACTACCAGTCGAGGTGACAAAGGAAGACGATTGTGACTGCGCGGAACTATCCTGGGAGAAGGTAAGACCGGCAAGCCAGAGGATAGAAAATAGTGTTCCCTTCATGGTAGGCAGGCTGGTCAAGGAAATATCTTCGTAAAACAAACTCCTTCTCAGGCAGATCCCTAAGATCTGTATTCCCAAAAGCAAACGACCGAGGAGCAATGACTTGCGTGATGATGGCGTTGAAAGGTTGAAACAGGCAATGTTGTTTTTCTCCTATCCCGATTATGCCGACTTGGCCCTGACGTCAAAGCCCCGCTTGGCGACATCTAAGCTTTTCGAACCATACTCGTCCAGCCAACGATCGCCCGGAGCCGCATGAGCGTCGCAAGGTCCATCACTCGCCAGGCTTTAGTTCATACGTATTTGTGGGTCCCAGCCTCTTATAGTTTCAGGCTGCCGGCTAGACCGGATACCAAGACTTTCTGAGTCGACAAAAACATTAGAAACAAAGCCATCAAAGATCAGTCGGGTTACATGCTTTGACTGCAAGGCTACCAACAATATGTATCGTAGATTCTGGTGTATAGTATTCGATCATGCCTAGCGACTTCCCGTATTTCCTGGCAAACTAGGATGAGCTGAAGAACTCCTCGAATCGGCTTTTTCCTTCTAGCTGTTGTATCTCTCGCTTCATTACATCTATCCTGTAGTTCTTGAATGCCTTCTCGATCCTCTCTCTTGACGCGGGATCCTTCGTTATGGTGCTGGATGCCGAGGCCGTACCGGTCAGCAAGCCGATTTCTCCACCAAGGAAGAGTCCGCCAACGGAGAAGAAGAAGTATGTCGCTGCATCGCTCCATTTTGAGGGCGCGAGTTTGGCTGAAATATCTGGGATGGGTTCTGTAAAAGCTCAAGGGTCAGTACTGAATGCGACAGAGGTGTACGAAAGATTACCTGTACGTCCGTCCGCAAATCGCACCTCCACAGGTTTCTCCATTGCTTTGAAGGCATTGAAATACGCCAGCCTCATGGTTCTCAATCGAAAGGCAAAGTAAACTCCAAGGCCCAATCCAGCCAAAGATGCAGCCATTGCATGAGTCGACACCTTGCTGCCCGCACTCTTCAGAAGATCACGATCTTGTTGATTCAAGCTATGTCAAGTCAGTTTTCGCTGCGACAAAACACCACACAGTACGCACTCATGCTGCAGGTGCTCCTCCGCGAGCTGGCGGAGATCACTGCTGCTCTGATGGTTGCGAAATGCGGCCAATGATTCAGACATTTTCGTATACGCTTCGAGCAATTGTTAGCTATAGATATAAAGTAGGTGAGCTTGGGGGTGGTAGCTTCAGGCTTCACGAAATTCGTACTTCGCGGCAACGCGTCATTGACGTCATATTAGAACTCTTAGCAATGAACTTCGATCACGTGCTGAGCGTGCCCAAAATCAAGTCGACTGAGATATTGTTCAGCGACTTTATAGACAACATTCCAGTTAATAACCAACCGCAGGATGTGTTCTGGTTGATAACCACATGCTTCCCAATGTCGCAGGTTAAAGTTTGTATCTTGTAGCCAGACTGCATTGTCGCTTGTACGAGAACGGGCACGTCGTTCTATTGAGGATTTCTCCTAAGATATGCATTTCGTCTTTAAGAAACATAACTGGGTGAACCAGGGATACATACTGTGTTTGTGGGGTAGATTTTGCCCGGCGTTGGAACCTCCAATAAGACTTTTGGAGTGGCTACACACCGGTTACGTCCGGCTTGCGAGCAACATCACGTCACGCCAATTCCTTTCACATTCGGTACCTTGTTTAATTTTGCATCCGTACTATGGACTGATCAGCACTGTTAGACACGCAGACGTTGATGTTGACGGGATGGTTACACAGCAAACTTCGTCTCCCATCCCGTCAGTCAGTCTACTGAAATATGGTTCTCTCAATCAGACCTGATCATCTCATAGCTCAAGTGCACAGATGGCGAAACGCTTTGTAGGCTGCTAACCCTACAGTGCTCAGAACATGGGGCACGATTACACTGTACAATGCCTCGGTGTTAGGTTTTACTGTAGGCAAGGCGTATTAAACAGAGAATACATGGGAAGAGAACTAAATTAGCGTTGTAAGTGTCACTTCCCAGTTTCTACTCGTGCATCGGAATTACAACTCTGGAAACTAGGTGTGGTGAGAAGTCATCGTCAATTGCTGGCGATCTAACTTTCTTTGAGTTCACAAGTTTTGGTCTGCCTGACCAGAGTCACGCTCTCCTGGGTGAGAGTTTTGATGCCTCCAGAGGCATTCCTCCACATATGCAAATGTTTAGATTTAACAATCAGCGATTGAGATATGACTGCAAGACTCCCTGGCTAAACATGCGGGTACTGCCTGAAGATGGGTGCAAATGAACACCAGTCCGTTGGAAGTTTTTGGTCTAGGGTGCCTTCAACCAAATTCAAAATGTATCCTATTTAGTAATCAGCTATTCGAATACTGTATACACTGGGACTATTGGACAAACTAATCAACTATCAAAGCCAATTCAAATTATCAGCGCATATTCACCAATAGTATTGCTTTATCTGCAGTACTTGAACACTTCACGGGCTTTCCACCGGTCATGCATGACCAGCATCCCTCCGAATGACGAGTAACTGCGCTTGGTAAACAACCGAGCTATCCATCTGCCGAGTGGCAGAGACTCTATGTGATACTTTAGGTTTTCAAGGGCTTCGTGAGAACACTGACTAGGTTCATCGTCGTATTTCTGGCATGATACTACTATCTAATGTTGCCGTAGTGCTATCAAAAACCAGAGAGAGAAGAACTCCCTTCTGATCAGATGTGACTAACTTTAGACGGGGAGACACTGACTGACAGTGTTACTCAGTTTCTCGTCACACCGACTCTACCGCAACATATGCTACAAGCCTGAAATGCAGTTACTGGGGTAGATCTTGGATGCATTGGTGCATATAAGTCACATATTGAAGATGACTCGTATCTACTGTATATAAACTTTACAGTTGGCGACTTGCTTGACAGGATGTTATGTTCGGTTGAAGAGTTGTTGGCTTTTCCTCGGAGTATTCCGTATCACAACGACCACAGTGGCACCCGCCATTTCATGGTGAGTCTTGGATATTATGCAAGGTAGACAAGGGTAACACTTGGCTTGTCGTCATAAAGCCTGCTGTTAAGGAACAGACATCCGGACAACAAGCGCTCTACAGGTCTCTGTTGACGGAAAGAGCACATGTCCACTGATGTATTATGGTACGACGAAGTCGACAATCATCAAGACTCGGTTGGAGATATACGTACACTGTCTACGAAAGTATGCTCATGTCGAAGTAAGCCGATGAATTCGGTACAGATGAGTACCTCTAGAATCTAAGTTCATCAAAGGTCCAGATCGGATTACGTATGATCGATGATGTGATTTCGATGTCTCGATCCACCATGGATGTCACACCACCTTCACCTCATAGCCTCGGAAAGATTCCATGATTTTTGTGAATATTTCAGCTCATAGCGGGGTTGCAGCAGCCCTATAGTGGTCAGACAGAGGCTTGGGTTTCTTTGTTGTGACTGGAGGAAGGGGAGGGAGGCAGGTGATGAGCGTGCGTAAGCGTGCTATAGATAGTCTAAAACAAAGGGCAACCTTGTTCAATACTATTCTGAAGGCGCGAGGGTGTCATACTTGGCATGCAAAGGCTATTGTTTTGCTTATGTGCATTGCACTACCCCTTGTCCACCAACGTCACAAAACAGAAAAACTCTCAACCCTGTTCAACAACCGAGGCCACCATCGCAACCCCTCTCTCCAGCCTAGTGGTTTGCCAGAACGAACACTGTAGTCGACGACACAATTCTGACAGGCGGGATTGATGAGTTGTGCGCCACCTTGTATACAGTGCTTTGAACATGCGGGTAATATGTGGAAATAACGTTCCCGCGATATGACAGTCTCCAAACGCTTCTGCCCGACCGTTACCGTTGTGGCTGCTACTGCTATACGGCCGCCAGCACGGCACTCACCCCGTCGATGCGTCCGATTGACGTTCATGGGATCAGCATAGCAGATCATCTCACGATAGCTATGTCCTCACTAGACTGCGACCAGGTGTTTAGCTAGCGGTTTTGTGACCATGTGTTTGCTGTAGGTGCTTTTACCTCGGTCTCGGCCTAATTCTAAGCGTTCGGTAGTGGCATCCTGGATCCGACGGCGATCACTACATAACGCCCTGCTAGTGCTGGTGCTGGTGGAGCGATTTGGGACAGTACGTCGTTAGTGGACTGGTTGGTCAGGGACGTACATACAGTCGTTCAAAAAATACCTTGCCCGGGCCTTCACAGGCACAGAAAGGCTATCGTTGTCTCTGTACAGATAGAGGCCTCGGCACCAGCACGCTACGTATCTGTCTGAGGTTCAGTAAAAGGTTGAAAACTTAGACTAGAGGCTCATCCATACAAGGCTACATCCCGATAGATCCTCGGCGTTGAAATCCACTCCACGGCATTGGCTAAGCTGATTTTCCACGATGCTCAATTTCGTGTGGTGGGCTGGATCGACGTACCGTAGGATTTTGCCTAAATCATTTGCCGCTAGCTAGGGTCGAAGCCAATCAACTTCACAAGCCTACTGTGGCTCAGTCACTGCACCACAATTCGGTCCTGGTTAGCGGTAAACCCATAAGGCTTGAAACCTGGGGTACCGTTTGCGCGCCAACCGAAACTGGTCAATCACCGTGCTGCGGAGCGTGCCGTCAAAAGGCTGTCACATCCGTATTGCCTTTTCTGAATGTTGGTTCCCAGATCGACAATGATCGACATCCACGTTACTTGTTTGGTAGTACTCCCCCTTTTTCTTTAACTTCTCAATGTACATCATGTGGACAGTGATTTTCCACCATTACGACGATCACCGGCCCAGCCCACGCACGTTTGAGATTCTCCAATAGGGGGAACGGGATCAGAGTATGGGGTAGGATTTGGTGTGTGTGATAATATCGAAGAATCGCGAAAGCCGGAAACTGCCTCGGCCTGTGGCGCTACATCATGAAGGAGGATGCTGTTACCGGTGATAAGGGTCAAGATATCTAGAAATATAAGTACAGGCGTTCAAACACCACAAAAGACCATCAGCTAACAGTTCAATCTGACACTGCTTTATAAAGACCTGCTGGCAACTACTTCTTCATTATGCATTCACTATCCCTTCTTCTTCTTTCTGCATCAGGCACCTTGGCCTACCCTTGGGTAGCCGGCCAGCCAGGTGTTAAGTCCTCGCTCTTCAAAGATGCTCAGCCTCAGAAGAGACAGGCCAATTGCCCCTTCAACGCGAACCACCAACCAGCGGCACCATACACCAGCCAGTATCCTTACCTTGGCGCGAAGAATGGTTCTGCAGGAACAGGAGTCGGCGGAATTAAGGTTCCAGCCGATGGCGACACTGCACACGCCTTCGTAGCGCCAGGGGCAAACGATATTCGTGGTCCCTGTCCTGGTCTCAATGCAGCCGCCAATCACAACTTCTTGGCTCACGATGGCGTCGTGACCTTCAACGAGCTTGTCGATGCGCAGCAAAATGTCTATAATGTCGGCTATGATCTCGCCGTCCTTCTCGCCACATTCGGCGTGTCTCTCGATGGTGACATCGGCACAGGCAAGCTTAGCATAGGATGTGATGCTACGTCTCGTACCGCTTCGCTCGGCGGCATACTTGGTCGCCAACCTGGACTCGATGGGCACAACAAATTCGAAGCTGACTCGTCGCTCACTCGCAACGACTACTTCACTCACAACGGTGACAACTACAGCTTCAACGGAACCCTTTTCGCTAGGATGAAGGTAGTCGCCGACCGTGTCTCAGGCGGGAAGTTCGACCGCAACGCTTTAGCAGCATACAGGAGCCAGCGTTACGATGAGTCCGTCCAGGAGAACCCCAACTTCTTCTTTGGTCCTCTAACTGTTTTGCTTTACGGAGCCTCCTCTTTCCTCTACGAGCTGTTTGCTCCATATGGCCCTGAAGGTACTCCCGATCTTGCCTCCATGGAATCTTTCTTCGGCGCCGTCGCGGACTCCTCTGCAGAAGGAGGCTATCGACACGTCGGCGAGCAGATTCCCGCTAACTGGCATAACCGTCGCGCCCCATACACAAACCAAGATGTCACCAACGAGATTGTCGCACAATACATTCAGTACCCCAAGCTGTTTGGCGGAAACGTTGGCACGAACAACTTCGATGCGCTCCCTTCTACAGTCGGTATCATAGGCGACGGCAAGCTCCCGAATGATGTTACGGGGGCTGCTCTACTTTGCTTGCTGTACCAACTTGCTACTATGAGTGTGCCGAGCTCGTTGAGCGCCACGACTGGTCTCACGCTCAGTGTTATCAACTGGTCTCTTGGCACGTTGAATCCTATCTTCAAGAACGCTGGCTGTCCTCTCAAGCCTGATCAGACATCGTAGGGCCTGGTATTGGTCGAGACTAATATGGGGAACTGTCCTTCATGATTCGATGCGAAGTCTCTGGATTAAGTTGCAACGGAGGGGTTGAAATGGGCATAACGAGTACGGAAACGAATACTCTGAGGTTTGGCAGGAATAGTCTAGTTTTTGAGAATGTCGCTGTAGCTACATAAAATGATCGTTATTTCATTTACAAGATGAAGATGAATTCCTTTACATGTGATGAATCACAACGGCCTCCAGCACTACCTCCACCATCAGTCCAGACTTCCTACCACCACTTCTACATATTCCCTGTCATGCTCTGTGAATAGCTAGAGGGTTCTCGTTACGAACAGAGAGGGGTGCAAGATGAGTTCGTTGATAACTAGAAAGGAGGGTGAAGTGAACAGAGAAGAGAGGGTTAGTGAAGAAGAAAGAAGAGAGAAGAAAGTGAATAACGCTCCCATGTCAATGTCTCACTCCGAACACAAAAGTAACATATAACTCGTAGATGAAATCCCGCCTCATCGTCCCTTCCGCTATTACTTGACTACAGATTACAGGAGAAAAACTATATGAACACCCCGAGTTTCACTCTCAGCGATACTACGAAATATCAGACCGTAGTTTTCACCTAGTAAGCCAAAGAGACGTAAAAACCCCCAGCAATGATAAAGGACTAGGTACGTTACATCAACGTACATCAGGTCGTCCGTGAGACAGTCTGAAACTCTCCAGTCACCACGTAGAAGCAACAACAATACATGCAGGGGCAAGCATGTGAAGTATTGAAGAAGAGTGATTGTAATTAGGCTTCCCGCCAATCCATTGTGTACGTTAAGCACAGCCACCGTAACCCGACCCAACAGAAGACCCCACAGATATCTCGAAAAAGAAAACGACGCCCAAGCCATGCCCACCGAACACCTTGCAGGAAGAAAACGACAAAGGGATATGAATGCGAAGGAAACAACGAATGAAAAAGACAAGAAACGCAGCATATCATCTGAATGAACGCTTCTGAAGTGAGTGTCTGCCTCACGAAGAAGACCCCGACTCAAGGCTGGACGACCTGGTCAGCTCCTCACCCTCCATTCCCAACCCTTCCATCTCCTCGGCAATCTCTTCATACCACTTCCCATGCGCCTTGCGATCAACCTCGCTGACCTTGCCCAACTGCTCGCAAATGTCTGCAACCTGGGACACGAACTCGGGAAGGCCCGTGGTAGCGAGACCCTCGGTCGCTGTACTGGCCGCTTTGACGCGCTCACCGGAACTACTAGCTGACACGCGGTTGAAAATGTGCGTCTTGAGGCGCTGGAACAGGACCTTGAGAACAGGATCTGACAGCTTTCCTGATTCGGCCTGTGTGAGGAGGCGGGAAATTGTCGAGGAAAGCTGAGCACGGGTCGACGGAGGCATGTTATGCGAGGACTCTAGGAGAGATGAGATCTTCAATGGCGTTGCGGGGTCTTTGAGGTAGCCATCCTTAAGAACGTCCCACATCCTGTTCGCCTCTGTTTTCCATTGGGAGCGTACATCGCGCTTGAGAAGATTCTTTGCGGTGAGCAGAATGCCGCCAATCGTAGTAATGCGCAATGCGTCTTCGCGAATCCGAGAAATTCGCGCACGATCCAGTTCGAGGGTCTCTGGGAGCTCAGAATCTCTGAGTGGTGGAGTCGATATTGCCAGGTCGACGAGCCCACGTGCATAAATCTTATGAACTGTGGGGCGGTTGATGGCATTTGGTTGATTCCAAGGATCCCGTCGGTCAGCTTCAGTGTGTATGTTCACAGCTGCACTTCGCCACCACCGTCGTGCCCGGTCGAGCGTGATTTTGCCTTCTTCAAGATCCTGCGTGAAAATGCGTTGTTCGTAGCCTGCAGCCTCCTTGATCAGTGTCGGTGCCGCATTCATCAGAAGGAAGTTTGAGTAGTCCAAGGACAGAAGGTCGATGATGTGCAGGAGCCTGAAAAGCTTCTCGATCATCTCCGAGAGCTCGCCTTCATCTTGCAGCTCATCGGCCAAAGCCTGGACTTGCCCGTCTCGAAATGGAGCACAGAGTTTGGGAAGGATGCTAGCGATGAAACCAAAGAACTTCCCGTACGAGAATAGCCCCTGATTGCATTGCTTTGCGATCAGTTCTGGATCCAACGTCTCGGAGATCAAAGTATGCATAGAGTTGCCAGCCTTCAACAAACGAAGCAACTTTCCACGTATGTTCTCAGCCATGGCAACAGTCCAATTTGTACTATCGCCGTCTTGGAACCCTCTGCGCATAGCATCGCAGAGCTCACGGTTCAAAGCATCCCTCAAGTCGGCAGTCGGCGATGCGTCGATGCGATACTCCTTATCAATGGAAAGCTCGTGAACAAGAATACGGTTTTCAGGTACTGAGGTGAAGACCTTGGAGAGGGACTGCGCTTGGTGGCCTTGTGTAGCGGGGCCATGGCGACCTTCAGCTCCAGAAGCTGCAAGCTCAGAAGCAGCCTCGGCTTGCATGGCCGCACTCTCAGCTTCAATAGGAGATCCTGATGCAGAATCGATAGCGACTCGCGGACGTACTGTTTCTCCTGCCGGTCTCTTCTTCGGCTTCGATCTTCGGCTTTCCCTAATGGCCTTACGAATCAAGGTCAGAGCTTTGTCAGGCCCAGCCAGTTTTTTAATCTTGCTGAGCAGAATGGCCTGGTTGTCCCTAATGCCGTTCCTATACTCATTCGCGACCTCGTCGACCGTTTCGTCTTTGACGCTCTGCCATATCGTGTCGAGACTAACAAAAGACGCGACCATAGTTTCAACTAGAGCTGAGGAATCACGAGCTTTCCAGTCGTTAAAAGCAGCAACAAAAGCGCTATGAGCCAACAACACGGTCTCTGTCCGCGTAGGTGATGGAGTGTAGTAGTTGAAAGTTGTGAGCTTTCCCAAGGCGGACTCGAATGAAATGATCAAATCCTTGGCCTTGTTGATAAGATCCTGCTCCTGGGCGCCGTCCCGGCTGAAAACGTGCGCAGGATGTCCCAAAATGAGGTATGTGGAAAGAAAGGTTCTGACGGTTGTGTTGCGGGACGCTGGGTCTTGGTCTGGGAGTAAGACGAACAGCGTCATGATCTTCTCGGTCGTCTTGAGCAGGTTTTCAGCGGCGAGCAGAGCTGTGATGTCCTCGAAACTGGTGTCGCGTATCTCTTCTATGGAGAGGCCGAGCTCGAACCACGCATCGACAATGTTCTTCCTAGCTCTGGCTCTCCACGCAGACTGGATGCGCTTGGCAGCATCTTCTGAAGAAACCGTTGGCCGCGCAAGAGGGTTCTTGGCGTCAGCTGGAGGCGAGCTGGCAGTCCTCGGCCTTCGGGGGTTGCGCTTGTACTCGAGTCGCCTCTTCTCAGCATCTGCTAGCTTCTCTTCCATTTCCAAGCGATATCTGCGTTCGTCGGCGGCCTTGCGCTCCTTCATGTCCTCTGCGACCTTTTTGGCTCTCCTGACTTCCTCAGCACACGATGCTGCCACCTGTGCAAGGTGTCGCTCCCGGGCCTGCTGGGCAGCCAACGCGCGCTCTTCACAGTTGGAGATACGTGGGGCTGCCTTCGCCAGCGCAGCACGCAACCGCACTTGCTCGGCGTGTGCTGCTCTGTCTGCCAGTCGTGCTTTGCGGCTCTCGAGAATGGATGTACGGCGAAGGTGCTGGGCGATGTGGTGGCTCTGGCAGGCGTTGTTGCGGAAAGAGCGACTCGACGTGTGCGAGTGGGTCGAGGACAGCGAGTTGCGGCGCGAGGATGCAGCAGACGACTTGCGGCGGTTGTTTGCGTATCGATAGAAGCGAGCGGCGATTCGTGGTGGAGGCGCAAAGGACTGGCCGTTCCCAGCGTCGTCTGACAGGATCATGTCTGGCTCTTCGGGTATGTCGTCGTTCTCTCGCTGTAGGTGCAAGCTGACCATCTCGAGTTCAGAGTCGGTGAGAGACATGGCGACAAGGCTACTCTCCGAGTCGAGGCTCGCGCGGCTATGTCGAGTTTATCCAGAGACAGGTGCTGCGGTTGGGGTTGGGACAAATACGAAACAAAGCACGTCCTTGTTGGAAATGCCGAGCGGAACGCGTCGCAAGTAGACGGGGTCAGACAAAGTGAGAATAGAAGCGCGTGCAGCAAGAATATCATACACAGAAGTGAAGGGTGTCCGCTGCCTTTGTGCGATCAGCTGCGGGCGTTGGTATGGATGACTGCGGGCGGGATTGATAAGCTTGACGTTAGCCCCTCCTAGACGGCAAAGGTGGGCGGCTTCAGACACTGAGAGCTACAGAAAGAGACTGAGAATAAAAAGCAGGCGACTGCCTTGGTCAGTCGTCGCGGAGTGAGGAAAGCAAAGCACGTGGCTGGGGCGCGTTCATGGTTATGATTGCGCTCTCCTCCTTCGACATGACGAACCATGGGTGGGCTCTTGCCAAGGCAACTGACATGCGGCCCGCTAAAAGAAGCGCATCGAACGCGATCGACATCTTTGGCCTCTCAGCTCCACTCCTCAGCCTTACAAAGTTAGTTTTATCACGTCGTTCTTTCTCGCCATCTTGCTATCTCCTCACCGCACTCTGCACACAGACCGAACGCGACCTCGCGCAAAACGTGAAACGCTTAAAGTGTCCTTGAGGCATCTACCTGGCAATCTACAATCTAGCACGGCCTGTGCGCACCGATTAATGTCACTCAACGGACGTCATGGCAAGGCACTTGTTCTGCAGGACTTCTGTTACTTTCGCCGGACCCTCAGTGTGTGAAATGTCGTTAGAGCTGGACACCTTATGAATTTGTATTCATCTCGACGACTTGTTGTTCACGTGTAATACGTGTTGCTTTGTCATTATCTCCTATTCATTTCTTGGTGAGATGGCTCTACCATCACTGTCCAAAACAAGGAGGAGTGGAACACAAAATTGCCTTTTTACTGTACTGTCGTAATCCCAGAAAACTCGAAAAACAGAAGCATAGAGAAGGAATCAAGCTGACATATCGAAGACCTTGCTGAGGTCAATCAAACAAACAAAATAAAACAAGGCTCAACAATGAGAGTCAATCTTTGCTATGTGTACCTCATATCCTTCCTAAAACACTACAACTTTTGTGAGAACAGACATCAGAGATACAGGTAGAACAAAAAGAGATCCCAAGAGCGGTCTTTGGTCACAACTGCGCTTCATTTACAGAACTTCTAACGGCCCAAATACTAGAAGTGATGCAATCTTGTCGGCCCCCAGACTGGTTCATAAGCGCTAGGTATTAGTTTCGCTATCCTGACGAAGCCGAACAAAAGTCAGTTTACCTCCGCGACTTGCTAGACACACAGTGCTCCCAGAAATTCCGACATAAACTGGTCGGTATTCAGGCGGAAGCCAAACAACAGGGCTTCCGTCTACGCATATCCACTGATCGTTTACGAATATGGCTAGTGGCGGTTTGCTCGGAGACGGGGAAATGCTCAGGAGATGCGTAGGGATAGAAACAATCCCCCTTTCTGTTTGCAAATGCGTGCCGCCTTGTAAAAATGCCAGGCTGTCCATCTGACAGAGAATAGTTTCATACACGTAGCAGCATAATCCAGTTGTTACATCCCATAGCCGTATCGTTTTATCCCAAGAGCCCGATGCTAACAGCTGGGTGTCAGGTGAGAAGGCGACAACCGTAACCGCTTGAAAATGACCATTAAGTGTGTATCGGCAGGACCCAGTTCCTGTATCCCATAAACTTATTGTCTGATCTTGGGAGGCCGATGCTAGCAACCGTATGTCCGGTGAGAAGGCGACAGCGACTATAGCACCTGTATGACCTTCAAGCGTTAGGCAAGACTCGGACAATACATTCCATAGCCGCACAGTCCAGTCATCAGAGCCAGATGCAACTAGCTTGTTATCAGGTGAAAAAGAAACAGTAAAGATCTCCTCAGAATGACCTTCTAGGATACTACAGCAGGATCTCGTCGCAATACTCCATAGTCTGACTGCTCCATCGGACGATCCTGATGCTAATAGCAGACCGTCTGGTGAGAAACTAACGTCGCTAACGAAGCTACAACCCTCAAGCGTACAGCATGACCATGTCGTCGTATCCCATAGTCGTATACACATCTGATCCACAGCTGCCAATAGCAGACCGGTCAGGGAAAACTTGATTCCAAGTTCTCCAGAGTGAACATCTAGAGTTTTGGCGTGGAAGCCTGTTGCTGCGTCCCATATCTGTAGTTTGTCGGGACCTCCTGTCACGAATAATTGGCCATTGGGAGAAGTAGCTACATAGTCGATTAGCCCTGGTCTGCTCTCAGGTATGCTCTTATTAGGATCTGTTGAAAGATCCCATAGCTGTACTATTCCGTTGTGGGAGCCAGACGCAACTAGTTGCCCATCAGGAGAGAACGATACGGCGGTGGATTTTCCGGTACATTCTCCAAGCGTCTTGTTGCGCGATCCCGTATCTGAGTTCCACATCTGGATTGTATTATCGTCAATTGCAGCTGCAATGAGCTGGCCGTTTGGTGAAAAAGCTATGTCTTCAATGGTCCTGATTTCGTGTATCATGCTGTGATCCAACCCCGATCCTACATCCCATGTGCGGATATTTGTATCACCAATTATAGTACTGTTAGGTTCAGAACTGAGATCTGTATCGTTGCCTTGATATAATTGTGTAAGGCCCAATCTGCCATCACCAGATGCTGATGCAACTAATTTGCTGTCTGGTGAAAAGGCTACTGCGGTCATCCAACTAGAGTGGCCTTTGAGTGTAATTCGGCACGACAATGTTGCTCTATCCCATATCCGTACTGTGTGATCACTAGATCCAGATGCTATCACCTGGCCATCCGGCGAGAATGCTACAGCAACCACACTGTCTGTATGGCCCTCAAGTTTTGTTGTGCAGTGGAAGTCCTTTGGTGTATCCCATAATCTCACTGTCCCATCAGAAGATCCAGACGCAATGAGCTGGTTGTTCCGCAAGAGTTCTGGCGAGAAGGCTACAGCAAACACCTCGTGAGAATGCTGGAGGGTAACATAATGAGACCATGTGGTTGTTTCCCATAGCTGTATTGTCTTGTCTGGAGATGCTGATGCTAGTAGTTGTCCATCTGGGGAAAAGGCGACACTAAAAACGCTAGAAGTATGTTCGTCAAGGGTGATGCGACATAGTCCTGTTGCTACCTCCCATACCCGTATAGTGCCATCGGCGGATGAAGACACTACCATCCGGCCATCTGGAGAGAAAGTGACCGCGGTAACATCTCTTGCGTGACCCTCGAGGGTGCTGCGGCAGGCATTCCAATCGTTTACTCTGTCCGAAAGTAATTCAATCGATTCCTTGATGTGGTCAAGAAATATATTACGTATCACACTCGTATCCGGGGCGAAGACCAGAGCGGAAGAATAGACTTGTAAAGGAGCGTTTTCGAGTATATGTTGAAAGCGGAGTGTAAATCGCTGAGCATCGTGAAGAAAAAATCGAACGGTACTCTTGTTCGACTGTAGCCCTAGTAAATATTGGAGCTATAGTAAGACGGCCAGGAAAAACTTACATTCACTAGCGCCTGGAGCCGATCGATGAAGTGGATACAGCTGTACACTTCGCCAAGGAGGCTCATAGCTTCCAACCAGTAAAGGAAATGTGTCTGGAGAAAGGAATGTACCGTATCTCCATCTTCAATATGATTTTGGCTCTTCTCTAGATGGTGCACCCAGTAACGGCATGCATACTGCAATTCGGGTGGCAGACCACTGGCAATCGTCCTCTCGTCGACCTCGTTTCTCAATACCCCTGGTTTTACCAAATGGCAAATGTCCCGCCGGAGGCCGTTTGAGCTACACATCAGCTCAAGACAACGGCGTGCAAGGTCCATGTGAATCCTTTTCTCATCTACCCAAAACGGGTTCTTTGCACGTTTCTGGGGGTTGACGAGAAACTCGCGAAAAGACAGATGTAAAATTCTTATAGGAATGTTCTCATCGTTCGGAATATTAAGAACAGAATGCATGGAATCTAAGCGGCATCTTATTTGCTTTTGTGAGATTTGAAGGAGGCACGAAAGCGATGTATTGAAGAGAGGACTCTCTAGGACAACGATACTGCCGACGAGTTCTCGGAATGCCTGAAGCCATGGTTCCTTGTCGTCTTCCTCCTGCTCTGCTAGCAATTGGTCTAATACCGGAAGATAGGCTCGGTCAAGCTGTGAGAAGTTCGGTTTTCGATATTCCAAGACCTTGTTCAAAAGCTCTTCCGGATCACCTCCTTTGGTGCCAACATATCGACATACTGTAGCGGCATAGATGAACAGAGGTACAGCCAGCTCCACCAGAGCCTGGATCTGGTCTGTTCTAGGCCATTCAGGAGAAAGCAAGCGCTGCTGTTGTATGTCACGAAGTTTATGCTCCAAGAAGAGACGTATGTCGTGTTCGATGGTACTCTTTGGGACTTCGTGAAGAATGACATCTTGGTACCCGCTGGTTAGCATTTGCTTAAACCCAAGACGAATCGGGAGCTCTGGTCTGCTGGTCACTAGGATTCGCAATGACACAGACAGAATCTCCTTAGTCCGGGCAAGGAGCTGGAGAATTGCTCGAATGTCTTCCTCCCTTTCACATTCATCCAGTGCATCTACGACGACAACGTGTACTGCTGTCTGCGAGGGAACCTTCGGTATGGCTGAGAGAGGGTGCAGAATTAGCTTCTCAAATTGGTCTATCAGTGCTTTTTCCGAGATGGACGAATCAGTATCGATTGTGTTTCTAATACCGGGTATCATCCCTGGTTCGCAGGCGACCAAGCCTACAGCGATGGTGGTGAAAAACCGTGAAGCGTTGCCGCGCTCGCCCTCGCCTTTCTTGAAGAAGAAGCTTGAACCCAGTTGCCCTTGACAGGCAAATGATTGGGCCACAGTACGTGCAATTGTAGATTTTCCCGTACCAGCCATGCCACTCAACCAAAATATAGGTTTGCCCTCTTTATCGTTCGCCCATTCTTTTATGTGATTTAGTAACTCAGTGCGGGTATCTGGGAGACATCGTGCATTATGCTCCTCCATGTGGGAGTCGAAGGAAGCTCCTTTAGCGATAGGCAGGTTGATGGAGGTAAGATCACTGATCTCTTTTCGCAATCGACTGAACGCGTTTTGTCGCCCTTCGCCATAGATAAGCGGCATATAAACGTCGAAAATGCCTAGCAACGAGTATGCAGCGTCTTCTTCGCGTTTTGTTTCACGTTTTTCTGCCCACGACATTCGCTCACCTACACCAAAGTAAGGCATAGGGGTTCCTTGGAGCGCTTGGATAGCAATTCCAGTTATATCGTGGAGAGATTCCTCTAGTGAATGTTTGCTACCAAGCCGCTGTTCATCGCTAGAGAAAAATTCCACTGATGCTGGAGCAACGAGTTCTTGAAGCGTCCAGCCACGAGTGAACCATCTGCTTTTCTTGAATGCTGGTTTCCATCTCTGCAAGCGCTCGTCGTCCCCATCGGAAATACGGTATGGAACATCAGAGAGATACACGTAGCATTTCTCTGCATTCTGATACCAGCGGAACATAGAGGTGATCGCCTCTTGAAGCTCTGCACTGCTTGTTTTGTCAATGCAGCAGGTGTCAACCCAGAAGTATTGCAGGCCGTCGAGTTTAGCTTGCTTGCCACAGAAGGCTAGTTTACGATAACCTGTCTTGTCTTTGCCTTTGCCTTCTACTAGGTCTCTGAACGTAACCTCTTCAGAATCCGCCCCCCATGTATGTGAAAGGATGGCATATCGTGGAATGCTTCTTCCAACGTGTTCCTCCAAACTGAAAACATCGCTCGCTTCGACTCGTAGAAGGCGCATGGAGATATCTTCCTTGGCAGGCTTGAACAGAACAAGGCATAGAGAAAAAGAATGCGATACACAAGAGGTTACAGGTGATGAAGCTGCAGCTGTCCTGGTTGATGTGTGTATACATGAGTTGTCCAGGCTTCGGGATGAGGTTGGCGGGGTAGGCAACAGCCATCAGGCTGAGTTACAAAGTATCATGCGGTTACATTTGACCAATTGGAAAATGGACCTATCCTATCCTCTCAGTGAGTGGGAAATAAGCTGCCTTGCTCGAGGCTCACTGCTACCTAACACTAAGCGCACAATTAACTGTTGTAGGGCTTGAAACATATAGCTGTAGTTGAATTAGCATTTCTCCCCCTGTAGTGGTTGTTTCCACGTCTCTTGCGCCCATCTTCACGAAGAGTATTTCCACCTTTTGCGACTAACCGAATGCAACCTTTGGGTGTCGGACCAATTATCAGCCTGTTAGAGCATATTGATATCGGCGTCTAACCAATCTATTCGAATCCCGAAATCTAAACTCCAAAATACGCATTTTCTGGCAACTGTCAATCTTAGTGTTCTTGAGATGCTACGCTGTGACGATGTTCTAGGTATTGGCCAAATATGGAGGCTTCGTCTACTGCTATGCTTTTCGGAGAACTTCACCTGGTATCTCGTCAAGTGGCGAATCAGACAAGAGAACTATCAATCGCCTGAATTGTCTACGACTCCGACGAACACATGAGATACCTCAAACGAGAGTAATTAACCTACACAAACAAGTAACGCCGTTACTGGATCACAGTCTCGCTACAAAAAGAGTAGATATCTACCACATGATGGAATGTCTTGATCTATAGTAAGTACGTAGCAGCACCGTCGACCAACCCCACAATCTTAACATATATCATCAGACGCGCATGCACTAATCGCCTCTCCACCACCACACCATGCAAGCCAACCTACAAATAACTCGTCCCTCACACTCTAAACGCACGTGAACCACTTTTTCTTCGCCACTCACCCCTCCACGCCAAGAACATTTCAGATCCCCTTCTCTCACCTACACTCCACGCACGTCAATACGTTTCAGCCCTGTGCCACAGCCTGCCCATCGCCTCGCATCCACCCGTGACCACGATCCAGGCTCATGGAGCCGACCAAGACACGACGCCCGCCTCGTCTCGTTGCTCCGCATTGGGGCTAGATAGGGCTAATGCAAGACACGGAGCGAGGGGCGGCCGCGACGCTGTGTAGAGAGCAGCGGATGCTGTGTAACAACCTCGCGCAGGCGAGTTCGGAAGCGGAGCTCTAACGCGGGGAAGATGTAGCGCCAGGTGGAAAGCTTAGTTGGATGGCTGTCAGATGTGCGAGACTCTGACGTTAGAGAATCACATACACATAGATCGACGTGATTTCGACAGAACAGAACGACGAGAGTACATGTTTGTCAATCTGACGAGGAGGGATGGAGCAATAAAGATGCGAAAATAGCATGAAACATCTTGCTGTTATCGCCATATACAATCATTCCGACATCGTATGTGCATGTATGCATGCACATGTATCTGCGACGGCTAGCCGTAGACAAGCCACCATGGCACTGCACGCCTCCGATCGGCTTCAACATGGAGGTGGCGAGATAGAATAAAGAGCAAGATGAGACGAGTATCAAGATCGAGAACCTTACTCAATGAGACACGGAGAAACTAGGCAGAAGATCAACAACTTCTGCCATCATTCACTCACTTACTCACCTCCCACCACTAACCCAACCCAAGAAGCAGACCCTTCACGCTCAACAACATAACTCACACAACACACGTCCAGCATACAGCATACAGCATACGTCAATCTCTGCATAACCCCCCAACCCCACAGGTAACCTCCCTCACGCCATGACGATCCGTCCCTCCCCCCCATGCATGCATGCATACCCCATCTATCGTCCACAAGTCTCACACCATCCACACGCAACCCTTCCCCAAAGTCGCCTGACACAACAAAACAAGACAAGACAAGACAAGGAATATTCAAGAAGCACGCCAATGTCGCACACGGCGCCACCCGTCGCACCAAGACGCACACACAGACGCCGACCTTGTAAGCGAGCGAGCGCGAGCACGAGCCCGGCTCCCTTGCGCGCATTCGTGAATGTAACGTAGTACTATGCCAAGCTGGGCGTATGGGGCGTGTTGATGCGGAGGGGGGTGGATGGAGTGGTCGATTGACGGGGGTGGGCATGGAGCATTCGTGGATCGGTTGGGGTGGTGTGAGGATGATGGGGTACAGGAGGGAGGGCTATGCGGGTCTGGGTCTTGTGCTGTGTTGCGTGGTACTGTGTTGTGTTGTGCTGCGTGGTGTGTCATGTCACTCTGGGGTGTCTTGACCGTTTTCACACATTGAGACACCGACCACGAGAGTGAAGGAAATATGAACAAGAACAAGGACAAGATGAAAAGCACGAGCATGTGAAAGAGATGTGTAGATGGATCGTTACTGAGTATATTCGACAAACATATGTATTTCGTTTGTTGCCGAGTTATGACAAGGCAGTGTGTAACTACACTCTACTAGCCCAGTCGTCCCACCTGCCACTCGTTGGCGGCCCATTATGCACTTCAGCATATCAAGGATTCCTGCCACCTGATTCTCCACCCAGGATCATTTGCGACCCACGACTGCGCTTGCCCCATCGAGTCCCAGACAAGGACGAGGGGTATAGCCGCCGAACAAGAGCTCTGCTCTTGCGAACCACACAATGAAAAGATTAAGGAAAGTGACTGGCTGAAGAGCCACCGATACAAATATGATCATGTTCGTCGTGCGCTTTCAGAAAAGCGGGATTGAGGGGGGGTGATGCACCTCCCTCGCGATAAAAGAAAAACAGACTCCGCAAACATCCCACTGAAGGGAGTACCACAGACAGATACCACCGTGCTGTGTTGAGAGTGAAAAGCCATCTAAGTCGTTACATTGACAAAGGAAATTCGTGATGAGAAAGGAATGGTCGTGGCGCTGATAGAGAAAAAAAACAGGCCTACACCGTTGTCATACAAGTCGTACGTCGTAAACCCCTTGGCAGACGGGTAATGGTACAGATGTCCAACAGGGATATAAAGCACACAAATTATGGACAGGGAAAATGGTAGTAGCAAACGCAGATCTAAAGGCCTCGAACGCCGACCGATGACCGGCTTAGGAGGGCACTGGGTGACCATAAGTCGCTAAGGAATTTGAAAAACGCACGCTTGCGCGACGGCGTCTTTTGGACTTGCGAGGCGATCTGAACCATGGGACCGACAATGTCTTCGTCGCCGAGCTTGGGGAACTTGCCTTCGCTTTTTGGGTCGTCAAGCGTGGGCATCTTGCATATGGGCGCTGGCTCCACAGGCGATGTGGGCTCAGTTTCCTGGCCCATGGCTGCTGCATAGGACGTGGCGAGGTCGTTGTTCTTCTTCCATGAAGCGTCAATCTCTGTCCACTTGCGCTCAGTGAGAAGATAGTGCTTGGAGGTGACGCCATAATGCTCCGCAGTCCGCACTTGGTGCTTCGCGTAGTTGCAGCGCGCCTGCTCCCAATCAACGAACAGCTGACGTAATGACACTGCATCGACGATCGTCGGTACATATGGCTCCGGGATGATCGTGAAGTTCGCGTGGCCCAAGGCGTTGGCCCACTTGTCATTCGGGTCAGCAAGCATCATCGGTGGTATCTCCGAAGACGACACCATGTGGCCGGACCGCATTCCTTTGAAGGACGCTAGTGATGGCTTCGACGAAAGTGGCGGCGTCGGATAAGCGCGCACAGATGGAGTGCCGATTGGCGTGGGGACTAGTGACTGTGTCGAATCGGCAACAGTAGGCGACTGGAGGGGAGATGATGTTGGAAAGTCGTCGCGAAAATTGACGAGCAGAGGGGGCAGCAAAGGGGTGGTCGCGTATCGCTCTGCGTCTACCTGTTCCGGATCAATGTCCATGCTGTTTGCCTTTTCAATGTCGATTTCCATAGACATGGGCGCATTGCCATTCAAGCGGTCTTCGTTCCCTTGGGGGAGTCCAACAGTTGAAGTGCGGTGAGTGGAACTAGTAATTGACGATGACCGCGTGGATGGAACTCTTGATGGCGTGTTGCTCCTTGGGACTCTGCTGAAAGTCGAAGACCCCTCACGCTCTCTCACTTTGCGCGAGAAGGAGGGAAACCGTCTTTCGATCTTGTTGGTGATGCTGTGCGCTGACGACCCCAACGACCTTCGTCGCTTGGCCAGCCGGGATTCTGTCTCAATGGTGCTGAAGTACTCGTTCTCGAAATTGTAGGCCAGACCAATTGGGCAACTTGGCGCATGGCCGTCGCGCTCAACGTCATCACCTGTTGGTGGATTAATACATGCATACAGCAAAACATGTCTCACGGCTCGTGACTTACAATGGCAGCATTGCAGACCATCGTGCTCGTAATCATAATCGCGCCCGATGGGCTCCTCGACAGGCTCCTCAGTAAGCTTAGGCAGCTTCCCAGAGGCATTGGCAAGGTCGATAAAATCGTGAGTCGGTGGGCTCGAAGAAAGTGACGAAGTCGAGCTGGGGAAGCGAAAGTGCCCACGTGTGTACAGGCTTGGCGTGGGCGGTGTGGAGGCCTCAGAAGCCGAGTAGAAACCTGAATCTGCGCTGGAATGCACTGACAAAGTGGGATCGGTGGCCATGTCGAACGAAGTCCTCGAAGACTTGCGCGCTGCAGCAAATTTTGGCAGCATCAGTGGTTTGAGGTCGTGCATTGTGTTGATGTTGATGTTGAGCTTTGGGCGTGACGTGGATTTGCGCAATTGAAGCTGGGTCCCATAACCAGCTTAAGAACCCGCACGCGCCAGTGGCCGACTGGTCGCCGTCAGGCGGTGCTGCTTTGGGAGAGCGAGGCGGTCGCGGAGGTTTGAGAGTGCTGCTGGAGGGTGCCACGAAGCAGGACCACGTATGTACCCTTTGGCCTGTTTATGCTGCGAATGGCACTTGGCGGAAAGTCAGCGCCCGTCTGTTGGCGCGCCCAATGCGGAATGCACGTGAGGGCTGAGAGACGTCGGGATAGGTTGCTCGGTGTGACGAGTCGACGGCAGTGCAGTGCAGAGAACCGAGTTACAGCGACAGCGCAGCGCAGCGATAAGGCGGTTCAAGTTGGCAGGAGGATGACTGACGTGGGTGGACACACACGAGGGAGTTGGGGGAAATGCCGACTTTGTGTGGGCAGCATCGCGGCTTTTCCACTGCTCTGGAACGGGCCAAGCACTCGCCGGAAAGCGTTACCTCGAAAAGCAATACTGCAAGGGTAGACTCAGTAGCTCAGCGGCACTCTAAGTTGCTCCCCGGTTCCGTCGACGACGCAGGATGGCCCGTCCACTGAGCACACCGGCACACGAAACCGCAACGCTTGAATCGAGTTGGAGAAGGCTCCACAAAGAGCGCACACGAGCACGCCGCTGCTTTGCAAGTACCGCGAGCTCCTGGGCCGACGTTTTGATATGAGCATGGATCGTCGCCTCGACATGAATATTGGGTTTCTCCCCCAGCGCAGCAGAGCAGAGCGGGAGAAGCCAGGTTGAGCGCGCTTGAACGTTAAATTTTCCTTCTCCACCGACTTGCCCGAGATTTGGTTGGTGGGGACATGGAGAAGTCTATTCACTGTCTGTTGGGAACGGATTGGAGTAAGCCGTGCAGGGAACGACTGGGCTCAAGACCTCAGGATCCCCCAGCTCGACGCGCTCGTCAAGACAAGGCAGCGCCGACTGGTCGACTTGTCGCATCCTCGTGCTTCAAGTCGTCGTTGTGGCGCTACAGATGTGACAATCTGTCTACCACTCAATTCATGCGAGCGCAACCATGGCGCTCTTGACACCTTATGGGGCTGTGCAGCGATAAAAGCTTGGTCGGACAGCTTTCTAGCTCTCTGTCTCTGGCACCGCTATGTACAGCAAATGTCCTTGCGTGGTCCGGTGTGCAAGCGCCGTTTACTGGTTTGCTGGTACATGAGGCTGCACTCCCGCCGTTTCCCCGGCGGGACGGAAACATGGCATCTAAACAAACAAAACGACCCACTGTCAGAGAGTCTCCCAGCATCAAACAGCGATTGCATTCTTCTTTTCGCACGTTGCATTCACACTAACCTGGCTGTGGACGCCGTGTATTGACTGACACACTGGCCTCGAAAACGTGACATCAGGCGGACGTGGGAGGTCGCAAGAAACCTTTTTTTCCCAGCCCAACGAAAAAGCCATCGAAGCCGTCGGCGTCCAGAAGATTTGGTAGACGCTAACCGTTGAGCGGTTCCTGATTGGCGTCTAGCCTCTGCCGCCCGTAGGCATCCTTCCTTGCTTCCCCGGCCCCAGTTTTTGATTCCATCGCTACCGCCTCATCTGCTTTGCGCGATCGGGCAAGCAGACGGTCCATGCCATAGCTCTCCACAGCAATACCATGGAGCAGAAACATGTATACGAGAGAACTGTTATACGGTGCATAACCCGTGTTTGGGAAAAGCAATCGCTCCAGTTCGCAACCTGCGCTGGCTTGCAGAGTGGAGCCCAGCCAAAACAACTGCCCGTTCAGGTACGCTTGACCGAACTGCCGGGACTACCACATTATGACGACAACGGCCGGTCCGGTCTGCAATCGGCAAGCCCCCCTCCGATCCATCGTGTATCCACGGACGTTGCTCCGCCGTGGAAAAGGCTAATTCACACATACACAGTAAAACTGAGTCGGGCGCAAAGATGAAGCGGCCACGGCACCAAAGCGCAGAGCGAAAATGCACCACCCAACGTTGCGCTGCGCGAAGCGTGTATCAAGTCCAACGCTCGCCCTGCGTTTGCGATTCGCCAGTCCACATGCGCTGTCTGCTCCGTCATGACACAAGCCTATCTTGAGTCGGTGGGTGGTTGGCAATGCCTCACCGTCTGGGTACCAACAGCAAAACCGCACCCATTCCGGCCATTCCGACGGTTCCTGACATGTGGCGGTCGAGACCTCGCAACGTGTTCTAGCGGATGCTGATCCTTTGAAGAGATAAACGCCGCCAAGGCTCTGCTATCGATAAGGTAGGCGAACTGATGCGCTGTCAGAAGGAATATGGTGCTGCGAATGTTGGTAGCGATGATGCAGCCCATTTGGCGACCGTATCTCTACCATATCTACACCGTATTTCTATGGCAACAGATCAAGTGTAAATCAACGTCCATCAACATGAAATGCTCGACAATTGACAAAGTCAAAAGAAATAGCATTCCAATGACGCATTTGGCCGTCGGGTACCAAGCAAGGATAGGCGACTCTACTACTCAACAAAGTAGCCAAAGCAGCCCGGCATGCCAATGTGCAAATCTCCTCCCATGTACAAGCCAATTCCTGCGGGCGCGGCCCCTCTTCAGCTAGAAAAACGTGCAGTTCGCATACTCACATCACTATCCCAGCCAATCATGAATTTCACCGTTCTCCACACACATCACACCATCGTAATCCGCGTCCAGAACTCATACCAACTTCTGTCCCGCACAACGGCCGAGTGACTCTATTCGCATCACATCCAATAACGACCCCATAGTTTCTTGAGTTCGTCGTCACCCTCGAGCTTTACGGGCCTCGGTTAGCTACACGCACGGCTAGATGACAGGGAACGTACCTCAAAGTCGACATTAGTGACATCTTGAAATCCCTCGTCGACTTTAGGCTCACGGTACCGCGATGCAAAGCTTGTGAAGGCGAGCTTCGGCAAGAGAGAGCGACTCTCGGGGTTGGTCTACATGTGCCTGTTAGCGGGGACGCGGACGTGAATCTGGACGACGGAGATCGATTCGCGTGGCCTTGTCGGGGAGAAATCCTTTCATGCGGGGGCAATCTAATGTTGCGGACTTCGCCGCAGTATCGCATGCACAAAGTAGAAATCCTCACGTCAAGGAATCTGCCAGCTCACATGCTGACCGACCGTACCTGCATGAACAAGACTTACCCGAGATCCCAAGTTCATAGCCCGTACTGCATCGTTATGCTCACATAGCTTTGCCGGCGCAGTGAATAGAACGCAGCGTATAGGTACACTCAGCTTCTGCGCTACTTGCACCCATACCGCGCGCGTGTCTGGGTCCGCGTTTGTGTTATCTAGGCCCTCGTCTTAATTTCAACGTACGGAAATATCGGGGATCCGATGCATAGTCTACGTACCGACGACAACGCTTGTCGCTTCTTCTTTAACGAGGGCGGAGGCTACTTTGATGCACTTTTCGCGCTGTCTCAATGTGTTACTCAAGTAGCGGGAAAAGATCGGCACGGCATGTGTCAACTACAAGTGTCGTGCCAGGCGATGACTTACGGTTTTGAGAATGTCTTGGTTCACGCGTGCGTAGCCCTGTGGCTGCAGATGTTTCCAATAGAAAGACGACTTGCCTGCCCCTGGGCTGCCACACAACAGGACGATATCGAGGGGGTTGGACTTTGTGAACTGAGAAACTCCTGGTTATATTTAGTACATGTATAAGTGGCTCGGGTTGAGAGCGCGAGGCCAATCATCCTTGAACGTACGTAAAGATGTTGAATTGTCTGTTGCATCCTTGATATATTGTGTTGGGTCGAAGGCTCTGACAAACGGCCTTGGTTCCTCGTGCAGAAAAAACTCTTCGGGTGTGTGGAAAGATAGGCCTACGTTGGCTGCGAAATCTCTGGACAAATTTAGCATATCCGCAATCAACACTGCATCAACTCAACAACCACGAACCTGTCAACACACGAATGATCCTTGACTGCTCCCCCAGGGACCGCTTCGCGACCACCCGCATCGCCCACAAAGAATGAGGTTTCCAGGTCAACAGCATCCGCACTGTCACAGTCGCAGTCATCCATCAGTTCCTGCCACATGCCTACTCTAGGCTTACGGTACTGATCCCTTCCCGTAGCCGCATACACGGAGATGGGTAGATCGAGCTGGGTAAGTACTGCTGAGAGCTTGCTCTTGAAGTCCGCCAATCGTTTCTGGTCAGACTTGACGGTCTTGGGATCCGACTTTAGGCTGATACCTCCTTGGTTACTGACGATAGCGATGACATATCCTTCCTCGTGTAGTTTCTTCAACCTCCCTGGAACACTCCCGTGCCACCACTTCCAATCCGTAGCGTCTTTCCCAAACTTCTTCCCCGAGGCTGGAGTTACCAATGTCGAGTCCTGTAACATCATCAATCTTACCGCTTTTTATTCAGACAAAATCCAACACTAAACCTACAAAGTCAAACGCGGCGATCCTACGTTTACCAGTCGTGGCAGATGATGCGCCGTAACGACCAACCAACAAGCTATCTTTGACAATACGCCACGTCATCTTTTCCGGCTCTTTCTTGGACACTGGAGTGAAGAAGTTCGCAACAGCCTTGCCTAAAGTTCGTGTTAGTATGATTAACATTATGTAATCAGGAGACTTACTTGTCGTTGCGGATTGTTGCCGTCGCTTTGTCGGAGGGGGAGAAACGCCTCTGTCGTTTGAGCTTCGTCGCTTGGTCAGGCTTGGGCGTTCGGACATTGCGTGGATCTAGGTCATGCCCGGGCTTGAACGTGGAAGATCTAGTTTGAATGTTGAGTGTTGTGTTGCACTGAGTGAGGAAATTGCTTGCGCTTGGCTGGAGAACGCGAGACGCGCTTACACGGGTGCACGTGCTGTCCAAAGCTTCACCTCACTTCACTTTCACATGCTGTCTAACCCATGGCAAAACGTCGATTTGGTGCACAAAGGCCAATTGTTCATGAATCGAAGTTCTGTCACTAATACTGCATACATTACCAATGGAGCAGCAAGTCTTCATTTTTTGTCAAGCTAGCAAACAGGCGACATGTATAAAACATGCCCTCTACAAGATGCAGGCCACATTCAAATCTCCTTAAAGCAACTCGAGCTCGTCTCGTACGCGTTCGTAAGTTCGCGCATGCCGAATCTTATTCCTCGACCTTCGACTCAGGCTTCATCTGTTTGTTACTCCAGAGCATACCTGCACTGGCTACGACAGAGAAACCCTAATTACCATGCTTCACTCATCCACACGTGGTCCTTGTAAACACCCACGTCTCTCGATCCTTGGACAATACTTGGATTTTGCCATTGAAGCTTACTGTCGTTTGATTCGTCCACAATCGCGAGATCTGGCTTGCAAACTCCTCAATTCTGCTCACAATCTCCAAAACCAAGCTCAACGAGGACGCGCTTGGGTGTTCGCTGACGTAGCTGGAGGAGCCTGAGGCGGCTTGTACCTGACGCGAGTGTCCAATGAAAGTCTGTCTGGTATCGACAGTTCCACACAGCCCTTCATCTGTGTCTGAAACCTCTTCAGCTCGTTCACACCAGACTCCAGGACAGTCGCGTTGTTGAAGTCCTGCACTCGCACCTTCGCTTCGAGTACATATGCGCCGCTTGGATCAAGGAGGTCAAGGGCAGCAAAGGGCGGCAGGGTTGTCTTGGGTGCTTGTTGTAGGTTGCGGACGCCGGGCTCGTGGAGGACGCGGTGCAGTGAGATGACGACGTTGCCGTGGACGTAGCGGTGTCCTTGGACGTAATACTCGGTCACGAATCTATCATGGTTAGCTGAGGTGGCTCAGTGCTGGAAGAAGCCTTACTGATTCGGCCCCGAGGCAAGCATGTATGCATGTGGATCTCCCGAGAGAACGTCGGTGCTGTTGGTGAAGCGTATCGACACGCCCCTGTCGCTAGTGTCTGGGAGGTCTTCGAAGAGCGTCGACCACACTGGCTCTTCGCCATCGACAACATGGGCAGACAGCGACGTCGCCTCGGGCTGCTGGGCACCATCTGCAGCGCCAAAATCGTCGAGCGACAGCTTCTGCACCAGCTTGGTGTAGTAGAGCGTCGTGGTGACGGCCGTGGGCTTATTCTGCTTGGGCGCGGGTTTGGCAGCTACCGCCTGTGTGCCCCCGCGGCGGTGGTTCAAGCCTGGCTCCTCAGGCTCGCGCTGGGGCTTGTAGACAATGCATCGCTGGAGCATGCGGCGCGGCTGCATGGCCGCAACGCCCGCGAGAATCTTCAGGACCTGATCATGGCGACCGGCGGGGACCTGGCCATACAGCAGCAGCTCGTGCATGGAGAGAGAGTGCACGTCGAGCTGGGTCGCGTCCGGAGATTGAACCGCGCGATGTCGGCTCGTCACGCTCGTCACACACGTCAGGACTCAAAAGTGCGGAGACGGTTCGTGGGGTTCGATAGAAGAGGGAACAGCTTGCGATTGGCGGGCAGGCACGACCACGAGAAGCTTGGGCCAGAAGCACGAAAGAGCATGGCAAAAGAACGCGACAGCGGAATACCCAACTAGGCATATGCCGCGGAAATCCGCTTAGCAATGCGTGCGTGTCTGCCTGTTCGGTCCTTGTGCCATGGGACGATTTTGTATGCGGGTCTCGGAGGTAACCAGGCGTGTGCAGGCCAGGCCTCGGAGGTAAGATAGGCGTCTAGCGTCGTAGCAGTAAACGTGAATAATAGCTATATCCTTTCGCCCAGCCGCCCCTCCACCACATTACAAGTCTTCGCTCTCTCTTCTCCTCATCTGCCCATCTGCTTGCCTGCCATCACTCACCCACTCAATCGCCTTGCAACCATCCAACACCCTCACCCGTGCGACTCCAAACTCGGCTATTCCACACCATCACATCCCACCATGAACGCTACCAAGATGCTGCAGCACGGTCGCCAGCCCATGATCCGCTTCCTGGGCAAGCGCTCAACCCCCTCCAGTTCGTGCCCTCTCTCCCATACACAATCCCATAACTTACAATAACCCGCAGAGGTTGACCACACCCCCCACGCCCACCCAGCCTCCCCAACCCACGCGCTCCCCGAGTCCTTTGCGTCGTACCGACAGAAGGCTCAGCAGCACGGCCCTCTCCAGAAGAACCAGATCCCTGCACACATTGGCGCCACGCCTGGCGCTTCCCTCGGCCCCATCGAGCCTGGACGGGGCATGTACTTTGATCGCTCCGAGCTACCCTCGCGCTTCCAACGGCTATCTTGGTCTCAGGACGAGATCGACGCAATTGAGTCTGGCGGCGCCAGCCAGTTTGCATAGATACGACGAGTATGACGAAGCGACGATAAAGATAGCACCCGAACGGGTCGTATGGCATCATTGTACATACACACGCGACGAGACAGAAAACATGCTTTTTATGAGAGGAGGACGCAAGACATGGCTTTGAATTGGTTTGAGAGCAATATGCTCGGCAAAAGCGAAATGGTCTGCTTTCATTTTATACCCTGCAAGACAGATTTCCGGGATGAGGACGTCGTTGGAGCGGGCTGCTTGGGGAGGATCCAAGGCGCATCCGACGGGCAAGACGCACATTTTTACCTATGGGATGGATATCAAAATCTCAACGTGAACATTATTCTCTATCGCAGTGCACATGCAATTGTGAAATTATCTTCACATGTCACTGTCGCAAATTCACCCCCACAGACACACTCCCCCGCTCCCACCCCCAAACAAAAACTTCCTTCCTTCCCTCCGATCACACCATCTTCCCCACCAACCAGCACGTGAAAACCCAACCCCCACAACAAACAAACAACCCAGAACCCCCCAAAGCAAAAGAAAGCAAAAAGCCCGGACGCACGCTCGTCCGCAACCCCACACACGCGCGCACTTCCGGTCGCCCGTCGGCGATACCCCGTCTTCCTCACTTGACGTGCATGTGAAGCCTGATCATCACGCGAGAATCATTTCTAGAGTCACGGTACGGTACGGTATGGTACGGTGACTCTAGTCTTATTCCGTAGTCTGTCCATATGTCCGTCAATGAACGCACTAGAAGCAGAAGCAGAAGCAGAAGCAGAAGCAGAAGAACCAATCTTCCACTCTAGTCTTTATTTTTTGTACGGGTTACACTAGATCAAACCAAACTATCGCGATACGCGTATCTATCCGTCCAAGTCCAAGTGAGGTGTCTGTGTAGCATATCGTATCCTATTCAGCATACACCTGCGAACGAGAACAAGAACAATAACAATAACAAGAGCGAGAGCGAGAAAATAATCTCGGGTCCCATGTTCACATTCCCACACTCCCATCCCATCCCCTCTCCCCTCTTCCCTCCTCACCAGTTTAGGTCCGTCCACCCGAGTGTTGAGAGTGGATATCCTGCCAGACAAGAAAGAAAAACCTGTCGGATTTTAAGCGGTTGTTGAGGGTACCAGTACAGGATGCTTACCTACCTGACTCGCTGCTGGGTAAGGTTTGGTAGTTAGGATTTAGTCTAGCGATTCGTCAAAAGACGGACCGATGTGCATGGTTGGTGGGTAAGAAAGTTTTTTTCTTTCTTTCTTGTTGATGGTACTTCGGCTGCGGTGTTCGTGTAGGGCGTGTGGGGCGTGTATGTATGCCGAGGGCTTGTTTTGGTTTGTACTTGCTTGGGAGGTAGACCATTTTGTTGAATGTGAGTGAGGGAGATAGCTGGCCATACGCACACACACACATGTCACGTATCTGCACGATTCAAAACATCTAGAAGCTGGCAAAACATTGACTGTATCTTTGCCTTTCATTACATATCTTCGTTTGGGCAGTCGAGTCGTTTCCCACCTTTCTCACCCCCTCCAAAAATCCTTTCTCATGCATACCCAGTTCACAAAAGTGCCCGGATTTCACGAGGATAAACTCCCATTAACATGACCCATATTCCAGTCTCATCCCATCCAGCCGTTCGTATGGTATTTTCCAAACCCCCCCTCCCAGTCATAACAAGCAAGCCAACCCCCATGTGTCAAACCCAGAAAATGAGTGAAATCCGGACAAACGCCATGGCCAATGACATGAAAAAGACAACGCCAAAAAGACAAGCTCAAACTCATGTTTCACATACCTTTTGACTCAGATACGGCGACTCGTCTGACTGAGCAGCTTATCTGCGCGGTCAAAGACCTTGAGCGTGTTCGAGGCTTGGCCACCCATGGTGGGGAACTTTGGTGTATTCGGGACCGTGGCCTGCGCTGCTGCGCCCAGAGCAGCACTCAATGGCGTCGCAGGAACTGGCGTGATATAGCCACCTGATCCTTGAGACGCGTGGCTTGCTGAAGGGTAGTGGTGCGACGAGAATGCCGAAGCGATCGCCGGAATCGAGGTGTTGATTGGATTCGGCCAAGGAAGGCCACCGCCATTAGCCGCCATCGCAGACTTGTTCAGGAATCTGGGCGGCTGTGTGCGTGATGTGAAAGATGACAGACTAGGCGGGCCCATCATGCCCATGTGGTTTGACGTAAGATTCGACCAGGGAGAGTCGTTGATGGCGAGACTGGCCTCCTTGACCGTTCTGTGGAGCGGCTTCATCAGTTGTTTGACCTCTGGGCTCAGAAGCTTATGGTCTTTGCCCTGCTGAGTGTACCCGGTGGCAAGTTCACCCCAAGCCTAACACAAACACAATTAGCCACGATGCCCTCCTCAAGCAAAATAACACAATACAAGAGACATACCTTGATGAAGCCCATACATTGCAGCCAGAAGTCGGGCTGATTTCGAACATCGCGGTCTTTCAGTTGCATCTGGGACAGGCGACTGGCCAAGGGAATCGTCATCTGCTGGACTTCATTGCTCTTATCAATTAGTCCCGCTAGCGCTTTGATTCTTGGGTGTTCCGAGTCCAGTTCTCGTCTCAGAAGATCAAAGTGTTCCCTGAGAAGTCGTGTGATTTGTGGAATGGATGCTCTGCAACTGTCACTCGCGTTCCTTAGCTTTTGGTAAACCCTGTCGAATTGAGCGTCGTCATCAATTTCATCGAAGTTGCTCATGAGCGTATTGGATCGAGTCATGGCTGGCGTGAATGTGGAGAAAGACTCTCCAGAACGGGGTGTGGCGGCGCTGAGACTGGTCAAGGTGTTCGTTCTGCTGCTGTCATTGCTGTGTAACATCACTGGCGGAGGCATCTGATGGTGTCCATTTCGCTGTGTTGGCGATGTTTGCAGACGTCGAACCCTGTATGGTCGTGCGCGCACCGTGCCCATTATGTCGGCAGCGCTAGGGCTTCGTGAAGCCACCGAAGTTCTGAATTGGGCGCCCAAAACTGAACAAGCGTTCCTCATTTCAATCAGGCTCCCTTGCTGTAGGAAAAGGAAAGTCCGCATGATGTGGGGATTGGCGTTTTGTGTGAGTTCTACGCGGTTCTCGGCGATGGACAGGCTGATGGACATGAACGAATCAAGACATCTCAATGCATACATGTATACGCTCTTGGAAAGCTTGTGTGCTTCTTCCTCGTCCTCCTCAACCAGGCTGTCGAACTTGTGAAGGACCTTGTTCAGGGCCTGAACATTCAGATACGTTGTTGAGAAGCGGCGGTGGAAGTCTTCTTTCCGACGGAGGGCGTCTTTCGGTCGAGCCGTCAGCTTGACTGATCTGACCATGTGCGAGATGCAGTCGTGGAGCTGCGAGATGGCATAGAGAAAGTTTTTGGCAGATTCAACCACAATGTCGGGCGCACGGGATGCACGTCTATGTTCACGCACATCAGACAAGGGTCGATTTGCCAATGACCGCACGGTACCTGTATCTCCATAGCCGACAGCGGTTGCGGGTCCTGACATGCCGTTGGCCATGGTGTTCGTGGGAATGACGATGCCCTGACTGAAGCCGCGGAAGTGGCTTGTCCTCCGCAGTTCGTCGACGGACCCAAGATCAGAGGCTTTGCTGGTGTAGATTCCCATACGCTTCTGGCGATGGCTCGAAGGTCCAGAGCCCTCACTCTGACTCCGATTCCGCTCGTTGGATCCGTTGGTGACTGCCAAGGGCGACATTGGGGCCCGTTTACCGCCGCCACCGCCGCCACTACCACCACCGTTGCTTGCTTGAGAAGAGACGCGGAAATGAGAACGGGATGGGATGGGCGGGGCACCTACTCCGGGAACGGGAGAGAGTGTCTTGCTTTCTGGAAAGCCATCTCCGTTGCCAACGCTGGGCCTCACGGGAAAGCGACCGCCGTTGGCTCGCTTCGAGGGACGGGGCGTCTCGGGGTTGCTCTCGGTCCAGCTTTCGTCGCCAGAAGACTCGATTCGCAGGCGGTACAGCTCTGCGCGCTGGCGCTCCTTGGAGACCTGCTGGCGCATGAAGCGCTTGACCTGGGTGGCAATGACGGCATCGCGTTCGTTCTCGTTGGCGGGCGAGGGGGCGTTGTCCTTGATGGTGCAGACCTCTGGGGGCGGGAAGAGCAGCGGGTTGCCGTCGAGCTTCAGCACCTGCAGGCTGTTGATATCGCCCAGACATACGGGCAGCTTCTCGATCTTGTTCTTGGCAATGGCCAGCACCTTGAGCGACGTCAAGTTTGCAATCTTGGGCGAGATGAACTTGATCTTGTTCCGGCTCACGTCCAGAATCTCCAGCGACGTCAACTCGAGGATCTAGGCGGCGTGTCAGCATGCTGTCACCGGGCGGGCAGCGGGGGGTGGACCGACAGCATCGGGGATCTCGCGCATGGCATTGTAGCGCACGTTCAGATAGCGCAGGCGGCGGCACTCGACCAGGCGCAGCGGCAGCGTGGTGAGGGCGTTGTGGGAGAGGGCGAGCCTGCGTCAGGGAGTTAGTGCTGCCGGTGCTCGTGCTCCTGCCACGCAGCCCACCTCTCGATCTCGGTGCGGATCACGTCGATGACCTCGTCGGGCAGGTGGCTGATGTTCTTGTGGCCCAGGTCGATGGTGATGCCCGGCTGCTGCTGCAGTTCGCGGGGGGGCGCGCTCTCGCCCACGCCGCGGTGGCTGATGTCCTGGCGCGAGTGCTCGAAGGCGGCCTTGGCCAGGGCTACGACGTCGTCGTCGGACGGTGTGGGCGCGTCGTTGCTCATTGTGTGTCGTTGCTCATGGCCGTGTGCCGGGCGACACGGGGGAGAGGCGGCGTGGACATTGATGCTGCTGGCCAGCACTTGGGACCTGCACTAGCCAGGACAGTGCTTTGTCTGGTGCAGCCTGTCAGGGACAGCAGACAGCACTATCCAACCCAACACTCCACTCGACGTTGCGGCCACGGCTCCACTGTACCGTCTAGCTCCAACACGTCACCGCACCTGCCACATGAAACAGCGGCCAGGCTTTCGGGTAGAACCTCGGCGATGACACACACGTGAGCTGTAAAGCCGTTGGAAATGGAGAATAAGCATCGACTCAAGCGCAGGGGTCCGCAGATCGACCAGTGCCAGCCCTGCCGAGTCTTGTTCCCCATCATCTCCACATCTTGTTCTCTGACAGCAGCGACAGCAACTTCAACTGTAGATATGGTTGTAGTATTCACAATGGCTACCCCCATATTCCAACCTGCTGGTCGTGTCAAGAGACGCGTCGTACTCGCAGTGCCAAGTTGACGTCTCCATGGCCGCAAATCGATAAGCTTCCAATTTCAAAATCACGGCGCGCTAGTCGGCGGATTAGCAGTTGGGCAAGTCATCTCGTCATACCGAAGTAACGGTCTGGCAGCTGGGCGTCCGTCTTTCCACCTCTTCTCTCATTCATCTTCAACACACAATGGATTTCGACAACCGTGTCCAGTTGTCAATCCGCCGGTCCCCTAGGGCGGCTCTGGAGTACCAGACAGCCGTGGATGATCGACAATACGAACATGACGACCCCTATGATGCAACTCCTCCACCTATACCGCGGAGAGGGCCTGTCCCAATGGAAAAAACAAAGGTGGACAACCCACGTGCAGCGCCCTCTCCACATTTCAATCCATTGAGAGCCCACCCAGTTGCGATCGACACAGGGACAACAACGCCTGCTCGCCATAGATATTCGCACCCTTTTAGAAGCCTGATTTCGGTCCAGCCTGAGCCAGAGCCAGAACCAGAACCGACTCCCGTCGTTGAAGAGCCTGAATGCATTCCACGCCGCCATCCATCTGGACTCAGATCATACAAAAACCCGCGACGTCCTCTATACTTGCGCCAGCGGACTTCCCTTGAGACTATAGCTTCTGTGAGAACAACGGCGTCTATAACACCAAGCGAGGATGACCCCGACCTAATTGGATATGGATCTCCTTCCCCAGACCTCTCGACTCTGGATTATGAAGACGTTGCGTTTCCAACGCCCGTCCCTACAGAAACTTCGTCACTCCGTTCATCCAGTCCTAGCTTAAGGCGGCCATCGACCCCAACGTCCCCTTATAAGGAGCCCGTCGAGAGTGGCAATCGTTCGCCCAAGTCACTGCTCCAACGGATAAAATTCAACAAGACTTACACTAGCGAATCTGCTGTACCTGGACCCCTGATCATCCAAAGAAAAATTTCCTTCGACCGGATTTCGACTCCCTCTAGCTCGTCAAACTCGGCCATCAATGTGCCGATTGGTCAGCCCTCCATCTCAAGGGATCAAAATTTCCAGCGCAGTCAATCTCAATCTAGCAGCGAGTGGAGCGCCAGTAGCTTTGACATCAGTTGTCTGACCGAGGCTGAGCTCAAGAAGTGCGCGAAGAAGGGCATCAACCCTGCCCTGTTTGCCGAGATGAAGGCTGCCAGGAAAGGGAAATGGGCGAGTCCAATTGCGGGAAATACGTTTCTATGAATTTGCTGCGTGAACTGCATTTCCACGATACCCACCATTAGAATGTAGTCGGTTCAGTGGGACGCGATCTGACCAACCAGAAGAAATAATTCATCCTTTTCTGTCAGTGGAGTTGTTCCTTTGAGCGCAAGGCGCTCTTCTGTAACGTTTGGGATGGCGTACAATAGTGAAGAGAAGGAGGAAACGGAAGTACATACGGGCAGTAATATGGAAAAACATGTCAGTACAACTATCATGTATGTAACTATACACAAATCGACTACAGTCACACACCAACCTTACTTTAGCTCTCCAGAAGAAGACTTACCATGCTCGGACCAAGACAGCATCAAAAGTGGAAACGATGTAGCCTCTGACTATCAAGCGATCATACTCTGGATTGCTTCTGCAATACCATTGAGCGGTTGGAATACATGTGTTATCTCTGGTCTCACATGTCGACAAATCATGCTCAACGATGGGGCCTCAATGACAACGATGAACCCATATTGTTCCATGGACATCTTGGGCACAGCAATCATAAGTACCTTGAAAGAAGCAAGAGGATGCCAACAGCCACGAACCAATTCCATCACCTAGCTCCTCGACAGCAGATGACATCAGCAACCACCCAAACACCGCGTTCCACTTCCTCCCAAACATTCAATACACAACCAAACCACCGTACACTAGCCGCCGTTACACGCACGAATCTCACAAACGTCAGGCAAAACGGGCCATCCACCACCAGCACTAGCCCTCCCGATCCCAACACTCAAATTCGCCTCCCCGCCTCATCCCAACCACAAACCACCCCATCACCAATCCCCTTCAATCCCCTGCGAACCCACCCCTATAAGCTACGCAAGACGTGCATGGGGAAGCGCCCCACTTTGCCATCAATCAATCGAGTGGCAATCCAAAACAACGTCCACAACCCATTCCTGCAGCATCTCAGCTGGCGACGCATCACGCACTCCCCGCTCCGGTAATGATGTGCGCGCCGCCGATCGCAGGACAAACGCTGCATGGCGTGGCATGGCATGCGGGGGAGGCAAGCAGTGGCTGCATGAGGTCAGAAAGCGGGGTTAGGGGTTTTTCGCTGCGGCCAACCAGGGACCAGGCGATCGCAGGAGCGTTTTGGCGAATGTCGTTGGGGCCCTGGAACGCCTTCTTGAGTTTTGCAATGGACTGGCTGGCTGGCGCAGTTGGGGATTGCACCAGAAACTCAATTTTGGACAAAAGGTGATTGGTGGGAAAAGCAGTCCGAAGCACTAGACTTACTGCTACTTCACATCTTTGATTACATATCCACCGTTCAACCTATCTTCCTAGTGTTGGTGTTGGCGTAGATACAGATGTAGGTATCTGTCTCAGCACCGCCCCCGCCCCGCCCTCGACGTACCGTACATAGGGCGCATTTCGATAAAGCCCTCGATGTCGATCAGCGCAGATCAGCATCTGCGGTCACGTCACGCAGTTTGCTTATTTCCTTCCGCTTCGTTTCGTTTCGTTTCGTTTCGTGTCCCCACCCGTCGAAGCCCAGCATAAGGCTTCCATGCATGATCCGCTTTCTCCTATCATCTGCGATCGACGGCGTTGCACAGCAGCAGCATCTTGCCCAGACCCTACCCAACCTGGCGCGTCGTGTTGTCAACGTGATGCGTACTCGTATCCTCCCCTGCGCGCTGCTCGAACACACGTAGCAACCGTATTCCCCGAGCTCTACTCCACATTTATCGCCTATTTAGTTGTACTTACAACTACACGGTTACTTACCTACCTACCTACCTACCTACCTGGGCACTGGCTCGCTCATGCTCGCAGCGCAAGTCCGGTACACCCGCGCCAATCATAAACACCTCAGTCTGCGCTCGTGCCTAGCCGTTGTGGGACACGGTACGATGCGCGTCGTATTCTGTCGTGTTTCCAGCGGGAGCCATTGGTGAAGTATATACGTGGTGTACCTAGTGGTTGTGATGTCCAAGAGCGGGGGTTCAGGAGGTGGTGTGGCGTGGTGTGGTGTAGTGGGGTGTTTATGAGTCCATATCTACTTTGCTTTTTAGAATGCCTTGTTGTGCTGCACTGTATTCCTTTGAGGCGGCATGTGCCGTGGGTTTAGAGAGGTTACCTATCAGGGTAGGTAGACTAGTGGGTGCGAGAGCGGGTACCGGGTATGGGAGGAGATAAGATAGGGTGGGAATAGGTATAGCTCTTGTGGTGGAATGTGGGTGCTATGTGGTGTGCTTTGTGCTTATGCTTACGCTTACGCTGTCTTGTAATGGCGTTTTAAAAACATGCAGATTGTGTTGTGCATGGGAATTAACGACCTATGACGTTGTTATTATTTTGCGAGTAGGCATGTGCATGGGGCGGGGTATGTTATTAGGTCTATGGGTGCATGGTACTGTATAAACCTAAATAGGTAGTTCGCACCACCATGCAATATGACAACACCAGGCAACGCCGACGAGCATCGCCACCGTCTAACCACCAACACTTCCCAGTAGACAACCAACCAGCCATCTCTCTTACCTAATTCGAATTCGCCACCCCGCTGGCCATCATCAACCAGCATCGCTAACTACTAATCCATATCCCCTACCCTATCCAGAGATCTGACCGATTGCGCTCGGAGCCCAAAGTCCCATCTGCCCATGTCCACGTCCACGTCCAAGCCCAAACAGCATCGGACCTTTGCCCATCCCCATCCCACCCCGTCCCATCCAACACACAAACAACTCATACAGCGCTCTTAGCAAGCATTTACAAGCAATTAGTAATACCGCATCGCGCCCAAGTAACAAGGCCGACGGGGGTATTTGCATCGGAGCGCCATCGCGTTCGGTGTAATATACCCATCTACGGTGTTTTTATATATATAACTTTACAACACGGCTCGGGAATGAGGTTTCGAAAAACAGACTACCCATTCCGAGTAGGTTTTGCAACCTCCGAGGCTATTGCCGTGAGATGGGAGATTGAGAGTTGACAAGTTGAGGATGAGTGAGATGGGAGAATCAAAAATGGGTCTGTCTGGACGTGCTCCTTGGACGCGCGTCGAAAAAAGGTCCATGTCGTTGATGGAAATGGTACGATGTGCGGTGCACAGTGGATTTAATGGGACAGGGGTCAAGAACATGACAGGGGGGGGAAGGAAGGAAGTGGATGTGTTGGGTGTTACTGTGTCATGTAGCTTTGAGAGTAGATTGAAGCCGAGACCCGCTTTCGATAAGAGAGGAGTGAGGCGGACATAGATATACAGAAAATAACACAGAAAAGACATCTAAATATTTGGTTGACAGATGCACCATGATCGGTACATTGCTTTGCATTCTCCACACACACCCCTTTGCACTTGGTATCTAACAGCAATCCACCGTTCTCTATCAAACAACTCCACCCCGTGGAGGCTCCCCCTAAGAATTAGAAACAACGTGTTGATACAAACGGGCCGCCCCATCATGTCATCAACTATTGATAATGCTAAAAAATCAAAAAAACGCCTTTGCCGGACCAGATTGGGATATACGGCCTCATTTTCTCCAGAGTGTCATGCTGCAAAACGCCCCAATAAGTCTAATGCCGATTGCCAGAAAGCTGCAACCACGCCGGGTTGCGATGGTATAAATACGCCGGTTCGCCATGCAGGTCGAGGTCGGAAATTGAAAATTGACGCCAGTGTATGTACCCCAGGATGCAAGGTTGCATGCAAGTCGCTCTGATTGCACGTTCGTAATCATGTCTGCTTTTGATTGTCGAAAAAAGATCAAGTGATCAAAACCGTTAGCCAATGATCGATGAAGTAATCGAATCCGAAGGCGTAAGCTTTGAGGTGAAAATGTTCATTCAGAAAGGTATTCCTTCGGCGGCGCCAAGCTCATCTTCTCGCAGCTGCCCGCTCTTCTTCTTGGGCCATAGCTTGCTGCTCACACGTTTCCAGCTGTCTCTGGTTGCACTGGCGAGACCATTGTGTTCTCCACGACTAGCACGTGGGCTCGGAGTGCCGCTGCTTGTGCCGCTCTCGTGATAAGCCTGATTGAAATCCGGCATGGCGTAGTCGCTCAATGGTGGAGTTCCAGGAGGAGTAAGTGGGTCGCTCATGCCAGAGAGGCTGCCACTCGCTGAATCATCGGTCAAGGTATCACTGCCACTGGTGTAGCCAGAGTTGACGCGGTTTGGTTGTGAGCCAGAGGAAGTTGGTTGAGAGTTGAAACGAGAATGCGAGAAGGGGCGGGAATGCATGAAGCCAGAGGCCAATGTTGATGGTGCGGATGCTCGTTGGTGAGGAGGAAGTTGTGGCTGTGGGCTGCGAGACATGAAACTACGTTCGTCACAGCTGCGAGTCGATGACCGAGAGAATGATGTGGCATAGCTGTCATGGCTGGCTCTGTATGCATTTTGTGGGCTGGTAGCATTCAGAAACGAGACGAGCACGCTCTCCTCCATGAGCTCGTAGATCTTGGTGACAGCCTCGTCTAGTTCCGAAGGGTGTGGCGGCACATATGGGTCACACAGTCCCAAAATATTGTCACGGACTTCAGCAGGAAGATTGACCTGAGGCGGTTAGCAAGGTGAGTCAAGGCAAGGACATGCTGGCAGATACATACTTCTCGTGGTCCAGACTCACGAATGTAAGCATCGATAAGCCGGCGCCATAGCATGAGCACGTAAGCACACTCGTCAGACAAGGGTGAGATGGGACTCCCTGGATGGCGATTGACCATCTTGGAGTAGTGTTTGCGGTATCTGGAGGCATCCATGGTGAATTCGAGGTTCTCCAGACAGTGGTTTTGCGACAGGAAGGCCATGAAGGAGGTGAGTGTGTATGGCGGAGGGGCCGTGTTGGCGAGGATCTCGGCGAGGTTGGGTTTGCGGCCGTGGGGCCTGGCGATGGTCTTGGGTATCGAGACGGTCAAGGGTGCTGGCTGGCAGTCGACCATGGCGAGCTTGGTGTCCATTTTCATGTCGTCGTCGTCCAGCTCGACCACGGACGTCGAGGGCGAAGAGGCGGTTGACGAGGTCCTTATCGACAGCGTCGTTTGGCTGGCGGGCTTCCGTGAGACCATGACGTCCCTCCAGAACCTCTTGTACACCCGGCGGGCTGTTTTCCTGCTCTGGTCGTCGAATCCCTCGCAAGAACAGTACTGCGGGCGTAATTGTTGCGCCAGCGTGCCGGTGGTGCAAGAGTCGGGCAGAGCCGGGGACAGCAAGACAGGACGGTGGACGTGGTGGACGTATTATCGCAGCAGTGAGGGCAGCATCAGGGCTGGGCAGGGCACAAGGGAAACAGGCTGGGCACGAGGGAGCTTTTGGTGAGTGGGATGTGGGTCGATGTGTGGATGTGGATGGCCGTGGATGGGTGGGTGCAACTGTCGAGGCAGGTAGGCGCGACGCTTGCTTGCTTCCTGCTGTTCGGCCGGGCTTCTCGAAGGGCGCCACAAGCGTTGCACAGGTGTCGGGCGTGGTTGGTTGCAGTCGTTGGACAGTGACGAGTGGAGGCAGTCAAGGCGAGTCGAGACGGCGGGAAACTGGCGGCGTGCGGAAGTCAAGACCCAAGACAAGAGAAGCTGCAGGTAGTGCGGCTCAGCTGGTTATGAAGACCGCGGAGTCAGGGAGAGAGAGGCTTGGGAGCTTGGGACGTCTTCTGCGACGCACAAGGAAGAGGCATGGTGCCGATGTCAGCGAGCCAGTGCATCGGCGGGGGCGCACCTGCCCCATTGGCTATGCGCCTTCTCGAAGCTGTTAGCACAGACTCATGACCCCTGTCGCGGGTTTCTTTATCGCCACTAGGCCCTACTAGAGCCAGACAAACCCTCCACCACCGCTGTTACAGAATAACGCTGTAATCCCTCCACCCTTCTGCAGCCTCTGGCTCGCCAATAGCGTGATCACCATCTGCCACTCACGCTCCCGCCCTCTCTCCCGCTCACTGCCTCCAGCTCGCAGCAAGACCAGCTCTCACTAGGACCAGCTTCCACCTTGCCCACAGCAACCACGTCCTTGCCGTTGCTGCGAGGCGCCCGTGACACTGCAGATGCAGGCTCGGTCGCTATCTTTGTATCTACTCCGCTACCCGCACTCATTCGGCCCGCTGTAGACATAGTACAGCCCTGCGCTCGTGTGCTTTTCCTCCCTATTTCTGCATGGGCTCCTAGTCCGCATGCCTGTCTAGTGTGTGATTGTCTAGTCTGCATGGTCGTTTAGTTTCCATGGTTGCTTAGTCTGCATGGTCGTTGGAACAACTGTTACGACCATAACATGCTGCCACTTGAATGCACGAGAGCTCGTCATGTTCATCTCACATCTTGTCTGACTGCATATTCGACAGCATCCCAGGGTAGTGGATGGCGGACTCGTTTGCTCAGTCACGCCGCAAACAACCGCCAGCACGACTCGGGGTCGCTAAGCTAACCCCCATCGCGCGACAAAGACAAGCCAGCGGATCCAGCAGCCTCTGCCTTGACCCTCTCCTACTACACACAACAATGCCAATCTCGGCGAGGCAGCGACTCGTTGAAAAAAGACTCTGCTGCTCCCATGCCGCCGTTCCTCCGCCAAATGTCATCCCGATGTGATGCTCCTACAACATGACGCCAGTGCTGCTTGTACCACTGGCTGATCGGTCCTATGCCACCAATGAAGACAATGTTTGTCCGCACACGGCATGCGCACGGCCACATTGCTTAGCCTTCGCCCGACCGCTGGGGACAGCCAGGGCCTCCTCCAATCTCTGCCTGCCATCAAAGACATTCTTTACGGTAATCAATTCTTGACGAATTCTGCACCTCAGCATCACGCAGATCCACAGCGGACCCACTCTGCTCGGATAATGACATTGATTAGCAAACATTTTGGGAGCGCGTGCAAGCTGGTCCCGTCTGCGTCAACTGCTTTCTCCACGCACCTACGCGCTACCAACAAACTCGGCGTCTCGCTGTCCGAGTGAGCAACCAAGCATCCTGGCCTGCTGACGTTTCACCACCAACAAGGCACTCGCCATCAGCAGCCAATCACCTTCCCTGTTCGCAGTCACAGCCGTGCGTAACCTGGTATTTCCAGAACATCTCCGCACTTCTAGAAGATTGCCATATACCGCCTAGTGCACCTGTCGATCTTGTCTGTCAATCTCCTGTTGAACGCATGATATTCACGCACGTCGCTCCCATTCCAACACGGAACACGCACGCATCTGATGTAGCGTGAGATTCTGTTGAGGGTCGCATTACGGCAGCGCATACGGATCAACCTCGTACACCTCGGGTGGCTGAAATGGAAGCTTTCTAGAAGGCCAAAGTCGGCTTTACTTTGCAGCACGCGCCCACATCAACAAACACAACAGAAAATTCTCGCGTATGACTCAAGTTCCGCGCCTCAGCAGCATGGACGTGACGCGTTAGTGGAGTTTTTGCGCACATCGTTACTATTCACCCGCCTTCACCGCCCTGTGGAGCCGCATCCGCACATAGATCTGGCACCGACTACTACTTGGCATATGCTCTTCGATGGCCTTCTCCACGGTGTCTCAGAAGCCTAACGCACGGCAAGGGCAAAGTTGCCCTTGCTCAACAACACATGCCTCCCACCCCTTGCCGACGGGAAACTGGACGGCGACTTGGTATTCGTCCCGACGACCACAACACTGGGAATATAATTCAACATTGCATCTGACCTTGCCGACTAACGAAAGAACTCAACTCAGTCTTGAGCATCACCTCAGAACATGTGGACGTGTCAGTTCTATGTAGATGAAACGTGAGAGGTACCCACTGTCTCCAAATACGACGTATCAACTGGAGTCAACGTTTGAGAGTTTCACATACTGCCGATACGCAGAAGAAGCAATGTTGCACTCTGCCGCCGAGTGTTGCTATGGTGAATTGCCCGCGATCAACAATGTAGAACGCGTTTTCTCAGAATTTCGATTACACCGATTTCTGCCTCATCTAGCCGATCGAAAGGCTCTATTTTTCTTACAAAAGACAATGTCTGAGGTCGACTGATCGCCTTGGCAAAGGATCGCAACTGTCTCATCAAGCAGCATAATAGTGGGTCTCATCTTTTCTTTTTCACATCAAACACTGCGCGCGTACCACCCTGTGTCTCTAGAGCAGCGACATCTAGATCCCACCCCTTGTCCCTCAGCCGTTCAGCATACGCCCCAAACGCTCCCCGGGTTTTCTCCAAAGTCCGTCGGAGCTCAACAAGTCCGTCCTCAAACGAGGGTCTGTCATCTTTGTCCCGATTCTCTCTAGCCACCTGCTGCCGTTGTACTGTCTGAGCAAGCAGCAACGCATGTGTCCATGCTTGGAGCTGGTCCTTCGGAGTACACCCTTCTTTCAGTACAATTAGAGCTTTGGACTCGTGAACGGCAAACCATAGAACGTAGGCTTCGTCGGCGAATATGTCGAGCAGATCGGATATTTTGTCGGCAAGTAAGTCGCGCGATCCCGTTCGCTTGTGGCGTGGGCTTATACTGTTGAGCAGCGCTTCGAGCGTTACCCCTACTCTACAGTATCCAACAATACTGTCATCAACCCATCGGAGCGCTCCGTCTCTTTCAAAAATGCGCTCTCGCTTGGACACGTCTGTTGGACTCGGAACCTTGCCGTGTTGAAGGACGCTACCGAGCACAATATTTGCTCGCTGTCGGTTTAGACTGCGCATGCTGACAGCCTTTACTGCAGCGTAATTCGTCGCTAGATGAATGGAGAGTAGCGCAATTAGAACGGACCATGTCGCGCTTGGTGTGGACACCCATGAGACTACAACGCTGCCAGCCTGTATTGCTCATCAGTCATTCTTCTCGCCAGACGCTCATTCCCGAGTGATTTGCAGGTAAGATACTGTGCAGGGGGCAGCATGACATGTGGCTACATGAAGTCGTTCATTTAAGCAAACGTACGTGCACGCCATGGGATTTGATATGCAAATAACACGAGCACTTACCAGCATTCCAAACAGCGATATGACCGTTTCTTGGCTCGAATCCTTCTGCAAATAGAGTCAGCACAGCACAGCACGGTACACACACTCACAGACATCATCTGCGAAGAACCCCTGTCCCCCCCATCTCCATCCCCAGACATGGCCTCCTTCCTAATCGAACTAGCATCCAAGACCAGCCATCACAGTACTCACAGCATTCAATTCCCCCAAGTTCCCCCTGCGCGCAAAATGCGCACTCAGACTCGCCTTCGCACTGCCCGCACACACGCCACACAAACTCCGCAGCACACTCGAGCCCCCCAGCACGAGCACACGCACGGGCCGCGGAAACGCGGGTGACAGGCAGTCGAGCACCATGGCCGTGTCGTTGAAGATGTCGGCCGCTAGACGGTACATTTTGCACTCTGGCTCCAGGGCGGTGCCGAGCCGGTGCGCGAATAGGATGGTCGCGATGCGGCCCATGGATTCTTGGAGCATGGAGAGGAGGAGTGCGGAGGTGGGGGAGGTGTGGGTTGAGCCTACGCCGAGGCCTGGGGGGAGAGAGCGGGGTGTTAGTTTGTGGGGAGATGGGGTGGTTTGGAAATGCGGTGTAGAATAGAAGACTGTGCCGAATCAATCAATCAATCAATCGACGTACCTTCAAGCACAGCCCGTGACGCCAGTAACCCAGCTATTGACGATGAAAACGCCTGCAGTGAATCCTGATGCGCATACTCGTTAACCACCAACCAACCAATCAATCAATCTCCCATCTCACATCTTCGCCGTAGTCATAGACCACCACCTCTGCGCTTGGCGATGTGAGGTGAGGTGAGGTGGGCTGAGGAGAAAATCCAACGCACATAAATCTGATACCTTGACAACACGAAATCGTCAGTCCACATCTTCCATCACTTGACATGCACCCCGCTTCCACCACGCCAAACCGAGACAAGCCAAATCAAGACGAGACAAGAAGCCAAGAGAGAGGGGGAAATGGAAATAGAAATAGAAACAGAAAACGCACTGCATATAATCCTCCGTCACGCTGTGCGGATACCCCGCTGGCAGGAAGACATCGAGGAGTTTCTGCGCGAGGGATTTTTTGTTCGCGGGGTGCTGGATATGCCTTAGTTTACATTCTACTCTGTGCTTTTCGTCTCGTGTCGTGCTTGTGTGTGCGTGGCTGGTTGGGTGGCGTACGAGGATTGCTATTTGTGGTTCTGAGTCTGGGTTGGAGTTTGGGTTGGGGGTTAAGAGGTATGTCGCTGTTAGAATGCCTGATTCGTTGCGTTCGCGGATTTCGAGGGGTGAGGGGGAGGGCATTTTGGAGTGCTGGGGTTGGGGTTGGGGTTGATGTGGTGGTTGTGAGGATGGATAGATGGGGTGTTGTTGGTAAAGTGGGGCTACCATTGTTTGTAGTGGGTTGTGAGTGCGATATACGATTTTGGTAATAACTCTATTCTATTTTGCTCCTGCATAATGATTGTGGAACTTTAGGTTGTTTAGAAAGAGATTCATGTTTTTTGGTCTGGATGACATGAGGTGTGGGTATCTTTGGGTGTGGGCTGGTTATGAGTATGCATCTGGAAGAAGCTGGGTGAAAAGTAAAAGCTCTCTGCAGAGGAAATATAGTCACATATTCTCCCTTTACTCATCATAACCCAAGTCTAAATCTCAATACACTCTCCCATCCCATCTCCCACACAACCCCCACCCTCCCGTCAATTCACTCCTCCATACCATCATCCTCATCACTAAAATCCATCAACTCATCAACCTCCCTCCTCCTCCTCTCTTCCTCGTCATCATCCCCACCCTCCCTCCCCACCCCCTCATCAACAACCCCCAAACTCACCACCGCGCCCCTCCGCTCCTCACCCACCATCTCAATCCCGCGCTCCAGCACCGCCGCCCACCCCTCCCACACAGCCCCCCTATCCCATCCCGTCATCGGCCCACGCGTACATCTCCAGCGCTTCGTGAGATCGTTTTCGCGATCACACGACAAGAGCAGCGAGTACGCATGCGCGAGCTTAGTATACACAGCATGGTGCGCAGAGGGCGTGGACGAAAGCGAACAGAGGGAGTTAGGTCGAGAATATGTCTCTAGCACTGTATACGCGCCCACTCGTACCCGCCGCAGCGTGTTTGTCCATACGCTTGTCGGGAGGAAAATCGCTTTGCTGAGGGTGATTTTCCCGCTGCCTGGGTAAGTGTGGCCGAGGAGGAGGGCGTCGGTTGGGGGGGCGGCGTTGGTGCCTTGTTTTCTGCCTGGGATGACGATTCTGGGGAAGTAGATTTGTATGGGTATTCCGTGGGGGGAGACGGCGAAGGGGGAGGTGGCTAGGATGCTGGGTCCGAGCGAGGAGAGGGGGGAGGGTGGGGGTGGTATCAGGTTTAGAGGTGAGGGGGCGTTGCGTTGGATGCCGGGCTGGGGCGGAGAGAAGTGTTGGTGCTGGGGGGATGAGGGCGGCAGGTGGAGGAGAGAAGGTTGTATGAATTGGGGTAGAGAAGATTGCGTGTGCGGTGGCCCTGTCATTGATAGCGGAGGTCGCGAGAGTAGCTGTAGACCACCTGGCACGGGAAGCTGTGTTGGCCTTGGAGGCTGCTGGATGGAGGTCGGAAGAGCAGTATGTGACGAAGCTGAGGGGTGTGCTTGTGCAGATGCCGTCTGCTGACGCCGCAGTGCGAGGAACTCTTCAACATTGAAGGTGAACCTCGGTGCTGGGGTTTGTAGAACAGCTGGGCTGGAATTGGGAGGCCGGATGGATTGCGCCGTCACGTTCTGTCCGGATGCCTGTTGTGCATGAGAAGGCGGCGGGCCTTGCATGTTCAGTGTAGCTGATGGTCGGGGTGGCTGATACAACGATGTTCTGAATGAGCTTAATAGTTGTGGTGTAGACAGACTTTGCTGAGGAGCAAGGGGTTGCAGAATACCCGGTGCAGATGTGAACGATGGAAACCCAGTCAACGGTGCATTAGACGGGCCCTGGACGGTCCCATACAGTACAGGCTGACCGGGCAAAGGTAGAGGATATGGTCGCGGCGGCATGAACTGACTTTGAGAAGACAGAATCGGCATATGTGGTGTGATTCCACTATTGAACTGGCTTTGTGACTGACTGCCTAGTGTTTGGGGTGTGAGGGCAGTTGTAGACGGACGATGAGGAGAAGCAGCCACAAAAGGCATCATCATAGAAAGTCCGGGTTGGCCTGCTCCCATGATTTGAACCGGTGGCGCAAAACCAAGAGGTTGAGGCCGTGGTCCTATCTGACTGGGTAAAGCAGGACGGCCAGCATTCCCAAACGCAGGAACTTGCCCAGATCCGTTCGCTATCGTCTGTCGTACACCTTGACTCAGCAATGGAAGAAGGCTCTGCGCTTGCTCAGGTGTTAGGTTGCGCATGTACTCTGCGATGTTGGCCGGAACCCCGGTACTCTGTAGATTGGAGGCGCCTAGAGCAGATGGACTAGCATGAGCTGATACGTGTTGCTGTTGAAGAGCCGAGTTGTTGCTCGGTGTTGTGGTATATGGAGGCTGCAGTGGCGGAAGTAGCGAGATCGCATGGGGAACTGATGTGGTAGAGGAAGGTGACCGCAACTGCATCGGATTTATGGGATCTCCGCCTCCATCTTCGTCATCGTCAGAATCGGAGTCGAAATCATCGTCCATATCAGTGTCTTCGTCCTCGCTATCCTCTTCTCCCTGATTATCACCCAAGTTCCAATTCGGTCGTCCTGACTGCAATTCCATAGCCCTCGCTCCCTCGAACAACCTGCTCTGCAACCTGCCCACCAGCGGCGCGGGAACAAACTTGATCCTCTCCTCCCCAGCCCCCTTCACAGCAATGATTCTCTTCATCATAGCAGCAGCCATATCCGGGCGTCGATCATACGCCGGCGTACGAGGTATAAGCGGAACACCCGACGCGCCTTCAGCCACAGCATCCCGAGTCGCCAAACTGGCTTCCAACGCCAAGTTGCTGCTTATAGATATCTCCCTCTGCTTCGCCCTCAGCAGCATCTGCTTCTCCTTCAGCTCGAACTCGCCCTGCGCATACCGGGCGTCTTTGTTGTAGTGCCGCATCCCGTTTCCTCCCTCATCTTGTGGCGTTTCTTTCGGGTGCTCGCTTTGTAGCTTTTTGTAGTTTGCAATCTGGCGTGGGGTGATGCCTGCTTCGACTAGAAGGACGAATGCTCGCTGGCGGGACTTGAAACATGCAGCGTAGTATTTCTGCCGCTTTCTTGTGTCTTGCGGGATGTTGATCAGCGGCGGGATCGGCTGCTCTAGTTTGGGCGGTTGGATGCCGTATCTGACCTCACGGTATTGGAGACGCTCGCTTTCCTCCATCCTGCGCTCCATTGCTGCGAGGTCTGGTTTCTCGCGCATCTTCTTCGTAGGCGAGCTCTGCGCCAGCTCCTCTGCTTTCTTGTTATTCGTGGGCTTCTCATTCCCGGCCTTCCCCTTTGTGTCTGGCTTCTGCTTGTCCGCCAGAACAAGAGGGTGGTATTCGAAATCCCACAAGCTTGGGATCTCCCACTTCAGCGCCGCCTTGAGCGCCTTTCCATCGCCCTCGTAGAAGTCGATCCAGCGATACAAGAACTCTATGAAGTTTGGTACAAGTGAGCTGTCCGTCTGCACGATATCGATCAAGATGCGCAGCATGTCTTCCTCTTTCATCAGCTCTGGGTCTAGGGTGCGACGCTCAAAAATGGTAGTTGCATGCCGTCGACGCTGCGGATGCGGGTCGGCTGAGGCTGTATCTAATCGAGGCTTTTTGGGTGTTGGGGCTTGACTTAGATCTCTGTTCTCTACTTCCCATTGCGCACACCAGGTCCACACTTCTTTTCCTGCCTCTTGAGCGTGTCGCATTGTAAAGTCTTGGATGAGGCCCATGAAGATGTCGTGGTTCGTGTCCATCCGGTATACAATCACGTTCTGTGAGTATTCTTCATACGGTACGAGTGTGGGTAGTGGTTCGACATTGCCAGTGACGTCCTGCAGGCTGAGATAGCGGTCGTTGAGGAGGTCGAGGACTTTTCCAAAGGCTGCCATGGCGCCGCGCGAAGCATTGGCTGGAGTGGGAAGGAGTAGAGAATGAAAGTTGATTCTTTTGTGAGATGGAGGAATTTGAAGTGATCAAGCAGACATGGTGGGGCAGAGGTGAGCGGTGAACAGTATCAGGGAATATTGCTGGTGGTGAAAGTAGGGAAAGGAAAGACAAGGCGCAATAGACGAGACTGATGTGACAATGGAGATGGGACGCTCACAAACCTCTCACCCCACATTGTATAGTAGAGCAGACGTGACAGCTACAAATATTCACAGGCGTTCTATTGTAAGTCTCCCAAGCATGTGCAGTAGCAAGAAGGGTATCGTCGCAGTCGTCCTCTCCCATGCTGCCGCTCTATTGTCCTCTCCAGCCACGCTCATACCATATCCTCGCTCACTTCCTGACATTCTCCACCAACGCACCCAGCCTGTCTTCGGCGTTCTCCCTCACCCTCCTCCAGTCTGTGTTGTACACCTTCTGGACCACCTGCTCAAGCTCGCGATTCCACCTATCCTTTGCCATCTCGGCCAGTCCTGCGTCGACGACTCGACTTGTCGGCTCTGGCTGTGGTTGCTTGGGCTCGACAAACGCGGTGAGGACGCCGCGCTGCTGGCGGAGGAGAGCAGCTTGTGTGACGCGGTTCTGCGTGTGCATGGATATAGACAGGTACAGGATGGCAGAAGTGAGGGTGAAGCCTCCGAGCTGTCATGCGGTTAGCGGGGGGCAGCCATTCGCACAGACGGGGGCACGCACGAAGCCGGTGGTGAGGCCCATGGTCGAGCGGGAGGGCCGTGTTGCGCGGGCTCTGTGGTGTGTGGATGGGACCTGGCGAGAGGTGCGAGGCAGGCCAATGGCAGGAGCAAGAGAGTCGCGACGAGCCCCTCGGCTGTATCTTGGAATTCCCGCGGCGAAAAATGCTATCTCCGGTGGTGAGGCTGCAGACGAATTCGCGCCGTGGTAAAGCTGGTCAGCGTGTGAGGTCAGCGTGCGACGGGTCTTCCTTCCCAATCCAGTAGGTTTGCGTCTGCCGTTGAACACTGGCCGGCACCGGGAAGCTCAGGCGCTACCGGCATGCTCGCTCCGTCACAACCATGCACAGCACCACAATAGGCCAACCTCTCTCAACACCACAAAATATGCTCACGTCTCACCTCTGGCGGCCGCGACAATGCCCCTGCTTTCGTTGCGCGTCCTGGTCTAAATTAAGGCAACGAGTATTGTCCCGTTCCAGCAGGTCTCGCTCAACCGTGGAACGCTGACGGAAATCTTCACCGACGCCGAAATCCCATAGCATCAATATCGAGTCTAGTCCACCCTGGCACCTACACGATGAATCGCGCCCCAGACCTAGCGCTTTCCACAACAAGCAAGTTTCCAACAGCTATTGAATGCAGTCGGACAACTTCGCCGGTCTCACAGCAACATTGTCAGGCAGGCATACGGATCCGTCAAACGTCTCATCCTATTACACGCCATGGCCACTCATTCCCGCTCCTCGGACGTCGTGTGATGATGGGACGCTTGCGTTACAGTTGTCACCATGTTGGCAATAATGCAGTCATTTTGAATGAATTTCCTATTCTCCTCACTTCTCAGACCTTCTGCTTCTTTCATCTACCACATCACGCGAGCCTCCAATTCAAAGTCTTCTGACTTGAAGTCCCTACTCAAATACATCTCCCACCATCCACCTCTAGATTCACACCTGTGATAAACCTCGCTTCCTCGCTCGCCAAGAAAACACAGACCCCAGCGACATCCTCAACCTCGCCTATACGCCCTAGAGGCACGTTTGAAGTGAACTTTGCACGGTTCTCGGGACTATCTTCCATGCCGGTGAAAGCTGAGAACAAGCCCGTCGCCGTGACTAGCGGACAGACGCTGACGACTCGAATCTTGTGCGGTCCGTATTCAGCCGCAAGACCTTTTGTAGCCTACGTCGAGCAAAAAACGTCAGCAAGGAAGCAGTATAATAAGTGCAAGGAGTGGGGGAGACGAACATTCCAAACAGCGCCCTTTGATGCATTGTACCACACCAACCCGGGTCTCGGCCTCGTAGCACCCACACTTGCAATGTTAATAATCACACCACCTTCCTTTCGGTCAACAGCCTGCTTGACCCATGCCTGACACCCGAAAAACACTCCTTTCACATTGATGTCGAAACACCGCTGGAACTCTTCCTCGGTGACTTGATCTGTCGGCTTGTTCTTGTAGCTCCACCCGGCGTTGTTGACAAGGATGTCGCAGCGGCCCCATTTCGCCGTGACGGCGGACATGGTGGCGTCCCAGTCCGAGGGCTTCGTCACGTCCATTTGATGAAAGGCAAGGGCAGACGGGTTGTTTGCCACAGTGGCTTCGCCGCCTGCAACATTGATGTCGCAGACGAGGACTTTGGCGCCTTCTGCGATGAAGGCGAGGGAGATTGCAGCACCGAAGCCTGAGCCTGCGCCTGGGAATTGTTAGCTTGAAGCTCGGCGGATGGTGGGTGGAGAGGACTGGGTACCTGTTACGATGGCGATCTTGCCTTCTAATCTTCCTCCCATTGTGATGTGTAGTGTGGATATGTAGGTGGTTGACTTGACTCTGTTGGTTGTCGGTTGTGTAGTGTGTATATGTTGGAGTCAAATGACATGTAGGTAGGTGGTAAGACAATGAAGCAGAACAGCTTCTATCTTCCCCGCCACGGTTCCGGGGAAGCTGCCCAGTGGTTCCTTACCCCTCATCGTTGCATCCCCCTACGTATCGGCTACGAGCCATAGCAAGTCGCCTACACGTCTTGCAAGCCGTTGCACAAGAACAAATCCTGACAACCTTCGGATGTTCAACCTGAAGAAAGTCGGCACAATTATAGACAACATTATTGCTCCATGACTGGCGATTACGATGGAATAAGTAATACGAGGTAGCTGCTCTGAACAATGAGGGGCATGGAGTGACGTTGTGGGAGATGCTCGACATCGGCCTCCAACGTCGCTGGTTGGTTGGCTCTGTTGCACCTCCGTTTCCCTTTCGGCTCGGCTCATGGGGATCAGGTGGGGTTGGGGGAGCGATCTACTTGTTGACCCCTCGTCGACGGATCGCTGCTTGCGTCTTGCTTCATGATTTGAAAACCTGGTATTTCGTCTGGAGATATTTTGATAGGGGTTTGTTTGACAGGACTATTTTTCTGTACATCTTCAGTACAAACTTGACTTCATTCGTCTGCGAAGTCTTTAGGTTGCGGGATCAAGAGCTGGGTGTGGAATAACCGATACGATGGGTTCAGCGGGGAAGTACGAGCTTCCGTTCAAGGTCTGTCACGAAATCGATGTACAAGTTAAGTGGTTGTTGACGAGACATAGCTCAACAATCCAGACCTACTTCACAACGAATCCTTCGTCAATGGGACGTGGGTAAAAGCCAAGTCCGGCAAGACATTCGAGGTCGTCGGTCAGTTCTCCACGGTAGATTCGTGAAAGAAACAAGACTGACGAAAAACACCAGACCCCGGAACAGGAAAAGCCTGGATCGAATGCCCCACAAACGACGCTTCCGACGTCGACGAAGCCGTCAAGAGCTCCCACGCCTGCTTCGAGAAGTACAAGAAGATCAGCCCGCGCGAGAGAGCACAACTCCTCCTAAAATGGGACACGCTGATCCGCGAGAACAAGGAAGACCTCGCAACCATCTTGGTGTACGAGACGGGCAAACCGCGATCCGAGGCGTACGGCGAAATCGACTACTCCACAGGCTTCACGTGGTGGTTTGCAGGCGAGGCCGAACGCATCCAGGGGTCCGTCTTCACGCCCGCACTGCCAAATAGGAGGATCTTCACTATCAAGCAGCCGCTGGGTGTGGCAGCTGCCCTGGTGCCGTGGAACTTTCCCATTGCTATGGTCTTGAGGAAAGCGGGTGCTGCGCTCGCGGCGGGCTGCACTATGATCGTTAAGCCCAGCCCTGAGACGCCCATCACTGTGCTCGCGCTCGCTCATCTGGCAGACAAAGCTGGCTTCCCCAAGGGCGCGCTGAACGTGCTCACCACCGACCTCAATAAGACGCCGGAGCTCAGTGAGGCGCTCTGCCGCCATCCGCTGATCAGCAAAGTCACCTTCACGGGATCAACCCGCGTCGGTAAACTTGTAGCCAAAATCTGCGCAGACAACTTGAAGAAAGTCACCCTCGAGCTCGGCGGTAACTGCCCCGTCCTCATCTTCAACGACGCCAGCCTCGACCAAGCTATCAGCCAGGTCTTCGCGCTGAAATACCGCCACGCGGGCCAGGCGTGCATCACCGCGAACCGCGTGTACGTGCAGTCCGGGATCTACGACACCTTCCTCTCGCGCTGGAAAGCCGAGACAGCGAAGCTCATCGTAGGCCACGGGGCCGATAAATCAACGACCATGGGCCCCGTAACAACACCCCGCGCCGTGGACAAAGCCCTCGCCCTCGTCCAGGACGCGCGCGATAAAGGCGCAACGATCCACACGGGCGGCAACAAGATCTCCAACAACAGCGGTGGCTTCTTCTTCGAGCCTACCGTCATCACAGATGTCACGCCCGATATGGATGTAGCGCAGGAAGAAGTCTTCTCGCCCATCTGCACGATTATCAGGTTTGAGACTGAGGATGAAGCGGTAAGAATGGCGAATGATACGAGTATGGGGCTTGCGTCGTATTTGTTCACGAAGAATGTGGATCGCTTGTGGAGGTTGTTTGAGAGCTTGGAGGCCGGCATGATTGGGTTGAATACTGGTGAGTGGAATTTTACATGTTGGATGGATTGTGATGTGTTGGAGTGGTGGCAGGGCTCTTGCTGATTACCGTGATACAGGGAATTCGTCGGCGGCTGAGTCGCCGTTTGGCGGCATCAAGCAGAGTGGGTATGGGAAGGAGTCCGGGAAGGATGTGGCGGTGAATGAGTACATGATTACGAAGACGGGGACGTTTACTTTGGAGGAGCAGGCGTAGGGGGGGATCTGTCTGAATGAGGATGTTCTGTCTTGCATCTGTTTGTCGTGTTTGATTCAAAGCTATGCATGTCCATGGCGCTAAGCTAGCTCTCGCCAGACCGCGACATGACGCTCCAGCCGTGAGGCCTGCTCACCAACTCACCTCTCACCTCTCCCACCCACGCCCTCTCTCCTCACCGCTCCTGCACCACCGCCGCCATGGACACGGACATGACAGACGTCGCCTACGACATCGACATCGACGTCGGCGCCGGCAGTGAGCAGCCGCAGCCGCAGCACGCGCAACCGGCGACGGCCATGGAGCAGCCCGGCGCCGACAGCGGCGTGCCGGCGGCGTACTTCGAGGACCTGGAGCCGCAGAAGCCGTGGCCCGAGTCGCTGAACCTGCAGGGCGTGGGCGACTTCGACCCCAACGACCCGCTGTACTACTCGATGGAGCACTGCGGCGCCGAACCGCGCGTCAAGCAGCTGCGCTGGGTCAGCGACTCGTCGGTCAACCTCGAGTTCTACACGGCCGCCGACGCTGCCCAGGCCCTCGTCGCCCTCACCCACCCGGACGTAGCCAATCCGGGCGCCCTCATCGCCCAGGCCGCCCGCCGCGCCAAGCCCTACTCCAAGAAGCCCGACAGCGTGCTCATGGTGCGCGAGACCAACGCCGGCGACCAGAAGCCAAAGGGCGCCGCTACCCGCAGCAACTACTACCGCACCAACCCGGACGTGGCCGACAACCGCCAGCGGGAGCCGCGCCGCCGCCCGCCGCCCAAGAAGGACTTCCTGGACTACGGCGACCACGACGCGGCCTCGAGGGACCGCCGGAGGAGGAGGTGCGAATTTGGTCTAGCAGCTTAGATGCCCGCCTACTGACGCGCACGCAGCACCGGAGACGAGTCGATGAACGGCGACGCCCAGGGCGACAGGAGGAGACACCACCCCAACACACGCGACGGTCGCGATGGTCGAGACAGCCGGGACAACAGGGGCCGCGGCGGCAGACTGAGGACCGAGACGGACGCCGGCCGCCTGAGAAACGACGTCGACTCGTACCGGCCCGGCTCCGAAGGGTACGTCTACATCCCGTCCCACCCTCACCCACCGCATACTAACACGCACGCAACAGCCCCGGCGAATCGCGCTTCGGCCGCCTGCGCAACCGCAGCGCCTCGCCCGCCTCCAACGACGAAGGCGACGGCCGCTTCGGCTTCGCAGAAGACACGTCCAACGCGCGGCGCCGCTACCGCAGCCGCAGCCACAGCCGCAGCCGCAACCGCCCCACGCGCCGCCACCGCAACCCCAGCGCCGACCGCTGGACCCACGACCGCGCAAACCACGACCGCACCCCTTCCTCCACCACATCCGCCTTCGACACCTCCCCCATGGGCAACCACCGCCGCTCCGGCGCAAAAGACGAAACTACCCTCGTCCGCCACGGCGGCTCGCTGCTCGCTCGCATGACGAAGGATGGGCGGCCTGTTGCGGCGGGGCTGAAACGCTCGCTTGCTGATCGGATTACGCGGGATCATGGCAGTAATGACGAGGGCTTTGGTCGCCTTAAGGGCGATACTAGCGCGCCTTTTGACTCCGCGTTTGAGGAGCCGAAACCACGCCGTGGTCTCGCGGATCGGATTACGCGTGACGAGGGGGATGTGGATATGCATATTCGTGGGCGCGGGCAGGAGGGGATTAATATTCGGGGGTCGGCGGGGGCGGGGAGTGGGAGTGCTGCCGGGGGGTTTAATATTAGGGGGGTTGCTAGTGGGGCTTAGGTTTTTGGTGGGTGGGATCTGATGAGGGGAGGAGGGGGTTAAGTGGTATGTGGATATGGATATGTATATGGAATATGGGGTGAATGTTGAGAATAATACTGTTGGAAAATTAAAAGACGGAGAGGTGGATTGATTACTGGATATTTGTTCACTGCCTGATAATCACTGACATCTTCTCTCCTCTACCTTCTCTGGTCTGTTGTGTTGACATGCATAAACATTCCAATAATCCGACATTCCAAAAACTCAATCAATTCCCCATCCATCCTTTTCCCCCCCAAAAACCTAATTCTACCCACTCTTCTCCACCTCCCCCCTCCCCCCCTTAATCGCCAAAAGATTCAGCGCACTCCCCGCAAGCACAAACCCCGCCTGATCCCGACTAAGCGTATGCCTCGTCCTAACCACCGTCTCCCTGCCCCCCTTCTTAAGCAAAATCTCCACCTCGCCCTGCCCCCCACTACGCAGGACATCCAACAACCCGCGCGTCGCCACCTCATCACACGCATCCAGCAGATCATAATCCGCCTCATTCGCAAACGTCAGCGGGACAATACCCTGCTTCTTAAGATTCGTCTCATGGATGCGCGCAAACGACTTAGCCAAGATGATACGACCGCCGAGGAACCTTGGCTGGAGGGCAGCGTGTTCGCGGGCAGATCCCTCTCCGTAATTGTGTTCCGCGACGACGAGCCACTCCTGGCCTTTATCGCGCCAGCGCTTCGCGAGAGCGGGGATGCTAGACTGCGTGCCATCGATATCGTAAGCGGTGTTTACTTCATCGGTAGCGGCGTTGACTGCGCCGATGAGAGTGTTTTCGCTGATGTTGGGGAGGTGGCCTTTGTATTTTAGCCAGGGGCCAGCGGCGGAGATGGTGTCTGTTGTGCATTGGCCTTTTACTTTGTAGAGGACGCGCAGGGAGGTGAGCTCTGTGGGGGGGAAGGGGGGGAAGGGGTCGAGGAGGGCGAGGCGTGTGGAGGTGGGGGAGACGAGGACGTTTACTGTGGGGTCCGGGATGCCGGGGGTGGGGAGGAAGGCGGGGTTTCCGGTTGCGAAGCCGGAGGAGGGGAGGTCGGAGCCCTTTGGTGGGGAGAACTTGAAGGGTGTGCCTGAGGGCGTGGGGATGCTGTCCGTCATGGGGTTGAATGTCGTTTCGCCCGAGTACGCCATTGCGGTGATGAGTTCAGGGGAGGCGAGGAAGTTCATGGTTGCGCGGTTTCCGTCGTTGCGGCCGGGGAAGTTGCGGTTGTACGAGGTCAGGATGGCGTTGGCCTCGCCCTTCTTGATGCCGTCGGTGCGCGTCCACTGTCCAATGCAGGGCTTTTCGAGATGTCAGTATATATCTCACTAAACACTATCACCATTGGATATCTACTCACCCCACAAGCATTTGCCAGAACGGTCCCGCCGGCGGCAGAGAACGTCGAGAGAGTGTTATCACGGTCGAGAGTTGCTCGAATCTGTTCGCTGCCAGGCGTGATGAAGAAGTCCGCCTTGGGCTTCAGACCAGCAGCAGAAGCTTGCTTGACGAGCTCCTCAGACCGGGTCATGTCCTGGTACGAGCTGTTCGTGCAGCTGCCAATCAGGCCTGCGCCGAACGTCCTAGGCCAGTCCTTCTCTTCCACGACAGACTTGAACTTTGACAAGGGCGTCGAGAGGTCAGGCGTGAAGGGTCCGTTGATGTGAGGCTCGAGTTCGGAGAGGTTGATGGTGATGACCTTGTCGTAGACGGCTTCGGGATCGGCACGCAGAAGGTTGCGTTGCATGGGCAGCTTTGCGATATCTGAGGCTGCTTGGGCAATCGGTCCGCGATGTGTTGCGTTGAGGTAGGGAATGTGAGCGGGAGAGAAGGGGAAAAGCGAGGTAGTCGCGCCGACTTCAGCGCCCTTTAAAAGTCAGCATGTCATAACAAGCCGCTGGGGTGAATAAAAATACCATATTGCAAATTGTCGCCATGCCAGTACAGCTCAGTGTCTGAACACCGGGTCCAAAGTACTCGATGATGTATCCAGTGCCTCCCTATAATGAGTGTTAGTCTGGGACGGTCTGAAGGGTGTTTGCCACATACCCTGACAGTGAGTTGGCCAGCCAGACTCAGAATAACGTCCTTTGGAGACGTCCATCCACTGAGCTCACCAACAAGCTTAACACCCAGAATCTTGGGCGCCTTCAGCTCCCACGGCGCATCCACGAGAGCATCAACCGCGTCCGCACCACCCACACCGATGACAATGGCTCCCAGACCGCCAGCGTTTGGCGAGTGACTGTCTGTTCCCAGCATCATAAGACCGGGAGCAGAGTAGTTCTCCAACACGGACTGATGGATAATCCCCGCACCAGGCGGCCAAAACTCAATCCCGTATTTCTTGGCCGCCGACTCCAGAAAGTCGAAGACTTCTTTGTTTTCCTTGATCGAAATTGGCAAGTCCGCATCCGCGCCATTTTGTCCCTGTTGAATTGTGAGCATGGTGCTCAATATGATATACCAGATGATTCGGTAGTCCAGAATCACATCCCGTTCAAAGCCAAGTCGAAAACACTAAGAAAGGGAGTACACACCACCACCATATGATCACAGTGAATACTCGCCGGCACGGCCGTAGACGGCAGCCCACAAGACATAAACTGCAGCAACGCCATCTGCGCCGACGCATCCTGCATCGCAACACGATCAGGCTTGAGCTTCAAGTTGGCCTGGCCGCGAATATCCCGGCCATTATTGGTATTGGACAGCAGCGACTCCTCCGGGCTCTCCAAATGCGAGTACAGAATCTTCTCCGCGAGCGTCAATGGTCTCGACGAGCCCAGCACTCTCCTCACTTCCTCCAGGCGCGCGAGCAGCTTCGGGTACGGCGGTGTGCGCGAGGCGAGATCGACGTTGTGGGCGGACGGCACATCGTGCGTTGTGGCCAGACATCTCCGGGAGAGTGTCGACGGGTGGCGGAGGGAGGAGAAGAGGTGAGGCTGTTAGGAATCAGTTTTGGCACTGCGAGGTTCGCCGCAAGTGGGGATGATGGCGTGAATTTGAGGGCAGCAATTGTGCGGGAAAATTCAATTTCGCGTCGATGTACTACTCACTCCGCGGTTGGCAACCTGCCCGGCTCGGAAAACTTGCGCCCGCATCTTGAAAACTTGTCTGGGTCGTCAAGGTCGGAGGCGCACAAAAATGTCTACGCACGAGCGAGATCGGTCCGCGGCACTTGACAGCCGAAACTCTGGAGAACCCCTGCAGCTCAGCGTCCAATCATGTCGAGGATGGAAGTCATCAGCGTTTGGATGGCTGTTCACGATTTTGACGGCAGTTGCTCCAAAATATAAACATCTTGAAATGCACGTAACGAATTGAGAGACTAATTCTGTATCTCCTGTCAGAATAAGAGGCTGTCAATATACATAAACCAGACCAGTTCACAGGAGAATATAGTGGTGAGATGACCGAGCAATTGAATTAATATCCCAACTACACTAACCCCAAGTCGTCGAATGAACGCTGAACTTTTGTCACAGATCTAATTACACTGAGTGACTTCTTCGAAACAAGAAACATACAGACCGTACATAACGAGACCGAGCCAGCGTGAGCCCACGGTCGTTTCAAACTGTACTTATCTAGCGGCATGGCAAAGCCAAAGCTACGCCAGAGCATCAAGCATCTATCTCAAGGAAAATCGAACTAGTGTCAATCGGAGATGGCACATTTGGCGAGGCATGTATTCAGCGCGCAACGTTCAAACGCTTCGAAAGACTTACAGACCGGGCGGCGGCGGAACCTACTACGTGTCAGTTTAGATCGAACAACCAATTTGGGAGTACGTACCGCACTGTAGCCACCTGACGGCGAGCCAGCAGGGGGCGGTGGCGGAGGGGCAGCCCCATAACCTGGTGGGGCAGGCTCCGAAGGAGGCGGCGGTGGTGCTCCAGCCCCAGCGCCGGGTGCAGGAGACTGTGTCTGACCATAACCTTGACCGTAATATTGGCCATATCCTTGTGTATACTGAGCCATGACTGCTTGGAAACCGCCGTATGCGGCATAGGGATCCTCGCTTGGGTTCTGAGCGTAGTAAGCAGCCCACTGAGCATACTGAGCATTGTAATCGGCTGCCTGGGCGTTCTGATCCGCAGGAGCAATGGGCGACTTGACGTCGTTCTGAGCGCCATATCCGTTCTGCCCCCCTTGCCCACCATAGCCTCCTGCGCCTCCATAACCATAGCTCTGGCTTCGATCGCGATCGCCACGATCGCCACGGTCCCCGTATCCTGGTCGTCCATTTGAGTAGCTATCCCTGTCGCCAAATCGATTTGGCGGCGGGCGATCCTTGAATGATTGGTAGTCGGCTTTTACCTTTTCGAGAAGCTCATCCACGAGCTGCTTGGCGCGTTCCACTCCTTCGGGACGAGGTCCACTAGTAATGATTAGTGAAAGTAGTGAGAAGCAGAGGAAAGACACGAACGCTATGTGGAGGTACATGGGCTCATCGCTTTCCTGACCGCTCTGTGGCTCCATGAAGCCTGAACCTCGACCTTTGATCTGGACCTTGCAGCTAGTCTCTTGTTGAATGTATTTGACATTGTCACCTCCGCGACCGACGACCTGGGCTCGCAAGTTAAAACCGCTAATGGGTTCAAGACCTACGGAAATCTTCTCTTCGGGCCATTTGCGCTGTCTTGTGTCAGCACATTTCAACACACCATTGGTTGGAAGACATACGCGTCCAAATTCATCACGCTCAAAGTTCTCCGGCTCGCGGCGACGGAACCGACGCTCGTCGACCAAGTTAGGTAGATCCTGTGTCATCATGTCTTCAATCATCTTGACGGCCTTGTCGAGGCCCTCTTTGGACGTGCTGGTAACACGGAGGTACAAAGGTGGGTTCTGCGTAGTGAATTAGTCGAGTCTAGGTCGAGGGCAGTTGTCCAGACTTACAACAACAGTGGCCATGTTCTTATCAGGGTAGTATTCGCCTCGCGTTGTGACATCTTGCGTATGTATAAGCAGACTGTACTAAACGATCAAGTCAATGTTTCTCGGGGTGTGCGTACCGGCGCCTGTTTCGTCTTTGATCTAGATGTCACAACGGGGTCAGCATATAATAAATGGGGGTGGGGCAGCTAGAAGATCAAGTGAGCTCCAACTCTCTGCTAGGAGAGCCGCGCAAACAGAGGGCCCGTCTCCAGCCCTACGACACTGTCTTGAAGAACAGCATTGCAACGAAGAGACGACCAGATCCTGGCGAATCAGTGAACGACAAAAGTATGATTTACCTGTTTCTGAGTTGGTCCTTTGGTCAGTGTGTAACGATTACGCAGATCATTGATTTCAATGTCCTTGATGAAGTCTCCATCCTGCTGGTACGTCTCGCCGGCGATGGCCTGGCCTGACTTCATGTTGGGCGACTTGGGGACGGGAGGAGTAGCTGCCTGGGATTCGTGTCAGCCGTGCGTGGTTGCAGCAACGCGTAGCAAAACATACAGAGCGAATGGGCGGCACGTCGACATGCTGGATGCCTTTCTTCGCTTGAATCTGCGCGTTGATCCTCGCCGCCGCTGCCGCTGCCGCCGCCGCCGCCTTGTTTTTGGTTCCGCCAGCCGCCGAGGGGTCGTCGGAGACCTCGCGAGACTCGCGCACAACTGGGCTGCGCGCGCGATGCGACTCTGATTCTCTCCTCGACGGCGACCTGGAGCGGCGATCCGTGTCGAAGCGCGAGCGTGCGGGGCGTTCGGGCTCCTCGCTATCGAAGCGCGATCGGGGGCGGCGTTCGTCAGACATGATGCGCGTGTTGGGAGTCGAGTGCTAGGGTGTCGTGGTTGGAGTCTGGGTTTAGGCGAGCAAAGTAAAAGCAGGGCGCGCCAAGACACGCGTTTGCTCTGGCCCGCCGATGATCGGGGAGCCAGTCACAAATTCCGGACGGCTCCAATTCACTTTCTGGGGCACTTTGACGCCTCCGCACTTCACTCGCCCGCGCACCGCCTTCAACCTCAGCTCAATTGCTTGCGCTGCGACTGCCTCTCTCACAATGGCATCGTGCCGAGCTTTCCAGGCGCTGCCTCTGCGCAGCTTGCTCAATCGACCATGCATGAGCGCCGTCCGCCAGCAACAACGAGCCTCGAGCTACTCGTCGACCCAAGCCATAGCATACAAAGCGCTCCACCGTCGCATCGCACCGCTCCCCACGGAAGACCGCCCTCCCGCCTGGTCTGCGCCCGCTGCCGTCAGCAGCATCCTCTACGAGACCCCTCTACCGTCCCAAGCTCCACCAAAACGTCATATCCTCAACTGCTTAGTGCAGAACGAGCCTGGTGTGCTCTCTCGCGTCTCTGGAATTCTGGCGGCCCGCGGCTTCAACATCGACAGCTTGGTCGTCTGCAATACCGAGGTCGATGACCTCTCCCGCATGACCATTGTGCTGCAGGGCCAAGATGGCATCGTTGAGCAGGCCCGTCGCCAGCTTGAGGATCTCGTCCCCGTCTGGGCAGTGCTGGACTACACGCAGTCTCCGTTGGTCCAGCGCGAGCTGTTGCTTGCCAAGATCTCCATCCTGGGCCCCGAGTACTTTGAGGAGCTGCTTGCCCACCACCGCGAGATGGCTCAGACGCCCGAGGAGGAAGAGGGCCCGAACATGGACGACTGGACAGAAGAGGAACGCCACACGTATGCGGAGGAGGCCGCTCGTGATTCGTTGAAGAAGGACTTCCACCCAAGCAACCTCGCCGTCAGTCAGGCGCTACGACACAAGTCGGAGCATCTGCGCGCCATTACCTTCATGACACATCAGTTTGGAGGAAAGGTTCTGGACATTAGCACAAACAACTGCGTTGTGGAGGTCTCGGCAAAGCCAAACAGGATCGATTCGTTCATGAAGCTTATTGCTCCTTTTGGTATCTTGGAATCCGCCAGGACGGGTCAGTATACCTTTGCTTTTTCCAGCCAAGAACGTCTATGCTAACCGTCGTGCAGGCCTCATGGCCCTCCCGCGCTCCCCACTCCACGCAACGGAGGATGTCGACCACAAGGACGCCGAGGATGTCGTCGATAGTAGCCTGCTTCCCCCCGGCTAGGTTCCAGCGATGAACCGGTAGAAAGTGTCCCTGAGAGTCGAATATGTGCAAGTGGTGTGATTTATGTGTAAGACTTACTTCAGTTTGGCGTTCAAAAGGACAATCTGATTAACTCGTCCATATGCTGGCGACTCAACGCTGCATGCACTTGACCCTCTTCCCACAGACTTGCCAAATGACTTTTGAACATGTGTCCACGGTGAAACTATACACATTGGAGTGACACAAGGCTTGCGCCTGCATATACCACATTGCGACAGGTGCTCCATGCTCCGGCTCAAAGAGGTAAATTTTACGGAGCCAATCAAGAAGACGTTCATGCATGTTCCTAGTCGGTCAGCCACTGCAGCAAAACTAAAGTTCTTCTGGCAGGTAAGCACACGACATCCTCGTATGCGTCGTGATATCCTGCGAACGCTTTGTGTTGAACATAAAGTGTGGTACCCCATCTGGAGACCAACATTGCGACCCTGATATAGTTTGCTGATCTTATCCTCATGGATACTGACGTGCATCGAGCCGGACCACGTTTGCGATGGGATGGAGAAGGATGGATGGCGAGGTGGGTCAGAGGATGCAAGCGATCAGACTTGGATGAAAGTTCTGAACTCAACAACCAGTAGCGTTTTATTCGTGTCATACGGTTGCAACAGCACTGAAGTTTTTGTATGGATAACTTCCTTCGACAGCTGACTGTGTCTTAGTGTTGAGAAATTCTCGTGTTGATGCATATGGAGGGCCATCACGAATGCTCATAGGTAGTCGGAGGAATCCTCCGACAGCAAGGCGTTTGATCCTTGAACTGTTCTGCAGACAACAGCTCTCACTTGGAGCAAGAATTGTCGCTCTGACGAAGTGGTGTTATACGCAGAGTTGTATGTCTTTAGCTGTGTGGTGAATTCCAAGTTCGCAAATACGAGGTGCAAAGCAAGGTCCAATACTCCCACTCCGGATTGTTGGTTGCCAAGCGAAGAATCAGGAATGATCTCCGCGGGCGGTTTCGTGCAGCAAGAACTTGCTTGTGCCGCTGCGGCAGCACGAAACAAGCCACGGGTATTGGCCGATGTCATTTCCTCCTTCATCTTGTCACCTACAAGTGTGATAGAGTTTATATACAAGCGCGTGTCGCTGTCTCACTCGTTGTTTGTGTCTTCATCGTTTACGCGGTGCTTCGTCAGCCACAACAGTCCCACATCTACGTCACCCGCAGTGACATCTCGGCAGTGGATCTCTCACAATCTCACATTGCGCATTGCCATCGCTCTCCAGTCGCAGCACACGGTGAGCCCTCCGTCATACGCATCTCCTTATCCATAATTGCGCCGGCTGCAATCAAACGGTCACAGTGCTATCTTGTTTCTCAATCTGACATATCTATAGTTTGGTCGCCTCCGTCGCGTAACAACGCGCAAAGATACTCACTTTCTCAATCGAAACCTACCGTTTGGTTCTTATACAACATCATAGGATATGAAGTACGGTGATACCTTGCGCCAAAGGTCAATTCCGGAATGGGGCCATTGTGAGTAGTGCCGGCATACCTCCGCTAACAATTCGGTCACAGACTAACAACAACGCGACCCAGACAACATCGACTACGACTACCTCAAAGACCTCATCAAGCACCACACCACACCGGGCACGAATAGGGCCGTGTCCATCCCAGGCCAGGGCGGAACCAGCGAGCGAGTCTTCGGCGATACCTTTTTGAAAGTCCTACAGACCCAACACGACCGCATCAATCTCTTCGTGCGGAGTAAGAGTGGAGAAATTGAGAGGAGGTTAGATCACATAAGCAACACACTGGACCAGCAACGCGCAAAGCGACCCAGTGATACGCCAGGCGCTCGACTTCCTATCAGAACAGTAGAGAGATATGCGAAGATAGATGCGGATGTAGCCAAGTACGCAATTCTCCTTGCTTTGGGCATTGCTGGTATTTAGTCGCTAACATGAGACAGGATCGCCGAAGAAATACGCTCACTCTCGCGCTTTCAAGTAGCTCAGCGAACAGGCTTCACAAAGATACTAAAAAAATACAGACGTTGGACGAAGGATAGAGAGCTCGATTACACCTTCAAGCAAGATATCAGTAGCCGTCCAGACAGTTTCTTTCAGCTGAATCTAGGATACCTGCTCGATCAATACATTGATGTTCTCGACACGCTTCGCTCAATCTTTGACGGCGATGGGGCATCTGCGCCTCACAATGAGAATACTAACGCCCAATCGCCCGCTGCGCGTCTCTCTAAGATCATTGCGCAGGGAGATACACTAGACCTCGATCTGGCTTTGTCTTCAGTCCCATTAGGTGATGGTGGGAACAAGGCAACGTATTGGATCCATCCCGAAAATGTTGATCAGGTCCGGATTTTACTACATCAACATATGCGCCTTTTCACTGGCAACAGCAAAAACCGGTCCCGCAAAAATCATGCCTATGCGCCAACCAGCCGTCAGTCCTCGAGCACAAATCTTGATAAACACTCTGAAAAAGATGACGACGTCAGTCTTGTCGTTTTGGACTATGCAGAATCATTTGCTATGAAACAAAACGCAAGCACGATTGGTTCTAGCGAGGCTACCAAGGGAAATATCGGGATCAAAGCTGCTGGCAATGTGCGATGCGTCTCGTCTAGTGATGCGGCAGTAGTCATCCGCGCTGGTACAGATCTGCAGGAACAGCTGTCGGACAAAGTAATGACAGCGAGATTGAAGCGTAATTTCGTGCCAACCTTTTTGGACACTTCGACTCAGATACCTGCTGAGAAGCTGTTAGAGAACCAGACGAAATCAAAAGCTAATGTTGCTCAAGACCCATCCGCTGTCCGACAGTGGCTGACGGAGCATAAAGATATCAAGCCCATCGCTGGTATCGTTTCAAAACGCACAAGATTTGTCGGACTCCACAACAACTACATGGGAGGGAGTTGGGCAACCTTGGACAGGGATGTGTTTATGAAGGACTCCCTCCACAAGGATTTGGAGAAGGATGACTGGGCACTCGCAGCAAGATCAAGGTCGATCGAGTTTCCTCATGCTATTCTCGAGGTTCGTCGAGAAAGCAGTCAGGCAACATCACTCATTCCAATTTTGGATGGAAGTCATTTGGTATGTGTGGATTCATCACTCTGCTCACATCCTTTTCTAACATGTGCAGGTTGAACGTGTTCGTGGATTTTCTGTGGAAACACATGCCGTGTGGACATGCTGCAAGCCGAATTCTATGACGGCACCAATATGGGTAAGTTAGCATTTTCCCTTTGTTTTGCGAGAAACATCGAATAGTTTGTGCATCAACAAACTGCTAGAATCATCTCGAGACACTATGATCAGTTATCTAACACAAAATAGATGCCTCTCTTGGACAAGGATATTCGAAAGTTACCTGAACCAGCCAGAAAGCGTAGTCGCAAGACAGGAAGCAGTAACAGCGGCTCTCACTGCGACTCTTCTGCTCTTGCATCCGCGTCCAACACTTCGGTTGATGGACAATCGAGTCCTCTACATTCCCGTGCGGAAGAATCCTCCTCAACTTCAGTATATGATTTCGTGGATCCGCCGTCACTCCAGGCCTTTAGAAAGAAACATCGCAAGCCATATTCTGACTATCCCCCACCAATTGTCCATGCAGATGCGGAACCCGAGCAGCGCTACTGGAATGAGTATGATCATCCCGAAGACGAGGAGGAAGGGTATTTTATATACGTCGACCCAAACGCTACAGTCAAATTTCCCGGTCAGGAGATTATCGAAGCATGGGTGAAGTCGACGAAAAAGCTGTTCGGTATGAGCGACCGAGCTGATGAGGAATCACTGCTCTCCGCGGCCGATGATGCGACAACGGACGACGAAGATACCGTAGATCAATCGCCTGTCGGTGCATCGAGAACGTACGGAACAATATCCTCCGGCAAGCGTAAGCCGTCGCACGGGAGCTACTTCAGTGGTCTCTTCCGTTCGTTACGCGATCCTCACCACGACGCCGAAGTCCTCCAGGAGCGGAGATCGCTGCTCACTGAGCTGGAAACTCGACAGCACAAGGCTGAGATGACGAAGCTGCGGTTTTACTGTACTTCTCTTGCCACGGCCGTTGTCATCGACCTCATTCTGAGCCTCATGACGATGACGAGTCGCAAGAAGGAGCGTGGCGTTGTTGACGTGGGAGTTATTTTCGGCACAGTCAGTACGATGCTGTTGTGCATTGTTGCAGTGCTCAGTATGCGCACGAGAAATGAGAAGTTGGGGTGGGTGCATCAAAGTGCTGTCTGGGCGATTGTTGCGGCGGTTCTGGGGTTGGATATCTTGCTGTTGTTGTGGGTATTGCGGGTGTAATGGGGGAGGATCTAATGATTGGCAGGGTCTTCTGATTCTTAGCGTTTTTGTTGTTGTATATTATTATCCTTTCGCTTTATCGGTAATTTGGATGGACATTTGAGACGATTGGGGCACGATTGGCCCTGGGAGCGGGATTTGCAGCTGGAATCTGCACACCGTCGAGACGCGCTAGATAATTTATACCTAAAGTCGAGAAGACAATTACCTCAAACAAGGCATGATTCATGTGGCTCGACTTTGGTATATCACTAAGCAACAAATCATCGACAAATCATCCCTCGTAGTACTCCGATCGGACGTGGCGCGCATTCAAGTCGAGCGACTCCGCGTTTGCGCGTGCGGAAGCAGTCTGGAGAAGTCATCTGTCTGTATTTTTCCTCGAATAAGAGCAAGGGTGAGGCTCTGCGCTGCCGGCGTGCCGAACGTGGGGGCGAATGGCGATCTTCCGTGGGGTCGCAAGACAGCATCGCGATGGCTTCGGAAGAGTTGCCTGCCCCGGTTTGACGTGTGGGAAAGGGTGGAGAGAAGAGGGGTGGCGGGACAAGCTGCCTGGCTCACACCATAAACCCCATGTGTCGGATGTTGGAGGGTGTGATTTGCTGAAGCTCGCGATTCGGGTCGCAATGGGGCAGCTCTCTTGGTCCACTGTTTTCGAAGTCATGTCCACAGCAGCGCCATCGGGGTTGAAGATCCACCGAGACGTCATATCAAGTCTCTGGGCTCCACCCGGTCCCTCCTACAAGTCTCTGGAAGAATTTGTACGGTCGAGCTTACGGCTCACGATGCTGTTGTAGTGTGTATTCCAGGTATGTGCGGGGGCGGCGGGCGCGTTTGTGTTTTGCTCGGGCGGGCTGACTGACTGACGCGTGTATTGAAGCGCTCTTGTAGCAATTCTTTTAGTATTGAGATATTATTTGGTTTACATCTCTACCACGGTTATTCTACGTTTTATACCCCCTTTTGGAGGAAAGAGAGAGAGAGAGAGAGATTAGCTACACACTCGGCTGCTCATCATGGCTGCTCGGAGATCAAGTCGCTTCATCAAGCCGCTGCTCTACACGGCTGGCGCGGGTGTAGCTGGCAGCACGGCGCTGTACTTCACCTACCGTCCTCAGAACATTCCTGGCGCAGAGGCCGCGGCGGTCCCTCCACCGACATATGGCGAGGGCGGCGTCTTTCGCCCGCCTTCGTTCCCCAACGTCAAGTCTCGCGGGGAGCAGCTCGCTGAGTTGCAGCGCAGCGCTGGTGGCATTGCTGGCAGCGTCGACAAGGCGAAGAAGTGGCTTGGTGGCAACTCCACAACGCCGGCGGCGAAGCCAGAGGATGAGCCTTATGATCTCCTGATCATCGGTGGTGGTGCAACGGGAGCAGGCATCGCGCTTGATGCTGTCACGAGAGGATTGAAGGTTGCGCTCGTCGAGCGCGATGACTTCAGCAGTGGCACCAGCAGCAAGAGTACCAAGTTGGTGCACGGAGGTGTGCGATACCTGGAGAAGGCTGTCTGGAACTTGGATTACAACCAGTACGTTTTGCAAAACGGCGTTTTCCACTATGGAAGCTGATTCAACTGCGCAGATACGCACTTGTCGTCGAGGCTCTCCGTGAGCGTCGTTACTTCTTGGACACCGCGCCGCATCTCTCCCAATGGCTTCCTATCATGATTCCCATCCAGAAGTGGTGGCAAGCACCGTACTTCTGGGCTGGCACAAAGTTTTATGATTTCCTCGCTGGCTCGGAGAACATTGAGAGCTCGTACTTCTTGACAAAGAGCAAGGCTCTCGATGCCTTTCCCATGTTGAAGCCAGACGACCTGGTTGGAGCTCTAGTTTACTACGGTGGGCTTTTTGTTTGTCTGTTTTAAATTCACAACTGACATCTGCCAGATGGCGCACACAACGATTCCCGCATGAACGTCTCCCTCGCCATGACGGCCGCGCTGTACGGTGCCACGATTGTGAGCCATCTTGAAATCACAAGCCTGGAAAAGGATGCCAGTGGACGTCTCAACGGTGCACGCGCCAAGGACTGCATCGCCGAAATGAACGGCAAGAAGTCGGAGGAATTCACCATCAAAGCCAAGGGTATCATCAACGCTACTGGACCTTTCACAGACTCGATCCGCAAGATGGATGACCAGTCGGTTGAGGAAATCGTCGCCCCCAGCTCCGGTGTTCACATCATTCTCCCTGGATTCTACAGCCCTGCGAACATGGGTCTTATCGACCCGAACACCTCTGACGGCCGTGTCATCTTCTTCCTGCCATGGCAGGGAAACACAATTGCGGGTACAACCGACACCGCCTGCGACATCACCCAGAACCCAGTTGCGGGTGAAGACGAGATCGACTGGATCCTCAAGGAAGTGAAACGCTACCTCAAGCCAGAAATCGAGGTCAGGCGTGGCGACGTGCTGGCTGCATGGTCTGGTATCCGTCCCCTTGTTCGTGACCCCAAAGCTAGCAAGACAGAGGGCCTCGTCCGCAACCATCTTGTTACCACATCCCCCTCCGGTTTGTTGACTTGCTCTGGTGGCAAGTGGACCACGTACCGTCAAATGGCTGAAGAGACTGTCGATGAAGCGATCAAGGAGTTTGGTCTAGCATCTCAGCCCCTGTCAAACGCGCCTCTCGTCAGCGGAACCCAAGTCAAGGACGAGGCTCCTCTCGACGGCGCCTGCCAAACGCACCGCGTCAGACTCGTCGGTGCCCACGGCTACTCCAAGACACTCTTCATCAACCTGATCCAGCACTACGGCCTCGAGACCGATGTAGCCAAATACCTGTGCCAGGCCTACGGTGACCGCGCATGGACCGTCGCCGCGCTCTCATCACCCACCGAGCAGCGCTTCCCCGTCCGCGGCAACCGAATCTCCCAGCTCTACCCCTTCATCGACGGCGAAGTGCGCTACTGCGTAAGACACGAGTACGCGCAAACCGCCACCGACGTGATCGCGCGTCGCATGCGCCTAGCCTTCCTAAACGCACAGGCAGCCCTCGAGGCGCTCCCCAAGGTCATCGACATCATGAGCGAGGAGCTAAAGTGGGACGCCAAGCGCAAGGAGGTCGAGTGGAAGAACTCAGTCCATTTCCTGGGCTCCATGGGCCTGCCCAAGAACAAGCTCAAGCTCACACGTAAGGATGTCGAGTCCGGCCACGTCGGCAAGTACGAGGACGAGGAGTACCATCTCTATGCCCGCCATGGTGAGTTGCATTGCGCACATATGTTCTCCTTTGGGATCGCGCTGAATCAGTTCTTTCTAGATAAACCCGATGAGCTGCTCGAGTCCGACTCAAAGTACCCCAAGGGCCATAACCCGGTTGTTGGCAGGAACTCGGAGGCGAATAAATAGGTCGCCCGCTGCTTCTCTAACTTTTTGTCTTCGCCCTCGGGAGAGATTGATCTGGCGTGATTCTTGGTCTTAGGATTGAGTATGGCTTATCTACGCCTCTTCGCGTCTCTTTGTATATTGTTGTTGTAGCATAGCCGTTGGTGTGTTTGGTCGCGTTGGGTGTCTGAGTGCGCGCTGCGTTGGTAGGACTAGATAAACCTATGTTATGACAGCCTACGTGTCGTAGGCTTTGTATATATCCTCTCCCACTCTACGTTGCGGAATAATAGAGCAACTCGTATCTAGCTCCGAAAACGTTTTTCTGGTACCTTAGTGAAGTGTGTTGATAGAGTCCGGTCAAGCATGGCTGGCACATTGGTATTCAAGTATACATCACTGAGAGTAACATGTCGTGAATAATTCTGATATTCGTCGCGTCGCATCTCGTTGCGATGCGTTTTGTTTCGCAACAGCAGGTACTGTGCGTGGTATCATATTGTACAATCCTCTCCTCTCCTCCCAGTCCTTTCCCTCTCCAAAATCGTAAATTAAAAAGATAAACCGCAGCAAACGCCACGCCAAAGAACCCACTTTCCAAAATCCCCTCACACCCACATCCACACCTACATCATCAACGCCGCAACCGCCACAGCAAGCACGCCCACCACCCCACTAACCCTCGCCCCATGCGCAGAATTCGATGTACTCGCACCATCCCCACTCGCGGGCTCATCAGGCTGATCCGCGTCGCTCAACGACTTGACGCCAAACGGCTTGTACCCGCCTGATATGGAGCTCTTATGGCCCGTGGAGCCAGCGACACAGTTCTGATTATTCTGCCACGCGTCAAACGCCTGTTTCCACGCAGCGTCGGGGTCGGAAAACGTAACAGGCGTGTAGAAGATCCTGCAGTCGCTGGCCTCGTAGATGAACTGCAGCGGAGTGCCCGTGCTATCACCCTTTCGAATCTGGTCCTGGCTCTGCGCGCGGCTGGACGAGTCGCCGGCCCTGATAGCGATTTGCGACGAGTTTGCGAGTTTGGAGAGCGTGGCGTCGGTGGCGGAGATGGTTTTGAGGCCTAGGTCTGAGGAGATGTTGAGTAGGCCGAAGGCGAATTTTGGGAAGTCGATGAGCGGGACTACTTCGCCGCCTTTGGTGCCGGTGATGGTTTGGATGGGCTTGTTTTCTGGGCGGCCGCCGACGGTGACGGCGCGGACGCCGGCGATGTTTTTGAGCTCTTCGTGGAAGGAGGCGCAGGAGGAGCCGCACATGGCGTCGGTGAACATTACGACGTTTTCGCTGGAGAAGGGGGTTGCGCGGTTGGTTGCGTTGGTGAAGTCGAAGCCGGAGGAGCGGATGGATACATCGTTTGTGTTGGAGTACTGGGTGTTGTTAGTATTTTGTTAAGGGTGGGAGAGGAAGTGGGTGGAGGGTGTATACGTACGTTGTAGCGCATCGTTACGGTCAAGTTGTCAGAATTTAGCAGGAGAGGCCCGTTGAATTGGTCCCAGCTGTCGAAGTTATCACCTTCAGCTGTTCGAAACTCCCACCAAGCCCAGTATCGGTAGTAGTTATCAAGCGAGGATTCCGTAAGCTTCTGGAACTTGCGGACTTTGGATTGGTCGTTGTGTATTTCGTTGACAGCATTGCCAATCTTGATCCACGCATCGGTAGCCCGGTATCGCTGGCCTGAGAAAGGTTCCATATCAGGGAACAACTGCATAAACGTGTCGAGCAAAAGTGAAGTATCACCTCCTCCATTCTCGCGCAGATCTATGATGAGTTTTTGTTTCTTTGCGCGTATGGATTTGGCGAGGAACTCTTTCACGGTTGTTTGAAATTCGTTGTTGAAGTCATATCCCTCGGCTTCCTCATCGGAAGGGTCGCTGAAAGAGATAATCTTGAGCACAGCAACATCGTCGTATCCGTTGCCACTCAGGAAATAGCCAGCTACAGCGCCACTGCTAGCCTCGCTGGCAACAGTGGCATCGGTGTAGTTGCCGCCTTCTGGAATACTTTGACGTTTGTTTCGGAGGTGATAGACGTTTGAAGGAATTCGCGGGATCGGTCCGGGAGCGCGTGGAGCGATAGGTACCTTGTTCTTGTTGGCTCCGGTAATACTAGCGCCGCTGAGTAAACCAGTGCAAAAATTGCTGAAGAACGATGGCCCATCTATGACCATCCGGAATGTCTGCTGTGTAATCGCAGTGTTTCGGAAAGATTTCGTTGTGCCATTGGCCCAGGTAACATTGGTGTAGGGTCCATCATATTTCGCCTGGCTTGCAAACACACCAGTGCTCTCGGTATCGCCAGTGGCAAACATGGCGTTCATTTGGCCATCTGAGTCAATGTATTGCGAATAGAAAGTTGATTTGAGGAAATCATATGGGTCCTGTCCGTTGATCTCGCTGAACTCCGAGACGTCGCTGCGGCCGTCTGCCAGAGCTTTGACATCTTGATATACGTATAATTTTGGAAGCGATGTTCCATTGGACGATATGGACGCAATATCGAACTGGCGTTCGAACTGGAATACACTTAAGATATCTGGTCGATAATTGAAGTGAAAATTGCCTGTGCGGATGGTGATGTTTTGGATGGCGAGCTGAACAGCATATTCGCTCCGATAAGAGCCAAGGTTCTTCTTGATCTTGTTCAATTCGGCGTCTATGTCGAGAGCCCCGTACTCCCAGTCCTCCCCCGGATTCTTCAGCCAATCGTGTTCTGATTGCACTTTCCACACTTCCTTGAGCTCGTCGATCAATGCGGCGTTACCTTCCAGGTCTACGGGTACTGAGTTTAAACAATCGAAGGCAGTTTTGGCAGGAAAGGTTTCTCTTCCGGAGGACTGAGCGGATGCGATTGCTTCACAGGGCTCGCCATCACTGCTAGACTGAGCAGCGACATACGCCACCAAGGCGAGTAATAGCCCGCGGCTTAACATAGTCGTCTGGAATTGTCAATCGGTATTGACGAACAAAATATGCGACGCTTTGCTGCAGCGAAAACAATCAACGACTGACTAAGGCTGCATATATAGCCGATAATGAATAAACAAAAACTGGAGACCTGGTAAAGAAGGTAGTGGATGTTGCTGAACCCTTAGAATCCAGACAACGTTCTAGAGAAGAAGAAGGGAGAGCTCAAGTGTTAACAACAGCTGAGAAACAATGAGCTTTGACTCCTAATCTCAATTTAGCTCAGGCCAGCCATGAGCGATCCCGCTGATGCCTGTCCATAAGCAAGCGGCTAATGAAGTACCTCCTTCGTTCGGGCTGGGGCCAATACCGAGCCAATTGCATGACTGAAACATCATTTGTGTAAACTACTCTATCCGATGTCACTTGCTCAGCCTCAGCCGCAGGGCACAGCAGAAGGGCGTCGGGTGTGACAGCACGCATGTTGTAAAGGGATCGGCCGTAGTGTGCGTCCCACTCCGTATGCCGTGCGCGATCAGCGGAAAGACTTGTCTCATCCGTCTAGATGTTGCGGGCCTCTGAATCATTCGGCTTGGTAGAAATAATGTCGCAACTCAACAGCAACTCGCCGCAAACAATTGTGGGTCTCAGGAGTTTATTGCGGGGAACGGGGCTCAGCCTTATCAACGGGTTAGTGGAGCGCTAGGCTAAATGACATTGGCAACCACGCCCAAACCAGGCAGATGTCTTGGACCCGTCAGAAGCTTTCTGTGCCTCACCGGTAGGAGTGGAGTTTTAGGTTACAAACAAAAATAGACTGTGACCGCTCGAACTTTGTATTGAGAATTCGACAAGACTCACCGTGTATGTATTTCAGACGCTCGCACGCGATTCAAGCGAATGAGGAAAAAGGAAGCGTTTAGCCTAACAGTTAAGGCCGAGCAGGCCAGTCCAGCCCCCATCTTGCTCTTGGCCCTGATCTGTAGACTCGTCTGTAACACAAAAAGTCTCGGTGCAGTGTTGACTAGATCATGTACGTGCAAAAGCTGGGCATACAAACGTTGCGCGAAGTGACGGCGTCGTAAAGCTTATGAGTCCAAGAGGTAACATTACCACATGCTACACATTGAAATGCTTCCCTCACAGTCCTCACAAAGTTGCATGTGTATCCATCGGCACAGCAAGGAGATTTATACCGCCCGCTCCATCGTAAGATCGAAAGGTTGCAGTCCCGATTATATCGGATTCTGCACATGCCTCACAACCCAAGGATGCGTCAACACATCATCAAGTTCCATCCGCTGCGCAGCATCTACATCCAAAAGCTGTGTATCGCTAGTCAGTAACCATACATTATTGGTCTCTGGAACCCAGCAATAACTCACCTTCAACACAAATTCCTGTGCTGCCTTCGACACATAGCCTGGAAACTCGACTCCTTTCCCCTTGAAGTTCGCAATTTTCCTCCGCGTCGCCTTTGTGCTCTGCATCTCGAACGGCGCCTTGCCGACCAGCAGTTCGTAGGTCAGGATACCGAGACTCCACTGGTCGACGGCCTTAGTGTACGTGTCTTGCGTTAGGTTCGGATCAAGGGCCATCATGGCGACTTCGGGCGAGAGGTAATCGGTGGTTCCGCAGATGGTGGAGCGGGAGCCTGATTTTGAGTGTACGCTGTAGCCGAAGTCGGCGAGTTTGATCTCATTGTGTAGACCTAAAAGGATATTTTCCGGTTTGACGTCTAAAAGCGTGTCAGTAGGTAACCGTTGCAGGGCAGATGATGAACGTACCTCGATGCATGATGTTCTTTTTGTGCATGTACCTGAGCGCTTCTGCCATCTGCGCTACGTACTTTGCCGCAGTGTGTTCGTCGAATCGACCCTCTGGCTGCTTCGTCAATCGCGAGAACAGACTACCACCAGGCGCAAACTCCAACACCAGGTAGATTGACTTCTCGTCGTGAAACCAGGAAAGTAACTTGAGGATGTGCTTGTGCGACATGTTCTGATGGACTTCAAGCTCACGGCGGATCATTGTTTCCTCTTCCGTACTTGCGCACTGCGCTTTTGAGACAATCTTGAGGGCGCACACATAGTTTGTTCCAACGTGCCGGGCGAGATACACACGCCCGAACTTTCCACGTCCGAGAGAACTACCCAATTCGAAGTCAACCAGTTGGAGAGTCTGATGGTCTGGCAGTGACGACCCATCGTTTGATTGTAGCTCGCTTGTAAGAGACATAGGAGTGTTCTCTTCTACGATGGACAGCCGCTCCAAGACTTGCTTTAGACGTGTGGGTTTAACGTGAGTCTTAGTCTTGGTAGTTTTGGTGATCTTGTTGGGTCCTTGAGTCTCTAACGCGCCGACCTTGGTCGTAGTGTTCAATATCTGAGATGCATTGTCAGTGGTGAAAGCTGCCATAATTAGCAAACAGACGCACGGAAGACATGAGATATGTGAGAACCCAAGGTCTGTGGTTAGCCTTTGTCGAGGGTGAGGTTGCGTTCTGTGCTATTCCAGGCATGATTGGTGCCATGGTTGCGACCTAAGAATCAGTGGTAAGTGCAGATTGAGAAAAAGCTGACTAGTGGTAATAGCAAATATCCAGAGAAACAAAACTGCGACACACCTCTTCTCGTTGGAAGGAGCGGCGCTTGTTATGACTATCTCTTCGGGTGAAAGTGGTATCTAACCTATTGGACAGGCTACCATAAAAATCTCCCAGGCAGACGCCCCACTCGTACCGTGGTTCAGCGAGGTGAAAGTGACTCCAGTCTCCACAATAGTGGTCAGCGACCCAACATTTGAATACCACAGCGGAGCTTCACCTAGGAGAAAGATCTCTACTGAGTTGACTTTACTGATATATAGTTATTGATTCTACAGTCTCTCATCAAACAACGATAGCACTCCTCATCTTGGGTCTTTTCGACTTTGGGCTCCTGGCACAGTGGGTTTTCGAGGGTCTTGTGGGTTGACGCGCCAGGAGGCACCGGTGATTCGAACGGGGACGCTCGTTCGAATCGCGGCGGTGTGGGTCAGCAGATGCTGGGGGTGGTTATCTTTTTGCCTTTTTGTCGAATTGCCTTCCTTACTCAGCGACCACGTCGCGCCTCGCGGAGATATGCTTGCAGTCGAACACGATAATGCTTGCCTGGAGCGTCCGTGAATACATATTGAGCTTGTCATGGCCACGGTGATGTGAACGGAGTGTGTCGTTGGAGTCGTCCACCAGTCGCATGCACGTGACTCTGAGAGCAAGTACGTCGTTAGATGGCCTTTCAGCCAGCGCTGGCCCTGTTACATGCAGTGTTTGTGGTATGCCGGTCGTGTTGGTCTTTCAGGATTGGAATCTTGGTGGTCCGTGTGGTGAGTAATTTGTAGAGTAGCTTTTTCCTGTCGCCAGAACAGGGCCATTGTGCTCCTCCATCGCTAGTTAACGTCCACTCTCAGCAGGTACCGTCATTAACAGCAATCGGCGTATTGAGATCTTCTGGCAGTCGGCGTTGATTGTGACGAACGCGCATAAAAGGCCTACAAATACCAAGTGGGGGCTGTCCGTTCAACTATTTCCTCTCGTCCACGAGGTATGGGATGTCCAGTTTGCACAGAAGGCAAAGATTCCCTCAAGGCGGCAGAAAGTCATTGTAACTTCTCATCACTAAACATGGTCCTCCAAGACGCGGTCTTGCTGGCATCCAATCCCGGTAGCTGTACAACATCCAAGTGGTTCGAAATGTCCAGTCAGTGTCGAATGCCTAGCATCCAGTGTCCAGTATTCAAGAACTCGCATCATAGCCCGGTAGCAATCAGGCCCAACCTCTCCTCAATGACTTGCACAATCTCCCTCCAGTCCTTCATTGCACCACCTCCGATATCCCCACACGCTAGCTCTTTCTCCATCGGTTGCAACACTTCAAACCATCCCCCGTTCTTAACTCCCCACTCCTCATCCAAGATCTTTACCTGTTTTGTCGTTATCGGTTGATGCCACATCGCCGTGTTCATTGACGGTGCGACGAGTATTCTCTTCTTCGTTTCCCCGTCCTTCCCCTGCGGCCACTCAACCCCCGGGATGTCTCTAACCGGGTCGATCAAGCCCGTTGTATCCCACGCCCGTACAACTGACAGCAGCAAGTTATCCGACCATCCTTGTGAAATCTTTGCAAGTGCGTTTGCGCTGAGCGGCGCGACAACCATCATGTCTGCCCACCGTCGCAGCTCAATGTGCAGGATCTTGTTGCCTCGCACCCAGGGCTCACTCCATTCATCCTCGTCAAAATAAATCCCTTCTACGTTCGGTAGTACTCCTATGTCCTCTATCGAGGGCTGTTCTTTACTTTGGCCTTGTAAGAAGTTTGCCGCGGAGGACGTGAATATGAGCCGTATCGCGACGTTGGGATGCTTCGAGAGCGCTTGGATCATATTAGGTATCTTTATCGTTGCGACAGAGCCTGATGCGCAGAGCAAGAGGTGTATCTTGTCATCGCGAAGACGGAAGTTGAACGGATCGCATCGCGGTGACTCTCGATGCTGGTGCTGTACTGGCTTGAGATGCAAAGGTTTGATATCTTGAATTTGGACGGACATGTTGATACTGTTGCGTATTGTGTTCGTAATATGGCCAGCTGGCTCAAACTAGTGTCTCTGCTTTTGGGCGCTGCATGTACATGATTTCGTGATTGTGAAGTGTAGGCGATATCAGATGGCCATACGAGGTCTGACGAATATTGCCTTATCGATACTACGGACGGCTTCCGGATTAGGAAGGTATGCAACAACCATCCATCGCAGCAGATCAGGTCCGAATCACTAGATGACGTCGCGTCGCGTCGCGTGTGCTCGTCCATCCTTGCGATATGCAGTTGTCTTCACGATACCCACCATGAAGCACACCACAATTTCTCTGAAAACGTTTCAAAGCACGCTCGCCCGTTATCCCGCCACAGTCCCAGATAAACTCCAAGAACTAGACGCACTGCGCTACGACACGATCCCGAATGGTCTAGCAAAGCGGAAAGAAGCCGGAGACGCGCAATTAGAGAAGAATGGAGTGGAAAAGCTTGTAGAATGGAAACTGTACGCTCCAAAACCGCACACATCCAAGGAGTCAAACTGAATTATACACAGTAAACACGGCACGTTTCGTCCAAAGCTGCTGCAGCTCGTGCAGAGTAATGCCGAAGATTACATTCAGGACACAACGCGAAAAGCCTTTTCTCTACTCACTCCCAAATCCTCCGATCCATCGCAAGCGCTCAAACTCCTTACACAACTCAAAGGCATAGGCCCCGCCACAGCGTCCCTCCTTCTCTCTGCCTTCGCGCCAGAAACAATCCCCTTCTTCTCGGACGAGCTGTTCAGATGGTGCATGTGGGATGAGCCAGGGAGTCCTGGGGGCTGGAAGCGGGCAATCAAGTACAACGCGAAGGAGTATGTGCAGCTCGTCACAAGAGTGGAGCAGATAACAACGAGACTGGAGGTCAGTGCTGTGGACGTGGAGAGAGTCGCATGGGTGTTGGGTAAGGAGAGTGTGAATATCGATGTTGAAGGCGACGATATGGAGAAGGGAGACCAAGGTTTGAAAGACGATGGTGTGAGCGAAGATCAAGAGGTTACCGAAGAGCGACCTGTCGAGAAGAAACCAAAGCCGAACATGAAACGAAAGGTCACAGAAGCAGATGCGTTGGCCGAGAGTCCTCGAAGGAGTACTCGAAGAAAGGCGTGACTGGGGCAGTTTCCAGCGCCGTTACTGAACGATAAAAAATTCAGCAAAGCAGGTCGCCGATGTTCTTAGAGGCCTGCGTTTGCATGTAATAACCGCCAATATTGGTGAGCACAATGCAGCCAACTTGACTAAACCCAGTCAATTTCACGGTCCCAGGATAAAAGGGTCGAGGAAAGAGGGATAAGTGGGTCAGCTCTAACGCCAGTTGGGGTTTGACGGTGACTGCGGCTCCGACTCCGCGTGAAAGAATTCCTGGCGACTGAGAAGATGATGCAGCACAGTAGAGTCGATCCCAGTAACTTCATCGTTTTCGTACAATGTTGACTATTTTCAAAAAGCCAGACGTGTGACTATACAGCCTCAAGGAATGGGTTCGAGGAACAAATGAGATACCCGCCACCCTGGATGGATTGTTATGTTCCATATGAATCGGGAAGCACACTATCCAGGCTTCCAGCTGCCATGTGCACAAAGCAGCTCCAATTCACGATATATCTGTTCGCTCAAGGCGATTTCACATTCGAATTAGAACAGCAGTACCGACGCGTCTCTCACTCACCATCAATTTACTTCACGCGCAGATCCACCAATAGTTATAAGCTTCCCTCCACTAACTTCAAACCTGTACTCCAATACTCTCAGACACACTGCTCAACCAGCGAAGTCCACGACTCAATATACACCATGGTGTCCGACAACAAGACGGTTAATGGGCGAAGACCACGCTTATCGTATGTAATCCGTGACTTCAATTCTTCACTTACAAAATTGACAAAATGTTTATAGGGCCCCGGATCCTCAATTCGCTACGATTCTTGTCGGCGAAGGTGAAGCCCAGCAACGCTTCGTCGTTCACGAACAGCCTCTGATTCAGCACTCCAGGTTCTTCCGTGCTGCTCTTACGGGGGACTTCAAAGAAGCCCATGACAAGATCGTCGAGCTAGAAGAGGATGATCCACAAATCTTCGAGTTCTTTGTGCATTGGCTCTACTTCCAGCGATTTCCTGATCATGGACGAGCTGCGGACGAAGGGTTGGAGAAGGCATGGATAAGCGAGGGAGAACATGGTGGGCTTGGGAAGTCCGGCAATCTCATCCACCTCTACATCTTCGCCGACAAATATCATGTCAAAAATCTGACCACGAAGGTTATCGACGAACTTTTCTATCACCTTGAAGACCCCGAGATAACTCTGCCTTATGATGAGGATATCGCATACGCGTTCGACCATCTCAACAAGGAGTCACCTTTGTGTCGTCTCCTCATCGATGCGTATTCGTACGGGGGCGGCGAAGATCATTGGATCGAAGCCGAAGTTGCACAGTGGTCGAACACATTCCTGGCCGGTATACTGCGCCGCTATGCACGAATTGCACGAGGTGATTTTTCAAATTCGAGGGACTCCGGTCTCAACCTCTGCGATTACCACAAGCATGAGAGCGAAACAGAAAGACAGGCTTGTCTGACGGAACAAGATGAGCGAGTCTGAAGGCCTGGACTCAGTTCCACTCGAATTGACTGCCACTTGACAAAACAATTGGATGCATTGGCGACTAGCATATCGGGATCCTTGGGTGTGTCCAAGCCTTGAGAGTATGCTGTCTTGGATGCTTGTGATAGTTGGCGTACCGTCCATTCACTCCATAGGTAACCTTGTATGGAAGACTTCTTCTCGATTTTGTTGCGGTTAGTGATGCCCATTCTATTTTCATATGTTCACTTACCATGATTCCCTATCATGCTCGCAGTAATATACACACAATGCAATAGTAACCAACCTGCAAACTATTCGTGAAACCTTGATCATGCTTCACATCCTCGCAAACGCCCTCTCGGCCATTAATCCAACAACAAGCCTCGCATCAGAAGTCCACACATATGCCGCAAAGCTCATGCTGGCCGGGGTTTCAACTGACATGTTCAAACTATGCTTCACAATGAATTGAAGTTACACGTGAGATTGGTATCTTATCTATCATCTGTTCGAGCAGGTTCGCGACAAACAAAATCAGGTTACTGTTTGACAAGGCAGTGGTACTGCGTGTTACAACGAACAATACAATGGATGCAAAAGAGAAATTTCACAGAGTAGAGCAAACATTTCTTCCCTTGATAATGCCCACGTGGCGTCTCTCCTAAATCATAAAGGCCCTAGCGTCGATCTGATCGCGCTTACTCCCATTCGCCAGCAGCTAGACAAACCGATGTTTTTATCGATTCTGGTCCTCACTCTTATCCTCCACTGTCAGCAACAGCAACAACACAGGTCCGAAAGTTTTCCCGCCTCAAAAGCACCTTTTGCCTCTAATACACAGATTTCAACCTCCTGCACCCAGTAAAGATGGCCCGTGGCAACCAGCGCGACAAGGCGCGTGAGAAGAACCTCAAGGAGCAGGCTGGCAAGGTACGATATTTTTGCCCCCCACAGAAGCCGTCTGTGCATGTGAATAGGAGAATGCTTGCTGACGAGAATGATGTTGTAGAAGGGCAAGAACAACGTATGTGCTGACAATTTAACGCTTGGAAGACGAACGAAAACGACTGTGGCTGATGTAGCATGCAGGCCTCCGGCGCAGAACTGGCTCGTGCCAAGGACGACGCTGCGGCGATCATGCGCGCGAAGCAAGTTGCTGGTACGTTCATCGTCGTCCTTTTTTTTCTAAACGATCTCAAAATCTTTGGATGGAAACGTGAATGCGTGCTGCTTTGGACCGAGGATTTGCTGACCGGCGGTGTGTAGCCGAAGCTAAGAAAGCGGCCGATGCCTCTGCCAAGAAATAGACTGCCAGCGACGAGCCTGGCGATGAGGACGATAGACTTAACGGGGAGCATGCGGTTTTCAGGGGGTGAGATTACAATGGGCTTTAGATGGAGTTGGATTCGAGGAGCTGATGGGTGTTTGGGTTGTTGACTTATTAATACATTGGTTCATGGTCTGTTATGTGAAGTCCGATTTGCTGACTGTCCCATTTGCATCAATGAGATTTGGAATGCAAGGTGACGTACGATTTAGTCGGGAATCTGTACCAAAATGACTCTTGTTGAATTATCTATTCTCATATTTGCCAATAGGGAAAGACCACATCATGGCAAGATGCAGACTACGGTATAGTGCGAACGCCGTCAGCTCAAAGGTAAGAAATACATAGGTGAGACGAGGGCTCAAATGCCCGCCAGGAGCCCATCTCGAAGAAAAGTGTTGCTACATAACATGGTTTGAAAAAAGACGTTGATCGCTCCTACGACATTCGGACCAGATGCTCATGCAATCATCATACCTGCAAATCCACCAAAGTTGTTGACTGCCGCATTCGCCGGGAACGAGTTCGTGCCACACAAACAGCTGCATGAGCATGTGTTTCCTTGGCTGTTGGTACCCTGACCGGCAACGACTGTCGCGGTTGCAAGCGCACTAGCGCCAGTGCCTGTCCCAGCCTGAACAGTTACGGTTGTAGGAGCGGCTGCAGCATTAGGATTAACGGACTGGATAGCGCCGAGCTTCAGGTCAGTGCCGTTCTGGTTGATGGCGAGTTGCTTGAAGTCAACCATCGTTTTATCGCCTGTTGTTGCAGGGTTGATGCTGAAGACCATGCCTTTTCCGCAGTGCGTCCCTGTTTGCTGTCGGCAGTAGAACCCTGTGCCTAGTGTTAATTGTGGTCCTCTTGCTGGCATCAGTAGGTGACTTACACAGTGGGTCTGTGGTAGTAACAGTCATGTTGAACTGTACGTCCGCCGTGCCATCAGGATTGGGCATGAAGCCCGAATCGATGCCTCCTTCCTTCTTTTTGCATGGCTCGGCAAATGTCGATTGCGTAACGGTGTGGTTTTTTTGCATGAATTTGAAGACGACCATATCGCCTTGGTTCGCCGTGATTGACTCAGGAGTGTATCCTAGTATAGCTGCCATTCCAGTCTCTACTGGTTTCAGTCCACCAACAACGATCTATGTTCTATCAGCAAAGCTTGTCGAAGATGCACCACACGATACTTACGGTATGTGTCATCGGCCCGTTGGATGCTGCAGGTGCAAGGCTCATGACAGACATCTGAGCGGCAGCAAGGCTGACCACCAGGGAGAGTACAGTAACATGCTTCATTATGACTATGTTGTATGGCGCCTCAAGCGTCGAAAAGAGCGTAGTAGCCTGCGCTGCAAGCTAGCGGAATGGGTAGGGTATGGTAGAGCAAGGGGGCCACACAATGACAATAGTGAAAAAAGAGAGCGAAGCGAGACCAAGAGTATTATGAAGCAGAATAATGAGGATGGATAAAGCGTGGCAGAGAGGTCACTACTTAAATCGATGTGTAAGATTGACGGTCCGATGGACGGCAAATAACCCTTCCCCATGGCGAAACATCATGCCCTGTTCGATGAGTATCGACTTTCAGTAGTGTGAAGATAGCTGCCAAATCGAAAAGATTCCTGGCGAGGCACACAACGTTGTGACTAGTGGCGGGGTAGTTTGAAGTCTGATATGTTGGAAATGAGTTCGAGGTTGTCGCGGTAGCGTCGCAGATCTGTTTGAGCACGGTCGGGAACAGGTAACCTTATCTTTCCGTGTACGTCGCAAGGACCAAAGTAGTAAAAACACCTAGACGATATGGCTAAAAGACGGCTTGTTCAGCAAATAGTAACAGCTGCACATCGCGCGGCCTAAACTTGTGGAAATGGGTGGGTCCAAAACTGAAAGTAGTCAGTAAAACGCAAATATTAGACTCAGAATCACTATCGCTAAGATCACCAATGTTCCGACTTACCTTTCTACATATTATTGAGTCTTGGGCATCGATTTTGTCTCAAATGCACAATTTCCAGTGCTCGCAGTTTCCCATCACCTCACTGCTTCGGCAGGTTTTCCTTTGGCGTCTTTTGCTGTCCTGCATGAAGACCTGTATAGTAACCAGCGTAGTACCAAGACATCATGGCATTCTTGAGATTTTCGTCTTGCACTGCCACAAGTTAGCAATTGTCACTTGCTAGGACAGGTTAGAAGCAAGGAGTGTCAAGTCAAATACGGACCTGTTTCGAGAATCGCGGATGGCATCGAAGCGGCCAGTCCCCCCTCATGCAGCGCCGGCTCTTCTGTTCTTATTGGCTGCTCTTGCTCTTGCTTTCCGGAAGCTCTCAGTTCCTGTCATCTGTCAGACATGTCGTGCCACAGTTCGTGTTAGATCGTACCCGTGGTTGAGTCTCTGCTTGGCCAATCTCCTCAACCACACTGGTCTCTTGAAGTGATGTCTCGGTGCCTTCCTGGTCCACATCAATATCGCCATCGCCATCGCCATCCATCTCGACAGCGACTGTGTTTGTCTCTTCTATCAAGTCTCCATGGTCCCTGAGATATTTAGCACTGCACAGGTAAACATGACAGTTCCCACTTACTCTCGGAGTTCTTTCAATTCTTCGTCTGACAAAACATCTTCAAGTCGCTTCCCGGATTTATGAATGCTATGATATTTCTGTCAAAACGTTAGCCGTGTGGCTTGAAAGTGCTGATTCAATAAGAACCAACTTCGTATTCAGTCACAGCATCATTCCACGAGTTCTGCAAAAAAGAATCATCCCAGGCGTTGCGATCACTCATGTCGATTCCAGGTGCCATTGTCTTGAAGTAAGCTAGAGTTGGTGGGTGAGGGTCAATTGTCGAGATTAGATGGAACGGTAGGCTATTGAATGGAGAACAAAGCAGCTTGAAGAGGCATACAGTAGAACAAGGCTACTAGGTACGTGACTTGAAGCTGCTGGTGGAGAGGCATGGTCCAATAAAGGCCGCTGCTCACCGCCCACCCGCGAAATCTTGGCAATCTGCTTAGCGCGACTCGAAAAAAGTTCAGGTGGAAGGAGCTCGAGCTAGGAACTTTTCTTCACACCACAACACCAATCGTCTTCCACCACACAACTGCAAGCGCATACACAAACGCAATGGCTGTCGAAGATACCAAGGGCAAGAAGCGCAAGGGTAAGTCATTGTTTTGCGCAATTGTCAAACCGCACTCACTAATGCCTCACCCCAGGCGCGCCAGATGCTGCACCCAAGGCGAAGAAGGCTAGAAAGTCCGATGATGCTGTTACTTCCACAAAACCTGCCAAGTCGCCAAAAGCCGTCAAGACTGCTCCTGCTCCTGTCGAGTCCAAAGCTCCTAAGACTAAGGCTGCCCGCAAGCAAGCTGCCGACTTCATGTCTGAAGACGATGCGCCTGCTCCCGAGTCCGCGAAGGCTACTAAGGGCAAGAAGAAGGCCAAGGTCACTGTCGAGGTCAACGGCGACGAGTCTGAGTCTATTGCCGTGAAGGTCGACGTCCCGGTGGCACAAGAAAAGCCAAAGAAAGGAAAGAAAGCCAAGGTCATCGAAGTAGAAGTACACGAGGCGCCTGCACCAGAGCCTGAGGCGCCAAAGGAGAAGACCAAGAAAGCAAAGAAGAGCAAGCAAGTTGATCCTGCGCCTGTCGAGGAAGACGTCACAGTCGAAGCCGAGGCCAAAGTCCCAAGCAAAAAGTCAAAGAAGACAAAGGGCGGTAAGAAACAACAAGAAGAGCCCGAGGAAGAGCTTCAGGAAGAGATATCTGAAGTCACTCCGGTGTCAGAAGACGTGGATGACGAAGCTGAAGTGGATGATCAGACCGCCGCTCTGCTCGCTGGCTTCGATAGCGACGAAGACGATGATACAGACCCAGAGGATGACCTGAACTTTGACGAAGATGCAACTGTCCCCACACTCAACAGGAAGGCAAGAAAAGCCGCCGAAAGAGCTGCGTTTACCGCCCGGAACAATCAGCCCGGTGTTGTTTACGTCAGGTATGTTCGACGCTCAAAGCAACTATCCATTTGACTAACCGAGCATCTAGTCGCGTTCCACGTGGGTTCTTCGAGCCTCAGATGAAAAAGTACTTCTCTCAGTTTGGCAGAGTCAACCGTCTCCGCCTTTCGCGCAACAAGAAGACCGGTGCCTCAAAACACTACGCCTTCATCGAGTTTGCGTCCACAGAGGTTGCAGATATTGTTGCCAGGACTATGGACAACTACCTACTGTTTGGGCATATCCTCAAGTGCAAGCTCGTCCCAGAAGAGCAAGTTCATCCTGATCTCTTCAAGGGTGCTGGCCAGAGGTTCAAGGTCGACCCTAAGAACAAGAAGGCTGGGTTGGAGATGGCACGCGGTGTTGAGCGAGCCCAGTGGGAGAAACGCGTCACCAACGAGAACCAGCGGAGATCGGGGAGAAACAAGCAGCTGAAAGAGGACTTCGGTTACGAGTACAACGCTCCCGCGCTCAAGGCTGTCGAGGATGTCCCCAAGCAGGCGACTGGTCTGGAGAACGGTGAACCTCAGCAGGTGTTGACTGAGGCGCCTGTAGAGGAGACCCCCGCCGCCGAGCAACCCAAGGCGAAGAAGGGAAAGAAGGCCGCCAAGGCTCAAGAAGAGGTCGCACCCACAGAAGCCGCCCCGGTTCAGCCTGCTGCCGAGAAGAACACCAAGAAAGACAAGAAGCGTAAATCAGATGTCGTAGCCGAGGAGGTTAGTGCCGTCGAGGTAGTAGTCGCTCCCGCCGAGACAACACCCAAAGCCAAGAAGGCCAAGAAGTCAGCAAAGCCTGAGCCTATCGTGGAAGACGTTCCTGCTGCACCGGTCGAGGACAAGAAGCCCAAAGCCGCTGCTGCCAAACCGAAGAAGGCGAAGAAGGCCAAGGCTTGAAGCGTCGACATCAAAGTGTATGCTTCCACCCAAGGGGCATTTTCTGTTTGAGTTCAAATGAGTGACAGTAAGCAACCCCCTCCATTACTCTCCCCTTTCCATGATTGCATGATGATACAATGTACTCCTTACACACCATGAGGGCCAAATATCAATTCCAATTGTTCCTACTGAACGCAATCACACCCAACTCTCCGATATCCACATCGATTGCCTGGATCAGATACTGACTCCAAGCAGACCTTTCCCGTTTCAGCGACGAAGAAACGATATCCGTTTCAACCCCGGCGAGCCGTCATTTTCATAGCGATTGCAATGAAGGATCAACGATGTATCATAGGCATGACAAGCGTGGTTACTTGAATATTTTTCTTCTACGACGTCCAGGGCACTAGGCGCGTTTCTTCTCGAGCTTACTGTCCATGCTGCAGAGGATACCATGACCATACAATCAAAAGCAACTCCTGTTCCACATACTTTGTTCTCGTAGTCCCATCGTGATCATTCTACTCAAGCTTTGACCCACATGGGTTCGCGAGTGCCCGTTTTCAAATGACTTTATCGGACTAAAGAGAGAGTACAGCAAGCAAAAATCATGTGAATGTGAATGTGTCAAGAAGCAATGATATAGTTTGTACAGCTAATCTGACGCATCCGCTCCCCAACAACCAACCAGCCATCGTGAACGGCCGTCAAAACACCCTCCAACCCATCATCATCCTCTAACCCCTTCACTAAATAAAAGTGTGACGCCAGTCCTTGTCTTCCAACATCTCGCTATAAATACGCAGTCCACGCGGGCTGAAAGTCATTTTCCATAGACAGCTCACTTTTCTAACTTGAGCCCGTGACCGCAAGTTTCATCAGATGGTCCATAAACGTCTGCAAGCTGACGTCGTCCGTGAAGATAGTCTGCGCTGTCTGTGCCACGCCGCCGTACGAACCGGTGGTGGTGTGTGTATTGGACGGGTTGAGCTTGGAGAGCAAGAAACGGGCCTGCGAGCCGCCGGCGTCGCAAACGATGAATCGGGGCAGCGGGAAGCGGTCCTGGATGAGGTCTTTGGCGTCCTCCTTTGGCGCTTCGAGCAGTGTCCGGAAGTTCTCGTATCCTTCTTGGTCTTGGTAGCCGGCTTTGCGCCACTCGGCCATGGTTTCGCCGTGGAAGATGAGGATATGGAAGAAAGTGTCCAGTAGCAGGACAGTCTCGGACTGGATGGAAGTCGAGTCGAGCAACACAGGCTGGCCGCCCTCGTGATCAAATCCGTAGCTGTCCAGGGTAGGTTGGATCATGATGAGCGAATTGCCGACATCCGCGTGGTTCAGAACATGTCGGTAGAAAGCGGTCTCATCAGGCGAGTTGTTGAAAACCTGCAAGAACTGAGAACGTCGGAGATGGAACATGAACTGCGGGTAAAGAGTGAAGTTCTTCTCGAGCCTACAGCCATTAGCACGTACCAACTAAATTTCTGGCATGACACGTACCTGAAAGATGTTGGGTCATCTTTTCTGTACTCGGCAAAGCGCGAACACAATCTGATGAGCATGCGGTCAACCCATCGCAAAACATCTGGGCCATCGTCAACCTCGGCCTTGAACACTGCTATTCTTGACATAAGGACGGCGGCGGCTTCCTGGTCGAATGATTGAGCGATGGCGGGGTCGCCGGAAGGTCCACTCATATTGCGGGCAACCGTTGTTACTACGTTTCGTTAGTGTGTGTCATGGTGAGTGGTTTGGGTAAGACTAACCTCTCAAGTGGTATTGACCATCTGAATGCTGGTAGTGTGTGATGAATTGCATCATTCCCTTCTGTGGACCAGCTTGCATCTGATTCGGACCTCCTTGGTTGGCAATCTCGAAGTAGATACCGTAACTGGAATCAGGGTCGATACCGCACATCTTCCACGCGCAAGTGTTACCGATACCGCACTCGGTCTCACCCACAGACGCGGACTTCTTGTTCAACGAGACGGCGTGCCCAATGAGACCAGTAACCTTCAGCTCCTTCGTGGTCAGAACCTCAAGGTTGGCGTTGAAGGCCATCAGAAGATTGTCTTCCCCATCCTTGTTGAAAATACGAGCGAAGGACTGCTTGTACATGGAAGATGTGAAGCTATCCGTCAGGATGATGTGACCACCAGTGGTGTTGGCAAGTCCTCTCATTTCGAGCAGACCAACTTGGTCGAGACATCCCGCGAAGATGTCGACGATATGTCCATTGTGTGCGACGCGCTTGGCGAGGGTCTCGTAGAACTGCGTCCGTTAGAAATTGTATGGTCTCGTGCCTGCTACCGGAGACCTACCTTGAGTGCCTTCTTGTAGTACTTGATATTGTCGCGGTCGATGTCGTGATGCGATCGAATGGGTTCTCGCAGCTCCGGACCAACGACCATACCAGGACCCTCGGTAGCCGGACCACCGCTGAAGAGCATGATCCTGGCTCCCTTGTTCACGAAGTTTGTCTCCAAAAGACCCGCAGCAACGCTCAGCGCGACACCTGTGCATCTCAAGGCGCGCTTGTCGTTCGCAACCGGCCAGGGATCTCTCTGGAGCTGCTCAAGAGCGTTTGTCAACTGGAACTCGCACTGCGACACGGGCAGGAGGAAGCGCGCAGCAGCCGGGTTGGGGGGACCCATCATAGGCCGTCCGGGCTGTTGTTGCATATTTGGGCGAGGAGCCATCTGACCTAGGCCCAGCATATCCTGGATCTGCTTCGAGCTGTAGTCTTTGCTGCCGCGGAAGACGTACGATTTGGCGCATTCGGCGTAACCCAGTTCGTGAATTTGGCACTGCAACGTGTCAGCCAACCTTCCTCAATATCGGACTCCCTGCACCTACCATGGTGCCGTATGTGATCAATCCAACCAGAGCGTACTGTGGGAGCAAGCTCAAGCTCATGATGATCGAGTCCTTGAGTGCCTTCAAGCTGTCCTCCTCCTGGCAGGTATCCACAACGAAGACGAATATGGGCGGAGAGTCTGCTGGCCGAGGGAGACGGTACTCAATGGTGGTGCTGCTTGGGTGGAGCTCGGGAGGAATCTGGTCCGCAGAAATGTCTTTGTAGTGCGCGGGCAGCTGGTTTCGCTGGAGACAGAAGGGACATATCCACACGCGTGCGCGCATGTCGACCTGGCTAGGGCATTGTCAGCTCTAGCATTGGGAGTCTACTCTCAGAATCGCATACCAGAATGGGTTGAGGACACAGCGGCAGGGTGCCCTGCAAGATACTGGCTCATACTGGAGCAGTGGGGTGTCTGTCTTCTCCTTTAATGGCGTGTACAGAGCGCCGATGGGAACTAAAGCAGTCAGATACCATAAAACTACATCTCAACATCTAGCTCTCACCAACAAGGCGCGAAGCTTCCTGCACCACAGATCAGCATTCCATCCATATTCAACACGGCGGCGCGGGGCGTACCATGCGCGAGCTGGGCAGGGTGTTCCAGCTGAGGCGGACGCCATCTCTGTCCTCAACCTCACTCCACTGGTCCTTGAGAGCCTCGAAGTCGGCCATGGTGTGTTTCTTTCAAGTGTCGTGTCGTGTCTGGGGTAGGGGATCTCGTGGTGGGACCGAGGGCGCCCACAATTCGATTTCGCGGGGCAGACGCAGGAGCGAAGAAGATGGCGAGGTGAGTGTGCAATTAATAGGCGTGTTCGCGCGCCTTTCTCTCAAGGCTGCAGCTGTGGGCGAAGATGCTACGTTCCCAGAGCTCTCCGCGTGGTGCTGTTGGGTGACGGAGCCCATGCGGCCACATTGAACATCCTGGAACTAGAGCCCAAAGCAGTCTAGCACTATCCACCGCCCTCAAAACCTCGATTTTTCCCGCAGCTCTTCTCTTCTCCTCACACCGCCAGCAATATACACTACTTAACGGCAGCCTCGATTCTTCAATGACGAGCCTGTTTTCGCGCTGCGCGTAGAGGAGACCAGGCCCATGGCTGGGCGCCCGATCTGGAAAACTCATTCTGAGTATACTGATAGATTGGGAATCAGCAGAGGTCACATACCTACGTTTACGCGTTGTGTTCATTAAACCAAGCATCGCATCATCAACGATGTGATTCTAGGCAGCTGCATAGACATCGCTGCATGTGCAAAGAGGTTGATGCGCTTTAGTGATGTTCGTTTGAAGTCCCTGCTTGGCCAAATGTCTGGGCTTGCTTTTTTCTCCCGTAAAGAGTGATTACGGGATGCACTACAACCTCAGTAGTTTGACGAGGTGGCAATGTTGAGAGAGGTTCATTGAGATCACATAAGTATAATACTTATTTCTCAGAAATGGATGGAATTGTCTTGTCAAATCACATTCTCGTATGTTCCCCTTTGCCATGCAGAGAAATATAAACATCAAGTTTGGAATGTCTATCCGGTTGATCCGTGTTTCCCGTCCGCTTGTAAGAAGACGGTTTTCGCAAGAGAGGGCAGGGCATCTCCGCATGCCAGTGTCGAAGTATATCATACCCAATCCTAAACGCCCAAATGCTTCAAAATCGAGCTATGTCAAGCAAAAGCTTTTCCGCCTGTCTAGGTTCCGCGCGAGCCTTCATATCATAACTGAAGCTAGATATGGCCCCGCATTCGTCTTAGTCTCTAGAGTTTGGCCATACTCAGTCGTCGTCCAAGACAATGGTCTCCTTCTGACGCTTCCTGCTCTTGAGTACCACAACATCATCATCGTGCTCGCGCTTGATCTGAGCCACGCTGCTGCCACGGATAGCATGTTCGTGCTTGACGGATATGTTGTCTATGTCTTTCTCCTATGTTGTGTGAGTGAAGTCGAACAGTTGCTATGTAATATGTTTACCTCATAATACTTGAGTAGAACGAGCAATCGCTTTCGACTCTGACCCGCCAGACCGTGACCGTTTCCTCGGTGGTGCTTGATGAGAGCGATCACGTCTTCGTCGGTAAGACCATCTTGATCATTGTGGATGGGAGGGGCGAAGGTTCGCTCTCGGGGTGCTTGTTCGGCTATGGTGACACTCGTTTCGCGAGCTGGTGTTGAGTCGCGCAGTTCTGGTTTTGGTGAGACAATAGGAAAGGGCGTGAAATTGTGCTGTCGTGATGGCGGTGTGGCACTAGTTATATGCTCCTGATGATCTGCTGCCGCAATATCTAAGTGACGTCTTGGTGGCATATCGGAGTGAGCGGCGAGGTTTTGTGGTGTTGGAGTGGCGTCGATGATGTTTCCTTGAGGAACAGGAGTCGAGCTACGGGGTTGAGGTTCTAACAAAGCAACGGCGGGCTTTTTGTTCGGGTCTGGTGTTGAGCTCGAAGCGCAAGGTATGATGTGAAGAGCCTCGAGGTTTGCTGTAGAATGTCATGGGCTTTGTGTATGCAGATATAGACGAGAGAGAATATTTTACCTCGCGAACGGTATTGATAAGCGAATGAGGCAAACATGCCATCACCCTTCCATTTTCGAGATATTGGACCATTGATCTTCTTCTGCGTGCCTGTCCTGAGGTAGATCAGTCACCCGATATATCTGGATACTCGGCAACGACATTGTGTACTATCATCTGATCGACTCACCCAACTTTGAGTGACTTCGCGTCACCTTTCACTGCACTCTCAGGCACTGTGTCGTAGCCCTGGATTGTGTGCGACTTCGCAATCTTTCTTATTCCACTTGTGCCAAATTCAAAGTCAATCTCCAGAACTCCAAGTGATTTGAAATTCTGCATGGACTCTTCATTGACTTCAAAATCTTCTTGTTCGGCTGTCGCACATTAATATGCATCAAGGTGAATTGAGAAAACGATATATGGGGTTTCATACACATGACCAGATCGTCGAAGCGAAAATGGTGCAGTACCCAGCCGTTATCTGTTTGGGTCCTGACGCCCGTTTTTGTATGACCGCTTGGATCAAACAATTTTACTCTTCTTATGAGACTCGCATTGCATAGCTTGTCGTTAACATAGATGAATACACCAACATCTTTGCTGGAGGGGAAAGGCTCCGCGAAGGTGTACTTGATCGCAAACTCCGTACCGGACTGCGCTTCAAGGTATTTTGTGACGACCTTTGGATCGGTAGTAGCGTCTTCATCGTCGTATTCGGGGAGTGGCTGGTCGTTGACAGTGACCTGTACCGTGAGGCCTGGGTAGACTGGGTGTATAGCCATGCTGTCGCTGTAGGTGCTGTTGCGGAACTCGAGTAATTAGGAAGAGAGGTGGATAGGAGCAGAGGTGGGAGTGTGAGGAGACTCATATACTAATGGCGATCCGGACCTCCAAGGGATTCCGAGGTCCAAAGATTATAAGTAAAGGTGCAGGTTTTCTGACGCTGCAGCGTAGGCAAAGTGGTAAAGCCATGTGGTGAGAGAGTCAGTTTGACATGCCCATAGCATATTTGATGATATATTGTAGAAGTGAAAGAATCCCAAGATCCTCAGGTGGTTTGATGATAGATGGGTAAAATAAGAGATGACCCAAAATCACAGTGAGGTGATACTTGCAGAGAGTGGCTTGTTTGAAGTTGATACGTCTTTTCAATGTTGGATTTACATGACGTTTGTATTAAAAAGAAGATAGCAAGAGCTGATTCACGATTTCACGCTTGATATCCTGCCAACCCGATGGTCAAAAATTAGAATCTCCAATGCCTCCCCCACATGTCCAAAACCTTGTCCATCAGCCGAACACGATCTCCTTGTGCTACCCACGGTGAGGGTTCCGGCTCGATCTCGACGTCCTCGTCATGGCCTGCATTCTTAACACTGTTCTCGTGATTCACATGAACAGTATGAGAAACACTGGAAACGGCAGCTTGGTGGATACAAGTCGCAAAAGCCAGAGCTCTTCGCGCTTTGGTTTGTACAAGGACTCACGAAGTAGAACGAAGTTTAGCCTTGTGTCAAAAAGGAAGTATAAACACAAATACTTGGAGTCGCAAGACGTAGCCCACAATGATGCTGCTTCATAGCTAAAAGGTGTCGACGTAATCTCGAGACATCTCTAATATTTCTTGTAAGAGAGCAACCCCAGGAATCCTCCAAAAGGCGGATGAAAACAAATTAAATGTCGAGGTGTGAGCTTCCGAACATACTAGCTCAACTCCTTTGATGCTGTACAGGTCAACCATTTTACCCATGCAGACCCCTACCAAGTGTGAACTTGCTGCACATAGTCCAACCCAGAACCGCGTCATAGAGGCAACCTCTAGACTTCTCATGATACAACGCCTAAGTCATCTAATACCTCTATGAGCGTAACAGAGGCTCTTGGATGGCCAAGTAGCGGGAGAAGAGCAAGGGCTCTATGTTCTTGGACCAGATCCGAACGAAGCCATCCTTGACCGGCACTCACAGACAGAGAACGCATGCAGTGTGGGTGCTACTCGGCTCCTCCAGGCTAGGCGTATCAGTAAAAGCAGTCATGGTGTCTAATGAAGGCAGATGCCAACGTACAGGCCAACATCGCATAGGTTAGGGGATCCAAGGTTATATGATTGAGGGTTATAGTTCTACGTTGCAATCCTGCAAGACGCTTGCGTCATATAAGATCCCAACTTGCGGCAGATGCTGCACGCGCATTAGCTGCTGTACCACATATTGGCAGACTACTGGGATATTTTCCTGGAAACACAGTCAGAATGCATCCACCTATAGTGCTCTGTTTGTGTCATCGTACGAAACATTCTCCGAAATTCAATCTAGCACAATGACCTCTGGCTCGCCACGAGGTCGCTTGACACACCTTGTCTCGATTACCGTCACTTCGTCGTTATCGTCATTGTCGTTCGCCGCGACAAGTTCACGCTTGGGTTGTCGCTCGATACCTGTTTCTTGTTTGATGTCTCGCCTCTCTGCTTCTCGCTATTGCGTGTGTCAGTTTGCCCTACGCTTGAATCTGTCATGTGGATTGTACATACCCTCCGCATACGCTGCAGGAGAAGCGGTATCGTAGGTGTAACTTTATTCGCTTTTTCTACATCCCGGATGATACGAAGTGCTTTGAGCGCAGCTTTTGACCTCGCTGTTAGCAAGTTTGCAAGAGATATCAAAAACCTGACTCTCACCTAGGGATCTATATCTAAAGACGACGGTAGCGAACGGCTCATTATCGACCTTGTCGTACCGCACCCGAGGCCTACTTAGCTCCATTACCTTCGGTGCACCGAAGCTTGAGTATTGATAAGTCGTTGACCAGCAAGACGAGTGTTTCGTTACATACGTAGTCTGATGTGAGCGAGCGTCCCCTTTCAACGCTTTTTCTGGAACTGCACCCATGGCTGACAATGGGGCCTGTCCTCGCGCCTTATTTGGACTACCTGAACGACGTATGTTTGTGATGAATCTTAAAGTTAGGGTAATGCAGCCTTTCGACCCGACATCCTTCCGGACATTCTCCAGATTTACTGGGCCATCTGATTCTTCGACTAACCTATGTTAACTCCCGCCAGGATCACAGGATTGTGTTTATAGTTACCAATGTTCAATGCCGTGAAGCGATAGTTCTGGATGAATCTAACCCCGTCTTGTTCAAAAATGCCACCCTGGTTGGCAAAACCGCGTCGACCATGCAAGTCCTCCGGCCACATCACTGTGTTGTACGTGGCCACACCATCTATGTGCACTACAGCTTGAACGCCATATTGAGTGGGAAACGGCGTGCTGAATTTCCACTTGAGAGCAAACTCCGCCCCAGATTGAGCCTCGACATACTTCGTTACCGTCTTTGGTGGGTCCTCCTCGTCCTCATCGACATACTCTTCGAGCGGTTGTGCGTACACGATGATTTCCGCTTTGAGGCCGGGACAGTCGTCAAGAACAGCCATTGCTTGTGCCGATGCGTCGAAGCTAACGCAAAGGTCTTCGCTCTAGTCTGGCTTGTATCCGGGTCCGCAACGCTTGTGATTTGCTGTTGAGGGTTCTCGTGCAGGGTTAGTGTAGAAGTCCAGCAAGTCCGCCCTGAAAGGATGCAAGGCCCTTTCCCAAAGAGGATGATGCTGGCGCGCTAAATCCAGGGTCCAAACTGGAGCTCTGAATCGTCATCGCATGTGGCTCAACTTTCCTCCACATGTCACACAGAAGGAACCACCTCTACTCAAACTAACTTTGGTAAAGCCATCTCAGGCGCAGACTCCTTTTCTCTTCGCCAGCATCGTCCAAATCACCCTCAACGTTTGCGCGCAAATGGCAGCAACACGCCTTCGCCGCACCTTCCAATACCCCTCCGAATCCGACGACGAAGACGCTGTAGAGCAGGGCATGGACGAGCAAGGTACATTCATCTTCTCGCACTCTACATCAACCTCAAACTAACATTCCCACGGACCAAAACGACCTCATCTCCACGCTCTCAACACACGACACATCCGCAACGCGCCTCTACACCCTCACATTGCTGCTCCTCCCCCTCGCACCCGCGCTCCTCCACCTCCCCCGCCTCCTCAGCGCTTCCACAATAATACCAAGTGTCGCGACAATAGCGAGCTTCTTGGCGACGGCGTACACACTTTACTTTCTCCCCCTCCCACCCATCAAGCCCGGTATCCTCGAAACTCCAGATCCAGGCACCGCACGCAACAAAGGGAAGGCGATAAACAGAGGGAGCTACGGATACAACGTTGTGTCCACACCGGAGCAAGCGGCGACTACAGGAAGGATACAAACACCATATATATCTGAGGAAATCGCGGATTTGCTGGCGCAATACATTGTCCCTATGAATGCGGCGGTATGTGGGATTTTAGCTGTACATGAGTTGTGGCAGCGCCGAGCATGGAGCGAAGGGATGATGATCGGGGGCGGATACCTACCAGGTCTGATCTTGACAACAATATTGTGGGCAAGGCGGGAACTGAGGGTTATGGATTTAGGGGAGTTAGAGCGCTTGCGGTATCGCTCAAAAGGAATATGAAGAGGGGGAGAAGAAGTTGGTCGAAAGTAAGGGGAGTAAAGATAGCTATCATTTCCATGAGATACCCATGTATCCGAGACCGTACACTCGTGAATGAACGAAACACACTGATTGAAGAAACGCGCAACCAAGCGCGGTCTAGGTATCATCCCTCAACGCCATTGCCAATAAACGCACTAAGACATCCCAGACGCCTGATTCAAAACACCGCGTCGCACACTTTTACATCACACCCCTCAAATCATCATGCTCTTCCGCCGACTCGCCGCCCTCTCCTGCCTGAGACTGCTCGTCGCAGCCGCTCTCATCTCATCCCTATCCTCCGCCACGCCATCAGCATTAGGCTTCGAATCAAGATTGTCCCCACTAGCTGGCAGACCAGGTTTCTTCTCCTTACCCACTAATCTCGCAGCTGTTGTGCTCTTTGCCAAATTCGTTGTACTTGTGCTCTTCACGGTCCCGCTCCCTGTGCGCTTATGCAGTAATGGTAGCGCTCCGTCCGTCTTGCGGTCGTCGGTAGTAGATGATGTCGGCACGGAAGAATGACGGCGGGCATTCCGTGCTGCTTTGGCGAGTTCGTTGATGCGTGTACGGGGATTTGCGGGTTCGACGGGGGACGAGTCTGTAAAGTCGAAGATGGCGAGATTGTCTTTTTCTTTTTCTTCTTGCTTGACTGTTGAGTCCCTCTTTGGCAGGGATATTAATTCGGTGGGTTCGGTTGTGGCCTTGGTAGACGCCGTATTCAGGGCAGAAGCGGCTGCTGCTTTTCGCTTCGCTATGCTTGTCTCGTTGATGAGCGCCGAAATTGCTTTGGAAGCTGTTGACGACCTGAATTCCGATTCAGTCGAAGACGCAGTCTTCGAGTCCTGGTTCGTTTCTCGTCGGTCCAGTTTCTGCCTCAATGGACTCCCCACTTCCATCTCCTCTTCAGCTCCTCGCCCAGGAGCAACTGGAACAGGCTTCCAACTCAGCTCTTCGCCTGGCTCGCGTTTGACATCCATTTTCCCACATGTCGAAGGTGCTGTTTGAGGCTCCACGCTCGTCCTGCGGTCTATCACCGCATCCACTAGTTTGGCATCTGGGCGTCGCATCTTCGTGCTCAAACTAGGCTCCTTGTAACTAACTGCCGGACGCGCCCTTCGTCCAGGTCTTCCTGCCATACCGGTTTGGTCGGCCGAGCTCAGATCGCCCGGAGGTGGTGTGTCCTTATTCTCTGGTCGCGATGTTGATGGTTCTGTCGAGGGTGGAGAGAATATGTCATCTGCAAAGGGCGTCTTGGGTGGTAGTGAATCGAGGTTGATCTCGGCGGTTGGTATAGGCTCTGGCATTGATAACATTGGCAGCTCTGGTGGAGTAATAGTGCGAGTAATGTTGAGGCGGACTCGACCGCGAGGCTTAGGAAGGAGCTTCTTCTCGGGTTTCTCTGGCTTGTCTAGCTTGTCTGACTTCTCTTGAATAGACGAACGTTGTTTCTTAGGCGACAACACTGGGTCGGTATTGACAGGTTCTGAGCAGGTTAGTCTCAACTCAAAAGCTAGGAACTGGATCAACTCACTGCTTCCAAGAACAGGCCGCTCTGGGGAAGATAGCCTTGGTTCCTCGTTGATTGCGACAGTCTCCGAAGCACTTGAGACGTTTCGCCTGCTAAACGCAAAGGGCTCTGCTTTGACCTGTGGCTTGTCCTCATCCTCCCGCACACTGAACTTCCGCTTAGAACCTGTCCGAGCGGTCTTGGCGGCTTCTTCCTGCAGCTCTTCGGGCGGCGAATCGAACACAGATACGCGGCGAATGTTGAGCTTCGGTCCACTTTCTCTTCGCTTCTTACGCGTTTCGAGGTTGGCTGAGAGCGCGGGTTCTCCATCATCGACAGCTTCGTCGGCTTGCTCTTGGGTAATGGGACTGGGGTCGAAAGTAATGGGCTCTTCGTTCTCAAATCGTGATACAGGCGGTGGTCCAATGTCAGGTGACTGGCTGTCGGGGTTGTTCAATACTTCTTCAAGCTCATCCGCACTGTCGTTTGTTAGTCATGTCCCCTCCTTCTTTAACATATGCCCCTCCTCAAAAAGAAAAGATCGTAGACGTACCCCATAGTACGTCTCGGGTAGTGTTTCCCCTCGGCGATGGTGGGCAACATCTGGTTCTCCACCTCCTGCAGGCCAAGCCCACTTCTCCACTGTCTGTCCCCTGCACTGCGTCGCGTCGCAAGCTGCTGACTCTTCCGTCGTGATCGGTCGCCCGTCTTCTTTAGTTGCCCCAGCTGCGCGACCATGCCTCCAAGCTCCTGCAGCTTGGCCTCAAGCTGTGTTTTGACGGCATCGATGTTCTCGAACGAAAGGCGACTTGACTGCGATTCAGCCGCATTATGCAGACGCAAGACTTGTTCGCGAAGAGAGAGGTTCTCGGCTAGGAGACGCGAGCAATCGTTCTCGAGGCTGCGTATGCGGATCGACTGTTGTGAGTTTGTCCTGGGAACGCGTTAGCCCTACATCATCAAAGACGTCATTTCACACAATGCACGTACTTTGCCAGCTCGCGATTCTGTCTCAGAAAGCGGCGTTTGACTGCGCAGGTGTTTCATCAGCAAATGCGTCGATTCTACCCCCAAGATGCAACATACCAACATCGATCGTCTCTGCCGACGGCTGCGGCGCGACGGGCGGCTCATTTAGACGCGCCATCAGCGGAGAATAGGTATGTCGGGGTTAATTATAGTGTCCAAGGTGCACACAATGCGTTGTCGCGGTCGTTGAAGCTCGGCGTCGTTCGTTGTTTCCGTCGTTATCGTCATATCGAAAAGCTTCAGGGCGTTGTTTACCCAGCAACCGAGCACGCCTTGCCCAAGGGGGAAATAAGTGGACCCTCGACACCTGAGCACGTGTGTGGGGCATCGGGCGCGTTCATTCATTGCAGCAACATCACGTTGCGACTTTGGACAGAATACCGTTGTACCAAGCAGATTGGGTATAGAAAAGAGAGAAGAAGCATGTCAAACTATTCGCGCCCGCTCCCGACGCATCCCCGCAACCAGTCCATGGGCGGCTCGCAACAATATTCTCCTGTGCTACTGGCGCGCATTGCAGAGAAGAAGGCCGAACTCGCAAACCTCAAAGACCTGCAAATGCTGAGTGGAGGTTTGGCGGACCAGATGCAAATGTTGGCCGAGAAGCTCCAAACTCTTTCAGATGGTACAGAAGGTACGTCAACCCCCACATACATTCACATGATACCCACCTGAGAAGGTACATGTATCAAAGAGGTCATGATTGACCATGTATGAACGCGATGCTGACATGCTTTCCTCCCAGCCGTCGCGGCAGTCCTCTCAAACTGGCACAACGTCCTTCGCGCAATAAACATGGCATCCAGTAAGCCTTTTCACATGCATTCACTTCCATCCACCCGTCTAATCATGAACCCAGCAAAACTTCCCAAGCCCAAAGAAGAACCACAAGAAGATTTGGAGAAAGATACCGAGCCCATACCACCACTGCCTCAAACACTAGTCCGCATCCCTACACAGCACGCCCCTGCGCTCATGGAGCAAGCCAGCGCAGCAGCTGCAACTGAATGAGCGAGCGTGCAAGCGAGACGTGTTTTCTGACGCCGCGGGGCATGCACCGAATGGAATGCGGAAGAAGAGCTGGACGAAGCGACTGGCTACGGCTAATATCGAGCGCCCTCCGATTCGCGAGAAGCAGTGATCGCTGGAGATTTGAATGCATACGAGGGAATTATGCACTCCGGCCCAACGATAAGGTACAGGTGAAGTTAGTCCGGACATATGAAAATCTTTCAGGACATCAAGCTGTGACTGGAAGAAAAGACTTTGCATCAGGCATGGAAGTGGAGTAGGAGGTAACAGTGATTGATATGCTAGTATAGGGTGATTTGCGAGAGTGCAGATGCAATGCATCTTGCTACATAATTCCCAATCGCGTGGATTGCCCACTGCAGTGATGCGTCTACTATCTAGCATCGAGACATTGATGCGCCAGTTTTAGACTGTTTAAGTCTGTCCGTTCCGCTGTGCAAGTAATGATTTGGTGTTTTTTTTTTCTGTGTGTAAGGACTCCCATAACTCCTCGCCAATATAACAGCCGCGAAAAACCAGATGCTGGGCAGTTCGATTTGTGTCTGCCCAAAGTGCTATGCCACCGTAGAAGTCGTTGATTAGGTGCGCATATCCACAGTCTACTTCTTGTTCTTGGGCATCTTCTCGTACGCATTCGGACTGGGCTTTCGTCGAGGTCGATTGCGCTTCTTTGGGTTGGCAGAACCCTCACCATGGTTGTGAACATGCTCGCAATCGTCGTGATCATGATGGTGCTCGAGTGGTCGGCGTCCCCGCTGCCCATCCCTACCCCCACTGGGTCGCGCCATGCTGTTGTCTGGTTCCGAATCCGCGTCCGAGTCCGACGAAGAGTCATCCGAGGAGTCATCGTCTGAAGATTCGTCGGCAGCGCGGGGCTTGTGGTAGATGCAGCATACTGTTCAGGCGCATCAGCACTTCCATGCGGGTGGTGAGTAGTATCATGATGTGAGGATACCTTTTGACGACTTCTTCCCCATACCCTCGTTGTCTATCACGTCTTCCGCCCACTGTATGTGTCTCTGCTCCGATGGTTCGGCCCGCAATCGCAGCACGCCAGAGGGTGCGGACAGCCGGAGGACGGGCTGTGGTCGTGCCTCCATTGTCCTACTACCACTACCCCGCGGGGGAGTCGCCGTTTGAGGAGTTGCCATGTTTCTTGGATTTGCGATTGTGCGCGTAAACCCAGATGTTGAGAGATGAGCGGACGTTTAAGAACGATGTCAAATTGCAGGATAGTAGGAACAACGGGCGGGGTGGGGCGCTCCTTGCAGAAGTTGTGTGAAGCGACAAACGTGGGGCCAGTGGTGAATCGGATCGTCGTATAAGGTGTGGCGGACGGAAGAAGAGAGAGGGCAAACAGCGGATTTGCTGCAGGCGGTGTCGCGTGTACCTTGTATGTACGTCTTCGCTGGTCGGTGGTGGTTGGTTGGCTGCAACTGCGTCATGGCAACGAATCGCTTCGTCTCCCGAACCCGAACTTCCGACTTGTTCGTCACACTTCACTACCACTCGCCCACCAGCGCTTAGGCTGCTTTTAGATTTGTTGTATGTTTAATCCACGGCAATGATCGCTTCCTATTGTTCAAAGGCTACAAAGTATCTAAAGGCTCACAAGACACATCCTACCTGCTGTTTTGGGGAACACATGGGTATACCATTTCAATATGTGCTGACTGGACATGACTTATAATCCAAGTATACTCTAAAGCAGGCTGTTGTACACATCAATGGTACAATTGCTGAGCGAAGAGAGATGTTGTTTTCTTCTGATCAAAGATTGATTATAAAGAGCGTGTTTTGTAGACATCAGTCTATCAACCCTGATTATTCCAGTCATGTCTCCACCGAAAGCTCTACTATTGGGTCAAGGTACAGTTTCTTTTCTTTGATACCATTTCTATTCGTCGGTCAACAGAGTATATATTAGGTAGTCAAGGTATTATAGGTCCAGAAGGGTAGAGTTACATTCTCAGGAACCATGGAACCTGCTTCCGTCGTAGGAAGAACTCAAGGCTGAAGTATTCAAAAGGCTAGACAAACTTGAAAATATTCTCCCATTCCAACTCACACTTCCGTAGAATTCCTAACCTTAAATCGCAAGCATGTCAACTCCTTTCTTCTCCAACACTTCTTTGCTTCGCCCAGTAAAGCAGTCTGTCGGAAACACCCCGCTCCTAGCACTTTTAACAGTATATAGACACGACAAGAAATACCACATATCTCCTCCCTGCCTCAAAAACTCCGCAGCACGATATAGAACCACACTTCCAAGGAATCAGCACACCATCAGTTTATCACATTCGGTTATCCAGCTTCGGCCTTGCTGCTCATAATAAAGCACAAACCTGGGCTTCCTGACCAGAAGTTCTTCACTGCCTTGGCTTCCCTACATGGTTCCAAGTCTAACCTCGACCGCTATGAGAACGCTCTTCTCTTGCGTGAGATCCAGACTGTGAGACTACTAGTAGTAAAAAACAGCGTCACGCATGAAGGATTGGCAGTCTTGAAATTCGCACCGTTCTACATCAGAGCGCTATCTGCACTCATGGCACATGAGTACATGGCAACGCGTCGTTCTGGTCTGGGGATTGTGTGAACATATGACCTCCTTACGGGTGAGGGTTTTGGACACTCGGTTTGTGTCACCGTCATTTGACTTGATCCTCGCTGGCAGACAGGTTCAAGAAGGTCAGAATCACGGCTAAGTTTTGCGACGGCAGGTTCAGCCGTGGTGGTAGAGGATTTCAAGGGTTAGGAAGCGGGCTGTCCTCGCCTTCTAGCGATGCTTAGTTAGAGCTTGCGAAAGAGAGACTGTTTGTGCATGTGGAGTTTTAGATTAGATAGTTTGTGGGGGGTGAGGGATAGGATAGAGTCAAATGTAGCTGGGGCGGGGACTATTCGACGGGAGGTAAGGACTACGAGAAGACGATAGAAGGTGTCATTGCAAGGCTGGTTGGATAGGTTCGTGTGTTTAGGCTGAGACTTGTATGCATTTACGCAGTGATTGTTGTTGTAGCATCGCCTATCGAATGTGCAAAAGAGCATACAAATACTTCACGTCGTCAAAGAGTACTCCACAAGCAACAGTCTTACATCCAATGCATGCAAATCGCTTGTTCCACGGCTCGACGTAAAGCAGGTAGATGAAGCATGCGATCACCCAACATCACAACACAACACATAATACCTAATTAGTAACTCAGTGCATCGTTGACAGACGGATCAGCTTGATTCCGCGACCAGGAACCTGTTTTGCCACCGACGACATGCGATCATAAACTTATTCAAAGGCAATTTGAGATTGATGAAGGGAGTGCCCTCGACGATCCCCGGGGTTCAACGAGATTTGCTAATCCTGCGCGTGTTCTCGCATGTGAGATTATGCGCAAGGCTGCCCCTGTTGCGCCACGGTATGCCGATGATAGCGACCGAAGACCATGCGTCATGCTACAAAGGTAAGCGTCGAGGGAAGTGACGCGGCAAGACGCATTTGTGTTGAGTAGAGCCAAAATGGGACCATGGTTCACTAGTCGTGGCACGCGCAGACGAATGGATAGGAGAAGTCTTTATCGCGACGGGAAGGTTCACAACTCGCGCATTACCAGGAGATGACCGGCGATATGACAACGTCCCGCAGTGCGGATGCATGGAAAGTCTTCTCCGCGCTGAGACGTGCACAATTCCCGCGAGGAAGTGGGAAATGAGGCCGACTCGGGCTCCCAGACCGTGCAAGTTCTGGACCGAAGATCCACTTTATCGGACAGGGGAAGTGGATGCTCGACCCAACGCGAGTGAATAGTCTGTGGGACGGGCGACGTGAAGAACTTTGAGCTGGTGGTCGTGGTGAGTGGCGAAGGCACAAGAATTGGAGCTGCGAACACATTAGATCAAGAGGCGTTCAGGAGAGGCGCTTCGGTTGTGTCGTTGTGTGGCCTGCAGCATGAGACCGGGACCCTGCGGATAATATATGGTCTGGACCGTACAGCCAATGGGCGCGTGTCAAGCGGATGGTTCCTGCAGTAGCACGCTTTTATGAAGCTTGGCTTGGACCATATCTTACCGCAACCAGATGGCTGTTTCTAAATAAACGGCTAGGTCGCACGAGGCTTTTACCGCGACTCCTGAGAAGCGAGACAGAGATCTGTTGTCGGCAGTGTGATGTGATGCTGGGAAGATACGAGGTGGAAGTGCCAGTAGATGTGTGGAGAGCAGCAGACGGCCGCGAATAACATGAACGCGAGTCTGAAGTGCACGCGGGGGCAGAATGAATGTCAAACACGTGTGGCTGCGCTTTATTTCCCATCCTGGAGGCCTTTCACTCGCTGGCTTGAGCTGCGCATGGGCCAATAGAAGGGCCTGTCAGAACTCCACCCGCCTCCTCGCAGGAGCCCGGCGCCTCATCTACTCCTCACGCCCAAGTCCCTTTTCTCTCTTCACCTCACCTCGTGGGCAGTCGTTCGTTTCTAATCCGCCTCCACCACGCCCGCAGTCTTCACCTTACCCCAGTCATTCTTTTGGGCCTGGAGAGCGTTTGTTATTGTATCTGACACACTTGGCTCCGCTGTCGCTATTGCTTCTTTCACCGCCGCCAACGCCGTACACGTGCATATAGTTTCAGTCCTGACACTACCCCAAACCGCCACATAACGACCTCACGTTGCTATTAATCATATTCGTGCAATCGCCATCTTGATCAGCTGCACGCGCCTACATCGCCGTCGACCACCACCGCCAGGATCGCTATTGTTTTGGAAGCTTGAGCAGCCGCGTTGGATACGTGAACGGGCGCGAGATAGATCATAGCACCATGCAACACCACCACCACAACCACATGCATCACCATGCAAGGAGGCATGCGCACGCCGACGTGCCCAGCACAGGCAGCCGCACCCTCATGGAGAATGCAACACGCGCGCTCGCAGCCCGAGCCGCCTCGACTTGCACAAACGACAGCGACGCTGGCTGCACGAAGCCCACACAGACACCCACACTGGCAATTGTGCTTGCCATAGCGTATGTTGAATTGTTCTGTTACCCCTGACGGCTCTAACACTGCGCAGAGTACCCGTGTGTGGAATGGCAGTCGTCATGTTCTTCCTCCATCGCAGACACCAGAAGAAGCAGCGGGAAGAAGATATCAAGGACAAGTACAAGTCACTCGATTTCGGCGTCGAGCCCAAGGCAGGAGGCATTGTGGGGGCAAAGAAAGGCCCTGAAATGTCCATCAAGGACATCGAGAAGGAGCTCCAGCAAGCGCACGGGCGCGGCATATCGCTGGAGCACGGAAGCCCATATATCCTGCCTGTTGGCCTGCACGGCTCGCAAGAGTCGTTGCATTCGCTCTCTCGATCGACCCACGACCCGCACGACCCCTACAACCCTGTCACCTTCATGAACGACGGCCAGAGCATGCGCAGTGGCAATCGGGCATACGGACGCGATAATGGCTCCTTGTACACGACATCGAGCACAGGAACCGACGGTCTTGGCCTGCTGAAGAACGCGCAGAGGATGTCCCATTCTCCAGCCATGCGTGGCCAATCTCTGTCTCCCGACGGCACACGCTCCCCCGAATTGCAGTTCCCTGACCCAACGGCTGTTGCCCTGAGCCCGTTGAACCCGCGCTTCGAGGAACGAACTTCGCCTTCATCCGGACTGCCTGTTACATCGCTGGACACCAGGAACCCTGTCCCGACCATCACCTTCCCCGAGGTTACAGCCACTGACAAACAAGTATCCAAGTCGCCCGTCCAGACAACGAACCCATATTTCCCTCCGGCGCGCATTCAGTCACAGCAGGCTATCCTTCATGAGAACGGCAATACCACGAGCATCATCAGCACCTCTAGCTATGGCGACGCCTTCCAGGTCACTCCACCGTCCCCTCGTCAAAGCACTAGCAAGATCACGGAAGAGAAGGGTCCTCTATCGCCTGCACCTCTACGCCCCCAGCACAGTGGCCCACAGAGCAATGGCCTTGCGGTTGACGAATCTGCTGGAAACACCAACCGTCTATCCATGAGCCTGCGCCCTATGCCCCCACCGTCTGATGATCCCGAGGAGAACCCCGAGCAGCGTGCAAACCGTATCCGATCCTTCTACAAGGAGTACTTCGATGACTCTAAGCCCGAACCCGCTGGAGGTCACGTTTACACGGATTACGTCGAGGACTATGGCTCAGAGTACCTCGACGGTACCGTATTCGACCCTCAATCCAAGGCTTTCGTCGTCTCTCGACCAAATGCTCCGTTTGCTGAGCCCGTTACCCGCCGTGCCATGACACCTCCCCCACGCGCACCCCCTCGTTTCCGAAGCAACACTGGCACCCTCACCCCGAATGGGCCGGGAAGCCCAATGTCCTCGCCGCGCAACTTCCCACCGCGAAACATGTCGTCGATGAGCGGACAGATGGCAGCACCAACACCAAGAAAACCCATGCCACCTCCTGCCGCTCTGTCTTCGTTGCCTACGCCTGCCAAATTGACTGAGAACTCGATGGTCTTCAATGCGAACGACTTCGCGCCACCTGTCTCCTACAGGGACAGGCAGAACGGTATGAGGCCTGACAGCCCCTTGGGCGCCCCCAGGCCTTTCAGCCCTGCAGTAAGACCGCACACGCCTTTGGTGGGCTCTTACGATGACCTGCCTGTCATGCCAAGCCCACATTTGCTTCGCCAGTCGAGCACTTTCACTGCTCTCGATTTCGCACCCCCGCCACGCTTCCAGAACGAGGGCTCCAGAGACTCTGATGCTGGTTCCATCCGTTCCAACCGTTCTGGCATGTCAGCAACTGGCCGATTCGCCGTTCGCAGTGGAGCAAATCGTGTGAGCAGGATACCAAAGGAGATGGTCACTACTAGGGAGGATCTCGCGAGCCAGCTCCGACCTCAGATGAGCTTGGTCAGTAAGGCATAAACCTTGGTGGGGTCTGCTTGCTAGCTACACCATTCTCATGCGCATTTGACTGCAATATCAACATTTCCTTCTTGGCTCACTGGTTGAGCTGCTCTCCTCTCCATAGCCAAAAGGTCGCATCGAATGCCTCTTTCCTTTCACCGCGGACATGACGACTCTCTTCAAGCAGCATAGCATAGATAGCGTGCGTTTACTTATTCTTCAACTTTTTTCTACATTGCTCGCTGCCCCTTGCGATACCTTGTATAGACACTCTCTTGCTCTCTTTCCCTTTCTGATTGCGGTAAAACGTTTCACACGTGGCACGCAGATGCTTCTCTCTTGGCTCGTATAGCGGTTAGCGGGAAGGCATGGCGTTAATTGTGTAATTTTTATTTTGTGAAGGTAGTCATTTGAGGAAGAACAGAGAAACCAAGAGTGAGAAGCGTGGATGTTGTGGATGTTTGTACATATAGACGAAAATATGAAAGGAATTCTCAGTTACACAGTGCTTGTTGCGCCGTTTTTGTGATTGTTGAGTGATATTCTGGCCCTGCGTAAGTGTGTCCTGGTTGCCTTCGACATGAGATGCTGTCTAAAACTTAGAACTGTTGTTGGGACGACGCTCCTTTGTCAGCCCTATCACCACCTTCACAGGGACGGGATTCAACGCCGGAAAGAGCCGACAGATTCGCAATAAACGGCCTTGCATCATACGCAAGCTCATGCATCATACAAAAGAAAAACATGCAAAACACCCCAACCCGGTTGTTGATTGTTGAGGGTAAAATGAGCAATGCCTTGGCGCCCTGCCTTTGTTCCGTCGCTTCCGCCACGTCGATCATCGGGTCCTCTTTCGGGTCACCGACCCTACCCATGTGAGAATCTCATGTACAGTATATTGAAGAAGTTGGAGACTATCTCTACACAGCCTCGAAAACCTCACAACCACCTACGCGTAACCATACACGATGGCTAAAGCGTTATCACCAGCCTCATGGACGCGTCAGGTTAACCAGGAGGCTCTGCAACAGAGTGGACGCGCTAGTCCCTGGCTGGCCAATTGTTTGCTGATTGTACGGTCCGACGCCTCTGCTATTTTCATTTAGCGGCTTTCGTGTCATCGATGCGCAGGCGCCGCGCCTTCCTCAGGGTCAGACATAACGTCATAATCTCCATAAAATCTGTGGCCTAGCTCCATGCCATGTGTATGAAGTTGGGTGTGTCCCCAGACGACTCCACGACTGAAACTTTAGTTTATTTTCACTTAAGACTCCGTTTGTTTGCGCCGTTCGTCGCCTGTCTTCTCACTTTGACATTGACGACCACTAAACCGCAACTATGGGCCTCTTCTCCCGCAAGCGAGCCGACTCCGATGCATCTTCTCCTACAGTCGTACCCGAACTCTCTAAGGAGCAAGTGAAAAGAGCAACGCGCACGCGCAAAACCTGGGCCCTCATAACATCATTCTTCCTCATCCTCTCCGTCATTTTCCTCATTCTCGTAAACATTGGCGGCACCTACAACAAAGCCGTTATCAGAAATTGGTACTTTATCAAACTCGATCTTTCCGATATTGTTCCTGCCAGTGTACCAAATTCCGGTCTCATCAACACGATTGCGCAAACCCTGGGTCTTCATGACTTCTACCAGGTTGGGCTGTGGGGATACTGCTCGGGATACGACAACGAGGGCGTGGTGTTTTGCTCCAAGCCCAAGACACTTTGGTGGTTCAATGTCGTCGAAATTTTGACTAATGAGTTGCTCGCTGGAGCTACCAGTATGTTATTGGTCCTCTCCAACTTGAAGATATATCCTTGTCTAACTGATATTTAGTCCAACTCCCCGCCAACATCAACGATATCATGGACCTGATCAAGTTTGCGTCGAACTGGATGTTTGGCCTCTTCCTCACCGGCACCGTCCTCTCTTTCGTCCTCGCGTTCCTCATGCCCTTGTCTGTCTACACCCGCTGGCTCGCGCTCCCCGTCGCCATCCTCGCCTTTCTTAACGCCCTAATCATCACCGTCGCCTCCGTCGTCGCAACCGTTATGTTCGTTATCTTCCGCAACGTTATTGGCGGTGTGGACGAATTAAACATCGGCGCAACGATTGGCACCACCCTGTTCGCCTTCATGTGGGTGGCGAGTGCGTTTGCCATATTTGCGTGGCTTGTGCAGATGAGCTTGTGCTGCTGCTGCGCCAGCAGACGCGACGTCAAATCGGGACGTAAGAGGGGCAGCGAGAAGGCATACCAAATGGATGGCCCGATTGCTACGGATGGTCCTGTTATGCGAGCTGGTGAACCCAAGGTGGTTACACCGCCGCGGTCCTAGAATATCTAGGAAGTTTGACAGCCACAATAGAACAACATCGCAAGATGCAACGTATTGTACGCCATACTGAAGATAATTTGGTGCGCGTAGTAAGCATTTGGAATTAGCGTTTTGATTCCCGTTATTTCGAGCGAGCAAGGCGTTGATCACATTTTAGATTGGGTAAAGCACTACATTTTGAAGTACTGTCAGATTTCGGCACGACACGGGAAGACTGCATTTATGAAGACCTTCCCCTAGAATAGACTCCAACATAACACTAATTAATACAAACATCATTATTCGAGAGATAGTTACGATCACATACTGCTCTAAGCCAGCATGACGGCGACCCATCCGTCCAGGATAGATAGTGTGATGATCACTGAGTGTCTACGCATCGTTGATCATACTACCTTACTCTTTCCCTGTCGAGGTCCATTCATGTTTTACACAAACGCCGTAGCTGACCGCCAGTGTCTGCAAAAGTAGCACACTATCCTCTCCTGGACATCGACACACGGGATAGTCACATAAAAGCCAGCAACCAGTATCGTCAAGTCGTTGTCTGTATCGTATGTACATCTTACTGCCGAAGGAGTCCCGCCCCGATACAGGGTATTCTGCACAAGTGCTACCAAAGATCGGATCCTTTTGCAAAGCTATATATCATGCACTTTGCCGCTCTACATTCCAGGCATGATGAACGAGTATGCTCCTGCATCCTTCCTCGACAGCTGCACTGCCCTCTTGCCTAGTTGCAAATGGAACATGAGCCTGTGTACTCTCCCATCCACTGAAAACGAGAGCTTCGTGACTTCCCACCGTTGCGTCACATTGCCAGCCATGTGCAACCTTGAACGAATGGTTGCCTTTGCCATGTTGCGCATGTCTCATAGCAGCCTGCTCGAACGCTTCCACAGCACTCCCATCCACGCTAAATCTCTCGATTGCTAAAATAGGCGCATCCAGTGGCAACGAACTCATACCATCCAACTCCATATGCACCGTCCACTGAAACTGGAGCATCTCTTCTTGGGGGCCCAAAATCTCTTCTCGCGCAGGAGAGGCCAGGAACTCCTGATGTGCAGCTAGAGAGGGCCAAATACCGAGAATATAGAGTAGGGTGGGATCTTGGATGCAACTGTAGAACTGCGAGCTGGTCTGCAGTTTGTCCCGTACGGTTGATAGGTTCTTGAGCAATGTTGGATCGTCTGCGCGAAGCTTGTTCAAACGCAACTGCGTCACCTCGAGAACAGGCATGTTTTAGTCTGGGCTTGAAGGCAGAAATACCTCGTGTCGCGCCCAGATATAGAGGGAAGGTGGTGGGGTTGTGGAGGGAAACGTCCTGGATTGGTCGTTTACAAGCGGTCCTTGGCGTTGTTCCAGACATCTGGTCGCAGCCATCCAACATCACTACATCAGGGATACAAGTACACCAAAACATGCGTGTCTCTTCACCCTGTTTGATGTGCTGTTGATGTGTTGTTCATACATTCGTTTCTCTCCGAAAGTGACTCGACTAAGTATTGTGCTGTCATAAACAACGCCCTTCCGAGGATTGCCAGTTCATATCGACTCATAGCATATTGCTTGATGACGCTTGCCCTCACAGTGTGAATCAAAAATAACCAGCCAAACAGATGGATATAAGTGCTAGACATCTGAGAAATCGATCCTCTCATCGTACCGCGACGACGATGCAAGAGGAACGCCATACCCCTCGGCCAAGACGGCTAGACCAACCATTCGCAAAATCACCTCGAAATAGTCGCAAGGCATACCAGCTCTGCAGGTCGACGTACAATGGGCGCAAAGCCATTCAAGCCATCAACCGTTGGCCGCACCGGTGAGGCCCTCCGAATGGGCGATCAACAGATGCCTATACACCACTGGCTCTCTCGGCGACTTTGATCTTACAACCACAAGAGAAGCCCTATCCCATTCGTCGGAATTCTGGAAACTTATCGTAAGGCTGTGAGTCAAGGTTGTTCAGCTGCTGCACCTGGTCTCCCCCTGACCATCTACCTGCGGGGTCGCTTCACAGCTCCTGGTCTAAGCCCCCAAATTTCATACTTGTTCTACAGCACATTGGTGGGCAGGAGCGATATATGTTATCATAGGAAAAGGCTGCGCGCGGATCGCGCATTAATCTTCTCATGTCCTGGCTGGCTTTCCAAGATCCTAGTATGCAGGACTCCCTTTCTTCCACTTCCTCTTCGGGCGACTCTCCCACACTGTCGGATTGCCGACTAGGTGGTACATCACGGCAGCCTCAAAAGCCGATACCCAGGAAGGGACACACCAAGTCGCGGCGAGGCTGCTTCAACTGCAAGAGGCGAAGGATCAAGTGTAATGAGAAACATCCAGATTGCCACCACTGCGTCAAGGCAGGACTGCAGTGTGCATACCCAGTCAATATAATACAATCAATGCAACGATCTCCAGTCTCTCCACGCCCGCATGAAGTTGTATGTTGGCGCTCAACGCCCGGCACGTTCGTGAGTACTACTCGGGCTTCCAGTTAGCTCGGCCTGCCTCTGACTGTTACAGTCTATGTCCGACATGCGCCTGTTCCACCACTTCCTCATCACTGCGTATCCACATTTGCCAGTTGGTGGCGACAGGATATGGGTAGATCTGATCCCAACGTTCGCACACAATGTACGTAGACTGTTCAAGCTCATACCAGACATTCAGCTAACCTCTACAGTACGAGTATGTCATCCACTCGATTCTCGCTCTAGCTGCATCCCATCTCGATGCTGTCTCAAACGCTGGCGTTGCCGAACAAGCAATTCAGCACCGCATCTTGGCCGTCAAGTCACTCAAAAAAGCACTCTCAGTTCCACCGAGGACGCGGTGTGAGAGGGATGCGAGAATGGCCGCCGCCATAGCCCTTGCATTCCAATCGAGCCACCTACAAGATGGGCTCGCCGAGTACTTGACGATGGTGAGGGGGTGCAACCTAATCGCTGGAGACGAAGGCTTTGCCAGCCCGGATTCTGTTTTCCATGTAAGTAGTCCAGCTCCTCATCGACCTGATCAATCTAGGATACGTCGAGCAATCTAACACAGACAGACCTTCTCAGAAGACACCCACCTCGAAACAATCAAGCACCGAATCGCCACAAACCCCCAACTCAACCACATCAACCACGCCGACCTCGACCTCGCCACGCTCTCCCTCCACTCAGTCAAACACCTAGCCATGTCCGACACAGAGCGAACATACCACGACCTCCTCGCCCAAACTATCTCCAGCGCCTACGCCAACCCAGCAGAAGCCTACACGACCTTCGTCGCAACGCACAACACGCCCTCGAAATGGACACACGATGAGTTCCAGACGTTCATCGATCCGGACAACAGCGTCGCGCTGATTCTTCTAGCGCACTTCATCGCCATCCAGGCCACTCTCACGCCTATATTGTACCTCGAGAGGGTGGGCTTTCGGGGCATCGAGGCGCCGACTGCGGTGCTGGGTTGGATTGAGGGGATCTATGGGAGTGTGCCGATGCATTTGAGGGGGTGTGTTGAGTGGCCGAGACGGGTCGCGAGGTATCCGTGTCTGCGGTTTTTGGGACAGGGGTAGATTGAACTATGACGGGTAAGGAGGTGGGTGTGTTGGGAGTTGGGAGTTAGGAGTTGAGGTGTGCGCACTGTATTCTAGCGTGTCATACGATTTGAACAATTGCTCGGTTTGTGGGGAGGGCTGTATGTGAATAGGATGCCCATGTCGACCTCTAGGCTTGTCCTTATATGCGTTGTTGTTGTCTCACATCACTGTACAATTCTCTTGGGTAGGCTGATTTCACCAGGGTCCAATTTCAAATGAAGTATAGTGGAGGTAGACGAGCATGTTATTTATAGCCACCAATCTCTTATGAAAAGCGATCGTCGTAAGCATACACATGTGTCCCCATGGAGTGGAGTATATTGGTTGGTACACAGATGATGGATAACAAAGAAAACACCAGACGACAAGTTCGAGTGGTGATAACAAAGCAAACCACCCAGTCCCCAGCCTGCCTATGCCCATGCCTATACCTATGCAAAATAGTAGAAAAAGACGACACATGAAGTGCGCCCATGGATAATAGCCACCCGACCCGATGGAGAAGAGGAGACCAGTCTAATAGACTAAAGTGCGCACTCGCCGGTGCCCACATGGTTATCTTGCCCTCTAACGCCTTGACCCTGAACCCAATGTATGCTGATGCTGTTAATCGCTATGACCGCGAATTCCGCCCTGACAAAAAGGAAACAATAGAAAATCATCATCCTCTCAAAACATGCACCTCCGGATTCATAGAAACACCAAGAATGCGGAGATGAGGATGAGAGAAGCGCTCCTACTCAAGATGTGTAGTAGTGACCACGCAGGCACCAACTGCAGAAGTGAGCGGGGAATCCGGAGGTGACAGAAGCGTAATATCGGCTTCAGGCTTGGCCCAACCTTCCTGGCGAGCCATCCACATGACGAGGTTGAGGTCGAAATTTTCAAAGAACACCTCGTCGAGAAATCGGGCTTTGACACCCGCGTAGGTATGGTACTCCTCGCGAATGTCCTCCACCCTTGTGCCGAGAAAGCGCCTAAAACAGGCAACTGTGCAGCCAGTGCGGTGCTTGCCCTTGTTGCAGTGTATGAGAATGGGGTGGTTGGTGCGGTCCATGATCAAGCGTAGGGCTCGCGACATCTCGCAAGATTCGACGCGGACTTTGCCCTCCTTGTTGGCTTTGATGTGAGCGTGAAAGTGCTGAATCCCAGCGCCGTCCATGAAGGCCTGGTACTCGGGAGAGATGGGCTCAGGGACGAGGGTTAAGATGCTCTTAATTTTGAGATTTTTGAGGAACTCGTAGTTCTTCTCCTGGGGGTAGCTGCTACGGTAGATAGCGTCGGGGATAACGGCGCCGTAGTTGGGCGGTGGGATGAGAGAGCATAGGCGTTCGGAAGCAGGTTTAGTAGGTGTGACTGTGCCTGATGATTTTGGCATGCAGCATCTCGCGCAATCTGCAGAGTCGTGGGGAAGATCCTCATGATTGGTTGAAGCCGCGTGATGAGTGAGCTGCTCGCTCACAGAAAGTCCGATACTTTGGAGATATTCGGCAATCTGCTCGTACTTGGTTTCATAGTCGCCCTGGCCAGCGGGTGCATCTGAGTTTTCGTTTGAAGTAGACATTATGGGATATTTTGTGTAGTTGATGTTTCCGAGTAGTGCGTGTTTGTTGAAAGTCTTAGTGTTTCGAGCTGTCCGTTTGCTGCGCGCTACACAGCAAGGTCAGGCTTGGAATAGCTACGATAGCAACGTCTGCTTACTTCAGTTCCGGAGTCTGACCGGTTGCGTCGGATAATCTCAAAAGTTTGTTGCGATTCAAGGTCGGAGATAGGTGTTTGTGTGTGCGGAATAGGAGGTGATAGTCGAAATTGCGCCTGTTTAGGCTGTCGTCGGATGGGATTGTGGGAAATGTAAGGGAAACAGGATGCCGGGCGGAGTTCGACAGCGAGGCTGCCTTTTTGTACAGTTAGTCAACTTGACGATATGGGAAAATTATGGGTGGTTCCTCTTTCCCACACGCTAGTTGATGTGAACCGGCGGTTGACGCGGGCAAGTCGTCCCGACCCCGACATTGTACATGAAGCATTGTCTCGCAACGTAATATTGATAGGAAACGACCCATGAGGAACGAGACATTTGTCAACTTACTTCGATCACCTTGGGGCTAAAGACGACATTGTGAGTGCTTCTTGCGGTAAAACTGCAAAGAGGCAATATTCATGGCGTGAGGAGGATAGTGTTGTAAAGGTTTGTTTGCAGGAGACGCAAAATCGCTGTGGGAGAGCGCTGGAGGCGGTAGCGAAGAGAGCGCCAGACCGTGTCACGCTGGAGGCGGGTCCCTGGGTGAATATAAGTGTTGGTGTGGAGTCTCGTGGAGAAGAGGTCGTCTAGGGTCGGCTTCCACTAGATCGCTGGGAATTATGCGGCGCGTTGCCTAAAACGGCAGTCGCACCTCTGGGTTGCGTGACGTAATTGCGCTAAAAAATGAGGCCTTGGTCATCGAGAATAGGCAGACCTACGACAAGTATGTTTCCTGAAGTGCTCACCGCGAAGCGTCGTGGACAAACGAGCCTGGTTTGCTCGACGAATGCTTACGCCTCATGTGTACAAGGGCTTACATTCACAAAAAGCACAGGCGACGCTAAGAAGCTTTGCCTCAATCTTGCTCGACATCGACCACCCCGCCATGGCTGAGTCGTAGTCGGAGTTAGCCGGAGTCTTAAGTTCGCGTCCATCGCAGGCCGAGCACAACGTTGGTCCAGGGCCAAGGCTTCATTTCTGGCCGTCGGAATGATTCCGATGCCTCCCTACGTTTGTATGCCACGTAGCCGTTGAACACAAGAGTCAAACAACGTCTCCCGGGCGTTCCGCACATTCAGCTCAGCCAGGTTTCTGACGTTTCGGCTCGTTCGTCCCATCAGGCTTGAACAGATGTGGTGAGAACATGCCACAGTGTGCTGCCTTTCACGTGCCAGCTCGATCGATCGTCCGCTAACCACATGTTGCCTGACCCTCCCGTCCCCACAGCAGTCAATCACGAAAGCTAGTCAGACCTCGGTCTCTCCACCATCAATCTATTGGGTTTATAGTAACAACGGTTGCTCCTCAGGCAACTTCACCTATCACTCCAATGGACTCTTCTCGCGCCCGCTCACGCTCTTCCACACGGCGCTCGTACCCCAATCTCCACAACCTATCCCTCGCACCTCTCAGCTCAAAGTACCCACTCGACGCCTCGACACCGCCCTCGCCCAATGCAGCCACCGCCCACACGCCACGTACCTCGTACATTGCACAAAAGTCAGCCCCGACAACGCCTGGAATACTCAGCCTGAGCCAGAGCCGCAGCAACTCGCGACACAGGGCAACCAAGTTCGCGTATGATGGGTACTTTGTCTCCTCCGGGCGTGAAGTACGAGGCGACGGCGAAATACCCAAAGCCAAGAGCACCAATACTTTGCACGCAGGAGTCAGCTTTGCAGATCAGGTAGAAGACAGTGGAGAAAAGAAACACCACACACGGAAACACACAGCGCCCTTACCTCTGCGCGCGCCTCTAGTCCGCCACCACACCACCGAGGCAAACGACGAGTGGTTCCACAGGGCCGGCCTCGCCATTGCAGGTGAAACACGCGAATCAAAAGGACAAGGCTGGCTTGTGCGCAGAGAGAGCTCGACAAGCCTAGTGCAGGACGACGACGAGCACCACTCCCACGATGCTCGACACATGGCGCTGCTCTCCGGCGAACACATGACAGACTTCGACTTCCCCACCTTCTCTCCTCGCATGTCGAGAGTGGGGAGTCGCATCACAAGTCGTATGGGGAGTCGCGCCCCCAGCGCACGCCAGAGTCGCCGCGGTTCGCGCGTAGGCAGCCGCGCCGACCTGCTCATGTCGTCTCTGCCTGCGAGCGGGCGTCAGAGCCTCGACATTTCTGACTTGGACTCCTCGCTCATCGAGCCGGACTTCGTGTCCGCAGATGAAGACAACCTCGACGACGAGGAGGAAGTCGCACGTCTAGCGCGGGACCGCGGGTTTGGCTTGGGAAGCTGGGTGGACAAGCTGATCGGATGGTCGCTGTTCGACGTGGATGAGGATGAAGAGGCGTCCGAGGACGAAGAAGAGGATCATCGTGTGCCGAGCATTGCGGACATGACGAAAGAGGAATTGAAGTTGCGGAGGGAAGTGGAGGCGAAGCGGAGGAAGATGGAGAGGGAGGCTATTGCTGCTGCTTCGGCGCAGAGTCTGCAGGAGAAGACGGACGAGGCGGGTCGGCCGAGCACGGTGGATGTCCCGGCGCAGGAACTCAATGGGTGGCAGGATGCGGCGTGGCTTTTGAGCGTGGCTTCCAAGGCTCTTTTCTAAGTTTTATACCTATGTCTACTATATTTTTGTCTAGCACAGTTATCGGTGCGTTGAGCAATATCTTGACAATCTCACACGATTTGTGAATGCCCTAAATATCAACCGCACCACACCAACCATAACACCATGGTACACACACGCACCACTCACGCCTCATCCAAGCACCAAACAACTACATCCCCAACCCTCCTCGAATCATCATGAAAATGACTATTAAACCCCCTCCAACACTCCCTATACCTACTCGCGCTCAAATACTCTCCCAACTCGCCCTCCAACTGGGCAAAAAAGACCAGATTCTGTGGCCACTCGCGCCTATAAGCTCTTTTGAACTTCGGATCCTGTCTAGCCCAGTGCTGGCCGGAGCGCGAGCCGCCCGACGCCACGGTCTGCACGTCCTCCATGTTGGCGCGCAGCCAGGCGGTGGGGCCGGGCTTGATGTAGAATTGGTCTGCTTCGTCGAGGTAGGTGGCGCGGTCTGAGAGGGGCATGTTGAGCGGGGGCTCGCAGGTGAGGGCCCATGCGGAGATGGAGGGGTGGACGAGGTGGGAGCGCCAGGGGGTGGAGTGGCAGGGCATGAGGAAGGCTACTGTTGTGTTGGAGGGTTGTGTGCCCTGTGTGCTGGCTGCGAGGTTGTGGCGGAGTTCGTGTTTGTGGCGGAGGTGGGATAGGACGTCGATTACGCCGCGTTGGTGGATCTGGGATGTGTAGCCGGCGAGGAGTAGGTTGATGGTGAGGAGGGAGAAGATGGTGGCTTTGTGGGATGTTGGGGCTGAGCGGGGGAGGAAGGCAGCGAGTGGTTGGGCGGAGAGGATGTGTAGAAAAGGGAGAATGGGGTACAGGAAGCGGACTTCTTTGTGGGAGATGAGGCTTAGGGTTATGGTCATGGTGAGAGATGTCCATGCCAGACGTGACAGGATCACTTGCTGCGTCTGATGCTGAATCGCACGTTCAGGTGTTGACGACTGACCACTCGATTTGACAGCAACGTTTGGGTCTCTCGAGAGGCTTCCCTTTAGTGCATGCCATAGTCCTACGATAGCAAAGGGCACGGCTGTAGTGAGCAGCAATGGTAGCCCTTCTGTGAAGTAATAGTCTGGTCTGTTCTTGCCATAGAACACAGCCAACGACTGGGCGATGTTAAAGTACAGAAATTGCACGGGCGGTAGGGTCCAGACGCCGTAGTAAAGTCTATCCGATGTAGCTGAGCATGCAAGGACAGCGGAACTAGTATTGTCAGTATTATATTTGTCTGATGACCGTCCAGATACAGAGTAGTGTAGAGCTTGGTATACTTCGACACAAACTAGGAGAAGGTACAGCGGCTGCACATCACTTACCCGCAGACCAAGGCTTCGCGGAAGCATACATACCGCAGCCGATTTGAGGCTTGCCATAGCGTTGGGGCGGATACGGATAACCAAATCAGGGCATTAGTGGGTCGCAGTACACATGCAAGCGCTGCCAGTAGCAGCGATAAACGTAGCCTGCACAAGCATAAGCCTAAATTATATGCCGCTGTGAAAGGAAGCGCAAAGTTTGAATCGTTCAACATACCCTGTGAGCGGACCGAAGTCCTGCTCGTCTGTAACGAGCAACTCAACCTTTTTGGAATCTCGACCGCTTACATTACTATGCCAATACCAAGGCCAGTGATAAAGAGCAATCGATGTAAGGGTAGTCTCAAGACAGTTCGACAGGGTTCGTGTCGAGCAGAACCATTGCCAGGGGCTGCATACCGACAACGCAAGCTAAAATTATGCAAGAGCAAAAATTAGAGATTGATGACGAGGCATGAAATGGCGGGACGGTCGCCTACAGTAGCAAGGGCGGCACGGCTGCCACGGCCGTGTACTTTTCCCGCAAGCTTCCAGGTGTAGCAATCCAACAGCGCTGCGAATACAGCCTGGGTAACCTTTGGCGTCACCACGAGTAGTTCTGCTTTGATTGGTGGAGTCAAGCCACAAAGGTCTGCCAGTCCTGCAGCAACTCGATAAATTGCCGCAAAGAGCGCTGGGTGCAAGGAGGATCGCAATTGCGTTCTCCACTCCTAGGCATTGTGAGCCTAGTACCCGATTGCGGAGAGGCAAAACGCCGTCGAGGTGCACTTACCCAAGTGATCCAGGCATTGCTGGACTCGCCAAAGGCAAGCTGCCAGGCTGGCTCGAGAGATTGGAAGTACTCGTCTGGCTGGAAAAAGGTGCGCAGCGTCAGTGCGTTCACGATGCGGAACGCTAGCAGCAGCGAGAAGACACCTAGCGTCGAGTCACGATAGCTGTTGGACAGTGTTCTTGGTGGAGGACCACTACTCGCACTCGGACCCGTGGCTCTCGCGGAGTCGTTGGTGGACGGCATTGGAACCAGATAAAGGCCGCGGAAGTCGAGCACAAGCGACGGGTGACCGGGGGAAGGCAGGACAGACGAGCAGAGAGTCAGATTCACTGCTGAGGTGACGATGGGAAACCTGGAGGTTGAATCTAGCCGGCTTGGCACATGCACGGGCGGACATGGTTTGTCATGCGCCAGTACGTTTGCATAAGAAGTGCAGAAAATTGAAGTTGTTGAAGAATTGAATCTAGCTGGATTGGGTAGTTCACGATGATTCTGGCCGGTGTTCAGGCAGTTTAGACTCGGGTTCGTCTGTCGGTTCTGACACGGTGCCCTGCATGCAGTGCAGTGTGACCATGCCGTCGAGGCCCGTGATGCTCACGATAGGCGGTACATGTATTGGTTGAGTAATTGCACGCCGCTCGCTGTGCCAGGCACCGTCGGGCTTGACACACATGCGATGGAATCGTCTAGTGGGCTACAGGTGGTTCACTCGCAACCGGCGACGGCAGGGTCACCACCCTGTTTGCGGGTGGCGGTTCGTGACGGTTCGTGACGATGCACATAGGATAGCGCGAGGCGAGATACCATTTGTGCACAAGCGGGAACGAAGAAACAAAAGGACGGGAAATCTGGGGAAGCGAGGGTCAGAGTCAGCGTCAGCGTCAGCATTGGACTTAGCACGACGACGTATGATGATGTCGGTGTTCTGGGCTTGGGAGCAACTATGGGATCAACTACGGGTTTTAGAGGCTGCTATTTTCTGCTCTTATCGCGGATGACAACGATATACAACGTACGGTGGGTGTATATCCAAGGTGGAGCCTGCATATGCAAGCCAGCAGCCACAGCCAAGATGTTCTGCTGTCAAATTAATCTGCTTACGTTACTGCATGTAACGAATAAGAGGTGCAGCGTCCAGCCACCCCCTCCCAGATCCACCTTGGATATACACCCACCGTACGTTGTATGTCGTTGCTCCTCCCGTGCAGATGCAGCATCTCCGAAGCAGTCTTCAGCTAGGCAGCTAGGCGGTGCAGGCGCTCGCTAGCCGTAGCCCCAACAGTCAACGCTGCGAGATTCCAGCACATGCTGCTGATCCTCAGGGACACGGAAGCCTTCTCCAGCTTGGCGATGTGATGGGCGCACTCAGCGCGCCACAAAGAAGGTGTTGAGAGTTGGGACAAGGGTGTTTGAGAAACACTGCGCTAGAGGACCCACACGCGAAAGGCAGCCATGCCCGATGCGTGTGGCCACCCGCTGCGTGAACATCTGAGGGCAGGGCAGAGTCGAGGACCTTCAGCAGCACGTTGAGCAACGGCCGCGCCCAAGTGAAGAGTTGCCCGCCGTGGAGAGTCGCCGCTGTAGAGATTGCCGTCGCTGGGTGCTCGCATCTCGGCCTCTCTCCACCCTGCACGCTGCACCCTGGACATCTGAACCGGCCAAGCGTCATTTGGTCCCACCAAAACGCTGCCAAAACGCTGCCAATCGCTGCCCGATGCGGAAAGCGCGGCCGTCGATCACCTCTCAACTAGCAACTGGGCGCCGTTTAACATCGCGGCCACGGCCACGGTCACAACCCTCGACCTCGACCCACAACCCTCGACCCTCGACCCGTATTACTGCCGTCACCACCACGCGCCGTGAGCAGCAGAACAACGCCGCGCCATCGCCGTCGCCGTGACACCGCCTGAGCCTGCCCCGGAGCAGGATGCGACCCCTCTGCTGAACAGTTGACATTGCTGAACGGTTGACATGGTTGCACGCTCTGGCTGAACCAACACGAACGACCCTGCGTCGCCATGGACGACGACACGCCGGGCAAGAGCCACGGCCCCGCCCCCGAGGACAGCACCCCGCGCTCCGAGGTGCCGCTGCCCCCGACGTCAGAGACGGTCACGGCCGGCCTGCTCTCGCACATGCACGCCCTGGACCCTGAGCCCAGCTACTTCTCGCCGCAGCCCATCCGTGTCCTGTCGTCGACGATCCCCCGCTCGGCGCCTGCATCGTGTCACCCGTCCCCCACGGTGAGCGCCTCCGTCGTCTCCCTCAGCATCCCCGAGGAGGGCGAGCACAGCTTTGCCCTGGCAACCCACCCCGACCGCCCCCTCTTCCAGCGCGACGTCTCCAGCGCGTCCACGGCCAGCACCGCGACAGTACGAGCCCACCTCGCCGAGCACGGCTACACGTCTACGGCGGCCTCACAGCAGCCGCGGGATGGACCCGTCTACCCCAACCAGTCCTATGCCGCGCTCCACCTCCAGCAGTACCCAACCTCGCATGTTCCGCCCATCCTCCGTTCGCGGAGCTCGCACCCCGCCCACACGGCTACCACTTCGCTCTCGGGAATCCCCACCTTCGGCCTCCCTCGTGACCACCATCGCGACATCATGGAGTCAGCCCCTCGATCCGCTGGCAACTCCCCCACCAACAGTCCCGGCCTCTTTGATCCTCACAAGCGTCGTCCCCGCAATGTAGAGCACCGCAACGACGGCCTCTATTCTAGTCCCTGGCTGCACCACACCCACAGGCAACCCCCCAAGGAGACACACCTTGCTGACGTGCAGTCTGACCCTGTCTCCGGACGCAAAATGGTCAACCAATACGAGATCATCGACGAACTGGGGCGAGGTGTGCACGGCAAAGTCAAGCTAGGAAAAGACTGCGAATCGGAGAGATACGTGGCCATCAAGATTGTAGACCGGTTCGGGAAACGGAAACGCTTGGGCAAGAACAACACCAACCACGAGGACAAGATCAAGCGTGAAATTGCCATTCTCAAGAAAGCGCGCCACCCCCATATCGTGAGCTTGCTCGAGGTCATAGACGACCCTGGTAAGAAAAAGGTCTATATCGTACTCGAGCATGTCGAGCTGGGTGAAGTCAAGTGGAGAACAGAAGGTACCAGGGAGGTATGTCTGGTTGAATGGCGTCGCATCAAACGAGAATCCCAGGGCATCTTCGACGACGACAGTGCAGACCGTGAGGATGAAAGGATCGTCAGGCACGGGCACCATAATCTCGTCCGTCAACAACGTCGCAGAGCCAAAGAGGCACGCCTCCGCCGCCAGAGTCCCACAGGAAACGAGCCTTGGAGCTTTGAATTTGGCGGTGAGTCTGACGACGAACATTCTGAAACAGGTCGAAGCTCTGCCCATGGAGAGGAGCGTCCCCTAAGCTATACCCAGTTTGACGAGTGGCACAACGCTTCCAATCGTCACGCGGACAACATGGAAACCGCCTTTCGTTCTCAAACATCCACCACCGACACTTGGCCAGAAGTACGCAGTCTTACTCGAGAGCTAGAGGGCACCATGTACGGTGCATACAACACGGATTTTATGCGGGGACGTACACCAAGTGTCACAGGAAGCAATTCCTCGCATACTTCGGATATGGAGGAGGATATACCCGAGCACTTCCGTTACGTTCCCTTGATGCCGATCGACTATGCTCGCCAAGCGTTCAAGGACACAGTCTTGGGCATCGAGTACCTTCACTACGAACAAGTCATCCATCGCGATATCAAACCTGCCAATCTTCTCGTTACCAGGAACCACGAGATCAAAATATCTGATTTCGGAGTTTCGTATCTGGGGCGTCAAAAGACAGAGGAGAGCAACGGTGACCAATCCGAGTCTGATTACCAGGAAGTAGATGAAGCCATTGAATTGGCAAAGACAGTGGGTACCCCAGCCTTCTACGCCCCCGAGCTCTGCCGCACTGAGTTGGATGTGGATCCTCCCCAGATAGATGGCAGCATCGACATCTGGGCTCTGGGAGTAACGCTTTATTGTCTTATCTATGGTCGCGTACCTTTCCACGACACGAACCCATTTACCCTGATGAAGACCATCAGCGAAGACGAGCCTCACATTTCGAGATACCGACTCAAACCTGTGGCTGAACATTCTAGTTCGCGGCCGAACTCACACGGACGTAACAGTCAATCAATGATCAGCGACAAGAGAGCTCCATATAACCTTGAATATGAGGAAGTGGACGACAACCTTCGTAATCTCTTGCGGCGCATGCTGATGAAGGATCCCCGACATCGAATCACAGTTCCAGAGATCAAGCTTCATCCCTGGGTTCTCCAGGGACTATCAGACTACGATATCAACAAGTGGATTGATGATAATCCTGGCAGACAAAACGATGGACGTAAAATTGAGATTTCTAAAAATGACCTTGAGAGTGCTGTCGTTCCTGCCATTGGATTTGCAGAACAAATACGTTCGACGTTCAAGAAGGCATCCAACTTTGTTACCAAGAGCTTCACTCGTGGCTCTGGATCACGACGTCGCGCTCAGAGTTCCGCTACCAATCAAGAGGCAACCCCTTCCATCAGCGCGACTTCTTCAAGCAGCACCATCAGCCAGGACGGACGACGGGGAAGCCTGGTGCCTGGCACAATTCTCGAAGTGTTGAGCCGATCACGCGAGTCAGAGCACCCCCTTTCACAGAGTGTCACCGCAAGTCCGGAAGCTAGGGAACGAAACAGGTACTTTGACAGCCCAAACTCGCGTACCGCGTCCCCGTTGCAGGGCATGGAAAGCTATCGGCCACAACTGCAAGACCGAGCCTATTCGTCAGTGCACACGATCCGACAGACGGATGTTCTTCCGGGTCGATCCAACTCGCCGAATCTTCCTCTGGCTCTTCCTGGCACTCCACTGGCTTTAGATACTCCCGGTGGTTCCTCTTTGGGTGGCTTGTTTGGAGGTATGCCACGACGTGTAGTCAACAGTATGAGAAGCAAAGACAAATTGAAAATTCCACGAGACCACAATCGAGCGAGATCTATTGATAGACTTGCTGGAGGTGACGATGACAGTCACTGCGTACCGAGTCTTGCGTTAAGTACTACTGTTGCTTCAGGTCATGTCGACCAACCAGACGCCTTGAAGGAACTATCACCTATCGCTCGGGGTGTTTCGCCATCTTTCTCAGATTCTCGTTCGCTTGATCCTCTTGATACGACGTCGCGGCAGTCTTCAGTGTCGTCTCTTTCGTCTCGCCTACATAGAAACTGGGCCACCGCAAACGACCTTGAGGTTGGACCTGCACTGGACATTCCTTCAAACACGAATAAAGAGTATTGGTATCCGCCAGCAGCGTCTGTGACGTCTACTCAAGGGTCTCAGGCTGCAGGAGGCAGAAGACCGTCCGTCCCCGGGCCTTTCGCTCGCCAAAACTCAGACGATCGATTTAGTCGGGCAAAGGACGAATTCTACCGACGGAGAGTTAGGGAAGAGAACTTGAGCCACGAGCGATCTATTTCGACGACCTACCAACGACCTCCTTCGTCCCTCAGTCAGATAGCGTGCCCTCCAAGCCCTGACGATGAAATGTACTTCCATCGCGAAGAATACATGGGCCGACACGATCCGTCCTCCGAGAATAGCCCTGTCGGTGGACAAGAAAGAGGGTTGGCTTTCTGTTCGTCAGAAGAACAATTTACGCCCATGTCACAATCTACGTCACACCCTTCGATTCCGTCTGTAGCATCAGCTGGGTCGTCTGTACTAGATGAGTGTGCCTCCTTGGGTTATCTCTCCAACATGATGTCTCCTGCATCAGCCGATTCCATTCACATGAACATGAACCCCTTTGAAATCCCCGTCGAAGACGCTGATGGCTATGATGGAGATCATGCCGTGGAGAGTGAAGAAGACGACGAGAGCGACGACGATGGCGGGCTGTTCATCGGAAGGAGGAAGCCTGCGCCACAGTCGCGCAGGGGCGAATCCGCCTCAGAATCTAAACGCGCCCACTCCACCGTCCACAAAGGACTTGTGCACAGTCGTCGCCGCTCAGCGCGCAGCGGAAGCAACGGCACTGTCAAGAAGGTCTCTCCATCTGATGTGTCTACCGATCCGCACACCCCCGAACCACAATAGCTACTTCATCGACATGAAAACGCTCTCATTGTCGATCACTATGTTTACATGTACAACTATCGCATATCCCCCGAGAAGTTTTCTCCTGTACGAATACACTCTCTGTCCTATACCTCAGTTCGTTCCCCCTTTTTTTGTTCAAGGCATACGGGCGCTGGGCGTTCTTTGCTGGCCGTGGTAAAGCTTGGATTCTTTGCATTCGCCGGGCGACTTGTTTCCTCCAAAACGCGGCGTGTCTGATCACCTACCTGTAATTTTTTCCTCTATCACACTTGTATCTATGGATTATCTATTATCATCTTTTACGGTTTTCGCGTTGCATGGTTGGGTTGAAGGGAGGGGTTCGATTGGGTTGGTTTGGATGGAAGGGGGGCCGATGATGATATCGATAATGATGATTGGATGATATACCTTTTATGTTTGGGGGGGGGGTGTGAGTGGGAAGGTGGAAGCGAGGGTGATTGAGCGGGCTTTGGGCCTGTGTTCTTTTCTTAGCAACGTCGAGTGTTGCATTTGCATGATAGATGGAGTGGGGAGGGGTAATCTGGCCATTTAGATTAGGGCTTTTTCGGTGGTAGTGTCACAGCATGCAATGGGATGGAACCCCCTGTTCTCGATACCCGTCTGCACATCACATTGATACTATGTTTGGTGATGTGTTGACCCTGCAGTACGTTCGTTCCTACCGCTTTCATACATTCTACACTATACCCCCAATACACCGTACCATTAACATCCAACGCTCTCCCATCAGGTCAGACACACATCACACCACCGCATCGCGATCCCACACCCGCCCCCCAAACACCATCATCCATCCATCCATCACTCACCGATCTTCCCATAAGCACGCGCTCGCATGCTTACCGGTTCATTCATCCCGCTCCTCCATCCAGCACGCTACCTATGCTCCGGCGATCCTGCACAGGCGTCACACCGATCAGTAGGTAGGGCATGGCAATCGAGGCTCGCGTGGCACGACGCGGGGGCGAGGGCGAAGACATCGTACAGGTTGTTGCGCCGAGGGTAAGCGGATGGACGGTTTGTGCTGCGTGACTGATTGACTGGGTGGATGGATGACAGCAAGAGTTGGGTTGTAGAAGCACCGCGTCATTGTCCGTCCCTCATGGCTGGAGATTATGTGGGTAGTATATCATTATGATTGTATGTTCTGTTCAAGGCCAAGTCTTGCCATGCCTGCTGCGTTTTCGAAGGGTATACTGCTGTGCATCTGTCCAGCTGGCTGATACGATGCGTTTAGTCTTGCTGCTGACGTCTTGTGGCGTCAATGAACGAAGAGGAATTGTACTCCAGCCGTGTTCATAGTATGGTCCTCTGAATCAACTTGGGCAGCTGATGGAAACTGTTCGAAGGCTCATGGGACACAAGATATGAAGACACTAGGTGCACGCTTTGGAAGCAAAGAGAAGAGAAGGATGACACAGTTGTGGGCTCCCTTGCTGTAGCTCTTGAAGCACAGCTCGTTGTATGCTCGACGGTGAAATATGCGTCAACACTACGCAATCAAGAGCACAGCACCAGTTGACTTCGTGTACGTTGACTCCCGGAACCCCTACCTGAACTCCAGCACGCTTCCCAGAAAACCACTCGAACGATTTCTTGGAAAAGCCTCCGAAACGGCTGTCGCCGCACCACCATCTTCTCGCCAAAAATCAACAGCATTCCTCGCCTCGACTCGTCACTCACCCACTGCCACACATGCACATCTCCCGCCCCCGCCCCCCTTCCACGTAACATGCCCATTGTCATGACGCTATACCGCCCATTTGATTGCTGGACTGCTGAATTGCTGCACAGCGACCGTACGGAGATTTGCTCAACACGGTAAACTTTCCAGAAGAAAGACGGCCCGACGCGTAATCAGGAGCCTACCGATTGGAGAAGAGGGTTCAACTTCGGGTGACCTTTCCTCAACGGGGCACGTGTGCCAAGACAAAACGCGTGTGCGCACGTTGTTGCGACGCGTACGTGCGTGGTGTGGCGACGCGTGGCACTCTAGATCGTGAAGACGACTCTGGTGTTGCAACGCTTGCTTGGGAATTGCGGGCTTGTGATTGGTACGGGGGGAATGATGTGCGTTGGTGGAATGTTGGGGATGCAAGGCTGTTTGAAACGAAACCAGACCGTGCGGAGGGGTGTTTTGTTTAGGGCGGAGTGCTTGGTATACCGCTTGGTGGTTTGAGAGAGTTAGTGGGATCTGGAGTTCATCTTGGAGAATTGGGTGTTGCGGAGAGGGAGGTCGCTTTGTGCTATTGATGCGCTTCCATTTCTTGTGCAACTAGAGGTCAATTCTGCATTGCGGTAAACAATCCACAAAGACACCGACAACACCCAATCCAGGATATCATCATACTACTAGCCTAACGTCCTGCACTGCCGGCGTCCTGCCAAGCCGGGAGATTTCATCTACTTGCGTATGCTTGGTGACGACTGAACAAGCCTCAACCAAGGGCACTAAGCCCTGTCACAAACGTCAGGTCTCAAGAAGGCCAACAAAACAATGCTCACTAGAAGGTAATGATATAAAGGAGCATACAGCTGCTCTTCAAAATATCATCCTCATCAACAACAGTTCCATTCACTTCTTCAGTACCAGCTACATTCACTTCTTCAACACTTCTTATTTTATCCACTTCTTCAATCGCTACCAACTCAACATGAAGTCTGCTATCATCTCCACCCTTATGGGCGCTGCTATGCTCATGCAGCCCTCCATTGCTCATCCTGGCGAGAGCCCTGAGCAGCACGCGAAGGATATGGCCGAACGCAGGTCTTACCTGGACTCGCACAAGCGCTCCCTCGCCCACTGCGCCGACAAGCTCAAGGCACGTGGCAACGACATTGCTATGCACCAGCGCCGCAGTGCTGCGGTTGAGAAGCTGCGCGCAAAGAGGTCCATCGAAGCCTCGAAGCCCTTCCTCCGTGCCCGCGATGTTGACTCTGTGCTCGCCACCAGCCACTTGTCCAACATGACTGGCATCACCGCCGACACCGACCCCGATACTCTGTTCTCGGGCAATGCGTCCTGCATCTTGACCCCAGAGGTTACCCAGGGCCCTTACTACGTGTCTGGCGAGTACGTTCGCGAAGACATGTCCGAGGATCAAGAGGGTGTTCCCCTTACACTCAACATCCAGCTCATCGATGTCAACACGTGCGAGCCCGTCCCCTCCATCTACCTGGAGTTGTGGCACTGCAACTCCACTGGTGTGTACTCCGGTATTTCCGCCAGCGGTAACGGTGATAGCACCGACACGTCCAACCTTAACAACACGTTCCTGCGTGGTATCGCACAATCGGATGACAGCGGTGTGGTGGTCATGCAGTCGGTATTCCCTGGTCATTACACCAGCCGTGCTACTCACATCCACGTGTTGTCCCACAACGCCGAGAGCACGGTCCTCGCCAACGATACACTTACCGGTAACACCGTCACCCATGTTGGTCAGGTATTCTTCGACCAGGATCTCATCACTCTTGTCGAGACCCAGGAGCCATATGCCAGCAACACCCAGGAACTCACCACCAACGCAGATGACTCTATCCTCAGTGAGGAGGCTGCAACTGTTGACCCGGTCGTTGAGTACGTTCTTCTCGGCGACGACATCTCTGAGGGTGTCTTTGGATGGCTCGCTTTTGGCATTGATACCACCAACGCCATGAACGTTACAGGTGCTGCAACCCTGACCGCGAACGGTGGCGTCGCCAACGCCGACTCTGGCATGGGCGGCGGCGGTGGATCTGCTCCTTCCGGTATGATGCCTTCCGGCGGCATGTCCGGTGTTGCGCCCTCTGGCAGCGCCTCCTCAGTCGCCGTCGCTGCTGCCTCGTCCTCCGTCTCCACAGCTGTTGGCTCCACGCTCACTACTGTCGTTTCATCCGCAGCCTCGTCCGTTGTCGTTTCATCCGCAGCCTCTTCAGTTGTCGCTTCTTCTACCGTCACCAAGGGCAAGGGTCGTTCCTCCACTATCAAGACTTCTTCTGCTGCTCACTCCTCCTCTGCTTCTCCTCAACACGGCCAGCAAGGCCAAAAGGGCCAGCAAGGACAGCAGGGCCAGCAAGGACAGAAGTCTGGTTCCAAGAACGGTCAAAACCCCCGTGCTTAGAGCATAGATCATGGTGTTGAGACACGAGTAGAAGGGAGGTTGTAACACTAGGCAGCGAGTTAGCAGGAGTACACATAGCGATGGAGCAGGCATCGATCCAACTTTACACACTCGTTTAGGGAATTTGACATTTACCTGTATCATTAAAGTCTTTTAGTAGAATCTTAACGCATTCATCGCACAGTGTTTCCAAAACTGCCAATTGCATCTGCTTCGTGATCGTGATTCGTTGTCCATTCCAACCCCCCATCCAACAGCGAGTGACATAGCTTTGCTCATAAGTCGCCTTACTTCAGACAGATCCTTGTGTCCTCACTCCTTTTCTTGTAAGAACAGTCTCTTTCTCGGTCCCGATTCAATCGTCCAAAGCCCTCAGTCCCTCCATCAACTTCCCAAACGCCTCAACCCTCTCTCCACTCTTCACATTCTCCTTCCCAGTCTTTCCAATTTCCTTCTCATCACTCTCTTGCTCCATCCCCTCTTCCAATTGCCTGGTCACGGTTTCCTTATCCAATACCGCCCGCGCGTCCTCTAGCCCCCCAATATCCCTCGCGTTTGTGTAACCCAGCGCCTTCAGCGTTTTTAGCGCAATATCGGATCGTCTCCCACTTCTGCAGTAAAGAGTAATGCTGGTGTCTTTGCTCACATCTGGGTAGACGGCGGGGAGTGTATCGATGAGCTGGTATTCGATGTTGATGGCGGGGCGCAGATCGAGTGAGAGCGAACCAGTTGCGAATTCGGCAGGGGAGCGGACGTCGATCAGTAAAGACTTCGGTGGGGTCATCGTGAAGGTTTGTGGCCGTGTGTATGTGAGGGGAGATTGTGAACATTGGAGGGGCAAGCATGAAGTTGAGGGCAGGTGCCCCTCACTTAGCGCCGCATCAGATTCATAGTCAAGACATTGGAGTAAGGAAGTGTTTTGATTTTGGGCAGCAGATACACCCTTTGGCTGTTATGGAGGTTCACACTGATACAATACGGGGAACATAAAGAGTAGAGTCGAATCAGATTCGTTGACGATAGCCTTGATTCAGAGACCTATCAACAGATCGACACCTCGTGCCAGATGCAGCACAAGATACTACGTAATAATCATGCTTCTCCTGTCTTCCTCCCTCCTACTTTTACGTGTGGCCGCCGCGCCAGTAAAGGCACATTTGGCTTGCCACTCCATTACATCCCATGTCTCTAATTTTGGTACTCCTTGATGCATGGACCAACTGGTCTCATTCTAGAAATGGACGCCCGAAAAAGTGGATAAACGCCGTGCTTAGCTCGATGAGTGGCCTTTGAAAGAAAATCGCAGAAGTGGTATAAAGCAAAAATGCAAATAAAGAGATTGAGCATTGGTATCGTAAGTGTCCGTGTGCGAACGGAAAACGCAAACATTAAGTATGGCGATGGATAGGCGCCTCCTGTTATTCGATAACATATCTTGTCCGTCATGACATATGCCGTTGATACTGACGCGATCTGACCGACGTGACCGAAGGACGTAGGCGCACCATTACGCATGTAAAAAGAATCTAAGAACCCTTCAGGTTGGTAGTAGAGAAATTGAAGTTCAAGAATTCGAACAAATTTTCCTTGGAGTTGGTGCGGCTCTCGGTGAAAAACACGCCCTGAGCGCTGTTGTCCACTGACGGTGAATGTCTAATGGATGGTTGAAGTTCTCTTGGTTCGAGGATCAGAGAACGACGGTAGTAGCTTTGAACATTGGCTCCGTCACTTAAGCCGACCCGCTGGATTTGCGCCTGCATCCAGTCTTGCATATCGGGAATAACAGCCAAGCGATAAGGCACTTGGAACGATTGTAGTTGACCGATAATCTTGGCGGTTTTCATGTGCTTGTCGAAGTTGATGACTGAGAGGTTGTCACGACCCGACTCCCCAGGGAGTTGACGCGTGGTGCCGTTCCCAGCGTCAATGAAGGTAAGATCGGTCAAGTATATCCCAACAAAAGGGATACACGGGGCGACATGATTATGCAAGCGCTGACGCAGCACGGCGTAGTTTCGTCCAACATCGGTGATTTTTTTGAGCTCTTCAAGGCGAGCCTTGGTCTTCCCAGAGACAAGTTCCCAGGTCCTCTTCAAGCGCATCACCATTGATGAATTTAGGGAGCAGATGATGGCCATCAGTGAATCGTAGTTGTTCAGCTCCAGGCACTTGGCTGCAACCTTGATCCATTGCTTGATTATGGCAGCCCGCTTCTTTGGGTCCTCGAGTTGGAGTATAGTGTCTGCGACCAGGTTCGCCAAGTCAGTTGACAGTGAGATCATCGCCTTGACGTTGACAGCTTTCGAGTCACTTTTCTTAGTCCATTCCAAGGCCAGAAGCTCTTCAGGTTGAATAGAACAGAAGAGCTTAGACTCAATGATAGTCATTTGTCTTGCCAATTCGAGTGGATCGAAGTCGAGGATACTACACTGAGCTCGACCTTCTTTGTTGGCCCGCAGGGCATTGAGCTGGCTTCTGCTAATTGTCGGAGACGGAACATTGCTGTCAGCAGATGTGAAGACGGTGCTCGACACTCCCGTCTTGCCAATTGAGGAGACTAGACGGGGTACAAGAGCTCCTGCTCTAACCTCGGTAACCTTTGAGGTGAGTTCCGCAAGACGTTTGCCAGCAACAGGCATGGAAGCTTGTAGCTTTCCAGTAGCGAAAGCAAATATAACACCGAGTGCGTCCGAATCGCTTTCTCCAGACCAGTGAGTTTCGAGCCAGCCTTTGAAAACGTTGTAGATTCGAAGACGAACGGGAACTCCTATTGATTGGCTGTCGCCAATATAGTCATATCGATCGATCAGACATTGCGCCAGGTCCACTGGCGTTGCGAAGAGGCGGAAGGTAAGATAGAAGGTAGTAACGAACACAGCATCGGGTGTAGACTCGTGTGTGGTAAGCTGCTCTACAAGAGCAGGGAGCGAGCCACCAGAGATCTGGCCTTCCTTGTTATAGATGAGCTCATGCACATAGGTTGTTTCCAGCAAGTGCTCTTCGCCAGCAGCGATATCCTCGCTTGCCAAAGATCGCAGCTCAGAGGAGCTGCCGAAACTGCTCACCAAAGTCTGGGAGCTATGCTTTTCTGACAAGGAGTGGTCAGGAGTAGTAGCTCTGGTGGATGTGTATGATACAATACTTCCACTATCACATGGCACACTAAGAGGATATGTGCTGCATGAATCGTTCGTTGAAGCATTGACACTGTCATTCCGGGTAGATTTGGACATTGTCTTTTGAGTTACATTCAAAGGGCTCTCAAGAGACCCGGATGCTGTCGGCGGGAGCACATCAGGGATAGGATGCTGAGCAAGGGTCGGGAGAGACGATCTCGAAGAGTTGAACGACATCGTTGTTGGACTCTCAGCGATTGTAGCACATGGAGTGGGTTGTAGACTGATTCTGTTGTTGGTGTTTGAAGGCAGGGATTGTGGGACCTCGGGCAAAGGCTTGGATTCAGAGATGACTAATGGCGGTAGCATCTGTCGCTCATCGGACGGGGGAGCGGGTAGTGGCTTGTTGGTTTCGAGTGGTGACTCCGACAACATGGGTGATTGAGATCTGTAAACCTCCTCTTGGTCAGTTCGCCCAGCGTGATCGAAGGTTAAGTCTGACAATGCCAGACCGGCCATTTCGAATTCAAAATCGCCTATCCTTTCAACCACAAGACGAGCTTTGGCGACGCAGTCGCCTGCAGACCTAACACAACTAGTGGCAGCATCGACAAGTTGCCTTTTTGAATCAGGCCTAGCCACCCCTTCCTCTTCCATGTCAGAGCTACTGAACATGTTCTTTGTTGCTTGTACGAGCTCAGTCAGTCGCGCGTACATAGTATCCCTAGTCTCTTCTAACTGCTGGGACCTTCGTGAGTCGCGCTCCCACACCTCCTCGACAACGGTTAGAAGCTGACGACAGGCAATGACAGATTGTTGTGTGATGTGAGCGAGCTCTTCAGAAGAGCGTGACTGCATGTGTAATCCGATGAATGAGGCGATGAATCCCACGAATGCGTCCTGAGACGCAACGAGCCGCTCGGACGCTAGATTTCCTTTTCGAGCTCCTTGCGACTTTGTGGTATATGACAGTCGATGAGTGAGAGAGGTTCGTTTTGCTACACTCTGGGGCCGTGAAGGTTGTAAGGGCGATGGGAGGAAATCTTTCTCGGAAGGAAGCGAAAATGCGAACGAGAGTCGGCTGAAATTACGTGGTGGCTCAGTCGTAGCGGTGTCCAGATCTTCGTGCGTAGAGAGGGGTCCTTGTGTAACAGGAGCCTGGAACTCATGTGCCGATGAGCCGTATCCGTCCATTCGACTTGATGTTCGTTGTCGCACTGCAGGACTAGCAGGCTCAAGTGGTGGCGTCAAAGGTCTTTGATCAATGGCATCGTCTAGCTCAAAAGATGGCAACACCGAATCAGCTGCCCAAATATCGAGAAAATGGACTGCTCTAGTTACGAGCTTGAACGACTTGAGCACTAACTCATCCAGGTGCTCATAAACTGGAATCGGTGCGTCATCTATCTGCAGCGTTTCCTGTAGACTTTTGGCAGCTTTCACAAGCGTTGAGAGATCACCAAGGAGACCTTTTCGCATCCGCCTCAAGCCAACATGCGACACGACGAGATGAGACTCTCTCGATAAACATCCCGTTCTTTCCTATACATCGTAAGCAATGATCTATAGAGCGTTATATAAATGGGATAGGCTTACTAGAAAGAACCGAATGCCAGCAATCATGCCCCTGACGTAGTCCTGCTTCGTGAAGGCAAAGAGATCGCCATTCTCGCCGTCACGAACAAGATCCCATAGATGTGTCAAGGCATTCAAGAGATTACGGATGGTCGGATGGTCGTAAGGCTCGCAATAGTTTGTGGGCAACCACCCACGAGCCCCTGAAGCGAGCAAAGTTCCGTCTGCCCATCCATTTGGGTGAACTGAGTGCACAAGGATGACGTCTCCTTGGTTGATTGCCACTGTGATCGAGGACTCGTCGGTTGAAGAGGAGACTATCGAGGTAGGGCTGTAGTGGTAGAATGCGCGTACGTAATTATGAAAGACGGGCTGCTCGGAGAGTTGCTGAGCGATCCCCTCACTCGAGACTTTTGGTGTCAATGGCGGGGAGATTTGCGACTGTGACTGCGACCGCAGCGAATGTGTTCCTCTCGAGGATGACCGGCGACTATGCCCGTATACACTGTTCGACGTCTTGTGTATGTTCAGCGGCGCAACCACTGCACTAGCGTAACTGTCCATCTCTTGCTGGTCCACCATGTAGTCGGCCATAGCGGTACAAGAGAGACTGCAGGACGGGGGCTTGGCGTGGGGATGTTGTTGTTCTCGAAAAACACCACTAGTTGGGCGTCGGAGCTACGCCGGCGCTCCTCGCAAGCATCGAGTCGGAACAACTGAGTTAAATCGGACCGTATTACTAGGTGTCGATGGCTGACGACACGTGTTTGAGAATTGTGGAGATTGCTTTACACGGGCAGTTGCTCGATACGCGTTTGTTGGTGATGATGATGATGAGATTGTCGTTCGCTGTCTTCAGTGTTATTATTGTGTTCGAAGCAGATGCTAACGCCTTGTGCCACGGACTGGGAGACCCTAGGACTTCCGTGGAGACTCGACCAACGCTAAGACCCTTGTTCGCTGCGAGACAGATTGGTCCAGATATAATATGGATATCTCGAGATCACACACGTGAACACGCGGTGTATATGTCCTGACTCGAAGCAAGCGAAATGAGATTGAGTAAAAGAGCATCACTTACTCAGAAACCAGGATGTATGTCAAACTGTCTGCTGAACCTGAATGCGCCTGGGAAAGAAGTTGCTGCGTAGAGGTGCTGCGAAATGGAGTGTGCTCGAGCAAAGAACTGCAGATGAGTTCAGACGCTGTCTATGTCTGATCAATGGGCCAGGGTTGAGGTATGGAACGCTAACGAGCGTTATTCCTTGATCCCCTGCGCTGTCTTCTGTTCTATACAGTTTCTACCGGCGACACAGAGGAAGGGTCAGGATCGGGCCTGACTCGGAAAGTATGGCGTGCGTGGGGTTGCAGGATCGCGGACAGAGCGAAGAAGGAGCGAACGAGCAAACGAGCAAAAGTAAAAAAGAAAACCTACGGAGTGAAATACGATACTCGCAGGTAACAGAGAAACCAACAAGAGAAAGGGTTATTTGGCATAGGATCGCATGAGCATTATCAGTGCAGCGCCGGAGGATCCCACCGATGCCCACCGACATCAGGAAAAGCCTCGACCAGTACGAGCAAAGCCTCCCGGGTCATGCAGCCAGGGATGCGCCTCCGCCGAAGGCTTAACGCTAGTACCCACTACAGCTTGGCATCCGGCGAGTATTCTCTGATTCGCTCACTCGGCTCTGCAACTTGTCAGGGGATTGGAAACGATCCCGGCCAGCCATGCCTCATTTCACTTTCGAGCGTTGGGCACTGTCGACTACACTCCATGCGGCAGAGTCGTGAGATTCGGATGTGAGAGGCGCCGTTACGAAGACAGCGGTGGCCCCTCTTGCCCCGTACGTGGGCAACAACGACAGTGGACAGAGGGGCTCGATGAACTTGACAGATGCTAACTTTCCGTCGCCCGTGCACTACTGAACACTCTCGGTGCGTTCCAATCATGCGTTCATATGCATGAGCCCGTGCCGCTACGGCGTGAGGCTGCATAAGCTTCATCACGAACCCTCGGCCTGGGTTTCTTTCTCATGCCCCAGATGCGGTAAAGATTATCTTGCGGCTCGAACTGCTTTACCACTTACTGTGGTAGAGTTTCGACATCCCGAGCGGCACAAGCTCCCCGGCTCCCGCAGTCAACGCCTCCAGGTCGTAGATTTCCGCAAAGTCACATCATTGGCCCAGCAGGTGGACTTGTCCATAAAGTTCCGATACTGGTGAACCAACGAGTTCGGACGGCATGTAGCTGCCGCACTACAAGCCACCCAATAACCCCCAACATGTAGGGAGATATCGGCCGGCGTGCGACTCCTAGATCCGAATCTAACCACCCTGGACGTCATTCTCATGTTGAAGAACGTAATTGGGAGATCATGGCGCTTACCTACTTCAAGCCGAATCACGAGCAGTTATCGCAATGGCATGGAGGTTCCAGCAAGTCAGAACATCAGCCTGGCCAAGCATATATGTCTCTGATGCGCGACTATCGCGGCTTCGAAGTCGAGATTGTGGCCACCCCCACCCAAGTTGAGATCCAATGCCAGGGGCGGCGTCCCTCTTTTGGCGTGGGCATCAGCAACAGCTTCGAATGTCAACACGTAAGATATGGTCTCAATACGCTGCCATTTAATCTCCTACTTTAGCACTGGTATCATGACATGACATTCCTCTGCTATTGTCAGCTATGAAATCTCGATGCCTGACCTAAATCGGCGTCGACCCCAAACTACAGGAATGACTACTCCACGAAATCTTTGATCTGTTAGTAGGTATCTGTCTCCGCTTGGGCATCACTCTGTCGAGATTTTGAAACGCGCGCCGTCGGGTCGAGCAGTTTTTGTAACGTCACGTCTTGCTGTAGACTTGAGCGTGCCGATCACTCGTTCTGCCGCAGTGTATCGATATTCAAAGAGGGATCATCCCTGTCAAGATATAGTCAACAGGCTACTACTGATCTGCGCAGGGTATAGCCCTGTTCACTTCACTCAGAAGGTTTTCCATCTTTGCATTTTGCCTTATTCGCATGTGTATTACGCAAGCTTCTTTATATTACAAGCATTGAAAAAGTAAAAATTAGCTGCCCATCTTAGAACTGTTTCATCAACCCGTCCAAAGATGGATAGATGATGACTGAATGAAATCGGCTCTCTAAGGTGCATCATTAGCATTGTATTGGAGCTTTGCCAACCCATACTTGCGCCCGTACTCACCTAACATGATCAGCCGCTTGAGGTTTGTTGCGAGATTGGGTCCCAGAGGACAACAGCTGTAGGAACACAGGTTCGAGTCATTAGTGTACTGTCATTAACATTTGATTGACAGTCAAACTATTGCGTTTGTCTCGCTGCTGACGATCGATTGGCCTAACACAGACGCGCTGATCTCCCTGGGCGAATATTAAATACGGTGCACCAATGGTCATCGATATACGGTTCTACATTCCATGTTTGGCAGAACTACATGTCCACGCGATACGAAGAGAAACAATTGATTGATGGTTGACATCTAGCACCGTCCCCTAATACCAGAGCTCCCTATTCATAAGAAAGAACATAGATTTGTACAGTTTTCTGTGGGGTTGTCCCAATTGCGAACCTTCCCTTCGCTATTCACGACCACTCAACTAATAGTTCTTGCACCAGCATAGCACTATCCATGGCCAGTGCACTGTCTCGCGGGGAAAAGCTCTAGCTGCCGGTCTTAGTCAGGAATTGGCATAGCCTCGCCGACCTCTTTCTCCATGCTACTGTGGTGTCAGGCAAAAGTAGTGTACATGACCAGGGGGTGAGTCAGGGGGCGCGCCGGAGTTTCCAAATAGGGGTACCAGCTAATATTACATTCTAAACTATAGTAATTTATATTAAATCTAGTATTTCTCTTACTACTGTATCTCTTTAACTAACCCTCCTACTATTATCTATTATTCTATTATCTCTATTATTATGCTACTGGGCACCCTATCTACACTACGCCACTACTATCTTACTTATAATTAGAGGCGCAATTACTAAACTCTCACTTACGCTAGGCATAAGTACTAATAGATTACAGATTTTTTAGGTTATATAAAGAGGTAAGTTAGCTACGCAGTTAACAGTAAACAGAGTACTCTATAATAAAGATCTAGCTAGCTACTACAGTTATCTAGGGATTAGATTAATAAGCTAGTATACTACGTATACTAAAACTAGGCTATATAACAGATAAGCTATCTTACCCTTACTTAAGGACCCTTTAGTTACTAGGGTATATCTAAATATCCTATACGCTACGCCCTCCGTAGGAGAGGATTTACACGTAAGATAGCCCTTACTAAACCTCCTCTCTCTAATACTAATAAGAAGATTCGCCTAGAGTAGGCTTTAGCCTACGTAGATTAGGTACTAGATTAGTAGTAGGAGATACTATAAAGTAATAAGACTTAGGTAACAGAAGGGAGGCACAGAAGGACGTAGGTTATACGTTAGGTAGAAGAGGAGCTTAATAATACATATCTAGTTAATAAAGTATATAAAAAGCATAGGTAGATATTCTAAGGCTACTTCTTTAGTATATTAAAAGGACTATCTTTATTCTAGGAGAAGGAGTAGGGGTCTATTAACAAAGAGAGCTACTGTAAGAGGATAGTTCCTTTAGTTTATAGATAGCTACGCATATACCTATCCCTTACTTTTATACAAGATAGAGCTCCTAGCTACGCAGCTACTTATACACAGGAGGAGCTAAGAGAGAGAGGGATATACCCTATTTACTAGCCTACCTTCTTTCCTAATCTTAATCCTATTAAAGCAGTATAAAATAAGATAAAGGATTAGATAGCCTCCTATTACCTAGATCTACCTACAGGAAAGCAGCGTACTTATAATTAATTACGTAGTATTATACAGGAAGCCTAGGATATAATTCCTAAGGAGACTCTCAGGAATCTTATTAATAGTATAAAAGATAGATACTAGGTAGTAATAGATACTAAAGGAGGGCACACAAAATACTAGAAGCTTACATAATAATTATGTATAAAGAATTATCTATATTTATCCTAGCGCACTGTAATCTCCGTGCCGCACCCCCCTGGTCATGTACACTACTTTTGCCTGACACCACAGTAAGCTCATGCCAGCCTCGGTACCTGATCACTTGATGTTCATCTTGAACCTCGAGCTCTTCAAATTTCGAGCGCGAACCCTGCCGATCTTTCGATAGCCGAATGCAATGAACAACGGTCAATCTCAACGCTCTACCTCCTGATCATTTTTACAACTCAACTTCGTCTGCGTTCTAAGTCACTCATCGCCGTCTTTCACTGTCACGATCCGACGATATGGACGCGCACGGCACATTTGTCGCAAATTGGTCGTCACGCCGATGCATGCATACCGAAGGTCAGGATGTGGAATAGAATGAAAGAAGCATCGTGATCGGGACATGTCACGTGCGTTTCTGTTTATGCGGCGTCGAGGCACAGTCGTTCAGCTCGCGTTCACACAGGTATACTTGTTCCGCACAGTACGGGTGGCCAAAGTTGCGGCAGCACACACTCGACACGCGATTACGAGGTCGCACCGAATCTTTTGCGCTAATCGTGCGTACACGTGTTCTCGGCATCTTCCAGGCCCTGCAAGCTCTCCGTTGATGAGATGCTTGTACAATGTTTCCTGACAACTACATATTCGCACGTCAACGCTAAGCCGTCATAGCCGCCGCAAGAGAGCAGAATAACGTTATCATCTGTGATTCCGGGCTCCATCAACCCTGTTCCTGGCCTGCGGCACCTTCAAATGTTGTGAACCGGGTTAGCGATACGGACCGCACTCGGCAGTACATGATGGTCAACTCAAGGTATCCTGACTGATAAATCTGAACACGTGAATGCTTACTTTTCTAGTGGGTCCCGCAGTAGGTACGAACTTTCTTCTCATCCACTCGTCTCTGCCAATTCCCCGTAATATTGACTCGATTCAATTATCTCGCGTCCTTTCCACCCGAGCCTTTCTCTGCCAAGCAAAATTATCACATCTCACTGCACGCGCCGTGCATGTGCTTCACAATCCTCTCACATATCGTTGCCGTTCATCCTCGGAAACCCATGCCGTGTAGGAAATGATCAGAGGCTGTGTGGTTCAGCACGCCCCGCGATTCAACACTCAAATCAAGCAAGAGCCAATCACGTCTGCTGCTGAAGGGGCTTGTTGCTGTGCCACCCTCACGTAGAATCCTGCGGACGAGCATAAGAAATTTGCTACGTTTTTCCCCGTGCCCGGAGGGTGACGTATTCGAGGCAGCAACTGGAACGTGATGAAGGGTAATGGTCCGCTCGCCTCACTCTTTGTCTATGCGCACGCGCAGGGTGGCCGATGGAACGACCTCGCTACGGAGCGACCGTGCCGCAACAACGATATCGGGTTCTGGGTCTGTAAGGATCGCGGTTGCTCCTGCAAGGCGACCTACTGCAGGGGTGCGTATATCATGCGTCGGTCAACCCACCATAACGGCAGGTCATTCTTGTAGAGACGATTTTATTGATGTCCAGCGCAGCTCTGCTTGCTCAATGGCCAGAAGAAACCAATGCGATGCATCGGCATAAGTACAATCGATACTCTAGGTAAATAGTCGACGTGGCTATCCTTGCAATTATCGAGACGGAGCAAGTATCATTACCAACCAGAACTCCACCTTCTCAATCAACGAGTTCCAAGAACCAACCAAATCTGAATGTTAAATTGTTATGGACGTCCTGGCCTCGCAACCCACATTGCCTACTTACCCCGACCACCACACCGCATGTTCTTCGAACACAATGCAGCGAAGTAAGCTCGACCCCTCCCGGGATATAAACGTTGGAAATAAACGCTGCCAACCTATTTCAATCCCCTGCAAAGCAAGGGGTTCAAAGTGTATTGCAGGGACAGTGGGTACCTGCATGCTCGGCTCTGTAGATGCGTGCGTTGGACCCGCATATACGCAACCAAATGTACTTTGGGCAAACCTACTGCGCCAGAACTCCGCATGATGCTTCTTTCTGTCATAGCCAAAAACCTGACATTCTAGACTTGATCTGCACATGTGACTGCATTACTTATTGATGTGGGTTTTGCTCAGCCAGCCCCTATCATTGTACTATGAATTCTTCATCGTACTAGGAAAAAGAACATTTTGTTTCAGTATGCAGTAGAACTGCGAGCACTTGTCAGGTTTGTTCTTTTCCTCCACACGTAGGTGAGGATGTGGATATATTTCGCTGTGGCGTAAACTTTATTGAGGAAATGTATCGAGAGACGCCCTCACATGGCCGTAGATCCACCCACTCTGGAAACTTACTGCAGATTTCGCAATAACGATTGCTGCATATCTCACTCTTTCCTCTTGTCAAGTCACCTATCCGCAACTCTTCCGATTCGTCTTCTGAAACCACAAAAAGTTGCTTTTTCGTGACCACACTTCTGTCGGGCTGTTCCGTATTCGGACTTGATGGAAACGTGTTCAAGCAAATGTCCTAAAACGACGATCCCTTGTGCGACATACATATTGCAGAGTTGTTATGTCATAGGGCCATTGACCATGCTGTGGGGTTAAAAATAAACGCAAGGGGGCCAACCAAAAGCAACGATCTCGTAAAGGACGGACAAAGCCGAGTCAATCACTGGTGCAATAGTAGTATCAGTTTTGAACAGGTTGCGGCGCTGCGTACGAGAACAAGTCTTTCATGATGACTCTCTGATGAAGAGTTCCGTGTAAATGTAAGAAATGTGCGAAATTTACTTTTACAGATACTCGAGTGAGGAGCTGAGTAGACATGGCGTGATGGTGTGGGTTTGCGTCTCAAGGAGACGATACGGGAGGCCTTGAACAGTTAAAGTGCATATGCAAGTTTTCTATGCAATACAATCACAAACTTTTTAACGAATAGTGCAGATTTCCGTCCGACCATCTCTGTAATAATTACAAGTCGGGAGGGGCCCTCAAGTCTACAGGACGATATGATATGGGTCCACTGCAGTGGCAAGGTGTGCTACAGTGCTTTATTAGTTTGCTGTATGAGCCCCGCCAGCTCGATCCGTTGCGGCTGATATGCGGAGGGTTTTGTCGTCCTACCCAGTAATTCTCATGATTCCAATCTTCACAGAGGACCTACAGCCGAAGCATGCAGTATCTCATGTACCTCATGTGCATATGGCTGTCATACGCGCCGACAACGATGACAGCTGTCTATGGCTGTTTCTGCAAGCCTCCCATAAACCCGCTTCTTTCATTGTTACGCAGCATCTCCGCCAGCCAATAGCGCGAGGTCACACTCCCAAATCGATTTTGTCCCCTGTTCTAGTCTCGCCTTGATAATGGCCCAACTGTCGGATTGAGATGCTCGCTCCGACGTGAAAACGAGTTGCGGAATGTGATGATGGTGTGATGGCGGCCCGACGATGCACGCGACGGCTCGTAGATTCCCGAACAGCGTCACGACGATTTGAAGCCATGATCGGCATTGACGTGGTTCCCTAAGCTGCGTCTGTCCAAGGTCGCCCGGTGCAAAACCCTTTTGCTGTATTGTTTTCGGATGAGCGTACGATCATTGCATATCCATCTCGTCGTCGTCGTAGTCGCCAGCAGTACCCGAGTATCCGTTTTCCATTTCGTCTCGATCGCGGTCTCTGCGTTGTTGCTCGCGGGAGGCAGCGATTTTCCTGCTTGAAGTTAGTACACTCGGTTTTTCAAGCTTGACGATGCAGACCCAGCATACCTTAAGCCATCAATTACTCCCGTGACGAATGCCCTGCCCTCCCCTACCTCCATACCTCCCACGCCGTTCATTTTGAATCCACCGGCCGCATCGAGCACCTCTACACCACTTCTGAGCTTCGCCATTCTGGCTTCTCTGAGCCCTCTTAACAGCTTCCGCACGTTGTCTGGATCCTCAAAGTCATCCGCTGCCGCCTCAAGCAGCATCTCACCCAGCTCTAGCCAGTGGTATGGCAGCGCGTCTGGCGCTGCGTCCACTACGCAGTTCGACAGAAATGGCGGCGAGAATGGGAGTGTGTTGTTCGACGGTTGCGGTGGCAGTCGCGGTGGTGGAGAGAAGGTCTCGGCATGTTCGGTCTCGTGATCGAGAATAGCGGTAAGAGAATGCGTGCTGAGCCACGGTGGGGGCAGGATGTTTGCGCGTCGCTGGCGTTTGAGGAGGAGCGCGAGCCAGAGAGGAATATTAGTCCGATGCGGGGGGTTGAGAGGTTTGATGGGTCCCTAAATAATATTTAGTTTCCATAATCTCATCCCATATCACAGAACATATGTGAAGAGCACAGCATTGCAGGTGGTGGGGTGTTGCGGGGCAGGACATACACCAAGCAGCTCGAGAGCTTCGAGTCTCTGGCGTGGTATAACAGTCACGAGCTCCATCTCACATAAGAACGCGATCTCTGGGGGCGTCAACCCCGGTGGTAGAGGCAATGCCATGATATGAACGCGTGAGGTTGATTTCTTCGATTGTTGACGATGTTGCAACGAGTGAACGCGACGGACAGGAGCTAACCAGGTTCAACTAGCCGATTCAGGGACATCGGCTTCTCTGAGATCTGGCCGTCATTCTACCAAATCATCGAATACGTGAATATCCTCGCACCTGTCAGATGCCTTCTTTGGTGCAGTCATGGGCTCTGCCCGCTGCTCTCTTGGCAATCGTGAACATCACGGCTACGTGGTATAATCTGGTCTCCCAGGAAGTACCACAACCATACCTGGTCAGTGCCTTGCAGCTGATTGGCACATGACACTAATCATGCATCAGGATGAATACTTTCATGTGCCACAAGCCAAAAAGTTCTGCAAAGGGGACTACTCGTGGGATCCAAAGATCACGACTCCACCAGGCCTGTATGACACCTGTCGTGAAATTCAACTTGGCAAAGAGATACACGAAAACTAACAACTTCAGCTATCTCATTACAAAGCTTCTTGAGCCTTTCCTTGGGTGCGAGACGTCTTCTCTTCGAACCCTGAACGCCATCGCGCTTTGCATCATCTGTCCTTTGAGCTATGGTATACTCCGTATGCTTCGTACTCGCACCACCCCAGGACAGCTAGGCCAGGCAGTGAACAAGACGACCACAGAACAACCTGCTTTAGACGATCAAACGGTTGTACACGATGCTCACTCTGCTCTCAATATTGCCCTGTTCCCTCCTCTTTTCTTCTTTTCTGCATTGTACTACACAGACATTACGTCGACCTTAGTAGTGCTCTTAAGTTACAGCGCACTCTTGAAGAAACAGAGCCCAGCTGGAAGTGTCTTGGAGAACATTAACACAGTCTTCATCGGTGCCATGGCTCTTCTGTTCCGACAAACCAATATCTTCTGGGTGGCAGTTTTTCCTGTCGGCCTCGCAGTGATCGATGCTCTCAAGAAAAGTGGTCCTCCATCGAACGGCCCAACAAAGGAGGGTGTGGTATCGGCCCTTTCAAAGAGCTGGAGTGAATGTGTGATCTATGATTGCTCCGTTAACGAAGCTGAACCCCAAGGTAATACCCGTCTCTCGCGGCCACTGAACATGGCGATAGCTGATACACACCAGATTACGTCCTTCTTGTCTTGTCGACCGCGATTGTAGCTGTGAGAAAACCTTTACTGGTACTCCAAGTCGCTGTTCCATACTTCGTCCTCTTAATCCTTTTTGCTGGTTTCGTAGCCTGGAACGGCAGTGTCGTCCTCGGTAAGTCTTTTGGTGGCCTTGAACACAGCGAAAGCTAACTTCCATAGGCGACAAATCGGCTCATACCGCAACTGTTCATCTTCCACAAATGCTCTACTTCTGGCCGTATATCGTCTTCTTTTCGCTTCCATTGGTAATAGGGCTGTTGTTCAAGCCCATGGCTCCATTCTTACCTAAGCAACTGAAGACGATATGTAACGACGGTTCAGTTGACGTGCCGAAATCAACAGTTCCAGGACTCTTGATGCCTGGGTTGTTCTCTGTAGGCGCTTTGGCTGCGGTGCATTTCAACACTATTGTACACCCGTATACTTTGGCTGACAACCGACACTTTGTGTTTTATGTCTTCCGTATCATCAGGCGACACCCTGCGATCAAGTATCTGGCAGTCCCAGTATACACTATCTGTGCAACACTAACTTTGCAATCTCTTTGTCCGTCCCCTGTCAGTAAAAAGGAGGCCAAGCAAAAGCATGGTGTTCGTCCTACCAGCGACTGGAGTAACCGCGACCGGAGTAACCGCCAGCCTTGCCAAGTCAGCTTCATTACAATCTGGTTGGTAACAACCACCCTCTCCGTAGTTTCAGCTCCTCTCGTAGAGCCTCGTTATTTCATCATCCCGTGGATCATCTGGCGACTACACGTACCATCTGCACCAGCTTCACTTTCGAGAGGTACACCGACGAACACGAAAGCTGCATACGACCTACGCCTAGTTTTCGAAACACTCTGGCTTCTTGCTATCAATGCCGCTGTGTCATACATGTTCCTTTATCGGGGGTTCTTATGGCCTAGTGAACCTGACAGCATCCAACGATTTCTTTGGTAGCATTGGAGAACGCCCACCCACGCTACCAACCGCGTCGAATCATCACTGATTGCACGACATATTAGAAGAAAACGACTGGAGATTCAGGTTGCCATAACACTGGTCCACAGACATAGCAACCCGTCAGAAGACTTTGCTGTGCGTCCAGTTCAGCGATGCGTCACCTCGAAACAGGCTTGCTAGACAACACCAACATATACCACAACATATAGATCACGTTACTGTAGCTAGCGACCGTTTCCCAAGAACTGGTGTTAATCGAAATCGAGTTGCGATCCAACAATTTCACCCTAAGATAGTAAAACACATCGTCCAGACTTTAGCAGCGGATGACCAGCTACAGTAGTGATCTCTTTCAGCTATATCTGTTGATGCCCAAGTCTGAGAATCGCATTGAATATTCCAGTCAAATCATATCGTGTCGAAGAGTACGGTAGGCTCTTGACGGCCTTTGCACCATGACAGGTTTGAGACAACCAGCATACTCGGACGCCCTAAATCAAGGCGATGATTAGTATAGCACACTGATGACTCACCTGGCTTCAGCCCTTTATGTTTTAAACCCTTTGCCTTTCCACTTCTGATCTTGATGGCGCTGTAAGACGGCACTGCTGACTTGGATTATATGCTAGGCAGCAGCGACATCCAATTACATCGGAACGCGTTACATGCTTAGCGCGTGAGGAAATATGGTCATAGCCATCAGCCCCGCGTTTCTTTCCTAGAGGCCACGCGGACGGGTTTCAACTTAGTTGTATGCGCTGGTCATTCTTGTATCAACCCGGAGGATCTTGAAACGTTCTTCGCTGGCCGATCTCTCTTCAATAAGTATGGTGGGTAGCTTCACTTTTATGACCTGGTGAGCTGATCTGTTCATCTGTAGCCTGATGCGAATAAGACGAGGCACAGCTAGTGCACCTTTCCAGCACGGTTACCGCATTGACCTTGTAAGCACTTACTGTTGTGGATTCTAAGTCCTAGAGTCCTGACAACTACCTTTCACCCATGCAAGCATCATCATTGTTTGTGAACTGTTTATCGTCTGCGGTCGTAATTATCGATCGTCGTTTAAAGGCTTCCATCAAGCAATACTATACTCACTCAATCCTCAGAGATAGAATTTTTTCCAAGATCGCCTATACCAGGCTCCAGCATGTCTTTTGTTATTGACAAACAAGCGTCCCCGCCTAAGAGTATCAGTGTTTCTGGATTGAATCACACGGATGATGTAGTCAACGACTCACTACAAACAACACCAAAGAAAAGGCGTCGAGATTCACGAATGGATGAAAATATCAGCCTGCTGGACCTCGCCGGGCAAATCCCCAAATCTCTGCGATTTGACAAAGTCACTCAAGAGCCCCAAACTCGGGACATCGTTGCTATTGCGGATCATCTTCGAGATACGTCCCCCATCCAAGCCCAGCAATCCCAAGTGGACGATGAGTTCAACTTGTCTCAGACAGACAAAGACACTTTGACAAGCAAACAGAAGAAGTTCCTAGACCAATGGTACGAAGACTTCGTGCAACATCCGTCTCAATCCACCACTCCCCACGAGTCCTTGATAGCATTGGCAATCCTCATCCAAGCTCGGCCACAGCTCATACACGAGTACATCTCGAATAAATACTCCAGCACCACGCACGAACCTGCAACTTGCCCGACGCTTAAATCTACCTCACTTCAGCCTCATTCATCTACAGAGCCATACTCTCTTACAAGAGCCAACAATCACCTCCCATCTGCAACCCTCGCTCTGGTAGAGAAATTCATCTCTACCTGCCACCGCCGCCGCCCCCCAACAGACGGCCGTCGCACCGTCAACTCAGGCCCCTTCCGCTGCAGCTTCAGCTGCGGATACCGCACAAAACGCGTCTTCGACTGGCGACGCCACGAAGAAACGCACGAACCACAGGAACTATGGCTATGTGCGCTTTGCTGCCAAGTCAAAGGCGACACACAATCAGAAGGGGACCTTTATCCTCAGAATCCCTTCTTGGTCAATCGCAAAGACAAGTTCCTGAGACACGCGAAGGACGCGCATCAGCAGTGGGTGCCGGAAACGGTGCTCGAGATGAGTCGCGTGGGGTATCGACCGAGGGTTGGGGGGAAGTGTGAAGTTTGTGGGGGTGCGTGGGAGAGTTGGGATGAGAGGTGTAAACATCTATTGGGGCATTTTGAGGATGAGATTGAGAGGGGGTGTAAGAGAGAGGATGAGTGGGGGGTTGATGATAAGTGTGGTTCATTGAAGAGTGAGTGCATCGAGTGAGGCTAGGAACGAGGGCAAAGTAGACGAGAATCCCGGCACAGCTTATAGAAGATAACCGTATACGACGAACAGGATTAGATGGAACCAGGAGTACCGACAAAGAGCATAAAACACAAAAAGATCGATGTAAAGTGCGATGTATTCCAAACAATCTCTCAAAAATAAGCCTACACAACCTGACATTCCTCTGCACAGCAAGACACCCTTCCCACACCCCCTCATTCCCTATATCCCCCACTCCTGCCCTCCTTCCTAAACACCTTCCCAAACCCCCTGCGGACCGCCCCAGTAACACTAAAACCATTGAACAGCCACTGATTCGCATGTCGCCCATAGTACTGGAACTCGCCTTTCCTCTCCCCATCCGTAGCACGCCTGCTCTTCCGCCCAAGACAAGGCTTTGAGAACGCGCCGACGGGGACTTCGACGCTATCGCGGCAGGTCGTGGCGCTGGAGACGGAAGTGCTTGTTGTGGACATAGTGGGGGACTTTGTGAAGCGAGGGAGGGCGTCGAGGGAGGAGGCTCGGGGTCGTCGGCTTCCGGATGTGGGGGTGGGGTCTGTGTGGGCATTGTCGGATTGGTGGTGGGATTGGAGGTTTGCGAGCCGTGTGGATAAGTCTCGGGCGTTGAGGGCGTGGGTGTTGTGGGCGTTGTGGGTTGTCATCGGCGGGATGGTGGTGGGGTGTTGTTTTGGTGCTGTTTTGACTTGGTGTGATGGAGTATGACTCTGAACAGTATGCTTTGATGTTTAATTGTCGATGTTTTCGACGTTGGAGAATAGATCAGTAGCTGACTGAAGCGGTCGATGAACAGTTCCCACAAGCGCAGCGCTCTCTTCTATATAACCTTCCTCTCTATCGTCGCCAAGCCATGAGTTCCTACCCATCACTCCCGTCACACCCGAACTGAACGCATGTCAACTCGCAATAAGCCTTGCCTTAGGCGATTACGCCCAATCATTCCCCGAAAGAGACGTACACCACCGCCACATGACGACTAACTACTTGCGAGATAAGGTCAGCTTTGCGTCTTACCCGGCTAATCGGAGGCCCGTGCACAGCCACAGCGAATCCGGGGACTGTTTCCAGAGGCTCAAATGCAAGGCCGCGCCGCCAATGGGTCAGCGATGACATGTATCTGCAGTCGCATAAATCCCGTGATGTTGGTTTCTTCCCGATCTAGCCGGGTCAACTCCAAGAGGGGAGTGGTGTTACTTGGCGTTGGGTTGGGGAAGCATGTGTAGGTTACACATAATATACGCAAGGTTGACTTTCGAGACAATGGCTGATTGGGAAAGACTGCAGATCAAGGGAGAGAGACGTCTTTACCCCCCGAGTGTATGCGATAGGGGAGTATATGATGCGCGAAGAAAAGAGGATAGAACGTTACTCATACCTGCTATCATAAAAGACGCTTCGCAGAATCATTGCAGCACGCTTCGATAACAAAACGCCATGCGCCGCGTTGCCAGGGTATACCAATATCAATCAAGACGCCCGCTGATTCCGTATATCAAGGCTTGTGCTTCTTCAAACACCAGGAACACCCTCTTTTGTGCGCATCCGTCCATCTCGTACTGCGCCTACTGTCACGCCTGCCTCGCCTGTCATCCATCCTGGCATCTTCTCGCCATCCACAATGCCTTCTTCCACCAGCTGTCTGATGCCAGCGAAGACGTGTGTACCTTGGAAAGTTATGCGCACGTTCGGTACCCATCCTTCCTCGTTTTGAATCTCTTCGAGATCTTCCGCTGTTCTATCGAGCAGCGAGGGACGACCCCTACGAATCGGATTTGCAGGTTGATCGATGTTTGACCTATCATCATCGACCTCAGCGGAGGAAGGGAAGGGGTCGTCTATGCGGACCTCGACTCTCTCAAGACCTTGGCCGTCATCGGGCTGCGCAGAGGAACCGAAACGACCTTGTGCTACTGCCTTTCTTCTCTTTGCTTCGGGTGTCTCTATTGTGTCCAGCGTCCGCTTCGGCCGCCCTGGCCCAGGTTTTGTCCCGTTGTTTGATGTGTTCTTGTCTTGACCATCGCTCCGTTGTGCAGTAATGAAGTCGAGTGCGTTCTGGCTGAAGTTGTGGTCCTGGAAGATGCTCCATCCTCCAGCTGCCGCGTTACTTTTCCCAGGCCCACGATATGTGAGAAGCGCATCGAGTGATTTGGTGGTGAAGTTTGTGCCTGTGAGTTGATAGCGCGCGGACGGCCGCGAAAAGGCCTTTGGTATCGCTTGCTGCACTATGTCCCTCAAATGTCTCCCGTCGTCTCCAACGACCTGTCCTGTCAGCGTCGCCAGCGACGAGTACACAAAAGGCGAGCCATTCGGCCATATGAAGAAGACCGCTTTCGCACTGTCGGTACTGTGAGAATCCGCTGCTAGCGACGCTTCGTTGCTGTAGGGCGAGTCGTGTATGTACACACGCAGTATCGTCATTGGCGAAGTCTTGATTCTCGTGATCAGGTAATGCGCCTTCATCAGGGGCGTCAGCTCCCTCGCGAGATTCGACATGAAGGTTTGCGCTTGGAATCGTGGGAGGTGATCAGAGTCGTTGGTGACTTCCATATCTGTGATTGCTGATCGCGCATTGGGTATCTTGGTGAGCCGTTTCGCAGTCCAGCGCAAGGCGTTTGGGTGATCGAGCAGGTACTGAATCTCGGCGGTCGCCAGCTGGTACATGGACACGCCTGTTCGCCAGTCGCCGTCGAGTATGCGATCGAGCACCTCCCTCCGTCCTCCCTTGCGCGCTGCTAGTTGCTTGTACGTTTCTTGCAGCTCCTCGACGCTTTGCGCTGGCTCATAGAGCTCTTCTTCGTCCTCATCGTCATTCTCGCCTCGGTCGCCGAGTAGAAAAGGTTTGCAAAAGTCGCGATTCTTCTTGCTCAGCCACTGCTGCGCGAGCGAAATGAGCGATTGGCGGGAGAGTTTCGTGAAGGTGCGCTGGACTTCGCGATGGGCGACGGGCAGTCGATGCGAGTGAGAGACATTCTTGTAATCTGGGGCAGTGGCCATTGCGTGCGGGGCGCCGTTGTCTACCTATATGGCGTTGAGCATTTGTTTACGCTCGTCATCGACTAGGTCGAGGTATCACGTCGCGTTGGTGGAACGCGCAGCACGTGATGACTACCCATCTTGATGAACCGGGAGCGCTTCGGCAAAGGTGCGTGATATTCATAATTGTTATTACCAATGCTGTCCACACGTCTACAATGATCACGCGTTTCCTGCTGACTGAATCTCACGTGCGACGCCCTCCACTAGATGTAGGAGGTACATACAATTGTCGCTCGGTGATTCCCTTTGAATGTAACAGCGGGGTTATCTCGGGATAAAGCGGCGAAGTCCTATTGGTTGTACCAGCACCCCGGTTATCACCGAGGATTCTTGATTACAAACCGAACTGACAATGCCACCGAGCATGACCCCAGACTTTGAACGCTGAGAAGACGGTGACTAGAACTACAAACAAACTAACTATTACCGCGAACAGCGCAACACCGGTCGCGAATTTGCTCACCAACTGCTTCGTCGAGCTGAGAAAAGCAAGTCTCATAGCCTTGTGGGGACGAGAACGGAGTCTTGGCAGGCTTGTAACTTGCAACCGCCGCCTGTCACACTCCATTGTTACGGTCCGATACGCGGGGCTGGCATTCTCGAGCAAGCCCTCCGAGCTCTGAGCACGACCAAACGTCACCACTTTACGATCTACACTCACGCCGTTTTCTGCAAGCCCCAACGGTTTTCACACTGCAGCCCACTGAACATTCACGATCAGACATTTACCACGAGGGACTGATTTCACTTACGACATACGCAATCACTCACTCAATTTGACTCGGAACGCACTACTTTCCCAACGGGACCCGCAGTATCTACGAAAACCCACCGAGGGGCCCCAAACTCTCCAAATTGCTGAACATCGTCACTCCAACCACATCGATTGAGACTCCATCGCCATTGCCAATGTCGGCGTACAAGGGCCATCGCGGACCCAACGTGTCCCAGTACATCGCCAACTTGAACACGCTCTCGCCGCCGCAACAGCCAGATTTGCTTTCCGAGGCCCCGGCTGTCCCGGAAGACTTCTCAGCCTTCCTCAACACGGATTTCTTCGATGTCAACGGTGGCACCAACGTGGACTTGCAATCGCCCATTGACTTTGACGTCGACTTCGACACCCAGCAAGCAGGGCAACCGACTGCGGCAAAGAAGATGCGCGCTTCTGTCTCCAGCGCCAACGTCGAGCCCAACATGGATTTCAATCTGACTGGTAAGTCTGGCGCATCTGCATCTCTCTTCCTCTCCGTTTCTCCTCTTCTTTCTCTTCCTTCATTTCTCCAGTTCTGGACCCTGTCTGTCAAAATGGTGTTCGTTCCGCGCCGTTACGTCGTCCAATGGGCGCTTCCCAAGGCCACATGCCCACCCCACCACGGCCTGTTGTGCAGCAATGACCCCCACACTCTTGTATATTAGCCACTCAAAGCGCGGGTTGCATCTGCAGCCCTGCCTATTTGCTGCACATTCCCTCCAAGCACGCAATTGCTTGTGGAAAGCGGGGACCACAGACAGCATCGCGACTCGAGTTTCTCATCGCACTCTCATCGCACCTCTAGCGTCGTCATGACAGCAATGGCTGACTTTGGTTTCTTCGCAGACGACTTCCAATTTACAGACTTCAACAACTTCGGCACAGCCCCCATCCTCGACCCGTCTATGCAGAGCCTGTCACAGCCTCAGTCAGACCACTACCCCCTCCCGCCAAACTTCTCGTCTGCCTCGGCCCTCTCCCCGGACTTCGATCAGTTCACCTCCAAGAAGCGCAAGCTCGACGACATCGTCCCCGGCACGCCCCAAGCCCTCGATGAATCCGCCCGCGGCGCCGCCGAGGAGGACAAACGCCGCCGCAACACGGCGGCAAGCGCCCGCTTCCGCGTCAAGAAGAAGCAGCGCGAGCAGGCGTTGGAGAAGTCGGCCAAGGAAATGTCAGACCGCGTCACCGCCATGGAGGCCCGCATCCAGCAGCTCGAGACGGAGAACACATGGCTCAAGGGCCTCATCACGGAGAAGAACGGCGGCAAGAGCTCGACCAGCGAACTCCGTGCCCTGATAAGTAAGCGCGAGGAGGGCGCCAGCGGACGGAGTAGCTCGAACCGCACCGATGGCGTGGGCACCGAGGATGCCAGCCCAAAGGCGGCTGCCTAAAATCTTCCCACTTCTTTTTTGCTTGACGTTTTGATTGTTTCTTTTTCTTCTTTTTTTCCTTTTTATATGCGACCATATCTGCTGCGATTTGCTGATTGGTCGTCGGCATGTCGCGCTTATGCTGGTCTCCGCTGCTGCATGGTCTACATGGGTTTACGCTGGGGATGATGGCACATGAAGCTATGAGTAGACACCAGGAAGGGTTATGTTTATACCATTTTGAATACTAGCTAATGCTGCTTTGCTGTTGGACTTGTTGTGATGCTGATACCTACGTCTCGTCTCAGTCTTTGGCCACGCTTGCGTGTCTCATTGGCTTCTCTTTGGCTGCGGTGTGGAGCTTTGACACGTGGATGGTTGAGTTGAGCCGGAGACAATGGAAGCTGCTTTGCCGGATTTAGCGGAATATGTCAATGGTGAGGCTTGGATGAGTGGCAAAAAAGTAAAGGTATGCATTTCGGCAAGTTTTTAGATATCGCAATGCAGGCTGGAAGAACACGCCTACATCGCTCAAGAGCCATGTCAAAAGGCAGAAAAGTATTCCAACACCGCTGTGCATGCAGGAATTCGACAGACAGATAGACAGACAGACACCACCCTTGCCATTCCCTCCCTCTCTATCCAAAAAGAGTTCCCCCCCCTCATCTCCTCTCACCGCTCTATATCGCAATCCAGGTAATCGTAATCACAATATCCATGCCCTTCTTCTCCGCCGCCTCCCACTTGTAGCTGTAGGTGCCGTCCTTCTCGTTGTTCCAGAAGGCGCCAACAGCGCTGTGCATACCGCGACGGCCGTGCTTCTCCGGTTCCGCCGGCGAGCCCAGGTGCTGGATAATGGTGCTGTTGACGATGTACTTGTGGGCGGGGGGTTGGCTGGCGTCGCCTTCGCCGGTGGACGTCTTGGTGATGAGGGATTTGAGGATCGTGTTCTAGGCGTAGGGGGTTAGTGCGTGTGCATATTGGAGGAGGAGGGGGGTGAGTGGACTCACGATGATGGTTGTGTTCCAGTCTGCTACGTTGGGGTGGTCGTACAGCTCTGAGGCTCCGATGGCTTGCTCGCACGCCTGGGGGGCTTGTTAGGTTTTGTGGTCACTGCGGTGGGGGAGAGGGGAAATTACGCTGCTGGCGATGCGCTGGAGCTCTGCTGTGGGAAGGGGTGACTGGGCGGTAAGTGGTGACTGTATGCAATCAGTTATTTGGTCGCGCGACATGCTGCAGGCGAGATATCGTACCGCCATTGTGACCTGCAAATGCCGAGATAAGGATGTATTTTATAGGGTGTAGGTCGTAGATTTGTTTGTGTGTGTTGAACGAGGATGCTGCTGTTGCTGCTGCTGCTGTCTCCCAAAAAGTGTTTACCTTTGTTGTTTGGGGGCCAGCTCAGACAAAGCGCGCCCAGCCGCTAACTTGGCTGTCACGTTTCGCAGCGATTGGACCGGGAGCGGGCAAGTGCATCATTGCAGGTTCGTGATTCTTTAGTCGCGAGCAGACCTTGATTTCGAACGACGGAACGCGCAAAAGACTGTTTTGCTTTTACGCTGCATTCACACACGTCTTTCTCGCGCACGCACGTCTCCAGCTGCAACAGCATCCTCACAAGACGACCCCAGCCAATCGAGTGTCGTCACCCCAGAACCATCCACCCCGAAGCTCCTGTCTCATCGCCAGCGGGGATCCCGTTTCCAACTCTCGCCATGTCGACCCAACCTCTGCTCCAGACTGCCCCAGGTACGTTGCTTCTCCCCCCAGCTGCCAAACACACGCACATCATCTGACACAGTCTCCCAGGCAAGCGCATCGCGCTCCCCACGCGCGTGGAACCCAAGGTCTTCTTCGCCAACGAGCGCACCTTCCTCTCATGGCTCAACTTCACCGTCATCCTCGGCGGGCTAGCCATTGGCCTCCTCAACTTCGGCGACAAGGTCGGAAAGATTAGCGCTGGCTTGTTCACGCTCGTCGCCATGATGGCTATGATTTACGCGCTGTTTACGTTCCATTGGCGCGCGAAGAGCATTCGCATGAGGGGCCAGGGCGGCTTCGACGACCGGTTGGGGCCGACGGTGCTTACGATTGCGCTGTTTGCTGCGGTGGTGGTGAACTTTGTGCTGAGGTTGAGTGTTGGGGATGGGAAGTAGAGGGCCCGGCGGGAGATGGAATGATGTTTATGGTTGGAAGAGAGGGATCCTCGAGGGACGTATCTCGATGTCTGCCATGATGCACGGTCGACGCAGCAGCGTGATTGTCCAGACGAAGCGGTAATTCACAAACATGTTTATATCTAAGATGAGGGGCTGTGGGGGTTGGGGGCAGCTTTGCGAAGCTCATGTTCATATTGGGGTGTATTGGGACTGTTCCACGGCATTGTTTTCTTTAGCTCTCATCAGTATTATCATTGAAAAGTTGCGTTGCTATGGTAGCTCTCAACAAGCCGATACGCCGACTTGGTGGATGTTTCAACTATAAGTGAGCGTGATGACTACACAGAGCTCAGATGTTGAGCGCATTGATGCTCTGGACTCACATCACGCTCATCGTGTTTGCGACTCAGCAGCGCCTGTTAGCGAGATGAGCCTGAGCAGGTCACGAACTAGCAACCAGGATAAGAGATGCAGACTTGGAATGTTGAGCATGTCGAGCCAAGTCAAGAGATTGAACACCTATATTGGGTAGATAGTGAATGATGCTCATCAATGACAGAAAGGCTCGCAGGGTTGATGACGACGCTCAGCAGCAAAAGGGTCAATAGCAGACATTATTGTCGAGGGCAGATGCCGTCGTGCACAACAAGGGGTCAGGCCGAATGCGAACCGTTCATTTGCTGTGGAGACGAGAGCGGAGCATAATGTGGCGCGAGCGTAGAGTTTGTGTTGATAGGCGGTACCAGGCACAAAATTCAGGCCGGATAGCCAGCGCGCGAGCCCTGGCGCGATTGCTGTCAGGTTGGGGGTCCGGGTGGACGGCAGTTTGGAGGAGTCGACGACAGCAGCGGTGAGGCTGGACAGAGAGACTTGCAGCGGGACAGGTCACGTCAAGTCAAGTCAGGCCAAGTCAAGTCAAGTGCATGCACGCGCACAAGTCGGCCATGGCATGAGTGAGGGCAGCGTCCAGCAATGCACAGGCTGCACCTGCCCGATTCGCCGCGCGTGCTTTTTGGGCTGTTATTTCGGGCGCCGGCTGCTTTGGGACGGCAGGCGCTGCAGGTACAACAAACAAGTGGACATGGTCGACCTGGCCCACCGGCCCATGGCCATGATGGCACAAGGAGCACGGCGGAGACTGGCGGAGACGGGCGCGGGCAGGGAGTCGCGCAGCAGGCAGAGGAGCGCAGCGGTGCAGCCAGGGCCGGCCAAACAGCGCCAGGATAGCGTGGTGCAGGCCGGCTGAGTGAAAGCGTGCCCTGGCCGCCCGGCGCTCCGTCCGCTGCCAAACCAGCCCTCGCGCCCGTTTCCTTCCCCTTCTCACCACCCCCAGGGCCCGACGTCTTTTCCCATCCGCCTCGAGTCGATCTCTCCTCGATCTCTCCTCTCCCTCTCCAGACCGCCTGCACTGCACCCACGTCCATTCTTCACCTGCCGCCGCCGTGCCTCCCTCGATTGCCTGCTCCGCTGCCGCTGCAGCGCCGTCGCCTGTCCGCTGAGAGCCTCGCCGGCCGCCGTGCATAGCCCCCGTCGACGTCCGCTCCCGGCCTGCCTCGTGCACCCGCTCACCACCACCACGCCCCCAGCTCCCCCAGCACCGCAGCCATGTCGAGCGGCAGCACCTCGTCCAACGTCGTTGGCGTCCACTACCGCGTCGGCAAGAAGATCGGCGAGGGCAGCTTCGGCGTCATCTTCGAGGGCACCAACCTGCTCAACCAGCAGCAGGTCGCCATCAAGTTCGAGCCGCGCAAGAGCGACGCCCCCCAGCTGCGCGACGAGTACCGCACCTACAAGATCCTGGTCGGCTGCCGTGAGTCTTTTCCGCGCCTTCCCCTTTTCCGTCCACCTCACCCGCCCTGCATCTGCTGTCGAACGTCGTGAACAACCCCACTGACCATCACCAGCTGGGATCCCCAATGTCTACTACTTTGGCCAGGAGGGTCTGCACAACATCCTCGTCATCGACCTCCTCGGCCCCAGCTTGGAGGACCTGTTCGACCACTGCAACCGGAAGTTTTCCATCAAGACGGTTGTTATGGTAGCCAAGCAGATGGTATGTCACGCCGCCAGCAGCCCCCCTTCCCAGCACGTGCTCACGTTCCGCAGCTCTCCCGCGTCCAGACCATCCACGAGAAGAACCTCATCTACCGCGACATCAAGCCCGACAACTTCCTCATCGGACGCCCGGGCTCCAAGAGCGCCAATGTCATCCACGTCGTCGACTTCGGCATGGCGAAGCAGTACCGTGACCCCAAGACGAAGCAGCACATCCCCTACAGAGAACGCAAGTCCCTGTCCGGTACCGCTCGATACATGAGTATAAACACCCATCTTGGACGCGAACAGTCCCGTCGCGACGACTTGGAGGCTCTTGGCCATGTTTTCATGTACTTCCTGCGAGGCGGCCTCCCCTGGCAAGGGCTCAAGGCGGCTACCAACAAGCAGAAGTACGAGAAGATTGGCGAGAAGAAGCAGACCACGGCGATCAAGGATCTTTGTGATGGCTTCCCTGGTACGTGAACGTCAAGCTACATGCACTCTACACCACTAACATGTCACAGAGGAGTTCAACAAGTATCTGAGCTACGTCCGCAACCTTGGGTTCGAGGACACCCCGGATTACGACTACCTCCGTGAGCTCTTCACCCAGGCGCTCAAGAGCACCGGAGAAATCGAGGACGGCGAGTACGACTGGATGAAGCTCAACAACGGAAAGGGTTGGGAAGCGATGAAGTCGCACACGTCGGCTGTCCAGGCGATGCATCAATCGGGTGCTCACCACAACTCGTCGACCGCGGTTAATGTTCACGGCCAGCCGCACAGGCAACCAAAAACGCACCTGCCCGTCGACCACCACCGTCTGAACGAGCCGCTCCCCAAGCCCGGAGCGACTCGCGCCCAGCCCGGAAGAGGCCCAAGGGACAACATGCGCGACTCTCAAGTGAAGAGGAAGAGCATGGGCGAGCTCGCACCTCCCGAAGGAGCGTCGACGCAAGCGCAATTCCAACATAGCCAGCCAACGCTAGCCGCGAACCGCGTGACATCTAATCAGAGTCCGAGCGCGCAGCAGCCCAGGCGACAGGAGCCTGAGAAGCAGAGCGCCATGCAGAAACTGATGAACATTTTGTGCTGCGGCGCTGGAAAATAGTAACATTGCGTAATTGGTCCGATTGTCTTCGTTTTGCGTCGCATGCTGGCGTCGGTTTTGAGCGATCTTGGTCAGGTTTTTCTTGCTGTATAGGTATTTTGTAATGATTGATAGACGGGATTCGAAAAATCTCCTTCGACGGTATGTTAGGTAATACTCTCACGACGACCGAATCGCCTCGACGCCAGCCTGGATTCCTTCTCTTCCATCATTTCTGTTTTTTTTTGTTCAAGTTTGGCGCTTCCGCACATACGAGTTGCATCACCTCGACTGGCAACCCATTCCGGAAGCGGTTTCACTGGCGTCTGCGGCGTCGTGGCTTGGGGGGAGTTGTCAGTTTGGCATCTCATTCATCTGTCTGTGTGTGTTTGTTTGGAGGACGGGGTCTGGGAGCGGGGAGGAGAGAGAGAGAGGGATGGGGGTGTTTTGGCGGAGAAAAGCAGCATATCAAGAAGTTTTCCTGTTCTGGGGCGCGTGTTATTGTATCGGCGGCGGCGGCTGGTGGAAGAAGGGGCCCCGATGTTTGGCTAAGTAGATATGGGAGTAGAGCAATCGAGGCGTATTCACTGAGGTGTTGAACATTGGTGCATGATTGTGTTGTTGGATGAGAATGTGGAGTCGTATGGGGTATGTCGAGGTCGAGGTGTTGTTGGTGACGCTGATGATTTTACAGCATGTTTTGATCGGTGTATATGTCTTGCTTGCTTCCACTCGTCTTCGTGTTAGTGACGGATGTGTTTGCCCTGTCTGGAAAGTAGAGTGCTGGTCAGGCAGGAAAGCTGGAAGTCACGGCCAAATCTTGCAACATTTTCACAATTACATTGAAGAATAGTATAGAAATTCTGTACACCAAGGATTCGCTAAACATGCTTCATTTGTAGCATTTGTCTGTCCATTTGCTGTGCTACAAAAAAACGAAGTTTACTTCCCGACCAACCGAGAGCTAGAGCCAACGGTGATGTACATGCACGTGACATCGTCCTGCCGCAGCGTCGCGCCAAACAGCTCACCCTCAACTTCCCAACCGTCCCACGACATCCCTGCAAACCCCCCAACCACGACGAATCCCACGTACCGCGCACCCCCAAATCTACTCCACACACGCCCACGATGGCGTCGGGACGCGATGTGCGCGACATGCTCGGCCTGCCCGCCGGCAGCGACGCCCCGAAGACAGTCGCTCAGAAGCGCTCCAAGCCCGCGGGGCCGTCGAGGAAAATCCGTACGTCGCCACATTATCCACGGGCGCTTGTTTGTCGCGGGACTATTCCTGGTTGGGTTGGGCTGGTTGGCTGACGAAATCGATGTAGAGGGCGTTGCGCGCGAAGTTGCGGCGCTGTATGGCGAGCGACCTCCCCCCGTGGCTGTCTACGAGGAGAAGAAGGCGTACCGGGCGAAACGGCAGAGTACGGGGCCGGCGAAGAAATGGTATGTCGAGTGGGGGGGGGCTTTGGGCTGCAAAGGCTGATTGTGGGTGCTTAGGATTCAGCAGCCGTTTACGAATCCGGCGCGTGCTGATGGGCTGGTCTTGAGGCATTGGCGCCGGAAGCCTATGTTTGCCACGCCTGTGCGGGAAGGGGAGGAGTTGAGCATGCGACAGGGCGACGAGGTGGCTGTGCAGGAAGATGACAACCCCGACGCATACCTCGAATCGTGCGCCGACTACGTCAAGTACGACATCAAGATTGATCGGGTGGAATATACAGACGAGGACTACGATGCGCATCTGCGGAGCGACGACTGGAGTCGCGAAGAGACGGACTACCTCGTTCAGCTTGTGGGCGACTATGCCTTCCGCTGGGCCGTCATCTGGGACCGTTACGACTTCCAGCCGCCACGGCCGTCGTATCTGCAGCAGGACAACGACCAAGCACTGGCAACGCTGCCCTTCTCCCCCTCCAAGAAGCGGTCGGTCGAGGACCTCAAGGCGCGCTTCTACGACATCTCAGCCCGCCTGATGAAGCAGCGCATCCCGGAAATGCACATGGACGCCGAGCAGTACAGCACCTACGAAATGCTCACAAAGTTCGACCCCATCATGGAGCGCAACAGAAAGCACCTCGCCGCCGCCCTGATCAACCGCACCATGGACGAAGTCAAAGAAGAAGAATTCCTCCTCACCGAGCTCCAACGCATCAACATGGCCGCCAACCGCCTCGACGCCGAGCGCGAAGAGCTGCGAGCCCGCCTCGACGCCCCCCCACCAAACACATCCGCCGCCCCCGGCCTCCAAGCCTTCACATCCTCACAAGCCCTACAGCAACTCTTCCAGCAACTCTTCCAGCAAGATCGCAGCAAGAAACGCGCAGCAGGCGGCGGCACCGCACCAGGCCGCCTCAGCCTCTCTGCAAACGACATGGTCCACACCCCCGGCTCCGCACAAGCACAACTCTCCGCCGCAAACCGCCGCCAAAGCATGGCCACCTCCGCTGCCCAACAACAACACCACAACCACCAACAAACCGCCCCGCAAACCCCTGTCAAACACCTCTCCCCCCACCAGGAACTCCGCTTCAACGTCTCGACCCACGACCGCCTCACCTCGGGCGTCACCTTCGGCTCAGACAAGCTGCTTAAAATGCGCCAGGCCAAGAGTAACGTGCAGACGCAGAAGATTGGCGCGGCGCTCGCGGAACTTGGCATCGCGGATGTTATTAGCATTCCGACGAGTCGCGTGGGGGATGTGTTTGAGAGTTTGGTTACGAAGGTGGGGAAGCTGCTTGATGTGCGCAAGGTGCGCGAGAAAGAGGAGGGGGAGTGTCGCGTGTTGAGGGCTATGAAGGAGAGGAGGAGTGCGGAGGGTGGTGGGGAGAGGAGGGGAAGGGCGGGTGGGGAGGATGATGCGGAGGGGGATGTGGATGGGGATGTGGATGATGCTGAAGGAGAGGGGGACTTGATGGGTATGGGTAATGATATGGATATGGAGGATGATGATGGCGATGGTGATGCAGATGGAGACGGAGATGGAGACGGAGATGGAGACGGCGATGGCGATATGGACGCAGAGGGCGAAGACGATAGTAAGCAGGCTAGTCGCGCGACGAGCCAGGGCGCTGCTGGTGCGGCGGGGACGGGGCATAAAAGGAGCGCCAGTGCGTTTAGCCAGGGGAGTCCGAGGAGCGAGAAGAGGGTTAGGACGTAGATGTTGTGTTGTGTTGCGTTGAGTCGAGTCGACTTTGCATCGTGGGGTTAGCGACGGCGTTTCTTGTGCATAAGCATGACTATTCTTCTACATCATCTGCTTGCTGCAAAATATAACACTAAGAGTTTTGGTCACTTGTTCTCATTTTGTTTCTTTCTTCCATCGCCGTCTTGCTTGATACAGAGCGAAGGAGAATACCCTCCATTCAAACACCGAGTATCAAACCCGCTGATCCGGCACTTGGGATAGACGCATCTATTTCTCAACGCCGAGCCCTAGAATACAAGCAAAAGGGGGGCATTCATTGCCCAACCCATCTGAGCCTGATAGAATTCTCCATACCATGCCATACCATCCTTCTTCTTCGTAGTCTTTCTCAGCACTCACGTCGCCGCATGCATATGCATATATCCAACCCCCCTACGTAAGCTTCTGCTTAATAAAGAAAGCGCGCAAATGCGACAACTGCCACGCGCACGTCACGCCCAGAATAGCAAGCTGGATGAGTGTCCACCTCACGACGCGAGAATTAGTATGTTCAGACTGATCGCGAAACTCGGCCTCACGCTCCTGTACAAAAATCGTCAGCACCTATCCATCCCCCCGCAACAACAATCCCCGCCATGCCAAACTTACCCTCTGAAACACCTGCTCCCTCCTAACATCCGCCAACCGCGCATTCAAATCAATAACCTTCTGCACCAGCGTCTCGACCTTATCCTTATCCGTGCTCTCGATCTTACTCGTCTCGCCAATCGCCATGTCGAGCGTGAACTTTACGGTGCCGTGCACGCCCGCGCCGCCCAGCCAGCCGCCGCCAGAGCTCTGCACGTTCTGCGGCGTCACGCAGATGCGGTGCTGGCCTGAGTCGGCCGCGCTGAAGGTGAAGCGGCCTGAGTTTGCGCCGCGTTGCGCCACGATGCGGTGGTTGTTGTCGAAGGTTTCTTCCACCGTGACGAAGACGCCGACGTCGGGTTTGGTGAGGTAGGATTTTGTGGCGTCGTCCCAGACTTCGATGTGGTAGTGGCCTGGTTGGGGGGTGGGTTAGCTGTGTGTTGGTCTTTGGGGGGATGGTGTATGGTTTATGGTGTATGGTGTATGGTGTGGTGGGGATTGGAGTGTATAGCATCATATTATATCATCCATAACATACCAACAACCAGCGTATCCTTAGGCAGCTCCTCAAAGAAACACTTCTGGACCGCGCCATCCATGAAGAAGTGCAGCGCCTGTGTAGGGATTGCGAGCGCAGCGGCGAGCAGAACCGAGGGCTTCCACATGTTTGCGGGAGTTTTTGGGAATGGGGCTCCGCGAAAGGGGGGGAGTTGCGTGGGTTTTCGCGGATTGGTGTTGCGGTGCTCTCTCTCTCTCGTCTGGCCTTCTTAGACCCTTCCACCGTGGAAGGTCTCGATGCGGTTAGAGGGGGCTTCGAGACACGTGCGCGTTTTATGTTTAGCGTGCGGACCCTTCTTTCTGGAGATGTACCTAGATGGCACCTGCAATTGACGTGGCTGCAGGTGGACTCTCTCTTGCTGAGCGCTGTATGATGTTGTTTTTGAGGATATGTCTGTTCTCGCTGGAATGGGCATCTTCTTGACAAGATGTTGGTTCTACACGGTAGCTGCAAGCAAACCCAGATATCCACTTTATGCCACATGCTGTTCCTCTCTTCTAGGCGGTACAATGGCATTCTAGATGGGAACACGCTTAACCGAGTGGTTCAGCCAGCTTGAACGCGCTTCCACAAGTGCGGCTCGAGTCAGCAATGTAGATGGAATCATCCCCGCAAACGCCGAACCCCGCAACTACTTGCCTAGGTAAATACGAGCATATATATGTATGTGACCACTAGCCTTGTTGGACTTCATCAAGGTCTACAAGACAACACTCTAACCTTGAAAATCTGTAGAACTTACTCAGCCAACCCATCATTCACCTCTCGTATTCAACCTCCATTCTAATCACCTCAAAAATCATCCACCATCAATGGCCCTCTTCAGCCCATCAGCCAATGATCTCCACACCTTAAAATCCACACCAAAAACAATCCTCATAACAGGCGGCTCCTCAGGCATAGGCCTCGCAACCGCCACCCTCCTCTCTTCCCTAAACGCCTCCCACAACCTAATCCTAGTCGACCTCCAACCCCCACCCCCATCATTCACCCACCCAACCTCCCATCTCCTAATCCAAACCTGCGACATCACATCATGGGTCTCGCAACGCACCGCCTTTGAAGCCGGGTACAAGAAATTCGGCCGAATCGACTGCGTATTTGTCAACGCCGGCATTGCAGAACACGCCGAGCAGTTTTTCACAGATGAACTGGACGCCGATGGCGCGTTGAAAGAGCCGGATCGCAGGGTGCTGAAGCTCGACATGGATGCTGCGGCTGACACGACGAAGCTCGCCATCCACTACTTGAGGAAGAATGAGCGCGGTGGCGAGATCGTGCTGACGGCGAGTTTTGCGGGCTATCTGGCGAGTGCGGGCGCGCCGCTGTATTCTGCTGCTAAACACGGTATGTATCGATCACGTGGATGTGACTTTTTCGCGTCGTGGTGAAGACTAATGTAATGTATAGGCGTCGTAGGACTGATGCGCGCGCTTAAGCAGGAATGCGCCAAACTCGACATCAGCATCTCGGTCGTCGCGCCCGCTATAACTGTAACCCCCATTCTGACAGCAAATAACCGCCGCATGAACGCCGCTCCGGACGTCTACGCCGCCGAGATGGCAAAAGCTGGCGTCCCCATTAACAGGCCAGAGTCTATCGGGTTGGCAGTGTGCTGGCTTTTCAACGAGGGCAAGGCAGGTAATGGCGCGGGCATCTTCATCCAGGCGGACAAGTTCTCTGACCTGGAGAGGGGGCTGGCTAAGTCGCGGGAACAGTGGATGGGGAAAGAGATGCTGGAGCTGTTTAGGGGGGGGAGGGGGGCGCCGCTATTCGACAGGCTCGAGGGTGGAAAGGCTAAGCTTTGATGGGGGATCGGGGGTGCTGTGTACTGGGATGAGGAGATCGATTCCCAAGCTTCTTTCTTGCTTGGTGGTTTCTGGAATGCTTGCAGATTGAGTTGACAATACGATAGTCAACGTGCAAACCGTCATCGTGCAGTTCGAGCCACTCCAAGTCCGATGACTTGATGTGCTATTGCGTATACCCAGTGACTCATTAACGTTTGCAAAGTCTTACAGGACAAGGGATTGACAAGCTCCTGAAAGACAAGCCGGCACAGTCGGAAGAAAGAAGTTTGATCCTCACCGTCCATCCTCCACCTCACACCCAACCACCAACACCTCGTCATAGGTGTTCTAGACTCCCGACCCTTCCGAGTGTCACTCAGATATCAGTAGGGAAACGGATTGTGGACCGCTACAGGGAATTGCTCCGACAAAAAGCTCAAAACATACATGACCTCATAACCCCGGGCGAACACCAACGACATCTCGTCACTGGGATTGCATGCGACAACGCTTTGATGTAATGCCAGGAAAGTAACGGGGAGACGATGGCTGGGCTGTTGCGGCCCAGAGGGGATGAACTGGCTGTTGAAAACACAGCGCGTGCGGCTGACGTTGTGTTGTCTCAGTGTTATGACCTCGAGGTATACGTGCCTACTTGGGAAATGTGTAGATAGCCGTTTCTCTCGCTGCATCTACAGTAGCATCAACATCAGATCACCTCGCACTCCATCTCCCACCGGCTTCTCTAAGCCACTCCAAGCCACTCCACTCCCCCAATATGATAATCTCACGCCTCCTCTCCATCGGCCTGCGCATCGCCCAGTTCGTCTTCGCAGCCATCGTCCTCGGCCTAACCGTCGACTTCCTCTACGAGCGCACACGCTACAGCGTCGGTCCCTCAGGCCGCACAATCTTCTCCATCATCTAGTCCTCGCTTTCGGTTCTGTTCTCCATCGTCTGGACGATTCCCTCTATGACGGGTTACGTGCTGCATACATTCCCTACTCCCATCCCATAGCATCATATCACATTATATCACATCCTCAACATACGCCAACCCCCGCAGTCTCCACAGTAGGCTAGACCGCCGTCTTCGCACTGCTAGTCCGCTGGTTCCACGGCGCGGGGTGCGGCAGCGCGTGGGCCTGGGGCGCCATCAGCGTGAGCCGCGACGACTACTGCGGACAGTAGCGCGCGGCTCAAGCGTTCTCTTTCCTGTCCACGATCATGTGGTTGGCGACGGGCGTGCTGGGGTTGCTCACTGTGCACCGCTTGACTAGGCGGCCGGTTGTGAATGAGGGTCCTGGGTGAGTTTTCGGGGTGTGAGGGTGGGTGTGGGTTGGTGCGGTGCTGACTGATGTACAGTAAGAATTATGGCCCCTCGCGCGTTTAGGACGTGGTTTGGTTGCGGGGTACTGGGTTTGTTTACCTGCTGGGGATGGGTGGGGTGGAGTGGAGTACAGCGCTGTGGAGTGCGGTGCAGTGCAGTGGAAAGTGTGTTCCCGCTCACGCACTTGCAGTCGATAAATGGAGTCTACCGACATATCTCTCCTTTGCTTTCCTTGTTGTTGTTCAAGCACAAGCTTACGACAAGCATGATCTGTAAACTAGCAAGCGTTATTCGAGTATTCCGTTTATACCCTTTGAGCATTTCAGTAATAACAACATATGTATTCTGTATAGTATTTCGACTAGAACCTGCTACAGGACAATATCAATACTCTCCTGGCAAAACAGCCCCCTTCATCGCCATCCACCCCGCAATACTTTCCCCTGTGGAGATATCTGTCGTCGCACTAGGACACCCACGCCTATGTCGGACCGAACCACAGCAGACCTGATACCTGCGGTCAAACTTCGGAGCGTAGATCTCAACGGAAGAGTTTTTCAGAAACTTTGTTGGAAATTAAGCTTGAATTAGGATCTGCGTGGAAAGTATGGCGACGACGACGACGACGACGATGTGTCGCACACGCATACGCACACCATCTCACAGACACAAATGGTCAGACTAGTGGGAGCTAGACTATGTACTCGACTCGAAGATATTTGCGCAAGATTGATGTTGTCAATAAGAAAAAGGTTGAGTTGGATTTGTACTCTACTATCTATTCCCAAAAGCGGCCATCTTTCGAAATTCAGATACGCTTTGATTGAACTGCAGATCAAGCATAAGCATGACCCAGAAAACCTACAATATCAAAAACCACTTGTTTCGTCTCCAAATAGTGTGATGGATGTTGAAAGAATGATATTCTCTCTCAACATCCATCACACACACACACGCGCGCGCTGAAATCCATCCACGAGGTACTCCTTTTCGCGCAAGATCTCAACTTCAAAACAGAGCAAAAAAAAGAAGTGAGCGGCAGTCTGGTATCACGGAGGTTTTCTTCCTCAAACCCCAAAAACCCCAAAACTCCTGCTTGCCAGCCCGGTAAATGCATCGCTCAATAGCATTTATCTGTCTGTCCAGAAAAAAACAGAAAGAAAAAGTGAGAGATTAAAAGACGCCCCTGTGCTGCGAACGTATTCTGCTAGTGCTGTGTCGTCGTGATGAGAATAATGTACAGAAGAAAAAAAGATCGTTGCGTCGGGCGCGCTGAGTGAATGATATCGCATTCGTTGAACGCCGAGTTGTGACAAAACGTAATGAATGAGTGTTATTGCGAAGGAGTTTCATGTGCGACGGATGATTCTTGCCCAGAGTCCTGCACGTCGCGAGTATTTAGGTTGGGAATACCTTGGGCTCCGTCTACTGCTGGATGAGCGGAGGATCGGTTGGTGAGCGGTGGTTGCGGTGATGCGGAGAGGCTGGATACTTCTCCCAGCGCGAGAGTCCCGGATGATTGCTTCATCTCCTCTTCTTGGACGTAAGCAATGGGCCTCCATATCCGCCAGTGTAGAAGAACGATGTGTGTGATGCGGTTCGCAATATCCATCAACTTGGTATTTGCTGCGTGTTGCGGGAGAAGAAACGTAAACGAATCGGGCCCTGTGGCGGGACGCGAGGGTTGTGCTGGTGGTAGCGGCACAGAGTTAGCGACTGGGACGAGGGTGTTGAATAGGTCCGTAGGCGAGGAGTTGGAGTGGCGATTTGCGCAGGCAAGAACTTGCAAAAGCATGCTAGCCTCAAGACGCTCAGCGTGTGTGGCAGCCGAGGTATGGAAGAGGTGGCGAAAGAGCTGCTCTGCTTTTAGTATGCTGTCGAGGTCATGTGTTTGTGGTTGGCCAGCAAAGAGCGAAGCCTGTCGTAAAATCTCTAACGAAAGGGCTTCCGAGTTCATGATCCACGTCTGGAAACCGTAACCGATGGCTTCTCCCATAATTGCGGAAAGCGAGATGCGCAGTTGTTGTCGCGTCGTAGGCGATACCGGGCCTTCGTAGCCAAATTGCTTGATCAGATTCGCGAACATGTCGAAGCAGATGTCGAAGGAGACAACGTCCTCGATTTCTGCCTTCAAAACACGCAGCCGGTCTTGATCCAGATAGAAAGTTTCGGGAAACTCGAATCCGCCGTCTCTGTTGAAGATAGTTGCGGTTACAGCACGGACGAAGACTTCTAGTTGCAGGCGAAGGGGTTCGTGGCGTGGAGTGATACATTGCTGCCCGAAATCCTCGACTGCGAGAGAATACCATGTGTGGGCCGTGTTGATGTTGACTCGTGCGCGGCCGTTGACGAGTCTATCCAGATGGTAGTGTTTCTCAAAGTTGATCGTGTCCTCGATCAAGAGTGTTTTTAGGTTCCTGATCTGGTGATTCGCGACATCCTGAAATACATCAGCTAAGTCCTACAAGTAAGAAAAAAACACGGATAACTCACCAACTTCATAGCCTCCAGTATGCCTAGCAGTTCGCACAGTCCTTTGACAATATCGCCAGAGCTGTTCGTTGTGACGCCTAATTTTATGTATGCAACCATCTTATCAACCCATCCGTCTCGCATTGGAGCACAGTGTTCTTTAAGCAGATGGGCCATCCACTCAGCTAGTCGTACCAGATCGCACACACCCCGCTCGATTTCTTGCATAAGCATAGGTACATCCAAGTGCTCGTCCACTCTCGAATGATCTCGATCTGGTACCAAGCTTTTCAGCACGTCTTGGATGGTTTGGAATATGATCGGTATTCGTCGTTCTGCATGGCGGGTGACTGTTGTCCAGTCGGTTCCTTTCAGTTCTCGCAATGGTGGCGTGCCTCGGAACAATCGGGTGTAGAGTTCAAGTTCAGCGACCAGCGCCCTCCAGTACTTCTGTGCTGCCTTCATTTTCTCCTGACCCTTACTGCCATCCAGATTCGGCCTAAAGCTCAGATCACGGTCGAAGTTGACGTCATGCCGTAATCTGATGTTGGGGATGATGTTCTGGATGTCGAGCTCACTTAGTGAGAGATTCGTGATGGGGGGTAGATCGGTTGCTTCTCGATATGCCTCTGCCATTTCTTTTCCTTCTGGCCCAGGGATCATGCTGATGATCAGCTCGGCAAGTTGTTCTGGGATATTCAGGTGGCGAGACCGTGTTGGTAACGAGGTACGTGCGTCTCTCATTACAACCTCCTCTTCCGGAGCTAGCCTCGTGCCATGCCCGGCGCATGGTTTCTCATCGTGTTGTGAAGCTCCAGAGCTGATAAGAGGTCCATGCCATGTCGATGTAGCAGGCGCCCTGCTGTTCTCCACATCTACTGTGGTTGTCGACAACGTAGAGTAGCCGCGGTCAGCAGAGCTCAGAACCCTGCTGCCAGTGGTGTTGGGGGTCTGGGTATTCATGTCTTCCTGTGGTCGGGAGCGGTTGCAGCTCTTCTGCAGCGAAGGGATGACGGGTTCGACCAAGAGATAATTCCTAAAACGCAACTTCGAAACAGGCGCGCGAGGGGGCGCAGGGGTGATGGTAAAATTGGGGGAAGCGAACGCTCAAGAAAAGCGCATGGGATTGCTACAAGCGCGAACTATGACAGGTCAGCCACCAAATCATACAAGACAGGACAGTTTGTAGAACGCAAGCAGAAAGCGTGTTCGCAGGTGTTTGACTGAAGCTGCGGGCTCCCGCATGAACCAGCGAGACAGATCCCGAGTCAGACAAGCATAGGATGCGGGAATCGGGCTTGGTCTGTGTTTACCTTTTCTCATGTGCCCACGTTGGTGGCTGGTCTGTGGGATCTTTCGTACGCAAGATTCAACGCTTGTATTGTGTGAACATAATAGGGGAGGACAAAGTGGTCAGTTGTGCTGAAGAGCACAACGATGTTTGCAGAAGCCTGATGAGACGGCTTCCCAACGAGAACGCTTTGCAGGAAAAACAAAGCGGAAACAGCGCAGCAAAAAGACAGAAAGCAGAGAGACAGGAGGAATACTACCGAACGTGGCGGTAGTGTTGTAAAGTGCGTGAGACTGCTGCAAATGCGTTGCGGAATTCAAACAACGTTTGACTCGTTTCCGGAAGGCGTGGGGAGTCGTTGGTCTTGGAGGCTGAACTCAGAGGGAGTACCTTGCATTACTTGTTTAAAGGGGACACAGGCGAAGTGCAGTGCTTATGCCCCGGCACTATTTATTGATGCAGCCAATATCTGGAACCCGGAGGTGATCGCCAAAAGCACGGTCGACAGGGCGTTCGCGATTGTGACAGCTGCTGAGTGTGAAGCTGCAGCGCAGGCCTTCCCAACATCTCACCGCCAGTCGTCCGCAGCTTTGCCGTGGTACCGGCTGCTGCCGACGTCGCAGAGCCGCAGTAGTGCTCTTTCCTTTTGTCATACAAGTTGAATAATACTGCTGAGAAAGGAGAACGGCGCATGGAGCTTGCAGTCAGTCATGTAACTCCGAGACGATGCGGTCTGCCGAGAGCGAGAGAGAAGCGAGATTGGTCAACTCGGTAGCCTCACTTTTGTTTTTTACACAACAGGGCGAGCGACATGTTCCAACCACCGGAAGGCCAGAAACGAACCCGGCAATTTCGCGTCATGCAGCTGATCCGTCTCTAGCCTCGTGGCTCTAAGATTGGCGGCGGACCAAGGAAGAGACGATGCGGTCTGTCGTCAGCCACCACCATCATCATCATCGATAAATACCAAACACACGCGTGTTCGGCGCTGCGCGTCGTCTTGTGAGTTCTTGAAACGTCGCCTCCGTTCATCTTTGCTGATCGTCCGACGTGCGGCCGTGTGGCCGGGTGCTTTTATCCGGTCGAAAGATGGTCAGCAACTGCTGAAGGATCGCGATGATCTCGAGGGCACAAGGCCAGAGCGGCCTCTCACGAAGAAACGGGTGGAGAACGCGCAGAGAAAGAAAGGCTGCAGGTAGCATGATCCTGTACAATGTGTGGGGTGCGTGGGTTTTTATAGCCGCTTATCTTTCCTAGATGAATGATAGGAAGAAAAGAAGTCCCTCGCCTGTTCGGTTAGGCAACAACCGGGACAACGACACCATCTTGGAGGAAGTCACGATGGCACATCATCACTACTTAGGGCCTGTTGCAGGAGTATAGACTTCTGTGAATGGTTGTATCATATAAGAGGCGAATGGAGGACTTGTGGACAGCATGCCTCCCGTTCAGCCTTACCTGTGACACCGATCCACCTCATCAACTTTACATATGGCACTATACTTGGAAAAAGCCACAATGATAAACATATCCATCCAGGAGAAAGCTTTATCTTGTGCGGTACTCAAGATAGCTATTCAATTCTGCAACCCACTCCATCACATCCAAGCCACTACTATCCTTCATACACCCACACATCACGACTCCTTCCCCCTCCCCCTCAACCCCTCGATATACCCCCACCCCCAGCCCTCCTCCTCCCCACCTTCTCCCCCTCCCTACACAACCCACAAGCCCCTTCATACCGCCTAACAAAACTCCTCCGTTTCCCCACCGGACAAGCGCATCTCGAAGTCTTCGCCTCAGGACAAAGGCTAATATATGGATGTGCGGGGGCGGGCGGACACGCGCACGTCCCTGTTGCAAAGAGGACGATGCACATTTGATATGTCGTGAATGGTATCCGGTTGAGTGGTGAGGTCGAGGATGGCCGGATGTTTGGAGAAGATATTGGTTGGTCTGTTGGTGGGATGGAGTGTTTCCACTGATTTAGCTGCTCAATGGAGTGAGGGTTTGAAATGCCTGTATGGTATGCTGTATGTTGGACAAGGTAGACAGAAGGCCTCTTGTCCATATAAACACCGCATTGCATAGCATCACAGCGCATCGCAGCGTGTTGGTCGTTAGCAAATCCCTCTCTCAACCGCTTGCACGCGAACAACACACAACAAAGGATCCTTATCAATCATGACAACAACTGCTTGAGATGGGTGAGACAATTACACGTTTGTGAGAGAGAGCGAGCATCAAAAGTTCGTTTGTAAGATATCGCGTGAATTATTATGAAGAGAAAATGAGCAATCCGTAACCACACTAGTCCTGTACGTAGACGTTCGGTTACGAGAAAGGAGAGTATCGATAGAAAAGGAGGCGACGCAGGGCGGGGAGGCAAAGTTGAGAAGCAAGAAAACAGGAGTGCGAATAAGGAAGCCCTGCTGCGCCACCGTTGCATACAAAGCTGCCACGTGTAAACCACATAATATGCCCTTCTGTACTAGCACGATCAAAACACCACCTTCTCCCAAACTCAAATCGAATCCCTTTGGCAGAAGTTTGACGGTCAAGCCTGCCGTTTGACGCTTGCCATCACTCCACAAAGCGGTCCGAATGAGCGCTCAACTGTTCTTGGAAATCAAGATAACAACGTCGTCCACCTAGTCGACGTCCATGTCTTTATCCTCCGCCTTGGTTTGCTTGCCGGTGCGTCCACGCGGCGGCTCATGCTCGTCGGGACTGTCTTCGTCCTCTGGGCTTTGCGGTCGGCTGTCGTTCAAATTGCGTTGGCTGCGGGCCATCTATGAAATGTCAGCACACTGTTTTCCGCTGTATAAGAAAATAGTAGAGATGATTGACTTACCCAAGCGCGCACACCACCAATCAGTCCCAAACTGTACCCAGCCGCAAATTCAGACGATCCCCTCTCGCCACCGCGGTTGGCTTGCGGGATGTCCAAGTGGCTCATACGCGACAAAGCGGACGGTGACCTAAGAGAGCCAGCACTTGAGTCGTTTGCATCAGCCGCCCTCTCGTGCGTAGGCGTCCTGGCGGGGCTTGCAGGACGACTTGCTTGCCAGAACTGACGGAAATCTTTGCTGAGTTCCTGGCCGGTTGTCGACCAGTTGGCCTTGATGCTGTCGCGGAACTCGGTCATGTTACGCTTGAAGTCGAGCTCGTTCTTCTTCAGCCACGAGACATTCAGCTCCTTGCGCGACGTGCCGCGCTTGAGCTGGCGGTCGATGTATTGGTCGTAGTCGCGCACGATCCTGCATCTGATTAGCATCTCGCTTCACGGTGCACAGAGGCGGGGTCCCTACTTGGTGATGATGCCTGTCGTGCTCAGACCCTCGGTTCGCTGCGTGACCAGGAACATGCCCTTTGCTTTGATCTCGCCGTAGATGTCATCGCCCTCGTCTGCGCCATAGGGAAGGTCATCGTGGGCTACGTAATCGATCTGGTGCTGCTCAAGAAAATCCGCAGTGACAATCCAAGGGCAGTCCTCGATGACCTCGTCGACCCATTTGCAATGTCGCACGCTCTCGGCTCGCTCCCGCGCAGACAGAACAGTGAGACCCTTCCTCCTGTGCGTTTCCTTGTCTCCCGTGACTCCGACGATAAGGACTACTTCCGGGAACGCAGTCTTGGCCTGCTGGAGCTGGCGCATGTGCCCGATGTGGAACAGGTCAAAAACACCATCTGCATAGATCTTTACGGGTCGTCCCTGGGGTGGTGGGTTCGTCTTGAAGCCCACTGGGTCGACTAGGCCCGCCTTGGGAGGAGCATCCATGCGCATTGTCCCCGCCTCGCCGTTCTCTCCGTGCTCATCGCTTGACGATGTTCTCCGGCTCTTTTTGCTCACGCGCGAGCCCTCGTCGTCCGATTCCTCCGGCTCGGCATAATTTACACTCTTTACAGAGCGCGTTCGCTTTGGTACACCAGCCGCATCAGCCTGTCGCTCCTTCTTCGACGTGACTCCCTGAAGGACAGTGTCTTGGACGCCTTCATCAGACGCATCGCGAGACGATGGTTGCACAGGATCCATGGCTGATTTTGTTACGGAGGTGAGAGTGGTGGATCGCTTTCGTTTTGGCGGCATGAGCGTGCGGCGTTGTTCTGCGCGCGGTGTACTAGGATGGGAATCGCGGGATGTCACCGAGGTGCAAAGGATGACGCGATGTCTTGGAAGGGCAGGTGAGATGTTTCACACACAGAACACACAGCCTACGGGTGAAGATGGAGGTAAATGGAGGAGAGACCAGAAAGCGCGCAAGAGATGTTGACACGATACCATAATCAGTCCATAATTATAATTTTGGGGTCCAACATCCTGATCGGCCAGGCTATGACGACGTTGGCGCCGCATCCTGCTCCCTGCGCAACAACCAACTCCGGAGTTGTTGAAGTGCCCACCCACGTGCAAGCGCCTCGAACCTGCTTCAAAACATTACGGAAGTTTTGCGTCAGGCAATATGGCTGGAATATCCCACGGTGAGTAAATGGTAACCGGAAGAGCATGAAGAACTCCCTCATTCTAGAGAGCGTTCGTGTTCACAAACTTATGCTCTGACGCCAGATAATGCTGATCTAAAGCCCGTCGCATAGTGGTACAATGGTGATATCGTCTTCTCCTCTCACCACTCTGTAGGCACTGTGATGTTCCTCACTCACGACGTCTTCGTCTCATCCAACGTCCATACCCTGACCTCGCCGTCATCCCCGGTACTGACCACGACTTCCTCACCCTCCCACCTCTTTCCCTTGTCTGCCCTCTTTGCCCACGCAACATGATTGATCTCAAACACGTCGTGTGCCGAAAAGATTTCTGCGACCACCACCCACTCCGTCAACGACGCTTGTTCTTCCGTCTGCGTAGCTCCCGACTCATCTGCGCTTGCGCCGTTCGATGTCCCCGCCCTCCACCTCTCCTTGTATACCACAATCTTGCCATCACTCCCAGCACTGACGATCATGCCCGTAGTCCGACTCCATGATACCGAGTAAATCGCTCGGTCATGTGCCCGCGGGAGAACAGCTTCCTCATACCAATCCTCATCAATGGCCGTTGAGCGAATAATCGACGGGATCCCCGTATTTGCCTGCGCACCCTCTGGTCTGTCCTTTGGTTTTCTGCGCCAAATCCTCACTGAGCAATCATCCGAGCAAGTTGCAAGCCGTGGTCCTGAACGTTGCAACGCCTCAACATATTCAGCACCTTCCTGCGGCAGTTCCTTTGTCTCTTTGCGGAAGTCTTTTGTGTGCATCCCACTCCCCTCAAACTCGACCCACCAAACCGTCATCCCATGCCCATTGATGACAGCCACCTGCACCCAATCGTCCGCGTCCTCGCGGTACAACCTCACGGTATCGTCGTAGCTCGCACTCACGAGGAGATCCTCTTCAGGATGCCATGCGACACACTTGACATCGCCATCGTGTTCCTGCAGCACGGCGACAGTCTCAAAGTTGTCGTCCTCCAACTCTTCCCATATCCAAACGCTCTTATCGCGCGAACAAGTCGCTAGATACTGGCCCGAGGGACTCCAGCTCAAACACTTAATCTCGCTCTCATGTCCGTCGAGGATGCAGCTGAACTGGTAGTCATCCTCATCTCCGTCACCATCTTCGTTGTGTGTAGTGAAATCTTGCGTTGTGTCGTTTTGATCGTGTCGCCATATTCCCGCACTGCTGTCAAAACTGCCCGTTGCAAGCACACTCTGCCCGCGAACCCCAGGCTTCCAACTCACAGACCGTACACTGCGCTTGTGGCCACCGGTGATGCTATGTAGCAGTGTGAACGATGTCAGGCTGTAGACGCGCACGCTGCGGTCGGAGCAGGCTGTGGCGACAATGGGGAGAGAGGGGTGTGGGGCAGATTGCCATGTGCGCGAGCTGGAAGGTGGAGCGAGGGTTGCAAGAGAGGCGAGCGTGTGTGTAGGTGGCGGGGTGGACATGTTGGATGCCTCTGCTGCGTGCAGCGTGGAATGCACAATTGGATGTGCGATTGTTGCGTACAGGAAAGAGGATAATCTCCGAACTTCGCTACAACCAATGGAGAAGTCGTTGTCGTCTTGACTCAATGTTAGAGATGCGGTCGAAGTGGAGTGTTTTGCGCGGGGCAGAAAGTTTCCAGGCGCGTCATCTGCCAAGTATCTTTAAAGTTGCGTTATCGGCGGCTTCTGCATTCTACACTTCGTACATACATTATGCGACTGATTGCTTCGTGAAAATGCTTCATAGTACACCATCGCACACTTCGTAACCCACATGTCGAGAATCCTTGCGCCGCCCCAGAATATGCCAACAGAGTAAAGAGATATCGCCCAATGGGTATACATCTTGAGGGAGAAAACGCCCGAAATGCTTGTAAAAGAAATCGCAGCGCCAACTTTCACCGTCGCCCATAGTGCACATCCTCCGGGGGCGCTTGACCTGCATGCGTATCGCGGAAGGACGTAGTGATGGACATCAATCTGTCAGCCAGCGTCTGCTGCTCTGCGTCTGCAACACCCGCCTCGGTCCTCACCCCCATGTTACACATCTCGAGGGCTCCACCGTCCTCCTTAGTCTCATCAATCACGATTTTCTGTTCCGACGTGACCATGATGCCGCCCCAGAAATGCCCGCCATGGGCTTCTGTTGGCAACTGCACAAGTCCCTTCTCAAAATCAAAATCAGAACGTACAATCATTTCCATGGATGAAGACCGTGGAGGTTGCAGCTTGTGAGGCCATCTGTTGCTGTGACGACTCCCTGGCGTTCTAGGCAATTTGGAAGATCTGCCAGGTTTCGGGTTGGATGTAGTTCGTATGAGCGTACTGAACTCTTTGTGGTTTTTGTGAGCTAGTATCGCGTGATCAGGGCATCCTGGATATGACCGCATGTATGTTTGGAAGAAAGACATAGGTATCGTCTTCAACGTGTGGCTTTGTAGCGACTGGTTGTAGATCTCTTTGATGCCGCAGAACGCGAAGACAGTTGCCTGCTTCATCTCCTTCTGACCGTTGAACCCATGCGCTATGGCAAGCTTGTGGGAGGAGAAGACCGCACGGTGCAACTCAGCTTCTGGCGAATGTTGAAGGAGGTCGAGGATCTTGTTGCGAAAACTTTCCAGGAAGACGGTGTCTTCTGTAATTGACCCAGATAGCCTACTAGTTCGCGCCAGACAGTCGTCTAGTCTTCGGCCATCAAAGGTTGCCAGGAGTTTTGCCTCCCGACTATTAAGTTCTCCATCGCTGAGCTTGACCATCGGCAAACGATCTGGAGTATCTCTGGGCACGATTACGTCCAATCCTCTCATGCCAGGCGATGGCTGGATCAGAAAGGATGCAAGATAAGTCCCGCTTGCTGGAATCGACGGTTCTCTTTGACTGAACGCGTATAGACGGCCGACCAAGACCTCTAGATCCTCTCGAGAAACTTGCAAACTACGAGCAAGATGCTCGCCAACCTGCTCCATGTTTGCGAATCGGTACCCAAGGTTCTGAAGGCGGTTGGCTTCGCCAATGTCGACCTTCTTCGTGAGGACCAACATCTGACCCTGCGAGTGTTAGTTTGCGTAGTATGATGAGGCCTGGGAAATCGCATACCTTGCCGAGTAGGATTGGATTAACAATACCCGCCTCGATATCCTTCTGCGAAGTTGCTACGTCCGCCGCAACGCTCATTTTGTTCCCGTGGGTGTCTTTGAAGATTGTTCGAGTTGATAATGTGCCCGTTGTCAACACCCCTTCGTAAAGACTCCCCAGGTTTTGCAGCCCAGTGTCGAGAGACTTCGCGATCTCGGAGGCGGTGACGCAAAAAAGCTCTTTGAACGTAGTCGAGTAGCCTGAGTCATTCTCGGAGCCGAAGGATGTACGACTTCCACTTCCTATGACAGGCGAGTACGTCTGAAGATATCCAGTAGCTTGTAGATGGTCTCGCATTGATGGCACCAAATCCACAATACCGGACCAGTTACGAGAGACCCGAAAGATCCACTGGAAGACCGGATGTGAGGTATTAAATTCATCGTCAAATGTCTGCACTGGTCAGTCCGCTTATTCGCACAACGCACAGGCTACTGAACTCACTTTCTGATGGAACTGCCGAGTGATGGTCTGGGAAGGTAACAGCCCACCTTGGCTGACGAGTAGCCTACCTTCCGCATCGAATGTGACAACTGCCAACACGAATTGTTGCGCACGATCTCTTAGCATCTTCTGGTGGCGTTGTTTGAGAAACCCGAGTAGGAAGACAACAACGCACGAAGTCAAGGACTTGATAAGGGTCAGTAATTGCTTACTGTTTGCTGCTCAACCACTTACCAGAGATAGTGCGATGATGAGAGTCGTGTTCCTTTCTCGTCCCGATTCTTGATGATAGCCTGTGATTTCGTACTTTGTACCAGCAGCAGCAGTCCAATGCATACCCGACACAGCCAGAGCGAGGAAGCATGCCACGAGTATACGTCTCCAGATGTTGTTCATCCAATGTCCTGACCAGTGGAAGAACAGCCCAAAAGACAACAGGGAGGCACCTACCGCAATTACAGCTGCGCCGAATATGTGTGGCCAGCTCAGAAGAAGGTTAAAATCTGAAGTGCCATAGTTTCCGACATAATGCATCTAACAAAGTTAGGTGCGAGTTCTGAACAGATAGGGGATGATTTTACCTCAACTATTGACGCTCCGGCGCAGATACTGCAAACGAGGAGAGAACAGAACCTGGTAATGGCGCGCTTGTTCCCTTTGTAGAATCGGTCGGCGACTACAAACCCTAGGAACAAAACAACCACAGGGAGAATGAAGGATATAGTCGTAAACGTCGAACTGTAGTAGAGCTGAATCTCTGCTTCTCCGTCGCCGAGGATGATGGCTCGATTGCCAACAAAATGCATGCACCAGATTGCAACACCGCCGAATGAGATGGCACAGCCTGCCAACTGTACCCTGAATCGTGTCAGTCCTTGTTCTTAGGTCCAAGCGAGGGTTTGATGCATACCATGATCGCCAGCCAGATCCTGACACCCTGCGATGCAATAGTTCGACGGTTGTGAAAGCCCCGACCAAGGAGACAAGATACGAGCAGAAGATCAGGTACGGAACAAACACAATCTTCGGTTGGCTATGCATAGGATACTTGAGTGCGATTTTCGAGTCCATGTTGCTTAAGAGACTTGATATACTGCCCTACTGTAGAGATCTACAAGATCGTTAGTTTACACTCAATCGCGGGATATTGTGAAGTGATCGGATAAGAAGTTGCAACTCACCTGATTTAGTAGGGTGTGTTTCCAGCTTCTAGTTCAGCTCAAGAGTACACTGGTTCTGGTCGTTGAGGCGGGAAACGATTCAAGGAATCGATACACACGATTGTTGTTCCGACTTATATGATTCGCATGCTTGTACTAGGAATCTCCGAAAGTGACGGCAAATCGCAATGTTCAGGTGGTACCTTTTCGGGTCCTGTAGCTGAAAAGCAAATCGACGTTAGACAAGACTACTTTTTCAGAACCTAATCGCCACGCGCGAAGATGTATGTCTCCGCAGAGCCCTCTCAGTGACGTATACAAGCAGAACAGGGAGGGTTTGAGTATTGTTGCGGATCTTGTGATGGATGAAGGGTGCTTGATGTTTTGTACTGGTTACCACATGGCATGGACTACTGTTAAGAGCGTTTTGCATGGTATCCATGTATGTATAACGGTTCTTGTCTAGCGGGATTCGAGACTTCGGGTCTGATCTGTCGCGACCGTCGTAAGAGCAGGGACTTTGTTACGCTTGGCCCGTACTTCAGCTGTCATCTTGGCCGCTATCGCCGACCTCCAGCGCCATACTAAGAAATCCTTCGACGCCGTCGATAACCTATATTGCACGAGCTTGAAGGACACGCAAGAGTTAAGTTTCGAACCAGGATCGAATAGCCAGTCAATTAGATAATTGCACGGGCGTATGCTGGATATATTAATATGTCCCAAAGTTGTATGTTACATCTATGATTCTCTGGAAGTATCCACCATCTCTTCTGGATTGGATCAGAGGTGGGTTATCGAGTTCTTTGATCCACATTGCAACCTGGTAGACTCCGGAGGCAAGCAGAGAAGTTGCACAACCTGACTCGATGAAGCTAGTGTGTCTGACCGAGGCACATGGATAATAGCAGTCTTCTGAGCCCTCTTCGATGATCCTCAGGAGCATCGCGACCTTAATCCGCGACATGCTGCGTCGCAGCAGCTGTATTCGAGTGACGATGCAGGACCTACAACCAACCATACCAACCGTTTCCTGCTTTTTCCTGATCTGTACCCACGCCGCGGTTAGTCCCGACTGGCCAGACTGAGCATGGGTGTATTCCATCATTCCTGCACGACGCCTCAATGGTCACTACACAGATAGTGTACTTTCTCATTCCGAATCCTACAAATCCGAGGTAGTTGATCATGATCGCTTAGCGTCCGGGTCACTACGCTTCTCGGTGTAGCTTGACCGTATTCTCGGAGGAAAGCCACGTTTTCATTGCTGGGAAACATGCTCCCGCACTGCCAGGAGTCATGGTTACTTGCGCAATCCATGGTGCGGGAAGAAAAGTTTGGTCGCATGGACGTAAATACGGGTCCTTGCCGGCTAAGCGAGAGATTCGATCAGCCCTCGCGTATCGCTGCGTTTTGGTATTGCGGACATCTTAGGATTGCAAAGCAGGGAACCAGGATGCTTGTAAATTCGAACGCATAGTGCATTCTCACGATGTGCAGGTCTGCCCTGCTGAGTGCTAAGTATATGTGTCTTCGCTGAAGCTGCATGCGGACTTTTGCAGATGCCTCGTATATCTTGAAACATTCCTAGGGCAACTCTCGCCACCGCGCCAGCACCGGTCGGCCGTCTCCGTCAGGAATCGAATTGACGGACGTCAAATACGTTGGGCGGACAAGAAGGTTTGGACGGTAGATCTACTCAGACACGTGTAGACGGTTCGTTGCTTCCAGAAACTTTGAACTAAAGCTCAACCCATAGAGCAAATTGTGAGACTCGACAATGTCTCAACTCATAGGCTATAATTTAATTGTCGCACAAAGGTGAACATTTCGATAATTTCGAGGCTTTTCTTTCCTCGATTCCGTTTTGAGAGCTCTACCGAGCGAAAACTCAACGTGAGCTGTGGTCCTCCGAACGTGATCATCGAGTACGGGTAGTGCGGATATGTAATATATAGCGACGGTGATAGATCCAACCTAGTCCTGAGCTGTTGGCTCTGTGAAAGGTGTGCTTCGAGATGACGATTTGAATTCGATGGTTGGCAGATATCTGCTCTTGTATCGATCGAGCAGCCCTCGAACGTCTTCCAACAGCTTGCAATCACAGATGAGCAACCAAGATCGCCTCTGAGTCTTTGCCAAGTCAAGACCGCTTTTCAGAAAGCCGGAACCAGTTTCTCCACAGCCCACTCTCCGTCTTCTTCCCCATAATTGTCAGACACCAACTGTGTATCCCACGACCTTTTTCCCCCGGCGAATATCGGCAAGGTTTTGGGTCCAAGAACGGAGGAGCTCGTTTCTGATGGTTGACATGAGCCAAGACTATACTGAACATTTGTCACAGCGTCTTCGTAGAAATGAGAGGACGCAACTTCGGGATGTGGCGCAACGACATCTCCGCCAGCGCACAAATTGATGCATGCTCTAGGTACGGCTGATTCTGTGTTGGTGTGGAGCAACATATCATCTTCAACAACCCCAGAGTCCTGCCGATCATGTTCTGTGATTACAGGGACAAGCCCTTGGAGCGGAGACTCACCGTCTCCCGTACGGAACGCATGGTTTACCTCGTGGAGCAACTCATCGTCCTCAGAATCTCCGCTCTCATTCATGTCGATAGCAGACCGAGATATACGGCGAAGTCCCTTCTTCTGCCCTGAACGCTCCTGATCCGCGCTACTTGTGTTCTGTTGTTTCGAAACTACAAATGCCTGCAACCCAGGCGTTGATTTGCATTCCAGGTTCTTTTGCAGATACAACCAGAGGCGGCTTGCCAGGGTTGAGGATAGTTGTCCGACACTTGGCTCGACAGTAGCTGCGTCAGACCATCCAACTGTAGCTCGATCTAAAACCAGTTTTGCAACTTTGTCTTTGAGTGACATAGACGTCGCTCGTAAATAAGCTGTTTGGGTGAGAGAACGGCTAACCACCGAGAGTAGTTGAGCTCGTTGTGATAGCGCCTAGCAATCGAGTCAGTATGCATTAGTGAGAGCAGATAAGATACTCTCCTACAAGCAAGTATCCAGGACTCCACAGGATCGGAGCCACCTCCATGAGACTCTGGCTAAATGTGTTCGCTTTGATCTTGACACCGTTTGAGGATCTAGTACTAAGACTGCCACTAGCAGAAAGTCGTAGTGCTCCATCAATCATGACTTCAATACCTACCAAGTCAGAATCATTAGTTTCTGCAAGTGTACTTGACCGTAGATTGGAAGATGTGGGCGGCGGCCTGTCGTGGGTAGGATCATGCAACGAAGAAGCAGCCGGTTTCAGATCCATATACGTCGAAGATCGTTTCCGCTTCCTCTTCACGAGCGATGCCACTGGTAGACAAGTAGACGTCAGACTCTCACGTTGCAATAAACTGGCGGCAGGACTTGGCTCAACCAGAATATCATCTGACTCATTGTTGTGATCCGGTCCAAAGATACTGAGTGATGAAAAGGTTACTATATTCCCGCCTGGTATCATCTTCACTCGTTTGGGTCTCGTGGGTTGGAGACGCTGTTTTGTCTCAAAGATTTCCATCAAGAAGCGAACGCGATCAAGACTAATCTTAGGAACTCCCTCAGGCGGCCGTACATCAGCGGCTGGAACATTCGAGAGAACCCGGTGGGGAGCCTTAGTTTCAGATGAGCCGTCATCTGAGTGGCCAATGTTGATGATCAGTGTTCTATTTGTTTGCATGGCATCAGCCGGTATTGAGGGTCGCAATTTCAATTGTTCCCATACCTAGTGTCTGGTCAACGAGAGTGGCCTGGTGATGATCCCCTCTACTTACAGGTGCTTTGACGATGTTGTTGGCCAGCTCTTGAAGCTGTCTGTGAGCAAGGGGTTCTCCCCGTAATGTGAGATGCAAGTCAATATGCAGGCCGTTACCACGACCAACCCAAACATCGCCGGATGAGAGAAGAACAAGAAGAGAAGCTGAACTGAATTGGTCGATGTTAGTTGAATCCTGCTGTGGTGAAATTGTGATCAATGTGGTGAGCCACAGCTCGAGATTTGTCGCAGGCGAGCTCAAAACTGCCCGTCCGAGCTCGATCGTTCTGGGCATCTTTTTTGCGACATCGGTTCGAGATGCAAGCAGGACTTGAGCTCCGATGGTGAAGATGAGAGCAACATGAGTTTTGGTGAGGCGAGGGATTAGCCTTGCATGCCAAGACTTCGAGATCGGCAGGCATTTCAGACGTCACTTCCCTTCGAGCTCCAGACCCTGGCAGTCTGCCACACATGAGTACCATGCGGCTTATCGCAAAGAGTGTGCTGTGGCGCGTCTCGCAGGCCTCACGGTTCAATCACTCTCTATCCCGCCTGTCATTGATTCCAGCAACCTCGCTGGCAGGTCGGAGTTTCCACTCCAGCGCATCGCAATGCACCGATGGTGTCTTTCGCGAGCTCACGTCCGCGCGAGTCCACACGCCCTGGATAGAAGCATTCCGGGAGCGAGAAGCAGGGGGAAAGCAGGCTGCTGAGCCTTCTGGAAAACCAGAAGTTCCCAAAGACCGCGACCTGTCTCCAAAACATATGAGTGACAGCTATCATTCGGTAGTACTGCCTCTTGCGCAAGACCCTTGGCTCCTCGACACTTACTTGAACGCTTCTGGACATATACGTCTCGGCACAATCTTCATGGATCTTGACGCTCTCTCTGGCGTTATTGCGTAAGCCTACATAGCTATGCGGAGCAGGCAGACCCGTCTAAATATCGTGACAGGTACAAACATACTGGAGACGGCGTGACTACGGTTACCGCAAGCTGCGATCGCATAACTATCCACAATCCGCTCACCGAGATATGCGACCTTCAGCTATCTGGGCAAGTCACCTACGCAACTGGCAGAAGCAGCTTGGAGATCACAATGCAAGTTGCGAAAGCGCCGAAGAAGGGTGAAGATGTCAAAGAAGAGGACAAACTTATCAATTGTACCTTCACCATGGTGTCATTAGATCCAGGCACAAAAAAGTAGAGCTTGCAACCCTCGATGTGAATTATGCGAAAGCTGACTAGTAGTCTAGGCCTGTAAATGTGAACTCCCTCATCACGGAGACATCGGAGGAGAAGCGATTGTATGCTCTAGGCGAACGAAACTCGAAAATCAGGAAAGAACGACGAGATACTTCTCTACTCAAGCACACACCGAACGATCTTGAGAGCGACCTCATTCATGCGTTTTGGCAGAAACAGATTCAGTATCATGGTAGGAAATGCGTTAAAATATTGTCACACGTCGACTAACATGGATAGATCCGTACGACGATCTGAGAAAGCCAGGTAAATGAGACTTTAGTACAAACACCGTTTGAGACATTTACTAATCGTACCCTTGTCTTTAGATAACGTCGTTTTCATGGACGCTACTCGCCTCCAGACCGCGACAATCATGCAACCCCAGTACAGAAACCGTCACCAGTTCATGATCTTTGGTGGCTTCCTCCTAAAACAGACTTTTGAACTCGCATTCACGACTGCTGCAGCCTTTGCGCACGCTCGTCCTACCTTCGTCTCGCTCGACCCGGTACGCAAGACTCCAGCACAAATACTATTTGAGACATCTGCTAATTATACCCACGTCTTCAGAGTACCTTCCAAAATCCTGTGCCGGTAGGGAGCATTTTGTATCTGACAGCGACAGTAGTATTCACAGATCCGCCGTTGATCGCAGCACCTGATGAAAATGTTGAAACAAGCAGCGAGTATACAAGAGTGCAGATACGGGTTGATTCAAAAGTACGGGATGTGGATCATGGTTATTCCAAGCCAACCGGGCAGTTCAACTACACGTTCACGGTACCGAAAACCATCAGGGTGATGCCACGGACATATCAGGAGTTCATGATGTATATCGACGCTCGCCGACGAGCAGAACAAGTCAGGCGGACACTAGAAGAAGGCTACGGTGTTAGCCCTAAGACCGCGGAAGAGAGCCTCACGGAATAAGGTGTGCATCCAACAACTAAAGTCGGGGAGGGATAAGCGTTGACCATCTAGTCTGGTATGCCTCTATTCCGCAGTTTTGCAAGCAGGTGCAAAGATCTTGAGAAAAGGACAGGCTTCACACCAAAACAAGAATATCTCGAAGGAGTGTGGGAATCTTCAAACAGGTACATTGTATTCAATCTGGAGCTGCGAAAACATGTCTTTGTCTATGTCCTGTGTAACTACTTCGACCAGCTAAATCGATGGCGGTCATCAGTGTATTAGATATATCGGGCTTGCAGAGAACAAAACGATTTAATCTACAGAGTGCGCGCAATGTGAGGCAGATTTATGCTTGACATGCGCAAGTCGAGGACCTCCAACAAAACACCATGCGCCAAGTAATACACACTCATTGTGAGAGCTAAAGCCTCCAGATAAGGATACGTTGATAACGCCTGCAATGCGTCGACAACGCTCATACGTCGAGCCAACAAGAAAACCGTCTAGCGCCGATAAACCGAGCAAACGACCATGAACGGTAAAGAAGTATCGAACGTTCATCGTCGCGCAAAAGGCAGATCCGAATGCAGAACGAAAGCGCGAACGGCCAGGCGGTGTAGCCTTATCCCCGGTCCAATTTCCGACGAAGACCGCGATTCGTTCGGAGACGTGCTCCATGCTCGCTGAGGTGCATCAGTCAGCTTGCCCGTCACCGAATACCCGAGTATTGAAAGTGAGGCTTACCTCTCTCCCTGGCGGCTTGGAAGCGGTGAAACAAAGTTCACAGCTCATCGAGCTCATACTCCAACGCCACGTCTTCGGAGCACCCGGGGCAGTAGTAGTTTGAGAAGCCGCCGCACGAGACGGTCATGTTCTTGCACATGTCGATGCTCCAGGCATCGTACGAGTAGCCGGAGAGCAGGCGGCTGGAACACACTTCCATGCTGTTGGCCCTACATGTAATCAGCACCGTGCGTCTGAGCTGTAACTGGACTTGGAGACACTTACCAGATGTAGTAGTCATGGTTGCAGTAGTACCATGAGTAAGTGTAGGAACACATGTTCGATTCAGATTCGGCGAGTGTGTTTGGTTAGGGGGATGATGAGTTTCAAGTCGCTTATGAGTTTCTGTTTGCGTAGAGTACGGGCAGAGTGCTATATAGCTGTTAGCGGACCGCCTATCTCTTGGGCTTGCTATATCATCTGCGGTTCCGGGACACATTCCCGCAGCATGTGCATGAAGTTCTAGACCCCAATGTTACGGGTTGTAGTCGTGGTCGTGCATTGGGATATCAAAGGCCTTTTTGTGTCACTTACTTTAACGCCTTGGATGTACTTAGCAAATATGAAACTATGGAGTATGCCAAAACAAAGCAGATACACAATATAGAGTTAACCGTGTGTATCTCTCACGATATATATGTTCTAACGATGTCTTAGTCTCTTTGTCGTGGCTTCCGGGCAACTTGATCCAGACCTCGAAACGTAATAAAGACTTGTGGAGATTTGGACGGGCAGATAGAGCAAGCAGGTATGCAGTCTTTTATCGATATCTTCGTCTGCCTCTTCCTACCGAGAGCTCGGACGTCTATAAGTACAGGTGCGCCGACGCTTTCCAAGACCTTCCCCGGATTCGTTACACATTCCGATAAGCATGACATCCGCGAAGCATTCGGACCGGTCGGCCAGACCCACTCATCAGCTAGGTAGGATGAACATCAGATTAGACGACATGCCAAGTTCGTATCGTAGTAGGAAGGCGGTGAATGTGGGCCACGAACGGTAGGAATCTCGAGAATATCACACCATCACACGTGGAGACACTCTCTTTAGAGCTAGAAGAATATCAGGTTGAGTCTTGGTAATCATCTGTTCTTCCCAGAGGTTGCTCAGCTCACGCAACACTTACCCCAGTTTGACAACGAGACCCCGGACCCTGAATATGCACGCCCATGCAGGGTCCCTCCTAGCGCATGCGAGAGTGAATGGTACCTGATTGACCGCGTCAAAGCCGAATCCACTGATAGATAAGAATATCAAATCTCAGGTATCATATTCATCTACGCTCATCAGCAAAGATATAGACCCGGTCGTGTTCACAGCGCGCGACTGTGATCATCGCGTGCACATAGAGCACTGCTGATCTTCGGTTACCGAGGAGTGTTTCTCGTCGCCGAGTATCAACGGACTCGATATGTCGACGAGTGTCTGATTGGCGTTCCCCTGCACTCTAGTGCGCAAGGCTCGTGTGGTATTCCGTGCTCACTATTGCCGAAGGCTTGAAAGCGTACATGAGCTGCAATGCTCGCTCACCGCTTTGTCTTGCACTTGGTCTGCTGTTTGTGAGGCGGAGACAAGTTACAACCCATCCTCGGAAGAACTGTGGATCAAAGTTGCTCTATGCGGAGGCCTTCGCCGTTGGGCTACTGCTCCAATAGGGATGTAAGAGTAGAACGGGTAAGCGGGTTCTTTGGGTCCATGGTTGTTGGTGTTTTGCCGCGCACGGGTCACAAGCACTACTCCGCACCTATTAACTTGAGGCATCTGCTTAGTGAGTTCTGTAGAACCTAGAGAACTGACTAGACGAGGTAGTTCGGGAGGGAACATTACGCGAGGTAGCCGTAATGCAATCGTTGTGTGATACATTACTACGATCACGTAGAATGTAGGAAGAGCTAGGACAGCGGAACATTAAGTTAGGATCCATGTGGATCGACACACAGGGAGACATAGTTCTCTTTTTGGCGAGTTCGTGTTCTATGGGCGGGTGTCCTACTCGTTCCTTACCTACATGACGCAGAGTGGTTCAATACTAGTCATCAGCGACTCGGTTCAGAAAGTACTGAATTTGCAAAGTAGAAACTGCGAATGAAGAAACAGACAATCCCGGTATGTCTCTCAATACTTCAACAAAGTATGACATCTTCAACCGGTGGATCCATACTCCAAAAATCGGCAGTATCTTCAAACGTTCCCCCATTAACATACGCTGCACCGACAAGTTCCCAACCCCCTTTTGTCTTCTCATCTTCCCCTGCTCTTAATATGAAAGGGAGCCTCGAGCCTTTGAAAGCATACACGACATCCCCAGCTTGTGTACACACAGATCCACTTCCTATATACCCATTCTCGGTAACGAAAAGGTTGCGCGGTTTTGTGTTCCAAAATATTTGTTCAACATTTTGTTTGAATTGGGCTCCAGCGTCGAAATCCATGTTTCGCTTTTGACCGTGTCCGGACTCATGGGTATCGATGCTGTTGGTTCGGTTCTGTAAGTTCGACTGTTGACTTTGTATGTAATCCTCAAATACGCCTAATGAAGCAGTCCAGTGAATCAGATCAGATGTCACCATTGCCTTACCATATATCAATACCTTGATAATCTCTTTCGATGCCGTATGTTCACTGATAGATAAGTTTTCGGTCTCGTATTCCAATATCTGCTCGTACAGTTCTCCAATGCTAAAGATGACGTTTTGGAGATCCTCCAAGCCTCCTGAGTATGGTACGACACCGGCTACTCGGCCAAACCTAGCACCCCTTACCGCAACTCGGTCATCTGTGATAAATTCGAAGTCTGATGGTGAGTCTGGAACTGGACGTGTGAGAACAGCAATCTTTATGAGATACTCCGCTCTATGTCCGGTAAAAGTCCAGTCCAAACACCAACTTGGCAGGTATCGCTGTGTTCGGTGTTGGCATGCTGATCCACAATAGAGGAAGAAAGCTGTACCCCATTGGCTTAGCAATAGTCGAGTAACCTGCGCATAGAGACTCCCGCAAGAATTGGTATAATCGACTGTGATAGCGTTACGATCTTCATCGCCCACAAGTCCTAGTAAAGCGTAGACACGGTCTAAAGGATCTGACGCGAACAGTGTCGTTCCGTTACATGTTGTGCCGAACACAAACCCAAGGTCCAAATTTGGGCCTGATTTCTGTACCTTAACGGCCAAATCAATGGCTGGTGGACGCGTCCATCTCTCCAAAACGAACGGGTGATACAAGTCTCGCAATCGCGCAATCGTGTTTGTCGACTTTCTGCTACACCTATACGAAAACCAACTTGCCCAAGTGAGCATAGCCAAGGCCGCATGAACTTCAGCCCCAGACACCCGACTTGAACCGCAAGCTATCGTGACAAACGGGGCTAGGCAGAGCTCCTGAATGATCCAGAGCCGAGACCAGAAAGGCATCGCCATGACAGACAATATGGACCCAATATCCTCCTCTTTGAGAGTATCACATTCACACAAAACCTCAGCAGCAGTACGTATGTTGTCATCATACTGCTTTCCGTCCATCCCCCCATTAGGAGGGTCGTAAATATGTCGAATGTTTAGCGACGAGGCCAATACAGCCACTTCACACAGTTTTAGCATCCCTCTCTTACTTGTGTCACTCTCGACACCAAGCCAAGCTATAACATAATTTGCCATCTGGTATATTGTCTTCATCTTTTGCACTTGGTGGTTCTTTTCGTTGTCGTTGTTTTGGTTGATTGATAGTGCGTCGGCCCACACGACCTCCACGCCGTCTTCCCGGAGTTGGAACAATGCATCCGCCAGGTTGGTGGTCACGTGTACCACATGACCATTCACGAGGACTGGCCTCGTCTTTGTTGCATCGCCCCACACGTAGGAAAGTGCTGTGTATGTCGGTCTATCATCAAGCGAGCATGTGTCGAGTTCGCATTCGATGAGGTCCCGAGGTCCTCCAACGAGCGGCAGGATTGTGAGAAGTCTGACCTCATTTCGAGTAACATCCAAAGGCGTATGAACAGAACGAGTTTGATATTTGTCCATGTCAAGGTATACTTACCAGGCTGGAAGAGTTGCCTGGAATCATTATAAAGGCTGAAGATTATGTCAGCGCCCAGTCGTCCAGCTGCCACTCCGATTATCGTAAACACGACCTGGACAATGAAAATAAAATGATTTTGTGATAGGTCAGTAAAACTGAGAACAATAGAAGAAGCTTAGATTGGGCAAACAGCAATAGTGGAAACTTATAATTTAGTACCTCTATTCACCAAATAGAATCTAATCGTCGAGGTTGTGAGTTCTGTTGCTGAAGAGGGTAATCTGCCAACACGTCACAAAGCTGTCTTATTTTCATTGTCCAAATGGTGAAAACGTGTGCCAGATGACATAGGACCTGACATGCTTGTCCAAGACGATAATCCTGGTTGTTGTTGGCAGGCGAATGCTCAGGCGAATGCAACCCAGACTGTTAGTCAGCGATAACGCTAACCGGACCCCTCAGTAATCCCAAAGCTTCTGATTCGTCTACTATATCATCCATGTTGGAAAATGCTTGCGACAAGACATGCTTCAGCAGATACGCCAGTCGGAATAAAGATTGCAATCTTTCAATTCGTCCTTCTACCAAATATTCTTCTATCCGACTCCATTTGATTCGCTGAAGACTCCGTGATCGCAAGCCTCGGACTGAAACTTTGGGCTCGACGCTCCTCGGTTGCCGATCAATCTTCCTAGACCCGCCACCTTACCCATCACCGTTCCCAGAACATCTCTCAAAACCCACGCCAAAGCCCTCACGCCTCCTCTGGTCTTTCCATCTTTTCCTGCTCCTCTCGCTAAGCAATTGCACAGCTGCACTCACTGTTTCCAACTACTCACCATGTCGTTTTCTTCGCTCGTCTCAGACATTGCCTACCGGAACTCGGAACGGCCTTCGTTGATGTCACACATATCTGAGGCGCGCTCTACCCGTTCGTATGCCAGCACTACGGCGACCAGCGTGAGCCTTACCGGCGACATCAAGAGTCAATTGCACGGAGGATATAGCCACCCGCTGTCGCGAGCATGGCAGGCGGAGCGACAGCTGACAAAGGTGAGGCCCGAATACATGTGGAGTGGATAGTGCGCAGCAACTAACGTCCTGCATAGTCAATGCTTATATATCCCCTCTTCATATCCGACCAGGCCGATGAGGAGACGCTTATTCCCTCCCTGCCTAACATCCACCGCTATGGCATCAACAAGATTGTGCCATATCTGACGCCGCTCGTCGCAAAGGGCCTGAAGTCGGTCATAATTTTCGGAGTGCCTATTGCGCCAGGTGCAAAGGATGCTTTGGGAACCAATGCAGACGATCCAAAAGGCCCCGTAATCAGGTCCATTCGCCTGCTTCGACGAGCGTTCCCCGACCTCTTCATCGTTGCCGACGTCTGCCTCTGCGAGTACACTTCACACGGCCACTGCGGTATCCTGCGGGACGATGGCAGCCTCAATAACGCACTCTCTGTCGAGCGTATCAGCGACGTGGCCATGGCATACGCGCAGGCTGGCGCCCACTGCGTTGCGCCTTCAGACATGAACGATGGTCGCATCCGCGCCATTAAGCTCAAGTTGATCGAGGCTGGCATTGCCCACCAGGTCGTGCTCATGTCGTATTCCGCAAAGTTCTCTGGATGCTTGTACGGCCCCTTCCGCGACGCTGCAGGCTCAGTTCCTTCGTTCGGCGACCGACGATGCTACCAACTGCCTCCTGGTGGACGTGGTCTAGCAAGACGAGCGATTACACGAGACATAAACGAGGGTGCTGATATCATCATGGTTAAGCCTGCAAGTCAATACCTCGACATCATAAGCGATGCGAAGGAGATTGGAAAGGACATGCCCGTTGCAGCATACCAGGTGTCTGGCGAGTACGCGATGATTCACGCAGCAGCAGCGGCAGGTGTATTCGACCTGAGACAGATGGCTGAGGAGGCTACACAAGGCATACTACGAGCAGGCGCGTCGATAGTCGTGAGCTACTTTACGCCCGAGTTCCTGGACTGGCTCGGCAACTGAGTTGTGAGTGTCGGTTGTAGTTTTCTGTTCCAAATTCTTGCACAGATCGTTTTGATCGTGTCATGTGAAAAAGACCGGCGTATTTGGGTGTTTAATACCAGGGAGGCGTCTCAGATAACAAGGTTCAATTTCAATCTCATGGTGCAATTATATGCTCTTTACTCAAATGGTTGAATTGTTGCAAGATCTCGTGCTTCACTTCCATGGCAAATGCTGACTCGGAGAGAACAAGAGACGGATGCATAACAGGAGTTGCAGAGCCTCTGCTCCAGCTGTATTCTATAAGCTCACTCATCCAAGCAATCTCATACGCCCATGCTATTCATGGATTGTCGTCGACCAAGAAGCGACCTAGCAGGATATCCCCTCCTCAGCTCATCGAGGTGTGCAAGAAGGACACGCAAAAAATCACAAGACAGCCACCACCCCGACTCGAACAAACGCCCACCCTCGCAAAAAAACAACCCATCGCAGGCTGGACAAGTCCGACGGCACTCCCGCAAACCTTGGTTAGAAGGGTTTTGGCCAAAGTCCACTGTCCACAGGACTAACGCCCCGGAACAACAGCCAGTGACCTGGATTGATGGAAGAACGTGGAGTTTTGGGGGTTATATACGGCAAGCGTATGGTGGAGTAGCAGGGAGGGGAGGCGCTTTCACCTCGAGTGCGGGCCCCGGTTCTGACTGTTGGGGATCGCCTACCTGCTCTTTCACTCTTGGTTCAAGACGTAATGCGAAACCGTTTGCCTGGCAATCCAACTTGGTACGGTAAGGTAGGGCAAGGCAGCAGCAAAGCGTCGATCACGATATCACAGGGCTTATTTGCAGATATATCCTCTCTGTCCCTTTCTCGTCGCCAGACTCCGTACTCAATACACGCCCACTATTCCCCCCCCCCCCCCCCTCGCGCACGCAACCAAAAGACCAGCTCAGCGACACCGTCTGCGCGAAAGATCCACCTGCGAGTGCACTGTTGGAGCCTGCTCGTTGGACCGGTCCACATATTTCACACAGCACGGCACTTCCAGCAGAGCAGATCCGACATATCCAACCTTGCCTGCGAGCCTACGAACTCATCGACTCACTCGCCCCAACAATTCAACCGGCCACATACTCAACTTCAAAGATGCCGCCAACAGCCACCACCAACAAAAACAAGACCAACAACTCCCGCCACCACCTCCCCCTAACCAGCATCCTCTTCCCCATCTCCCCACCATCACACACCCCAAACACCCCCCCCTCATCCTCACGATCAACCCCGACTCTAACAGCCCTCCCCCGCCTCCCACCGCAATCTCAACCGCAACCGCAACCCTCCCAATCACCCTGGCACCGCCTCATCGCACGGATAAAATCACCCTTCCGCCGGCGCCGCAGCGCAAACACACTAAGGAAACGCGTGTCGAAGCTCAACATCAGCGCGCCGACGGGGTTTCGGCATTTGGCGACGGGGGGTGTGCAGGGGAGGAGGAGGAGTGATACTGGTTTGTGGCGGGATGGGGAGGGAGAGGGGGATGGAGAGGGGGATGAGAGTGAGTGGGAGGATGTTGCTGAGACGGCGGGTTTCACACGGGCAGCGTGAGGTGGGTTGAAAGATATCTTTGGGCAACGAGTGGAAGGATTGAAGGTCCGGGTAGTTGCATTGTTCGCGCATTTGGAGTGGGAGTTCGAAGGACACTTAGACAGCAAGATGCAAGATGCAAGATAACTGCGGTATGCCGGCCATACGCAGCAAAGATGATACAATGATATTACGAGAAACTTCTTTCTATTACCTATATAATCTCCCACCTCACCTCCCCTCACTATTCCCCAACTTAACAAGCACCTCCGCCGTCCCTGCCCTCTCCTCATACAGCCGGCGTAAATCATCCACGGAGTTCTTCTTGAGGTTTAGTTTCTTGGGCGCCAGTCGTTCTGTTCGGGGTGGCGCTTCTTTTGCGCTTGTCTCGAAACTCGGCATCCGCCGTAGCAGTCCTGGGCTCAAATTCCTAGTAGGTTTCGGGGGCGGCACGGGGAGGCTTGTCGCTTTGGACTGTACGCGGGTTGTTACCGGGTGGATGGATGCGGGGGGGTAGACAGGCCGAGCGAGCGATGTGATGGTAGGTGTGCGGTTGACAGAAGCGGAAGCAGGGGTGCTGGGACGGCGAAACCCTGTCGCGGGAGGAGGGGAGTTGAAGTCTGACGAGGATGCAGACACAGCACTAATAGGAGAAGTAGTCTCGTTCTGCGCGTACGAAGTCGAAGGAGGAGTAGGTCTCCATCTTGCATTTTCACCTGTGCTGATGTGCAGATTCGCCAGTCCAGGCAATGCCATTCCGCCTTGTGGCTGATAGGGGCGACTTGTGCCCGACCCCGGGATCATGCCCGTTGCATCAGTCGTGACGGTGGATTTCTCTGCGTTGTCAATCTGCGCGGCGGTCAGGGCTTTTCTCTTTGGGAGAATGATTTGAGGCGCAGCAGATGACTTCTCATCCTTCGCGCCCCACGAAGCAGGCTTAGAAGCAATAATAGGAACTGGATCGCTCATACCAGACTTCTTCTCATCCGGCGCTTGAGCCGGTCGTGTGGGTAAGGGTGGTGCCGGGTTGTCGGTTCTTCGGGGCAAAAAGCCGTCTACTGTCGCTGCATGAGTTACTGGCGATGCTGCAGCGCCATCGGAAGCGTCGGATAGAGCAGTCGAGTATCTGGGCGGACCTTGTAGGGGAGGTGCAGGCTTCCTCTTAGTTAAATCCTCTGACCCCTTGACCGAATGTCCTGCAGGTCGACGCGGTAAGGGGGGCGGTACGTGCGAAGATGAGTTATCGACCGGTTCTGGGTATGCTTCGGGCAGCTTCTCGTTGTCATGGAGAGTGATGCCGCTCATCTGCTCGTCCAATGAATCGTCTGTTGATACTTTTTTTGACTCGACTGGGTCATCCCAATCATTCCGGTCAGCCGGTAATTTTAACTCTTCCCAAAACACATCCGCTTGTTGACCACATGCTTCCCGCAGACCGTGTGGCCAAAGATCGATAGCTTGTGTGAATATCCTTCTGATAATGGAGGACATCTTGGCGTCTTCGATTTGGTCGGGCCCACATAGGAGCGCTGGCGCAAAACAGACAGCCAGATTCTCAGCTGTCATCTTGTTTCGCTCTTGATGCGCAGCCACCTCGCTCAACAGTGGTAGCAGATGCCGCACAAGGATCTCACGCGACATGCTAGGTAAGAAAGACCACTCTGATGTTGGAGAAAACAGATCCGTCAGCCGTTCGAGAGTGGGAACATCTTCATGGTCACCATACAACCTCTTTAGATCGCGATACGACTCATGGGGGAATATAGGGTGTCGCAGGCTAGCGTACCACGCCTTGATCAAGGCTGCAGCCATGAAGACTGAGTAGGCATCTGTGGGGTGTACCTCGGCGAGTATTTCATCCTGGTGTTCTGCTTGCGGGTATGGAGGGGTTGGGAGGGTAGTTTCGTTATCCTTCCAGACAATGTACTTCTGGCCCCTGTCGTACGCTTCCTTAAGCACGTCTCGCAATTTCGAGTGTGGGGGTATGCGGAAAAGGCCTTCACTTGTGACGTTCTTCTCCATAAGCAAGAAGCTTGTTGTCTCTCTCAGAACGCGAGGAAAGCGGGTCTTGCCATTGCTGCTGGTAGGAAAAGGCCTGCGCGCCGCAAAGGCTTTACGGCCGCTCGCATCGGGCACGAAGATGTCGTCGGATGTGCGGCGGTCTGTGAGGTAAGTCGAGGGGGGTATGAGGAGGTTTTCGATGGGTATGTATGTAGCAAGGTTTGTCAAGTTGGTTACTGTCAAGGTCAGGGGCTGTCCTGAGAGAGGCGTTGCAAGACATACTGTGGTAGATCTTCCTCCTGAACTTGGGGCTCACAATGGTCGAGAAGATCTCAGTCAAGATCCTCACCCACGCCTTCTCGTGCACGATGTAAAGCCTTTGGAGCCTCTTGCGCATCGCCCTCGAGAGCACGTGGTATGCCTGCAGGAACCAGCCCCAGCCAGGCATGCGCTTCTTGGATGTGGCCGAGCCATCGCCGTCGCCTGCGAAGAAGACAACCTCGTATTCGAATCCCTTCAGCAAGTCGTCTTCTTCGGGCAGGCGCGCGAGAACATAGGGAAGCAGGGAGTCGTAGTCGGCCTCGTTGGAGTCGGGGAGGGCTGCCGCGTTGAGGATGAAGACAGGTCTGCCTTCTTTGGAGGGCAGGGGCGAGCGGAAGAGAATCGAGCCTGCAGCTTTGGCGAGGTCGACAGAGTACTCGGAACTCTGCCGCGGAGGAGGGACAGCTGATAGAGACGAGCTGCGGAACCGGCCAGCAACACGCGCCTTTATGCCGCTCATGGCGACGGGCGAGGTACGGGGTGATAAGCGGAGTCGCGGTCGCGGGCTGAGGCGTAGATGTGGGGTCACAGTGTGTTGCAGGTGGATTGGGAAACGAGTGGAGGGGCTCGCTACACGGTCGTAAAGTGCATGAATTTATAGAACAGACGTCACCAAACCCGGGGACGTTAACAGGGACGCACGATGGAACCTTGACTAGTGCACGGGCGTGGCTGCGCTAGAATCGCCTCATCATTCAGACCACCTAAACTTAGACATCACACGCAATCTGAACACATCCTCGTAAGCTCGTGGTGAGGGCTATGCTGCAGGACAGAAACGATATTCAAGAGATGGGCATGATCGTAATGTGCTGCTACGTCATTGCAAATAGCCAAGATTCATTGTGCGACACGTCAGATGATTCACGTGTCTCGTGGCTTGCTGCATGTGCTATTCAGATATATCGACCTGATAGTGTCGTATGGACTGGCTGCAATTAAGCATCGCTATCTGTGTCTGTCTCTCTGCCTGCTTGATCACCTTCGTTCCCGAACAGCACCTCGACCCCCAGCTCATGCAACCGGGCTGCTACGACCTGAAGACGCTCCGAGTTTCTCCTGAACTCGACAAAGTTCGAACCGGACCGCTCCAGCACGCCATTAATGTACTCTTCCGTGATCCCCCCGTGCTCTTGAGTCTCGTCGTCGGGTATCTGCAGGCTATCCATCACCTGGAAGTATTCGCGCAGTTGTTCCAACTCAGTTAGGAGTTGTTCTCGGGTCTGAGGAGAGCGTTGATGTCCGGAACTTGAACCTGCCGCTGAAAGGTCATAGGATTGTGTGTTGTCGTCTGGTGGCAAAGGGTCGGAAACAGACGTGTACTTTGCCTTCACACGCGTGTCGAGGAGAGCCAGAAGCGCGCGGTCGTCCGACAAGATGACATGTCTCGCCAAATCTATTTCTGGTATTTGAGCCAGCCAGTAGGGGTCCTCGCCTGCTCCTAGATCCTCTTGAAAAGAGTAGCACACTTCCACCAGCAAGCTCGTGCCTTCGGTCGTATTCCACAGATCCTTCGCCTTCGGGACGTAGAGCTGGCATAGCAATTCTTGGACGTCTCCATTCGGCTCTTTACCCCAGACAGGCTTGGGAATCGGCGAGATGTCGAGCTCTTTGCACAGCCTAGCTGCTAGCCATGGATATTCCCTGATCGCATTGCGCAGCGTCGATCGTGCCTTTTGCGGTTGCTTGAGGCGATCATGGGCGAGGGCAACACTGAATGCGAGATTCGGTGGGACTTTCCAGGATCGCTGCAAGTGGTCTGCTTCCACTATGTCAACCAGTGCTTGTGGATCTCGCCCCCGCAGCGCGAGTTGATCAATGAGTAGTCGGATGCAGTATGGGTCGTTCTCAGGTGCCATGGAAAGCAGCAACTTGGCCCACTCCAGCGATGTTCGCCAAGTTGACCGAACACCAAGTGTGCTGATGTAGCGCCATATCGCAAGCCAGAATTCGCGGTTCTCGGGACGTCGAAAGTCTAATCTTGCTTTGCCAGCAGCGAGGTTGGAGGAGAAGGAAGAATGGACCGAACGACCGAAACTAAAGAGTGCGCGTTCGAGCAGGTCAGAGGCACTGGCGTTGTCGCGTTGTTGTTTGGCGATTTCAGATACCTGAAGAAGAGTGGAGATGTGATATGCTATTAGTGTATTAGTACACTGACTGAATGGAGGAAAGGCGAGACTCACGATTGAAGTGCAGCAGCTGTACCATACGCTCAGGGTCCATACTCGCCACACACACTTGGAACTGGCTCTGTACTTCCTGATACGTGCTGTTGTGTACAAATCTGTACTCGACACTCCCGTCTGCGTGTCTCTCGACGACTTCCATTCCGAGTCCGCCAGACGTAGCTCGTGGCCACTCTTCTTTGCCTTGGATGAAGATGTTTCTGCGGAGACCGAGAGAGGCAAGGTTGCGGTTACCAGGAGCATTCCGGCCTGCGATTGCGGCTGCTAAGCCAGCTTGTTGGCCGCGCCCACGCTGTCTAGGTTGCGGCTCGTCATCTGTGTTCTGTAGGGCAGCTCGGCCAAACAGCTTCTTCATCTCGTTTGCAGCATGCAGGTACTGTGTATCCACACTCAAGACGGAGAACAACTGCTTCGTTTCTTCTGTTATGGCAGAAGTGGACTGGTCAGAAACGGCGCCTGCCTTGTTGTTCAAACTGATGTTGAGCGCGAGCAACGCCTGGTCGATCTCGTCGAGGCCAGATGCTGCTTTTGTGGGGGTAGATGAAGTCACTGTTTCGGCAGCCTTGCCTTTTGCCTTGGCCTTCTTTTTCTTCTTCTTGCTCTTCTTTGAAGATTTTGGCGCGACTACAGCCTCAGACTCAACGTCGTCATTGGAGACTTCAGCTTCAGCCTCGGGCTCGGCATCTGGTTCTGAATTCTCGTCGTCATCGCCCGCGTCCCCCAACATGGCGAACAAGCTGGGTTTTGCTTTCGCTTTCGGCGCCACTTCCTCTTCTGACTCTTCCTCATCTTGCTGCTCTTGCTGGACCAGGCTCTCCTGCAGCTGCTTCTCTTCAAGCTCCCGCTGTGCCCGCCGCAGCGCACGTGTCGACATTTTGACAATTTTTTCCTTGGGCAGTTGAGGTCGAGATGAGGTGATGACGTTGTGGTGGTGACTTTTCTGGGACGAACCCCCACATGTGATTGGCCGGGCAGTCGGCTGTAGTTCACCACGACGGCAGCGTGTGTCAACCTCCAACCCCACTCCTCCGTCAACCAAATGCGTCGGGCAGCTCTCCAGGTGTTACGCTCTGCCCGTCGCCCGTGCCTGCGCAAGTTTCCCCGCGGCAGCAATGGCCTAGGCTTCCGCGCCCAGCTTCACCACTTCCGCGAGCGCGCGTCGCCCGTGGTACTCTCGTCGTCGATGCACTTCCGCGCAATCACCGCGGTAATAGCCGGCGCTGTCGCCTCGGGTGTCTTTTACGCTTACAACGGCAACCAGCCCGCCGCCAATGTCACCTCGCCCGTCGACCAGGCCCGGAGCATCTCGACGGCTGCGAACAGCGAGCCCACCAGGAAGGCCCTCGTCGTCGGCTCGGGCGAGCTGTACACGGGCACCATCACCGGCTCGGGCCCCATCTCCAAGGACACGGACGAGAGTGGCCGCAAGGTGCTGGAGATGCTGAACCCGGAGCAGGCCACGGCCAAGCTGCGCAAGAACGAGGAGTCGTGGCTGGTCGGACGCGGCCAGGGTGTTGTGCGCTACGACGTGGTCCAGAGTGAGTTCCTTCCTTCTTCACACACATATGTAGCCATCTATCTAGTGACTAGAAACACTCTTTCCTTGGCGTACCTGTCGTCTTGTATACATGTCAAATGCCCTTATTTTGTGTCTTCCATCGACATCCACTAAAACATATCCCAGTTCCAAGCAACGACCCAATAGAAGACGACCACGCCGAGAAGATTATCGAGGTTCCGTCCAACCTCGCCGCTACCGACAATGGCGCTGCGGCGAGTGACTGGATGTTCTGGGGCGTTTTCGACGGACACAGGTAGGACATGTCCGTGTCTGCATCAATCACAAGCACCCCACTAACACGCACAGCGGTTGGGTCACGTCAGCCAAGCTCCGCCAGACTCTCATTTCTTATGTCGCACGTGAGCTCAACTCAACCTACAAGTCTGCTGTCGAGGACCCTGCGCTGCACTTCCCCTCCCCAGAAGCCATTGACAAGGCCATCAAGACTGGCTTTGTGCGTCTCGACAACGAGATCGTCTACGAGTCCGTCAAAAAGGTGAAAAAGGCACAGTCCAAGATTGCCGCTGCCGAGCTGCTCGCCCCTGCCCTTTCTGGCTCATGTGCTCTACTTTCATTCTACGACAGTCGATCAAAGCTGCTCCGTGTTGCGTGCACAGGAGATTCTCGTGCTGTGCTTGGCCGACGAGGTTCCAATGGCAAGTGGACAGCCACACCGCTTTCAGAAGACCAGACAGGAGGTACCACAAGCGAGGCAGAACGGCTACGCAAAGAACATCCCGGCGAGCCCAATGTCGTCAGGAACGGACGCATCCTCGGTGGTCTGGAGCCTTCTCGTGCTTTTGGTGACGCCTCGTACAAGTGGTCTCTCGAAACCGCCGAGGAGTTGAAGAGATCTTACTTTGCTCGTACGCCCTCTGCACTGCTCAAAACTCCTCCTTACGTGACCGCCGAGCCCATCATCACCACGACCAAAGTCGAGCCCGAGAAGGGCGACTTCGTAGTCATGGCTACGGACGGCTTGTGGGAGATGCTGACTAATGAGGAAGTCGTCGGCCTTGTTGGCCAATGGCTCGATGCTCAGGGCAGTCCAAGCGGTCAGAACTCGCAGACTCAGTCTTGGCTGAAAAGCTGGTGGTCGACGCAGAAGCAGCTACCAGTCGAGCAAAATGGAGCTGGAGGTGGAGAAGGCCAGCGAGCGCCGATACGCCAGCGACAGTGGGGTACCAAGACCAGCATGAATGAGAGGTTTGTAGTCGAGGACAAGAACGCAGCGACACACCTTGTGCGGAACGCACTCGGTGGCAAGGATCAAGATCAACTCAGCGCGTTACTTACACTACCAAGTCCCTTTTCCCGACGATACAGGTATGACAACTGTTAAGTGCTTCATTATTCAACGCAGGTCGACTAATCAAGAACAGGGACGATCTGACTGTGGAAGTCATCTTCTTCGGTGATGGAGCTTCTAATGGCAATGTCACGTTGAACCAAGAAGCTAGTGCCGTTGTATCAGAGGTCAAGTCGAAATTGTAGACATTGCGGTGGCTCGATGTCATCGTATCTGTTTATTAAGGTTACTATACCCTTACCGTTTACATTCTGGCCGACTCGATGCGGACCCGCTCAATTCGGCATCTCAGGCCCCACGAGCAAAGGCGTTTTATGGAAAGAGTAAATCTGCAGAAGATCTGCTCTAGGTGTGTGGAACCACAGCGTTAGCTTCGATTTTTGATTGAAGAGCTTCCACTTATTCTCAAGCATGTCGTCTACCTGTCAAGTATGTATATACCAAAGCTCCATTATCCGAGCTGTCAATTCTGTAGGTGTTTCAAGAATCGCGGGCCGAGAACGCCCAAAGTATGTGCCGCACCCTCCCGTAATTTAGTAAATTGTTCCGTTTCGGACGTTGCTTCACGATGATCCACACGATTGTTTCAAGCGCCTGCTAGTTATATTCGACCAACGGTTGCCAAGCTATGTAATGGGGTGAGGCTTCAATACAAAATTCTCCGTTAAGCTTAGCATCTCTCATATCAAACCCGGGAGATCTTCCGCATCGGCCTTACACGGAGAATAAGATGATCTGCCTTGTATAAAAATGGTCATGCCCTCCTCCCTGGAAGACGAGTGTACATTCGTTCTGTAGTTTGTTCGTTGACTCTTCATTCGTTTCTTGCTTCATTCGTTGATTCTATTCGACTGTCTATATTCTTGTTACTCTTCCACCTTTTTATATCACATCTGTTCTTGCCAAAATGTGGACCACCCAGCTCATCGCGCTGCTAGCAGCGCAATACAGTGCCGTTGTCATCGCACATCCCGCACCAGCACCCGTCCCAGCACCTCTCCCAGCCGTCTGCGCCGCAGGTACTCAGTCCCCTGCCTTCTACCCGCGCTCCGCCAAAGCCACCACATCAACTCCTGTCCGCGCCCGTGCCGATGCCCCAGCCCCAGCCCAATACACAGCCAACCCTTCCCTCGGCGGAGGCGGCAGCACCTTTGTCGACTCAGCCCACTTCCGCGTCTACAACGGCGGCTCCAACGCAGCAGCATCGCTCAAGCACCTCGAAGCCGCCCACGCCTGCTTCGTCGAGAAACTAGGCTGGCGCACCCCCGGCCTTAGCATCAACACGGGCGGCAAGGGCCAGGAAGTCGGCCCCTGGTACAAGCTCAACGTCTACGGCATGCAGGACTCGGAGCTCAACGGCGCCGCGGGTGTCCAACAGTCCGACGGCGCAAAGGGCCTCGCCTGGCTCGAAGTCCTCACAGAGTACCTCGCTGACCCCCGCGTCGTCGTGCACGAGTACGGCCACTCAATGCATTATAGCGAGGAGAAGTGGGTCGGCCAGCAGAACACGGGAGCGTGGTGGGAGCCCATGGCGAACTACATCGCTGATACGTACTGGTCGACGCCGATATGCAACGATGCGCGCAAAGCAGTCGGCCTCCCAGGCGTAGAAGGCGACTCTTTCATCGCCTTGCAGAAAGTAATCAGCGACTCGTATCAAGTCATCGTCGACGGGACGGTGGATACTGGAAATGTACTTCCCCCCTCCCCCTAATCCCCACCAAAAAAACAGAAAAAAATAGCTAACACCAAAAAAAACAGTACTACGAATCCTACCCCTTCCTCTCCTACCTAACCTTCAACCCGGACAACACCACCGCCCTGGGCCCCTCCGCCCTCCTAACCATGATCCGCACCTACGTCGCCGACTCAAACGACACCCCCTTGCACGTCCTCGCGCGCCTCCTCCCGGCCACAACCTCCCTCCAACACCTCATAGGCCGCTACTGGGCCCGAATGGCCTACGTAGACATCGCCCATCCAAAAGCCCACGCCGCCTTCCTCGCACAGCGCAGCACCCTCGTCTACGGAAACATCGCCCGCTCATCGGGATCCACGTACGCCGTTGTGCCTGCTCGTGCGCCCAGGTACATGGGCGCGAACATCAATCCGCTGAAAATTACCGCCGGCGCGAGCAGCGTGTCCGTCGCGGTGACGGCGGACGCGGCGTACTCTGCTACGCTTGTTGTCAGCAGCAAGGCAGGTGTGTCGTACACGGATGTTGTGCAGGGCAAGGCGAGTGCGGCGGTCGCGCAGGGGGATGAGGTTAGTTTCGTGATTGCGAATACGCCTGCGCAGTTGGTGAAGTATGATCCTTTTGATATTCCGGCCGCGTTGAATAAGGGGTTGGGGTATAGTGTTGTGGTTACGGGGGCTACTGCTTAGAAATGTCTGGTGGTGAGGCTTTTTTCGTGTATATGGTTTTGTGTGTAGATTAGGGTTTGGGGCGAGGGTCGGTCCGCGGTTAGTTAGTTAGTGTGTTGGATGGTAGCAGGTCTATCAAATCCGTTCGTGTATCTAGACTGAGAACAGCATCACTACCAAATGATTGAGTGGAAGAATATGCCATATCCATCAAGTGTAGTTATCTATTATTTCATACATAACCCATTCCCCGATCCCCCACCCCCCCTGTTCCCACGCCCAACCCCTCCTCCCAAAAAGGGCCTATTTATATGATATGATATGACATGAGACCCAGCCCAAACGCAGCAAAAGTCCCTCTTTCCTTGCCATCCATCCCTTTCCTCCCTCCCCACCATAAACCACATGCAATACCCTATATATAAAGTTTTACAAAAAAACAATGCCGAACCAAAAACGCTGAAACCTTGCCACCGCGCTCCCGAAATATCAAAGTCATATACGTTTTAATAAAAGGTCGTCCCACTCTTGCTTGGAGGTCAAAACACGCCAGGGGAGCCATGATCAAGAACGCACGCACGCACGCACATCGCAAACCACCCCTCCAAGCGGCAGCCGCAGCCGCAGCCAGAACCCCGATCAACCGGCCATGGGACAAGCTAGCCCACGACAGCCGTAAGTCGGCCAGCGTCAGCTCATGCGGCCGGGGTTAGCCGTACTGTTAGTCCACCAACCAGCTTCGTACTCCTCCTGCGACGTCGCGTGTCTATGGTGATTATTGTGTGGGGGCTGCTGGTAAGGCACGCCCCCACCAGGCTGGGCATAGCTTGCGTTGCTACCGAGGTGGAGATAGGCGCCGCTAGCCTGACTGCTAGGAGGAGCGAATCCGGTCCCAGAATTGGTGGCAAAGCCGTTGACATGACTTGACTGCCAGTCCTCGCTCATCTTGAACCCGTCGCGGCCGAGTCGGTCGCCCATGTCGGACGATTGCAGCACGCTGTCGAGACCCATGGGGCTGATCTGTTGGTAGTTGTTGCGCGGTATTATCGGGCCTGGCATTCCGGGCATTGGGGACCAGAACATGGCTTCTGCTACGTCGGCTACGGGGGATGCGGTTGTTGTGGAAGTGTTGCCCGTTGCTGAGGCCATCGATTGCGAGTATGAATACGAAGACATTGTCGCGCCAGTGTCGAAGGGAGATGGTGTGGGCGTGAGACCGACTACAGGCGAGTGATGGTGTTGTTGGCCAGATCTGACTGAACTTGTCTTCGATGTAGCGGGATGCGTAGCAAGCTGGAGATTTCCTCCCGCAAACATGGACAGACTCTGCCGCCTATCCGGATGACCGACAGGTAGGTAATTCTGTCCCGTCCCCATACGATTGCCCATGGCAGTCCCACCAGCGACTAGAAGAGGGTCAGGAGGCGGGCTAACAGTTCCTTGCGACTTGTTTGACTCATTCCCTAGTATCAGCTTCGAGTCTCGCAGTTCATCTGGCCAAGGCAGATTCCAGGTCTTGGACAGCGTGCGCACAATCCGGAAACTTCTGGCTCCAAAATAATGACATACGTGGATATCCTCCAATCCTTGAAGACTCTCGACAAGATTCTGCCGCGACGTACTGTTGTCTTTAGAGTAAAGCAAGTGCACCACGGAAACCGAAAGCAGAACATGTGGGATAACGAGATGAGCCGTGCGCAGACTGTAGAGGCTGCGGTAGATCCTGGTCAATTCAGAGACTTTATTGGCAGCTTCGATACAGATCGCGCGCGGCCGTACATCAGAATGAATCAAATCAACTTTCAGCATCGGACGGAAGAGGTGCACGATTATGGTGTGGAACAGCATACTACACAACATTAGCTTCTGCATGAGGAACTCGCGACATGGTGAGACGTACTGCAGCGCAATGATATGAGGCTCCGGCTGTTGCTTGCCCTCGAGCCTGAGGGACGACGGCAACTTCTCATACCAAGTCAGGTATTTTTGGTAACAAGCAAGCAACCTCGTGCTGGTAATTCGCTCTTTTGGCGCAAAAAACATATAGTTGTTATCATTGATCAGCTCGGAGAGTGTAGAAAACTCCTGAAGGAACATGCGTGTCGTCACGGTGCCAGGCTGCACACGCGAGGCACCTGGGTAGGCTTCGGGGAGATCAGCAGACTCCTCGAGGATGGGTTTGTCGAGCGTGATAGCGGCCCGAGGGAGCTGGGAGATGCGCCCCGTACAGATGGACCATACGCTGCATAATGTTAGTCAGTAGCTATGAGCGTCCCGACCAAGCACTTACGAATCACAGGTAAAGCAGCCCCAGAAAGTGACCTTCCTGACCTCGATTTCACTCGGTGTCAGACCCAGCTTGGGACTGGCGCTGTTGTTCAGGTGCAGTCCAAGCTCAACGCACATGCGCATGCATCTCCCAATGTACGCGAAGCCCGGGCTGTCTCTTCCTGTGCTTGGCTCACGCATGCCCATCAAGCAAAGCGCCTGTGTTGTTGTGAGGCTCGGCGTCTCGTCCTCAAAAAGAAGCCTTTTGGCCTCCGCCATGAAGTGGTCACCAGCGGTTCGAAAGTTGGAGGGATCCGTCCGTCCCGCGGGGTCGTCCGTCAGATGGCAGGCGTAGGCGCAGATGACATTCACCAGCAGCGAGGAGCAGTACTTGTCGCGACCGGCCCTGAAGTCCTTGTAGAAGCACTCGCGACTGAAGAGGACGTAGAAGGGATGGCTCCATGTGAAGTAGAGATTGAGCAGCTTCTCCACAAACGCGAGGTCTCGAGTCACCGTGGTCCACGTCGTCCCCTGGCGGCCTGCGACCATGCCGCCGCTGCGCATGCGGCCGCCATCGTAGCTCTCGTCCTCGACAACCAGGCCCAGGGTGGCAGAGTGGCCAAAGTGCCTGCTCTGGCCGGTCAGCGTGACTGCAGGCTTCCCGAGCAGCACGCTGAGCTCGGTCTCCAGACTCTTGACCTCAAAGGGCGCCGTTGGCGGCAGGGTGACGGTGTCGCGCCACGAGTCGACGAGGGTCGCAATGTCGAGGGTGGGGTCCTTGCGTAGATGGTGTAAGAACTCGAGCACCTGCTCGTCCGGGAGGTGTCGCAGCGAAGTGATGACAAACTCGGCACTGGTCAGGTTCCCCGAGCTGGCGGCCGACACGACAGAGGCATCGCGCTTGGTCCCGGCCGTGGTCGTGGGCGTCGAGACAATCGACTTGGTGCGGCGGCCCTCGCTCGCGGGGTCATAGTAGCAGTCGGTCCTGTAGACGGCAGTGCAGGTCGCGCACACGGGCGTGCTGCCATCACACTGTGCAGGCAGTGTCAGCAGGCAGTCTCGACGAGGCCGGCACAGCAGGCCGACTGCACGTCTGCGGAGGACGCGACCGTGAGGGCTTCCGCGGAGTCACGTCTCTTGGTAATGCCCGATGGTCTGGTGCGACTCACTTTTGATTTGCGTTTGCGGCAGGGCACGCACGCCGACTGAACACAGCGCCGCTTCTTGCTCTTAGCCTCTTCCTGCGACTGCAAGGCATCTTGGTCGTCTTCGCGGTAGGAGGATGGCACCGTGCCGCGGACCATGTCTTCGATAAGTGACGAGCGTTGGAAACGTAGGACGCGCTCCGGGGACAGGATTAATGTCTAGACATGGTACGGCGCCAGCAGTCGAAGTTTGGGTTGATTAGCAATTCTTCATACGGTGGTCAGGCAAGTTGCCGTGGATTGGCCAGACGTGCCTTCCGGCTGGCCTGTCCGTAGGCTGGCCGAAAGAACGCGTCGATTCGCGCAGGGTGGCAAACATTGCCTCGAGCCCCAGTGCCAAAAGCATTTCGATTGGCCGCGTCGCCGATCTAGAAGCAGGGGCGCCAATATCGTTGTCCCTCCCGAAAACCGAGGGCAAATGCGGGAGCGCGGTAATGGGGAATTTACACATCTCCATCATCCATTTGCGGTCATTCGTATCGACATGTCAGGATTGCCATGGCTTCGCTAATGCGGCCCTCTGTCTTCGTCCTCAGGGTCCAGCGGTCCAGAGCCGCCGAACACGGCTCCATTGGTTGGTATGCGGCGCGTCTACCTCTGTTCTGTCCATGACGTTGCGCGAGCATCGTCGTCGTCGCAAAAGCAAGCAGCCGCCGCCTAGCCTCGGTTGGTGGGTACGACGATCATTCACATTTTGACAGGGCTTGCTCTTCTAAGGCGGAGATCTCTGAATCACGCGCGTGCGATCGCGATGTTGCCGCAGACACCAATGAGGACGCGTGCAGGAGAAGGGAGGTGGAGGTTGAAGTACGGTACAGGAGGCGAATTTAAGCCACGACAACGGTATAACGGGTGCCCTATAAGTAAAAGGCCCGAATAGAAAAGGGCCTATTCCTATCACCAAATAGTGTGGCGGTTTCTGAGGGGCACTGTCTGCTCCATCACAGCATGTTTTGATTTGGCTGCTCGCAGCGCTTCGAACTTTTCGTACAAAAATCTAACCACCGCCTCTCTACCCGAGACAAACTCCCAACTCCCAAATCCAAGCACGCCTGTTTTTTTCCATAGCTTCTCATTGCTGCGCTGGCACGGGCACAACGCCCTTCAGTGGGGGAAGCAGACTCCTTGCTCCAGCCCTTGCCTGCTGCGCTAGCACCGCATCGATAATGACCAACGCCGCCATCGTCTCCACGATTGGCACCGCTCGAGGCACAACGCATGGATCGTGTCTGCCCTTGGCCTCGAGCACGCCGTCCGTCTCATCATACGATGCTGTGGTCTGTGCCTGTCCGATGGTGGCAGCAGGCTTGAAAGCCACGTTGAAGTAGATAGGTGCGCCATTTGTGATTCCACCCTGGATACCACCGGAGTTGTTCGTCTTGGTCGTGAGCCGCAGACGCTGGACCTTCGCAGACGGGTTCTCGCCGGCTGGAATAGCGGGCGCCTTGATGAACGCATCGTTGTGAATGGAGCCAGGCAGTTGCGCACCTCCGAACCCAGACCCAATCTCAAAGCCCTTGGTGGCTGGAATCGAGAGCATGGCATGCGCGAGCTTAGCCTCGAGCTTGTCAAAGCACGGCTCTCCCAGCCCCGTAGGACAGTTCCTGATCACACAGGTCACTGTGCCGCCTATGCTGTCTTCCTTGTCTCTGTAGTCTGCTACGAGCTTCTCCATGCGCTCATTGCTAGCCTCGTTTGGACATCTCACAGGCAGGAACGAGTCGACTGTCTTGCGATCAATGGTATCGATGAGCTTCAAGTACTCTGGATTTGTCGAGGCGGTAGGCCATTCCGGCGAAGGAGGGAAGAGGAATTCGTTTCCGATGGAGTTGGTAAAGGCGATAATTTCAATCCCATATGCTTCGCGCAGGTACTTCTCTGCGATTGCACCAGCCGCGACACGTCCTATCCAACATCAGCATTGTGCCAGCCCAATCGACATGACTAGACTCACCGATAGTCTCCCGAGCACTGCTCCTGCCTCCACCCGAACTCGCCTTGACCCCGTACTTCTCCAAGTACGTCCAATCCGCATGGCTAGGGCGCGGGTACAAGTCCATTGTCTTGTTGCCGTAGTCCTTCGGCCTCTGGTTCTCGTTCATGACCCTGAGCCCAATGGGTGTGCCCAGCGTGATGCCAAATTCCGTCCCTGACTGAATCTCCACACGATCCTTCTCATTGCGGGGTGTCGTAATAGCCGACTGGCCGGGTCGACGGCGCGTCATCTGGGGTTGAATATCGTCGTCTGTGAGAGCCATGCCCGGGGGGCAACCGTCGATGATAGCGCCCACGGACAAGCAGTGAGATTCGCCATAGCTGGGGAAGTCAGCAGCGTCTCTAGAGAAAACACTCTACGATTCTGCATACGTCGTGACTCTGAAATGGGTGCCAAACGTCGACATGATTGTGGTGTGTGTGGAATGTAGCGGTGAAATCCGATATGAATTGCGCAATTGGTACGAAAATTACAAAAATGCAAGTTCAAAGCCCACTGTTCAAGTCGAAATATTCGCGGGCGAGGCAGAGGATATGTTCAATGATGGCTAGACAAAAGTCTAGATGCTCGTTACTGACGTAAGAGTCACTAGTTGTAGAGAATTATTTGTTTGGCGGCGGGGCTGCATCTCCAACCCGATTTCGGCGCCGAGTCGTAGGGCTGAATCGACGGGTCACGTGGGGAATTCGTGATGAGATCGGAACAAGATCATGCAATCGATGTTTTGGTGGGGACAGTACGAGGCTGTTGTGCATAGGCTGACTTTTCAATGCCTGCCCTTACTCCTTACCATGCTATTTGATGTAAAGTTTGATTCCCACCAGCTTCATCTGATCCAAGACACCTCGACCTACTGAAGCCAGCTTGTACTCGCTTGACAATCTTCCCACCCATCCGCTACAATTCCGCTCACCCATACGACCCCTTGAACCGGTAGGGGGTCGGCCAACAACCCCTTTGTACACGTAGGCTCCCCATAGTGGGGGACTGCAGCTGTCAAACCACAAGTCAAGCTGGTCCTCGACGAAATGTGCGACCTAACCAGGGTCCATTCGTCTTGCGCGATCGGCTGCTACATTGTCGCATGTCCAGTCTTCGAGTTTGGAACGATGGAGATTATTTAAAAATCGTTGCTTGAGAAAGTACGTTCATTGCGGAAGAAAACTGTAGGCATATATCGAACTCTCATCGTTCAAGGGGTGTTCGTTGCCGGGCAGGGAGTGACTAGAGTGGTGGTGAGTTGGCAAAGGAAAGCCAGCGACACGCATAGTCGAACAAGACAGAAACGACAGGAGACAGGCTCACAAACACGCGAAGCTCGTAGCAAGAACCAGCAGATCAAATAAATTCAACACAGACAAGCGTGAATAGTCGAGCGCAGAGTGAAATAGATACGCCCACATCGTGATCGTTGGTGTCCCTCCGCTTCCGTAAATTTCCCGCTAGCGTGTCTCCCTGCGCCTGAGGTTTTCTGTTGTGGCAGAACCCCATCTCCACCAGCATCATCTTCCGCATCACATACCCCTCTCCCCACTATCCCACTACCCAAACCTCCCCAACCGCCATCATGACTGAATACGTCAAGGTCGAGAAGATTGTGCCCAAGTTCCCCCCGCCGGCGTTCAGCGACATCGCCAAGGCGTCCAACGACGTATGTTTATGCCTCCAGATGCCGACCTTCAAATGTGTGATGCGATCGCTGACGTTTGCCTTCTAGCTCATCAACAAGGACTTCTACCACACTGCCGCGGGTTGGAGAACCTAATTGAGCTCTATGCGCAATGTACTGACGCTGCTGCAGCTGCCCTTGAGGTCAAGCTCAAGGCCCCCAATGGTGTGAACTTCACTGCCAAGGGCACGTCGCCGCACAGCGGCCCCGTCACCTCGTCTGTAAGTGGCCTGCGCAAACACACACGAGAGGCGACGGAAAGCTGATTCTATGTAAAAAAGCTCGAGGGCAAGAAGGCTCTTTCCAACGGTACGGCCACCCTTTTATTTCTACCTCGCGAATACAATCTCTACGTACCCTGTCATTCGACGCCCCGTTTTCGTTCATGTATATTTCATATGGCCCAGCCGCCGTCTGGCGGATTTGCCCTCACTGGCTTGCGAGTCGACCTGCTGACGACGCGACGCGCAGGTATTGCCATTACACAGTCGTGGAACACTGCCAACCTCCTGGCCACAAAGGTCGAGCTTACCGACACCTTCGCCAGCGGCCTGAAGACCGAGGTCCTCTCCAACTTCAACCCCGCTGCCGGCAACAAGGGCCAGAAGCTCAACCTTCTGTTCAAGCAGCCCAACTTCCACGGCCGCGTCTTCGCCGACTACTCGGCGACTGGTGCCATTGGCGCTCTCGCCGATGCTGTCATCAGCCACGAGGGCTTCGTTGTTGGTGGTGAGGTTGGTTACGATGTGCAGAAGGCTGCCATCACCAAGTACTCCGCTGCTCTTGGTTACACCACTCCCCTGTACAACGCCGCCGTCACCGCGACCAACTCCCTGAGCGTCTTCTCTGCGTCGTACTACCAGAAGGTCAACACCGCCGTTGAGGCTGGTGCCAAGGCTACCTGGGACTCCAAGTCGGGCTCCAACGTCGGTCTCGAGCTCGCTGCCAAGTACAAGGTTGACCCTCTCTCCTTCGCCAAGGTATGTTCCACTACACTGTCTGCGAGGCAATGCGTCTAACAATGTGTAGGCCAAGATCAACAACCTCGGCATTGCGTCGCTCGCGTACAACACCAAGGTCAACAGCGGTCTGACTTTCGGCATTGGCGGCTCTTTCGATACCCAGAAGCTGAACGAGGCCGGGCACAAGCTCGGCACCAGCTTCACCTTTGAGGGTTAAGCGCGTTTTGTGTGGAATGGAGTGAAAAGAAACAGTGTGTTTAGATTCCCTTGGTTCTATAGCAACGCGGTCTCTGGATCATCATGTGGTGGAGTGAGCGAGTGTGTAGCATGTACAAGAGTTTGTCTCAAATGCATCCTGAAAACTGGAGTAGGCCTTTGACGATACGCGTGGTGTTTTGTGAATTGTCTGTCCTGTTACAGGCCATCTTTTTTGTTGCTGATCTTCTCGTTGCGATGCCCCAAGAGGTTTCCCGTGAAGCCGATGATGGCTATGGCGCCCGAGACGAGCAGGAAGTTCATGACGACGCTCCCTCTATTTACTTCTTCGACGCGGTGTAGTTTGGATCTCCGTCTTCGGGCGTATATGTGCTCGTTGAGCGAGTCGTGCGTCTCCTTGTGCCTCCTGTCGTCGAAATGCGGCACCTCAGAGCCCTGCCTCTGCTGCCCGGGCCCAAAGCCACCATAATCGCCGTAGCTCTCCTGACCCGCCTGCTCTCCTCCCCGCGGATCGTGATGCGCGTACTCTGACCTCTTCGCCCCATGCTGCCCATAGCCACCGGACTTGTAGAAGCTGGGCGGCGGACCGCGAAACGTCGTGCGCTTCTTATTCAGGCCGCTTGCGGGGCGGGCGCCAAAGGCCGCCGAGCTATACGAGCCCTCTGCAGGCGGACCCGTGCCCCAGCGCGAGGCCCGCGACTGGGCCTGCGACTGCGACTGGCGCAGGTGGGCGTCGTACTGGGAGCGCTTCTCGGGCACGGAGAGGGTGTGGTAGGCCTCGCTGATCTGGACGAAGCGCGTCGAGGCCGTGGGGTCCGAGGGGTTGCGGTCCGGGTGGTGTTTCTTGGACAGGGCGTAGAATTGGCGCTTTATCTCGGCTGAGGTGGCGGTCGGGGCGAGCTGGAGGGCGTCGTAGTGGTTGGGCGAGGCGTCATCGGAGAGGAGGCGTGGTGTTGTGTGGAAGGCGCGGGGATGGGGGCGGAGGGGTGGAGAGAAGCGTGGCCATGGGCGGGCCAGTGGGCGCGGGAGAGGTGGTGGGCGGAGTGGCATCGCCCATTCTGGGGGGGAGAGAGGAGGAGGGAGAGCGTGTATCGGAGTGCATGGGTTGGGTGTGTTTAGCGGACGTCATCGTTATTCGGACTTGAGAAAGGGCAAGTCTAGCCGGGCGGGATGTCAGTCGCGGGGACATGTTGGAATTTCGCCCGCCTCTGCTCTGCTGCACCCGACGACTCGTTTCCCGCAAAGCAAATATGGCGGCCCAGGTAGCCGAGGGTGTCGCCGACTTGAAGTGTATGTCATCTTCTCCCTCCCCACTCGACCATGGTATGCACACGCGAGGCTGATGCGCGGTAGTGGACGACGCAAACAGCAAGCCAGCCAACGGCGCAACACCAAACGGCGAGAACGCAGACCACGACGACTCGGACAATGACGACAACGAGGCCGACGACGGCGCCCCCGAAGCCGGCGAGGGCGCAGCCAAGAAAAAGAAGAAGAGAAAGCCCCGCAAGAAGAAGAAGGCCGGCGCCGGCAACGCAAGCGACGCCAAAGTGCAGACGGCGCCGCCTCGCGTGCCCATTGCCAACCTGTTCCCCGGCGACGCATACCCCGAGGGCGAGATCTGCGAGTACCGCGACGAGAACGCGTTCCGCACCACGAGCGAGGAGAAGCGCCACCTCGACCGCATGAACAACGACTTCCTGACCGAGTACCGCAAGGCCGCCGAGATCCACCGCCAGGTCCGCCAGTGGGCCCAGAAATGGATCAAGCCCGGCATGTCGCTGACGGAGATCGCCGAGGGCATCGAGGACTCGGTGCGCGCCTTGACGGGCCACCAGGGGCTTGAGGAGGGTGATGCTCAGATTGCGGGTATGGGCTTCCCTACGGGCTTGAGCATCAATCATTGCGCTGCGCACTACACGCCTAATGCGGGAAACAAGATGGTCCTCAACTATGAGGACGTCATGAAGGTCGACTTTGGCGTGCATGTCAACGGGCGCATCCTCGACAGCGCCTTCACTCTGACCTTCGACCCCGTGTACGACAACCTCGTCAATGCGTGCAAGGACGCGACGAACGCCGGTATCAAAGAAGCGGGTATCGACGTGCGCATGTCCGACATTGGCGCCGCCATCCAAGAAGTCATGGAGAGTTATGAATGTGAAATCAAGGGCACCACATACCCCGTCAAGTGCATCCGCAACCTCAACGGGCACAGCATCGGCCACTACACCATCCACGGCGGGAAAACAGTGCCCATTGTGAAAAGCACGGACCAGACGAAGATGGAAGAGGGCGAGACGTACGCCATTGAGACGTTTGGCAGCACTGGCAAGGGCTATGTGCGCGACGACGTACGTTGTTCAATCCCTCATCTCCTAACACTCCCCCCCCCCTTCCATCACATCATAGCTAACCAAAAAAAACCCAAATAGATGGAAACATCGCACTACGCGCGCCGCGCCGACGCCCCCAAAGTCGCCCTCCGCGTCTCCTCGGCCAAAACTCTACTCGCTTCCATCACCAAGAACTTCGGCACCCTGCCCTTTTGCAGACGCTACCTCGACCGCCTCGGTCATGATAAGTACCTCCTTGGCCTGAATAATCTCGTCAGCGCGGGTATTGTGGAGGCGTACCCGCCGCTGTGCGATGTTAAGGGGAGTTATACCGCGCAGAGTGAACATGTATGTCTTCTTCGTCTTGGTTTTGATTTTGATCTTGGGGGTGTGGGGTAGAGATGGCTAATTTGTTTGTGGTAGACGTTTCTCCTTAGGCCGAATGTTAAGGAGGTTGTTAGTCGGGGGGATGATTATTAGGCGGGGGAGGTGGAGGTGGAGATGGGAAGGGGGGTTTATGATGAAAATGAGTATGGGCAAGGGGATGGGAATGGGGATGAAAATAAAAACGAGACTAAAGAGTTTATGAAGAACATGCAACAGAGACACCCACGTCATTTTGCCTGACTCGTCCTCATTATCGGACGAGTTTGACTCTGTCTGGTTTGAGCTGGGTTGGCATCACGCACAGATCGAATGGAGTAGAGAAGGGGAGAAAAACTCGAAGCAACGTAAAGCAACGTGAAGCAAAGTAACACATCACGCCCAGTACTCCCATGTTGTCTTGTGTTCATTCAAGAGAAGACCATGCAACCAAGGTAACGAATATCTAGATTTTGCTTTCCGTATAGCTGTATTCGACCTGTTGCATTGACGAACAACCATAATACGCAGCAGCTGCGCGATATCTCGTATCCACCAACTCGCATCCTGTGACGGATGAAACGGTTTTCAGTGACGGATGTCGACGTTTGTGGTTCGGATGCAACGGATAGGATAGCCTGGTGCGTAACTTGGCCTCTTGATGGCCTTGGACTGTCGTCTGAGCGCTGATGAGACCCCTCGTAAATCCGGCGTTGCATCGTAATGTTTTCCTCATGCTTGGTCCCATCTCTTCATGAGTTCCTCCTCTTCCCGGCGGAAAATCTCAACTATACTCACGAACCAGAACACCCCCTCTCAGCAATCCTCCCATTCAAGCCTTCTTCTTCGTAATCCGGTACCTATCACCGTCAGCCCACACCTCCCAACCCAGAACCACAGAATCACATACAAAAAAATCTTCTCCCTCTCAAAAACCCCCCTATCAGGATCATCCCCCACATCCCTAACCTCAAACACCTTCCTCACCGTCTTCATAAACTGCAAATCCGCTCTCCGCCGCCTCTTGAAGCAGAAATAGCACACGGTGTTCTCGCCAATCAGGTCCTGCAGCGTTCGCTGCAGCAGCGGGAACGCAGGCTCGAAGTACACGCAATCCGCGGCGAGGATGATGTCCGGGTGCGGTGGCAGTTGGGGGGGTGTGGGGGCGCCCCAGTCGTAGATGGAGGGTTTGACGCGGGAGGAGAGGTTGTTGAGGGTGGTGTTTTGGCGCATGAGGTCGAGCATGGGGGCTTGGTCTGTGATGTGTATGGGGTGGGTGAGGGGGCAGCCTAGGGCTAGTGCGAGGCTGGGTGGGGATTAGAGGGGGAAATGAAAGGAAGACGGCAGGAAAGAGTAGGTGAGAAGATGGGAAATGGATAGGAAAGTGGGAAACGCATACCCAACCAACCCCCCTCCAGCACCCAGCTCAACGCTGCGTGTCGTTAGTCATGCATTCTACCCTCACATAGCATTCTGAGAGCGAGCCTACATATCCTTCCCCGCGAGCCCATCTCTATGCACCCTAAGCATGTACTTCCCCAGCACCATGCCCGCCGGCCATAACTGCCCGCCACACCCGTTCTTCAGGTCTTCATGCAGCTTGAGGGGCGGGGAGAGCAGGCCGTCAAAGTCGACCTCCGACACGCCGGCAGACTTCATGGCCGCTGGCGGGACGAGGTCCTGGCTTACGCCGAAGACGTCGTTTTCTTCGCTGTCTGACATTGCGGTGCGTGGGTCACGGGTGATGGTGGCTGTTGTGGGGTTTAGTGAAGTTGCAGTTTTGTTATGGTAGGTCGTATGCGGGTTAGCGTGAGGGATGGTGTGTGGGGTAGGGTTAAGCGATGTTTATGGTGATGGTGCTGGGACTTGATAGTCGGTTGGACGGTGTTTTAGAATTCGAGCCATATTGTACTTGTCTGGTTATACGACATATACAGAGGTTCATCGGTTTCCAAATATCCAAACAGAATGCTTGTAGGAAACCCTTGTAGCACCGCGTCCAGTACCCAGGTTTGGAGATGCTTCCTTATCTTATCACCTGCATCTCCAACCACCTTCCACCGCGCCCCACCAATCCACTCCCGCTCCACTCGAAGATACGATGCACATCAAACGCCTCATATCTGGGCATGTACATCGCAGGAGCGGGATCCTATCACAGCATGCGTCTGACCCGAGATGGGACTCGTACCTGCGCCGCATGAGTTTGCGTCTTCCACTTCAAATGTGACATTGCCGTTCTTCTCCATACTCTCCCGTCCTAAGACCAATTCCTTATCGCTGGTGAGCAGCAGAAGTGTTGTCTAGTCCTCCGTCATGGGGCTCCCTGTAGACGTTCTCAAGGCATGGGAGGCTTGCGATCGTATCGACACACTCTTCGTCCTGGTGTGCTCTGTCTTTTGTATGTGCTTACATTTGAATGTCCTTTCAAACTACAACAAAACCTGATATACTTGACTCCTCATTGCAATTGCTGACTTCGACCAGGCTGGGGAATCATCCCCGCGGTCGGAATCGCCTACTCAGGCTACACAACGCGTTCCAATGCCCTCGCAGCAGTCATGCCCGCCATTCTGGCGGTCATTGTGTGCTCCATCCAATGGTTCATGATCGGCTACACACTGACGTACGGAGAAGGAGGAGCCATTTTTGGAGACTTCGCGTATGCTTTCCATAAGAATGTCTTGGCTGAGCCCGTAGGAACTATACCCGCGGTGCTATTCAGCTTCTTCCAGATGGTCTTCCAGGCGACAGTCTGCGCTATTGCGGTTGGAGGTGCGTGTGAGAGAGGACGAATACTCCCGTTGGTGCCGTTCATCTTCGTAAGTTTATAAGCCTCCTGATCACATGCTTTGAACATCTAACATCTCGGCGACAGCTATGGTCAACATTCGTCTACAACCCATTAGCCCACATGGTCTGGGGAGGGGGCTTCCTCATGGACCTAGGAGTATTAGATTTCGCAGGCGGCACACCCGTGCACATCAACTCCGGAGCAACAGCAACAGCAATGTCAGTCTACCTATCATACCCTCTCTTCCGCTCGCGCAAGTCCCCGACCCGCACGCCAGGCCACCTAGTCATCCACCGGCCAGTAAACTCGCTCTGCCAGCTCCTCGCTCTAATCAGCATCTGGGGCTCCTGGCTCGCCTTCGACGCCGGCACAACGCTAGCCTTCAACTTCAAATCCGTCATGGCGCTTTGCGTGACGAATCTATGTGCTGCCAGTGGCGCGCTGACATGGATGCTGTACACGTACATCGAAGTCGGACGATGGAGCTTTGACTCGTGTTTCATGGGTGCGATTTCCGGCCTGATCATGATCACACCGTCGGCCGGCTTCATCGACCTCCCGACTGCGTTTCTCTTCGGCATAGCAGGCGCGCTTTTTTGCCGTCAAGCTCTGCGAATTAAATTCTCCTCCTTTGCGCGGCGCTGGCGGTGGGTAGATCATGGCGATACATTCGCAACCCATTGTTTAGGAGGCTTCCTAGCAACCATCGGCACGGGGTGTCTCGCGCGAAAAGAAGTCGCAGGTTACGACGGCGTGACGGAGATTGCTGGCGGGGTTTTCTTCGATGGAAATACCAGACAGCTTGGTATTCAGATTGTCGAGGCTCTTGTTGGGTTCCTTTGGTCGTTTACCGGAAGTTACGTTATCTATGCGCTGATCGATTGCGTTCCCGGGTTTGAGGTCTTGGCTGAGGATAAGTGGGTTGCTTTTCTGGCGTTTCTTCGAGTATGTGCTAATATGTGGCAGGGATATTGTTGCGGGGTTGGATGCTAGTCAGATGGATGAGGAGACGCTGTGGACGGAAACGCAAAAGTACTATCCTTTTGCGGATCGTGAGGGTCAACTCCATCTTGAGTGAATGGGGAGAATAGGGAAGAAGACGCTATGGAAATACTAGTCCTGCGGAGACGTGCGAACATGTGAAACAAGAACACAGCCCCTCAAGGTACTCGAGGCGAAAGAGAAAAGTGACGCCTGATAGCTCCCATGGCACAATGCTTTCAATAACACATTTTTCAAGAGAACACAAGAAGTAGGAAGTAATTAACCACTAACGACATCATACTACTATCTCCTCCATCATCTGCGCAACAACCTCCCTCACACTCCAAATCTCCTTTCCTACCCACCCCACCACACATCCCGCCAAAACCCGCGCAAAAACCTGCTCCCCCTTCATAACCCCCCTCTCCGACGCCATAATTCCAATTGCCCCCCTTACTCCCCCCATCCCATACCCAACCCCATCTCCACAGCACCACCTCCACACAACACTCCCCCCAGCAACTCCCCACAACATGCCCAACCCCCCGTTTCCCCGCGAGCAAACTACTCGAATAGCCGACATGACAGCAGCACACGCCCACAACCCAACAGTCCACACCGGCCTCGCCCGCACACCCGCACCAAACAAACTAACGCAGTCTAGCACCAGCCCCGGGAGTCCCCACAAAAACCGCCTCCTGCCATTCTGCTCGCTAATTGCGGTTGCTACGAACCACGGCGAGAGCACAACCCACACATCGACGGCGAAAAGTGCTGGCGCGGGGAGACATGGCGCGCCGCGGAGGATGGCGAGGAGTACTTGGAGTAGGGCGAAGAGGTAGTAAAGGTGTACTGCTAAGCTGATGGATCTCTTTATCCGACTCTTTCTTTCCGTTTCTGGTTTCGATTCCGCGTTCAGTGTAGCGGGTAGAACAGAGAAGACGAGGTCTGCGAAGAGGAGGCTGAGATAGGCTGTCATGACGCCGGGGCCGTAGACGATGTCGAGGGCTTGCATTGTGTTGATGGGGAGGAATTGGGGGTGTGTTGGGAAGGGTTAAGGGGTATTGTCGTTGTGCTGTGTTATGTTGTATCGTGCTGCCTAATCAAGGTTCAGGCCTCCCTCGCCAAGGCTAGCTTGGATATCGTAGGGCTGAGCGGGGTTTGTGTGATGGTTTGGAGTTTCATGATGTGTCGAGGTAGAGGCCCTCGAAGACGAGATTGACTGCGCTAGAAACTCTGTCAGCAAGCTCTCAAGCACAAGACTGTTTGTTTCGGTTCTTACCAATCCAAACGTCCCCCTCCATAGCACCCTCCGGAGTCTAGATTTCTTCATCCCTGCCTTTATGTGCTCCTCTATATTGAACTTTCAGTCTGCATCTTGTTGTGTTCATTACGCGTTACCTATATCTAACCCCGGCACTTGTCAGTACGCAGCAGTGACGTTTTTGGCCCATCAGTGCGCCTCAGGGTGGAATCTATGGTCATCCTGCCTCTTGCCCAAGGGCACCAGAGCTTCATTGCCGCTCATTTTGTGCACAACGGAGGTTGAGATGAGCGTGAGATTGGCGATGGCAGCGGCAGTCTCTTTAGCCAGGAGTTTCCCCCCAGACGATATTGTAGATTATCGCAGAATCCGGATCGTCAGTGTAGCCTCGGAGACCCAGGGGGTGGTAACCGAAGGTATCATGTTGCCGTCGAAAAGACAATAAATGGGGGAAGAGGTGGTGGTGACGAGAGGTCCAGGAGATCGCCAGTGTGCTCTGTGGTAGTGGTAGTGGTAGTAATGGACTTGGATGGGCATGGAGGTAATCAGTCCCAAGTCAGGGGTTTGTGAATGCGTGCAAACCATTTCATAGTCGCCAAAGTAGAGTGTGCTGGTGAGGCTGAACAGGTGTGAGCGGCAAAAACTTGAGCGAGAAACTCGTGGTCCCTGCACTATCCCAGTGCCCAACTACACCACATCCTACCTGCCCCACCACGACATGACCAAATCTCGTCCCTTTATTTCCCGCGCAGAAGACAGACGGACAAAGAAGAAGAATGGAGACAAAAGGCATCATCCGCAGATAGCACAATGCGCGAGTTCAGTCCACCAACCTCTCTGGGAACATTGTGCAGTACCGCCTCGTGTGCCTACTCTGTGCCTGATAAGGTAAAACACAATGACTATGGCGTAGGAAAGCCAGCTTACTCTCTACTCTGACGGAAAGCAGTCTCAGTCTTGCAAAGCCTGTCGGCCTTGTGCCTTTCGCCACCCCTGTGGAGGCAAGCAGCACCTGGTGAAGGTCTCTGAATCGGCCATCTCCATTACGAGGCCGTGCAAAGACTCGGATCGGATTGTGAGAGCCGCGCCTCACAAAGAACTCATTTCGAATGACTTCCCTGCCCATACGGGTTGCGCGTGAACCGGCGTCGGGCAAGTACCACAATCTGGCAGGGACAGGTGCAATGCTGCGCCGACTCCTTGTCCCTGTTGACAGCCGAAGCGAAGGCAGACCATAAGACGTGTCAGACTTGTAGGCATGGTGCGGTCAGAAATACGTTCGAGTCTCCACGACTGGAGCAGACCGTCGCCCCTCGGAATGGCTTAGGCAATGGTAAGGTCAATCGTATCCTCACGACGTGGAATACCTTGATCCGCCCCGCGCTGACTCGCGACACTAACATACAATTAGATCATCCTCATACCTTGTTTGGACAACCGTTCGACAGTCGAAATCTTCCTGGGGTCGTTATACTCTTTCAAGCCAAGAGGCAACGATGTGGGCACGCGCCGACACCACCCCATCTTACGTTTACACCGCTCGTTGACGGCGAGATATCCTGTCGGTACGATGGGCGTATACCACTTACCGGCGACAATACAATGTCAAGCCGAAAAAGAAATCGCTGGCAGGAGTTGCAAAAGTACTCTCGGGACATCGATATGCCCGGGAAATTGACATCGAAGAGAAACGCATGAATGAAAGGGACCACAGGGCGAAGGAGAGCTTCGCATGCAACGTACGGTCAATGCTTGTAGACAGAGAGAAAGAGATGGAAGCAGAGGCAAGGTGGAAGATGCCTTCCGTTAAACGACGATGAAAACAGGGGGACAAGGATGAATAAAGAATTTGGGCAGCCACGAGACGCATCGTAGTTACTCCGATTAGGTGTACTTACGTTCGAGTCATCTGAGTCGAGGATTCCGGCTTCGAAAATATCGCGACCGACCTACCTTGGCGCTAAACAAAGCGTCGAGTTCAGTTCAACGCATGGACATGGTCGCATATAGATTGTAGAACACCCCTACAGTCTACCGCACGGATTCGAGCGCAAAGCTGGGTGGCTTTCGAAACTCTCGATGCCTCACATCAATGCTCGCCCCAGGGATGTCAACTGGCTGTGGATGGCCACATCAACTTAAAGCAGCTCCACACATCCTAATCAAGTACCTCGGCTTGAATCGTTCCTGGAGAAACATTGTTGTCTGGTGTTAGGAGACACATGTCCATCCCCAGAACACGAATCACATTTCATCCCTCGCCGTCAACGAGCACGCCTTACCATCTCCCAACGGTGCTGATCGGACAAGTCAAGCATTGAGCCTGTAAAGAGTACGCGAAGGAGATTTTCTGATTTCAGGAGGCACATCCATTTCCAAAATCCGTGGCTTTGATCGACTGAGAAACTTTAAGTGCTGGGAAGATCGACGAGGGGAAGAAGGTCATCATTCGTGCTACTGGATAGCACACATACCCCTGATTTCGGTCGAATTCTGGAAGTGCCCTGAGGGTTCAAGTTCATCTCTCCAATGTTCGCATCAGACGCCGTCGCCTGATAAATCACATGCAACCGAACCTGTGGAGTTGGAGCTCTAAACAGCATCGACAATCATGCAGGACGGTTTCGGACTGGAACATTGAACGTGAGATGGCTGGATTGCTGCATCGATTCTTCGCCGAACGGACCATTCTACCGTCATCTTACAATGCAGAGGCATTCGTAAATCCGTGTGCCTCAAAGGTCATATACGCACATTGCACATGATTGACCACCTCGAATTTTCCAACTCTTGTGGCGAAGATCACCTGTCCAGACCTTGGCAACTTGCAACTTCAGGTCCTAGAGCTGGGAAAGTCGGGGATTGGTACAAGTTCATCCAGGCGCTTGGCGATGCTGGCAGCCTGAGCATCCCATGGTTCGACGCGTGAGTGAAGGAACATGGTCCAGTCGCGTATACTTTGTAATGTCTGGCCGAGCAGGGCATCCCGAATGTCAGCATGGGTGTCAGATTCGCGGCTAATATCGACGGTATCGAAGCTCTTGACGACACCGTGGTGCACATTCATATGAATGGAGACCTCGTCTTTGACATCGATCTCTACATCGAATTGTGGTGTTTGAGACCACATCCACTCTTCAGTCTACGACTGTCAGCATGTCATCATGTACGGAAAGGGTGTGAGGACAGACCCGCAACTCCTCGTATCCTTTCTTGATGTCAGGGATAGCGAGATAATCATCGCCTACGGATTCCACAATGCTTGGTTGTCCAAGGTCAGCATACATGTGCGCAAACTCTTCTCGCAAACGTTTCTGGAACGCCTTCACGTCTAGACCGATGTTGCTGATGGGCGAGCTGACGCTTTCAACACCCTTGGCTTGTATGCTGTTCTTCGCTGGGGATCGCAGGTATTGCGAGATGATGCGGAGATTAGGCGAGCTGAGCAGCGTTGTGGCATGGTGCAGAGCTCTCTGGCGCGTAAGCTTGTATGCCGAGCCGGACACCTTCAGAGGCCTGGGCGGCACACCCTCGTCGAGGGTGTAAGGCGTGCGATGCGTGTCTTCAAGATCAGAGTCATGCTTCTTGTGGCCTTGATCAAGGACGATGTCGTGTCGCTCGTTGACTCTGGCGCGGTCGATGCCCTGTTTGCGCAATGCGCGGACGACCATCTCGGCGTGTTTGTCTCTCGTGAAATCGCCGCGCGGGCACGTTATGCTCCAATTGAGATTGCCTTGGTCATGGAAGACGGTCCCTCCTCCAGAGCGGCGGCGTACGAGGTCGACGGCGCCTATGCCTGGTGACTCGGTCTGAGCGCTGAGCATGGCCAAGTTCACCTCGGTCCATGGGTTCTGATTGCGACCAATGACTAGGCAAGGCCTGTTGACATAGAGAAAGAGGATGGTGCTGTCCGGCGGAGACTTGCGCAGGATGTGGTCTTCGATGCTGAGGTTGAGATACGGGTCATTGCTGTGGGAAATGTACGACTGCAGCTTGTTGGCCGGGTCGGCGAGCCTCTCCGTAAAAGACGAGAAGTGCCGCCGATGAGACAGCACACTGCTGCGTCCAAAATGTCGTGTCTGTGAGCTGTGTTGCGTGTGTTGCAGAGGGAAGCCGCCATCTGACTTTGCAGAAAAGAGCGCCTCCGGACGCGACGAGTAGCTCCGCCGTGGGACGAGCACTTTCTCACACGAAATGAGGCATCTAGGCAACGTGTATCGAGCGCACCATAAACTAATCCCCCTTGATGGCGCCATCGTCATGGGGTGATGGTGTTCGCATGTGGGGGATGGTTCTGCCAAATCGGCAAGAGCCACCTGCGGATGCAATTCCGAACATGGCTAAACTCATGCATCACACGGAACATCAAAGATCCATGCTTCAACGACATCCCTTCGTGCCAACGGGCATCAGCGTGTGTAGCAATACTGAGAGAGGCGCGACAGACATATACCACAAGGCATTATCAATCATGTGCATCAGTGCCCATCCGAGCTGCGACACGCGCGCCCCTGACTGGGAACGACACTTTAGGGGCACGATGCGTGCTTGTCCGAAAAACACTCATACTCATCTCAGAGCAACAATGTATCTGTTCTACCGCAAGTCACCTCATGGCGGTCCCCTATTCCTTTATCTTTTATGCCTCTTCGTCGTTGATGAGGCAAGTGGTGAGAGAAGAGGAACGAAATGTTTCCTTGATATCATCTCTTTTCCTACCATCAAGGTCTCATCGTCATAACTTTCATTTGCTTCCAAGCAAGACTTTCCTATCCATGATGGTATCTATAGTGCGGATCATGGCTGTTTGGATTCGGCATCTCGAATATGTTACCGCCCCCTGAATCGGTGTTCAAGTCGTCTCTCCTCTCGTCGCTGTAGCCAGAACATCGGCCCCACATCATCGCTCACTTCACCTCACCACCGTTCGGACTGCAACACCAAAAGAATGCCGCGAGAAAAGCTCAGTTCTCCCACGAAGATATCCTTCTCCATATCGTATGGCCTCTATATTGCTAGTGATAAAAGTCTAGGGTTTCTTCAATTTCCCATCAAGTCACTCAAGTCCGCTGGCCCAGCGGTCAATTTCACTTCTTCTGAGGTTTACAAACAAGTGTTAACGAGTTCGAATCAGGTGTCGGTCAATATTATTAACCACCCTGTTGTCTACCTTGTTTGCTTATGTTTGTAAGTCACCTCACACTCCTTTGAAGTGAAATTGGCTAATGGTGTTTAGTGTATTTCAGAAAAACCATAAAACTACAAAAACATTGCTTTGGTCTTGCGTTCCGCGGTCTGGGGTTTGTGTTGTAAGATATGGTACGTACCACCTCCCAGAGATTGACCGTTGTAACAGTGGGCTTGAGTGACTTGATTTTTTTGTTCATATTTTTGCATGGAGACGCTGCTTCCAGTGCATCGTGGCTCCAGCTAGGTCGACATAGTCATTGCTCAGTATCGGAGCGCCTCCCCCACGTTTCAACAGTGCAGAGCGGGATTGCACGCTGGCAATCCTTCATAGCGCACGCATTTCTATCTGTGTCGCACCTATGTACAGAATCAGCTCGTCGCCTTCGTACACAAGCTGCATGTCAGCCCCCATTATTGACTCACCGAGCTGAACCAAACTTTAGTCTCTGGTCTCATATCAACAGATGCATCACCCCTACATGATCTCTTGGTCTAAGCGCGACACGATCAGGAATCTCCAGGTACTTATTCGCAGCAGGATTTTATTCTCTCAACAATTCAAGACTCAGCGATGATAGCGCAGTGGTGTTCCGCCCCTCCTCCCGCGCCTCCGTTCCCTTATGGTCCGGTTGTTCGAACCCCGCTAATATCACTCGCAGTTACTGACTACAGTGGGCAGCAGCACGCAGCAGCAACAGTGGCAATCTGCTTTTCTCTGGCTAACTCTGCTGACGAGCTAATTAAGGTTCTAGGTAGATTCGTCTGGGGAGATCGTTTGCCTCCTGGTAAGTTCTTCTCTCCTCACCAAACACCCAGGTTCACCACTGTGGATTCATCGTAAAAAGTCTTTTTTTTTGGCTATTTCTCGCGCGTTGGGGACAACAAGCTGTGTAAAGAATGGATAGTTCCATATAACAAATCACAGATGATATCTTTTTGATCCTTAGCACTATGCAGGAATGTTGTAGCTGAATTACAGTGGTTAGACTGCCTTACAGTTCCGTTTGCATATCACTGGAGTTGTTTTCATGGCGGGGCTCACAGTAAACTTGGTGTCACTATAAAATCTCTTCTGCCTTGTCTCTTTTTCACCACAACAACACCCACATCAGCAGCAGCAGCAGCAGAAGTAACAACAACAACAACAACCAACACCACCACCAACACCACCATGTCTCTCGGAGACAGTCTCGTCCGCGGCTACCGCGCCGTCGCTCGCTGGCTGTGCCTGCGTCCTCGCGCTCGTCCCGGCACGCCTCTGCTGCACGGTGAGTACCTGCAAGACGCTGGAGAAGTACTGGAGACTGACAAGCGCATAGACGTGTCCCAGAACGCCTCGGGTGTGAGGGGTGTGAGAGAGTAAGTCGCGATAGTTTGCTACGTCTACCTCCATCCCCGACGCAGGATAAGCTGAGAGCCTCCTCGCTACCTTATGACACGCGTCTTGCCCACTCGCAAGACCGCGATGCTCTCCCCGCTACCATATACCTATTTCCCTCCACCTGCCTACACATGTCCAAAGCCCTACTCACTACCTCATCTACATGCGCGACCCTGGCTCCAGATTCAACTTTGGAGACTACATCGCTGTTTCACATCCACACCCCTCCAGGGCATCCACACTTTGTATACTTATTTGGAGATATCATATGGCTAACACAACTTCAGTGAGGACCTCGCGCACAGCCCCGGCCCGCACACCCCCACCGTCATCATCCGGCGGGATGTGAGCCCGCCTCGCGTCCGGGCTCGCGCCCACACCATGTGAGGAGAGAAGGGCGGGGCGCACGGCCCTGTGGTCGAGCGGCGTTCTGGGAGGCGGTCTGGGTAGGTGAGCATATTTCTCTTCATATGCGCTTTCTCTAACATCAATCAGTCTTCTGTGTGGGGTCTGGTTCGGTGGTAGTATACCACATAGAATGTGACCTCTTTTCCGTGCTCCATCACATTCTCCAGGTCTTTTCCTGACCCTTTCGTGATGGTGAAACTATGTGATTGGCATGGTACTACTACACAACCTCCCTCTCGCTTTTCGAAGCCGCTTCTCCTACCTCTCTCCTTACTTTTAACTACTTGTCCATTCACCTCGACCCAAGCTAACTACACAGCCGATTCTCTTTCCCCTTACTCCCCACTTATTACAACTCACTATCCACTCCTCTCCCCTTCGAAGACACTCGTCTCTCCAACAAACCTACCACTTTCACGTATTATCACGCTGAAGCTAAATCTCTTCCCGAGACAAACAAGGTTGGGCTAAAGTTACAAACCCCACAACACTCAGACATACAAGAACAGCCAGAACTTCGATACCGCTGACCAGAAAACTCAGGACATATCACGCGCATTCATGCAACACGGAAACAAGCAAACCCCGAGGATCTAGTCCTTCGTCCACCTCCCCGCCCCAGCTCTACAATGACGGCCCCGACAAAAGACAACGCCTCAGCGCCTGCTAGCACACCTGAGGACAATATCAAGCGTTCAGGCTTCAGGTCAGCTGCTTCCTTGGGGCATACCCGCGGTGGATAGCGGCGGCATATCAGAGACGAGGCGACAGCAATGACGAAGAGAACACAAGTAGCAACGAGAACAGTAGTACCCCCGCCCCCAGCTTCCTCATCAGAGTCGGAATCTTACTGCTAGAAGACCAGCAAAATTCGAGCAGAATATCGCCTTCGCCGCGGTTGATGCGTACATCTATACCCCTCCCAATGGTTGTGTATTCCCACACCACGCCACGACAACAAGACCTCCGCGTGAGTGGTACCTCGAATCCCACACCTTAGGCGTTGAACCTCTCCCTTCCTAAGTACAAGTAGACTATGCGGGAACTTCGTATTCGTCAATCACAACTGTTCACTCCAATCCCCGAAGGTCAGCTGTTTTGTCCGCGAGGCGCATGCATGCGCGATGCTTTCCTTCCGAAACAAAGCACGGGGCTATTTAATCCTCTCGTGCCCTAGACCTGGAAATTTCCCGATGGCTTGTTTCTCTACATGAATTTTGTGGCTTAGAGGGAGTGGACCCTGACTGCGGACGCGGACGCGGACGCGAACTCGGTTCCCCACATCCCGCTTCGGGAATGCATGCATGACGGCACGAGAAAGACGGGAAGACCACGACCATTCACGGAGAGATCTATAATGTTTATACAAACCCACTAGGACGCTCCTTCCAACTGACCTGCCTCACACACACGCCTTTCCGTCTCAATACCTCCCGACTCGCACCCCAAACCTTCACATCCACAACCACCACCATGGCCATCACCACCTCCCCATCACCGCGCCCCATCGTAATAGCAGGCGGTGGCTGCGTGGGCCTCTTCCTCGCGCTCCTCCTCACCCACTCACCGATCCACAACCCCATCATCGTACTCGAACCCAGCGCACCAGATCCAACTTCCACACGCGCAATGGCGCACCAACCGCCCACCTTCCCCCTCCTATCCCGCGTCCCGGGGCTGCTGGACGAGCTGATCGCCGCGGGGAGTCTGAGCCGCGGGTTGTGCTTCCGGACGAGCACGGCGAGCGGGAGTCGCGTCATTGCGGGGAAGACGTTTGGAGCGGGGGAGAAGGGGCAGCTACTTCTTCCGCAGGGGGTGTTTCAGGAGGTTTTGCTGAAGAGGTTGGAGGGAGGTGGTGGAAGGGGCGCGGAAGTCCGACTCGGGTGGGCGGTCAGCGGCGTGGAGGAGCGCGGGACGGGGGTCGAGGTGCGGATGCAGGATGCGGATGGGAAGGAGGAGAGCGTGTTGGCCGAGTACCTCATCGGTGCGGATGGAGCGCATTCCACGGTGCGGAGACTGCTGGGTGTGGGCTTTGAGGGCGAGACGCTGGATGCGCAGCTCGTTGCTACGGATGTCTTGTTCGATTTCCAGGCCCATGGCTTTTATGATGCGAATTTCATTATCGATCCGGTGAACTATGGGTTGGTTGGGCGGATCAACAATGATGGGTTGTGGCGCGTGTCGTACGGCGTGCCGGTGGATACGAGCGAGGAGGAGATTCGGCGTGGCGTGCACGACAAACTGAGGCACATGATGCCGGGCGACGGGAAAGACGGGTTCGAAGTGGTGCGTGTCGCGCCGTACAAGGCGCAGCAGAGATGTGTGTCGACGTTTTGGAAGGGACGGGTCGGGCTTGTAGGGGATGCTGCACATTGTAAGTACTTGACTATCCCATGGCGTTGGAAAGAAGCTAACAACACGGATAGTGACGAATCCTTACGCAGGTCTGGGTCTGGCATCGGGCATTGCGGATGCGTCTTCACTCTCCCAAGTCCTCATCCATATCCTCTCTCAAGATTCGTCCGACGACCGCCATTCTCCTGCCGCAGACTCGGCGAAACTCCTTGCCTCGTGGTCCGATGCGAGACGACAAAAGTTTCTTAATGTCGTGGACAAGCCGTCAAGGATGGCGTACGCGAGGGTGAAGAGCAAGACTGACACAGAGGAGGATGTGCAGAACCTGTTGGCGAGAGACCGTCTTGTTGGCGCATTGAAAAAGGGCATGCCTATGATGCCGCCCAGTCTGGAGACAAAAGGGGATGAACTGGATGGTTGGTGAATTGTAAGAGGTGCGACTCGAAAGCTGGTGGGAAATCACTAGGCATCCAGACAATGTTGCGCGGTTAGAGTTGGGTATTCTGGAGTGGAGATGTAGAGAGCTACAAGGTAGTGTGGAGATACTCGATATACTGCGTTGAGACGGTCTTGTCCGTGATATGCTGTGGACAACGACAATGTCTTGTCAGATTCAAAATCTATTATAGTGGTTCTCGAAATACCTTCGTATAACGTGACCTAAGACTATCAGGGTATCTGTATAGCTAAAACTGAATAGATTTTGTTAAAACTTTCTTATATAACAGAGTTCTACCCTCTCTCTCTTTGGCTCTAATTTAACATTTCTAGCCCCTCTCGTTAAAAAGATATTCTTATTTAACTATTATGTTTGATTATCCTGCTAGCTTAAGAAAGCTTAGCGTTCAAAAATTAAACTTTCACTATTACTTGGCAAAGGTATATGAAACTTTTGCCACAACGTCAGCACTAAAAATCTACTAACTATTGATTGGTTTACTATGTGCCCTAAGTCACGTTATACGAAGGTATTTCGAAAACCACCCATACAGACAATCGTCTTTTCAAATGACCTAAGAGACGAAATCGAGAATCAGTTGAAGTCTGAATGCAGAGCGATTTCCTTACAGATCTTTGCAACTAAAATGACACAAGTATACACAAACAATCCACTTCCAGAATGCACCAAGTGGTAAACCCCTATTGATCGACCTCGAAACTCGTCTTGTATTTCCATCAATCTTCGTCAAGATAACAGCCCTTATTATCTTACAAACGCCTTCACAATCCTATTCCTTCATCACTGGATCCCCAACCCACTTGCACCCTTCTCATTTCCATTCCTCATTGGCGACGAACTCGCCGTGCTCTCCCTCCTACTCCCAATCTTTCCCTCCGCAGCTTCTCTCTCCAGGAAGTCTTGCCACAGCTCGGCCAGGGACTCCTTATTACTCGAGCTACTCGCCATGAGCATTGGGTCGGAAGAAGAATTGAGCGAGGGCGTTGAAGGTACGCGACGGAAGGGGGACATTGGTAGGCGGAGAGCGGAAGAACTGGATGAGGCTCCTGGGCGAGCGAGGCCGGCTTGTTCGCGTTGTTCTGGGAGGGTCAGTAGGTTTTCGGGGGTGTGCGTAATTAGATTAGAGCCGGAGGTGTGGATGAAGAAGAAAGAGAAAGGAAACCAGTAAAGACGTACCTTCTGTCCATCCTAACAACGCAGAGATGAGCTGCAATGCCTCGAACTTCTTAGGATCTGAGCGGTCAATAGCGAGGAAGTGTAAGAAGTAGTTCGTAATGATCTGCCGGTCCACATTGTCCTCTGGCCGTCCTTTCTTGAGTATCCGCAGCGCTTTCGTAAGATGCTCGTTTAGGGTGACAGCTTCATGTCGTAACTTGCCAATCAGCAGATTCTTTTCCTTGACTTCTTTCTCGAATGGCAATGCTCGCTCCAGCTCTTTTTGGGTCTTCTCGAGCGTGGACTTGGCCGACTTCGAAATGTCTTCGGCGTTTTGCACTTGCTTTCGGAGATCGTTGATTTGGGATTCGTATGTCTCGACGGATTTCTTGAGTTCAGCTTTCCGCACTGTGACGTGTGTGAGCATGACACAATATTGAATGTTATGAGGGTGACTTACAATTTTGTACTTCTTGCAGCGCCTTTTGCAAGCCTTCTACCGCCTCATTATTCATATCCCGGTCTCGAGCAGCTCTTTCGTATTCGTCTTTCAACGAATCGAGCTGCTCTCTCAACTCCGAATCTTTCTCGGCAAGATTCTCCCGCAGTGACCGTTCGTTCATAGCGAGTACTTCCCAGTCTTGCATGGCCTGTTTGGCATTCTCGAACTCTTCTCTTGCGTATGCTTCCCGAGAGATGAGCTCGTCGCGCTCCTTGATCCAGTTTTGCTGTGATAGATTCGATCTGCTCCTTAGGTTGTTCATCTCTGATACCTGGGCCTCGTTATCCTGTCGTAGTGTTGCAAGCTCCTCAGCCAGGGCGTTGTTGTTCTCCTGAAGCTCGCGAGTCTGGTCTTCGAAGTCGGAAACTTGAATTTGGTATTCTTCGATCCTGGCCTGAGGGACGTCAGTATTGATTGCACGTAACATTCCCACATTACGTTTCGTAGACGCAACTGGAACATGGCAATATACGCACCGCATCCGCCTTCAAACGATCACCCAGACTCGTCTTGATCGTGTTCACTCTCCCCAGTAAAGTTTTATACTGCGTCTCGAAATGGTCCTTCCCTTCGTTGGCTTCATCTAGTTCTTCACGCAGACTCCTGATCTCCTCCTCATGTTTTGCCTCTGTGTCCTCAGAGGTCTTGCCCTCATGTTGGTTCTGTATACTCTCCAAGCTCTTCCTCAGCTCCGTGACCTCTTGCCGTAACGCGTCTCGCTCCTTGGCTATGGCGTCGAGACGCGCATTGGTATCTGAGGGTGACGGCGGCGACGGCGACAGGCCTTGAGGGGAATGCGACCGCGAGAACCCGAGGGCGACTGCAGATGATATGCTGCGATGCTGTGTGCCATTTGTCTGCGCGTGTGTGGAGGAGATGGGTTGTTCCTCGTCGTCTACGTCGCCTGTGTGTGCGTCTGGAACGGTGGATTGCGCGGCCGGCTTCTACGTGGAGTTGTGTCAGTCCTCGATAGTTGCTGCGCTTAGGAAAGACGACTACATACAGTTTCCTCTTCCTCGTCTTCCGTGTCTTCCTCATGATCCTCTGGCTCGGACTTGGGGTGGTTCCCGTTGACTTGCGCCGTCTCTTCCGCCCTATTCGCTCCACCAGCCTTCCTCTTGTTCCTTTTCTTTCTCGACTTAGATATCCCCCCTAGAACACAGGTCAGCCAGACTGTCCTTGAAATTTTGCCGTGACATGCTCATCACTCCGCGCGTCCGCATGCACCTCTGGAAGCTGCAAGCTCACCTACCACTCTGGTTCACGGGGTCAGACGTCGCCGGCGCAGACATGATTCGGAAGTCGCGATTGGCTCACAAGATGCAGAATATGAGGCAAAAACAGGCAGAACGGTAGTAGGAGAGCAGACAATGAAGCCGATGTCTTGACTTGGCATGCGTGTCCCCATCCCATGTTTCGGGAATCCGCGCGGAAGATGTGGCGCTACGTCACCAGCCACACCTGATTTACGCGTCTCTGCAGGCCGAGGCAGGCTTCTTCACCCATACACGTTCTCGTATCCAAAATCGGTGTACCAGAATAGACTCGGCCTGCGCTTTACATATGAGGATTACCCCACACGTCTCAAAAGCAGGCAAATGTACCGCGGCATCATGAACTCATGAAACAACCATTTGCGGGGTAGGCGCATCATTGAGCTTGTCTTGCATTTACGCATAAATTCTGTATCACTATCACGCATCAATCGGGGTCGTGTCAGTTCCATTTTTGAATCTAGCTGTCGTCCTCCTACTCTCGAAATGAAATACTACAAGCCACTCTTCTACACAGCTGTCTCCCTCATCTACGCGTCTTTCGCCTTTCGAGTGTTCAGGCTCGGCTATGTTTCGAGAACGCTCGACCCAAAACGCGGACGAAGTGAGGGATTGTAAATCAAACGTCCCAGTGCAATATCATCAAGATTGGATAGTTTCGAAGAAGGGACGAGGAAGCCATTATAATGTTCATTTTTGGCAAGTGCCGTAATGTTGTCGCCATGCCATAATGTCATGATATATTCCCTCCTGCCTTGCGTTCTACATGTTGCTACATTTCCAATGTGCAAACAGCTGAACACCTGAGTGACGCCTGTCCATGCAAATAGTTGTACACATCTCTATCGAGAGCCAGCACAGTTCGTCCCTGCCCATCGTATCCCCAATCATCCGTTATCAATCAACCTGACTTTCCAAACCACCCCGTGTGCTTCAAGATCTGTTCCTCCTTTTCTTTCCTCGGATCCGTCTCTACCTGGCGCTTCCTCCGGTTCTCATCGCGCTTGTCGCGCTTCATCTGCTTCATCTGCTTGGAGGTCGGTGTGCGGAGGGACCAGTTCATCTGGCCAAAAATATGGGTTTTGATCGCTATGACAAGCTGTCAGCCCTAGTTCAAGTCTTGACTCTCACATGCCAGATGTGTAGGTCTGACGTACCATCCACACAGTAAGGGCACAAAATATGCAACCGCTTGACCCTCCCGCAAGCTGGACATGTGTGCAGTGCAGTGATGTCCTTCAGTCCCTTGCCGGCCATGAAGCGTTGTCGCTTTTTGCGGTATGATGTCTTCTTCTTTGGTACAGCCTTGAGGATTCCTTCCCATATATCGGCGATCGACGGTATTGAGGGAAACGAGATTGAAGGCAATGCGAGGGCGGCGAATGGCGTAGGCAGCATCCGGAAGGGCTGTGAAAGGCGCTGGAGAAGTGGCAGGTTCAGGACGGGTCGCATGGGGCCATTGAGGCCGGGAAACAGCGTCTGCCACAACGGGGGCAACGGACGGGCGAGCGCCATGGCGATGGAGGTTGTGGAGAGTGTGTCGACAGCGAGCGGGACGTGGACGCCCTCGATGGTGGTGGTGGTGTTGGAAATAAACTGCACCCGAGCTCAGTTCGCGCCTGCCCCGTTTGCTGCTAGCGCGCTGTCGCTTCGTGGCTGCCCCTTTCCCGCTCCTGCAACTCCACGAGAAAGTTGCCAGCCCGAGTGACCCTGTCTGTTTCCTGCTCCACAACACTCGACGTGCCAGTCTCCCCAAGCTCCCACTCTCTCACCCGCAGCTCTTCATACCCATAAACCCGCCTGTGAGGCTCACTTCGCCCGCCATGGCCACCACATACCAGCAGTCCATCTTCCCAGACAGCTATGTCGGTTTCGACAGCATCACCAAGCAGATCGAGAAGAAGTCGGTGAAGAGAGGCTTCCAGTTCAACGTCATTTGCGTTGGTAAGCTTCGGCCCTTGTGCACATGGCTGCTCAAATGCTAATTGCGAATGCCACCTCAGGCCAGACTGGTCTCGGCAAGTCGACCCTCATCAACACCATCTTCGCTTCGCACCTCATGGACAGCAAGGGTCGCTTCCACCCCGACGAGGAGCTCCGCAGCACCACGGCCATCCATCCCGTCTCACACGTGATCGAGGAAAACGGCGTGCGCCTGCGTCTCAACATCGTCGACACCCCCGGCTACGGCGACCTGATCAACAACGAGCGCTGCTGGGACCCCATTGTCAAGTACATTAAGGACCAGCACAGTGCCTACCTCCGCAAGGAGCTCACCGCCCAGCGTGAGAGGTACCTCCAGGACACGCGCATCCACTGCTGCTTGTTCTTCATCCAGCCATCTGGCCACGCTCTGAAGCCCATCGACATTGTTGTCCTCAAGAAGCTGAGCGAGTTCGTCAACGTTGTGCCTGTCATTGCCAAGAGTGACAGCTTGACCCTGGAGGAGCGTGCTGAGTTCAAGCACCGCATAAAGGAGGAGTTTCAGTTCCACAACCTGCGCATGTACCCCTACGACAACGAGGAGGACGACTCGGAGGAGGCTGCGCTCAAGGCATCCATCAGGGTAGGCCCCCAAATATGTCAATGTGTCATGTGGATGCATGCTAACAACTTCACAGGACTTCATGCCCTTTGCTGTCATTGGCTCTGAGAAGACGGTTGTCGTCAACGGCAGGAACGTCCGCGGCCGCCAGAACAAATGGGGCGTTATCAACGGCAAGTCTACATCTACTTCCTCACTGAAGCACCTACTAACATCTCACAGTCGAGGATGAAAGCCACTGCGAATTCGTTCATCTCCGCAACTTCCTCACACGCAGCCATCTGCAAGACCTGATCGAGACCACTGCGCAAATCCACTACGAGTCCTTCCGTGCCAAGCAGCTGCTTGCACTCAAGGAGAGCTCTGCTGTCGGCGGCCACTCTTCTCGTCCCATCTCGCCATCTGCCGACCGCGAGCTTAGCAGGAACAGTCAGCGAATGACCATGAACGGGTACTAGGAGCTCCCGAATCACAATCGCGTTGACAGCATCGGAGCATCGAAGTCGCTTGGGCCGTCACGTATGCCGGTGGGGAGACATGATCCCATGATGGACGGGTGATTGCACTGTGGTGCGCATTACGGGGCAGTTGAAGTTGTGAAGGCGGCAGGGGTTTGCAGACATGATACCAGTGCAGCACTTAGCACGAAAACCAGAGGGACCAGAGGAGCGTACTTTCTACACAGTTCAGATTTGATTGTCCAGTATTATTTTAGTGTCGACGAGAGGTCCCTTCCCTGATTTCTTATATTCGAGCATGGTGTAGGGGTGGCTGTATTTTGGGCTGTGCCTCCAAACAGGTTATACCCAGAGGATCTTTTAGGATAGTGTAGTGCGGTAGTAATTCGCCTTGAACCTCCTCAATCTCCTTCCTCTCCTTTATTCTTCGACGTTGCGGTTCTGGTTGTCGCGTTGTTTCTCTGGATTCGCACCTTCCTCGACCCGGTGGATGGGCTGGCATCAGGCCATGTCTTCCCACGTCTCGTACGATTCCTCGCCTGATGTGCTCGCAGAGGGAAGGCGCAGACGGACATCGACACCGGACTTGCACACTACGCCTTGACAGCCAGGAACTAACAACCCACGTATGTCATCCGCGAGACGCACCATCCAAACCCCCATTCTCAGCACAACCAGCATCATCTCAAGAACCGCGACCCCCCAAAATCCTCCATACTGTCATCGCCCTTCTTCCTCCCCTCCCCAGCCATCTTCACATTGCCGCTCCGCCCCTTCTTGCTGCCCCTCGTTGGCGGTGAGTCTGCATCTGCATCTGCATCTACATCGCCATCTTGCTTTGCTCCTCCTGCCGATGTTGATGTTGACGATGACGAGGAAAACGGCATCTCCCCCACAATACGCTCAATGACTTTTGCTTTTGCGCCTGCGCGCTTCAGTCTGTCGTCGAAATCTGCGACTGCGCCTTCGGTGTTTGCGGTGGAGAAGGTGAGGGGGTCGGTTAGGGAGTGTAGGAGCGTTGTGTTGGAGGTTAGGCGGGCGGAGGGGGGGAGTTGTGGGAAGAGGGGCGTTTCAGGAGGGTGGTTTGCTTGTGTTTGCGTTTGTGTTTGTGTGGATGTGGATGTGGATGAGAGAGAGGGTATTCGAGCGGCCCATATCACGCCTCGACCGTGCAGGGCGCCCAGGGCTGCAAACTTCTCAAAGCCGTTTTCTAGCCCGAAGACTCGTCCTTCGATCCGGCCGGCGAGGGCGCCGGCGTTGGTACCGGCCGTGTAGGCGGTGGTGTAGAGGGTGTCTTCGAGGGTTAGGAGCGAGTCGAAGGGGTCGTCTGTTGGGATTTGATGGGAGTTCGCCATTTTGTGTGTGGTGATGGTTGTGTTCCTTGCTCTTGTACTTGATTCGCCTTTTCTTTGAGGATTTTGGTAGATGTAAGGGCTATAGACTTGGTGGAGTGGTTGATGAGGATGGTGGTCTTGTGTGAAAACGACAGGTATTTTGTCCAAATCGAAGCTGGACAACCTGAGCTCGAGTATATCAAGTTGATACGGTTTCTTCAAGAGATATAGTCCAGTGATGGCTTTCTGGTCTTTTGCAGTCCCAACTCGGTCCAATATAGAGGTTCGAGACTTTGGGAGTCAAGTCCTAGTTAACCCTCAACACTATACTACGCTCAGCCCACGTATCCAGAAGGCCTGAAATTGATCTTTCGCGGTTGTGTAGGGGTGATGCAGCGTCTGGTCGTCGAGGATTTTGGTGTGGCGCAGGTGGCTGGACCCTGCAGCGGGGTCATTTTGGGAGGGGCAGCTGTGGTTGCATTGTGTGAGTGAGATTCGAGCTTGAGTCACTTCAACAACATTCGAGCTATACACGGAACAGTGGACTGCAATTTCCCCACTATTATATCCCTTCTCTTATAGATACCACCCTTGCGAGTGCTGATAAGTATGTCACAAAGTCTTAGTTGTGTTGAAATTGCCAACTCAAGCTAACACACAACAGAGTCTCATGACGGATACAAAAAAGATACTGCCCGTCGAGGGCGAGCGCAACGTGCTCATCACGAGCGCATTGCCCTACGTCAACAACGTTCCTCATCTGGGCAACATTGTCGGTTCCGTTCTCTCCGCCGACGTGTTTGCCCGCTTCTCACGCGCACGCGGCTACAACACACTCTACGTATGTGGAACAGACGAATACGGCACTGCCACCGAGACCAAGGCGATTGAAGAGAAGGTTACACCACAACAGCTATGCGACAAGTACTTTGCGCTGCACGCAGACGTGTACAAGTGGTTCAACATCTCCTTCGACCACTTCGGCAGGACACCAACACAGCAACAGACGGATATCGCGCAGGATATCTTCACAAAACTGTATAAGAACGGCTTTCTGGAGGAGCAGACCACAACACAGCCGTACTGCGAGACACACAAGAGCTTCTTGGCGGATCGATTCGTCGAGGGTACCTGCCCGTTGTGCAACTACGACGATGCTCGAGGAGATCAGTGCGACAAATGTGGACATTTACTCGATCCTCTGGAGCTGAAGAACCCACGTTGTAAACTTGATGGAGCGACGCCTGTACCACGCGAGACGAAACACGTATATCTATGCTTGGATAAACTGCAGCCGCTGGAGGAGGAGTGGTTCAAGAAGTCGAGTCAAGAGGGTAACTGGAGCTCCAACGGCACTCAGATCACTGCATCTTGGCTGAAGGAGGGTCTACGGCCGCGTGGAATTACTCGCGATCTCAAGTGGGGTACTGCGGTGCCGCTCGAGGTACGTATTGGTAGAGTGAGGTATGGAGGCCTTCAGTGTACTAACATATGTCGACCAGGGTTACGAAGACAAAGTCATGTACGTGTGGTTCGACGCATGCATCGGTTACGTGTCCATCACCGCCACATACACAGATGAGTGGGAGAAGTGGTGGAAGAATCCCGAGAACGTCAAGCTGTACCAGTTCATGGGCAAGGACAACGTGCCATTCCACACGGTCGTGTTCCCATGCTCTCAGATTGGTACAAAAGACAAGTGGACCATGCTCAACACAATATCAACAACCGAGTACTTGAACTATGAGAAGGGTAAGTTCTCCAAATCGAGAAACATCGGTGTTTTCGGCAACAATGCGAGAGAAACGGGTATTCCATCTGATGTGTGGCGTTATTACTTGCTCTCGCATCGCCCGGAGACGGGTGATACCGAATTCGAGTGGGACGGCTTCATTTCGGCAAACAACAACGAGCTGCTCAAGAACCTAGGCAACTTCGTCAATCGCGTTATTAAGTTTGTCAATTCGAAGGTGTATGACTCGGTAGTGCCTGACTACACCAAGTTCGAGGACGACTACTTCACTGAGCACAAGAAGAAGGTCAATGAACTGCTGAAAAGATACATCGAGGAGCTTGAGGATGTCAAGATTCGTGCTGCGCTGAGCACAGCACTACATCTGTCAAGTCAGGGCAACCAGTTGTTGCAAGATAACAGGCTCGACAACAAACTGGCGACTGAGCAACCGGAACGCTGTGCTGCCGTCGTGGGGCTGGCTCTCAGCCACATCCATCTGCTCGCCAGTTTGATCCAACCATACATGTAAGTCGTTCCACTCCCCTCATTTCTAAACATTCCGCAGAACACCACCTACCACGCCTCGCTGCAGAACACATCACTGACTTAGACTACAGGCCCGACACCACCGCCGGAATCCTCTCCCAGCTCAACGCCAAATTCCTCATCATCCCAGACAACTGGGAAGCCCGCTCCCTCCCCGTCGGCCACAAGATCGGCACAGCCGGCTATCTGTTCTCGCAGATCAAGGCTGAGAAAGAGCAGGAGTGGCGCGAGCAGTTTGGCGGCGAGGAGGCGCGCAAGGCCAAGGACGAGAAGGCTAGGAAAGCCGCGGAGAAGAAGGCGGAGAAAGAGCGCAAGAAGGCGAAGAAGGCTGCGGGCGCGGGTAAGGGCGTCGAGGCCGCGGAGAAGGGCAAGGATGGACAGCCTGCTGACAAGACGGCTGAGGAGGAGGTCAGTAGGGGGGTTGAGCAGGTCAGTCTGCAGACTTCGTAGGGTGGGTGTGAGAGGAGATGTGTTTCTGGATTCGGGCGTTTGTGAGGACTTTCCGGCTGCATGGTGAAGAGTCATGAGGATCATACTGTCGGTGTATTCAAGTCCTCCTGGGCGGGTGGTGGCATATTCAGTCGAGTTGTTCGATGCGCTCGCTCAACGGTTGCGCAATGTTTTAGTATAAATTCAACATGGTATATCAAGTTCCAAGATCTGCCGGAGCGCCTTCTTCGCAACAACCTTGATCTCTCTCCATGAACTCCTCTTCCCTCATCCTCAAACCTCACCCTTCCTCTACATACTGCATCCAAAAATAACTTCAAACCTCAATGCACAGCATTACCAGCGCATCGAGGAAGCTTTCGCTCTGCACATGGACGGTGAGTTGAAGAGGAGTAATGCATTCTAAGAGCTCTGCAACACTGGAACACATCTCTGAATCACAAAGGTATTGAATGGGACCAAATTCCCAGAAATTAGTTAATTACCATTAAACATTTGCCCCCATACTTTTCGTACGACTCTCGTCGACCCAGCCTACAAACATAACCCACTCAACCCACACCTTACTCAGAGCTGCAATCCCTTCCTCTCCTTGTGCTCCGACATGCGGTAGTTTTTCAACATCGCGACCCAGATCAGACACGGCACAAGCGCACAAGTTCCCACAATGACCATGACCCTCTGCGCGTCGCTATACGCCCTGACTACAGCCTGTCTCTCGGGTGAGTCCCACGGAAGCGCCAACTGCGTGACAAGACTAGCGTAGATGGTTGCCGCCTGGCCCTTGGACTCCTCTGGCAGATACTCCGCAATCTTCCTGGGTACGATCTGCGTCCAAAGAGCTCCGGAGATGGTTTGGCCAATAGACCCACCCACAGATGTGATCATAGCGAGAAGCGCAAGACCAGTTGCCAAGTGCTCGTGAGGTACAGCCGCCATGACTGCGACCTGCTCGACCTGCACCAACATGGCACCGCACATGGCAGCAAAAACTTCGACCATGACGAGAAGTCCAATCGAGGTTCCGGGCGCACGGAAATGAATCAACAGGCCTGTCATGAGGATCTGGATGGGCATGGCAATCAAAGCGCCCCATTTGTACGTGTCACTGTACTTGAAGGCGAAAGAGATGATGACAGCCCAGGTGCAGGACACGATGTTGAAGATGTTGGTGATATATCCCGCTTTTGCGACGGAAAGTTGGAAGACAACTTGTAGATAGGACGCGTAGTACATTTTGTATGAACTTGGGACACGGGTTAGAAAGTCCTGGAGGGGAAGAAAGAGGTAGCTCACTAGAACGCGATCCAGGTATTGCAGCCAAGCAGGCACGCCGCAACGACGGAGCGATCCTTCATGAGGTGGTACGGGAAGAATGTCTTCGGGGCGAAGAAACGCTCCCATACGCCGAACAGAACAATCATGAGGAAGCCGAAGACAATCATACAGATGATCATTGGCGATGCCCATCCCTGTTTTTGGTACGCTGCGAGACTGAATGGCAAGAGGAAGAGGGAGAAGCCTCCACAAACGAGCAACAGGCCAATCACTAAGACATATTAGCACCTGGCCCGCAAAGCTTCAAGTACGGGTAGCTTACCGTCGAACTCGACACACCAGTGCTGAATGGACTGCAATAGTGTCCTGCCACTCTTCTCCCTTGCAATCATACCCCTTTGCTTCGCACGCCTGTTCATCATGAAGAAGACGACCCAGAACGGGATGCATATGAACGGGGTGATAATGGCGAATGCACCATAGCCCCAGCGCCAAGTACTGTCATCGAGGAAGCGCTGGCCCAGCTCGGGACCAGCGAAGGTGTTGCAGATGTACGGCGTACCAGTGAATGCGAACCAGATGAGGCGGTTCCTCAGTAGAGACGTGTCAGCAATGAAGATCGTGAGGACATAGTCGATGCCGTTCATGCCGGACCAGTAGAAGACCTGCGCTGCGGCATATGTTTGAACGTTCTGGCAGACGCCCATGAGCATGAGAGCTAGAACAATTGTCAGCACCATCACAATCCTCAGGCGTCCTCAATGTGCGGAATTGAGTTCAAGGAGACACTCACATAGCACAACGCAAACTAGACATATCGCGAATCCCTGTGGTCGTCCAACAAGATCGATGAACTTGGCCAGTGGCAACTTGGACACACCGCCGATCAGATTGGCGACGACACCAGTGATGGCTGTGAGGCCATGGAGAGAGAACTCGCTGGTGACATACGGCGTCCAAGACCAGTTTGATTGCTGCTGGAGGGAGTTGACGAAGGAGATGAGCCAGATCCTTGATTCGTGTTAGCACCATGGTGGTCTGGTAGTGAAGACAAACTCACAAAAAGTAGGCAGTCATGAGCCACTTCTTCGTCCAGACCAAAGTGATGGCCTCCATCTTCTGCAGTCCAGCAGGCTGCTCAGCGTCAACGGATTCAGCATCGCCTAGCTTGCGGGCGAGCGTTGAGTCCGTCTCATTAACGCTCATCGCAACTGCTTGGTCCTTGTCGTTGACAGTGTTGTGGTCGTGGAAGTCACGCTCAGCCATGCCGAGACCCGCTGTCTTCTCCATTGCGTTCACGTTTGGCGACGCCATGACGGCAGGGAGAGGTGCAAGTTCCAGAAATATGGCAACTTGGTTTTGGTGTGATGGGTGTCAGCGTAGTAGTGAGGTTTGTCGAGGATCTTATAAGATAACAGATCGATCTGATACGAGGGCATGGAGACCCTGCCAAGTCATCGGGCGTTCGTTCTGTCTTACAAACAACAAACAACGACTTGGCGGTAAGCGTTTCGGAAGGTACCCCGGCGGGGTGAGTGGTCACCGCCACGTGTGAAGCATCGGAGTCCCCGTACGATTGCAACTAGTTTTGTAAGGTCGATGCCAGATTCGCGGACTGAAGGTCACATTCACTCTTCCAAGCCTTCTAGAGTCCGCGGACTGATGGTTCTAAGGATCTCAATCAGCTGATGGTAGACATTGTCAAAGTCTCGACGAGGTTGGTGACAAACCTTTCAATATCGCTTCATGTCCTGTAGTATCTTACTCTACAATCTCTTTTGACGGGTACGCTACAACCTGCCCTGCGTGTCTAGGAAGATTATGCTTCCCTCTATCTAACAAAGCCGCTGATACAACACGTCTCATCGGTCAGTATTGAAATATCCCAAAGTATCACCCTATGTAAAGGGCGGTGACTCGCAGGCGGGTACCATGTTAGTTGAACTAGTCCATCGGCAACCATCATCAGATTAGACTAAAATGGCTCAATCTGATAACTTTTCCAAACCATGAGCTCAAGCGTCTGGACAGCGTTTCTTGGCAGCTAAATCCGCCTCTTGGCTATGGAACGACGCTGGCCCAAGCCGGAAAAGATCGGAAGGCAATGGCCTGGTGACTTGAAAGACCTAGACACCTTGTTAGTAAACTATCGTAGATGTTTGGTATTGCAAAGGACTCAGTCTGGATAAAGCGAGAAGTGGTGTCAAGGATGGCTAGACTTGACTCGAGAGATTCGTTAGAAACGACTACACGATCAAACTTCAGGTTCATATCGACACATATCCGATCGATCCGCAACTCAAGACGAAGAATGGATGGTTATACGTGCTACATGAGTACTATATAAAAGGTTGTCGAGAAGATCCATTCACACCCTCACTCCAATCGCCACCCGTTCTCAATGAAGGCCTTAAACACTGCCCATACAGAGAACTCGCTTAGATGCGACCATATCCAGCAGTGTTGACAAGGTTCTTGCTGTCCGCAGCAGCACCGGCGGTGGCAATATTCTTGCCCTTGAAGCTAGACAAAAAGCTGGAGTCTGAGCCCGTAAGCGCAGCAGAGGTGCCATAAACATTGAGCTGGCAAGCACGACCAAGAGACGCCGTGCAAGTCGAAGCCTGTGCCGCGCTTGCAACACCGTAGACTGCTCCATCCAGATCAGCTTGCTGAGCGGCTTTAACGTTCTGGAAGTTGTTGCCCTCGAAGAGTGCCTTAGCACCAGCGTCCGCCTCCAACATATGCTGAGGGTTTGAGTAGAAGTAGTTGTTAACAGCGTGAACAAGGGAGTTGCCACCAATCTTAGGCGAGCGACCAGAAGTGTGGTGGACGTAGTTGTTCTTGAAGGTGACCTGGTCATCAGAGCCAGTAAAGTAGAGTGCCCAGTAATGATTTCCGTCACAGGTGGCGGACCAGGAGGTTGCGCCGTTAATTTCGCAGTTGGAGATTGTTACGCGGCCGGATGCGCTGTTGCCCAGAACGATATGCTGGCGAGCGATGAGGTCGGTCGTTACATGATCAATCCAAATCATGTCTCCACCATCCACCGTTATGGCGTCACCTCCCCAAACATATTTGGGATTGATCTCGGTGAACCTGACGTTCTGAATGATGATGTTCTTTACACCGTTCGCCATTCGAATTCCTTTGCCTTTGATTACGCCTGCAGTTCCTTGTCCGATCAGACTCTTGTTGGAAGCAACAGTTATGCCGATACTACCAGCTTTGTCGTAGGTGATTTTGGCGACTTTCGGGGCGTCCTTCTGGTAGTTGTCGCACCACCCATCCTTGTTTATAGCCTGTTGGCAAGCAGTCGCAGTGCCCCAGGGAGAGCAGCCTGAAGTGGTAGCAGTGCCCTCGGTTCCGGTGAAATCGAACGTCTTGGTCAGGACGATTACGCGGGCCTCTGCGTCGCCGAGGTAGCTGATGAGCTCGGCCGTGGTGGTAGGGGTAACAGCTTTTGCGCTGCCACCACCCGTAACACCCTTCGCGAATCCTTCAGCAGCACCTTTGACGGTTTGAGCACCGACATGAGTGGCAAGCGCTGTGAGAACAGCGGCGAAGAAAGAGGGCTTCATCTTTTATCCGAAGAGTAAGTCTTATATGAGAAACAAGTGGATAGCAGAAAGAGTGTAAGAAGGAATGGTTGAATAACAAGATTCTCGGGGGAATAATGAATGTAAGGTAGTGAGTGGTTATCAGAACGAGTCTGGATGATTGTTAGAATGGCAGCGAGATATGCATCTTTTATATCTCTCAGTGCTCAGCTGGTGTTCGAAGCACACGCCAAGGTTTATTGTGTAGAGTATAATGCCGAATAGTAGATGAAACCATTCAGCCAGCTAATTGCCGAGATTTTGCCCTTTGCGTGATGGCCGTCGACCGCACCGGCTGGCCTCCCCGTGAGGCTTCGATTCACGCTTCGCTGTCATGAGCGAATGAACAAAGGCGGGTCCACAACATGAGTCGAGTTCGTCTCATGTACAGAAACATCAAAGGGATGAGACAGGTCTAGCATTACCTACTTCCCGATTGCTATCCTTCCCACGAACTGCCTGTACACATCCCTCGGTGAATGAGGAAGCTTCTTGGAGCTTCAAATCCCGATTCCAATTGTTGTGCACCTAACTCTTGAACGTGGCGAGTTGGGTAACACTAGGGGTATACCACAGTAATACTCCGGGCTTTGCTTACTCGCTATGGTTCAGAGTTCTCCCATACGAACATGTAGTTTCGCTGCTAGCACAATCTCAACAGTGGTGGATACTGGACGTCAGGATCCTCGTGGATCTTGTTCTAGCGGCTTCGTGTTAACGGGCGCTAGGGGGTTTTGTGGATGGCTGGCGGCGGTAGAAATCAAAGGGTTTGGATATCCTCCTGAGCTCGGACAGGCGATCTACTCCTGCTCAACGTTAGCGATGGATTTGTTTCATGCGGTGTAAGAACTGTCAAACTTACAGGGTCTAGGTACTAGAGCAGGCATGAACCATGGCTTTATCAGAAACAGCAATGACATTTCAAAATCGTAGATCCTAATCATATTTGTCTCCATCATGGAGAAATGCCGGCAATTATTCGAATGCTGGTCTTTAACACGACAAATGCTCACATCCTTCGAGATCGTTTCTTGTTGGGAAATAAAAGCCCCTTCGTATAATGAGACAACGCGGCCTGGTCGCCTCTGAAAAGGGCCGCAAGCACTTCGGCGACGGCGATCTGGAGAATTATTCAATACTGGGAGTAATCGGGACTAAACTCATCCAGCTCGGTAAGCACCCCTAAACTGGCATAGATTGAGTGGCAACAATGCTGGCCAGGGGGGTCTCGTTGCTATGCGTTTGAGATCAACAGTTTAGTGAAGCTATGTTAAACACTTGTCGCATATCTGACCTGGGCGGAATCATGCCACTAATAGCCGTATAGTACGGGCCGAACGGGATCTGCAAGCGGTGAGCTAAAAACGCATCTTCTCAGGCGCTGGCGTGATTGAATAAAAAGCGAAGACAAACTGAGGAAGGTATTCTGGAAGGCGAGTGAAGGTGCAGCCTGAGACGGAAGGTGGTGCGCCGACAACCATCCGCTAACCAATTTCGGCGACTTTGACCAGCGAGGCGAGGTGTTTCCTCAGAGCACCGCGAATTCCTGTGACCCTGCCCAACTACGCTAGTTCCCCACGTCATATCGTCATATCGTCGAATCCCCAGGTCCCCAGGTCAGCCTTTATCGGGCTCGAGGGTAAGGCCGCAAGATGTCACATGAGCAACCACATGGACACTCGTACTATGGCGGATATGATCAGAATTATGACCCAGGTACATACAGCAGAGGCTTTGCGCAACATCGCCAGGCGCCGGCCTTGAAGCACACCCCACAGCTCTCAAACTCGTCATCTAGGCGGCGGACAACCGATATGGATCAAGCCTCTGAGTACATGCCGCGATCCTCGAGACCCCGGCATGAGCGTCCCCATATCGTCACGGCACCTTCCCCGCCGCCCATTCTACCTTCAGCGCAGCCTGAATACGAACCACGGGCACCGAGACCAGCCCGCAAGGCCCGTCCTCCAACTTCCGAACGCAGACAACGTCCAACTTATCATGACTATGTACCACAAGCTGTGAACCCGCCAGAAGATTTGAACCCACCCGATCATGCTGTCCGATGCTCTGCCCCCAAATCCACGCGTAAAACGACCCACCGTCACCGCATACCTCGGACCTCAAAGCCAGACTATGCTGCCCAGCAACCAGTTTTCGAGCCTGCCAGCAGATCAGCCGGCCACGATTACGTTACAAGCAGTGGCCACAATGTACAGCGAGCATCAAAGCCAGACTACATTCCACACTCTCTATCGAGTGAATCCGACTATATATCGTCTCACCCATACGACTCTAGCTCCCACTACGACCCTCCTGCCAAACATACTCGTCAGCCAAGCTATGATTCCTCCACATTCAGCTCGTTCTCCACCCCAGTCCAGCACTCTCGCCCTGCACCGAACCCGTCTCAATCTTTCTCTCCACAAACAACTGGATCCCTAGCAACCTATGGAGGCGCCAAAGTCTCGACACATGATGACTACCTCTCCACACACGAAGACTACGCCTCGAAACATGATGACTACGTCTTGACACATGACGACTACGTGTCGGCACACGACGACTACGATCCAGCCTACGACTCAGCCTACGACAATTCCAACCACAAACTTCTCCAGGAAGACAACTGGGACCACAAACCCGACATGATACGCTCACACAGCCTCAGAGACTACGAACCAGAATCCTTCAACGCCGCAACCAACACCCTCGATGGATTCCGCCGCGTCGATGCACAATGTGCCAGATCAGCGCGAGACGAGATGAGCAGACGCAGTCCAAGTGAAGCAGACGACTACCCATACTACAACTACAACTCCACCATGGCTCCCTACCACGCCACCACAGCCCCCCACCACGCCAAAGTCGCAGACGAAAACTCCGACCTATCTTCCCACGACGACTCGGACCGCATCTCCCGCCACTCAGACCGCATCTCGCGCTCGGCCTCCGCCCACTCAGACGTGTGCTCCGAGCGCTCAGAAGAGACGAACAGCGACTACGCGGACGAGCAATCCGTTTCGCAGGACGACGATGTGGTGTCGCAGAGCGCCGGAGACGATAGCGACTACATGTCTGCGCCCGAGGACCAGGATGTTATCTCCGTGGCGGGCGGCAGCGATGTGGGCGCTGTGGGCGATATGCGGGACGTCATGGATGATGGGTTTACCGGGGGTGGCGCGAGTCTTGGGGCTGCATATGTGGATGATGGGGTCCCGCTGCATGGGCATGTGGATGTGCGGGGTGGTGGGTATGCTGGTGGCGGATTCGCTGATGATGGATTCGCCCGCGCTTCCAATGCGGATGTCTATGTTGACGATGGGAGTACGGACGGTTCTACTGATGATTCTTCGGACGTTGGAAACGACGCTGATGATGATTACGATTATTATGATGACGACGATTAGTTCTTAAGGAGGTTCAATGCGAGACTATGTTTCTTCTCCCTTCACGACCTTTTCGACAAGTTGGGAGTTGGGCGTTTTTCTTCTGTTCAATTCTGGTTACACGCCTTGAGGCGCGCTTGCACGGGAGGGAGGCGAGATGTCTGTGTATTTCGTTCCATTCCAACAGAGTTATAGCTTGTATGCACAACGATCAATTCAGATTGTGATCTTGTGCTCGATTCCAATCCCAATTCAATAAATCTTCTCGTTCGCGCCCGTGGCCTGGGTGGTAGGTTTTTACATGTCTTTTACACATCAACTCTACACGGCTACCAAGGCCGTCCAATGCATGCTTCTCAAAACACTTGCGATGGGTTAAGTGGTCATAGTGCATGCATGCATTATTCTTCTTCCCTCGGTCATGATCCAACTTCTTCAAACCGCTACAGCCTCCGCAGCCTCAGCTTCCGCCGCAATCTCGACAGGGCCAAGTTCTGCTGTCGTCATCGGGCCCTTGGGCCACGGCTTCCCCAGCGCATCCTGGAGTTGTATGAGCTGGTTCTTCGGGCCGGGCACACAGCCTGAGACGACGACGAGGCCATTCGCGTTGTCGACCATCAGCACCTTTAAGTTTTTGACCGTGACGCTCTCCCCGCCCATACGTCCGGCCATGCGCTTTCCAGGCAGAACACGCGAACCGGAGCCCTGGGAACCACCTGCGGAACCCATACCACGATGCATGAGCGATTGACCGTGGGAAGCGGGTTGACCGCTGAAGCCGTGGCGTTTCATGCCCTGTGTTTCGCCTTGTCAGTCCAGTCCTCCCTCTCGCCCTGCTGAGCTGCCGGGTTATCAGAGTGTGGGAAGACTCACACCAGCGAAGCCCATTCCCCTGCTAATCGCCCTGACGTCCACCCACTGGCCCTTTGTGAACCATGCCGCGCCCACCATTTCACCCACGCCAACTTTCAGCCCCCCTTCGTCTTTGACTTTGAATTCTACCAACCACCGCTTCGGGCTGACCTTCCCTGCCGCAAAATGCCCTAACATGGGCCGCGTGACGTTCCGTGCCTCCTTCTGCCCGGCGCCAATCTGAACAGCCCAGTACCCGTTCTTGTCCCGCGTCTTGTGCGCAACAACTTCATTGCGATCCAGCTGCAACACGGTGCATGGCGTGCGTTTCCCAGACTCGGTGTCGTACACAGATGTCATGCCGCGCTTGAGGGCGAGAAGACCAGTGCGGAGGGGTGTCGAGTGTGCTCTACGCTCGAGGGCGGCGGTGGATGTAGCGTTGAGAGCGGGTTTGGAGGGGTGGTGGGCGAACCGGTCGGGGCGGGGGGTGTTTGTGGATTTGATGCCGCGGATGCATGTGTATGCGGTTGCTGGGTGGGAGACTCGTGTCGCATTTTGCTGGATGAGTGGGGTGAGGAAGCGGGTAGACGATGGAAGGAGAAAGGACGGGGGCATGCAGCCCCAATTGAGAGGCGCCTTGGGTGGCATTGCGGGGAATAGTGGCGTGCGTAATAGTCGATTGTCACCCAGGTCACATCTGGAGGTTTTTGGAAATCGTGCACAGGCCATACGCACGTGATGAGGCGCTTGTTTCGAGCTTGGTGGCTTTCGATTTCGATATGACTTCAAGACGAGCGCTCTCAGTTGCCAAGGCTCAAGCCTCGATTGTCTTCTTTATATGTCCCACATCGTCGCTACAGGAAAGAACATCCCCAGGTAACCTTCGCACTACGAAATGTAGCACAGAATGCCACAATCTATCCAAGTTACCTCTTTTCCGTCGTACACAATAAAAATGAGCAGATCCGTAAACTCCTGTAGAAAAATAAGAAATCAGGGTATCCTCCCAAAAAGCATGAAACGCCATAACCAGCTCTAGCGCCACACAGTGGCGCGTAATTTTACAGAGACACTTTGGTACGAAATTACATAGACAAAGGCTCCCATACTCCAGTTAGGACTACTGGGGTATGTTAGTGGCCGCGAGCTAAACCAGCGCGGAGATTCGAAAATCCCTACGAGTTGCGAGTACCGGAAGGAAATAGACAGAAGAGACAATCCGGCCTACAGTAGATACGAGTGGGCAGAGGACTTGACCAGAGTCCAGTAGATGAGTAACATCATGAGTGTCATGGAACAACACTGTTGCACCAGCGTAGCTTGCAAAAGATCGCTGATGTTAGCCAGATACTGCAGTAAAGTCACACTCGGCAGATATGGCCATATCAATCGGCCCAATTGACATCGCGCACATTGGCTGGGTTGCCGCCAGCAATGCAGTCAGGCGGTACATCCTACACAAAGTTAGCTCCTGTAGCCTGATAACGACACGCCAGTGGTTGTGTTCTCGACAACTCAATCAACAGGCGAGCATGGCCCAATCATCTCCTTCGCCGTTTGTGGTTGTCGCCAAAAGATGCAACCCTGTCTGGAGAGATCGATGCCACGATATGCGTAGCCTGTTGGAGAGCAATCATAATCAAAATACCACTTACCCGAATAACAACAGATCCAGGACGGATGATAGCACCGTTGCCGATGCGCACGCCGGCCTCAATGATACAGCCGTCACCGACATGAACGTTCTCACCTATGTAGACCTCTTTGGCAATTTCCGTGCCATTGAATCCCTTCAACATCTTCGTGTCAGTTGGCGTTCTGAGGGTGGTTATTGTAACACGCGAGCCAATCCTCGTGTTTCTGCCAATCGCAATTCTGCCCGAGTCGTGCAACTCGCAATTGGATCCGATGACAACATTATCGCCAACTGAGATGTTGTAACCATAGTCACAGTGGAACGGCGTAGCGACATGGACGCTGCCACCGAGGTGACCGGATGTATGGCGTTCTCCCTGACGAGGCTGAATCCAACCTGCTCCTACAATATACTTGAAGTAGCGCTCGCGCTCACTTTGCGCAATTCCAACTGCTGCATTGCTCGTACTATTGAAGCGGTACACTGCTCCTGTGCATTGAGTGCGCTCGTCAGCCAGCTGGATGTTGTATGGCAAGAACGGTTCGCCGTCCAACATCTTTTCCTTCTCAGTCTTTGATCTTGGAGGTGGCGCATAATGGGGTGGTGGCGGCGGCGGAGGCGCAACGGTCTGAGCAACTAGCGACGCTTGACGGGGCTGATGTGAAGCGTGTGGGTGCATCTTGGGCTCCGTCGTGATTGGAGAAGAGTTGATGGCAACTTGACTCATACTGTGTGGAGTATGATGATACACGCGAGGATTGGGATGACGTGGTGGAGGTGGCCTAATGCATGTCAGTTTAGTTGGTCCGAACTTTAGCAATATTGTCACTCTTTAAGAATGGATGCCTGTCGTTCCCCTTTTGCATGCCTCAGATGAAGGCATGCATGCGTATGGAGTTGTTTGGCTTTGATGATGGGGAACTCACTGCTCGATATGTTGATGAGGTGGACGATAATCATGGGACGGTTGTCTATCATGGCTTGTGGCTGGAGCCTGGATAGGAGGTGGTCTTTCGTGAATAGGGGCCGGAGGTTGGAGAGAAGGCGGTCTTTCATAACTCGAAACTGGAGGAGGCTGAGGATAGGATGTAGAGGGCGGCGGCGGTGGAGGCGGTGGAGGCGGCGGAGGGTGATCTATGTATGATGCTTGAGATGGTTGGCTCCAACTACTTCTGTTGGTTGGTAGACTTCGAGCACTGTCGTTGTCACTCGGCGCATGCGAGATCGCGTGCGTCCGATTGGCATCCTCTGTGGTTGGCAGTAAAGTCAGCACAGTAAAAGATTGGGAAAATGTCCACAAATATAAGTACACCCTGAAGTACCCCCCAGATAGCTTCCAAGACACACAAAGTGGTCTTGGAATTCCGGACTGATCTAAGTAGCTTTACTGGGATTTGCAAAGTCTCCATAGTCGAGTGAAGTACTCTCGGAATCCTCAATACAGTGGTGTAAAGCTACGTACCTTTTACGACACCACAGTGAGGGAAATGCTCCTCCCCGCATGTCCTACATTGAGGATCACAATGGGGAACATGCACGTGATTGCATGCCTGACAGTGACCGTAGATATTCGGCCGGGATTCAACAGATGTCCGCTCTCTGGCTAGTAGTGTGGGCGCTTGCTTCGTGGCCCCGTTCGTTGGCCACGGCACTTTCTTCGCGTAGCCTTCGCAGATGAAGCCGCCTCGGGTGCAATTGGAGCCTGCGCGGAAGGTTGAGCGTGACAAGTAGAGTGAGAGGAAAGGAGAAATACGTACATTCCGGCTTGGCTTCGTCACACTTCTTCTTGCGTCTTCTGCATGTGCCACAGCCAGTTTTGGTGCGATTGGCGAATTGTCTTTTTCTCTTCTTCATCTCCACTTGTACACCTGCTCGGGTCATCTCCATTGTACTTTCCCGCTCAAATTCGTTCGGCTCATCCATTGGGCCTGCGATTGCATGTGACATTGGCACAGAAGGTATGGCCGTGTTTCCGTGTTCCATTGTGCGGTGAGGCTTGGGCTCTTGAAAGCACTTGTACGGTATTTCGAGAGGCTCGGTGTTCCAACGTCTCTCGGGCTCTGGGCGATCGATTGGAGGAAGCGTCAAGTCCCGAGGATGATCTGTGCCCGGCACTTTTGCTTGGTATGCAGGTTTTGGCGATGCGCCCCGACTCGCGGATGGGTATGGTCCAAAAAGAGGTCTGACGGTTGCAGCCGATTCGTCTCGTGCACGATGCGCGCGATTGTCCTCGCTTTCCTCTGCCACTGACCGCCTTCTCTTGCTGGACATATGAGGAGATTTGTCCCCGCTGGTGATAATGGGCGAGATGGAGTGGCTGACAGCACGGTACCCATTCTCAGACTGCCGCGGCGCAGCCTTCCATTCGGCTGCTCCAGCTGATGACGGGTTCGCGTCCAATTGGTCAGGACTCGTGTGCGGTGTTGGTCTCCCATGGATGGCATCTACGGTCATGGTTTTGGGGGATGTCCTGCCATTCACTGCGGTGAATGCAGGCGCAAAAGGCTCCCGAGTCTGGTTCATGAATGGCGCGTGGAGCACAGCTGACATACTACTCCTGCCGGGCTGTTCTCGAAGAGTATGAGCTGTGGGCCGGTTTCAGAGCGCACAGCGAGATCAAGCCAAGTGCTTTTGGCAGCCTCCACTTTGAGACTGTCTGGTAAGGTGTAGGCCTCCAGCCTATGGCATCCAGTCGTTGTGCGCAAATGCTCCCATGAACACGCTGGTCTCGCACTCTCTGGCTATGGACATGCAAGGTGAGGTGAGATGGGTCTCGGGTGGTGGCACGTGAAGTTGATATATTTGGCTATTCCACGGCGCAATGGACGGCTCTCGCGCTCGATGGCCAGACGCGGAAGGAGACAGCTGGCGCGGCGATTGACTCTTGGAATTGGCTCTCGGCAACGTGTGACGCGCTAGTGTCCTCGTGGCAGCGGTGACGAGCAGGCCTGGATGGCTCTCTCCGCGAAGTGAAGCGACTTGTTCAGAACTTTGCGACTGGGCAGGATGCGGGTGTCCAGGTGCAGGCTGAGGCGATGCGGGGTGGTGATGGGGGCGTGGCAGCGGGGCGGAAACAGAGCCACCCCGTCGCGGAGAGCGTAGGTGTTTAAAGAAAGTCGAATCGACCAGCTGTGGACGAGGAGGGGGACCCAAAGGCGCAGTTGGCCAGCAATTTTGGCGCCAGCCATGCATGCAGGATCCCCTGCAAATGTTAACCGCTAGCCCCACGCGTACTAAGGCGGCACTCTGAACGACGACCGAACACGTCGATGACGCGCCGAACGGTGCCTGGGACGAGCGGCCGTCGACTCCTACACATCCGACCCTGCATACAGGTACCGGCGCACGTTTTTTCGCGGAAAAAACGCGTCTACAGCCCTAAAGCTCGTCGCTGGCCGTACTGGAGGGTACAACGAGCACAGATGCAGCCAGGGTAGTGAGCTCGGCAAAATGTCGTCTGCATCCCGGCGTCTGCGGCAGTGATCCATTTCACCAGGCCTGCGCGCCGTGATTGGCCAGCTAGTCGGTGAAGCGATGCAGCTGGGCAGGAGCACCTCCTAGCGTACCTTTCCAACTTTTGCGTCAATCGCGCATCGCAGGGTAGGCGCGCACAGGTGCTCCTTCCCGAGCCTCGACGTGCGATCGTCTCGCCTCACACCACCAGCCACTGCCCACCGCACGGCACTGGCAGAGCGGCACCTGCCCTCGCCTGGAGTCTGCCGGCCCACGCAGCGTCATCGCCCGATGCTGCTGCGTATCGCCTGCCCTCTCGCGCGCTTCGTACGCTTCGTACGCCAGGCCGTCTAGCAGGCGTCAAGGCCGCGTCCATGTTTCATTTTTCGAGCCCGCGCCGCTCCTTTGTGACCTTGGTTTGGCCCGGCCATGCATTGGGCCTGTCCTGCTCTGGACGCGCCCACGGCTTCCGCTGACGTCCGCGTCTAATTGCCCAGGCCAGGCCAGTGATTCATTGGTTGACGGCCCGTTACATTCGTGCTTTGCGCCGCACGCGCCTAGCACTCTCACCACATGCAGACGACCCGCGCGCTCCCATCATTACGCCGTCCTCGACTACCGCTGTTTCTAGTGGTGAGACTTCGTGCTAGGCTCGATAGGGTAGGAGCCCAACGCCGTCTGCGACTCCCATTGGCCAGCACGGCTTGCTCCACCACCAACCTCGGCTGCCGTCTTATTGTCAAAGGAAAACAGCAGGACCTGTGCAGCAGACATCTCCCAGTGGTACCCTATGAGCGTGCGAGCCAACAGAGTCCTCCACAACGTTGAGAGACTAGCCAGACACGCTGCATTGTCAGCCCTGACGAATGCATGCACGCAAAATTTTGGAGATTAGTAAAGTAGAACACGGCCCACGGTACAAGTGTATCCCTACTTCTCTCCCCTCCAAGAGCTGCATAGCAATACTGCACACTTCTATCAATACGTTTAGATAAGGAGAAATGAAGCCTCTGCCAGGTTGAGGCTAGTAATATGTCTTTCCGCCAGAAACGGTCGTCCGAGCCGCGACATCCGTTGATTGAGGTGACGACTGGAGCATCCCAGACGTCCTGGAGTATATCAGCTCTCATATGAATCTCTCGGACGATTCTCATTGCTCGGTGGTAATATCCAGTATATGTGCAGGCACCTCTTGATCGGTCTGCCCCATTCGTCGTTGTGCATCAATCACGAGGCGAACGGACGCTACACGAGCCGCGGCTCTTCGTCGGACATGCTCATCGCAAGTATCCTCTTGCGAGACCTCACTTTCCCTTCACACAGCAACACTCAGTGCAGTTCAGCAGTGTCTATCCTTGAACGATGCGGCGCGTTCCGCTCCCGTTAGCGATCAAACAGCCAACTGGGACTGTATCATCATACCAACTGCTCCACTGTGAACCAGTTTACTGGGGCAACATCCCCCTTGCATATGTCAATGTTCCAGGCTTGGCTCTCAGCTATGAGTATTAGTCAGCTCATGAGTACCTTCCCGAGCCGCGCTTCTTGTTGTCCACATCCTTGTCATTTTGGTGTACCACTCCCCACCAGAACTTATCCTGACATTATGCATACGAACGACTCGCGCGAACACAATTCTCGGTACCGCGTGTAAGAGCGCGGGGGATCACTTCGACCCAGTGCTCCCATCACTGTGCCACACGAATCTCTCCCTAACTTCTTCCCGCGCACGAGGACAGTTCTTGGAATACGAGTATTCAGCTCAAATCTTAGCCGATAGTTGAGCCCGTTGGTGTTGAGTTAACTGCTTGAGCAGAAACTAGTCACGCCTGGATGAGCTTGGAATTCTTAGTCCTAGAGTTGAGCTCAACAATGCTCCAGCCACTTTTCGAATACTCGTTTCTCATCAACACCGCAAGACAAATCAACCATGGAGGTTGACAGGGCAAAGCATCGACAACTGCTTATCATTGTACCCATTCCTCGCTCTTCTGCCCTCGAATGGGCAGTTACAGGATGTTGCTCACCAAGCGCAACGATGAGGCAGAACGAGTACGCCACGGACTCATCCTTCCGATACTGCAACATATCATCATGATCCACTAACGCCTTCGTTACGGTTCATACGCACGGAGCATCCTAGAACCACGTCCCTAGATGAGTCGCTTAGAATCATGGGGAGACATGCTAACTCGTTCAGGCCTTCAATAGAGCGATCCTCTATGAACTCGGAACTGTCAATAGTGATACGCTCGCATTGCACCACTACATCTGCACAGGGCTCGGCTATCACATCTTCATAATTGGGAGCTGCAATGCAAGTGCGAGATGCTAGCCGCATCGATCTATACATCTGCTTGTATCCGACGGCTGCGGCTAGGAATCGTATGCTGTCCCCGTGCATTCATGACGCCACACGCCATCATCGGCAATCTCACCAAATGGAGGTATTCATGTTCTTGTCGTTCATGTCAAATACGGACAAGTCGGCTCTGCAAGTCCGGGGACACTTGTCAGGGACATCACTCGCTTGTTGCCGTTACATGCTCGCCACTGTTACGGTACCATTTATCACTCCTCCTGGACACTGATCTTGGAACGCTGGTTATGTTCTAACTCGAATAGTAGCATGCTTGTTCGAGTAGGATGCTCAAGTTACGAACCTCCGTACTAAAATGACATGTGCGCCGAAATTTATCATCTTATTTAGTCGACCATGTTTACGAACTGTCGGATGCTACAACAACTCCGCCTGGGCACTTCAACAATAACACATGGACAATTGATCTCTCAAATCGGATGTTAGCCGAAAGAATCTTGCGGGGCATTGCCCACACACTCAAATTCTCTTTACTCCTTCGAATCTTGTGACTCCAGGAAAGCAGTCTAACTTCCACTCTGGAGCTCAACCCTTCACCCATTCCACTTCATTCCATTCCTCCATATGCAGCAATCCCCCACGTCCATACATCTAGTGTTCTGCACACCGTAGCGCATATACGTCATAATTCTACACCTATCCGCTACCAAGACGTAGGCGCTTATACAAGCGCTCACAGCAGCGCTTACAGCCTCGAGGTTCGAGACCTACATGGCCACGCGTACGTCAAGCACACGTATAGTATGACAAATGCGCCTAGTCACCTCGCGTTGGCGTCAATTTAGCAAAGCGCTTATTTCAGCTCGTTTACTTGGTTGACGCCAGTGCCGCCGCCGCGGTGGAGGACGAGTGGGGTGTTTCGCTCACTCGCTCACTCGCTACACAATGTGGTTTATGGTAAGTTTGAGTTGATCTAGGTACTGCTGTGCATCATGTCGACGCTTGTCTGCAGTATCTGCACGTCTGGGGAGAAATATCGGTCAGCTGGCTGGTTGGCTGGCTGTCTGGCTGGATGAAAAGTTTTCAGCTGGTCGAATTGGACTCGCGCATTTCTCGTCACGTACTTTGACGCCTTGATCCTTGAACAGTCTACTCTACATGTAACACGGCCCCTCGTTCCTTTCTACGCCTAAGTTCTACCCCACTGTTCATCCTCCTCTCAGAATCCCCCTCTTTCGTCGTACACCCCGCTCAATCACAATGTCTAAGCCCCTCATCCTACCTCACCAACCAACCCTTCACACCTCTACAACTTAGCGACTCATCTATATACAAGCCCATCCCATCCGTCCCGTCCACTTCCTCCTACCACACTCCCTTATGTCTCTATCCACCTACCACACTCCCTTATGTCTCTATCCGCCTCAAAGTATCACATACCCAAATCACCCCACCACATACCAAAAGTCCAGTATACATCCAGTACGAATCCATGGTAAATGTAAACGAAATTCCATAGCGACGTAGTGGAAGACTCGCAAGTAAACTGCTAGATAGGTAGATATGTTGATTAGATGTGTAATGGGACGTAACACAACACACCCTGAGATGCGTCTGCAAGTGTACATCAACCACACTGGCAGTGGGGAGAATGATATACTTGTGATTTTGCTATGCGGTGGAAAATTTGAGATGGTGGTGAGGGGGTATGATACGATGTACCATGCATGGCATGAGTATAATATGATGAGTGATAATGGGATGCTGTGCACATGTAGTTTTGAGGATAGAGATGAGGATACCCTTAGCTTGTCTTGCCTTGCCTTGCCCTGTACTGTAGCATTGCGCTATCATTTAAATATAAACGTCTGTATGCAGACAAACCACCCTTACGGTGTTTCTATAGGGGAAAAACTCCATCTTCTCGGAGTGGTTTGCACGAATTATGCTGTACTGTACGGGTAAGAGTATGTCGAGCAGTTCGAAATAGTAGATAGAATACATCTACACGCCCCCAGCACCACCGCCAGCACCACCAAAGTAGCAAAAGACCTCCCCCAGTCATTCCCATGCACACCCCACTCATACTCGCACAATCCTTTTTCCCCACACAAGACCCCTATTCCCATCCCTCGTTGTACATATCCCTATACCTACACCTACACCTACACCCACTCAAGCCGAGATCCATACCCCCCCATGCCCAAATACAAACAAAATCCCATATTTCAAATTCGGGGTATCTGAAGAAGTGCGCGCTCATGCTGAAATCGGATGAAGATGAAGAGGAAGAAAACCAAAAAAATAAACGTAAGATAAAAAAAACAAAGAACCCCACACGTTGTAGGCCCGCGAAAAAAAGGACGCGGCTGTCGCTACTCCAGTGTTTGCCTAGCCTCTCTTCAGGCGAAATCCTTTCTCTATCTGCTTCACATCGTCTTGCGGTGAGCTGTTCTGCTCGCTCGTGCGCCTCTTGGCCATCCTGTGGCTCTATTTCTGCGTTTTACACGGCAGGGTAAGATCGTCTAGACCGTGTCGAGTGTGCTGATCTAATCGACTTTCCAATGACTTGTCAACCTGCCGTCGTCGTCCTGGTTCGAGATCTTCAGTTCGATGGCGTACAGGCCCATCGTGATGGCAAGGTTCACCCATCTCCAGGTATTCCCACCCGCATCACCGCCTTGGTTTTTCCACCACTCTCCCGTGACGGCGCTTCCGTCAGTGCCGTTTCCGCTGGCAAAGTGCTGCATTAGCAGGCTAGTGTAGACTGCAATGATGATACTGGGGCTGAACCATGTCAGGAATCCAAGGATCTTGGACGTCTCGTCGTCGTCGTCAAGGCTTGGTTCTTGCGATAATGCTCTCGCGCCGCTTTCCCGTATGGCAGGGATGATGCGGGCTGCGGCATACATAACGAAGACGCGGTAGGCGAGCGAGATGATGACGGAAGGCGTGATGGTCATGATGGCTCCGACCATGAGGTTGAATCCGGTGTGGATGATGGTAGGGAGGGAGCCCATGGCGTGGAGAAGCGTCGTGTACGATGCCATGATTATTGGTGGAAGTGGAGGTAGCGCAGGGTCGGAAGCGTTTGCCGCGGGAATTGAATCTGGAGAGGGCTGATAGTCTGTGAAGATTTGGTAGATGCAGAGGGTCACGTAGGCAAACTGTGTGGATGTTAGCAGAATTTGGAGGGGGTCACGAGGAAAACGTACAAGCAATGAGGATTCAACTGGGTTGCCTCGCGCACTGACGATACCCCATCCACCGAGAAATATGGCTGTCGTGATGGCTACACCAATGAGAATAGCGTCTACATTGCTAATCTCGGGGAAGGTAGTGATGCGCCAGAGGAAATAGACGGAGGTTGAGATGATGGAGGCAGACGTGATCAGGAGGCCAATCTACGCTTTAGTTAGCTTTTGCAGTACAATCAAAGAACTTGGGATCTTACCATCCAACTGTCACCCCGCTCTCTGTTCACTACCCATCGTGTGATTTGCCCAGCAGCCTGAATAACCAACAAACTGCAAAAGCCCTCGGCGACCTGGAAGACAGGTGTGCTGTACCTCAGCGTCTTGTCCCATGCACCAATTGAGGCACTCTGCAGCAGCCCCTCTGCGCCAAACACCCAGTCCGTCACCGACTTGAAGTCTGATCTCCGTCCACCGAATGTGCGCTCCACCCAGCCCGAGCTATTGTTCGCATCGATGGAGAATTTGTTCAGGCTCCATATTAGCAGTGTTGGAATCGCCAGCCACTGTGCCCACGCGACCATGTTGCATAGCGCCCATCTGAATCTCGAATGGTCCGGTGTCGCCAGTCGCAGGACGGAGTACAGGAAGTAGTATGTGCTAAGGCCCAGCGAGAAGGCCAGCCCACATGTTCGCCCGCCAATGTCGAATGCAAGCGGGATTGTGAATATGATGGCGCCGAGGAAGGTCGTCGACGAGAGCACCCTGGTGAGCCACATCTGGAGGCGCTGTCCTTGCCAAGCTCGTTTTGGAACGAGCTTGACTGGTGACGAGCACTGTGGGTGCAAGAGGCTGTGGACGCGCGGTGTACGCGCAGATTGCGCGGTGGAGGTTGTGGGAAGTCACTCAAGGGCCGAGTCGCCGTGTGCAGGTGGCTGTGAGCGTGGGGAGTTTTGGTGAGGCTGGTGCGCTGTTCGCTCGTTTCTGGCCGTTGCGCTTGGCGGGAAATGTATCTTCACGTGCAAATGCTGCGAATGCCGCGCGGGAACTCGTGGGTGCGGGGGAAGCGCTGGAAGATTGAAAAAAAGCCAGACAAAGTGTGTTTGTGGAGACAAACGGAAAAGAGACAGGCTGCAGACGGGACGAGGATGCAGGCGGTTGCGTCGATGTCTTGCTTGCGAGACCAGGCACAACTGCAAGCTGTGCGTGATTGGCGATGGCTGTCGCGTGCTGCCAGGTGATCTGAGCCCGCAATGTGGTCGGGATGACGGAGCCGTGTCGGTAGGCTCGTCGAGTGACGCAGAAACGTGACCGTTCCAGGGCAATCCTGTTCTTTGTGCAGTCAAATTACCGGCTAGGAAAAGAAATTCAGGACGAGCTTCCACGCCGTGTCGATCTCTGACATTTTCCCCAAAATTGCGTAGTGCCCGCGTCGCCACATCTCTACTGGTTTGCCAAGGCCGCGGGCAAGGAAGTGCTTTCGAACCTCACATTGACAAATTTGCATGTTCTCCCGGACACCAGTGCTATTTCAGCCCGTCAGACACATTCTTCGCACTCACAAACCCCGTTCTGCCCCCAATCTCGTCTATTCACTCCGAGCAATGGCCACCGAAAACCCCATCAAGAGGCTCAAGGTCGAGGCGCCTTTGATCGGGACACACAGGCAAGACACGCCAGCACATGTCATGATTCAATCATTCTGACTCCATCCAGTGGCCACTTCCACGCCGACGAGGCTCTTGCCGTGTCCATGCTGCGACTCCTCCCCACCTACCTCGACTCTCAGCTTGTCCGCACCCGCGACCCCGCTGTCCTGGCCACATGCCACACCGTTGTCGATGTAGGCGCCGAGTACGATGACGCCAACAAGCGCTACGACCACCATCAGCGCGAGTTCAACACCGTCTTCCCAGGCCACAACACCAAGCTCTCCTCCGCGGGGCTGGTGTACATCCACTTTGGCAAGGACATCATCTCCGCCGTGACTGGTCTATCAGCTGGGCCTGACCTGGACCTGCTCTTTGAGAAAATATACACCGACTTCATCGAGGCCTTTGACGCGAACGACAACGGCGTCAACATCATTGCGCCCAAGGACTTGGAGAAAGCGGGGTTGGAGAAAAAGTTCGAGGACCGCGGTTTCAGCATCGCCAGCGTCGTCGGTCGTTACAACTACTCCCACTCCAAAGTTGCAGATGAGACCAAGTCTGCGGAGCAGAAGCAGGCCGAGGAGGACATGCGCTTCTTGAGAGCCTCGCAATTCGTGGGCGAGCAGTTCCAGCTGGAGCTGACCAACCGCGCCGAGAACTGGTTGCCCGCTCGTCACGAGGTCAAGAAAGCCTACGATTCTCGTTTCCAGTATGATTCTCAGGGTCGCATCCTCGTCCTCCCTGATGGCATGCCCTGGGCGGATCATCTGTACTCGCTTGAGAAGGAGTCACCCATCCCAGAAGGTGTGGCACCGCAAGTCCTGTTCGCCCTCTTCCCTGAGGACAAGCCAGAGGGCAAGTGGCGCATCCGCGCCGTGAGTAAGGAGAACGGCGGCTTCGAGAACCGCAAAGATCTCCCGGATGCCTGGAAGGGCGTCCGCGACGAGCAGCTCGACCAGGTATCCGGCATCTCAGGCTGTGTCTTTGTCCACGCCGCCGGCTTCATCGGAGGCAACAAGTCTTTCGACGGTGCGCTCGCCATGGCCAAGAAGGCATTGGAGTTGTAGATAACGAGGGTTGAAGTCAAAGACCCACTTCGCTTAAAAGTAGAGCGATGAAGCGGCGAAAGTTGCTTTGAAATACCTGCATATGCATGGTTTGGCGTTCTGGCGCAACATACCAAAAGTTATGATACCAACCACTTACCCGTGGTTACCAAGGAGCTCGTTTGCTCTGAGACCTAAGCATAAGGGGCTTAGGTCTTGCAATCTATGAGCTCCTTCGTAGAATGACTACCATGATAATTCATGGTTTAGCCATCTAATGATGACTTGACAGTAACGCTCCTCTGGGGAAGTATGGGTTACCTCCCACTCTTTCCTGAATCGACCTGATTTGTCTTGTCTCGCGTCAATCGGCTGCTGCTGCCAAATGACAAGACGTCCGCTCCTTTAAGTACCTACAATGAATACACTCTTTGTTGGATGAATCTGGCAGTGTTTTCATCATGCTTGTATGTGCATTGATTAGACGCTAGACCACATGGGTAAAGTGGTGATGCATCTACCACATCACATCTCATCCCCGGAGCACAAGACGTCCAAGTCTTCACCCGCCAAGCAACAAGACCCACACATGAAGAGTGAAATATGTATATAGTTAATCTATCTATCAGCGGCCGTGTCTATCATGTATCTAAACGTCTCGAGTGACCATCTACTCGGACAGAGAAGGGGTATTTACAACGCCGGCAAAAATCTTTGCTTTTCGTAACGCCCCATGTAAGTAATCGACTTTTTTCAAGAAACCTCCCAAAACCGGACGGATGGAGACAAGCATGAGTACCGAGATGCTCGATGTCGATGCCGATATCCCATGTTCGAATGGAGGAGAGTAGTGTAGACGAGGACCCCCTCAGATCTTGACCTGCCTCAAAATCTGGCTGTCCTGCTGCAATTGCAGCAGCTCCCTCTGCTCCTGAAAGACCTGTCGCGCGCGCTCAAGCACCATCTCGAAGCCCTCCTTTCCGCGCACGGCGTTCTGCTGGAAGCGCTCAACGGTGAACTGCTCGATGCTGTTTTTGATTTTCTGCCAGCCGCCGCACAGGGCGGTGATTTCAGCTCTTTGCGTGAAACTTGTCTTGTCTGATGGCGAGGCGGGGTTGGGTGTATATGTGCAGGTTTCGCGGACGGCCATGAGGTCCGCCATGGTGACGTTCATGGAGCACATTGTGAGTTTCTTGGCGACGGGGTCGACGTAGGAGGTTTCGTAGACCATGGATACGTCTGTGCCGCCGAGGATGGAGTTTATCCATTTTGGCGTCGATTGCTGGCAGGTTATTAGACGTTCTGTGCGCATCTGTTGGGGATATGTTAGTTTCGTGTTTTCTTCGTTGTGGGAATATGTTGAGTCGAGGCGGTGTATGCAATATTTTGCATGTGATTGAAGGGTCGACTTACGATTCCTGTTTGCGCGTCGACGGTTCGGCTCAGTGTGTCGACGGCGATGACGTGTGGTGTTTTCTCGTTCCAGGGCCCATATTTCTGCCAGTTACTTGTCGAGACTTCCTCCCATGAGTAGTCGAAGTTGAGTGATTGCTGAAAGTACTTCATTATGACGGTCGTGTGTCGTTTATCCGTATGCTCTATATTACGTCGGAAAAATTATCTTCGTACGCGTCGGCGTGTTCTGGGTTCGAGAACTGATTCTAGATGTAATGTCGATGCCGTCGAGGCTGGTGGTGGTGGGGAAGCGGTGGATATATCTCTATGATGCGAAAGGAGTCAAGCTTGTGAAATTCTCGCTAAGTGCAAAAAATGCGAGCGCTGATAGATTCCGGAGATCCGTGCGCACGATAAACCAGTGGTCGGGGATGCGGGACTGAGATAAGCAGGAACGCCAAACTCGGGGTAGCAAGCAGCGGTGTGATGGAAGGAATGTTGATAATGCCTCTAATGCGACCAAGCAGTACAGTGGATGAATTTATTAAGAAAGGTAAAGATGTCGTGAAGAAACTGTGTATATCTGACAGGAGCTTTGTGGTTCCGTGGGGTTGTTTTCGTTAGATCTACGTATTCTTCGCCACCCCGCCTCTCAATCAATGATATCGCTACGGTCGAGCCTCTGTCAGATCTTAGCGACGTGCATTCGCTCTCAGCAAACCAGAGGACACGACGCAATCCGACTCTGCCCGTATGACGTCGTATACCCGCACTGCTGTTGGTCGGGCTTTGATAGCCTTGCGCTGATGTGGAGTGCGTCGTGGGGAACCTGGCGAGTGATGTAGTCGGGCCGTCACACACTGGACGCAGGGTCTTGGTGTTGTTTCTAAAATACCGTCTGTGTGAGATCTGTGTGGAGATTGGTGTAGGTGACGTCGCTTCAGAAGTTGATGGTGTTCAGGATGCTCGCTCTCATTCGCGCATTCAGAACTGCATTAATTTCAGAGTGCTTTTCTATCTCCAAGCACATGGCAAACTATCGAGATGATCGATAAGTGAGGCTGACTTTCGAACAAGGAGTCTTGTCATGATAAGCACAATTACAAGAACCTTGATTGAGAGAGGCAGGATGCAAAACTACAGTGGATCGTATTTGTAAAGGTAAATTTTGTTGGCAGGAGAGGGTTCTTTTGTGTCGCTAACAGAAGTAAAAGTGTTGGGCTTCCGCATCTTGTGAGCGCACGTCCATTTTGTCGAACTTTTGCTCAGTGCTCAACATGGTTCATCAACCAAGAAGTCCAGACAACAACCTTCCTAGGTAACGCGAATGGTGTTTACATTCTGCTTGTCAAAACATCTGTGTGACATTCCTGCAACCTGCGCAAATACAAGCACCATCCCATGAGCGATGACGACTCCTTGCAGCAGAAATTCAATCCCGTCACGACACCCTCCTCGCCTGGAGAGGCATCGAGATATCCAGATGAAGAAGAGAATTGGAATTCAACGAGGCATATTTTGAGGATATATAAGCCATGTGACATGATTGAATGAAGCAAAAGGATTAAAGACAAGAACTCAGGTATTGCTCTAGGACATGAGCCTCACCATGAAGAGAGATTTACTTTCTGATTCATTCCCCAAGCAGTATTCGTCTTCCTAAACTCCCGAACACCCTTACGGAACGTTGACGTTTGCTCGTTTGAGGGATTGTGCTGATCGCCTCCATACAGACGCTCGCAGCTCGCGTCAACCCAGCTTGCGATGTCGTGATCCGGCACCCTCGTGCCCTACGTACCGTCTGAACGCCAATGGCAGTACCGTTTTATAAGCTTCCGTGGCTTTGTCCAAGCTTGTTATTTAATCCGCGGGCTCAAAATGCCGTTGCGTTTCTTATATCCATGCGCCGATGTTACGTTGAATCCAGTTCTCCCAGTACTTGGTTTTTTCTTGAATCGCTGCGGAGTGGAAGAGTAGAAATTCTGTCGAAGAAACCGACTCATACCTGGAGGATATATAATAAATCCCTCGACTGTGAAACCAGATTGTCGTTCCTGACTACGATCAGTTTGTCACAAGCATAGCAACCGACTGTTTCCACCATGGCGACCCCTACGCTTCACGATAAAGACGTCGAAGTCAGCCAGCCATCATCGATCCTTCCCTCGGAAGCTTCGTCCGAGATGGACGACACGTATGAAGCGTACAAAAACAACGAAGGCATCGGCATCGATCCTGTGGAGGCAAAGAAGACACTGAAAAAGATAGACACCAGGATTGTTCCGATATTGTTTTTCATATATCTTTTGCAGTACCTCGACAAGAACGGAATCAACTACGCAACTTCGTTTGGGTTACAAGAGGGCACCAATCTCAAGGGCCAGGACTACTCATGGTTGGGTGAGTTTCTTCAATCTCGATAGTGTTTTAGATGCTAATAGCGTCTAGGTAGCATCTTCTATTTCGGATATCTCTCCGGGCAGTATCCGGCTGGGTATTTGCTTCAGCGCCTCCCTATCGCGAAATTCATTGGGTTCTGCACACTTGGTGAGCTATACTCCAAGCATACATAGACTTCCACTGATAAGTATCAGGGTGGGGTGTTATTCTCATCACCACACCAGCATGTCACAACTTCGCTGGCATGGCCGCAAATCGCTTCCTTCTCGGTTTGCTGGAATCCACGATCAACCCGGGCTTCGTCTTGATGATGAGCATGTGGTACACATCACCCGAGCAACCTTTACGCCTAGAAGCGTACTATTGCACTAACGGCATCGCAACGATGTTTGGCGGACTAATCGGGTATGCCGTGGGCCATATTACGACAGGACTGCCAAGGTGGATGTATGTGTTCATCATCTTCGGCTCCCTAAGTATAGCGATGGGCATTGTCACTCTTATCTTCCTTCCCGACCTTCCAACAACAGCCAAATTCCTCACTGTAAGAGAGCGTGCTGTTGCCGTCGAACGCGTGGCAGGCAACAGACAGGGTGTCAAGAACAAGCATTTCAAGAAATACCAAGCATGGCAAACACTATACGACCCGAAGACTTGGATCCTGTTCATCATGGCGGTAGGCGCCCAGATCCCAAATGCTGCTTTGACTTCCGTAAGAGCCCCCATCCCTACATTCAAGTCTTGGCCTCACTCATCCTGTCGCAGTTCACTTCCCTGATCATAAAATCCTTCGGGGTATCCACACTCGGCACCCAGTATCTGCAGATCCCCGGCGGTGCTGTGCAATTCCTCGCTCTCCTCGCAGGCGGCTTTATCTGCACGCACTTCCCCAACAGTCGGTGCATCACCATGACAGTCGCTAATTTGATATGCATCATCGGCGCCGGTCTGCTCGTCGGTCTCCCAGACGACAACAAATGGGGTCGTCTGGTTGCGCTGTGGATGTGTTACTTCCAAGGACTGGGGTTTAGTATTAGTCTGACCATCGTGTCGAGTAACGTCGCGGGGTACACGAAGAAACAGCTCACAGGCGCGGCACTCTTCACAGGCTATTGCGTAGGAAACATCATTGGGCCGCAGACATTTAAGAGTAGTGAGGCGCCGGGTTATAAGTCGGCGTACATCGCGTGGGTCTCCCCTCTCTGTGTCTTTCGATCCTCGTTTGTTTCTTGCTGACAGGAATTCAGGATGCTCGTTGGATATACTGTCAAGCTTGTCGCTGTCCTCACGCTATTCGCTTACATGTGGTCTGTGAACAAGAGGCGCGACAGGGAGTCGGCGAGTGGAGCACGTCTGACGGATGAGGAGGAGAAGGCTGCCGTGGAGGCGGGTATGCATGATGTGACAGAGCTCGATAATAAGGGGTTCAGGTATATCCTCTGAAGTTGCATATGAAGGTAACATTAAATCAAGATGAGAATTCTTAATAGCTTTTGTTGTATCAAGGTTGTGAGGAGGAACATCCCTACGCTCGGAACTACAGATAACATCATAAGCAAGAAGACTCGTATGTAGGGTGAAAGATTGTTTCCGTCCCGTAAATGTTCGGCTATGACCCTGGATCGTAATTATAAGAACACGGCACGAAGTAAAGAGTACAACAAATCTGATAGGTGAAGGGGCCGGAGCAGCGCACGCTTCGTTTGCAACCAGGAGCTCTGGACCGTAAGCGTTGCCTGACATCGGAAAGACCATCTGCATCAGCGGCGGATATATCGGATGCAAGATACGCCTACAGCATCCAACGTTACCGACGGCTGTTGATGCGATTAACGCCATCGTCGGAAGAATGGAACGCGTCAAGATGTGTGATTTTGGACTTGAAACGCAAGTAAAGTGAAGGGGATGAAAACGAAGATGATGGGGGAGAGGAAAGGGTTTGAAATGCTAATGGATGAGAAGGACCTAGATTTCTGAACGATGAGGAGTTGAGGTACTCGGGATGCTTCGGTTCTGATAGCGTACCGAAACCAGGACACGAGGCTGTCTTGGAGTCATTGGAAAGGCGATGGGCAAATCAAGATCGATGAGCGTGTGTCATGTCAAATGTGTGAGACTACGAGATGACATCTACGGTTTTGAAGGAAATACCTTGAGGTTAGATGGATTTTCATACAACCATGTGTATGATAAGGAGGTGTATACTTTCCTGGAAAGATGATTGAGTTAGTCCTTTCTTGCTGCAACACCTTCATAAATATCAGAGCTCCAACTGACGTTTGCTATCAAGACTTCGAGCCGTGGAACGATGTAAGCAAAGAAGTGGATTGCAGACGTATGATCGAGTTCATGTTGGTAACCAAATGGGTCAAATATTCCTTGTGCCGACTTGTGGGCCTTACCACATCCATGACTCGATCTTACGACTCTTATTGGAGTTGCAGAGTGTTGAGTAAGCTGCATATGGGGAACAGGACGAGGATTATGAAGAAGTGAATATCTTCCCGTGTGCGGTAGCCCAACAATAAAGGCAGACCCACCACTAACGTCTTTTCACAATATAACAGCAAATCGAACAAATAGTTTCCAGCACACTGATGACCCCCAAAAAGCTAGCTGTGCATTTAGCATTTCCCGCTTCTGTCTAGTCTCCTGCAGCGCGGGTTTAATAAGCACGAAGAGGCTGAAACGTAGGAACATCACGTCAGCGACCACGACTCCTCTTCAACCAGCCGGAAGCCCGCAAAAAAAGAACCCCGCCTCCCTCGCTGTATCATGCAGCGCATATTCCTCCGACCCGATGCAATCGCACAAGCAGCGGCCGATGTGTAGCGAGAACGCGGGTGTTTCTTCCTCGCAGAGCCGTTGTCAGCGATACGAGTCAAGCTTCAATCGGCAAGGCCAAGCGAGATGAAAGAAAACAAGCAGTTCCTGACGGGGCGGCTAAGGCGCGCGCTAGGTACAGGTCCGTCGTACCGCCCTCAATTCTATTCGATTTGATTCGGCGTCCAAGCCTTGCTCTTTGCTTGTTCACTCGCCTAGTTTTGTTTGGTTGAGAGGACGCCCCAACGGCTGTCGTGGAACTTTGCAGAGAACACCTTGTCCTACCCACCTTTACCCAGAGCAGTGTTGGCGTTGCTCATCATGTGCCCTTTGGCGGAATCTCCCTCTGCGACCGCGATGGGCTGCTGGTTTGGGATTTTGCTCCAGGATTTCGATGGTTCCAGGCCGTTTCGGAGCAGGCGGCATGCCCCCTGAGGTTTTGTTTGGAGGAACGGGTAGGTTATGGGTGGATTTACTTGGGGGGCCTTAAAAGGTTGTACAATCTCGCACTAGTAAGGATGTTTAATGAATATCAGCACTTTATCGATCCCGGCGTGGCTTACTGAGCTGACACCGGTATCAGGTACTGGGGCGTGGAATGCTGGGACAGGGCTGGGGGAGCGTACATATTCTTAACGGGTTCCCCGCGCATAGACCTTGATCATCTTCGTTCTCTTGCTCTCTGTAACGGGTTACCAGTCGACCTTTCGTGTTGAAACATTCGTTCTCTGCAAGAATTGGACAACACCGCCCGATTTCTCAAAAGTCCAGGACAAATAAAACATTGAAATAGAAAGAAGAGTCAAATATCAACTCCCACATCATCATGGCAGGAGCCCGAATCCGCGCGCCCCAGGACTCCGCAACTCCCACCGCACAAGCCTCATCCACACCCACAGCCGCGCAACCCACAATCACACTCGCCCTCTCGACAACCTTCACCCCACCCGCACAATGTACAGCGAACCGCATCACCATCCTGCCGCCGCCAGGCTACTTCATGTGGGCGAACGAACCCGTGCCGTACCCAAACACGACCGTCTCGGACTGCTACCCCAGCGAATTCCTACGTAGCTACACATCCATGTCAGCCGGCGCGACGGGGTCCTCCATCGTGCCCGTCATGAGCCCGCTAGTGTGTCCGCAGAACTTCTGCACCATGTTCGCCGCGGACAATAATTACATCGCGTGCTGTCCGTCGTGAGTGAAGTCCTATCTATATCCCCCGAAACGCAGCAAAAAGGACTAACACAACACAACACAGCGACTACAAGTTCGCCCCACCCTCCTCCATAGCCGTCTCCTCCCGCCCCGCCTACGGCGGAACATGCTACAGCGACTTCACCGTCTCCTCGACCCTCACAGCGCTGAAATACAACTCCGAAGGCTCCACCGGCACCGAGCCCTGGATCGCATCAAAAACCGGTATACAAGCATACGCGCACCCGATCGACGGATTTGCGCCGCACTCCCCCTCGCTCGGCTGCGCACTCAACACCTCCTCACACAGTAAAAACACCACTTCCACCTCCCTCCCCGCATCCTCCAGCAGCAGCAGCCCCGCCCAAACCCCCACACCATCCCACACCCCCTCCCCCGGCGCAATCGCCGGCGCCGTCCTGGGCGCTCTAGTCGGCCTCATCTTGCTCCTCACGCTCATACTCTTCCTGCTGCGCCGCCACCGCCGCAATACGACGGCTCGCATGGATTCGAACCAGGAGACGCATCAGTTGTCTGATGACTTTGCGGGTGGGAAGCCGCACGAGACGGATGCGGGGAATGCGCGGTATGAGAAGGATTCTGCGGTTGCGGCGGCGGAGATTGGGTCGTCGGGCGGGATGGGTAAGTATGGGGTGGGTGGGGTGGTGCATGAGATGGATGGGGGGAGGGGGGCGGAGGGGGTGCATGAGTTGGCTGCTGAGAGGGAGGGGAGGGAAGAGGGGAAGGGGGGTGGTAGGTTGATTTAGGGGGTTGGTTTGGGGAGGGTGGGGAAACGTGGTTGGGAGGTAGTGATGGTTCTCTCTCTCTCTCTTTTTTTTTGTGTGTGGCATTTATACCCTAGTCTGTATTTTGTGGAATAATCTGAGCGATATGTTGGAGTAAGTCTTACTTATGGTCCGGTGATGAAGAACGGGTGGATGAATGTGGTAGACTTGATTACTTCAAACTCATTTGAAAACCCCTGAGCGGGAGAACTCCCCACAAGACAAGCACAAGACAAGATATCCCCACAGTACCAACATGCACGCCACAAACAACAAAAAGCGCAATAAAAAACGCTCCATAATCCCAACAAGTCTACATCTTATCTACACAAAATCAAACACATCCCCCTTATCCCCGACCATCTTCCCCACCCTCTTAGACCCCACAACGCGCTCCAACTCCAGTCTCTCCCACTTCGAAAAGCAAACACGCACATGCCCCTCCGCACGACTAATCTCGCCCCTCTCAACCGTCTTGCCAATAAACCCGACGACCTCATCGTAAAACAGCGGGTTCTCAGGTAACCCGTAGAACACCACCCTCTTGACGCCGCGCAGATTATACCTATGGAAGTGGTGCGCGCGCCCCGTATACAGCAGCAGGGCATGCTTGCCGGTCATGAAGTGGCTGCGGGCTTTGCGCACGTCAGTCGCATCCGTGTACTCGCTGATCGAGGCGTAGGAGAAGTTCGAGTCGACGAGGGAGTTGCGAACGCGGACGAAGTCGAGGTACGAGGGGATGTAGACGAGGACGCCCTGGCCAGCTTGCGGGGGTTGGGGCAAGCGGGCGATAGCGGGCAGGACGGTAGTTGTGAAATACTTAAAGCGCGTGTCTGGGTCTGTGAGGTGGGAGGGCGAGTCGAAGCGGGTAAAGGTTTGCTTTATGCCGTGGGGCAGGGATTCGATGAGGCCGGCCGTGTAGTCTGGGGTGTATTTTAGGCGGCCGGCTATGTTGCGCATGTGCTTGTTGTAGAGGGTGTTGATTTTGGGGGTTAGGAAGGCGGAGAGGATGATGGTTTGGCGGAGGTGGGCGGCGTGGCCGTCGAGGTACCAGGATCGCACGCGTGAGAAGTCGCAGCCGTGGGGGTCTTTGGGTTGGAGGTTGAGGTGCTCGAAGACGAACTCGGCGTGCTCCCAGTTTTGCATTAGGGTTGCGTCGGCTTGCTCCATTATGACTACCTCGATGGAGGAGAGGAAGTCCGAGTCTCGTTTCTTGGGGTCGCCCGACTCGATGGCACGTCGAAGGCCTAGTGTCGAGGCGAAGATGATGTCTGAGTTGTAGAAGGTCGAGTAGAATTTCAGCGTCTTTCGAGTCAGCTTGACACCGACGCGGAATTCGTTGTCGTCGTTGCCCTCGAAGAGTTCGCGGAAGTCGGCTGGCTTGTCGTCTGAGAATTTGTCCTCTGGTTGGGAGAAGCTGTCCAGGAAGCGCTTCTTGTTCTCTTGCTGCTCAAAGTGGTGTAGTTTTGTTATCGAGTCCAAAATACGCACACAGGCTTGCTTTGTCTCGAGTAGGAAGAGGATCTTTGGTCGGGTGAAGCCCTGATCGCGGTACTCGGCGTCGTCGTCCTCGGAAGCAGCAGCCAGTTTCGCGTTGTTCTTCAACACGCGATCTCGCGTCATCAAGATGTGGTTGAGGGCGTGGAGGCAGGTGATGTCGCGCAGACGACTCGCGCTCTGCACCGTTCTTGCGCCAAACAGCACGTCTTGGTAGTCGAATATCGAGGGCGCAATGATTTTCTCGAGCTCGTCCAGGTCGCCGACTACCTTGAGGGCATTGTCGGCGAGGCGGGCCTTGAGCTGGACGTCGCGGATGTTCTTGATGTTCCGCCGCGACAGAGCCTTCTCTTCTGTGCTGGGCACCTGGAGCACTCCTCTTCCTCCGCCGCCATGCACCTTCTTTGATGCCCACTGGTTGCTCGCTATGTGCTTCAGCCGTGTGGCTAGCTCGTTGTCGTCGGGGTTGGCGAAATGGACTTCGAAGACATTTTCGGCATTCTCTGCATCGTCGTCGTGTACGGATTGCGCGTCGTCGTCAATGTCGACGGCCTCTTCTTCCTCTGCCACGACCATATCTGCATCCTGCGCATCAACTTCTTCAGCCGGATCCGCGTGATGGAGCTTGCGCTTCTTTGCGCGTGGTTCGTCTGGGCCGGCATACTGGCGCGAAGGGAAGGACTGCAGAAGGGCGGTATAGGCCTGTGAGGCAGTCGTCGCATCCTCGTCTTCGTCGTCATCGTCGGACATGTCGTCGGACATGTCAGAGGCTGAGTCCTCAGATTCGGGGTACTCGGGCGCATCAGCAGTGAATCTGGGCTGTGTCAGTATGTGCACGTCTTCTGTGTCTCCCGTCCACACTCACGCGTCGTCCTTTGCGTCTTCGGTCCGCGCAGCAGCAAAGCCGCCTCTGTTCCCACCCCGTCCTCGCATGCCGCCTCTTCCTCTCCCTCTCGATGCACCTCTCGCTCCACCTCTCGCGCCGCCTCGTGCTCCCCCGCGTGCGCCTCCCCTCCCGCCGCCCCTTGATCCTCCTCCTCTTCCTCCGCCGCCCCCTCGTCCGCGGAAAGATGCGCGCGGTGCTCCACGTCCTCGCATTGGCGCCATTGTGTGTTGTGGTCTGCTGTCCACTGCAACGCCCCAATCCCCGCCAGAAATAAATCTAGATGGTCCGTGCTAGCGAACCACAGCGCCAAGATTTGCCAGAATAATATCAACTGCCCCACCACGACGACGCCCTCGACACCCCCCGAAGGCTCACCCGCACCGCGACAATGTCCGCCAACGACTCCTTCCTGCACCTGGCGCGCCCCCTCGGCCCAGCCCCCGTCGGCGCCCAGCCCTCGACCGCCCCGCTGAACGTCGTCATCCAGCCGCAGGTGTGCACACATGCCGATACATGCACAGCTGCCCACGTCTAACCGTGTCAACAGGCCGTCTTCTCCATCCTCGACCACTCCATCCGCCGCCCCGCCGACCAGGAGCGCGTCATCGGCACCCTGCTCGGCACCCGCAGCGAAGACGGCACCGAGATCGAGATCCGCAACTGCTATGCCGTGCCCCACACCGAGACGGCCGAGCAGGTCGAGGTCGACATGGACTACCAGAAGCAGATGCTCGCCCTGCACCTGCGCGCGAACCCCCGCGAGGTCCTCGTCGGCTGGTACGCGACCAGCAGCGACCTGAACACCTTCTCCGCCCTCATCCAGAACTTCTACAGCCAGCAGGGCGACGGCACATGGCCCCACCCCGCCGTCCACCTCACCGTCTCCACCGTCCCCGGCGAGGACATCGAGTCGCGCACATACATCTCCGCCCCTATTGGCGTCACCGCCGAGCGCGCCGCCGACTCGTGTCTGTTCATCCCAGTGCCCCACGAGATCAAGTACGGCGAGGCAGAGAAGTCGGGGCTGGAGCTCATTTCCTCGGCCAAGGACCGCGAGGACCGCTCGCAGGAGATTGTCACCGACCTCGACTCGCTGGAGCGCGCCATCCAGCAGGTTCTCGACATGCTCGAGCGCGTCTCCAACTACGTCAACAACGTCCTGGACGAGGAGGCTGAGCCCTCATCCGCCCTGGGCCAGTTCTTGATGAACGCACTCAGCCTGGCACCAAAGGTGGACCCTGCCGACATTGAGCGCGACTTGTACGTCTTACCCACGTCCCCTCCCACCACCATCACCACAACTAACGCACCACAGCAACAACCACATCCAGGACGTCCTCGTCGTCTCGTACCTCGCAAACACCATCCGCACCCAAATCGACCTTTCGAACCGCCTCGCAACCGCAGCCCTCACCCTCGGCGGCGGCGACGCTCTTGCAGGCGAGGGCCAGAAGGACAGCGGCGACAACCGGCAAAAAGGCGGCGATCGACGGGGCGGCGGTGGCGGCGGCGGCAACAAGGGTAGGCAGCAGCGGGGACAGGAGGCATGAGCATGATTTACGACACATATCTTACAAGAGCTTGGGTTTGGCGTTTGGACCAAGGCACGCGATGGGGTTCTGCTGAGAAGAGGAATATCGTCTCGGCGAACAGGGGCGACAGTGCCAGAACGAGGGAGTGGGGCCGAGACCAGTTTTAGACGCGTAAAAGGGGGCAACGCCGTATCATGATGATGATGGTGATGATGGGATTGTAAGCAAAGTGCTTGCGTTGTGGAACGGAACGGAACATATAGGGAGTGGAGTGGAGTGGAGTGGAGTGTATATGGGGGGGCGTTCTGTATCTGTATGATTAGGCAGATCTTCCCCTACTCGCGCTTCCGTTGAGCTCGGGAAAGAAGCTCGCGAAATGAAATATGTTAAATCCTTCATTCTCTGTCTTCAATTTCGTGTGACACTTCCTGGCCCAGATAACTATACTCCGAGTAGTGAAGTTCGTAACCCGCTGTTGCTATGTTGGACGTGGTGTTATGAACAAGTCCATTGGTGGTGTTGGTCTGAAGTGGGTGGTGGGTAGGATAACGGTCGCCGATCTGGTCGGAGTACTGTTATTATGCGTGTAGCCTGACTGGCGATCCTTGACGAGCATACACGTAGAGCGAGTATGCCGAAAATCCCAACCCAGCTCCGAGACCAGAGCGTACGCAATCCCTCGAATCGCACACACGTCGCATCCCCCCATCCCCCCCTCAACCCTCCTTCTTCTTCCTCTTCTTCCTTGCCCCCTCCCCATCCCCCACCCCCTGTCCCACACTCTGACCCGCCTCCCCGCCCTGCTCCCCCAACCCCACCGCCTCGGCCGACACCTGCCCCTCATCCGTATTAAACGCCTTGCGCTTATTCTTGAGCTCCTTATCCGTCTCCAGCATATCCGACACGCGGCCCAATTTCCCCGTGTCGCGGCGGAGCATGAATTTGAAGTCGTCGAGTTTGATCTTGGCGCGGCGCGCGTGGTGCGCGACGGAGGCTGCTTCGTGGCAGGTTTCGATGATGTAGTCGGTTATTATTTCGTCGAGGAGGCGCTGCGTTTCTGGGAGGGGGTAGTCGTTGTCGCCGAAGGCGAGGAGGAAGGTCTCTACTGGGGGTGGGTTAGTGTGTGTGTGTTTTGTGGTTTGGGTAAGGGGGGGGGAGGTGGAGAGGAGGTCGGGTTGGGAAGGGGGGGGTGCGTACAGTCTTGCGTGGGGAATTGTTGGCCTTTTTGCCGGAGGCGCATGCGTACTTCTGTCATGATGGCGGTGGTGGTGTGTGGTTAGTTCTCTATCCGGTGTCTGGCTTTCGATTCCTGCGTGCTTTGCGAAGAGAGCCTCGCGCTCGCCCGGTCGTGTCGTTGTCGCGTGCTCGTCCACCGAGGCCAGTTCAGTTCAGTTCATCGCCAGCGTAAACTAGAACAATCGTCGCGTCTGTACCGGACAAGCACACGGGTCAAGTTGACCCAGCTAGGTAGCTAGTCGAGTAGATGACAGTGAGGATATAGTAGTAAGAGAGATGCGACGGACTTCCTAGGAGTGACGATCACTGCACGCACGCACGCACGCACGTACGCACAGACGCCCGCCTCACCTCACTCACTCACTCCCGCAATCGGCGTGAACTCGCTTTCCCCCCGACGCAGCGCATCGCATCGCAACTTGCAACGTAACAAACCTCTAAACAAGCAACCCCAACGCTTCGAACCCACCACACACACACCCCCAAACAACCCATCAAAATGGTACACCTCCCCCCCTCCTCCATCTACAAACTCACCCACTAACCCTCCCCCCCCAGACAGCCCTCTTCAACTTCCAATCCCTGCTCCTCGTCATCCTGCTCACAATCTGCACCTCCACATACGCCCACTACGTCTTCCCCGGCATCATCGACCGCAACAAGGATAACTACTTTGTCTCGCCGCTGTGGAAGGCTGCGCGTGTGGGCGAGCGACTGAGCCCGTATGTTAGTCTGGCGTGTGTGGTTATGGCTGTGAGTTGATATCTTCTATGTTGTGTTAGGAGAGTGAGGAAGCTGACTAGGGATAGGCGTTTGAGTTTATGGGATGAGGGTATTTAAAGAAGATGAATATGGTTGGGGGCATTTGATTCAGCAGGGTGTTATGGAGTTACACGGCATGTGTTATTCAACATGGGTGTCATGGTATGAATTGCGGATAAGGTGCATACACGTTGCAGCAAGAAAAGAGAAGAACGTGAGCCGCGCAAACTCGGTATTTCAAAAAACTCGTCAATTACAATATCCATCCATCATAGCATTAAAGATATATACAACAGCAAGTTCTGCGCTCGCTGCCTTTCATCGTCGTTTCAAAAGCGGTACAAAAAAGGGTGTCGTACCACTCACTCATCCTGTCTACCGTCCTATCCCATCCATCCCATCCCAACCAATTCAGTTCATACAAGAGATAATACACGGACGTAATCCAGCGCCGCCAGAACTCCCATCCGGACGCACGTGAGAGATGAGATTTCGTAGAGATTTTTGAGGAAAAAGAAGAGGAGGAAAAAAAAAACCAAGCAAACAAACTTGACATGTGCAGTGAGATAATAACAAGCTTGAGCAGAACATCCCCACCCATCCCCTTAACCCACCAACACCATGTATATCCGAGGACGAAGATGAAAATAAAAAATCAGTTTAACCACCAAGTAAAAGGAAAAGAATAAAGGAGGAAGTTTATACAAGAAGGGTTGAGAAAAAGGGAGGGGTGGGGATAGACGCGAGAAGGAGTTGAAGACCCTCAACAACAAACGGTAAGAGAACAGAGTTAACCGCTCTCACCGTCTAGTGTTTGCGACTCCCTTCGCCCTTCTCGAAACATCCATCCAATCTTTGTCGGGATCCAGTGCGCTCCTGCACACCCTCCACGTCACTCGCATCCTCAACAACTACGTCGTCGTTCATGATCAAGTCGGGCTGGCTGTGCGTGTCGTCTCCATCCTCGTCGTCATCATCGTCGTGGTCACTAACCAGGCCGGGATTAGAGTCAACCGTATTAGGGCTAAGGTCTACCGGCGAGTCCGGCATGTCGTGACTATCCTCAAAACTAACAGATGACGGGAACGAAAGCGGAAGACGAGCTTGCATATGAGCGTTGCCCTTCTTGCTGCCTAGTCGTGATAACGGTGCTTTGCTTGCAGGTGCCGCGTTGGGCGTGCTAGCCGGGAGACGCGCCAGCTGGGTTGGCCCGCTTACTATTGGCGTTGAAGCTGCAGTGTTTTCCGCGTGTTCGTCATCCGACGGCTCTATGGCGTCAAGGTCAACCTTTGAGCGTGCCGACTCAACAAGTGCTTTCAAGTCACCTGTGAAGCCGCGTTTTTCGAGCAGGGCGCTCATGTAAGGCGTCGAGGATGATTTGGTGAAGCTAGCGGGTGTGGCGGGTGTTGGTTCATCACATGGCGACTTGTTAAAATCACGATGTACATCCTTGGCTTGCGGTGGAGGGGCAGGCTGCGATGCCAGTGGATGGACAATGCCGGGGGCCGTAGGGACAGGGAAAACCACTGTCGGTGTGGCAACCGGGGAGCCTGTCGGTTCAGTTGCCGTGACCGGATTACCAGCTTCATTGATGTCAACAGGAATACCACAAGCAATGGCTGCCTGGTCGTGACTCTTGAAAACTTGACTGTGCTTGATTCGACAGTGGTTTAGGAATCCTTGCGTGTTCGAGAAGTTGCTGTGACCGCACTGAGCGCAGTAAAGTCGCACCCATTGGCCGTCCGTGGATCGCTTGTGCAGCAGAGGGTCAACCTTTGGTGCTGGTGCTGGAGTTTCACCGAGCGGCGGGATCTTCAACATTCCAGTCGAAGTTCGTGACATGCGGCCTTTACTCGCTGAACCGTAGTCTGCAAAGCTGCCGCGTGTCGTCCGGCCTTCACCAGTTCCAAAGTAACCCTGGGCTTGCTGAGTGAGTGCACGTTCGGACATGGGGTCGAACTTGATATCTGAGATCAGCCATTTGGCGTAATGGCGAGTGTAAGGACCATCTGCGACACCCCAAGGTGCTGCGTATTGAGGTTCAGTGTAGCCAGAAGGTGTTTGCAGAGACGATCCAACACCGAGGCTAAGATCCTGAGATAGCCCCTCGGTACCGGGAAATGGAATAATCGAACAACGTCTCAGCTGTTCCAGCGAAATTTGACATTTCGCCAGTTCTTGCTCGATAAGACGGAGTTCGTTGTGCTTTAGTAAAACCTCGTAGTTGATTTGCGCCTCGATCGCTTGTTGCACGCTGGTCAAGTTTGATTCCACAGATGCGGTTGGTGTGTTGACAGACTCGATTTTGATAACTGGTCTCTGAGACTTTGGTACTCTGCTCTTGCATACACCTTCTTTCTTGGTAGGTTGCGCCTTTGCGCGCGACTCCAATACTTCTGCAGAGGCAACCTTGGCAACGTCTTGCGGCTCAACAGAGTTCGCAGACTCAGAAACCACTCCATTCACAGAGTTCGCGGCTCCGTTCGCAGCCACTACTGGCCTCATCTCTCCTTGCGCACTCTTCCACTTCTTCACAACCTGCGCATGCTGCGACACTGCTGGTTCGGGACTGTCGACCCGCTTCCGCTTTATTTTGCTCAAATAGTTTGGCATTTCGCAGATGGGCATCGGTTTTGGCTTGTGCAGCGCAGCTTTTTCCATGATCTTGTCGCCAGGCGACTCCGTACTCCATGAGAGACGGAACATAGATTGCATGGTGAGAGAAGTGGAAAGTTAGAACAGGCAGCGCTCATCGGTCGTGGCGAAAGCCTGGTGCATCAAAGTCTAGGAGCTTGCTGCCGCAGAATGACGTTGACACAAACAGTCAGTGCGCAAAGTCGAAGATGATGCGATAAAATGGGCAGATTATTAGGAGATGAAGTGTGTATATAACAGCTCGAAGGAGTGCGAGAAGGAAAACAGGCAGCTATTAGGTAGCGTCGTGACGTGACCAAGAGGCTGCAATGTGTCGCGATGTCGGACAGCAGATAAGGAAGAACAGGCGCCACCAGTGCGAAAAAACTGGCGAATAAATCGTGGTTTCGAGGGAGACTTGTGTGCTACCACTGTGCAGCACTACAAAAGCCGTCCGCAAGCGTTGTTGTGGTGGTGGAGGGGGGAGGGGCGCGAATGTTGTTGTGGTGATGAAAGCGAAGAGCGCCGAAGGTGGGCATCTCTGACTTCCTGAAGTTCCACGGCTATGGAAGCGGCTAGTCCTCACTCAGCGCCGACGGCTGCACGGGGCAGCCACGACAAGGATGTGCCTTCCCCTGATTCGATCGTCTTGTAAAGGATTCGAGGTCAAATCACTCTTCCCGATGCATGGAGTGTGCTGGAATACCGTCAAAGTGACAGATCGTCGGCGCGACTCACACGCAGCGACGGTGCATGCATGCTCTCCCATAGTTGAACGTAAACAGGAGCCAACGCTCGCAATGCACGCCTTTGCGCTCGATCGCTTCGCAAAAAGAAGGTTTCCGAGCGTTTGGCCGCGGCGAATCTCTACATCATAAAAATGGTCCCCTTAGCCGGGGTGCATCACCAAGCCTACCAACAAACGTTGGACAACAAGGCGCGCTGCATTGTCTCAGCGCCGCTGTCACGTCAGATATTGACTCACACCAAGACCCCGCCGCAAGACACCTCACAGCAAGTTGACACCCTCTCGTGTCCACTCTTTCAAAACGCTGTAATTACGGCGGGGAGGCGAGGGCCGCGTCGTCGATTCCTTGTGGAACGTGGGACATGCGCAAGTTTGTGGAGCCAAGCGGCATTGATCCGCATCGCATCGACTTGCACGCAGCCACACGCCACGCGGGCTGAAACACCACTACACAGGACCTCAACACCATGACGAGAGATTCGCAGCCATCAGGTGACCTGGATAGAGTTGAGGCAATGCACACTTGCGCGCGTCTTTTTGAAACCGTTGTGAATCGTATTCTACAGGAATAATGAAGCTGGAGGCGAGTACATTGTCACAAGGAAGTGTAGGTGTAGAGGTGTGCGTTGTCCGAGTAGACTAGTCCGCGGCGTCGGACTCTGATCCGGTTCTACCCAGACCCAAGCTTAAAAGTCCCTCCGAGACACCGGTATGGCTCTGTGCATTGATTGGTGATTTGCGAAATTATTACCCTTTGCCCAGATATATACAGCGCCCAACAACCGCCACGAAGTTGGCAGTAATAAAGATCGGCAGCTTCAGATATGTTCTGCCCAAGCGTTATAATCCTCATGCAAGGCTGTCCTTTCATTGTACGTCTCCATTGATCAAGTCGCACTGCTGTCAGCATCGTGTGGTATCGTGCTGGACGGCGCTGAATGCGATGAAGCAGGGGTAGTAGCCTCCCTCCCCTGTGCTTGCACCGTGAGGTTCTTGAACGGGCATGAGCCAGAATCTCCAATCTCACTCTCGCCTTCATCTCCATCATGCAATATCTTTTTGCCATGTAGATAACCCTCTGGTTCAATCTCAGGCGCAACACGCTCCTCTGCAAACTCATCCCCATCTCGAACATACCACTTCGCGAAAAGATCGTTCTGGATCCAGATGACCTTGGACAGCGCCCTGACAAGCGCAATCTTTCGATCCATCTTCAGGCGAGGATGTGAGAGGATGGCCTCTGTAAGCACGTCTTGGATAAATGACAGCGTCACGCCTATATGCACGTATTCGACGTGTAGAGGATGAGCCCGTCCTTGGCCGACGTGCATCATACCGACTTTATCAAGGTACTCCCAGAACTCCATCTTGCTTGGATCGCTGCACAGCTTGGTGAGGTAGCCTCGAAGGAACAACTTCCGGTGCAGAATCTGAGGCGAATTCTCGTTGAGGTTTGGATCAACCGGGCCTTCGTACGACGTTGACCGTGTTTCGAACGCGCGTGCTGTGATGTCGTATTGTAGGAGCTTCTTGTAGACGATGTTGACGATCGCGGGAATCAGCATCTTTATGTATTTTGCTCCGGTAATGAGCGCTTCGATGTCACCTAGCGACGTCAGCAGGTGCGATCAGATCAGGAAGGATATAGAAGCGTACGAGAGCTGAAGTCGAGGAATGAGTGGAGATATTCTATCCTGGTTTCGAGATTGGTGTAGAGCTCTCGACGGTCGAAATGCTGCATATGGCGGCGGGGAAGCGTAGCCATCTTGAATGTAGTTGCAGTATCAATGTGCTACTTTTTGGGAGATCAAGTCGGTATTGAAGCTCGGTGCGATGGTACGTGTTTGTCAAAATGTGGTTACTGGGTATGATGGTCAGTGTAAGTTGTTCGTTCCTTCGAAGCGGGGTTTCTTATAGAGATCATCGTTGATAGCTGATGAGGCTTCCTGGGTGAGTAAGATGCTCCTACTTTGGGTGGTGTGGTTCGTCGTAAGACGACATGGCGTGACACCTTCGATCGAACCACCCAAACAACAGCCTGCCAAGTCGCACACAATTTCCTTCGAGAACGCAACGTTACACACATCGCTTTTAGACCATGAAGGCTACATGACTTGTGTAGTTTTGCCGGCGATGTTCGGTTAGAGAAGGCTCGCGCTTGGTGTTGTACTCTACCAGAGTAACCAAAATGTGCATCTCTTCAGCTTGCCGTATGCATAAACAACAAGCAACATATTGTTCATTGACCTTGACGAGAAATTCTCTTTAGAAGTTACCATGTCAAACCAAGTCTGTATTCACCCATGCTTCGATGTTCATGGGAGGCTCTCTCCTGTGTCTGACGAACATAATGAGCACCATGAGTACATGATCGCCTGGTTGGAGTCCAGACATGTAGACCCAAAATCAGACTCTACCTATATTTCCTCGAACTTCGAATATTAGTGACCTATGAGTAAGAGATGATAATATAGTAAGTTCGAAGGCCTTTCTGCTGCCAGTATTTCGGTGTACATGTTCTAGAAAGGTGCTATGGTCGGGACTAATATATGTGAGGAAATGTATATTAGCGAGTATGGATGCTTGAGGAAGTTTTCGCCTATCAAGTTCATGCTTTACTCGCTTCTTCCAAGATGATGACCATGCGAGGTGCGTGGAGCTGATGTCCCTCAGCCTTACAGCTATCGACCATCCTCGCGATGAATGTAATTGGACAGCTACACGAGTAATCGCTCGCACGTCTCGAAAAGAACCCCATTCGCGAACAAGGTGGGGTATTGCTGTGTGAAGAGCTCGAGAGTAAGCGCGCCCGCGGTTTCGTCGACAACTCGGTATCGCTAAGTGCTGACGATTTCTTGTCAAAGGACAGTTAGCTTGCATTTGATTTATGTCATGGTATCGTGATGACGTTTTCTGATGGGCTCGTTAGGAGAGCTGGATGTGAGAGTTTGAACCAATCACAAGCAGCCACTACTTATCAACAATCGATTCGACAGAACTCCATGCTAACCGGTAACATCGCCAGTCCGATCTTCCACCACCCCAGAGTTCATTAGATCCCCTCACACCGAAGACTGCTGCATTCGACAGACAACATGGCCATCAACAATGTCGCCTTGATAGGCGGAACCGGGACTCTAGGTGCTCCGATGCTCAAAGCGCTGAAAAAATCTGAATTCGACCTTTGGATCTTGAACAGACACAGCTCTAAGTCAGTTTATCCTGGTACAAGAGTCATCACTGTCCCGGATGATCTGGACGTCGATGCAGTGGCGCAAGCCCTTCGAGACAACCAAATTGACGCTCTGATCATCACAATCGCGGGAAGCCACGTCGAGTCACAGAAGAAACTCATCGATGCTGCGTTCAAAGGCGGCGTCAAGAGGGTGATGCCAGCCGAGTTCGGTAGCTGCGATTCTGCGGATGAGAAGACAAATGAAATTCTGCCCCTCATGAAGGGCAAGAAGGTCGTGCGAGACTATCTGCTTTCGATGCAAGACAAGGAGCGCGATGGTGGTGCGGGCAAGTTGACATGGACGAGCTTGGTCACTGGACACTTCTTCGATTATGGTCTCACCTGTGGTTTGTTGAAGTTCGATGTCAAAGGCCGGAAAGCCTACCTTCTGGACGGCGGCGACATCAAGTTTTCCGGATCGAACTTGGAATTCATCGGCAACGCAGTCATCAAGATTCTAGAGAAGCTAGAAGAAACCGAGAACAAGCTTTTGTATGTTCATAGCCACTACGTCACGCAACTCGAAGTCCTTGCTGCGCTGGAGAAGGCCACAGGCGATAAGTTCGAAAGGATCGACGAGAACAGTGAGGAAGAGCTGAACAAGGTCAGGCCCAAGATGTTGGGAGGTGATGGGGAGGCAACAGAAGAAGTCGTTGCGATCTGGGGAGTCGTTGCAGCTGACTGGAGTAAGAGGGAGGGCTTTGCGAATACGTTGTTGGGGCTGAAGCAGGACGACCTTCAAGAGACTGTCAAGGAAGTTTTGGCTTCTCTATAGTTACTTCTAGTGATTCCAGCGTGTTCAGACACACGACATCACGTTCTGTCGATGGGTGCTGCATGTCTTCAGGTGTTTGGTCAGATGAGCAACATCACGATGTATCGTGGAGCATCTCAGCTAGCCATACTCACATTAGCTACGCATGTTCTATTGTCTTTTGTTGTCACAATAGTAAGCTCAGACCTATCACTAGCAATTGAATCGCCCAGGTATGTATATCTACAAAAGAAAAGTAAGACATATGGTTCCCAACTCCACCTTTCCAGCCACATCATGATTCCTACATCTTCCCCTTCCAGGAGTTTCCTATATTCAACTATACATCGGCGCCGAGTTAATAGCTTGGTCACAAAAGTAAAGAGTAAGAAGCCTTCTAATCTTGGTCCTTTGCTGCAAGATATTCGAACCAAACTCGGCAGCAATTGGACGTTCTATCAGGAGTGCCTGGATAGTATCGTGGGAGCTGCCGCTCGCGAACAAGACACTATTGCTTGGTTAGAGCAGATGCAGCAGGTTGTAGAAGGAAGAGAAGATCTGGTGTGTAGCCATGAAGGCGTGCTCTTCTTACTCAGTGAGATGGGCATAGCGTTGCCTAGACAACAGGGCTTTGTTGGAGTAGAGGCAATCGCACAAGCAACCTCATCACAACCACAAGACGGTTATACACTGTCTTCTGCTTCGTTAGTCGACATTATGGCTCCTTCACCACTTTCCCGTGCTTTGTCGACTCCTCCGCCATCATTCACCACCGTCAAGATACGAACACAACCCCAAAATCTCCCTGAACGCATGAGAATCACACCTTTCGACTTCAACCCGCCTACGCCTCCTCCCTCCGCAACCTTTTCGCCCCGAAACACCGCCAATTTCGCTTTTCAAGGTGCGGCGCCCTTCACTGCCTGCACGCCCATCAGGCTGGCAAGCAATGTGGATCCTATCTTCTTCACCGATCCGGACTTCCAGCGAGATATACAGAAGTTCTTCGGAGTCGCAAGTCGTAGCAACGGTAAACCGCAAGTAATGCGCAAACCTGTACGCCATCAAGACGAGACTGAGCTCGTTCCGCATTACAGCGCTAACGAGGACGATCTGAATGTCTGGATGCGGCGATTCGAGGCAAGTAGCAAAGTGAAGGCGACTATCGACCAGGGCAGGGCCGTGGTACGTACCGACGGACGCGAAGAGCTTGATGGCTTACGACATGACCTGCGGAGAGACAAGACGGAGAGATATTAGGGTACAGGTGGAGGTCGTGGCTGACGCTTCCTGTATTTCTGGGTAAGGGAGGGCGGTTGTATGCGACGACAAGACGTCAGACTGGAATGGTTTTTGCGGCGTTAGGAGGGCACGATACCTATTGAACAGACAGTGGAACGGGTGCTCATACTTTGGGTTTGCATACACACGGAGTTGGTACGGCATGGACGATACCCTACTAGATAGGTTACGATTGGAATTCCTCATCACGAAGAGCCGTCACGGCGCTGGCATAGCATGAACGGCACCCTAATGAATAAGACACAAGCAACGACTCGCTCTTTGTTGTGAAAACTCGCTTGACTATCAGTCCTCTCCGACCCATAATCCCCTTCGCAGCCACATGAAATGATTTCAGAATCATCTCGATGTCATGGTATGCCCAACGCCCAAAGCTTAACATTCTGAATGGCAATTCTGGTAAAAGGTGTCGAGCTGTTGGAACCGAGCCCGTTCGCGTCGTTCCAAGGTTGAGGCCGAGAGATACCGAGGATAAAGAAGTTGCTAGGCTCTACGGATTGGAAGACCACGCTAATATAGAAAGCGGGGAGCGAGACCGCAGTGTAGATATCCGTGACCACAACCGTGAAGTTCGCCCTGATCTCCGTCGTGTCGAAGGTATTCGGCGGGTAGTAAATATTCTAGAGAGGTATGTTGTATGTCAGGTGAGTGGTGAAGTCGAGGTGTTGTGTTATTGCAAGGGGAAGAGAGCAATTAAGCGAGTCGTTGGTCCTGACAGTCGTTAGAATTAGAAGTGAACGAGTGGGGTTGAGTAAGGGTGAACGCTGAACGTTACATGCGAGTGATTGTTGTGTGATCCTTTCCGACTAAGGTATGAGTGGTTAAGTTCTAATGTTACCAATAATTGGGAATTCCCTCAGAATCTATCATCTCAGCTGAGGCAACTAGCTTTGTTGAGTATAATTTGCTCGCATGATCTCCTCACATCACGGTATGGTGTAAGATTCGTGTAGAGTCGACCGGTCTCACCACTAGTATTTCCGATTTCGACATCCGGACTAGATTTAGGGTCATCAAGCTCATCACACGCAGAACATCTTAAAGTAGTAACTGGACAAATTCACATCCAAGTGAAGGGCTGGGTAACCTCTCACTGTGATTGGAGACTGATTTTACAACAATCATCAAGACGCCTCGGTTCCAGCAACATTCCACCTCTTAGCAAATGGGTCATGGTCTGGATCTGTCCAACGAACGTACTCCGCACTATCAGCCAATTCCTGCGCAATCTTCTCCCCATAGTGTATCGACACAAAAGCATACGTAGCGTCGATGCCCGCACTAATCCCTGATCCAGTGACAATGTCGCCGTCAACCACCCAGCGAGCAGCACCCACCCAGTTTACCTTCGGTCCAGTTCCGGTCGCCCATGTCCATGCACGCTTGTTTGTGGTAGCGCGACGGCCGTCAAGTATGCCCGCTCGCGCTAAGATAGTCGCCCCAGTGCAAACAGAGAGGACAGCTTTGAGCGTGGGATACATCCTCTTGACGAATTCAATCTCAGCGCTCATACTCCCGCGTGTGCCGACTCCGCCAGGCACAATGAGAACATCGATAGCATCGGGGCTTTCCTCTCCCTTTTTGACCGACTCTTGGATTTTGAGCTGCTCTTCAAACGTCCGGTCTACGATCATACTTTGGGTAAAATCTGTCTCCGGGTGAGATCCCATCATATTGCCAGCCCGCTGATGAGAAGTAGCCACCGCTTCGGATGAGCTCGCAAGCATAGTCAGCTTCGTGGGGAAGTGGTAGAGCATAAAGAGCGAGTTGAAGACATCTAGCGGACCGAAGACATCGAGGGCTTGAAATCCTGGGAAGAGCAGGACACCATAGTGTACCGGTCTTGTGGTGTCAAACAATGTCGAAGTGGATGTAGGAGTTTGTGGAGTTGATTCTGACGTAGAAGACATGATTTTGTTCGTGGAAGTCGTGTGCTGTAACACAAAGGGGACTCAGGAACTCCGATGGCGGGGTAGCTTCATAGATGTAGGTACATTTGCGGCTGATATCAGCGCTACCGGGCACCTAAGCTGAGTAAGAAAAGAACTCATAATTGGCAAGTTCAGGTTTCAGCTCTCAGCCAGATGGAGGCTGAGCAAAGTCGTTGCGATTGGCCTCGGAATGAAGCTTCCGCGGCGTTCTAATTTGACCGCGACTGGCGGGTCTGCGTTCCAGAGTCAGGAGTTCGAGAGCCAAGTCCACGATAAAACATATTTGCTTGTTGCTTCCAGAGAAATTGGTTAACTTGGAGGAGTTTCAAGTAGACCCTCTGATTAGTCTACTCCCGAATCAGCTCCACCAACAGTCTCTGCTAAGCTAGCGATGTTAACGTAAGCAGGACACTAAAAAGGCGACTACAAGCTTGAACTGCTCACCTATAACCTACTAAGTTCTTGAGTTAAGTACGTAAATATGTGCTAGCTACCTTGGAAGACTGCTTTGTTGTTCTGCTAGGTCAATCATCGTCACAGAAACCGCAATCAGACGTGTTTCACGACTGACGAGATGTAACCATAGGAAAGGCGACATAGAACATTCGATGTACCAAACCCTAGCCAGAAAGACAATAAGTATAAACTAAAAAAGGAGGATATTGGTGTTATTTTTGAGTTGAAAGATACTCGGATGTTGTCTGATTTGGAACGGAGGAGGACATGACGCGAAAGCCGATCTCGCTGCATCTAACACTGTGCAGTTGATAGGACAAACACAAGGAATGAAACTTTGACGTTAGTACTGCGTAAATGAGTTGGGTATCACAACGCACTGCTGGACATATTGGACAAAATTTAGTCCAGATTTTCCCCTTCTCGTCCATCCAATCCTTAGGGTGTCTTCGTCACAGAAACCCGCGACACGGTTCCGATCGAGAGCCAGACTTGTCCTAATCAAACGCGTCAACAACTTGCGCCTCTTCTAAATTTGTAAATCGCTGAAGAAGTGGAAGATGTACATAATAAACCGGTCTAATATGAGGAAGATTTACACTGACAGCATGAGAGCGTCTGAGTCGGGTGGATTTCTTTATTAGACAAGTATCTTCTCATAATTATTGAGGTTGATTATGGGTCTTGTCTCTTCGATAGATCACAAAAATATTCAAACCTACTCGTCGCTCATGCTTAGATTCTGAAGTCGAGGACACCAGCAGTTAGCGACGTAAAGCGGCAAAACCTGAGTACTCACTCAGCTATGCCTCCTTAAGGCTGAACCACTCAAAGCTCCTCCAGTCTGTCGACGCCCCTATCCCTATTCAACACTACTCTCACCATCCTGCCCTGATCTTCGAAGAACCCCTCCCGCAGCTTATCCAGATACACCTCATAGCTTGGCATATATCCATCCACAAACGCCCTAACCTGCTCATCGGACATCCCCGACCCCTTCACCTCAATCATCTTATGCTCCTGCTGCAACCGCCATGTATACACATTCCGCAAATCCTCCGTATCGATATGCACGAAGAAGTCAAAGTGCCGAGGTCCCATAAACGCATCGCAATACCTCCTGAGATTTTCGTTGACTTCAAGAAGATGCGAAAGCCGATGGTTCGCTGGAGTATTGACGACGAGTTTCCCAGACAGAGCAAGGGAGTGTTTTTCCTCGATGGACGAGTCGGGCAGGGGACGGAAGCCGATACACCAGCCTTCAAAGACTACAACGTCGGGCTTCGATGATAGCACTGGCCAGTCTGTGTCTGGTGCTCTATCACCTTCTCCGTTGTATTGGCTTTTGTCGAAACTGGGGATCTTTAGGTCACGGTCTCCTGTATACTCCCTAAGTTCTCCGAAGAACCGCCCTGCGAGCTGTTCGTCATGCGTCCCTGGTTGGCCACGAGTGCGGTACAGCTTGTTCTCCGGGTCTTTTTCTCGTTGTGCAACCAGATCGTCATGAGTTTTGTACAAATCGTCCAAGGAGATGGTTATCGTGTTGAAATTTTGCTCTTCTGAGAGAATCTGAACAATTCTCGATGCCCATGTGGATTTTCCGGAGCCTTGGAGACCGGTAATGCCTATGAAGACCGGTCTGGAAGAACTTTGACGTTGGATTCGGATCTTTGGAAGGAGTTTGTCAAGCACACGACGGATGTTCGAGTCGAGTGTAGCCATTGTGAATTGTTGCTCGAAGGGGTAGGTCAAACGTTGCTGCACACCTCTCTTGTGACCGATGATGGCTTGTGATGAATTGTCACCTTCTAAGGAGGCAACGTGACAGTTCTCGGGATGCTATTCGCGCGGAGAGAGCCCGACTGTGCTTGCACATTGAGAGTACGTCCGAACATGAGTTCGACTCGCCTTCGGTCCGAGCTTCCCCGCACCACTCTGGTCTGAGCCCCACCCTCAATGAACGTCGTGGAGTTTTACAGCATAGTTACTGACGAAGGCGAAGGTGGATAAGACAAGAAGCGATTCAAGAAAGAACAGAGTCTACATCTGATACCAGACCTTCACATCCTGCATTTGATGCACTAACAGCATGCTTTAGTCTGATGAACTCTGACTGTGTGCGTCAAAAGATCAAAGGATAGTCCATCATAACTATCATCAACGAGTGTTATACAGCCACTCGGTAAGGCCCTGAAAACATGGCTGTGTACGAGTGTACCTAAAGTCATGTCATCTGAGCAGATGCAAAGATAAGACCACATTTATCCACAATTGATCTGATTCATGAACATCGTGAGATTGTTTTAATCTGAATCGGCGTCATTGGATGGTGCGCCTTAATGTCGTCACATAGAAATCGATGATGCTTTGCCAACTAGTCTTCTTCTTGCACTGGCGGAAGAACATTGCGTAGCTAGTGGTGCGCGCCGGGGTTATGTAAACCCGTCCACGATGTTATCAGCCACACGATGCGACATGTTCTAGTGTTCATCGGCGCCTCGGTCCAGCGAATGGTGAGCACCCGATCTCACACAGACAGATGCATCTCGAACCCCAAATCTTGATCTTGCGGGACGAGATCGAACCGCGGCTAATGGTATAACCTGGGTTACTTTCTATCAAACTCTATTTGGTAGCAATAGTTAAAAGTACACCCGGTAGATAGGTTTCGTTATCCAATGTTGAAGCGGATCACAATCTCTATTGCTCTTTGCCAACCCTTTGAGGACTTTTGTTGAGATAAGCCTCACGATGTGAAGAACTTGAATCGATGTAATGATCCGCCAGCCGTGCCGTATTTTTAGTCGCAGCTCGTGTTTGAAGAACATGTCTCTGACGGCTGGCCATGTCGAATCTAGATGAAGGCCGATGTGCGAGGGCAACACACCCCCATGGTTTCTACAATTCGATGGCATTAGTACCCGTGCCGCAGTACTGCTGGTGCTACCGCGCTGCGCTAACCAGCCGCAATGAGAAGTATTGGCGTCAGCATAGACATGCACGCGCACAATGATTTGAGAAAACAATTCTAGAATGGTGGCTGCGGACGGTCAGAGACTTGGATTCGCAGGCTAAGTTGTCCATAATGTATACGTAGTTGAAGTTGCGCGGGATAACGCCCACAAGTATGTGTAATAACATACGGTACCTGGCGCCTCCGATTAGCGAGGTCGTCTTCAGGGTCTTCTGGAGATTCGATCTGCGGTCAAATCCGCAAGGCAAGTAACATAGGTTAGCCCGGTCGGCGATGCCCAGATGCTAACATTGTTGTGGTCACCGGAAGGTAGCTGGAACGAAGAGAACACTTCAGCATTGCCTGACTTGACAACCCTACCATGTGTACCTCACAGATCTTCTAGCTCCGTATACGACACGTAAGTCCCTCACTCCTCTGTGTTGTCTTCGAGTAGGTAACAAGCATTATGGTGGAAGCAAGCTTCCTTTGTTTTCCCTCACCGTTTTTCTGTAAATTTCTGAACCCCTTGGAACGTCCAAGAGCCTCAACAAAGAGCCTCACAACGCCATCCTTGTTCTGGACTCTAGGAATGCATCCGTCGGGGAACTGCGCGACTCTCCGATGCGCCTCAGGATGAGAGAAAAATTGCTGTCGAGCACAATGTGCGCTGATGCGTTGTCCGCACTTGTTTTTAGTCCGACTCTTCGATTTGTTATCAGATTGTAAAAATTGTAAAAGCGGACCGTGAGCGGAAAAAGGAAATCCTTCACTTTCCGACCTGACTCGGGAGTGCCTGCCGAGCCGATTATTTCTTGCGTGAGAACGTAAGTTGGTCACACCAATGTGGTCAGAGGCTGGCGACGAGTTTTTCTTCTGTCGCACGAACGATCACTGGACAATGCTGAAACATGATCCGATGACATAACGTCTCGGGGCTTTCAGGATATGCTCGGCATTGTCGGGACCAAAGGATGCCGGAGATTCACGCACTTCCGGTCATCTTACTAACGGGTGGAGACGAGGGGACTGTGCTTTGTGTGCTGGCAGTTGAGCATAGGCAACGAGCAAAGAAGAAAGTTTGCGAAGAAACCATGCGTCCGTCGCAATTCACGATATGCGCCACCATGACATGATACGCAAAATCTTGAAGGGTCTGGCGGATGGTGCTCACGTTGCGCCATAACGACTATCGTGCCGATCCCATATCGCAACGAACCCCTCTTCCAAGCCGCATGACGAGTGAGTAGGCTGCGAGCGCGTGGGATGATAGCTTTTCGCTTGTCCGTGTTGAGAGGGGTGGTCCATGCGGAAAACCATGTCGAGTTGTTCGGGCCGCACAGAAAGTGCGGAGAAGGTGGAGCCAGCCGTCCAGTCGTGTCGGGCGAGCGACCGGTGTGCAGATACGACGTCCAATTGATCGCGCTGGAAGCCTGCATGCGAAATGTTGCCCGCCCAGGGCTAGGGTCTGGGGGCGGCGGCTGGTGCCAGCCTGCTGGTGTTGAGACGCGTAACGACGTTGGATGCAAGGGATAGGATGTCTGCCTGCCTACAAGCTATCGTACGGTCTTCCTTTACCCTTGTCTTGTTGACAAGCGTGGCTCGCCGACTGAATCTTCGAGTAAATTTCTTCCTAGCATACAGAAGCGGTCCGATGCCGAGAGTCAGTCGTATCCAGATCTTGTGACATGCATGACCGTTTGAGACGCTACAAAGGAGGGCTTGGGCCTGGCCTGGTCTTGTTGCGGCAGTCCGTGGAAGTACTATGTATTATCGTAGGACAAGCACCGCTTGGACTCAAGTGAGTGACCCTTGGCGGGATGTGCAATGCCAGTGAGACATTGTCGCAGTTGATGAAATTTTTGTAATAGGCTATTATTGAAATGTCACGAAGTGAAGGTAAGATGGTGTGATGATTATTCGATTTTCGCCATGGTCTTTACCAATGGTCATTCCCTCTGTTCGTGATGCCCAGGCACCGACTTCCTAAGTACATACTAAAGCGGAGACTAGACGCATCGATGATGTCGTCTGTAAAAGTGAGGGGGATATCCAACCCCGAATCCAACCGCCCTTGAATCCTCCAGGCTCCAATGCAGATTCAAATCGACTCCTGGCTTCAAATGCTCTTGATAACGTACATATATGAGCGACCACCTAAAACAATGCTTGGGGGTTGTTCCAAAACGAAACAACGAGAGGGATATAAGTACTTTTGATTGTACACCGCCGAGCATCCACAGCCTTGAACATAAGAAATAGTATAATACCGAAACGTAGATGCGGGGAACGAGATGCACTCAACAAACGCCGTGAGCCAATGCCAGGTCTCAGTCGTTAGAAGCGCCAAGATGAATGCGAATATGACAGTAGCGTGCTCCATAATGCCTGCCGAAAGGGTCGTAGCCGTTCGGTCTTGTGTGATGTTCGTAATGCCGGACTCCTCGAAATGATGGCACAAATACAGGAAATAAGAAACAGAAGAGCGTGATCAGTAGCTTAGTACTGTGTTTGTCGCCTCTTCATGTCTCGTGTTTGGTCGAATGCACGTGAGTAGCTGTTGAGTTGAGTGGCAGCTTGTGCTGTGATGCCTGACGAAGTTTGAGAACCATTTGATGCGAGTGACGACCGTGAGGATGATGGGGTCAGACTGCGCTGCGATTGCCTGGTTGTCGTCGATGGTGCGAAGTATGAGCCGTTCGTTGTTGGGTAGTAGTGGTATGGACTGGAAGGCGCTTTGTATGCTGAGAAGTTGACGGCTGGCGGAAGGTAGAACCCGTTGTTTGACGAAGACGTTGAGGAAGCAGACGATGACAGCTGTGACGATGCTCGTGACTCTGTGTTGCCAGCCTTTTCCAGATCCGCCAAGCGGCACGATTGTGAGCAGTAGGTACCACCCTCCGCAATCTGACGATCGCAGGACAGGCAGAAGTCGAGAGACCAGCCCATGTCGGAAGCCATTGAGAGGTGCGAGGATTGGTGTGGTGGGGAAGGGGTGGTGGTGGTTGGTAGACGCCGGTGAGCAGTGGACGGCTGAGTGATACGGACGTTGGTGTTGTGTTGGAAGAGGGACAAGGGAGAGAGTTATAGTTGAGAGGAAATAGCTCTCAAATAAGAGTCATGAGATAATTGTGAGTCTTAAGCGGAAGGGCCAGCAGATGGTAGTTATTGTGGAGACGGGAGCAGGCGATGGGGACCTAACAGTAGAGACCGACGCTCAGGCACGCCCCCACGCACTTTGCATCGACAAGGATACCTGATTTTTTCCTCGAGCCGCCGTACCCTTTTTTTATGCACCCCTCTCGTACGCAAATCGCACTAACCCAATGCCTGCGCCATCAGCGTCGTTCCGACGAACAGGTGCAGCGCAAGCCACCTGTAATTCGCTCAGGCAGAGATATGCCAGCCTAGGTGCAGCTTCACGGCGACGAGACGATTCGCTCAACGAAGGAGATGTTCGCTCACTTGCAGCTTCCAGAGCTGGCTCTAGCGCCGCCTCCAACATTCTACAGTGTGGTTGATCGTTGCAACGATGGGCAGTTTATCAAAGCAGCTTCTATCTTGTGACGGCATGGTTCTGTGTGTGTGCTACGCAATCAACCTCCCTGGATGACGAGGCTATCATGTCTAGTCATCTGATCTGCCCTGCGCCGGACGGATAATGTAGGTGAGGGTGCAAGCACTGCCTATTCGAGAATGGCATAAAACTAAACAGGAGAGCAGGAGATATCGGTTTCAGCGGTCATGGGGCAGATGTCCTCATGCCCACACACTCGTTGATGATACTGTGTTGCTCCGCAGCTCCCGGTGCTGTTATTCCCGCGACATGTTCGCTCTCTACTGCAACTGCCCGTCAACTAACTATGTTTCGTCAAACGCATCCGATATGACCGAACACTAGGCCTGGTGCTCGCCATCTTCGGTAATATGGCGAGCAGATGTCATGATGTATGGACGCAGGGGCAGATCCGTATTATAGTTTGGCCCTGCAGCTGAGTCGAGCGTGATAATCTCTCTTCCACCACCCACACGATCTCTCATAAGCAGCAGGTTTTGTGCGTGGGATGCTTTGGAACACATCCAGCCTGGAGAGATCACAAGCTCGGAGTGCAAGCATATCTCGTAGCGTTCAGGCCATGGTTCATGGTGGCCCAAAACAGAATAGCCACGGATTGCGACTATCGAAGACGTTATCTGTCGCGATTCCCGCCGCGCACTCGGAGCGTCAACTCAACCATTGTTAAGGAGTTTTTGCACATGTACAACCTGGGTTGCGCCACCTCCCAGTTAACGATCTGCATTATGCCTCCCGGACTTGACTACCGTCCTGGAGGGATCTGGGAACCATTCCTCAACAATTTGCAGCTATCTCCGAAGGACCACCCAACTCGGATCTTCAGCTGCGATAGATTGCGATACACCAAGTGTCAGGGAAGTCCTCCGTCGCTGCGAGGAGGACTTCTCGCTTCGCTTCACCTTCAGTGCAGCCGTGTTGTCCCCGATACGGGAGACTTGGACCTTCTTCGGGAAGTCCGAGGGCAAGTAAAATGGTGATCGGTGGCCAGAACGCCTGTTTGGTGAGCATGCCGTTCATGGCTTGCGCAGGTTAGCAAGCAGGCGTTGATGTTCAGCTCAGCAAGCGAGATCACGATCATGCATGCGTCCTCCTACCAGAGCAGTCTGTCAAGTGCACCCTGCAGGCTGGACAAGAACGCCATTTGGTGACTTGCAGACGGCGGCATATTGCTCATTCGTCCGTTGCCCAGACGCGCATGTGGAAGACCCCCACCTTGCTTTTCAAGCTCAAGGCCAGGAGGCTTCGTGATGGGCAGGCTGCAGGAACAGGACGTGAAATATACCTCATCTCTGTTGTTTATCCTTCGCGGTTAACGCTGCAAACTCTTCGTGCCGCATCTCACTCAGGTCGGTTGCTTGGACCGAGAGATATAAACAGCATGACGGGCCCGTGAGGATTACAGGCCTGGATTCCCCACGATCATTACGGACGCTAGCCCTTTGCAACATGCTGCGCAACAAGGCAGAGAGAGGACCATGCGTTGCAAACATGACAATCCCCTTGAAACTGCTGATGCCTTGATTGGCCTCCCTGCTGCGACCAGATTCCAATAGTGCTTGCTTATCCTGCATGTGCATGATCTCGCACACTCGAGCATACTCCTAAAACAATACTGTACAAAGGCGTACAGACGCTATGAGCAGTCCCAAGCACAGCTTAAAGCTTGGATACAGCACAAGCTCCTTACTAGGTACGATATTGACAAGCCTCACCCAAGCTGTCAATGTCGCGTAACCTTCTGCAATCAATTCTTGAACCTTCCAGCACGGCCCCAATGCGCACTTCATCAGGAATTCAATACACCCCCCCCCCCGGTTCGGGTGCCTAGTTTGGTGGAGGACCAATAGATAAGTGTGTACAAAGCCTCAAAAAGCCACTTTCAAGGGTCAAAAACCGCTATACAGGGCTTTAAATGCTAGTTTTTCTTCTAAAGGGGTACTTGTAAGGGTTGCAAAGCCTCTAAGCAAGGGTTGTAGCGAATAGGGGGCTCACGATAGACTTTTTTTCAACCAGGCACCCGAGCCGGGGGGGGGGGTGTACAGCAACCTCGCTTGAGGAAGGTGGATCCAACGATGGTCTCCCGAATCGGCCCGTCTACGGACGCGGGGTTGGCGTGGCTGTGATTCCCGTCCCGTGGTGCATGAAAGGGTGCCCTTGCGAGACAAGAGTGGATTGTGCTGTACTGTGTATTGTTGGAGGCGTGGGGATTCGGTCCGTTCGGTCTCCGTCAGGTTATTCACACTGTGAGTTGGATGTAATTCGGTCTAGGGTGCGTTTGTGCAGCAAGTGCAGTCTCAGAAGTCTCAGCAGTCTCTTGTGGACGCGGTCGCGCATGCGTGGATGATCTGGATCGCCTGATGTGCTGTGCTCCTGCTGTCCAAGAGGCTCGAACTTGCTCAAGACATTCGCATTCGACTTCGACTAGAGGTCTGCGAATCTTGCAGCACGCAAGAATGCGAGGCCCACCATGAGGTGGGGACCTCAGCTCACCAAAGAGCTCCACAGTAACAAACCAACGACCTCAGCCTAGTCCTCCACTCCTCAACACACCACTCACATCGACAATGGCGACATCGTACTCCCCCGAGCTCGCCCTCGCCCTGCGCGCTGTACACAGCGCCTCGATCCTCACCAAGTCCGTCCTGCGCACGCTCAAAAACAACGTCTCTGCCGAAACAAAGCCCGACTCCTCCCCCGTCACAATCGCCGACTTCGCCGCACAGGCCCTCCTCATTGCGGCCCTGCACGCCGTCTTCCCGTCTGATACATTCCTCGGCGAAGAGAGCGCAGACGCGCTGCGCGAGAATGAGGGGCTAGCAGACCGCGTGTGGGACCTTGTGCAACGACACCGAATGAGCGACGCGCATGGCCAGGATGTAGAAGCTTTGACGCTGCCACGCAGCAAGGAGGACATGTTTGATCTGATTGATCGCGGGGGGAAGGCGACGAAGACAAGTGAAGGGCGGGTGTGGGTTATGGATCCTGTGGATGGAACGGCGACGTTTATGCGGGGACAGCAGTACGCTGTTTGTCTGTGTTTACTCGTCGACGGCGTGCAGAAGGTCGGCGTCATTGGATGTCCCAATCTAGCTTTCGACGTGCATGGCCCGTTGGGACAGATGCGACTACATGAAGACCACGTCGATGAAGCAGGTTATGGCGTCGTGCTATCTGCCGTCGAGGGCCAAGGGACATATGTGCGCGCCATGCACGCCGACACTCTAGGGGAATCGCGACGCATTGATCTGACGCAGCTCGAGACGAGGGAATTGGTTGCGCTCAACTTTGTTGAGAGCACGATAGGCAAGACGTCACTCTCGCAGGCGGAACACAAAGCTGTCGCGGAGTCGCTGGGCGCGACGAACTGGCCTGGCACCGTTGTCTGGTCGCAGCAGCTCAAGTACGTTGCACTGGCGCTTGGCTCGACGGACGTGATGATTCGTATCCCAAAGACAAAAGATAGGTTTACATGCGTGTGGGATCACGCTGGCGGACACATCCTGTTCCAAGAGGCCGGTGGGGCGATCAAAGACTTCAATGGCCAAGCGATTGATTTCGCGCAAGGTCGCCATATCACAGGGGAGAACAACTATGGCATGATTGCCACGATGCCGGCGCTTTTTGATCAAGTCGATCAGGCCACTAAGGACGTCCTTGCACGTCGGTCGCAGTGATGCAGTTGCTCGTTTCTGTAAAAGAACGCACTGTGCGAAGAGTTGCCACGTGGTGCGAGGCGAGAGGCTTGATTAATTCGACGGAGATATGGAGCCTCACCGGACAGCTGCACTACTGCAGTGGGTATCACAGAGTGTGGGGTAAACAAAAATGAACGATGGGCAAATCACTGAGCGTGAGTCTCGCCTGAGCGTTATACTTTGTCTGGCGTCTCGATATCTTTAGGCGACACAAACATGCTCGTACAACGCAGCTTGCATGAGCTAGATTCTGCTACTAACCGTGAAGACCAGTATCTACCGTCACTGTGGAACTGCGGAGAAATCTCAGCAGAAATACTTATCCACTCAGCAAGGCTAAATGGCGTGACGTGGTGGTACTGAGGTTGTGAAACCGTGTACTTGGATTGTATTTCCCCGAATCATGCATACCCTCACTGAGCCGTTCAAAGCCGTATACTGTCCCACTCTTTACGATGCACCACCTCCATTTTTCCGAAACGACACCTTCTCCACAGCAACGTTCTCGTTCCCTTCCGCATCCTTGCGCAACTGGTACACATACAGCACCAGAACATCGCCTTGGACCTGTCCATTCGTTAGCCGATCGTTCTACCACTTCCTTTCCTCCATTGTCCATAGTGAAAGGTAAACTTACATCCATCAGCACAAAACTTGGCGTAGGCTCCTCATCTTCAGTCCACCACCCCGTCGTCATAGCACCAGTAGCACTCCCCGGGTTGACAAAGAACTTGCCCTCCATCTCATACGCCTCGAACTTATGTGTGCCGCCCCACAGCAGGACGTCGACGTCCATCTGGCGGGCAGCAATGAGCAGGCTGTCACCATCACCTGGCGGGATGATGGTGTGCCCGTGGGTGAAGCCTATGCGGAGGGAACCATGCGTGACGACCTTTGACAAGGCGAGGTTAGGCGCTTCGACGTCGAAGTCGCCTTTTACGATTTGTAGGTCGGGCGCGATGGCGCGCAAGAACTCGTAAGTTTCGCGGTCGGTGATGTTGCCTAGGCAGAGAATTTGACCGATTTTGCCGGGCGCCAGGAGCTTCTTGAACTATGTAGGGTAGGGTGAGTCGAGGCGCGTGAGTGTCTATGTAAACGAGAGGGATGGGGCGCGATGGTCGGAAGAGGGGAGGGCGGATAGACGGTGGTGGCGTACCTTTGCGGGGATATCCTACGAGTCCTGTAAGTTTGTGAGGCCGAGCATTGTATGTGTAGATGGATGGGATCTTACTGCAGCTCTGTCTGGTATGAAGAGGTCGCCTAGGACCAGCACCAGTCGCGACGCCATTGCAGGGGTCTCACTAGGTTATTAGACAATATAGACTCTACACAGAGACAGTAGAAGCTGCGCGCAAGTTGTAGGAGAGAAATGTAGTAGAGAGATCTCTGGGCGCAAGATGCGGAGTGGTTGTGCGTGAAGCTTGGGGAAGCTATGCTGTCACTGTCATCGCAAGGCGGTGGCAGAATCATGGTCCTACTGGGATGAGTAAGCCACTCAACCCATGATTTCTACTCGAATGCACCGCCTCCTCATCACTTCTAGTATCTCTCAAAGCAATAAGATAATACAAGAAATCCTCCATGTTACGATGCGTTACGGCCACAAAAGTACATCGCCCTGTTGCATGGTTCAATATGCATTGCAAAGACGTCAATCCATTTCCATATAAGTGTCGTTGACAATGAACGTAGTACAAAAGTCCAACGAATCCAATTCACGAGAACTTTACGCTGGTCTGTGGAAGCGATACAGACAAGGTTTTGACATGATGGGCATTATCCTATCCTCCCAGCTTTACTCGAGTCTTTCGCTTTCGTTACTTTGATACACCCTCTCTCAACACTGAATATATGTCTTTGTAACATCAAAAAAAGAACCCTGACATGTTTCCATATCTGCGTGTTTTATTTATCTAGTATACACTACCCACAAGATCGTTGCATCCTAGTATCCAAAGCTCTACAGGACAAGACGTATGCATTCCTTAAATATCCTTGATGCATTTCCCATTCTATACTCTTGAAACCAAAGTGTCCTAGAATCAACATGAAAACTCTTGTAAGTCCAACCTCGAGACCGAATCCAAAACTCCAGCATGTGAGCTCCATGTGGGTTGCTCGGTGTGTCGTTCCTCGCTGCTTATTACGAGCTCCAGATAAGTGGAGGACAACGCCGATGTCTGCGGCTCTCTTCAACCGAACCCATCAACTTTGCTATCTAAACTTAAGAGACATCTTCACACATATTCTTGAGATCAAATTGCCCTGAGCATTCTCACGTGTATCGAGTCTGCTTTCTTCCTGCATGCCGTCTTACTTATCTCGCCATATGTCATTACATCAAAAGTCATTCTCAATCCTAGACATGATGTCAACATGCACCAGACTGAGTCCACAAGAGGCTCATGTTTAGTTTCCCAGATCCCTTCGTTCATCACTGAAATGCTATTCTGTAGTCTGCCTATCGCGAGCAAAAGCTCGTGTCGCACTTGGGACGTGCCATTCGTCAATGCTTGAAATGGTGTTATCATAGATGGTTTGCAAGCCCTTGGGACATGTCTTTACTCGGCCCATGGTCTAGAAATGATAGAGTCACTTCGTTACTTGTGTTGATCGATCACTCATCACCAAGATATCGGTGTTCGAGCTGCATGTTTGTGTTCGCCCAAACAGATGCATTCAACCGTGTAATTTCCAGGCAGTCGCGTAGAGACGAGAGTTTGGATGGGTACGGGGCGACTAAAATGCACAAAGGACAGGATACTCGTCAGCTCCCTTGGTACATGCTTTACGCTTGATGCATTTAACAAAAAAGTCTCAGCCCTTTCAACTCCTTGTAGACAAAACAACAAGATCCAACACGATGTCTGGAAAATGAACTCAACGAAGCGAGCAGAAATGATCTCAAGCATCAATCTTCTCGGCCGTATCTGCAACCTCATCAGCCGTCTTTGCAGCCTCGACATCGCCATCCTTAACCTCCCCGCTCCCGACAAGCTTCTTAACGACCTCAACGGTCGCCGCAGGACCACCGGGCTCAGCAGCCAGAACCTTGCCTGACTTGTCTACGACAAACACACCACGTGTCGTTCCCTTAGGCGTCTTCTTCAAACCAATAGCAGAGATGAGCGTCTGCGCAGGATCGCACAGCAGCGTGTAGGGCAGCTTCTGCTTCGTCTTGAACGTGGTGTTTGCCTTGGGGCTGTCATTCGAGAGGCCAAAGATGCTGTACCCCGTCGCGGTGAGGGGCTCGTACGAGTCGCGGAAGAGGCAGACTTGTGTGGTGCCTGGCAACGCATTAGCCCGGTGCCTGAACGATGGTGTGGTTGAGATCAGTGGGCGTGTCACTTACAACCAGGTGTTGAAGCTTTGGGGTACGTGAACAGCACAACACCGCCCTTGCTCTCCTCTACAAGTTTCGCAAAGGTCGTCTTGTTGCCGTCGTTTGTCTCGATCTCACCGCCAAAGGCAGATAGGTCGATTGTGTCGCCAACCTTGGGTATGCCAGTAGTAGCGCCATTGGTCACACTGACAACAGCATCCTTGACAGCTTCGACAGTCTCAGTAACGGTCTCAGTGACAGCTTCTGTGGCCTTCTCGACGACAGTCTTCTCGGCAGCTGGTTTCTTCTCTTTGGGCGCGGCCTTCTTCTTGGCTGGGCGCGCTGGCGCTGGAGGAGCCTCTTTGCGCTTGCGGAGTTCGACGGGCATGATGAATAGATAGGTCGCTGGGGAACTGTCGCAATCGCGTTAGAGTCGTAAATTGCTCTCAATGGGGTTGATATGCGATATGGAGATGGTATTGGGGCAGCTTGCGACGTAGGTGAGGTCGAGGCGCTTACCGTGTACTGCTCGCTAGCAAGCTGCTGTACTACCTGCGCGATATCAAGAAGCGTACTGTGTGCAATGGCAAGACGCAATGTACGAAGTGATTAGCAGGAAGTATTAGCTGAAGACGCGAGCGCGGTCACGGTAAAGGCTCGAAGCTCCAATCTCCCAGCCTCTTCCCTTGGCAATACGTCCGTATTGACTTTAGCCAGCTTACATGAGCTGCATCTTCCATGGTTTTATTTCGCGATCCAGGCGATCCAGGATTAGGGACGATGTCTCATTGGTCGTTACAAGGGATGAGCGTTCTGCAATGCACCTTCCGTATGTTCGGTGGCTTGTTCCGAACGTGTCGTAGCTTCCGTTCCCGCGCCCCCACAGCAACGGCTTCTCCTCAACAGATAACCTTTCGTCGACAACCACATTTTGGACTAACCTGTGGTGATATCTTTCGCCATGATGGCATCTCTTAAGAACTGTGCTATCCAGAATCGTTGTCGTAGCACCTGGCACATCATTTGTCCGCAATGGCTTGTTCCAACTCTGGGCTATGTCATCACCCGACTCCATTCAATTCCATGGGTTGGACAGCTGTAGCAACGAAAATCTCATCATAGTCTATTTTCGTACCGTAAAGTATCATCATGGCTGTCCTGGGGTGAGGTCTCGTCAGGGAATCGAATTCTGTCGACAAACAGCAAGTTTTATAGGTGATGTTGAAAGATACCTAATCCACAGGAGGTTTTTCTGGCATTCGCGTTATTTGTCTTGTCTTGTTCTACGTTATCATAACGTCTTTTTTCTCTGCCCGGTTTCTGTTCCTTGTCGTTGACCGCCAGTCACCCACCTGTCCATGGCCTGTAGAGTCGGACGATCAAATCCCCCTAGCGACCAGTCGCTCGTCACTGCGCACATTCAGGCGCTATGATCATGATCTTCTCTTTTCTGCTTGGCCAATCTGTTGTCATAACTTCTTCAACTATGGTTCCGATCGTCATTCCCCCTCGTGCCCACATGTGTCGATAAGAAGCACTAACCATTCCCCGCACTTGAACAGATCTATATTCGCCAACGCATTCCTTTTGATCAGTCTGCCTTGCTTCCAGCTCTAAACTATCATCTTTCACCATAATCCTCATTCGAGATCATGGCTACTGCCTACGAGAGAACTGTATCAACGCCGGAAGCACAGCTGCCTTCAAGAGAGAAGACCAAGAACTCAAATAAGCAGATTCTGCAGCAACAGAGCACAATTGCAGCAGACTCAGAGGGACAGAGTGCAGCTGTTATGGAGAGGGATGTCTTTGGCAACGAAGAAGGTGCTGAGACTGCCTATAAGACCTGCGAATGGTGGTATGTATGGACGATTTACTGTACTGTTTCGTATGGCTTTGAGATGAAACATGAGTTAAATGCCAACACATCCAAACTCATTTTAGCATCAATTTCAATTATTTGCTCGTCTAGGTATCATGGCTAACCAACCCCAAACAGGCACACGGGAATTTGTACCTCCCCTTCCCTCACCTTCGAAGCCCCTCCAACTACTAACCTCCTGCAGTAATGATAGCCGGAAACGTCTCCCTTGGCGTCCTTGCCCTCCCGCAAGCCCTCGCCATTCTCGGCCTCGTCCCCGGCCTCCTCTGCATCTGTTTTCTCGGCCTCATCGCCACCTACACGGGCTGGATAATCGGCGAATTCAAGCTCGCACACCCTCAAGTACATTCCTTCGCCGATTGTGGTTTCCTGATTGCAGGGCCCATCGGCCGCGAGGTGCTCGCCGTAGCTCAAGTGTTCATTCTGATCTTTGTAATGGGCGCGCATCTCTTGACGTTTGCCGTGGCCATGAACGCTATCACGGAGCATGGAGCTTGCACTATCGTTTTTAGCGTTGTAGGCTTGACGGTGTGCTTTTTGTTAGGGTTGCCAAGGACATTTAAGAATGTTAGCTATTGTAGCATCTTCTGTGAGTACATCTACGACCAAAGGGGCGATGGAAAAGGAACTGAGCCCGCTAACTAACACAGCTTGCCTCTCTATCATCATCGCTGTTCTAGTGGCTATGATTGCGATCGGAATCGAAAAATCAAACAAGGGCGACATCCTCGCTGTGCGCAAAGGCGTACCACTCGTAAAGGGCCTAGGTCCCGTTTTGAATATCGTTCTAGCATACAGTTCGTCTTCATCCCCTCTCATAAGCCTGCCTTACACAGCCCAGTTAACATTCCCCAGCCGGCCACGTAGCATTCTTCTCCTTCCAGGCGGAGCTCAGAAACCCCCGTGACTTCAACAAAGCCCTCGTCTTCTCGCAATCCATCGCAATAACCTTCTACATGACTATCTCCGTCGTAATATACTACTTCGCAGGTCCGCTTGTAGCCTCCCCCGCGCTCGGCTCCGCGTCCCCTCTTATGAGCAAAGTCTGCTTTGGCATCGCTATCCCGACCATCGTCATCGCTGGCGTCATTGCTGGCAGCGTGGCGTGCAAATACATCTATATCAGGGTGTGGGCTGGCACGGATGTGGTACACAGCAATAGCTGGACGAGCGTGGGGAGTTGGGTGGGAATCTGTGCTGGGATCTGGTGCGTGAGCTGGGTGCTTGCAGAGGCCGTGCCGAATTTTAATCTCCTGTTGGGGCTGGTTGGGGCGCTCTTTGGAAGTTGGTTCAGCTGTAAGTCTTCATGCGCCTGTCTTGTATTGATGCATTTGGGTTTTGAGGAGATCGTTGGCTGACTGGATAGATGCAATTCCGCCTGTGCTATGGATGTATCAGCACAAGGGAAGGCTGTTTTCGTCGAAGAAGATGATAGCGCTTACGGTGATGAACTGTGCTGTTTGTCTGATGGGTCTGACGATTGTAAGTTGAACCTTCCTGTGCAGTGTGTTTCTGCAAGTGTGATACTGACGTGCGGTGTAGTTTGGACTAGGCATGTGGTCGTCGGGCTGGGAGCTTAATCGCGGATCCGGTGGCAAGGTCTTCTCGTGTGCGAACAACTGGAATCCTGTCAGCTGGGTAGGAGAGGATGCGAAGTCTCACTGATTCTGACATGGTCTTCATCGGTACAAGTAGCGAGTTGAGTGGGCGCAAGGTCATAGTACCAATTTGATTGTTTATACGGTAGAGACAGTGATCATACAATAGAGGAACCCAATCGTAGCGTCCTGCTTCTGATCTATCCTAGAATGAGTGTACCCAGTCTTCAACGCTCTTAGATCAACTGTAAGAAAACAACAGGTAATGAGATAGGGATGGAGTAGAGAATGAGTGACTGTCCTAAGTAGAAAAAACCAACGTGATCATCCCTCACGAAATTGCCTCTCGCGCCATCCAGGAACTTATGCTCATCCATAGATCGCCGCCTTACCCTTGCCCTCGTACTGTGGCTGCTTGTTATCGTCTTGAAGCGAGTATTTCGCCCTGTAGATCCGCTCACCCACCAGGGCTTGCTCGCCGTAGATAGCATAGACCAACTTGTATTTTTCCAAAGGTTTCTGTAAATTCCAGGTGTAGTTCTCACCGAGTTCGGTTACATGGTTGGCGATCTTGACTCCGGCGCGTCGTATGGAATCGTTCTCCAGATAGCCCCATTCTGTCGATTCTGCATCAATTGGAGTCCGATCTCCTACTTCTGGATAGATGGGATTCATGTTGTAGAGAATCCAGACCGGTCCTACCGTATTGCTGGCGGTGATTTCTGCTACGAGAGCATAGCCTGTGTCATCCCAGGGTACGTCGGCCGGATTGTTCTGGCTTGATCGGCTGAGTATCGCGTTCCGTACAGCTGGGGTTGTGCTCTCAACTTGGCCAAGCTGCACGAAAACAAATCCGGTATCATCGTTTCCCTGCGTGGAGTCGTCACTACCAGTGGATTCGTCAGAAGGCTCTTGGCGCCGGCGGCGGCTTTGGCTGAGGAGCATGTTCGCACCCAAGATGAAGCCACCACCACCACACAACTGTCGCTTTTCGTTCGAGTCCACCTGATCATCTGGGATTTCCAGTACTGATGGATTCGGCCACAATCGATAGAGAATCCCTTGATGGCTACCCAGAGCAATGTAAGGGTTCTTGTTACCATCAAGAAGGGTAGCGAGGGACGATACAGAATTTCTATTGCAGAAGTTTGTACTAATGATCTTCGTCCAGTAGTCCCTGGGCAATGGTGTTGTGGTGTCGACTTGTCTTGACATGATCCGATGGATATTCCAGTTGTCGAATCTTTCTCTATCCTCCTGTCGTGGTAATCGTTTGTTGATCCAAGGAGTCATCGAATCATCGAATGGGATGTTTGCCTTTATCAAATCATCCATCACTCTCTCACACTCTTCATCCGACAATGTGGAAGTCATGATAACTGTAGTATCAGGGTAGCTTTGGCGGATCTGTGTAGGTGTAAGAAGGTCTTGCTTGCAAAAGTAAGAAGCGGAGAAAAGGTGGTGATCACTGCGGAATGTGAACAGAGTTTTCTGTAGTGTTTGAGTGCAGACAGAAGAACTGTATTATAGGTGATCCTATGAACACTTAATCTTGGTACCTAAGTTTGGCCTTTTCAGTTTGGCCTGCTGCCTATGCTCAATAATGGATCATGTGGGGCTAGCGACGACGACAACCAAGGAAGAAATCTGAGGTGACTTGCTTGTTCCACAATCATGACTCATACATTATTCAAGGTCACTTAAACCACAAAGTTCCGTCACAATAGTCATGTGAATGTGAAGGCATAGGCAACACGGTGTGTTTGCATTGTTGCGACATACCCCCCCCCCGAGGTTTTCCCCAATGAACTAAGAGCAAGGGAAACTTTCTGTTGGCTCCTGAAGCTACATTGTATCTTCTGATTTGCTGGAATTTGTCCGTGGGGATGCCACAGTACCGGTAAACAAACACTTGCGAATGTTACGTTAGCTTCCGAAGTCGATCCACGCAAACAACAAAAAAGGAAAATCTATGCGTTTTCGTTGCCCAAACAAGTTTGGTTCGTGGAAAACCCAGCATCTGTGGCCTTATAATAACAGAAAGACGTCATTTGTATCGTAACAGGTGTGTGCATATTGGTCAATTGTAGAAGCGGGAAGTTCGTTGTCTGCACCCCCTCCGAAGCTGCTCTGATTATGTGTTCAGCATTACTGATCGATCGAATTTTCTCGACTCAACCACGGTTCACGACCCAAAGCCAAACCAAACTTTGATTAATGGCTGCCTAAGCTCTCAAACACGCGTCCGTATTAGTACATTCAGCAGCCAGTTGTTAAGAGACAGTTAATTAGCTCTCTGTTACTGTTATTATAGGCGCGCGTTATTCGGTGTAGTCAAAATTCTATTCGGTGTAGCGATGCCCGTTACTAAGGCTTAGAAACGAGTTTGTGGTATGTAAAACAATTAATAGTTTGTAAGTACTTTCTAGATTATAACTTAGTGTTTAAAGCTTTTAAATATTAGCTTATCTGTTTAAACCTCTCCTATAGCTGCTAACGCAGTTACGTTGCAACACTTTTGTTACGCCTAATATCACTGCTATATAAATTAAGTAGTTAATAGATTTTAAGTAAATTAGTTAGCTACCTAACAGTTGTAATACCGCCTGCTTAAAGGTTACTGCTAAATGTGTCTATGCCTCAGTGACAGGCATCGCTACACCAAATAGAATTTTGACTACACCGAATAGTGCCCGCCTTATTATATACTCTTACTAATGTTTACTGGGTGCAAAGGGGCTAGGTATTAGCCTCGACACTAAGTTACTATATAAGATTCTTACTGTGTTGCGTCTGTCTGCTTGTACAACAAGCATGAATACGCTAAGAACCTAAAATCATAACCCTAAAATAATAACAGCGGGAAGTAAGCTAGGTTCTTTGAGGTCCCTACAAGGTGCAAAACCGCACTCATACACTTTACAAAAGTTCACGCCAGGCGTATACTGCTCAAAATTCAGGTGTAAGATCACTGTAGTAATCTTTTATGTAGTTGCCAACCTGTTGCAACGCTGCGCCTTAGTTTCTAGTATTTCAGTTGACTGAGAGTGTTGCTCTGAATTCCGTCCTCAACCCCGAGTCGCTATGTTGTCGCTGTTAAGTACTCCACAGATACACCCAAATCGCACTGGCAAACTTCGAGATGATAGCCATGAACAATCATAGACGTAAGTACGACTGGAAGAGAAATATGGTCAGGTCACATGCCTGCGCGGAGAACTTTGCTGTGTTACGCTGCGGAGAATATGAGAATCGCGAGAGACGCGCGCGATACACATCATGTTGGACTTCTCTTATACATCCTGTACTTTCCTTCTTGACTTTGTTACACTTCCTCGTTAAACTTAGCAATGTATGGTTACACTTTCTTAGACCAACAACCACATGTCACTCTCCGGCTTTTGTGACCTACAAAAAGTATGACGTGTGTTGTGCACTTACCAGAAGCTCAGAAATCCTTCAAATGTGGAGAACCTCACTAATCTCGATGTCTTTTATAGATACCCCTCCGTTTATGACCAGTGCCAAGGTGGTGCCTTACCCAGAACTGATGGTATGTAGAGTAGTCTCTCTCGCCACTCAACCCTAGCTGTCCAGCAACATTGAGATACCCATCACCATTCCTTTCCAGACCATTCACATCCACACTGCCAAGGTTGCCGGGAAATTCTAGTTCCATCCACTCTGCGCGACAGTATGGGCAGGTTGTCTTGCCGCGTGCCATGGACATCCACTTCTGCATGCAGTCTTTGTGTATGTTGTTCCCGCAGCTCGCCTTACAGTACACGATGGCATCCTTGTTGGGATCAAGTTCGTCATAGCAGATGGGACATTCGCCTTCGATGGGCTTGCGATTTCCATCTTGTTCGTCGGTTGCGTCATTGTTGTCTACCTCGACGCCAGGGATTCGTGGTGCATGTTGAAACACTTCGTGTAGCTCGGAGCTAGTAAGAGCCAGTTGGTATGCGATCTTCTCTTGTGCTTTCAGCACACGCAACATGACGTATATTATGTGCTTGCACTGGTTCCCTTTGTTGGCGTATGGACAGTCGCAGCGAGGTGTGAGACCAATGTGTACAGTATACACTTTGCCTGTTGAGCCGGCAATGACTGCTTTCTCCTCCGGGACATTGTCGGTACCACAGCGTTCGCGTGAGAGCACAGTGAGACGTTGGGTGAGGGCGCGCTCCTTGACGTCTAAATAGCTTTGAGGCGGTCGTGTGCGAAATCGACGTTGACGCTTCTCTTCAGTAGGCACAATTTTATCGTACTTTGCTTTCTTCTTGAGCGTCTTTTTGGATGATTCGGCGGCGCCATCGACGACGTTCGACTGGGACTTTTTTGCTTTCTTGGGCGGCGCTTGGTACTCGTCCGACGGATCTTCAGTGCCATCCTCGTAGTAGGTGAGCGTTTTGCGTTTGCGCGCCGGTCGCGAGGGTTCCAGATGTGGGTCAGAATTCATGTTTGGAGCAGTAGTGGTAGGGAAAGGTGGGGGATGTGAGTGAGATGCTATGCTTGGCGTAGCGCTGGTGGGATGCACCTGGTGCAACAAGGAGTGAGACCTCAAGCTCGAGCTCAGATTCAGGTTCAGGAGGCAATCGGCGAGGTTGCATTGAAATGCTTGCAGTTGTTGATAAACATTGAAGCTCTGCAATGCACCGCCTTTCGTGGGAGGTATAACGCGAAATTGCTGATGGGAAGGTGGCGAACAATGACGACAAACAGCAATCGCGACTCGATACGTGAGCACGTGACGGTATCTCTCTAACGTTGCCAAGGGGCACCGCATAAACATCACGATCGGGGGTTTCCATCTATATGCTGACGACGATGCGTCTTTTTGACTCTCGCGCATTCAATGGCCACATGCTTACTGTAGTAGCGTGTTGAAGTCTGGCTCTTCGAGATCTCACGTATCGACAAAGTTCTACAGATATTGAGTCCACACTTCCTCCCTCGAATGCAACCTTGACCACATCAGGTGATATGTGGCAAGCTATCGCCTAAGGTGCATATATCGTCCTGGATTTGTATTTCGTTCGCAGTTGCTATCCACGGGGCCCTCTTCGAGTGCAGGCTGTGGGTAAGATAGAAAAGAACAGTTACACTTATCGGGAAGTATCTATTGGGCCGTACTCACAAATTCTCATTCTTCGTGCATTCACTGCTGAGTATCCTTTTTCTGGACTGCTGATTGACTTTGCAAGGAAACTGTCCATGTTGCTTCATACCAGTGGTGACTACAAGGGTCGATTTATGCTCTATCCACTCGATCTTGAACTTCACCTGCTCCCCCGTACCGAATCGAATCATTGCAGATCAACCACCCTGTGTTGTTGGGTGTGAAGGTGCCATGGCAAGCGGGGTGGGTAGGTGTTCATACGCCGAGCTCTAACTACAAATGGATAACTTTACTAATGATACAAGTAAACAAACTTTTATATTATATATTCCTATAAGAAGAGCTCGATCCGCACCTAAACTGCAAAATAGTTCCCATGGGTTTAAAACGCTTTTGTCGCTGCAGTGAGAGCCTTCCAGACCTATACTATTATATTGACTGAATTGTGTCGACACCTTCGCTCCACTCAACCTCCGAAACAGCATGAGTCACATCAAGGACCAAGTTGATGGGTGGATAGAGTGCGATAAGCAGTCGATCGTCGATCTTTTTTCCGCCCTTGTACGGTGCAAGACTCCTAGCCCTCCTGGGGACACACGAGACGCAATGACCTTGGTGGAAATGTTCATGTCTTCACAAAAACTTCCTTTCAAGAAAGCCACGGCCGTTGCAACAATGCCTAACCTCGTCTCTACGGTTAAGATGCCTGCAGAGGGGCGACATCTCATGTTCAGTGGCCACCTCGACGTCCTGCCCGCTGGTGACGAGTCGGGATGTGTCGATGACCCATGGAGCGGGAATGTGTCGGATGGGCGAGTATAGGGTCGCGGCGCGTCCGATATGAAGGCTGGTGTTACTGCGATGCCTTTCGCATCTGTATACTTGTCCTGGATGCGCGCGGACCTAAGCGGAAAGTTGTTAATAGCGCTCGCATCTGATGAAGAAACAAGGTACATGTTTGAGCAGATCAAGGGTGAAATGGTCGCAGACTGTGTCCTTTCCGCTGAGCCTAGCGGGACTGGTGCAATCGCTTTCTCCTCGAAAGGCTATCTACAATTTACTGTCGAAGTCGCAACTCGAGGCGCCATCTCTGGATACCCGAACGCTAGTCTCAGCGATATCCGCATTGCTATGCATATCATTCGCGATCTTGATCTGCTGGAAACAATCAATGTCGACCTACCTCCGTCGATTGCGACTCGGCTGGCGGATACGAAGTATCGGGGTTGGCTGGATGACATATACGGCGAGGGTGCGGCGGGCCTCATCCCAGTAGTCTCGATCAACGTTGGTACTATCCAAGGCGGCAGCTCTGCGAGTGTCATTGCACCAGATGATATCTTTGAAGTCACTGTTGTGACTCCCGTTTGAGCAGATTCACACTCGGTCTTTAGCGAGGCTAGCAAGATTGTCGCCCGGTACCCGGAAGCCCACATACGCCTTGAAGGAGCGGACGCAGCGGATATCTCAGACTCCGAGCACGAGATGACACCAATTTTTCAACATGTTGTCACAGACCTTGGCTGGCCCAAACCACAAATGGCGCCCGATACTGCCATCTCAGATCTCCGATATTGGCGATATCGCGGAATTCCGACATTTTGGTATGGTCCCGATGGAGAGCATGTCAGTGCTGCCAATGAGTCCGTTAAGATTGAAGAGCTGCTGCACCTCGTGCGCACGTATGTGGTTGCCTCAGCAGAATATCTCAAGAAGAGCTAAGCGTTACGTGCTCGCGCTTTCAAAGCGGTGATGAGTCGTGATGGTAGAAAAAAGTTCTAGGCTATATTCATTCTTTCATCGATGGCCATAGTTGCAACGTTGTTATGCCAAGTACATATGAATCCATAGATGAGAGGTTCAGATTACTCACAGTACATACAAGAGCGAGGAATGTTGGATGTGTCAGCAGAGCAACTACAACACTGACAGGATCTGTTACTAACAACGTGCTACTGGGCTGTAGTCTCCTGCAAAGAAATAGCATATACAGTCTTCTACAAATACAGCGTGTTGTTGGGAAGCAAGACCTGCTGACACATTGCTATATTGAGCCATGGTGTTACGAAGAAGACTTCGACGACTAGGTGATCCTCTATGCGCCGGCGTCCGCTCAATTCGCTCTGTACGAACCGAGCATGACGTTGTGAGAAGTTCCCGTCGGTGAAACTGCACTCAAGCTGTGTTGGCGCAAGTTAGATGGGAAAGCGCAGCGTGTGATTGAGCGTTGTTTCTCCCAAGAGCAACGTCGACGACATCCTGCTCCATAATCAGACAGCCCGCCTGGGTGGACGAATTCGGGTACGTCTATTAACACCTTTCCTTTATATATCCTACTTTTTTTCCAATAGCTCTCAAGGTAATCACAGTCGACGACATGTAACCCAACGGCTCCTAGAGACTCATCTCATAGCAACAAACCAAATCAACAACGAGGGCTCGACAATAACTTGGATAAAGTTCCGAAAGTAGACTTGCAAATCCGTCGTGCCAAACCATAATGCAGATTGCAAATACCCTCTTACACCGACCGCGCTTCCACAACACATCAACGAAACATGACTCCCACCTCTACCCACGCTATTGTATCCCCACGACACTACATGACACTATACTACAATACACTACACAACACCACCCCAACAAACTACACCATCCCAACACACCGCGCCACGCCATGCCAACCTAGCCCATCCTAACCAAGCCCAGCCTAACCAAGCCTGTGCATAAACACCAGCACAGACACCCAGTCTAACTTCCACACAGCGCCCGTGTCCCGCTCGCCTCCGACACAATGCACGATCGCACGCACGTACGCCTCAGGCGCCATTCCGCAATGCCATGTCACGTCACAGCATAAATTCCCCCTTCCAAATACCATTTTTTCCAACGCCAACGCCAAGACGCGGTGTGGTGTGGGTAGTTTATCATGAGCGATCGATCGATGCACGGAGATGTGTGTTTTGGCTGGTCTGGTGCGAAAAGGGGGGCGGAGCGGGTGCGGCGGAGATGAGACGGCGTTAGCGGTTGGGGGTGGGTATATTTATATTTATGGTCGTGGGATTATATTGGGATGTGTATATTGGGTGTGTTAAGATCGAGTGATGTATTGATTGATTCATTGGGGGACAGGGATTATCGGTGGTATTGTGCATGTCGGTGGTAAGATTGAAATTGCGAGTTCATGAGAAGCATTGTCATGTGCGATGTTGAAGTGTGAATAAATGTGAATATATTGATAACAGAGCCAGATATATGGATGTGTATGAAAAAAACTCCGCGCAATGCCTCAAAATCCGCGTTCGCAGACGATACAAAACGCGAAAACAGCTGCTAAACAAAGGAAATGTAAAAGATTAGAAAAGGAGATAGATCATGACGCATCAGCCCGCGTCCCTGCCATCATCACCGACTCTCTACAAGCAAAAGAACAAAGTGAGTATGGAGTAATACAGTGTTTATATTGTCGAATTTGTACATGATCCTCTTTTCTAATCCAAACACAGACTAAACAACACAACACTGGCCCTGCCCGAGGAGCCAAAAGCGACAGCGGAACGCAGACAAGACTTGTAAGAAAAGAGCCAAGTGACCCGTAATGCTATGAAGCGCTTAGACACAAAGGAAAACGTCTCAACTCATGAGTAACGCTTAACGGCGCATGCGGTATCCAGTGCCGTAGCCGGAACCGTATCCGCTGCCGTAACCGGAGCCCTGGGTAGAGCTGGGCGCGGCAGAGGAAGCCTCGTAAGGAGCCGCGCTGGAAGCAGATGGGACTTCAGATGCGTAGGGAGTCTCAACGGCAGCGGAGCTGGAGGCAGCTCCGTAGCCACCGGCGACGGGGTAGGCAAGGCTGGAGGCAGCGGGCGAAGGGGTGGAGGCAGGGTAAGCGACCTCGGTGGAGGCAGCGGGGGTCTCAGTGGGGTAAGGAGTCTCAACGGCAGCAGAGCTGGACGAGGCGGGGTAGGGGACCTCAGATCCAGCGGGAGTCTCAACAGGGTAGGCAGACGACGATGGGACATCAGAGCCGGCAACACCGGTACCCATGGGGTAGGCAGAGGTGGAGGTCATGAAGCCAGTGGGGCCGACGTTGGTGAACGAGGCGGTGCCGTTGTTGGTTGGGTAAGGGGCAACGGGTGTAGCGAAGCTGGACGGGTATCCGGAAGCAGGGGTCTCAACAGCGGTCTCGCCAGCAGGAGTCGAGACTGGGTAGCCAGAGGCGGGGGTGACATCGGACTGACCAGCGGTGACAGTGACGGTCTCCTTGGTGGTAACGGTAACGGTGACAGGTGCGGCGCACTCCTCCTCACCGGCAGGGGTGGAGCTGGATGGGTAGGCAGCGCTGGCAGAGCCAGAGGGGTAGCTCTCCTCACCGACGGGGACCTCGGAAGAAGGAGTGGGCTTGACAGTCACGTACTTGACCGAAGTCTGGGTGGACTTGATGGTAGCAGTGATGGATCCAGACGCGCCACCTGCGGGGCCGGTAGGGTAGTTCTGCTCGCTGACGGGGTACGCAGCAGAGGGGGTCTCAGCAGAGGGAGTCTCGGCAGAGGGGGTAGCCTTGACAGTGATGACCTTGGTCGAGTAAACGGTCGAGGTGCTGGTGGAGGTGAGCTCCGTGGTGACTGGGTGAGCAGTCGATCCAATGCCGATGGTGTAGACGAGGGTCTCGGTCATGACGCTGGTGATCTCGGAAACGGGGACCTCGCTGGTGACAACCTGCTCGCCCTGGGTGGAGGAAGGAGCGGGGGTGGCCTTGGTGAGGTCAGACTCGGCGCAGACGGTCGTGCCAACGGGGACGACGCTCGTGATGAGCGAGGTGGACTGGCTTGGGCAGTCGGTGACGGTCGAGGGGCACGCAGTGACGGTGAAGATCTGAGTGGAGTAGATGACCGATGTCACGTAGTCGGTGACGGGAGTGCCCTCGGGGTAGGAGCCAGTGCCGGATGGCATGGCACCAGTACCGGTGGGGTAAGGGGGAGCGGCACCAGTGGGGTAGTAGCCAGTTCCGCTGAGGGGAGTTCCGGTAGTCTCAGCAAGGGGGACGCTGGAGGACGCACCGGTAGGCACGTAAGGAACGGGAGGAAGGCTTCCAGACGGGCTGGGAGTGGCCTCGGCGCAGGCTGGCTGGCCGTAACCACCGCACTCAGCACCAGCGGGAACGGAGGAGCTCATCTCGCCGACAGGGTAGGCGACAGAGCTGCTCTTACCACCGACGGGGTAAGCGACAGAGCTGGACTCGGCGCCGCTGGGGTAAGCGACAGAGCTGGACTCAGCACCGCTAGGGTAAGCGACGGAGCTCTTACCACCAACGGGGTAGGCGGCGGAGCTGGACTCAGCGGCGGAGGGAACAGACGAGGACATGCCACCGGCAGGGGGGTAGACGGCAGCGGAGCTCGAGGCGGGAGTTGGGGCAGCAGAGCTCACACCCTCAACAGGCGAGCACTCGGGCTGTCCGTAGCCACCGCACTCGGGGCTGGACGAGGGAGTGGGGTAGGCAGACTCGCCGGGGTAGACGGCCGAGCTGCTTGCGGCGGCAGGAGTGGGGTAAGCAGACTCGCCGGGGTAGACAGCAGAGCTGCTCGCGCTGCCGACTGGGTAGGCAGCGGAGGAGCTCTTACCACCAACGGGGTAGGCGGCGGAGCTGCTCTGGCCACCGACGGGGTAAGCAGCGGCACTGCTCTCAGCGGCGCTGGGGACAGACGAGGATGGGTACTCGACGGGGTAGGCAGCGGAGCTGCTCTTGCCACCGACGGGGTAGGCCATGCTGGAGGCCGCTGCGGGGACAGTGGACGACGGGGTGGCGACGACGGCGCTGGAAACCTCGTTGCCATAGCCGCCGTATCCGCCGGAGCCGTAACCACCTGAACCGTAGCCACCTGAGCCGTAGCCGTTGGCGCGACGAGCCTGGCGGTGGCTGCGGGCCTCAGCGGCCGCAAGAGTAGCGAGGAATGCAACGGTAGCCTTCATGTTTGCTGATTTGGTTTTTCTTGGTCGTGTACTTGAGCTGAGAAGGAGTCGGCGCTACAGGGTGAATGCTGTTGATCCAGGAAAGAGTGACTGGATTAGGAGCAAATGAGAGACCCGTCTGAAAGCAGACGAAAGCGAATGTGGTGAACTGAAAGAGAGAGTTGCGGTGATGAAAAACAAAAGCAGTGCGCAGTCGCAATATATGAATAAACTGGCCCTCGCCGGATTGCAGGAGCACGGCCAAGGAAACATCGGGGCGCACTCATGGCACGCCCCTGGCAAATGTTAATTTTGGTTAGGGAGACTCGCCGCAGGGACCAGTCAGCGGGCGCGAGGGCCAGGAACAGGCGCTGGACTGCTGCGAGGCTAGCCAGTCAGGCACGAGAGCCATTAAACGGCGGCACAGACGAGCCGCTGGCAGAGACAGGCGGGCACATGTCAGCGCTGAGAGGTGCATCGTCGCGTTAGCAGGCCATGGTGAGGCCGTAGGTCGGTTACGCCGTGCAGTGGGCGGCCATACAGTCGTCGTGTGGTTGTCGTCCTGCTCGCGCCCTCGCTGGTCGCGCCTGCCTGCACTCGCACCTTCTCTGCCCGAGCGGTCACCGACGCTGCACTTGTCAGATTGCATGGCGCTTGGCCCGATGCACTCGTCCCCTGTGCGGATCCTCCCTGATAGAGCAGATACGAGGCGGGTACCTGGCAGCGATATGCATCCTGGGCGGTTGTGATCAGCCGTCAGCGCCGCCCCGTCGTGCTCCTTGCGGTCGAGGGAGACATGTCACCGTGTTTGAGGGCCACGCCTCGCCCACCCGCGCACTCTGCGACGCCGGAAAGGGCCATTCTGGTGCATTGTCGTCGACGGCGTGGCAATGGGCGTGTTCCAAATGCTCCAAAGCCCCCAGCACTCGCCAGGTGCCGCTGACGTCCGAGCGCTCGGCAGATTCCACATGCAGGAAGGTGCGACACAGGGCCTCAACCATGGCTGCCGTTGCACAATCCTTCACAATATGCACAATTTCCGCCCTCTACCGTCCCCACCGCCTCCCCAACACCTCCACCAGCATGAAAAACCCCGTCTGTATTCGAAACTTTGACATCTTGGTGCGAAACACATATCGTCATCTGCATCGACGTCCGTCGTATCGCCATGCAGAACACCCGTCTCCAAACGGTCGCTAGGAACGGAAGCCACACCTTCTCTCAGCTGCCCCCTAAGAGCCACCGCCAAAGCGTCCTCGTATCGTCACATGGGCCCCACCTTACACCAACTCCAGACCAGACTCCAGACTGCAACTCTGTCTCCGCTATCGATACCTATTGATAGCCTGCTCACGTCCATGATGTGCTCCGAATATCCGGTTTGGCCCATTTACCTGGGAAACAAGACCGAATCTCGTAGGCGAGAAAGGCCTAGCTGGCTTCCATTATTCGCAATAATGATCGACAAGGCCGATAGAGCATTTGCAACTGCCTCAACAAAGCACATGAATCAAGGTGAATACAACAAGAGGCAAGTATCTTATTTTTCGCCTCCGCCTCCAATATTAGCGAACGTTATTCCGTGTATTCTCTCCTTTTTTTCAATGTTTCGTCTCATTGGCCAATTGGTCGCGCAATAAACTTCTTATAGCAGGTGGAAATATTGGTCTTGGATTAATCTCAACAAGGCTCGCAGCAACAAGCCACCCAGGCTTATGCCACATGCTGTACCAAACCTTCGATTGACTATCGAAGAATCGAACCCGTTCTCTCACATGAGAAGTAATCACCATTCACGTTTCCCTAGCACGATGACCAAAGCGACAACAAACATGAAACTACACACTAGAAGCTCCACACCACATTCCACGTTCTAGACGTACGGTACATTATACATCCACGCCAGGGATAACCACTCACATCGCGCATCACACCTTCCATAAGCCATCTATACCCACCCAAACTCTCCCCTCGCCTCTCAAACCTTAACAAGCTGATCATCCCGCCCCCTGAAACACCTCGTTCTCTGAAACAACCCACTCAATACCACACATCCATGCAACATCTCCATTATTCTCATCGTTCCTTCACAAACGAACTTACTGGTACGTACCAGCAAACGCAGTGTTTCGACAACACAAACCTGCGCGTCATCTGCCAGGGATCTATCACCTCAGCTTCGTCTGAAATCTCGACGCAAGTACGTTAACATCGGCGAGACGAAACCGCGCTTGATTGCGGGATCCTCGATGGAGCGGGTTTATGCGTGCGTGAGGGGATCCGGCATTGTGGCTATCGGAACGCCGTGCCGTGGTGGTGAGATGTGAAACTTGGGCTGGGGGTATATGTGAAGACTGTATCGTGGGTTGTGAAAATTTCGATCTTGTTACTCTTTGATATGGATGTTAGTGTTGTCAGAGGTGCAGACCTATATTTCATGCTATATTGTTGTGAGTTTTTCTACTTTATTTCGTGTCTGGTGGGTTTTGCTTTACGCATTCGTCGTTTTGTCTCAGTGACGTCTCGTGTCAATGCTATTTGTAGTCGTCGACCGTACTGTGTTTTATCGAAATGGTGCAATATATGTTTTTTCGGAATCTCTGAACCCGGACAACCTCGTTTAGGCATTCACAGCCAAGAGAATCCTATCCATTATCCGTCTTGACACTACACCTCCATCTCTCCATCGCAGCAGCCTCTCGATATCCCACAGGGTACACATACCAGACTCCCATAACAGATAAGAATAGACGTGTTACATCATCATATCCATGTAATAGTCACGTACATGTTTCCAATCACCCACTGGTTTTCGCTGCCTGGGAATTTTAAATAGATAGATGTGGTGCTCTGAGTAGCTACTTAATAAAGGACACATTGTCAGGAATGCTTTGCTGTTACTGGACTGTTACTGTACGCTCTTAATAAGTTTTACTCTGTTGTGTGTACAGACGATAGTTCTTGAAACCTGTGCTTTGTCAAATGCAAGATTGTACTTGTTATTGTATTTCATCATTTAAGTTTCCCACATCAAATATTGAGTCGGCGAATAATGGTTATCCAAGATAATAAGGCGAGCTCTATTCGGTAGAGGCTTTTATCGTGTTTCGTGAAGCGATGCATGATAATGAGTCTCGGAACTTCTGTTACGTGTTATGCAATAACGCAAGTAACAATCTTTTGACCTTTCAGGAGGTTGATATGTAACAAGACTCATTCACGTTCTATGTATCTGCGATGTACTGTCGTTTGGTACGGTAAATTGAAGATGGGTCAGACTTGGTGGTAGCGATGTAGGGAGCGACGCAACGATAATATCTTCGTTGGTAAATTTTTCTTCACGGCCCACAACTCAGGAACTGCACTTTGGCGACTACCTAGGCTCTCGAATGCGCGTGCTCGCATCAGTACATTGAGATAGTTTGTCTGAGAAGTTGATTGATTAGTACTTGAATTTTGACTGGTTTCGATACCGGTCAAGACCCTTGAATGTGGTATCATATATCCACCGAATAAAATATTCTCTCCGCCAAATCGTGCGCACCTAGTTGAAAAATTAAACTCATCACTGCTTTGCAACTATCTACTTTTGCATCAAGCACGACGTTCGCCGAATAACCTTGACCAAGTAAAAACATAATACCATATCCTGGGATTTCTGCAGAACCGTTGTCCTTCTTTCTAGGAATGATATCTAGTATGGCGAGTTTCTCAACATTCGAAGTGTTTCCGGGGGGTTTAGTTGACGTATAATGCACGTCGTCTTCTTTGCAAATTACAAATGTCCAAGAATGACGTATACTTGCTTGTTTAGAAAAACTCAGCCTTGCGTGGCTGGCAGGTTTTGGTGTGACATCTAATCAGGCGTGTCTGGCTGATTGTGACGTCGTCGGATATTGTGTTCGAGACCACATGCATGATATCCGAGGGCTTTGGCATCGGATTGCGGGAACTTGCTCCTGGACAATGGGACAAGACAGCCTTGTCTGCTCGAACCTAAGTCAGAGACATCTGTTCTCGAGAGATCGGCAAGCACATGATGGTTATTGTAAGGCTGACTGGAAGATTATTTACCTCAGATCCTCCATCCGTGTATACCTCACTTTGAGAGGTGGCAACGAGGCGGTGAAGACAGTGCATGCTGTGACATGTAACCAGAAAGCTGGCCTAAGGCTTTCTTCCAGCCTTTTGTTCGAGACAACTGTCAACCTTGTACAGCGCATACTGCAATACAGCTTCACAGCATATGCATGTCAGACACCAGACTGGAAAAGATTATCTGTCCGAGCCGGATGATTGGCAGCCTCGCATGCTAATCAGCTAAGTTCGGTTCTGTCAGGCTGGCTCCTATCGCCTCACCTTTCTTGGTAATGAGCGGTGAGACGACCTCTATAAAGTCCAGCCAGCTCTCAGGAAATATTGTCAATCACATCGAGATATCTAAAGCATCTAGTCCCCCCGTTGTCACGATGTCAATCCCCACACACCTCGAGCTCCAACGAGCACTGTCTCGAAGTCTACCACACATTGTTCCCCCATAATCATCGCTCTCTCCACGGCCCTCTATTCTCAAACTATTTATCAAAGGCTCGTCTTGTATTACCCAACATGTCAAGCCTGGATTCAGCAAACGAGATCCATATTGTCATAGCCTTTGGTGTAGTTTCAGTGCTGGTTGCACTTGCTAGCCTACATTATAGAGATTCTTTATGTTGTTTCCTATGCCAAGTCTTGTATCAAGTTGTTAGTAGAGGTACTTGGAGAAGTTCATCTCAGCCCTCTCCTCTATGAAACTTATACGTACCTTAGACGATGCCTTGGATACCGAAGCCACAGCTGGGGCCACCACATATGACCAAGCCTCGCACAACGACACCATTACTATGCAGCCACAACGATCGGACAGAGTGCATCTAATGTATCAGCCCTCCACTACGTCTTCAAACTACACAGACGAGCTGGCTATCATATCGACCGTCACGTCAACTCCTTATTCGCCTGGGACTAGCAACGTTGTCGCTGGGCAGCCATTGTCGCCAATGTCTTCGTCTCGCCCGTCTCATCACGTTCCACTCGATTATGACTCGCGGATTGAAAGACCTCATACTGCTACGATTTACGAACTAGCTGCGTGACATTCAACCCGGGATGTTGAAGTGTTCGTATTAGACGATCTTTTGAAGATGAGCTCTGTACATGATGGACTGTTCTGCTGTAGTATGTAGGAAGAAAGGACGCAAGAAGATCTAGATCGTGCAATATGGTTAGATGATATACATGTACGAATACGTATGGCGTTATACTGACGAAGAGGCTTCAAAATCTATTTAATACTCATCCCCAATGTGTCGTGTCTCCTGCCTCGCCGAGCGTCAAACATACCAGAGCAGGCGGTAGGTACCAGACAGATTTGGAAAATTATGCTGTAATACCAAAGTGTAACTCTTATGTCAATTTCTTCCAGTTAGTGATCGTTTGAGCGTACTGTCCACATCCTTATCGTCTAAAGTGTTAACCCAATACTTCAGATCGGCACTAATCGGAGATTGTTAGATCTATCATCCTGAATTTGAGTCATTTGCAAGTCTCCAGGAGTGAATCCATCGCAGGATCCTCGATATGGGACTGATATCTATCGAGTTCAGTAAGGCAATCTTTTAAGACGGTCCTTGGTACTATGTTAAATCGCATGTCTATCCTCGAACAGTACTGGATTTCAAAATGAATGGAAAGTAAAGGCACAGATTCTACTATATTCTGAAGATCGAGCTGTGGTTATCTTTTTGGCCATCCTAATTATGCCATTTCCCACCGTGTTTAGAAGATCTTTATACTAATTTTTAGGTATTGATGTGTTGAAATATATACTTTGAGACAGTTGATTTTGGAAGCAGGAGTGCAATGAAACGTTGTAGAGCAATTCTGAGGCGATTTTGTGAACCCATCGCAGAAAACGCTCCACATTCAAACAAAAATGAAAGATGGGGATTTACTTATGGATTGGAAGACCTAATTCGTGATGAAAATAATGTCTTCCAATGACACGAGATAGATGAAGATTGACGAAGAGTGAGGCTGCTCAAACGCGTTTTGCTTAGTCACACCTAGCGCGCCAAGATACCGCGAGCTCCATCGCCGTTATTCGTCTATCCCCAGCAACGCTTCCATCACCTCCTTTAGGTGCCGTTCCTTTGACATAACTCCTTGCGGCCGTTTGAGATCGTCGCTTTGGCTTCACGTGCGCAGCAGTCAAATCAGGAAACAAAGGAACTTTAGCGCAAGCCGGTCATCTATTTATATTCAAATCTACTTGACAGCCTTGTACGTCCAAAACCTACTCGAAGCTACCTTTACTTACTGACGCGTCGCTCGGAAGCCCAGGTTCACTCTTGCAACCATGTCTGACGCCGAGATCGAGATCGAGCAGAAGCGCGAGGAAGATGAGCGCCTCGATACCGCAGAGGACCCGAATGAGGAGGTACGGCACCCTTTCTCGACATATTCCGCTGCGGCCGCGCGCATTGCCAAGAGAAAACTAACATGACGGTGCAGGAAGAGATCTCCGCGATGAGACGCCGCGTGCAAGAGATGGAGGAGGAAGCTCAGAAGCTGCGCCAGATGCAGCAGTCGCTCGACAACGAGCGCCATGAGATGCGCGAAAGCAAGGAAGATGTTGATTCGCGCAGCGTCTTCGTCGGCAACGTGGATTATGGGGCCAGCCCCGAGGAGATTCAGGCGCATTTCCAGAGCGTTGGGAGCATTAACCGTGTGACTATACTGCTGGACAAGTTCACCGGACACCCCAAAGGGTTAGTACAAAGAGGAGGTTTCCTTTGAAGAGTTGCGCAAATTGCTTTTTATAATCACTATGCGACGACCGCTTGGCACGACATCGGACGCGCAATGCGTCGCGCAACGTTGGAGTTACAAGTGTCTACACGCGCTGTTGACTCGGCTTTTGCGAATATCGTCTTTCGCTACCTGGCAAGAGTTTGGCAGAAAGATACGGAACGCTAATAGGCGTATGCAGGTACGCGTATGTGGAGTTCACTGAACCCAGTCTGGTCAATCAGGCCTTAGTTCTCGATAACAGCCAATTCCGCAGCAGACAGCTGAAGGTGCGCGTTCCCCTCTCAATCTAACTCACAATTGCTTACGCATTCTAGGTCGTCCCCAAGCGCACCAACCTTCCCGGTATGACACGAGGCGGACGCGGTGGCCGCGGCGGACCTCGAGGTGGTGGCGGTTACGGTGGACGTGGCTCGCCATACGGACGAGGCGGATATGGAGGTGGCGGTGCTGGTGGTGGCGGCGGCGGCGGCTACGGTGCTCCAAGAGGAGGCGGTTACCGTGGTGGATATCGCGGCAGCCGAGGAGGATCTCAGTACCGCCCATACTAGGCGGATTCTGAGCCTCTGAAACCGCTGTGGAGAAATCAGAAGACTTTGGTCACTTTACGACTTGCGGTACTTTTCGGATTTTGGGCTGGGGTTGGGCGAAGAGCCAAGTTGCAGTAATTTATTAAGCTGGGAAGTGTATTTTTATTAGGGCTCTTTTACGGCGACGGTGGTTTCGCGACTCGGACTTGCTCAAAATGACGGTGTTTTTACTAAGACAATGGTGTATCCTCTAGGCTCTTTCAAATATTGCCTGTATGACTCAAGGCTCGTCTTTTCTCGTCCTCAGGGAAGTTATTGAACTAGAACATCTGGAGGCGCGAAAATGGAGCTATCTGAAGATCAGAATTCAGAGATATTTTGCAAATCCTCTCGAAGTGACGCGTGAGAGGTATCACAGCCACCAGTTCGCACTGGACGAAAACCGAACACGCTAGGCGATTTGACGCCCGAACCACGACTCCAAAGCCACCTTGAACGCCCGAATCCCAGATCACGCCATTATGTCCATACCGCGCAGCCCAACCCCCAAAAAACACGCACGCTCCAAAGATCGACCAAAATGGTACCCAGAACCCCGTGTCCCGCGCCTCTCTACGGCGCCGGGTTATCCTTGACAATACTCTTCACTTTCTTCTCGTACGCGGCGCGGTCTTTCTTGAAGAGGTTGAACGCGTCTGCTTGCGCGGGCGACTCTGGGTTTGGCTCGTCGAGAAGCGACTGGATGCCGAGCAGGATCTCCTTGATGGTAATGGCGGGCTTCCAGCCCTCTTCTTCGTTGAGGATCGAGAGGCAGACGGTGCCGGAGGGGTAGACATTTGGGTGGAAAAGCGGCGGGGAGAATTTGCCTAGTCATACGTTAGCAGTCTGTAGATTTTATTGGGACCGTATTTCCAAGGCTGGGTTTGTAGGGTGCCAAAGCTGCTCTCAGGCTGAGTCGCATACGTACATTTTGGTGGCTTCGTGGGATACTCGTCGGGGAATGTGACTTCTAACTTGAATAGCCCGCCTTCCCAGATCGTCTTCTCCTTGCCTGGCACGCCGCAATCCCACTTCTTGACGTCCATCATACCGTTTGCGCCGCGCATAGGTTTCGCGAAGAAGCCGAAGGGGTGATCGCGTCGCCATTGTTTTCTACTCTCAGTTAGCGCAAGCTCGTAAGTGTGAGGAGCAAAGAATCGCGTACCTCTCCTCCTGGAGACGGTTCATGCAGAGCGTAGACATCTTGCCGTGCGAATTTCTGAGATTCTGGTGTCGTTATTATTCGAGCGACAGGCGGTATTGAAGCGACGTGGGCGAGCGAAGTGGTTGGGCGACAGGCGCTTATGAAAGCCTAGTTTAACGGTGAGAGTGAGAGAGCGCCGCGTCAAACTTTCGTACGGTGAGTGAAGTCGAGTTGCAGGTGCACGTGACGGACGCCACAATTTGAGGCTGGGGTCTGGAATCTGGACAGAGGCTCATGCCCCGCGCTATCCTTGCCAATCGCTGCCCCGCTTACGTGACGGGCCGAGGCTGGCTACAACGTGCATGAGTGACTTGCATTGCATCCTCTGTCTTTCGACTCTAAAACTCTATTGTTACGACTTTGAAATTTTGCGAAGACAAGATGTCAGATGCGCCCACGAAAAAGGAGCAGGAGCAGGAAGTTGCGACCGCGATCCCACCACCACCAGTTCCAGTCGCAGCCGCCCCTCCACCCGACATCGCATCTGATCCCGACGAGGACGACCTGTCAGATCTCGATGGTACACCTCTTCCCCATTTCCTTTCAAACAGCTCTCTAATTATCCCACAGACGTCCTCGACGAATTCGCGCATTCGAAGGTTGAGTCCAAGGCCCCCGCACCCTCCACAGCAACAGCACCTAAACCCGCTGCACCGCCCTCTTCCGGTCCCGGAAGGCCAGAAGACCTCTCCCCCGGCTCCTTACTTCTCGAAGATGAAGATGAATTTGCCAAGCAGCTGCAGAAAGAAATGGAGTCCCTCCTCGGCCAGGGCGACTTCCAGAAACAAATGGAAGACATCATGAAAGAGATGGGCGAGGAGATGGGAGGCGCGAACCCTCTTGCTGCGACGTCGCCACCACCAAAAGACAGCGGGGCCGCGAAAGAGGCCGACAAGAACTTCCAAGAAACCATCAAGAAAACGATGGAGCGCATGCAATCATCTGGCGAGGCTGCGTCTTCTGCCGCGGCTGCATCAACAGACCAGGACGATATGCTCGCGCAGATGCTCAAAGAGATGGAGAGTGGTGGGTTTGGGGGTGAGGGAGGGGACGAGGACTTCAGCAAGATATTGATGGGTATGATGGAGCAGCTTACGAACAAGGAGATCTTGTACGAGCCCATGAAGGAGCTTAACGATAAGTTCCCTAAGTGGATGGAGACGAACAAAGAAAAGGTGGGCAAGGATGACCTGAAGCGATACGAGGAGCAGCAGTTGCTTGTTGGGGAAATCACAACGAGGTTTGAAAGGAAAGGGTACAGTGATGGGGATCCGAAGGACAGAGAATATATTGTGGAGAGGATGCAGAAGGTATGTACTACTTCTATATGACGGCCCCGTGTTGGATAACATGACTGACACAATCTAGATGCAAGCCGCAGGTTCTCCGCCGCCAGACTTGGTAGGCGATATGCATGCTGCGCAAGAAGTACTCCAGGATATGGACCAGGGATGCCCGACACAGTAGTTTCTTGCACAGTAGCCAACGTCCCTTGACTCTTCCAGATACCCACAATGTATATGTCTCCCGTTCAACTTCGCTGGCTAATTCGCAAGTGGCTGGTTCCAACAACATATTGGGACAGTATACACAGAGCTGAGCCATGAAAAAATAATTATACAGCGAACGTGTGCGTGACGTCTAGCCGTCCGTCATATCCATGTCCATCGCGTCCGTCTCGTGGAAATTGGTACTCGAGAGTTGCGATTGTTGCTGGAGTTGGTGATTTGCCGTCGCACATTCCATGAATATCGAGTCGTAATCTTCGTCGTCGCTCCCGAAATGCTGTGAAGCTGTCTCTTGCTCGTACTCCATCGACGCGACCAACTGCTGTAATTCGTACTCCTCCTGCGCGAGCATGTACTCCGCCTCATTCATCTCGGGATTGTGGGGCAGCGCATCATTTGACGGAAGTGACGTCGCATCATCCCAAGATTCTTCATCGACATCGCCATCCTCAACGGGTGCTTGACGCGCCTTCTCCGCCTCCCACCTCCTGCGCTCTTTGACGAAATCTAGTTGTTGAATCTATCCAACCATTAGCACCCGTCGCTCAATCGAATGAGCGTGGAACGTACCTGTTCTCCTCGCGCCTCCCACTTCTTGTCCTCGCGACTGCTCTGCACCCGCTTGAAGAACATATCCCTCCTCCTCTTAGTCGCCGCATCGCGTGTCTGAATCACCGGGTTTGGCTTGAAAGCGCGTTGCGGTACCGGCGACTTGTTCTCGCTCGGCATACTAAAGTCGAAGAGTCGTTGTGTTGCATTTGCAGAGCGTCCGGATAATGGTGACAGTGGTGAGGATTTGGGTGGCGTATAGGCTCCGTAGTGGGACATTGGTGGCGTGTGGAAGGAGCTTGTGAGCATCATCGTGATTATAGTATATGTAGTTTCGGGTGTTGAAGTAGGAAGAACGTGTTTGATCGAAGGTTTGGAGATGTCGAGTGAAGTGGTTTTGGACGGATGGGGTTGGGTAAGAAAAGGATGATGCGTTCGAAGCACGAACGCGTCGCGTTAGCGCGTTAGTGGTATCGATAACGTCACGTGATGAAAACTTGGATTGCTTCTGAACGAATTTCGTCATCAGATCGTCGGCGTAAATACACAACTCAACTTTGACAAGGTTTCGAATGTTCATGATCGTGTCAAGAAACCCTTTAGATTGACTACATCCCTAATTTCTGCCAGATTCTTTTCAAGTGTTTCATCAGCCCATCGCTCGGAGACTATCGCCGACGTGTTTGTTCCGACATACGCAGTCCATTCTCTCGCCATTCAAGATTCCCTTCCTTACGTTCAGTCGGTCAAATCTCGGTCAACGCCTGCTTTTCGCGTTCCGCTTCTTTCTCGGTTTTCCATCTTGTAACTTAACATATTTGAGAATCCATCGTGTATAGAACTCGTGTGGAAGCTGAGACACAAGATAAAGCTGCTCTTCGGTAATACTGCCAAAACCATCATTGACATACCAACTGTCCACAAGCAACTGAAGCATAGGGTCCTCCGCGGGTAAATTTTCGAAAACGCGAATTACCACGAGCGGATAGGGTGGGGCTCGGCGTATAACTTAGGAGATGTTTTCCATTAAAGCATCTTTCCATTCGGCAGCTAAGAGCATGTCTGCTGCAATGTAGGCACGGTATTTAACTAAAATACGATCTGCGGACAGAGAAGGCGCTCGCACGTGTTCCGACAGCTTCTTCTCGTACATCCAGTCGACAAAGATATCGAATGCGTCGGTGTCGACCTGGCGGATAGAGATAACACCATCAGCTGTCTCTTTGAACTTGCCAGACAGCGCGCCTCGAAAGAAGCCCGAATGGTGCTCGAGAAGCTTTTTGTGTAGTGTATATCTCTTCTGTTCGACTCCAACCTTCACAACAATGGTACTTGGTACAGCGATCGCGCTGCACAACATCAGCATCTTCAACGTGTCTGGACTGGCCCGCCAACCTTACTCACCTTGCTCGAGGTCCACTCCTAGCTTTGAGTATCTCTTTGTTTGTCGTCATGGTGAGCAGATTGACAATGGCGTGCAATGAGGTGGAACAAGAAGCTTAAAGTAACAAGCAGGTTCAAGTCAAGAGGGGAGGAGTACTTAAGTAGAAGTCAGGTCCAACAGTTATGAATACGATTGTGATGAAAGTGAGTTGAATACCGCTAGTTTTTGAGCTGCCTCACCTTCACCCTCACCTTCACCCGCATCTCTGGCTTGTACAACAAGATATTGAGACGTTGCAGTTGAGTGCCAGTTATACTCGTCCGCTTCAATTATAATGGTTGTCGATTTGAAATGATGCGTTATACTATTGCACTGAGTGTAAAGGACTACAATGTACATCTGTAGTTACGCATGATTGGATTTACTATCACCTATAGCTACTACTATCAAGACAATACTATAATCTACTCCTTTTGAACTGCTTGAATGCATTTTGCAGTGCTACAAACCATCCACATTAACATTCACTCTCAACACATTAGGGTGTATTAGCCGAGATACGATACATATCTTACCTGTATTTTGCGGTTGGGAAGTGCGGGGATACATATTTAACAGTATGTCAGTACTCTATCAACCAATCACACCGCAAAGGACCGTGCACCTGGCGCACCACCATGCCCAAACTTTATGCAGATCAATCACTTGATGACCGCCATGATACGACAGGGCATGTTCTGAACCAGGGTACATTGGACGCAACATGGGGGTGACTTTACGGGATAAAGACCGATGCAAGATCCCGATCAGCAAGGGGTTACGTTCTGCGTTTTTCTTATGTACTCTTCGCTCCCCTCTCTGGCGGTTGATGCCGGACGTCACAGTTTCTCTCGTGGTTCTCTCGTTTTCTGATTCCTTTTCTAAGCTTGGAGACTGTCGATAACAATCTCCTCTTCATGGCCATAAGCGAAGGCTGCCCAGGACTCAAGGTCGAGATCCTTGACGGTACAATCACACCGCTTCCTGAATACAACAATGTCGACGCGGACAGTAACACCAAGTACATTGAGGCTCGGTCTGGGAGCGTCTTCTCGATCAGGGCTTCATTCACGTCGTCATTCATGTATAACCATCACGTTTTAATGGACGTCACAATCGATGGGAAACGCATAAACGCAAACATCATCGAGACTGATCGTCTGACCCGTTGCTCCACCCGTCGAATCCGACACGTGATGGATGGCATCCACATCGAGAAGTATTCGAAATGGTACCTCCAGCCATTCCGGTTCTCAGAGTTAGAAATAGGTACATTTGGTATGACTTGTCTTCGCCAGCCAAAATACTAACGAATGATATAGACAAAGGCTGGAGTGGTTCAGACGACGCATCAGATGCGCAAGATATGAGCCAGATTGGAACCATATCTGTGAGTTTTTTGTTCATCCAGAACATACGATGGCAACCATTCAAGGGCGAACGCTCCGGCGCTCTGTCCAAGTTGAGCAAAATCTCAGAAGGAGCCTTGAAGGCAGATCCACGCTCACATCAAGTAACGTATGCTCGTGTTTTGACCAGTGACAGAGCTTTGTTGATCAGACTCTAGTTTCAGCAAGCCAATCGCGATCAAAGGAGATCCCCCAGTGCTCTGCCCGCAATTTGACCTTGTCGGGCGTCGACCATTCGCTACATTTACGTTCAAGTACAGATCGCTCGGTGAGTGAAATCATGCACTATCGTTCGGCGCGGGTTGCTGAATTCTCCCACAGCGGCGTTGAAAGCCCTGCACATCATTCCTAGTCATCCAAGTTCAAAATCGTTAGAACGCCGACTCGAGAACGGGCTCATTAGAATCGACGTCCCGGCACTGCTTGAGCAGTACAGGGCGAGGACAGTACGTCTGCAATATTCCCATCCTCAAGCCTCATGTACTAAAGCCCTTGAAGCAGTTCACAACATCCACAAAGCCTATCAAGCGACAGTACGATTACATGCTTGATCATTCAGATTATAAGTATTCAGCTATTCGTGCTGATTCCTCGCCGAGCAAGCGAAGTCGTATCGAACCTCCATATCTCCTCGAACCAATCGCATCTATGGAAGCTCAGAAATACGACCTAGAGGATCCAATAATGAGTAGCGATACGTACTTCATGTTGAGTGTATGAAGTGGTATCAGTTACATCATTGGCTGGCCACATCCCTCATTCTGACAGTCGTTAGGTGTGTGTCAAGATCTAACGAAGACGGTAGGATTGATTTTCTCAACTGTAAAAAAAACTATTTTTGCGAGTGCCAACGCGTGGGACCAGAGGATGCTAGCGCGTAGAGACTCGATGCCGTTCGTTACAAAGCTAGAGAAGGAGGCTCGAAGCATTTAATTCCAACGGCAAATGCTGAACAATGATAAATTGATTGAAAAGAATAGAAGACGAAAGGGCCACAAGCCCCTCAAAGTTTGTAACTCCCAGCACCCTTCCTCGCTACATCTCTAACTTCTTTACCCTCGACGTCAGTAAGCACTCCCTTCCGCCCAATGACCTGCACACCACCCTTCTTCAAATCCCCAATGAGCTGCTTCTTGTCCTGCTTCTTCTTGCCCTTCTTCTCTTCCTTGACGTCCTTTGGCGCGTTAAGCCCAGCCTTCTTGCTCCTCTCCTTGTCCCGTCTACGCCTACTTGTCTTCTCCTCTCGCGACATTTCCTCACGAGCAAACGGCATGCCACCCTTGGTGATGACCTCCGACTTTGTCTTCTCGTCGCCAGGCTTGTACATTTCCTGAGGTGCGAGCATGCTTGCGCCTGCGACGTCGCCGCCGGCGGTGGGACGTGCATCTTCCATCTCGATGGCAGGGGCATCAACGCGGATTTCGAGGTTCGGCGCTGCGGGCTTGGGCTTGAAGTGTGAGGAGCTAAGGGAGTCGAGCTTGGCGGATAAACCTTTCCACAACGCGGAGATGCCATCGTGTTCCTTCTTCAGCTTCTCGTCACGGGCATCGACGAAATTGGGGTCTATCTCGCGCATGTGCTCTTCTTCGTAGATCTCAGCAAGGCCCTTTCCGGACTTGGTATCTTCGAGTTCGAAACGACCTCGTCGGACTTTGGGTCCTGTTGCGAGGTCGTCTGGTCGACGGCGTGGGACTTCGTCGAACTCGCCGGCTAGGATGCGCCGCTTGATCAGTGCTTCGATGTCTTCGGACACTTCAGCTGTGATGATAGGTACTGGCTTGCCCGCCCGTTCGAATTCGAGATTCTCTTCAAGAAGCGAGTTCAGCGGTCGATCGGCTGCACGTGCCTCACCGGCAAGTTGCCATTCGCGCTTTGCAACGTTGGCCGCCTCTAGTTTCCGGATCTCTTCCGCAATCTTTGCTTGCCTGCGCTCATGTGTTGATCGTCGTGACTTTGGGTCTGAAGGGTCTACGTCTGTCAGGTCCCCGTCGCTTTCTGCATCATCGTCGTCTTCAAACAAGTCGCGGTGTACTCTTGCCATAGTGCCCTCCACATCTTCATCCCCAGCTCCTGCTTCGGCGCCGCCTTTCTTTTCTGGAAAGTTGTGTGGGTTTGGTCGGCCCCGTTTCTTTGTGTTCTTGCCAGCTTTCTTTGCTGGTGGCGCATAGAAGTCCGCATACATGACATTATTGGCATTCATGCCGTTGTCCAGACCGTCGAGATCGCCATCTTCGAATTCTTCGTCATCGTCGCTATCACCCTCTGGCGCATTGAGATCAGCATTGCCGAATGTGGGGCCGCCCTCGTCAGATTCGTCATCCGAGGCATCTTCGTCTCCACCCTTGGTCCTGCTCTTGCTCTGCCCGTCTGTCATGGGATCTGCCGCCCAATCGACTTCGTCGTCATCGCTCTCTGCTGCTTCGCCCCGCTGATCTTGCTGCTCGAGAAAGTCGGACTGTTTGTTGAAGTCATCGATGGAAAAGAAGCCGTCGTTGAGACCGTTAGGGTCGGGCTTGTACTCCTCGGCGGGCTCGTCGTCAGATTCTTCCTCGGAGAAAATCTCGTCTTCTCCGTCTTCCATCTCAATATCTTCATCACCAGATTGTGCACCTTCCGAGACTTGGGCGTCTTCGTCATCATCGACTCCATCGTATTCCCAATCAACTCCCTCCTCACCCATACTCGATTCGCTCTGTTCATCTTCGGCTGCCTCCAATTCTTCCTCGCTATCTACGTCGTCATCCACTGCCACGAGACCGTCATCTTCTGCTCCTTGCAGCGACAGCTCGATCTCGTCCTTGGCAGCCTCGACAATCTTTCGCGTTTGCTCGAAGACTTGATTTACACCAAAGCCATCCAGATGCACCTTCTTCAGGTGTAGTACTCTGATGTCGCCATCGTAGCCTGCTCCCCGCTTCCTCTTCTTGCGCAGGTCTTGTTGCCGTTGTGTTTGCGACTCGCTGATACCAGCGGCAACCGGATCGAGGAATTGTTTCGCAGCAGCCAGAAAAGAGGCATTCAGTTGCGCTGTGGGCTGCAGAAAGGCGAGGGGGCTGGTAAGCAAGCTAAGAGGCGAGTTGGTCGAGGGTTGGAGCTCCATTGGCGACGGCTGGACGGAGCCTACTGAGAGTGTGTGCGACGAGATGGACGTGTCGGGAGAAAACGAAGGCGGCGCCATAATCCGAAAGTGCACGCGAAATATAAGTGGCCTGATTGAGGGGTAAAGGGCAATCAGGCAGATGGCGGTGCTGATGCCAATGCGAACTTTTTTGGTAGGCCTTCGCAGAAGATTTCGGGTGGGGCGCGCTAGCTATTAGCGTGATTTCCGCTCTTCGTCATCCGTGTGAACGGCTATCACGAAACACAGCAACTCGCACGATCAACATGTGAGAATATCAAAGCTGTTGAAGCTGCTGTTTGATCCGTGAAAGCTATGTACTTTATATTATCTGCCAACAGTGTCTGTGGATCAGCTTTCACACGCTTTCCCGTGACGTCGGATTTATGTTATCAGCCCCCCAGTACGCGCTTGCTTCAATCCGGAGCTCCTCTCATGGTGCCGAAAGCTATCAATTGTTTTGGTATGTATACTGGTCGAGTTCATAGTATCAACACGTGTACCTGGAACGACTTGAGAAAAAGAAATACTTCGATTTGTTGCATACAGAGACTGTAGGATAAAACTCTACAAGTTGTCGCTCTTCTGTGTCAATTCTTATTCAACGGTCCGCGTCTCAAATGGGAACAACTGTATCGACTGTTTTCAAGTGGCGTTAGCGGTTTTCATATGTGTAGCTGAAGTCGCCATGAGAATCACTCATCCTAAGAAACCAAAACCACCTGATGGGGTATCTCGTCGATTCAAAGATCCGGTGGAATGATCTCAAGCGAGATTTCTCTACTGACGCTGATATCTCTACAAAGGTATCAGCCCTGCAATCGTATAGACAGGTTATGATGCATGTAATTGCTGCTCTGCGTAGACTTGAGCTAAGTTTCACTCAAGCCAATATTCATATGGAGGGTTTATCCAATGTCACTTGCATGTCTCACGACTGCATGTTAGCGATGATACTCTACGACGCAAATTCTGCCCGGACTGTCCAGGTGGTGCGCGGAATCAAGTAAAACTTGGGCAAAGGTGTCGACAAGTCATGAGAGCAGGATCAAGTGTCAGAAAACAGAGTTTAATGGAAGCAAGACTTGTACCAAGTTTATTTAGTACTCATCAACATCTCGAATATATCTAAAAAAGTTACTATAATCTATCCTGATGATATCGTCAATCGGCCGGAAGCGTATCCGCACAGTAGTCTACGCAAGGCGCAGAAATTTACATGGTGGGGGAACCATACCCCGCTTCCCAAAATCCTGCCATAGACACTTCGCAGATGCTGCCTCCATACAATGTGCCCTTGTGGACTGCTCGCAAGGGTGATTTTGATCTCACCTTGATATTTTGCCAACTTTGGAAAACTGCCACAATCACCAAAGAAACAGGTCAGATGGCCGAGTGGTTAAGGCGCTAGCTTCAGGTGCTAGTGGAGTCATCCTCGTGGGTTCGAGTCCCACTCTGATCAGCATCATTCTTTTTGCACCTGGTTCGACCGGATGGTGGCTGTTCTGCGTTGTGGTGGTCGACTTTTGGGCGTGGGTGAGGCACGTGATCGGTGCGGCCGGCGGGGGTTTGCCAAGCCGCAGTCTACGAACTCCACCCGATCAGCAAGACCGCGGCGACAATGGCAATTATGATTCCTGGCCAGATTGGTCGATTGCGCACAGAATCTTTTGGCTCAGCCGCGCCCGTTATCGTTCTGAGTTCCACAAGCTTTGGCGCGAGTATGACCTCAAATCATTGTCCGCGGTATATCTCTCAATAGCGTAATGTCTAGCGCCACGCTCTTTCACTCAAGTCGTCTGTGGTGACGCTAGTATCGCGTTCTCTGCGTAAAAGCACGTGTCGCACACAGTCTTCAGCACACTACCATAGTCCTCTCCGCATCGCGTACCGTTCGTGCGGACCCCATAACAGCTATACTACTAAGTGGCGTAGGCGTAATACACACGTTCTTGTACCGCCCTCCTCGACGTGCCGGGGCAATAGGAGGGATTGATCTTGCACATCTTGTTGTAGGGATGTGTTGAAGGTGCGGAATAAGCCGTAAACATGTAGCTATTCCACATAGCATTTAGCTACTTGCTCATAGAGGATATTCCAAAAGTTACGTACCTATAGCAAAAGTCTTCCATGGTAGAGATCGTGCAAGGAGGCTCTGGGATAAGATAGGCTTCCTTGATATTCAACCAGTGGAGCGAAACAACCAACTTCGATTGCCTAAGCAAGTCGACTTAGCTGACTATTACTCCGTTGTAAAAGTTCATTAGACTCGGTTCATCACAATCTAAATGTATGCTCAAGATGTAAGGCTGTAGGAGCTGCGGATAATTAGGATGAAGTGCGGGTGTGAAATCTAACTCCCTTCTTTCAGAACTCTTTTGTGAACAACTTCATTTTTAAACCATCTTCGGACCATTTTCCTTGCTGCAAATAATTCTAATACGTGTAGGTGTTCTAGAGCTCCATTTGCATCTCGCCTCGACTCTCATTTCAAGGTCTTCGCCATCGATCATTTCGACATGTACGTTTGAGTGCCTTCTGCCTACATTCTAGTAGCTAGAAACCTCACCAACGCTATCGAATAGTCGGTATTCATCTTCAACGAAACCGCCGTGTGTATTGAAAAATTCATGATATATCTACACTCTCAGGCAGTTGGAATATCATGAATCAAGGTATGGCGAAATGCTACAACAGCCTGATAACTACAGCGAAAATTAGCGTAGGAGTCTTTTGCTTAAGATCCCTAGTTGGATATGCCTAGCATGTAATTTTGTGAATTTATTGTCTTGAGTTCGCGTCTTATGAGAGTCTTAGAGAACAGCTTACTTCCCACTTCGATACTTGACCGGGAACCATACTAACCATAGCAGAGCAAAAAAAGAAAAGTTCGCGCGAACATCACCAGAACATAAACCTTTTCTATAATTCAACCTGCACTTCTGTCTCACGTAGCGTTGGTAGTTCCATAAGTCCACCTCGCAGTTCTCATTTGTACCAAGCACAGTGTTAGACAAGGCAGGCTCAAAACTTTCCTTTTTAGCATGCATTGAATAGTTGAGCTAACACCCCTGTCGCGACTTTCTTCGTACAACTGCTCCGATTAGCTACACGCGAATCCTTTTGGGGTTGGGCATGCCGCACAAACTTAGACTCTACGGTTGGGATTTACCTTTGGGACGAACTGATGCGAGTCATGCTGCACTTTCATGTTCAACACAAGCTTTGTCCAGCTGTTGGGGCAAATAAATTGCGGTGGTGGGGAATTTTGGGAGTGGTCACACTGCATATGGAATGTAGGCATAATGGTCAGTCTCTGCGCAATTGAAGGGGTTAGCCTGCACAACGAGGATCACAGCAAAGAAAGCTGCACGCCTCCGCTTTCAAAATCCCCTGCAAGCCACCGTAACCATGTGGTACACTAAGGTCTTTCTCTATGCAGTTTTTAAGCCTTTATATTCTATCTTAAACGCTTCGGCTTGTCATCTGAAAGGGCACCACGGTTGAACGCATCGATCTTGACCGAGGTTGTACTATGGGATTGAATTACCCACCACCCTAGAATCACTACCCAAGATGGGAGGAGGCACTCTACAGAGCCATACATACACCTAGTAAGCGATCCTGGCTGGTGACCATGCAGATGTTGTGGGTCCAGAATCCTAACAAGGATGAATGATCATGGCGGGGTAGTGAGGCGCGGGCCGCAAGCTCAGCCTACCATGTCGGCCTCCTACACACCCAGCTCTTCATCACCAAATACTACACAAAAGAAGTATGCAACTCTCGCGCCAAACCCACCTCGGATCAATAGATACGAAGCTACTTACCATCGTAGACCTTCAAGGCCCACCAGTATGGCCCTGCACGATCATCCAATCAGAGGAAGCGTACATCCTCCATCGACTCCCGGACGAGCTTCTTCTCCTGATTGTGAAGTTTTCGCTGTATACCAATGATCGCACGACGCGTGAGACGACGCGTGAGACATGGGCGCTATTCGAAGATGTGCGGGCTTGTGACACCAGCTGTATCATGGCACTCTCGCAGGTGTGCCATAGATTCAAACGCATCGCCCAGCCGTTATTGTTCAGCAATATCGGCTTCATGCATCCCAATCAAGTGCTGCCGCCTTCAATACGAGTTCTCAGACTTCATCGTACGCTAAGTGACAGAGTCGATCTGCGTCAGCACTGTCGGTGGGTAATTCCGTCCATATTCTCTCTTTTGACCAAGTCTCGTTGTAGTACTCCTCGTGTTCGTGCACATAAATATGCACCTTCTACTGCCCCTGAACTCCCGTGTTGAGTGATAACACGATCTGACGAGGACTCTCTACACGCCATAAACGAAGACGTGCAAGCCCTAATTTGCTTGTCCTGAAATGCTAATAATATACCTACGCAGATACCTAACCATCAACATGGGAGACGTCGCGCGTAGAGAAGCGAGGACACTTGGTTACTATTCAGTGGCAAGGGATTTTGTGACGTGGTTTGCAAACACCAAATACCTCTCCATTCACGACTCGCAATGTTCTACTCACGGAGCCGCTGAAAGTGACGAATCCGGGGCCCATGGCAGCAATAGCGAGACTTGCGCATGGGACCTATATCGCTATGCTGTGGACAAGCTAGAATGTGTCGAATATGCTTACATCGACAGAGCTCACTGTCGTATCCAATTGAATCAGATGATTGAAAGCCTCGGATTTCCCAAGTTGAAGAAGCTGGAACTCATAAGGGTACATCTGGACGGACATGTGGAACTTGAGGCCAAGGTACCCGCATTCCCATTCTGCCTTTTTCTTTCCAAGAAATATGAGAGGGGAAAGGGATAAGGATTTGTCAAGATGCTAACTCTTCCTCCTGGATGTAGAAGCACCGCACCGCACCATTCACGCATCTTCATCTCTTCAATACCGTTCTAACAGCCAGGGCCACATATATCCTGCTACAGTGGCCGAGGGTACTGACTCACTTCGTCTTCGATGCATATCCCTACCAACCTCCATTTGTAGACTACCCTACGCTTGAATCGTGGCTGCTTATCCACGCCGAAACCCTGGTACACATAAAGATCAGCTGCCTCCACCCGAAGCGTAGTAAGCGCCTGTTGAACGCTACGCTCTTTCCGCAGCTTGAGCTCTTATCTTTATCACGCTGGCAGATGCAGTCTGGATTGCGAACTGACCACAGCACCAGTGTGAGGACAGATCAAGTGAATCTGCTGGGTTCCAGTCTCAAGATATTTTGCTGGGACTTTACGATTGAGGACTCCGAGCTGAGTCGACTACCTTTTGGCGACGACGAGGCGTCGTGGATACGCACATTATCTGAGAGAGCATTTGAGCACAAAGCCGCGCTTGAAACCATCAAGATACTTTATTCGCTGGACGATCACCACAGGACTCGGTCGAAGGGTTATCCGTGGGAATGCATGGAAGACGCACAACGTCATTTGGTCAAATTCGGTATAGAATTGATATATGATAAACCGCCAATGTCAAAGGACGAGTGGACGCGCTACTACGAGACTGGAATTGCACCGTATGCAGATTTCTGGGGCCCCCGGGTTCACTACCAGCCGCCTCGGGAATCTACGCTGGAGGAAGATGAAGCGGAGCGACGGCTGGACGCGGAATATGATGAATTGATGAGGCAGGGTTTGTACCATGGAGAGGATATTCGGAGGTACCTAGGAGCCTAGGAGAGATTTTGTCAGGACAAGATAGACGCATGATGATAGCATAACATCTACACTCACAAGAGATGAGTGAGTTTCAAACGCACCGCAACCATATTGGACCTTGACTAACACCCTATACGATCAGTACATCTATAGTATTTGACACCGTTATTATGGAGTAAGCATCTTCTTCTTCTTCTTCTTCTTCTTCTTCAAGCAAAAGTCAGCATTGGCCTGTAAACGTCAACATTCAATTCACCAAAAATATCGTCTAGCCTAACGAACGCACATCCTCGCAGATATATCGGCTTGCACCCCTCACCGCTAGTACATGGTTCTAAGCCTTACATAGTCTTCTTGATGCGCTGGGTAGCAATGGTCAGGATTCCTTAGCCGCACAGCGTTTTACTTTTCATGAAAGCATATGGTAGTAAACGTAGCTAGCAATGCGGGTACATCAGAACGCTTATCTCAGATGTGGCACAGCTTGCTAACAAGGAATTGGAGTACGAGGAATGCACGGTGACTTGGTATGTCAGTACGCTGTGGAGCGGGGTCGTCCTACCATGCTGAACAGGTCGGAACGAGTGACGCAGCAGGCCTACAACATACCAAATCTTTGGAAGACTGCCTTTTGGCCGCATTATCTCCTCACTACACTCACGGTGGAAACATCGATCTCCACACGATCGGACTGCTTGTTATTACTTTTGTATGCACCGCACCTGTTTCTCATCCTCTGTTAACATTATGACGGAATCGTTTAAGGTAGTCAGCTCAACCCTGCTTGACAAGATAGATCGACTTTTCGCATGCAATGTCGGTGATTCCGTCGCCCTGCCTCACATTGTGGTGGTCGGAGACCAATCGAGTGGGAAAAGCTCTGTTTTGGAAGGCTTGACGGGATTGCCATTTCCACGAGATAGTGGATTATGCACTCTTTTTGCGACCCAAATAACCTTTCGAAGATCTCAAGATTCAAATATCAACGTCTCAATCATACCTGCAAAGAATAGCTGCCCGCAGGATAGGGAGAAATTACAAGGATGGAAGAAGTCCGGACTAAAGTCTTTCGACCCGCAGACGTTCGCAGACATCATGGCAGAGGTATGTGTACCCGATCTGTATCTTGTACATCTACTGAATAAGACACAGGTGGTTATAGTGATGGGCGTTCGTTCCACCCAACGAGAACCTCAAAAAACCTTCTCCAACGATGTTCTGCGGCTGGAAATTACAGGTCCAAATCAAGAGCATTTCAGTGTCATCGATGTGCCTGGTATCTTCAGGCGGACGACTCACGGTCTGACAACCAAAGAGGACACGGCAATGGTCACTGACATGGTCTATAACTATATGTCTAAGTGAAGATCGGTCATTATGACTGTAATTACATGCAACGTGGGTATTGCAATTCAGTAGATCCTCGAGGAAGCAGAGGACATCGACCCCGAAAGCATCCGAACTTTCGGCATCCTAACGAAACCTAGTCTGGTAGACAAAGGTAGCGAAGGTGCCATTATCAGCTTGGTCGAAGGTAGAACGCACCAGCTACGACTGGGGTGGCACTTGCTTCGAAATCCAGGGCAAGCGGAGTTGAATTCAGCCCTGCGAGAGCAAAATGAGTGTGAGATGGAGTTTTTCGCTAAGGTGCACCCATGGAGTACGTTGGACGAGGGTAAGGTGGAAATAGTCTCTCTACGCTCTCGGCTCCAGGAAGTTCTGGAAGAGCATATTCGCCGGGAATTTCCTAAGGTATGAATCGATGATAGAAAGTGTTGGTGATGTATAAACTGACAACTGCCAGGTGAAAGCCGAGATATCCCAGAAGCTGAAGAAAACTGAGTTCAACCTGCGATCTTTAGGTCCGAAGCGCTAAAGTCGAGTTGAACAAAGCCAGTACCTTATAGAAATCGCGACAGGGTTCCAGAGAATTGCCTCACTAGCTGTGACCTCTGGTTACAGTCGTTCAATGATCCTGAGTACGAACAACAAATACCGAATCGCTACCGAAGCAGTGAATAGACGATTTGAACGAAGATGCACGCAACACTAGGACTAAGGATGACCACCCAGACATCCAGGACACGGTATACGAAAACAAGAGCGTATCAATCACGAGTGACCAGGACACCTTGTCATGGTTGAAGCACGAATACCGAAGCTCGCGAGGGTTTGAACTGGGCACTTTCGACGCCTCACTCCTGGCAACAACTTTGAAGCAGCAAGCGACCAAGTAGTGGGATCTAGCGCTGGGATATGTCAGCGACATTATCTCATTGATACATGCCTTAATTCTTGGTGTGTTTGAGTAGATTACGCCGAGTGCTCGTGTTTTTGAAGGAGTAAAATCTTGTATTACAGACGATATAGCTCGAATGTACGAGGTCGCGATATCTCGGACGAAGCATCTCTTGGTTGTCGAGCTAGCTGGAACCCCCCAGCGACATACAATCATTACTCTAATGAAACCCTGCAGAAATGGTACGTAATAGCCTCACCATTCCTAACGACACATGCTAACTAGGAGGAGCCGCCAGGAACGTCTTTGCAAGCAATTGGAGCAACACTCAATCTCGCATGCTGAGCTCGGAGTAGTGGTGAAGCTAGAAGATGTAGATCAAACCCAAGCACGGAGTAATGAAGATGACACAGTCTTATAGATTCACGACCTCCTCCGATCCGACTATTCGCGACTTTCTTCCGCTTATTATCAACAGGTACTTAGTTTACTTAATTGCTGATTGCATCCCATGTCAAAGTGTGCTCTTACTCTTCAGTCCTCATGATAATTTCCAAAGTCCAAGTCAGGGCGAAATTTTTGCAACGGAAGACCAAGGGAGAGGCGTAACAGTGAGACATCAGAGTTGCAATATCACATTTCTCCAAGCCAATCCACTCTGAAACGCACAACCGTGTCTTTCTTTGCGACAACTAACGAGAACGAACTTCATGCAGTTTGTTAAGAGCAGGCTGTATCCTCTCCACCCTAGCCTGAGCTGCTATATGTATTTGCTCGCGATGCGACAGTGCAACTAACCTGAACGAACCAATGTCAATCCTGCAGTAAGGATATTTCCAGTTTTTCTAAGATCCGAGGTCATTGAAAGTGTGTCCTAGAAAGTCATATTTGCACCAACTCAGACAACACCCCTTGTAAATACAGTAACCGCAGCCACACTATTCTCTTTCTGCTAGACAGCTACAAAGAGAAATATACACCACGCTACTATCTACTTCTAAACCTGATAACACAGGTGAATGGCGATGTAAATGTGATCCAACTCCCTTATAGGTCGCTCACTCGATCAATGTAATGGAAACTTGACATGATGCTATTGTATTTCACTTCATCGCCCTCCTTGTATGTCACACTTTGTAGTCGTGGCTATGAACTATTTGTTTCGTGACACTGGAGCTCACTGCCCCACAGGCTTGCGCTACTAGCGATACACCGTTGCAACTCGATCCAAGCTCTCCCGTGAACATGAATCTCGTAGCGGTAGTAGTCGTAGTCGTAGTACCGCTTGTAGAAACGTACAAGTCGCCAAGCACATACATAGATTCGAAGGCAAATACCCCCTGGACATTAAATAGTGTTCATTTCTCCCCGTATGCTTTACAAAGATCCAGCGTAACTGTAAATCAGGGGGCATTCAATTGACCCCGAAAAATCCAACAATAGCAATGAAAGCGTACAGCACAGCCCGAAGCTTCCAGACAATGATCAATACAGCGCCCTCGAACTGTTTACCGGTACAAAAGCGCAAACCAAGAATTCTACCACATCGATAAACAAAGGGAGAAGGAAAAGTGGACCATGTTCATCGGCCCGGTCCATTTGTAATTGATAAATCTTACAGTATCATAGGCTCTTGCCAGACGACTTACGTTTCTCTCACCCAACATACGCTCCTGCTGTAGCAACCCAATCCGGCCCAACTATCATTTCTGTCACAGTACCATGAACAGTATGCGTCTTTTTGGTGCCAACGTCCATGTACCGTTCCGTTCCGTGAACAGGATCCGTTGTTCTTGTAGCGTGTCCAGACGTCGTGCGGCATATACAATTCATTACGTTTGAGGTGAATAGCTTGTATTCACCCGCCAGTATGGCAATATCCCGCATAACCTTCAATGAAATCTGCATATCGTAGAATAAAATTGACTTGGATTACTGCAACCTAAAACTGCCGCACCGTCGTAGCCCGATTGGCCTTTTCTATTCACTTTACCTCGAGTTGAAAAAACACTGCAGCCCATACATCTCCACTCTCGACACAACAGCCTTGACCATCCGTTGTTGGGGCTCAGCCTAGTCGCTGCCTTGGTACTGTACCATAGTTGCTGTCTATGTGGATCTTCGCTCCTGCTTTTGGTATGCCAATCGCCGTTGTCTGCACTATTAACAGCGGCACCCCGCGTTAGCGCCGTGTCAAAAAACGGTCTGTCTCGAACGTGCAATCAACGGGCGTGGTGTGTCCATCTGCTTCCACAGACATCCGCCGATCCTTCAAGACTAGATTTTGGAACTGGAAATTGCGCAGGTTGGATCTTTGGGCGGGTGGCCGATCGAAATCTGGTAGTTGCTGGTGGGTCTGTGACTCTTTCTCTTTGGAGGATGCAACGCAGGCGGTCTGATCGTAGTTCTTTCTGCTATCAAGCCGTTTGTGAGTACAACGTTAGCCGCGATGCATGTTCTTCGCGGATAGTACGAGGTGTATGCTCTACCACTCGCCTAATCCAACTAGTCTAGTCTGCGAATCCTACTGAAATATTCCCTCTTTTAGCGTAGTCTCGCACCACATCTGCCACGGCCAGTCAGAATGCTCCGTTGAGCCGCATCTACTGTGGTTGAATGTGTGGAGCGCATGCGTATCCACCGACATCTCTATGGTACTGCATTCCCGATATAGCAATGCAAGATGGAAGGGGATTTGTGGGAATTGTCTGGTCCAGCTTGAGGGGTAGGAAGGCAGTCTGGGTTCTCCTTCGAGGTGCTTTGAGAGTGCGAGATTTGCTGGTTCAAGTGCTGCGTGAGTGACTCTTTCGAAGCAAGAGTGGTAGTGGTAGGAAGGTTCGTTTGTGAAGGTCTTTCCTCTGGATCATGTGCAACCATCCGTAGGTGGGCTGCTGTTTCTCTTAGCAATTCTGACGATGTGTACTTGCCTCCAGTGGCTCGATGAAGTGTGGTACTCAGGTCTCCGCAGTAGGACTGTGGGTTGTTGTTGCAGTACCAAAGTGAACTCCGATACTTTGCTCATCCTCATGACTTCCTGAACTATGGTTCAGAGTAGTTCTTACCACAGTCTGTCCTCCAGGACTCCCTTAAAAGAGAAAACACCACCCATTTCTTTCCAAGACAGCTCTTCATCACATCCATCGTTGAACAGTTACTATCAAGCCATCACTACCTTCCAACCATTACTACCATCACTACCACGATGGCCTCCTCTTCTTCCTCGCCCTCCTTCTCCGGCAGGATGGGATGCTTCAGCATCTCGAAAAAAGTCACTCCTCGCAGCACGCCACAGCTGCCCCCGTCTCCTCCCCCTTCTCCTCCACCCAACCCCTGGACGAGATCTTCGGGCCGCAGGAGCCCACAACTGCCGGCGTGCTCTCCCCCCTCGCCACCACTTACTCCTCCTCTTACTCCCCCACAGCCCCCACAGCCCGCACGTCGTCAGGCGGGAGGCTCGTCCTCTCGCGCCCCAGTGCCTGCGGCTAGTCCGTGGGCCCGTGGGAACTGGCGAAGCGGTGCTAAGCCCCTGTCGGCACCTTCAACGTCAGTGCCCAGCTACGACTCGGTCGAGCTTGGACACGTCGTCAAGTTACCAAAGGTGACCGACACCAGTTCCATCATCCATGTGGGGCTGGCACAGGGGGGTGATCAAGAGCCCTGGGACCACCCAGCGGTGATCACCGGCAAGTTCGAGAAAGGCGGCGAGCAGTACGTTCGCATCCGGTTGACGACGTCCTTCGGTGGACGAACCGTGGAAGCCCGGAAGCCGTCTCACCAGAGGCGGTTCTTCATCCTCGCCGACAACGCGGAGGACCAGACACCGCATTCTGGTACCGTACTAGCGAGCATGAAGGCCGGATCCGCCAGGTTCGTGAAGAGAACCTACGTCAACCTCTCAAGGAACAGCGAGTACGTCATCGAGTACAAGCACCTCACTACTTGGGCCATCGGGCACAAGCAGATGACTTTCGACGCTGTCTCGACGAAGAGGATTATCGCCTGCCAGGTGGATTGAGCTGTTACTCGCCGTCCGCCGAAGCTTGTCGGTATCCTCTCCTCGCATCCTTATGTCTCCAGTCACATCTCCACCACTTGCCTCCGGGCTCGCATCCTCTCCTCTTCTCTCAAGTCCGTGGGCACAGTACCCGGGCTCTCCAGTCACATCTCCACCACTTACCACAAAGACCTGTGGTTCGCAGAGGCCATGCGGATTTCTAGCTTCGGCTCGTGTAGGGGCGGGGGGGGGGGGGGGGGGGGGGGGGGGTGGTTGTGTTTGTCAGGTAGTTAGTTTGTTTGGTATGTTGATGCACGTCTTCTTGACAGACGGGAGGAGGGCATAGCGTTTGGGGTTTGGCGTTTGGCGTTTGGCGTTTTGTAGTTTTTTTTTTTTTGTAATTGATTTCTTGGGGCTCGAGTGTGAGCGGGTGGGTGGTGCAGAGATCTTGTCCCTTATGCATGCCTGCTGTGAGTGAATGTTGTTTGTCCTTGCTTTCGTCCCCGTTGTGGTTCTGTATTGTGGATAGGGGCGGCTGGTTGCTTGCGTTTTCATGCCAGTTTCGGTGGCTTGCATGAACTCTCCTAACCCTTTTGCGTTGTGCCTGCTTTCTGTTGCGTGCGGGAGTGTGTTGCTGACGAAGCGGGGTTCGCGCTAAGATCTAGAGCGGAAGTGATGTTGTGAAGGGTTTGTCCTTGTCGTTGATGTTTTGGATCAGCATAAGCATTCGCCACGTGTTCACGGAGCATTACACGATTTAGTATGCATATATGTACTACAGCCTGCTCGGGAATTTACGAATACAGTTGAATACATGGTGGCTTGCATAACGTGAAGTTTAACCCCGGGGGACGTGCTAATACCCGACGTCATCGGCGGGGTTTGCGGGGATAGGGAAAAAGCGCAGGAGCAGTTCGACTACGTACGAGTATCGTCAAGAAAAGAAGAGCAATATAAAATCGTCGTAGTCCACAAGAGACATACACACCATCTCATCCTCGAATTGACCATCACACGGTTAATCCCACAACAACATCACCACCAACATGTCCCTCCCCAAAGCCCAGCTCGGCCGTGACGGCCCCCAGATCGACCGTCTAGGACTCGGCCTCATGGGCCTGAGTGCTTTCTACGGCACTGCAAAGCCCGACGCAGAGCGCCTCGCCTTCCTCGACGCTGCCTATGAGGCAGGAAACCGCTTCTGGGACACAGCTGACATGTATGCTTCCCCGTCCCTACGGCCTCACTCCCCTCACCCCTCCTAACCCGCACCCAGCTACGGCGACAACGAAGAGCTGCTGGGCAAATGGTTCGCCGCCAACCCCTCCAAGCGCGCCGACATCTTCCTCGCGACGAAATTCGGCGCCATACCCTCGGGCGTCGACTCCTCCCCCGCCCACTGCAAAGCCGCATGCGACAAGAGCCTCGCGCGCCTCGGCCTCCCGTCAGTCGACCTGTACTACTGCCACCGCGTCAACGCCGACACGCCAATCGAGCACACGGTGAAAGCCATGGTGGAACTCAAAGAAGCAGGCAAGATAAAGTACCTGGGTATCTCGGAGATCTCGTCCGCCACGCTGCGTCGCGCGCACAGCGTCCATCCCATCACCGCCGTGCAGGTCGAGTACTCGCCCTTTGCGCTGGACATTGAGAGCACGCAGATCGACCTGCTGCGCACGTGTCGCGAGCTGGGCGTCGCCGTCGTCGCCTACTCGCCGCTGAGCCGCGGCATGTTGGCGGGTGCTATGCGCTCGCCCGCCGACTTTGAGGAGGGTGATTTCCGCCGTCTTGCGCCCCGGTTTAGTGAGGAGAATTTCCCCAAGAATCTCAAGCTTGCGGATCGTATTGCCAAGGTTGCGGAGAAGAAGGGCGTTACGCCCAGTCAGTTGACGCTGGCTTGGTTGCTGGCTCAGGGCCAGGATGTGTTTCCTATCCCTGGTACGACGAAGATTGAGAGGATGAAGGAGAATGTTGGGGGTGCGAAGGTTACGCTGAGTGAGGACGAGGTGCGCGAGATTCGCAAGGCGTGCGAGGAGGCTGAGGTTTCGGGCGGGAGGTATCCCGAAGCCTATTCGAGGTCGCTGTTTGGCGATACGGCGCCGTTGAAGTAGATGCGTAGATCTGCAGGAAGACGTAGTAGTAGTAGACAACCAGTGATACAAGAAACAACTTCGTAATCCTCAATTCATGTCCATTATCATTACCATTACCTCCAAGAACGCACCATACCCAACCCCTTATAACCCCCAAAACAACCCTTACAAACAACAAACCTCACCCCGACCTCAACACCACCTCCCCCACACAAACAACCACATTCTTAAAAAACCTTCTCCACTCCAACGGATCCCCACTCGCCTTAACAAACCTCGCCTCACTATACGCCACCCCATCATAAACCGCCGTCTCAACAACAACATGACCATTAAGCCCCTGCCTCCTTCCATCCGCCATCTTAACCCGAATACTCGCGCTCCCCACATCCTCACACTCACTAATCATATCGTCGCTGAACGTCGGGGCCGGCACGCCCAGTCTATGCAGCGCAGAGAGCAGGAGCGGGATAAGCAGGCCCAGGGAGTGCGGGGAGATGAAGCGAGCGAGGGAGTACGAGGGCAGGACGTCTGCGAAGCGGCGGGCGGCCTGGGTGAGGGTGAGGGGGATGGAGGGGGTGGGGGTGAATTGAGTGAGGGAGGGGTCTTGGGCGAGCATGTCTTGTGTTGAGGAGGGGAGCTGGGAGAGGAAGACTGCTGGGGCGGGTGGCTGCGTTTGCGAGGGGTATAGTGCGTGTGTGTGTTTTCCAGCCGCGGGCTGCGAGGCTGATATGCCGTCGTGCGAGGGTAGGCGTGGTGGACGTTCCCAGTCGAAGGGCGTTTCGGCAGAGGGCGTCTCGGGCTGCGTTGAGGAGAACTTGCTGATGTGGGCGGCGAGGTTGGTGGCGGGTGCGGATTCGATGTCCATTGCGTCTGGGTCGTTTTGGAAGAGTGCGCGCTGGGAGAGTGTGGGGCCGCGGGAGAAGTCTATGCGTAGCTGGGAGAGCATTTGTGTGGCTAGGCCGATGGGGTTTGCGCTCCGTCCTGAGGGCGATAGATAGGGGTTCTTTCTCGTGGACCAGGGGTGGGTGCGGACTTCGTCGAGGGTGAAGCGTGTGGCAGGGTCGAGTTTGAGCATGCCGCGTAGCAGCGAGACGATGCCTGCGGGGAGTTTCTGCCACAGCTCGTCTGTCGTGTGGCCACCCGTGTCGACGTACTCTCTGAACTCGTCGCTGCGCGTTGTCGGCTCGTCCCATGGTGTGTTGCCCACTAGCAGCACGAACAGCACCACGCCGCAGCTCCAGATGTCGCACACGTTCGCTGCGTATCCAACGTCCAGCATGTCGGTCCTCTTGCTCCGCCGCCCGCTGACTATCTCGGGCGCAATATATGGCGGCGAGCCACATACGGTGTTGCAAAGCCGTAGATTGCCATCCTTCTTGAACAGCGCCGCGAGCCCAAAGTCAGAGAGTTTGAGATCACCCTCAGCGCTCAACAGCACATTCTCAGGCTTGATATCCCTATGCGCAATGCCCATAGAGTGCATATACCCTACAGCACTAACCAGCTGCGAGAAGTAAAAGTGGGCGATATCCTCGCCCACACCCTCATCCGCCTCGATCTTGTCAAACAGGTCGCCACCATCAGCAAGCTCCATGGCGATCCACGTCCACAGCGCGTCCTCGCCGGAGCCCAGACAGTGGATGATGTTGTGGTGCTTGCCGAGGTGCTGGTGCAGCACGATTTCCATCTTGATCTGCTTGGGCGTGAGGCGGCCCTGCTTGAAGGCATGTTCCTTGTTGATGAATTTGATGGCGATGATGGGTTTGGGCGCATTGTGGGGGACAGCTTTGCGGATTCTGCGGGGGCGCGGTTATTCGTGTGTTCTAGGCTTGGGGGAGGAAGTGGTGGTGCGTACGATGCATATGCGCCCTGGCCGATTGTCTTGCTGACGAGGCGGAAGGGCAGGTTGGTAGGGAGAGGAGCAATCTGGCTCTGTGGCTCGTTAGTATCGCATAGCCTCTAGAACTCTTCACGCACGCGTCCTCTGCCTTCCACAGAACAGTGACGTCTCCCCCCATCCCATACACATCAAGACGGGAGAACACAAGACGACTCACCCCAGGCGGCCCCGGCACCATACTGTGCGACAAAAAAAGTAAGCTCTCCAACACAGCAACAACGACAACGCAAAAAAACAAAAGTCCCAGCCAAAAAAGCAACAGCGACGCGTTGTTGTGCAAGATTCCCACGCGCACGCCTTACTCGAAAACCTCGCGTCGCCCCCAACGCGCGCGCACGAGCCTTCCCACTTCGACGCGTCGGCAGGGGCTAACCGCCCTCTCACATGACCAGACTCGACGTGACATGACATGACATGATCTGCCCTGGCACTGGCTTGCCTATGATCTGCGAACCCTTGGCGAACCCTTTTTTTCCAGAACATTTCGTGTTGCTCCACAGCCCCTCACTACCTACCTAATCAGGGAACGTGATCGTGCGGCGCGGACATCGCATCGCATCGCATCGCATCGCCCATCGCTGTCGCACGACGATGGACGGGAGGATCGAGCGATCTATTGGCTATAGGTGGATGCATGCATGCACGTTGGGCATTCACGGGCAGCAAGGTTTGAACCGTGTTGGTCACTTGTGCTGGGTTTGTGTGTGGGTAGCCGGCGGTGGAGGCTATCTGCTCTACTCTACTCTACTCTACTCTATCTTATTTTACCCGGTGGGTGAATACTGGGTCGCGTGTTGTCGTGAGAGTTTGAGCTCGGTGGCCCGGATGGCTGCGGAGGATCAAACTACACGGACGAATGGGCTTGGCTTTGTATCAGACCCAACCATTGACCTTGGAATGTATCTAGTCGGCACAACTAACGGCCGTCGTCGTCGAGGAGATAACGTGAAGCTTATGGTAGTAGGCCAGGGTTGTGTGTAACCAACTCGGGCAGCAAAGAATACGGTGAATACGCTGGATGACCCGATAAGTACCCAAAGTGCAACGCACCCACCGACGGCCTTGCCTCCGTCGGCGAGCCAGGATCCCGAATACACAATACCCAGCTAGGATTCATTCTGCCTTGGAAGTATCACTCCGACGAGAGGACCAGCAAGCCCAGGACGACCATTTCCGTCCACCCAAAATCTTACCGAGCAACTCTATCCCTACCCCACCTTTCAATCAATCTCCCCCATCATCGGACCGTTTTCACGCCCAAACGCCCTGGCCGGAATGTTTCCACACACCCGGGCTCCTGCTCCATCGCCCTCATAGCGTCCCATCCCCAATCACAACCCGCCGGAGCTTCACCAGCCATGCAGAAACTCAATCTCGCGTGCCTTCTCCTAGGGGTTCAGGTCGAGAAGAAAAGAACCGCCGCAATGCAGGGCCAAGGGCGCTTGGAAAGCAGGAGAAGATGGGGAAGATTCATGACGGTCAATGGTCTGACTTTTGCCCGAATAAGGCATTTCGATTCCCGTTTCGAGGTATTCGGGTTCCCGATTCGAAAATGAGTCGAGCGCCCGTATCGAGATTCGTTCGATTGCCGTATCGAGGGTTCCCAGGATTCCTGCCGTGCTGCCACGTTTTTTGGGAAAACGGCCCGGACGGTAAGGGTGCGTGGTAGCGTTGTTTGTCTTGCGATTGGCTGTGCGACGACGTGTGGTCTTGTGGTCTTGTTTAGCTTTGTTGTTCCTTTGTTAATTCTTAGATGGATGGATGGATGGGCTTGGTTTTCGGTGCTGTTCGCGGCGTGGCGGAGCGGAGCGATCTAGATACTCGTCTACTTACTGCCGTACTCACCGTATTCAGGTCGTGGTCCTTGATCGTGGAGTCGTGGTGTATACCGGGTCTTGGCGGGCTACGTGTCGTGGTGGTGCTCGAGCATCTCGTTTGAGAAACGGGCAACGCCGACAAATATCGGACCATATGCGCCGCAACGTTGCGATGCCGTTGAAATGCCGCATTTAGACGGCAAGGACGTGTAGATCTACGTGAGCAAGTCGGCAGTCAGAGAACAAAGACCTACACAACCGCATCATCATCTTAGCCGAGCATCTGGATTGTCGTGGAAGGGTAGGGTGAGTCGACGAAAGTATCAGCCTCACTCCTCCAACCATCCGCCATGTCCATCACAATCCCACACCCGGAGCCACCCCATACCCATCCATGCAAGGGCAAAAACCCCCCCAATCCGCATACCGACTAACACCAAAAACCCCCTCGCATCCTCCCGAAAGAAACCCCCGTCCCACAAATCCCCTTCCCACACACCCGCATCCCCGATCCGTCCGTTCGCCCTATGTACCTACGTCCAACCACTACCACCACTTCCAGCGCCCTCCGACGCAACGTCTCCCACCATCATGCCGAAAGTCTAAGCACAAAAGGGCCCGATGTGCGCGCATCAACCCCCCGGGGGGGGCTGCGTCAAAGCTTATCACCACCACATGCCCTGCTTTACACGCACTTGATACCGGGACCTCACCACGGGTACCCAATGCCCAAGGCGCAACCAAGTTCCAAGACCGTGTTGTAAAACAGCGAAACGCCAGGGCCCGTGGCGGAGTCTTTGCGCCTCTCTCTCTCTCTCCGCGGATCAATCTCAGCTGTCTATGTGTGTGTGTACCGACCGGTATGCGTATATGTGAGTGTGCACGTGTGCACACATAGGGCAGGGCGACCGTCTAGGCCGTGGTTGGCAGAAAAGGCGACCCTGGCCGTCGTGGTCGTGGTGCGGCAGTTGAGGAGAGGGTCGGCAGGATGCGTGCGAGGGGTGCGGATAGGCCGTTTCGCCCGGGGCCGTTAGCTGTGAAGATCGTCCCTTGACTGGGGACCTTTGCTACTATGTATCGTACGATCATGGTGCGGTGTTGGCATGAGGGCTTGATAATTGCATACCTATAGGTACACCTTTTTTCAAATTAGGGCGATGGCACAGTATGAGATAAGGGGGGAGATTTTTTTTCGTCCCAGCGTGCGTTGACGGGGATGGAACGGTTGTTCGATGTGAGACAGCAAACTTGGTGGACGGGCGGTGTGTGTGGATAGTGTGTAATGTAATCATCATAAATCCTGTATAGCATTTGAGGTATTGTTTGCACTATCCACCTTCGCCGCCGTATCCTATCCTATCCTATCCTATCCTGATTAGGCGTCTGCATCATTGCAAACGCCAAGGTAATTATCGCCATCACTCCCCCCGGGAAGGGGGGAAAAGACCAGGCAGATTGCAAACGAAAAAAAAAAGAACCCAAGCTCATCACCGTTCCAAGACTTTCTCCTTGCATCAGCCTGTGGGTCTAGTGGCCTAGCTTGAAATCTCTTTGCATACCAAACCCTGACGAGCTCGGAGCTCGTGTAATTCTATATGCCCATCGCGAAGGAAATGACAAAAGTACAAAAAAAGAAAAAAGGTGCACCGGAAAAGAGCCGCGTCTGGCGGAGCGAAACCCCAAAAGTCTATCAAGTCCGCCATCAGAGAGATCGTCTGGTTATGACCTCATAGCGTGGACGAGGTGCCAGCACAACGGCAGAGAAAAGAAAAAGAAAAACAAAGAATCCTACAATCGCCCGCCTGATGCTGAGTTTTGGTCCGACCGGAACGCCTCGTAGAGTCGACAAACGCACGTATAGAAAAGGGGAATAATGCATCGGTCCGGAAACGAAAGAAAACGTCCGAGATGGTGAAGCAAATCGTGGTCATGTGGTAGGGAGATCGATAGAAATGGTTCTAGTCGTCTCATACTCGGGATGAGGTAGGAGCGGGAGAGGCAGGGACGTATGCGGAAGCTGCGGCGGCGTCCAGTCCACGGAGTTGCGGGGCGTACTTTGGATGTTTGATGAACTTGGGCACCGAGTCCTGATGTACGATTAGAAACTATTGATGATGTAGACAGAAGCGAACTTACACTTGACATGAGCTTGAAGATCGAGTTTTGCGCCTTGTCAAACAGCATTGCGACTTCATTAAGGCTCTGCAACATCGCGGCATCGTCGCCAACGGCCCGCGTCATGCGGGTAGCCAGTTGGGTACGGAGACTGTGGTCGATGTTGAGCTCGTTTGGTGAGCCTGGTGCTAAGAACGCATTGTATAGACCTGCGGTTGTCAGTATGTGTGATGGATATTGATGTGGTTTCAACGCGTACCATATGCAGCAGCGAGCGTTTCACGAATCGTCTCGACCTTGTTTTCCCCCTTATCGCCAACAGCTGACCGGTACTGCCTGTTGAACTCCTGGACCTCGAGGTAGAAAGACAGGTTCTCCTCACACATGGTCTCCTTGAGGAACTCGCGGTACAGAAGGCGCCATGAAGGGTTGCGAATGATGACGTTGGTGCGGTTGCTGTTCGAATCACGTGTGACACCATCTCGAGACTTTGCTGTAAGTGTCTCTACCAGTGAAGGATCTTCGAGCGCCCAACCTGCGACACGCTCGCCATGTGTGGTGATGTAGTAATGGACCTGTTTGATGGGCTGGAATGTGTGTTCTGGGTTGCGAGGATCGACAGGGGCGATGAGCTTGAGCTGCAGGAAGAGCGAACCAATCTCAATCGCTTCATGCGGTTCGACCATTGTGGAACAGTCTATGAGCCATTGTGCTGCATTCTTGCCGTTGAAAGTGTGCTCCCATGGACGGGTGCTGCTTGGGCGATGCTTGACGAGCTTTACGCCGACGTCGCATTTGGAGAATTCGTGTATCGAGTCAGAATCTGATTGTGTCTCATTTGCGGTGATGCCAACAAAGCGACGGAAGATGATCTCGATTGTTTGCTCGTCGTGATGTAGCTTGTCGTTGTCAGTATTACGCTCCAGGATGACCAGCTGGTGCGGGTTTCGGTTGGAGTCGATGACGGCCTTGACATGTGCAGACTGGATTCCGTTCCGTGTGCAGAATCGCTCTAGGATGTGGATACCCTTGGGAGTGAGCTGCCAGACTGAGCTCTTGTTGGAGAAATCGGTCTTGCCTTCGACTGATTCGACGAACTTGCCCTCGAGGAACTTTTGGCAAACGGAGCGAGCCATCTCTTTCGCCATGGAGAAGGTGGTGGTTGTCGTTGTGGTGACGACACGTGACGCATCTTTTGGATCCGGCATGCGGTTGGACTGGGAGAATTTGAGGGATCCGAGGTTCGTCACGGCTTCGTCTGATGTAAAGGTGAATTCAATCATGCGGAAGCGGACACGATGGGGGGTCAGAGGGAGCGAGACCATGAGCGTCGAGAACAGATCCTTGAAGTCCTAGAGTTGCACAGTCAGCCCAAACCCGCCAATGTTTGCCAATTCGAGGCCAGCTAGTGGTGGACGTGTTTTGTGGTAGTTGCCGTCGCCGCTGCTCAACATCACAGGCCAAGCGGGGTGGTCTTGGAGACACATGGCTGGGAGAGCAGAACAAAGCAATTTCGGTGCAGCACAGCACAGCACTCGTTCACGCTGGACATGCAGAAAAAGACGAAGCAAGCACTCACTCTTGTGTACGGGCGCTCATCGTCGGTCATGCGCAGCAGGCGCGAGCTGGTCTGATGCATCTTGCTGGGGTTGGCTGCGCTGGGCAGGCGGGCGGACTTGTGCGTGTGCTGCGAGTCTTCCGACAGCCTCTCTGGCTCGTGGCTCGGGTGGTCGGGGGCGTGGGCTGCGGGCGACAGATCTCGATGCTCAATGCCACGCGCAAACGGAGACGGGGCGCGCGGGGAGGGCAGGAGCGAGTCGGGCAGGGCAAGCGTCGACGAGGTGCTGCTGCGGCGAGTGTGGGCGGCCACGGACACGGAGACGGATCGCACGAGCTCGCGACTTCCTTTGCGGAGCAGCGGGAAGCGGGACAAGGTGAGGCGGCGGGTGGTGGCAGGTCTGGCGGAGGGAGGGCAGTCAGGGTCGGCGGCCTCGAGGCGGACCGGTGGCTCGTCCAGGGCGGCAGCAAGGTGGGAGGGGGCGGTGGGAGCAAAGGAAGCAGGCTCAGCAGAGACACGCAGAGAGGGAAGAGATGGGGTGGTCAAGGGCATCGCCGTCGGAGACAGTCAGTCGCAGCAATTCGTCGCAGAAGTTGACGAAGGGCGAGATGTGGGTACTCTAGCAAGGATGGTCGACCTCTTCACGGGCTCTGCTCACCGCCCTAAGCCGTCGATGGCGCCGGTCCTACTGCCATGACAAAGGCATCGTTTTCCTAGTGGCAGCACGAGACACATGGATGGCATGCACGGCCGCGCCCTCATGGAAATAAACGCCTTGGCTATGGCGTCGCCCACGAGGCATCCCTGCATCCATCGAAGACGACGAGCGGAGCCGGCTGAGTCGCTGTGAGTGGCTGCCGAGGCTCGCCTGTCCCCGGGCTTCGTGCCACTGCTACCCGAGCTGCCACGCTGCCTCGCCGCGATAACAAAGGGCCCCGACAGCGCAGCTTCAGAGTCGGCACCAGCACCAGCACAGCTCCAGCTCCAGCTTCAGTCGGCGCGCGTGCGTGCAGGAGCGTGCCCAGGACGTGGCTGCCCGTGACATCAAATTATCAGATTAGAGGCCGCCCGCCGCTGAAACACCCACTGCCCACGACCGGCATCATGCCAGAAGACGACATTGGCAGTACCGCCCGTGTGCTTTGTTCTTCCCTCCGCCTCGTCGTCTTGCCCACGTCTGTCTTGCCCACCGCCCACGCGCCAAGACGAGCGCGCTGAAAGAGAAGGACCTGGCCTGCACGCCATCGCTGTGCAACGAGAGTAGGTACGGCTGCAGCCAGTGAGACGCGTGCGTGCTGCTGTCGTGTTGCGCTGCTTCGTGTGTGGAGAACCGTTTGCAGGCTGCCGCTCCTTCTGCATCCGTCCCAAAACACCCACTCGTGTCACACCAGCTCTGCCAGAACTGAGCCAGGTCAGCCAGGTCACCCTCACACCACAGCTCTCTCTCTCGCACATCCGCGTCACCCACGCTCCCACTGCTGCACCGCCGTTTGCTCCCCTCCGGACAGGTCCCGTTTCCGCGTAACGTCTGCTGGGCGGACAGATTGCTTAAACGCGTCGCAGCACGATGATCCAAATCAACACCTGCCAATCGCAACCCTCCCCTGCCGTGCAACACGACAGCCCACGCTGAGAGGCGCGGAAGTTTGCTGCTTATTCCGTATTAACCTGGGCCGCACGTTGCATCCTTGCCTCCAACACGAGTGTGGTGGCCCTCCGAGCTGCAGAACAAACATGTTCTGACCAAAGCCTTCTCTCATCAGAACATGGCGTTTGGTACAACCCGCTGCATGCGGAGATAGATCATCCCCGTGATTACTAAATATCCCCATTACCTGCAGCCCACTGACAATGCGACGACAATGGACACCAGAAGTTTCAAGGCTGGAACTCGCCGTTCCTCTTCTTCGAGACAAGATTGACACGCCACCCTTCCACGTGTCCTGACCCCACTCAAAACTCGGCATCCTGTTGGGCATTCCATGCGGGACATCACAACGCCTAGCAAGCTGCTCCTTGCATCATCAATTCCACCAAGCTGGGTTCTACTTCGTCATGCCTATCCTCGACGCTTCTGGAATACCCCCGAAGTGTGGCCATATTACCGTGGGCGTCGCTTCGACGAATGAGCCAACACAGGGCTTGCCGCCAGATGCACAATCATCCTTCTGAGATCACGTCCTTTTCCAACCAACAAATTTCAATCGTTTTGAACAACATGCAACATGCTTTCGGATCGTCTTCCGGTCTGCAGATAGATGTAGATTGAGGAAATCTCCGAACGACGCCACGTGCCTGAGCTGACAATCAGATGGCACTTGTGTTTCAGGCTTCTCCGCCCTCTCGGGGTGCACTCCGGTCTATTAATGGTACCCGTCGGCGATGCGTAAATGATGTTGCGGCATCGTTCCTTTTTCGTTAAACAAGCTCCCTTCGTAGAAACTCACAACCAAGCAGATGACATTCCGCCAGTGCTAATCACCGTATCGCCCCTGAGTCGTTGCATCATTCCGGCTCTATTAAGTCCAGCGAGAAATCTGCGGACAAGGCATGACGCCAAGGAGCTGTTATCGTGACGTTTCTTACTAGCTGCCGCAGTTCAATGCCGTTCTCATGCCGATTTAACAGCGATCCCAAAAGATGCCGCTCACTGGATCCAGACGCCCTAAACGCAAGCAGGGAATATTTTCGAGTCATCCTTCTCCGAAGAGAACCCATCGCAGGAACCATCCGCCAAAACGGCAAAAATGCTTAAGCCCTCGACTCATGGGTCTGTTTTTGCATTTGGGTGCCAGGGGTTTCAACACGTGGCGACTGAGTTGCTCTGCCTAGCGGCCCGCTGGCGTGAACGATGGCGTCGCAAAACTCGTCTAATGCCTGTGCGCTGCTCGAGGTTGCCCATTTCGGGATTCTGACATGAGCAGCGATAACCCTTACTGGGCAAACCTACCGAGCACTACTGCATATCGGGGTGGATGACAGTGCTGCTAAACCTTGAACCTGAAGGTGGATGATGGGGTTGATCGTCCTCTGACCAAGCGAATCCACCAGCGTGGTGGTGTGATATGAGTGGCTTTGAAACCCATGCCCCTGCGCTGCCGTTTACGCAATATGCCGATATTGAGCGCATCTCCCTCATCTGTGTTTTCGTTTCTCCACTCGAGTCACATGCTCTGAGTGGGGGTCCCCGTCCCGAGTCTAAAATGTCGGTGAAGTTTGTACAAATGACTCGCGGTAGTCCACTTTGTTGGGGTCAAGGACGAGGTCTGGAACGCTTCAGCCAGCGCGTGCAGCAAGAGGCGGTTGTCGTGAGGTAGTGTCCAGAGATGATTTGTGGCATCATGTGGTGTTGAATACAGTGGCTTGTTGAACGGAGTGTTCCGCATTAACTGTTTCCACAGCCATGTGCACGCTCGCAGATCCCCAACGACGGGTAGGTATGGCGACTGCTTGCATGACGTCAAAAAGCGAGAAATAGATGTAGGCCAGACGGGCCTAACTCGGTCGTATCGATATTCATTAGAACCGACACGCGACAGTGTACAAACTTGAAGGTTTGACGTGGTGTTGAGATAAACCACATTAGGAAGAGAAGGATGATCGACTGCAGGCATACAGCGGTATTGCAAACAAGCTCTGTGTGGCATTTGTGGTGCTTCTCAACCTTGCGCCACGCATCCTCCTAGCCTGGGCGCGTGGTGAGCAGTAACAAGGCGCATTCTCAACCCATAGTGCAGGCGAGGAAGTTTCTTCAGGTTGAACGAATCGCGTGTAGAGAATGGCGTGATCGATAAGGTGTTTGACGAAGGCGTTGATGAGGTCGAGCTTTGTGGTCTTGAGGTGTTGGTTGGCCATGAGTCGAAGTAACTTCGAGTCACTACCCGACGGTAAGTTCGGAATGTGATACAGGTATCTCCATCTCACTATCCCGGTATTATGCCGGGAGGTCTTGCGAGCTTTGAGCTGTCACCCCCACACCGGCGGGAAAGCAGGTTGAGCGCTCCTTTCTCCCGGTGGGACTGTTTTCTAGGGTGTATCTACTGTGGTGGGTCACACATGGCCTCGTGTGACATGGACATCCTGGCAGTCCTGATGAGCTTGTAGCACCCTTTCAGCTTGTAGCTTCTGATTATCCCAGGGTCCAAGAGGGTCTCACCGCACCATCGAGACGGATAGATTGCAAGACTTGTGGGACGAACAAGAAGAGATCGGAGAATAATGTCCCTCTCCCTGTGCGCCTCCTCGTAACATCGACGTCCTCCTCTACGCGCCACGTCTCGAAGAGTCCCTTCCACTCCTCCAAGCCGGTATCCGTTGCCAAAGCTCGAAGCGAGCAAAGATCACTGGACAATATGTCTATATCAAGCCTACAAGTGGGGTTGGCATGCGCGGTCGATAGCGAAGTATTGGGGCTGTGGAGTTGGTGAGAAATATGGACAGTCAATAAAGACATAGGATAGCCCCCTGCAACATCACGCCTGACTGACATGATGTGTCACAGCAGCAGCGTGCAGAGGCTACGAGTCTACTCTACCTTCGAGCGGAAGACTACATCCGTTTCCAGAACTCAAAGACCAGCTGCAAGTGCTACCCCTTTCACGTCGACTAGTCGGTCCTCGTCTTCGCTTCGAAGCTGCACCGTGTACTCTGAGCGCCCTCGATATATCAGGAGTTCCCCGGCCAAGTCCACAAGTTCTATTGTAGTCACTCACGCAGATCTAGCATATCGCTATCGAGCTTGCCTTCGAGGCCCTTTCCGTAGGCTTACACAATCGAACTCGTGGTTACAATCCTTTGTGTGCCGATACTGTAGCAGCGTGTATGCTCAAGTACCCCTACAATATCTGAACTTACGTCGTGCTCGCACAAAGTAATCACATACCGTGCTGTAGAAGTGTCAGGGACACGGAGACCTATGTTCGAATCCGTCTGATTCACTGATCTTCTCCAGGCTGTTCTATCTGGTGATCTTTGACAGTGTCAGGAACTTTGCTAAAGCGCTACAGGCACACAAGTCAGACACTGTGTCGTGTCCTGTCCTTCTCGTGAAGCTTGCAAAGTCTCGTAGTCGTAAGCGGAACTCTCAATCTACAAGTATGTCGACATTATACCTCGAGTTGACAAATACTACACGAAAAGTATGCCTTCAGATGCCTATTTGGAAGCATAATAGCAGGTCTTGTAAACAATCAGTTCTTCCTGCAAACCAGGCCAGTGTTCACATCCAATCAAGACCTCAACATCCATCTCACTCCATTGGCGGCTGTTTAATCAAACAACTATGCTACTCGCTAATCCAGACCTCACAACACCCCCACAGCATCACCCGAAAAAGCCACTCGAAAAGCGTAAAGTCCCACAAACAGGCCTCCAAAACAACAACCCTACACCAAGCGAAACACCTTCCAAAACAATCCCAAAACGCAGATCCCTCGTAAAGTTTTGCCCTTCCCTTTCGCCATCCTCGGCTCCAAAAAAAAGCGAAACCGAGCCATCACCCTACAACCAGGAACCCCAGCAAAAAAGACCCCACCCCACTCCCTCCACCACTTACCACCACCGCACGCGCTCCACGTGTCTAGCCCCAATACCCAGGACCCCGGAACCCGTTTTCCCGCCAAAGCGCCCACACACGCAGGTCAGCCTGCACTGCCCAGATCCGGCGCTTAGGCGCGTAATCTGTTCGTAGCAAAAAAGGGTCTGAGAGAGAGAGACACACAGCCTCGCGCCCCTCCCTCCATGCATCACAACATGTGTTTTCCGACCCCCCCCCCCAGCGCAACAAATCACACACATGCCCCCAAAACAAAGCAGATCCGCGGACATGCGCGGCGCTAGAAGAAAGGATGCAGGAAGAGTCATGCGCGGCGCCGTGTTCAGACGTTTTGCGCTGTAGGATTGCGGCGCGGTTACTGTCGATCTCCTCCTGGCCCTTTTCAGGAGGGCCGTGGGCTGGGTTTTACCCGGGGGTGCGGCGATTGGTGCGTGGGAGGATGTACACGGCGCGAGTGTGCCGGTGGCCTGGCGGTTGGTTATGGGATTATGGTGTCAGGGGGTGGGTAGGTAGGTAGGGAGGAATGGTAGGTTTTTTCGGTGACGTGATGCGAGGTTGTGCTGGGGAAATTGTTGCCGCGTGCGTGGGCTGTGTGATGGGTAGATCGGGGAGGTTTGATTGATGTGGCGTGGAGGATGACTGCGTTGGTGGAGATGAGGCGTAGGTAGGGGCAGCGGTTAACCACCACCCACATAAGTATTAATCACCACCCACTTAAGACTTTCTGGTGGCTGTTTCAGCCAACGAGAACGCGCCAAGAAAGACCCACTTACTAAACAAGTATAGACTCCCTTAGTATTATCTCCCCGTTCACAAACATGCTGTTCTTCTCCCATTTTCCACCCATACTTGGGTGGAAAAGTGTCAATTTTTTTCGATAGACTGACTGAGCTGGTAAGCTTCTGATGATTCTGAGTTTCAGAAATTAAAAATTGGCCCAGGATTGATGAGTTTCTGTGTTTACAAAAGTGTGACTTATGTGGGTGGTGAGTAATACTTATGTGGGTGGTGGTTAACCGCTGCCGTAGGTAGGTGGTAAGGCGGTGTGTGTGCGGGTTGGGAGGGATTTGGTGTAAAGTGTGCGTGCGTGGGTGAGAAGAGGATTCTTCGGGATTTCCGTTCTAGGCTAGGGTTATCGTGACGATGGCTGCATGGTATGCGTGTGGAAATAAACTTTCAGATTCATGTCCATTCACTCTAAAATTTATCAATGGATTGATTCTGCGCTTGATGACCGTCGAGTCGAAGATTTTTCCACAACCCGGAAATCCTCGCGTGGGCTAATGAAAATACGCAACGGTAGAAAAATACCTCCTGTGTACAATCGAATCTACAATCACATGCGTCTCTTCTACCATTGTGCACATCCAACGCTTTGATAGATTTCCCACTCTCCTCCCGAAATCACCACTCAAACCCGATAACCAACCTGCACACACGCAAGATGACTCACTGCCGTACCGCCAGCGACCACACAGGTCAAATAGTATAGTTCAATCTATCGCGAATCAGCACTAAATTCGATCCTATCCAACCACCAGAAGACTTACTTTGTCGTGCCCGTCTCGCCGCCTTGATTGGAGTGGACATAGCCATTCTCAAAGCTAGAGGCATGCTGACGCGGGTAAGCTGACGTGAGATGAGGATCACCCACCCACGATATCGGCATGTAGTGGTTGCCTCGGTACTGCTGATAGTGGGGATAGCTGTATCCTGATATAGCCTGAGGAGGCGGAACATAGTGAGTGTGCATGGGTGCGATGATAGACGGACCCGTCGTCGTATACTGGTTGGCGTAGCCATGTAGTTGATGTGGAAAGGCATACACAGGGGTATTCAATCCATACGCCATGCTACCCGGTACCGAAGAAGTCGTAAACATCACATAGGGCACAGGAGGAGCAAGCGAGCGCAGCACCGACGAAGCCCTCGATGTCAGAACAGCGTCCGTCACTCCTTCCCCCGCTGTCCACGCCGCCGACCCGGAAAGCCGCGCCATATATTCTTCCAGCAGCCTCATCGACTGCGGGCGCACGCGAACCGGCGGCCAGCACCACGTCCTGCACATATCCACACTCGCCGACTTCGTCTTCAGACACACCTCGACATACGACGGTTCTCTCATCCCCGGCGATTCGGGCTCGAGCAGCATGACAGGCGTGCCATCATGCCCCATCTTCGGCTGCCGCGTGATCTCGAGACAGCGGCTGCGCGAATTCGTGTTCTTGCGCGGGCCTGTGACGTTGAAGTACACGTTATCCTCCATGGGCTTGATGCGCAGGACCTCAAAGTGCGGGTACGCGTTCCTGACGACGAGGACCGGAGCGCCGAGGGTCGCGGAGTTGCGAGGATTAAGCAGCATGAGCACCATGCCGGGTTGTATCGTGCGCATGTCTTGCGGAAGGGGCTTGTATAGATACCGGTTCTGGTTGGCTTCGAGCTCGTTGACCCGTATTTGGATCTTCTGTAGCGCGCTGGGGTCGACGCGCACGTCCACCGCCCACTGGTCGAGGTTCGGCCACTCGATGTGGAACCGCTGCTCGAGGTTGACCCAGGTCTCAGACAGCATGGGCGCTGAACCATAGGCTAGCTGTAGAACTTCTGCGCCGTCGTCTTGTGCTGTGTTTCCTAGGCGCAGGCACATGTTGAGCTCGCGAATGGCCCATGGGGGAGATTTGGTTAGAGCGTAGAAGTAAGCGTAGTTGCCCTCTAGACCGACAACGAGCATAGGGTGCTTGAAGAACCGCTCTTGCCGCTTTTGGTGGTGGATGATCGAGTCGGGTAGTAGCTTGCCATCGGGCATGTAGTATACCTGACCAAGTGTGGGAGGTGCATGGATTGGTCTCCGAGGCCAGGATGCTGGGGTTGGAGGAGGTCGTGATGGTAAGTTGGGATGAGACAGTGAGGGCAAGATGAGATTCGGAGGTCGAGTAGGCAAACGAGGTGGCTGGTCAAGAGTCGACAGGGGCGGGCTTCTCTGAATGGAAGTTGTGAGCGGTGGGCCCTGAGGCAGATACTCCAGCACAGAACCGGTCGGTACTTGTGATTCTGCAACAGTCGATTCCAGAAGCGCAAGGCTCGAATCATTCGGTTTGTGCCAGGAAGCACTTTCAGACGCTGTTGTAGACGATACTGAGGTGGTTGACGCCTTTGTTGAGGCACTTCCGCTCAAATCATTCGTGGGTGAGCTGATAGACGAATCTAATACCGATGTAAGGGCTGAGACGAGATGTGCACTCGATGGAACATGTCCTCTCTCATACTCGTCGGTGGAGTTCAGATAAGTTCCATCGCAGACAGATATCGGGTTTTCCTGACTCAGGTGCCCAAGTTGTCCATCTGTCAAGCCAGTTCGAGAATCCCCATGATCTCCAATGGCTTGAGAACGGATTTTGCCGGCAGTTCGAGTCGCCGAATCGGAGTAATCCAGACCATCAGAAGATGTAGGATGTATCCTACGGAAGCGGCGTTTTCTCAAGCAGTCTTCTGGTTGAACGGAACCGGAGACGGAGGCTAGATCTAAAGGGATATATGTAGTCTTTCCTCGCATATTGAGGCCTTCGTACTTTCAGCTAGAGGGTATGAAAAGAGTTGTTGATAGCAGAATCCCTATCCCAGGTCAGTGAATATGTCTCCAATGTGTGTGTGCTGAGGACCTACAATGTTGCTGAACAGTGCAAGATACCAAAGAAACGACGAATCCAAGCGATAGACTCAATGCAGAAAAGATGGGACCGAAGAGTTGCAGTTGATACTGTGAAGTGAACACTCGGACCAGTGATGACAAGAGTAAGGTTTACCGCAGAGAAAGGGCTAGTAGTTTTGGTTGTAAGCGAAAGATGAGAGTAGAACAGAATGGGATGAGGGTTGATAATTGTACTGACGGTAGTACTTATCTGTAACGAGAGATCCCAGTTGGTCTGTGAGCCAGGCACCAGGCCAGTCCAGCAAAGTACAAATGGTGAAAGGGTTTGAAGAACGTTTCCCATATTACAGTTGATGGAGAGTTTGCCACCATTATGCGAGTACAGCAACGGCTACTTTCACTCTCGACTTCCAAGCCTGGTGGTGTAGACTCAACATCACATTATCGTAGTATCTATTTATCTCAGCCTTGACATAGATGCGAAAAGACTTAGGTCCTCTGATTCCAGTATGGTAGAGTTTCAGACAGTTAATAGGGTTATCTTGTTTGTTGGACGAGATGACATGATGCAACCAACCCTCATCTAATGATCAAAGGTCGATTCGAGCAAAACCTCGAAGACCTATGCAGTAGATATGCATATCGCTCGGAATAAGAAAACCACGAAGCACCCGTCTCCGGTCATGAGACGATCTCCACACACTTCTGTGGACACGAGAAATCCAGCAGCAAAACCTTCGCTTTGAGAAAAATATCTCGTCTCCTGCCTCCAAATGCTCTTCCAACCAAACCTTACATAGTCTTCCTCGGTCGTCCCCTCCCTCTCTTCCCTGAGCTTGAGCCCCGACTCGGAACCACAGCCCCCCTGTTCTTCGGAGGCCTTCCGACTGGTCTCTTCGCCACAGGCGCACTAGCAGGCACATCCTCATCCGACTCCGAATCACTCAAGTCCACAGCCTTCTTATTGACGCTTGTGAAGGTAGATGGTGGCGCCTCAAAAGTTGTTGTCGTGGTAGTCTTGCTCGACGCCTCACCATTACGTTTTTTGCTTGCGGAGACAATCTTGATCTTCTTGCCATTCATTCCGGGACGGGTGAAGATGGAGTTCGTCGCTTTCGCTCGAACAGGTTCAGGTTCAATCTCAGGTTCGGAGTCAGGCAAGTTGTTTTCTTCTTCGGATAGTGGATCGGGTGGAGGCGAGTCTTCGGCTGCAAGACCGCCGAGGAAATCGTTTGTGTAATGATCATCGTCGTCGGAGCCTTCGAACAACGCCATCTTAGCGCGCAGGTTCTCCTCGGCTTCACGTGCGGCGGCTTCCACGCGTATTTTTTCTTCCTCAGTCTTGCGTTGAGCTTCGAGGGCTGCGGCGGCAGCTTGCTGTGCTAGAATGAGCGCTTCACTGTCCTGGTCATCTTCTTCGTGAACACTGTCTTCGTTAGACATGTTGTTTGTGCTGTTTCGCCTTGGGTGCTTCGGCGGTCGACCGACAGGCCGGATTCCAGCCTCCGTTGGTTTGACAGGCATAGTCTTCCTCCGCTCGTTGTACGCTCGGTTGCGTTCTCGATCTTTCTCACGATTGGGGCGTACATCGCCGTCTCTGAAATCTGGCGGGAGTTCAGTTGGGAGATCTTCTTCGCCCTCGTTCTTACGAGCTAACCATTCGGATGCTCGCCCGTGAGAGCGTCCGACATATCCGCCTTCGTCCTCATCTTCCTCATCAAACTCCTCGTCAGAGTCGAGCGTAATCTCTTCAAAGTGTCGAGCAGGACCACGAGGTCTGCCGGGTTTGGCAGTTCCGTTCGCATTTTGGTTTCGCTTTTTAGTCGTGTATGCCTGATCTTGTTCGACACGCACACGGTATGTCTTCGGTCCCTTTTCTTTATGAGCAGCTTTATCGATGGCTTCCGGTTTGGACAAAAGGTCAGACTGAAGGATGGATCGCGTATCCCCGGCAGCATCAGCTTCCTCCGGCGTGCTCTGGCGTACGGGCTGAGGGTGAGCTGGAGCCGGCCTCTGTCGTATCTCCTCAAGACGATCGGCACTCAAAAAGAGTTTGACAACTTTTGATTTGCCCTTCATCCTTGCAGCAACGAGGATGAAGCGATCTTCGCGCTTGGCTTCTTCCAACAACTTCCTCTGCACCTCTTTCTGGTATTGTTTACCAGAAGCATTCTTGGGTTGAAGTGGCTGGGCGGTTTCGTCCTTTTTCTTCTTTTTTTGCTTCTTGGATTTACCCTGTCGTCTCCGATTGCCGTCCTCGTCCTCGTCGTCGTTTCTACCACGCTTCTGGCCGAGTCGAGGAATATCTCCGTTCATGTCAGGATCAGGATAATACGATTCAAAGTCATCATTTCCATCGGCTGCCTGCACAATAGCTGACGGATCAGCGTAGCTGGGTCGAGTAGCGTGACCCATGTCATTGGCATTACCGTCAGCATCGTCTACCGGGGAATATGCAATACCGTTCCGCATGTAAGCATGATCCTCGTCAATGTAACGTGCGTCGAGTGAAGGATCTGCCATCTTGTCCACCTCTGCCTGTTGCAATCGCCGCTGCATCGCATTCTGGCCCATGCCTTCCTCGTCTCGCAGCCAGTTCAGGTTGGAGACGCTGAAATCGACGAGGCATTCTACCGAACGAGGATCGGCTACTTTCTTTGTGTCGTGACCGAGAAGAGTACCCTTAGGTTCGTAAGGACGTTGTCGATAGTCTTTTCGACACGCGCCCGTGTTGCATACTCTCCTGCAATGCGGACACAGCCAATTGGCATTCTCCATAATGCTTAACGGCATGACGTCGTGGGCGCGAAAAAGCGTACCATAACAGTAGGCGAGATCGCAACCAGAGCAAAAAGCCATCTTCCAGTTCGGGTGCCTATGAAGGCAGACGTGGCAAGACTTGTGTTTACTCAGCCACTGCTTTGATTTTTTGTTTGCGACCTTCTTGACATGTCCATTTTGGTCGACTACAGGCTCATCGTCTTCTGAGGTACCCTCAGGCTGTGGACTCTTGATGTCGACAAAAGGTCGCACTCGTAGTTGCTCCTGGCAGACCTGAGCAAGCGTCTTCTTGCCCAGATAACGGCGCTCCTCTTGCAAAGGCAATGGTGTCTTCTCCGTCATGTGGCCATCGATGTCGATGATTTGCGCACGCCATTCTTCGTATTTGTGCATCAAGTCTTTCCACTTCCACTGTTCAACCCAGGTGTAGCCCGATTGACATCCACAGCTGCGGCCCATGCAATAACAATCCATGCACACATCGTAAGGTTCTTCGATTTCGGAGCTAAACAGGTTTTTGCATGTTTTGCAGCTCAAGAAGCGGTTGAAGATATTGCATCTGCAATAGGCGCAGGTCACGTTGCTGTCATATGGCAAGAACTCAATGTGCTCGCGAGAGTCGGGCGCAAACATCTCCGATAGCATGATGCTCTTATAGAGGTCGAAGAGCCTCTTAAAGTCTCGCTGAACCTGGCGCACCTTGACGGAGCGCTGGATTGTGTCCGCCTGCTCACCTCCCATCTCCACCTGGGCCCGAGCGGACTTGATGAGATTCGAGTATTTCATCAGTGTGTAGTAGACGATGGCTTTGTTCTTGTACTGCTCGTCACGACACACGACTCGCGAGTTGGGCAGAGCTTCTTGTAGGGCAAGCTCGAGAGTTTCGACAGTTGTGCGATTCCAGGCGATCTTCATGGTGCGAGTGCCGCGATTCCAGACTTGATGAGGAGCCAACGGTGGGATAAGGATGAAGTCCCCGGGCCGCTGCTCGACCACGTATGTCTTGAAGGGTGCCTTCTTCCACGCTATGAGTTGGGCGAAGTGGTTCTCGACCTCGATATCATGACCCAGAACAGACAACCAGTACTCGGAGACGAGATGTCGGTCCTTCGTCTCAGTCATGAACCAGATGGAGGACCCGGGGCGCTCGGGCTTGCCATCTTCACTTATTTGACCCGAGGCGTTGACCATGATGTTCTGGCCGAGGGAGGCACACATCTCTCGGTGAGAAGGTGTATATGTGCCTTCGTGTCCAATGTAGCACATGAGGTTTTCAGCGCGCATCTCAGGCGGCAGACTGCTCATGAGGTCCCCAGCGCGTGCAATTCCACGACCCTTGCGACCACCGAACTCGTCCAGCGCGCCAGGCCCTCCCATCTCGCCAGTGCTCTCATTAAGGTAGAACAGCCCAGATGGAATCTGCTCTTTCAGTTTGTCCTGCCATACGTGCGGACAGTCGATGTCCTTAAGGTAGATGCGCTGGCGCGTCTTGTCGCGATACCGCTCAGGCGCGTCGAAAAATTGGTCCGTAAGCTTGCTCATGTGCTTCAAGTAGTGTTTGAGGGTAAGTGGGATGTTTTCCTTAGTGGTGATATTCCGCGCACTCTCGACTACATCAGAGTTTAGCCATGTTCGCAAGCCAAATGTTGGGTGGTCGCGTGATGCATACCTTTATCGCCATGATTGTCGCGCAGCCATGCGGGCGTAAAAGTCCATGGATCCAGCACCTCCTCGAAGCCGTCAATGACCAACGGCTTTCCGCCAATAATGACATGCAGCAGCACGAGCTTCTCAAACTGCTCGATGCCGTTGCTGGCGATCATCTCGTACGAGATGCGGTCTACATACTGGAAATTGTCGGCTGTCTCGACAAAAGTCCGCACGTCAAAGTCAGGCGGTATGGGCTCGAACGAAGCCCGAGGGCGCGCGGCGGGCATCTTGAGCGTGTCGTGATGACATGTAACAGGCGCGTTGCGAGTGGGGTTCCAAGCTGTTAAATGGATGTCACCTCGGCGCAGTTGTAGTCACAGTCACGATATTACGACTACCTGCAGCCAAAGCTCGCGTTGATACTACTCCCATCGGCGCAGTGAGCTTTTGTGGCGGGCAGACGCTAGGCGTCGAAAGCGTTGATGTGAGCGACGCGACGTGAAGCTGACCTTACCCAGGTGGAAATATTGAAGCCCCACTTTTATATATCACGTGAGATCGAGAATTAGCGTGCCTGCTTCTCAAACAAGTTCACGTCATCACTCTTCATCTTGGGAGATCGTCGATAGAAGGCTGCGGTGAACACTGTACAGAGCACTTTTGTGACTGGTTGCTCCAACGACTGACTCGACTACAGCTGTTCCGGTACTTAACCATGTTGCCTCCTTGACCTTCACACATCTGACCTGACGGGCCGATTACAGCACTGAGCAGACACTTGAACTTTACACAAGTCAACGAGACCTCTCGCGTCGAGTGTCTGGTAGCAATGGCGTCTTCGCGGCTCAAGTTAATACAGTCTGGATCAATCATCCAGCGAGTCTGCGGCCACTCGTCAACATCATCATGGCTTCGCACAATCAATTTTCATACACGCAGGAGAGAACTGACATCAGCGACATTACTTTCTGTTCGCTACCGACCGCAAGCTATGCAGCTTATCAACTTAAACCAGGCCAAACTTCTTCGATCAAGTACACCAGCATTTTCTAATCTCATGGTCAAATGCTCAAGCATAACAACCACTACAACTTCGATCCAGCTTGCACCAACCCTCCCAGTATATAGCCCGCCCACAACAGGCCTCATCTCCTACCTCCCCAGAAAGGCCGTTCCATACGCCGAACTCATGCGCCTCGACAAACCCACAGGAACGTACTACCTCTTCTTCCCATGTCTCTTCAGCACGCTCCTCGCCGCCACAATGGCTGTCCCTATAGCCGCCCCCACCACAGTTATCAGCACTACCGCCCTCTTTCTGACTGGTGCCCTTGTAATGCGTGGCGCAGGCTGCACCATCAACGACCTCTGGGACCGCAACCTTGACCCACACGTTGCCAGGACTCGACTGCGTCCCATTGCCAGACGAGCCGTCACACCACAGCAAGCCATTGTGTTTCTCGGCGGGCAGTTGACGACAGGCCTAGGCGTGTTGTTGAGTCTACCGTGGGAATGTTTCTGGTATGCCACGCCATCCTTACTACTCGTCACCCTATATCCACTTGCGAAACGAGTAACATATTATCCGCAATTCGTGCTCGGCCTCACGTTCTCCTGGGGCGCTATACTCGGGTTCCCAGCCCTTGGTATCAACCTTCTGGAAAACCACGTGGCGCTTACGGCAGCGGCTTGTCTGTACGGGAGCAACGTCGCTTGGACAGTGCTTTACGATATGATCTACGCGCATATGGACATCAAGGATGATATCAAGGCAGGTATCAAATCCATCGCATTGAAACATGACAAGGAGACAAAAATGGTATTGTCTGGTTTGGCGGTTGTGCAGCTCGGGCTTCTGTCTGCTACGGGAGTCGTGGCAGGCCTCGGACCGGTGTTCTTTGCGGGGTCTTGTGGAGGGGCGGCAGTCACGCTTGGGACGATGATATGGCGGGTCAAGCTTAAGGATGTTAAGAACTGCTGGTGGTGGTTTGTGAATGGCGCGTGGTTCACTGGGGGTGCGATTGCGGTGGGTTTGGCAGGCGAGTATATCATACATCTGTTGGGATGGTATGGAGAAGGGCATGATGAGATGAACAAGTTGGACATTGTCTAACTAGCCGCGTAGCCTGGTGGCCAACCCTAGGAGGCACCCGGATGTGATGAGATAAAATTAAGGGCTGTAAGCTAAGTCCTTGTAGTGGAATTCGATGTGTTTTGCACAGATACTTGGAACTATAGCTATTCTTTGTCACCTCGGGTCAAGGTACAATTCTTTCCCTCCGCCGTCTCAATCATCAAGCGCCATCTTCATTATCATACCTGCCAGACTGCGGCTGCTCCTGAAACATGTCAATATGTTCTGCGTCAGATTTCATAAGGTTAGGCAAAAGGAGACGTTGTGTACGAGCCTGCGGCGTCAATCTCGACACGCGAAAGATCTGAGGACAGTACAAGACCGAACTCGCTGAACAATGGAGAATCGAATGAAAACTCAACATGATGAACTTGCAGAAGCTATAGTGGTCTATTAATTTTCAGCGAAATCTATGGAACGGCCTGCTATAGATAATGGAGATCATGGCAATCGTCAAGTCTTTACACGCGGCACAAACGACCGTTTTGGGTCTGGGTACCCTGGTCACCATCTCGGACCTCCCAGCTCTCGCTACCAACAGCAGTGATAGCGTAGAAGACATCGCGGGGGTCCCATTTGTGCTTGAGGGAGAGGAGACGGGGGTAGTGCGCCGTGCCGTAGAAGTCGGCCTGCCAGTTGGGTTCCTGGAGATCGGCTTCGTTGAGGTAGACACCGGCACCTTCCGAGTTTGGAGCAACCTCGCGCCATGGGCCCATCATGTCGAAGGTGAGGTGGTCAGAGGCGTTCTTCAATTGAGCAGGAGTAGCGTTGTCAGGGACCATGTTAGCGGTGATCAGGAAGCTCTGAGTGTTGCGCCATGCAGTGTTGACGGCGTTGTCGACCTTGAACGGGTTGCCTGGTGCCATGTGGTAGCCACCGACGGTGCTACCGCCCATGACAGTGTTCTTGATTGCTCCAAAGAATGCGTTGAATTTAGCCGGAGTTTCCCAGAGACTCTTAGGAAAAAGACGAGTGGCTTGACGAATGAATGTCACACCGAGTGTGTCTGCACCCCAGGAACCCTTGTTGGCAGAGTAGAAGTCTTCGTAGAAAGTGGTGTTGGGGGTCACAGAGATGTTCAGAGACTTAAGCTCATCGAAGAAGGGCTTGGTAAGGTTGTTGAAGGATTCGATGGTGTGGTTCGGCGCGAAAAAGGGAGTCATCTGGAAGTCGAGCGAAGTGCCATAGTTCCAGATCCAAAAGTACGAGTACGTTCCAGCGTTGGTAAAAGTGGGAAATCTCTTGAAGTACGCGTTGACACCCTTCCAGAAGTTCTCAGAGTTGTCGGGAGTAGCTTGGAAGGAAAATACGGATTTGGTGACGTGGATCTTGGGATGAGCCTTCACTATGACCGAAGTTACAACACCAAAGGTGCCGCCACCTCCACCACGGAGAGCCCAGAAGAGATCGGAGTTGACAGTGTTCGAGGCAGTTAGGAAGCGACCATCAGCGGTGACCACCTCGTAGGCGAGAACCTGATCGGCAGCCATACCGTAAATCGAAGCGAGAGGACTATGGCCACCACCTGCCAAATATCCGCCAGCCCAACCAACAGTCTACACAATGTCAGTTATCGTCTTGACGGTGAGAAAGAAACAACTCACCTCACAGATACCCGCAAGGATAGTAACCCCGTGATCGCGAGCAGCCTCGAGCATCTCGAAACCCTGCACACCTGCGCCAGCCTTGAAGGCAGGGCCGTTATATTCGGCGTTGCTGTAGTTCTCGAAGAACTCGATGTCTTTGAGGTTATGGGTCCAGATGCTAAGTGCACCCGCACCACTCGACTTTCCAATGTAGTCATGGCCGGTATTTTTGATGGTCAGACGCAGGTTCAGGTTACGAGCGAAGTTGATACCCAACTGGATTTGAGCAACATTCTTGACCTTGATGGAGTAAGAAGCATAACCACCCAGCGTGCAAGTACCGTTGGGATCATCGGTAGGCATACACGTACGGCCCTGAAATATAGGCCACATCATGGAGGTTGGGTCGCTCGTACTAACAAATTCGTCAGTAATCACAATATCACTTCCCTCTATCGGATTTTGACATACTGGAGATCGGCGGTGGTGAACCTCGCCGAGATATCTGCACATTTGGCTGCATCGTATACGCCAGAACTTTTATAGCAAGGAGCAGCCACAGGAATTGTCTTGATGAGGGCTCCTCCTAGCAAGAGGTCGAAAATTGACCATACAGCTGGGACAGGGTAGTTCCTATCTCCTGGGAACGCCTTGCATGCACCACTTCGTCGAGCCAGCCTTGCCGCCGCTGTCGTGTCGGTGCTGTTTTCGAAGCCGAAGAGCGCGAGAATATCCGTATCGTTCGTTTGAGCGTTGACCTTCTCCAAGACCGCGTCTGTCAACTGAATTGTCTCAGCGTCGAACAGATCTACGCCAGCAGGTGAATCTGTCGAGACAGTGGTGGCGGCTGGTGCAATAGAGATGCTGGATGCAGAAGGACCCCGAGCGGCAACGGGGCCTGCAAGGGTGCCAACGGCGTTCGCAAGCAAAAGCAGCAAGTGTCCACGTGTAGACATCATGAACGAGTGTGTCAGGTGAACGAAAGACAGTGAGGAGTAACGATTGACTACCGGACGAAGTGTTTATATTGTTTATATGAACATTCAACTGACTATCTTGTGCACCCAGCTCGGAGACTTGTTCATGAACTGATATGCGCGAAAATGGGGCAAACATTGGGTCCAGCGTTGTACCAGCTACATTATTCGTGGCCTTTCGGCATCCTGCCATCAATTGCCACCGATAGCTGGTAAAGTTTACTCTAAGTCCCGGTTAACAATAGCAATTTAGGCATTTGGCAGAAGTGCCGCTGATCCTTGTTGACATCGAGAAGTTCGTATCAGCCGACCAAGGACCTGTCGTAGAAATTTTGCAAGGGCGGGAGATGGGAGAGGATCCTACGGGCTCCACTTCCGTGCCGCCCCCCGCTCTGCACAGGCCTCATTCTAACCTCAAAAGGCATGAAGTATCCACGGCCCTATCCCATGAACTGTCGAAATAAACCCGCGGATTTCAGCTAATAAGATTGTGTTATAGCGTTACATCTTAAAAACACTAAAACTAAAGCTCTACACCAAAAATTGCGTATATAAATTTGAAACTTAATTATTTTTAATATATATTTATAGAATAGTTTTAAGTTAAGATAATTGTATTTTTAATATAATTACTGCACTAGCCTAAGCTGCAGGCTTACGTTATTAATAATAAGCTAAGATTTAAGCTCCTCCTTATTTATATAGAGAGACTAGTAAAGATAACAAATTATTTTATTATACTATAAATACCTATAAACTGTCCTCTAGAGTTTCTTATTTTAAATTAAGTTAATTTTTAAGCTTAAACAAACTTATAGAGGCGTTTTTTTAAATACTTATAAGTTAATTCTAGCGTAAATTATATAGAACTAATAACGTTAATTAGTGTAGAGTTTAACCTGTTTATAGTAAGTAATTAGCGCAAGAATAGCTTAGATTAGGTATTATTTATAGAGAGGTATTTACTGCTTTAATAAGGCCTTAAGCTTAACTATAAGATTAAGGAGAAAACCCTAGTAGGTATCTAATTTAAAAAGTAATTTACCTAAAGTATACCTAAATAACTAGTAAGAATTTACTAAGATAATATTAAGGAGGAGCGTAAATAGGGGTTTCTAAGTTTTATAATAAACTTATTAGAGTAAATAGTAACTCTAGAGTTAATTAAACTAATCTATTATATTTATAAACTTATTATAGAGATTAATTAAAACTAGGATATTTATATCCTTATAAAGCTTACTTTTAAAAGCTATACGCGTTTAAACTGCACTAGTTCTTATTTTACCTAGTCTCTTCCTTAGTCTAGTAATAGTAGCTACTAAATTATTAAATATTATAGCAAATAGAATAATATTATTATTACGCTAAGCTATTATCTTAACTCTCTTACTTCTTAAAATATTAAGGTAAATAATACCCTACTTAAGTTTATTATACTAAGCCCTAATATTAATAAGCTCTATTAAGAAGCCCTTAGCTAGGTTACTAAAAGCAGTTAGGGGCTTAGGCTTTAGCCCCTAACTACTCTAAGTCTCCTATATAAGCTGCGTAGGTAGAGGTAATAGTAATAGTATTAGCGCTAGCAGTGTATTTTTCTAGGGCTAGCTGCGCTTCTTTTTAGGTAGCTTAGATAATATTATTAGCAGTATTATAGCTCTACATTTTATAGGCAGCTGCTGTAATACCTAAGATACTTAAGAAGGAATATTACCTATACTAATTTTATATAGAGTCTTCCCTGTCTATATAGTACCTACTACTATAATACCTACGTGCTGTAACTTCTTAAGTAATAGCACTAATATAAATAAGTTATCTATAAAGATTATATATTTATTAGGCTTAAGTAGCTGTATATTAATATTACTAGTATAGTAGTTAAGGGCAAGGTAGAGTATAAGAGTTTAGGTAGAATAGAAACTAAGTCCTATATAATATAGATTAAGTTTATAAGGGCTGTTACTAGGATTTAAACCTTTACTATAAAAGAGCTAGTTTAATTAATACCTAGAATCTCTAAGGTACTATAATTTATAACCTGTTAAGTTAGACTTATAATTAATTATAGTCTTCTTCTTAGTACGCCTATAGAAGTAAGTTATACTTTTATCTATAGCTAAATATTGCCTAGGGCTCTAGTAGTGTTAGCTAATATAATAGGTATACTTAGAGAACTCCTAAACTTATTTAAATAGACGTTTAAATAGATTACTAACGTTATAAGGTATAGTAATATAAAAGTAATAATTAATTTATTAAAAGTAGCTAAAGCTTATAATCTTATACAGGTAGTAGTAAACTACTCTAAATTACTTATTAGTATACTAATAGTCTGTAATTTATAACTCCTAATATACGCCTATATAAATTTATATAGCTAGGTAACTAAAGATTTTATAATAAGTTATATTATACTATACGCAGATAAGCTTATAAGCAGGCTTAGTTTATAGTTTATATTATTAATAAGCGTTCTTATTAGTATAGCAGTAGATTTTTAAGATCTTAGCGTTAGTAAAAAACAGCTTAAATAGCTTAATAGGAGTTTAATTATAAGGCTTACTATTACAGTAAAGTAGTTATAGGCTGCCTTACTTATTAAGGTTATTAAGTATAAGCAGTTCCTACGTTAGTAGAGGATTCTTAGGGCTGCCTTTAAGGTGTATAGGTAAAGGCTTCTACTGCAATTTTTGTGTAACAGGAGTATTCTTAGGCACAAGGTTGTTGTTAGCGCGTCTACGTAGAGGCATTATATAAATAGATAGTATTAACAAACGTAGAGAAAAAATAATAAGTATAAAGTAAGTTAGTGTTAAGTTAATTAATAGTTTCTAAGTTTAAAGTTCCTCTAGTAGGGCTAAACGCTAACTTACCGACGCGCTCTGATTAGCCAATAGTTGGGCCAAAATCCGCGGGTTTATTTCGACAGTTCATGGGATAAGAAGGATGAAAGACCTTTGCCAACAGTGTCTGGATGAACTACGCCGCAATCCTTTCGAACTTACCGCTCTGCGATGATACGACTTTTCCACGCACACCTACTGCGCTTACCGCGTTTCGGTTTGATCGCCAGGTTTCGCCTCGCTAACAACCGGCGATATATCCCAGAGTATACTTCACTACCGAATCCCTCACAAATCACAAGAATGCGCGTACCCAGATAGGTAGTTGCAAATTCGCCCATGACTGGCTATCTGTGCACATACATACATTTTCATCCCGACTTGTTCCCGGCAACGCGGCCCCCTCCCCCTCCACCCCGTAGGCTTTGATATTCACTCACTTCAACGGTCCAGATCACTGTTGTCTTGTCGTATGTGTTCCTACTGAGATCAAATTCGAACGAGAATTGACCTGTTTCCGGGATCCTTAACTGTGTTCTCCCAAGAACGCCACGATGCGGGCTCGGAGTCGAGTGAGTTCACACTGCACCCGCCACAACGAGAAAATATCATCAACATGGCGAGTAGTCAAAGGTTCGAGGGAAAAGAAAGGAGAAGGTTCGTAAGACGGCCTGTAATCTTCTTTCACGTCACTTGTACCCCATAGCAAAGCAAATTCGTCGGAGAGGCCCTGCTCCATTGGTATGAAACACCGTCATGCAGCCCGGAAAGTTGTTCACAATGAAATATGGTTCCAGAAGGTCGGATATTGGCTTGCTGGCCAAGCATCCTACAGAATTTTTGAAGAATCTCGCTTCCAACATACTGTGCCTCACCCCTAAGGAATGTTAAGAACGCAAGATTTCCATCAGGCTTTGAAATCTCGGCACTCTTTTCGGAATGAGCTTCTTGTTTCTTGAGATTTTAAGTTGTGCGCCACTCAGAGCTGCGTTCTAGTCGCAACGATGGTCAACACAGGGTTACAGCCTGTATGCCTCTTTATAGCCATATTTCCCAGTGCGCTATGCGTCTTAATTGTCTCTATTCGCGTGTGGACCCGACTTAAGAAAAGACAGTATGGTATTGGTGAGTTTCCACTTTTGCGTCGTACGGTCATTACCTGTATCTTGACTGACACTGATATTTCTTTCCAGAGGACACGCTCCTAGTCATTGCAACCGTATGTGATCTTTTGACAATCGATTTTTGATGTAGGCTAATGTCCCTGTTTGGAATTTAGCTTCTGAACGTCGTTCTGTCATTCACAACATGCGGATGTAAGTTTGAACCAGTAAATTTACAACATTTGTTTGTTCACTCTGCGACATATAGGAACCGACGATGCTAATCAATGGTGTTAGACATCTTTGCCTCATATTATGGCTATCACACTCGTGACATACCTGAAGGTGTCATCGACCCTATCTCGATGATGAAGGTTTGTGCCAACTTTCCACTCACTCGTATGTCGCACACTCTAACTGTTACTTTGTAGTGGAACTACGCAAACTCCATCATCTACAACCCCATCCTCGCGCTCATCAAGGCGTCTTTCCTCTGGACACTCATCAAGCTCCGCTCCCAAAACATGTGGATCAACCGCTCCCTCTGGGCTACACTGATCTTGAACATCTGCTTCGCCATCGCCGCGCCCCTTGTTTGTACCTTCCAGTGTGATCCAGTTGCAAAATACTGGGACAACGCCATCCCTGGAAAGTGTATCGATGCTGGCGCTTACACAGTTAGCACATCGTCCATTGTTCTCGCTACGGACGTCCTCATCCTGATCATGCCGACGTGGATCTTATATAATCTCAAGATGCCATTCGCCCGCAAGTTGATGGTGATAGCGTTCCTATCATTTGGTGTTGCCGTCACCATCGTTGGTGCGGTACGTACAAGCGTCTTAATCAATGTGTTCGTACTTGAAAAAGTCGGACAGGATTCAACATATGAAGTGGGTTACACTCTATCGAACATCGAATCCGGTCTCGCTATTATAGGAGTTTGTGGTCCAACAATCAAATACATACTTGGCTGCTGTATTCCAGCGCTCAGGGCTCCGGAAGAAACCAGCAACCATAACTACGTGTATCCACCCCACGGCGATTCAGTTGGAGAGACTCGATCCAGGCGGTATATCAAGAGCACAGGGCCCCACGATGCATTTGAAGAGCTAGACAAGGACCGTGGGAACGAACACAATTGGTCTCGCGGGGACAGATCGGATACTAGCGTCGAATTGACCAAAGTAGCCAGGAGTGCGCAACCTATTGCACGGCGCAACACGATTAGCGACGAACATCTGATGATAACGAAGACAGTTGCATGGCGAGTCGACAATGCTCAGCCAGACTCGAACAGCACGTGTGAGCAGAAAATCAACACGCCGCGTAACATGGTATAGCATTGAAGGGGCCTTAGTTTTGGGTGTTGTGAAAAGTTATCACGACTTTTTGAATGATAGCATTGGATGTTAAAGTCGATTTGAAGAGGTCTGTACGTCATGTCTTTTGTCGATGGCGCGTGTAAAAAGCTGGAGACTCGCAAGACTTGTGATGAAAGGAGTCACTTTGACGCAAGTTGTAGTGAAGGTTTATGTCGGGCTAAGGCTGGCTCACGAAGCTATCAAACGAGCATCTCCTTGATTCCACTATCGCTATGTCTCTTTGATCTGTATCTCATCTCGACACTTATTTCGACTATACACTGAAAGTGACTCCTTGGTGACACTTAACATATCTGACTTGTATTTCCATCACCAATGTGATGTTCTATTGGGATCCGTTGAAAAACAAGTTTCAAGCTTCAGTACTGCTTCAAAATTTGAGCACACAGTCAGTTCTCAAGAAGACCATGCTAGAGGTAAGAAGACGCTGCTTCTCATGAGGGAATCTCAGGAAACTTATTCTAATACCTTGTAAATATGTTTCGGGTGTCCGAAAATGCCTATGGTCTAGCCTCCATGAACATCATAGCCGAGTAAAGAGCTGCAAATCCTTCCCAAATCATCCCATGAGAAAAACCTTAGCATCTTTCGCGCGTCTCACTGAGACACTGTCAGATGTACTAGCCTCGTATAGCCTCGCTACAGAGAACCGGTTGCGCAACAGTTTGCACTGAATCGTTTTTGCCTCACGATTCAGTGTAACGAAATTGCTGCGGGACTTTTTGTAGTCGCCACTGACCCTTGCATAACTCGTGCAGGACAGTGTTTGGAGCATCATCTGATTGCCGCCCTTGCAGCGAAGCGTTGCAGCCTACTGCTGTCGCAGCTTCATTTTCGTGCAACCCTTGCACCACGAAGTATCGCCCTTTGTGTCGCACACGAGATGTTTGCTTCCCGATGGCAGCCTATCAACCAAGGCTGTGCTACAGATAATCCGAAGTGCAGCCTATGGGCCTGAGGCTGAGCTGCCACACGGGTAGATGCAGGACTTTAGTCAGGAGGGATTTGAGGGTAGTAATGGTATAAGTTTGCTCGTTGGGTTGAATTCGTCAACGTTTCCCCGATTTTGCTTCGTTTTTCGTTGTCAGATTAGGAGTATTATGATCATCGAGTTGGTGGAAGAACTCTCCACGTTACGCATATACCCACTCCTACATCGTTGACACTGCGTGAGTTCACGAATGTCCTCCGAAACATCCCAGATCCCTCGCCGCACAATGGCAGATATGGAGAGTAGTGAGAAGGGGACGAAAGAAGAGGACCAGGAGTATATTCCATCTTCTCCACTTGAACACTATTCCGCCGTCTCGTCGCCTCCGTCGAGGAGAAAAGTCATGTCTCGGTATTTGAGATCCCTTTTCCTGTGTTTTCCTTTTGCAAGTGTCGTACGCCCTCGAAAACACTCGTCAGAGCAAGATAAGAGCAAGAACAAGGAAAAGACTGTTCAAACAAATACGATAGAATCAAGTGAGATAAGGGATGGCCACAAACCGTCAGAAACTTCTAAGACCTACAAACCCTTGCCGTATGACGACTCCATTCGACTCCTCCGCATTGAGCCTGGTGAATCCGAACAGGATTTGATACTCAGTCTTGAACCTGCACGACTTGACAACACACTGCCTGCCTACGAAGCACTATCATACGTGTGGGGCGTGGAAGCCGGCGAGCAGGTCACTTGCAATGGAGAGAGCATGAAAGACATCACAGTGAACCTCTTCAACGCGCTGAAAAGATTGCGGCACAAGAACAAAACCAGACTTGTTTGGTGTGACGCCCTATGCATCGACCAGCAAAATCCAACAGAAAAAGGTCTTCAAGTGAGGAAGATGCACCACATCTATGCCCGAGCAGAGAAAGTACTCGTCGTCCTTGGTCTAGATGAAGAAGGACACGCCGAGGGGGCGTTTGGCGTCCTCTGTTCGCTGGTCAACAACAAACCACCAAGTCAACAACCTACCTTAACCTCCAAGAACAAACATGCCAAATCAGCAGTTTACGAAAACATCGACTCGACTCACCAAATTCACATCCCGGCGCAACTTCCTCGCCTTGGAAATCCCATCTGGATAAAAGTTATGATCCTCTTTTGCAATACCTGGTTTCGACGCATGTGGGTGATGCAAGAAATCGTTCTCGCGCAGCACGCCATCGTAATCTGGGGATCCTGCTCCCTGTCCTGGGACATTGTTGGACGCGCCATAGACTGTATACGCGAGCACACGTATCTGCATGCAGTCCTCGAGACAAGAAGTCTTCAAAACGCATTCTTCATGTGGAACATGTGCAGTATCAGGAGAAACAACATCAAAGGGTCCCACGACGAAGAGGAGGAGAACGGGTTCGCGTTCCTGCAGTTGTTGGATATAGCGAGGAGTTTTGACGTGACGGAGGCAAAGGATAAAGTTTACGGTTTGCTTGGGTTTCCAACAAGAGACGCGAGTCTTGAGACAGGTGTGTTTATACGACCCAATTACACACAGAGTTTGGCCGGTGTGTATGCAGATGTTGCGCGGAAGCTGCTGGTGAAGGAAGGCAATCTGGATGTGCTGTCGTTTGTCGTGCATCCGGGGTGGCGCGAAAATGTTGACGAACAGCAAAAAGAGAGCGTGAAACCAGATACGGCGGCGGAGGACATGCCATCTTGGGTCCCGGATTGGAATGCGAAGGAGACCATCTACCCGCTTGCTGGCTTTGGGCCGGGGAAAGCACACAAAGCTGGGCTTGGGCGTCCGCTCTGCCTCGATTTCACTGATCACAATGAGAATGAGACTGCCCTCTTCACGCTCAGACTGAGAGGCCAAGTAATCACCACAATACGCGACGTCGGTGCAGCTACTCCCTTCGGCCAACGCCATAAATCTGCGCCTGCGCTCAAATCCCTCGTCTCATGGTACTTATCCACCGCCCGCCCGTCTGCCGAAATTTTAACCAAAACCCTCTGCGCGCACCGAAACGCTGATGGTAGTCTCATACTCGATGACGAAAAGAACATCGCTGACTTCATGGCATTACTGCGCGATCTTGAATTAGACCTGGAAGCTACATGGCCAGGGGCCGCAGCCACTGGCACTGAGATGGAAGACACTAAGACTAGAACCGGCAAACAACTCGCTGAACTAGCGACCCAAAAAGGGAACCCAGATACGGCGCGCGAAACGTTATGGCTGTATTCGTGCTATCGTGCTCCCTTCATCACAGAGAGTGGAGAGGTGGGATTGGGCCCAGGGGCAGCGAGGGCGGGGGATGCGATTGTCGTGTTATGGGGTGGACAGGTTCCGTATGTGCTACGAAGAAACGACGACGGTAGAGAGGGGTGGGCATTTGTAGGAGAGTGTTACATCGAAAAGTACATGACGGAGAAGGTTATGTATGGAAAAAGGGAGGATGTTTTCGAGCTGCGGTGATACGAGATGAAGGCAAGCATGATAAAGGGTTTGTCAATGAGACTGAGTGGATCTCAGCAGATGGGAATAGAGTAATGATATGGTAGAGTGTCCTACGAAGTTGATTGAAGCAAGCTGGTATCCAGCGTTTTCACAAAACAAAACTCCTGACTGGCAATGTAAGCCGGATATAACCCAATCCAACGCCGCAAGAATCTTTATGCAGAAAAGATGCGAACATCTTGGAGTAAAGCCAGGAAAAGCAATACAATACCCCTTCAGTGGCGAAGTCTAACACGACAAGCTCTGTCAGTCGTTGACACACGACTCCCTTATGCACGTCCCTCTTTTATGCCCCTGACAGCATCAATCATCTTCTTCCTCTGCCTTTCCGCCCATTCACGACTCGCTACACGTCCTCTCTCCGCAGCCTCCGCTCTTGCTGTCTTTGCCGCGTCTTCCTTCTCTCTCCTCTCGCGTTCCCTTGCCTCTTTCTCCACCTTATCTTTGTTGAAGATTTCTTTGCCTTTGACTTTTTGAGCTACAACATCGGAGGGTGTAACAATTGACACACGTGTCGCAGAGGATGTCGATGTAGAACGTGACTCGGAAAGCATGAGAGAGCTACGCTTGCTAACGAGAGAAACTGAGCGTTGCGGCAGCGAAATGGAAGGTTGTGCGGATGGCGGAGGGGGTGGAGGGATGGTTACGCCTTTTTGTGTTCGCGGTGGGAGTGTGGAATGGGGTTTGGTGGTAGAGGGCTGACGGATGGGTATAGTAGTGGGTTTTTTGAGTGGTGCTGTTTTTGATATCGCCTTCTTTGCGGCCTCGGCTTCTTCTTCGCGCTTTTGTCGCTCTTCTCTCTGTGCTTTGAGCTTGGCTGCAACTGCTTCTCCTGGTAGTTGGAAATTCGATTTTGTTGGAGGCTTCGCCGACTTAGGAGGTGGAGGCATGCTGATTGGTCTCGATTTAGGCAGTGTTGTACCCTCCGCAGCCCTCTTCAAACGTTCTTCCTTTTGTGCCTTCAGTTTGGCCGCAGTTGCTTCCCCAGAGAGCTGGAAATTGGATTTCGTGGGAGGCTTGGAAGACCTTGGTGGTGGTGGCATACTGATCGGTCGTTGTTTGGGTACGACGCCTTCGGCTTCCCGCTTTGCGCGCTCTTCCTTTTGCACCTTTAGTTTGGCGGCTACAACGTCACTTGATAGCTGGAAGGTAGGCTTCGTCGGGAGTCTTGTTGACTTTGGCGGTGGTGGTGGTGTGGGAAAAGATAGGCTGATGGGTCGACGCTTCATGGCTAGATAATCTGGCACTTCTGCTGAGCCTTTCCTGACGTCTTGGCTAGGCGCGGTACGGACACTTGAGGCACGAGCGATCAAAGTTTTTGTCGGCTTGATGCTTTGCGGGGCGAGACTGGGATTTTTCGATATTCTTGTAGGAAGAGGAGCTTTCCTAGGAGTCTTTGCGCGAGCGATGGATGTCGTATCTGTAGTCTTCGAAAGATGTGGCTTTTCAGATGGAATACGTTCACCCGGGTTATCGACCTTTTGGAATGCTTTTCCTACGTTTTCGAGGGCTTCCTCGAGCGCGTCAATAGCTTCGATAGACTCTTCGATGCGCATTGGCGATTTCGAAGGACTGCGCGATGTGCGTCTCGGCGTGTGGCTCTTCGTTGGGGTAAGTGGACCTTCACAGGATTCCTCGATTGAAAGCATGACAGGCTCGTATTCCGATGTGATCTCAACTGATGGTGTGATAACTTGCGATGTTTGGTCGTCGTTGTTTGTTGGTTCGGATTCGACAGCAGCGAGTTCGGTCTCAAGCGCGTCAAATTCGAGGTTGGTTGGCCGCGTCTCATCATCTTCTACGCGTTTTATGTTTGTCGCGAATACCTCTGGCTCCTGTGTTCTGACTTCTTCTGTTTCTTCTATCGCAACCTCGGACGTTGAGATCTCAACAGGCTTTTGTTCTTCGATTGAGTCCTCCATTTGCAGCGCCTGAGGCTCTGGTGTCGGTTCTTCTGTCAACTCTGACACTTCTTTCTCCTCTTGTGCCGCTGATGATTTCTCCACCGTGAGTTGTTCCTCAACAACATCCTGTTGGAACTCCACTACTGCCTCTGTTACCAATGCCTCTTCTGCGACTTCCTCTGTCATAGGTTCAGGTTGTGGGGAGGGCGCGCGCTGTGACTGATTCGCTTGCTCTTCCTGAATCGCTAATTGGCGACGCGTAAGGCGTACTGCGCGTGAGGGCGGGCTCGCCGGTCGTTCGTCATTCATGGGAACCTGGACGATATCTCAACGTCAAGTTAGTATACTCTTGTTCCTAGCAGTTTCCATTCTAGCCACTCACCACCTGTAGGCCCTTCAGCCAGATTCTCCACAGCTGTATCGCTTGCTGGACTGGCTGCGGCCTGTCGCTCGTCTTCAGCAACTATCTGAATTTGCTCCTCATCTTCGAATGCTTTGCCCTTCTTTCCCTTTGCGCCCTTCTTTGCGCCTCCTTTCTTGCCTTTCTTGGCGGGGGTCTTCGCAGGTGTCTTTGCAGGTGTCTTTTGAGGGAACGGCTCGTCAGCCTCGATCAGTTGGGACGATGCATTATATGAGATTTCGTTCAAAGGCGCGCGTTCTTGTTCAGTCGCGTCGACTGGCTCGTCAATATGCTGTTGAGCGCGTTGCGCAGCCCGTGTTAGGCGCATTGTTGCGATCTAAGATTATCCAGAATACTGATGGAGAGTGTTGTTTAGATGGCGGTGCAGCTGGCTATATGACGATAGGATACATGTATCAGCGATCTGGTGGGGCGTTGATATCGTTGGTGGTGTTGATGCTGCTTGGGCAAAAGTGGATCCTAAACAAACGACAAGGGTTACCGCGCCCCCCAATAACAAGATACCCAAACAAGCCAAGCGCCCTACTCACGTGGTGTAAGCGTTCACGGCTGTGGAGACCCCACAAATACTTTGTTGCCGGCATCGCATCCGTGGGCGCACCTAGACGTTTGACTTGGAAAAATTTGAGCGCAAGGCCAGGAATTAGGCACCGTGCATTCTGGTTCATAAACGTGTCGAGTCCACTCGTCATCTAATTAAAGGCCCCTGGATACTTTTTAGACCCCCGATCGCCAGCCACATTCATCGCATCTGCTCACGACTTGCATCCCGTGTACCTCCGCCTCATTGCATTGATCGCCTGTCTCCGATCACCGGATGTTGGCTGCAGCCCCGCGTCGAGTCCTTACGTCCATCAATAGCCGGCTGTGCCCCGCCGGCAGAATGACCTCACGAGCGCGCTCCCGCCTCGACCAGGTCTCTCGGCACGTAGATAGCAAATCCTTCCTCGCAGTCAACACACCCTTCTCCACAGAACGCAGTGCTCGAATTGTAGACGACCAAGGAAACGTTATAAAACAAAAATCTCAGCCCCAGCCACAAGAAAAGGGCCCGAAGAAGATTGAACCTGAGGTACCAGAACCACCAAGGAAGAAGATGTCGAACCAGCCACCACACGCCACGCTGCTCATTCCCGGGCCTATTGAGTTTGACGATGCGGTACTACAGAGCATGAGCCACTACAGGTAATATATGGCCTCAATGGCACAAAGACCATTACTGACAGTATATAGTGAATCACATGTCAGCGCACCCTTCGTGAACACCTTCAGCGAAGTCCTCCAGAATCTGCGCAAGCTATTCCAGACCACGGACGCCGCCTCACAGCCTTTTATCCTCTCTGGATCTGGCACACTTGGATGGGACCAGGTTGCTGCGAACCTGGTTGAGCCCGGCGACGAGGTGCTCGTCCTGCACACTGGATACTTCGCCGACTCGTTCGCCGACTGCTTCGAGACATATGGTGTCAAGGCGACACAGATCAAGGCGCCCATTGGCGACCGACCGCAGCTCGATGAAGTCGAGAAGGCACTAAAGGAGAAGGAATACAAGATGCTGACTGTCACTCATGTGGACACCTCAACCGGTGTGCTGAGCGAGTTGAAGGCACTGAGCGACCTCGTGTACAGGGTCAGCCCGGATACATTGCTCGTCGTCGATGGTGTTTGCAGTGTAGGCTGCGAGGAGATCCGGTTCGACGACTGGAAACTTGATGTCGTCATCACAGCATCACAGAAGGCCATTGGCTGCCCTGCCGGTTTGAGTATTGTCATGGCCTCTGGCCGCGCCATGGAGAGGTTCAAGGCGAGGAAGACAAGGCCAACTTCTTACTTTGGATCATGGAAGAACTGGCTACCAAGTACGTCCACCTTCCCCATCATCACCAAACTTCATTACTAATGTTTCCAGTCATGCAAAACTATGAAGCGAAGAAACCATCTTACTTTGCGACCCCCGCCCCACAACTTATCCACGCCCTCGACACCTCTCTCAAGCAAATCCTCTCACGACCCCTTGAGCAGCGCTTCGCCGATCACAAAGCCGCATCGCAGAAGATCAAGAAGGCAGTTGGCGACTTGGGTCTCAAGCAGCTCGCTGCTAAGCCTGAAAACCAGGCCAACGGCATGACCGCCATCTACCTGCCCGACGGTTTCACGCCTCCGGATGTTCTTCCAAATCTGCTGAAGAAGGGCGTCATCTTCGCTGGTGGTTTGCACAAGGAGATCGCAACAAAATACATTCGTTTCGGACACATGGGTGTAAGTGTTACGGATCCTGAGAGGTCGGACATCACAAAGGCGATTGAGAGTTTGAAAGAGAGCTTAACCGAGGCTGGATACAAGGCTTGATTATGTGACAATGATGGAACACTTTTTGAGTGCATTTGTATATACGTCATCGCGAACCCGGACAGATGGATGGGGTGTGGTGACGGAGTTCGGTGGTAATATTACCGATTTGTTTGGAGGTTGTATGCACTAGATTTTAGAGGTTCGAAAATAGAAATTCCAAGCCTAACTCACATCATTACACGTCAACAGGAACGACCCTTGTGGCTACACTCATCAGCCCAGGATCTGACCTCAGAAAACTACGGGTACTTCGGCAGAAACATCATGTAGCCTCTCAACACGCATCATCCCCGAGTCATTTTGTTCTGGAAATTCGTTCCTTGCAGCTAGTCCGCCAAGTATGCCTAGACATATTCTAATCAGCAAGCCTATCAAGCCTTACCACCATCATGGCGTAGGATCCGTCATCCACAGAAAAACCTTAACCTCGAACGTGTGGAACAAGTGTCGAGATGGGCGAGGCTGTGCTCGAATTAGTATCCTTTAGACATGTACATCAGCGTAGTGCTCCCGGATGGAGGCGAAGTGCGATTCTCATCAACTTCTTCATTCTGTCTTGGATTGTTCTGATCCCACATTTTCCTACGTCAACGAGACTCACTGAGACATATCAACAGAGCGAGAGGTTTCTATCATGACCTCACGAGCTGCCCAACACGCATGGTCCACAGCCTGGCAAACCGCACCGCCATCTGCATGTGCGACACTTCGCAATAATGCCGGAATCGTAGACTGGGGAAAGACATGCGTGTTTCCCGAAGATGGTGGACCGACAATAAACCCCGTGAACACTGCTTGTCTGCCATGGGCCGCATCGTCTACAAACGCTCAAGCATTCTTCTCTCCCGCCACTGCATGTCCAACCTCTTGGAGCGCAGTCGCCACACAGACCGTAGGGACGGACTGGATAGACGGCGAGACAGCATTGCAGTGCTGTCCCATGGGCTTTGACGCAGATGGAAGTAACTGTCGACCTGCGAGTACAGGGACATTTCTCGTCGTGGAGTGTGGCGAGGCGGATGCGGAGGAGAATGAGTACAGGACGTATTCCGGCGCTGCTTGGCCGGCAAGGGCGACGGTTAGCATTGCAGCGCTGCAGTTGAGATTTCAGGCGAGTGATGTTGGGTCTGTGAGCGCCACCGCAACAGGAAGTTCGACGAGTGGGACATCGAGCGTCCCGACTTCGACAGGAAATTCTGGGACTGGACAGACAGAGGGAGGACTATCCACTGGCATCAAAATTGCAATCGGGGTCATCGTTCCCGTCGTGTTCCTCATCGGCGCGCTGGCGGCGTTCCTCCTATGGCGGAGGAAGACACAGCACAAAGCCGCAGGTCTTCGAGCAGCGCGTCTCGCAGACGAGAAACACGATTCACCGCCCCGTTCGCTCGACCTCGCGTCTACCCACCCTTATTCGGCGTCCAAAACACTTCCAGGTCCAGTTGTTGATCCTGGCATCGCTGTAGCTGGTGTGAGAAACCATGGAATTCAGCACGAAACACCCGAATGGAACCACGAGATGGACGCTACAGAAGCCGAGCGCCAGAGATTAATCGCAGTGGATCCTGCCCCAAGACAATACGCTGCGTATCAGCCACCACCTGGTGAAATGGATGCGGGGGGCAGTCAAACCGTCCCAAGTGAGTTGGGCGGCGTGGCGAGGGTGGCGAGGAAACCGATTGCGCCTGTGGAGATTGATAGTCAGCCGTGGAGGGCGGAGTTGGATGGCGGGAGGTGATGAGAAGAATATATCCATGTTTTCAAGGGGAGTGTTTGTGAGGAGATACAACGTTTAATGAATCAATGATATTTGAGAGGAGGCTAGTTTACTTGTATGCTTGTCATTGAAAAGCTGGCCTGATCATATATATTATTCTCTTGAAATGTGGATCGTTTTTGCACGATGACAGGTGAGCATTTGTATTAAATGGGCGAGTAATGGTATAGTATGATTGAGGAGAGAGATGACAAGAACATGTATAAAGGATGACGGAATACGAAAGTGAAGACAAGCGCTGTTTAGTTAAGGAAATTTACAGATAGGAGGAGAATGTTGGTCTGTCAGAAAGTTAGCCAAGGGGGAGAGTGACTCGTCTGGACGTCAATCTCAGCGAAACACTGTTCGAGTTCTTGCTTGTCTAACTACTTCCGATATACTTGATTTTCGAGAGACTGCTACTACAGGAGGATCTGACCCTCTCTTAATAAAAGATCAACGCATGATATAACAACGTAGAAAAGTCAGCTTGATTTCCAGTGGGTAGTTCTACGAGTCTACCCATGGTATAGGAAGCGCAGTCAGTTCTCGGCGCAGGGACGAATCATTCCACTAAGGCTGAAAGATCAACACAACCTAACCATACTACACCTGACAGACGACTAGTAGTGTGGGGAAAAAATACAAATGCCAAGCCCAATCAAAGGTTTGTTTTCACTGGACGGAAAAAAGCAAATAGAGACGTACAAAGGGGATAAAGACTCAGGCAGCCACTTCTACGCCTTGGTCGTATAGGTCTCGCTAATTTGTCCCAGGTAGTTGACGATCGGTGTCATGGTTATGTTACGAGATTCGGCACTGCGTCTCCAGTTACCCACTCATGGTTATCCAACCGGCAGTGTCTCTGGTTTACTTGTTGCCATAAGTTCTCAGTATCGTTTCTTGTTAACGTCGCCAAACCTTTGGGCGACATGTTCTTAGTGTTAGTGAGGTGAGGGACTTCGTGCTCTGTGTTTTCTTCTTCCTCCTTATTCATCTATCTCAACCTCCTCGTGTTTTCCTTGGCTTGATCTCTTTTTAACCCGCCTCTCTGATCATCTCACTGCATCTTCTCTCGGTCTTTTCTTTTTGCTCATGTTGTCTAAGAGAACTGACAATAACAGAGAGAGTGCACTACCTGAAAGATACTTAGGCCAATCGTGCCCCAGTGTCAACGACACGACGTCCTAAGTCCTCTCCTTTCACTCTACATTCTTTTTAGCCAACATGTCAGCGCCCAGCTTCTTCAGACCCGCTTCAGGGAACTTCCACTTCAGGGTCCTCGGCATGCTCTGCGTCTGCTTCTTTCTGCTTTACGTCTTTGTGCAAAGCCAACCGCTGGAACATCACTATTCTCACTACCTCCAACAAGCCCAACAAGCTCTGAAGTTCCCAGCACAGCCACAACCACTCCCATCGCAGTTCTTCCCATACGGCACCACGCAATGCCTGCCAGCGCCATCACCGCAGCTCATCGAGCAATCCACGCAAAAGAATGCTACATGTGCCGCATACGCACCAGCATACGGTGCCCCACGAGCCCGCGTCGGACTCGTCACCGCCCATTTTGGCCCAGTGCAGCAGCACTATCAGCGAGCTCTAGAAAGCCACCTGATGCACAGTCTAATCCACGGAACCCAAGTCCACGTGCTATGCGACACCCTCGTAGACGACCTCTGGAACAAACACGCCTTCATCCTCGACATGCTCATGCGCGAGATACTCAAGCCCGCCGACGAGCGCCTAGAATGGGTCATGTGGGCGGACCGCGACACGCTGATCCTCGACCAGTGCCGCCCGCTGTCGAGCTTCCTGCCGCCCGTCGATACAAACCGGAATATCGTCGTCACGACGGATTGGAACGGGCTGAACAATGGCATCTTCTTCCTCCGTGTGAATAAGTGGGCTATTGATCTCTTTACCGCCACGCTGGCGTACCGCTACTACAGACCCGAGGTTTTTCTGCGCTTCACGGAACAGAGCGCCATGCAGAATGTTCTCACTGAGGCGACGTTCGCGGGAGGCGTCCAGTGGGTGCCGCAGCACTGGTTCAACGCGTATGATATGTCTGGTGCATATGCGTTTGCAAACAGGACGGCAGTCGCTGACTTGCACCCGCTGCTGGTCCGGAGAGGGGATTTCTTGCTCCACTTTGCGGGGCAGCCGAATAAGAATGAATCGATCAACGAGTGGATGGACATGTTGGAGGTGATGGAAAATGTGTGGGAGGCGGGCTCGGCGCAGAGAAACCTGACTGAGGAGGTCACGGCGTTTTGGAAGGCTTTGGGGCTGAGGTGGTAGGTTGGGTGTGGAGAATGAGGGATATGCATCGAGAGATTCTTGGGTAGGCTTTTTGCTTGGAAGACTTGGGTTGGCGTTTTAGTGTTGTGCGTTGTTTCCAAATCAGTCATACCCCCTACTTTCTCCATCGAATTGATATAAACCTACACAACTTTTGTTGCCGTATAGCTGCCAAAGGTTAGTCTTGGGATTTGCCTTGAAAGTAAGACTGAGCTTCACTATGGGGAACAACAACTTGTGTGAAATCACCCCATCAAGAAGATCCTTCATAGCAAGCGCGTTTGTCTGTATCACAAAAGAATTAGTCCTCTTCGAGTGCGAAATTACATACGCATAAATCTCACTGCACGAGATCCATATTGAACCATTGGCGATCCCCGTGTGAGTTTGAAGATACACGCTTACTACCTTCGCTTGGATATACAATTTCGAAAAGTTTTTGTAATACGAGATTTATATCTCTACTGTAGTATTCCTGAACCTTTTATACACAAATTGATATATACAAGCAACAGCCCAACCAAAACTCCTTCATTGCATCCCTTGTAGCCTACAACTTGCTCTTCTCCACATTCTTATACAACACATTGCTGTGTGGGTTCGGGTCGACTGTGTAGTTGTTGAGGGGATTCAGCTCACTCGCGCGGTAAAACATATCCTCGTACACCTTTCCGTCACTGCGACCCAAACTGCTATCCAGCAGCCAATCATCGAAGCCCCACGAGTCGGCAAGGTTAACAGCATGCGGGCGGATATCTTGGAGCAATTTCATAACCGTTTTGGTGCGAGCAAGCATGATCTGGTGCTTTGAGCACGCGCCGGAAGTGTAGAATTCGGAACCCTCTTGTTCTAGCGTGTGCAGCGCAAAGAGGCGGAACAACTTCATCAGGACTTCGATGGTTTCGCTGTCGATACGGCCCTCCTTTTCGATTTGCTTGAGCGCTGAAAGGTTGGACTTGACGACCATGTACTGCGCGTGGGCCTTGCTCAAGCGGTAGAAGTCGACGAGGAGATCGTTCCAGGGCTTCTTCTGCTCGTCACGGTGCTTGGACGCTTCAAAGGTGAGGAAAGAGACACGCCAGGCGAAGGCGGCAACGAGGTCAGTGTCGGAACCGATAATGTCGAAAGCGCAACCGATGTTGTTGCGCGATTGGAATTCAGCAAGAATAGTGGTCGTATCATTGGTGGGCTTCTGGCCATTTAGGACCGAGCGCGCAGATTTGAGGAGCTGTGAGAAATTAACGACTGCTTGAATAGTAAGAATAGGGTTTGGAGACGGGGATACTTACGTAGCGTGCTACTTGCTGACTGAGCATGTAGTTGTCACCCTCCCATGTGCAGGTTGGGAGATAGTCCGCATACCAGGTGCCGATACCGCTGCGAATTGTTAGTCAACCATGTTTACTCGCAAAATGGGAGACATCATACCTGAAATTCGAGTATCCGTGACCACCGCAAGCTCGTCGACAGACTTCAAGACCCTCAGCTGCGATCGTACTGCTGAGTGACTTCAGCGCGCAAGACGAAGCATGCAAGTCGGCCAACAAGTCACTGCCAGAATTCATTTCCTCGGGCCCTGCACCGCGCTCCGTTTTGCTAGGATCCTTGTTTGCATTCCCCTGGTTCATCTTCTTCTTGTTCTCGTTATACAATTCCATCATGGAATTTCCTGTAAAGTGCAATGCAAAGGTAGCAGCCAGGAGAGGTAGAAGTCGAATCTGCACCATGGTATAGTTTAGAACAGGAGTTTCGCTCCCCCCAGCTGGCGCATCGCGATCCTGGAATTGCCTACGGACGGCAGTGTACCGGGTGGCGATGGTAACACCTCGCGCAAGAGTCGCGCCAGCCTGCTTGACGATGTTTGAACGGACCCAAGTTAGAGTGCCATAGATGACTGCCATACATTAATTGAGAATCCAACAATTGTGTTCAGTTTTACTTACGAGATGGCGAACCCCTTCGTTGGAACTTGTTGGTGTTGGGGTCCACATGTGAGAACTTGGCCAGCATACTGATGTGTGGTACCTTGAGCTTATTGAAGAGGAGGAAGCCGTTATCCATCGTGTTGTACCCAAACTTGGGACCGATGTCGCCAACGTGAACGTTCTCTAGTGGCTCGTGGGTCTTCAAGTCTCGAATCTGAATGATGAACGGAGTTGGACCGTATGACTTGCCGTCGATGATGAGTTGTGCCATTACCGCGGCATAATTTGCTGTGCGGCCCAGCGAGCCGATCCACCATTTACTAGCAGTCAGATGGGGAGAATGAAGGGTGAAGGTCTTGTCTTCTGGATTCCAGATCGCCTGCGTCTCAAGACCGCGGACATTAGAGCCGTGGCCCAGTTCGGTCTGAGCATAGCAGCCGATGATTTCATATTTCTCAGCCGGCTTGAGCCACTTCTCTTGTTGCTCAGGTGTGCCTTGCTCACCGAGTGTGATCTATTTCATTAGCATAACACTCCCGACGGTAGTGGTGGAGAAACGAACCAGAAACATGGTGTCATGGAGACCGTATGGACCAGGCTCTCCAACAAGATTTACGGCAGTCCGGAATTCTTCCTCTGACCAATTGTGCTGCATCTTCAGGACTCTTAATCGTTTCTCCCTTGCAAGGGCGCTCGCGAATCGATCGATTCTCCCCTGGAAGAGATTGTGGGACTTGTCAAACACCTTCTCAGACTTGAGAACCTTGAGCATTCTGTTTGTTACGTCGATGGTTTCTTTTGTGTGCAGAAGCTCCTCCAGCTTCTCTGCGGATACATGAGAGCCTGCGCGCTCAGCAGCAAGAAGCTCGTGACCCTGGGGGCCAGAGGGCTTCAACTGCTTGACCCAATCCGGTGTTGGCGACATTATGCTTAAGATTGGATGGGTTAGAGATGAAAAACAAGATGGAAATATTAGATGTTGAAGAAGGGTTGTTTGGAATGCTGAAGCTGTGTTAAGTAGCCGTCCATTACGACACCGCCGCCTCGGCTCCCCGTTTTGCACTAACGCTCAGCTTGACCGAGGCTCACCTGAGTCGCATAGGTTTATCAGATCAAATGTTAGATCTGATAAGTCAGATGCGTCCTGGCTACCGATCAAGCCCTTCTGAACGCGTCTTACTGCCACACTGTTACCTATACATCAATCCAACGTTGATCGCCAAGTGCCTCGTGCTGGTATGTTTGGAGCAGCGGTCCATGCAACATGTTGTTCACTTGCAGAGCATCCTAGCTTGCATCACTCTGTCAGATCGAGGTTCTACCTGGTAGGTCGGAGAGTTTGTTGAGGCAGTACCGGTTGCACCACGGTAGACGCGAACAAGCTCGGTCTTGGTATCTGGGGAGTGTGCCGAGTCAGGAATACTCCAGAATGGAAGCTTTGACAACTGGTGGGGCCCTGGTTAGTCGAAGTACCTGGATCTAAGCTACAGTGAGGTTTTGCAATAGCTTGACAACTACACGCAAGGAAATTGTGAAACTTGTGCGCCTTGAGTATTATCGGTATACGCCTATCGGTGTGTTGTCCTAGCAGTATTTGATCTTGCAGTGCAGGTCTGTTGTTTTGCTGCAAAGAACGTAGCTTAATTCCGGGTATTTCGACTAACCGAGAGTGGACCTCCGGAAACGTGGATTTCATCTTCAAAAACAATCCTGCCAAGCCCTGTGTTTCTTCTTATGGTCTTCGAAGGGCTGGACCTCTGCCTGATTCCGAGCCCAGCTCTGATCAGCGCCAGTGGGGGTACATGGTTTGAAGAATCGCCCAGAGTGGAATTTGTGATTATCACGCGATCAGTTGCAGAAGACAAGTAGCCTCCTGCTGGCCCCAAGGCGCCGTGCACCGCCTCACTGCCCATCCTATAGGATAGAATGACCCAGAGTCTGGCCGGGCGCAAGTTCCGACATGTGCAAAGGCAACCATCCACGCCATGGCAACAAGGGGACGGCGTTGTGTGCCGTCATTCACACGCACGGGCCACGATTACACTTAGCGCCTGTGTCTGTCCAAAGCGAGCGCAGTGACGCTCTCAACACCACTCGCTGCCGACCTGTTTACTCCTTTGTGAGCTAAGCACTCAATCTCTTTCCCCCTCCTACAACCTTCTACAACCCCCTCTCTTCAGGCGCCGACCTGCCATCAAAGTTGCCCCGCGGTTGCCATTTTCAATCACCCCGCACATCACAGCAGTACCTTTTCGCAAATCTATGCTCTGGGAGAAACCTTCGCTGTTCCTCAGTATCTCCTCCCTCTTCTCCTTCGAGTCCTCGTAGGAAGCGGACACGATGGGTCAGACTCTCTCCGAGCCTGTCGTTGACAAGGTAAGCATCGTTGATGCCATCCCCCGCCCCCGCACTATGCCCTCTCCCACTGGTCTGCACTAGCAGCGGCTGCCTGCAGAAGGCTGTAGAGACGTGTGGGCTGCGTACATGCTCTCTCAATACTGACGCGTATCTTTTGGCAGCACTCAGAAAATGGCGAGGGCCAATCGCTCATCTTCGGTGTGTCTTCGATGCAGGGCTGGCGCATCAGCATGGAAGACGCCCACGCAACCATCCTGGACCTCCAAGTCGCCCAGGAAGGCGGCAACCCCACGGACGCCGACAAGCGACTGGCTTTCTTCGGTGTCTACGACGGCCACGGCGGCGATAAGGTGGCTATATACACCGGCGAGCACCTGCACTCCATCATAGCAAAGCAAGAGTCCTTCAAGGCAGGAGACATAAAAAAGGGTCTCCAGGACGGCTTCCTGGCAATCGATCGCGCGATACTGAGCGGTATGTTCTTTAGGACGCTATTTGGTCGTTGACGGAAGGGGCTGACTCATCGAAACAGATCCCAAGTATGAAGAGGAGGTCTCTGGCTGCACTGCCACAGTTGCTGTCTTGTCTCAGAACAAGATCTACTGCGTATGTTGTCTCGCGCATGGAATTGTACAATTTCTTACACCAGATAGGCCAACGCGGGTGACTCGCGTACCGTCTTGGGTGTGAAGGGCAGAGCAAAGCCGCTCTCATTCGACCACAAGCCCCAGAACGAAGGTATGCAAGATGCGACTCCAGCCCTGACGTCTACTGACTATTCACAGCCGAGAAGGCGCGTATCCAAGCCGCCGGAGGCTTCGTCGACTTTGGCCGTGTCAATGGCAACCTCGCCCTGTCGCGTGCGATAGGCGACTTCGAGTTCAAGAAGAGCGCCGACCTGCCCCCTGAGCAGCAAATCGTCACGGCGTTCCCAGACGTTGAGATACATGACATCAACCAAGATGATGAGTTCCTGGTCGTGGCTTGTGATGGTGAGATGCTCTACAATCGCGAGACAAGTTCTATTCTAACCCCTGAGCGCAGGTATTTGGGATTGCCAGTCTTCCCAGGCGGTCATCGAGTTTGTTAGGCGTGGAATTGTGGCGAAGCAGGATCTTTCTTCTATCTGTGAGAACATGATGGACAACTGCCTGGCTTCCAGCAGTGACACTGGCGGTGTGGGTTGTGACAACATGACTATGACTGTTGTTGGTCTTTTGCAGGGACGGACGAAGGAGCAGTGGTACGAGGACATCGCAAAGAGAGTGGCTAATGGAGAGGGTCCATGTGCGCCGCCAGAGTACGGCAAGTCAGAAGATCCTGCCTCTCCCGCATCTCCCGCCTCATAGGGCAGCTAGTTCAATTCAGTTCTAATGTATTCGTGCAGCCGAGTTTCGTGGTCCGGGAGTCCATCACAGTATTGATGATAGCCCTGATGACATCGATATGGATCTTGACCACCGATTCCGCCCAAGCAGTGGTGGCCGTGTCATTCTTTTGGGTGATGGAACAGAAATTTCGACCGAAGCGCCCGACAATGAGATGTTTGATCACGAGGATGAAGACAGGGATCTCGCGTCGCAAGTGGACAAGTACAACAGGGGGTCAAGCGGCGCCGCCCAGGAGGTGACTGAATCCCCTTCTTCGGTGCAGACAGAGAAGTCTGACGCCCCTGAGCCACAATCCAAGGTGTCCCAAAATCCAGACGTAAGCGGCAGGTAGACTGGCTCTACGATAGCTCGACTCTGATGTTTTGCCTTGCCTGGTAGCTTATACCAGATGAAACGGTTACGAGTGTTCCCTTTATATCACGATTGCAAGCGGGTGGGTTTGTTGGTCAACTATGCGTCATGGAAACGAGCCTTATGAGAACGAACGTGGGCAGTGTCACGAAATGATACCTGGCGTCATGTATTGTCGCCGTCTTTTGTTAGTCTGTCTATCCTCTTATTCACGATAGTATACGATATGCTCCTCCACAATAGAATATCTGATGTCTGTTCAAGCGACTCACAAGTGTTTCTCGTAATGTGAAATGTTGACATGTTGACGCCGTCGAGGTGCTTGACTCTGGCAAGGGTACTCCGTTAGTGGTTACCCCCATCCACCAGTTGCTCGTAACATACACATTGCTAGAGAACAACCTGCACTTCAGTATTACGTCCTTCTTATTTCGAGACTAGCGTACTGCAAGGTTTCTATGCGGGGAGAAGATCAAGGGTTACCAGTATCGCTCTTCGTGATACGGAAAGCAGGTTTATCCTCGAAGGCACACGGCGATGTCGATGCGATGCTTTTCCTGATACGGAAAGACTGCAGATGACCCACCCCACCTCGGGAGTGGTGGGGCTTCAAAGCTTGGTGTGAACGTACGCTCATCTTACGGGATTGACGTTCTCCACATTCCATTTCCTCGTTGGTTGTAGCTGCTGATGCTTCCTCTCAAGCTTCGAGTGCTTTGTGTCGCGAAGAATGCTCGCGCAAGAGATGCCTTTCCTGCTCACCGGCGAATGATCACACGGTCCTCGCCGGCCAATTGCAACAACCCAACGAAGCTTTGACCGTTGCCAAGCTCGACGAGAGGTCGAGTTCAAGGTCGCGTAACCCCAAACACTGCTCTACAATTGTCGGCACCACACGACCGCACGAATGCTGCGACTCGTCTGGTAAAGAGATTGGCACCGCGTTTCCACCCACGATAGACTTATCCTGCTCCGACGAGCCCTTCAGCGCATAGCAAGAGCATCACTAAACATGTCGGTCATTCTTTGCACAGGTGCGTAGCTCCAGCCCCACTACAAAGACGTTGAAGCAATAGCTAACACCGACAACAGCCGGCTATGACCACACCATCCGGTCCGCAGCCACGCAAGCCCCCTCGCACATGTCCCCTCCTCGCTGACCTCGCAACAAAGCTTCTGGGAAGCCCTCTCTGGCATCTGCTCCCGCACTATTCCGCACCCAGACTCGCAGGTCAACCGCCTATGCATATCGCCCGACAAGCGCTACCTTGCTGCTGCAGGCCACCACACGGTCAAACTCTACGACATCAAGTCCTCGAACCCCAACGCCATCTTGACCTTCGACGGCCACACGTCCAACATCACCGGCGTTGCCTTTCACTGTGAGTCTAAATGGCTGGTGACCTCTTCGGAGGATGGCACGGTCAAGATCTGGGATACTAGGAGCGGCAATGTGCAGCGCAACTATACACATGGTGTGCCGGTGAATGATGTGGTTATTCATCCGAACCAGGGGGAGCTTGTGAGCTGTGATCGAGGGGGCAATGTGAGGATCTGGGATCTGGGAGAGAACAAGTGCTCGCACCAGTTGATCCCAGAGGACGACGTGAGTGTGGCTAGTGTTACGGTCGCGAGTGATGGCAGTATGGTCTGCGCGGGGAACAACGCTGTAAGTCTCTTTTTGTTTGTCGGTCTCGTTCCTTTGTTAGGCCTAGCCAGCCTTTATATTCGCTTTCTCTTCGCAAGCTTTGTCTACTTTACGATGGATGATGTATACTCGGATCCTAACATACCAGGGCAACGTCTACGTCTGGCGCATGATCCAACGCCACGAAGTAACATCCATCGTCCCCGTCTGCAAGTTCGTCGCCCACCACACCTACATCACACGCGTCCTCCTCTCCCCCGACGTGCGCCACCTAGCCACCTGCTCCGCCGACCACACCGCCCGCATCTGGTCCGTCGACACATCTGCGCCCCACAACGTCATGCCCGGCGACCAGCTGCCCTCAGCCGACGAGCGCGACGAGTCGGCCTTCCCCCTCGAAACCACGCTGCACGGCCACCAGCGCTGGGTCTGGGACTGCGCTTTCAGCGCCGATTCCGCGTATCTCGTCACTGCGTGCTCGGATCACTATGCGCGCCTGTGGGAACTGCATAGCCAGAGCATTATCAGGCAGTATAATGGGCATCATCGTGGGGCTGTTTGTGTTGCGCTGAATGATACTGCGGTGGGTAATTGAGTGGCTGGCTTTGCTCTTTGACTTGGCGTTTTTGGGGGGAAGGTTGGAACTGGACATGATGGGTATGTGGGCGCTGCATTACACGGTTGGCGTGGCGTGGCGTTTTGGTCACTGGCAGACTCTGACCGAGTCGAGCCATGATGGAATAGCGGGTTAATAGCGAAAGGAACGCATAGCAAAGTGAATCAAATTCACGAATAAAACAGCTGAGCAGAGAAAAATAAACTTTACAAGTCAAATTATGTTCTACAAAGGGGCCTCCGACCAAGTATTACTTATACAGACAAACGGACAGCCCAGACGCTTTATCTAGAGATGCATAGAATGCCAAAATGCCGCCCAACCAACCAACCAACCAACCAACCTTCATGTAGCGTATTACGCGTCCTAAACGGGCATATAATGTGATGTGATGTGATGTGACGTGATGCAATGTGACCCTTATTGGCGAGAAGGACCTATCCCGCCATCTCGCCATACCATACCATTCCGTCAATCCCAATCCCAATCCCAATCCAAAACAACATGTCCCCCTTCCCCCCCTCCAAACGCCACGCAAAACTCGCAGCAAAAAACATACCGACACTAGGACCCCGAAACTCCTCTACGACCTCCCCAACAGCCCGGAAAACCAACTCGCAAGCTGTTTCCCGCCCATACTAGGCGTGAAGCTCAACACGCTCTCCGCGTCTGTATCCGCGTCTGCATCTCTGTCTCGGTCGGGTGTGCTTGGGACGGGGAATGTTTTGCCTCTTGGACGGCCAGTGGGGGGCGTGCGCGGGCTGAGTTTGTGTTTTGTGCGGAGGGTGAGGGATTTGGGGGTGCGGCGCGTGGAGGTGGAGGGGTCGTGTGGTGTTGTTGCGGGGGAGAAGGTCGGGGTGGGGAGGGGGGGTGTGGGTGTTGGTGTTGGTGTGTTTGTTGAGTAGGTGGATGGCGGGGAGTCGTTTGTTGAGAGGAGGGTGGTGGGGGTTTCAGTTCTGGTGGCCCAGGTAGAGGGGTAGTGTGCGAGTCTGGGCGCTGGTTGGAATGCGGGCGGGTGATAAGTTGGCAGCGGTGGGTTGGCAGAGATGTGCAGGCGAGGCAGGCCGGTTTTCACCCATGGGCGGACTGTGTACTGCGGGTGTGGCATGTCTAGAGACGGGGGGTATCAGCACAAACCAGGGTAGAAGAAAGTAGGATGACGGGGGCTTTCAGGCGGGATTTGCACCACCTTCAGGCGTGGGGGCCCGCTCTTCCTTGACTTCTTCCTGGGCGGCTGGGTCTTCTGCCGGAGCAGGGTCTTCAGTGCCGTTCTCGTTGGCGGCGGCGAGGGCGGCAGCGGCTGCCGCAGCCTCTCGTTCGGCTTTCTCTGCCTTCTTCCTTTGACGCTCGGCCTCACGTTCAAAGTTCTCCTTGCGTGCTCGTTCGTCCTTCATCTTGCGAAGACGCTCTGCTTCCTCGACGCCACCACTTTTCTTGAGCTTGCCTTCCTCGACGAAGCTACCGAGCTCCATCTTGAACTCGTCGTCTTTTCTAGTGGCTAGTTCGCGTTGTCGGGCCTTCTCCGCGCGCTCGATGGCTTCGAGTCTGCCTTCGTGATTCGGCTGCAGTGCCTTGACCTCTCCGAGAACACCATCCCTAGCTTGTTGTGGGTTGACAACCTTGTCGTACGAGGTCGGATTGAGGGCGTTGCGCCCGCTAACAGAGCGTGTTCCCTTATTCTGCTCCTTCTCGTTCTCCAGGTTCTGTTGCTTGCATGCTTCCTCTACAAGCTCAAGTGTTTGGGCAGCCTTCTCCAGATCATCTTGCAAGTCAGCTGCGAGCTCTTCCTGCATAGTGAGCATATCCCTCTCTTCGCACACAGTCTGCAGTTCTTGCTCCCAGATCTTGGTCCAGAGAGGCTTCTCCTTTGCCAAGAAGTCTTGCAGTTTCTTGAGCTCGGCAGTTGCGAGGGATAGATCTTTGGCGGTTGTCTCAAGCTGGCGGGGTACAGGTCGGACGCCTCGCACCACAACGTCCTTTCGGAGGTCTTCGACAAGATCCTGCAGGTCATCCACTCGGTTGACAATCTTTTCGGAATCATCGTGCAGAGACTTCTTGCCGTTGTTGATGTATGCGCGACCAGTGTCTCCGTCCAGAGTAGGCAAGGCGGCTTTGATAGCGGTTGATTTGACCGCGCTGGCCTTTGTGCGCACAGCTGCCATGCTAGCCTGCACATCTGACACGAACGATGAATAGGTTTGTCTGACCACAGCCAAGTCGCGACGCAAGGACTGCACCTCGCTTAGTTGAGCAGCTGACGATACGGTTCCTGCAGTAGGACCACCAATTGGGCGAGGCGATATGAGTGCTGAATTGCGCGCTGAAGGTGCTGCAGCAATACCAGCCAGCTCTTTTGCCGTCTGTTGTTGTCGTTCGGCGACACGTTGGATCGTCGACTGCTGGTCCTCGAGCACCGTCTTTATGCTCTCGACGAGACGACTGAGCCCGCCAAATTTGTCGTCGATGTGGTTTTTGACCTCGTCGAGTTGTTCAACGTTAAGCACAAGCACGGATCGGTCTTTGATATCGTTCATGTCCTCCAGCTCATAGCGAACACCTGAAACAGAGTCCTGGATATGTACCTCTGGTAGTTCACCATTGCGGTGCGTGTCCCAAGCGAACTTCTCAATAAATGCCAGTTGCAGTCGCGCGGCTGAGAGATCGGACCCGTCGGCAAACACGTACTTCTTGATCTTGCTCTTGTACTGGAGGAACAGGGTGAGCTCCTTCCCAGGCTGAGGCGACTGCTCGGGTACGAACTGCTGCGGCTGTGGAGAGGGGGTCTTTGCTTCCCGAGAGCGGCTCCTGGCTGGGATGACCGCAGGCTGCTGCGGCTCTTTTAGAGGGGACTCGGCCGCAAGTTCGACTGGCTCGTCGAGCGGCCCATTGAGCCTGGCACCCAACTCTGGCTGCTGGTCCGGCTCGGGAAACTTTGGTGCGGCAAGCTTGTCTTCTGGGGTCTGCAGCATGGGGCTGTCCTCTGGGTCAGGTTCCTTTGGTGGCGGTATGCTTGGGACCGAACTCTGAGAGTTCTCTTCCGAGATGCGGCGGGAGGCATCGTCTGTCTTGTCGACGGTTGTATCTACTGATGGGCGCTGCTGATTAGATCGTTGTCGACCGTGCATCATGGACGCTCTTGTCCGCACAGCATTCATTGACTCCCGCACATCTCTGCCGCGGTTTGGTATGGGTGAGTTCTGCACTGGCGGGAGCGGTATGCCATTTGTGCCCAGGTGCTTCTGTATCTGGTAGGCAGAGAACCTCCGCGAGGCCCTCCGCTCCAGCTCCCCACCCCTCTGCAGTGCAGCCAAGGCGTCTTCCTGCTTGGGCGGCGGCGGCGGCGGCGGAAAGTCGACGGCGTAGTTGGGACGGGTGGGCTTGGGGGCCTTGGGCATGGCGTCGTCTCCTGGGTACGGGGCTATGACGGGCATCTGCTGGGCGGTGGTGCTCGAGATGGTCGAGTCGGTGGACTGGTTGCTCGCCGTGGTGGAGCGGCTGGTCCTGGGGTTGGCGGGCAGCGAGTCGTACTTGCTCGGGGACGTCCTGCCCGCCACCGACGACGAGCGCGGGGGCAGCTCGGGGCCTCCGTTGGCGAGATCAGCGCTGTCCCCCCGCGACGGCAGCCGTGTGCTCGCGGAGCGCGCCTGCTTGGCGTCGTCGAGGTCGGCGGTGCTGCCCGTGCTGCCCTGGCGCGGGCTGGTGCCGTTGAGCGAGCCATCGCGCCCCGTGCGCTGGCGGAGGCGCTGCTGCTTGCTCTTCAGGCCGTGCAGCAGGTTGATGATGATGTCGCGGATGCGGGGCAGGAAGTTGTCGAGGCTCGTCTGCGAGGCCTCCTGGCTGAGCGTCTCCTCGAGGATGCCGCGCAGCAGCTCGGGCACGTTTCCGAGGTCGTTTGTGTCGACGCCGATGGCGTTGAAGGCGCGCGAGGCGATGTTGAACTCGTAGCCCAGGCGCACGTAGACGTCCGAGACCTCGCTCTCGGTCGCCGTCCCTCGCGACCATAGCGTCAGCGTCTCTGGGCCAAGTTAGCACGCGGCGGCGGAGCGCGTCGGGGCTGGGCGCACCAAGGAGCTGCTTCGTGGCGACGAGCAGGTGCGTGACGGACTTTTCAATCTGCGAGAGCTGCTGCTGGGGCTGCATCGTGGTGAGCGGACCGACAGGGTGGCAGTGGCAGTGGCATGGGCATGGACATGGGCGCGGATGCGCGTGCGGGTGCGGATGCGGAGGGGGACGCTCACATTCTTGGGCGCCCGTCTGGATGATCCGTGCGAGGAGCGTTGCACGGCTGAGGCCTCGTCGGTCATGGTGGACGTCGGGGCAGGCATGCTGCCGGGTGTGGGTGTCTCTGGTCTGGGACAGCAGCCCGCGTTCCTCTCGCCCTCGAGTAGTTACGTCGTCGTGTTCAGCCCGACATGGTACCAAGAAACGCTGCGTCACGTGCCCCGTCTCGCCTCTTCGTTTTCGGCGTGTGAGAGAGCTTGATCCCAGCCCTCGTCCCTTGCCATCGGCCCCAGCTTCTGTGGTGACTGCTCCACCGACGACTGCGACGCTGGCTAGAGTAGTAGATCATGTAACGAGACCTATCACGTACCGAGAGTCCCTAACCACCCCAACTACCATTTTTCAACGCGCTGTATCTCAACACCACAACATAATATTAGATTTCTAAATAGACTATCTTATAGAGTATTATATTCTATATAATCTATAAATTTATTATATATATTTTTTCTATATTATAGTTGTAACTTACTTATTACGTAAACTTAAGATAGGTTACTATAAATAACTGTTACATAACGCCTCTCTACCTATAACCTGCCTATAATAATGTAATAAATTACAAATTAGACGCTAAGGCTCTAATTAAGGAAGCTATCTACCTCTTTAATAATAGCTATATTCCTACTATTAGAGGCGCGTGTAGCGCTGTTAGTACTATATATATAACTATACTATACTAATTAAATAGCTACCTATTAGCTAAAACAGCCTACTATAAGTAGAGTACTCTTATACTAAAATAGGAGCTTAAGCTTATAAAATCTATTACTAATTACGCCTAATAGGGCCTTCTAATAAAGTACTATTATATTAAGGAGCTTACAGAAGCTCTTACTAGCTATAAACTAGGCCTCTACTAGGTATAGTACTTTATTAAACACTTACCTTTATCTTCTATTATTATACTAAAACTTAATTATTCTTATACTTATAACTATAATATAGAGATACTTAAAGCGTTTATTAACCTTACCTATAAGGTTATTACTAGCTATAACATTCTTCTAGAGAATATATAGAATATAAATAAGAAAGGTGTATTACTTAGCTAGGCATAGGTAGCTTATATTATTATACTAGTACTATAATTTTATTATAACTAGCGTAAAGCCTTTATATAACAGCTAGGCTTAAAGAAGTTAGCTACAGCTATTAAGTATATTAATACTACTAGTAGCTCTATTATACCCCTTTTAGTATTTAAAGCTACTTACTATTAGCAGAACTAGCTTAGTACTAATAGTAAGTATAAGCAGTAAATATATACTATATTATTTAAAGAATAGACTAATAATAATCTTAGGCTTACCTAGCTAAAGATTTTTAAGTATAAGAGCTACTCTTATAGTATTATAATACTAGCTGTAGTAGCTAATAAAACTCTAGTTTATTACATACTATTTATTAATAACTATAGCTCCTATATTACTATAAAGTTCCTAAGATACTGCCTTAATTACTAAATTATACTTATTACCTTCTTACCTTATTATATATACTTTTTTTAGCCTTTAGATATTAGTTTATTCTCTTCTCTATAGTACTACTACTTAACAGCTATCTTTAACGTAGTAAGGTAGGGTAACGTAGTAAAAGTTAATAAATAGCTATTTCTATATTACTACTCTATTACGCGCTTTAAGGCCTTTACTACAGCTAATATTAAGAGTACTTAGAAGGCTATAGGACTTTAGCCTCTATTAGTACGTCTAGTAAAGCTGCGTTTTAATACTGTTACTACTAAGAAGAGTATATATATAAGTATTAATTAAGCCTAAAACTATACCTAAGTTACTACTTAATACTATAATACTAAATATAATATTACCTTAAATAAGTAGCTAGAATAGCTATAGATACCTATAAAGCTAGCTAAACTAAAATTTATATAGTTTAAGCTTTTTTATACTACGCTATAGTCTACTCTAGCTACTTAGCACCTCTTTAAGCTTATAAAGGCTTTTACTATAATTAATATAAAGCTTATAATTACTATAACTAAGCTATAAAAGTATAAGCTATATAAGGTAGATAAGGTAACTAATAAGCGCCTTTAAGCTACTAGGTAACTTCTTAAAGAGTCTAATACAATTAGAATTAAAGCTAAGGAGGCCTTAAAGAGAGCCTTAGCAGTAGCTTTAAGTACTAAGAAAGCCTATAAAGATAGAGTTTATATACTAGAAGTAGAGCTAGCTTAAACTAAGTTTACTATTATTAATCTAGCTAAAGCTAGGTAACTATATACTACGTTTTACTACATATTTTAAGTAAACTACTAAAAAGTAAGCCTACGTTATATTAGAATAACTTAGGATAGTTATAGTACTGCCTGTAGCAGTAGCAGGGGCAGTGTATAGAAGCTCTATAACTACGTTTTTAAGCCTGCTCTTACGTAGGATACTTTTTATATAAACTAGGCTCTAAAATAGGTATTTTAGAATTAAATTTTAGAGCGTTGTTTTAAACTTGTAAGCGTGCGCGTTCTGTTAATTTTACCTTGGCTAACAACTCTCGGTACGTGATAGGTCTCGTTACATGATCTACTACTCTATATGCTGCTATTCGTCCGGAGCATCACCGCGCTAGTGGGTCTGGTTTCTGAAACATATTGTTGGGCCATTCATGTAGCAACGTCTAGTCTGCATAGGGAAGTGCTGCACGGGAGGACCGCGCTGCTTGTCTTGTCTGTCCGACGAGAAGCCACTGTGGATGCTGTGTCAAAGTGAAGCGAGAGTCCTTTCTGCAAGACCATCACGTCAGTCGCCAACAAGTATGGAGGACTAGCTGGAGCTGCAGTGGGCCTGTCGCGGACTCTCCCCCTATACATCACATACATCATCTGCGCACTCCACTCGTCCCTGACCACGCGTCAAGCATCACCGCCGTCTTAAGCTCAAGGCTAGCCGGCCAAGTCCGCTCCGCCGCTGACACTCTTGGCGGGCACGTATTCCACCTCGCTGGCCCTACATTTCACACACAGCCTCCCCGACCAACTGTCCTCTGTCGTCTGGCCAGATCTTGGGAAGCAGTAATTGCGTGTCGTCCCCGTGCCCGCCGCCGCATCGAGCACCCTGCACTGCACTGCTCTCGCTCTCGGCCAACCAGTGCTTCCCAATCCCGGCCCACGGAGTCCGCCCGCGAGCTTGTCCCTCCCACTCCATGACCACTGCCGCCGCGACCACGAACCGCGTCTCCAATGCGCTGACCTCTCGACAATCGAAGATGAGCACATCTGGCAAGACTGTCGACGCACAGCGCAAGCCCGGAAGCCCTTTGGACGCCGGACAGAGGTAAGCTCTCCGCACCCACCGCCCACCACCCCAATACCCACCCGCTCCTGCCTTGCCCAGTCGACAGCGCCTTCCCCAAACGCACCTCCCCCTCCCCACTGGCCACGCTGCGAGTGCCGCTTGCTTCACAGCTGCATCCAGCGCCGGTACCTCTTTGTGCGACGTGCGAGCAGTCACATGCAGCCACGGTGCAACGCTCCTGTGCTGCCAGCCCTTCCCCACTTGTGCCTCCTGTTTCACTCGTGCATTCGCGTCTCTCTTTCCCCCGGTGGCCCTCTCTTACCCTTCACCGCGTGCAATGCTGACTCGGCGACTGTCTGCAGGAAACCTCCGCAAAAGGCATGGACTCAGGGCACCAATCCCATCACTCAACGATCGTCGAACCCCTCGCCCTCCAACGGTGTCGTAAACAACCCGAAGCCCACCCAAACCCCGACGGCGCCTTCAGGCGAGTCCGCATCTCCAATGAAGCACCTTAGCGATCGGATGATGTACCTGCTGGTCAACTTGACTGTGAGTGTCGGCGCGCTGCCACCGTCGAGACAGGTCGACGGCGCTAACACTGTGCTACCAGGGCTTGCCCGGCACCATCACCCTCAAGAATGGCGAGAGATACTCTGGCGTGCTGTCAGGCACTTCCCTCGAACCCAACGAGATGCGATATGTCTTCAAGATGGTCAAGAAGCTGTTGCCAGCAGGCAATCCTCAGACCAATGGCTCTGGGGAGTCGTCTGACGACTACGTTGGTGCGGGCGACTACCACGTCATGTCGTTCGATATGAGCGATGTCGCCGATTTCAATGTCAACAATGTTGTTCTCGACAAGACACAGTCCAAGGGTCAGAATGGTAAGCTCGCCTCAACTTCTGCCACAATTCACGACTGACCCTCATAGGAGCTGCTGGTTTCCGTACCGACACTGACATCTCCGGCCACATGGCGATGCGCGAGCGAAACCTCCAAAAGTGGGAGCCTGCTGAGGTCGATTCCAACCTCAGCCTTGAGTCGGCAGGCCGGTCGGATGACTGGGACCAGTTTGCAACCAACGAACGGATGTTCGGTGTCAAGAGCAACTACGACGAGACTTTCTATACCACGACTATCGATCGCAGCAACCCACAGTATGCCGAGAAGGCTGCCCGTGCCGAGCGCATTGCCCGTGAAATCGAGGCTAGCACTGCATTCAACTCGCATGTGCGCGAGGAACGAGGTGGCACGGCTGCTACCGATGACGTGGGCGGTGATGAAGAGGACAAATACAGTGGCGTTCGTCGCGATATGCCCGCCTTGTCTAGTAGCCAGGGCAACAAATACACGCCTCCTGCACGACGAGCGCCCACGGGTCAGTCGACCGTTCATGGTGCACCCGTAGACCCAGCCATCATCTCGGCGTCTCTTGCGCGACCCGATTCCGCAGCCTCGAAATCAACACAACGCGCCGTCAGCCCCGCAGCAGACAAAGTTGCTACCCCCGAACCTGCCAAGGTAGCTCTGCCGAAACCAGAGGCTCCTACTTCGACTCCTTCTCAGCCAGAACCTCCCAGGGAAGCCGCCCCGAAAGCGGAGACGAACTCAGTTGCTACGTCCAAGCCTGCTGCGGAACAGTCGCAAAGACCGAGCAGCTCAATCAAAGCTACAGTCGCTGCTATCCCTCCCCGCAGGTCTGACCGGCCACGTGATGCGACCACCAACGTCGAACATGATCTTCTTGACTCCTTCAAGCAGTTCTCTGCCGCAGAGAAGTTGCGCATGACAGAACGCCAAAGGACTATTGCGCGTGAGAACAAAGCAGTCAAGTTGAATGACCTGAAGAAATTCGCACTGAACTTCAAACTCAGCACTCCGGTTCCCTCGGACCTGGTTCCGATCTTGGCTAAAGATGAGACCAAACAGCAGGCAATTGTTGAAAAGGCTCTTCGACAGGTGCAGGAGACCAAAACTTCGCCACCAAAGGCCACCAGGACTATCTCAGATTCAAAGATAACTGCGCGAGCTACTCCTTCCAAGCCCGATACCACCCAAGGATCTCCGAGTGTGCCCGCTGACCGTCAACAAAACCAACGAACCCGTCCTGGGCAGTCACAATACACGTCTGGTAACATGAGGGACCGTCCGCATCAAAACGCGAACCAGGTGCATCCTCGCAACAACGGGCCTCTTAGTACTCGTCTGCAAATGAATCAGCAACAGCACAAGCAGCAAGGTGCTCAGCCATACAATGGTGTGCCTCAGCCGATACCGGCACAGGATATGCGTGTTCCCCCAACAGGACCTTCACAGCCGTCCAGCGGCGTACAGACACCCACCTCCTCCAGCCTATCCAGCAGGTTCAACGTTCGTGCACATGAGTTCAAGCCAAACCCAGCAGCCCACACCTTCCAACCTGGGGGAAACCCTAGCACCAATTCCAGTCCTAGACCCTCCACGGCATCAAGGCACGAATCCCGCAGACCAACCACTGTCACCAGCTTCTTCGGTGGCCAACGTCCGACATTGAAGTCGGAAGCAGGTGACTCTTCCAAAGACTCTCCGGACGCCTTGCAACGACTGAAGAAGGACGTGTCGGAGCATGACAAGACCAACAACAGCGGCATTCCACACGCTTACCGCACTCCTCCCACGTGGGACTTCCCATCCACAAATACAGAGAAAGGCCACGTGCATATTTATGAACAAGCCCCTCCAACGCAGCATTCGGGCCATCACAATGCGATGAACAATGGTCAAATGCCGCACCAACATCAGCTTCCCCCTCACCTTCAGGGACCCCAGGGTCTGCCACAAGGTCAGGGTCCGCACCACACATCTCGCGGACCACCAGTCCAAGCGCATCACAATCAAGCGCCCCACCACTTTGAAGCGCCACATATGCAGTTCTCTCACTCTTCGTCGTCAATGCACCCTTCGCCCCGGCCTATGCCGCCTTATCCCTACGGCGTGCAGCCACAGCCCATGCCTGGGTTCCCTCAACAAGTCCAAATGCCACAGTACGGTATGAGTCCCAACGTTCAGCATGTCGCCCTTCACGGTAGGCCCGGTGGGCAGTTTGTCGGACATCCTGGCGCAGCCATGGGCGGGCAAATGATGACAAACCAACCCTCCAATGGCCCTTTTATGGGAATGCCAACAAACCCGCAAATGCAGATGTACTCTCCAGCCCCCGGTCCTGCCTATCCTCAATACCCTGGTCATATGCCTGGAGGTCCCGGTGCGAATGGGTTTCCTAGTAGTCCGAGACCCACTGCACAGATGATGAGCCACCAAGGTTCGCAGCAAGGGCACCAGCAACCGCCTATGATGTATATGCAGGCAGGTGCTCAAGGACCTCAAATGTTTCAGGTGCCACCAGGATCCAGTAAGTTGATCACTTCAAAACCTGTAGACCCAACTGATAGTAGTAAAGTGACTCCAATGAGAGGGCCATACCCCCAACCGCACCAGCCTCATTACGGGTCGTCACCGCACCAGCATCACCAGTTCCCACACCAAACTCACCGTGGTACTCCGAGCGGAAGCTATGCCCAGCCCATGATGCAACAACACTCGCTGCCGCCCCAAGGCCCGCCTACCGGACCTGCTAACCATGGTCCGGAGAGCAACGAAGAGCCTAAATGAACGTCGTTTTGAAGGGCTTCGCTTCGTAGCTACGACAGGAAGTATGTGGGGAGATCATTGGCTTCGCCAAACACTCTCCATGCTTGTCTTATTTTGCATCTAGCGTGTGAGAGCTTCCGCTTCAATTTCCCTTTTCACGAGCGGGCGGGTATGAGCGACTGGCGTTGGTTGGGCATGGGCGGCGTACAAAAATGATACCGGATGTCTGAGGACTACAGGACAGCGCAGGGGAAAGAGGAAAGAGACGTGTTGCACTTTGTCTATCAACACTTCTCGTCGTTCACATTTACGGATTGTGGATGGGTCCTGAGAGTCGTCTGGGGAGGGGTTCCGAACGGAATAGCAGTGCGGTGAAGTGAGGATGTAGGTGGTCGCCTTAGCTAGCTGGATGGTTGGAGTCGGAGATTCTATCCTTCTCCACCGCTTGTCAAACAAATACAGCCAGTTCGATCACATACCGACATATTCGACTGACGTGATCCTGAGACTTGACAGTACACATCAAAGAATATTCCCTGACAACCCAGACATCTCCCCGACTAACCAACTAACTAACCACCCCTCCCCCTCCTCGCCCTAAACCCCCTAACACTCTCCTCAACCCCCCACCCTTCCGCAAGCAACCCCCCCACATCCTCCAACCCCAACCCCGCCGTCTCAGGATAAACCCCCCAAACACACCCCCACGCCACCGCACACACCCCCGCATACAGCGCAAACGTGCCCGCCGGCGTACCAAACTCCATCATGGGCAGAAACGTCAATCCAACCAGCGTATTCGACGCCCAATTCGTCGCCGTCGCGAGCGCAGACCCCAGGGATCGGACCGACAGCGGGAACAGCTCTGATTGCTGCCAGGGCACGTTGCCGAGGCCGACGGCGTAGGAGGCGACGTAGATGGTCATTGCTGTTAGGAGGGTGAGGGGCCAGAGGGTTGTGGTTGTGGTTGTGGTTGTGTTTGTGTTTGTGTCGCGGGGCTGGGATTTTGATAGGGTGGGCATGTCTACGTAGTGGAACGCGATTGCGCAGAGGGCGAGGCCGAGGGCCATTATGGGGAGGGAGAGGAGGAGGATTCTGCGCCGGCCGATGCGGTCGATGGCGTGGAAGGCGAGGAGGGTGAAGAGGAAGTTTGTGAGGGCTATGCTTAGGGAGGTTAGGGTGGGGGAGGTGAAGCCTACGAGGTGGAAGATTGTCGCGGAGAAGTACATTAGGGAGTTCTGGTTGGGGTTAGTGGGTTGATGGTTGATGGGAGGGGGGGGTCTTACGAAGCCGCATAGTTGCTGGAAGCCTTGTAGCATGCATGCGATGACTAGCGCTCGGCGGTTTCCCTCGACGGAGGTGAGGTGCGTGAAAGTGTCATTTATACGCGCGAGTTTAGCCTTCCAGGTGTTTTTTTCCGCGGTGGAAGATGAGCTGCTGCGGGAAATATCTTCTTCTTCCAGGATCTCCTTTTCCACTCTGCGCAGGACTTGTGTGACCAGGCCCTCGATTCCCTCGCCATCCCCGTACACCCTCTTCAGCACCTGTCTTGCCTTCTCCCGCCGCCCGACTTTGACGAGATAGCGCGGCGTCTCAGGCATGGCGAATAACATGCAGAACTGCACCGCGGCGGGCAGCGCGCCCAGGCCGACGATCCACCGCCACCCGCCCGCCTGCGCGGAAAACACCCATCCGATTACGTATGCCACGACCTGGCCGGCTGTTATGAACAGACTGCTCACCGTCACGAGCCGCCCCCGGAACGGACTCGGCGCTACCTCACTGATGTACAGCGGCACGACGAAACTCGCGCTCCCGACTGCCGCGCCGACGATGCTGCGCCCTGCTATCATGCCCGCGACGCTGCTGGTGCATGCCTGCCAGAGGGCGCCGACGACGAACAGGATGTCTGCGGCTAGGATGACGGTTTTGCGGCCATATGTGTCTGCGAGGATGCCCGTGAGGGGGGAGGCAAGGAGGGCGAAGAAGGATGTGCAGGACGTGATTAGAGATTTGTCGAGGGTGGTTAGGGGGCGGTTGGAGAGGTCTGTGGAGATGGAGACGAGGGTTGAGGATATTACGCCAGTGCTAGGTTATGGGGTTAGTTTTAAGTTTATCATGGTGAGGAAGGGGGGTGGATTTACTCGTAGCCGAAGAGGAGACCGCTTACACCCGCGGAGATTGTGAGGCCCCAAATAAATGCGCCGGGGGCTATGAGGCTGTTCTCGTCGATTGCGAAGTCTGCGGCTGAGTCGGAGCTGGGTCGTCTGTGGTCTTCATGGTGGTGGGTTTCTGGGATCAGCGGTTCGGCGGCGGTGTCGGTCATGCTCTGTAGTTCTAGATTGTCGTATGGAGCCAGCGTGTTCGGGGGAGTAGCATTTGTACGCAGTGCTTTTGGGGAGGAAGGTCGGGAACACGCGGTATGGTCACGTCTGGGGTAGACGTCGGTGATAGACTAGCGTGGGCTTTTAACTCCGCGCTCCAAGATGTGTGGGGAAAGTGGAGCTTGAACATGGACATGTGAATTCCGATCAACGGTTGTCTGCAGTATCTGCGGTGAAAGCTCCCAGCTATATTTAGAATGTAGAGTATCGTTTGCAAACTTCACACTGTACTCGGAGATAGAATAAGCTCCTCGTGCAGAGGATTAGTACGTTGATCATCGCCATCGCCCTTGCATATCGCGAGGATGTGCATTTGGAACTTCTATATCCAAGAATCGGGAATCTCCGATCAACGACATGGTTGACCATATGTGGAAGAAGGAGGAAAGGCCAAAAGCTTGGGATATGAAGAGCATGGTTTCAAATTTAGTCACCTCAGTCACCTCAGCCACGACCCAAACTGCTCATATTCACCTTGACCTACATGCATGTTCAACACAAAGTAATCAAGGGCCAACATAAGTTGAACTACTAATTAGTATCGCTTAACCTTATAATACCCGAGAGATCAATCATTTTTGTAGTACTTGTATCCTAAAACGTGGGGCTCCTAAGAAGGATGTTTGATGCTCTTGCCTACCTCTTTGAATTGAAAGTATGTATCGCCTCAATCAGTTACCAGCAATCTTACAACATGGTAGTATATGTTTGAGTTGATCAGACATAAATGTATCGCAGCTGCTCCATTCTATCTTCGTGAGTCTGGATTTCGGTGGATGATGTGGCTTTCCCGTGTCGCTGTTACTGCCTGTTATTCTGCTATATCGATAGTTGTGTGTCTCCATTGCAGAAGAGCTATACACTTTGTCTCCCATTGATTTGCGCTCCTGGTTTGTCGTGGTGTGGGAGTGGTGACTTCGATGCATCTGAGAGGCTGTTTGAGTAGAAGTGCCAAGACGGTTCCGCATTGAAGCTCATCACCGACATGACGTCTGGCGTCCACTTATTCACGAAGCGCCATCCCTTATCCTTGCACACAACATTGCGTCGCTCAGGCAACAGAAAACAGGGTCCATCACTGTGGTGGTCTGCCAGTGAGCATGTTCCTGCAGCCGTGGCGGCGGTGAGGCGCCAGCGCATCCCAGCCTCGCCAATAATCTGAGTCGTGCGTGCTCCACCAGCCACCTTAGGGCAACTCTTGTTTCGCATCTTGGAAATCTCCCGCAACCTTTGTTCTGCGCTTTCGTAGCCTCACCTATTCTTACGCGACAAGATGTACGTCTCAAACATCCTCTCGCTCCCATCGACCGTCGTCCTGCTCCTCTGCGCCACATCGATATCCGCCGAATCGCCATGGCCGCACAACCTGCCAAAACACATGAAGTACTTCCCGGAGGATGAGGTACACGTCAAGCGCGCGCTGGATATACGCGATAGACTGCAGACCGAGAAGCCTGTTGGGATGAAGAAGATGAGCTTGGACGAAGGAGAGATGTTCATGTTGGACAATTGGATATTTGCGCCCAGTGCAGAGAGTCGCAACAAGAGATCAGATGGCGAGGGACTTGGAAACAGAACATGTCAAGCGCGGTCGCCTCTGAGACCCCACGAATTTGACAATTCGTTCCTACGCTTCCAGGCTAGGAATGCGCTGCTGAAACGACAATTTCAATGTCCAGATAACACAGCGAGCTGCTCTTCGATTGGCGCCCCAGATGTCTGCTGCGGTACGGGGTTGACGTGTATGACTCTGGATAGCAACAGCGGTGCTGGCTCGGTGGGTTGCTGTCCACAGGGGCGGACTTGTGCCGGATCTGTTAGTTGTGACACAAGCAGCGGATACTCGTCTTGCCCAGATGCGTCGAATGGCGGGTGTTGTATGCCTGGGTTTCAGTGTTCGGGTGTTGGATGTGAGTATCTTCTTTGTTTTTGTAACTACGAGATCTAATCATCTTTAGGCGTCGCGGTGGGCACATCCGTAGTTTACGTTCAGCCATCGACCTCGACAAGTTCATCGGCTTCGACTTCAGCTGCAACGTCAGCTCCAGCGTCGTCTACAACCGCTGCTGTAGTCTCAACCACGTCTTCCTCTTCCTCCTCCTCTTCCACCCGGGCTACTTCGGCATACACGTGCTCGACCGGCTGGTTCTCCTGCGCAGCCAGCTTAGGCGGAGGCTGCTGTCAAAACGGACGTGCATGCGCGACAGGCGCTTCCTGCCTAGGCACAGATTCGAGCACCCAGGCACCCTCAGCGCCCGTCCGACCGACAAGTCTGTCCATCACTACAACCCAAGTTACGAGTGCGATACCAGGCAACGACGTATGTCCAAGCGGCTTCTACGTGTGCAGTGCATATCTTCCATCAGGGTGCTGCAGAGTCGGACGCGACTGCCAAACGACCGGATCGTGTGCTAAGCCCACTGAAACCGTCCTGGCGTCGAACGGCGTGACCGTTCTAGTACCTTCAGGAGCGACAGCAGCTGCGGAGGGCGGATCTTGCCCAAGCAGCTGGTACAGTTGTGCTGCGGCTCAGGGCGGGAACTGCTGCCCGAACGGCTATGCTTGCGGCGATCAGTGCACAGCGACGGCATCAGGACAGTCGGGCGTTCAGAACAAGGTCACGCCGAGCGCTGCGTCGTTTGTGTCTGAGGTGTCGATCTGTATGATGATTTCTGCTGCTTTTGCGGTTGGTTTCGCGATGATCGCTCTATGATCTTACGTTGATTTACGATTTGTCACTACGAATTCATGTATACTCTTACGCTTAGCATCACTGTCTATAGCAAGCGTTTTATCAATCAAGACTTTTCGGTTTCCTTTCTGCACTCCTTATTTGGAGTATTAACTTCTCAACGTTATTTGCTGTTCAAAGCATCTTCTCCGTATTACACATCCCACTGATGCGCTTTCCATTCCCAATCTCCACGACCGATCTATGACAACTTCAGGATAAAAGAACGCGATCCGCAAAAAGGCCAGAGTCAAAAACCGCCAGCAGCACAGCAATGGACGGAGAACCCAAATCGCAATCTAAGAATACGAAAAGACTATGAATCCGCCATGGCCAGTCCATAGCAATTAAAAATTTGCAAAATGTTTGCAAGTTGAAAACAGACTGTAACCCTTTCCATGTGGTCTTTCCTGCTCATGTGTAGTACATATTTCTCCCTTTCTGGCTTGTTGTTCATCGCTTCCATTCACCAGAACCGATATCTCTAAAAATATCAGTGCATTGATATGCGTACATACGGGAATCTCTTCGAAAAATTGTACCGCAACCAGCATGTTTTCCCTCTGCCAGATTCCTAAAAGAAACCTCAATGCGGCCTTATGGTGTTGTGAGAGCAAAATGAAATTACCTTCATCGTGCTTCTCCTCAGCCCTAGCTAGCTATACACACATCTTTAAATCCTCCTCTCGAGTTCTCTTCAAGCTCTTCCACAACGCTGTCCTTGCTCAAAACATGTCGGATTTTCCAAAAACAAAACAAAATCAACTATTCCGCATATCATGTCTTTTTCTCTTCAACCCTTGTCAAATCAAACATCATTATGGTATATGTGGCAGAAGTTTAAACCAAAGTCTACGACGAATTTCACATGGAAACCCTTTTATTTTTATCTGATAAACATCACCTCTGCGGGACTTGGAATTGCGACACGCTTGACCTGATGGACTGTCGCCTGCGTTTTATTTCTTCTCATGAAAGCGCTTTTGAGGATTGGCGAATACTGAAAACTTGCGGCGATCCTTCACATGTGGAGTTCTTCTCTACTTCGTTGGAGATGTAGTTTGCTACTGTTAACATGTATCTATGCGAGGTGTTTAGATAATATGTGCTTGTGTAAAAGTCATGCAGATTTGCTACATGACTGCGAAAGTTAAAAGAGACTTACGTCAAAATCTATGGCTTTTTGCTGAACATCTGTTAAACTTGGGAGTATGTGTTCTCTCTGCGTTCTTGTACAGGGTTACGGTTCTTGAGAGAACGATTCTGGGATGTACAGGCTTGGTGAATATACAAACCTTCTGCTGTCTGACAACACTTCTCTTCTACCCCATCATTAGATATTCATATTTCCAAAACCCACATTTCCATCCTGATGTGGTGTGTCGGTCCACCAAAAAGTCGAAATCAGAATCATGTGTGTGTGTGTGCCTGAAAAGGGAGAACACTGATCTGATGAGTGGAACATTTTTTGCGAAAGCCAACATTATATACACTCCTTCTTCTTCTTTTACCTCAACCTAAGAGCTCGAAAGGTCTTTTACCCCTAAATCATGAGAAGACGTCACGAATGTGCAGTGTTGCCTTCTCAAAAGAAATGACATTTCCGACCATGTGCGTGTAATCGAAAACGATCGCAAAAACCATGATGAGTGGGAGATCGAACGCAAAAGTCTATTTGATTTCTATCTGATTATCTTCTTTGCCTCACTTCAAAGTTATCAAAAAGACTCGGATATTCAAAAGCATCGAATGGATCGCTCATGTGTTGTGTCGGTCTATCAAAAAACAATCAAGAGTGGACCGATGTGCGTGGACAAAGAATTAACGAAGTGAATCATGAGTGGGAGACTGCTCTCAAGTCTATCTACTGTCTAACTACTTCCCTCTCCTTCCTCGAATTGGAAAGGTTCAGATATCTCAAGTATTACTTATGTGTAATGTTACTCTATTAAATACTTCCAATAAATACTCACGTGTGTGTAACCAAAAGCTATCGCACAGGAAATGATGGGTGGGAGGCTGTCCGCAAACTTCTATTTAACCTCTTGTTACCTCTTTGCTCTACCTTACTTCAAAGATACCAAAAAGACTTGGACGTCTAAAAACTCTAAAAGCAATTCTGATGTGTTTTGTCGCTCTATCAAAAACCGGCATGGCTACTACAACATGTCCAACCGAAAGCAACTACACCAGGATTCATAAGCGGAAGACTTTCCTCAAAACTTATCTCCCATATATTCACCTCCTCAATCTATCCTATCAACAGACCATGAAAAAGACTCGTATTCCCAAACTCCAGCTGAATACCAGGTATGTGGTTTGTTGGTCCATCGAAAACACGCAACAGCACAATAGCATGTGTGCCTAAAACATATCCCCGGGCTTACGTGAGTGGGAGAACGTTTGTAGAAACCTATCTATTGTTTATGAGCATCTTTGCTCTACTTTATTTCAAAGGGACAACAAGAAACTTCATGTTCCAAGTCGTTTGAGTTGATTGACATGTGGTGTGTCGCCTTGTCGACGATTAGGAAAAGTTACAGCTTGAAGCAAGTTCCTAAAACGAGAGTATTGTGGAGTATGTGTGGAGGGTTTATTGCAAATGGCTATCTATCTGTTTTCTTCTCTGCTCTTCTCGATCTCATCCTAAAATTCAGGAAGATGAACACATGTCTCAAACCTACCGCATGCCAAAATATGTGTTGTGTCTCCTTGTCGAGAGCCTGAAAGACTACAACTTAGAGTGGTCAGCTAAAAAAAGACAAATGGTGCAGCATGTGTGAAGCATTATCCTCAAACCTCTATCTACTATTTTTCCATTCCCCTCTCTCTCTTCCGATCCAAACCCCTTAAACAAAAACGATGGTGTCTCAAATGGTTCAGAAAGTACAAACTGTGTCGTGCCGCCTTGTTGCGAGCCCGAAAACTACAACTCAGAATGGGCAGCTAAAAAAAGAGAAATCATGGAACATGTGTGGAGTAAACGCCCATTCACTTTTTCTTTACCTCTCTTCTCCCTCTCTCTCCTCTATCGTAAAATCATAAACAGAAACGGTTACATCTCAAATACTGCAACGGCTACGATATGTGCTGTGTTGCTTTCTCAAAATGGAATTCGTCTACATACATGGGTGCTCCACAAACGGGTTTTATACTGCAGCATGCGTGGAGGTTCGCTCGCAACAAGCTTCTTATTATCTCTTTCCCTCTCTCCTCTCCTCTACCTCGCCATTCAATCACCGAAAAGGCTTTCATTACTAAAAAACTGAAAACCCCGAAGATATGTTGCGCTGTATCTCCTTCTCAAAAACTTCAAATCCCATCCTCGATCAGTACATGTCTGAAATCGACATGCCGCAAGAGCATGAGTGGCCCACTATCTACACCTCCATAACCGAGCAATACAACGCCATATACAAGTCATTGAGATCCAACGTCCCAACAATCTGTCTCACTGCCTCTTCCCAAACGTTCGAGAAACAAGCCCTATGCCTTCTCCCTCCTTCTCTTTATTCCCCCCAAAACGCGGCATTCGATACAAAGCCAAACACACGATGACCGCGAGCCATGGGTGGAGTTGTCTGCTCCTCGACCCTATGCTGAATCCTTCATAAAGAAAAAGCGGTTAAGAGCCATGGTTTTTGCCTTCTCCTCCTTCTTCCCAAAACGTAGCATTTCGACATAAAACCAAAAAGTTGATTGATCACAGCCCATGTGTGGAGTTTGTCTGCTCCTCGACACTACGCTTTATCCTACATAAATAGGGATTCGATAGGGTCCATGGCTTCTGCCTTCTCCTCCTTCTTCCCAACACACAGCATCCCGACCTAAAACCAAAAAGATTACCGAGCAAGATCGATGAGTGGAGTTTTCTGCTTCTTGAAACCCACACTCTATTCCTCCAACACACAAGAACAAAATATCGAATCGCCATGCCGTTTGCTGTCCCGGCGAGAACTGTAGTTTCGACGCACTCTGTGCATGGCCTTGTGCATTCTGACTTCTTGTCTTTGGAAGAATGGCCAAAAAACCACAATTGACAGCTCATGTTTCGCTCCGCCCTGAGTTTTCGAAAAACATATATTTGCATGAGATATGTGAGATCTGGGATGAACGTACAAAGCCATGAGGAGAGCAAAAGAGAGACTGGGGCCGAGATACACATCCCTCCTCTCTACCCCATTCCTACTATCTACGCCTGCTGTTACACAAACTCAACACATCATATACAAAACACAGCCCAGGTCACAACATGTGCCTCCGCACTGTCTTCCCGCAAACGGTCTCTCGAACTGTTGTATAAACCGCTTCTGCCCTCCTTGTCATCTCTTCCTTCCTACTGCACTTACACTCTGAAAACACGAAAATATGGAAGCAGAATGACATATGTTTTTTCTGCCTTTCTTTCTTCCAAAATAAGAGGACCGGTTCTAGCATGATCGGTGTTATCACTACAGCAACAACCATGCGTGTGCTGGGTGTCTTTCAAAAGATGACTATCAACAAAGTCATGAACGGTGGTATCACTACACCAAACTATGCCTTTTCTGCCTGTCTTCCAAAACAACCGAACCGATCCAACGATGACCGGTATAATCACCACAACAAAAAACCATGTCTTCTCTGTCTGTTTTCCAAAATCAGACCGTGAGCCTCTTCATGAACGGTATAACTGCTACACCAACAACCATGTGTGCGCTGGGTGTTGTCTAAAACATTACTACCAATCGAATTATGAACGGAATCATCACCATCAGAATTGTGATTTGAGCTGGAGATTGTTCAAAAACAGACACATGTTGGTTGTGTGGAAGACTGATCTAGCAAGAAGAAGGAATAAAATTGAAAACAGTACTTAGTGATGTTTGGTGGTGGAGATGTGGAAAGATGTAAAAGGCGTGGGAGTTGGAAAACGAAAATAAATAGGTAACCCGTTTGATGACTGATCTGGAGGTGTTATAGATGTATACGCTTATTCTTGTGTGCTGGAATAGCTGTGCTAGGGTTAGGAAGTGTGACTTGTAGATTTTATGGAGGAAGGAATTCGCTGTTCGAATTGTCATGTTGGGAGGAGAAAGTGGAGGATTAATTCCTTAATAACCCTCACATGTCCAATGGAGGCTCCAAACCTGCCTCGATGGTATATTTACATTTCTCATACACTATCAGCCCCCTCATGTAAGCGACGGCGCTCCCCCTGCCGGTGCCTGCGCACTCCCCAACTCCTTAACGGCGTTGTCGTATTCAGCAGCACTCAAATCGCCATCAGTGCTCTCGGCCTCATTCCCCGGCCCCGAGAACATCTGCGCGCGCACCGACTGCTCGTCCTCGATCTGCTTGGCGGCCCAGACCTTCCAGCTCTCCCATGTGCGGTCCTCGAGCCCCATGCCGATCTCGAGCGGGCCCTTGCCGAAGTATGCCCCAACATGCAGGGCCTCTTCTTTGGCGATGCGCTGGCGGATCTCGGACAGGTGGCGGTGCTGGTAGAATTCGCGGCGGGCCATGTCGTAGGCGGAGGCTTTGGAGAGGGAGCGGTGCTTCATGAGCCACATCTGGCGTTGGATGACGCTGGTGTTTAGTTAGTATGTATGTGGAGGGAAGTGACGGTATAGGACCTGCCTCTCGCCGTCCATCTGCTTCCCCGGCTGGGCAATCTTGCTCCAGTCGTAGCCCTTTGCGTCATTCCCGGTGTTTTCTACTACTAATCGCGGCCGTGCCAGCTCCCACGGGTGGTCGCCGAAGAAGTCTGAGCGCAGCTTGTCTTCGGCGTAGACAATGGGCAGCGGCTTGAACAGCTTGCTGGCTTTCTTGGTGCTGCGCGTCTTGGGGGCCCGGAGGACGGGACGGGCCAGCGTCTCGCCGGGCGGAATGTTGCCGATGACATTATACCATTCGGGCAGGGCTGGTATGCGTTTGGCGTCGTACAGGGCTTTTGCGGCCTGGCGCACGCGGAGAGGGCGGAAGTCCTGGCGGCCCATGGTGGATGATGTGTGTTATGCGCGGGGTAGCATCTGATCGGGCGTGGGAGGCAGAGCGACGAGCGTCGAGGGCGCAACGCAATGGGCCGTGGAGAGAGCGCGGAAGTGAGGCTTGGCATGCTAGAAGGTCGAAATTTCGCAGCATCGACGCGCAGCTCTCCCCTCGCGCTCCTCCGCCGCACCCAAGCCACGACCCCTCCATGGGCCTCTTCTGAGCATCACACATCCGTCCCATCCATGTTCAGCATCTCCCGAGGCTCCCGCTGACACCATGCCCGCCCTCTCATGTCCCTCTTTCGCACCCTCGACCGGTCCAGCTGCACCTCCGCGCTCTCCACCAACGCCCACGCCCGCCCGTTCCTCGCCTTCCTATGGCCCGCCCGCCACACCAGGACGGCCACACGTAGCTTCTCCAAGAGCGCTGTGCACTCGCCGCCCCAATTGACCATGGACACCCTCTTTATTCAGGCGTTGGCGCGGGCGGGCTCGTGTCCAGAGCACGCCAAGCAGATATCCATGTTGCGTCATGTTCCGTCAAATTCCTCGACCCCCCACAAAGCCCGCCGCAACATCACGTGTCAACAGCAGGCGAGACGGGGACTGAGGACAGAGACGAACCACAAGTGGCCATTGAAGAGGGTGAAGCGGTTTGCCGAGAAGGAGCTCAAGGCGCTGGTCGACTACTACGGCATAGAGATTGACACACGGCCTGAGGAAGAGGTGGAAGATGACGGGTCGCTGGTCTGGAATGTGGGAGATGACCACGAGCCCTGGCCGCTCCGCGATAAAGCAGACGACGTCCACATAAAACGGCTTGAAGAACTGCTCAAGGATGATGAGGCCTCGCATGACCTGGTCTTCGACACGTACAAGAAGCTGCCGTCGCCTGGCGTCGTCTACCTCGAGCTGCCCACAATTCGAGCCCTGCTACACCATCTCTCCGTTGTTGAGCGCGTCTCGTCCACGTCCATGCAACGCCTTCTGTCCATACTGGACGACATGAAGACCGCACACATACACATCATCCGCACCGAATGGACCTCAGCCATCTACATGGCCGGGCGCTTCGTCGGCAAAGTCTCCGCAGACGAAGTCCAGTCAGCCCTGTACATCTGGCGGGACATGGAGCAGCGAGCAAAAGTAAAGGGCGGCTACGTGACACTCAACGTGCTCTTCGACGTGGCAGTCAAGGCAGGGAAATACACACTCGCCGAGACATTTCTCAAGGAGATGAAGATGCGCAAACTCCGGCTCCACCGCCACTTCCGCGTCTCCCTCATATACTACTACGGCGTCCTCCAAGACGGCAACGCAGTCAGAAAAGCCTACCAAGACCTCGTCTCCGCCGGCGACATCGTCGACACAGTCGTCATGAACGCCGTCATCGCAGCCCTAATCCGCGCCGGCGAGCCCTCAGCCGCAGAGCACGTCTTCGAGCGCATGAAGCGGCTGCACGCCTCCAAAAAGCCCCCTTCCCCCGGCCACAAATTCTTCACCCGCGACTGGCGCGACCGCCGCCTCCTCGGCCTCCACCTCACACACGAAGTCCGCCGCCTGGAAAAAACAGACCTCGAACAGCGCAAGAAACTCCAGGACTACGCTCCCATCGCCCCGGACTCGCGCACCTACGCTATCCTCATCCGCCACCAGGCCGCTACGGTGGGGGATATAGACCGCGTACATGACCTCCTGCGCGAAATGAAACTCAACTCCGTCCCCCTGCACGGCACTATCTTCATCGTGGCTTTCTACGGCTTCAATACTTTCGGCGGTATTCGCTACTCCGCTTGGTCGAGAGATAAGCTGGAGAAGCTGTGGGCGCAGTACCTCGAGGCGCTGGAAGGGGGGTTGGAGCGCACGTGGTTGAGCAGTATGGCGATTATCGCTGCGCTGAGGGCGTTCGGGAAGTGCACTGATAAAGAGAGGACGTTGCGCGCTTGGGAGGAGGTTAGGAGGTTGTGGGCGCCGACGGAGGAGGAGCTGGAGAGTGTGTTGAGGGCGTTGAGGGAGTTGGTGCCGCAGCAGGGGTTCTTTACTGAGCTTCCGCCGGGGAGGTGGTAGGGTGTGCGTATGTGTGTGTGTGTGTTTGTGTGGGGTGTTGGATGGAATATAGACACTTGAAAAGCAGTGAATTACGAATTGGATGTTTGTCATGAAATGAGTATATCCTTTCCAACATGTGCTGTTATCGACATTGGATTCGTCCAAAACATGGATTGAATCTCATCACATAAGATCCGTCGACATGGGTTTACGCAAACTACTTCTTCGTCTGCCCATTCGACACCTGCCAGTGAAATTTCAGCGCCCCCCGCACCCCGCGCTCAACCCGCCCGTCCTCCTCGCCGCCAAACACAACTTAGCCAGTCACAGCGCAGTATAAAGCTTCAACAGATACGCGCGCCCTGACCGAATTCCGTGAGTCCGTAGCTATCCCACATCAGCAAACGAAGTAACAACAGGCCAAAGTAAAACCAAGGAGAAAAGGGAAAGAAAAGCGCCCGCCTATAATTTCTAATCATTCTCTAGGAAGAAATATACTTGTACACCACCACCCCACTCTCAACTTTAGTAACGCTGTTGTTGTGGATCTGCCCAACACCCGACGAACCTTTGCATCAGATAGCTTGTGCAGCGGAGATATAAACTTGCTCTGTTTACGCGTGCGGACTCTCAAGCATGCGGTACATGTTGCTAGGTTTATTCCGCACGACGGGCTGCGCGATGTGCGTCTGGCAGAAGCCGTCGCCCTCAGCGCCCGAGGTAGGCGGCGGAGATGCGCGCGTCCTCGAAGGTCACGTATGTAGTTGCCGCCAAGGGGGATGAACAGCATTGAGAGCCCCGTCAGCGCCGGGCCCCCCGTGCGCACAAGCGCCATGAAGGAGTCGCTGAACAGGCCGTTGGTGATGCATTCTTCTACCGTTGACGACGTAGTGCGTGCCGTCTTGCATCTTCGCCGCGCACGTCGCTGCCCGGCGTCGGGTTCTGTGATGGCGACGCAGATGCGTTTTGTGCCCGTGAGGAGTGAGGGGAATGTCTTGTCTTGGAGGGACGGGGAGGCGGGGTTTAGGAGTGGCGGGGCGCTGACGACGAGGCCTTTGAAAAGGGGGGATATGCTTCTGGAGCGGAGTAATTCGTCCCAGAGGATTAGGTCGTGGAAGTTGTCCCATTCCGAGGCGGTGATCGACCCGATTATTGGGTAGTGCGATCATTGTGGGGGAATGGACTTTCCCGAGGCGATGGGTACGGTTAGATCGGCTGAGGCGCATTTGGCGTATATGGAGGGGTCGACGGCGCCGGCTTCGTTCCAGGAGTCGGTGTGGGCGGCGATGTTCTGGGGGGTTAGGGGGTCTGGGGAGGGATAGTGGAAGAGAAGGAAGGTGGAAGAGAAGGAAGGTGGAAGAGAGGGAGAGTGGGGAGTTGTAGTGGAATAGTTTGGCAGGACAGGCATGGTTGCCATTTCGAAAATGATGTGTATGCTGACGATGGGGATGAGTCGGGCGGAAAGGAGGATAATGAGTGATGAGAATTGGGTGTAAAGAATTGGTTGTAAAGACTTAGGTATAAAGAATTAGGTATGAAAACTCGGATGTAAAGAATTGGACGGTGAGAGTTGGGTGACGAGAATTGTATGATGTATGAGAAAGAGTACAAAGCATAGAGTCGTATACACATCAACATACCTCGTCCGCCCATTTCCTCACAGCATCGCGAAGCCGCCGATGACTCTCCTTGGAGTACGGCGAAGGACGACCAGTGTACCTTGCCTATATTAGCATTCCCAATATTTCCTGCAAAGTCATCTTTCGACTCGGCTCAGACAACTTGCCCGCCATTGAACCGATTAATACCCCTGAACCTTGTAATTGAGTTATGTAGGGAGCCAGTCAAGGTCATAACTTTTAGAAACCTGAGGCTTGGTGGCGTAAACGGCTACATGCTGGCTCTATGGAGTTACCGATCAGAGTCGAGAGTCGATACATACGGCAGACCGAGGCCTTTGAATTGACCCCGCCCGATCGGCATTGGTTCGCGCGACGTTTTGAGGTGCGGTATTTCTCAGTATCTCGTATGTTGTGGAGACGTAGGCGTGTTTACAGTGAGCGCAAGGGACGCAAGGACGCCATGTTCAAACATGACGCGTGCACACGTGATGATCATTGACGCAATCTTGAAGACGACGCACAGCTGAAGCGCCTAGACTTGGACACATCAATGAAAATGCTTGACTATCTATGCGGATGGCAGCAGCCGTCCAACGCGTCAAAGCCTTTACGGAATCGAGTTTAGAATGGCGGAGTTCCCTAAGAAAGTCGAACCATCACGATCGTTTGTGTGCCACTGTCGCTTGACCTTCGCTATTGGCTGGCATAACTCCCGAACCGGCTAACAGCTTTCCGTACCGGTTGACTGGAACTATCTAAATTTCTCCGAAATGTCATCGTGGAATACAAGTTCTTTGGCACTGCAGTGGATAGATTGACGAGAGGCTTGTTTAGGTGCTTCAGCAAACCGACAACTTGAAAGTTTCATCGTGATGTTGTTCTATAAAATCGACATGGATATCGTATCGGCTTTCCAGAATCCCACCAACAACGGTAGCAAGCCTCGCCCCCGTTTCAGGTCCACATCGTACTCCTCCGAATTGCGCTCATTTGGAGCCACACAATACTTATCGACCCGTGCCACACGCTTGCCCTGGCAGCTAGTCTGCGAGGAAGGTTTCTGCGCTTCTATGTGGATACAATGAGACGGCCCGTTAGAACGATTTCATAGGCTCTTCGTTACCAAGCTAGCCAGAATCGTCGATTGCTCAGGCTGAACAAAGTTTGATCCCCCAATTTTCCCCGCAACAACAGGCCTGGCCAGAAGATAAGGGAGGATGATATCATCCTTTTCGGACTGCGCGCTTGCACTTGACACAATATACAGGCGAGTACCACTGCGTTGGGAATCCCCTTACAGCCGGTCAGGACGCGGTCGAGTGAAGCAACCCGTCTTCCCAGAAGGACCCGCACTCCTTCCCCTGCCGCAGCGGACAGTCAAATCCACCACTTCATCGAGTATCTTGTCGCTCTCACAAGAAAAAGCAGCGATTCACTTCTTCCGACATCGAGATGTCTTCTTTCCAGGATGCGACGGAAAATCATATGTCCTTACCGATCATACGAGTTCTGCGAACGGTCATGCAGCCCTTGTGAACCGAAAATTAAAACAAGGGATATAGGAACAGGTTGTGATTGGCTGATTAGTGTTCCTTGTACCTGATTATCGAAATGGCTTTCGCGTCCCAGTAGGTATCTAGCAGATTTAAGAAGTCATGAAATCACGGTCATGCTACGATGCATGACCCTGCCAACGGGCCACGGTCCAATTCCCCCTTGAAGGATGAAGGAACGATATATGTTCTTGGCATGCACCAGGGCAAGTTGTATGCAAGATCTTGCTAACAGCTGAGCCAATGAACGACGAAGTTGTCGTATGATTAAACAACAGGACCCTGCGTAGCACGGATCTGATATGTCAGCCCAAAGCTGGTCGCATCGGGTAGTTGAACCGGAGTTTTGAGTCATTAACCTGCAGTGGTCAAGATCTTGAAGACCGGGGCAAGCCTGTCATTGTGGCTTTCACTGTCGTTGGCTTCGCTGATGGTTCTCAGGCATTTGCAAACGGCGCCTTGTCCGACCCCTGCTTCCCTGCAAAAGGCCCTTAGTGAGCTGAAATTTGCCGTTTCTCGGAAAGAATGGCTATCGGAAACTTAATATACAAAGGTAGTGTACCCTCCCGTAAGGTACGAGCCTTCCGGTAGCGCGGTCTCTAGGATTTACGAACAACAACCGCCGCACTCCTCTCTACGTTTGGAGAAAAATCGACTCTCGTGCACTTGATAAGACGCTACGCAAGATGGGGATTTGGGATGAGCTCCTCACGGAGATGATCGCGAAGGCTCCCGATCCAGACGAGCCTCTTCCCTTTTCGAACCGCAAAGCAACCATCTACGGCTCTACCATCCCGTTTTTGGTACGGACACTTGCTTGATCTATGCTACTATAGTTACTGATAACCATCGAAGATTATATCCTGGGTAGCAGTCTTGTTCCGTTTCTGGGTTCGATTCAGAGTTGTTCGAGAACCTGGTTGGGACGACGTTTTCGTTCTTTTAGCAGCTGTATGTGGCTCCCCGAGTGGTCCATTACATAGTCCAACTCAGCTAACATCATCGATACAGATGTGCAATACCGCAGCAACTATATGCGTATGCTTCTGTAAGTCTACACGATATCTATCCTGGTGCCTGCACTAACATTCAATCCAGCGGTTGAACATGGACTCGGCCAACATATGTTGTATCTCGGTTTGGAGAATGTAGAGAGATACCTGATGGTACGGTCACTCATACCTACACTTTTCGTTGCTAACAACGCCAGTTTTTCTATATTGAACACAGCATGTACCTGACCGAGACCTCCCTCATCAAAATTTCTCTTCTTCTGCAGTACCTCCGCATCTTCAAAGCCGGTATGATGCGATGGATATGCGTTACTCTGCTTGTTCTTGTCAGCATCTGGGGTTTTGGGTTCTCCATTGCCGGATGGTTTTCATGCAATCCTATTCGAGGAGCCTACATTCGTACCCTTAATGCCAAGTGCTACGGCTTCGGACTCGACAATGTGGACGGCTTTGTTTCCATGTTCATAGCCCAGTCATCCACGAACATGGCCTTCGATATTGCGATCTTCCTGACGCCGTTAGTGCTGTTCAATACGCCGAACCTTAAGTGGAAAAACTTAGTCGGCATGGTTGGTGTTTTCGCTTTTGGTGCCGTGTAAGTGGTTCCGTTTGGGCCTGCATCTCATGATCATTACTAATGTGTCCTCAGTGCCGTCGGTATTTCGGTTTGGCGCCTGTGTTCAATCGTAGTCACGCGTGCCGCCACTGTTCCCTACATGGACTTTACCTGGTTCTCTCCAGTCCCAGTCGTCCTGTCCTGTCTCGAAGTCGACCTGGCGATCATCTGCGCCTCCATGCCTATCTTCTGGCCCGTTCTCCAGAAATCGCTCTCCGCCATCTTCGTCAGCTATGAGGTTCAGATCACAGAGGACCACGTTGAGGACCACGGTCTTGCATACGAACTCGAACACAACAAGTCGGAGAGGCGAGGTAGCGTGAGGAGTTGTAGTGGGACATCAACTGACGAACTGACGAAGGAAGAAGAGGGGTTTGAGTTGAAAGGTCAATATCCCATGGGGGTGGATCCATTCGAGACGCGGGGTCCGCAGGTCAACATCAAGAGTCAACCGAAGCCGGAACCGCATTGGGAAATATAGGAAACAACACATTACCATCTTCTTCCATCTGACCATTGCACATTGTATGTGTATGCAAAGCTACTGCACAACACGCCGAGAATATGCGACTTGTGATGACCGACAATTCTGAGCTTTGTCACCCTGCTCCAATTCATCCTCAATTCTTCGCACTAATGTTACCAACAATTTAGTACACCATCACGATGTTCGACAGTGGCGCTTTTCGTCTACTAATTGAACCTACCATCTCATCGTTAGAGCAGCAAAGCTGTGTGACAGCCCGATTCATCAGGAAGAGACGCTTCACATCATACGTTATCATATGTGCGACTACAGATCAAGTGCAGAGAGTAATCGCAAGAGCTAAAGACCGCAAAGAGTGAGGTGAGAGACGTTGGTCTCGAGTCACGGTTTCCACTCAGTTGGATCTGTGTTTCAATTCATCCTGTCCTACACCAGTGCCAGACTTGTGTTCCTCAAAGTAGTGCCGAGTACCTGGTGTATTTTCATGAGCAGCACGATGTGGAACATCACTTGTAAGCTGTACAACCCAAAATGTTCTTCGTCGAGCTGTGTCTTCCGGTACCAGAAACTCTTTCCCGGTCCACGGTCATCCTCTTATCACAATCTCCTCACGTTACGCATCATGGTCATTTGGACTTCTCTTTTCAGTGCGGTTAAGATCCATGTGGCTTAGCGAAGGTTACAAGCCTTGGTACGTGCTCATTGACGACTCGATTTGAAACAGCATCCAGTACGCGTCCTCTTCTAACGCAAGCGCTACTGTCCACACCGCCACATCGAGGGCTAACTTCATTCTCATTTCCAAGCAAGCAAATCAAACAGAGACGTAAGTGTGAGATGCAGGTTCTTTCAACGTTGTGCGCTCAGTCTGTATGCGCGAAGAGACGGTCCATTTCACGCCGTATCACACCAAATATCTTGCAAGAATTCTACACATGCCAGGAATGATGGACAGACAACGTATGTGGATAGTTCAAGGTCATATTTAAGACGATGGATGCGTCGCTTCTCTGCAGGATCGTAGTACGTTCGAGCCTCCGTGAGCCGAGCTGCTATACGCTCAAAGCAACACTAGGAATCGCACCATTCGCCTCTCTTGTCGTTATCATCTAGCTGACATGCATATCTACTTCCATTCAATGAAACATGCACAGACTGTGGCCCTCTGGGCCCTGGTATACTTGCCTTCTTCGTTCGCCAACCCTCTGCATAGAAGGCAGTATTCTGCGCCAATCATGGTCTATAGTTTTGAGGAGGTAGGTCACCTGTTGATCTCCATACATACACCAACACTGACTTTGCCTCAAGATTTCAGTTACTCCTGAGCTCAACTGGACACCATGTTTCGACTATTTCACATGCGCGAACCTTGAAGTCCCTCTGGATTACGAGGATGCGAAAGCAGGCACCACCAATGTTGCATTCATCAAGTGGACCAGCGAGTCAGCAAATGCAACAAACCAGGACATCCTCGTCAACCCTGGAGGACCAGGTGGCAGCGGAGTTGAGTTTCTGATGTACGATCTCCATTTGCTACAACAGCAGCTGGGCGCCGAGCACAATTTTGTGGGGTTTGACCCTCGGGGAGTCAACAATTCAGGACCCGACCTATCTTGCTTTCCGGGAGAGACTAACACGATCGAATTGTATTCTCGGGATCTTGATGAGGTATTGGATGTGAATAACCCTAGCTCACTGAGAGAGAGATATGCAAGGGCCGGCGCATTCGGCCAGTGGTGCTCCAATGCGCACAAGTACTCGGATGCAAAGTACGTCAACACGGTTGCCACCGCCATGGATATGCTTCATTATACCGAGCTGCTGGCAGAGGAAAACGGCCAAGATCCTCAAAGCTCACAATTGTGGTACTCCGGTCTCTCGTATGGAACGGTTCTGGGTTCAACTTTCGCGGCCATGTATCCAGACAGAATCGGTCGGATGATTCTCGACGGTGTTGTTGATGGTGAAGACTACTTCTCAGGGCGTTGGAGTAATAATTTGGCGGACGCCGACGATGCTTTCCGTTACTTCTTCGAATCATGTCACGAAGCGGGCGAAGACATCTGCCCCTTCTGGGCCTCGTCACCGAGTGCCGTCGAAGCGCGATTCAACACTGTTGTTGACAAGCTATCCACAAGTCCAATTCCTGTTGCCGATCAACAGATGCCAGCCATTGTCACTATTTCGGATCTTAAGAACATCATGATGCAGGTGCCATACGCTCCCCTACGATACTTCCCAACGTTCGCGTCGATGCTGGTGGAGCTTGAATCTGGCACTGCTTCTTTGATTGCACGGACGATGCATATTGGATGGCGAACTGACCATTGCATCAAAAATGAAATCTTTTGGAACGAGTACGAGCCTCGTCAAATCATTGCCTGCAACGATGGCGCGGGGCGCTTCAATCTCTCAGACTACGACTTGTTCCTCGACCATGTAGCTCACGTAGTCAACCAAAGCCATTACCTAGGAGAGTCATGGGCCTCAGGCACGTCCGTCATGTGCCGAAGTCTCGATATTAAGCCGCCTCAGTCCCAGATCTTTAACGGGTACCCAGGCGCTAGCAAGACACGCAATCCGATCCTCTTCGTTTCGACAGAGTTGGACCCGGTCACGCCGCTACGGGCTGCGAAGAAGATGAGAGCCCGCTTCGGGGGCGCGGGTCTACTTGTTCAGCATAGCGTCGGACATGCCTCATTGTCAGTTGACTCCAAGTGTACGTTTGGGCATTTGCAGCAGTACATGAGAACGGGAGCGCTCCCTACAGAGGGGACTGTGTGTGCGGATGTTGACTCTCTCCCATTCCGCGATTCTTCTTCGTTTTCAATGTCAACTTCCGGGAGGTCGAGACGGCACGATTTCCTTTAAACGCGTTTGCCGTGTAAGTGGGTCTTGCAACAGAAGCTCGGTACCATTAGCATACTAGTACAAGGATGCACCTTGGTTGCCCATGTATGTCGGTGCTCATGACACGCATGTTGTCGTAATCACCAGTATCAAGGGCGAAACAACCCGAGTCATTGTTGATCCGATGTTATCGTTGCATTGATGTGTATGTCGGGTGGAAACTAATCATTCGCAAGGCGAGGTTCTGCCAAGCTTCAACTTGGCGATGTAGGTCCCAAGAGATTCACGGATCTAGCCACCGTATCCGCGTGTAAAATTTGATCTGTTCGATATAGCTAGGATGTCAATTTCCACGTCGCTGCCTCTTTGAGCAACTCTGTTTGCGTAAGCCCGGGGCCGATAGAGTGAACTGTTGACCATTGACCTACCACCTGTCCAAATTTCAGAAGCTCGATCATATCGCATTTGGTGCAGATTAATCCTTGGACAAGGTAGATTGTCCTACGGATGTCTGCGACATGATCTCGCGGATTCTCTGCAGAGAGATCCGGGCATGAACGACCCACTGCGCTCAAAATGCAACCCATACTCACGATGTCTGAAAACAATCTCACCCACTTCTTTGCAATTTCTCTAAGTAGCATTGTGATATGCGCTATGATATGGATAATCGAGCTCAGTAGCTCTGAACCGGGGTTTCCTTGTTTCCTTCCCATGTGTGGTTGTCCACGCACCTCATATTGTACTTCCATGTCACTGTCACTGTCACTCTCTTATCGTAACCTTGCCATCGTGCCACTTTGAGATATGTCTCTTCCAGGCTGGGGTTGTGATGCTTTCAGGGGTAGATTAAAAGCAATATGTGCTCTCTCTTCTTGCGATATGACCTGATTATATACTACCAGGATCAGATACGGCGCTGATCGTATATGAGGCTTGACCTGGTTCTTGATATCGGCAGTTGCCTGTATAGCAGTTTGGAGAATATCGTTCGTCTCGAGGCTTTACAAAAGACTGTGCGATAGTACGGTCACTTGAGCCGGTAAATTTGAGTCCACTAGTGCAAATGGATATGCGTGCAGCCTTTTGATCTTTGTAAACTGGCTTGTCCTAGCTTTTCGCCTTCACGGCCGGGATTATTTACACCTCCAGCAACAGGTCTATCTCTTCTCCTTACATACTGGCCCCCTGCAGTGTGTTGCTCCTCGTACCCGATGGTATCCTTGATCCCACGGAGTTTTTATCCGGTGTTCTTCCCGTTTGTTCCCACGGCTGATCCCTGTCCCTGGATGTAAAGGAGCACCGCCTTTGAATCGGTACTAGCATGACCCGCCTTTCCTAGCCATTTCAACTCAACTTGATTCAGCGTGAAAATGTCCTTCGTACATCCGTCTACATGCTCGGGCCGCGTCTGCGGTGCATTGGGCGTGAAAACCAAGTATTAGGGATTGGGATTTGTTGTACCGTATGTCGTGGTCGGTTGAAATCCCATACCGGACATGGACCTGGTCTTCAGGAACAGAGAAGACGCTCAATATATGCCCGAGAGATCCTTTCAGTCCAGATCTTCATGCCTCTGCACTTGGAACGACTGCTCTCCGAAAGCATCCCGAAATTCTGGTATACGCTTCTTCGTCATCCAAACAGTGAGTACTGGAACCTTCCTCATCTCGACGTTCTTATCTGTGTCTTCCTGTTTATCAATTTCCATAGGCTCAAAAGCTTCCTCCTCCTGTGTCTCCTGCGTATCTTCTACTTCTTTAGTCTTGTTCTTTGCCCGCCTCTCAGCCTTGATACTCGTGAGGACTGTATACATCAACCATGTCTCTATCTCTTTCCCTGCCTTTTCATCGCTGTTCCCCGAAGCGACGATCCGTCTCGTCATATCTACAATGCCAACCAACTTCGTTGTGCCATCGCCTTGCGCTGAGATGGCAATGACTAGGTCTTTATGATTCATTGCATCTCTTGTTTCGATGGTTGATGCAGTGTTTGGAGACACGCCGAGGAGCATCTTTAGCCGATTGATCCCTGTCTTGACATTCTGATTTTTCGTGAAGACAATTGGTATCACGTTTTGCGTGCCGCGTAGTCGGGTTTGAGATTCGAGAAGCTTGAGGAGTTCGACGGGTAAGAGGATCCAAGGGGTATAGAGTGATGGGTGAACGGTGGGTGGTGAGTTTGTTGTTACGGTGTTGGAGCTCTGGTCTTGTGCTTTTCGTTTCTTGCTAGTTTTCGCGTCGACTTGTTGTACGTTTGATTTCTTTGCGATTCCAACAATGGGTAGGGTTGGTCCTTCGCTTGAGTAAGGCGGGGTTGTGGTTGGGAGAGCGGTAGATGCGTTTTTGTCGCTTGAGGATGTGAAGATCTCGCTCATACGCTTTGGTTTTGCCATGACGGTGTGGTAGTTGGGGATGTTGGAGACACGGTCGCTATGGTATTGCTAGCTATGCGCGATAGTGAGGGCAGTAAAGATTCGTGTAACAAAGACGGCACGCTCGCGACCAGAAGCTGTGACGAAATTTGGAGCTCGACGCGCTAGCACTTTGAACGCGTCGGATTTAACAAAGTGCCTAATCTAATTTCCGACGATTTACGTCAGGAATTCAACTCCACCACTTCTCACTTTCGATCATGTCGACGATACATCATTTAATCACAGTTACCCAAGATCTATCTATCGAGCCGTGCAAGGTATTTCTCTGCATTCTTGATCCCCACATCTTCTCTCGACACAATCACATCCAAAGGCCGTCCTCCTGTCATGCCCTCAACTAGACCTTCCATTTCGTCTCTCTCATGGGACTCGAAGTTGAAACTGTGGGACGCCTAAATCAGAGCTTTCTTCCCGAAATATACATATCATAGCCATGTACATCTTGCGCCTATTCCACATGTCTTGACAAGCCTCATATTTTGCGAGAGAACTGGCTAGGACATGACCTTTTTCGTGCAGCATGCTTACCAAAAGATGTGCATCGGTTTAAGTTCTTGCCATGAATGAGGGCGGCTCTGAAGGGACCAGTCCCAGCTTTTCGGATCCTTGAGAGTGGTGTCACTGTTAACAGCTCCAAACTAAGGATCAATTATCTCGCAAAATTGATCATCTCAATATGCTTCACAATGCAGACACCTGCGTTTGATAAAATATCTTGGAGAGGAAAGATGTTACTAGTCAAGTCCACATTCTAGGCATGCGTTGCAAGTGAAAGTGACCAAGAAGGACACGCCAAGCTTTTCGTTTGTCCGATTGCTATATAGATACCGAGACTCTCTCTCCCACTCTCTTTCTCGCACTGCAACACTGCCCCGCGATCATGGTATCCACCACAGAGGAGATCAGAGACTCCCACCAAGGCATTGATCGCGATCAAATGTAACTCACTCACTCACTGTTCCAAAGTGCTGAGCTGACGTGACACTAGCACTCAAGACAACCAGTTCAAGTCTCCCTTCTTACGTCTGCCCGCCGAATTGCGCAACAGTATCTACGAGTTCGTCTTCTACGGTAGTGCTGTACGGCTGGTTAGTCCTTGCGCCCACAAGGATCGGTCTTCAAAAGTGGCAAGCCGCCAGTTCATGCACACCTGTCGTCAGATTCGTACCGAGGCTTCGACTATCTTCTACGCCCAAGCATCGTTCGATCTCACCCAGTTCATCTTTGTCGATGAATCTGACGACACCCTCAACGTCTTCTTCAACAGGGTCGGTAATATTCACAAGGCCTACGACTGCACCGCCGTTCAGACTATTGTCCTGAGTGATAGCGCCGCGGACGTCATGTTTTACGCAATAGTGGACCTTAGCGCTAGTACGCAGCTGCCTGCCAATCATCTATCTTTGAAGCAGGTGCGCTTCACACCTGCTGTGTTGCCTTTGGATGAACTACAGGAAATGGTGGATGAATTACAGGATATGGTGGATAAAATACAAGGTTGCTTCAATAATGTGAGCCTCGAACAACGCGCTGAGTATCCATAGTCGTCGATGGGTTGATAGATTGGAAGGTTATGTGGGAATGTCGTCTTTAGACGTTTCCTGATGTCTTGATAAATTTGGGACATGGATTGCTCGTATCAGCGAACGACTACATGATATTTGCAATAACAACGACCAAACTCTGCACTTTGCCCTGTTTCTTGTCTCTCTTCCATCTCCATAGTCCTTGCTTGAGTATCTAAGATTGTACAAGCTCTAGTTTGCTCTCTTGAGAAGAAGTCTACTCTCTCATGTCTCACCACACAACAAAGTTTGTTCGTCTTATGACCTCCGATGTATACCTTTCCTTCTTCCCGTTTCCAAACCAAACCCCCTCATTTCTTCATCACGCAATCGCCATTCTATCTGGTATTGGAGCCGTGTTGTATCAGTGTCAACAGAGTGAGATTCAGTAATCGGTCGTACTACCACAGACGAACGTAGATGAAAGTGAAAGAAGCCGTAAACAGGTAAAGGTGAAGCAAACGCCAAGCACGCGCTCTAGCAACACTACAGAACTTTCATGTCTCCTACTTCACCCCACTCAAACTCCTCTCGCACCCCACTCGCTCTATGCACTGATTATGGCGTCCGGCACGAACAACACCGATGTTATCCGGGTGCGCACTGATCGCGAACAGATGTAAGTGATTATTAGTATTTAGTCTCACGCCATGAGCACGCTGACACTGCGATAGCACGAAAGACAACCAGTTGAACTCGCCTCTCCTACGTCTCCCAGCCGAGCTTCGAAACAAGATCTACCATTTCGTCTTCAGAGACACCACTGTGCGACTTCGTCTCCGTTATGAAATTGGCCCTTCAGCACGCTGCGTCTTACAGGTCTGTGGTCAGACTCGGCAGGAAGCGTTGTCTATTTTCTACGATTACGCCATATTCGACTTGACCCATTATTATACTCTAAGCGACATTGTCTGCGGCCCCGATGATAGCGATCGCGCTTCCATCCAGACAATCATCCTAAGCGGATGGATGGCAGCGAGCTTCAAGTTTCCCAAAGCTCTCAGCTTTTCGTCATCTCATGGGCTTCATTCTCTTCGATGTGTACACATCAGTGCTGATGATGTTGGTACTCCTCTAAGGACTTTGAGGCAAAATATTACGACAAACATGAGGGCCTGGTTCGGCAAGAAGGATCTGGAGGTGCGTTTTGAAGATTGTCCGGAACATGCACATACACTGCTGCAGTGACGTGCAGGAGGGCAGTGAGGTCAAATGCTAGCAGGGCACAGGATACAAGACGAGTAAAGCTGAGCGTATCTAAGAGACATTGATTATGAAACGGCACATAGTCAATAAGGGTAGATGCTAGTATACAACGTCATACAAGTCTATCATTATCGTCACAAGAGTGTGTGCCTCATGTGTATCTTGATGTGCTGAAACCATAACCTGTGAGATAGGCTGCAGTCACATTGTGTCACTATGCACAGACCGCAGGCAGTCAAGGTGAAAGCGAAGGTGAAAGGAGACGCCAAGCAACTGGTCCTGCAGTGCATAAATACACCTCCCTCCCCACTCCATATCCACCTTACCTCTCACTTCCACAACCTCGCGACCCAAATTTCAACCATGAACGCCTTGATTGAGATGTCTCACCGAAGTGATGACCTCGACCGAATGTAAGTACAAATCACTCAGCATCAACAGAAGGACACGACTCTGAGTTAAACAACGACAGTACGCAAGCCAGCCAGCTCAACTCGCCGCTGCTACGTCTTCCGGCCGAGCTGCGCAACAAGATCTACGAGTACATTTTCTACGACACAAGGGTCTCGTTTGCACGACAAGTGTTTTTCCTACCGCCCCGCCCATACTACCCAAGTCACACTATTCTTCTCGCCTGTCGACAAATCTGGCACGAATCACTACCCACGTTTCACAGGAACATAGTGCTTCAATTTCACTGTCTTCGCGATCTTGAAGATATCTTGACCGATAAGAAGTACTTAGCAACCTACACCGCTGTTCGAACGATCATATTGGACGTATCAATCGCTGCCAAGTTATATCTAAGGACAATTCCAGGTAAGGGGGAGTTCATCGGTACTCTTCCTTCCTTAAAGCACGTACGCATCACGAAGGGTAGGAACTCATTGCCCGATTTGCGGGCGGCGCTCTTTTCTACTATACGGTTCCACTTCGGCAGACGGGATATAGAGGTTGTTTTTGAAGACTGACTGGTGGAAATCACGACGTGGTGACGGATTGAAGGGACGACATAAGAGTATACATGAGAAACATGACTACAAGACTGGATTGCAATATCTATACGCGGTTATAGGGGCGCCATAACTTTGTGTAAAAGATGGACAGTTCCATTAGTGACTTCTACCAATCACCCTCACACTCTGCACACAAGAACTATCACAGAAGTTGGCATGTACACAACAAGGCATAAGCCGCCTGACCAACTCTCTCACATCTGACTCTATGCGGTACACACACTTTCCATAAACTAGCTACAAAAAACCATGCTATCCGCGAGCCTTGAATCTCCACAAACATGCCATACACCCAGCTTCCCAGACAATGGACAAAGCCTTAAGCGCATCCAGATACGCGTTTCTTTAGCCATCACAACAGACAAACAGATACCTTGATAGACTATTTCCAGCCTCACCCTACAACATAGCCCCATCCCCAACCGCATCCCTTCTCCAAATCAAAACACGCTCATTCTCAACGTAAAAATATCCTAACCTTACATATTCACTTCGCTTTACTTGTACACCACACCACACCATCCCTTACCATACCACGCCATACCACGCACAACAACCAACCTCAATTCCCTTCTTACCGCATTTCCAAACACCACCGTAACCACCGTCACGGCCGGATCACACAGTTCTAATATCCAATTGCGCGGTTCTACGTCGTGGTCTGATATAATTTAATGTAAAGTGATGTGTCTAGTCTCTTCCTGGTATATGTGCGCGATGTCGTACTGCCATCTCCTCGTCTTTCCCCTCTGGCATATTTTTTGTACTTTTCTGATGATTCGACGTGTATGGTATAGGGTGTGGATCACTACTACCTCACTATCTTCAGGGACGTTTAGAAAGCAGTGTAGTCTCACTGAAAGCCAAATACATAGGTTCGTGCATCCACTTACACTCATTAGATGATGCTCATAATCAAAATCACAGCGTAACAAGTGGAAAACCAGGCATAACAAAGCAAAAGACAGCAAGAAAAAAGGGTAATCTAAAAACCGACTAACCTCTACAAATCTATACTCTCATTACACCTCATTACACCTGCATCAGGGTATACATACCCCCCCTCCCCTTCCCATCCACCCATCCACCCCTAAATACCAAACTGCCCCTCGACCTCCCTCCGCCTCTGCTCCCTCTCCAACTCCTGCCTAACCCTCTCCCCCTCCTCCCCCACGCCCTTCTCACCCTTCTTCCGCTGCCTCTCCTCATACATCTTGCGCCCGCTCATAATCCTGCTTACAATCTCCTCGGCATTCACGTCCTGAAACTCATGGTTGTCGATTTCGCGGTAGATTTGCAGGGCCTTGGCGACGGCGTAGGGGTCGTAGGTTAGGGGCATGAATTGGGTTATGCCGTGGTAGACGGCGGAGGGGGTGGAGTAGGGGAGCGTGAGGAGGAAGGCTTTGCTTAGGGAGAAGGGGGCGCCGAAGATGGCGGCGTGGATGTACTGGGGTGTGTGTTAGTAGGGTATTTTGGTATGGGGAGGTGTGGTTTACCTTGCATTGAAGCACGCAGAGACCGCGCTCGAAGATGTTCATGATGGGGTAGTTTATGCCTTTCCAGTGGTTGATTACTTCGTCGTCGTGGATGCCTGCTACGAGGAAGACTGGGCCGTAGTCTTCGCCTGTGCTCTCGATGCGCGCTTTTTTGGCGTCGTCCAGGTACCACCCGCGCTCCTTCGCCGCGTCTTCTTCCGTCTGCGTGACTTTGCGCAGGAACTCAATGTGGCCTGAGGAAAACAGATCCCAGCCTCCATCAACATACACGACCACCTGACCAGGCTTGACGCCTTTGCCCTGGACGAGTTGGTGGAATTTACCCTTCTCCTCTTTCACGGGGCCTTGGGAGGCGGTCGAGTCTTGGCGCGTGGTGCCGGGGCGTTGCGAGCTGACGGTGTTGCTGGTGGTTGTTCGGCGGAGCTTGACGGGGCGCGATGCGTGCCAGTACCAGACGTCGCAGCCGGGCGCAAGACCTGTGGCGTCGGTCGCGTAGTCCTTGATGCGCTGCAGCATGGCTTGCCCCGTCTCCAAGCGCTCTGCCTCCCCGCCTGGGCCCTCGTCTCCCGACAGCCTCTTCTCCAGCGACTGGATGAAGTGTGTCTTTGTGCACAGCAGCATGCGGCCCACGAGGTCGGTCGTCGAGATGCCCGGGGTGCGCTTGACCACCTTGAACCTCCCCGCGGCCTTGACGTAGCGGTAGCAGTCCTTGCCGTCGCTGTCGGAGGTGATGTCATCGCCGTGCACCACGTACTGGCAGCCGTAGTGTGTTATCCAGGGGAGCGAAGTTACGTAGGGGGCGCGCGGGATAGCCTTGGTGGCCCAGCGACAGGCTTCAACGGCCATGATGCTGCGTGGGTTAGGTCATGTTGGTAGTGGTGGTGATTAAGGATAGGGCTCACCGTTCGTCGAGGCGCATGACGGTGGGGCCCTTGTTCTCGAGGATGGACTCGTCTGAATGCACGCCGACGAGCAGCTCGGTGCCCAGTTGGCGGGCCTGGAGCATGGCGCCGGCATGGCCTGCAACGACGGCTGTGAGCTGTGGGGAGTAGGGAATGGGTATGCGACTGGCTTACCGTGGTGGGTGAAGTCGAAGCAGCCATCGACCCAGACGCGGTCCTCCGAGACTGGGACGTCTTCCTGAGGGTCGACGGGCCACTGGACGCCCGAGGGAATCCACTCGCCCTGTGTGGTTGATTAGGTGGGTGCGTTGACGGGGCTGGGCTGGTGCGCACCTTTGCGCTCTGTCTGCGCTGCATGGTGATGCAATGGTAGAGGAGTGATGCAGTAATGGAGGAGGATGCAGTGGTGGAGGAGGGACACGAGCAAGAATACGACAGAGGATCGTCGGCGTCGCGTGTCAATGGGGAATGCACGTGGATATGCACGTGGATGGTTCACGGGTTCGCGAGCTGGTTCACGACTTGGGCGCGATCATGTCGGGGCTGGCGTGGTGGAAGCGAGAGCAGGGATGTGTGGCAGGGCCGATGAGTGGCCCAGAGGAGCTGCTCCGGGCGCCAGAGATTGTTCCTCGGTGACGGCACTCATTGGTGTCGTAGGGCAGCTGTTCGCGCGCAGCAGCGCCTCGCCGCGTCCATGTCCAGCGCCGCTCGCTATAAAGCACATCGCCAGCACCCGCCGCGTCCGTCTGCTCCTGTGCCTGTGCCTGTGCCTGTGCCTGGCCCTGACCTGACTGCCTTGATCCTCGGGAGCCGGCAATGCGGGGACGAGGGAGCCCCTGAGATCGCTGAGATCGCTCCTCACGTGCGAGAGACATGGCCGAGCCCACGACTTCCACCCCCGGCCTCTTCTCGCGGCGGCCCTCGTTCTTCGGCGGTCCAAAGACAAAGGGCCACCAGCAGTCGCAGTCGCAGTCGCAATCGCGCTCGTCCGTCACCCATCCACACCAACACCCACACGCCCGCATCACCACCCCGCCCACGCTTACCGTCCCCGGCCAGCTGCCCACGTCCCCCCCCGACGCGCTGCTCCCGACGCCACGCAAGCGCAGCACCGGCTCGCGACACTCGCTGTCGTCGTCCGTGGCCGACCTGGGCTCGTCACTGCGCCGCTCGCGCAGCAACTCGGTGCGCACCAGCCACTCCGCCAGCTCGTCCTCGCACACGAGGACCCCCTCAGCCACCCTGGCCCTGTCCTTTTCGCCCGAGAAGGCGCCCGCCCTGGGAGCCGCGCCCGCCGCCTCGCGCCCGGCCCTCTCCATAGCCACCTTTGCGCGCAACAAGCAGAAGAGCAGCGAGAACGTGCGGCCCGACGGCCTGCCGCATTACGAGAAGAGCCCGCTGAGCGCCGTCGACAAGCCCAAGACCATGGCTGCACCCGCCATGGCCCCGCGCCACCCGCCCTCGCAAAAGGACATCCTGCACGCAAACCGCCAGAACAACGCGACCCTGGCACCCGCCGCCCCCATCTCGCTGCCCAACGGCGCCGCAAACCCAAACATCATCTTCCAGCACATCCACGAAACAGCCTCGAAGCGCATCTCCACACTCGACTATCTACGGAAAGCGTGCGTGTCCCCTCTCCCTCCTCTATCCATTCATTGACCCCCACGAACCCCCACTGACACATCCCAACAGCCACGAAGGCCGCATCTACTGGTTCAACACGCTCCTCTTCTCCAAGACCGACCTAACCCGCCTCCCCTCCTTCACAACCCGCAACCAAGCCCGCCGCGCAGCCCACTACCTCCTACTAGGCTTCTCACTCCCCACGATCCTCGACCTGCACCCAAACTCCCCCGCCGAATACCTCCGCACCCTCAACGCCCTGCTCCTCGAATTCGAACAATACCAATCCATCCACCCCGCCGACGGCAGCACGCCCTCGAGCCTCAGCCGCGCACGCATCCCACATATGTTCAAGCGCGCGAACCTCGGCGGTAAAGGCCGACGCAGTAGTAGTGCGGCGGGCGACTTCCCCACGCTGTCGTCGGGGAGTAGCTTTATGGGCGAGCTGCCGGGGGGGGAGGGCACGACCACTACGGATGATTTGCTGCCCAATGAGAGTTATACGCATCTTCAGACCCCGTCGCTGCCGTTTGATCCGGATTTTTTCTCCACGTTTGCTACGCTGTGCGATGTCTTGATTGATTGCTACACGCGCATATTGAGCATGCTGAGTACGCCGGAGAGTGTGGCGCTTGCCGGGGGGGGCGCGCCGAGTATCGCGGGCGATATGTTTAATAAGGCGGATGCGAGGGTGAGGAAGATTATCCTTGCGGGGGTTGTGCGCGAGTTTGAGGAGAGTTGTCGGGCGGGGTTGAGGAGTGAGGTCGGGGGTGTGGGGAAGGTGGTGTTGGGGGGGTTGATGTAGGCTGTTTCGTTTTTCTTTTTTGCCGAAGGATGGGGTTTGCTATGAGTTTATGATACCATTGGATTGCTAGGTGGGTAGATTATGCATGGGGACATGGCGTTTCGAAAGCATAGCTTGACTCTGGAGTCAGGATTTAGACAGCGTGGAAACGAGCACGTAGTTCTCTTCTACTACTTCTCCCTCACTTTCACACCCTCTTACGCCGCCCCAGCAGCCGCCTCATTCCTCTCCACAAGCTCCATAACGCCCTTACTCCTCCCGACCCTAACCTTCTGCAGCCCATCCGCGTCCTTGCCCTCACTCCCCACCGCCTCGCCCTCATCTTTCCCCTCGCTCTCCCCCTCGTCCTTGAGCTGCAGCCCCGTCAAGTCCATCTTCATGCTGTACGCGTCCTCGCCGTCGGCGTAGTACTTGGCCTCGACCTTCTCGACCTCGAAGCCCAGCGTGTCGCGGTACAGGTGCAACGCTGCGGTGTTGGACATGCGGACGTGCAGGGAGACGTAGTGCGCTGCGAAGGTTTCGGCCATTGCGCGTTCTGCGGGGGTGTTAGATCGGGTGGGGGGTAGATGGGAGGAGAGGTGGGGGGGGCTTACGCGATTGTCGCATTAGCTTCTCTGCCAGCCCAAGGCGGCGGTGCGTGCGCATGACGGATAGCGAGGTGATGTGGCCGTGTTGGATGCCGTCGGTGGGTTCTTCTTCCATTTTGGCGAGGACGTAGCCGACGATTTTGGGGGGGTCGTAGGGGGTTTTTGGCGGGCGGGAGACCTGGCTTCAAGTCAATTGACTGTTTTGGAAACCTGATACATCCAATCCGACATGGCTGTTATGTTGTATATCTGTTTGAAAGCGCATAACGAGGATACCATCATGTCTTCCCATATTTCCCCTTCCCATGTCATCCCCTACTTAACAACCCTCCCTATCACACCATCCCCCCACCGAAAGAGAAAAAGAAAAACAAACACTCACATCCACAGCCACATAGCTCAACTGCGGCCAGCTCATCGCATGGTAAAGGTAGTACTTGCAAAAGTAGTTCTCGGGCAAATTGGTGATATTCGCAAGCTGCACATGCGGAATATCCGAAGGGCGAAGCACACGAATATCCATAGTTGTTGAGCGTTACGAGCTGTAACGACGTGGAAGCGAGATATAAGGTGTAGCGAGACGTGGAGTGAGGCGTAGCGAGATATTAGGATACGGGGCGTAGCTCAAGTCCTCCTAATTCCCTGCTCTTTCTTTCGACGCGAATTGCTTTGAATGGGGTGGGCGGGTTGGTTTGGGGTATGTGGCGCTTTTTGTCGTGATCGTGGTGATGTTGGCGTTGGCGTTGTTCCGATCGGAAATGTTTGGTGTGGGGATGGGGGGTGAGTAAGCGGGGGTTTGGGCCAATGAGAGGGGTGGCTTCTCCGCTTCTTCGGTGACTTCACACGGGGGACTTGGAAGACAGATTCGCGTCTTTGAGGGGGTGTTTTGAAGGGGTGTTTGTGTATTTGAGAGCTGGAGGTGGCTGATGTTGGGTTGTAGATGGAGGGCAGGGGAGGATGGGTATGTGGGCGTATGTGGGCGTTGCTGGGTACTTGGGGAAGGAATGATCGAAGACTCCCGCTGATATCACGCTTCATTTGGATTTTTTATGCTTATTTGTTGTTTACGCTTCCCACGTACGGGTATACATAGACAGACAGTCACAGCTTACCGAGTTCTTGCTCAATCCATTCCCGAAGACAAGCAGCAACCCAAACCCATGCATCAGTCCAAGGCGGAGGACGCAACAATGAACCAGCTCAAACCATGAGTCGTAATAAGTAATCAACCCATCAGAGATGAAGAAGGAAGCGAGCGATTGGATTCCACTACAAAGGGAAGCAGAATAGTTGGGGAAAAAACTACTATAGACCTGCCTGAACACAACCTACCAACTAAAGCAAATCCCGGCGTTCTTTTGTCTAGCTCAGAGAGAGCCACAGCTCATAAAGGTCACATAGTATGTGAATCACAACACTAAGACTACCCATTGGTCGCTGACTTCAGAGACTACAACTCAACCCAAGGAGGCCAACGCTAGTATCATGAGACTCAAATCCTGTGGCACTGAACGATGATTTTGCTACATGGGCATTCTGAGTAGGCAAGTGATGCGAGTTCGAAAATAAAGATGAAAATGAACATAATGAAGACGCCTGTCCAACTCACCAATTCATCAAGGCTATCCCACTAAAACTAGTAAAAAGCTGTATTAGTGTCTACCAAAGGTATTCTAGCTTCAGTTTTACCATAGATATTCTACTCAACACCAGGAATCAGCAGATTGATTCAGCGTATCTGCGAGAGGAGGAAGACCCAATCATATTCTTTGCTACGTGGTAAACTTTCGTTGACCTAACGTGTGTATCATCTACTTGGGTCTTCACAATGGGTAATATAACTTTAATTGTCAGCATGTACAATGCTTTCTTGATATCCGGTTCACTGGCAACTGGACTGTTCTTTTCTGCCGCGACGTCCATTATCTCAATTCTGATGATACCGGGGTTGAGCGCGGGTAGACTGACTGGAAATGTTTCAGGACGAACGGGGCTATAATCGAAGGGGTGGAGTGTCTTCGCTGCTGTATCGGAGTTGGATAGTGCAGTAGGAGGAGCATATGTCGGAAGCTCACTGTTTGGGAGCGAGCGAAAGAAGTGATCTTGCAGGCAACGGTCAAGTTTCCAATAACCAAGCCTTTTTGCATATGATACCCAACACACCAGGCATCTATCAGCCAACACAGTTTCTCCTTTCCATAATATCCTCGGATCAATAAGAGCATGTCGAGACTGTGAATGGATTAGTCACTGCTGATCGACACGTCTCAAAGACATTTGCCAGGTAAAGAGTGATAAACGAGTGGTCGATACGCATAGCAAAGATGTCGAAGGCTATCGACATGACTTTACATACCGTCAACTCATGTGTTGGATCCGTCTCAGGAACGGGTATATTTGGGTCAGGAAGTCGAAACGTTAAGCGAAGAATTACAAGCGTATCACGCTGTAAGAAACATCCCGCTCGTACGAATACATGACCATGTCCAACATTACTGCAAGGTGAGGTAAGAGTGAACATTCTTTGAAGTTCCTCCGCTTCTTACAACTAGTTGTTGCCATTTGATATGACCAGCTTGCCGAGCTGCTTTTGAACTAGATTTCACCTTGTACATACATGTCTGTGGGATTGTAGCTTTCTAGTTTCAGTACTCAATGTCCAAATTGATTGTAGTATAAAAAGCGGTTGCGATTATAGGCGGCTGTTCAGTAGAATAACGTACTTCTTGTGCTTTTACCATATCGTATACGACATGGCTTATCTGAGGTCACTCAAGAACAAAGTTACACTTACTAGGGCTATTGTGCAACGTTGGTAGGCATTTCTCGAGACAGGTAAGGTCACGAACTGGCAAATTGTACTTGATCTTGGACTACCTTGTACGATTCGGCGAAGACCAGGCTATCATAATGTCAATGGATCAATCTCGTAAGAAACATCACGTTTGCATCATGTTAGTGGGCGATGAAGTCTCCTCGTCGTCGAGAGGTAGCCATGTTTTGAACACTCTGCACCACACGGTGTGGGCGAACGCAAATGAAGTTGTCTCGGCTTGTAAACCTTCATGATGTAGACGGAATCTTAAAATTTTGTCTCTGGATGCCTGCTACCGATCCATAGGCAATCTCGACAACAAGGCAATTACTATACTTAAGGACTCCCCCTTCCACGCTTCTGCTTGCGGAGCGTTGCACCTGTTATTCAAGTTGGTGTTTGCGACGGCATCTGCAACGGTATCTATCCACGAGTATCGGGAAACCCCATTATACGATGTTGAGATGAACATGCATAAATCATCCGAAGTCTTCCCCAACAGTTTATTAGGAACCCCAAATGTAACAAAGTCGCGAGCAAATCGCCCTTGAGTTATTTGGAAAAGGTCTGGCTCCAGCTCTGTGCGACGGTTGGGTCACTGAGGCGCAGCAGCTCCGTCAAACAAGGTGCTAGTTGCTTCGAGCGCAAATCCATTATGCAGTGTATATCGGCTTGCTCAGGATGTACGGACTGTGCGTGAAGGAGATTTCCTATCTTGCCATGAAGGCTCTGCGCTCGCGTCGCTTTCGCACTGATTTTGGGTTTCTTTGTCCGAGTATTTTCCGCTCTCTGCGCAGCAAAAGGAGTTTAATTTCGGAAGAGCAAATCAGCCAATCTGCTGCAACAGTTACATGTTGATTTTGACTCGCCTGAATACAACATTGGTCGAAATGCCATACCCGGATATTGAGGCATTTAAAAAGAACCAAGAAGAAGGTCTAGAAGAAATAATTGGCGGGAGAAGGATCTAGGAACTGACTCAAAACAGTATTGCGACTTGCAACCAACTAACCTACTTTGGCTCTGCAGCTCGGCAAGACTCGAAACCCTTACTGGGTCGACCGCGATAACACATGCCTAGGGAAGGATTTGACAGGCAGAGGGAATGAAATGCGCTGTCGAGGTAACGTTGGATCGGGCCGGCTGATCAGTCGCAGGGCAAGGCGTAAGTATGCCAAGCAAGCAGTCGTAATCAATCTGAGTTTCACAGATCAGATCTATGACATCAATCCCCAAGCGAGCTATAGAGTAAATTTTGTCTTCTGATCTCGCGCTTTCAGCTCGTGCTGGGCTGCACTGATACTCACATGGTCCAGATGGCGTTCATATGCAAGCTGATCGCTAGAACCACATACTCGGACCAACTCAGCCGCTCCTTTACCCAAGATCCGGGTATCCATCCCAATTAGGTTTCGAGCGTCGTCCTGCATGGTATGCATTCCAGTCATAAGGCCCGTGTTGTGCATTTATACGTCATCGGGATAGTAAACATTGCGTATCAGTTGCCGCTACTGTAATTGGTTAGTCTCGGCTTCCGCTGGAACATTGGAAGCACTCTTCCAAACGTCTGTCACATCACTGCAGCAACACTAAAATGGAAGTTTGAGCACGATTTGAGGTACTTACGGAACAATCCCGAGCTCTCCGACGTACTTCATTCGGTATGTCAAGCGAGAGTTCTTCCTGCCGTTGGTCGCGTACTTGACGTCGCAGACCGCTGTGACCAAGTACTGTGCACAGATGGATGTTACATCTGGCTCTACAGAATCCTTTCGTCAGCCCCATGGATGAGGCAAATATCGTTCATGTATTGCCCCCCACACCCTCCAAATACGTGTAGTCGCCTTTCCACCCTGGCAAATATCACACTGCATTAGGTGTAAAGCTTATTCGATGTTACAGAGTGCTCGCCAATTGACACTATATCATGTACATCCCTATCAAGGCTAGCTGACAGGTAGATACCCCTACTAGTTCTGACAGTAGGTCGGGAAGCTACAACACTCCTGGACATACGGAATACGGCAAGGTGGGTCATCGAGTTGCATACCCGAGTTCTCCACATCAATCGTTCGTTACGGGACCTCCTGTTCAACTCTCCTGCAGTCCCGTATCGATGGAACATGAAGCCGGGCAGATCTTGACCACAGGCTGTGCTTTTGTGACTATGAATGAGCGGTAAGAGCGGCAGACACCTTTTGCCCGGGCAGCACATGAAACACTTTCTTACTCATGTAGCATGCTTTACCCACCTCACAGTCTCTTTTCTAACTCGAGTATTGGTCGCTTTGAAGCTGATTCACTGGTGGAGTCGGTCAGTGTTTTTCTCTACAAGGCTCCACAACGTCGTGACATCAATTCACTTGCTGATCCGCATAGCTACGATCATTGTGGCCTTCCATCACCATCTGCAACAGACCACAACACGGCATTACCCACCTTAGTCTAACATTCACAGTTAATATCGATTATTGGAGAAGCGGCCTTAGCAGGCTTGGCCCTTCACCCATAAACATACAAGAAAGGAAGTGGATCATTGATCCGGGAATGAACGAGGACATGAGCGAATGGGACCACAACAGAGTTCCAAGCGGGCATTCAAGTGCGGCGTACTTCGAACTACATTCCTCGGCACGCTTGGGGTCGGCATCATGGGGTTGAGAAAGTAATCATGCCGCTGGAAACTACCCCTCACAACGGTGGTGGTCGTAGCGCCTACTGCGCCTCTATTCAGTAACATACTATTGGTCATCAGTAATCCAGACCATGATTTTGTTGCTGTAGTTATTCTTACCATGAGTATTGAACTGACAGCGATCCTAGCGATCTCCACAACGGCCCGCGAGTATTCCGGCACACACACACGCACATACAGACACACACAATTGGCTATACAATCAGCTCACTCATCTAACCCGTCGGATTTCCCAACGTGGATCGCACCGACCAACGGCCACGTTAACCCAACGAATAGAGACGTCAACTTGGTCCCACAACCGTCAAACGTGTATGATCTTCTCGAGATGCAGTTAGTGACGGATCAGCATCAGTGGCGCAACCTGTGGAGACGACAAATACAACCATGACAGGGGCAGAAAACTCAGCTGTTCATGACAACCATCGGTTATGTGACTAGATCTAGATACATCGTCGATTCATCAATCCTTTCATAGATACGGTGGGGGCCTGGAGACAGATGTCAGCACGATCGTCTCGACCATCATTACACCACTCCATCATGCAAGCAAGCCCAACACTATTTGCCATCGGCGCCGGTTCGGAACACAAAGAAGCAATGCCTATCGTTCAGAGCGAGTCCTAGCACACGGGCTTCGAAGCAGACCATACATGTAATATGTCTGATCACATAGCGACTGCAAACTTTCCAAAGATAGCATGTACTGTATCTGCGTGTGTCACCACTCTTACTCTCTCTCCTTCAAATCTTCGCTAATAAACGCCTCCCCCCAACACAATCTCGTCGCTTCGCCAATCACAATTGAACGTCATTGAATTCAGCGGAGGTTGCCGATGCGCCATATCAAACAGCTCCTCATACTCCCTTCCGTCAAACCTGCCTAACGCACTGTTGAGCAGCCAATCGGGTATTGCCCAGGCATCAACAAGCCTAACGGCATGTGGTCGTAGGTCCGTCATGAGGTCTAGTATTGTGTGTTGGATGATGTATACAGATGCGGGGCATACGGCGCCTGACATTGTGAAGGATGACGCAGATTGGTCTAGCGTGGAGAGCGTATGGAGGTAAAAACACGTTCGAAGAACGTCGTGTGTGGGGGATGTTAGGTGGGAGGTGGTGGCGAAGGAAGAATGGAAGTTTGAAACAAGGATGTGCTCGCTGTAGGCGCGGCTTAGGTTGTGCAGCTGTATCATCAGCTTTGTTCAGGGTTTCTTCTCAACCATGCGGGCGTGATATGCACGGCGTGCTAGCTCTGCTGCACACCATTTGAACATGTCTACAATGATTTGGTCGTCTATTGACCCGTCAGGGAGGAAGGTTTGGGGGCATTGGTGGGTACGGTTCGCGAGGTAGAAGTGGAATAGCTCATATGTAGGGTCTTTGGAAGGGGGTTGGGGATGTTTCACTGCGGCGGTCATCTTCTCGATGAGGTATGCAGCTACTTGTTGCATGATCATCTAGTCGACTGTGGGTGTGGAGAGATACTTTGAGTTTGATCCAACCAGTCCACTTCCACCTCCAAAATCGTGGCCGCCCATTGCTTGCCGACATGTTTCGATGCCGTGTGCAGCTAGGATCGTGCATAAGCTTTTCAACTCACTGGTTGCGCTGTGTAACTCGGCTAGAGGACCAAAATCGCAGTTCTCCATCGTCTCCCTGCTGCGGTAGTACAGGGTGTACATATACTCGCCTGTATAGTGCAACACGAAGGTAGTGGCGAGTAGTGGTAGGATCCTGATATGCACGGTTGGGTAGTCGAGGTTTTTCATCTCGGGTTCTCTTCCACTCTTAGAGTCGCGGTCCCGGAACTGCCGTCGTATGGCGCAGTACCGTACGGCAACCGTGACGGCTCGCGCCAGAACCAAACGTGCCTGCATGATAATCTGTCCGCGGAGGAACGTCAACGACCCATACACAACGGCGGGATGACTTCTCCGCATTCTTGCGCCCGTCTCATCCGAAACTTGGGCGCTTTGGACAACATTACAGACCGAGGAACCTTGAGACGGTCAAAGAGCATGTATCCGTTGTCCGTGAACGCATAACCATATTTTGGGCCAATGTCCCCTACCGCAATTCTAGGCAGCGGCTGATGAGTCTTCTTGTCCCGAATCCGCACAATGAATGTTTGCGGGCCGTGATTTTTGTATTCAGACATGGTGGTTCCAGTCGGCAGAAGCGATTGTGCAACCACAATCTACGGGTCATGTAAGCCTTCAGCCCTAAGGGGTGTGGGTGTGGTGGCACAAAACGACGTACAGCATGCGTGGCCGTTCTAGCCATGGAGCCGTTCCACCACTTGCTTGCCGTCAGGTACGGACTGTGGATTTCGAACTCAATGGCAACAGGGTCCCGTTTTGCCGTCGTCTCGAGGCCACGAACGTTACTTCCGTGACCTAGCTCAGTTTGTGCATAGCAGCCAATGATGTCGTAATTGAGGACCCTGGACGTCTAGTATGCTTGTCGTTCTTCTAATGCTTGTTCCCGTATGGTGGTGACTGGCTGGGTGTCAGTCCGGGGTGGAGCCAAAAGCATCGAGACAGCGAATTCATGATTCATAAGACATTTGCAAGCTCGGCAATGTCCGGTCACAATACTCTGGGAAGCCTTGCGTTTGCAGAAGGGAAAAAGCAAACATTGCTTCAAAGCGTCCCGCCTTACCCACTCATCCTCCAGATCTATGGGTAATGCTTACCAAACATAGTTCCATGCAAGAAGCATGGGCTCATCTCATCCGTCAGATACTCTGCCATTGTGTGCTCCTCCTCACCCCACTTTTCCCTTCTGATGATTCTCTGAATAGATTTCGCCCTTGCCAATCCTAGGTGGTGTCTTTCGCGTCTCGAGAGGTTGAGTTCCTAGCTTTTTTTTTGGGAGAGTTTCTCCCGATTTCAGGTCTTCAAGACCTTCTCTTGCCGCTCTGGAAACCCATCTCGATCCAAGAGGTGTTTTGCCAATTCGTTGGGGTTAAGTTTGGATGCATTCCATTCGGTTCGCAGGGTCGCAGTGCCGTCGTGGGCTGGTTCAAGACGGTCGGTAAAGTCGGGCATGCTTATGCAAAGCGAGATCCAGATCGTATGTCAGTAGAGCTGCAGGTGCGAATCGAGAAGCTCTGATTGTGTTGAGGTCATAACCTTCCCCTCTGGCTACGGACGTGACGAGATAAGAGATGTCACAGGGTGGTTTTGAAGCGCCGTTGCCGTATGCGGAGAAACATGCTCGAGATGCCTTCTTAGCCTCGGTACTATAGGTGCAAGTGACTTGACCGACATGGCGTATTGCACAGGCGTTTACGGAGCATGTCTGCGGGGTTTTTGCTGAGTCGGTGACGTGGGGCAAATTTCGGTAAATTGGGGCTGAGCATACATTTCATCTACCCATCATGATTTATGCAAATATGGAGATAAGAAACATAACTCCAGATCGGAACCGAAAGACTTGAATCGCCATTGTTGGTACTCGCAGGCTACTAAGCTTAAAAAAGGATAAACACACACGAACCTAGATACAATAAAAAGCAACACCCACATAGGCCAGCTACCTCTCATCGCCGTAATAGGATGAGGTAGAGAAAAAGAACCTCAGAAACGTAAAGAAAAACAGCTAGTTGTACAGGATATCAGATGTCCAGACCCAGACGTAAAAGAAATAACCAGTGCTCAGTGCCATGCCCTATGCCATAACCGATACCATAACCAATACCATAGCCAATACCATAGCCAGTACCATAGCCAATACCATAACCGATGCCATAACCGATGCCCAATGCCCAATGCCCAACGCTTTAACGCAAAGATCATGAGAGCAATGTAAACAGAAAATAAACTCGCTCATGAGAAACAAGGACGTAAGAAAAGGTATCAAAAAAAACATGTCGATGAGAGCATCAACGCCAGCGTCTTACTCAATCACCGCGTCAGCCCAACTGGCCAATCCGCCCTTCTCATTCAGCAAACGTTGCATATCTTCGTCGGCAAGGCGGACAAGGATCTCAAAAGGCGCCTCACCACCCTTTGTGGGCTCTCGTCGTCGTGGAAGGAAAATCATACCGCCGTCGCCAGGACCATACGCGCGTCTGACATACTCAGGTCGACCCTCGAGACCGCCCTGTGTACAGTCGGTGCCGGGTATGCACCAACGTAGATCCGCGCCGAAGTTCAACCAAGAGGTGATATAGATGTCCGACCCGCCAAAAAGAGCAAGCCCACACTCTGTGTCTTGAATGTGTTCGATGGACTTGAAAAAGGTAAGGTGGCGAGTAACCCAATCGTTGTTCACTTCTGCGATAGTGCTCTTAATCTTCTTGATGACGTGGAGAATAGTGGAGTTGGTTACACTGTATCGCGTGTCAGTCGGTATTCTATGGAAAGAGTTGGTCGTGCAAGACCCAGAACCTCGACAATCGAGGGCACAAGGTATTACTGATCAACGGTCGAAAGCTAAGAATAAACTCACCGGTCCTCGGCGGCAAGATCCGCGATCTTCAATGTGCCGCGAGAGAAGAGTGCCATGTTGCCCATGTACTCTGCTCCCATTTTAGGATCCTGACGCTTTCGCAAGTCGGTGGCAATTCCGACGCTGGTATCCGTGTATCCAAATTCAGCCAGCCGTTTCGATCTTGCTCGTGTAACGTATGTCCAGACCAGAGCGGCAAGAACATTGCACCGGGTAGGCGGGGTTGATTCCGGAAAGTATGGTTGGAGTCGATCGCGATAATTCCGGATGCGGGCTGCGGGTATAACGAGCAGTCGCTGAGTGCATTTGGTTTCCTGTGGTAAGGTTTTTTTGTATGTGTAAGCTCCATCGCAATAACAATCAGCAGTGGAGCGCTGATCTGTTTCAGCAGGAATCTTCTCGTCGAGTTGGAGTCGCATGGAGGATTGCTGATCAGCGATGCTCGTCGGAACTGGTACGGTCAGCGAGTGTAAGCCTTAACAAGAAAAGCGCAATACCTAGACCCTCCAAAGTCCTCTTATCGCGCGTCTGCGAGACCTTGGAAACATTTGTAGCGAAGTCTCCCCAAAATGTAGTGATACCAGAGAAGTCCAACACACTGTGGTGCCCATACATGCTCAGGACGAGCCCTCCAGGAACAAAGAATGCTTGCACTCTTAACACAGGTGCATCGCTCTTCTCAAAGTCCACAATCCCTTCGCCACTTGATGGGACACCAGGATAGTTGTTAAGGTCGTCCGGTTTGAACATGGCACTCTTGAAGGCACTTGGCGGCATACCCTTTCGTTTGAGTTGCTCGTAAGTGTGCGGAAAGTCCCGATTGTGCCTATTAATCTGCGAAGACTGGAAAAGGCTGACCATGTCTTCATCCGATACTTTCGTTGGGTAGTCGAGAGAAAGCCTCCCCGATTCACCTAGGCTGAGGGTGCCTGCAAGGAACGGGTACTTCTGGAGCGTGAGGCAAAGCCCTTTCTCCAGAGCTTGTATGGCATCCTCTGCATTGTTCTGATCGGGAAACTAGCGATGTCGAGTCAGTTTTGCATTTTCAGGATCGGCGGCAAAGTTGCGCTTACCGGGAAGATGTTGAGTGTCTGTATGTATACCCGGACAGCGTTCTGGTCCAGGAAAGAAAGGTGAAATGACTTGTCGTCCACAGTGGAGGGGCATGATTTTTTGATCATGATGACGGCGATCGAGACACAAAGCTAGTGTCAGAAAAAGGGGGTCAGAGCTTGCACAGGCAGAGGAACTAAGGACATATCCGCGGCCTGGAGTACGGTTAGTTATATACGACTCGATGATCAGTCACACCTACCGTGGATTTGGGTGAACAAACACGTAGGATTCACCGGCGAGAGCTGTCAAGTTTACCCCTTCACCGCAAGGTCCTTCCGTCGTGTAACAAGGGCCGCACTGGCCGACTAAGACGTTTGGCGGACGGGCCGACTGGCACTAAGCACGCAAACAGTAACATGGCGAGTTCTGCGCGGATTGATTTCCGGCCCCCCGTATACAAGCTTCAACTTTCACCCGCGTCCGTGACCTGCGCCAACGTTATGCTGCCCGCCTCCCCGTCCGTCGTAATCACCGTCCTTTGGGTACAAAAGCGCACGGATGCGCTTGATTGCAGCCGAGGCGATGCGGCGCGGGAACACTCGTCTACGTTTCCACCGACTTGGAATTTAAAAGACAAGGGCATGCCGGTGATTGTCATTTTGCTTTTTCTCACCTTGGCACACTCGATATCATTGGTTCGAAAGCTGGCCACAACTTCCAATTACAGCCCGAAGCAGAGCAAAGACAACTATATGACATTGACACCCCGATCCGGCTCAATCATGGCCCCAAACAGGCAAGGGGAGTACTCGCCGAACGCCCCCTTGTTTGATTCCCACTCTCAAAGCTGCCGCGTGTGAACAACGACATGGATAGGACGCGGCACGTAGTGCGAGTGATCCAAGACGGCTGAACTCGACATGCAAGCGCCCGAAGCGAACCCACATTGACGGTAGCCATGCTGTTCGTCATAGATACCGCAGCGATCATGCTCAACTCAAATCAATCACAGGCATCTTTTCCGCGCCTGGTGATAAGCCCGCGTGGAGAAACATGAGGTCACATCGCAATCCAGGTAATCCATGTGCATCTAAGTGTGTGCTTGTCACAGGATGGGAGTCACAACATTCCCTTCCACCAGTGCACCACTCAAATACTCAAAAATAGTAATGTCGCGAGGCAGCGGTGTACAGTTCAGCATTTTTGAAGCACGTGTCTCGAGGTGTAAGACGAGCATGCGTCATCCGCTCTGAGTTCCAGGGCTATGAGGAGACACGTCGCCGGGCGGAGCATCTGCTGGTGGGCCAAGCACCAGAGCGTCGCCAGCAGTACACCGGAAATGGTCATCAGTCCCATGTCGCTACCTTAGTTAGATTGTATAAGAATGCCAGGCAAACGACGGCTGGGCAGTATGGAGGACTAAGCGCTACGCAGTTGATCTGACGCCCTTACGCTTTGTGCATCGAAGTGTGCATATATTGCAATTCGGCTTCTCGGCAGGCCGGTAGACCGGCTTACGCTTGGTGATTCGTCAATTCGAGGCTTCCGTGTATCTGTTGCGCCACGACTGCGCGATATTGAGAAATTTTAGCCGCCATAAACGGAGCCTGGAGTAGGGTGCAGAAACCCGGTGTGGCAGGAGATCCTGAACTTCTAGCTAAGATTTGTCACAAAGCATAGTACACAACCGACAAATACAAGATAGACTAAACTTTCCAAACTAATGCACAAAACGATCAGTTCGTCGCTCTTAATGCGCATTCTGCAAACCCCTGACACAGGAGCGCGACTCGTTCATTGACGGGGATCTTCCTTGTACTCGGGTATCGAACTGCATGAAATCTTCTCGTACATGCCATAAGCAGTGCCACATATGGTGGATCGCGGCTGAAATGACACTGCTGGGTTGTCGGTTCGTCTCTGGGAAGACTGGCTGCAGTTTGGTTGGCCGGAAGTTACACCCGTGCCTTTTCGGGATGCATGCACAAACCCGCTGTATACCATACTCGCCCGCCCAGGTAGTCCTGGAGTCATGGTAGTCGCCACACCTGCTGATGCGAATTGTTCCCACTACTCGGCCTTTTCGGTTAGTCTGATTGGTAGATCAATATAAGCACTGCCACGTGACTCTTGAACGAGGCGAACGGCTGTCCCGCTGCGCTACCGTGATCCCGCGAAACTATTAGTTCCCGAGGTGGGGTATATCAGGGACCTTCCCCGCGGTCTGCCGGTGATCCGGTTGAGATGCCGACATTTGCCAGAAATAGCACATGACACCGACTCGCGGTTCAGTTATATCATCACTTTCATATCTTGCTACTACAGCGATGGTGTGGGGGACTGAGTAAGCCGTTATTTGTCACGCCAACAGGACATAGATATGGAAGATCGCGTTTCTATGGTGCCGACGCAAGCTGGCTACCATCTGCTCCCAAACACGGTATGAACTGTCACCCAACGGCTTGGGATGTACATGCACACTGATACCGTACAGCTAATCTTTGGCCGGCTTCTCCGGTACGCAAGTAGAACGCCGGCCCGAGTGGTTATTGACGATGTCCGTTCAAACCACCTGAGAACACGCCTCGAGCTTCTTTCCGATGTGCTGGCCTTGCGTGAGACGATGTTGAACACTTTCGGCAAGTCGACAATGGAATCACTCCAGCGGCGGGAGGAGGTCTTCATCGTCATTGTAGCCGCAGGCGGTTATGAATACACCGTCGCAATGCATGCAGTTTTGGCACTTGGGGCGCCCGTCACGCCAGCGCTGCTTATCGAAGAGGCGACATACTATGTCGAGAAGTCCGAGTCGGTGCTGGTTCTTGTCAGCTCGTCTGACTTGAAGAAGTGCTGCGATCTGGAGAAGCGCATCGCGACCATGAGCAACGAGCGCTTCCGTGGCGTTCCGATTGGCCCCTGTACATACACCACGCTCGATCCTTCAGCTATCCTGATTTCGTCGAACCGTGCACTAGAAGAAAATGCGCCAGGCGTCATGATCTCGATGAGTGGCACAACTGGTTCGCCCAAAGCAAGCGTTATACGAAGAGCCTTTGTTTTCAACTGTGTCCTGTCTGTAACTGACCACTACAGGATTACTGAAGACGATGTCTTGCTTCATGTACTTCCCGTTCACCATGTAACCGGAGCAGGAATCAATGTCTTCTCGTTTCTGATATTCGGGAGCCATATCGAGCCTCGTAGCAGTGGCTTCGAAGAGGCCTGGAAGTGGAAGCGGTGGAAAGAAGGCGCAGTTAGTCCTCATCGGTGGCTGACTTTCTTTTCAGGTGTGCCCACTATACATATACTTATGAGGCGGCATTACCAGCGTGTTCTGTACAAACTGCCACCTGAAGAGCTAGCAAAGTACATCGCAGGAGTATGACGATTCCGCGCTCGCCTTTGCGGAATTCCTGAACCGCTGAACGAATTTTGATCCGTCTTAATGCAGAAGGGAATCGTGCAAAGATATGGCGCCACTGAGTTCAGCGCTGTGTTTATGGTGAGTCTCGATGACAAGAAGGTCCCAGTGGGTCAAATCACAAGTGGAGTTAACATCAGACTCTTCGAGGTCGACGAAGATGAGAGAGGGAAATTACTAATACATCGTGGGTCAGACATCTTTTGATATCATCAAATCCAACGGGTACAGAATTCCAGTACTGGGTATCGAGCGGGAGCTGCTGAGCCTGCCATATGTCGCTGAAGTCATGACGGTGGGCGTCGTCGACGAAGAGTTCGGGCAACACGTGGCAACAGTAATCTCATTCCAGAAGGAAGATTTGGCTGACGCGTCCTTGACGTGTACATGGAAACGCTGAGTATACGTTGACCATCGAGGACCTACGACGCGACCTACATGACAGACTGATTGGATACAGACTGCCTACGCCACTGCGCATCGTAAGCGGCGAGCCGTCCAAGACCGTTACCAGGAAAGTACAAAAGAAAGTGTTAGGTCCGTATTTTTTCCTGCCTAATTACCATACATGCAGAGGTGTAGCAGTGGATCTTCTCATCCAAAGTGATAGCAAAATTGTAGGTATCTACCAAATAGACATTTCAACCCGTGTTTGGGAGGTAGAAATGTGTTGTTTGGTGGTGGCCCCGCTGCCTTGAGTCGTTTGCCATTCCAGAATCAACGTGTTACGAACAAGAGCTCATTTCCTTCTTCACACGAGGTTTCCACAACATATTTTTTACATCACATGTCCACCATATGACCTGAGCTAGATACGTGCGTTCACTGTCATGGCCAACGCTCCCTGACGGTAATGGATGGTCACGATGACAGCGTGTCACGTCGTTGGCACTCACTACCACCACTTCTCAACATCGACTCTTACCAGTATATCTCACAGAACTCTTCTTTCTCATGGTTGCCTTTAAACGAAGGAGCAGCGATGTCAACTTCAAGACATCTCACTGGAGATAACAGTTGTTAGAATATTCTCCATGTTACTAATGTAATGATATCACGGGGTCCGAATCAGTGAATGAGACAAGACTCTTTTCATTCCATTCTACTTGCTCAACTTGGAATAAAAGCTTGTTGCACGTGCACAATAGCATGCCGGCCATTCCCCTTGCTTTCACGTTGCACGTGTATAACACGTACATTCACCAGACCAGTCCTTCTTGCCATACACGCTATAAAGCTCGCTCTAGCTCCTTTCTTCCACTTGCGAGAGTAATTCATCTTTCTAGACAGAACACTACTTTCAACCAAGATGGCTTCCCTTGAAGCGTTTCTCCAGAAGCTTCTACACGATTTTGGCCAGAGGGGCTATTTTGGAGAGAGTGCAACAAGCTCTCAGCCTTCATTGACTAACGACATCCTCCCAATGTTCCAAAATCGATGGGTGACTGGTCTAGATCAGGATACCTCCGCTATCTGGCATCGACTTGAGCCTGCTTTCAGACTTGCCTCGCGTTTCTTGACCGAAGACTACTGCCTGCTCTGGTTCAGCCATCTAACGTTTGGAGAACGAACTTATCGCACCTCTCCCTCGCCGGGGACGTGGGTTCAGACCACAAGCTACTCAGTCAGCGCACCAGCGATCGCGCAGGTCAAGGTGAATCTGCAGGAATTGGGAGAAGTTATCACTTTCATGTTTTCGCCTCGCGCCTCCACCTGCGAGGTCTACGGTGTAACATATCTGCACAAATCCATGATGCCTTGGTTCAAGAGCTATCGTCCTCAAGACTGGCCTACGACACACGAAAAATACCGCTCTCCCCGCTACCGCCATGCTCGACCCAGCATCTCCATGAACGCGGACTTCCAAAAATACTTCAAAAACAACTACTCAACATCGATTCTCGCCGAGCAATACAGAGCGTGGTTCTCTTTTGCTGCCACAATCGTCCACGAAATCGGGCATGCATACGAATTCTGGCTCCATAATGCTCAATATGGTGATGAGCCGTTCTGCAGTCGCTACGACAAGAATGCTGAGCTTGGTTTCTCATGGGAGACATCCGTCATTGGCCGTATCACTAATCCCATGAACAATTTAATACATGATGGGATTAAACAACTCTTCTCCATCAAGGTAGAAGAGTACACTACTTCTTCAGAGCGTGAGCGTGCATTCCGGATTCTGAACATCTATACAGGGGCCCCCTACGCACCTATCAACCCTACTGCCCATGGACAGCGTGCCTGGCCACTTCTTGGTCCTGGTCAGTTCCGCGGTAAGGAGTTCTTCTTCGCGAACGATGGACGAGAGGATGTCAAATTCGTTGCTCGCATACAGGCCATTCCTCTAGAATGGGTCGTGAACTGGTTTCAGGAGGCGGAGTGGTCCAACAGACGTCGACTCTGGGAGCGGGAAAGTTGTCACACCACACCCCCGATTGGTGAGAGTTTCACGATCATGTACGAGAGATACGGCAGTGGTGCTCAGGTCCAGCGCCAGCTCAACCTCAACATTGCGGCCGACGCACACATCTATCAACAACAGTGGGCGCAAGGATCAATATAGAGAGATGGTTGCAACTTACACTTTCGTCTCCGGCTGCCTTATTTGTTGTACTGTGATTTGCAGTACAAACGAATGCCGGTAGACTGTATCTTTCTCCATGTAGGCAAGACTTATTTGCAAATTTACTTTCAGATCTCGTGTATTCGGTGCATCGCATTCACTTACACTCCGTTGCTTACTATCATTATGTACCTCACTCCATACGATGCATCACCTCAGCCGGCAACCCGACTCATTGCAACCACTGCATGTGCCCTTGTCCATATCAGCGACCAGCGGAGTTTATACTGCTCCCGATACACCAAGGAGCCTGGATATATCGCTCTTAACGACATTCTGGTACCATATTAGGAAGTATATCGTGTTGTTAGACGTACGTCACTACGGCCAAAACCGGCGATACTACGGAAATAGTGACTTCCAGCTTATCCCCATCGGATATGTTCTACGCAGCATTCCCATACGGTGATATCGTTGATCCGTCTTCGATTCGGAGTTTTACTGTTCCCGCAAGTCTAGCAAGTACCCCGCGGTATTGATAAATACGATCCCTTGGCCCGCCCAGCATTTCTTATCCACTCATCAACTCCTATCACAAACATTCTTCATACTCAACATGTCTTGCGAAAACTGCAAATCGGGCTTCGCCTGGAACGGCACGCCCACTGGCACCGAGTCCACAATTGGAAAGAACAAGGCCTACGTCACAGGCGACTCCAAGGACACTGCTCTTCTCATCATCCCAGACGTCTTCGGCTGGACATTTACCAACGCTCGTATCCTTGCCGACCACTACGCAAAAGAAGCCAATGTCACCGCCTATGTGATTGACTGGTAAGTCTCACCCATTGGCATGTAACCTGCCCAAAAACTAACACATTTCCAGCTTGGGCGGCGAAGTCGTTGACCCAGACGCATTATCCGACCCCGAGCTACGGGCAAAATTCGACTTGCCAGCCTTCATCGGTCGCAACAGCAGGGAGATCCGCTGGCCCGAGATCAAAGCCGCCGCCCAAGCTCTGAAGGCGCAATACTCCAAAGTTGGCGCCATCGGCTTCTGCTACGGCGGCTGGGCGGCCTACCAACTCGGCGCCGACCCTTCGCTCGTCGATGCTGTCTCCAGTGCGCATCCATCCCTGCTCGAAAAGGCGGACCTCGACGCGCTCAAGGTTCCCGTGCAAGTCCTGGTGCCGGAGCACGACCCATTCTACACGGAGGAGTTTAAGCAGTACACACTGGCGGCGCTGCCGAAAACTGGCGTGCCGTGGGAATACGTTTATTTCCCTGGTCTAAAACATGGGTTTGCGGCAAGGGGCGATCCGAATGATAAGGCGCAGAAGGATGGATTGGAGAGGGCTAAGAGGAGTGCTGTAAGCTTTTTCAACGAGTTTCTGCACTAATTGCAAATTTGTCAGATCAGTTTAGATTGATTGCTCTACAATGAGATGCGTCGCTTCAGAGTTATTCACTTCTCCTCATTTTTTTGTTTAGGTCCTGGTGATTGCAACTTCTTTTCCACATCAATAGTAATTGGCTTATACTTACACTAAGAAAAACCTTGGACAGGATTGCAATCAGACCGAAGCGAGAAGATGACGGGAATGATAGAAGACTATAACGTGACGCAGAGTTCCTCAACACCCAAGCTTTTCGACTACCAAAATTCACTAATCGTATCTGCATGTCTGCTGATGGAGCGGATCAAATATGATAGATACATGTACAGCTCGAATCTAGATATCATTTGTCTATCGACATAATCTGTTTTCATAAAATTCTCTACGCTTTCCGTAAGAGCTGAGTAGACTCGCTCTTTTTCCTCCCCTCTCATATGTACAGAACCAACTCTCGCCCTCAAATACTCAAATACTCAACCTACAAACCCCTCGCAATCCGACTCCTCGCCCACCCCGCCAAACTCCTCTTCTGCATCATCTCGACGCTCTTCGCAAAATCGCTCGTTCCGTTCTCGGGATCCGCGTCCGTCGCCTTGCAGGTGGGACCAGAGTTGTACGTTCCCAACGCGCCATCCACACTACTGAAATGCATCTTTTCCTTGGTCGTCGCGAGCATGTTCTGGGCAGCCTCGACCGTCCACCCGTTGATGAAATCGCCGTGCGAGCAATACGCGTTACCGCAAGCCAGTTTGATTGGCGCGGTTCCAGACCACCCGTCGGGCAGCACAGAGCGCAAGTCGTAGCGGATGCTGAAGCGCAGCTGGGGCATCGAGGACATGCCGGATGGGCACGATTTGCCCGACTTGTACGCGGTTTCAAGCGTGTCGGTGTTGACGCAGGATGGGAAGTACAACAGCTGCTGGAGGTGCGTACTGCATGTTGAGCTAGGGAAACCATTGGCGTCCAGTGCGGCGCTGCCTCCACCCTCGCAGGACCAGGTCGCTTTCGCATCAGCCACCATATCCGCTGCGGTCGTGGCCGCGGATTTACCCGCAACCATTTTCAGATTCTGCGGTATGGGGACCTGGGCCTCCGCCTCGCCGAGGTTGTAGTACGCACTGAAGCGCATGACAGGGATGGGTGAGTAGGTTGCGCCGCCGTCTGTAGTGTACAGCGGCGTAGGTACCCAGTACACGCTCAAATCATTGGGGTTCTCGGCATTTGTGCAGCCAGCTTGCAACTCGGCACTGGTGTTGGTGTTCAGTGTGACGGCGTCGGAGCCGAAGAAGGAGTGCAAGTGGGATTTGTAGGCGCCAGGGACGACAATGGGGTCGATGTTCTTGGTCATGAAGGGGCTAGCGACGTTGACTTGGGTGTAGGCGTTGGTAAGCTGCGCTGCAGCGATGAAGAAGAGAAGGGAAGACATCCTGTGTCTTATGATGAAAGTTCAAATGAATGGAATTGAAATGAATGAAGAAATGAATGAATGAACGTAAATGCAGAGAACGAACGAAGCGACTGTCGATGAGACGAAAGAAAGCAGCAACACACATCCGCATATTTATGCTCCTAAACTTGCGGCTCACCATATTAACGGATCACGAACCGTTCCTCCACGATGCCGTCCTCAACATGTCACCGTTTCAGCCCCAAGTCTTTTCTTGCAAGCGAAAGCCGTTGCATGAAAACGCTCACTGCGCGGGAAGGACGTGCGTAACAAAGCCTCGTGATTGGCCCCCGACACAACCCAAAACACTAGATTCCATGATAACTGTTTCGAAACCGGGAGTGACATGCCTCCGTTTTCTCTGTTTGGAACAGCCGCACGGGAAGCGGCAACAATCGCAAATGAGGCTGTGCGAAAGCGGCGTGGGAGGTGTTGGTGGGGTGGCATGATGATGGATCGGCTGTTGGATTTAGAGAGTGGGATTGCCATCCTTGTCTTTGTAACGGAATCGTGTTCGTGTTCGGGTTCTCTACGTCCAAGGGTCTCTTCGAAGATCTTTTCGGGTCGTTTTTATGCTCGGTGGAGCGGGTGGGTCTTGGGCCCGAGCCGATGCAACATGCACCATGCGAGGGTCCACCATGCGACATGCCTTGAGTCAAGGCCCTCACAACCTCATGGCAAAGCGTCCGGCAAGAGTCTCTCTCTAATCACGTGTTTTATCGATAGCTAGAGGTTTGCGACTATCCAACGAGGGTTGATGATATTCAGATGTTCTTATTTACTCCGTCATATCGGGCGATGGATATATAAGACGGGAGAACACAAGAGCCTAAACAGTACATCTTGCCTCTAAAATGCCATTTCACCTTCATTGTCATGTGCCCCGCATGTACATCTCACGTACTTACCTTCCCCCACACCAATCCATCATTCAGATCTCCCCTCTCCGCCCTCCAGCGATCCACGAAGTAAAAATCCCTCGGTCGCCATGGTCCCCTGTTTCCGCAGTTCGGCAGACCGTTCTCGGTGTTTTTGATGTACGTACTCTTCAAAGGGCTCGCAGACTGCGGGTTCTTTTTGTCCTCTGCGCTGATTTCAGGAGTAACTGATGTAGACCCAGTTTCGTTCATCTGTTTGATAATCCTTGTAAAGAGGCGCGATGCAGTGTCGCTTCCTAGGGTCCAGGAGGCATTCCAGTATCCAATTATTAGCCCAAGGTTGGGTACATTAGATAGCATACTGAAGCGCCAGAGATACTCGGAGGGAACGTCGATTTTCTTGCCATCGACGCTCAGATCGACGCCGCCGAGGAAGCGCAGGTTCAGACCTGTAGCGGTGATGATGATGTCGGCGTCAAGTTTGTTGCCGCTGTCAAGTTCGATGCCATCTGCGACTACGTTCTTGATGGTGTCGGTCACGATTTGGGCGCGCTCGCTGGCAAGACATTCGAAAAAGTCGCCGTCAGGACACAAGCAGAGACGTTGTTCCCAGGGGTTGTAGCCGGGCTTGAAATGAGGGTCCATGGGGATGTCGTCAGGAAGCATTTTGCGGGTTTCATGACGGATGAAGTTTGCAGCGCGCGTGGGGAAATACATGCAAAAGTAGTACAAGAGGGTTGGGATGAGGATAAACTTGAAGCCTATAGTTGTTGTCAGTGTAGGCCATTATAGGAATGACGGGTGACTTGCGTTTCCACCTCAACACCATCCACTGCGGCAACCACTTCTCCCATAGAGGCTTCGACCCAGGCTTTGGCTGTGGCATACTCAGGATATAACTTGGCGAACGCTGCAGCTGCGTGATCTGGGCAACACCCTTGTCTACCAGCGCCGGAAGCAGCGTGATGGCAGTGGCGCCCGAACCGATAACGACGACCTTTTTGCCCTCGAAGTCCTGGTTCTCGGGCCAGAACTGCGGATGTATCGTTTGGCCCTTGAAGCTGTCTATGCCTGGGATGCGCGCCGACATGGGCTTCTCGTAGCTGTAGTAGCCAGTACCCATGATGACCCACTTTGCCCAGTATACCACTCTCCTGGCCTCTGAACCAACGTCAACATCGACCTTCCACCGCTGCTCCTCGCTCTTCCAGTCCATCCCGACGACTTTCTGGTTGTACCTGATTTTCTTATCGATACCAAACTTGACCGCCGTTTCGTTCAAGTAGGTCATGATGCTCTCGCCAGTCGCAATCGGATTGGTCGCCTTCCACGGGTTGAACTCAAAGCCTAGGGTGTGCAGGTCCGAGTCGGACCGAACGCCAGGGTACCTGAACTGTGACCATGTTCCGCCGAGCTCGTGGCGGCCTTCGAGGATGGCGAAGGAAGAGTTGGGGAGTTGTGTCTGCACGCGGTAGGCGGCATTGATGCCAGATATACCGCTGCCGATGATGAGGACGTCGAGGTTCGTAGGAGAAGACCCATTCTGCGCGTGGCCGTTCATCTTGACGTTGGGCAGGGCACGGGGTTGTTGATGCAGGACGCAGGTACGCGGTGCCAAGGGCAAGGGAGTAAGCAAACGTTGGTAGATCTGGTCAAGCAATTTAAAGCTTGGTAATTCCCCACTCAACCTTATCTCGAGTTGGCAAAAAAATGTCAAGGATTGTCAGATCCAGGCATGGAGGGACACCAGCCATATATCTCCACCATTGCCTCGCCCCTACTTGGCGGGTGCCTTTCCATCCGATAGAATCGTGCCGAGGAGCAGCGTTAGCACCAAGATCATGACGTACGCCGACCACAGTCTTTCGAACGATCCAAAGGTCTGGATCTGACTAGTCCAGGATAGGCATTTGCCTCGGTATTATTTACTTTGTGACTATTCTCGCAACCATCACCCCACGACAACATTGACGATCCACCACCCTCAACTGATCCGGATGTCGTTCCTCTCTCATGCTATGGGCAACACGATACACCGCAATTGTAGGTAGTGAGGGGTTATCATCTGATCATGGCGGATGCTTGTGGTGTGATGGTTTTACAAACAGGAGTTTTGCATGATCAGCACAACACCTGCGTGGCACAGTAAATCGTACGAGGCACTGACATGACATGCGTAGCATGGAACCTAATGTTTCTCATGAACTGCTCATATGTCGTCGTAGATCTAGTGCAAAAAGAGCGACTTCCAACGACCAACCCATCTACCTAAGCTTCAATATGCCAGCATGACGTTGCTGTGCATTTGTAGCATCAAATCACCTTTAGTAAAGAAGCGCTAAACAACAAACCTTAAAATCCAACATCCAACTCCTAGTCAACCTTGGGCACACACACTTAGTTTCCTCATTATCACCACGAATCTCACAGAGAATCCACATCAGCCCGGAGACAACTTTCAATCTGAACCGCATCACTACTTCTAAAATACAACAGAGTTCAGTTAGACGATCGTTATCGATCCGGCTGGATTGTTAGGGGAAAGGAAGATGTCAATGATAACGATAATCAAGGAAAATGAGAAATGCACTCAGAATCTCCCAAGTAGTTCGCGATACCAAACTTCTTCTCCTCCGCCAACTTCCCATCCTCGTCATATTTTCGCCTTCGCCGGCGCCGTAACCACCCTCCCATGCACATAGCAAATCCCTCGTATCTTTTCGCCCGCCTCGCCCCAAAGCTCGTTCCTCAATAGACTATATACCCCCATCTTAGCTTTCCCCTGTACACTCCTTGCCTTCTCCAACGCTTTCTGCAACATCTCTTCCGGCTCGGCGATATCATCAACAATACCATCTTCCAGCGCTGCTTTACCCGTCCACTTATGCGCCTCCAGCAGCATCTTGCGCGCAACCTGCGGCCGAAGTTTCAGACGAGGTAGGAACCCGATACCTGGGAAGTGCAGTCCCAAATCGACAGGCGGCATGGAGAAGAAGCCTCGGTGCGAGTTCATGATTCTGTAGTCGTGAGCGAGAGCGAGGGGACACGCGCCGCCGAACGTGTGGCCGGTTAAGAGGGCAATGGTAGGGAAGGGGTAGTCGAGGAGGGTCGCTAGGAGCTTTGGATTGTGGTCAGCGTGGGTCGGTATTCGCTTGATCTTGGTCCCCGTCATGGGAGACAGTGTCACTGTACCGGAAAGAAACCATCAGTGTTTGCATGAGGGTTACTGTCCAACTCATCCAACTCCAATCCTGTACACCAAAACTTCTCGTCATTTCCTCTGGTTATCACGCAGCCTTCTGAACCAGATCCTAGTTCTCTTTCGATGTCACGCAGTGCTCGTATCATCTCTTGCGCGAATTGTATGTTTATTCGGTTCTCTGGAGCCTTTTGCATCGTAATGACATATACGCGGTCATGTTTGTCGACACGCAGATTTGTGTACGGTCCCAGCGTCATTGTGTGTGTAAAGAAATGTGTGGGATCACTGGAAACTTTGAAATCAAGATTTTGTACTGTCTTTCGAGTTTTCGATTTCCTTCGATGTGTGGTTGTACAGAAATCATTAACAGTACGAAACTCGTGTTGGTGTTGAGCCTGTCAACGTGAATGACGTGAAGCCTCGGCAAACGAGATGCGGAGGAGCTGTGGGGAAAGCCCGTCGCGGTGAAGTTCGGTAATTCGACGCGAGATGTTCGTGATGCTGATTCGCTTACAGAAATACAATATTGATGTGTAGTTTCCGGCGCTGGTCAATAAGCTGGCAACGCTGACACACGGAAGCATCAAGTCGCGAGATTCTTACCATTCCAACCCTTGGTTCTAGTCCAGCATGAGCTAGTTTCTAACGCCATAGGGTGCGATCAACTCCTGTGGCTATAGCATAGTGGGCTCGACTGTTGACCGTGGAGCAGTCTGGTGACTAAATAATTGTTGTTGTACATCAGCTTTCGCAAGGATGTCTGCATCCAGCAGTTGGTTGTTCAGCGTCCTCAACCTTTGTAATATGAGTGCCGTCTCCAGCTTTCTAGAAGCAATCGGTGAAACTTGCGAAGCTCTTTGATGAATCGGATGTCACAACCGACATATATCAGGCCCAAAATCCGAAAAGAATTGCGCTGTTGAGTTGGGAAGGTTGACGTCAATGAATTGTCCCATATATGGTCACTGGACAGCTTTCTCATGAATATCCATTCTATTCGTATGTAAGTAAACACTAAGGTACAAAATCGGGTAATTTACCCCGCAGCTTTGTCGGGTAAAAAACACAGAAGAAAGACCGCGTTTTACACCGCATTGCGGTGTAAAACGTAAGGTAAATTTACATATAACAGTATACATATTACACACTTTTTTTTAGTTTTACAGATAATTTATATATTTTATAAATTCTTTCTATGTATTTCTATATAAGTTCCTTACTAGCTTGATTGTGAGCTTAAATCTAAGCTTGATTGTGAATTAAAATCTAGCTCAATTGTGAGCTCAAATCCAAGCTCGATTGTGAGTTGAAATCCAGCTTGATTGTGAGTTGAAATCCAGCTCGATTGTGAGCTCAAATCCAAGCTTGATTATGAGTGGGCTCGTGGGTGGGCTCCATCGTGAGCTCCATCGTGGGTGGGCTCGTAGGTGGGCTCCATCGTGAGCTCCATCGTAGGTAGGCTCGTAGGTAGGCTCGTAGGTAGGCTTAATCGTGGGTAAGCTCGTAGGTGGGCTCCATTGTGAGCGTGTAGATAAGATAGTGTTAATAGTTAAGTTTTCAGCTTATGTAGGGTAGGCCGGAGCAACGTTGTTGCGATTAATTGTAGTGCCGGTAATAAGAAATTTAAAAAAATTACTAAGTACATATATACGCAGTGTAAATTTACCTATACGCGGTGTAAAGTGTAAATTTACCCAATTCTGCGGTGTAAAATACCCGGTGCCGGTGTAAATTACCCCGACGCGGTACCTCAGTGAAATGGTTGAGAACAGATCTGCTGGAGCAGTCAAATCTCCAAAATCCAGAACCGAAATCAGTGACACATCCGCAAGTTTGTGATTGATGGCGTGCGGCCTTCCATGACCAGCATTTATGACAATCTCTCACAACTAGCGACCACCAGAGTCGTTTGGCGCAATCCTGCATCTCTCTTGCTAACAGGTTCCCTGTGGAGACTAGCCTGATACGCTAGTTCAATGCAAACATGAAGCCAAAAGCTACTCGTTTCCAACGACACTCGCTCATGACCTTCTGGATTCCACCAGTGCAGAAGACAAGTTGCAGCAATACTAATATGAGGACGCAGTCATAATCGTCTCTCCGACAGGCAGTGCACGTGTCACCTTCGATTTGATCGATATCGCAACGAACCTTCTTTTGTGGCAGGTCATGCACGCTTTTACTGTGCGTAGAGCTCGCTGTTCTTTGTCCTTCGGTGGTGCCATGTCTCCCAACAACTTGAGTGCACCCACAACAAAAACGTCGTAAGTTTTGACTGTACATGGCCAATTGATCAGATCGGGACAGCCGGAACCTCGCCGGGATGGAGTGTGATAGATGACGAAGTGCTCGTGAACGGGTCAGGGCGTTGCAGGGTTACCGTACCCGGTTGCGGGGAATTGTACAACGGGTTCCAGTCGTACAAAGCGACCCAGAGCTAAGGATATGGGGGATACGGGGTGCAAACAGGTGATTGAGAATGCTTGATTGGCACAGGGATCTTGCGACGGTATTCCCGTATTTGCATAGTGTTTTGTGTTGCATATGTGCATATTTGAACCACGAGACTACACTGTTCTATCGACTTTCAGGTCGACGTGGATTTCCGCATCTGACAAAGAAGTACAGACATTACAAGTTGACATCATCGGATGGCTATCGTAACGTTGTAATTGGCACACTATGTTTCCACAGCGCCAGAAGACACACTGCCTGCACCTGTCCCTATTGATCCTCGGATTTGAGGGTCATGATTAGAAAGTATCATCCGATGACTGCTAACGATAGTCAGTAACACCATGAGATGAAATCTTGTCAAAATGAACCAGAATCCATACAGCCATTGATTGAATATTAGTATTTACCGTCTCGCCATCTATGTTTTAGACTTTCGAACCTTGACAGTCAATACTGCAACTGACGATAACCGCTTTAAATCTTGCCAGCACCCACACCAGCTTTTACGACCTTCGACACCTCGTTAAGTTTCGTGAGCTTGTACTGGTATGGTGCTCGCGTAAAGTTACCAACTTGAGTGATGTTAACATCCGCTTGACCCCAGTCATTCTCTGCGGGTGTGGTTAGTATATCGAAGCTATATACATCTTACATAAATTTACTCACTAGCACCAAGATTTGCAAATCCATCCAATTCGTAATCGCCATCCGGGCTGGTGTTGGGAGAATCCTCCGGAATGACCAAGCCGTACGTGGTCAGAGCCGTCTTTGTGTTACCGCGGAAGACGTTGCCCTCAACAAGCATCTGGTTGTCGCTTCGGCTATGAATGGCTTGATAGAGGAAATCCTCGTATAGGTTGTTGTAGATGTGTTGATGACCAAAACGTGCAGCTGGACCTCGGGTACCTTCGTTCTTCCAGTAGTTGTGATGGTACGTCACATGTAGATGGCCTAGATCAACGTCTCTCAACGCATCGCTATTGCCAACAAGGGAGCTCTTCCAGTGATCGTGGAGATAATTCCAAGAGACGGTGATCCAGTCGCTTGCACGGATGATATCAACCTGGCCGTCTGTATAGTCAGGGCCAGCTGCAGGGAAATTGCCAGATGTAAACTCATTGTGATCAACCCACACACGTGTGCTGTTTCGAATCGTAATGCTGTCGTCACCTACGATTTGTTTGATGATAAAGTTGCGGATGATTACATTCGTGGCATTTGAGATTGTGATGCCGGCTCCAGTGATCTCGGCTCCGTGACCATGGCCAAGTAAAGAGATGTTGTTCCCAACCCGTAGACGGGAAGTCAGGTTGAATTTTCCTTTCGCGTAGACAATCCTTGGTAGGTCGCCGGCGACAGCTGACACAAGTGCTGCGGGAGAGGTCACTGTGATAGTCTGGCTACCTTTGCCGGCACCACCAGTCGTTGGTCCAACTGGATTGTCCTTGGCGAACCCAACCAGACTGAAGTCGGAACGGTCGGCAGATGCAAGGAGTGCAAGGGAGAAAAGAGAAATAAAAGATAACTTCATCTTGCGGCGCGGGAGATGGCGGGCTGAAAAAGGCCAGCAGAGTCTGGATCCTGTGTTTCAAGTTGGACACCGGTAGCATCTTCTATCTTATAGTTCATGATGTGCATAAAGAAGGGGTCGCATCAGTTCAAGGGTAGAGTTGAAATTCTTCCGGGTGGACAGCTCGTGGCGTAATGTACCAGGTTCCAAGAGGCAGGTCTCCGAGGGGCGTAGGACATGTCATCGCCTCGATACCACAATCTTTCAGAACCAGTGCTTACTGTGGCAGCATAGAGAGTATATAAAAGTGCAAGATGGCTTTTCGAGGTTCTGATGAATGGTGGAAGAAACCGACCCCATATTTTCCAGTCTTGGATGAATGGCTTGGCCGCCCTTGGCAGACTGAGGAAGCGGGGAGGACTTGGTCTGGTCCATACCTCACGCTTGATTCTATCAAGTCTGTTCGACCCTGTAAGCAACTTCCACCAGTGTTCTCTTTCCAAGCGTTCATATCATCCCGTGTGTCTTTAATCAATTTTGTAATATCCCTGCTCATTTTCCGTCACTTCGCTCCTGCCTTCCACGTGTTGGCTATACAAATATACATCTCTACCCGTACAACATGCTTTCACACCGCCAGGTTCTACTTGTTAACCCTGGAACCACAAAAGTTGAAGTTCGAGAAAGGTACTACGTCCTTTCCAGGAAAATCCATCTTGGCAGCGGCCAGGTGGAAGACCAGGTGTTCACCATGGCCTTGCTGAATAGGCAGACGATCAACCGGTGGATTTTTCATAGCCTGAAGAGGTTGCAGACGTAGGAAATACGCCATGTAGGCAACATTTCATGTGGGTATAGGGGCGAAAGCTGATTGTTACTCAACTTGGTACCTGAGTTGATTGAGAGAATGAAACGTGCATGATGGGTGGTGTAAGTGATGGTGAGGCACCAGATGGTAAGCTATATGCAGACAGCATTGATCACATCTTTTCGTCGATGAACCATAAAACGGTTCAATCACTTGGACCCGAAGAAACTCGAACTCCTGTCGCATCACCCTCCAGAACATCGCCTACTGGTCGAATCCGTAGGTCTGCTCACCGATGGGAACATAATAGCATCTCTGCGTCGTAGATCTGCCATGATAATCATCTTTCCACAGCAGCATAAATGAGTGACGATTGGAGGGCGAGCCAGCTTGTCCGGAAGACTCTCAGGAAAATGGGTGCGAGCGGCGATATTAACTCCTGTATCCTATGTCATATGACACACTGTGACCAAATAGCAAACGGCCAGTGATAGCGGTGACTTGCGCATCTTTTCGGGAGGGAGGTGCTGCAGAATGTTGCGAATAACAGGGTGCGAGCACGTTGACGTTGCGTAAAGAAAGTGTTGCCAAGTTAGTAGGACGATATGGAAGACTGAACAAGAAGATTACGGAACGACGAATACGTGCTGTGGCAGCTCACTGAAAGTTTTGATCTTGAAAGTCCTCCAGGATTCCCCCAGCAGACATAGCTTCTCGCTGATGGAAAACAAGTGACAAAGTGATGAATCTTCAAGCGGAGTCCAGTGTACATGTTCACTGAGGATGAGGGAAACAATGTTTGCAACACCTGCCGACTTCTTGATTCGATGCTTACGGTCTGTCCCAACGATCATACCAACACGAAACCATAACTTCGCAGATGGCTAACTCACAGCGATAGAGATTGTGTGTAAGGTCCTTCACCCAATCTATAGCTTCCGTGTTCTGGAGATCAGAACAGGTGGCATTTGTAATGGCCTCTTGCATGCTGTGAATCCTTGTGGAGTCGGATGTTTCCTGTCAAGCCAGAAATTCCAGAGCATGACTGAGGTCGTACTTGATGCCCAATATAACAGTAGCGCAGATGGTAAAGCCTGACAAAGTGGCCCAATGACCAGTGCCAGACCCATCAAGGTTCTCCGAATCGCAAGTGGCCATTTAGCATCGCTACTGACTGTGTTCTTCGAGCTGTAGATATTGGCGAACATGATTGCGGAGACGACAAACGGTAGAGTCCCGGTAGGGTCAGGAAGCAACAAGTCCTGGAACCATAGCATTCCCTCGTTTGCAAGCGACGGCTCGAACCAAGGGTTGTTGGTCATAGCAACTCCATGTATACTAGGAACGACTTCTTCACTTTTAAATGCAGAGAAACCCATAGCCAGCAATCCGTCCCTCGCCCCACACATCTGCCTGATAACTTCCGCCATTGTGAAGAAAATCGGAATCTGCGCAAACGTCCAACTGATCTGTCCCCGTAGCGTTACATTCCACCTCTTATCGAGCTTCGCAACTTCCTGCTTCACTTCCTTCTTGACCTGTACTACGCCCTCCTTGGGATGTCGGAAGTTTCCGCGCTTGAGCACTTCATCGCGCTTGTGAAAGGCAAGGGCTTGTCGCAGGGGATGCAGGCCGATATAACGTGCAGTGAGGGACCGTGACCAGGATCCGGCTGTGGTAACAAGTAGAGCGCGAGTGAGGAAGGCCGTGAGTGGAATGGCAGCGTACCAGGGGACTTGTGTGTGGATGAGGGACATCATCTCATGCGGTAGGTAGAGGATCGCATCCAAGACTGGACTTGATCGCGCAGTAGATGCATGAAAGGCGCGTGTTCGTGGAATCGTGCATTTTGTTTTAGATGCCACAAAGCCCCGCGAGACCGATTGGCACGTCGACTGCCGTAGTAGCCTTGAGGGAAGCATGTCGTCGTGCACATCCGATGTTTCCAGTTTCTCAGGTCAGGTCGTTTCCCTCGCTTGAGAAGAAGGCTTGGCAGGGTCCACGTCACGCTAATGCACCACCGTGTCATCCTACCTGTCACAAGCTTCGCGTACCATTCACACGAATCTAGCATCTCTCTTGTTGTTCGCTGCGATACCCTGGGCTTTTGTTTCTTCATGATGCATCTCTTAGCTGCCGTCCTTTCGTTGCTCATTCCTCTCCTTATATCACTTGTTTTCATTCCCAAAGTCTTCCGCTTCCTGGCCGAAACAATAGGATTCCATCTCCGTCGATCATCCCGTACTAGACGGGAGCTGCTACTGGCCAGGGTTGAGACTGAGAAGGGCAAGTATGGTGCGGAACACAAGGATGAGACGAAAGACGACGATGACTGGGAGAATGTTGTATCGACAACTACCAGCAGCGCAGTAGATATGGAGAAAGCAGACAAGAACTGGAACGGCATCGTGGGGTTCTTCCACCCTTTCTGGTACGCCTGCAGAGTCAGATCACAAGCAATAGTCGCCGCTGACAGGTGTCCTGTAGTAACGCAGGCGGCGGTGGTGAACGAGTCCTCTGGGCAGCCATTCGGGCAACGCAGAAACGCTGGCCACAAGCTGTTTGCGTAGTGTACACAGGCGACCATGATGTCGACAAGATTGAGATACTCAAGCGCGTCAAGGATCGCTTCAACATCCATCTCCACCCGCCGACCGTCCACTTCCTGTACCTCACGACGCGCAATTGGGTCCTTGCTAGCAGATGGCCACGCTTCACGTTGCTGGGCCAGTCTCTCGGCTCTTTGGTCCTCGCGTACGATGCGTTTACGCTTCTTGTCCCGGATATCTTCATCGACACAATGGGATATGCGTTCTCTCTCGCCTTGTCCTCGTTTTTCTTCCCCACAGTACCCACCGGCGCATACGTTCATTACCCTACTATCTCGACCGATATGCTCGATTCTCTACAGGCAGGAGGACAAGGAGTCAACGCAGGGACGGGAAAAGGGTACCGCGGCATGGCGAAGAAAAGATACTGGCAGCTTTTTGCGCAGCTCTATAGTAAAGTCGGTAGCACTATCGATGTGGTAATGACGAATTCGACCTGGACGCAGAGCCACATCAAGTCACTTTGGGGGCCCCAGCGTGATCAGCGCAGCAATTCTCCGTACAACGACATCGACGTTGTCTTCCCACCAGTCGCAGTTGAGGAAGTTGCCGAGGCCGTTGAAGTTTCAGAGGCGAGCGAGAAGAAACGCGGTCCCGTCATCCTCTGTATCGCACAGTTCCGGCCCGAGAAAAATCACCCGCTCATTCTCGAAGCATTTGCTTCATTCCTACACTCAAACCCTAAGCTATCTGCTTACCCCAACGAAACGCCGAAACTTGTGCTCATTGGCTCAGTACGAAACTCTCACGACGACGCAACGCGAGTGTACAATCTGCGGCTTCAGGCTCATGAACTTCATATCAAAGACAATGTCGAGTTCTTATGCGACGCGCCTTGGCCACAGATGCTCGAATGGATGAGCAAAGCAAGCGTAGGGGTGAACAGCATGTGGAACGAACATTTTGGAATTGGGGTAGTCGAATACCAGGCGGCGGGATTGATCTCGGTGGTGAACGACTCCGGCGGCCCGAAGTTGGACATTGTGGTTGAGGTGGACGGGAAACCCACTGGTAAGTTGGCATTGTCCCAATGACATTTGTCAGTAAATGTTACAGTGAATGCTGACAGCGATCAGGTTTCCACGCTACAACTGCGGCCCAATACGCAGAAGGGTTCCGTAAAGCTCTTACAATGTCTCCAGAAGAAACGCTCGCGATGAGACAGAGGGCTCGCAAGTCAGCAGAGCGATTCACAGATCAAGGATTCGCAGAGAGATGGTTGCACAACATGGAGAAGTTAGTTACACTACGGATCGAGAGGACGAAGAACTGATTCAAGGTAAAATATCATTGACGAATAGGGTGTCCATAGACGTATTTGGATTTCTCCTATGATACCACAGCTTGATATTGAGTGGAGCAACATTGTCTTGTAGGTGTTGCGTGTAGGCGAATCCAACTAAAACCCAATCCGTTGGTAATAACTTTTCCCTTTGTATTTCTTCCTGCTCTCTTTTATCTACGTGGTTGCGAAACGCGTCAGAAAAGGTATTGATGTGCGAGAGCGTGCTGAGCTACATCGTCTTCTTATGTTTAACCCAACCCAATCCCAGGGTGGTTGGATAGGACGACAAGCTTTATTAAGAAACGTGTCTTGATGAGCTGATACACACCCATAGGTCCCTAACTCCCTTCTTCCACCCTGATTCTGCACTGTTCCTCGGTCAATCCATGCTCGACCGCTAAGCATAGTGTCAATATGGCGACTCTGAAGACGAAAAAGACATACACAGCAGTAGGACTGTACGTACGAGGGAGGAACTCGGATTGTGCAAGATTGACACTGATAGAAATAACAGTCGAGGGAAGCCGAAATTAAAATCGTGAAGCACGACGATAACAAGCGTCAAGTCTTTGTAGTCCTGTACCCCTCCTCGTTCATTACAAGCTTCGTGACGACCTGACCATGATCTGGGCAGGTTCTCGATATGTAACTATCGTTTCCCTTGTGGCTCGTACAGTTATATAACGAGAGTGTGAGCAGAGCGCAAGTAGGGGATGTCTTGAGCATGGATTCTGAGATGACTAGGGGAGTGAATGACCATTTTAGTGGCTATGACAAAAGCGGAGAGGCGAGTTCAAATAATCAAGAAATTATAACTTATGCAATCCTGAAACAGTCCATCTGTCAAATGGATCGGTTCTACTGCGATCATACTTTGTATCGCCTGAACCTCGACCATATTAAACAATCAGGGCAACGTCTCCTTACAAGAAGGGTCACTCTCTTACACATCCATGTACTCTTTGCCATGACGTAGTTCTATGGCAGAGAGGACTTGCGGCAAACATAGTGGATACGGAATTGATGGAAGTCTGAAACATCACGTCGCAAATCCAGATGTGTGCTTTTCGAAGTATTCCATTGACCTGCCGACCTATACATATCTCATGACGCCGTCATTGTGTTCCGTTAAGGCCCATTTCAAGCCGTGTCACTGTATCGCCGTGACTAATCCCATCCCACAATTGGAAAATGCCGCTGGTCCGTTTTGAGCAACCCCGAGAAAGGCAAATGTCGAAGAAAGGAACGAAAGAATGCGCTTAGTCGAAAAGACCGAAACCCATATCCTCGTCTGACTCCTCCTTCTCTGTAGTGATGTGTTAGTTTCCGCGCCTGGTTCATGTGGGGTAGTTGGAAGAACGTACCCTCCTCCTTCTCCGCCTCAGCGGGCGCAGCATCGTCACCGCCGGAGGCAGCAGCAGCAGCACCACCGGAAGCGGCACCAGCGGGAGCACCGCCGGAGCCGACGTTCAGGAGCAGGTCCTTGACATCCTTGCCCTCGAGAGCCTGTCCACGTATCAGATACCGCCTGCCTGTGCCATTTCAATCGTTCGCGCGCACCTTGGCGAAGAGTGTTGTCCAGATGGGCTCGACCTCCTCGATCTTTGCGGCCTTGATGATAGACTGGAGCTTGTCGGCCTAGCGATGTTAGCAACTGTGCCCGTAATTGCACCCGGGGATTCGCACAGTGATGTCGACACCGTCATCGGCGAGGATGAGAGCGGCGTAGGAAGTGGCGAGCTCGGAGGTAGACATTGCGGCGGTCTTGATCTTGAATTGTGTCGTGATATCGAAGTCGTTCAAAATCGATGAGGTTGAGCGGGTTGGGAGTGCGCGAATACCTAAGCGAGAGAGCCAAGCGGCGGGTCCGCGAAGGGAAATACCGATCCCTAACGTGGACTAGCGTGAACAGTGACTGACTTCAAGAGTAAGAGTCGACAAACAGATGTGATTGAATTTGAGGGTTGAGTAAGCGACAAGTGACAGAGATCAAGTAAGCCTACTACATAAGACTACATATACTGTATGTCGAAACAGCATCCAGGGTGCAGCTTGTGAGAACAAATTTCGACCCCTCTACGTGATCCTAACTGCTAGGTATTTGAACAGCACTCTTCCATGTTCACCTTCCTTTTCATGACCTTGATCTTCGCCTTTCTTGTAATGAATAAGTGTCTCTAGTACTCAATATCTACTACAAGGATCAGTTCTTGACAATATGCGACTGCATTGATTTAGAACAAGTGGTTGAACCCCTCTTCTTGAAGTTCAAGCACACAGACCTCCACATACTTCAATTCAACACCACTCTTCAGCTTTTTCTATCCGCATCTCACCTTTGGCAAGTGCTGAAGTTTCTAGGATCAGATGAGCGTGGTTTTAGCAGGGACCTTTTCTGTGATTGTCTTTCTTATCTTTCCTATTAGAGGAAAAATATCCAGAAGCCTTAATTGCTGTGAACAATTTCCGGAGTTTCTCTACGCTAGACAGTATAGAATAAAAATGTAATACATACACAATAATTGAGGTTTCACTTGTCAACACAAGGTGATGCTACTTAGCCTTTGCTGTGGTGTTTTCGGAGCTATCTAGATGACGTCAGCTGCGGCTGATCACTTTTGTCCAATGAGCGCAGATTACGAAACATCAAGTGACGCACCTTCCCCGCTCGTGTATTCCAACGCGCTGCTCACCCGAATTGGTCCAGCTGCAAACAACGCTTTTCTTAAGCTGCAGTCTATTCTTGTGCTGAAACCCAACCACACCACCGCCGAATAATCCGTCTGGCCGTCGCACATTAACGGCTACTGCACATCATGACCGACTCTCCCATAGTGCGCATTCCGCTGGACCCGAAGGAGCAGCCGATTCTCGACAAACTGCAATCAATACGGACGCAGCTCGAGTTACTAAAGCGTGACCGCACGACATATGTTAAGAGCCAGGATGTTCTCAGTCTGTATGATCAAGTCGTTGAACAAGTGATGGTTTTGAACGAAATACGGGTAACGAAGCGACTCGAGCAGAATAAAGGTAGGCGTTTATGTAAATGTCGATTATCAATTTCGCTGACGTCTTTGCTATCATATCAGTCGATTATATGTTGGACGACTGCTTCCAACTCATCTCGCTCGCGTACATGACAGTAGGAAAGAACCATGAACCTCCAGCGGTGTACGTTACCAACTTCTTTGATCTCCACCAGAACTAATCATTCCATAGATATTCATACATCTCAACAGCAAAAGTGAGCACAAAAAACCATCTCCATAATTCTCCAATTAACCTCGACAGCGTCTCTTGGATCATCTAAAGGAAGCTACGTTTTATTCGTCGCAAGATCTAGAAGCACTCAAGAAGCAGCTCAGTGACTGCCGGCGCTACGTTGAAAGAGGCAGAGACGCCTACAGCCCCCACCTTCTCACACTACTCGATGCTCGCATTCAGGTATGCGAGGAGACGTTGGCGGATCTGGAACTCAGCATATCAGGGCTTACTCCTGAGCTCACACCGAAATGGGACAAGTTGGTATCTATACTCAGATCTCTGTCCGCGGCCAATACCAGATCGAAGGTGAAGATCAATGCACCCCGTCGAGATTTCATACTGACTGGGTTCGCAGTTCGATCTCAACGAGGTCAATGAATTATCCGAGCAATTGGAAAAGGTTCAGGAAGAACTCAAGCCATTCGGAATCCGTGCGTTTGAGAGTGATGGCTCCGCAGAAGAAAAGTTTGCCGAGATGGTCGACAAGATGCAACTCGACATGACCAACTCCGAGCCAGCTCCCGAAGCGAAGATTCTAATCGAGAATCTCCTGCGGCGCAATCTTCTCTGGGTAACCGTGTGCAAGCAAAGGTTAGCCTCACCTGTAATTCGACAAACTTTTGCTGACTGGTACGCCTAGACAAGGTCGAATAGCGCCCGCGTTCCAAGACACATACAACAAACTCGCTGCCATCCGGAACAAGCTCGAAAAACTCACACTCACTCAAGCCTGGTCTCTCCGTGAGACAGATCTCTGGGATTTTCAGCGTCAACTTGACCGTATTGACGAATCGCGTGTTGACGGCAACTTCCTTGACGCGCTTGGGAGACCCGCGGATATCTACGAGCAAAGGGTGTGTTGGCACACTTCGAATTAGAAGATGAAACTAACAGGCAAACAGATATTGCTTTACTTTCTACGAAAGAGCTACGCCGTCATATACCAATTGTTGCTCACATCGGAACCAGTATCTGAGGCTCTGCAACCGATTTACAATCAGCTGACGACTCTGCGGAAATGCCTGGTCGAGGTGAAGAAACTGGGTGGTGTCTCTTCCCCGAGAGAGCTGTACCCATATAGCATGAAGGTTCGCTAGTTCTGGGTCGCGTCTACTCTCTCTTTACTAACACAAACGTAGCTGAACTCTATCGACAACATGCGCGTAGACGGAAAGTTCATGATTGGCGACGAAATCCCCGACGGACAAGGAAGCCTTACACACCTGCTCGAAGAGTGCTTCGAGCTTGCCTACGAACTGAGAAACGACGCCGAGGATGAAAGCTCTGCCGAACCAACCCCTCAAAGCGAGACTCCAGGCGAAACCGTCCCAGCGTGATTATCGTGCACTTTCGTCTCATTAGCCGCGAGAGCTTCAACACCTGCCCTCACTGTCTTTTCGAAGAGTTTATATCTACCCGCTCTCGGCGTTCACTCGAGTTGTATCTGGAGGAGCTGTTCCATTTCTTCTTCTGGCGGCGGAGGAGTCGGGGCGTCCGTGTCCTTGAAGGTCAGACGACTTCCATACGAAATACCTTTATATCATCATTATCATCAGAGAAATCGCAATCATGCATCGTCGTTTGTGTTTGTGCACTCACAAAGCTCCTCCCCAGCTCGTATGTCTCGCAACGCTCGATACGTGATGATTTCATGCTCTGCGTTTCGCTCCCATGACACGTTTTGCTCCTGCGTCGAGTGGTTGAACATGGATCCCAGCCCGAAGACGACTGCTTGCGCTATTCGCTTTTTGCCGCTTTCATCCGCTACGGGCCAATTACTTCACATTGCCCAACCCAGTCAGCGCATGGTCGACAGTTTGCAGTGTGTATTAAAAAAAAGAAACCTACTACGTGTAATGATACAGCGCCGTCCGCCCAACATACAGCGCATTCTCCTCCAGCCCCAGAACCAGCACCGTGCAAACATCCACAACGGTCTTGGCGGGTATATCTTTCGTAGCGAAGACTCCGCGCCCTGCATGCGTGAGGGGGTTCCAGTCAGCTCCTTGCGCTCCCGATGGATTGGTTTTTCTACATGATGGGAGGGATGGGTTCAAGACCTTTTGGCGTGTCGAGTTTGATTTCTAGATCGGGACAGCGATGGAGCGGGATGGCGGACATGGTTGGGTGGTTTGGATTGGGTGTGGATGGGGGTTTTTTGTGTGGTGGTTTAGGGCGATGCGGACGGGGCGGAGATGCCCCGCTTTTCAGCCGCCGCCGCCGCCATTGTCGTGTATCTATCGAGCCCGCTCGTCGACTTGCACTCCAACATCGAAGCTCGACGTCGAAGGTGGGACACACATGGCTCACCAGCGAAACCAGTCCATGGGCGACTCGCTCAAGTCGCCGCACTCGGTGAGCTTGAAAGTGCTGCGGTACGTTAACCCCCCGCTTGCGACCTCGACGTGGCTAACACGCAAGCGCCAGACTCTCGCGGCCCTCACTCGCAACGCAACACGCGCTGCCCAACGCGCAGGACCTAGGCATCTCGCCCAAAGCCTCTCTCGCGTATCCCTCAGGCGACGCCAACACAAACGACGCCTTCATACTCAGCCCCGTGCTCAACCTCCCCGAGGCCTTCGGCAGCGCATATGTGGGCGAGACCTTCTCGTGTACGTTGTGCGCGAACAACGAGCTCGATCCCGCGGATGCGAGTCGGACTATTTCAGGCGTGAGGATACAGGGCGATATGCAGACGCCGTCGAATCCTGCGGGGTCGCCGCTGGACCTCGCGGGCGCAGAGGGCGAGGATGCAGCGGCGTCGCCGGGGCCGGGGGAGTCGCTGCAGCGTATCTTGAGGTTTGAACTCAAGGAGGAGGGGAATCATGTTTTGGCTGTTACGGTCACGTATACGGAGACGGTGCTGGGGGAGGGGAGGGCGGCGAGTGGGAGGGTGAGGACGTTTCGCAAGTTGTATCAGTTTGTTGCGCAGCAGTTGTTGAGTGTTAGGACGAAGGCGGGGGAGTTGGGGGCTAGAGGGGGGGTGGAGAGGTGGTTGCTTGAGGCGCAGTTGGAGAACATGGGGGAAGGGAGCGTGGCGTTGGAGGTGAGTGATATGTGGTGTTTGTTCCCTTGGATCGAGAACAACAACTGATACACAGCAGGCAGTCAGCGTGACACCCAAGGCACCACTTCGCTCGACGTCTCTCAACTGGGATATGCAGTCGCCAGGACCACGCCCGGGCAATGCTCCAATACTAACACCGCACGATGTCATCCAAGTAGCGTTTCTTCTGGACCACCAGCCTGGCAGTGAAGAGGAAGACGATGCTCCACCGGCAGACCGAAGGGTGCTGGGGCAGATGCAGATTCAATGGCGAAGTGCGCTTGGTGACCGGGGTTCTCTGAGCACCGGGTGGCTGACTAGCCGGCGCTGAATGTTTGCGCCATTGTTCAATCGCGCATTTAGGTTGCCCCAGAACAACAAGTTTTTAGATCGGTGCTTGCAGCGCATGATCGAGATGATGGGGCGTCCGGAGTATGCTCCGGGATGCTCTTTCAAACAACAGGGTGCGGCTGGACGCTATGTTTGGAACGCGATCGTGTGTGTGGGTTGGAGTTGCTTGGCAACCATGACCATGATACGGTGTTGGTGTGGTGGTAAATTGGATGCATCACGTACGCGGACTTTGCCATGGTCACTGTCGCAGGGCGAACGAAGTCAAGCTTTGGGCTTTGCGTTCCTCTGTTTGATGAGCCGGGCGGGCTGGCGGACCGGAATGCAGTGAAGGCAGCCCCTTGCAGTGGTGGTGCAGGCGCAGAGGTGACGGGAGCGGTTTGGAGGCGACTCTACTTGAAACTGGGCCCGTTGGTGGTGAAGCGTGGTACGGCGTGCACGATGGGAATAGATACGAGCGCCACATCTGGGAGAGATGTCCTGGGCGCACGATGCAAGGTACCCCAGGTCTTTGGCGGTGGGTCTGTGCGCTCGACGAGGAAATCTCAATTTAGCGAACGATTCAAGGGTCTGCGATCGGCGAGAGGAAATGAAATGAGGTCGATGGCGAGCGCAGGTCAGCGATGCAGGGTCCTGTGTTTGTCAACAAGTGACTGCCACGATCGAGACAACGCCGTGGTTCTGAGACGCCAGCAGTGTGTGTTTGGTGGGGGTTGTGCACTTTCCCCTGCAGTAGCCCCAGGCGGGCGACATGTCACGTCGGGCATAAAGACGACGACGGCACACTGCGTGCATGCATGGCGGATGCGAGTCGCAGAGTGTGCACGGGCAGGCACGGCGGGCGGCGGATGACGAATAGGGACGTGTGTCGACGTTGGGCGGTGGATGGTGATTTGGGTGTGGGGTACTGGCGGCGAGTGAAACCTGATTGTGCAGGCTGTGGGACGTGGCGTCCGCATTGGGAACCGATGCTCGCGGGCCTTCCCAAAGCGTGCCGTGTTTCCTGGCGTTATTGCCGAGCTGGCGGATGCAGGCTGTGGAGAAAGCCATGCGCATGGGAGCGTTCATGTGTGCTTTTTGCAGACGTCGTGGGTTGCAAGGCGCCAGGCACCACGGGCGCGAGTCGTGTGAGGCCGGGTGTGGACGACGACGGCGCGGTGCCTGCGTCTGGCGAGGCGCTCTAGCTGTTGACAGGTGCGCAGGTGCGCAGTCGCGGCGTGAAGACGAGCGGGTGGTGCACTAGCCTCGATGCTCGACGCTGCGATAAGGGAGGACGGGCGCTGGCTCTGGTTCTGGCGAGCGCGCCCTGATACGTCTGCCCTGGGACCGAAGACGCTCCGTCTACCCGCGCCTCTGCACGCTTTGCACAAGACTCCGCCAGTTCCTCTGCACCGCGCAGTGCCCTCCTCTCGCTGCATCTTCGCCGCGCCTCCCTCTACACCTCCCCCCCGCCCGTCTCGCCCTGCGACACGGCACACGGCAGCGTTGCGAGTCGCCGTCCAATCCCCAATGCCCTGGGTCCGCGGCCACACTCGACGCTTGCACGCTTGACTGGCACGGCCAGCTTTTTTGGACCTCCCATGCCCTAGCCCAAACATACACACCCACTCCCTCCCTCTCTCTGCCTGCCCTCGCCGCCATGGCGCCCAAACCCCCCGTCGACGCCTCGTCCGCCCCGCTCGCCGACTTCTTCTTCATATCCGGCATCGAGTCGGCCCAGGTCTACGACGAGCGCACACAGCCCAACGGCGCCGTCTCGCCGCTCGCCTCGCCGCCCGTCGACGAGACCATCGAGGAGGACTGCGCCCTCGAGACGGATGCCAGCCGCCCCACGTCGCAGGACGGCCTGCCCGCGCCCGACAGCACCCGCCAGCGCTCGACGCGCCTGGACGACCACCGCCAGTCGAGCGGCACCATCATCGGGCCCGACTTCAAGCAGACGGCCAGCAACCGCAGCAGCACCCAGACCATCAAGGGCCTGCCTGTCGCCGGCGCGGGCCTCAACGACGTCGACTTTGAGCATGCCCTGCGCAAGTTTGCCAATGAGCGCGAGTCGTTCCTCGAGGAGATCCAGTTCACCACGGGCATCGTCCAGCAGAACCGCCCCACGCCTGCCCGCCCGCGCCCGCGCCCGCCGCGCGTCCAGCCGACGACCTTCAACAACACCAAGGAGGGCCCCGGCAATCTCAGCTCGGGCGTGGGCAGCATCCGCCGGCGCTTGTCGACCATGCAGAGCAGCCTGAAGAGGCAGTCGTCGACGGCGCGTCAGTGTAAGTGCAGCGCCCTGTCCATGCGCGTTTGGTGCGACGGGCGGCGTCGTCTGCCATTTGCTTTTTACCCGACCCCCGCTGACATGACACAGCCTCCATCCGAACATCAAAGCGCATGTCCGGCTACAACTCGGTCATCCCCACGCCACAGCCCTTCAACCCGGAGCCAAACATGCACCCGCTCCTGCGCCGCTACGAGCCCGTCCTACTGGATCGGTACCCACCCAAGAACATGGTCGAAGAACTCAAGCGTCGGAACCCCTTCCCGGACTACGTCCCCATGTTTGCTTTCCCCAATGACGTGAGCGTCGTGTCATCTGACGAGCGCCCCAAGTCCCAGTGGCATGGGTTCGCAATGACCAATGGGGATGGTACCAAGCTGTACGGCATCTGCCTGATCGTCTGGCTGCCACTGAACGCCACGGCTGCCGAGGGCCTCGAGCACCAGTGCGCGGAATGGCGGAGAGTGCACATGAACCCCGAAGAGCGGGAGCTGGCGAGCAGTCTGGGAGAGCGTCTTGCGTTGGAAAGGGCGAAGCTGTCACGGCTCTTGACCCAGCTCTCCACGGTTGCCCCTGAATCCGAGGAACGAGAGAATCTGGAAGATGAAATCGGCGCAGTCGAGGAGAAGATCCAGCTTATGACTGACCTCCTCCGCCCAGTGAGGCACGGCGCAGCTTCCAAGATTGAAGGTCTGACCGATGGAGAGACGGGCCTTTGGATTCCACGCGCCTACGGTGTCATGGGGAGAGATGTCACGCTGACGGGTTTCTGGAAAGAGTGGCTCAAGGCCGTCATCGTTCCCATGACAAATGGCGCAGTTTTGCGAGTCCCTGCGAGCTCTCCGAGAGTGGGCATGTGGCAGCCGCTCGAACGATACGTCGTCAATCTCTGCGCCGAAGCCCTGAGCCCGATAACGTCCATCACCCAGGTCGAGATTGCAATCCGCGACCTACGACTGTATGCTCGGAAAGAGGCCGTCAACGAGTTTCCCGGCTCCCGTAACATCGACATCTATGCCCTTTTCCGATGTCTTTCGATTCCCAACATCGTCACCCTGTTCGAATACGTACTCTCAGAGGCCAAGATCATCCTGCTGTCGTCTCATACAGCTATGTTACACCTCGCGAGCACGGCGATAACAAACCTGTTGTACCCCTTCCAGTGGTGTGGCGTGTTCATTCCCGTTCTTCCCGCTCGCCTTGTACAGACAATCGAAGCGCCATGTCCATACATTGTCGGGATCGAGCGCAGATATGAGCCAGCAGATTATCCCGAAGACGACTATGTGCTCATTGACTTGGATAACAACTCCATCGTTTCCAACGGCCCTCCACCGCCGCCACTGCCTCGCCAGCAACGACGGAAACTAACATCCCTACTACAGCTCTCCGCCTCACACCATACACGCTATGGTGTTCCCACAGGTCCTCCCGCATATGCCGTGGAGGCTTTCCCATACGACACGTTTGCCTCGGAAAACCCTGGCGTTTTCTCACACCGAGCACATCCTTCGAATGTTCACACATATGTTGGGCTAAACTCGACATCATTTGGCACAGTTATTGGACCACCTAGCTCAAGGCCCGTCATCTACAACGCCTTCTTACAGTCGACAGCACATAGTCGTGGGAACGACAGGCCATCAACATCAAGTACAGTAAGAACTTACTCGAACTCCCCACCATCTCCAAAGGTATCTCCAGTCTCCACAGTTTTCCCGCCCATGCCTAGCACTCCCATCTCCAGAAGCGACTCTGGATACGCTCTCCAAGCCGGTCTTCGTGAAAAGCGGTCAATGCACTTTGAAACTTCGTCCCGGCGTAGTTCTTCGGTTAGACTCAAGAGCTTCCACGTGTTTGGATCACAGGCTAACTTTGCTAGTATGGGTTCGATCACGTACCGCCAATGAGGCGACCCAGCCAGCCGCTCCTTGGCCATGCTCCGAGCGCTTCGACTTCATCGTTGAGTCATGAGATCCATGCGACGGCGTCGTCATATGCACCGTCGGTGTATGCGCAGTCCACACTCGCCGCCTCGACGATCATGCCTGGTATGGCAGTGCAGCCTGTACGCAACACATCAACAGTGCAGTGGCAAGAAGGTCATTGCATGCATTGGAGGCCCAACGAAGACAAGGCTACGTGCTCAGTCTGCGACGAAAAGTCGGACGACGGACTTTATCGTTGTACTGGTACGTTTCACCCCACTTTAGCGCAACCCATCTCTAACAAGTCACAGGTTGCAGCACATACGCACATGGTAGATGCGTCGGTGCTATTTGCATCGTATGCCCCACAGCCTTCCGACCCGACCAAGTCCGCGCGTCGTTCGTTCGGTGCTTCGCTAGCCTCCTGTATACGTATCGCCGGTACATGGTCCCTGCGACTGGTGATCGGAAGAAGGCTGGTATGATCTACCAGTTCAAGATGGATGAGTTTATGAAGAGTTTGCCTGGTGAGAACGTGCAGTACTTGACGACGTTACAGCAGACGCAAGGTATGTGTCCCCACATCGTTATAGAAAATGATTTGCTAACGACTATGCAGCTTTCAACGAGTTTCTTCACGAACGCGAGAGCAAGCGTCCTGACGATCCGACTATCAAGCTCTTCGACGAAGTCATTCTTGCAAAACGCAACCGTGGCAAGAGCTCTTTCTTCTACAAGAGCAGAGTAGACTTCCTATCCGACACAACAGATCACCTATGGCGCACTGCGAGTGCCACGCCGCCCAACTCGAGGTTTCCAGGGGAGTACACTGCTGTCATCAGTAGAAGTGAGTTGCCCCCTCCGCCCAATTCCGAACCAGACTAACCAGTTACTAGTCCCCGCCAAGCTCGACCCCACGCTCATGAAAGAACCCCGCGTCATCCAAGGCGTGCCTCGTCTCCCCATGGCAAAAGCACGCCGGAAGCCGTGTCCCAGCATGCTAGGCCCGAATGGTCTGGCTCTCCCTGCGTCATGAACGCTAAAACACACACGCTTTGTTCCAACAACGCCGACTTCACGACCCTCCGACGCCCACATACCCATGTCCCCCGCTTTTTTCTCCTTTTCCCTTTTTGTGTCTGCAGCGCCATGTATAATATCCAGCGATGGCGTTCCTCGGCGTTTCTTTTCTTGGCGTTTCAAAAATCCAAATACTATCTTTTGGACGTGGATGGGCTACTACCTACCTAGTGCTAGGCTATCTATGCCCAGACTTGGTTGGGCGGTTTGGATAAATCAACCCCCTCCCCTTGGTTTTGGGAAATTCTTGCATCTACAGTGGGGAAGTGGGGGGCTTCACTTCCCCTTCCTCATATCCTCGTTCTTTCCCCCTCTCTCTCTCTTGCTCTCTCTTGCTCGCCTTTTCAGGGACCAAAATTGCATATCTAAGGTCGATGTGCTTGGGATGGTATATGTGTCTGGGACCATCCTTTCTTAGGAAACGCGCGTGTATATTCTTTTGTAATACGTATTTTATTGCGGTGGAGAGGGGGCGTGTATAACATTTGGATTTGGATGCGGGGTTAGAGTGTGGTCGGGGGGTGGAGATAGAATTTGCATAGCTGGTTATCGTTATGTGCATGTTCTACGCGTGTATGTGTGGTTTTGTAGGGGGTTAGAGATTTCCCCCTTTTTTTCCCTCTCTCTCTCTTTCTCTCTATCTCTCTGTGTGTGTATTCTACCTCTCTTCCATACCTACATCACCCCACTAGTCGGCTTTAGTCTCGATATATCAACCACCTACTCATCCATCCACTTGCCACGTCGTTCCTCATTTGCTTGCCTATTCTCCGCATAACTATCTGTCACTGCACTTCATTATAACGTTTTTACCTCTCTTCTTCTGCCTCTCAATGTTTGCTTGTATGTGTTTGTGTTCTTCGCTTCCTACACATATATCGAAAGATAGATAGATAGATGGCATTTTCATATCTATACACAAGAGTGAGGCTGCGTGCTGGGAAGGGCTTGTTGAATAGGTGTACTTCGGCTGTTTGGACAAAGGGTTGGGGTGGTGGGAGTGTGGAGGGGTGGTGGGAAGAGGAGAAGAGTTTATCTCCAGCCTCCCATCCACAGCTAGTCAGGCAAAACCCTTCCATCCAACACCCACGAAAAGCGACACCACATCACCCCAACCCTCACACCCCATTCCCCCCCCTCCACTCCCTAGCCACCTCCTCCATAGTGCAAAACTCCACCTCCCCACCCCACCCCTTCAACCACCCCAACACCCTCTCCAGCATCCCTACAACATGCGCCATCCCACTCGTATCAGGATGCAACACGAGCGGAAAAACCACCACCTCGCCCTCACCCTCCTCACCCAACTCCCCCACCTCCCCGCGCACCCACTCAAACCGATCCATCCACATCCGCTCCACAACCCGCACATCCACATACCCCATAGAATTATCCGTATGCGGCCAAAACTGCAGTGGCGTCATATCCTCCGTATACCAATTCGAGGGAATTTCAACAAGCGTTTTGGCCGTCGGCGGCGCGGGCAGGGGCAGGGGTTTCATCCAGGACTTTGCGTCTGTGGAGGGCGAGTATGTGGGGGGGATTATGGGGGGCAGACGGGGCAGGTGGTAGGGTTTGCTGTCGTGGTGGGCGAGGGAGGAGTCGTAGAGGAAGGCGTATTCTTCCAGGAGGTCGATTGTGGATTCGCGGAGTTGGTAGAGCGGGGCGCGGTAGCCGACGGGGCGGGAGCCGGTTAGCTCTTGGTAGAGGGATATGCAGTGTTCTAGGACGTCGCGCTCTTGTGTGGGGGTTAGTTGGGGGGCGCCCTATGGGTGTGTTAGTATGGGCTTGTCTGTTTTGTTTGATCTGGTGGAAGGGATGGGGGGATGTACCTCGTGACAGTACCCGTGCAGGCCGATTTCCGCGCCGCTTTGCATGATGCTTGAGAATTCTTTGGGGAAGCTTTCTGCCGAGTGCATGGGTACGAACCATGTCACCTTGTCCTGGATCTCTAGCTTCTTGAATAGTTTGAGGAGCCGTGGGACACCGACGTTTGCTGAGAAGAAACCGGAGCTGTAGTCTGCGAGGTTGTTGTCGGGGTGTTGGCCGGTGCCGAGCCAGCCTGATACAGCGTCGAAGTCAACAGATACGAGGATCTTGATCTTGGGTTGAGATTTGGGAGTGATCGTCGGGGGGATGGACTGGTTAACACTCATCCCCCCGGTTATCTGGACTCCCTCAGACGTGGTTCCTGACGGATTGAGCGCGTAGCTTGACTGAGGTTCCGCAGGTGGGAGACTCCCGGTCGTCTCCTGAGACTTCCGAACCTCTTCCTCGGACCAGACTATGCGGCCCTCCATGCCCCCGTCGACAGAAATGCACTGTCCCGAAATATGTCCCGCCGCTCTATGACTAGCCAGGAACGCCGCCGTCCTCGCTACATCAGTTGGCTGGGCGATTTTCTTCAGCGGAACACTACCACATTCCGCGTTAGCACAAGATTCCTACCCCCTTTTCTCTATATCCAGATAACAATGGTGGTGGTGGGGTATACACATACGTAGCCTGCGCCTCCCTCCACAACTCCCTCTCATCATCCAACCTCCCCTCAATAAGCTTCGTATCCACCCACCCCGGCGCAACAGCATTAATCCTCGCCCTCCCATTCAGCCTCACAATCTCATTCTTCACCGTCCTGACAAGTCCATACTGCATCCCCGCCTTCCCAGACGCATACTCAACATGCCCCGCCTGGCCAAACACGCCACACTCCGACCCCGTGACAACAACACTCACATTCTCCAACTCCCTCCCCGTCTCCCGCTGTGCCGTCTCGACGCTCTTGAGGAAGTGCTTGATGGTCAGGTACGTGCCGCGGACGTTCACGGCGTAGGTCCGGTCCCAGAGCTCGGCGGGCATGTCCCAGATGGGGTAGTCGTTCGATTCATCCGTGATACCGGCGTTAGCACACAGGATGTTCAGTGGTCCGAATTTCTCCACAGCCTGGGTGACGGAGGCGGAGATTGAAGATTCATCGCTGATATCGCCTTGCAAGCAGTGCAGGTTAGGATTATTCGTCGAGGCAAGGGGATTCACACGCAGATCGTGCGCGGAGACTTTGCAGCCTTGTGCTATTGTGACCCGTCAGTACGCATGTAGACGTTGGGGAATATCCACAACCTCACACGCAGATACGCACCTAGAAACTCCTCCACAATCGCGCTGCCAATCCCGCCCGCTGCGCCCGTGACGAATACATGCAGACCGTCTAATTGCAAAAAAGACATCATGAACAGATCCTACGTTCCTCCTGCAAGTTACAAACTTCTCGGTGCCTGCAACACACATGATTCCGAAACATAGATGCAGTTTGAACGAATACGTCATCCCCCATCCCCATACCCATCCCACCGATAAGCCCACAGCATCTCCGCCTTACGCCATCTAACCCCCAAAAAACCACCACTCTACTAATAGCACCGCACCGCACCGCGCCCATTATTCCCGGCCCCTGCCCCCCCATTTGCCCGCCGCCCCGCCGCCGCCGCCGCCCAACATTCCGCGAACGGCAAGTCTGCGCAAAAACCGTGCGTTGCAGTCGGCGAAAGGGCACAAAGAGCACGAGCACGGGCGCCAATCAAGCTTTGCTGATGCCGGGGGGCGGCCAATGAGCGGCCCGGTGGGTGGTGATTGGGTTACGCTAGGGAAGGAGTGTGGGTGTGCGTGCACGGGGAGGGCGTGGGTTTAGAGGATTGTGAAGGGGGTGGGTGGAAGGGAGGGAGGGAGGAGGATGGCATGCGAGGGGTTTTTGTCCCAAGGTTTTCACGAAAAAGTATACATCTCCCTCCTCACAGCGCAAGAAGACCGCGGTGAAAGCATCACAGCAACGGGAATGCGAAAGCAAGCGTGAAGGAACAAAATCTTTGGGTATCTCCTCGCCAAAACCGGCGTAGCCATAGCCTATAGCCAACTGCCTTCAGCACCGACCAGCCGACCGTCTACTATGGTCCCCCCCCGAAGTATAAGCCATACTCCACTTATGGGTACTTCGAACACGCCCTCGGATTGGTCAAGGATAACTCCAAGCAACGATCCTGACGAATTGGAGGCTAGCACTAAAGTGGAGCATGGCTTATACTTCGGGGGGGGACCATAGTATAATACAACGAACATTAGGATTGGAAAGGGGAAAAGTCTTGAAAAATTCTAGATTACTACGACGCTGGCATGCCCATCCTCAGCGCCAGCAGCGCACGCACATCCGTGACATACTGCAGACCCTCCAGCAGCGGGATCAGATGTAGCAGATCGGTATCTGTGGGGTCGCTGATCCAGCCTTCGATGGGGATGGCATTGTCTGTACGCGCTGGTCAGTTCATGCTGGCTAGCGTTGAACGAACTTGTGCTTACCTGGATGGAAGACGTAGCTCAAGGGGCTGTTGTCCAGGATCATGACCTTGCTGAGGTCAGGCTCCACCTGTGCGAGATCCTTGATGTAAGCCCCGTTGCGCAGCGTGCAGTGCTGTCTGTAGTATCGTCCTGCAAAGTACTTGCGCTCGACTTCCAGCCAGTCGATGACGGGGTCGGCGTATTCTTGCACAGAGGCGGTGAAGATGATTAGATTGTACCATTTGCTGACCTGGTGTCATAATCAGCAACGATCAAGATTTACAAAACATGCCTATGTACCTTCTTGAGAAAGTCGTCACAATATGGCCGCTTGTGAACGTAGTATAAAATGGGCACCTGGGGACCGATGATTTGTCCCCCGGCACCAACTGACGCCTGGAGTTTCACCTCGACCATGTGGCCGGTTTGAAAGCGGCTGCCCTTGGCTATGCTGTGAATTAGCGTCTCGTCGAGGTCAATAATCAATGTCTTCTGATGCGGACCAAAAACGGACGTTCCTGACTTTGAATATGACGGCTGGCGTCTCGGCACCAGGGGACGCGGTGGTTGGGGTGCTCGTGGAAACCTGGTCAGCTGCTTGGATGATGCGAGGATTGGGCCAGTGGGAGATTTGAGCGCCGCTGCTGCCTCTGGCGAGACTTGTCCAACGCTGCTTCGGGTTGATGGTGCTCTTTTTGTCGCCTTGCGCTGCCTCAGTGCGTCCTCGTTGTGCAGCTTGATGCGAATAGACCGCTTTGCAGGGGCTATCTCTTCTCCAGCCGACGACGCGTTGGACTTGGATCTTGTGTGGCGCGAAGGGGGGTCGTCGTCTCCGTCGCGTGTAGGCGGTCTTTCGCTCTCTGATTCGGAGTATATTGCAGTGGATGTCGAGGCAGCGGATAGAGATCGTCTCGATGAGGTCTTGGCCGAGGACAGCACCATGTTAGGGTTCCTGCTCTTGCGCCTCCCCTTGGTGTCCGAGGCATCAGACGACGGCATTGCGAGCGCGGCAGGCTTTTTCCGCCGCGAGCGAGTAAAGGATCGTGCGATGTGGTAGACAGGGGCCGCGAGCGAGAAGCGGTCATCGTCTTGGTAGTAGAAGCATGCGACGACGTATCGGCCGGTGTAGACAAGGGGCGTCAGCAGTATGCCGACGGCGCCGATGATGCCCTGCGTCACGCGCTTCGGGTACAGCCACCTGCGCCGTGGTGGTGCTTCCGGGAAGGTGCTGTCTGGCGGCTGGCTGAGCAGCGGTGTCTTCTCGTCGTGCGCGGCGGCGGGCGTCCTGGTGGCAGCGTAGCCTTCAGCGTCCCCCCTGACCGCGCCCATGTTGCCCTTCTCGTGCTCGGTCACTGTGCCTGCGCTTGCATCGTTTGGGCGCTGGGCCTGGCTGGACCGAGGTTGCGCCTCGCGGACGGTGCTCTGCGACCCGGAGCGCGAACGGGGTGGACTTGGCGGTGGTGTGCCGATGTTTGCTAGGGCGCTCAATGAGTTCATGCTCTGCTCCGAGCCATGCACTGGTGCGTCGTCGTCAGCTGGCCCCGGTGCGGCTGGAGGCGAGCAGCGACGTCTGGGGGCACGCTGAGCCGGAGCAATTGCCGGGCTGCTGCTGATGGATGCTGCCTGCGCGTGCGGTGCCACGGGTCGTCTCGTGAAGCAGCTGAGTAAGCGTGCGGCGGGGGCAGCGCAGTCGACGTCGCGTCAAGACGGGGCTCGAGGGCGGGCAGCAGGGCGAGGGCAAGGTGGGGAAGCGATGGCGGAGATGGGTGCGAGAGTGTCTAACATGACGATGTTTCCCTGGACCGCCGGTGGTAGACTCGACGCTAGTGAAATAGGCCGAAGGACCAAAATCTCATGACTCCGAATGCGACAACTCCCACGGCGCTGCTTACGCGACTCTTCCGCTCAAACACATATAATACAAGCTTCGAGGAATCTTCAACTTCAGCTTGACCCCAGAAAAACTTTAATCTGAACCATACGGATTGGAAACTACAAAGAAAGAGCGACTGCCCCTCTACCCCACACATATACCTCTCTCTCTCTCAACACCAACCAACAAACTTGACCACCAAGAACAAAATCCACAATGGCTCAGAGCACCACAATACAGGCGCCAGGCCTATCTTCTTATCTCAAATCACTCAAGACTACCCCAGTGGATCCCTCAGTAGAGCACCTCATATCGTAGACTCACCCAAGCACTGCATCACTACAAAACACAGCTAACTCGTCCAGCCTCCTCAAGCGACGCCAGATAAGAAACTCGAGACCATGTGCCATTGCGACAACAGCGCTGCTTCTGCGCGTGGTGGGAGAATTCAAAGGGCGAGACGCGGCAAAACTGGTGGAGCGCATTCGACAAGTGGGCAGGCGCCTGACTTCTGCACAACCACGCGAAGTCGTCGTGGGGAACATCGTCCGGCGAGTACTGGGACTGGTACGGGAGGTGGTCGACGACCAAGCCGACGGGCAGACGCCGACAGGGAGTGAGCCCGGCCACAGCACACCACATGCACACCACGACTCTCTCCACCGACCAGCCTTTGCCTCGAGCATGTCGACATTCAGCCCGCTCAGACACGCTGGTGCTGAGCCCTCGCACATTGGCGTCAGCGCCGACAACATGTCCGACTCTGGCGAGCTCTCGAGACGACCTGCTCTACTGACCTCGCACACTTCGTACGCGCCCGCCGCAGTGGCAGGACTGGTAGTCAACTCGCTATTTGGACTCTTCTCACAGCCAGCCGACACTCCCTCCGCCACAAGTACCCCCACCGGCCAGGCATCACCAACAGGCAAAAGCACCCTCACAGCCCTCAACCTCGAGCGCCTCGCCGACCTCAGCAAAAGCCAGCCCAACCTCGACCTCAAAGGCGAAGTCATGGAAGGCATCCGCGAACTCCAAGACGAGCTGGAAACGTCGGACAAGCAAATCGCCGAAGTAGCCCTCGAGCACATCCACGCAAACGAGATAATCCTCACCCACACAGCCTCCACAACAGTGCAAAAGTTCCTCCTCTTCGCAGCGCGCAAGCGAAAATTCACCGTCGTCCACGCAGAAACATACCCGCACGACCACGCCGCCACACACGGCATCCTACTCACAGGCAAGAAGCGCGAGTCGCGCCCCGGCGAGGACGACGAGGACGACAAGTGGAAGCCCCTCACCGACGCGGGCATCCAGGTCTACGTCATCCCAGACTCGCACGTCTTCGCCATCATGTCGCGCGTCAACAAGGTCATCCTTGCTACCCACACCGTCCTGGCGAACGGCGGCCTCGTCGCTGCGGCCGGCGCACACATGATCGCCAAGGCCGCGAAGGAGCACCAAACCCCCGTCGTCGTGTTGAGTGGCGTGTATAAACTGAGTCCCGTCTACCCGTTCGACATCGATGAGCTGATTGAGCATGGCGACGCGGGGAGTGTGGTGCCGTATGAGGATGGCGAGTTTGTGGATAAAGTTGATGTTGAGGCCCCGTTGTATGACTATGTGCCGGCGGATCTTGTGGATCTTTATATCACTAATCTGTGAGTTGACACCCCCTTTTACCCTATGAGTTGTTGAATTGATGGCTGACGTGTGTAGCGGCGGACATGCGCCTTCGTATCTTTACCGCATTGTGGCGGATCACTATCGCTCCGAGGATATCACGCTGTAGGTGATGTGGTTGGATGTGGTGGTGGTTGGAGGGCATGTACGAGGCGGTGGTAGAAGAGCAAAAAACTCCACGATGGACGTGAGGTGAACCGCTGCTTTGTGTCGATTAGCTGCCGTGACCGACTGACTACCCAACCCGTGCTTCTTTTACGTGTGTTGCTCCTACACTCATCCCACTATCACATCCTTTACCAAACGAAGCACAGGGTATAGGGTATCTCGCCACGCACCTTCAAACGCCATATCTTTTCCCCTCTCCAACCCACACCATCTACACCAACACGCCCCAAAACTCCGCCCTACCCCCCCCCCCCTCCAACCCCTCCCACTGCACCAAAAACCGATCCACAACCCTAACCAGCAACCTCCCACTCAAACTCAACCCCCTAACGCGCGCAAAACTCTCCACATAAACCGTCCTACACATCCCCCCCGACTGCGCGCCCCTAACATTGAAAAATTTAAGCACCAGCACAGCCAGCACAACAATAACGCCCGTCGCGGGCCCATTCGTAATGATTAAACCGGGCAGCTCGCCGTCCAGGAGCGGGGTAAACGCACCCCCCAGCGTGCGCAGCGCAGAAAACGGCGTAGTAAACAGCGACTGGTGAACACGGCGCGCGCGCGGGAGCGTGTGGATCGTGTAATGCGCCGGCCCTGTACACTTGTCCCCCCGCTCTTCCAAAGCGCGCTCAAACGCCACGGCGCGCTGTGCGGAAAACGCGTCCCCGCTACTCACGACGTATGTTCTGTGCGTGTATTTCTGCGTGTTTAGGGCGCGGAGCAGGCAAAGCATTTCGTGCGTGTGGCCGCCTGAGCCGAGGACGATGATGACTCTTGTTGCGGGGGGTGGGGTGCGGCGGTGTGGGGGGTTTCGTGGGCGGGGGAGGATGGCGAGGAGGCGGAGGGTGGTGGCTAGGAGGAGGGTTGTGAGGAGGGCGAGGAGGGTGGGGAGGGTGAGGAGGGCGGATGGTGGGGGGGGCATCTTCGGTTGTTGGATGGAGGAGGTGTAGTAATCGTGGGGTTATTGGGGTGTGGGGTTTCGGTGGTAGGGAGGGCGGTGGGACATTGTTGGTTTGGCGGTGGTGAGGTGAAGGCGAGGAGAAGGTGAGGTGGAAAGGTACGTGTTCAACTGACCAATGAGGAGACGGAGGCTTGGAAACGCGAAGTCACATGCTATACATCATTAATGTCTGGTAGCAATGTATGCAGCAGTCACCGAGACCGCGTCTGGTTGCCTTCGTGCTATGTTACAAACAAGCCTACTGGATATGCTACACTATTCTACAAGCCCATCCACAACGTCTAGTCGAGCTCCGCAGCATCGCTATCTGCCCTCCTCTTCACCTTGACACCACTCTTCTCCATATGCTGTCCCAACGCCAACAAAAGCGTCTCTGTGTCCACCATCGGATTCTCCTTCTTCTCCTTGATCTTCTTTGCATGATCCAACTCCCACCTCAACTGCATGGGCGTCTTCATCCTCTCCGCTGCACGACGCTGCTCCTTCAAGAGCTCTTTCGCCCGGATCTGGTGCTCGGTGGTGCTTTTGGGTCTCCTGATAGCCCCAGACCCGTCTTTCCCTTCCTTGCTGGCCTTGCCCGCCTTGGTAACAAACTCACGGATATCATCTCGTAATTCCGTGCCGAGAGTCTGTGGGAAGGGCGGCGCGATGAGCGTGTAGGACATGGAGTCTGCGGAGTCGACGATGTTGCGAGTTGTATCTACGTCTTCGTAGGCATCGGGGTCTTTGGGGTCCCAGCTGCGGGGTCGATCATTCTTAATCCTTGCCAGCTGTCTGGATTCGATTTCTTCGAGTTGGGCGGCGAGGGGCACTTCTTCCCTTGTGGCGACGGCGTCGACGTTTTTGCTACGGTCGCGCCAGCGGTTGAGACTCGTGATTGGGTGGCGCAAAGTATTCAAGGTTTTCCTTACCCACGTCTGGCCGTCAAGCTTGTCTTCTACTGTTATTCCGCGGTCTTCGATCTGCTCCTCTTTCTCCCATGGCCACTCGATTCTGTGACGCGTGCCGGCGATGTAGCGGTGGAAGATGGGCAGGCCGCTAGATGGGTCGTACTGGTGCTCCTCGGGGATCGTGGCATCGCCGTAGTCGGTGGCGGTGAAGGGGTCCATTCCGGTGGTATGGCGCTCCATGAAGAGTTTGTCCACGATGACGTCCTTGTAGACTTTCTGGCGCTTCTCGACGTTGTTGATTTCGTAGGGGACTACAAGACGGAGGTTGTCTAGGTGAATTGGGACTTCACTCTCACGTCGTGGGCCTACATGTCCGTCGGCGTTGCTGAAGACGTCTGCGTCGTAGTATTGCTAGAAATTGTTAGTGGACGCTTCACGAGAGTAGTATGATATAGAGAATACACACCATGTTCATCTCCTTTATGATGGCTTCGTGAGTTCGCCCAATGACCTCGGCGACTTGGCCAATCTTGCCCTTGTCCCGTCCCGTCATCATCAGAACACGATCATCGCGCACGATGGGGAAGTACTTCTTGTCATCGACGACAAGGGGGTAGTTCGAGTCTAGGCCCTGTCTTATTCTCGATTCGTTCCTGTTCTTCTGCACACGAACTGGTATATCCGGCTTCTGCATATGCCCCCCCGTCAGGGCTCCGTACTTGTCCGCGTCGCGTCCAGTGGCACGGTTTGGCCTCAGAGGACCCAGGCGCCAGTCCTCGTAGGCATTCGCCAAGGCCTCTTTCTTGGTGCCCTTGACGTACTCGTTGTTCCAGACTACGTGTTGACGGGCGGATTGCTTCGACTCCCAGCGTTCCTGCTGGATCTTCTGACGCTCTTTCCGTGCTTTTTCATGCCATAGGATTGCGCCCTTGACCTTGCGAATTTCCTTCAGCTTCTTCGCCTGGCGGGTTGCGTTTCGCCCTGGTCGGGCGATCAATTGGGTCATGGTAGCGGGGGTGCAGGCTATGGGGCTGGCTTGGTATCGTTCGCGGGCTATTGAGCCATCGAGTGGCGGGCAAGGGAGAGTCGGTGGGTGATATGTCGAGACTAGGCAGGCAATGTATCACGGCTGTTTCCCCCACAGCGATGCGGCGTGCGCAGGTCCCCTCGTCGAATGGTGGGTCAGACGTCGAAGTGGTGAACTATTTTCACGAGACCGCCCGCAGAGGTGCGCTAAGTCAACCCCATGCATGACACCAGAACACGATCCCACGAAACACCCAAGACGACGCCTCTTTCACCATGGTGCTGCTGCGGCGCAGACTGCGCTGTCACTACTGCAACACGCTGTCACCGGACAGTGTCTCAGACATCCCGCGCCTGTATCTGTGTCGGCATTGCGACGCAGTGAATCACTTCGATGAGGTAGGCAACCAAGACACCAACGGCCATAAAGCGCCTCTCTGACGGCACACCAGCGTGGAAACATCACCGACCCGCCTCTCGAAGAGATCGCGACTGCCCCTGCAGCTTCCTTCCGCTACATCCAGTCCCGCTCTCCGTCGCCCAGCATGGCTCCCCCGACCGAGGACCTGTTCTGCCACACGTGCCAGCACAACCAGTTCATCCTGAACAAGATGCTCGCCGAGTATATTCCCGACGAAGACGACCCCGAGTACGACAAGCGCGTCGAAACATCCGACGCCTACCGCGACGAGCTCGAGGACCGATACCCGCAAGTCTGCCAGCGCTGCGAGGGCCGCGTCCAAGACCAGCTGCGAGCTGCGGGTTATGCGGCCAAGGCAGACCATCTCCGGCGCATGATGGAGAAGAGCAACCAGAAGCGCACGACTGTTCAGACTCCCCGCCAGACCTGGACGCTGGCCGTCATCGAGCTGGCCAAATGGACGTACATCGCCAGCATCTTTGTGGGAGTCTTGTGGCATGCCCTGGGGATCATGATGGCTCCGGATGAGAGGATGAGTGCAGACGAGGACTTCGACTGGGACGTGTGTCTGCGCCAGGCCGTGTTCGTTCGCCAGGTAGACAGGGGCTGCGTCCTGTCGCCTGCTGTCACCGAGATAATGTACTACGCGCTGGCCGCCGACCTGCTCACCGTCTGGTGGAACCCCAAGCTCACAACCAAGACAAATAGCCTCACGGGACGAATGCGCGGACTAAAGTCTCTCTGGGCCATCCGCGCCGCAGTCCTTCTCCTCCGATTTCTATGTCTCGACTTCTGGCACCTCACCACAATCAACAACGCCGCCCACATCTTCATGCTAATCCTGCTCCCCCTCTCCGCGCTCCTGACCTGGAAAGCAGTCCGCATCGTCTACCACACACCAACCTTCTTCCGGCCCGCACCGCCCAGCGCCGAAAAAGCACCCCGACCCCCCGCCTCCCAACCCACCCCCTTCGACATGGCCCACTCCTTCACCTCATCCTTCCAGCCCAACGACCCCGACGCCCTGCCCCCCTCCCCCACAGACTCCGAAACCTCAGCAACAACCTACGCAACCGACTTCACCACGCCCGGCCGCCGCACCCCAGCCCGCCACACGCCAGCCCGCCAGCCCAGCTACGGAGAAGACATGGATTGGACGCCCACGACACGCCGCTTCGCCCACGACGCCCCGCCCATCCTGCCCCCGCAATTCGGAAACAAACCCGCCCTTTCCTCCCCCGCTAAACAGCAGCGCGAAAGGGAACAACACTCCATATTCAGCAAACCGGATCCGAACCCCTTCCGCCATAAGGTCCCCGCCCCGCCCAATGCGGCGAAACCCACGCCCTGGAAGCCGGGCGTCTGGACGCCCCCGCTGAAGGAAAACGCGCCGAATTTCTTCAAGGAGGGGCATAGGGCGAGGGGTGGGGAGGGAGAGGGAGAGGGGCTGGGTAAGGGGCTTGAGGGCCTTGGTGTGCCGAGGAATGTGCAGCGCGATGCGGAGCTGTTTGCTAGTCCGAAGCTGAAGTATGATAATTATGGGACGCCGCGGAATACGGGGTTGGAGTCGAGCTTTAATGACTTGTTTTCAAAGTAGGCGTGTTGTGTAGTTTGGATATGGTGGTTGGGAGAAGGGGGATTGGCACTATGTATGAAGGCATTGGGAGGCGTTGTTTCTTGAGATACCCGCTCTTTTGTTTCGCCTTTTCTGTACTTGTATTCATTGGGTTTGCATTGGAGTCGTAGGGGTCTTATAGATGGTAGGGTTGACTTTATATTCTGGTAAACAACGTACATTCATATGACGTACCCATTGAGTATAGGAAGCATCCAATAGACAAGTCGATGCAAATCGTTAAGCTGAGTGCGCCAGAGTAGCTTGACACATGAGATAGGAACAAATCGAAACACGGATCAAAAACCAATGGAGGGCGCTTGGATGGTCGGATTTCTCTATCTAACCACAAGCCAGTCATGACTTTTCATATGCCGAGTAGAAGCACAGGAATATCCCCAATGTAAGACTCCGGTAACCTCCCATAATCATCCGCGGGTTCCATCACTCGTTCATGGCGGGCTTCGCTCGACGTTTGTATTCCCAAACTCCGTTGATTGAGTCGTCTATGACCTGGGCTTCTCCTTCTTCTCCTTCCACAGAGCCGACAGACCGACACCGGAGACCTTGACAACCTTGAAACGCACACCGGGAATATCACCCTTGGCCTTGCCCTTGCGACCGAAACCGGCAAGCAGGACCTCGTCGTTCTCGTCGACAAAGTTCAAGCAACCGTCGTTGGGGACTGGTGGTGGTGTTAGTAGTGGTCCGACACTGTCTTGTTGCCACCATGCTCTCATCCCCAACAGCCTCCCATTCCCGTCGCTGGCGTGGCAGGAGACGTACCGAAAGCAGTGACCTTCTTTCCGTTCTTGATCAACTGAACCCTGACACACTTTCGGATGGCGGAGTTGGGCTGCTTGGCCTCAACACCGACCTTCTCGAGGACTATGCCCTTGGCGTGGGAGGAGCCACCGAACGGCGAGGACTTGTAGGCGGTTCCGAGAAGGCGCTTCTTGTAGTGGAGATCGGCCCATCGTCCCTCACGGCGATGGTTGCGCAGCTTGCGGGCGGCGTTGAGACCTCTCGGCTTTCCTGGAGCACGCTGTGAGCTTCTGCATTGTGTGGGCGGGACTCACGGGCCCCGAAAACGGTGCATCGTCGTGTTGGAGCGGATTCGGGGCGCGAGGGCGGTGGGATTGCGTACCTTTACCCATGTTTGCGGTTTGGCGATGGGATTGCTGGGGAGTGGGTGGTTAGTATCGACGAGGTCTGCGAGTCTCGAGAGCGAAATTGGTCGCCTCGCTTCTGTGTGCGGAGCGCGCTTGGCGTGGATGCGCTAGTGACGCTAGCCATCTTATCTTATCGATCGGCACGCGTCACCCAAACTACGACCATCACCCCAACCATGACATTCAGGACCAACAACTGACATGTACACTGCTCACTTGCCGTACTAAAACTCCACATGGTATAGTGTGAACAGCAGCCTGACAACCATTTCGTCACCAAGTCTTCTTCGCGTCTCTATTGTCAATTGCTCAACCAACTACTTCACCATGTCGTTGAAACCTAGCGCCATCACCCGCACACCCAGTCGCCTGCCAGCGCCTGCCCTCTTCGTCGGGCCCCCATCCCACAATGCCTCAAATGTCTCACTCCTCCCGCTCGGCACCGAGACCAAAACCCCCCTGACCCGGCAACGCTCTCTCCTCTCTCCAGACCCAAAGCGACCCCTCCCACCAAACACCTCCGAGCTCGATGGGGAACGACTTAGCACCATATCCTCCGAATCATCGGCACCCTTCGTCCGGCGACAACGGCAGCACAGCATAGCAGCAGATGCGGAAGCTACGTCCAGGGCCGAGGCCATATGGACGGAAATGCAAAACACGCTCCAAGAGGTGGAGTTGAGTGCTATCAAGGGGTCAGGGATGGAAGTCTTTGGGGCTGAGCACTCACGGGCGTTGGACGAACTTCGACAAGCGCAGATTAAACTTGCGAAGGCGTGGGCGCGTTCGGAAGCAGAGGAGAGCGGACAGGCGTCGGATCAGCAGAGGAAAGCGCACGACATGCACGCGGGTGACCTGCTTTCCCAGAGCACCCTGACGAGGCCAAGAAGCAATACACAGGGCAAGGAAGATAAGCTGTTTGATCGCCACAAGCTAGAGGAGGAAACGGAAAAAGACATCGAGCTGAGCAGAAAGAGAAGGGAGGAAAATGATCTGTACTTTGAGAAGGTGAACAGTGGCGTGCAAGAGGTGGTCGTCAGACTGGAAGAGGTTGCGAAGGCGATGAGGGGTGTGGAAAGCGAAAGCAAGGAGATCTGGGGTCACGGGGATGATGGCGTGGAGACTGAGAGTGTGGGTTCGGCGCCGAGCATCACTTGAAGTTGTGGGCGTGGTTGACTGCAGTCCTACTCTACAGACTACGTGATGTCGCAAAGCCACCAGAATTGATGGAACGCCACTCGGAGTATAGGCCGCATGCGCTCCTCGAAGGATTCCAGGAAGAACACTCCAAACCCCTTAGAAACATTCTATTCGCATCCACCACCTGCAACAGATACGTTGGAATCAGGCATCGAACCAGGTTCACATCAGTCACTGCTTTGGGACGGTTGGGCAGAAACCTACATGTCGAAAAGGCAACGAAGCCGTCTCCGAGACCAATGTCACTCTCAGAACATGCTGCCCTTTGCAGGAAGTTACCGGCGACCGAGTATGCGCCCTAGGATTGCCGTAATGCTTCTATTCAAGACCATTGTTTGTTCAGAGCAAAACTACTCCATTCGAAGCTGCACTTTGCTAATAGATCATTCTCCCTACATAAATCATCAGTCATCTCCGCATTTCTTCCATTACACGCCAGTGAACCCCACATCTCCATCCCACCCTCTCCGACAATCACAGCAAATACCGATACTCCGGATTCAAGTCTCCCAACTCCATCTTCTCATGCTCCGTCAGCCCCAAATCCCTCACGCTCTTCTCCCTCTTCCGGTTCGACGCCGTACACATGAAAAAGTACGTCGTGCAGCTCACCGCGCTCAAGAACACAAACGCAATTCCAATCGAATACCCAGGGATATATCTCGGCGCGTCCTTACTCAGAAAGGAGAACACGGCGATAATCCCCCCGATGTTGCCGAAGCCGACTTGCCACGCGGAGCCCACGGCGCGCCGATGGTGACCGCCTAGATTCATGTTGAACCAGCACACGATGACGGGCATGGCCGTGTACGCGCCCATGGCGACGAGGAAGAGCGCGCCGTACTGCACGTTGTGATTATCGTGGACGGCGAGGAGGATGGCGAAGCCGCTGACGCACACGCAAATGGGGAAGATGGTGAAGAGGAAGCGGTGCTGCATGCGGTCTGAGAACCAGGCTACGAGCATGCTGAAGCCGAAGGCAGCGGCCCAGGGCGGCACCGAGTAGAGCTGTGTGCGGATGGGACTGTAGCCGTACGAGCGGATGATGGCGGGGCTGAAGTACGAGTATGCGTACGCAGGGACGATGAGGCCAAAGTACATGAGCCCGCCGACGATAATCTTGGGGTCGCGGAACACGTTGCCCACGTCGTGGAGCGTGATGGGGCGTTCGGCGGCGGATTTGCCTTGGTCGATTTGCAAGCGCGCTTTCACGAATGCTCGCTCTTCCTCGGTCAACCACTTGACTTCTTCCGGGAAGTTGGGCAGCAGGAAGAAGAAGAAGAAGCTAACGATCATCGTGAGAAGACCCTCGAGAATGAAAATCCAGCGCCAGCCGCGGTAGCCGTGCATGCCGTCCATCTTGCCAATCGCCGAGGCGAGTAGGCCGCCGAAAGCGCCTGCGAGCGTTGTCGACGAGAAGAAGAAGGAGTAGCGCTTTTGCGCTTCGTGACGACGGTACCACCTATACAGATTGTTAACTATGTTGTGTTTCCCTCTTTAACTTAAGGACACACACATTCCGATGAGGTAGAAGGCACCAGGGAACATGCCGGTTTCGAAGACACCGAGGAAGAAGCGTGTTGCTAGGAGGCCGCTGTAGCTTTGGACGAAGCCCTGGAGCATGGTGACTGTGTAGGTCAGTTAGTGGCGGTGTTGTTTCCAGCTCGGATGGGTTGACTAGACTTACCCAAGCCAAAGCCAAACATGCAGAGAGACAGCCAGACCCGAGGCTTGAGCTTCTTCAAAATCACATTCGAGGGGATTTCGAAGAGGATATATGGCACAAAGAAAATGACCAACGCGATGTTATACCTGTTGCCATTGAGAAGATGCAAGTCTTGAGACAGACCGAAGACATTTGCGTTGGCTATGTTTACTCTGTTCTCGTCAGCTCTGGCTCAGTAGGCGCATAACGTCGTGGTCTGCTTACCGGTCTAAGAAAGCCAGCAGATACATGACACACTGCGAACCCAGATATTAGCATCATTCTTCTGTGTCTGTCTGTCGGATGAGTAAAAGAATGGTCAGCATACAAGAAATGGAACGACATGAAGGTCTATCTTTGTGACCAGTTTGCTTTCGGTAGTATGTGCTGGGCACACAACGAGCTCGGGAGCTTCATCGTAGTCGTTTGCTGCAAAGTGAGGTTCCGTTTTTGGGTTGCCGTTGTCGTGAGACGCCATTTCTTCTGCGCATGCTCAGCAAGGTGACTCAGATGTGGGCTGCGCGCCGACTCTCAACTCACTCTTTTTCTTGGAAAACATCTTGAATATACAATGATGTTATCTATGCAATACGGGGTGCTCCTTGGCCTTGGTGTTTAAGACTAAGTCGACCGGAGAGCGCTAGAAATCACTTCCTAGTCACACTCGTACCCACGGCTGAGAAACGGAAGGATGGAATCATCTCGTGCGCCGTGAATGGCATCCTCCCACTTTTAACCGCGGAACCTGATGTTGCGTCCCCGCGTTTTTGTGGGCGCCGCTTATCTCTTTTCGTGTCATTTGCTGATCGAAGACTCTCAATTGGGCAGTCGTCAGTTGATCTTGAGGAATGTGGCGGTTATCCTGCACAACACTTGCAGGCCATCTAGTCATGATGACCAAGTGCGTCACGGGTGAGAAACCGAGCAGAAATAATCGGTCTCGGTGAAATTCGAGCGGTAGCGGAAACAGGCCGCTCTATGGTAAGAAATCTAACATCTGGTATGGCCCAGAACTTTGCTCAGATGTTACGGTGTGATCGACGACTGTGGCGTAACGATCCAATGAGAAGACATTTGAAAGTTTTTAGCAATTTCGGGTCGATCGGTACATCGGTCCAGATAAGGGCGAGGATGCGATTAGAAATGCGCAAAACTATGGCATGCCGCCTACAGACATATGCCTAGCATGTCAGTTTCCGAGATGGAGGAAGGTATTGCGGTACGCTGGGATGACCGCGGGATTAGAGATGGGCCCAAGATCCAAGGCCTCGAGTCGGCGAAGTCTGGGTCCGCCCAGACGCACTCATTCAAATACTCCTGCTGCCGGCAACTACCCTACTTTCTAGTCAGCCTCTCCGACTTTCACACCACAGCCTCGGCCACTGTCGCTCTTTTCGAAAAACTCCAGCTCAGCCTCCGGTAACCAGTGCTACTGCGCTCGACCTGGATCTTCGTCTTGCAGCGGCTGGCCTGCTGATCAGCCATGGTCAATGCGAAACACGTCGCCTTCAAAGTCAACCAACAGACTCCAAACTACCCCACGGCACCCGAAGCCTATGGCACGGTACTCAACTGTCGAAAACCGGGCGGAAAAAAGATTCTGGGCGAGCAGAGGGAAGTGCGGTCGCATCATGTGCCCTTGATCAACGTACCTGGGAGTCGTAAGCGGAAGTGGGGTGGCCAAGAGAAGGGCAACGACACGGATCGTTCAACGAGTTTGATCACTTGGACGGAACCAAACGCAACGACGACGGCAACAACATCGCAAGAGCAGGAACTTTCGAGTCAAAAATGGCAGCTCAAGCCTACCAAGTTACGGAAGCCTCTGACGAAAGGAGTTGACCTGGACTGCTGGTTCACCATACTTTCCTTCTCCGACCCCGCGCAACTCTTGGAGATGCGCAGCAAGGTCGTGTCATGCTATCGCTTTTTGAGGAACAATCCTATGCTCTGGAAACATAGCAGGAGCTACTACTACGGAGACGACATGCCAGATCCGCCCTCTGAGCTCACCGAGTTCCAGTACGCTCACTTACGGCACGGGCATGGATGCATGAGCTGCAGCACGCCCAACACACGCAAGACGTACTGGGCATTCCTACGACGGTGGTGCAAGAATTGTCTGCAGGAAAAGGTTGTGAAAGAGCAGGATGCGATCGTTTTGCTCAAGGACGCGAACCGAGAAAACTTTTCCTTCCTCCTCAAGTGCCTCCCGTCTGGCGTTTTCGATTCCTGGTGTAATTTCGTCGGGGCTGGGCCGGCCAAGACGCATTCGGTCAAGACGGTCTACCTGCTTTCAGATGTCAAGAAGCTCGTCGCCGACCTGGTCCTTGAGAAAGAGCAAAACCCCTTCCTGGGCCACGACGAGATGCGCGCATGGATGGAGAAAAAGGTCGAGCTCATCGAAGAGCGCCGCTCATTCGCACGCAAGATGGAGCAATGGGAAGACGCAACACGCTCCACAAAGTCCTTTGACTACCAGGCGAGAAAGTCGGCACGCAAGGCATACTTCGAAAGCAAGGCATCGAAACTCAACCCGCCTATCAGTCTACGCGAAATGGAGTTCTGTCCCTCGTATCGTCGCGCGATCACTATCCCCAAGGAGCCCAGCAATGCGTCATGGCTGCAGCTCAAGCCTAAGCTCGAGAAAGAGGCCGCGGACTTGGCAGCTCAGGGTGGTCCTTCGGGGCTTCAATCATCCACGTCATCTACGCCAGAGACTATGACGCCTGATCGTATTGGACAGGCTCATCAGCCGTTTGTGTATCCTGTGCATTCCTTCATGTCTGCTAACCTTCCGCTCAACTCATACCCCCCCAGCAGTCTGGCGCCGGACGATAATCTGAGGGTTTATCAGGCGTCGATGTATGCGCTCATCCGTCCTCCAGGGTTTCTTTCTCCACATGGAAATCTGTTTTGATTTGTTTGCACACGTTTTTGCGTCGTTTTTCTTGCTTTTGGTGTTGGAGTCTCTTGGTCTTGGTGTTGGAGTCTTTCTTGATTGTGGTGTCGGAGTCCTTCTGATTATGATTGATAAGCTTGGTTACGCGATTTTCAGTATTGGAGTTGAATCTGGCGGAGTTTATCAAGAATGGCATTTGACTGCATGGCGTCGGGCAGAGTAATGAAGGGGGCTGGAGTTCAAGGTCTGGCAAGATCATCAGGAGCCACCTCGCACACTTCTGGTGATACGACCATCTAATCGCACTTGAATTTATACGTTGAATTGTTTACTATCGAATTCTGCAACAGGCTTTGAATCAATTTCGTACATCCATCTGTATGGCTTCGTACGCGTCTCGGCAGCTTACGCAATGCCACGCTATGTGCCCGACTGATGTTGACCTGAAAACCGACACCATGGATCCCTCCACATCCTCCCGCCCAAAGACCCAAAGAGCTGAAGACCTGCGCCCCTAAAGCACACGATGCAGTAGATCTCTGTACCCGCAGAGCCTCACTTACCCCTCATCTTGCCATGTGTGTTGCACAGCTCTTGGCCTATCAGAAGGGCTGGAAGACGGGTGACCAGTGAGGGGAAGTCGCGAGCCCTGAGAGCTACAAAAACCACCGCATCTGCCACGTTTGCCCGTAGCTCCGACGCGGGAGGTTTGTTCTCGAAGCAAAAATATTTCCTAATCGGCGGAAGGTGACCACGTTCGATGTGGTAAGCTGTCAGGTCTGGAATGAGTAGATATACCAGCCCGCCTATTGGCTGCGGTTTTATCAAGGTGGGTCCTGAGTAGCACCACCAAAAAAAGATGTGGCCATCGATGGTGCCGGGTAACATTCCCTCTTAAAGCCTCTCCTTCCCTTGTGTTCTCCTCGTCTCTGCTTTGCTCGATCACACCACTGTCTGGCTGTACGTGTCAATCGTTGATTCAAACTCGCGCGCAGCTGCACCTTGAGTCTGCCTGGACGCTTATCAACTGTTACTCTACGAGTAGCTCAATCACCAAACACAGCAGTTAGCATAGCTCAACTTCGACTAGCTAGCACAATGGCATCTGCTTCGCGAACCTTCACTCGTGCTCTGCGCACCGCCACCCCGTCCTTCCGTACCGCCTCGACGCGCTCTTCTCGCTTCGTTGCGCCCACCCAGAGTGCCTTCCGCCAGCAGTGGCAACGCGGATACGCCACGGGCAAGGAGGAGGAACCAGACAAATATGAGGGCAACCCCACGGGCCTGATCTGGGGTGCCGGTGCTCTGCTCGCCGGTGCTGCTGTGTACGGTGTGTACACGCAGAAGCCCGAGTTGTTCGGCGCGGAGAAGGTCAAGGCGCCGTTTGTCGCCAGGTTCGAGAACTACCAGCAGATATACGACGCTATTGCCAAGAGGCTCGAGGAGCATGACAGCTATGACGATGGGAGCTACGGGCCTGTATTGCTTCGTCTGGCGTGGCACGCCTCAGGGACGTGAGTACACCACCATCACCCCCGATTCTCGCACGACATGAATGGCTGACAAGTACACAGCTACGACAAGCTGACCAACACGGGTGGCTCCAACGGTGCCACGATGCGTTTCGCCCCCGAGGGCGACCACGGCGCAAACTCGGGCCTCAAGGCTGCCCGCGACTTCCTCGAGCCCGTCAAGGAGGCCTTCCCCTGGATCACCTACTCGGACCTCTGGATCCTCGGCGGCGTCTGCGCAATCCAAGAGATGCAGGGCCCCAAGATCCCCTACCGCGCCGGCCGCTCCGACCGCGACCTCTCCTTCTGCACGCCTGACGGCCGCCTGCCCGACGCGTCCAAGGACCGCAGCCACATCCGCGCCATCTTCGGGCGCATGGGCTTCGGCGACCGCGAGATGGTCGCCCTGTCTGGCGCCCACGCCCTGGGCCGCTGCCACACCGACCGCTCCGGCTACACGGGGCCCTGGACCTTCTCGCCCACCACCATGACAAACGACTACTTCAAGCTGCTGGTTGAGGAGAAGTGGCAGTACAAGAAGTGGAACGGCCCCAAGCAGTTCGAGGACGTCAAGACAAAAACCCTCATGATGCTGCCCACGGACATGGAAATCGTAAAGGACAAGAGCTTCAGGAAGTACACCGAGTTGTACGCAAAGGACAACGACGCCTTCTTCAAGGACTTTAGCGATGCTGTTGTTACGCTCTTCGAGCTCGGCGTGCCGTTTGTCCAGCCAGAGGACCAGAGGTGGACGTTCAAGAGCTCTTTTGATTAGTTGTTGTTGGATTCTAGGGTGCTTTGCTTGCCGGAGTTCGATGTGAACGGGATATCCAACTAGACTTCTAGACTGTGGCCGTTTTTCTGATGAGTAGGAGAATTTTGGTGTGGCCTTTTGACTGTTATTTTCTTCTCGACTATACGGGGTTTGCGTAGATAGGTAGAACGTCTTGTATTATCCGAATATATTTCTCTACACATGTATACGTCTGATCATAATGTCCCTGCCTATCATGCAGTGTACGTAGGAGTAACAAATCCTCGCCGCATTGTTTGCCAAGATATATATCATAGATGTCCGTTACCCCCATAAACAGTCCTGTCGTTGCGTCACACAACGCACAAACACCCCCAGCCCTCTAGCCCTTCTGTAACAAATCTCGCAACATCGCTTCCGTGTTCCACACACTTCTATCCGTCTCTTCCCACTCAGTCCTCCTTCAGCATCGCCTGAGCAATAAGCACATGTTTCTTCTTCAACCACGCCGCATGACGATCCTCAATCTTGCAAAAGTCCTTGAGATGCTCTTGACCCAAGTTGCCTACCTGCGCCTCCAGTTCCCTGACCTCTTCCCCCAGCAGTCTCGGCGTCTCAGGAGCAGCCTTCTTGAACCGCGAAGCCTGGTACAAGAACGGCGGGAACGTAGTCTGGAACGTGACGCATTTCTTCTTACGCGGAGGCGGGGTATCATGTTCCGGGACGAAGAGTGTGGACTCTGCTGTGGTATCTGTGGTTTTCGACGGGGAGAGCGTGTCTTCGCTGGCGGAGAGTAGAGTCTCCATGGCCCCGTCGCCTAGGCATGTTACGCCCAGTTTGAAGATTTCACCCACGATCATCTCCCATTCGGTCTGTAGCTTTGTGAGTTCTGCTGTTTGCTGGTGGATGTGTTCGTCGAAGTTGTCCATGCGGTTCGCTAGTGTGCTTTCTACGCGGATCTTCTCGCCGTCGGTGTTGGTGCGTGTGAGACCAAGTCTGTAGGCCGAGAGTGGTTGGTAGAGGGTTGCGGCCATGCGTTCGTATTGGGCTGGTTTGGAAAGCTTAAGGGGTGAGAGGTCGTTTGGTTTACCGGAGGGCACATCTTGTAGGGTGCTTTCATGAAGCTGGTGAAGGAGGTCTTCGAGCGTCTTGGTGATCTGGACGGTGGTGGTAGTATATAGGTGGCGCTTGTAGTCGTCACTGGTTTCTGTATGTCGTGCATCAGCCGCCTTGGTTAGAGTGATAGAGTTTTGCAGGACTTACCTTTGAACTCGACGGCAATTACATGTTCGTCCAATCGCTTCTTTGATCTCCTGCGGTTCTCTTTCTGCGGACTGCGAGAGCTGCTGGATTGCAACTTGTCAATGTGGAAGTCTGATACATGTTTCACAGTCAGTTTAGGGTCATGAGAAGCCGGTCGCAGTGTCTTGTCGAGCTTCTTGGTCTTGTCGGGTCGTTTTTTGAATATTGCGCCTGCTGACACGGATTTCTTCGTGTACGGAGGCGTGATTTGCTTTGCTTGCAAATGGGTGCGACGCGCTCGCAAAGCAGAGCTGGGGCGTTCGACCTCCATCATGGAATGCTCTGCGCTGTTGAGTAGAGTCTGTGGAGTGAGGTGAAGCAGGAAGTGAGGATGAGTTTAGGCTTCGATGATGTTCCGGTTCCGGCGAGGAAGGAGCGACTGAGAAAAAAGACACAGACAATGATGTGATTGAAAGATTTGGAGAACAGAGGAATCGCTGCTACATCATACAGGCATATCATACACAAGAATACTTACGAGGGCTTCCCTTGTGGGATCTGACCGTTTGTGTTCTACATTTTGATGGTACATCATTCATGTCATATCAGCTCGGCCTTCTTACAGAGCTTCTCCGTGAAGCCACGTTCTACAGTCTTTATATGCAACTTGACTGTGCCTCATAAACGCGCAGGCTTATTTTGGCGGCTCCGCCTCACCCTCCGCGGGCACAACAACGCCCTTCTCTTCCAGCATTTTCGCCAACGAACCGTCCTGATGCATTGTCATAAGGATATCGCAACCGCCAATAAACTCCTTGTCAACGTAGAGCTGGGGTATCGTCGGCCATTCTGAGTATTCTTTGATTCCTACAACCAACTGTCAGCATGCCATATTTGAAATACATCATGCGCAGCACTCTGCGGGCCTCGGCGCATGTAGGCTCGAGCCTTTGTAGCTTCGAGCAACATTTCATGAGAATGTATGACGTACCTGACCTCAAATCGCTATCCTCCAGCACATTGAAGGCAGTAAACTTGTCCGGATCTACACCCTGCATGCCCAAGATCTGTATGCTAGCTCTTGAGAATCCACATTGTGGTGTCTCTGGTGTGCCCTTCATGAACAGAACAACAGGTGATGAGCCGACAGCCTTATCGATTGCCGAGCGGACTTCATCGGACAAGAGTCGTGCTTGGAAGGGCGTGAGAAAGCGTGTGGCGGCGAGGGGCCGAGCTGTGCTTGCGCGGGTCGCAGCGCGGAAAGCCTGTGTATTTGTTAGTATGTAAGAAACTTGAGAAGCCTAGAGTGAGAGTGTATACCGAGGGAATTGCGCGTCTTGGAAACATTGCTTCTGATATGGAGTGAGTGGTGTGAGAGAGATGGAGGCGTGAGCACCTCCGCTATCCTCCGCAAATATTTGGATGAGGTCAGGATTCGAGGATGTGCCAAGGCCGAGCTCCATCCTCTGCACCACACCCAATTGTAAGCTTCACATTACATCTCTATCATGATCGACTCCAGTAGACAGGTCTCCATGCTTTTGAAGACCCAGGCTTAAGGCAATAATGAAATCCAAATGACGGTCGCCATCTCGATGTAAGGGGATAACAGAGGCATTTTGTGAGGCTAGGTGTAAATACAATGTAGACAATGATTTCCATACGAAGATGACAGTCAGGAGGCATTGGTGAGTAAGATGAATGAATTGTGGGAAGAAATGGTGAACGATGCAGTACCGTTAATGTCGCATTCGGTACGATAGAATCAGAGGCGGTCATAATCATGATTCGAGTGAGTGACTGGCAGGTCTTCCATATCGAGCTTCTGCTTTGCAATAGTTGACTTGCGTCGGAATTGTCACAGTACAACTGATGGATGACCAGTTCATGGAAAAGATCAACTATGAAGCATTTGTTGCTTTACGTCCAACTTTACTGTCGTCACGCACATCGTTCGCGAGTGTTCAGCGACGAATCATATTTTCACATGCGAGCTTCGCGGTATTATGGGCAATGTAGTCCCATGTGTTGCCCTCGAGATCTTTCGAGACTAGACACAAATTTGTTACAGTGTCTGTTGATGAGTAAGGAATCTCACAGGTATGCTACGACTTAATCGAGATTTGACAAATACGCACGACAAAGCCACGAAAACATTTCTGGACACGAGAATAGATGGAGCAACCAATAAGCGCCCAGCCGGTTCATGTCATAATTCACACTCGTGCGATTCATTCCCCATCACATGATAATTCTCGTCACGAAGCGCCCTCGCCTACAGAAACGCGCCTCCACAAAAACTTCCCACACCTCATCGAAACGAAAGGTTACACTTCACACTACTCGCCGCAAACAGACGCACAAAACAACAACTCAAACAATAGAGTCCGACTTTGGCTTTTCGAAACGGGCCAGTTTCCATTCCGGGCTCCCAACCTGAAACAGCCACGGACACACAATACGAAGACCCAAAACAGAACTCCGCTTGCGAAGCCTGGGCCACCTTTGTGGGCGGAATGGTTTGTTTGCATGTCGTGTGGGGGAGATGAAGGGATGTTACGGTGCCATTCATTCTCCTCGTACGGACCTTCCTCGTTCCCAGTTGCCGAATAAACCGTGCGGCGCACGGTCATCACGCATGACCGTGGGAGCAACACAGCCCCAGGGATGAAAATTGGGAAACGGAGCGGTGATCGCAATGGTGCAAGGTTGTGAACAGCATGGGAAGTAGATGTTTTCATGTTTTGATATGATTTTGTTCCTATCTAGATATATGGGTATCTGCGACGTTGTCCCATACACCAATCCCTAAGTGACGCGTACAAGAAGAGAAGTAGATGATGAGCCATCGCGACAAAGTCTGCAATGACAAGCGAGAGACAAGAAGGTTAAAGCCCATCGTCAACCGCCAGACATCCCCACATACAACGTGGAGCCTGCCCGACATATCGGCAACAAGATCAGGAGAGCGAACCAAACATAACCGTAAGGATAATTTTCCAAGATCCCGGATCATGGTCGCCCGGGTAAAACAAAAACGGAGTTCATAAGGAGTCGTGCAAAGCGCTGACCTGCCTGCGCTAGCAATAAGAGAGAAATCTTTGGGGTATCTTGATCATGGCGTGGCTGCGCAAAGCTGGCAGAGTAAACGCAGGAGTATACGAGAAGCGACGGATAAGCGCTTAGGCAACCTTGGACCAGGTACCCTGGATGCGTGTCTTCTCGACCATGCCAAGCTTGTTCCAGGCAGCGAGGGACAGATCGATATCGTCGCCAACGCAGCCTGGGCACATGTCCATGATGGTGGCCTCGATGGTGACACCGTTGTAGTTGACGTTGATCTTCTGTCCACACCATTTGTTGGTGGCTTGGCCGGTCATAACATCGTAGGTAGATGCGCCCCAGGCTGGCTGCGCAAGGGCGACGACCACGTCGGTGTCCCAGAGGATGGTACCGCAAGCACCGTAGCCACCAGCGTTGTCGTAGATGGTGATATCGCCAGAGAAGACCTCACCAGTAGTTGTGGCAGTACTCTCGGCTTTCTGCTGAACAGCAGCGCTGGTAGCAGCTGGGGCAGGGGCGCTGGAGACGGGTGCGGCCGAGGTCTTGACTTCAGGGACGGGAGTAGGAGTGGGAGTAGGGGTAGGAGTAGGAGTGGGCGTAGGAGTTACTACGACAGGAGGAGTGTATATGCTTGACGACTCCTGAACCACGGGGGCGACGTAGATGCTCGAAGACTTAACCTCCACAGAGGAGGTGTAGGCTGGAGTAGGGGTAGGGGTAGAGGCAGAGGTGGTGATGGCCTCGACCTCAGCGGTGGTGGACTGCTCGGACACCTGGGAAAAGGAGCTTGCAGAAGTGGTAGTAGCCTCGGGAACTGGCTCATCGTCGTAGATCGTAGTGTAAACCACGACGGTCTCGACGATCACTTCAGTCTTGGTGATGAGCGCGCGCCTGTCGACAGGCGCAGCAGCGGCAAGAGTGCCGAAAAAGAGCGAAGCGAGGACGTGGGAGGTCTTCATTTTGACGTTTGGATTGCTTTTTGCGAGATAGCAAAGTGATGTGTAGTGAGTGATAGAGAGTGAAGCTGTAGAAAAGCTGTCTTTGATATCGTCACAGAGAGTGATTGAACCGGCTAGCAGTTTGAGTGAGTTTGATGGTGTTGATGGAGCGTCGTAGGGAGTGGTGTTGTCAGGAATGACAGTTAGAGATGCTGGATCTCTGGGAAGGAATGTAAAGGAAGAATGAAAGTGTGTAAGACCTCAAGCCTGTAAAGAATGGACAGGATGAGGAATACTGTAGGTTTATAAAGAGTGATGGTGTTGGTGAGAAAGAGTGAGAGCAGTGGAGCCGGAAGAACAAAGTGTGGGCATGTGGGCGTTGACAGGGGGCGTCGGCGCTAATGCACGCTAAGACTGAACTGTCAAAGCCTGGCGTCCACGCTCTCCGGCCCGGTTGGGTGTGCGGAACGTTCACCATGGCGCGCCTTGGGGCTCTCAACAGTACCCAGCAGAGGCGTCGTCATCCACCATGGCGGTCTCGAAGCCTGCCATGACAGTTACTCCCCGAGCAGGATGCCGATCCGAGTCCCCCAAAGTCGCATGAATTGACGCTGTTTCTCCTGCACCGTACGCGCTGACCTGTGCGATTGCGCACTGCCAAAATTGGTGCGATACACGGGATTTGCACAGGCTGGCCTGGTTTCATGCGTCGGCAAGGAGGCATGGCATTGGCTGGAGTGAGCGAATCGCCGACACCGATCGTCAGGTACGCTCCCTCGGCAGGCGTCTCCTGCCAGGGGCGTACCTGAAGCTGAAAGGCACGAATAAACGAATCGAAACATCCCGGAAAATACTGTCTGCGCCTCATCGCATCATCAGCCCCAGCGCTCAGGCACCGACAGCAGCACCCGAGTTGTTCTGGAGACCGACACGTGGATCGTATCGGCTCTGCTGAGGCATGTGCGCGACAGTCCGGACAGCGCAAAGCTGGCGCGCCGATCACACGTTGTCGAGGTGGACACACTTGGTCTCTGGGTCGCTCAGACTTTGCTTTCTTTGCTCCGCCACTGGGCACGTTCGCTCCACCGCTGTCAGCGACATCCCAAAACCTGCTGCGCGACGTGGAAGTCCGCAGTTGTTGGGCGTCATTTTGCGCCGCCGTCTCGACGCGACTCGCTCTGTCACAGTTTGCTGCGTCCCCACCGCTTTTCTGGACTTTTCATCGATCGCATCATTCCACAGCAGACAGTATGCACTGGAAATTACTTGTGGATCTGATGCAAGTGCGTCGTTTTTTCACTGGGTGGCTCTACGCAGCGGCTGCTCTTCCGCGCGCTTTAACTTTGCCCTATACTATCCACTTATCGATAGCGATTGCTACCCATCTCCGCAACCGTTGTTTTGGAGCCTATGATCTGCCGTTGTTCCTGTTGAGCTGTTCCGGGCCGTCAGAAGAGTTTTCTTTGTTGCTCTGCCTGCATATGCAAAGTGAGTAAGCAGGCTTTTCACCCATTACGTAGACATATGCGTCTGGAACACTTCCAAGTCAGCAACTAGAGGACGTCAACAATACCAGACGATGCCTCTCTCGGAGCGGGGTCAGCGTTCTAAGGTTACACCCCGTCTACAATCTGGTGCCCGGCGGGGAAGGCCGTGGAACAGCCGTTGGTGGTGTCGTGTGTAATCTGCTTCTAGGCTCAATTGCAACCATGGTTGGGCCATGCGCTCTAAGAATCGCGCATCTCAACCTTGATTCTATCCGAGGCCTCTGGATTCAACAGAGAAGATTCTGTTCCATCCATGGAAAGACACTTATCAGTCAGTCTTGTCTCAATACTCACTTTGGCGCATTAGATGCCGTAATGCCTGGACTGGAGATGTGACACTGCGGCACACGTGTGCTTGAGACGTAGTAACACGCGAGTCCTCCGACACATCAGACGAAGTGGAGCTACACTCTGTTGCCTTTTTCTGGAAAAGATCTGAGGACCAACCGGTCGGAAGATGTGATCCCCAGCCGGTAACGACAGGATCACCACCCTAAGCGAGTGGCGCTTGGTGCTAATGTGTACGACTGTCTTGTACACTGTCCGTTTCGTCGTCTTACATGAAGATAGAGAGCCATTGGAAACTAAAATACAGTGTGGGTGAGCAACATGAGCATACATGCAACACCATGGAGAGTCAGAGACATTGCGAATGATATTGGAAGTGGACATGAGACTTAACCCATCTTGAAACGAAGCATGTGTATCGTGCTACGAGCTCCTCAATACCAGAAATTCGGAACATCGTGGCTTCTCTTCCTCCTCATGATTTGGTGGGCATATGTTTCCTTACGTCCATCACTTTCATTCGCTGCCTGCTTCTCTTATCGCGCCCTCACTCAGCTTGTAGTAGCGCCTAATCCAGCGACCTTGAACGCATTTGACATCTCGCTCGTTTTCGGCAAGCCACCACCAATACAGTGTAGAGTATTTTTTACTAGCTTGTCGTTGTTTAAATATCATTGGTTGGATATTCCTCTAATTGTCTGGAGATCTAGAATTCAGCTTCCGCTTCCGATGTACGGCAAAAAGAAAAATAACGACTAAGGCAGACATTGCGATCCGCGTCATAACCAGTCTTTTCCGACTGATCTAGCCCGTTGTGCCGAATACTCTGTTTTGTCAACATAAACATTCTAGTTCATCTCACGAAGGCAACCAAAGTTGCAGGTAGTCTTTGCTATCTCGGTTTCGTATTTTCGTCGTTTGCAAGCTTCTCTCCGAGAGCAACCTATTCGATCGGCCGGTTCCAAGTGTATACGCTATCGATTGTTGTAAAACGATGAGCATCACAGTCTTTAGGCTGCGTAAATGTCACACGTCTGCGATGATATTTACCCGGACCGGCAAATAGGAACAAGACGGAGCAGTCTCGTCGGTAACCCAAAAAGCAAGCACATGTGCAGGTACCATAGCTTGAAAACCACTGAACTTCACGATATCCTACAATCCGTCTACAACTCAATATTTCGGTGGTATAGGAAGACCGATATTCGATAGTTCGTTGTTGACATGCTGAAGGAGATTATGCATACTCCTGGGCCAATTACTGTCACTACCAGTTTGCATCCTCTGTTCAGTATCCGCGGAAGAACATCTTATCAACAGGTCATTTCCAATTTCTGTACGATGACAGTGAGGGCAGTGAGAACATTGACTGCGTTGGCTGGGAAGTACGAGATACGCGTACCATCAAACTAGCAGCTACGAATATGCAGAACGCGATGGATGTTATACCGCTTAAGTTGTGTTTATGTTGTGTCGATGTTTGGGAAATGTAATCACAAGGCAAGTCTTGATCATGAGCGTGAGAGAGACCCACTCTAAACTCATGTGCCCTTCATACTCCGTTTTGATCGATTCTCAATAGATCTCTCAGCGAGAGCTCCATGTAAATACATGAGTCTTCCTTTGTCGGTATTCTGATACTCCAATTTAATGCGACGTCAACTTACATCGCTACTAACTGAGATGTTGTAGCTGTAGAAAGGTATGATCGCCTTGACGACTTCTAACCAAGAACTCGCCATGCATATGCATCGTGGTAGTCGGTTGTGCCAATTCTTGTATAAACCGTCTCAATGCAATATCTCTTGCTACTGGGTTACTAGAGATGCCTGTGATAAGAAAACACAAAATGCATGCCGTTTTCGTGTGGTGTTCAAAACTGTACCGATGTTTACTTTGTACCAGACAATTTGAACATATTGCATTTATTTCACAGAATGACTTTCCACGCTTTATCAAGTTGAAGAGTATTCCCCTCTTCGGACTTATCCTTCTTTCTCAAGGTGAGAGAAAACTGGGCCTATGCCTTTTGTGTTCAGAGAATGGCGGCCACTCCGTACATTCCCCCTGAAGCATATGAAGAGCTCTCCAACATAAGATCATAAATATTAGTAGCAAGTCCATACACTCAGAACACTATTTGACCGCGTCAATTCTCTCCAACCCTCACGCTTCGTGTTCATCTCCAGCCTTCCTCGCAGCCTCATACTTCGCAACCTTGACCGGATTCCCCTCCAAACCATTCAACGTCGCCTGCGACATCCCCGGGATAACCATCTCAAACGTTTCCGTCACAACCGCATACTGATAATACCCACACCTCGCAATCGGCTTCGTCTTCCGCACATCCAGCATCCCATCCGTAAGCACCTCATCCGCAATATGCACCGCCTCGACCTTCCCGATCACCACATCGACACTCCCCATGGGCGGATTGCCCGGCAACCGCAGCGTAGAATGATAGCTGCACTCGAACTTCACGGGGCTGCGCTTCACCATCGGTATATCAGATAGGCTAGCTTTTTCCTTCTCTAGCCCCGCGCGCTCGAACTCGTCGACGCCATAGGGGACTTGCTCGGCGGTGATGTTCATCTGCTCGCGCAGGTCCCAGGTTGCGAGGTTCCAGACAAAGTGGCCGTGTTCTTCGGCGTTTACGACGGTGTCTTTTCTCGTGTTGTCTGCTGTTTGGTTGGAGGAGAAGAGGACGTAGGGGGGGTCGAAGGTTAGGTTTGTGAATTGGCTGTAAGGAGCTAGGTTCGCTTTGCCGTTCTTGGAGATGGTGGATATCCAGCCGATGGGTCGGGGGACTACACAGGCCTTTGGTGGGTTGATGTAATTCTGTGAGAAAGGGTATTGAGTGGCTTACTTTGAAGGGGTCGTGGGGCAGGCCGTGGTCGTCAATTCCTGGTCTGTAGAACATGATGAATGATGTCTTGAGTAAACTGTTTGGCGCCTGGGCTGGTAATTCTGGTGTCAATTCGAGATGTATATGTAGAGATTGGCAACGCTGATAGTCTCTAGCTTCTAGGTTTGATCACCTGTTTGCTTGCTTGTAGCAGCTGAGCTGAAGTAGCATGACGTAGAGATACTTGTAGCTACTTAGTTTCCTAATTTCACGCGGGGATCATTGCCGAGGCCAATTCGACACGTATATGCCTCATCTACAGAAACCAAAGCCTTTCTATCTACCAAAGACTCACTCCTGAGGTTTTCCACTTGTGTATGGGGCACGGAGTAACGTCTTACTTCTCCAAATATCCTGTATTCTTACGTTATTCAAGAATTATACAGCTGTTTATTAGAACCCCTCTTTCAACAACAATCTCAATATGAAGCGTGGTACGTTCGACCATGCCTCAACGCAACACTCAAGAATATACGTAAAATCATTAGTGGATAGATCATTAGAAAGGCCAATATTTGGCAAACGCAAGAACCTGAACATACACCAACGCCGCAATACATACCAACCCCAAAAGCTGATAGTCCCATTCTGTTCCCTGTCAACCATAATGCCACCTTCGCACCTGAAAACCAGTACAAGTATACGCATCTCCTACAGCCTGACATTCGCCCCAATCTTGCCTCCTTGGAACCAGATGTTCTCCCTCCAGTACCCTATCCTAATCCCAACATGTGCAAATGCCGTCAACTTCAACTTGCCCCCCAAAGCTCGGCGGATCGCCCCATACCCCACGCTCCCAAAATTCCAATCCACGGGTAATCGAGGTGATTCACTCAGCCCAGGTGGCACAGCAAATGGCCATTCGTATAGAATTTTGGCACTGGGATGGCCCTCGTAGTAAGCTGTCGCGTTGAGCTTGGTGATGTATAGTGTCGTTGCGGAGAAGGGCGACATCAGGGTAAATAAAGCGGTAGAGGATATGAGGTGCATGGTGGCGTCGCGGATGAAATGAGGACCTGAAGATTCATCATCGTCACCGTCATCTGGGTCGTCGTCGTCCTCGGGATCGCGGGGAGTAGAAAGTTGTGGGGCGGGAATCGTGAGGGGGAAGTGGGAGAGGATATTGCCGAGAGAGGGTTGCGCGGGGATCGATGCGTTATGAGCTTGGAGTGTCAAGGAGGTGTTGAAGCCTGCAGTTATGCGTTAGCGCCGTTCCACGAGTTGTGAGTCGTGGGAAGGAGAGGCATACCGGAAATATATTGTGAGAGTAACTCTCTCCCAACTTCCTTTCCTTTTTCGCCACCATTTGTAAAGGGGTCCCACACTGCGGAGACTATGAGATCTGTATTGTTTCCTGGGTGTACTTCGATGTTCTTAGCAATTGCTTGTCCAACTCCCGTGCCATTAACAAGGATATTGATGTTGAAGTATGGTACTGTCGCCGAGTAGTTTGTAGGATTCGTAATGTTGACGTGGGCTTGGAGTGTGATAGACGTAGGGCTTGTATCGATGATAGACAAGTTACCAATCTTGAGGTTCAGCGAGCTCAGGCTCTTCTTGTCATCACCGTCATGATCATCTTTGCCACCACGGATCGCTGGACCACAAACGTTAGCCATTGCGGACACAGCGGACCAACATGGAACACGAACTAGACTAACGTTTGACTGGTACAACACCTTCTGCAGGAATGCCCCGCACTGCGATCTTGCCCATGGGTGTCTCCACACCAACACTGACTGCGGCCTTGATGTCCATCAGAACCGACTTGCCGCCGAAAAGCATGGCCTGGATGACTTCGCTGAACAGGTCGTCATCAAGAATATCGATTGGGGCTTTCTTAATGTTGGACTGTACAAGAAGTGTTGGTCCCTCTTTGCCATGACCTTCTATTCTTTTCGAGCTTGCGTGTTGCCACTTCTCGAGATTCAGTTTTCCAAGCTTCTTGTGATGGTAGTAGATGTCGGCATCCGCCTTGACCTGGTTGACATCGATAGGAAAGTTCATCTCGTTTGGAAGACCAATTTCGACTTTGACAACAGCAGAGATCTTTGGTGCAGCCTCAGGTGATCCTGGCTCAGCCCATGGATCTGGCAGGGAGAAGTGAACATCCGCTAGAGAGAAGTTCTTGATAAGGTTTCCCATGTCGCGACCCGCGAAGGGAACTGGAACGGTGATGTCCTTCAACAGATCACGAGCCCAGCTAGGTGTCGATGGATCAGGAAATCTGCAGCAGTTGATGTAAAGGGTCGCGTCGTCCCCTTTCATGTAGTCGGCCAGGAACGCGTCTAGCGGCGACTTGGTCGAGTGAGGGCACACACCCGTGATAGAATCGGAGAGTTTCTCCACATTCCCTGTAACGTTGACATGAACGTCCGATTTTGGCCTGACTACGAGTGGTCCAGTTTCGGCGGTTCCAACCATAACGTGCTTGTCTGCTGAACATCCATCGATCGAGACGTCTACAGCAACTAGAGGCAGGGTAAGCCCTACGGGAAAGTCGTTCCTCACCACAATGGATGCATCAGCAGCCATCCCAGTGTGTCCGTGGTTGGCTTCTCGGAGGTTGAGCTTGGCGATGTTGTAGTGAGGCAGCGAGGGGATGTCATTGCCTGTAAAGTTTCGAGTTAGTGGTCATGTCTATAAGCACTAGGTATAAATGAAGACTTACCTTGGAAAACCATAGCCTGCTCGACAGTTTGCTTGCCAATGTTAATCAGGCCAGACTTCAGAAGAACCTCTGCTCTTCCCTTGAGGCGTATTTGACCTAGTCGCCCCTCGATCCAGTCGTTTGCGACGTTCCTGATGCCGTCAGGCGAGCCAGGCTCAAGGTATGTGATGAAAGAAACATGTGTCGTGCGGCCGTTTCTGATGTTGACCTTAATGCCTGGGACTTTGGCCTTGCCAATCAAGATGTTACCATACTCAGGCAAGTACACATCGACATCCGTAGGCCCACTCTCAACCTCCTTTGCGATCCACGTCCCAAAGCGTCCGATGTTGCGCACGCTTTTCTTGTGCACTTTCGACGCATCCATTGTGAAGTCTCCTTCGACGTGCACCTTGGCGCCATGATCGGTCAGCCCATCGAGTGAGAGCTTGGTTGGTCGAAAGTCGGCAGCCTGCATGGCGTACTCTTCAATGCCTTCGGTCGCAAGGAATCCGAGCATGATGAATATTACAACAAGAACTAACATGACCAGCGCAAGTATGCTCGGCCATCTTCTCTTCCAGACCGGGACCTTGCCGCTGCGAGACGGCCTGCTTCCGCCCAGCGATCGTAGCAGCGATGCTATCGCTGGCGTCTGCGGCCTGTCTTCTCCTTCATTGTCACCTCTGTCTTCCCTTGCTAGCAGTGGCGTCTGTTCTGTGGTTCTACTCGATGTTTGTGATCGCGACGAGCGGGCAGACTTCTGGGAGGCTGGACGCGAACTAGGTGTATAGGTCGAGCCCCACGGCGCCTCGGATGCGTCCATAGCTACGCAGGTGAAAGTAAGGTAGAGCAACCAGGCTCTTAGGATGTCATGCGTTGCAGAGAGATGGTGGTGTTATCTAGGAGATTGGACGCGTAGACGTGGTGAGGGGAGGCTTGGTATCTCGATGGCTGCCGTCATCACCTGCTCAGCCACTGGGAGCCGCTTCCGCGATTCTTGGTCGCACCTGCCACGCTAGCGACCCCAGGTTTGCTGGGATCTAGTCAAACAAAATTTCTTGCGACGATAAGGTATGACGGAATTGCGCATCTTTATGACTCTGCTTCATGCCAATAAAGTTGTATAAGAAGTCGTTTTCTTCGATCACAGCTTCACAGTAACCATTGAAGCAAAATGCCTCCCCTCCGACCACCCCCCGCAGCCCTTCGAAGCTTGCTGCGAGCGCGACAGCAGTCGCGCTGCTATTCACTCTCCAGCTCACCAGCTGCCCCGCCAACATCACCCTTTGCGCCGCGACACTTTCTCTCCATTGCAGACCTCACGCCTGCCGAGCTTACGACTCTTGTACGCAATGCGCAGAACCACAAGACGGCCATCAAGTCGGGGACTGGAGAGGTGCCACATTCTCTGCGCGGGGCACTGGCTGGCAAGACAGTCGCCATGACCTTCAACAAACGGAGTACCCGCACGAGGGTCTCAACAGAAGGAGCCATTGCGGCATTGGGAGGCTCACCAATGTTCTTGGGCAAAGATGACATTCAATTAGGTGTACGGCATCCAACGCTTGACTGAGACGAGAGCCTGTACTCACTGCACATCAGGTCAACGAGTCTCTCTACGACACTTCTCTCGTCCTCTCCAGCATGACCGCTGCCATTGTCGCCCGTGTGGGTCCACATTCCGACGTCGCAGATCTCGCAAAGCACTCTTCGGTCCCCGTCATCAACGCCTTGTCTGACCTCTACCACCCTCTCCAGATCATCGCCGACTTCCTCACAATATCTGAGGTCAACACCTCAAGCTCCGGTTCCTCACTTGGGTTGGAAGGGATGAAGATTGCATGGATCGGCGATGCGAACAACGTGCTCTTCGATCTTGCCATTGGCGCAGTGAAACTGGGCGTCGACATCTCCGTTGCAACACCAAAAGGCTACGAAATTCCACAGGAAATGCGCGCAGTCATAGAACAGGCTGCAGGCACAACACCCAGGCCAGGAAAGCTCTTCGAGACCACCGCGCCTGAGGAGGCGGTCAAGAACGCAGACATCCTCGTTACAGATACCTGGGTGTCCATGGGCCAGGAGGAAGAGACAGCAAGGAGGCTCAAGGCCTTCGAGGGCTTCCAGATCACCTCCGACCTGGCGAAGCGCGGTGGGGCAAAGGACAGTTGGTCTTTCATGCACTGCCTGCCTCGTCATCCGGAGGAGGTCAGTGACGAGGTCTTCTACGGGCCCAGGTCGGTCGTCTTCAGGGAGGCTGAGAACAGGTTATGGGCGGCCATTTGTAAGTGCATCGCCTAACGGTATAGCTCATTTGCTAATCAAGATACAGCTGCTATCGAGGCCTTCGTAGTGAACAAGGGCAAGATTGTAAGTGAATTCTCAAACCATACAATTTTACATGTGCTAACTCTTGCTTAGTAGCGACTTACTTCCGTCAAAGCGGCAGTGTGTCAGGTTCATCTGAAGTCGTGATGTCCTCAATCTGGTAGACTTATATCCTCATCCCAAAAAGCGCTGAATTTGACGACGCAGACTTCTCTTGATGCCTGATCGTAGCTACGTATGCCTCACCTGTGCTGATGAACGATGTAGACCTTGATTGGTGAGGCTCGTGATACAGAAATCGCGACTTCCGTGTTAAGCACCTGATGAAGACTCACTTCCTCATCGTTTCACTAATTGTTATAACTTCCTGTGAATCACAATCCTTTACTCATTGTGACAGCGCGATCTTTAGCTTATGGTTTCGCCAACCAAGGAAGTAGTCTACGCCACTTGCCTTCTTCCTCCCGATACTATGACGCCAGGCTGAGCTTTGCCAGCCTTGTTATTGCGCTACATTTGCTGCCTTGCTCTCTGCCTAGACAACACAGCCACACAAACACGCGACATACATATACCCCGCTTTTAGAAGCTGTCGGTGCTTCATCTATTCAGTACCTATCCAGTTTCAAGCATTTCTCGCATCACGGACTGTTGGGGCTCTTCCAGTAAACCCACCTTTCGCCGATATGCCCTGTCAACATCCGGATATACGAAAATTCGACGGTCTACGATGTTGCCTGGCATGCGGCGAGACAGAATTTGAAATTGCAAGATCTACAACAACAGCCCAATGGCAAATCTCGGACTCGACAAACCAATACCAATATTCTCGTCTCAACTACAAACTCGGTCAGCAGATACGTCTTGTTGATGTCCTTCCAGGAAAGCGCTCCGATCCTGTCCGATGCGAAATGCTCCATGTCAATCTCGACGACGATCCAGATTACGAAGCGGTTTCCTATACCTGGGCGACCGAAGAGGGCGATGATAGTAAATCCAAAATCATATATTTTCCCAACGATGAATCGATACAGGTCACCAAGAACTGCGAAGCTGTATTTCGTCAGCTCAGAGGCCGCAGACTCGCACGACGGTTCTGGGTCGACGCCGTTTGCATAGATCAGAACAACGTAAACGAACGAAACCATCAAGTTGGTCTGATGGACAAGATATTTGCCCAGGCGTCAAACGTCGCAATATGTATCCAAGAAGAGAACTCGGCATTTGACTACACGAGATTGTTTGTCGAGCTACAAGAGGTAAATTACGGGGTTGGCAGAGGGTTCAACAGCTGGCTGCAACCCATTCTTAGACCTATCCTTATCCATTTATTTGATTTGCGCTACTTCCAGCGCGTATGGGTAATACAGGAGGTGGCTTTGGCGAAAACGGCGTATTTGCGTGTTAATGACACTGGAGTCTTGCTTTCACCCTCGGTCATGAGTAGGCTCCACCATATGTGCGACGAATGGCGCTGCAAAATTCCCAGCGTCCTCAGATGGAACCCCGGTCAAAGACCTGAGACAGACATCGTTACGTGTCTGCGTCTCGGTCTTCACTGTCAGTCGAGTGATCCAAGGGACAAGATCTATGCCGTTCTCAGCCTGATGGACTCTCGATCTCGGTCTCTCATACCAGTGGATTACTCTCTGGATATTCGTACAGTGTACACACACGTACTCATCGCTGTCGCTGCCACGCGTCGAAATCTAAACTTTCTCAACCATATGGATTTCTCGAACGGTGTAAACAAAGTCACAATCGAGGCTATTTTGAATAACGAAATACCCCAAACTGGCTTCCACTGGTGCCTTGACTTTGAACGCACTCGAGGCCCGTGGTTATCAACCATTGACGTACATACAATCGCACAATTACGGCCACTTCCATCACTACTAGATGCAGACTGCCTTACAGTCAACGAAAAAAAAGTGTCTGCGGTCACGTTCGAAATGCCTTCCAACTCGGCCTGTTCGAGCTCTGCTCTACGATTTCACGTCCGTGCACACTATGTCGACACGATTCAATCTGTCAAGTTCTCAAAACATGTCACTTCCAAAAAGGGTAAAGGCTATTTTCATATTGGCAAGGAGAGTTACACAATCTTGGAGCGTTTGTTCGCCGACAAATTCGCAACAGATATTCACTGCTGTCCGACCGAGACTGTGAGAGCCCATAGTTGGATACTAGAGGTTTTTAAATCGACCCCTCACGTTGGAAAGATCAAGTCTGCTGCGATGGGAAAATCGCTGCCCTACCTAAAGCAAGAGCATGCGCCAGGTATCGACTTACCTGACTTGCAATCGTTTGTCAGAGGTGTGAAGGCAACTCAGCAATACGGATGTAGCGAGGCATCAACCTATACCTTGTTCCTAACCCAGTATAGTGTTGGGTGCGCACGCCATGGTTTCGAGGAGAACGATGAGATATTCGTGGTCGATGGGTCGAAGACACCATTCATTCTGCGCAAGACTGGTCCATCCCAGTACAAGATCATAAGCGAATGCTTCGTTTGGGCCCTACTTGAGCTTGACTACTGGAATCCTGGGACGAAGAAGGGGCGGTGGGGACAGTATGCGGAGAAGCCCCAGCGTGTGCAAACGCAGATGATTGAGATCGTTGGACCGATGCTGCGGAGCTGCTAACTAGATACTGGATGTAGATTATGCTCATAGACTTGCGGCCAGTTTGGCAGGGCTGGAAAGCAACTATTTGTGAGTCTTATATGTGACCCGAATGTAGTGTGATAGATACACATAGTGTTTTACTAGCAGGAACGTCGGATGGAACATGCTACGGCCACAACGTGCATCCCACCTTGAAGCGGAGGCTGTGGCTAGATGTGTCGGCGATCGGGTAAAATCTCCATGTACGTAAAACCGAACCCGATTGTCGGGCGATAGTATTGTAAGGATAGCCATAGCTGATGTTCGAGGACACTTTGACAGGCCAAACACTTATCAGTACCCACAAATAACGGCATCTTTAGAGACCCAAGATATTAGTCGTTGGGAACTTTACTCGCTTAACCAGTTTAGCCTTTGTAGCATGACTTATGTATTGATTTACGTCGGAGATAGTTGCTCTATTTCCGCCTACTAGTCGGTACTACGTCGGTACTCTAGATTGTAGCCTCGTTCCGTCCTTGACGTGCTCCGGAACCCAATCATGGTACGGTTCTTGACCGTTTTGCGTTCTGTTGATCCTCAGCTAGACTAATTGAACAGACCCGAATACAACGTTAATAGGCGAGCTGTGTGTTCTTTAGCTACCACCCATGACACTCTTTGATAACAAAAGCATGTACTATACTGTTTTCTCACTTTCTAAGATCTCGTTTAATTGCATGGGCGTGGGATGCAGAACTATACAGACGTGACATTGCGCCGGCGCCTAGACTCCTGACGTGACATCGGTAGGCAACACAGTGCGACGTTTATTCATAGCTGAGGCTTTTGCTCCACGAAGAGGCTTTTGATACGAATAGATGCAGATAAGCATCCTGTTCCTGTTACATAACTGGCAGGCAGTTAATCGTGAGTTTAGTAGAAACCTGTTAGGATTTCTGATAACCGAAGGCTTCACGGATAGAGCACGATTCATGGCATGTCAAGCCGAGTACCGAGAATGGCTCACATATATAAAAGGCCCAAAGGCATCAGAAGGACGTGTTAATAGTACTGTTCTACATTGTGCTACTGAGGCTCCTACATAGCGAGCAGCAAACCAAGATCAACCTCCTTACGATGCTCAGTTCGATTCTCACAACGGCGCTTGTCGTCACGACGGTCGTTGCATCGCCGCTACAAATTCAAAAACGAGAGGACCCCAATACCGGATTGACATGGATCTACAAGGACGCCACACTACCGAAGGTGATGTAAGTAGAACAATTGAAAATTCGCATGAGTCTTTTCTAATATCTGTTCTCAAGGTTGTACAATACCGGCGATGGGACCATCTTATCAGGATCAACTCATGGCCGCTTGGATAATATAAACTACGGTGGTGGCTCTGGCAGCCTGACTCCAGAGACCCTCATCTCCAGTGTTAGCGAAGTTCTCGACATTGCCCAGCTGGCAGTTCGCAATATTGGCGGCGGCGGCAGCGCCAATGCGAATTCGGACAGATTTTTGAACATCTCGATGGACGCTACTAAGCGATTATGTTCGGACGACTCTGATATTGTGGGCGCTGTTATGATCCATGGCACCAACACTCTGGCTGAGACTGTACGTCTGCCCCTTGTTATATGCTCTGCTTGAAATATTATCCTAACTCCATCTAGGCTTTCGGCGTTGATCTGACCCTGAATTGCTCGAAGCCATTCGTTGCGACTGGTTCCATGCGACCAAACTCCGCCCTATCCGCGGACGGACCTTTCAACTTCTACGACGCTGTCAGGACTGCCATTCACCCTGAGGCGCGTGATCGTGGCGCCATGATTGCGTTCAACGACCACCTGGTATCCGTTTTCTATGGAACCAAGACTAACGGTAACACCGTCACCACTTTCTTGGCCATGGATCAGGGTTACATTGCTCAATTTCTGGCTGGACAGCCATACTTTTTCTACGGAGCCTCTCTGCCAAAGGCCCGCCATTTCTTCGACCCCTTCAAGCTCCAGTACCCCCTTCCCAAAGTGGTCGTTCTTTACGGTCATCGTGAGTGAAACCCGACCCTAGAGTCTGTGGTGCTGAGCTTACATTTTTACAGAGGGCTTCGACGCCGGTCTGCTGCGCGCTGCCGTTGCGGACGGTGCTAAGTAAGTTGCATCTTCTTCGATGCCTTTCTTGCGCAAGTGCTGATAGATGTAGGGGAATTGTCATCATGGGCGTTGGCCCTGGCGGTCTCAGCACCGCCGCTACACAGGCCGCCAACGAGCTCTTCGAGCAGGGCGTGGTCACCGTCGCGTCGCTCCGACCCTTCTTCGGCGCGGTGGTTCCTGGACCTCAGACCAGCAACATGTGAGTCGAGATTTTGGTATTTGGAGTACGACCCCAGAACTGACAATCTTTGCAGCATCAGCTCGGGCTTCCTACACGGTGAACAGTCTCGGATTCAGCTCCAGCTTGCCATGGCCTCGGGCTATGACGTGGCTGGCATCCGAAAGCTGTTTGAGGGTGATATCCGTAAGGCAGTGTATAACGACGCTACGGCCTTTTACAACGCTACTACTCTATAGAGGAGAGATCAATGAGAAATGAATAACGAATTGGATATATCCTTCTGCCAAACAAGGATTATTATCAAGGAACGTGATGTGGAATGTGTAGCTTGTGCTATGACTCTGCAATCATGTCTGTACGCTCTGAGACTGTATTATCTTGATTGCAGAGTCATGTAAAAGGCAATCTTGCAGAGTCTATATTAATCTTAGTCTTGTAGCATGATATGCATATTGTAGTAATGGATGGACCCAACGCAGAGTAGTGAAGGGCAATGGGCCAGCATCATGCGTTTAAGCCATTTAACGGATCGTATCCAGGGCGTCTGAAATCGTTTAGCCCATTGTCTTTCAGATCTCAGAATCTCTCGAACCAGTCGTTTTCAGAGACTCATTCTGCCAGGAGAGCCACTAGTCACTGAGACGGCATCCGGATCTGTTGGTTCTTCTGATACCTTCCATGAATCGGGGCCAGGTCTTGCAAGTGATGTCGTACTGAAACAGAAACAACTTGTGAGTCAGCCACTCAGACAAATACCAGCAAAGAAGATGAACTGTTAGCTGATGTCAAAGAGGGTGTGACATCCTTCGCTGACTAGATATCATTGTTGACAACGAGTTAGAGATGCAAATATACAAGTATTGGTGTGGCAATCGCTTGGATACTAGGGTAACATATTGAATGAATGAATGGTCATTAATAGCTAGCTGTAAACATCGCTTGCATGTGCCGATTATCTATTGACCCTCAGCTCACACTATAAACATCTTGCTTTCTTGGGCCGAAATCTAGCCATTTGATGTAAATTGGCCTCAGTCTCGACCTTTGTCGACGTGGGTCATGACTTCCCTTCCCTTTCAGAGCTCGCGCTTCGCAAACCATACTCTCAACATCTCGATTTCACTCTCAGTAAGCACATTTCCATTGCCATGCTTGGAAACGATGTGTTGCACCAGACTCCCATGGGACCCTTCGCCTATTCCAGTTGCAACGCCTTCGTCTTTCAGAATGCTGTCTCTATTTTCAGGATGTTCGACGAATCGGCGCAACAACGCAAGTTCGTCCTCATCCAGAATGCAGTCGCTTTCTGGATGATTATGGTATTTGATGATATTTTCTGCGAGAGAATGGCTTGCAATCATATCGGGGACCGATGGACCGGTATACACGGGAGAAGACATTGTAGTTGTGTAATTTTTAACGTGTTTTGGAGTAGGAAACAAGTTGGATTTTATGTGTTTTGGAACAAAAGTCTGAGATTATGTGGGGGCTTCTTACTTATACAGAATGTTGTTGCCTAAAAGTAAATACGATTGTGTTGCCCAATCAACGCGCTGCAGGAGTAGCCGGTTACTTTTACTATATCGCATCAGGTCTCTCCCGACATGCGCCCCACTGGCCATTTGTGATTGAGTCGGGCGAGAACCCTGAATTCCAGTAGTAGATCATGTTCACGAATGCAGTCTCATTCAGATACGCCCGCTGCTGGAATGTATTCAGCAAGCGAACCATCACAAGCCGAGACGCGCACTCTCCTCAACCGGTCCCAAGGACGTTACCCAGTCACTCAGATCTGAATCATAGTGATGACCTTTTCAACTACACTCGAGGCCGCTTCGTTTGCAATGAGAAATTCGAGATGTCCCAACGCAAAGTTCAATTCAATGTCAACGAGCTAGCTCGCTGTGCCGCCGAAGCTGTCGGAGCAAAATCATGCGTCAACATTGAGAAGTACCCTGACGGCATGTACAACAAGGCTATGCTTCTCACCATGGAGAATGGATCTCAAGTTGTAGCTAAGGTTCCAAATCCCAATGCGGGCCTGCCTCATTTTACCACTGCAAGCGAAGTTGCGACAATGGATTTTGTGTGTTTCTTTAAAAGTCAGTGTATATGAGCACTTCAACTGACGCATCATAGGTGAAGAACGTTCTCAAAACTCCTGTTCCTAGAGTTTTGGCCTGGAGTTCAAAGGCCCAGGAGAACACCATTGGTGCAGAATACATCATCATGGAGAAGGTTTCCGGAATCGAGCTGGAACGCGTCTGGCCAAGCATGGATATCAAAGACAGGCTCAAGGTTGTCAAATCTATTGCTCTTATGCAAAAAGCATGGACCTCCATCTCTTTCCATCAATATGGCAGTCTGTACTTTACGGAAGATCTGGACGAACCAACAGGAACTGAGCCGCTGTACTTCGATGCATACGGCAAAGGTATTACAGATAAGAGGTATCAAGTCGGGCCATCTATAGGGCGTGAGTCGATTGACAATGGAAGAGCAACTATCAACTTCGACAGAGGACCATGTAAGATTTCTGTCATTTAAAAGGGTCTTTTCTAATCAACAAATCCAAGGGCGCTCCTTAGAGGAGTATCACACTGCAATAGGGCATCGAGAGATAGCCTGCGTCAATCAAGTTTCTTAACTGCCCAAGTCTCCAATAACCCTTTGCGGCCCTGGTACATATATCCCCACGAAAGAAAAGAAGCTCAGGGCTTTGCACTGCTATCTCAAGTTGATCAAATTTCTGTTCCCGACAGATCAAGCCATCTCGTCAGCACATCTATGGCATGGTGACCTACATGTTGCCAACATTTCGTCGATCCTTCTGAACCTACCAAAATCGTAGGCCTTATAGATTGGCAATCTACAGAAATATCCCCACTCTACTTCCAAGCTCGCCAGCCCCAAATTATCGATCACGATGGCCCGCCTGTCCACGGATTAGAGAGACCACAGCTACCAAAGAATATAGAAAAGCTTGAGGCAAACACAAAGCAACATGCAGAGACTTTGTATTTACAGCAATCACTTTGCGCTCTCTATAACACTCTGACTCACCATCAAAACCCCCAACTTTACGCTGCGCTTGAGTTTCAGCAGACGACGAGCTATTTGCTTCTACTCCTAGCACGTAACCTTCTCATTGATGGTGAAGCGACCTACCTCTCGCAAGTGGCTGAGTTGGAGGCTACATGGGACAGTCTTCCTGAAGCTAAAGGCTCAATTTACCCATTTACTTTCTCGGCGAAAGAGCGAGAAGATTTTCAGACTGACGTTGAGGGCGCAGGCCGTGGTATGGACGCAATGCGTTCACTTAAAGAGAGCATCGGTGAACTGTTTCCTGAGCAGGGAATTGTGAGGCCAGACCAATATGAAGAGGCCCTAGATGCGCTAGCGCAGATGAAGGATCAGGTCATTGAGGAATTTGCCACTACTGAGCAGGAGAGAGGTTTGGCGGAAGATGTGGCCTTTTGGAACTTGAAAAGCATGACACTGGAGATGGCAAAAATCTGGTGAATAGGCACTACAAGTAATATCGAAGAATATATTGACTGTACAGCCCTATAGCAATAGAAAAATGTTCAACTCATCTGCTCTATGAGATACATCTGTCATTTCCAAGCACTGAAAATCACTTGTCCTTCTTCTCACCACTCTCGTTTTGCCCATCTTTCTCCCTCTTCCTCTGCTCCAACCCATCAACCCCCTTCCCCCACGCACCAGCCCCCTTTCCCCACTGCACCGTACCCCAAACATGCGTCCAGCTAATTTTTGGCGGCGCATCGGGATCCGTTCTGAACGGACTCGCGCCATGCGGAAACATAGCCTCTTGTTTGTCGGGGAACACTTCCTGTTGTTTCTTCCGCAGCTGCTCACTATCCTGCAAGATCCTGACATCCGACGACTCAGGCGCGTTTTCTGGTGCGGCGACAACAGGAGAGGAGAGCAATTGTGCGCGTTCCCAATGTCGCAGATCCTGCGGCAGAGGTCTCCACCACGCCATATCTTTCTCTTCCACGTCACGCCCCCACCAACGCCCCGAGCACATCTCCCAAATCCGACTCTGCGCCCTCTTCACTGCGAACTGCTCGTCTTCTCCTGTCAGGCCCCCGACATTCGAGAAGTCAGGCGCCGCATGACGCCGCTCGTCTGTAAACGAGGTGCCAGGCTTGCGGTATCGATTCGGCGGGTCGTCTTCCAGGGCGTCCATTGCAAGCGCGGCACCTCCGTTTGCGTAGGAGGAGATATTGGGCCGGAAGGGCGACGTGAGATCTTGGTGAATTTCCGAGTAGGTTTCCGAATGGACTGCATCGTTCGCTAGTTCATCGGGTGAAGTGGATATAGATGTAGCAGGTTTTTCGGGGAAGAAGATGTCGTCTGGACCCGCTGCGGCGGTTATTAGTAGACGGCAGCGAGCTTCGTACATAGCGTCGAGGAGCGTGATCAAGCGGCGTGCTTCGCTTTTTTGCAGGAGGCCCATTATAGGAATGTCTGTGATGATGAACGTGTGATATGTTGAGGCGAGCGTGATGTAGTCGGCGGGTCCGAACATTGCAACGCAGAGTTCCTGGAAGGTAAAAAAAGCGACGCCATTGTGTTGAGCGGGAATAGGAACGAGGCGACCGTAGACGGTGAGGGTTGCGGGAGTCCATGGAATGGGGTAGGAGTGAGAAGTTGCGTGCTCGACGAGGGTGTTGAAGGATTCCGCGAAGGAGGTGAGATCTTCTGCGGTGGAAGGCTGGATGATGTAGTTCTTTGGCAGTGTGACTTCTTGAGCAGTATCTGCGGGCTCAGTCTGCTCCGTACCAACCGCCGCACCATCCGCTACAACAGTTGATAGAATATTAGTATCTCCACCGGCCGTCCTCCGCAGTTTTTCGGTCCTTAAGCCTCCTTCTTCAATTTCCAGTTTTCGGTAATCCTTTTTCCCTTCCATCTCCCAGACCTCACATCTTGCTCGTAGAATCTGCAAGAAGGCGGCAAACTCGCCCAGCTGACCCGGCCCGTCGTCCCTCCCAACCGATCCACTCATTCCAAGCCTCCATCCTAACCTACTCAACTTGCTCACCGGCCTTGCAAAATCCATACCCGCTGCTTTGGCAAGTTCCTCTGGCATGCGATTACTTGTTGCGATAAGGACGCCACCAAGCTGGAAGAAAGACGTCATAAGGTTTGATAAGATCTTCGCAGCTACACGATCTGGCAATTGAAACTCATCGAGAAAAAGGATCGGTGATTTCTCAATGAGATCGCGGGCCACAACAAGTAACGAGTATTCATCCTGCAGTCCGCCAGTTCCAGTTAAAGACCGAGACATGCGCAGCTGCTCGAGACGTGAGATCGTATCCAGCATGAACGTATTGAAATGCCAACGGCGCTTCTTCCGGTTCGGTAGGCAGTCTTGAAATAAATCGATGAGCATGGACTTTCCTGTACCCACTTCGCCATGAAGCATCAGGCCCTTGGGACTTTGCAGTTGCATGGCTTCCTCATGGCTGGTCAGGGTGCGCGTTAAGGCCATCGAATCCCTTTTCTCTTTCTGGGCAAGAAGGGATGTCCAGATCCCTCTCCTCCCAATTCCGCCTGCAAGCGGATCTGAGTTCGAGGAAGCAGCATTTTGACCTGCATCGACAGCACGTGTGAGTTGCTGGAGACGCTTTCCATACGCTACAGTCGGTTCATAGTCGATCAATCTGTCATATAGATTTTGCAAATGGAGAGCTGCATGTGAAGTCAGTTTGAGCTATGTATCTTGGCATATCTGGAATGGTAGACGTCATGGCGTACCAAGGCGGTGCTGGGCTGGGTCAGGACGAATTTTTTGAGTTGCTACGAGGCTTCGGTAGAGAACGAGTGGATTTGTGATAGTAAGACCGGATCCATTGGGAGGCATTGAGTTCAGTAGGAAGGAGAGAGTGTGTGATGTTGCTTGGAATATGGAAGACCGAGGTGATCATCCTGGAGATGAACTAGACTCGATTCGGCATCGGTGCCTCGAAGATCGGGAGTGAGCATCGTCAGAAAGAATTACTAGCAAAGTTATGAAAGAAGAGCCACGACTAAGTTGAAAGACTTAGTTTAATGATTAAGCTGATGAAGAAACGTAGAAAGGCTTCCAGACGGAATAGTTAGTCAACGAACCTTCGACGGCACATCACAGTTCTGTTCAGGGACTGCTAGATCGATTTGAGCACCTATGTTTCGATTGCAAAACTGCTGGATGAACACAATGCCCGAGCCCAAACGCCAGCAAATGCAACGTGGTATCATGCTGAAAGTAAAAGCTCTGGTCTTGCTCATAGATTGGTAACGCCGGGCTGCCATGCATCTCCAATTCTTTTCACTTCTTGAATGAACTTTCGGCTCGTGATTTGCGTCGAGCCGATCTTCTGCTCAGCTTTTGCGGTAACTGGTGAGTGCTCGTCCGGGCTGTAGAAAGGATTTCGCAGGAGCATGATGTATGCTGTCTGCAGTGCCCTGAATGCCTGAACTGTTCAGAAACATCATCGCAGAGCGTCAAGATAGACTTACTGGCTTCATGTCCGCATCCCGCAGTCCAACAGCAGTCGCGGATTTGCTATCTAGAATGTTCGCTGGTCGCCCTTCCATGTCGACCACAATGATGATCTTCACGCCAGTGTTGGTCAGCCAGCCATACATGGCTAATCTCTCATCGACGGCCTGAAGAAGTCCAAAGTCCTGGTCTGCTGTCTTGTGGGGTAGACGGGCTTCAAAGATGTCCAGGCATGATGAAAGCAGGAATTGGAACTCCAGAGGCGCTCGCTCTTCCGGTGGAAAGAGTGAGATGTGTAGTGGATTATTCTTTAGAGAGTCAATTTTCATGTTTCTAGACTTCGATATGATAGTGAGGGCAGAATGCTCACGTGTTTCCCAATAACCCCTATGCATGCTATCGATGGCACTCTGCCCGTCATCGTAGTGAAATCGTGCGTGTATGATGGCTCCGATATGTATCAGTCTAATACACTGTTTTAGGAAAGCGGCGAGATATCAAAGGACCTGTTAATGGTATCTAGTGGGTTGTTTGTGAGTGACGGCAACAGAGCGATGTTGCTCCAACCTATCAGACGAATCCCGAATCGGCAAGATAATCGATGCCAAGGCCGCCCGCCGCCCATCAACCTCACTGACGAGTGCACATTGCTCTGCGACGCCACTACGCCCTCTGACCTCTCCACTCTACCCCGGACGCTCTCCCTTGTCTCTGTCGCCAATATGCTGTCGACAACAAGGTCTGCGGCCTCAATGGCCCTGCGAGGTGTGTTACCACCGCCGAAAATGTTCTATTTGCGCAGACACTAACATGTGCACAGCCAAACCGATGACCGCGCTGCTGCCATTCCGCGCTGGTAGCGTCGCCTATATTTCCTCGAGCTCGTCGAACAACGCGACGACCATGGCATCGCCAGCCATTATCCCTGGTAACGCCGGCACGCCGCCCCCGATGAAGCAGGCGCGACGGGAAGTGCCATTGCCGAGCCAGGAAGGAAAGAAGGGCGCTATGCAATATGCACTGTATGTGACATCCCCGTCGAGTTTAGGAGCAGAGTGCTTGGGAGCGAGGAGCAAACAGTCTGGGCGCAGCATGAGCTAATGCGCGGCAACAGGACAACTCTCGATCAAGTAGCCAACTGGGCGCGTCAGAGCTCCCTCTGGCCCATGACCTTCGGTCTTGCCTGCTGCGCCGTCGAGATGATGCACTTGTCCACCCCGCGATACGATCAGGATCGCCTCGGTATCATTTTCCGTGCTTCGCCTCGACAGTCAGACGTCATGATCGTGGCGGGAACTCTTACGAACAAGATGGCACCCGCGCTGCGACAGGTGTACGACCAAATGCCCGAACCGCGATGGGTCATCTCCATGGGTAGCTGCGCGAACGGAGGAGGGTACTACCACTACAGCTACTCGGTCACAAGAGGATGCGACAGGATTGTGCCGGTAGATATTTATGTTCCCGGGTGCCCGCCGACGGCAGAGGCGCTCATGTACGGTATTTTCCAGCTGCAGAAGAAGATGAGGCATACCAAGATCACACGGATGTGGTACAGGAAGTAGGGGAGGTTTCTTTTGGCGAATCAATTAGGCGGTCATTACGCATGCAAGCTTTTGAGGACTATGTTCTCGCTGTACAAATCAATCTTCTATGTGCATTGCCCAGTCTATCCTATATATCCTTATGAGCATGTTCGACAATGCATCCTCACTCTAGCGTCTCTCCAAGACCAAACATCTTCACTGAGTTGTTCCAAGCCCTTTGTCGATTAGTATCATGATCCCTGTCACTAGCAGGGAGGACTTACGCATCGCACACTTCCTCAACAGTGATGTCCTTTATCTTCGCAATGGCATACGCGACATGAGGTATTGTGGCAGGCTCGTTACGGCCTTTGACCATTGACCCTTTCACAAACTTCTCCTTCTTGACCGCCTTGGGAAGAGGCGGCGCATCTTTCAGGAACTTGGCCGATGCATGGCTGGGACGCATCTCACACTGTTGTAGCGTCAGTCTATGTATAATCAAGAATAGATACGATACCTACCCAAGGCCCGTCCGTCTCGATTTGCAGGCGTTCCAAAGGTATCTGTTCGACAACCTCAATGTTCTCGTCCGCTACACTCCATATCAGCCGCGATATTCTACTGCAAACTTCATGCCCACTTACTCTTCATACTACATCCATTGACTCCAACATCAAACCCCATCTCAACCAATCGCTGCATTTCCTCCATACTCCCTGTAAAGCTATGCACAAGGCCCCTCTTCGGTAACTGCTCCAACTTCTCCTTTAGCAGGCGCTCGAAGTCCTCGCTCGCAGCGCGCGAGTGCAGGAAAAGCGGGAGTTGCACCTCCACAGCTATTTCAAGTTGAGCTTCGAAGTACTTGAGCTGCTGATCCTTGGGCGTCAGAAAGAGACGATCATAGTCGAGTCCAAATTCTCCGAACGCTACAGCATGTCCAGAGGCTTTAGCTTCAGTGGCTAGGGATTTGAGGGCGGAGAGAAGAGCAGTAGGACCGCCGGGATGCGAGTCAAAGTGTTTTGCTGAGCAGGGATGGACACCGACTGTGGCGTAGCATTGGCCAGCTGTACGGAATTTAGTCAAAATGGCGATCTGGTGCAGAGGTGAGGGGGCGTACGATGCGCTTTTGCGATTTCAATTGCATGCTTGGACTCCTCGAGATCTGAGCCCGTTACCATGAACTTCTTGCAGCCAGCATCTAAACCACGTTGGATGACGTCCTCGAAATCGCTCTCATGGCGCTGGGTTCCGTGGTATTCTCCTCGGAAGATGGGGTCGGTGAAGTTGATGCCGATCTACGCTGTGTCAGGTCAAGTTGTGGTGTCGAAGATGGCGATGCGGACCGACATCGATGTATCTTAGTTTACTCGAGCTGGGATCTGCGGATTCTGTTGCCATGATGGAGAAACTATGCACTGTATTTGGTGCAAGCAAAGTACGTCCTTATTCATTAGTTACTATCTCATCTTCTGAACCAGGGACTGACGTACTCCAAAAATTCTTGCCTGGATTCTTGAGACACCTACTACCACAAGTGTATGAGGATATGAGTCGCTGTGGTGAAGCAACCGATTTGAAGGTGCTAAAGGCTTGCACTGGAAATAGGAACATGTGACGTGATAGATTGTGGATGAGCATTGGATGTCTGATCTCCGCTGTCTTAGAAGCCAAACCTCTCTAAGCTACTTCAAGACTAGTTTGGAGCTTGCTTTTGTGATGCGCTTTAGTCCCATATCAACGACCATCTCCCTTCAACATCAACCGACTCTTGGTCATAGAATTCTATCTTCTTGCTTAAGGAAGCGTACAATGGAGAATACTTGGCATCTACGACGCGTAGCGGATAACGCTTCAAAACCTTGCTGGATCTGCTACAAACCATCGACAAGTGTCTTGATCGTCCCGAATAACAAGGTATAGACGAAACATGATGTAATCACAAACATATATTGAGCTGGGTATAGGATTTCTTCTATATATGTCCTGGGCACCTGACGGACCGTGGTTTTTGTCAAGCGGATGCAGATGAGGCCGCGGCAGTTGCTGCACAGAAGAAGAAAGAAGAGCTAGACCGTGAGATTGAGAAGGTCAAGAAAGAGTACGATGAGAAACAAAAGCTGAAGCGCGAGAAACGGAAGGAGAGAGAGAAGGAGAAGAATAAGGATAAAGACAAGGGGAAGGAAGCCGATGAAGACAAGGAAGATGAGAAGGCAAAGGAAGACAAGGTACACATAAAATATTCGTTTTAAGACGAAGTACTGACAACCAGACTAGATCAAGGAGCTCTCAAAGTCTAAGGAACAGTCTCAAACTGACCTTAGTCCTCGCATATATCACCTCACCAAGTACGTGACTTCCGAAAGCCATTGCAACGCGTGAGAAGCGGAGCCACATGCTAACCCAACAATCAGAAACTTCTACCAAATGCGCCTAGACAAGATGCGCAACGCTGAAATCGCAAAACGGAACCGCGAAAGACTGAACAACCCTGCAAACTTCCCATCCGTCCCTAGCGGAAACCCATAACAACCTCTTCATCTCGGCATCGTTGCCAGCCAGTGGATGAAAGGTATATTGCAAACTCGCCAACCCTGGAACGACGTGCTTTTTTTCATAGCGGATGTCTGCAGCCACAAATTCGTGCGCAGATGATGCGGTCAGCAATTAGCAGGTAGTCCCCGGTCAGGCTTACTGAAGGGGCGTCAGGTGGTACATCGCATATCATGGGGATTAGTTGATTGTCATTTGGGCACAGCTAGATGACCTTGCACGACGTTTGCTTATCCACTGGTATACTTTGGAGGGCGTGTTACACTGATGCATGGAGTTTTCAGAAGGATATCAGCATGGGCAGGGCATGGATAGGTTCGGTACTAAGTTCATTTGCAAATGCACTGTTTCAAACCCTTCTTTGTGTCCGTTGTGATGCACAGCGGAGCGTTGGTTCGTTTTGGATCAACCGTACTTGAGTATCTCGGCACATCATCAATATTGCTAGCAATGCCACGAGGAATAGTTTAGCGGTGTTAAATCTATATTCACTCTTAGAAAATGGGTCACGACATACTTAATCTGAGAAAGAGTAACTCTCGATCAGAGCTGCCAGAAAGACGTGGTCCTTGCAATGACGAGGCAGCTACATGTTGCATGACCTACAAAAAGTCAACAGTACATCGAGAACGACTCATGTGCGTCAACAAAGAATGCTACTGCAGTATCGACACCTGTAAGAGGACGAAAAAGATAATCCATGCCCTGCCAGGTAACCGAGAGAACATATCAAAGCGTGGATCGATACGACTTACTGCGCTTACTCGCAGCTACGCCCCGTTCCCATTCCACCGTTACCCCACATCTTCCCTCTCAGCCCAATGGCCAGGACCCCACGGCAGAGGCGTCTTCCACCGCAGCAGGAGTGGGTCTTATATTCAGCTCAAGATGCTGACAGTGGGCTGGTGCTGCCACAAACCAAATCAAGCCAAGCCAAGTCATGAAACAACACCAACAACGCGAGGAGAAAGACCGGGAGGAGAAGACCCCACATCCCAGACCATCTGGTACGCAAAACCTGACACGAAACCGCCCATCACAATCAGTCAGAAACTGCTGTTCTATCCGCCGTCCGTATCGTCATCACATAATGTGTGGTTTCTCTTCCATGATCTACACCACTTCCACACATTCAGAGCGGCATACCAGTGTTCATCACAAGGACCCAGGAAATTACATCTGCACGAACTGCACGGGTCCCCAGACTACCGAACGCGCACGTTCTTCCATGGGGGCATGTAAATGTCGTCAAGCCACCCGTCTTGGGAGGAAGGATGTCGTCTGACATCAGCACTAGCGTTTACTTGTAGCCGACGGGGGACATCGCGAGAGGCAACCTCGCTAGGTGTCGCAAGAACTGTTTATTTTAGAAGGGTTCATGTAGTGTGTGTTATTGAGGGTTGTTTGGACGGCTCCTTTCATTGTGGAACAAACAAGGTATTGCATAGTCAATTGCGGCATAGTTATGGGGGGTTGGTGCTGATACACAGTAAGAGAGGACGTATGACCAGGTGGATTTGAAGACTTTTCTGAACCCATATCTGGTATGCATATCTAGTTGGTGTGCGCTGAACCAGTCTGTTCATGTCCTGTCAGATGGCGTTTTCAAACAAGAATCAGGTTCTAGGAGGATGCAGGTGCGTCCGGTATGTCTCTAGACAACCTCAATGCTAATTGCTACCTCGGCCAATGGCTGATAATATAGTGGAGGGTATCATCTTACTAACGAGACTGAGTACCCATAACCATGAAGAGCGCGTCCGTGTCCTTCTTCGATCTTCCGGAAGGCCCGTTCAACGAAACACAATGTGCTTCTCTGACTCGGCAGTGATCCAGCTCGAACCTCACAAATTCTGCTTTGGAGAGCCCTGGTTTTGAGCCTGTGGTGGCGGGATTGATGCACCTGGTGGACGACGGATACCAGATCCGGCCGTAGCTTTTCTCGCTTCATCAATTCTTCCTTTAGAGAGGCTAATGCCCGGCACAACCCAGTCTCCACAGCTGCATTGCATGCCTTGCCAAGCATACTTGCCAACGTTCATTTGGCACTTCGGGCACTCGAGACGTCCTTCGAGTTTGCCCTGCTCAAGTTCGGGACGCATCCATGATAGAGGGTCCAGGAAGTAGTGAGCGCAATCTCGAGTTGGGCCAGCTGGAGGCGGAGCCATGCTCTGGTCATCCAACACAGGTGTTGTTTTATGCGAAAGCAAGTACTGTGATGTTGCGAGTGGCCGTCTGCAAGTATGTAAGCGCTGATCAGGACCAAAAAGACAATGCATTATAAAGTGACGTTAAACTCCTGTCACACGACTCCACACACCTGCATTTGCGACACCGCAACTCGAAACCGGAGTTGGTGTCAGTGACATGTTCGTCTTCGAAGCGAATCTTGTCTGCTTCGGGGGCTTGGCCACACGCACGACTCAGCTCGATTTCTCGCTGATAGACCCATCGTTGATACGCTGGAGTTTCTTCTACGTTATCAGGCTTCTGCATCTCGCCGTATAGCTCGAGCTGTTTCCAGAAACCTTCATTCGGTTCGCAGAGAGGTCGCGCTTGCCGTAATTGTGATAATGCTTCCGAGGCGTCGATGTTGTGCTTTTGCATCAGGTAGGCGATGACAGCGGTTGCTGATCGTGATTTACCCATGGCACTGCAGTGTGGTTGGCAAACATAGTACGACGATTGGCTACAAGTGATTGCAGGAGAAACGCAGTGGCAAACGAGCGGTGTGTGATGACAAGGAATGAGAAAGGTGGCGTGGACAAAAGAATATGCACAGTGTTGCAAATTTGGTGGCCAAGCCGCTCACTCTACTTCTTTGAAGGTTTGAAGATGTGAGGATGTCAACGGAGGCGATGTTCGGCGATGACCGAAGAGAGGTGCAGCTTCAGCTGAATTGAAAAGTCAACCTACCAATGAACCAGCACTCCTCCACCACTGCCGAGCCCTTCCTGAATGAAGGCATTTGTGGCAGGGAAATGTTCAAGTAAATTCTCGTCCTCGACATCGTCAACTTCTACAACCATGTGCTTGAATGGCTTGAAGAGTTCTTGGTCCAATGGCATGCGCAGAACAGACAGAACATGCGTGATGTTGGCTTGCTTGAGTGCTTCATGCCGTCGAAGCGTGAACATGCTAGATTGGGCATGTTAGCCTCGTACATCACCGGCCTTGAATTAAGTACTGTGGGGTGGGATAGGCAACTCGCCACAAACACAGGTGTTACCTACCCACCAATGTACAGGTTTAGATCCCCAGGCACCCTGTCGATGAGAGCCATGGTGATGGGGTAGGTTTGCAAGGGTGTTGGTGATTTGCAAAAGGTTCAAAATCGGTGGTGTAAATAGGGACGAGTTGGTTGGATGTGGTGCGTGGTTCACATGGTGGCGGGGAGGCTCTGATTTTCGCCAGGGTCCACGTGCCTAAAACGGTGTACCGTGCGGTCAAACGGCATAGGTGAGAACTGCTCGAAGCGCGAATGAATAGGGGGACCTTAAATTTGTGAGGTCATAGGACAGAAATCAAAAGCAAATCTGACGCTCCGGACACAACCATGACCCAGATCGACGCGCTTGCGGCTTCGCCGAGTGTCGCGCCACCAGCCCTAAACTCTCCACATAACACAAATGGAATTATTTTGTCAAGGGGACGACCTACGGCTGCGGTACGAATGTCTCCTGTCGCTTCACTGTCAGGCGGACGTCTCGCTTGCTATCCAATCCGACTCAACTAACGTCGATCGAGCCGACACCAGCAGCTGACTGAACACAGCCACCCCGAGTGTGTTCAAGGCAGTGCAGTTCCAGTTGTGGTCTTGAGCAAATACCACGGGCGCCAACTGTGCATGAACAGTCTTATGTCGCAAGGATGCAGTCAATAGTGGTTGACGATGTACCTCAAAAGTAGGGATGGACCAGTAGGCCTGCCCAGAGGGTCAACTCGATCTCAATGTATCGTCTGCATGTGCTCAAGTATGGGCACTCGAATATGCCATGCTGCAGTGTTTGTGCGATCTGCTGTGCACCAGATTCGATCGCAGTTAGCTGTCGTGAGACTCGCGGCCAGGGGTGCGGAGGGTTTCCGGCAGCCGTCCTTCTCCTGCACAGATCAACGGATCAACGCTACGACACGTCTGAGGGATAAACCAAGGCGGCACCCAGCCTTACTAAAGACTGATAAATACTTTAGCGTCCTGTCAACGGTCGAGCAAGAGACGGTAGGGCTGAAAGGGGCGTGCGTTACCCGCATTCTTGTTCGCGAGTCTAACCGTGCCATCCAGACGCTTATGCCATGTGGGATCCTGCAGCACGGCGCTGCATAATGAGTCGTCAGAGAGTCTCAGCCCCTGCTGGCTGAGCGTCCTGCCCTCGGCACGACTAGCCCTACTCATCTCACCGTCGGTTGCAGCGATCGTCTCTGCTTTGCGTAGTTATCGACAACGGGCGGGTGAGCAGCCAATGCCATCGGGGCTCGAGCTGGCCAAGGCCGATCCCAAGGCGGGTGGTCTGAGTGAGGTCGTTCCACGCTGCTGGGAGCACCTCTGCCGTTGCGGTTCCGCCTGGGATCCAGGACGAGGGTCCGCGAGTCCCTGGCGCATGGCGACAACAGCAAGGAGGCCAGCATGCAAGCTACTCGACGGTGCATGCACGAGAGCGGGGCTGCCTCAAACAGCAGGCAGCGAGGCCGTTCGGCAGCCTTTTGGAAGCCGCAAAGGCATAGTCCGCTGGGTGGTGTGTCGTAAGTCTAGCAAGCTCCACCACTGCACACGATCCGCACTAGGCAGTGCCAATCAGGGACATGGAGCACAGGCAGAGCGTCGTGCTTAATGCTGAGGCGATCCCATCGAGCGTCAGATTTGTTCTGCCGTCTGTTCTCTGCTCCTGCAACGTCGTCTCCCCCGAGTCCTGCTGGTGCCAACGCAGGGGCAATTGTTCCAACCAGTCTCCCCGCGTCTGCCTCTGCCTCGACCGCCAGCCGCCTCGCTGCGCAACGCCGTCGGAAACACTGTCGCCAGTCCAGCGTGGGCTGCGGTGATAGCATGCGTGGTGCCCTCTCGACAGCCTCCCGCCTGCTGTAGTAGTCATAGTAGTCATATGACCCGCGTGGCTGCCAGAGCTGAGCAACTGCATATTGCTATCACATTAGCAGAGTCTCGAGAGACCGAGAGAGGTCGAGAGCTGTAAGGCTGAGCGCTAAGTTCAAGTTCACAGCCTCACCGGGTATGTCCTGCACTCCACTTTCGTCAGCTTTGGTCTGCACACGCGTCTGCGAGCCATGATGTATGCGCATGCTTCGGCCATTCCGCCATGGACGCCCGGCTAACCATCCCAACCCACAGTCGTGTCTGTGCACCCACGGCGTACGTTGTCTAGCAACGGCTGCATACGCCCTCTGCCCCTTGACATTGCCACGACTGCGGCGCTCGTGTGCAGCAACGACGCCGCTCTTCAGCTGCTTGTGAGTGGCGGCCCTTGGGCGACACCACGCACACCCGGCACGACCATGTCATCGACGAGCTCGACGCCGAGCATCCGTGTATATGAGTCCCACCGCCATTTGATGCCCCAGAACCACCGCCATCCCTCGTACCCCAGCCCGTCCGTCGCTATGGCCGTCCGGCGCATACGCGATGAGGTCCCGCCGCCGCTGCCTCCGCCACGCAACATCGACGACCTCCAACATGGCCACGACCCCGGTTGGCAGTGGGGTAACACAAACAGCCCAAAGGACACGGGCTTTGGCGGGAACCGGCTTGCGTCAGTCAGGCCTGGCTCGAGCTTGTATGGCGGACCCGTGAATGGCCAGGCGCATTCGCGGAACCCGTCGGCTGACTACGCCTTCCACGGTCGCGAGTCCTCCATGTCCAGGTCCCTCGACGACATGAGCTCCGAGCACAGTGGAGAACAGCACAGCGACGAGGACCGCAACGGCAAATCACGGCCATCGCTTGGGAACCACAGGTAAGAAACGTCCGTATACGAGTTTGTTATCAGAGCCATGTCTCTTCACAGCTATTACAACGCATTGGCTGACGGATACAGCAGACTTACGAGCGAACGTCAGCTTGGCCAGAAGGCATTGCAAAGCTCCTCGCACGCTTATGATAAGCAACTGCTCTCCAAGATTGGCGGGCCGAATGCCCCAACAAGAAATTCCCTTTCCAGTAGTTCACAGGAAGTCGCTACCGAGACGCATACGACACATACGTCGCTGCACACGCTCAACGGGCAACTGCAGCCGTTGTCTCTACCCGACCGATTGCATCCCACTCTGGACTCTTCAGGACCCAAGTGGGCTTCTACCGGGGCAGTATCACCTCGATACACTGGCTTTCGAAGTCCAGCCTTCGAACCGGGCTCTGCGGAATCGCCCAGAGCGCGGTTCGGTAGTGTCGACGACCCTTTGTCTCAGCATCGCGGCAGCTTCGACCACGGTATTTTCTCCGATCACGAGTTTGGCATGGAGGAGAACGGAATACGTGACTTGAATATTCATGATCGTAGCCCTGGCGGATACGACGACCACTCAGGCACGAGGGCGCGCCTCAAACGGCGCGCGTCGTCGCCTCATGGAGAAGCTGCCCGTGAAGATCGACCCACCACCAGCGGCAACACCGACTTGTATCATCGTCGATCAGCGCAGATGTTGGTCAACCGCAACAGCCCGGCTTCACGCTTCCAGCTCAACACAGGCCCGTCGTCATCAGCCGCTTCATCTCTTGGTCAACATACAGGTTCGGTCAGTTCATCGTTTGGCTTTTCAACCGCTGCGAGCAGTATAACCAGTTACGGCGGAGACCAACGTATATCGCCCAGTGCGCTGGCGCCTGTGGGAGAGATGGATTCCGTCTCGCCGTATGTGGCTAGCCGATCGTTAAACCCCAGCCCCCGCAATTCTATATCGCGACCACTGCATCAAAGAGGCTTCTCGGAGACCGAACATCCTCAGATCCGTAAGATGTCTTCAGAAAATGTGCTCCCCTCGCGACAAAATTCGGTCACAAGCCGCGTTCCAGGATCCCATATTTGCGAATGCTGTCCTAAGAAACCTAAGAAATTCGACAGTGAAGAGGAATTGCGGTATGTAACACTAATTTCTTTCACCATGTCACTTTTCAAGACCTGAAGCTGACAAACACCCATAGATTACATGAGCTAGAAAAACAGTACATCTGCCAATACTGCCCGAATCGATTTAAAAACAAGAACGAAGCAGAGCGTCACCAAAACTCCCTTCATCTTCGACGACATTCCTGGTCCTGTGCAGCGCTTGCAGGCGCACGTGCAGCCTTCCATCCATCGCCCACCCGTCCAACCGCAGCCGATATATGCGGCTACTGCGGCGACGAGTTCCCCAATCCGGCAGACTGGGATGCCCGCGCAGAGCATGTCAACCATGTGCACAAATTTGGGGAATGTAATCAAGCCAAGAAGTTTTTCCGTGCAGACCATTTTCGGCAACATTTAAAACACAGTCACGCTGGTACAAGCGGAAAGTGGACAAACATGCTCGAGACTGCTTGTATGAGGGACGAGCCGCTTCCGCAAGAGCGTACGCCTGGGGGATCGATATCCGGTCCTGCGGGTGCACCGCTTGCCACGAAACCTGGTGTGATTAATGAAGCACATGACGAAACTTGAATGAATATTGGGGTGCGCAGTACACGGTTTGCTTTAGCGTAGCATTCAGCATTTAGCATTGTTGTCAGAAGCGTTGTTGTTTTCATTTATTACGGATTGCTTCTCCCGCGGCACGAAAAGGTGTTTTTGACCAAGACTTTGTTTTCCTTGCATTTTAGGCGTCGATCAGACAAGATGTCTCTCAGTCATTGTGAAAGCGGGAAGTAGGTTACATTCTTTGTGGCTCCTACAAGCCGCAAAACTACACAATTGAAATTTGCCAAACCGCACGCACGGCGTATACTACTAGGAATTCTAGCACAAAATTCCTATACTGAACTTGGTTGTAGTTGTCCAGCTGTTGCATCGCTGCACCTTGATGCCTGGTATTTCGATTGACCGAGAAACATGGTGTCTGAGGGGGTTTGAATTTGCTGGAATATACTGCATGCTGTAGCAAATACAGAGAAGCAAAGTTCACGCCGAGATTACTGTCTAAAATGTTTCTGTGGCCCCCAGACAGGGAAAATATGGCTCAAAATAGGAACGTGTTAGCAGGTCTTACTAGTCAACAACACGCTGTACCATGAATACACAATAATTTTGTATAGCAATTAGAAAGTGCGTAGAGATTTGCAAAAGCAACGTTTCAGCAGGAGACTACAGCCTAGAAACACGTTACTATCAACAAAGCCAGTTAATGTTGTAGTTGCCCTGCTAACAAATCATTGTTTTGCGCCATACCTTCCAGCCTGCCGGTGCCGTAGTTTCCATAACATGAGCGGACTATTTCAACATCCCAAGTGTACGTGGCCATATGCTGTGACACACCCCATAAGCTCAAGCCATTCGCCACCCCCCAGCACTGTTAGCGGAGTGGCGAATGGCTTGCGCTCCTGGGGTGCTAAAACAGTCTTCACCAGGGGTTGTGGGTTGCCCGTTGATCTGTTGTCAATGGGAGGCGTTCGTGTTCATAACCACAACTTCACATTGCTTTGTCTTGCAACCACAGTTTCGTCGCTACAATCGACGTTTTTGCTGTAAGACTGCCTTTTTAGGACAGCCCCCTGAAGAGGATGCCGGGAGGGCATGACTCATTCTGCTTTCTGTCCATGGTTGAGGACGGGGAGGTGTTGCGTCGTCGAGGTTTTCAACCAGGGGTTTGATGCCGTTAATGATGCTTTTCGTAAGAATTGCCATCTTGGGGTGCTTGTGCTTCTCGACATGGCGCCGTTGGATGGGATGCTGTCCGAGCACATTTCGAGGCTGACGGAATAGCCTCTACATGCGCGAGATGGCGTGTATAAGGAACGAGCCACTTCCGCAACTGCGTACGACTGGGAGATTGATATCTGGTCCTGCAGGTGACGTGCTTAACGAAGCACTTGAAATATCAGGGTGCACAATACAAAGCTTTGCTTTGGCGTAGCATTCAGCATATGGCATTGTTATGGGATTAGTGCTTGTGGCTCTTACAAGCAGTAAAACCACTCTAATAAAATTTGTAAAAGTGCCTTGAGAACCTCCATACTCGTACAGATTGCTAATCTGGATCTTTGTCAGAAAAGAGCGTCGGGCCTATTCCGGTGGCGCTTGCGAGATCATCGTGCTGGAGCTGTCCACGTTCATTGTATCACATGGTACCAGCAGCGTCTAAAGACCTCCTCAGTCCTTCAATGCAATGTCTCCTTCCCTAAACCTTCCACCCATGCCGCAGATTACAACCCAATGAGTCTGATCTCTTCCTTTCTTATTGATCCTGTGGTGCGGCACACACGTCGTTGGTCGGCCACCGCCTTGCCGGAAGCGAGCCATGACATCGCTCGACATGGACTTTCACGTGAAAGCGAACCAGACCACGCAGCAGCAGATGCCATTGCCACAACATCACGTGTCGAAGATGCTCCCCAAACAGGCGATGGGAGGCCTACAATTCTAGTCCACCGAATACGACAATTCTCGTCATTTACTCGTCGACCGCATGATGCTGTGGTGGAAGAGGAGGAAATCGAGGGCGAGTTGAGCGCATCGATGACAGCACCGATGGACATCCCGGTCGACGCCGACATGTCGTCGAATCCATCTCGCACTCGCACACTCGAACGTCAGTTTCACCGACTTGATTCTGAGCCGCTGGTCTCGAGTGCGCCCACGACACCTATAACACAAAGCGCGAGATCGAGTCTTGTTGCTGGCCAGCATGCGGGTGGTATGTCGGAATCCCTGCCTGCGGACGATGGCATGGCGCATTTCCGCGCCCGCATCCATCAAATCAGGGACTTGAAGATTACCGACCATGAGCGCGCGCGGATGGTCCACAATCTCATGACAGAGCGATACAACTTGATGCGCCCGACATCACCGAGTAGTTTCTACGAACGTCCACATACGCCTACTTCTGGCCGGTCTGTCTATTCAGACGTCAATGCCTCCTCACCCAACTCCGCTGCGTCCGATGTTGATCCAGAGAACCCATACAATTTGCGATCGGGCGATACCAGTCCAACATATAGACCCAGCGTCGAGCATGGAAATGCAGACCATGGCGAGGAAGAAGAAGACGAAACTACAGAAGGAGAACGTGTGCTGGGCTGTCAACACTACAAGCGGAATGTGAAAGTGCAATGCTATGAGTGCCGGCATTGGTACACTTGTCGACATTGCCATGATGCAGAAGAAACCCACAACCTGGACAGGAAGAGGACGCAGAATATGCTTTGCATGGCGTGTGGGACACCTCAAAGCGCAGCCGGACGCTGTGAAAACTGTGGAATACAAGCAGCGTGTTACTATTGTGACATTTGCAAGCTTTGGGACAACAACAGCAAGAAGAAAATCTATCACTGTGCGGACTGTGGTATTTGCAGGAGAGGCGAGGGTCTGGGGAAGGACTACTCCCATTGCAAGGTGATGCTCTTCGACTATGTTTGATATGACCTTCTAACAAATCCTAGAATTGTAACGTCTGCATATCCATAAGCCACGCCACGTCTCACAAGTGCCTCCCACGCGCGACCGATTCGAATTGTCCCATCTGCGGCGACTACCTGTTCACCTCCTCCAGCGCCGTAGTATCCATGCCCTGTGGACACTACCTGCACAAAGGCTGCTACAACCTCTATATGGAAACCGCGTATAAATGTCCGTTATGCAAGAAGAGTGCGGTGTGTATGGATTTGCAGTGGCAGAAGCTGACCCAAGCCATCGAGAGTCAACCGATGCCAGAACAATTCGAGAACACTCGAGCGATTGTGCAGTGCAACGACTGCTCAGCAAAATCGTCAGTCAAGTATCACTGGCTTGGCAATCAATGCGGTACATGTGATTCCTACAACACGAACGAGCTGCGTATCCTTAACGGTCCAGAAAGTGAGGAGGCTGCCAACGCGATCTTGGATGCTGATGCAGACGATGGCGCGCGATCACCTATCAGTGTGAGCTCGCCCACCAACCAGCCCCTCCGTTCACCTCGATATTATTTCCAACCTGAAGAGCCAGAAGAGACATGGCTACCCGGTCAACTTCCCTCGTTTCCTTTTCAGATGCCGCAATTCCCCGGACGACCACGCATGCTGCAGATGCCACAAATGCCTCAAATGCCGCAATTCACATCCGGACGGCCACGCATGCCGCAATTCCCTTCTTTACCGCAACTCCCACAGTTTCCGAACATGCCAGATACACAGCAATTACTTGACAGAGTCCGCAGGTCATTCGATGCGTATCTTAATCCTACAGGTGAAATCCGCGCAGAAGACGTGCCGTTCATCGATCTTGTAGACGATGATCGGAGAGAACGACGGGCTACAGACGGTACGACTGTCAAAGAGCCGTCACTCCCTCAGTACGTCCTGGAGCGGTTTACGCAATCGTTGGCACGCTTTCGAAACGACTTGAATCCCGGCATGGAAGACATTCCTTCGCTGGACCTCGATGAAGATCTTGGACCTGAAGAACTACAATCCTGGGTTGATCATGTACCAGCTGGCGACGAAGACGATGAGGATGAGGAGAGCAGTAGCGATGGGAGTGCCGTTGAAGACGATGATGAGGAAGATGAAGGGGATACAATCGTTGGACATTGGGGGTTGGATCTACCTGGACATCGATAGCATGGGAATAGGGCGTTTTGGTCATGGTAAAAGCTGTTTGTCGTATTCGCATTGGAGTAAAGGTATTGGTCTTAGAAGAGCATCAACGAGGGCATCACGGAGCACATCTTTATCTTCTTAGACAGTGTACGACTACCTAGCATCCTGTATGAATACGATCTTCTTATCATTTCGTCTGTGCTATATTCGATATTATGAAGCCTAGGATCTCTGTGAATTCGCATGAGAATCAAACTATTCTTGAAACGATACACTTCAATCTGAGTTGTGCAGCGTCTTGTTGTGGAACTCAGACTGGGAGTTGATCGCACGTGATGCGCTAGCAGCTAAGCGAACACCACGGTCGGATTTTGAGCCCTCGACGAACTTTGAACTTCACGCCGCACCTCAATCTCTTCGTCGACTAACCCCACAGAACGGAACTCTGCCAGTACGTCGTCCTGCTTGATGGTCGGTGTTGCGAACGACTGCGCTCCTCCGATTATCGCAGATCCTGCTCCCGTGCTCTGCGCACCCTCGAACAATCGCTAACATCAACACCACAGAAATGTCCAAGGCCCAGACCAAGAAGCCCGCCGGCAAGACCGGCCGCAGCGCCATCGCCGACGTCGTCGCCCGCGAATACACGATCCACCTGCACAAGCGCGTATGTTGATTCAGTTTTGTGAAGTCCATCGATGGCTTGCATGGTCGGAGGTGGGCGCCTGAGCAGACCGATTACGCTGTCTCAATCGCCCGTCTCTGGCTGTGCGGGTATCGGGCGGAAGACTGAAGGCGAACATTGGGCTAATACGGGATGAATAGGTTCATGGTGTTAGCTTCAAGAAGAGGGCTCCCAAGGCCATCAAGGAGATCAAGGCTTTTGCTGAGAAGGCTATGGTATGTGGATATTCTCTTTTGTCAGATCGGATGTGTGGCACGCTGGATTCTGTGCCTGCTGTCCGGTCATGGCACTATCAGGTGAACTTTTCACTAACATCCAACTTAGACCACCAAGGATGTCCGCCTTGACCCCCAGCTCAACAAGAAGGTCTGGGAAGCCGGTATCAAGGGTGTCCCGTACCGTCTCCGTGTCCGCATCTCGCGTAAGCGTAACGACGAGGAGGGCGCCAAGGAGAAGCTGTACTCTTACGTCCAGGCTGTCAACGTTAAGGACCCCAAGGGTCTGCACACCCAGGTCGTCGAGGACCAGTAGATGTATGCATGGGCTGGTTTGGGACGAGTAGAGGAATACAGTGCATATCAAAAGCATGGCGTTCCGGCGGGTTGCTGAGTAGCGCGAGGACATGCAGCGAAAGGCTAGTGAAATGATATCTGAATGACAGTTCATGCCCGCCATGTTGGATTACTTCAACTCTTTTCTAACGACTGTTCTTCTATTCCCAATCTTATGTGATGTGGTTGCGCTGCTGATCTTGTACAATAAGCTAGCAAGATTGGCGAAAACGATGGGTTATGTTTTGGACATCTGACACACGCCTCGAAAAACATGTTGGTTACATCGTCAAAGTGCAAGGTATGCAGCCCTACGCCGTTCGGTCAATGTGGAGCCGAAGATCTCAACTAGCAGTCGTACTTCGAATAACTGTTTAGCATGTGAACAGTAACAATCTGAAACCCGTTCATCCTATTCCCATCTCGAGACGTTCGATCTGACATCAGACCGCGTCGGCGTGTCGGTGTCGACGCATCGGCGTATCGGCGTATCAACATGTCGGCGTGTCGGCGTTTAGCCCCACGTTTTAGTGTCGACCTTCCATTTTGGTAAACAAACCTGCAGTTCCACGAAGTAGCGGGCATAACTCAGCGGACAACGGCACAATTGATAATCAGATGTAAAAGACTTTTGCGTTTTGTAAGCCACATAGATAGTAACCTGCATGTATGACTATATCGTCCTTGGTATTTGTCAGCTCCTCAGTAGGTAGTAGGTAGGTAGGTGATTAATCGTTTGGTAATAGACTGGCTGTTTGGGTATATCTATGACCTTTTTCCCCCGCTAGTTCACATCTCCAAGTGCTATTACCTCGCATCTCGCATCTCGCATCTTGCATCTCTACACGCAGAACGATACGGATCTCTATCCCTGCTTCTCCATATATATATATATATATATATATATACATACCAACCTCTCAACATGGTGAACCTGCACCTCGCATACACAGCGCCCATCAACCCTGCGGGCGTGAAGCCAGTCCTCACCACCGCACAAGTCTACGCCGGCCTAGACCGCAAGATATATTTCCCGCAGGAGTTTGTGCCCGTGATTGAGTCGTGCGAGGTGATCGAAGAGAAGGACGGCGTGGTGGTGCGGGACGTGGTGTTCAAGGCAGGCGGGCCGAAGAAGCAGGCGAGGGAGTGGGTGAGGAGTTATTGGCCTGCTTGGGTATGTTTGTCTCATCTCGAGAGGTGGATGGAAGGGGGGATATGGGCTGACGACGTGTGACTATTCTAGCACGATTTCGAACAGGAAGATGGTTCGCATGTTAGGAATATCATCTCTGATGGGCCGTCGGGCGAGGAGGGCGATTTGCTCTTGACGTATACGTTTCAGTATCAATTACCGCATTTGGCGGAGGGGTCGAAGGAGGCGGAGGAGCAGTTGGTTAAGCTTAAGGGGGTGAGTGGTTTATATACACCATGTGATAGTGGGTTTGCTAATCAAGTCCCAGGTGGCGAAGAACGCAGTCAACAAGTCGATCGATGTGATCCGGAAGATGGTCATCGAGGGGAAGATTGAGAAGTAGACATGGGAACCAAGGTAGTACATGAAGCAAGATTCTCAAACGAACCCACCTTCCACACCGTCTTACCCACAACCCAACACCAACAACAATAATAACACCACGCATCCCTCCCCAACAACACCCCCAATCAAGCAACCCCCGCGAAACCATCGATCCCAGCCCCAAACCCACGGTTCCCCATCACCCTCCCATAACCAAACAGGCAAACCCCCCCAAAAACCATCGATCCCAGCATCAAAACCACGGTTCTACACGCCCACCCACCGACCCACCAGCGATGAGGAAATGAGATGCGGCGCGTAGGTAGTCAGTGCCCAGACTGCATTCTGCATGGTTATACCCATACCCACGCAGTCATCTCGCTGGTGTAGCCGCGATAGGAAAGTGTAGGGGGGGTATTGTATGGTAGGGGTTGGGCTTCGTGTGCGGCGGCCTATCAGAGTGTTGTTGTGCCGTGTGGTGTGGTGTTGTATTGGGTATTGGCGGGTGGGTATGGGAGATGAATGGCGCTAAGGGAGGAGTGAACCGTGGTTCGGGGGAAAAGTCAGGTGTGGGGATGTATGAGTGAGTTTACTTTCGGCAGTTGATGGCTTGGGGGAGGTGGAGGGAATTAATTGCATACATAGAAACAGGGAGAGGAGAGATGGCGATGGCTTTGTGTATACCCACATCCGTGAGCAATTTCGTGTTTGAGGGTTTGGATGTTGGCCTGTCAGACGTGTGTGTAAACAGATCAGATGTGACGCAAGACCCCAAAACGGCGGTACAGCCTGTCAAAACCAGAAAACGTTGCTAGCTCAACCAGACCCATGTTTTTCCCACGTTCTGCCTCGGTGTATCTCTCTCACTGGTAAAGCGCGGTAAGCTGCACGATGCCGATGTTCACGCTGGACCCTGGCCCAGAACCAAACTTCAGTATTTACCCAGCACGGTTCTCCCGCCACACCAGAAACGCCACTAGAGCCCCACGTTAGCTCTGGGAGATTACGACGACGACGAGTACTACTACCTTTACTACCACGGCCACTACGACAAGCCATGGGTACCTGCAATTTCCCTCGACCGCGCTATGCACGACAAATGCGCCTGAAGAGGGAAGTTGCGTGGAAAAGTGTAGTTTGCAGTGGTATTTCTCCGGGTTGGGTGATGCACTGGGGGAAATGGAGGACTGGAAGCGGCAAGTATGAGTGGAAAGTGTTGATTGTAGTGAGAAATGTCCGGGTTGGAGGAGGGAACGGCGTTGTTTGCGAGCCGTGGGATGGGGGAAGGTTGTATTTACATTTATCCCGTCCATGCCTCTCCGCTGTTATTGTGCACGCACGGCTTGGATTCTACTCCTCTCCTCCCGGAGTGGCGGGAGTCTTCGTCAACGCAGAGCAGGACGCGCTATTTTCGCTTCAACGAACCCCTCAGGCCCTCCTTCCACTGTCTCGTTTTCTGTCTCCTCCTCTCGCTCTCCGTCGCCTCCTCGAATGCGCGCTGTAGCCTCCTCCTCTGCGGATGTCCATCTGCCTTGTCCCCTTCGTACAACTTGGCATAATGCTTATGTATCTTCACATTGTTGACGGGTAGTACGCTGCCAAACTGTGTGGGTGGGCTTTGTGAAGTTCTCCGCATGATGCCTTCCTCGTCCTCCTCGTAAATACGCATTCCCGTGTTGTGCTTGACAGCCTTGGTACTCGAATCGTCCTCTGCGCGTGATGCAGGATCGAAAAGTGACGAAGTTGTGGTTGCTGTTCTGGCATACGTGTAGAGAACAGGAGCTGGATCGTCGGTCTCCAAAGGCTCTGGACGAGAGATGCGTGCTTCTTCAATATCCAGGCGTTCCATCTCGCGTTCCAGACGCTCGATTTCCTCTCGTACTTTCTGCTGTTTTTCGGCTTCGATTTCTTCGGGGGTTGGACTCGCAACGTATTTTTTGGTGGCGGCGCTGCCAAAGGCTCGATAGGCTCGAGCGCGCTCTTCCTCGTGTATCTCTCGAAACAATGCTCTGTCGAGTTCCTTGGACTCATCTGTCCACCATCTCTCGTCTTGTCGAGACCGTAGTTCGCGAAAAAACTGGCCAACAAGATACAGACTGCCAGTCAGGACTATGGGGTGCCTTTCTTGCGTGAGATATTTCGCAGTGGTTACTGCTCGCAGCGCTCCGACCGAAGGTACGCAAACACCGGTGATGTTTGGACGTATGGCACATGCCGACTGAAGGAGATCTTGGGGATCCTTTGGTGTTACCCAAGGCATGCCGTCGACGGGGCCGAACTTGGTTGTGACGACGCTGTCTCCCGGTTGGAGTATAATTTCGAGAAATTTACGAGGAACTCTGTCTTGACCCATGGCAAGCACCCATGTAACAGGCCATCCGTCTTTCGGTGGCATTTCGCCACGAATCAACTTTCTTCTCTCAAATTTGTCGACGTAGCCATTCAGTGCGTACGCTGCATCCCGATTATGCGCTCCATCTACGAGGATGTGTCGTTCTGGTTTCTCTGATTTGTTCGGTGTGCCAAAGACTGGTGGAACTCTGACCTTTTGAATACGCCCTGGATTTGGCGGGATCGTTGGCAGCAGCCTTCTTAGCTTGGTAATGTTTGTGGATTCATTTATACTCTCCAATGCTTGCCTGACAGCAATAACCGCCAAAACTACATTATCTTTCTGAAAGGGTCGAAGTTGGCTAGCGAAACGATGCCACTCTTCCCACGGGTATAGCATTGAGTTGATCTCAGGATCGTCGACTCTAAGACGTGGTCCAGCTCCAATTTCTTTTGCATACTCGTCGACGACATCCTGGACGTGCCACTCGTTGACTGGATTGACGACGAATGGAACTTGTGGTCGTAGAATTCCTGCCTTGTGCATTGTTATCTCTCCAAGAGAGCCTCCCAGGAACTTTTCGTGATCTCGAGCTATCTTTGAAATGACCGAGATTACTTGGTTATCCAGTATGTTTGTAGCGTCGAGCTTGCCACCCATGCCTACCTCGATGACGCCGATTTGCACTTTTTCATCGTTGAAGATGTGGAAAGCAGTGGCAGTCAGAATCTCAAAAGGGGAAGCGTTGATCTTCCTTGTCTGATCGAGTTGAATGTAATGCTTCTCTACCTCACGGAAGTGGGCCTCTTGGACTGTCTTGTTATTCACGGAAATGCAGTCCCATCTGGACAAGTCAATTGAGATGGCGAGAGACGCACGTGACAAGGCGCGTACCTGTCTACCAGATGCGGAGACGTGAATTTACCGCAGCGGATGTGTCTTTGAGTCAGCAGGGACGAAGCGTAGTGGCAGATGGATCCCTTTCCATTGGTGCCCGCGACGTGTATGGAGTTCCATGGATAGGTGACACCCTTGACGAGCTGGGCGATGCGCTCCAAGCCAGGCTGAATCCTGGCGGTGGACATTTTTCTGGCAGCATAGGCGAGGAGAAGGCGAGCAAGAGGTGAAACAGGGTTCCTGCAGGTGGACTGGCGAACAAGCCTTGGCGTTCAGATGGCACCTGCCTTGCTGGGTTGTTTCGCCTAGAGGGGTGCTGGAGATGCAGCCAGGCAGACGCGCCGAAGACGAGACTGAGGTTGTGTATTGTGTTGGATCTCCATGGTTGCTGGGGCATGCGGCGCGCTCATGGTGAAGTTTGACATTTCTTAGCGCCAGTGCTGCCTCAGCCACCATCCCATCTCCCGTTCATTGTTCACGCGTCGCTTCCCCCAAACATCCCCCCCACCTTGACCCGATTCCATCCTTTCGTTCTGCCCATCTCCGCCCGGCACTCGACTCTTCCACAATGGGTATCCCCATCGGCTACAACATCCGGCGGGACGAGGAGCAGGACAAGGAGCGAGATGTGCTGCGCGCCGACGTGACGGGCCACCGCTCGCCCATCCGCCGTCGCGTAAGACCAGACGGGCGATCACGCCTGGCACCCCCGCCGGTGCCCGAAGTGACGAGGAACGCGCACCGGGTCAGCGAGTCGGCGAGGAACCCGCCCAGCCTGCAGCGCTACCACGAGTACCTCAGTCGCCGCGACACGGAGGAGCGGGCAATGCGCATGCACACGAGGCCGCTCGCAGCCCTGACGCCCGGCTTTGCCCCCGCCACGGCCGCGAGGACCAGGACGGGCTCGGCCGGCGCGCGTCGAAGGCGCTCGCGCAGCCCCCAGGCCGACGAGCTGGCGTACAGGCGACGCGACGACAGCCACGAGGGCCTCGACAGCAGCGCCGACAGCCACGCCGTGGGCTTCCCGCGCCTGCGCAGGATGGGCCGTCGCACCATCGCCGACGGCCCGCTGCCCTCGAGCTCCCTGCGCGAGTCCTGGAGCCCCGCCTCGACGCTCGACGGCCTGGGCGACCGCGACCGCAGCCTCAGCCCCTTTGAGGAGACCCTGCCCTGGGACACATTCCTCAGCACCGTCGTCCCCGATCCCGTCGCGCCCACTGCCGACTCGTCCTTTGCCTCCGCCGCCGCCTCGGCCTCCTTCTCACACCCAAACTCGACCCACAGCTCACGCGCCGGCAGCTCCAACTCGCACTCGGCCTCGTCCTCGCACACGCACCTCACCGTGCCCTCGCGCCGCCAGTCGGAAACCCAGTTCATGCGCGCCTGCGAATCCTCGTCCGACGACACAGCCTCCGACACCGAGGAGGACGAGATCATAGTCCGTCCCAACCCCGCCACATCGCGTCGCAGAGCGCGTCCGAGTTACTTCTCCAGCGAGCCCCCCATGCGCGACACAGAGCGCTACTCGCACCGCGTCTTGGAGAGGTCCCGCGCCGCGAACGCCTACGTGAGCCGTTTCTACAGCGCCAGGACTGCGCCTGAAAGACCGCTAGAGGATCAGCTAGACGGGCCTGTCGAGCTGACAAGAGCAACGAGTGATGCGCACGGCCTGCTTGATCAGGAACTCCGCGACGCAAGGCTGCTGCTGGAGCGCCTCACGCGCCGCGACGACGTCAGCGACGACTTCTGGGCTTCGGTGGGCCTGACGCGGTCTTTTGCCGATGGCGTGGAGCGGCTTCAGGAGCGCGAATGATTTTGATGTGACGAAAAATCTATATTCTTGTTGGTTGCGCGAGACTGCTGGTCGGTATTGCGTCCATTCTTTATTACTCACACTTGCACGCGCACTCGTCTGATGGTTGGTTGTTGTACGAAAAGTCATGTTGGGGGATATTCTTGTGTACAGTAATTAGATAATCTGGAGCTACATGGTGCTCACAGACATGGAATATATTCATGCGTCACGCATATCATATAGGGGACATTGGTATTCATAATCAAGTTTACCCATTCATCCCATCCATCTCCCTATCCGTGATCTCAACACCCTACCCATCACAAATCAAATCAAACTCAGGAAACTCCGGATCCGCCCCAATATTCACCGTAAACATGCCCGACGCGCCAAAGCTCTGAACCTTCGCCTCCCTCTGCGCGCCATAACACTGTTCTGCACCTCGTCAGCCTCCCCCCATAAAAAACCCCCCGTCCTTCCCATCCCACAACTCACCTCTCTGCCCCCCACACATCTCCACCGTAACCCCCCCTTTCTCCGTCTTATTCCCACTGTTCGCAACCCCCTGACACCCATCAAACTGCACATCGCAGCTGCGGTCCGCGGCGGAACTGAAGTCGGGAAATGTGTTCCCCTCAACGGCGAAGGGGCGCGTGGGGATGCCGCTGTTTGTTATGCTTGGGGCGGGGATGTTGGCCAGGGATGAGGTGTAGGATTGCAGGTCTGTGGGGGATTGGCGGGGGTTAAGAGATGGGTTGATGGTGGGGGGAGGTGGTGGGGAAGCGAGGATGGAGGGGAGGAGGAGGAGGAGTGTGAAGAGGGAGATGGAGGGGGAGGGCATGTTGTTTGACTTTGGGCGGGAGGTGTTCGACGGATCAAAGTTGTGAGGATAAACATTCCATGCGTTCAGTATATACGCGCGCAATCAGCCCTTGCGATTACTTATTCTCACGCCCGTCGAGTTTGGCAGGTGGGATGTCAGACCGTGATGTTGCGACGGACATGAAACGCATCGCAGGGTTTACGTTGAGACATCACTCCCTACATCTCAAATCCATAACCATGATAAACAAAAAAACCCGCTACAAGTGACATTGCAGCACCACGACAAGACCGTTAATACGCTTGAAATAGATCGAATTCGATTTAGTTGGGGTATGCTAAGCTACAGAAGTATAAGAGTGACGCACGCTCGATTACAACAATGACCAGACGACGGCAGCAAGTGCCCCGACGCGAACCTTGACAAAAGAGTGACAAACTGTAGAGGCGAGCTCGACGTGCCTGTACGAAGTGGGCTGGCGCAACCAATCTAGCAAGTAAAAAACGCACCGCTATTCGGGACGAACAAAGGACTAAGAAAAGATCCGTGCAGCGGGGTGTGCATGCAATCAGATGGGGGGATATGAGAGGCAAGGAAAAGTATGCATACGCAGTGGGGATGGCACCGTGACAGTAAAATCGTACCCAAATGAAGCCAGTAAACCTAATGCATAGATACTGGAGCCGCGGTGGGCACAATATATATATACAAGAAGGATGATGCTCCACGTCTCCAATCTTCCACCAACCCCCAGAGCAATCGTTGACATCGTGAACGGGCCTCGCAAGCCGCCTATATACGTGTCCGTTTTCGGATCGTTTAGAAGTTGGCTGCCGCGTTCGGACGTCCTCCAGGGGTGTGGTACTGGTCGAGGTTGGCCTGGAATGGAGATGCGCCGGTTGCAGGCTTGTCGCCAAGAGCAGCGCCGGTGCCAGCCATGAGATCGTCATCGTCTTCGCTCACGTGGCTCTGGCGTTTCTTCATGCGCCAGAAGACAAGCGCAATACCGCCGAGGAGAAGAATGCCGCCGACACCACCGACAACGCCACCGATGATCTTCTTGTTGGAGCTGCTCAGACCACTGCTGCTGCTGCCGCTGCCGCTCTGGGAAGTGGGCGTCTCGGTGATCAGGGCCTGACCTGTTGTCGTGGTGATGGTGCTCGAGCCGGTCGAGGTGATTTCAGCAGTCTGGCCATTGGTGATGGTGGTGATGACGGTAGTAAATTGCTGCACCGAAGTGGCGACGAGGGCAGAGGTTCTCACGACCACCGCCGTAGTCCTGGGTGTGGTCGCCGCGGCAGAAGTCGCGCCAGCCTGTGACGTTGTTGTGCGGAGTGTCGTTGCGGCTTGAGACTGTTCAGTAGTGACGCCGGCGGCCGAGGAAGCGGCGGGAGCAGCTGATGTCGCGGGTGCATCGGTAGTCTGATCCTGGGTCGTTGAAGGCTCGGGTGTGGGAGTGGGTGTAGGAGTGGGCGTTGCAGATGTTGCTTGTGCACTCGATGTTGCTGGTGCACTCGATGCAGCTTGCGACGACGTTGAAAGCGCGGCAGCCGAAGTGGGCGCGTTGCCCGTGCCACTGGCCTGTCGCTTCTCGCCATGGTGCAAGTACGCCTCGATGCCGTCGATGTGCAGGTCGTTGAAGCTAAAGGCGGCCGACATGGCGACGAGGGCGAATATCGCGAGCAGAGTCCACGCCTGGCGCAGCATGATGGATGTGTGTGGTGGTGAAAGGGAACAACAACGAGCGGATGGGTGGGAAGCTGGGTGGGCCTGTTTCGTCAAGACTGACGCGGTTTCACTAAAAACAGATGTGTACTACGGTATTAAGGGGAGATGGCAAGGCGGCCGTTGTCGAAAGAATACACGGGCTCGGAAAGTGAGGGCACAAAGGAAACGAGAGGCTTGAGTCAATACTCAACGGGTCAGCTGGCGGATGGCGTTGTGGGGAGACGTTCTCCAGGAGGCGTACGCGCAAGATTGGATTGTGAGAGGGGCACGTGAGTTCTAATTTAGGGACCAGCCCTGGCCGCATTTTCCGCGGCGCGCCGCAGGGTCTCGGCTGTGACCGTCGCATAAAAGCAAGCCTTGAAGAAAATCTCTTTGCTCCCAACAGAAACCATGCCAGCGCCCACTGCAGCACTGTCGCCCTAGATAGATTATCCCTCAATGTCCTGCATAACATGTCCAGCGCTGTCACTGTTCTCTACAGCTTTGCACCTCCATCGCATGACCAACAAGGAGTCTGGCACTTGCCGATAATCATCAAACCACGGCTCCACCATTCGCCAGCACTACCAACACTATATCCACCCCGGCCAAGACCTGCGTCATAACCTCTAGTGCTTTCCGAGACTTTTCCTCACATCTTTGCCGTCGCAAACAGCGTGCAGAACATTTACCTAGCGACATCATGCACCTCTCCAGCGTCATCGCCATGGCGCAGATACCCACCCTGACCACTCGCGAGGCTCTGTCGGGTGTGTTTGGCTCCATATCCCTGGCCTCGTGGATTTTTCTCTTGGTGAGTACCAGTCGCGTGTACCCCTGCCTACCTATTCAGTGCTGTGTCTACACAATTTTAGCTTCAATCAGAAAGCAAGAGAGATTGAATCTGTTCATTCATGTCGTTGTAATTCATCAAAATTATGAGCTTGTTCGGGCACGATAAGACTTTGTGTATTCGCGAGATTTCAAATACCTCAGCATACGACGATTGATAACACACTGTTGCCCTTGATACTTCCAAATCCCATACTAATGTCAATCATCAGGTGCCCCAACTCCTCGAAAACTATAAATCCGGCTCCGCAGAGGGAATCTCCCTCGCCTTCCTCACTGTCTGGTTCATAGGCGACATCACCAACCTCGCAGGCGCCCTCTGGGCTAACCTCGTCCCCACCGTCAGCGCCCTCGCAATCTACTTCTGCTTCGCCGACCTGGTCCTCATCTCGCAATGCGTATACTACAACCTCAAGAACTCGAAACGCATACGCAAGGCCTCGACGCGCAGCCAGGACAGCGTTGAGCAACCACTGCTTGGCCGTAGGGACAGCAACATCGGACTGCCAGGGAGCCACAGGCGCGATTCAAGGAGGCGGAGCTCGTTGCCTGCGATTGCTGAAGTCAAGGATGCAGAGTACAGCGCGTGGATCAAGAATGCGCTTAGCATTGTTGGAGTGTGCATTGTTGGTACTGCGGGATGGGCGCTTGCATGGAAGACCGGTGTCTGGGTGCCCCAGCGCACTGACAACGAGCCGGCACAAATTGCGCTCGGAGCGCAGATCCTGGGGTACGCAAGCGCGGTATGCTATCTCGGAGCGCGTATCCCCCAGATTATCAAGAACCAGAGGGAGAGGTCTTGTGAGGGCTTGTCGTTGCTGTTCTTCATCCTCAGCTTGTTGGGCAATGCTACGTATGGCGCAGGTGTAAGTTTTCTACAATACGCGTTGTCGAGGCCTCATTGCTGACTCGAGCAGATCCTCTTCCACTCCACCGAGAAGGAGTACTTCCTCACCAACCTCCCCTGGTTGATCGGCTCCCTTGGCACAATGGTCGAAGACGTGACAATCTTCATTCAGTTCCGTGTGTTTGGCAGCGGCGAGCAGTCCTCTGCTATCGAGACGTAGACATGCTATGTGCACATGCGCCACGCCAGTCACCCTTGTAGAGTTGAAGGGCTGTATATGTCACGATTTAGAGCCATGTTGAATAAATTTCGGTTAGCCATCAAAAGTTTGTAGGTTTGTTGCTGTGCTTGGTCTTCGATACCCGGTTTGGACCGTCAATCTTCACCTGTTGTACAATTTGCGATAGATAATACAGGATAATACATAAGATAAAGGAACATGTTATTTGCATTCTCCGATTGAGATCGGTGGAACAATCAAGACGTGGATGCTACCAATCGCTGCGCCCAATCATATCTCAACTCATCATTAGCACATACAGGCGTTCATCTTCTCTGTCTTGCCCTGATCCTCCCGATTCCTTACTTTACCCCTTGCCCCAAAACAATTCATGCATTTGTCTTCTCCTTGTTTGGCTCTTCGACCGTGGCATCCTGCTCTTCCCAGCACACGGCTGATCTACTGATAGAGATGCTCAAAACCGAGCTTGACTTTGTGCCCAGAGGCCGTGGAATAGTACGCAGCGACGATACCAACGCCTTCCATATCGTCCCCGACTTTGAAAGCATCTTATCGCCAGCCCCGAGTGCCCTCACCTGACACCCCGAACCCAGAGTATTTCCAAAACACCGAGTGTGAGAATCCCCCCTCACTCCCCAACAACAACCTGCATCTTCACCGCCGTCCTTCCCACCCCATAATACCCCTCCAACACCTCCATCTCCTCAAACCCACACGCCCCATACAACGCCCTAGCCGCCCCCCTCCCCTCATCCACCCACAACAAAATCCTCTCCGCACCCCCCTTGCTCATACCCTCAACCAGCTCCCGCACAAGACTCCCACCCACGCCCCGCCCCCGCTCCGCCTCCACAACGCCCAGCTTGTGCAGCCACACGACGCGCTTCTGCCGCTGGTATACCAGATAGCCGATGGGGGTTTCGGGGGCGTTGGGACGGTGCGCGAGGATCACGCCGATGGACTTTTTGGAGAGCTCGGTGGGGTAGTTGAAGGCTTCGCTTTGGGGGAAGATTTTCTTCTCCAGGCGAGTGAGGGTTTTGCTGAGGGTGGGGTGGAGTTTGGGCGGGCAGGAGGGGTGGTGGGTAAGGGCTGTTTCTTGGGGAGGGGATGTTGGGGGAGGTGGAGGGGGCATTGTTGGGGTTGCTTTTGACTTGGGATGGTGATGTTGGGGTGATGTGAGGGGAGTTTTTGTTGGTAGGTGAGAATGAGATGTTGGAGGTGAGGTATAGAGAATAAATCCAGACTGTGTTTGAACCTACAGGAAACTATCCTTCAAAACCTCTAAATTATGGAAATGTTGGCAAGCAGTGAAAGTGCGAAAGTGGTTGAGTGAGGGGTCTTGATTGGGTGAGGACAGGCACGTGCTAGCGCGATAGCGTATTTCGCAACTGCAACGCGTCCGCCGCTCTTGCACTGTACTGCGACTTGTGTCAGTGACTGCTCCTAGCATCCAACATGAGCCTGTGCTCGTTTCTCAAACCCCCGTTACTCATACTCGCCGAGTGATAATACAAGATCTGGTATTTGCGCCACGAACATCTACGCGTTCTGAGCACGGACAACATGCCAGGCAAGAGAAAGCTTCCGTATTCGGATCTTGAGTTTACGCTCAAGAGAGTGTTCAAGAAACCTGGTTTTCGGTGAGTAAATTCTAGGTCTGTGGACATCCCATACTGATTTCTCCTCGTAGACCTCTTCAGCGTGAAGTTATTACGGCTACATTGGAGGGCGAAGATGTGTTTTTGCAGGCTGCAACTTCGTTTGGAAAGAGCTTGTGCTATCAGCTTCCGGGTGTTGTTGACTTTGGAAGTACGTCTCTAATCTCGATGAATACAACGCATAGGTACTGATCTTGGAAGTTACAATTGTAATCTCTCCGCTTTTGGCCCTCATGGTAAGTCACCCCAGTTCAAACGCCTCATCATAAGCTCATGTCTGGTCAGAACAACCAAGTCGCTTCTATGCGAAATGCCAAAATCAGAGTCGAAACTATCAACAGCACCACACCACATGCCGACAAGAAAAGAATTATTGAAGACCTCCAATGCGGACACCCTCTCACTCGACTTCTCTATGTTACCCCGGAGTACTGCCAACTAGACTCATTCCGCAAGATCCTCCGAGTAATCCACTCCCAGCGGGAACTTGCCCGCATAGCAGTCGACGAAGCCCACTGCGTCAGCGAATGGGGCCACGACTTCCGGCCCTCCTTCCAGCAGCTTTCCTTCTTCAAGACCGAGTTCCCAGACGTGCCCATAATATGCCTGACCGCAACAGCCACGGCCCGCGTCCGAGACGACATCATAAAAACGCTCGCCCTCGACGCCTCCAAGATGAAAATGTTCCGCATGACCACCAGCCGGCCAAACCTCCACTACGAAGTCCGCTTCAAATCCGACGAACAAGACCACTACTCCGACTTCCTCGCCTGGATCAAAGCCGCCCACGCCCGCCGCGCCGCAAACCCCGCCCGCGCCTCCCAGCTCGCAGGCCAGAACCAGCGCCCCGACAACGTCCCCGGCATCATCTACACGCTCTTCCGCAAGGACTGCGAGTCGCTCGCCGCGCGCCTGCGTGCAGACGGCATAGGCGCAAAACCGTACCACGCGGGGCTCCCGCACGCAGAGCGCGCCGACGCGCTCTCAGGCTGGGTAGCCAACAAGCCCGGCTACGACGTCGTCGTCGCCACCACCGCGTTCGGCATGGGCATCGACAAGGAAAACGTCCGCTTCGTCGTGCACTGGCAGATCCCAAAGTCGTTCGAGGGCTTCTACCAGGAAGCCGGGCGCGCGGGTCGCGACGGCAAAGCAAGCGTATGCATCCTGTACTACGGGCGCGAGGACCGGGATCGCGCCGCCACGCTGATGGCGAGAGATCAGGCCAGGCAGCCGAGTAAAGGTGCGGGCGTTGCTGCTCAACGCGCTACTATGATTAATCGCGCGAAGAGCTTGCAGGCCCTGGTCGCGTACTGCGAGGCTACGGATAAATGCCGACATCGCGTTATTGCGCAGTATTTTGCCGATGAGGAGGTGCCCGAGTGTGACTTTGCGTGCGATTGGTGTAAGGATGCGGTTGCGCTTGTTAGGCGGAGGGAGAGGGGGCTTGCGAGTGAGGAGTGGTGTAGTACGCAGAGGGAGATGGGGAGGTTTGATGGCGGGTATGATGAGTATGATTGATTGGTGGGTGGGCTGGGTGTTGGGTGTTATTGGGAGTTAGGGTCCATAGTCATGAATGAATGGAAGGATGAATGGGTGGATGTTTTATTCCAATTCATTTGTCATTATCATGTCGTGTCTAGAGACTTCAAGTCACCATTCATTTCATATCCGCGCCAACGCCTCCGGCATGCAAATTTTCGTGATATTCTACGCCTCCCCTTTCGTGCAAATTGCCGTGATAGTCATGTGTGAAGAAACGGCCCCATATCCAGCAGGAACAGTGGTCCTAGAAGTTGGGAACCGAGGAAATCTACCCGACGATAAGCGCCGCGCTGGGCACCATGCCCGCCTCCCTGAGCGTCATGCCAAAGTCTGTCTTGTCGAAGACTTTCTTGGGGAAGGTAGTTGTGAAGGTGTTGACCTGGTTGCCGTCCTGCTCCAAGGCATGCGCGACTTCGAACAGCGTGGTCTCGACGGAGAAGGTCTTTGTCACTCTTCCGCCCTTGGTCTGCAGCGCCAGCCTCGCCTCTGTGTACGCACTTGCGGGCTTGCTTGTCGTGGGGCCCGAGGACGTCGCCTGGGGGATGTGGACTTGTTGCGGCGGGGCTTTTCCTGCACGTAGAGCCTTCTCTGCTTCGGCCTTGCGCTTGCGTTCTTGTTTGTCTGCTTCGAGTTTTGCGAGGACACGCTTCCGCGCGTCGAGGTCTGCTTGCTTCTCTGCGCGCTTTGCCTGTGCTTCTTTGATCTGCTCCTTCTTCTGCAGGTCTTCCTTGATGTCCTGCGACTCTTTTGTGGCCTTCATGCGGATCTGCTCGTTCTTCTTGCGGTCCTCCTTGTCCTGTTCGGATTGTGTGGCGCGCTTGAGGGCGAGTTTCTGGCGCAGTTCCTCGAGGCGCTGCTTCTTCTCCTCTTCGGTGAGCGGGGCGATTTCCTCGGTCGACTCGGCGAAGTTCTCGTGGCCGGTTTTGTTGCCGTGGAACTCTGCTTGGGCGACTGAGCGGAACTTCTTGCCGCACTCTTCGCACACGAGGGACTTTGCTTCCTCGCCGGGCTTCAGGGCTTCGGGCTCTTCGGCGGCGGCGGCGGTAGCGGCGGTGATTTCCTCGATGGATTGGTCCTGGTGCTTCTCTAGCCAGTCGATGGCGCCTTGCAGGCCACCGGTAGCCTTGACTGCGAGCTCGGCACGATCACGGGGAAAGCCCATGTCGACGAGCGTGTCGAGGTCGGAAGACATGTTGATGTGGTGGTGTGTGGTGAGGGTGAAGGTGGGAGGTGTAGGCTGGGTGGAGGAGACGAGTGCAGGCGAGTGGGGGTTGGTATAGTAACGTGGAGTGGAACCTGGGGGAACCGTGGAACGATGGACCGTAGAGGACCGTAGAAGAATCTAGTGCACGGGCGCAGATTTCTGACTGGCTGAACAAGGTCACGTAGTTGGTGGTATCTGGGAGAAGGAGCCTGCACGCTCAGAGAAGGTGTAATGAGGCGAGTAGTGAGCAGTGGGCAGTGCATGTGTAAGCTGGTCGAGCTGTAGCAGTTACGCTAGCCGATGACGTTCAGAGTCAAGCAAGACGTCAAGCGAGCGAGGAGCCGCCGTCGTGTTCGACCACCTATTGTCCTCCTTCACCACCACCACCCGCCCGCCGCCTGCCGCCCCTCGAACACCAAACGTCGACCCATACATAATTACGCCCGCTGCAGACGCGCCTCCCACCCCTGGCCTCTCCATCCACTCCACCCACTGCAGACACGGTCGCGCGGAGCACGCTACAACCCCAAGTGCCGCCCTGATTACCAACAACCGCTGCTGCACCCCGACGCTACCCACATCCCCACCATGTCTGTCGAGCTCGACCCCGTAGAGCTGGGCTTCAAGCGTGAGCGCCCAATGCGGTCCGCCGGCGCCTGCACACATGCTGAATTGACCAGGCCCCTTCCAGCAAGAGGTGTCGCAGTCCCTCCGCCTGATGAACCCGCACTCGGATCCCATCGCATTCAAGGTGAGCGCCCTCCCCATGCGCCCTGGCCCTCCATCCGCCACATCCAACAGGACAGTCAGCTGACAGGCCCCAGGTCAAAACCACCGCGCCCAAGCAGTACGCGCCGCCCGCTCCTTTCCTCTATGCCTTCGGTTGTTGACGGACAATGTAGATACTGCGTGAGGCCAAACAGCGGACGCATCGAGCCTGGCCAGGATGTCGAGGTGCAGAGTACGCCATCCCCTCCACGCGCGCATGTCCGCCGTATTGGGGCAGCAAACTGACACATACACAGTCCTCCTCCAGGCCATGAAAGAGGACCCACCGCCAGACGCAAAGTGCCGCGACAAGTTCCTCGTCCAGTCTGTTCTCGTCACCGCCGATAAGGAATTTACCAACGTTGGATCATTGGTAGGCACATCTGCTGGAAACACGCAGCTGCACACTAACTTTCTTGCAGTGGTCGCACATCGAGCAGACGTCAAAGTCGTCCATCCAAGAGAAGAAGATTAGGGTCCTCTTCCTCCCCGCAGACGGCTCTGCGTCGACAGCAACCCCCGCCAGGGCAAATGGCGCTAGCCGCGAATCATTGTTCCAGGCTTCCTCCCCAGATGCTTTCACGCCTCAGCGCGGCTCATCAGACCCTGTCGGACCAGTCTCCTACCACGAAGAGCGTCCATCAGACGCCAAGAACCTGGGAGAGATCAAGGATGAGGTGTACAACCCTGCTACCGGCGGTACCCAGTCTGCCGTGGCTAGCGTGCAGTCAACCGTGGCTGCAGCGGCAGCGTCCGTCACGAACGCTATCCCTGTGTCACAGGAGGACGTGCGGGCTCAGCTCGAGGACGCCAAAGCCACCATCGCTCGTCTGACAAAGCAGGCCGGAGAGAGCTCAGGTCTTCGCCAACGAAAGGTAGATCCCCTCGCCCAGGGGCAGACTGCGACTGCTGTGGATACGCAAGTCGCGCCTGCGGGTGGAGTTTCGGTCCAGATCACGGCCTTGTTGTGTCTGATGAGCTTCCTTATCGCCTACTTCCTTTTCTGAGTGCTTTTTTCGTAATGCCTTCCACCGCACCAGTCAAGCGACATGCGTCATACTGTATCCTGAATTCAAAAGCGGTGCGGGCGCGAGCCGGGTGATTGGGGTGGATGTTGACGATAATTGTGAAGCGTTGGTACATCCCTTTGTTATTCGCGAGCGGTTAATTCTTCGTGGTGGCAGTCGAGATTCTTGGTTACGCATATGGAGCTGCGCGGTTTGAAGACGTGAGCATGATTACACGAGTCGTGAAGGGCGTCGATGTATCAACACCACCGACACAGCATGAATTTACTTTGTCCTATCTAACAGCTCCGATTTCTCCGTGTATATTTTCTCTGCGCACACAACAACTACAGCAATGGTCACGAGAGCTGTAGCCAATAAGGGAATGCGACTTTCAATGTGGGGGATCCTGAACATGGGTGCATGTATGGTTCTACACACATGACAGCGCGAACATGACTGATCTTCCAACGTCATGGTTTATGTCCCCTGCATTTTCATGCCGATAATCTTTATCTAGCGCCCACATGCAGTTCTCGGCGCGTCGTGAATGTGGGTTAGTGGGGCAGACATCTGATGGCGCTGCCGGAGGGTTGACTCAATGGCGCTGCAACAAACAATTTCTCGACCGTGGAATAAAACGGAGCCGTTACCGGCACGCATTCACCCACTTCTGACTCTTGACTCTTCCTCACCTCCTCACCTCTCTCTTCATCCGAACAATCAAGATGTGTGGTATATTTGCGTGTTATAGGTATGCGATCGCTCTCAGTATCCAATACTGCCCCTCCAAGCTTCCCAACCTTTGTCTTGATATATGACTAACACGCGCGTAGGCACCCCGATGTGCAGAAGTTCAAGCCGACGGCCTTGAAGATGGGCAAGGCGTGAGTTTCTCTCTCTGCAGACTATCTGCCCGCTCAATTGACTGATTGCGAACAGCGTCCGACATCGGGGCCCAGATTGGAGTGAGCATCCTATGACACAACATGCGCCGAGGAGCGAGATGACTGACAATTCGCAGGTGGCAACTGGATCGCAAACGATACGAGTAAGCACCGACAAGACGTATGATGTGGGGTGCAAGTATTGATTGTTGGTAGTCCTTGTCCACGAGCGTCTGAGTATCGTTGGTGTTGGTATGTTGTCACGCGACTCCCACAAATCTTGACAACAGCTTACACTGTGTAGACTCCGGCGCCCAGCCACTGGTCAACGAAGAGAAGACCGTCTCTCTGGCTGTCAACGGCGAGATCTACAACCACCGAATCCTCCGCAAGAGCCTCAAGAAACCGTACAACTTCAAGACACACTCAGATTGCGAGGTCATCATTCCTCTGGTATGAATGGCAAAACATATACGAGAAGATGCCTCAACTGACGCATGGCAGTATCTCGAACATGACATCGACGCGCCCCGACACTTGGACGGCATGTTCTCGTGGGTTCTCCACGACAAGGTGCAGGACCGAGTGCTCGCGGCACGAGACCCCATTGGAATCACCACCTTCTACATGGGCAGGTCGAGCGAGACGCCTGGTGCTGTATTCTTCGCCTCTGAGCTGAAATGCCTGCACCCCGTTTGCGACGACATCATCGCCTTCCCGCCCGGTCACATCTACGATTCCAAGACAGACAAGCTCACCCGATACTACGACCCCAAGTGGCTGGTCGAGCCCTCCAACATCCCCACCACACCTGTCGACTACAAGGAGCTGAGGACAGCGTTGGAGCGATCAGTGCGCAAGCGCATGATGGCGGAAGTACCGTTCGGCGTGCTTCTTTCTGGTGGACTCGACTCGAGTCTGGTGGCTTCGATCGCGCAGCGGGAAACCCAGCGGATCAACGAGGCAACAAGGAAACGAGCTGCTGAAGGAGCAGCCGCCGCCCCTCAAGGCGAACTCGTCGGCATCGACGACGAGAACGAGCTCCAAACAGACCTGATCCTGGGCCAGTTGAACTCATTCTCCATCGGTCTGCCCAACGCCCCCGATGCCATCGCCGCGCAGGAAGTCGCCAACTTCCTCGGCACAAAGCACCACACCTTCACATTCACCATCGAAGACGGCATCAACGCCCTCACAGACGTCATCTTCCACCTCGAAACCTTTGACGTAACCACCATCCGCGCCTCGACGCCCATGTTCCTGCTCAGCCGCAAGATCAAAGCCATGGGCATCAAGATGGTGCTGTCCGGCGAAGGCAGCGACGAGATCTTCGGCGGATACCTCTACTTCCACAACGCGCCAGACAAAGCCGCCTTCCACGAAGAATGCGTGCGCCGCGTCAAGAACCTGCACTTGGCCGACTGCCTGCGCGCCAACAAATCCACAGCCGCCTGGGGCGTCGAGGCCCGCGTGCCCTTCCTCGACAAGCAGTTCCTCACCACCGCCATGAACATCGACCCCGCCGACAAGCTCATCACAAAGGACCGCATCGAAAAGTACATTCTGCGCAAGGCCTTCGACACGACCGACGAGCCCGAGACCGCGCCCTACCTGCCAGAGAAGATCCTCTACAGGCAGAAGGAGCAGTTCTCCGATGGCGTGGGCTACGGCTGGATCGACGCGCTCAAGGACAACGCCGAGCTGCAGGTCACAGACGAGATGATGAAGAACCCTAAGCCTGAGTGGGGCGCTGACGTGCCGGACACAAAGGAGGCCTACTGGTATAGGTGTATGTTCGACGAGCACTTCCCGCCCTCCTGCGCCAGCACCGTCATGCGCTGGACGCCCACGTGGAGCAAGCAGACGGATCCTTCGGGACGGTGAGTCATGCCGTGTTTTGTAGGAAAGTGTACCAGAAAGCTAATGTGTTGCAGTGCCATCTCGATCCATGCTCAGAAGTACGAGAGCACAGAGTAAGTGCGTGGGATGGATGGATGGGGGCGGAAGGAGAGCGTTATATATCCTTTGTTGAGGGAATCATCCCTTTACAGCGAATAGACTGCATATCCTTTCCCATATAACAATCGTCTCCAACCCTGACTGAACTTGACATACTCACACAAAGCCAAAAAGCATGTGCCCCTCCCTCTCAACCAGCAAAAACCATGCCCTATTTACTTACTACTCATTCTGACAAGCTGGCACAACGTCCAAACGCAGACCAGTGCAGAAAGAAAGAGGCCAGCAAAAAGACAAAAGCAAAAAAGCATCTCCGGCGGGGCTCGAACCCGCAGCCTTTGGATGACCGGACAGATTGATGTGTGAGGTAGAAGTCCAACGCGCTACCATTGCGCCACGGAGACCGATACTTGTTCGGATTGTATGAACTTCTGGCGTTGTTACGAAATCGTAAAGATTATATACTGCTACATCTTGGGCTGATTCCCGGGCTGAGGGAGTAGAGGGGTGGTGATGGGGTCGCTGGGTTGTGGCGTATGAATTGTGGTGTGGAATGCGGGGTGGGGAAGGATATGGAGGGGAAGGTGACGCGAGATGGTTGATTGTTGGTTGTTGGTTGATTGGCTGGTTTTGTTGGCGTGGATCGACGTACAGTGTATGTTTGTTTGTAAAGTCGATCAACAGACGTAAACCAACCGTGTAAAATCTTAATGCTTGTATATTCTTCAATCGAATAGACTATTTCGATACCTCTACACATCCCCAACTTCATCCACCATGGCGAGCACAACCTTCTTACTCAACGCCCCGTCCACCACCTCCTCTTCCACCTCCACCTCTGTGTCCGCATCCTCACCCTCCCCCTCTACCCTCGCCAAAACATCAACAAGCTGCATCCTATTACTCTCCCACGCAACCCACGCCGCAGCCTGCAAAAAGCAATCCGCCACATCGTCCAGCTTCTTCAGCTCTGCGTCGCGTATTTGTCCCGTCCCCGACAGCGATTTCTGCCCTGGAAAGGCAAGCGCATCCCGCGTAGCGCTCGCCTTGTGTCCGATCTGGAAGTGAATCCTAGGGGACGAGGCGGACGAGGAACGCGTGAGAGAGCCGGTAGAAGATGGTGTGGTCGTTAGCCATCCGCGCAGCAGGCTGATTTTCGCGCGTTTCTCTGCTTTGCTGCGGTTTGGTTTCTTCGCTTTGGGACGGCTTGGCTTCGTTGCTTCGTCGCCTGCTGGCGTGGTTTCGTCTTCTGCGGTGATGGGCTCCGGGCTGATAGGTTCTGCGCTGATAGGTTTTGTCTTGATGGGCTCCGTACTGACAGTTTCCGCTGCTGCGCTCTCGGTTTGCTGGGAATGCACACCCAGCCAGAACTGCCCGACGCGCTTCGGATCTACGCCCCACACCGTGAAGCCCTTCGCTTTTGGATCTTGCAGTGCGCGCTCGGCTTTCACGCTTGTCAGGACGGCCCAGAGTATGGCCTCTAGCGTGTTGACCCGGACTGTCCATTGCAAGACTGCATGGCCACCTCCGGAGCGCCAGCGCTGTTTCTCGATCAGGATGATGTCTGGCTTTGCGGTGAGAATGGTTTGCGTGACGAGGTGGTAGGCTGTGAGGGAGAGGTTGGAGGGGGAGAAAGGGTCTGTTTCCCCCTCCACATCGACGTTCACATCCACACCCACGTCTTGATTTTCATCCGCATCAACATCCTCTTCCTCATTCACATCCACATCTTCATTCTCATTCCCCGCACCAGCCACATCCCGAGGGCTCGACGTCAACGGCACAACCTTTCTAGCGCCAAGCAGATCAATCTTCTCCCACTGCTCCACATCCATCACCGCACTCCACTTCGCCCCGTGATCAGAAGCCCCAGGATACGAAACGCTCGCCACGCAATAAGCAAGGTTCTTGATGCCCATGTCGATGCTCATGATCCTCAGCGGCCGCTTCCGGCCACCCCCTTCATGGTCTTGTGCACCAAACAGCCGTGATATCTGCAGGTCGCGCGGAAATCTCGTTTGCAGAGTAGCTTTTGGGCCTGAAGACGCGGAGCCGATGCGTATGAGGAGGGTCTGAAGGATCTTGGACGTTACAATCCGTTTTTTGGGCGCCATAGTGACGAATTTACGGGCAAGGATTACGGTAATGGTCACCGTGGCGTTTGGGTGATGAGTCGAATATTGGTGTCCGGATTTCGTGCCATTGTGGATGCGTTGAATCGACACGTATTATCGACTGCACGACGATCTGGGCGATGAGCTCATAAGGAGGGTAGGTTTCCAGGGAGAATGCTGAGGCGTCGTGAGATTTGAATATGGTGTGGCGAAGGAGAGAAAGTTCGAGGTGAACAAGAAATTTACTAATTAGGTCAATGCGTGGAGCACGTGATGTTTGCCTTCGTTTCGTTTGGCATCAATCACTCGAGTTAACGGTGTAGACTTGCAAATCTGATATATTTCAGAGTCTTGAAACAATGGAAGACTGTACTATCCCCTCCATATACGTATACACTAACCAGGCCTGTCGAAGGCCATCCCAAAACATCATCTCGCCATGTCTATTAAAACACACAATAGAAAGAAAAATCGAACGCTCACGTTCGTAATATTAAACGCCATACCCATGCAGTTCCACCTAATCACCGTCTCCCACTCCTTAAGAATCCCGCATCTCCGTGTCCCTCTCCCCTTCTGCCGCGCTCTCAACATCACCCTCAAACGCCTCCTCTGATGCATCACCAGTCCCAGCGTCCTCCTTGATGTGTCCGTTCATTTCCACAGTAGGTTGTTCGGTACCGTCCTCAGCAGTCTCAGAGCCTTGCTGCATCAACTGCTTTTGTGCATGGTACGTCTCCTGGTCAAGGTCCTTCTTTGCCGCCCTACATGCAGCTGCGAACCACTCCTCCAGACGGTTCTTCTCAAGAAGCTCCCTCAGGACATCGTCGTCGAGTAGGTTGTCTTTGATAATCGGCTCGCGGAGATCTTCAGCCCCGAACCGAACGCAGAGTTCGCCATGCGTACACCCAGCACCGATGAGCTCGGGGATGGGGCGGGGATAGACGACGCGAGAGAAAGGGTTGTCGTCTGGATTCAAGAGTTAGCGGTGGTATGTAAGTGAGGATGGAGGGGGTTAGAACGTACCGATCATTTTCAGAAGACTCTTGAACGTCCAGCCCGCTGTTGTGTTGACGAGGAACTCATTGAGCGTAGCGTCGGACATGTCCTTGGTATTATTGATTTCCGCCCAGTTATCCTTGATCAAGAGGCGTTTCCAAACGAGTTTCACCAGTCCATCGCGTGTAGTACGGTGGATAGCGTGCCAATTCACAACCAAAATCCGGAGTGCAAGCATGAATTCATTCGTCTGCACAAGGGACGTCGGCTCCTCGCTTTCATCGTATGTCATAAGCGTTAGGATATCGATCATTAGCGCAGCATCGATAACCTTGTGGTGGATCAAGTTCTCGAAACCTTCCTTCAGGATAGCTTGATGTGCAGGGCGATCTTTGAGTCGGCCTTGGCCGAGTTCAGCCATCAAGAGTTCCACGGCGGAGTCATCATCGAGAGCTCCTTCGATAATAGGAGACAGACGGTCGAAGACTGCTTCCTGGATCTTGGCGTACTCGAGTTGGTTGTCGGTGGTCGTTACTTGTCTGTCACGAGCTTTTTCAAGGCGATTCATGTCTTTGCGTTCTTTCTCTGGCTGTGGCTTTACACCAGGTTTCACCTCCTTCTGGCATAGCATGGACAGCTTTGCTATGGATAGCTCGACACGGTTACACCACGCATTGGTTTCTTGTCTCGTGGCGGCGTCGTAGAGGGCCTCAGCGGCTGCCTCGTAATTCTTTTCGCCACAAACTTCATTGATCCATTGCAGTCTGGCGCGGGATGGATCCGCTCGTAAGTACCTTGTGAGCGCTGGCTGGTTGAGGTACTCCTTCATGAAGATTTGCCCGGATTGGTTTTCCTGGATGTATTTGGAGTAGTACGCTTCGGCCCATTCGTCCCCGTAAAGATCGAAGTATCGGTTGATGCGCTCCTTGATCCGGTTGAGTTTGACAGTGCTCTCAGCCTGTTCCATCTTGCTGCGAGTGTTGGCTTTCTCCCCCTCAAGCCAATTCGACTCGTCCCAGATTAGGTCAACAAGAGTAGGCATGTCGCGATACCGCTCAGCGAGGTTCATTCCATCAGTCGCGAGGCCTATCTCCATGAGGCCGTGGATGTGTTGTGGGCGCACTTTTACATTCCATTCTTCCCTCAAGCTTCGCCCCATCTCCCTCTGCTTCTCGTCGCTCTGTTCGAGTGCCCATCGGAAGCGTTCGATATGAGTTTCGCAGCCCATCCTGACAAGTCGGGGGTTGTCTTTGCCGATCTTCTGGGCGAGACCTTCTTGAAGACCTTCCTCGTACTTCTCTATTGCCAGATTGCGTCCAACGTCAACAAGGCTCCGGATCGAACTCACGATGTTATGAGAGGATGTCCAGAAGTGGGGAAGAACATCATACCCAAGTCCAGCCCTGAGAATACCGTCATCCAGAGAATCCGGCTCAAGACCATACAAGACAAGGTTCGCTTGTCGGAACTCGAATGCGGTTTCCAAAGTTACAAGCATGACATCCGACCCTTCGCTGAGCCTTTGCATAATCGAAGGCTGTTCTTTTGCGCCCTCCTTCATATAGAAAGTTCGCAGATAGAACCAACCCCAGGGGATGAGTACACCAATATGGTCGACGTCCTTCAGGAAGAATTGCCGAATAGGGTCTGTCTCGCCAAGTTCGGGTTGAATGTTTGTCTTGTACCGCTCGTTCAAAGCCCTGACGATGTCGCTCATGAGAATCTTTTCCGGGTATGCCTCAGGGTGAAGTTTCTGATCTTGAAGTTTGTCCTGGTACCAGGTCCAGAGTTTGTGTGCCGCCGCAAGCTTCTCAGCATGCCACAACAAACGCCACTTTGTTTGGAATGACACTGATGGGTATTCGGATCGCACCTCAGAGATCAAAGTGCGAAGGGCCAATGCTCGCTTCTGATATTGGTCGTCCATGGAAGTTGTGACTGTCTCGAGGTTGTCATACGACGAGCTGATTATCCCGGTGCTAATGTCTAGTGCCGCCTGTGAAGTTTCATCCTCCGGGAACGAGAATCGCGACTTGATTGAGAAGTCTAACACAGTTCCAGGGATCAGACTGAAGAATGTGGCTTGCTCCAATTTACTGCGAGCGGTGACTCTCGATCTCTCCTTGTCTCTAGCGTCCGTCGTCGGTGGTTCCACGCTAATCTGGACGATTCCATAATTCTGGATGAAGACCGTAGTGATAGCCTGTTTGCTCTTCCGGCTCCCGTGTTCTAGAGCAGTGCCAGACACTACCACAGGAATGTCACTGCGGAAGTAGATGGCGTCCTGGAAAGGTAAGCTGGTTCGTCCAGAATCGGTGAGGAGTTGTGCTTCAGGGCCTTCGATTGGCTCAGTGAGAGATGCAATAAACATAGCGCCTGGAAATTGAACGAATGCTGTGTGTCCAGGCTGAGGAAGGAGAAGTGTGCCGGTGGGCTCCTTTGGTAACTCATTCTGACGGAAATTGCGGACTGGAATGGCTCTGCCAACCTTGCCACTTGTGTTTGATAAGTCCACCTCGAGAAGAGCATAATCTAGGGAGTCTCGGCCGGCGAAGGCCGCAAGTACCAAAAGCCTGACGGACCCTGGAGTCTGCTGTTGCTCCATTATGGCAAAGTCGAGCACGCTCATGTCGTATCGGGCCTGTGTCTCAGGTGCGGTATCCCCCTGGACCGCAGACAACATATCGACATGTAGGTTAATCTCTTGCTTGAAAATGTGTTGTCCTGACCAACTCAAATCCCATAGCTGAAACAGCCCGCTCCGTGTCGCCGTAATGACCTCCATCTGACCCTTGGACTCAGATTGGCGAGCCCTGACCGAGGCGATGCTCTTTCGAACAGCGCCTCCAAGTAAACCCTTAAGGCTGAAGAAACTGCCACCAGAGCCGCTCGGGGGGTTGATAATATTTGTAGCGATGCCCGGTCGGCCTTGTGCATCTCGCAGGGTCAGCTGCGCCAGTCTCCCACTACTGAAGATCAGAATGTAGCCCGCGTGCTCAATGTCCACGAGATCGGTTATGGTCTCTCCAGAGTACAGCTTCACAGACCCATCCACCCCCTGCTTGCGTTGTGGAAATTGATTTCGAGCCTCGGCGCTGTCGATGTTGTCCCAGAATGTGATCTTGCCAGTCGAGGGCGCGACTGCGACGACACCAAAGTCGTTTGTGGGACCGTTTCGAACAATGGCACCCAGAGGTAGGGGGTCCGATACCTTCAGACCAAAGGGTAGAGGCAGAGAGACAACTTTTGGGGGGCCAGCTGCGGCGCTGTAGTCCCAGACGAAAGCGCGGTCGGTAGTCAGAGCAAGTGCGAGGCTGGCGGAGGCGAGGGCAGATGCATGGAATGGGGCTGTTGATGTGTGTTAGTCGGCGCGTATTGGTTGAAGGAGATGACATACTGTTCGGGCGCAAGAGAGCTGTTGGGAAGCCGGGCAGCTTCTTGACGCTGTAATTTGCATTCTTCGTCTGAAAGCAGTCACCCATTAGCAGCAAACAAAAGTCGAGTCCCTTGCTTCAACCTACCAGCAGCTGTGTGTTGTCCTCCTTTGGCGCGCGTTTTGGTGCTGCCTTCTTCTCACGGACAGGCATGTCGACCAACACGAGCGAGTTCTCGACGCTGCTGTGGCCGGCATGGCCGTTCATCATCACGCTGCCATTTTCTTTCACGTGCACGTCAGTCACGACGTGGAAGCTTTCATCGGAGAGCTTGCTACGCTTGCGTCGCGACTGTTGCTGCAGCCCATCAGAGTTGCGCTGGCGTCGCCGGGGATTGCGCAGGGAGCTGCGCGCGCTCTGGACTGATGCTTCTGGCGAGAACATGATGGAGGTGATGAGAGGTGATGGCAGGTGAGGTCGATGTAGGGTTGATGGCGAGACGCGATGGAGCGCGCCGTTGGTAGTTTTGGCTCCTCGATGCGCGGTCGCGAGGTTGACAATGCAGGCATGCGATTGTTTTCGACGCTTCGACGCTCGACCACAGGGATCAATCACTAGCTCGACCGGAGTTAGCGTTCACGTCCACGTCCACGTCACGTCAAACTCACCTCTCATTCTTTCACTTTTACTTCACAAACTCGTTAGACTCTATCAAAGTACTCGAAGAACTTGACGTGTGGTTCCAACGTCTCACATTCGAAACGATAAAATCATCTGCATGTAAGACGTCTGTATACGACCATGGCTTGACGACCAACTTGATCCACACACCTCTTTCGCATACATCTGGCCTCCATACCTTCTAGCGTCGAGGGGCTCTTACATAACAAACTCAGTTACATGTCGTTTCACGTGGTCTAAAACGAAGTTTGCCAGGTCAACTTACACTTGTTGGTTATACGGCAAGGGCTTTTCATGATCACGCTTCAATAGTTGAGCTCTGACAAGCAAAAAGACTCGCGAAATGTTTGTGCCTTCTCGATAAAAGAAGTATGGTTCTTTGATATGTATGATAGTATTGGTTTGTCATTTTACATGGTTTGATCGTTACTCATGTCCGTTGCAGATCCCTGTAAATAAGCAAAGAAAACGCCGGCGATACTAAGCCTCGGCCAAGGGCATCTTCCTACAGCTACCATAATTATAGGCAACGAGGGCTCCAGAGAGAATGTTGTACATAGAGCGGAAACGCTTAGTCGAAAATTGAGCGACAAGTCTTCCACCCGACAGATCATGTCCAGCAGAGGCTTCCCACCAGTCAACTAGCCAGTCAACTAGCAGCCATACCGAAGACGATGTGTCATGTCCTTCAAGCTTCCCTCTTGGTCAACATAAGGTGTTTAGAACTTCTTGTTGGTGGTGTCCTCGTCCTCGACACTCTTGTCGGTGGACGTGGTGCTCTGCTTCTCGAGTTCTTCGCCAAAGGCACCGTGAATCTCCTCTTCAAAGACGGGCTCGGGCTCGATGGTCTCGAACTTGGTCTTGAAGTCCTTCATCTGGAAGGTCAACGAGTTGCTTCGACGACGGGCGTTGGTGAGGTTGTAACGCATATCTTCGACTTCGTCGCCCTCGCGGCCCCTGTTAAGCAATCATTCGTTAGTGATTGCTTCATCATGGCTTTTAGGTAGAAGGTGAGGCTGGCATGGGGTGATATGGGTCGGGACTCAGCAAGCTGGCTCGGAGAGAGCAGCTCGAGACATATGTGAGAAATTGACTTACCAGTTTCCCTTTCCGCCGCCGTCCTTCTTAGTCTTTTGTGGGTCGGCGTCAGCGTGACCAGTTTTGGCAAAGTAACGTGGAAGCTTCGATTCACGCTCAGCAGTGCCATCGGCAATGCCGGCGTGATCGCGGTCAGTGAACTTGTGAGAGCGGGTCACTGCCTTCAGTCAGCATTCGAAGTAGACAGCAGTTGCCAATACCGATTGAGTTTGATGGAGCATTGAGCAACTGAACGTGTTCAGACATGCTCAATGTACAAGCAAAGGAAGCTATGGTGAGCAAGACGGGAGATAGGACTCACTGATTGATGAATGTGATTGAAGTGAGATGGTACGGGATGAATGGAAGTCAACGGTGGGCGATGTCGAGTTCAAGTAGTCGGAGACGGAGAGCTCGGAGCTTGAGAGGTACTGCGGATCTTAGGTCATGTAGAGGTCGCGTGACGAGCATGGACCCACAACAATGGCGTATCTGGTGGTGAAGCACCATGCAAGACGACGCGGCAGAATGTCCGTACCTTGCAGGAGCGTAGTCAATCCGGGATCGGTGACAACGGATGGTAATCACTCAGTGTGCTCGTGTGTAATTGCGTGATAACGTCGTGAGAAGAGGTGCGAAGATGTGACAAAGGAGCACGCGAGAGCGGGGAAGGAGCTTCTTTGTATGTCACCATGAGCAATTGGTCCAGGATCCTGGGTGATAAACGGCCTCCAGAAGCTTTTCTATCAGCCCATGGCGTTCCAGATTGACTCGTCAACTGCTACCTACCATTTTGTGCTATCTCGTGAGTATCTAGCTATCTTCGTTCCTACGTCATGGGTGTCTGATTGATGGTGAGAGTAGCGTGCTGCTCTCTGTAGGACACATGCACACATCTCTTCAGCACCCCCTTCCCTCTCAGGGCACAGTTTCGATCGTTTTGATCCCACCGTCCAACCTCCAACCCAGCTTGAAGAGGGGAACGGCCTCCATGCAGCACTGATGCTTTTTGTGGTGCTACCCCAGATTTTTGAATTCGCGCTAGACATGGGCCGAGTTCCGCTCGCCCCACCTGCCACATCTATCACCTGATCGTTCTTTCCTCCGCTAAATTCCGGCGAATGAGCGCTGGCCGATATCGCCTCGCTGTGGCGTGTCATCGAGGGGTTATCGCCTCGGAAAAAGTTGGAGGTGATTGCTAATCGCCTCTGATAACTTCATAACGACTGTCGCGAAAGAAACCCTGCTGATATTGTCACGACCCGAAGACAATCGCTTAATCGCCCAACAAAACGCTTCTTTTACCGTTGATCTGCATCTCGCCATGTCTCGCACACTGCTCATCGCCCCGCCATCCATCTCAGCGCATCCCGAAGTCCTCAACAATGTCTGGGAGATCCACGACCGCACCTCGACAGACCTGCAGATGTTGGATCGCATCGCAGCCGGCTTAGTGAACCTACCATCCGCCACATACGATGTTGTTCTCCTCCTCACCGACGCCGATGGCACAACACGCGAGAGTCATCGGTTGCTCGCAAGAGATGTGATGAACAAGGTTGTAAGCGCTCTACGCGTGGGAGGGGTCTTCAAAAGTCAGGACGGCAGTCTGCAGGGCTCAGAGAAGACAGAGGCCATATTGGCTGGGTTGGTCGACGGCCCACAGGGTATGACGAAGCCGGAGCAGGAGGAGAGTGTGTCGATACCGTTGAAGTTTGGCAAGAAGAAGACGAACGGTGTGAATGGGACAAATGGTGCCATCAATGGAACACAGACGGCGAATGCAGATGGCTCGGTCCCGTTGACCCTGAACGGCAAGCGCAAATCCCCAGAGCCCGTCAAGCCAGCTGGCGTAGGCTTTGTCGACTTCAGTGACGATCTGGACGACATCATAACAGGCGAAGATGACGACCTCGTCGACGAAGACGACCTTCTCACAGAACAAGACATGGCCAAACCAATCGTTCAACGTAAGTTGCTTATCTACTCTTTTTCAGTCGTTTTACCCCATTCTGACGAGTATACAGCACCAGAATGCCGCCCCAAATCTGGCAAGCGCCGCCGTGCCTGCAAAGACTGCACCTGCGGTATGAAGGAAAAGCTCGAGGCTGAAGACGCCGCCAAACGCGACTCCGCCGACAAAGTACTCAACACGATGATGTTGGGCGACGACGATCTCGTCGACGAGGTTGACTTTACCGTGCAGGGCAAAGTGGGGAGTTGCGGGAATTGCGCACTGGGAGACGCGTTCAGATGTGATGGTTGCCCATATATTGGGTTGCCAGCCTTCAAGCCTGGGGAGGAAGTCAGGTTGCTGAATAACGATATCCAGTTGTAGGTTTCGGAGTTGACGTGTATATGGACTGCATGAACAAGGCGTTACGGAGGAGAATCTGATTGCGAGGCTAGACGGTGGTGATGCATGGATATAGGCGTAAAACATATTTGTCGTTGAACCAAGACATTGGCCCGCAATTGTGTTGATGCTTACGCCTACGCTTCGTATGAAAGACGTCGCCCGATCGAAACTGAGGAGTATTGCAATGGTTCACTCTGCATCGCTGAGCAAAATGTCAGTCTCACCAAGCCTGTCACAACACTCAGGCGTGGTCATATTTGCAGTGTCATCGCTGAGTGGTTCGCACTGAAGGCGTTGCGCATTTGTGCCCTGATGTTGGGTTCCAAGCGCATCGGTCTAGTATGGCTGTTGTTTGAGCCACTTAGCGGAGATGCCCAAGGTTTGAATGTCTATGTCTTGCAGTCTTGAGGTTTCTTCATCCTTATTTTCGGGCTTTGGTGAGACGCCGAGTATAGAGTATGGAGTATGTCATCTCATTAGGTCCAAGGATGTGAAGACTGCTGTGTACATATCGTTCTTGATGCCCCTTATCTTTTTATAATACTGATGTGTCTACTCCTGGGTGCCAGTGTGGTGTCTGCTGCACCACGGGGTCTGGGCAACCAACAAGGTAGAAGAAGCTTTCCTCGTGGGAGTGTCGGTTGTGTGAACTATGGTGAGGGAAAACTGCCCGTACTTAAAAGATGAAGGTAAGATAAACTGGTACCATGAAACCATTCCAGTGAGGCTTCAGAGCCGGTGGAGTCAACTCCTGGCAAAGTGAGAGAGTAAGCACGCAACACAACTGAGAACGTGATAAACTCATCGTGCTACGTTGAAGGATTGTTACCTTTACCTCTCTGGTTCAGTACGTTCCTCATAAAAGCCTGCTCACGAGCTTCAACCCAGACTTCAACACCAGCTTTCCACAATCATAGTACCTTCACAACTATCCCGCAACGACAACGACGATGAGTTCCAAGAAGAAAACAGCCCCAATGTGCTTCAGGTACACTCCCTGAGCAATCACCATCCGTTTGGAGGAGCTAACGCTATACACAGTGCCATCACGCGTGACAGCAACTTCGTCACTGTCCAAGTCGGAGCAACGGCTATCAAGCACTACATCCACGGCTCGCTCCTCACCCAGCATTCCGAATACTTCAAGAAAGCGCTGAATGGTCCATGGAAGGAATCCAAGGAGCGACTTGTTGTGCTCGAAGATGTCGAGAGTGGCATATGTGAGTATATACTGTGAGATTGTGGAATTTGATAGTGTTGACTGATGTCGTTTGTAGTTGGAATCTTCGTGGACTGGCTGTACACGCAAACTGTACCTAATATGGACATCACGGGAGACAATGAGATCAAAGGCTACGTACTCGGTGACCGCCTTGTTGCTCCAGAGTTCCGCCACGCTATGCTCTACGAAGTCACAAAGTGCCTTGTTACGCTCAAAGCTAAACCTGAAGTGAGCAACGTTGTCTACGCCTATGCTCATCTCACTCCATCCGATCCGGTCCTGAGACTTATGGTCGATTCTTACTCTAGCCATTTCGCACGAGAGTCCTCCGTTTCGTCCGCACAAGAACAACAAGCGATCCTCACGCAACTACCACATGAATTTCTTGTGTCAGTTATGGTGAGATACAGGAAGGTTGCGAAAAACTCACTTGAAACTGAGATTTGGGAATGTGACTATCACGGACATGCCTCAGTTGGGGAGGAGCGGAGTTGTCCGAGATATACTAGCCAGATGGACGCCGGTGTTGATTGTGGCAACTGAAGGCATCGTAGAGTTAGGGCAAAAAGATGAAGACATCTTGGCCAAAGACTAAATGGGAGGCTGGAAGCTTTGGCGGAGCGTCAAGATACCAGAGAGCGGTATTTGAGGGAATAGTATGAGATACAAGGCCATGCTAGCAAGCACATGTATTCGAGGCTTGATCTGGAATTACTTTTCAATGGCAGATAAGAAGAGGCAAAGACAAAGTCTAGACGAAAGGGACAATTGAAATTATACCCTTCCCATCCTTGCATCCGCGTAGGTGAGATTATACAATGCTTTCCAACCAAATAATTGTTTTCGAGTAATACGACATACAGTCCAGCATTCAGGCTGACCTTGCGGGTTCGATGATGCTTAGTGTCAAAATTCACCTTCACTTCACCTTCACTTCATAATGGCTAATATCCGCACAGTATTTAAGCCACCTTGACGCCATCTCGACACCAACACACAACACAAAACCTCCGGGTCCCAACCACAGCCGTCAGAGCTATTACGCATCTCCAAGACAGCGACAATGCCGACAATCATAACACCAGAAACTCGAAGCTATGGGTATATAATCTTCACACGAATACAACGTTGATATCTATCAACCTAACAACTCACATAGAACCTTCGCGAGCGAGAACGTCGTTATGGTGGAAGTCGGGCCGGATCTCACCAAATTCTACGTTCATCGCGCGATCCTCATCAAGCACTCCGAGTACTTTAAGAAGGCCTTGAACGGGCCGTGGAAGGAGGCCGAAGAAGGTGTGGTTCGACTGCGAGACGTCGATTGCGATATCTGTATGTGGTGGGGTAATGTTTTCTTGATGACCGCTTTGTTAACGTTATCGCAGTCGAGATCTTCGTCAATTGGATGTACACTCAAACACTACCGAATTTCGAGAAAGATTTGTGTGGTGGTCAAAGACGGCATGGAGACTCACGAGATGAAGGTCTGTTGGTCAGACTCGACGCCTACATCTTCAGTGATCGGATCCTCGCTCCCAAATTTCGCCAAGCTGTCCGTATCGACCTTGTCGATTCACTGGTCATGTTCGACGCCCCCTGTTATAACACGGTGATCTACTTCTTCGCCAGTTCGTCCTCGGATGATTCGATCTTGGACCTAATTGTCGAAGTACACTGTAGGACCTGTATGCCGGATCTTGATAAATATGGCAATGGTGACGAACTCGAACTCAGAAAGCAGCTCCCCCACGACTTTTTAGTTCGCGCCATGGTATGTTTTGCGAAGATGAGAGACAACGGCTGGACTGAAATCGACATTGATGCAGAAGAGTACTATGAGTGGTCGCCATGAAAGGAAAGGGCAGCTGTTGAAGAATAGGGAGATACCGAGAAGTTTCTGGCAGATTCCGAAAGGCAGAAGAAATGTTACGACTCCCAGACAACAGCATGCGGCACACTATCGACTAGAGCGAAATTAGGATGGCGGTGGACAATAGACTCAACAAGTGAAGGATATAATCATTGAAGGGGAAAATACACGCTGCCAACATCGGCTAAGAACGAGAGAGACAAGTCGCACTAGCCAGAGGGCGAGCTTCAACGAAGACGGCGTGCCTACCTCCCTTCGATGACCATAGTAGATTGAGTATTCAAATTCACAGCTACTTATCCACCGTGTTCTTCGGGATTACCAAAAACGTCTGTGCTAATACATCTGATCCATGCTCGTTGTTTTGTAGAAACCATACACGAAATCTGCGGATGTAACCCAGTTCTAGGTGAAGCATATGTAGTGAAAGTGAGAGGCTGGCCAAGACAGAAAGCGCGATAAGGACTTACTTTCACCTTGCCTGCTACTCAAACCTTTAAATATCCCCACAATCCCCCACTCGAACACTCCCCTCCAACCACTCTGAATCAGTCAGATATCAACCGCGAAGACTCAGCAACCATGGCCGACGGCAAATATGTGGAGGCGCAACGTCCAAGGTATACATACGTTGGACACACTGTCCTCACGTCAACATATCTGACCCGTTATCCAGTGCAGCTACGCGCGACGAGATCGTGACAATCGAAATCGGACCCGAACATACGAAACACCTCATTCATAAAGCGTTGCTGATCGAGCACTCTGAATACTTCAAGAAAGCGTTGAACGGCCCGTGGAAAGAGGCTCAGAATGGCGCTATTTCGCTCGAGGATGTCGATTCTGGTACCTGTGAGTCAGAATTTCAAATAACCGAACTGCGGGCCCGCGTATACTTACGTGAAATCAAGTTGACATCTTCGTCGATTGGCTTTACAGCCAGAAGCTTCCCGCTACGAATCGGGATTGGGCCTTTGGGGTTGATGAGTCCGACAACACCATTGTAGCACATGCCCGTCAACTTGCAAGGATCAAAGCGTATACGTTTGGCGACCGCTTCTTATGTTTGGAGTTTGCGAAAGCTGTCCGCAACAGCCTCGTCGACCACCTAGTCACACAGTCACCTTACTACGATGTCGTCATTCATGCTTTTACCAACCTCCCTCCGGAAAACCCTATCCTGAGGCTCCTGGTTGACTGCCATTGCCACGTATTTGAGGAATATATGGACCTTGACGAAAGCGAGCAGCTGCAAAAACGGGACCAGCTTCCACATGCATTCTTAATCCGAGTCATGCTAAAGTACAGCAGGATCTTGGCGGGTGCGTACGAGGAGCTGGATCGGTGCGATTATCATGAGCACGGTTCGGAAGAAGAGAAACAAGAGTGCAAGAAGTCGCGTCGAGAGTAAGCGTCTAAATGCCGGTTTGGATGACAACAGTGAACGACAAGACAATCAAGCTTCTTTCGGGCTGGAAAGAAATCTTGAACGAGATCAACCGCAAGAAGAGTGGGAATCACTGGGATGTGTGGATACGAACGAGAGGCGAGTTCCTCGGGACGCGAAATTGGCGGTATACAAGATACAAGATACGCACGATGGATATTGCGTCCTACTCAAAGCTATACCTGTTAAAAAACTCAAATCCCAGCTCTGTTACATACCATGCCAGGTTCCGTGTTCAAATAACCTCCATACTTCCACACCATGCCCTATGCAGACAAATCCACATCCGTGGAATAACTCCGTCCCATATTGACAATGCACATCTTATAACCCTTCCTTTCGTTCGTGTTCACGCAGAAGGTCTTCGTCGAATGTCATACCGTTGATGCGCTTCTTGGTGAACTCAAATGCGGTGAAGAAAATGGCGTTGACTACGCAGGAGCGGGACATAGACACGCCAAGACCTTGACACTGTCAGTATAGCTGGCTGGTATGAATGGAAGGAAGATTCGTACCTCGATACATCCGAGGGTTCAAGAACTGAATTTTTGGCCTCGTTTGCTTATCTTTGCCTCCGACGAGGCAGTTTCGCTGGTAGATACTCTTTGCGGTGTCGATGGGGAATATACATGCCCAACTGACAAGCCCACACATGCCACCAGCTACGACTACAGCCAGAGGATGTGTAGTTGAAGTTCCACTTGCATTTGCCAAAACCTGCTTCATACTCTCATATGTAACGAAATAGATTCCGGTGCCGATGGAATCTCGAACTGTGTTTTGTCAGCAGACTACCACTTTGATGCGTCATTGGCAGTGCTCACGCAGATGCAGATGGAACCCAGAGTATAACCCTCGCCAGCCCCTATGCCTAATAAGGTTCTGCGCAGTCTTGTACGTCCCGAGATTCTGGTAGCTCTTTCGCACCGCGTCATCCTTGCCGCCGCCGTCCTTGCGGTCAGCCATCAACACGGAAATTTGAGCGCTCAGCTTGGTCAGCTCGAAAGGGCCTATTGACCATGTCAGTCAAACTTCAAACTAAAGGCATGTCGCATCCCACGTACAGGCGATCGCTGTTATCGTAGCACCTGCTGTCGCGCCTGCAAGTCCAAAACATGTGATAGTCGATAGTGTAGGCCATGCACCTCGTGTGTTTGCGATGGCGAGCGGCGAGCTCCCGGTATATTGGTGTATCCAGTCATCGAGCGCATATTTTGACCGCTGGTATATGGAGAAGGACACGGTTCGGACGAGTGTAATGCTGAGGAGAGGTGACCACACGCCTATGACGCGAGACGCGAGGTGTCAGTTACAGTGCACAACGTCATCGATTTGATGCGCAAACTCACCACGCCAGAAACCGTGGACTCCTTCACTCGCGTATGTTTGGCGAACACAGTCGGAGAATGAATTGAACTTGTAGCTATCCAAGGTCAGCGTTCAGCGGTCTTGGACAAAGACCTGGTCTGGCATACGCTTGAAGTCGTGTCTTTACGGAGTCCAGAGGATACTGACAGCTGTTAGCAGACAATTTTGGTAATACTAGGAGGGCAAACAAGCTCACGTACTGCGGCAATTGTAGAGAGCAAGCTGCTAGAGCTCGCAGCAACCTCGGTCCTGTACTTCTTGGTCCATCGTTTCGCCTGCTCGCTGCGCAGTACCGCGCGGGAGACGTCGGTCAGATCTCGCGGCCTGGTGGAGAGAGTCTTGATCTCCGGCCTCGTTTCTCCCTGCTCGGGCATACTGGCTATCGCTAGCTGTGGAAGACGGGAATGTCTTCCTACGGCAATCGCGATGAGACCAGTAGCCGGGCGTGATCCATCAAGCCCGCGTCTTCGTGAAGCTGATGAGGAGTCTGGATATGCGCGACGATTTTTGAAAAGAGGGATTTATTGGTGAGAGGAAGGTTGAGCGGCAATGGCTGAGAGTGCTCTGAGATGTTTGGGGCGCGTGGTGATGTAGTGGGGCAATTAGCAGCGAGCTTCGTTATTCGCTGCAGGGTGACGAGCTACGACATGCACTGCTCTATTCGGAGAAGAGCTTCATCGACTGTTTGAATACATCACTGAGATCGTCGTTGTTTGGATGTTCGTTTTCGAAAAGCAAATACGACTGCTACCCCGTCCGTTAACACGTCCCAGCTGTTTGGAGAATGCGGGGGTTGACTTTCACCACATGTGAAGCTTGCAGCCACAACGAACATTTACATAGCTTGAACGAATCATAGCTCGTCTCTATGATAGCTACGACACATCAAAGGCTGCTGGTTTGCTGCGTGTATTTGAACTAACCACGCCGTGCTACACGAACACGTTGGGAGCCTTCAGTTCTCGTGATCACAAGCTCATAGTCTGGAGAGTAAAGTGTATGATCCTTACTAGGAACGTACGATGGGAACTACCGGCCGCGGACATGGCACCAAGATAATTCGGCTCAGTCAAGCTGATATGTACCCAGCTTTGCCTGGCTGCCTGTATCAAGTGGAAACAGTCCACAGTGCAATTTGAATGACGTCCAAGCGACAGGTTATGAGTAATCCTGACACAGTTTGGCTAGACTGGTTACGATAGCTTATGTATTACTGTGTAGGAACCTTGAAACACAATGGAAACGCCAGTACGCGTCTACTCTGAATCGTTGACTACTGGCAAATGTGTCTGACCCAACTTTTGAACGTCGTTGTACCCCATATTCGATAAGGACAACACAAATACATCACACTCCTCGCTTGCACCCTCGCCTCACCCCTAGTCCTTCTTGCCCATCAACCTCCTCAACTCCTCATCATTCCCACTCCTCTCCGTCCTCCCCTTCTCACTCTCTCCCTCCGATCCCTTCTTCCGCCTTCCCCCCAAATCCCCCAGAAGCGCCTCCTTCAAACTTCCTCGATCATCATCGATTCTGTCTAACTGCCCATGTCGCCTCAAGCTCTCCTTATGCCAGCTAATCTGTCCTCCATCCGCCTCCCTGTGTTTCTTTGCGTTGAGCTTTGCGGCGCGTATCGACGTGCGGGCATAGACGAATAGTAGACCGGCCATGGTAAAGGCAGCTAGAGGGGCCATTACAGTCTGGGAGTGTGTTAGTTGGCTTGATTAACGGAAGATAGATCGGGTAAGGCGCACTCGGCCATTTATTATGCCTCGGTTTTTATGAAGGCGGCCTGACGTTGGCCTAGAAGTTTCGCTGAGGCCATCAGGGCCTTTGGGCATGGAGAGCCTGCCACCCATCTTGAAAGTCGCGGAGAGTTCGCTAAGGAGTAGCGCTGCTGTGGATGAGGATGCTCAAGCAGTCGCGATGTTTTGCAGGCTGTGAAAAGGTGGTGGTGTGATATTTGCTCCAACTACCTCAGGTGGGATCACAAATGCGCGTACAACTGTCATTCGTTGGCATGTCTCCGACCAACGGCTACAGAGTAACAGGTTTAAGTGGCGAACATACAGTTGCTTTGAAACACGTTCACCAGATGAGCTACCGAGTGTCGTGATGGAGAGATGTGAGATCGATGAGCTAATGGCCAAGGGAGCTACCAGAAACGGCAAAGCGCCATGCATGACTTCCGGCAGCCTCCATGTTTCGTCATCACGAATTTGTGAAAAGTGCATTTTCTCCAATACCCTGTCGCGCAAACGTCTGCTTCAGTCGCAACTGTTATATATAGAGAGCTGTAGACGCTCTTCAGCTTGCCATTCGTTCCTTCCGAACGTCCTTCCTATCGCGGTCTTTCCCGCAGCTTTGTCTCTGCGCATCGAGGCCCTGGACGATTAGAAGGCATTAGTAAGGTCCAGTCTACATTCTACCGATCGCTGGATTCGAGCTGCTCTTGCGTCATTCCATAAGTAGACACTGTGCCCCACGCTGCAGTCTTCATGCGTAGAACATTTGTCTGTAGGCTACGAGCTCTGTCACCGAGTCTCTATTACACTACCCCTCTTTCCGCAAGCCAATCTTTCCTATCACGGTCCCACTTTCCCTCCACTTTGAAGGTAACACTGGCGTCAGCGCGTCTTTCACACCTTTCATCCCACTTCTCTACAACCAGCCCCACCATGGCTTCTACGACCAAAGAATGTGACTACCTGGTCATAGGTATTGGAAGTGGAGGTATCGCCTCGGCTCGACGAGCTGCCAAACACGGTGCCAAAGTCATTGCCGTCGAATCGAAACGATACGGTGGAACTTGCGTGAACGTAGGTTGCGTCCCGAAGAAGGTGACCTGGAACGCAGCGGCTATTGCGGAGACGTTCAAGGACGCGAAGGCGTATGGATTCAGTGTGGGGGACCAACCATCATTTGACTGGCCATACTTCAAGAAGAAACGCGATGCCTATGTTACGAGGCTCAACGGAATATACGAGAACAACCTCAACAAGGATGAGATCGACCACTTGAAGGGGCGCGCAAAGTTCGTCGCAAAAGATGAGGTTGAGGTTGCCCTCGAGGGTGGAGGCACCCAGCGTGTCAAGGCGAAGCACATTCTTATCGCGACTGGCGGACGGCCAATAGTACCTGATATTCCTGGAAAGGAGTTGATCATCGATAGCGACGGATTCTTCGACCTCGAAACCCAGCCCAAGAGCATTGCCACAAGCGGCGCAGGATATATCGGTGTGGAGATGACAGGAATGCTCCACGCGCTCGGCACGAAGACACACTTCTTCATCCGCGGCGACAAGCTCCTGCGAACCTTCGACCCCATGATCCAAGATACCGTTACAAAGGAGTACGAACGCCAGGGCATCAACCTCTACAAGGGCACACAGATCACAAAGGTTGAGGAGGCCGGCAACGGACTGAAGCGCGTCACTTACCGCAACACCGAATCGAAGAAGGAGTCCACTATCGAAGTCGAAGTCGTCCTCTTCGCTACTGGCCGCGATCCTGAAATCGAAGACCTCCACATCAAGGACTTCGACATCAAGCTCAACGACAAGAAACACATCGTGACCGACGACTACCAGAACACCTCTCTCCCCAACATCTACGCCATTGGCGACGTGTGCGATCGCGGATTCGAGCTTACTCCCGTCGCCATCGCAGCTGGACGACGTCTCTCCGACCGTCTCTTCGGCGGCAAGTCGGACGCGAAGCTCGATTACACCAACATCCCCTCGGTTGTCTTTGCACACCCGGAAATCGGCTCAGTGGGCCTGACTGAGCCCGAGGCCCGCGAGAAGTATGGTGACAAAGTGAAGGTCTATAAGACAGAGTTCACTGGCATGTACTTCGTCATGATGGAGCCCGAGGAGAAACAGCCCACCGCATACAAGATTGTCTGCGTTGGCGAGGAGGAGAAGGTCGTTGGACTGCACATCTTGGGTCAGGGGAGTGCAGAGATCTTGCAGGGCTTTGGCGTGGCAATCAAAATGGGAGCCACAAAGAAGGACTTTGACAACTGTGTGGTATGTATCATTCCTTTCCGCTCGTCCGAGCTTGCTTCCCGTATCTGCATATGTGGTCGCAAGGGTCTGTGCTTGCGTCATAAATACCCGCAGCTTGGGGGAGCGTATGCGGCGATGCTTGAGCTATGCTAACCAGTGTGTAATTGGCAGGCTATCCATCCCGTTTCGGCTGAAGAACTGGTACGTGCCCTTCCCTATAAGATTCTACGGCTTCAATGCTAACATACGCTAGGTCACCATGACTTAGCTTCTCCTAAACATTACAGCCTTAGGCGAGACAAATCCGTCAGACAAGAATGTCCATATTTATGCCGTGCTCTATCCGTGTCATTTCCGCGCAATGCTATGCGCTCGCTTGACGTTCCTGACAGTGTGATACTGTATACATACACACCATATCAAGGATACCAACTGACACAGGCACCCAGTCAATGTGATGACCGTTGCCGCAGCCGTACCACGTTTCCCTACATGCTGATATGCAGGTAATATTGTTTCCGTGCATCTACCCTGCTAAGCTATCCGAAACGTTTTCAGTATCTCCTCACTCATCTTATATGCGCGAGTGGATCGATGTGGCTGAGCGCTTTTGAGCGTTGGACTACAGAAGGTAGCCGCGTCAGTTCGGTTCGCATACACGCAAGCAGGTCAACCCAATAGGGAGATTAAGATCTGTCTGCCGTGGAAGGGTGATTCGCTGTGTGTGAGACAGGGATATGAACAACCCACACCCACCTGGACAGGGGTTCTCTACCCCAGTCGTTTCCCCCTCGCGTGGTCTGTTGATAATTTCTACCAGGTATATGTGTGGACTGCCGCCCAGCCACGGGATAAACGCTCATCTAGCATAGGTACCAGCAATGTGAAGATGCATGACGGCCTAGCCTGTTCGAGCGCGGTGTTTTTCACTCCGCCCTTGTTCGCATGAAACTCGTCTCTTTGTCACGATCACATAAGACAAACCAACATGTCCGATTGTGACAGAAATCTCATCACGGCTTCACATGTTTCGTGAGGCGAAGGTAGGCGGAACCGCATTTGCGAAAAGGGACATCTTGGCGTGTGCAGCTTCATCTAAACAAGATTTCTTGTGGCGGCCAAACGGTAACGCCTCCAACTTGTTTTTTTCTGCTGACTGCTGCCCAAACCGTCACGCCACAGATCCTGCGCCTGCGCCCTGGCGTCGCCCTGCAGTAGGTACGCACAAGGCTTCTTTTTCCCCACATCCGCATTTGCAGGCGCCTCTCGTAAGCCGCCAAGCAGGCGTGAACATGCGCACGGGGCACGGGGCCATAAGGCACATGGGCAAATCAAGAACTCCGAGATTTTTAACCTATGGCAAAAATATAATGTCTATTTCCCTCTCCCTTGGATTCTTCTATCGGCATAAGAAGCGTTACATCGATTATCTCCTAGGACGCACTACATCGTGTGCCACTTCCAACCTGCCCGATATAGAAATGTGACTGCTACGCACCTATCTACAGCGGGGGTACGAGGGTACATTGTACTGCGTTAAAGCTGGCGATCTCAAAAGGACATTCCAGAAGTAGAATAGACGTCCATTCACCCGGCACTAGAACGGAGAGCCGCGATCGCCCCTGCAGTAGTTGTCATTGGTTATTGGGGTGTATCCTTGCGGAGTGTTGTGTCGAGTCCGGGGGGGGACGGGCATGGAGGTCATTACGATGGTATCTCACTCACACACACTTGCGTTACGAGGTAGATGGCTACACACCCATTCAGCTGAGGGACGACTAAAGCTGAAACGGCCCAACAGACGGCTAGTTGTAGATAGACGATCTGCTTCCAAGTTCAGCTGAGCGGTGTCTTCGCGAGTCGTTCCTTATGCATCCTTTGTTTTCGATTTTCGGGTCCGCCACCCAACGCGCACTGAATTGGTAATAATAGCGGCAAGCGGCAGCGGGCATGGACAGCCATGCTTTCGGTCGTCCAAGCAAACGTCCCGATCGCGATAAAAACGGCCACGGGTTCTGGGGTAAAAAAAGCACATGCCCTCGACTGGGGGGGCGGTGGGATGGGTCGGACCTAGTGCGAAGACGAAGCCGAAGCCGATGATGCGCTCTACATACGAGTCAATCCCCAGCTTGACTCGACAGAAAAGGCATTCTCCGCTACCCACCGGTTAAATTACTGCTCGGGGGAATCTGGCCGAAGCTTTGAAATAGACGAGCGGGAAGCGCATTTGTGGGGAAATGAAACTTCGTAATACTCGTACCCTCAATGTGACGTCGACGACGACATGGTTTTGGAAACTCCACGGAGCACCCTTGTAGCGGCAAATAGTCTGGAATGTCACGATCGACGTGTGGATCTTGTACAAGGCATGGGGTGGAGATGAGTTTGCAAGGCCGGTTACAGCACAACATCTTCTTTGGGTAGTGGGTTTGAGGGTATAGATATTATACAAATACATAGATATTTAGTGGCGGTCGTGACGTGTTTCATCAAGGCCGCTTTTCCAAAGCTCAAGCCTGAGCGTTCCCAGATGTCCAAAGGATTCCAATGCGCCGCGTTGTTCTCTTGTGCATTGCCTTTTGGCAGACGCGCCCGTAACGCCCATAGCCGGAAAAAAATAAGCTTTCAAAGCTGATATGACATATATCGAAATAGAAGTTTGAGTCGCCGAAGAATAGTGACTTGTACCGCATAGCAGTTCTTTCTTTGTCCCCGCCTCAAGCTCGATACGGATAGCAAGGTGTAATGGTTTATCCGCTTTGCCCACTCAGGAAGAAGTCCAGCTCGCTCGGTCCACCCCTGCTAACCTCGTTCTCTGCAAGCTGCTCCAGTAGACTCAAAAATGGATCTTTGCTGTCGGGATCCGTATGCACAGACGTGCCTGACGTACTCCCGGCGCCAGGAGTCGGCTGCTGATCGTATGGTGTTGGCATGCTGAGCATAGGATCGAAATGTGAAAACGTGTTTTCATGGCCGTTGCCATTCTGCAGATTCAAGTTTGCCGCACGCGGAACAGGGGACGGCGCCAAGCTGGCAAACTGCGGAAGTGGCGAGAACGAGAAGTTGGGCGAAAAAGGCAGGGCTAGACCATTGCCGTTGGTTGTGCCGGGAAGATTCAATGCACCGTTGTTCGGGGGTGGTGTGAATGGTGGAAATGCGGAATTGGGACCTTGATTTGCTTTCGCGTCGAGAGGACTTGGACTTGAGTCGGACATTCCAGCGTTGGATGGTCTGGACTCGCGTAGAATTGGAGGGTGTGTGGATGTGGTGGGTGTTGGTAGCGGTGCTTGCGACTGCACTGTCTTCGAGCTTGTGGCTGTGGATCGACGTCTCTTATTAGAGTGTCCGTTAGAATAATGTGAAGGCTGTGACTGAACTGGTTGTGAGTAGGACTGAATGTTTCCTATCACTCCACTGTTCATGTACATGTTGTTGCGCTGTTCGATGTTGTATGTTGTGAGGCTGTTGATCGTTAGAAAGAACAGCCAATGATATTGCAGCTGTTCCTCACCTTTCGTGAATCGATTCCACCGCAATATCAGTGAAAGTGATGTGCGATCCATCGAAAATCTGACCTGGATACCTATCGAAGAAGTCTTCAAGCTGAAACACTGGCGCATAGCGCATTGGGTTGCTTGCCAGTGACTTGACGAGTTCGGTGTGGCATCCGTAGATCGTCTGCAGTGTCTCCCGCTGATGCTGCGCACCAGCCCAAATGAATCGTAACTCGGAAAGTTGCTGCATCTCACGGGAGAGAAACTCTGCGCTCACTGAGAAAACTTCTCCTTCCCGGCTGGGATAGTGCGCTCCGTGTACATGGATGGTGCCAGCCGTGGAAACACAGTAGCCTACGAACGCTGGCCAATCGATGATTGATGATGCTCTCCCTATCTCGGCCAGTTCGGCAATTGCGTTCGCATGCAGAAAGCAAAGGTTCGTAGCTTCGATTTGCCAGGGTTGATGTTGTGAGGTACTGGATAGTTCTGCTAGGTCGACTGGTAGGAATGGTCGGTACACAAGGCAATGTATCAGGTGGTACACCAGCTTCGAGAGGACTAGTATTGTGCTGTCTGGCTGGCCAAACAGGGCTTCGATGGACGTGAAAGTGTCCTGTGTGTCCGAGGCCCAGATGTCGAGTTCGTGCCGTATCTTGGAGAGATTCGATAGCGAGTGCCAGGGGAAGTGCGAGTCGCCCTTGACCCCTCCCGCCGCCAGGTAGCGGTTTGTTATCCCCAGAATTCTTGATATGCCAATCAGCATACCCATGCTTCCTTGCCCGCCTTTTCCGGACCCGCCCATGTATTGCAAGTTGGAGCCGTTTGGGAAGTAATCCCCTTCTAACAACATTGCGCCTGGGTGCATCTGCCAGCTAGGTAGGCGCAGCACAATCGATTCATCCGCGATCAATGACGGTCTTTTGGAGCCGGTAGCTGCGAAACGATCCATGAGATAGCATGACCAGAACAGTCGCCGTCGGCCTTCTCGTTCGGCTGGTGTGACCTTCATACCCGTTGGCAATTCGCGGTGGAGATCAAGCGCAATGGCCATGCTGATCGCAGAAGCTAAGGTTCACAGTTAGCCCCACATTGACACCAAAGTTGTTCTGTACATACTCAGTAGCATGAAAGTCTTTTTTCCTTTGCCCAGTTGATGGCTCGCCTGCGAGAGCAACATGAGCGTCTGCAGAGCCTCAATAGAGGGCTCGTCTATGTCCAGCTCCATTCGAGACCGTCGCGCATATTCCTGGCCAATTCGTACTGCAGAGTTGTATCCTCCAAAATGAGGAGCATATCTATACTTTGTTAGAATGGTTGCATTGCTAAGCTCATGGAAGGCGAAGCGTACCTAGCGCTCACTGCGTAGATCGCATAGCCCAGATGGCCAGGAAGTTGATTCGCGTGTAGACGCTGCCGTGTTGTAGTCTCGTCCAGGATGTAATATGGCTTTCCATGTATCCTGGCAAAGTATGTGTCGAGGAGGAGTTCGGGGGCGAGAGTGGGTGCTTGTAAGCTGATTGCTGTTAGCAAGGTGTTGACTCTCTCTGTGGAGGTAGTCTATGGGTACCTGGGCTCCACAGGAGACATTAGCTGGTTCGCATGGTTCGGAGCACTCGCAATGTCGAGAGTAGGTTGTGATGTTGATGGTGAGCCACTGGTGGCAGTGTCGTCACTTGTATCTTGTATTGCGGAGGGGTCGAGTTCTGTGAGATCATCACTCTTTCCCTCTGTGTGTAAGCGCTTTTCCAGGCCATCGACCCGCTTCAGTAATGCTTCAAGAACATCGGTTTTCGGGCCTCTTTTCTTGGGGACAGCATCTGAGGCTCGATGTTAGCTCGTGTGCGCGGGTGGTCAAGTGCCACTAGAGCATAAAGCTTACCGTAGACGCATGAGCAGTTGAACACTTGACAAGCTTCACATGTTGGCCGTGTACGATTGCATTTGATCTTGACAGGCTGTCAGCAAGAGTAAAATAACGGGGGTGGAGAATGGGCACCTTTCGCTTGCGACAGCTCTTGCAATTCATTGCCTCGCGAGGCTCGTTGGAGACTCGGCGGGCCGGCAGACGATCGATGCCGATCTGCGGCCTCGACATTGCTGCTGCCATTGCTTGCGAGACCTTGGTAGACATTGGAAACGTGTGGAATGCAAGACAATAACCATGATCTGGTGGAGAATAACAATCGATCGCGAGCAAGACCGTTAGGAGAAGAAGGTACAGGTGACAGGATATGCACGGGCGCGAGATGGATGTTCAAATTAAGGCCTCTAGCAGTGGACTCGGACAGGGTGGGCTCGGACAGCAAGGGCTTGGTGAGCATCTGCGGGAGCGCGCGCCCACTCCGACAGCAGCGATTCAGTTCGTGCGTCCCTGTGGCCGGCAATGCCAGTCAGAACGGCTGGGGGTGCGCGTGATGGCGATCTCGGGCTATCAGGATGCGGCGGTGCAGCGGTGCAGGACACCGTTAGGCCAAGGCGTTTGATGTTGCATCTCGGACGGGCGCTGACAGTGCAAAGGGCAGCAAAGCGTGACAATCATGAGGCCAGCGGGGAGTGCGGGACCCTGGCACGCAAGACAGCGCACCGGGCTCGGTCAGTGCAATTTGAGCCTTAGATTACACTCGTCTCACGCCGCCCGCTCCGTGTGGCTTAGTGTGCCTCAATAGCGCCGGAGGCACGACCTCTCAAGAACCTGGAAAATCTGGGGTATGTTGTCTGCAAGCGAGCCTATCGAGAACTACGCTCCTTCGCGCGCATGGTTGCATGCGGTGTGCTCCGGGTGCAGCCCACGAGGTCCTTGTCAGCTTGGCCGCTTCTGGACATCCTGGCTAGCTCACGTCGATGGCGAAGCGATTGGCGGTAACGCGCTGCGTCGAAAGGCGGTCACACGCATGACACAGCTTGTCAGGGTAAACTTGGTTTGATCGATTGACTAGGTACAAGATTCTAGAAAAGACCCCTCCCAGAGGCCAGACGCACAAAATCATAACACACGTTCTGACCGACAAGAAGCCTGATGGTTTCCACAGTAGTCCAGGCCGACACGTCCGCGATACCGTATGCAGTCCAACCTGCCGCGGTAGCCATTGCCAGTGGGTCGACCTTGCGGGTTCCACTGGCCAAGTCAACAAACACTTTGCCTGCAGACCTCTTGCCGACAATTCCATGCCCACTGGCCTTATCAACTCTATAGTGCTTCAGCAAGGGCACCACCAGGAGCGACTTTTCCGCAGGCAGGGCAGAGATGATAACAAACGGCTGTTCTAGGCGCTTGACATCTTCAACAGACCGGACCGGCTCCACATCTGTGGATAGTGGCCCGTGTGACTTGAACCCAATTGTGTATATGGGTCCAATGCCCAGGTTCTTCAGCGCAAAGATGGAGGCTGATGCGTCAGCTTCACTGTTGGCCAGCAGCAATGCTGCTCGGCCGCTGTACGCTGACGGCACGAAGTCGCGCGTCAACGTAGCACGGATACCCTTCCATCTAGTGTTATCACCAAACAATGACGAACTGCTACCTCCCGAGCGCACCAACACAGTGTCGATCTGTCCGATGGCTTGCGCAGCGTTGGACAGAGAAGGAAGATACGCCGCTGATGCCGATACCGCTAGCGGGGGGTTGATGTACGCTCCTCCAAAATTAGGACGTCGTAGGATGTGCTCGATAGAAGCTTTTGGCGCACGCACCGCAAACATGAACGAGTGCGGCAGGCTAAGCTCGTTGAAGCATTTTTCGAAGAACATGGCCTGAGATGTGGATCGGAAGCTACCAATACCGTATATATCCTGTCTGGCCATCTGCCCCATGCTATGGAGTGCCGCATTGATCTCGGCAGCGCTTAACTGGCCAGGGGCTGCGATGAGAGGAAGGAGTGGGTGGGTTATCGGAGTGAAGATCTTGTTCATCGTCCTTGATAGCTGGCCCATGGGACCCATGTTGAGCCCCGAAAAGGGCGGGTGGGGGTACTTGGTTTGGATAGTGGAACGGAAGTATTCAAGCTCGTAGTTCTCCTGCATCGACGTGACGAGGGCGTACATCTTGACAATGTCCCCGTACGCCGCTCCGCGTTGGAAGAGCGTTTGCGTTTCAGGCGCGGTCCATTTGAACGAGCCCGAGAAGTCGTGGAACGCAGAGATGATTTTGCTACAGCCCTTGTTCTCGGCAAGTTTCCTCCTAATTTCCTCGGGCAGCCACAGTTCCACATCAATGTACTCGCAGCCCCATTGAATTGCGCGCGCAAGGTATTTGTAGAAGAGGCCTGGATCGTCCATGGGGAAGCGGCCGTTCTCCCTCGTGCATCTTGTCGTGTATATGATGGGCAGCTCCGTGCGCTGGCGCAGGGTCATGACCTGCTCCCCAACATACTTCAAACTCGGGACCTGGCTGACGCTTCCGTTTGGCATAGGCTCCTCGAGCAGATCCACTCGTATCTCTATCGCGTCTGCGCCCACGGACAGAATGTCCAAGTTGGGGAGTGCGGCGTGCACGTCGGGGAAAGTCGTCGAAATCAGCGTCGTGCGCGCCTTCTTGGTGAGGTCGCGGTGAGGGCTGATCTGGCCCAAGACGATGGAGAGGAAGCGCGCCACGTCGCGGCGGTAGAAGGGCGCGCGCGTGTAGAGGTACTCGTAGTCGCAGCGGTCGGTGAGGGCCTCGTTCCACTCGTGCCCGCCGTCGACGCGGTGCGTGTTGATCAGCAGCCTCGAGCGGTCCCAGCCGTCCAGCTGCGAGCCTACCGCCGCGCTGCTCATGCCATAGATGGTCGACGACGGCCCTGCCTGTGCTTCCTGGACGGACGCCGTCGACGCCCACTCCTGTCCCAGCACGTCGGCGAAGATGCTGACCATGTCCTCTTCCCCACCATCGTGCAGGATGAAGAGCGACGGCCTTTCGCCACTGGGTATCTCACGGACGTCGAGGACGGCGCCTTCCTTGAAATGGGTGACGGGCACGCTCCCAGCCTGCACGAGTGTAGACATGAGAAGCGTCAGAGTGGGCTTTGCGCAGTCGCGTGCTGTGCAGGGCTGAGCGCGTTAACCGTAGGTGTTGAAGCCGTTGATGCGAAGCCGTATGCCGGCGAGGATGCGACGGGCGGTATTCAATTGACAGTTTCCAAGATCCCTTCCTACCATCGCCGTAATATCGAGGAGGGTCCGCCCGTGGGGCTATGTCTGGAAGAATGCAAACGTCTCAGATAGCTGCTGGCTACAGGGGCACTTGTACAACGAGATATACGACGAGTGGAAGATCTGATCGACGTGCGTTTGAAGATTGATAGTGAGATAGCACAGTATCCTGACCAAGCAGAGGCACCAGCCTCCCGGATAATCTGCGGGTTTGTCTTTTCTAGACCCGTCCTATGGCTGGACAGTGAATATGCCGTTTCTAACGGCACTACGGGTCGCATATTCTGGGGTTGAGCCCGCGGGTCAGAGCGGGAACCATGGCACATTCGCCGAGAGCTGGCGTTGAAGTTCCTCCGTCGGCTCCTTGGTAGGCCTATAATTTCGCACCAATCAGCCCTTTCCCCAGAATTGAATCTCGCGCTCCGCCAAGTCCATCGCGAACGTTGCCATGGCCTCCCTCGACAGATTGCTGGCGGGCCATTGGGGCGGAAGCGACCGTGATACGATTCTTTGTGCGGGGGATTGGTGGAGATGGTGGAGAGGGTGTCCCACGGCCAATGTCGTGATGAGTACCAAGCTTTCCAGCCGACACTTCATCACGAGCTTCGTTCTGTTCGCTGTTCGAGGCCTGTGAGGCCTTGCAGGGGCGCCGAAAGCAGGCAAATACGAGCTCGGCTCGAGTAAGACTAGATGAGAACTGCACCTCAGTGTGCTACTCTTTGCAGCTTGCTAGATGTAAGCGACATCACACGTACGAAGAACATGCATCCAACAACCCTCATAGGTCCTTAGCCAAGACGTTTCCCCAGATTTGCTCGAGAATGAACCTCCGCCCCGGAAAGTGATGACGGAATATTCTTCAAGGCTGACTGCATCAAGTTTCCTCCCGCATCACCCAATCTACCAAGATAAGACCTCCTCGAGCGGTGTAGCTGGATAGATGATACGATATCAGCGCTGATAATTTTGCCGTTGACACAATTACAAGTCTCGGAGAACGCCACCTTTTGGCTGGTATCGGGTCATTCAGGAATCACCGTGGAGTGTACACGACCATCGACAGTTCCACCAGCAGCAACCTATGAAGAGGACCATTGTCGGATTTCAAGTGACTCGAGAACAACCACTCGCCTATCTACCATAGCTCCAACATATACCCTGATATAAGACATGAGCAAATCTGAACCACTGTTGAGCATCGATCACTACGGAAGTATAAGACACAACCACCTCACCCAGCAACCCACCATCTCCTCAGCATAGAACACGGCACATCTTCACGCTAGCGTGTAGGTTTACGGAACTGCCGCGGGTACCGAAAAGCTCTCGCACGACATCTAGTATATTGTTCCAGGGCCAGCAGAGGCCACGTCGTCCTAGCCGACCAGTCAGCTTCTCATTCTTCTTTATTGCCTGCCTGGTCACGTCCACTGGTTCGCCCAACCTGCACACCAGTCAATACTGTGTGCCCTATTTAGGTAAAGTGTTCGTACCCAAGTATCACTTGTTTCTCCACGCTTGTTGCCTGCCTTTTCCCATACTTCGAGGGAACTCTACCACTCGTGGTCATCTGACAACCCACCCCATGATCTGCCTTTACAATGGCCATGATGGTAATGCTTATAGAGCGGTAGGAAGTATGTACATTCCTTTCTACATGCCATGCGAAGGGAACCATAATGTGGAGTTGCAGACATCTCTTTTGATGGGCCTCCTCAGATACTTGTCTTCCCCTTCCAAGAGTAGTAAATCTTGCTTTTTAGTTTGTTCGGTGTAACGTGAACTGGAGGCTCGATGCCATGTTCGTCGCAACCATAACCCGCTTGCATAGGTTGTCCTGACTTTAGCAATCTGTCGAGAGTTGTAAGCACAATCTAGTAATCGGAAAAATAAGCTTCACTTACGTTGGAGGCTATTAATTCGAGAGAACCGATTGGCACGGTCATGTCCTTTAGGCAGCATTTGGGCGTGTGAGAGTACATCCGGTGAAGCTCCTTTATATTACGCTTACCTCTTGGTACCATTCGCCGATGACATTGATTGCGGGTCGCGTTGTCTGCCAGAGATTCGTATATATCATGTTGTGGCTAGTCGCAGTAACGATAGGGACATATATGGCTACAAGCTAGCCCTCTTTGCAACGCGTCCCGTATAACGTCGACGTCGCGTGTTGTGCCTATGCGTAGAACGGCTTTCGGTCTATTGTAAAATCAGGGAGTAAGTTGTGTTCTTTGTGACTCCTACAAGCTGTAAAACTGCCCCAAATTCTTTTACAAAGGTGCATGCGAGTCGCATACCGCTTGGAATTTAGGCTTGAGACTCTCACACTTATCCTGGATGTAGTTGTCCAGCTGTTGCAAGATTTCGCTGCACCTTAGTTCCTGGTATTCCGATCAATGGAGAGAACGGTACCATACTTAAGCCCGATTTTTCATGCTTTAACAATGATCTCACCAGACAATTTGGTCAGAAAAAATTACGAGCCCACCACTCGTAAACAAATCGGATTATCCAAGTGCTGGCACTGAAAGAATGCATCCCGATGCCTCTATGCGCTGCATGATTGAAGGTGAAATGGCGTCTCGAGTTCCCAGATCTGACCCCATGGGATCAGTCAAACGTAAGTAGAGAAAGGCCACGACTTCCAAGCATTGTCAAAAGTTCCAGTCAAATATCAGGACCTCTCGGACGTTGTCACATGCATGTGGAGTCCTAGCTGTAACCGTGTGGGTCAGAGAGCGCGATTGTCTCAACATGTGTGGGAACAATTTGTTGTAAGTAATTCCCCTGCGATTTAATGGTGTGGTGGCTGGTTGTAATAAAGGGCTGGGCGCTCCCCAAATACATTGTACATGTGCTCTCAAATCCTCATTTAGCACTGTTTTCACCCCTCCGCCCTTCTTCTTCTTCTTGACGAACTCAGTGGAGTTTGAATCCGCATGTCCACCGTTGCGCATATCATGTTTATCTAACCTAGCACATGAAAGTCTTACTTCGTTTAGAAGTAGGAGCCTTCAACTAGGAAACCAACGGTCAATCTCACATGCTGGTACAGGTGGTCGAAGTCCAGCGTGGAAACCGCATCATTGGCAGTGTGAATGTATGGACTCGAGTCAACTATGTTCTCATCTGCCACGTAGGCAGCCGCAAATCCAGCGTCTGTGGCAGCTTAAGGTACAGTCAGCTTCAGTAAATGTCTCACTATGTATGGTTTGTGAGGGTAGGATGCTTACCACCACTGCGAGTATGTTAGCGCGAGTCAAAACTGATATGCAACGAGAACACTTACTGATCGCTGCACGCATATCCACATGTATCGGTAATCACTGGGATAGTAGTGTACACTGGTACGAGCTTGATAATGTAATTGGTTAGAGGTGTGCTGACGTAGTCGGTGAAAACGGCGATGTTGTGGTTGGGAGAGTAAGCGGTCCTACACAAATTAGCATGTGCTCCAGTAATATACACACAACATCTTTGGTATTCGCTCACATGTCCTGATTCATCAGAGCGAGAACTTTCACTTTACGGGTGACGTAGTCTTGCATAACCGCACGAGCACCCAAGAGACCACCTTCCTCGCCTGAATAGAAGTGGAACTCGAGGGTGTTCTTTGGAGCGTACTTGGCTGCAGCAAGAACGCGTAGAGCTTCCAGAATAGTGACGACAGCCTATGCTTGGTTAGGTAGTGACTTTGAGATCTATAGGGAGTGCCTACAGAGGCATTGTCATCAGCGCCAGGTGCTCGGCCGGTGGTTGGGTTTGCTTGGTTGATGGAATCGAAATGACTAGACACGATGACAACATTTGCAGATGTGCCGGGAATTGTAGCGATAACCGAAGGCTGGTTGTAGCTGTGAGTGAATTGCCGAACAGTAATCTTCGTGTTCACAGCAGCAACGCTCTTGATCAGATTGAAGACTGTAGTGGCTGACGAGGCGGCATACGATCCACGGTAATATCGGTTCTGGATATCAGTGAGGGATGTTATCCAAGTCTTCGGGTTGGTTTTGCTGATTTGAGCGATCAGTGGATTGGCTTGAGCCTGGTGAGATGGGGCCGATGGAAAGCTGGCGGATTGTCGCTTGTCGACTTTGAAACCATTGGCCATAGCAACACGGTGATCCTCGAGTTCCTGAATTCTTGTAAGACGCCATTTTGGATGTTACTGAGCCCGTGGAGTACAAACGTACCATACTGTCTGTGATATCCATAAAATGGGCACACGAAGGTGTGGAGATAAAGATGTCGAGTTTTTCTTGCTCAGTGTACCATGTACCGTTGTCGAACTCGGAGGTTTTGATGAGACGTAACTCCTCTCCAGCCTCGTTGAATCTCAGCCCCAACACGCCCGTCGAGGCGATGGCTCCAAATGCCATAATGGCGAATGCTGACCTGTGAAACATGTTGAACCACGGCAAGGAACTGGATGAAAAAATAGGCTTTAACAACGTGGAGCAGTTAACATGAGTTGCTATCAAACTGGCATTGTACGGTTATATATACACTTAGCGTCTGCCGGTGTTTTCCACACGCCTTCTCATTAGAGCGCTATACCGTGGTACCCCCCGAAGTATAAGCCATTACCCACTTTAGGTGCTAGTCTCCCATTCGTTAGAATTGCTACTTCACAGACATCTTGACCAATCTGTGGGCGTCTTGAAGAGTAACAGCATGAGCCGAATGGCTTATACTTCGGGAGGGTACCACAGTAATGCCCATACGGCGACTGTATCACCTTCTGAGACAGGCAACGCCCGTCGTGCATTGGACCCAGGATTTAGATGGCATTTCGTATGGAGAAAACTAAGCACTGCCAGGCCCCATGGATCAACAAATAAGAAGATTAAGCCAAGAGATAGGGACTTGGCGCAGCCTTCACCTTCCCCTTCTGACGTCGTGCCCGCCAGTTGTCGAACGACTTATTTCTGGATAACAAGACAGATAGACCTACAAGTTCTGCAATCAATGCCAATCAGTTTGAATGTACGGTGTAGACGATAACTAGTAAGTTAGAGGGTTGGCGACAAAGTTTTCGTTCCCCACCCCACAGACGGACCGAGCTAGAGCAAGGTTGCGATGAGGTAGTCCTTGGGCTGAGCAACCTATGCATGAGCATCACTGGGTAGTATTAGGTTTCATTTACTCTTTCCTAGTAGTTGCAGAGATTGGTCTCTATTGTGATTAGAATTTATCTAAATTCTATGCCTTCTACCATTATGGTTGAACTTGTCCTGTTCCTGGAAACTACCAGACATCGCCTGCGACGTCAGAAATTGAAGAAGTGTAAAACAACTCACATAACCCCTGATGACTGGTTTATCTGTGCTATGTTGTCAGCTAAATTTGTTATTACGATAATTTGGGCAGGTGTTCTGAACACGACCTAATGAGTGTGAGCACTAAGAGTATACCGGTAAAGGTAGTCTCGAAGGGGTGAAACTGGTCGATTGAAGCATTTTCTCATTTCAACCACGGTTCACGACCTAAAGCTGAACCAAACTTCAATCACTGCCTGGGCTTTTAAAAACGCGTCCGCATTGGTACATTCAGCAGCCAGTCGTTAAGAGACGGTTAATAAGCTCTCTGTTACTATTACTGTGTACTCTTACTAATATTTACTATGTACAAAAGGGCTAGGTATTAGCTTCTACACAAAGTAACTATACTAGGTCCTTACTATGTTGCGTCTATCTGCTGTTACAACAAGCATAAATACGCTATAATCGTATAATAATGGTAATATTTATTGAGTTCCTTTGATTTCAAGTACCTTTGAGAATTCGTAGAAGCTCAGATGTAGTTACAACAAAGTGTACACACTTTATGTTTGACGCAAAACCCTCCACACGTGTTGCTCCGATCCCTTCAATAAACTACTGCAATTTAATAACGTGCCAATCTCCAGATCCTAAGTAGCATGCTTCTCCCAAGTAATATACTTTTCCTACCTGATACGTATCTGGCATGGTGCGAACGCCAAATTGTTGAGCTTAAATATGAGGCAGTATAGGAGATCCTACCGCCTTTTGGCTTTTGAATATTCGTCTTGAAATTGTGGGGGATCGGCTGTGGATAGATTTACATGAAGTCCGCGGTCAAGCACCCTCGTAATTAACTTGATGTGAAGGAGTAACGTCTCCTACCCGAAATGGTGAATGAGGGTAAGCCATTATTGATTTCGTAGGCACTTGGCCAAACAGTTCGTAGGTTCAACGTAACGAAGTAAAGTTAAGAGAACGGTGTCATACTCATGGACAGAAAGGACATTACAGTGCTACAAGGCTTTACCAACTAGAATATGGGGTCTAGCACAAGAAGAAAGGTAAAAGTAAAGGGTGAAGAGATTAGATAAATATCGATTCTCACAGCTTGGTTGGCTTCTTAACGCCGAAGTCTTGTTGCTTGTCGTGCTTGGTGACATGGCCTTAGACCATCAAGGCAATAACGAAGACAATAGGTCCTTCTTAAATATTTCCTAACATCGAGCAGGTAGTTCTTCCTTGTGCTGTCGTTGATACGAGCCCACAGCAAACTCTAGTCCTTTTCCGGGGCCGAGGGTGTTGCACTTGAACAATATAGTACAATTTCCCAAGCTCTTATATTGAACACAACTGATTGAAACCAAAATATATGCCACAGCCGTCAGAGGAACTAGTGCTCAGCGATATCAGAGCAGATGAGGATAGCTTCTTCGAAGAATTGTTTCTATAGAATGCGTGTGGAACAACGCTTACAGCGAATTTCACCCACAAATGGAGCGTCTTAAAAAGTCGTGTAGCTGGCTAAGATTTTTTTGATCTGATCGAAAATACGATATCGGTTGGAAGCCGAAACTCATACTGATATGTAGACACCAATGAATACGAGAGCGAACTAAGCACGAGAGAAAGAAAGTTGTGAACCTCTTAGCAACTCGCAAGTGAGAAAGTGAACAAGAAAGTATTTCATGCAGGCCAAAGCCGGTCTTCCTAACAAGCCATCACGATGTGACTCTAAGAATTTCACCACATGATTGACTTCGGCCACTCTACGATTCGTAGGAGGTATCCAAGTAGTTGAGGCAAGATTGTCCTAATCCAAACTTCGGATATTGGTCCCGAAAGATAGGGTGCGATACCAGAAAATACTGACTCAAGTGCTGTATCTGTCGCCTACGAATAGCGTCGATCTCAAGCATATTTCATCGAAATTCATAATTAATTTTGGCGACAACATCTCTGCGAAACGACAATATCTAATCGTCACCATGTCCCCGAATGTGCGGCACCAACACACCGCTATCTCGTCTTAGCGAAACCAATACCCTCTATCGTTACGACTCAAGGACGATAGCCTCGTTCCGCACTCGTCAACCGAGACGTGAACTTGTGACAGATTGCCCAATCGGGAAATACTTGTCTAACGAGCGTGCATCAAGCCTGACGGATCCCTACGTTATGCGTCTGTGCTTGAACTTAGGTAATAAGTTGTAAGCAGTCCTCATCCGTCATAATGTCGCGATTGTAACGTGATGGTGTAACCAAGGTATCCAGTTTAGAAACACGCACAGTAAAAGAAGGTCCGAAAGAAGACGTGTCTCACCAAGATGGGAGCAAACCCTGTACCCGGAAGCTGCTTCAATACTTGCTATCGACTCGTCACATCGCGTTGCAGCTGCAATAATTGCAATCGCTAATATTCACTCAGCCCTATGACGCAGGCCAACCGCTCTATCAGCCCTATAAGTGGATATCAGCGGCATCACGCCGGCATCTCGGCATCATGCCGGTAGTGCCCGATGTGACTCTGCCAGCAAAGTTCAATACGCGTATGCGGTCCAACACAGCCCTCGCATCTCGCACCTTCAATCGTACCTCCCATCGCACCATTCCCACATCCATCTATCGCGCTCTCCGAGAAAAACAGTCATGTGAACAATTCAGAACTTTCACATATTTTGAAGCATCTAGACCACGAATTGTATTCTGGGAGGTGGCTGTGCATGCCCACCCCCACCTCGCACTAGCCACGCGGGCCGCCTAGATCTAGATCTCCTGCACCGTAGACATTGGATCTGAACACGCGGCTGAAGGTTGACAGCACGACACGAGCTGACCGGAGTTAGCGTGCATGTGTATCCGTGGGTCGGCTGTAACGCGTGGAGCAGATGTAGCCCCGGAATGGAGGTTTTGTGGTTGGTAAGCTCGGACTCCGGGAGTTCGTGCACTGGGTAGTTGAGACCGGCATATCAGACGTGCAGCTTGAAATGCATGGAGCGGATTTGTAGTCACTCTGTTGAATGGTCGGTAGAAAGTGCAGCTCTGCTGTATATTTTGGTCAACGGACGGTACGTACTGGACATGGTTGGCGAGCAAACTCAAATGGATATGGATATTGCAATACACTTGAGCGCATTCTCAAACCACTCAACTGTCAATCGCAGGAACCTCGATCTCTACATTGCATGCTGAAGCTACAGCTCACAAGAGCCAAAGAGAACTCTATGTAGTTACAGCAGATCTGATAATCTTACACCATTGTGATATGACATCGGGTAACGGTGGAAGCTACATACACGTAGTTGTTAAGTAGTATAAACAGCAATTAGGTAGGTCGTAAAGTAATGCAGGATCAGAAACCAGATAAGATGTATCTAAAATGATTCGCATAATTATTTTGGAGATATGTACAATAATGGTTGATTGCGATCGTTGAAAACTTTGGCTCGATGGCCAGCGCTCATATCAAGCTCATAATCGCCGTGATAAAATCGTACACCCTGTCATAAGACATTCATCAACGCAACGCCCGCTATTTAACGCTGCAAGCTATGCTGGTAAAGTGCTAGCAAATGCGACAAAAAAGACAAAATAATATACATGGAACAGAAAGATTAAAAGTCGAAACACCGAGCTGTGTTCGCTACGAACAACATGCGATGCATCGCGTCGACACCAGGTCGAACGCAAGTTGAATATACATGTCGCAGTTCTGCGCGACATGCGACAAATGCAGAGAATCGAGGAACTTGGCGAAGAGCATAATCATGTGTCCTCGAAGTGGATAATTCGCACAAAGCTGCGACTCCTCTTGACCAAGGTGTTGATCATTCCCATGTCGCATTTTAGCGATATTGAAGGAAATGCACGAGGTCGAATGTCCGCGGCTGTTCTGGAATGTACGGATCATAGGTGTGGGTGGACCCTCCGCGGCCCTCGGCGAAAATGGCAGCGCCATACATGTCATCGAGCGCTCAATCATGGTTCCCTCCACGTCTGCGGTGCTTTCCGGGAAAATCAATTTCTGGATGAACGACACGCTATAAAATATTAGCAAAATGTATTTCCGTGTTCAGTTGTGATTTCTTACCATGTGACGTGTCAGCGCATCGTTACGTGAGAAAGTCTTCTCTTCGACACACAGTGCGCACCGAACCTTCTGTTTGCGAGCGTTGTGAATGGTATCTTCGTGACGAGTAAGGTCGTATGGACGGGAGAAAATAGTGTTGCAGGGCTTGCCCGTTGTGGGGTTGGTCCGCTCACACTTGTGAGGTCCCGCTTGCGTGTTGCGCTCTAAAATAGCCGCTGATGTCATGCTGGGACCGAGATTTGCGTTTCGGTGACCCTCACGCTTGTGCTTCTGCAACTTTTGCGGTGTTTCGAAGCGCTGTGAGCATCCATGGTATGTGCACGAGTATGTGCCTGTGTCTGCGCCTGACGATGCTGGCTTGTGCAGAAAGCGCTCGTTGATACTTGACTGGCTTCCAGTAGGTGGCTCAGCTTCACTCGCGCTGGATTCCATAGAAGTTAAGTGCGCTGGGAACTCTGGTGTCTGATCGACTGTTGCGGGCATGTTGTTAGGTGCGACGCGATATTGTGACGTTGAGGCCATTGGTAAACTTGGAACGGTGCTTTGTACCGATGGAGCGACGAATGAGAAACCGGAAGACGCAGGTATCGACTGGGCAGACGATGATGGAAAGTTCGGTGAAAATTGAGGTGTTGCCCAACTGTCTCGTCGGAAAGACTGTGCGGATGGTGTGTCGAAACTGGATTGGGTGGCGTTCCTATATTGGTCGCCACCATTGTATTGGCCGTCGTACTCGGTGGCGCCACTATCCGAAAACAACGGTACCTTTGAGTCTTCGTCGGCCTCCCTGTAATCTAGCAGGGCATCTTTGGGCGAGATAGTCTCTGGTTGAGAATCTCCATTGGATCGCATTTGAGACTTCATTGCGTAAGCGGCGTCAGCCTGACGGCTTTGCTCACGTGTTGCTGCGGCAGTACCGACGATTGGGGAATTAAAGTTGGAGTTGGCCTGGCGGTATGGCGAGCCTCGTCGGAATGGAGAGTCACCTCGCGACGCTTGACTGCCTGGTGAGTGCGATCGAGCGTACTGTGCTGCCTGCAGCGCACGCTGAACATTCTCATTTGTGTTGCTACGGTATGGCGACAATAACGACGATCTTGATGGCTTAGATAGTGTCTCTGGTTGTGCAGCAACAGCGTTGGGATCGTAAAAGTTGTCGGCAGCGATGTCTGTGTAAGTCCTCTCGAACTTTGGTACGATGACCTGTCTGGTTTCTGTGTCGGATTCGTCAGTACAACACTGATTAAACGGCAAAGAGTCGATCTGTTGGATCGTCTTACCATTTACAGGCTGTTTGAAGTCCATGTCGTCACCTAGTGTCGTTTGGGGCGTCGCTGGTGAGTCTTGTCCAAAACTTGACACCGACTGTCTTGCCGAGTGTGCGAATTCCGGCACATCATCGCCTTGATCCATGAGCGCCTGCTTCATTGACATGTGCGCTGCCATAGTCTGATCCATGTTGTCCGTATTTGGTGTGTAGTTGCCGAATCCGTTCTGTGTTGCAAACGAGTCTTGGGTCGGGGTCTGTGTAGGTGTCGGTAGATGGTTCGAGAAGGTTCTGAACAGCATGTTAGTATTGCATGACAAATTAACGTTCGCAGGCATGTGCCAAGACGGTAGTTCAGGACGTGTGACGTACTGATAGCTAGCAGCGGGACCAGCGACCTGGTACTGCGAGGCGTTGGACCCGATCGACGAGGACGAAGACGCGCGGTTGTGTCCCTTGGTGTGGTGTTGTGTTGGAGTCTGCAGTGACTGGCTCTGCATGTTATTGTAAGAATTCCAAGACTCAAGACCAGAGCCAGCGACGTTCATCGACAGCATGGGTGTCTGCGTGAAGCCGTTCGATGGGGTCTGCGGTGTGGGTGTCGAGTGTTGGATGCGGATTGCCGGGTTCGGGAAGTTGGAATATGAAGTCGTCATAAACGGGTTGGGCGCAATGCTGACGGTCGGTGCACCACAAGACTGCTGTTGCGAGTCTAGATAGTCGTGCAACAGCTTTTGGTCGTAATAATGCGGTACGGCGAATTGTTGTGGAGAGGGTTGATAGGAAAAGTGTTGTTGAGAGTGTGGTGTTGGAATGGTCGATGTCGAGGTATGATGCTGTTGTGGCAGGTGCTGACGTCTTGAGGGTGACGCTAACATAATGAAAAGTAAAATGGCGGACCAGTGCGGGTGGCAAGTCGCTTTATACTAGCAATCGATCTATGACTCGGCTGGATTCGCCGATTCTGCGTGCTTTTGATGAGGTGATGGAGGCAGTCGATGGAAGACTGTGGAATAAGAAAATGGTATGCTTCGGCTGTGCTCGGAGATTCGGAGTCAAAGTTATTCTTCGGGAACCCGTAATCGATCGTAAAGTGCTGAGCGATGGATTCAACAGCTTTGAAAGTGTGTGCTTAATGTGCGGATTTGTTCTGTCTTTCATATCACCACCGATGACGCAGGGCCTTGCAAGTCCTTGCAGGGGTCGACGCCGTGGCTTTTTTAGCGTTCGATCTGCACCCTGCATCCGGCCCAGCTCTGGCGTGACCGATGGAGGAATGGCTGTGCACCCTGGCGCGGAGAAAGGATCCACTCAGAGATTTCAACGTGCATTCGGCTAGGCAACGTCCGAGGTTCTACCCGTTGCATTGATGTGCTGCTCCGAAAATAACAGTCAACCGCTGGGTAGCATTCAACGAACTCTCCTGTGTCAAAGCGAAGCGGGTCTTCTTGCTCGGCACTGCCTTCGGAGACATCTATCTCCCGAGCAGACTCGGCTGTCGGCCGTCCCAGCGCTGGGAACTGGAAACAACGGATCTCGCGATATACTCGGCTGTGATACGTGGCAGACAACCGCATGGCTGCTTGCAAACAGATCTAGTGCTGGGATCTCGCTTGTACATTGGACGATTAACGCTGTAGGCGGTGCAGTTCTCGTTAACACCGTGTCCAAACACATCTCAGCCACAGTTCTAGTAGCATCGATACCAGTCACATGTCTCTCTGTATGATCTGTGTACTTTCGTTCAGTCAAGGGGTCAGATCTTGTGACACCCCCAGATGTTTTGTCAGCTGCATTCGAGCGGAGGACGCGCAATGCTGCACACAGCTTAATACCGTTCTTCGATGCGGATGTGGATAACATACCCACTAAAGCCATCCAACTAGTTTTGATCTGCCTGGACAGTACCGGCTTCGTTCCGAGATACAAGCTATGCTTTACTTTGTTGTTTTAGGGGGTTTCACGTCTAGATCTCCGCGAAAGCTATCAATGTAACACATCTATCCAGTCTCTGATGAGTAGCAATTCCACATAGTACTACTCCAAGGAACAGTGAAACTGTCCACTCGAGAACGTCACACATGATTGTCTTCATTTTTTTGGGACTTGATGAAATGAAATGTGTATGCCATGCCTGCGACATACCTGTGACACAACTACTACCAAAGTAGACCAGCTCGCGAGCCGTGAAGGACTGCCATATTCGTGTGTGACATGTTCCCCAGACTTTCAGCTCGCTGCGTACCGGCACCCAGTCCTAAAGCGTCTAGTCCTGGCGACGTTTCACGGTGAAAATTCTTCGTTCAACGCATCCTGCGCAACAATATCGATAACGGTATTTCCGGAGGTTGCGAAAACCTCGCGGTGGATTGGTCAAGCTTTCAGGGTCCATCGCTTTTTCAATGCGGCTGTGCAGCCCTACAGCGCACGGATGACACTTGCCGCGGCATCCCCGACCAAGATTTCGGATCTCGAACGGTCTCTTGCTGCGAGCTCATTTGTGGAGTTGTACGCACTAGCCACACCTCGACGTTGCTTTGCTACGATCGAAGGTTCCCTTGCCAGGTTCAGGCTTCAGAGTCACCTTGTGTTTCTTTTTGGTTGACAGAGACACCGTATCTCTGCGCTCGATTCGCGCGCTCTTTCGCTTCAAGCCCATGAAGTGTCAATAGCTCGCTTACCCACACATGACATCACTTTACCCTCCTGCTTCGAGGCTGGAGTTACTTCCGAGTACCACTCGCTCGACATATTTCTTGGACGAAATAGGTGCTTGTACTGCACACTCTTCCCTGTGCTCGACGTCAATATCTTGGACACCACGCACTATGCCCGGGATTTGTGCAAGAATGCAGTCATTGATCGGCAACGGAAAGATGCTTGCGCTGTGTCTCAAAGCCGGCACCATACCACTCTAGTGTAAGCGCCCATTTCACCCAATCGCATCCCTCAACCTGTTTTACCCTGCGTCAGACCCAAGTTTTGTCCCGCTTCTTGTCCCGCAAAAGTCGGTTTCTCATGTCGATCATGACGCGGAACGCATTTCACTGGTGAATCCCACGATCATCACTATCGCAAGCCTGATGAGCGACGAAACACATGGTCCATCACTGTTCGCAACATCAACACCTGTATTCGCTATTATCCGTCTGGTAGCGTGTAGACATTAGGTTTGACAGAACCGCCGGGCAGCACGACCTTATCATGGAGGCTGCAGGGCAGTACAAGTATGGTTTTCATGTATGACCGACACGCAACGTCGCGTCAACTACTCCCCAGAATCATTCCAAGGTTATACCTCCGCGGCCCCTTTCCGTTTCGGCGGCCATAGGGATTTAGAGTCTTGTCGTTGCCAAGTCATGTCATCGACGATTAGGTACAGCGTCATCGCAACCGAACATGGAATCCCGTACTCGAGAGTATCAACTGCTCTTTACGATACCAACCTACATATAACCTCGTGGGTAAAAACGCATACTACTTACGACCTTCTTGATCAGACAGGTTGCTAACCCTTGTTGTTTTCGTGTTGGACACTCAGCTAAGAGTAGACATCTCTCCAGGATTACAGGTGCGACGTTCTGCTGAGAGTAAGGTTTGATCTATCCGCGCGTCCAAGCCCTCTCTCGGTCCTTCGATCCGCTTGGCTCTGGTTGAGTAAACACGAACACGAGTGTCTCAAACAGATTGAGCTCGATACGACTTTCCATTTACGTAGTTATATTGAATTTATCCACATATCAAAAATCGTCTGATCTATCATTACAAAAGCGTTGATTGCCCCTTCAGGCTTGGACTGGGCGTGTATTGTACAACGCTATCGTTCAGCTAGAGCTTGCTTTTAGATCTCGCCCACCCAGTAACCAATTTCGGCTGCTCGTAACGAGGGTACCTGTTCGATGCTCAGGCTCAGATCTCACCGCTCGGCAATCTCTCACCATAGATCCATAGTGATATTCAGATCTGCGTGGATGTCGAATCCGATCAGATGTTGTGGGTCATCGCTGGCGCTTAAAATTCGCGAACTGACTGAACGGTGGTTTGGGGTACGTGTTTCAAATTCACCTTGTGACTTGATAATTGAGCTGAAGGATATCACCCTGTCAAGCCACACCATTATTGCCAAAATGGTGCAAACAACGACAACACCAAAACACATATGACGAAGTCATGATCATGATAACTGCCAAGTAGCCTCGTAGTGTCATGTCAAGACGCTCCTCTCGCCCAAACGTAAGCCCAGTCGCGACTTTCGTTTACGCGATAGTTGTCGTTACGTACTGCTAGGTACGATACGTTGCTTTTCACGATCAAGAGAAGCTGCCTCGTACAACGCAAACTTTGGAGACATTGTGATTGTCACGGTCGATTCGCGACAACATTGCGGGTGCTAAGATTCGTTGACAATCTATTGGAATATAAAGCAACGCTTGGGCATATCATTCCACATACGACCATAGGACGCTGAAAATAGAGCTTCCCGTTCGCTCAGCTGTACTCAAGCAGTGTACCGGCGGATTAAGGGAATTCCCGCTGTTGTATGTTTTTGCTGTTTTGCTCGTGCCCGTGTTGAGTGAACGTTGGAAGTTCTTGGTCGTTCTTGCCTTTTGTTGTGGTGTTTTGGGCTGGAAGGAAGGAGCTACCTGTGCTTCACCGGCGTGATTTGGAGCGACGACGTAAGCACTTTGTGATGCCAGAGCCGTGACTTGAAGCACGCTTTCTCTTTTGAATCTATCCCTGCTGCTGTAGGTTTTTGTTGTTCCTATTCGCTGCCGGGGGACTAGTAATTGACACTCATCGTTCGTTCAGGCCTGGAACATCGTTGAAGAGCCACTCGCGTAGCCCTCTCAAGGAAGTCTAGCACAAGAGTCGGGTTACGCAAGTCTACCTCTGCTGCAACGCAAGTTTTGAGTACAGTAGGTTACTCGAAGATGTGTGCTTAAGATCACTGCCAGAGATTAGGAAACGCAGTGAGAGAAATATCGTCCTGTCAGAACTCTTCCTCCTTGAAGCTAATGTGGAAGAGAGAAAAGAAATGGGAATTACAACGATTGCATGACTGCAAGAACAAAGGTGTAAGACACCTACCGATTTCACCAAGACCACAATGGAGCAATGACTCGCTGCATCTCTATAAACTGATGACCCATAGTAGGCTCACCTCACGCAGCTGCACAACAAGGAATTTACCATCGCCTTTGCTGGCACCAACACCGTAGCCTATAAAATACTCATGGGCGCGTATCACGAAATCCAGAGCCCCGATCTGATACAGCGGCTGAGGCAGGAGCCGCTGACTGTTTGGCCGAATTCGCATGCCCCCCGCTGCCTCGTCGGCCTCGAAACACTATCCCTTCTCAGCACCACCATCAAGGAGACTTTTCACCTCATCTACTCGGACGTGTTGCTCACCTGCATTGTGCCTCTTGCGGGCGCCGTTCGGCAGGGGGCTACGGGTATGGGTTGGGACATGCCCACGGTAGAACCATTGAACGTTAGCCACATCTGTAACGAATCATGGTATGAATGGTATGCATTAGTATGATCTGCAAGGTAAGAGAGCTAGCTACGTGGCTCATGCCTTATGTGCATGCTAAGACGTGTAGCCATACCTAAGCATCGAGGTGCCAATTACACTGTTGGTTATGTCGTAGTTTTATGATGATTGGACAGACGAAATAGGATCAGTAAGAGAGCAGGATATCGCTACTCGTTTTGATGTTTGCAGGCGCAAACTTCAATCGCGAGATAGTGGTTTACTCGCGGTATCAATGTTGGCTTGCACATCACCACAACTTGTGTCGCGTATATGTGCTCAGGGGCAATCAATGTGCAAATCAGAGCCTAAAGACATCAAATTGTGGCTGTGCAATGACTTGTCGCCAATCTGTATCCCTCGCGTCGACACTAGGATTGGCCCTGGCCCTCCATACTGTGGCAACAAGGTCTTCCAAAACCACCAGATTTCTGAAGCCAAGCCTGCGCTGGGCTTGGAACCAAGCCCGCATGCGCTTCTGCACATCTGGTTCGTCACACTCAGCTCCAAGGACTAGCACAGGCCACAGCATTAAACAGCCCAGTGCGCCATGGCCAGCGCGGTCAATGGATTCCAGTTCCTGTATCCCCAGTTCTACAAGATCCTGCACTTCTGCTACCGGAGCGCAACGCACACTTCGCTGGAAGAAGACAAGCCCAGCGTAGTAAAAAGCCTTGGAAGTGTGGTGGATAACGATACTATGTGTTTTATCAGAGAACAGATCGTGGGGTGGCAGGCCAGGAAAGTCGAGATACAGCTGCAACTCAAAGGCATCGAGCGTCTTCTCCATTTCAGGTGTTCTGGCTGCGGATACACTCGTCAGTAGAACATTGATGTGATCGTGGGCTCGCAGGAAAGACCTCGAGACGCCATAATATGGGAAGGTGAACTCGAGGCCGTCTGAAGACCCGCTTTCGTCATCCAGGAAAGCCTTAAGATGAGCTGGTACAGAAAAGCCGCACAGAATGGCCATCTTGACCATGTGCTGACGAAAGGCGGATAAGGCGGTTTCATCCAAGCCTTGAGATTGTAGCTTGGCCAGATACGCCAACCCACCGGAAACGTGTGTCCGCCATCGTTGGGTTGTGCCAGAGATAGCCTCGACGGCGATACATGCCATTATGGCCATGGCAAAAGACTGGTCTCGATGCTCGTCGGCTCGTGCCAGATTGTGCCGAAGATGATGGACGGCCTCGTTGTCATGGTACAGAGCGAGCACGCGATCCTGCTCATTGGTCCGGCCGGTCAGCTCAAACATATTGTAGGCAGCGGATGCACAGAGGGCGTGGAATATGGCGACGTCAGCGTTGGAGCTTTTTGATTGAGAGACGAGACCTTTCAGTGCCATTGGCAACATCATAGTACGACAGGGATTATGTGGCTCATCAATAAGGACCAGTTTGCGGCTGGTGAAGGTGATCCAGTGGTAGATGAGCCGTTTCTGCTTAGACGGCATGGACAGAGCATCCAGATGGCGCGGCGGAGCGTGTCGCTCTTGTCTTCCAAGGCTTAGAAGAGTTTGAGCAGCGGGCACTGAGTCCCCACGAAAGTCGTTGAAAGACTGAACTGCGGCGTCTATCGTACTGTCTCTCTCTTGGTTGGTCGTCTCGGTCACGGAGAATGTATAGTGATCGTTAGGTGAATCTGTCGGTACTGTGATGCCAAATAGGCGCGGTGATGGTTGAGGAGGACCTCTGTCTGACTCGGGATGGAGTGATGCAGATGGGTGCACAGAGAACACGCAGAATGCCCCCTTTTCAAATTCTGACGACTCTCCAGGACACCATTCATCGATTTTAGTCAAGGTAGCATCTAGTTCTGGAGAAGCTAGACCTAAGAGAGGCAGGAAAGAACCAAGAGAAGTCAAAGACCGTCTGGAAACTCTAGGCTCTGGCCGGCGGGAAGTGTTACGATGGCCATGATCATGTTCATAGTCTGATGTATCATGCGGGTCATACTGCACCCAACTCAGACGGAGGCCATATCCTTCGCATGCAACACCAATCTGGCGACAGCGCTGGCAAAAGGGAGTCTCCCTACGCATCAAGAAGCCAGGTCAGTACAGTATCTGCGACTCGTATCTTCTCCTGACATGACTTACTCACCACACTTGACTCGACGCGAGCGGCAAGTCCAACACCCAGTAAAGCATTTTGTGCGCTGACTTTTCATACTTGGCTCAAACATGTCATCTCCAAAATTGAAGAGAGTGACTGGGTTGTGATGCTCGCTCGTCGAATCGCTTTGACTTAATGTTCAACAGACCCACATATCCGAGCGGGCACCCGATTGGCTCGCTTTCAACTGCCTCCATAATTGAAGCGGCTCGCTGTGACTTTCCTGTTCAGCCTTAGCTGCCTAACCAGTGCTCACTCCTGTTGCCGTGTTGTATTGCTCGAAATGAAAGTGGATTGAAATGGCTTTTGAAGGATACATGCATGATATCAACTACATTCGTTGTCTTCTTATAATCACATAAAGCCGCATGGCCCTTTCGTCAAAGTCTTCCGTTTCCATTCAATACCAGCCAGCCGGCAGTCGATTCTTGAGTTCTTTTTTGGCCTCTATCTTTCAACTTCAAGTCTTGTATCTCATTCAGTGTGCCAACATGGTTATTACAACTAGAAATCAGAACGCAACTCGGAAAGAGAAGGCAAACGCTTTAGCAGCCTCCCTGCAGCAGAGTCCTAAATACACTGATGGCGAATCTGATGAGTTTGAATTTGGCGGTTCCTTCGGTGCAGCATCGTTGATGGCCGGGTTTCCTCTTCTTATGTGGTACATGTGGATTGGTGCCACTTACTACAATGGCCGATTTCCCTTGCCTGATGCCAACCAGACCTGGGGAGATTTCGCCTACCACTTGGGTCATCTTATCTACGAGGGAGCATATCCCACAGCCAAGGCCTGGTCTATCTACTGGACATTTTTTATCTTTGAAGCACTTATGTTTGTCACTCTTTTCTTACCCACTCGATTGGCCCTCAGAGACTAACACGTACAAGGTATTGCTACATGCCTGGCGTGCTGAGCCAAGGCCGACCTCTGCGCCATGAGGGCGGTAAGAAGCTCCCGTACTATTGCTCCGCCTATACTAGCTGGTATGCAACTCTGGTCATAGCTGCCGTCCTGCACGTCGCCGGCATATTCCGACTATACACACTCATCGATGAGTTTGGGTCCATCATGACCGTGGCAATCCTCTCTGGTTTCCTAAACAGCATCATCGTTTATTTCCAGGCCATTATCCGTGGCCGAACCCACCGGCTCACCGGACATCCTATCTACGACTTCTTTATGGGTGCTGAGCTCAACCCTCGAATCGGAATCCTGGACTTCAAGATGTTCTACGAAGTCCGGATCGCGTGGTTTATTCTATTTCTCATCACTGCCTCCGTAGCGACGCGCCAGTATGAGACTCACGGCTACGTCTCTGCCGAAGTGATCTTCATGCTGATGGCACATTTCATCTACGCCAACGCCTGTGCCAAGGCCGAGCAGTTAATTGTTACGTCCTGGTGAGTAAACGGAGATCAAGAATACCAACACACACGCTCTATGTTTCTGGGTTGAATGAGGTCTTTTGATGACTGTGGCTGACTTGCCTTTTCTCATCGCAGGGATATGTACTTCGAGAAGTTAGGCTTCATCCTGACTTTTTGGAACATGGCTGGCGTGCCCTTCACCTACTGCCACTGCGCACTCTATCTCGCGCATCACGACCCATCCGAATACCGCTGGAGCCAACCTGCTCTGGCTGTCCTTTCCATTGTTTACCTATTCATGTATTGGATGTGGGACTCGTCGAACGGTCAGAAAAACTCATTCCGTCAACAGGAGCGCGGCCAGCTTATCAAGCGCAACGCATTCCCCCACATGCCCTGGACGGTCATCGAGAATCCTCGCGTTCTTGAGACGAATGCTGGAGACCGAATTCTGCTGGACGGGTGGTTCGCTATCGTGCGCAAGCCTAACTATGTGCCCGATATGTTCTTCTCCATGTCTTGGGGTCTCATCACGGGTTTCAAGTGAGTGGTTCCTGTTTCGTTCACATCCAACTTGATCGGCACAAACAAATGAGAGAGTTAGATTTTTTTGCTAACGAGTTCCTGTTTGGTACCACAGGAGCCCCTTCCCTTGGTTTTATTTCGTATTCTTCATGGTTATGACCATCCATCGTGCCCAAAGGGACATTGACAGATGTCGCAGGAAGTACGGAGACGCCTGGACCCAGTACGAAAAGGAGGTACCCTATTTGTTCTTTCCGGTAAGCAACACCACTACTAATGTTCTGACAGTAACAGGTGTGTGAGGAAAAAGCTAATAATTTTCAAGTATATCATTTAGAGTGGTTCTCGTCGCTGGTTGGAACTACAAAACGCCTCCATGCGTACGAACGAAATCATATTTATTGTTTCCCATCTAACCTCTCATCCACGTCGATACGAATACGCTATCTTTGAGTCTAGGCTATGGCGTTGCTATGATCCCTCAAAGACCTCTTGAGTAGGCAAGCATTCACACCGTAGCTTTATAGAAAGTAGCCACTCTAGCTTTGAGATGTGTAGTGGCGTAGTGTCATGGCGCATTCGCACGTCAACCCTTGCTGCTTAGTCCGTTTCGTACTCTCGAACCCACTCAACTCGATGTGGTGTAGAACGAGGCCAACCCCTGCAACTGTAAAGGCTACACGTTGACAAGTGGATTTGGATGCTAAGAGACATTGCGTAGATACGAGTCTATGAACACTCTAAAAACGGCCAGATTCTGAATCTCTTCTGGTGACTTGTTGTACTCATTGCTTCTGCGCATGACTAGTTGGAGCAATTTCTCGTTCTGTTGTTGTTTGATCGTAAAATCAAGCTGAGGGGCAACCCAACCCTCAGAGTCTGTAACCAGGTGCTTTCTAGCGATTTCCTGAATTCTGTGAAAATCGCGAAATTCCTCAAACTCTTGGTTGTGCTTTTGTATGTCATCTTCACTGAAGCTGAACGGGCAATCACCAGCGAACCCTAGATCTTGCCACGACTTAGAAAGCTGAATAAGACAGGCGCGAAGCGGTATTATACCCTCTTCTGAAGCCTCTCCACATCGAACAAACAGATCCCACAGGAAGGACGGCATGAAAAAAGCCTTACATGTCTGTTTGTTCTGGGACCTGCTGGATAATTCATACGCTTTAGCAAGCTTTGCTTCCTGTAGTTTGAACTCGGCAATCTCCTTATCATCCGCATCTAGTTGGTCAAAATCTTGCGGTAGTTCAGGCATCTCTGAGCCAAGGGCGTAGCCTTCGTCGACAGATAAGAATTCTGGGAACCGAGCTTGCAAGAACAAAGGCGCTCACTGCTCTCACACAGTACGCCACATCGCGCTAGATACTCCTAAGTGGCTCTAGTCCTAGCATAAGTATCTAGAAATCATTCTGTTATTTTGTTGCTCTTAACTCAGAGTCTCGTATTGTATTTCGTGATAGCTGCTATAATCCTTACTGAGACGCCTACAGAAGACACAGTCACTTTAAATATAAGTATAACATGCACACCTCAGGATCACGATAAAATCTACTAGGCTAACGATTAAGGAAAAACATTTCCTTGCGTACATACATCGAATGTAGTATTTAGGTGTTAGAGTTTGCCTCTAGCCCCTAAGTATCCCGACTAGTCATCTTCCTAAGGGGGAAGGCAATACGATAAGGGGATGGCTAACAAACTAAAAAACAAAAAAGACCAAATAAACAAGACACCTCTACTATTATTGTTCGATCCGTAACAATGAGCGAGTATAAATGCTGTCGGAAGACTGATTGTGAAAATCATGAATGGCCAAAATAGAAACCAACCTAATATGAAACACAAAGCAAAAGATAAGAACAACCCTGTAAGCCAGCTTTTCTCTGTCTTCATCCGCGTCCACCACTTTGACATACGGAGTTTAGATTGAGATGTCCATTCGGTAGATTCAAGGAGGTCAGTAGGAGTAGAACGCTTCGTGTATGAGATCGATCCACCGCGCAAATCTTCTTCAATTAGGCGGCACAGACGGGATTCTGGAAGGCCTGATATATCCTCTCCCACAATGTCGATCTGGGTGCGCATTGCTTCTGCAAGCTCGATAATGGTTTTGTGTTTTCCTGCTACCTCTTTTACACCTTTCTGTAGCAAGATACGATGTGAGTGAGACCATATCATGAAGGTTCCAATGGTCCAAAGCAACAAGAATATGATCATGAGATTGAGTTGGATGAATGAGAAGCCCCATTGATAGTTCTGTTTGGAAATTAGCCTGGTTTAAACAGAATTCGATTTTGGTCACAAACTTTCACAGTCTGACAACTGCCATTCTCTTTTATGTACTCGAGATTGTACGTCTGGTTTGACGACGTCCAAGTTATCTGAGAGGAATTGGTGAACAGCTCGTCGTTGGGATTTGGATCCGTCCAATTCCAGCGAAAACGAGTTTCATGGGGCTGATATATCTTGCACCTCAAACAGACATACAGTCCTAGAAAGATTAACAGTCTCACCCTAGTCGCAACAAGTGGCAATTGGTGCTGATTGAATTCACCAGTAATTGAAGTAATGTGTTAATCCGGACGACGACTATCACAACGAATATCTGACGTTCTGTCTCCCCTACTTGTTATCTCTATATGTTGTTCTCTCTGTGTTATACAACCGTTTATATCCAACCATTGTCCATAAAATCCAACCACATAGACTGGCACGAAACCGACAGCGAGGCAAGTCGCTTCTAATGAATTCAGCCCTTCTTCTTGTAAGTCGGTTCGAGGGGCGGGTCAGCTTCCTTGACCAACATTTGGACATACGAGTCAAACCACACACCAGCCTTTGGTGCGCCCGCAAGCCCACATGCACCGTCGCTCTCCCCACCTGGTTTGATCCATACGAGGCTGTCAATGAGAGTGTTGTTGGTGATGGTGGATGGGCGCGGACCATAACCAGTTGGCTCGACATTACACCATTCACCCCATTCCGCGCGCGCACCCGGCTTAGCGACACGACCTTGATCGGTTATGAAATGTGTAGGAAGATCTTTGGCTGCGAGAAATGGTGCGAGAGACTGGGCGAAATGATTTTCATCCCAGGAAGGATTGTACTCGGTGTAGTTCTCGCGTACCTTGGCGTTGAAGGGGTTATAGTTGGAAACGTTGGTTGCCCAACCGCGGACCTTGGAGTTTTTGTTCAGTTTCTTTGCCGCAGTAACGACACGTGCAAAGACGTCAGCCGTGAGAGGAAGATTGTCGGCCCAGCCCAGCCATCCGCCGTGCGCGGCGTCGATGTACAAATGGACATTAGGGAACTGGAGCTTGGAGATCGCATATGCGATGCCCTCCTCGTAGATAGGCGTAGCGGTCGCACACTTCGGAATGGCCTGGTTGGTAACCGCGTTGCCCAGACTATCTGGCTCTACTACGATGGCGAACTCAAGATCCGGGGCTTTGGAGACAAGCTGAGCGTACTTGTCGATGAAGTCCTTCTTGTATACCTTCAGGCCGTTGTTGGCGCTTTCGAGCTCTCCGGCTGACTCGCCAGCCGAACAGTCGCGGTCAGGAAGGTTGTAAAGCACCAGACCGACCATCATGCCGTTACGACGACCCTTTTGATCACGGGCTTCCTTGATCGCCGTAGTGATGTTGGAGAGATGAGCGCGCGAGGTCACCCAGGTGAAGGTAGAGATCTTTTCCGCGACGGTACGCGTGCGGGCGGCATTGAGTTTGTCTCCCTGCTTCTCGAAGGCCTTGATAGTTTGGTCGAGTTTTTTGCCGTAGCTCTCAGGGACGTATCGATCTTTACCCTCCCAGGGGTTGCTGTCGGCGAACGTGGCGCCAGTGAGAGCGGCAGCTGCTAGGAGAAGATGAGTGAACTGAACCATTTTCAATATCTCAGGTTGCCAATGGAAGGAAACGACTGTAAGGCACTGGTGGAAGTGTGAAGAAAGAACCTAACCAAGTTCTTTTATATCTTTTAATGGACTTTCATGCACTATTGTTGATTTAATTCATTCCACGTGCATGCCCCTTGCTTTCACATAGATGAGGTTCGAACCGACGGCTCGCGATAGTCAACATTCATCCGCGCAAAAAGTACCCAAGATCTTGGTAGGAGGTCAAGCGATGGCGTAGATGTCCTCCAGTAGCACGGACGACCAACATAGTTCTCCAGTTAGTACACTAGTTCAGAGAAGGGATGAATTATCAGGTACCGTAACCCCTGCATGTTACAGCCAATTAGCAACTGCAAGACGTCTTGGACGTTCATCTATTTTCCGGCATCCTCTCCGGAACCCCAGGAACGACATCCCGTTGGTGTGGTTGTGTAACGGTCTTAATCTCCAGGCTTTCCCTCATTGGAGGACCTGTTGAAACAGGAACCGTGAACGATGGAATGTAAGGGAGACCCTAGCGTCACTTTCTCCTGCATGAAAGCCGTTTGTGAGTAACTTGGGTTTCGAGGTATAGACCTAGTTCGCATCTTTATTCCAAGATATTGAAGTGGCTAGTATTGTATCAAACACCCGAACAGATAGACGCGTGAAGATGCCACGTAGCGTGATGTGGTATATCGAATCTCGCTCCAAAAAGATATGCACTTAAGTAAGTAGCTCGATGCTATCAGACCCAGGGTTGTATTCTTAGGTATGTGCCTTCTTGATCAGGGGGACGACAGCCCGCCGAGACGCAAAATAACAGCGGGACCACAGAGGCAAATCCGGACCACCGGCCGGTTCATCCGTTTTCATCGTCAGATTGTGTTCCATGTAGCATTTCTTTTTGGATATGCACAGATACGGATGACTTGGGGTCGTTTTACCACGCCGCCGTGTTGCGGTTGAATTTGTCGTCCTACCTTAGGGCTTTTGTGATAAAGAGTTTGTCGACCAGCAGCTGGTGACCTTGACATGGTCTAAGCCATCGGGTAGGTTCTGCACGTTTGTCATCTTGTCATGCACAAACAAGACTCATACATCTTCGCTAACGCAAATTTTCCGTGGAGGGTGTCGCTGCTGTCCAGTGGAGCAGTGCAGTGAAGTTCGAAGTTGTCGGTGGTAATGCCGAGGTCTACACATAAGGACATGAATTACGCTAGATTAGCGCATTACATCATAGTTTGCTGCAACTCCCCATCATCCTCACTATCTACTCTATCATACCTTAAATCGCCAGCCTCACACCGTGGCATTTGGAATCATTATATGAGCTCGCCGTCGATTTTTATAACCACTATGGTTCAACATCTGTACAATCGTCGAGACAACCCACTCCCAAAATGGTTGATCACAATTGCGCATCGGACTGAACACTCAGCTGCCAAAGTGCGGAAGTACTAGAGAGTAACGACGAAAGTCAAAATATTTAGACTAGCCTTAATGATTGGGTAATAGATAAAACTGTGCTAAGCACGAAGCGTCTTCACGTTTATTAGTCACCAAGGCCAACTTTGCGACTGCATGATATTGCAACGCTGTTGTACATGCGGTAGGGGGCGGATAAAAGAAAGGTCAGACTAAAACTATGTACAAGGACGGCTGACCCGGCTGTGTCAGGCAGAAACCATACGAGGCTATTGTCTCTAGTATCCGCAAGACATCTGCAGGCCAACTACAATCACTAATAACTCAGTGCGAACAGCAGTATGTACTCTTTACTTTTTGTAAGCTCAGGAGTCAGTAGATACTCTATGCTTACTGGGTACCTTGTTGGTGTAGTATCTGGTATGAGGCAGCGGTGTGCATGGACCAAACTAACTAAACATACAACAAATTAAACTAACCGGCTTTTACCCAGCCAGATCACACCATAATCTCAGTAGCGACAATCACTAACAACCCTTTCGATTTTGGGCATAATTGTGCTCAAGATGACACCAAGATAATTGGGAAACTTTTTGGTGTCTCCGTGGCCAGAGCGGAATCATCACGTTGGAACCACGCGAACTTAACAGAAACACGTAGTGTATATCTTTATTCGGTTCAATGGATTGATCACGTAGAGAGGCTGTTCTAGGTAACCCATCGATCTTTGCTCGCATTAAGGCTGGTTGTATGGTTATTTTAGTCCATCCAGTCCATAGGCCTTAGTCTGAGGCGAAGCAAGTAGGTTGCTAAGATAGCGTGACTTGGCCGAGCACGCTTTTTCATCAACCTCTCCTGCATAAAGTAGGTGAGCCGATTTCTTACAAGACAGCTGAGTGCATCGTATGACTTGTCAGCTCTTTCAAGAATAGGCGGTATGCGGAGAATATACTAGATTCGTTCTACTTGGCAATTACAGCTGTTTCTCCCTTTTTCCCTCCCGATTTTCTTTCTTAGCTCTCCTTTTCCCCTTTCTCCTGACACCCTCCTCCTTAATTGACTTCATGTTTCCTGGTGAAAGCTTGGATTGATCGTAGACACAACCATCTAGCACCTGGGCAGTGTTCCCCTGGCGAGCGCTCCCTGGGCACCCAGGCACCTCTGCTTTCCAGCAATCTCTGGGCTCTCGGCTCCAGGGTTGACACCGTTGAATTGTTGGCAAATCTCACCGGTGACAGTACCGCATGAGCCGCTGATGGTGGCAGAGTCGCCAAAGTTGGAGTTAATGCCCGCAACGTTGGTCCTGATGCCGTTGGCGCGGAGACCAGTAACGGTCACCTGTCGGGGGGACCGAGCCTGGTTGTTACCGCCTAGTATCATATAATCAGTAATGAGATCTAAGAGTTTGAGTTAGGATGAGGATCTAGACTTACAGTTGCCGCATGACCTGTAAAGTTTGCCAACATTGACGACCGTGTAGTTCTCGATCGTGACCCTACCAGGTCCATTATGCTGGACAACCTTGTCGTTGGCATTCTGAGCTCCTCCACCGGTGATGAGCACATCACCGCTTCCAGTAGCAGAGATAGCGTCTGTACACGTTTGTCAGCAGAGGTCGTTGTTTTGCGTTCGAAGACACTCCATACCTTCGCAGACATCACGGAACCAAACGCTCCTGACAGTGCAAGCTCCCGAGCAGTGAACACCATCTAGCTGGCGTACACCAATGATGGCGTTGCGGAGAGTAGCACCTGAGCCCAGGATGAACACAGCGTCCTCGGGTCCAGGGCTGCCGCTATCGTTGCAAGTCACACCGCGGTCGAATTCGCGGTTGCCAAGGTCCACAGTCGTGCCAGCGGGGATGTTGCAAGCCCTGGCAAGCACATTGACGTTGCCAGAGGTCGTAAACGTGCATCCAGCAGGAAGTCCCGTAATGGGTCCTGAGACCGCGGGGAAAGTGAGGCTCTGAGCGGCAGAGACACCGATGTAGAGGGCGAGAGTGAGGTACTGCATCTTGATAGATTGGATTGAAAGAGGTGGTTGATTGAAAGAGTTAGAGAAGAGGTTGTCTGATAGATGGGTGTATGGATTGATAGATAAGAAGTTGTTGGTAGTGGTGGATGTTGATTGTGGGACATCTCTACTCTTCTTATACTCTGTTGCTGGCTCTCTCTACCAGATTGAGTCTTTCACACACTGGGTTAGAGTTTGTCAATGGCTTGCCCTACCGGACCGAATCTTCTGCAAGTAAGCTTACACTCCATCACTACCCTCCCTTAGAGGTTTGAATTGTGTAGAGGTTGAACAGAAAGGCCCGTCTTCGATGGACATAGTGACGGACTAGACGAACTAGCTCAAACACGAACGACTTAGCTATACGTGTAGATGAGAAAGTAAGACCGAGCGTAGTGTTACTAGGGCGTGAGGGTTGAGCACTTTAGTCATCGGCATATCAGAAAGTCAGGTCACTCTATTATTATCATCGCCTGTACTTGGCGATTCTTATGTTTGAGACCACAGCCACTTTGTGTAGTCAAGCACAATATGGTCTCTGTTAACTCTGGATCCTTTCTGCTGGCCATATTGTACTGCAACCATGCTAATAACATTTCAATCAAGTACGTTGGATTTGGTACGGCAGCTTCCGTGGATATCAAACTTTGATTGAACACAGAAGACTATGGGAAGTTCTAGTCTCAAGGAAGGCGGACGAATGTTGCAACAAGGTGAACGAGAGCTGGCTCAACAGGTAAGCCGATCACTTTAGTGTACCTCCATACCTGCGAAGGGACCACCAATCATCGGGGAACAGGTATGTGAATCCCTTCCCTTGGCGTCATGCCATTCTTCACTGTCCACCGCAACGACCGTTTCATCACCAATATTTGATATCTTGGCGCTACCCCGACTGTCAAGTGGAGACGACCTCGTGGCTTAGCACTCATGAAGATCTTTCTCATGCTACTGAAAAGGCAAGGTCCATCTGAACCCTGAAAAGCAGTCCCATGGTCACGGCCATTGTAAACTCCGACTAAAAGTCGTGTTCGCACGGACAATAGGACAATTCTAAGAAAACCGACTACAACCGGGACTGTGAAGTGACGGTTTGCAAGGGACATATTTGTGGCTAGCGGGTTCAGGGTGCTGGCACGTTGTGCCTTCTCTAAGCGCTGTAGTTGTAGATTTATGCTATTCGCCCAAGCACTGAGGTAAAGGGGGTAGAGAATACGATAAGACCCTATTATGATGTAAGGCTATGCAGCACTTGGAGTGATATCTGCTAGGTATAGTACGCGTCTCGATGCACATCGTAGCAGCTTCGCTGCGCGGGCTAACCACCTGTTGAAGCTTGATCGTGATGGTCGACAATGAATGCGAAGGCCAGAAGTGCGAGTGCGAATGTCTAGCAAAGCATCAATCGCGCCATCTGAGACGATGGTATGCGCCAAGGGTCTAATGGGTTCTGGTGATGTTGAGCGGCCCATCGGAAGCTTCGCCGCCGGTTCATCGCCAGACATGCAGGTAGCGTCCTAGTGCGGCTGAGAGTTTTTCGGCAAATTCCTTCTACGGCCTAGACCAGACCTTGCGATCGGACGCTCAGCTTCATTAGACAGCTTGCTGAAGAGAGCTAAAGCACGCCAACGCCAAGGATGAATGCCAGATCGCCTATCAAACACCTCGATGCGTCCGAATGCGGAGTTGGAGGGATCTATGTAGTACCGGCCCGGTCCCGTAGCGAGGAACGTCAGAAGGAGGAGGCCAAAACGACTACAACGTACTCAGCACTGGGTTTGGGCTTACCTTCAGAAAATTTTCTCAGCCAGAAATTACTTGTCCACTAACTTTGTGACATGTGCGATCGGATCTCAAGAGGTATCAGCCCACGTGTGTCAACGAGGAATTAACCCTCACGATACGAGATGACATGCATAATGATCCGCTTGATCTACCCTTGTAAAGTCAAATCTCATCACTACTACCATTACCATCGCCATCTCGATCAACTCGGCCACTTGGCATTGCCCTGCATCGCATCTTTCGTATACACTACACTATTTCAGATCTCCATCATTCCCCATGCGGTCTACAAAAGGCGCAACCCATTACAAAGCGGTTATATATACAGTGCAATACCGTATATGCACGTCTGTATGCTCAACGGGCTTGTAGTCGATTGGCACTAGTATCTAGCCTTGCTTATGTGGCGCTGCATTCCCGTATACCCGTTTCGCAATGTGCCGCACCTAGGTAATAGAACGCAGCCTGCCAAGTAGGTCCAACCAACGGCAGTTACTAGCCCCCAGTCACTCACACACACGTACCTACACCGACTCTCCATCACCCCCCGTCATGCTTCTCCTGACGTCCTCTCATACTGATCAAGCACGCAATGTTTCCCCACACCCCCAGCCACCTCTTGCCCGTACATCCAAACATCCCACATTTGGATTTTGGCAAAATGAAGTGATTGCGCAATGATGTTGTAGCGTAACGAGTTAGTCTCCAGAGGTCTACAGAAACCAAGCTTAGGGGGACAATTTGAAAATGCATCAGGGGACACAACGGTACATCTCCCCTTCCAGTGGGCTACCTTGTTCCAAGCAGAAAAGCTATGATAGAACTACAGTGATGAACAAGACAGACAAGATCACATCCCCACACCAGCTAATATAAAAGTACAAATCGATATTAAGTTTTCATATTACTACGATCTTGCAATTCTCAAAGTGTGCCTGTTTTCTAGAGAACTTCACGAGTCGATGAGTTACTTTTGCACGTTTGATAGCGATATCCTTCTGGAAGCCGAGCCCGAGCAGTTAATTTGACCAAGAGTTCTTCTTACTGCCTATTCCATCTTCTTCTCCTCGAACATACCCTTTCCTTTGGAACGCGATGCTCTTCTCTGTCCTGTTCTGATTAGCTCTGTCCCGTCGTGCCCCCAAATTCTCACTACCAATCTCCCGCGCCTGTGAATATGCCAATGCCATTCCTTGATCCTAACACTAATACTATTTAAGCCAGTCATACATAAGCCAAGCTCCCTCTCGTCTTGCCTTCCTGCTTACTTCACTCAAGTCCACCGCTTTTCACCTCTCCGCCCGACAATCTTCGGGCCAGAAAATCCATCCCCTCTAAACTTCCCCAACCAGCATCAAAGCACAATATCCAGCATGATCCATTCCCAACATCAAGCACCGGGCAACCTCCTCTCAATGCGTCAAACTACAGTTCCATTCATCTTGATAAATGCCACGACTCGACAACAAGATTGAACATTGCAAATAAGGGTGAAGTCATGCTGTCTAGACATGTCCTAGTAAATTGATACCGGTATCTGGCTTTGGTGTTGTGGCGCCGTATGTCCGTCTCACATTGTTCTGTGCCTAGAACGCAGCCTGCCAAGTAGATACGGTAAGTACAAGGACACACCGCCTCTCTTTTACAATTTCCTGGTAATGTGTGGAGTAGTAGGAGAGGAAGTTGGTGTTCCTGTTCTCGGTTTTATGTTAAATGTCTCGGGTACTCTGCATCCAGTGTGTTGTTGACGGGCGCTACTGAAGTAAGTATCTACCTACTAAAGGTGATCCAACGAAAACATGTGAAGATATTTAATCTGGCCAGGAATAGGAGCCAATGGCGGTAATCCCCAACATTTTGTGCCTCTGATGTTCATCTTAGGTGAGACACACGTTCTGCAGATGACTGACTGACTAGAAATTCTGACTGACTAGAAATTCTGACTGACTAGAAACTCCATGTCAGCGGAAACACAACCCCAGTATAACCGTGTTCGGCGTCGACGTATCGGCTATACGCTGTGCCCAAAAGGGTAAACACCTCGGCACGACGCGTCTGGGGAAATGCGGAGGTGGGGAACTGAGGAAACAGTTCATCGGTCCATGGACATACCTCGGCTGTCCATGGACTAACGCAGACAGGTAATTGCCACCTGCCAAGGCTGTTAGCATGGACAGATGAACTTTTAGCGAAACGTGTTCTAAATATATTAGAGATATTTTATAATATTTCTATTTTACTTATATAGAAGTTTTCTAACTTGTTCTAAACAAGTTCTAAAGTAGTTCTAAAGATCTTTCTAATACATTCTACTATTTACTTAGAAAATACTTTAGTTTTATTAGGGTTAGAGTTAGTTAGAGGTTAGGGTTAGGTTAAGGTTAGGGTTAGTTAAGGTTAGAGTTAGTAGAATTAATAAAATAAATCTTTTTCTATTATATTTTAACTTGTTCTAAAGATTTTCTAAACTAGTTCTAGTAGTCTTAAAACTAAAGTGATGCTAGCTACTTTAAGCGCTTGGCATGGTCAGCCGAGGTATTTCCATGGACCGATGAACTGTGTCCTCTGGGGAACTACAGGTACTCCACTTCATCACATCAGCAACATCCACCAACTTGCTCGACAAACAATCGCTCGTCTTGAATCCCCCATCACCCATCACCCATCTCACTCCCCACCCCATCCCCCTACACCTCCCCCAAACCAGCAAAAATGGTCGGCCCCAAACAACCCGTCTACGTCCTCGGCGTCGGCATGACCAAATTCATCAAACCCCGCGGCAAAGTAGACTACCCCGAACTCGGCTTCGAAGCGGGCGTCAAAGCCATGCTAGACGCCCACATCAACTACGACGACGTCGACCAAGGCATAGCATGCTACTGCTACGGCGACTCGACCTGCGGCCAGCGCGTCTTCTACCAGTTCGGCATGACTGGCATCCCCGTGTACAACGTCAATAATAATTGCTCCACGGGCTCGACGGGGCTGTACATGGGCAGGAATATGATTGCGCATGGGGCTGCCGACTGCGTGCTTGTTGTTGGCTTTGAGAAGATGTTTCCTGGGTCTTTGCAGACGTTTTTTCAGGACCGCACGAATCCGACCAGTACGACGAATCTCATTATGAAGGAGACGCGCGGGATTACGAATGCGCCGGGGGCGGCGCAACTGTTTGGGAATGCGGGGCGGGAACATATGGAGAAGTGCGTTTCCCTTACTACAAACCTCCCCCATGTCTGTCCAAGCAAAGAAATGACCTCAAACTAACAACAACAACAACAACAACAGATACGGCTCCACCCCCGCCGACTTCGCAGAAATCGGGCGCATAAACCACGCCCACTCAAAGCACAACCCGTACTCACAATTCCGCGACGAATACACACTCTCCCAAATCCAATCCTCGCCCATGATCCACGCCCCCTTGACAAAACTGCAATGCTGCCCGACCTCCGACGGCGCCGCAGCCGCAGTCCTAGTCTCGCAATCCTTCCTCGACGCGCGCCCGGACTTAAAAGACCAAGCCATCCTAATCGCCGGCCAGCGCCTCGCAACAGACACCCCCGCGCTCTTCAACCGCAGCGCCATCGAGCTCGTCGGGTACAGCATGAGCGCGCTCGCGGCCCGCGACGCACTGGCAGAAGCACACGTAACACCCGCCGACATCTCCGTCTGCGAACTCCACGACTGTTTCTCCGCCAACGAAATGGTGACTATCGAAGCGCTGGGCCTGGCGCCAGAGGGAAAAGCCCACGAGCTCATCCGCGCAGGCGGCATTACATACGGCGCGGACAGCAAACTGGTCGTCAACCCCTCCGGCGGCCTCATCTCAAAGGGCCACCCGCTCGGCGCGACGGGGCTGGCGCAGTGCGCGGAGCTGGTGTGGCATCTGCGCGGGTGGGCGAATAATCGCAGTGTGGCTGGGACGCGGGTTGCGCTGCAGCATAACCTTGGGTTGGGGGGCGCGGTGGTGTGCACGGTGTATAAGCGGGGGGATGGGGGGGAGGCGGTCGATGTGTCGGATGAGGTGGTCGCGCAGAGGACGGGGTTGGGGTATAATCCTGCGACGCGGGCGAGGGGGTTTACGGGTGAGCAGGTGGATGGCGTGAGGAGTCGGAGGGCGAGGAGTGAGTGGGCGTTGCAGGATGTTGGGGAGAAGGTTGAGAGTAGGTTTTAGACTGTGATGAGTGATGACTTGGAGGGCGGGATGAATCGAATGCGTGTGTGTTTTTCTTGGTCTGGTGTATTGTATTACTTCTCTTCCCTCGCACAGCATGCACACATAAAGACTCGTCGTCAAATAATCCAACCAACATGACTTGTTCTACCCATCATCATTCACTTCCCCCCACCACCACCACGGCGAAACACGCTCCTGAGCTCAAACTCCGGCAGTCCCTTCCCACCACCACCCGGTGTCCGACCAGCAGGAAGCATAGACCTGAAGGCCGAACCCGCACTCGACGGATTCACCTCTTCTGGCCCATCCTCCTGCATCGTGACATTCTCCTGCGTCGACGGAAATTCCGGCTCGATGCCAAGTTGAGACTGCAAATCCCGGTACTGCGTCTCAGCATCATACCGACCGTGGGCCCGGGACCCGCGTGCATGAACAGACGCGGCGTGCGTCTCCGACTGCGAAAGCATAGGGGAGAATTGCGGTGGTGGTAGGCCGGTGCGTGTCCCCTGCGCCTCTTCCATCTCCCCCTCCATCTCCACCCCCGCGACATACCGCTGCCGAACCTTCCTCTCCCTAGCAACACGCGCCTGCTCAAGCGCCAGCATGAGTTTCCTGCGATCCACGACCCTGGCCAACGCGCGCAGCAGATCAGGATGCAACTGCTGCTCCTCATCAACATGCTGCATAGTCTCGGCGATGCGGCCGATGAGTTGGGCTTTCGCGTACCCGCGCAACATGACGCCGTACGTGTACTGATCCGGGTCGACGCCGCGGGAGCGCATGATGTCGAAGACGCGGTCGGCGGCCTGCACCTGCCCGGTCTTGAAGAACGCTTGCATGAAGATGTTCCAGGTGTAGATGTCGGGTTGGGGGGCGTGCAGGGTCATGTCTGCGAGGAGCTGGGCGGCGCTGGCGAAGTGGTGGGTTTGGCAGAAGGCGAGGAGGAAGGCGTTCCAGATTGGGGGGTTGCGGGCGAGGCTTGTTAGGATGGGGGTGGTGCTGGTGCTGTTTTTGTTGGTGGCGAGGAGCTTGAATTGCGAGTAGAGGGTTTGTACGCGCTGGGGGCTGAGGTGCTGCGCTGCTTGGATTTCTGCCTGCAGGATTATGTAGAGGGCGATGTGGGGGGGTTGGAGGAGGGAGTCTGGGTTTTGCTGCGAGATGGCGTGCCGCAGTTGGTGTCTGCTGTGGCTGATGAAGGGGAGGAGGGGGGTTGCGGAGAAGATGTCCAAGTAGGCGCGCCATAGTCGAGACAACGTCCGCTCGGGATCGGAGGTGTTGTGGTAGCGGATGTACAGGTAGTACAGGTAATCCGTCCCAAGCCAAGGGTCTTTGATCTCTTTCGCTACCTCTGCACAGTACTCTGCAAAGTCGTTAAAGCTCGCGGGGTTGCTTTGCATAGTGCACCCATGCAGGAGGATCGAGAAGGTATGCGGGTCGGGCTTCATCTCATTCCCATCCAACGCGTTGTACACTTTGAACGCAGTAGCATAATCACCGGCTTCCATAGCGTTGTGCATGACGACGTTGTAGAGGAGGATATCCATCTTGACGCCCAGCCGCACGAAAGCAGCGACTATGCCGGGCGTCTCGTGGTAGTTCTCGCCCTTGCTCGTGCTCTTGCGCAGGATGACGGCGCAACTCCATCGGAACCGTTGGCGGTCCACCACTCTCTGCCATGCGACGGGATCGTGTTTTGCTTTCATCACGTCCAGACATTTCAACGCATACTCGAAATTGCCGGCTTCGCCAAAGGTGCTCGCGTAGTGCAGGAGGGTGTCGTATCCGAGGCGTGTCCGGGCTTCGACGAGCATGTCAAATACGCCTTCGAGGTCATGAGGAGTCGTCAAACTGACGACATTATATAACAGCTCCTGCGAGCATACATTGGGATGACCAGACAGGGTTTGACGGAAAACACGGGAGAAGGCCGCAACGAAGTCCTGCTTGAGTGCCTCTGGATCCCGGTCCCATCTATCACTTTTAGCATACAGCTTGTTGACGTGTATCTTGGCAAGATGGCCTAGAGCGTCGGCAAGCATTTCAGGTGGAACACGGCCAAGATGGGGAGCATCAGCCAGCGCCTGGATAAGCTGCAATGCGCGGCCGGGTCTGCGATCGAGAAGATAGACAAGCAATCGCTGCGCATACAGTGTCTTCTTCTCCGAGTCGAGGTTCACCCAGCGTAGCTTGGTCTGTTCAGTCTTTCCGAAGAACAGGCTGCTCCATCTCGCGCAACGGCGGTGGTGCTGTATGGTGATGACTTGGGTGTAGCGTTTCATACGCCAATGAACTTTCCTGTCGAGCGCAGCAAAGGCTCGGACCAGCCATGAGCGCCCTTTCCGAGCACTATCCGCAGTGCTTAGGTCCAGTCTCGTTGCATTCCATTGTCTGAGGTTGAGGAGACGGCGGCCGAGCGACCTATATTGGCCCTGGCCCAGTAACGTTTCGACTGAAGTGGATGGTTGGCGGGAAACGTAGCCAGAGCGGCGCTTCTGTTCGAGAGCAAGCAATCTGCGACGATGCGTGGCGAGACGACGAGATGTTTGCTGCTGCTTCTGCCTTGTTCGACCCGCAACCCTGCGAGGGACTGGTGGGGTCGTAGCATAGCTCCGAGCCTGCTGGCGCGCAAAAGAAGCAATATCGGCGTAGCGGAGGTCTGGGGAATTCAATGGGAAAGCCGTCCTTGGGGGTTGGCGTAATAAATGCGTAGAGGACGAGGATTGCAGCAGTCCAGCAGCAGGACTCGGTGCAGCCTCAGAGCTTGCCGCATAACTCCAGGTACTTTTCTGCTCTTCTCTTATACATCGTGGCACTCTTACGCTATCCCTACACACGAAACTCTTCTCCCTCTCTTGCTGCACCCTTCTGCACTCCCCACGTCCATGACTCCTCCTCGACACAGACGACTCGACAAAAACCCTCGGTGCAAGCCACGGGAGGATGGGAAAATCGGCGCTGGCGACGAAGCTAGCATTGGGGACGTGGGCTCGGGGCATGGGAGGAAGGGCGATGGAGCGACCTTCATCGAGCCATGGCGCGTCGGACGAGATGAAGATACCAGCGATGGGATGGTGGTGAGTGAATGCAAAAAGTTGCATATGCGCTTGTGGTTTGAATGGTCCGCCTGTGGGCGAGCGAGCGAGCGCATCACCTCCGAACTTTTGGTCCTCGCCGCAAACATCTCTTCTACAGTAGCAATAACAACTGCATTGCGCCAACACAACTATACGACTTAGACTTTGGGTTTTACAGCGCCTACCTAATCACGCGCGCATATCACGCTCGTTCCAAGGAAGAAAGCACGACATCAACCCCATCCCCGACCTTCCCACCGCAACCCGCAACCCGCGCAAACAAACCCACCCACGCGCCCAACAATGTCCACGCACGAAAAGCTCTCCGCCGCGTCCAACGACCGAAAATCGCGCCTCGCCCAACTAAAATCCCTAAAGCGCAAACAACCCACCGACTCCTCCCCCTCGGACACTCCATCCACACAAGAAGCCTCCGACGCGACCACCCTCACCGCCCCCACAACGTCCACCTACCTCTCAGGCCGAAACTTCGACCCCACCACGCGCACCCTAAAACTCGGCTACAACCTACCGCCCATCAGCGACGCAACCGCAACCCTCGAGTACAAAGCCGCCCAACTCGCGCTGGACACGAAGACGCAGCAAGACGCCGAGAAGCGCGAGGCTAACAAGGGGCTGGATCTGTTTAGGCTGCAGCCTAAGCGGCCGAATTGGGATCTTAAGCGCGATTTGATGGGGAAGATGGGGGGGCTGGATGCGGTGACTGCGAGTGCGATTGCGGGGGTGGTGAGGGAGAGGGTGGGTGCGCAGAGACGGGTTGGGGGTGGGCAGGGCGAGGGGGAGGAGGTCGGGATGGAGGGGAGTGAGTTGGTGGAGGCTATGCATTTTAAGGAGGAGGAGGAGGAGAGGGAGCGGAGGAGGGAGGTGGAGGATGAGGAGGCGAGTTGAGTGGGTGGAGTTGAATTGGGCTGAACTGAATTGAAATGCTGGACACGCAGATTATCCGTCCCTTGCGCAGCTCCCTGTGTGGGGGTATGGTTGAGCGCAAATTGTTCGCTGCATTTGCAAGGAGAGAGGGACATGTCACGCGCATGGGAACAGAGCGCAACAGGAGCAAACACGCGATTTCTCACGGAGATTTCAAGATTAATAGTACAAAAACTGAACAGCAGACGTACACGACGACGTCTTAGTAGCTGCAGTAAACCCTCGTTTCGCTCGCTCCATCCTAATGAATATGCCTACATCTGCCCCGTGTTCATCGCCTTGGTCAGAGCCACGCGCTTGCTAAACGGGCTCAGACTGCGCTCCCTCTGCACAGGCGGCGGTTGCGCAGGCGGCGGTGCATTCCTGCCCACGCGCTCCCCAGGCCCGTCGTCGAAGCGATTCCGTCCACCCCTGTGATCACCGCCCATCCTCCCACGCTGTGGGCTAGGCGCCCTGCGTCTAGAGTACGGACTTGGGCTCCTCCCACCTCTGACCGGCTGAGGAGACTTCTTCGGCGGGGGACTCGCGCCCCATCTGCCTCTCACCGCGCCATTACGACCATCCGACGTGTCCATGTGCTCCGGGCTTCTCGAGCGCGACGTCGACACGCGGACGGGCCGCTTGCCAGGCGCCTTCCTGCTCCTGCTGCGCGACTCGTCTGCGCCGCTGCTCGCACTGCGCGCCTTGTTGTGCACGCGACTAGATCGCGATCGTGACCGTGACCGTGTCCTTCGCCGCCCGCGCTCGTCTGGGCTGAAGGAGCTCATGCGGCGTCGGGTGTTGCGGTCTTGGTCGCGCGAGTCGACGGATGCCGGGCGCTGGGTGCGTTTAGGCGGGACATGGTGTTTGCGGCGGCGGGGCGCCGGGGAGCGCGAGGGCGAGCGGTTGGTGGAGATTGTGGAGATGGAGTCTGCTGAGGAGGAGCGGGAGCGGGAGCGTTTGCGGGACTTGCGGTCGCGGCCGCGGGCGTCTTCTTTCTGCTTGAGGATGTCGTCGGCGACGCCTTTTCTGGGATGCAATCAGTTATGAGTAAAGGATGCGCGTGTCAAGATACGCACTTGCGCAACAGCTCGTTGGGGACTTCGGTGGTGAGCTTGGGCTTCAGCTTGGGGTTCAGGAGCTGCTGTGTTCGGGACGGGCGCGACACGTAGGGCCGTTCTTGCGTTGTTGCTTTGCATTCGTAGCTGTAGTGGCCTCGCTTTAGGCACTTTTGGCACAGCGTGTCTGCCGATGCCTTGGAGCGGCCGGTGCCTGGCTTGCGGAACATTGCAGTGCGTGTCTTCGTATGCGCCGTAGTGTTGGTTGCAATGTTTGCAGATAATTGCTGGATATATGCAGATGCACTCGATGCTACTACAAAAGACCCGTGGGTTCCAGTCAGAGGAAGAAGCTCGGCCGAGTTGATCGTCGAATGCGCCGGGGACGTGTCGCGGCTGACGTAAGGTTGGGATTTTATGAGGCCGCGCCAAGTCACCAACGCCCACCACATCACGTATCACCGCCCTTGCTCTGGCTTCACACCCAGCCAGCACCCCGCACACCCGCCTGGTCTCCGCCGTGTCGCCGCCGAGCCACACTACCTCGACCCGCCGCATCCGCTGTGCGCGCCTCGTCGCCGGACGCAGGCCCTCTCCCTCGCCCGCCCAGACAGCCGCAACCCGCAACCCTGACTGCAGACCCGCTGCGAAGGCTGCCTTCACCTCGCCTGCCACCACCTCGCCCACCCCACACACGCTTTCCCTCGAATGTCGGCACACCAACATGTCCAACACTCTGGCCCTGCGCACCGCGACTTTCCTTGAGCACCCCATTTCCTGAAAAGCCACCCCGTCCCTTCGGCAACATATATCTTTTTTCAGAATCGACGACTCCCGTCACGGCGTTGAGCGTGGGCAATTTTTAAAAGGCAGTGGCACGCGACAGTTGCTCGAACCTGCGTCTGGAAAATCCCGAATCTGCTTCTTTTTCTGCCTTTGAGCGCTTGTCTGTGTGCGCCAACCCTACGCGACCAGGACTGTGTCGCACTACCTCCTCCAGCCTCTCCACGGACCGCGCCGCATCGCCATGGCATCTGCAACACAGGTCCCCGCGGAACAGGCCCAGCTGCGGCAATCTTTTGCCAAGGTGAGCACGCAGCGACAGGATGGCCCCGGCGCCTCGCTGACTGAACAGGTCGCTGCTTCTGCTCTCAAGACCCAGACGCTAAAGGAGCCTGCGCCCAAGGCAAAACCGCCTGTTGCCACGCCCAGGATTCTTGTCCAGCCGCAGAACATGCGCCCGGCTCCCGTCAGCGCCGAGGTGCCCAAGGTGCTCATAGAGAAGAACGAGACCAGAGGCACAACCGAGCAGTCTGGCACCGGACAGTGGACCAACCCCGCAGGTCAGCCAGCCATGCTGCCGTCCAACGTCAGGGAGGAGGAGACAGAGAGGCCCCGCTCGGCCACCATCATCAAGGTTTCTGCCGCAGAAGACAGCAGCACCCAGCTGTCTTCCTCAGACGGCTCTGCCAAGCCTCCTAGCGTCGACGGTGGAAAGAGCGTCGCCTCTACCACCACGTTCGCTCTCGACGAGAAGGAGTCGCTTCGTCCTGATGACAGCGCTAGCCTGAGGGCGGTCGAGGAAGAGGATGTCGCGTCCACCCCAGACTCAGTCGTTGCCGATTCCCGACAAGGATCCGACAATGGCGCCGCTCGAGCCTTTCGCGACCAGCTGCATGAGATTGCCGTCATGAACCCTCAGCCTCAGCGAGGTGGCCCACCAGGGCGCTTCCCCAATCTCCCCAACGGCCCCCACACACTCTACGACCCTACTCAGTTGCCCAACGAAGCTAGGCCCCTGTCACAGTCGGTCGGCAACGGCATTCCCTTGATTCCTGGAGGTCCCAACCTGCCTGCCACTCCAGACGAGAAGCTCATCGAGGCATTGCAGTCTCCACGCGACCGACTCTTCGTAGTCAAGATCGAGCAGGACTTTATTGATTTCATCAAGGACCCTCGGTACGTCCGCCCTCATGTCCTCCCAAACTCTATACATGCTAACGCCAAACAGCGAACATGAATACTCTCTCCCCAACTGCAACACATTTTACAGGATGCTTGCCCATCGTCTTGCGGACTACTACCTGCTCGGTCATGTGGTTGATACGACCATGACTGGTGTGAAAATTACCCGCACTCCATACTGTAGAATGTAAGTACTTTTCAATGAAATTCTCAGCATTTTGCTAACGTTTGCAGTCCGCCTCCTCTCTCGCAAATGGTCGATCCCGCCAAGAGCACTGACACGCCGCCTGCCGAACTCCCGACTCGCAAGATCATGCGCCGTGATGATGGAAAGTCAGGAACTAACACCACAGCCAACTCCAAGACCACATCCGAGAATGGCGGCAGCGATGGCTGTGATGAGAATGGCAAGGAGAAAGACAAGGGCCCGCTAACTCGAGAAGAACGTGAGGCGCGCTACCGAGAGGCTCGGCAGCGGATCTTTGGCAGTGCCGAGAGCGAGGAGACTGAGTCCGCCGAAGCGACTGGATCAGGCGAAGAGAAGGAGAAAGATAAGGATATGTCAAGGTCGAACTCTGCTTCGGGCAAGAAGAAGACCAAGAAGCAGCGCAACTACGACGACGATGACTTCCAAGCTCGGTCTCGATTCAACGCGTACTACCCACAACAATATCCTACACCAGGATATTCTGGAGACAACGTAGTCTACTACAATGGGTTTCCAGGGCCCATGCCGACTCCACAGTACACGAACATGAATCCAGGGGCCTCGCCGCCACCAACATACAACAACCCGTATCCGGTCATGGTGTCTCCAGATGCTCAGCCGCAGTATGGCTGGCCCGGTCAACAGTACCAGCCTCCGAATGCGCCCGCGATGTACCCCAATTACGGTCCAATGCAGAATGGCTACGACTTGTCAGCAGACTACCAGCGGGGCATGTCTTCGTTTCAAAACGCAGGCATGCCTTCTCAAGTGACCCCCAAGATGGCCAACACCATGATGGCGCCTTACCAAGACTCGTACCCGCAGCCCCAGCAAGCGCCAATGAACCCAGCTTGGCCGCAGATGAACCAGCAACCCTCCTATCCCATGGCTCAAGGTGCATTTACGCCCCCCGGACCCGGCAACCGCCCCATGTCTGCGCCACACCAAGGACCCATGCAGGGATCATACCCATACGGCCAGTTCCCCTCAAGTCCCTACAACGGCAAAGCAAACCGCAACCAACACCCCATCCCAGGCAGCTACAACCGCCAGCAATTCAACCCGCAAAGCCAAGCCTTCGTCCCAGGCGGCCGCAACATGCCCTTCCAAATGCAGCCCAACATGGGCCCCGGACCGCCCCAAATGAACGGCTACGCCGGTTTCCAAATCCCCGGCTCCAACCCAATGTCCAGACCAAACCCGTCGTCGACCAGCACACCCTCATTCGGCTCCCCGCAGACCATGCAAGGCACCCACCCTGGTGGTAGCAGCATGATGAACAGAATCGCATCCCAGCCCGGCGAGCCTGCATCCGCTTACAACACGTCGACGCATAGCAGCATCGCTAAGTACGGCACTCCGTCGCATTTACCTGCTAAACCCCCGGCGCCGCAACAGGTCGCGCCCAAGTTCCCCGCGTTGACGCGTGTGCCGAGTAATTTGGCAGCGGGGCTTGTTGGCACCGCGCAGAATGGGAATCCGGCTGCTTAGGGGGGGGTGTTGGGGCTGCAGGGATGGGGGGTTGTGTGTGTTGCGCTGGGGGTACATGTATTTGCCGGTTTGGAGGAGGGGGGGGAGGAGTCTGGAATGAGGGATGTATGACTCTGGCGTGTTGGGCAAAAGTGGGGTTTTATCGTACGTAGTGTGTACTGTGCTATGGGGAGGAGGGGGATTTAGGTAGCTCGGACTGCCTCGCTGTCTACATGGTAGTAATCAAGACTGATATCTTTATTTGGTTCTGGTCTGTGATGTTGATCTCGTTTGCGACTCTGTGTGCAGAAGTGATGATGCTGGAGGTGGAAACCATGTCGTGAATCGAACCTAAACGGAAATACATACGTGTTGGAAGTAAGGAATCGGTTATCTAGCAATCGCTATGTCAAGCACAACCTACACACAATCAACTAATTTACTATACAAACAAAACGTCTATGCCCCGGAAAGACATTGATGGCAGATAAATAGCGAGCAGGTACAACGCCGATATTTTACTTGTAGTTCAACTGGATATCTTCAATACTTACACTTCACACTCTGCCTACCTCTTCCTACCCTTCCCTTGATGTCGATTTCTTTGCTCTGCTTTGCTCTGCTTTGCTCTGCTCTGCTCTACTTTTCTCTGCTTGGCCTTGCCTTTGTGCAAGGAAAATAGCCGTTGTAGGAGGGAACGCTTGATGATGCATATGCGTTGCGATGGGGTGTTGGGTGCCTTTTTGCTGTACCGCCATTTATCACGCTGAAAGCCCGTACTTACATCGATGTTAGTTTTTGAAGTTGGATGGTTTCCATCCATTTCCCGACTTTGGTCAGTGACTGAGCGAGAAGAGGCTGTATAATGTAGTGTAATGTAGTGCAGAGAGTCAATACACGGATATGGCATAGTATAGTACAAGCGGGTTCATGACTAGCCGAACGCATCCATCGTCTGGGATTCGCGTAACGTTAATGGCTTGGTGTTTACGATATGACCTCACCACTCCAAATAATTACTTTTTCAACCATTGCGCGCGTGGGTTTCCACAACTACTTACACTGGTGTTTGCCATCCATCCATCTGTATATACTTCAATCATGGCGATTATACAAAACTGGCTCCCCCCCTCGCGCGAGAACTACGAACTCATCTGCTACATCTGGCAGTTCTTTCCGCTTGTAAGACATACATCTCCATCTATCCGTCCATCCCCCCTAACAATTTCCGTGTTCATAGATCACAGCCTTCCAATGGCTGCTGGACTGGTACCCGCAGGGCAAAACATCGATAAACTCGCGCATCAACATCCCGGGCAAGATAGGCTGGGCGACCATGGAATCCGTGGGGTTCCTTACCTTGGGGTATATTTTCGTCGCGCTGCCGCGGGAACTAGGGATTGGGAGCGGGGGGTTGCCGTGGGGGAATTGGGGTATGGGGGGGTGTTTTGTGAGTCTTGTTTCCCGTCTCATCTCATTATACATATACATATACATATACATGAATTATACGCTGCTAACACATCATGATTATCCAGGTTATACACTACCTCTACCGCGCCGTCCTCGCGCCCCTGTACCTCAACCCCAGCATGTCGCCCATCCACCCGCTCGTCTGGACAATGGCCTTCGCCTTCCAGATCTTCAACGCCGTGTCCATTGGCGGCTACCTAGCCGGCTACGGGCCAACTACGTCTTCCCACTGGGCCGGGCGCTCAGGCACGATATTCGCCGGTCTACTCGTATGGTGCGCCGGCCTAGCAGGCAACATCTACCACGACGACGTGCTGCGCGAGATCCGACGAGCGGCGGACCGCAAACAACGTAAAGTGGCTGCTGAGCAGGGCAGGCCTGTCGAGAGCGTGGATAAGGTGTATGTTGTGCCTGAGAGGGGGCTGTTCAAGTACGTGCTGCATGCGCATTATTTGTGTGAGTGGATTGAGTGGGCGGGGTGGTGGATGATGGGCGGGTGGAAGTGTGCGCCTGCCAGGGCTTTCTTGGTCAATGAGGTTACTACTATGCTGCCCAGGGCGCTGCAGGGGAGGAGGTGGTATGTTAGGCGGTTTGGGGGGGAGGCGGTTGCGGGGAGGAAGGCGGTTTTGCCTGGGCTGCTGTAGTGAGGTTGTTGTTGAGGATTGAATGGGTTATTCATAATTCGCGGATGTCTGTAATTCATGGTTGTCCGTAGTTTGCTGCCATTTCTGATTTCTGATTCGCGTCGTCTGGATCTCCATGTTCACTGCTCAGCTGTTATGTCATCAATACAGCTCGGGGTGCATTAGCGGTGGCCAATGTAGCGTTGTGTAGTGTTGTGTAGGGTCCAGCGAAAGATCAGCACGACACTATTCCATCAGCACGAGGGCTGCTTGAACCTTTGTTGGGCAGTGCACGGCATGACAGACACGTAATCTTCACGGATCCATGCACGACGCGCACGGCCCATGATGGGAAAGTTTGCAACGCTCGAGAAGGAGTCGAGAAAGGTGGTTGATGATGATACTCATATCATTCCGCGCGTAAGCATGTGACGTTGGAGATGCAGGCGCTCTGCGTTGTCAGGGCGGGAGAGCAACTTACCGAGGAGAGGAGTCTGCATTTGCATCTGCATCTGCATCCATCACGAACCTTCTAAATTAAGAGCGGCCAATCACGGGCGCACGGTGTCGCCAACACGAAGAATGGGAAAAGGGGACCAGCCGGCGGGGACAGGAGGGTACAAGGGCGCGCGGGAGGCAGCATGCTGCAATTGCCCTGCCACGATGCGCGCAGCCCTGCGTCTGGTATATGTAGTGATGCAGAGGCAGTCTATCGTCCATCGTCTATCTATGACCGCGTGTTGTCGAAGAGTTGAAACGGCCCAAACGGGAAGGCAGGTCGGACAGCTGAGCCGCGCACGCCTGGATTGCGCCTAGCCATGCACCTCAGCGCGACTGGGACGTCCCAAACCAGCTGCTAGCCGTCAGACCAGATTAGAGTGCAGCAGGCCCCGCCGCCAGGCAATATCGGTTGGCGTGGGCGTGGTGAAAAGCATGGCCGCGCAGCTCGTCGACTCCTTCATTTCCTGCCAGAGCTCCCCCATCGTCGTCTGTTTCTGCTCGTGTTTGAGCTGCCCGTGCTGCCAGAGGCCCCTGTTTCCTTTTTGTGCACCAGCAGCAGATCCAGTGGTGGGCCCGTCTCCGCTCTTTGCTGCACAACCACGCCAGCCCTCGATTGCCCACGCACGGCTCGCCCACGTCCCATTCTCGGCGGCTGCATAGGTACATCACTGCTGCTCGGGACTGCATTGCATGACTACTGCTCCCACGGCCCGGCGACGCTGCAAGATCCTCGTGGCTCCCGTCCACCACGACTTGAGCCGGCCCTGTCCCTCGTCTCTCTCTTCTCTCGTCTGCCTGTCGCGCCTTGTTGCTTTCCATTGAGACACCATGTCGAGCGTCAATTCCGGCACCGCTGGTACGTCTGCCTCTTCCATTGTCGCGTCCACTCCTTTGCCGACCTCGTCCGCGCCCCCGTCCTCGTCCTCGTCGTCGTCTGAATCCGCGCCCTCGTCCCTCTCTACTGCCTCGCCCTCTGCGCCCTCTGTAACACCCTCTTCAGCTCCCGCCGCCTCGTCAGCAGCACCCGCCTCGTCGCCCGCCGCGTCATCAGCACCCGCTGCCAGCTCGCCGGCCACATCAGCCGCAGCAGCCTCTTCACAGGCCCCAGCCGCAAGCTCTGCGGCGGCCCCCGCTGCGTCTTCAGCTGCACCAGCCCCAGCGGCCAGCGCGCCTGCCACATCGGCTGCTGCACCCGCTGCCCCAACAACGCTCGTCGTCACCGCGCCGTCTGCAGCGCCGTCCATCACAGAGGTAGCGACCTCGTTCATCACAATCACCCCGTCTGCGTCAGTCGCAGGACAGGCACCCTCAGTCGTCGTCATCACTTCTCTCATCACCACCGCCAACCCGAACCGCTCAACCGCCACCGCCTCCAACTCGAGATCGGCTGCTGCCGCCACCAGCACCAGTGCCAGCGATACACCCCAGAGCGCCCAGAATGAAAACACCAACAAAGGACTGTCGACGGGCGGCAAGACAGCCATCGCCGTCGTGATTCCCCTGGTCGTTGTGGGTCTGCTGGTGCTGGCGGGTATCATCCTCTGGCGGAAACGCAAGCAGCGCAAGGGCAACGAAGAGGAGCGCAGGAAGGAGGTGGAGGAGTATGGCTACAACCCCAACCACGATCCAACACTCCCTGCAGTCGGCGCTGCCCCCCAGATGGTCGAGGACGACAGCGGGTACCGAGGATGGGGCAACACAGCAACCAGCTCGGGCCGCAAAGCCTCCACCACCCTCACCGGCGGCATGGCCTACTCAGACAGCACCAGCAACCCAGATGCCTACAACCCCAGCTCCCCAACCCACGGTGCCTACTCCGACGCGCCCTCAGGCGACCCATTGATGAACGGACGACGCGAGACAATGGACTCAGACGGCCTCGCTGCTCTCGGTGCCGTCGGCGCCGCAGCCCCCAACTCCACCCAGAACCAAGCCGGCGTCAAGCGCGGGATATCAAACGCCTCCTCCACCTACTCTGCCGCCGACCACTCAGACAACTCCGGCGACTACCCCGGCATGACAACAACCCACCACAACGAATACTACGCCGATCAGGGGTACTACCAGGCCAATCCGTACGGCAACGACCCGTACGGCGCTGGAGGCCAGCCCGTAATACGAGATGTTAGTGCGCGGCGGAACACGCAGATTCAGAACCCTAGTGTTTTCCCTCAACAAGGGAATTCGGGGATTTCGCAAAACTTTTAGACGCAGATTTTATTTTAACTATTGATATCGTGTTATATCACTGCACTCTCGCTCGAATCATATTGTACATGTTTCCTATCTCTGGTCGCGGAATGCGGGCTCAATCTATCAATCTTTCCGTTCTTGTTCTCTTTTTTGGTTGGGAGTGTTGTTTATATCCAGATTTAAAGGCGTTTTTTATGGAGTGAAAGGGAATCGATTGGAATGGAATGGAATGGAAACAGTCGTTTGCACATCTTCACTTGCTTGCTTGCTATCTATCTATCTGTCTTTTGTAAACCTCTCTTTTTGTTTAGACCGATGGCTTGGTTAGTTGGCGGTTGGTAGTTGATGGGTGGATGTGTGTGCGCGCTTTGTCTGCCGTTACATTGCGTTCCTATGCGTTGGTCTGATGGCAGACGATGGAGATGAAGGGGGATGAAGGGGCGCGAAGCAAACGCACCAACTTCTTGCGTTGCGTAGTTCTAGTCTGTCTGGGACCTCGACATATATATAAACCTGGTTCTGGTATCTGTTGTAATATCACTCTTTCGACTTTGTTCAATCTGCACTTTTCTTTTCTTTTCTTTGCCCAGATGATGGGGGTTGGCTTGTGTGTGTGTGTGTTTTCACTCTTTGCTTTCCATTCCATAGTCTTGCTTCGATCACTAACAATCGGGGGGAGGGGAAGGAGATTTATATGCTTTGTTTTCGCGAATACACGTATTTATACGACATTTTTTTGCTGTCTGCGTAGAGAGAGAGATTGGGCTGCGCGGAATCTTGATACCTCGTATTTTGTTCTTTCTGGTCTTGGTGTGTACGGACGGACGGACGACTTTGTTGCGTGGGGTGTGGGGTGCTTGTATGCTTGTATATATGCTGTGCTGGGCTGTGCTGGGCTGGGCTGATGGTGCGGGTTTTCTTCCTTGCACGACTACTTGGAATCTCGTCGGTGATGCGGGGATGAGAGGGGCTTGATGGGTGTGTACGTTTATCTTGGTTCTAGCAGAGGAGAGGGAGGGAGGGAGTAGTAGGAAGGAAGATGTGCTCTGTGTGGGGAGTATGGCGTAGTGAGTGGGTAAAGGTAAGGCAGGTTTTCGTACGAAGTATCAATTTACGTTTGAGGTGGACTCTGATATATCTACATACTACGCGGGTTTGTTAGGGTGTTGTATATGCTCTTTTTTTTAGACTCTTGTGTACCTGTTCTGCGGGGTTTGGAAGGGAGGGCGCCGTATTGACTTGTCGTGCTCTGCTGTGTAGTCCTGGTGTATACAGACACACGTTCTGTGTACATTGTGCCTAATATTTCGCTACGCTACGCAGCAAACATCCCCACGAGGTAGTTGCTCTCCCGCCGAGACTTCCATGTATAAGTTTTTGCCAATTGCCAGTTAGCTGGTCTACCCATATAGGGAAACAGCAGGGCTACACGACGCAACACTTGACGGCCTCAGCTGATGCAAATAGAGGAGATGGGGATGTAGACTACCCAGGCACAGGTATAAAATAATTTCTACTCGCTTTGGCATACTGCTTTAATCGCTGCTTGTATGCTCCTAACGCTTTATTAGGATGTAGCGTGCTACACTTACATAACTTGGAATCGATGATATATGGTAAGCTGTGCGGAGCGTGCTGTTTACTCACTCACTCTCTGCATGAAGGCGGCTGGAGGTATACCTTGGTTTCGGGTTGGGATGTGTACCAGACGGTGAGACTGGTATTGGGAGTGTTTGGGTCTATCAACGCACTCACCACTCACTGCGCCGTATCTTCCAGGGTGCAGCGAAATCATGTAACAACTTGACAACTACAACTAAGTTTAGCCTAGGAATCTAATGCCTAATTTCTAAGCTGTATGCGCCTTGCGTGTACTTTAACAAAATGCAATTGTGTAGTTTTGCAGCTTGTAGGAGCCACAAAGAACGTAACTTACTTCCCGCTTTTGCAGTTGACCGAGAGCCTGCCTAGGATCTCTGTCTGCTTGCCGATGATGTTGAGGAGTCTAATTCGACTATTGACCTCCAGCGAAACTCAAAGTGTGAGAGTTAGGGAATTGTAGTAGAATTTCAAATTTGCGGAACGATGCGCTCTATCGAACAGACCAGCCCACGTACTAGACACTATCAATCCAGTCGAACCAAGCCTCAGAAGACTGCGTATGCATAACCTGTGTACTCCCCATGCTTATGAATCCAAACACGAAAAGTCCGCCCATGGTATCTCCCGGAACGCCAAAGCCCACAAACACACCAACCACCATTGCACATATATACAAAAAGACCCATGCTTCACGACCTACTAGTCGAGCTTTTACTCCAAGAATTCTTCGCATGCGTGGGCATCGGCGAGATGTCGAGGCTCCTCGAAATAGGAGCCGAGCCCTCAGGCCAGCTGCACCGCTCTCGATGCTCGACAGAAGGCAGTTGGTCCTTCTCTTTATTCAAGCTGAATCTGCGCCTGACTTTGCTCCACCGCCCCTTCCTTGTTTGGCCCATGGATTCTCTCCCCTCCTGCTCGGCCACGGATTCAAGTCTTGTCTGATGGTCTCGGATGGGATCGGAGAGCTTGCGCGTCGCAGGCAGCGCGCTAAGCCAGAGAGGGTAGAGAACGCCAGCTGAAAAGGCTGTGACTATGACGCAGAAAGCGTATCGTGCGTTGTGAGTCTTCAGAGCCGCAAACATGATGGGCGACATGACTCCACCGCCTCCGATAGCAGCTGTGAGAAGGACCGAGGCGTCCTTGGTGTGCTTTCCCATACCACGGATTCCCTGGGCGAATAGTTGTGGGAACAACGGGCCTTCGAAGAACATAACCATGACGAGTATTGCAGCCGCGGCGGATCCAGTCGAATGCATAGCTGCCGCGCTGAACGCGATAGCGCCTAGGTAGAAAAACAGAAGGCTGAATCGCGGCTTGACCCAAATATCGATGATAGCAGCTAGGAACCGCGAGACAGCAAAGGCAGAGTGTCCAACTGCCTGGTGATCCACAGCGTCGAGGGATGGTTTCACAAGGCGAAGGTAGTCTCCGTACAAGGAAGCCGTAGCCTCTTGCCCACCAACATAGCAAAAGACTGACCAGACAGCCAGCCCAAGGCCCACCCAGATAACTCTGATAGGTTTCGAACCGCCGTTGACTGAAGCATTTCTAGGAACCGGCATGCGTGCGCTTGCAGCCTCGAGCTCCTCATCGGTGGCCTCCGGTAGTGGTACATAGAAGTATATGATGGCAAGGACTACGTTGAAAAAGGCAATTCCAAGATAGGTCCACTGTACGTCAATCAGGTTATCTCCGTTTGCAGTAAACAGCACCTTCTTTGCCAGCAGCGGGGAGACGACAGTGCCAGTTGCCTGGACAGCTTGTGACAGGTTCAGTCGCACCTCTGCATACTCAGGGGGTCCACAAAGGGCTATGAAGGGGTTGGCGCTCAACTCCAGAGTCGACAGTCCAAGGCCCGTGATGAAGTTGGAGATCAGAAATGCAGGAAAGGAGGCTAGGACGGCAGCGGGCCAGAAGGTCAAGCATCCACAGGCGTAGATGATCAACCCAACCATATAACAAGCCTTGAAACCCCACACTCGGAAAACAGGCCGTCCAAACGTCAACGGTCCGATGAAGTACCCTGCATAGTAGGCACTGTGCTCTCCAACAGTCTCCCAATCGCTCATGTGCGCTACCTCCTGGAATCGAGAATTGAGGGCGGCCAAGAGACCGTAAGCAAACCCCCACACAAAGAAAAGGATAGTAACCATCAAGACGGGGTACACGGACTCGCGGTTGCTTCTCAGGGTGATGTTCTTTTTCTTGCCCATGTCAACAAAGTCGAAGAAGGCCATCGAGTGGTGGTGGTGGGTAGGTGCTGTTGCGTGAGTGACTACCGTGTTCGTATTGCGCAACGGCGGGAGTTCTTTCATGTCAGGGGTGGTAAGGAAGTCCATCATGCCCATTGACTGATCGTTGCTCGTCCTTGCTGGTAAGGGTTTGATTATGGGCGACTCGGGCGGCATCGGTGGGTCAGATCGTCTTCGCGAGTCGACGATATCGGGATGCAGCACTATGTCATCGCTGGCTCGGGTTGCTCCGTAACCGGTGATGCGGGTGGTTGCATAGTCGCGCAAGGTCTGGTCTATGACCCAGGCCGGAAGGAACCGTCTAACCAGAGGCTTCAGGGCAGGAACACAACCACACATGATGCCTAGGTTGATCTCCACTACACTCCACATGAATGACAGCGAGGAGTACCAGGAAAAGTCGCTGGCATTCCTCTGGTCCGTCCCACTACTAGATGGGACTCCTTGCGCAGCGCGAAGAGCGGCCCGTGAAGCGTCCTGGAGGTAGGCGATGCGGACAACATCGACCACAGCGACAAATATGCCGACTCCAAAAGTGACGACCAGTATAATCTTCTGCTTTTTCGGCAGCCGCATACTAGTAAGAATGGGCATGGGCAGGAAAATGATGGCCATGTCGGTGATGATGTTGAGAGGTGCAGACGAGAGGTAGACGGTGACGATATTGGTGCATTTAGACGACGCAGGTATGGGCGACTGCCAGGCTGCAGATGCAGGTGAACACTGGAAGACGTTTAGCAAAGTCAGAGCCAGTCCGCCCGCATTGACGACTACTAGGGTCGCAATTGTGGCCCATCGAAAGACCTTGTGGGTTTTGGAGAGGTTGAGATAGAAGACTAGGATGGATGTCTTGGTCGCCATCAGGGCTGGATTCTGCGACATGTTAGTGGTGGACCACGGCATTCATTAGGAGGGTACATACGTAGATCACCGAGAAGGCATAAGAGGACTGTTGCAATTGATCCATCCATTGGTCGGGGATATCGTCTTGGTGTCGTCCGAGACCTTTCGTTGAGCCGTATATAATGGAGAACGACGCTCCAACTGCGAAGATCCAAGCCAGGATCATGGTGTAGTCGTCCCATCCTGCTTTTCTCACAACATAGAATCTTGACACCAGTCGGAGGACCACGAACAATGTACACAGCGCAAGTGTGACGGCTGATACGGCCCTGACAACGGGACCCCTAGTGGCATAGTCCAGGTTGGTGTTGGTTGTCACCATCTTGTGCGCTGAGCTTTGGACCACGCACTAACAAGCATGGTAGAGTGGAGAGAAGGTGAAGATTGGTCGTCGCGGCAGATACTTATTATCGCGGTCGCGGTCGTCGAGGAATCTGCTCTTCGGGCCACAGCATTCTCCGTCGTCAAACCTAGTCCGAACGGTGGAGGAGTCGACAAGGAGGTGCAAAATGGGTGACGAGTGTGGAGATTGACGACTGACTTGGCGATCTGCAAAAGCGGCAGGCGCAAGGCGTCAGTCAAATGCTTGTTGTGGCGGTGGTGGAAGGTCTGACAACCCCAGAAATACCGCACAGTTCAGCTGCAAGAAAGGAGTGGATGCGGCTGATGAACTGTGTGGAGGGCGATACCGATGTCGTCACCGTTAGGCTTGCCTGGATCTCACCGAGTTGCCGGATTCCACGATCGATGCTCGGAACCAGATCTTCCAACTCGGCGCTACACGTGCACTGCCGAGTTCTTGAGGGTCTTGGATCGAGGTACTGAGGGGTGGACAGTGGGTTGAGTCTGTCTTTTCTGTCGAGTCGGTCAGCAGCCCTCGCAAAATTCGACGGGCTGCCACGCCGCAGCAATATTGTTGACCTAAAAATTAGCCTACCTCAGCCAATCCCTGCTAATCCCGCTACACCCTGAAGACCCAGCCCCGAGCATCCTTCCCCAGGTTTCCCCAGACGCCTCGCACGCACGCGTCTCGTCGCCGAAGTCGGCCTTAGACCAGGAAGCACAGACGCTTGTGACGCAGCGTCGTCTCTGCTCATAATATCTCGACTCAAGATGCGGGGGAATAAGGTTGAGATTCAAGTCCGTTCAACGCTAAACCACGGAGGCAGAGATACCGAAAAGTCATGTGGCTCTGCTGGGTCTAAGTTTGGCCCAATAAATTCTGGCATGTAACAACGCCTAGCTTGCCAGCGCAGCCACCGGCGTTCGGTGACTGACTCTTGGATGTCGAATCTCCACCAGGCTTTTGGTGAGTCACAGATGCAATGAAACTCTTATCAACACAGGAGCCTCTGTGGTCATGAATCTACCTATCTTCCCGTCAATGATAACAAGCCACTGTAGCCAACGAGGAAGATATACGCTGCCGTGGAACTGACACGCGATTGCAAGGACACACTAACAACCAATACTTCTGCGCCACATCGCCATACAGGGGGAAAGGAGATACTGCTCGTGTGGCGCCACAGATACACACAAATTTCACTCGTGGTGCGATGTAAGTAGGCCATCATAAGTGGTTGGAATTTGCGACCAACAATTTCATATTCAACTCCTTTCACATCTCGAGCCTATTATAGTATTACTCCACACCAACCTCCCTTCCCATCAGTATCCACTACCACACTTCATCCAATCCACCTACAACAACCGAGCGGCACCCAAAAACGCAACAAGCGCCGCACCCGCCGGCGCGGCGAAAGAGTTCGCAGCACCAGTCGCGAACGCAGACGCAGTAGCCGACGAAACAGCAGCGGACCCCGACCCAGCCGCGCTGGTAACGGAAGCAGAAGTCGAAGCAGGCTTGTTGGTCGTGGCAGTGGCGGCGACGGACTTAGCCGAAGCGAGGGATGACAAGGAAGCAGAGCGAAGACTTGCAGACTGTCAGCACACCAATCATGCCTACAACGAGGACAGGGGGACGTACGGGTCGGCAGCCAAGCAGTATGATGTGACTGTGTTCTGGACGGATGGCTTGTCGGTGCTGTCCGGGCAGTTGTTGTAGCAAACTAGCACATCTCTGTACACGTCGCACAGGCAGATGTAGTCGTTGCCATTGCGCTGGCAGCTCGCGATACGGGACTGGTAGCCATCGATACAGGCATCAAGGATGCTGTTTGGTGTGTTAGCATTGTGTTCCAGAAAACACGCGAGGCATCACGCCATGCATGAGACATTCTCAAGAGCAGGGTTTGAGCCAGGTGCCATAGTATCAGGAATGCAAGACGTACGTCTGCGCCGCGCACGAACTCTGTGCCGCAACGAAGGTGGTCGCAACAGACAAGACGACAGCGATGGCGGTAGCGTAACGCATCTTGAGATATGGTATAGTAGCAGCTAAGGAGCTAATCGACGACGGTAATTAAATAAGTAATAGACGATGGAAGTCTTAGCAAAAGGACCCAGAGCGATTGATGGGCGAATTAAGTATACGTAGAAGTATGTAGATAGGGTAGAAGAACAAGTTCCGTTGGACGTCGCTTCACAAAAGAAAAAGGAAGCTCGAGAAACGGGGGAGCCCCATTCTTCTTATTAACATTGTCCCCGAGCCAACCCTTCAGCTCATCACATCCTCCCCCCATTACATTTCCCAAGCCAAGCGACAAAAGGCAAACAATAAGCTACTTCTAATGACAAACACAGCATTCACTAGGCGACTATGGGTCAAGTCTACTCTATCGACTGCTCCTTTAGGACTAGATCACCCGACCCTGACCCAGAACCAGCCCCCTAAATTTAGCAAAGGCCGGGCGCATGCAATCAATTCCGCGCTCGCCTGGTCGTACCGGTCTTCAACGTCGTGTTTTGCTGGTATTTTGAGCTGTGGCTACTGCATTGCACTGCCCGGCTTAGGTGTTCTCGTATTTGCCACGCACTTCTTCATCCGACTCGAGGTGTTCGGGCTGGTTGGGCGTGTGCTCGTTGGGACATGAGCATGAGCACAGCGTTTCGGGGATGTTCAATTTCGCTTAACGTATGGTTTGAAAGCCAAGATGCGTGTGTTTCAATCTCGCCGACAGGATATTGACTCGGGGACAAGATTTTCGACGATCACGAGGAGCGAGTCGGGTCGTTGGTGAGGGGACGAAACACGAGGGAGACTCGGATATCGGTAGAAGCAAGTGGCAAGAGAACCACTCTCTTGGGCCATCAAGATACCAGTAACTAAGGTGCAGCAAAATTATGGAACAGCTTAACAAATACAACTTAGTTTACTATATAAACTTCGTGCCTGAATCTTTTACTATATGCGCCATGCGTGCACATCTAAAAACATTAATTGTGTAGTTTTACTGCTTGTAGGCGCCACAAGGAACGCAGCTTATTACCCGTTTTTACAGTTGACTGAGAGCCACCGAGACGTTAGACTTGGCCGAGATCCGAGATGCCAATTCAAATAAACATTTGAATCCACTGGTTGATGAAAAGTTATGCTAGACCCCACAAAACGCCACTTTGGCTCGCCACAGGACTAAAACAAAAAAGAGACAAAGTTTGATAGGAATGGGGCACTGCTAAAGATGAATAATCGCATACGACTTGAAGCTTCAGGAGCCGTCTTCTGCTTGGTCTTCTTCTTCCCCCATGTCCATCCGCTCCATGAGTTTTGTACACTAATGCGGAAGTCACGTATGTCTGTATGTCTTCCTCATCCCCCACCGATTGACGCAAGCAAAGTCCTGCAACACCAACACCTTGTTTTCCACACATCCGATTACTCCTGCCCAAACCCAACAGTCTCCTCAACAGCGATTGTGAGTTTCTGATTCAGTGCCTCGTTGGTCTTGTATGGAGGCAGATCAAGACGATTGAAACTACAATACAATTAGTATTCATACTTCCGAGCCATGTGAGAAAGAAAACTTACCATGTGTGCGACTTTGGAAGCTGATTAGGTTCACCCGCCTTCTCAATCGTGAACCTTCTCGGCCCATCACTACCCTGTAGATCCTTGAACCCGTTGACAGGGATACGTGAAGTACCTGTGGCGAATTGCAGCAGACGCGACTTCTGCTCGGCGTCCCAGCTACCAATGCACTTCCAGAAGTTCTGGATGACCTCGTCCTTCTCGGTGTAACCACGGTAGTCAGTATGCTTCTTCCAATCGTCGACGTCGATATCTGCGATACCGCCGATGAGAAGTTCGAGTTCACGCTCGTCGAAAACGTTGACTAGATCAGCAGGGATGAGCTCATGGAAGCCAGTGATGAAAGCCTGGAACTGCTCCTCGACTCGTTTCTGAATACGCCATTCGGTGATGAGTCTAACCAAGTTAGTCCAATTGTTCTCTGCTTTGACAAAGGGGATACATACTCGACGTATTCGCCCTTGTTGTCGTTGGTGACGTCGATGTTGTCGCCTCCTGGCTTCAGTTCGATGCTAACAGTCTCGCCAAACCTTTCGTCATCCGTTGCGAACGTGAGTTCCAGCGCGTCTGTGATATCGTTGTTCCTGAAATAAATTAGCTTCATGTTGTATAGCCTGTTTGTCAGTAGACTTACAGCATCCATTCCAAGTTGCGGTGGAAGTCAGCATCTACACCCTCCATGTCTTGTAGCGCAACCTTCTTCCTAAGGATCATCTTGTAAAACGCTCCAATGAAAAATGCATCCAAGAATCGGCGATGGAAAATCGACAACCCGACAACTCGCCCGATGAACTTGAAGTAGTTCAAGTGCTCGGGGTTAATGCCGGAGTGAGGGTTGATCTGTAAGGTGTAGTTGTCATGTGCGGAATACTCGAATAGACAGTAGAAGGGGTTGAACATCTCATGAGAAAGCAAGAAGAAAAACTCTCTGTAAGTGTTGTTAGCATAGTACTTGACGGGGTTGCGCTTGCACGTACCGAGAAAGACCTCCGTAATCCAACCCGTCTTCACCGTCGAATTTGATCATCAGTCGCTTCTTCAAATCAGCAGCACTTTGCCGCATAATCTCGTGATACGAATCTTCGAAAATATGCGTTCGTCTGACCTTGACGTGGCATTGCCCAGATACGATGCGAAGTGCCGGCTGCGATCGGAAGTAGATCAGCTTGCGACGGAAGTCACGCTTGTACTGCGGCACGTTCTGATCGAGTGACGATGGCAATCGTGGATCGTCCCAGGTGGTAGTCTTTGTATTGTGGTCGACAAAGTACACTCTGGCCGTGTTCGTGAGGCGCATTTCCCATCCAGATGGTAGAGGCCCAAGCTGTGACACAGGCTGCTGTTGGATAGTGCTGCCGTTGGCGGCCTGACCACCATACATGCGTATGTACTGCTGTCGGCGGGGATCGACCCATGTGGTTGTTCGCGTATTGTGGTCGACAAAGTATGGTCTTCCTTCTGGAGTGTGTCGTTGCTCCCAACCAGACGGGAGTTCCCCGGTCCCTGCAGTGGTCGCTCCCGTGGCCATCATGCTCGCAGCGCTCGCAGAGGCACCTGGCGGTGGCGAAGGCTGTTGCTCGGCGAGAGTTGGTGAGCTCGCGCCAGTGCGATCTTCTGGCAACATGCGGTTCTGGTGTCGCGTGCGCTCCTGCTGGGTCTGGGCGGCCAAGGCTGTTCGCTGATCTGCGGCATTGAATCCTGCGCCAGGCCTGATCCAAGTAGTCTGCCTAGTGTTGTGATCCACGTAGTATGTTCGACCCAAATGATCCTCACGACGTTCCCACCCGTTGGGCAGTCGTCCTTGCGCATCTTCAAAGGCACTGTAGGATCCTTCAGTGCCTGCAGCAACAGCCGTTCGCGCCCCACTCGGAGGTGGTCCCAGAGGAGCGCCGCTTGGCGGAGCAATAGAGGGCGCTTGGCTAAGACGGTGGGCATCTGGCGGTGCGGTAGTTGACGTTCGTTGCTGGCCTGGAAACACGTTCGGGTGCAGGTTCTGCGTAGACTGGTGTGGTGTAGAAGGACCGGCAGTGACGGGACCGTTTGTGGAGGGGTGTGTAGAAGCGGGGGGACGGGTGGCGTTGTTCGCTCCTTGGCTGATGGGTGCGGTGAGGTTTGTGGAGAGGTTGAGGATGAGCTTGCCGTGGACGACCATGTTGTCGTTGGACTTTTTCAGGTCGCGCGTGAGCATTTCTGATACGGCTGTCAGCATGCGTCATGGAGGTTGGGTTGGGTTGGGTTGGAGAGCCTACCGTCACCACCCGCGTCAAGGTCTATGACAGAGCCTATACGGACGTTGATGACTCCCAGGAAGCCCTGGTCCTTCTTCTTGAACTTCTTCTGGTCAAATATCTGAACCGCGAGCACACTTTCTTCATTTGCCCGCCTGACCTGCGTGTTAGCGTTGCTTGAGCACGTAGAAGGCGAGGCGCATAGTATGGAATGACGTACATGTCGAAGCTCTCATTCCAGTAGGGGTTCAGCGTCTTCTTGATCACGCTCGTCGTCTTGGTCTGCTCGCCGTTGACCGTGGCGACGGCGAAGGGGTCCGGGAAGCCTATCCCAAGTGTGAGCGATTTATCACACCGTCAGCAGAGCTGTAGCACGTACGGAACACATCGCGCTTGTAGAGACCATCGGCGGCAATAACTGGATGCTGTCAGACTCGTCCCCAGGCTCAGGCGTGCAGGATCAGGGTAGCTACGCACTGGTGATGCGCAGGTTGGGCTGGCTGTTGGGGTCCATCATGCGCGAGGACGCGGCGGCGGCGACGGTGAAGAGGACGCAGAGGAGCGGCACTCAGAACACGCAGCGAGTTCGAGTCGTCGTGGTCTTGTGGTGCTGCACTCGCGCTGGGTATGTCGGCAGGCGACAGACGACAAGCAGGCAAGCTGCGGCGGTTCGTGACGACGAGGGTACGGGCGGAGGAGGCTGTGCGGAGGAACCGTGCGCGGTTACAAAGACGGCGAGGGCGAGACGACGCTCGCAGGCCTGTCCGAGAAACGGCCGCCACCTGCAAATCGGCTACGCTTCTACAGTGCTCTGCAATCGCCGAGGATTGTCTTGTTGGAGCAGCTTCGACGACGCAGACGGCGGTGAACGACTGCGTGTTGCGATTTGAGAAGTCTCACTTGCTTGGACCTCTGCTCTAGACTCTGGAGCTCCAAACTTGCCTTGGCAGTGCCCCGCGAACGATACGAGCAGCGTCAAGATCCTGGCACTGTGCAGAAGGAGAAGACGGATGCAAGCCACGAGAGGGGTGGACTGTTGATAAGAGCCTCTGGAGGTACCGGCTGTATCAATCAGTCTGAAAATAGCGCGCGCGTCTCTGTCATGCTCGCTCGCCATTGAGCGAGTATCGATGATGTCAAACCTCCAACGGAACATCGGCGCCAATCAAGCACAATCGCTACCAGGAACCATCCCTCGACTCTCCACGACATCTGATTGCTCGGGATTAGACACAAGAAGCGTTTCAGGATATTTTCTACTTCCCTTGCCATCGATTTGTTTGCTTCGAATTGCTCTAGTATCTCAGGCCATCGTTGTTAGGATTCAGCGATATCGGGCGGTCTCGTGCTTGAACTCCTCCCAACTACTTATCGAACATACAAAATATACGACAGAATTGTCAAAACTCCGCATATACAATCCTGGTAAGACGGATTAAAGCGTCACTGCAGTCGCCCATGAAACACGGTTTCAGTCATAGGTTTTTATTCCAACGTCCCAAGGTTATGTACCAATTGTTCTCAAGATCTCTCTCCAATTCATCTCGAGTCTTCCCATTTACATCATAACCTTCTCTTATTTTCCTAATATGCTCAACACTCCTATGACTATCAGCATCGGGTTGAAATTGCATCCATCTACTCCCTCTTATTCTGGAAGTTGTTGTGCAATGATGTTTACCACTGGTAAATAGGATGAAATCCTGGCAGGAGGCTGAAGCAATTCTGTACAACATTTATGTCCGTGTGTCGTTTATACTCAGAGGCTACCGCAGTCAAGGCTTCAAGACATCATCATCACTATTGGGCAGTTATATCGAAATGAGTAGTGCGAAAAGTTCACGTAGAAGACGATCTTCACAGATGATAACTTCACATCTACTCTCATACTTCGAATCATGAAACCCCGCAAGAACTCCAACCTTCCCGTGCCACCTCTCCGTCCACCGCTTCGCCGCAATACCAAGCTATCATCAATTCCTGCGCCGCAGAACTTTGAAAGCTTATCCTTCCATCTCGACATCAGAGTCGTAACCTATAAGCCCTGCCAACTCGGTTTCCTCGTTGTGTTCGCCGTAGTTCTTTCTCAGCTTCAAAGCCAGACGTTGAGTTTTGCGAGTAGATTGGCCAGGAGTTATTGTGAAGTGTTAGTTATCTTAACAACGCTTGCTAGAACATTTACAGTATTGTTCTGATCCACCGCCGCTTCTGTCTCCTCTTGCGGAAACATGTGTGAAAGATCGAGGGAGCTGACCGCCTGTTGCACAGCAGCCTTCGATGCTGCTTCAGTTTCTTGAGAGCTGGCAAGTTTGGGGTCAACTTCTTTCAAGCTTTCCAAAAGAGCCCAAAGAGCACGCATTGCTTTTAGTAACTCGTCGACGCGATTGGTGCGCCGTACACTTTTCTTAATTTGTGTTGGTGTTGTAGGCGAATGATGCATCACGTTCTTGATGCCCTGGAGGACATTGAGGTAGTCGCTGTCTTTAACGTTGTTCAAATTCAAGTCCATTTCTGGTGGCGTGGAGTCAGATCTGTTGGAGGACAGTTATAATGTTCAGGCGAATGTTTGTCTTGCAGCATCGAATAGTATAATCCAAACGTGAGCTTTCACTTACACACGCAAGATTGTGGTTCTGCGGGCACACATCAAAATCTTGCAGCAGCTCGACAACTACAAGTCAACTTAGCGAAGAAGACCTAGGCCTAAATATTGGGCAGTATACGCCTAACAGGCACTTTTGCAACTCTTGTTAGCGCAGTTTTGCTGCTTGTAGGAGCCACAAGGAACGTAGCTTACTTCTATCTTTTGCAGTTGAGTGATAGCCAGGAGCACACAAGTTATAGCGACATACATAGTCGACCAGATTTAGTGTATTAAAAATTTAGAGCATTGGAAGTCTGGGATGAAAGGCCCACCCGACCAAACTTAAGCTGGTTAGACTGCTGCCAAGAGAAGTTTCTCACTCGATGAGCGCACGATTTTCGTCTCTCTTCTTTTCTTCACATATTGTCTACGGTCTCCAATAACCCTAAGGTACTTCCTCAATGAATGGATTCGCCTTTTCCAGTGAGAACCAAGAATGATGCAAAGCCATTCTAATCCTGGAGTTCGCTTCGCCGACTTTGTCGGTATTGGGGCTCCGGGTTCGCTTTAGGCCGACATATTCTCTCACACGCTGAGCGTCAGCGAAGGTGCCCTTGCATGATAAGGGCATCGAGCTTGACGTCCGGTCACAGACGCGTTGCGTTGTCCTGCTTTTGTGCGTGCAATGTCAGCGCGGGCTGCACGTTGTACCGCTCCCGTTGGGGGCGGTGATCCACGAGGCAGGGCGAGAGACGTTGATCAAGGTTGCACGAGCAGCTGAACGCTCACTCACGTTATCAGCACACAGTATGCCTCCGTGAGACGCTGACGGCAGAAGGTGTGTCAGGCTATGTAGTAGCACAAGAGCGGCTGAGCAAAAGTCTCTTTCCCATACTCATCGTGCATCACAATTCGCTATGCCAGGGGTTCTCGATACGCCTTGACCCGGGTTTCCTTTTAAACGTTGCGAACGCATCTACCCTTGTAGCGCAATCCTCGCATTCTCGTATTCACTTTAACTGATGTGCTATCGAATGATGCGATCTCCGAGCCGATCTTTTCTCCGGGCTTGTGTTATTGGCGCCTTTGTCTCACCGTTAGCATCATAGCCGAATCAGTGTCCTTCAGTAGCGCATTGTACAACAATAAGCTGCCCTCCCATCCCCCTAACAGCGCTGCGGGATGGGCGCACCTGTTCAGCCACGCGCACGCCGTGATACCTGATTCCCTGAACAATCATCTCAGCCTAGTCGCAGCCTATACCCACGTTCAAACGTTATCGCAGTCGCAATCATACTTCGAACGAGTCCCCTTTCCTTCTCTGGCCACCTACGACATCTCGAGCAACTCACTTTCGTACTACCACGGTCGCCATGAATGCGTATCATGGCATATTTTCGACTATGCTTGCTTGTCGCGTTTAGCCTTGTTGCTCGAGCCCAACAAAAAGACCCTGTCCAAGACTTGTATGTTGCGACTGCAGGCTGTATTAGAAGAGGCTGATGCGAAGTAGCTGCCGACGATGGGGTCATCAAACGGCGCAAATCGACGGGAGACTCTTCATTGATGGTGGCATGGTAGACTGGGATCCGGCTGGGTTGAACTACACGAGTACGATCCCCATCTTTGAGGTTCGAATTGAACTAACGCGCAATTCTCAGATACATGGCTGGTGTTCAGCGATCTGAACTCTACGACCCAAGTACCAGGAATGCCCGCACAGTATGCGAACCTTTCGAAACCCGCACACATACCGAGTGTCTCTGGAGGATTATTATGGGCGGACAATGTGAACAAGTGCTTCTATCAGTTCGGCGGAGAGTATCCGCCTGGAGGTTCACCTACAGATTTCAGCTTGTGGACATATGACGTGCTTCTCAATCAGTGGAATAGCAGTGAGTACACAAGCGATCCTGGATCCTTCCAGCGAGTATCGTTCGGCGCCGGAACGGAAATCGAAAGTCTCGGGCTTGGGTATCACTATGGAGGTTGGCTGAACGAGAGAACGACGCCGGGATGGACTGGGCATCCTATCGCGACAAGCAATTTGATTCGGTTCGAGTTCTCGACGGGAACGATGAGAAATAACAGTGGCCCCGACACCATCGGAAGAGCAGAGGGACAGTTGGTCTACTTGCCAGCGTCAGATGGCGGCTTACTTGTCTACTTTGGCGGTATCGAGGATCCGTCCCGAAATGGAACTACTGTTGCAGTAAGCTATACCAAATCCACTGGATGATCGACTGCTAACACGAATACTGCTTAGGCGAACATGAATGTATGTCCTCCCTCTCGGTTAGTCGAAATACTCGGAATCAAGGTCTGTTCTTTGCAGAAACACAACAACCCTCAACTACAAGATTGAAAGTATTACGAAGACGTACATGCTTGGTAGGCGTATACAAACAACACGTAAGGTGTAAGAGTCTTACGGTTTGTTTATATGTAGTTGTCAGGCTGTTGCAAGACCTCGCTGCAGCCTACTCAGTTCCGGGTATTCCGACTAACCAAGAGCCTCCATAATCGCGAATCGACCATTCCTCTGACACATCCTCCAGGACATCCACATTCTCGATATAGCCTCCAGCAAGTGGTATTTTCAAACGGCTGCAGGCGACACTCCTCTTCCGCGGCGTCAGTTCTGCGCCGACGTCACTTGGGCGGACGACAAATCCTCATATAACATGTAGGATACTCTCCCTTACTTACATCGTCGTCTGCAAGGATCTCGGATATGCTGACCCATTCATCAACAGTTATTCATACGGTGGATACGGCTTTGGAAACTCACTCGCTTTCGACGATGTATACATTCTTTCGCTCCCATCGTTCACTTGGATCAAATCATACAACGGCACTGGACAGTACGCCCATGGTGGATGTAGCGCAAATGTGATCAATCATAACCAAATGTTGGTCATAGGCGGCTGGTTCCCATCGTTTGACCAGTGCGACTCGCCTGACGCGCAGGGCCAACATAACATGAATCTAGGCTACAACGGTGGTGCATCAACAATTTGGGACAGATTCGACCCTAAGCTCTCGCAATACTCCGTACCTACACCTATCATAGCTGCGATCGGGGGAGGGTGCGTATTGTCATACACTCACGAACTATACGGAGCACTGCTGACTCGTTTCAGACCTACGGGCGGCGCAACTGTAACGGCTCCTGCTACTTGGGGTGACAACGACCTCAGGGTTTACTTTACGCGGACAGCGTCATTTGCTACTAGAGCTGCGACTCGTCTCATTCCCACCAACACTTCGGGCTCATCCTCCGACTCGAAGCATAGTAATGTAGGAGCAATCGCAGGTGGCGTTGTTGGCGGTCTGGTAGCATTGATTACAATATTGTGTCTCATCTTGTTCTGCTTTCATCGCCGTAAGAAAGCGATGAAAAAGGATAACGTTATCCCGGTCGCTCCATCCTCTCCGCCGCCAGCAGAGCTCGCAGCTACTATCTCAAGGCAGGAATTGCCGGCACCTGGTACAGGAAAATATCTTTCAATGAACCAGTACTCGGATTCCAATGCTTACTCGAATTATTCAGGAGGAACTTCTCAGGCTTCACAATCGCCAGGCTACAGCCACCATTCCCCACCATCGCTTCACGCACTTCAGCCTTACGCATCTACATCGCCCACGAGTACAAGGTCGCATCCTGCTGAGACTGCTCAACAAGCATATCAGCCACTCAACACGTATCCACCCTACTCTGACAACCGTATGTCATACGACAACCAATCGCCTCCTCGGGACAACCACACGTATCCACCACCATCGGCAATTGCTTTGCAGCATCAGTACCCATACCCTGCGCCCGGATCACCTGCCATGCCTCCGTTATACCAACCTCAGCAGCAACCGCAGATGTATTTTCCGCCACCTCCAGAATCGGCATATCATTCACATCGCCCCCAACACTCTGTCGACTATTTGAGTAATCCAGATGCAACACGGTATAGCAACGATGTAGAACATCGTCCGCTTAGTACGACGAACACACCCGCCCAATTCTATGCCCAGCCAGTATCGAATAGACCTCCACCAATGCCTGAGAGCACACAGCGCAGTCCTACACTTTACGAAGATGAAGACATGGTCAACGGCAGTGACGGCGCATTTCATCACAGTCCAGTCAGCGAACGCGCACGACCCGCACGAGGAAGATTTGTGGAGGTCGATCACATGTAGACACCCGATTGCGGCGGTAACAAAAGTAGCACGAAGCTGGCTGGAATCTACAGCTAGCTCATTGATGATCAGCGACTGGTTTGGAACATGGCGCATACGGGACAGGACGGCCTTCTTTCTTTCTTTTAGCGGCGTTCATTCACTCGTACTTGTTATCGGCACGCACACTGAAATGACCGGGGCAGGAGTTATGGACATCGTATCGAGGTTTCTGGAGGTTCCGATATGTTTTGTAATGGAGGGTTGGTTTTGGTACATTCTGGTCGGTGTTTAGGTGTTTGCATATGGATGTTCAGAATTTATCACTGCGAGTCTGGCGTAATTTTGGCTGTCAAGTATATATGTTTAATTTAGTCAATTTGCGTAGTTGGGTGGATAGTGTTGTTGCTGCAACAGACATGTTCTTCTCTGTTCCTGATTTTGAGGCTGTTTGGACGTTTCATGTGCCGAGGACATTGGCAGATAGGCGCTTGTCAACACGCTTAGCTTAAACAGAGAACATGGTGTCCTATTACTCATCGTTCACGATCTAAGAAGATGCGGTGAAGGTTTTATTCCCACATAAAAGCGGGCCTTTGGTTTGTCGGAGTGCCTGAGAGCAGTGTCCACCAATTCGGTTAGCGGCTTTTCTCGGCATGCAAACGCGACTTCATCACGCTTCCCGTGCCTCTACCAACAACGTCAACCCAAGAGACTTCACTTCGGCGAGCAGCTGGCTGTATAGCTTCACTTTGGACTCCCCGACCGCCAAGCTCACCTCACTCCTCCGCGTGTTTGTCCCTAGTGCCCGCCAGCTTTCTTGCCGCCCTTGCTGCCCCGCCATCGTCCTCATCCACCTCTGCAAGGCAGCGGACCCACACGCGCTCATCTCCCTCCCGCTTCGACTGCGCTCTACCACCCCCCATCGCATCCTACAGCTTTAGCCAAGCTCTTTGGGAAACATTTCCACATTCAGGCTGATTGGGAGCGCTTCCCGTCGCGCTGCCGCCCGCCATGTCTCTCTCTATCGATGAGCTCGACGCCACAGTGCGCGCCTTCTACGAGGGTCGCGGCGAAACAGTATGTAGTCTGAGAGTCCCTCGGTACTTCGTAGAGGCTAGCATAGCTGACATCTCGCTCTCCACAGCAAAAACAAGCTCAAGCTACGCTGAATCAGGTAGGCTGACCCAGCTCACTCCAGCTTAGTCTCTAGACTGACTGACACTCGAACAGTTCAAGGAGAACCCAGATGCGTGGCTTCTCGTTGACAAGATCCTGCAGGATGCGCAATACCCCCAGACCAAGTGTAAGTCTGCTGGTGTGGAAGGAGGCTGGGTTGGCAGAGTACTAATAATGAGCAGACTTGGGACTTCAAGTACTCGACAATGTGATCATGACGAGGTGGAAGGTCTTGCCTCGCGACCAGTGCCAGGGCATCCGCAACTTCGTCGTCAACTTCATCATCACGCTCTCGAACAATGATGACACCCGTCGCGCCGACCGCACCCTGCTCAACAAGCTCAACCTCGTCCTTGTGTCGATCTTAAAGCAAGAGTGGCCTCACAACTGGCCAACCTTCATAAACGAGATCATCTCATCGTGTCACAGCAGTTTGGGGATCTGCGAAAACAACATGGTCATCTTGCGACTCCTGTCCGAGGAAGTCTTTGACTACTCCGAAGAGCAGATGACATCGGCTAAGCGGAGAGAACTCAAGCAGAGCATGTGTGACGAGTTTACGTCCATCTACCAGCTCTGTTCGGAAGTCCTGCGAACTGCTACCGAGGCATCCCTGATCAAGGCGACACTTGAGACATTGCTGCGTTTCCTCAACTGGATCCCTCTCGGCTACATCTTCGAAACGCCCCCCAGCGGCCAGAGTCTCATTGAGACCCTCCGAAGCCGATTTCTCGAGGTGCCCGAGTTCCGTAACATCACCCTGAAGTGTTTGACGGAGATCGCGGGCCTTCACACCGAGCCAGCCTATGACGATAAGCTCGTCGAGATGTTCACAGAGACATTGACAGCGATCTCGAAGATCATCCCGCTCTCCCTCGATCTGAAGAGCACGTATGCATCCAGCAATAGCAGAGATCAGGAGTTCGTCTTGAATCTTGCCCTTTTCCTAACTAACTTCTTCACCATGCACTTGAACGTGATAGAGAACCTCATGAACAGGGACTTCCTCACCCACGGTCATTTCTACCTGATTCGCATCAGCCAAATCGACGACCGCGAGATTTTCAAGATCTGCTTGGAGTACTGGACCAAGCTCGTCTCTGAGCTATATGATGAGATGCAAGCGCTTCCCATCACGGACCTCAACCCTCTTCTGAATATGGGAATCACAGGCAGTAACGGTCGCGATTCGTCAGCGTTGGCAAACTACCCTTTGCGCAAGAATAAGTACACGGAAATTTTGTCCAACCTTCGAACAGTCATGATTGAAAAGATGGTCAGACCAGAGGAAGTGCTCATTGTTGAAAACGATGAGGGTGAAATTGTTCGCGAGTTCGTCAAGGAGAGCGATACAATCCAGTTGTACAAATCGACCCGAGAGTGCTTGGTCTTCCTGACACATCTGGACGTCAATGACACAGAACAAATCATGTCCGAGAAGCTGGCGCGACAGGTCGACGGCACAGAATGGTCTTGGGCCAACTGCAACACTCTCTGCTGGGCTATTGGATCCATCTCCGGTGCCATGAACGAGGAGACTGAGAAGCGATTTTTGGTCACTGTGATCAAGGACCTCCTAGGCCTGACCGAGATGAAGCGAGGAAAGGACAACAAGGCTGTCGTCGCCAGTAACATCATGTACATTGTCGGACAATACCCGCGATTCCTGAAGGCTCATTGGAAGTTCTTGAAGACTGTTGTCAACAAGCTATTTGAGTTTATGCACGAAACGCACGAGGGTGTACAAGACATGGCCTGCGACACATTCATCAAGATTGCCAACAAGTGTCGTCGACACTTTGTTGCGCTTCAGCCCGGCGAGAACGAGCCCTTTATCGACGAAATCGTACGGAATTTAAGGAAGATCACCGGGGACCTTTCGCCTCAGCAGGTTCACACGTTTTACGAGGCCTGCGGCTACATGATCAGCGCCCAGGGGCAGAAGAGCATGCAGGAACGTCTGATTCACGATCTGATGGCATTGCCTAACTCTGCTGTGAGTATCTTCTGGTTGTGCCAAGCTACCTACAGAACTAACATTGTAATAGTGGGATACCATCATCGGCCAAGCAAACCAAAATCCGGCATGTCTCCAGGACTCGGAAGTCATCAAGATTGTCGGTAACATCATGAAGACCAACGTCGCTGCATGCGGTTCGATTGGATCCTACTTCTACCCGCAGATTGGCCGGATATACTTCGACATGCTGACTATGTACCGCGCGAGCTCTCAACTCATCGATGAGGCTGTCCAGCGAGAAGGTGAGCTATGCGATATCTCTTCCCATGGCATGCATGCTAACACGTGAAGGCAATGTCGCGACCAAGATGCCGAAAGTCCGAGGACTCCGTACGATCAAGAAGGAGATTCTCAAGCTGATCAACACATACGTGGAGAAGGCTGACGACTTGGAAATGATTCACAACAACATCGTGCCCAAGCTATTGGAAGCTGTCCTGATCGACTACAAGAACAACGTCCCTGATGCCCGCGAGGCCGAGGTGCTGAACGTCATGACGACAATTGTCAATAAGCTACATGTACGTTGGAGACCCAATCTGAGCAAACACATGGTTGGACTTGCTTGATCGTTCTCAAAAAAACTGCTGACTCGGAAACAGAGCATGATGGAGGACCAGATCATCAACATCATGGACAGTGTTTTCGAATGCACACTTGACATGATCAACAAGGACTTCTCGGAATACCCTGAACACCGCGTCGAGTTCTTCAAGCTCCTACGGACGATCAACCTACGTTGCTTCCCCGCTCTCCTGAGGCTCGATGCACGATCGTTCAAGTTTGTCATTGACTCGTGCATGTGGGCTAGCAAACACGACAACCGAGAGGTTGAGAGTGCGGGTCTTTCCATGTGCTTCGAGTTGGTTTCCAACATGTCCGAGACAGACCCACAGACCTGCAACTCGTTCTTCCAGACGTTCTTTACAACTATTCTCCAGGATGTGTTTTTCGTTGTCACTGATAGCGATCACAAAGCTGGTTTCAAGTCGCAGTCGATGTTGCTGGCGAAGATGTTTTGGCTGGTTGACTCGGACAAGCTCCAGGGCCCAATCTACACATCTCCAGACATGGCCCCAGCAGGCACGCCAAACCGGGAGTTCCTGCGAAACTTTGTCGGCAACCTGTTAGCCACGGCATTCCCTAACCTCCAAACGTAAGTGTCTATCTGTATTATCCATCATCAATGCTGACTGACGGAACGCAGTGTACAAATCGCATCATTTATTGATGGACTCTTCGCTACCAACTCCGACCTCAACCGATTCAAGATCATCCTACGAGACTTCCTCATCTCTCTGAAGGAGTTCTCCGGCGACAACGCCGAGCTCTTTGCTGAAGAACGTGAGCAGGAGGCTACCAAGGCTAAGGAGGAGGAACGTGAACGCGCTATGAAGGTCGGTGGTCTTTTGAAGCCATCCGAGATGGACGATGACGAGTTGTGACTAAACGTTGAGTTGGACGCAAACGTTGCAACACGTACGCCATTCGACCATAACCCTACACCGAATGATCATTCGCACGAGCACTCGAACGACCTCGACTGGACCGGACTTCTATGATTTTTGGGTCTCGGCGCGACGGCTACTCTGAAGGTTGGTCCTCTGCAATGCATTAGATTGGAGCGCAGTTGCGCATTTTGGTTTCAAGCGTAGGGATGATTTTGGGTCGCGCAGTCTAATACCCAATAAACCTTTTTCAGCTCTTCAATCGGTGTACGAGCATACAACTGGTTCGGAAGTCGGTCTGGTTTGGATTGCGTACTAAAAGGATAGGGGTGTTGTAGGTATCGGGATATCCTGCAGGTCATATCTGGAAGTGAATAAATAGATACATTATGTTCGTTTGGCCTTATGTATGTTAGTGATGTCGCGTGATGTGACTTCGTTGCCTCCGACTCACCTGATGCATGTTGGCTTTGTGCATATTACTCTGGAACGAGACTTTGTGATCCACTTTGCTGTGAGGTTGGATTCTGGTGAGCCCAGCAACTGCCGTTCTGGAGCGGCAGTTACCTGTGGTTACGTAAACACTTATTCCTCCGTTTACGAGTTTCTCACAACGTCTGCTTCTTCGATTGGGACTGTTGTCAACTTCACGGCAAAGGAACCGAACGCTCTAGTACCGACCCCTGTCATCCGCCAAACGATCCATACGCGTGGGTAGGATACGGCCACCCATTCGCTGAACCTTGTCGCGACTGAACAACATGTGCATTCTCCTCTTCCTCCATCAGCGCATCTCACAACGAGCCCTCGGCGTCATCGCAAATCCCGGCCCCTCGTTCGACACATGTCAGACTTCTGTTAATTGCCCACACTAACAATACACACCAGCCACTAGAACGGTTCATCCGCTCCGAGGTAACGCCTTGCTGCAAACTTGAGTGCGTCTACACTTCGAGCTTTTTTTTGATCAACGACGTGCGCCCGTGCCTAAGTTGTTCCAGGAACTCCGGTTGTTACTATTACTTTTTCCAGCCTCGATCGCTGGATAGGCGTTTGCCCACGACTACATACCGTCATTGCCGAACTCGGATGATTAGATCGGCATAGGGACCCAAACCAGGATCTCGCGTGTGCATTATCTGTGCATCTCTGTTGAGGTTTCGAGAAAACTGCCGTTCGGAAGCTATCTATCACCAACACAATGTATGTTTTCTTTTTCCATGGAGGCTCTCCAATCCCGCGCACTTGCAACTTCCAAGAGAGCCGCCTCGTCAACCAGCTTGATAACCCAAGATGACATTACTGACTTAGCATGCTTTTCCAGGAAGTTCGGTAAACACATCCAGAAGCGGCAGCTGGAAATCCCAGAATATGCAGCCAGCTTTGTTGATTACAAGGCGCTCAAGAAGGTCGGTATCCTGCCCCTCCGCCAACACACTGAGTAAGAGCTGATAACAATCCCCAGCTCATCAAGAAACTCAGCTCTACTCCCATTATACCGGCCCTGAGCGAGAGCAACTATGGACTTGAAGGACTGGACCCGCGAAGTTCACTGCAGGCGAACAAGGCTACTTTTTTCTTCCGAGTGGTAAGCCTCTCACATGTACTATGATCGCACTGTATCTCACTGGATATCCAGGAACGGGAGATAGAAAAAGTCAACACCTTTTATCTGCAGAAAGAGGCCGAGGTATGTGTGATGGGGCACCTGTTTTGATAGAGTCTCACTCGAACGCAGTGTCGTCTACGTTTGACAACCCTTCTCGATAAGAAAAGAGTTATGCAGCAGCACCCACAGTCTGTCTCCAAGACTTCTTCGCGATATATTGCTCTTGAGGAAGGGCTTAAGGCGTTTAGTATGGACTTGAACAAGCTTGAGGTGATCTGTCCGCATACACAAGAAGCTGACAGCGCTGACATCACTTAGCAATTTGTGGAAGTAAACGAAACCGCCTTTTCCAAGATCCTCAAGAAGGTTTGAAACATACCCTCTTAGATATAGTTGATTGACATGCTGACGTGTAAAGTGGGACAAAACCTCCAAGGTTAGTCATCACCTCTGGCGCTCTCTTCGACATGGGCTGACCTGAAGCCAGTCAAGGGAAAAACAACTTTACCTTGCCAGAGCCGTTGAAGTCCAACCATGTTTCAACCGCGAGGTTATCAGCACTCTTTCCGATCAGGCGACGCAAGCGCTCTTCGACTTTTCCGGGTGGGCTGAGGGCGAGGGCGTGCAGGCCCCACATCCGACCGCCGAACCTAGGGTCTTCGAGCCTGCATTCGAAGCGAAACTCGAGCTTGACAACCAGTTTGTTCAAGCTATTAACACTGCAAATCTCGACAAAATCGAGGAATGTCTGAATCGCTTGTCAAATCTGCCGGATGCGCGCGAGCATATCTCTAGAGCCTTTCTCAGCACGGTTGCTGATGCGCCAGAAGAAGCGCTCAATGCTCTGCTCGATTCCAATCTGGTGAATCTAGCGCAAGAAGACGAGATCAATGAGCGAAACTGCCTCCACAAGACTGCGCTCAGCGGACGAATCGAGGTGCTCAAGCTCGGCATATCCAGTAACGTAGATGTGCACTCGACTGATGTGTATGGCCGGATACCACTGCACTACGCTGCCATGCATGGTTATGTGGAGATTGTGCAAGAACTCATCAATGCTGCTCCAGAAACAGTCAACTTCCGGGACCAAGACAGCTTCACTCCTCTAATCCACGCAATTGTACAGTCGAAACTTGCCTGTGTTGAGGTGCTCCTGTCAAGAGGGGCCGATATAAGTCGCCTCGGACCTGGAGAACATATTCCATTGAATCTTGCATGCCAGTATGCGTCACTGGAGATCGTAGAGCTCCTTCTCCAACGGTCGGCCGAGATGTTACCTGATGCGGAAGGTCTTTTCCCCCAACATCTTGTTGCTAGATCCGGCAAGACACCGCAAATGTTGCTTTTGCTACAGAAGTATGGAGCAGATCTCGATCAGTCGGACAAACTCTACCAATGGACACCTTTGTTTCACGCGGCTAGCGAAGGTCATGTCGAGTGCGTTCAGACGTTGCTTCAGTGCAAAGTTGATGTGGATGTTGTGGACGAGAAAAGTCTGTCAGCCATGTACTACGCAACATGGGAAGGACATCTTGAGTGCATGAGACTGCTTGCGTCTGTCGGACGCGGGATCGGACTGACGACACAGAATCAGGCCTCGCCTCAGATACCCACGCAGACGATGTCTAGTTCGGCGCCAGGTCCTATGGAGATTGAAGACGACGTTGACGGTATCCCCGAGTTCATCCTCCCGCCACCGATCATCCCATTCAGGAGATACGGGCACAATTTCTTGGATACCAAGACATTTGTTGTGATCAACTTTGGTAAAAACGGCAAAGAAGCAATTCGTTTCTACGATGAGCAAAAGTACCCTGCCGCGAGGCTCACCATCTCGTCGAAGAGTTCGGATCTCATACCTAGGAACCTTCTTTTGCCGATACAAGACGAGTTCAAGGTCATGTCATTTCAAATTGAGAATCTCGATACATTTTCTATCGACTTCGATATCTACCCGACCATTGGCTCAAAGGTCATTGCACGCACTGTTGCGTCGTCGAAAGTTTTCACGGAACGATCAAAGAGCACAGGACGGTGGCATCTGGAGCTTTTTGACCCTCGCCTTCGATCTATAGGTAGGGTCACATTCAACTTCCAGGTAGTCAAGCCTTTTCATGGAATTCCATTGGAGATCACTCATTTTGCTACCTACTGGAAAGCAACCAGCCAACTTGACTCACAACCCCATACGCTTATCACCGGATCCAGTCTCTCTGGTGAATACGTCCGCTTGTTCGTACAGCTGACAGCCGACGGGATACCGGTGCTGCACCCAAGATGGAAGATCAACCACCAAGGACTGGAAGTCCCCGTCAACATCCTTACCTACGCACAGTTTGCGGCCATTGGTGCCCGCCAAAATGCCACAACCATGGAGCAGCTCGCAGGATTGAAAACGGCAACGTCAAACGATATTCCCACCATCTACCAGGCCTTGGCGACCTCATTCATCACCCTGAAAGAAGCATTGTCACTGTTACCAGCTCACATTCACATAGAGCTGCACGTGCTCTTCCCATCGCGAGTCGAGGAGGAGCGTCTGAAGCTAGGCCCGACACACGACATGAACGAGTTCGCGGATAGGATTTTGTCTGTAGTCTTTGAGCATGCGAGGTTGCTGAGAGAACAAGGAGCTGGAGAGATTGACGGCACGTTGCGGAGCGTGTTGTTCAGTTCTTTCAATCAGGATATTTGCACTGTGATCAACTGGAAGCAACCCAACTGTAAGTGCATACTATGGTAACGGTCTGGATGGTTGTACTAACGCCTGGCAGACCCGGTACTTCTCTGCAACGAGCTCGGCGCAGATTGCTCTCTGTCGCCGTCTGAACGGACACATACCGTGGAGAGCAGTGGCCGCACGACGACGTCTGTGAAGGAAGCAGTGCAGATTGCAAGGGACAACAACTTCATGGGCTTGATATGCAGTTCCCGCCTTCTGGTCAGTATGGATCAGAGTTGTGATATTGCAGTGATCTAATAAAAATGCAGGATCTCGCACCAGCGCTCATCGATTCTATCAAGACGGCTGGCCTCGTTCTTGTCACAGACATTACGGATTCAGCGGTCGAAGGTGCAGCCCAAGCGAATTTGCATATTGCCCAGCCACGACGACAAGCGACACCGGATGGAGTGGATGGATTTTTGAGGGGCAATGGTGTGCTTTGTTTCAATGAAACCGTGGATATGTAGATGCGGTGGGGGGATGTGGGGAGTTCAAAACACGAGAGGATGTTTTCTTGGCATTGTGGCGTTTATGAGCGTATGGATGGACGATTAGATGGTTGTGGACGGGGTGGGTGCTTGTGTTCTAGACGCGGTGGATCAACTCGGCTTATCGGTAGAGGATATGACTGGCGTATCTTTTGACTGCCATGTGTGAAAACGGCAAGATAAAGATCAAAGGTTGGCTCGGCATTAGATGTTCAGACTCGGCAATCAAGGGAAGGGAACAGGGGTCTGATCTGCGCCTTCCGTTCCGATGCACGCTAAGAATGTCTGCTCGAGAAAATGTCGGACGACATGACTGCCGCCAGCGGTGTCCTCCGTGTTGTGCTTGCATTCTGTCCTTTGCGCTCGTTATTCAGCGGTACCCGGCTTGTGCAGTGATTTTCGATTGTCCGCTCGTGGTTATGCGCATATGATATCTACCATCACTCCGATGCTCCGCCGCGGCGGAACGGCCACGGCGATGGCCAGGATTCCTTGGACGTGCCGGGCGTGTGTGCAGCAACAACGGGGGATACTGCCGCGACAGAGGCTTATACGGCACGCGAGGGGTTTTGCAACGGGAGTGGACCAGACGACGACGGGGAGACCCAGCGTCGTCATTACAGAGACACTCAGAAATGCGCCTACGCCCACGCCTGCGCCCTCGCCCAGACCAGACGGCAATGGACAGAGCAGCGGCAAGAAGAGGAGAAGACTGCTGCTGGCTGGCGGCGGGTTCTTGGTGGGCGCCGCCGTCGTCACGTTCAACGAAGACGCAAAGCATGTGGCGGCAGCGGCGCAGAGGAGCTGGCGAGTGGTGAAGACGCTGGTGCTCAACATCAAAGAGTGCGTCGCCTCCTGCGTGTGCGAGACATGACGGCTGACAGGGCTGCCCACAGCTACCGCGACACGCTCAAGCACGACGCCGCCGCCGACTACCCCGAGCAGCTCAAGGCCTGCCACTTGCGATGCGCCAAACGCACTCTGCACACGCTCGAGACCAACGGCTCCATCTTCATCAAGCTGGGCCAGCACCTGAGCAGCATGAACTACCTGCTGCCCAACGAGTGGTGCGACACCTTCATCCCGCTGCAGGACAAGTGCCCCGTGTCGTCGTACGAGTCCATCGAGGCCATGGTGCTGCGCGACACGGGCCGCCACCTGACCGACTTCTTCTCCGAGTTCGAGCAGCTGCCCATTGGCGCCGCCTCGCTCGCCCAGGTCCACCGCGCCACCATCCGCGAGACGGGCCAGAAGGTGGCCGTCAAGGTGCAGCACCCCGCCTTGGACGAGTGGGCCAAGCTCGACCTCGCCCTGACGAGCTTCTCCTTCGCCACCCTCAAGCGCTGGTTCCCCGAGTACGACCTGACATGGCTCTCCGAGGAGATGGAGCACTCGCTGCCGCAAGAGCTGGATTTCGAACGCGAGGGCGAGAACGCCACACGTGCCCGCGACTACTTCTCGCACATACGCGACGCGCCCGTCACCATCCCCCAGGTCCTGTGGGCCAAGCGACGCATCATCGTCATGGAGTACGTCTCTGGCCACCGTCCAGACGACCTCGCCTATCTCGACGCCCAGGGCATCGACAGGGATGAAGTCTCCGCCGCCCTGGCTCGTGTCTTCAATGAGATGATCTTCGGGCGCAATGCACCACTTCACTGTGATCCGCACGGTGGCAACATCGCCATCCGACACAACCCCTCCCGCAGCGGCAAGAAGAACTTTGACGTCATCCTCTACGACCACGGTCTCTACCGCGACATCCCTCTCGCCATCCGCCGCTCGTACGCGAAGCTTTGGCTCGCGGTCCTCGACGCCGATGAGCCCAAGATGCGGCAATACGCGTATGAAGTGGCAGGGGTGGGCGACGATCATTTCGCGCTCTTCGCGAGCGCAATCACAGGACGGGATTACACAGTGCTCACGAAGAAACAGGGTGGGGCTGCAGGTGTGACGAGCTCACGGACGAAAGAGGAGAAAAAGGTTATTGGGGATGCGCTTGGGGAGGGCTTGCTGGAGAGTCTGATTGAGCTGTTGGGCAAGATGCCCAGGGTTATCCTGCTGGTACTCAAGACCAACGATTTGAGTAAGTCACCACTCACTCCATTCATTTAGCTTTTACTACTACTCTACTTCTTGACACTAACCGTCTTCTCAGCACGCTCGCTAGACGAAGGTCTGCAAACTCGCCAAGGTCCTCTCCGTGCGTTTCTCATTCTCGCACGCTATGCCTCGCGTACTGTTTACGAGGAGGCACTCGACAACATCCCTGGAAGCATACTGTGGCCGATGAACTTCATCCATTGGTTCGCGGCATGGACGAGGCATATGAGGATTGAGCTGAAGTTGGGGAGTTATGAGACGTACCTCAAGGTCAGGGCGACGTTGGGCTTGCGAATGGTGGATGTTGGGGATAGTTTCAGGGAGTAGAGGAGCCGGGTGGACATGACAGTTTGCGGATGGATTGTCATGATGAAAACGATGTGCGAATACCCTAGATTTGGGTGGATAGACTTCTTGTTTTTTTTGGTACATTCATCGATAACGATCTCATTGGTCATCACTGCAAGTCACATACTCACCACAAGCTTAGATACCCACAACTTTGGCGACTCGGATTTAACAGAAGATTTCTAAGGCTCTCCAGGCAGCAACAGCAATCTTCGGGCGGCTCCGATGCGGGCGCATGGTTATCCTCAAAAACGATTAGGTAGTACTCGTCACGTGCTATCACCATTTCATACTAAATGACTCAACTCGACATCAACTCTACATACCTCCAAACCTATCTTCACTAGAAATGCCAATCTCAAGTTGGACCCCTCCTCCGCCCCCGGACCCAAACACACTCCGCAATCCCACCCCTTTCCCCCCTTTCCCGCTCGGCCAACTCCGCGCTGGCAAGATCAAAAAAACTCTAGGCACATCTCGTCTTGAGTCAGCGATTTTCAAAACTCCCCTCTCCGGCCCCGTCACAATAACAGTCAATGGCATAGTCGGCGATGAGCACGCGTACGAAACGCACCGCAGCCCGGATAAGGCGCTCTTGCACTACTGCACCGCGCATTACAGACAGTGGAGTGAAGAAATACCCGTATCCGCGCATCTCTTCCAGGGCGGGGCATTTGGCGAGAACATGTTCACTGAGGAGATCAGCGAGAAGACGGTGTGCATTGGGGACCGGATCGCGATCGGGGAGCAGGTCATCGTCGAGGTTTCAGAGCCAAGGGCCCCGTGCTATAAACTCAATCATCGCTTCGAGGTTAGGGATATGGCTCGCCGGACGCAGACGCTGCTTCGTACTGGGTGGTTGTACCGCGTTGTGAGGCCTGGGGTGGTGACGCAGGGTGATGTGGTTAGGTTGTTGGAGAGGCCGTTGCCGGAGTGGACGGTTGCCAGGGTTATGTATTACTTGTTCCTTGAGACGGGGAACACGGAGATGATGAGCGAGATTGTGGGATTGGGTCCGCTGGGCGTGGAAATCAAAGATAAGTTCCTGGCTCGACTGGCAAAGGGCGGGGCGGTGGAGGACCAGAATGGACGTATGTTTGGCGGCGAGGAGGACAAAATGGACGCGTGGAGTGAATACCGTATTGTGGAGAAAAGACGCGAGACTTCTACCGTCACTGCCTTCGTCCTCGAAGCTCTCGACGATATGAAGTGCCCCGACCCTGTGCTTCCAGGGAGCCATGTCCGCCTCAAACTCGGCGGCAACCTCGTCCGCGCTTACTCCGTCGTCGCCGGCACATCGAAGCGCTTCGAGCTCGGCATCGCGCTCGACGCCTCAAGCCGCGGAGGTTCAAAATTCCTCCACGAGCAAACAACAACCGGCGACATCCTAACCGCCAGCCGCATCCACGCGAGCTTCCCCCTCGCCCCCTCCGCAACACAGCACATCTTCATCGCCGGCGGCATCGGCCTAACCGCCTTCCTCACCGCCCTGCACACCCTCCACTCCACCTCCCAACCATTCCACCTCCACTACGCCATCGCCTCCGAACTCCCATTCAAACCCCACATCGCCGCCCTCGCCCCCCACGTCACCCTCTACAACAAATCCCGCGCCCAACGCATCCACCTCCCCTCCCTCCTCGCCCACACACCCCCATTAGCACACATCTACACCTGCGGCCCGGAGCGCCTCATGCACGCCGTCCGCCACGCCGCGCTCGCTCGCGGAATTCCCCCCGCGCACATCCACAGCGAGGCTTTCACGCTAACAACCTCCGGCGCCCCGTTTACCGCCGAGTTGAAGCAGAGTGGGAAAGTGGTGGATGTTGGCGCGCAGCAGACGCTGCTTGATGCGCTGAGGGCGGTGGGGATGGTGGTTGATAGTAGCTGTGAGGTGGGGAATTGCGGGACTTGTAGGGTGGAGGTTTGTGGGGGGAGGGTCGAGTATAGGGGGGCGGGGTTGGTGGGGAGGGAGAGGGAGGGCGCGATGTTGGGGTGTGTTGATCGGGGGGTGGGGAGGGTGGTTCTGGATATGTGATGGTAGGGGATGTTTTGTAGGAGCTGCGTGTTGTGTTGGGCTTGATGTTCGGAAAGCCTGCTTTCTGCGTGTAGGACTTTACTGGAGGGGCTTGGGAGTAGATGCGTAAGGCGAATGGCTGGACTGTAATGGAAAGTACTAAATTACGCATGACGTACAAACGTTATATCACTTCAACTCTACTCAACGACACGAACCCAACGCTACCGATGTCGTAGAATACTTTTTCCCACCACGAGGTCCAGTCTGGTTATGAACCACCATTCAGGATATACACTGAGACGAAGATGCGAAAAAGCCTCGTTCAACTGAAACAATCAGTCATGTAACATTAGGTATTTAAGAGTATCACCACACTCATCTGTGAATGTTTGACTCTACAGACGAGGTTGTGAGACGTCTGGGTTTTCCACTGCTTTCTTGCACACACCAATGAAGGTGGGACAGATTGACGTCAACCTGCAACGTCATCCAACTGTGCCGCAATCACTGTACAGCTCCTTTTGCGCTCCTCATCGCAAGATCACCTCCCTCCAACGCTCCGTTTGTTCTTAAATACCATCCAACAAAATGGACACCCAGCCTCCTCCCTTCGACGTTACTTTGTTCCTCTCGTCGCCAACCATCTCCCTGTCCGGCGACCCTCCCTTTATAGCCACAACAGTCTACACCTGCACGACCCTCCGCCCCATATACGCTCTCATCAGCCTCTTCAGCGATTTCGGCGACCACCTCGAAGTGCGAGACCCCAATCGCGGAAGATTAGCAGACAAGAGGATAGGTGTCGTCCCAACCATGGTTTTTGACGACTGGGATGAAGAGAATTTGGATTTTATCGACTCGCGACTCGTCCATGTTAACCCTGGTGAGAAGGTGGAAACAACGTATACTTTCTCTGTGGTGCCGAAGGCTAAGGGGTTGAGACGCTCCGATACGGCTTCGATGAAGGAGAGCGGGGAATATACTATTGAATTGGGGAAAAGAAAGTGTTGGTGGATAGATGCTAAGGAGATGGTGGAGGGGATGGGTGAGCAGGAGAAAAAAGAGATGCTGAGACAACGGGGTAGTTGTCTGGTGTGGAGACCGACGGCGGGTAAGACACTTTTCAAGGCTGTTGCTTGATGTGTTGTTGCGAATCTAATGGGGATTATGGGGGCTGAAAGTATGGTATGTATTTACTTTCTTCACTATTTCCATGTAATTCACAACGCGACACTGACAACGTTTCTGCAGTGTGAACTTGGGCATCGATACCAATGGATGCTCGCAGAGCATACAAGACCCAGACGGCGGGCCTGGAAATCTTCTCCCAAACACCTCCAAATCATTAAATGAGTTATTGAGATTATACAATGTGTCAGACCCTAAGGCTCGACTGCTTCTCTTGCCACGATTTCGGTTGTGAGATCTTCATTCTGAACAGGGAAACTGTGGCTGGACGGCAGTGTTTTGTGTGCAACATAAACTCAATTCAGTTATCCATTTCCAACATCTGGAAAAGTCGAGTGGCTATTCATTGCCTTTCAACACGTAAAAATATCGGGGGCGACCTGAGAGTATTACAGAAAAAGCCAAACTAAGTAATAACACATGTACTCTCAAGTTTTTCAGTGATTGTTAACTTTGAAATTCAGATTGCCCCCTTCATCTAGTACATGTAGCATAACGTTTTCCCCTGTGTATTCAACAAATCTTCAAGCGTCACATTACCTGCCAACTTTCCCATGTTGACGGTGAAATCCAACGTCACATTCTTTCCACTGTAGTCAAACGGGAAGATGGGCCCGCCGACCTGCTTCAGACGTATCTTGAGGTCCTCTTGTTGCCATGTCCAGAAAATTCGATCGAGATTTCCATGGTGGAGGAAGAAGAGCGGATCTACCGTGTGCATGTCAGCATTTATTAGACCTTGTTTTGCACATGTGCACGCTTGGAAGGAACTGTGGAAAGAGAAAAAAAGCGTCATCGGGTAGTGGGGGACATACCACCCGGGCTATTCGCCGCATTCCCAATCGTGCCCAGAACACCCCCAACACCAAAATGCCCACTCCCATGGATGTTGGGCTGCTCGAAACTCGGCACATTCTCCACGGCTCGCGCAAAACTTGTGTAGTCCGGCTGTGCAAGCACGTTCTGCACTAACGCTGGGTCCGCAAATGTGTTCATGATTGCGGGGATGAAGTCGCGTCGTAAGCAGTCCAGCGTGGGGAAGTTGAGCATGAAAGCAGGGGGCGCGAATGGGCCGTTCTTGACGCAGCCGCCACCCGTCCCGCCGGTAATGTTCAACGGATTCTGGTCAGCGGTCGGTGCGATGAAAGCGCCGTTGCCGCCGAAGCCATGGTCAGGGCTGAAGATGGCGGAGTGGAAAGCGCGCGTGGAGAGTGGGTTATGCGGCGAGGCGTCTTGCGACCAGTCCCAGTACCTACATGTTGGGTAAGTACAAGACAGTGTGGAGGTTATGGAATCACGTACGGTTGCCCCCCGCTGTATCCGCATTCATCCCTTAACGCCTTTTCATACGTAGCTACGAAGTAGCGGTGCCACAGCATGAAGTGACCCTGTCGGCATCAGCAACTGTCAAGAGGATAGCCCAGGACTGAAAATAGTGACCCACAACCCAGTGAATAGCCGGCGTTTGACTGTTATGCACGGCCTGGTGATCATCAAACCGGTTGACTGCCCCCGCAATTCCCGACTTCTCCTTCTTTCTTGTTAAGCACAGAACAGCATCTATATAGGCTTTCTTCTGTGGCTCGCGTAGCTGTCTCCTATCGGACGTTAGTCACGCGGTGAAAATGTCGATATGGGCTTGTCTCGCCATTCGAGTCTTTTTGGTGGATTGTTACAATGACCCGAGGAGGTCGTTGTCGGGAACGCTGAGCATAACGATGTTGTGCAGAATCCAATGAGGAGGAGATATAGAGAGAGCATATTGATAGCGTTATGGTATCTGCCAGATATAGAAGAATTGACTTCCCTGGCGACGAGGAGTTTTGCTTTATATACGTTACTGATTTGAACGATACGGTAGCAAAAGACGGGTACAATCTTCACCACAAGACTATCACATCCTAGTAGATTGGTCGTTAGCGCTTATCGATCCTGCGGTAGGGATAGCGGTCGGAACTTTTTTCGATCATAGGCCACACAATGCATGTCGCAGTGCTCAAGCTTAAGGTCTTGGATGCTGGAAAAATTAGGGTACTAGAAAGATGAAATTTAGCCTGCAACTTAGAAGTGATGACTCAACAATAGGCAGAGGTCGAAAATACGATAGATGCCACCCCAATCAGGGGTTAGGCGACCCATAAGTTGGGGATACCGTATAAGTTTGTTCAATCCGTCAAATGCTAGACAAGGATCTTAGCGAAGCGACGAGCGGCGATTGGATATATGAAGTGGCGCAGAGTGGCTGTGCTAATTCCACCATTCGCAGGCCGACTCGCTTCGGTAAGATCCTTGTCTAGCATTCGATGGATTGAGCAAACTTATACGGTATATTAAACCCCGCAGTGGCGTGACACTAACTGTTTACATAGAGTTTTCTTATCGATCAAACAGCAGCAAAGATTTGTTCACTCGACTGTTAATACTCCTATTATTACTTTGCTTTGAATTGCCTATCCCTGTGGCCATGTCCAGCTCTGATTGTATCACGACATGCGATCTCTGCAGCGCTTTGCTCGCGATGTTCAAAGGGTCGAGAACAGAAGATATTGATATTTCTTCATTCCAATCCCAAGAATCTCTCCAGTGTAACACACACACTTCCTTGGTCTCTCGCTTCGAGGAGTACTGCCGATCCACTTCCCATGCGATAGCTCAGCCCCAAAAGGATATGGGATTTCGCGGAGGGTTGTATCCGGGAGAAGTTACGATACGCTCATCGATCTCAAAAGGGTGTGCATTCTGGGATCTTCTACTCGTCAAAGAAAGGATGGGTACCGACGATTCTGCGAAAGGCGACATTATGAATCCGGACTGGGTTGATCTTACTAAAGTCAAACAATGGAAAACTGAATGTCTGAACTCGCACGGAAGCGAATGCGAAAACCCATTGAAGATCTGGACGACTAGACCAGCGTGGCTTGTAGATGTCGAATTGGAATATCTTGTACCCGGTCCTCTGGAAGTCGAATTTGTCGCGTTGAGTTACACTAACGGAAGGCATCTTGGTCTCAACCAGGATAGCGACCTCAACGCAGAACTTCTGGAGCCCTACGCCTTCCGCAAACCAGCTGTAACAACAAGACTCCCGCCCATCCTCCGACACGCTATGTTCTTGACAAAGGCTCTTGGAGAACGTTATTTGTGGGTGGACACCCTATGTATAACGCCCGGAAGCTCCGAGGAAACTGCAAGTCAGCTCATCATGATGGGCTCAATCTACGCAAGCGCTGTTGTGACCATCATCGCCGCTGACCGCGATGCTGAAGAGGGAATTTTGGGGTTAGAGGGAACTTCTAGACCCAGAGCGCTAGAGCAAAGGCTCATCCAGTTCGCTGACCGAACTATTGCCGTTCGAGACAGTAGCTATTCCTCGCTAGCACAGGGAAAAAAACCCTATTTCTCGCGCGCATGGACCTTTCAAGAACACAAGATGGCAAAAAGAAAACTCTTCTTCCTTAAAAAACAAGCCCATTGGGAATGTCAACACCAACAATTTCATGAAGAGTTTGCAGCAGGTGCTGAGGTTCATGCATCTATCGAGTCAAGCCTAGTAGAGAGTCTTGCTGGTTTTCCCGTCTTGAGCTCTGTTAGCAATCTCATCTGCAAGTACAATTTGTGCGAGCTTCGCTATGACGAGGATGCTCTTCTGGGCATCACAGGGCTACTATCTGTACTAAGCCGTTCTTTCGATGGCGGGTTTCTATATGGAATTCCGGAAATGTTTTTCGACCGAGCACTTGCATGGGGACCATACTTGGCAAATACAGAGCTTGAGCGCCGAACACAGTCAAGCCGACCAAGACCGGTTCAACTACAGCCGAGTCACCTGCCATCTTGGTCATGGGTTGGATGGAAGGGTATAGTAAGCCTCGGCGACGAGGCGAGTCGGGCCAACGACCGCCACCATAAGATCGAAGAGACATATCCAATAACCAAATGGTATACAGCAATGTCACCCACCACCGATCCATCCAAACGCCGTCGAATCCACTCCAAATGGTACAAAGATCGCGAAGAATGGAAAAATATGAAGATGGAACTGCCAGGCTGGACCCGCATCGAGCTCGAATCTGACAAAGGCACAGTTCAAGGAGAGCCACGCATGTTTCCAACTGGGTGTGGCGGCTCAGTGTATCGACATCAGAACATGCCAAAAGCCAAAGATTGGGGTTCGACTAATGACTGGTACTTCCCCTTCCCTGTTCCGAACATTTCAAATACCACAATGCCTTCAATGCCCGAGCAAACTCCATATCTATTTAGTCGAGTTCAACAAGCTCGTGTCTTGGGGCGACGAAACAACGACAGAGGTATTACTATGACCTTGTACGACAAACTGAAGGGGCACATTATTGGAACGCTTCGCCTACATTCAATGGATCAATTACAACCCTTCCCCAGCTTGCAAAAAGTGCACCCTCCAGTGGATCAGCACGACGCACATGGACCGCAAGAATCTGCATCGATCTCCGACGAGGGATTGACCAAAGAGTTGCTCATAGAGCCTTCTGGTGATAATGCTCTCGAAATTGAGGTTGTCGCCATTAGTGTTTCTCGAATCCAGTCCAAAACTTTCAATAAAGAGAAATCCTGCTACGGAGAGCCTTTTCTTTCCACCGAACAGTACAATGTTCTCTGGATTGAATGGAAAGAAGGTATTGCCTATCGAAAAGCAGGTGGACTGGTTCAAAAAGAGCAATGGGAACAGCTAGAGCGTGAGGATATCGACTTGATATTAGGATAAGCTAGTGTGATTGGATGGAGTCAACTCTTTGGTCGCTCCAGGTAGATCAACATGGAAAAAGTTTTCCCTTTACTAGGTCTTAAGTCTAAGAGTTGAACAGTTATACTCAAAAGTCAAGACATCAAGTTGGAGTTGACAATTGCGTCCGAATCAGAAACGCAAAACGGACTTTTATTATTGTAGTGTGGTTTCTTTCGCGGTTACGTAGAAAGCGTGAGTATCGGCCAAGTAAAAGGTGCGTCAAAATGTCCGGAGCGGGGCGAGTAGGGTGACCCCGAGCTCCCGCGGTCATATTTCATACAGGTCAGGCCAGAACAACCGTGTAGGCACCACAGTGAAGGTACCGCAGTAGCGCAGCGCCGAAATTAATAGGGGCGCGCATGGGAAAATGTACTGATGCATACTTGTCAAAGCAGCTTGTCGCAATAGTAAGAGATGTTTCAGTCCTTGAGGTGCTCAAAGTGACGAGGTGATTAGAATTACTTGCAATCACCACATGTAACAAACTAGCAATTTATTGTAACGTGATGTTTTACTTTAACACGCTTTACCTACCTATTCAAGCGTGGTACAGTCATCCCTAGGATGTTAGTGCCAAAAGCAAACGTACCTGTGCAACAACTCTATTTTAGCGCGGTATGACACAGTCCACCAAGCCATGCTCAGGCAATCTCACTGTAGTGGTTAGTCCACTTGTTGTTAATCTCCCGTCGGCTTGGGGCCTATTGAAAAAACCAGGAGACAACTCAAATGGTCGAATTTCTGGGTCGAGTAACACGCCTACTTGAGGGTCCAGAGTAAAATCTTTTGCCCTCATAAGAATCCAATCCGCAGTAATATGTTGCTCCCATGCGATTCATCAGTAAATCTCACCTGACTTGCGCGCAGAACAAGGGAAACCAGGTGAGATATACCTGGCTTGATGCGTCTCCTTCCTTGTTAACATGGCAGGTGGACCCATTGTACGACGACAAAAGCCCCATACTCAACCCTGTTCTCCAGGCTTAGCGTATGGCTTTGCACCCATAGCTCCTGAAGATTGTGTGGCGGATGGATGTAACGCAATTTAACGATGCTTTGCCACGGTGACAAACCTATATAACCTCTTTGTCTTTACCTGATTATAGATGCATTCATCTGCAACACTCGTTTCTTGCAAATTCAACATGAAGAAATTCACTCTTTGCTTCCGCTCAGTTTTCATGCTCACCACCCTTGTGACACAAGCTATCGGTCTCTCCATCAACCCAAGGGATGCTCCAACCACGGGCGGACAACAGCTTGCCGTGGCATCGTATATCTGGCCTGAGGATGAAGCCTGGGGTCGGCTGAACAAGATTCCCAATGCGAAGGGAACAGTCCTCGTGGCGAACGTGGATAACGGGCCAACCTCAACCGTCAACACAATGTGGAAGACGACCATTGCCAACGCAGCAGCCAGTAACAAGCGCGTTCTCGGCTACGTGCGCACAGGATACCTCTCTTTGAGCTCACAAGTATACACGACGCGAAACGGTTCGACAGACCTGGCTGATTGGCTCGTGCAAATTGAGAGCGACGTCGACGCCTGGTATAGCCTCTACGGCTCTACCATAGGCGGCATCTTCTTCGATGAGGGCTGGAACCAATGCGGGACTGGCAATGTCTACTCCCAAGTTTACCAGTATTTGAGCATGAACGTGAAGCGGAAGCATCCCGGCGCATTTACAGTGCTCAACCCTGGTGGCATCCAGCCCCAGTGCTTCCAAAACAGCGCTGATACCCTACTCACCTTCGAGGGCAGCTACGAGACTTACACAAACAACTACATCCCCAACGCCTGGACGGCCACGGACTCGCGCAAGCTCTGGCACATTATTTACAATGTGCCGGCGGCCAAGGTGGCCAGTGTCGCCGCCCTGGCGAAGCAGCGCGGCGCGGGTCTGGTTGAAATCACAAACGATGTGCTGCCCAACCCGTATGATAACCTGCCTGTCGACTCGTACATACAGACCTTGTTGAGCTCTATCTCTGGCGGCACGCTGAGCATCGCCTAGTTGGATGCATTGGTTAGATACAGAAAAGTCAATACTGTTAGTTAGCAAGACGTCTACTAGTCTGTCTAAGTAATAGAATATAACAAGAGTTGAATTACTTAAAAAAATAAAAATATGTAAACCCTAATTATAACTCTTTGATTATCTCATCATCAACTTAGATGAACTGAAACATATAGATAATGTTCGACAGCACCAAATTGGCACAGCATTTTGCGCACAGTATCTTGCCTTCTTGAGTGATGGATTAATAGTCACGCGCTCGGTTTGACATCCAGAGCTGGTTTGACAGCCATTGTCGTGAAACAAACTCGACAGCAATCTTACAGTGGAAGCTGTTACGCGCGAACTAATTGTACCCGTATTTCATCCTACCTAGGAAATCTTCTCTCGAGACCCTCCTTCAGGCGTGCCACTCGGCCCAGGAAGTCGACGAAATAGGTAGAGTATCTCCGAGCAGGCCCCACGCCGACTGAATATAGGAGAAGTACATGTCTAGGTCTGGTGACTTTTCGGAGAAAATAACTTGTAGTTCCAAACAGCGACCTAGAAAGCAAAGTTGTAATATAACTGGGAGACTGTGATTGAACGCATAATTTTAGAGATGTTTCTCTAGGCAACGTTGAATCTGCCCGTACAATCCGCACTAGGGCGTTTCAGGGCTGGCTGTGACAGATGCGCATTGGCACAAAAACACGTGTTGGATTATAAAGCGTTTCGCGGGCCGCTTCATTGCCCTAAGCCCCTTGTAACGCGCTTCGACCTGAGTGTAACATCGACTAACTAAAAGATAGCTGAGCCTGTCATCTTCTCATCATTGCGGGTCGCAATGTTCAAGCATTGACCCGTCAGACTGTGATAGTACTAGCCTAATCCTCCGTTATTGCGACAAGTAACCCAATACATCACAACAGGCGTCCAAGGCACCCAACAAGGTATCCACGAAAGCCTGGAATTGTTCCGCTTACCAGGTTCTAGACATAGACTCACAACTGTCATTCCACCACCCCGTCAATGTGTTGGCCCGAACCTAATCCCCTTGTATCGCGACCAGGCATCCAAGACATTGCGACAAGGGATCCCAGCAAGCTCAGGATTGACCCGATCGCCAGGTTCTAGACATCCCATCGTGCAGGGTCTCAACTATCGTCCCGTTAGTGTGTTTGCGCAAACTTCGTCTTATCTCTTGTGCGACAGCGCGGAAAGGCGATAGGGAACGCATTCATAACCAGGAGTGTGCAGCTCAATGACCCGGAGTGTGCTGCCTCTAAATAGCGGTTTCCTCAGGCTTGGAAGTGATGATTGTATTGGAATCTAGCTTCTCGGACACAAGTGATTAAATCCGTCTACCTAAAGACAATATTGCCGGCCTTGGCTGGGATTGATGATGCCCATGGCAATGAATGATAAATAGCTCCAATAATCCCCCTGGACACCTTCACCATCTACCTTACCGCTCCCGTTGACTCTGGCAGACCAATACGCACTTCCCTGCGTAAATTTTCCAAAAGCATAGAGCCCTGTGTTCAGGTTCTTTGCACGATTTGCGAACTTGTTGTTCGCGGCCGTTTGGATAGACCACTCGCCGACGAAGACGGGGAATTTGCTATCACTGGCGGAACTTTTAGCATCGGAGCAAATATCGGCTTGAACAGTGTCGGAGTCGGTGGGACGTCCAACAAAGTAGTAGTTGTGCACGTCAAAGACCAAGTTTGTGCCAGCAGGAAATCGAGGAGACCAGAACGCTGCACTTCTGAACCCGCCCTGGACCATGACAGGAATCTTTGAATCCACTGCTTCTGTCTTTGCAATGGCAGCATTGAGATACTTTTGCACCCAAGCCACACCGTTATCCGACAACGAGGCTGGTGTGCCGAACATCGTGATGTCATGGTTGTCGACCGGTTCGTTGATTGGGGCAAGACTATATGATTGTGGGCTATCCGAGCATTTTATGAATTCTAGGGCCGCATCAACAACTTTCAGCGAGTAGTCAAGGTTGGTTTGGTTGTTGAACCAGCTGAAATGGCCTTCGGCTTCGCCGTGTCCCTGACCGTTCGTACCGCCAGGCAAGGAATGGATATCGAGAATGATGTGCATGCCATATTTAGAAATGGCATAAGAAGCAATCTTTTTGAAGAATGAGACTTGGTTGCCAGAATAGAGTTCGCTGCCAGGAACTTTGACCCAGGCCGCATACGTGGTCGGGATGCGGAGAGTGTTCACGCCGGCAGAGGCCAGCTTGTCGATATCGGCCGGCTTGAAGTAAGTTGCGTAACGCCGTTCCAGAACAGGGCCACATTGAGCGCCGAGGCTGATACAGCAGTTCCATTCATCATGTGTGTCGCCACAGGTTTGATTCCACCAGGACGAGTCGATGAATTCTTCCTGCACGAGCCAACCACCAAGGTTGACTCCGTTGGCTTTGAATGTCTTCCAATTAATGTATTTTTGAGGGGGGTGTGCACTCGGGCGTGCTAAAGCAGTGGCGGAAAGACCAAGGATAGAGACTGCGAAAACCAGGAGGGCAATCATGATTGTTGACGAGCGAGATCTGACTGCAATCCCAGCGTGCAAAATTATCAGTGCTAAGATGCATACTTATATACCGCAGCGAATGACAAGATAATTTTTTATATCGGTCCGAAGCGTAGGTTAACAGGTACCGTGACAATGTACACACCGAAGATGTGGGGCCGATATCTCCAGGTTCCTACCCCAGGTTCTGGATCGACGGAACCCTCAAAAACGTGGCTTTGGTATTCTGGTACAAACAGGTAAAGCATTGGTCGGCAAAGAGCCTAACATCTAGTGTTTGAGTTAGATCAGAATCTACCCAAGCACAACCTTCTTCCCCACATCGGGTGCGGCCGATGCTAGCAAGTCCACATTCCGAACTATTTTCTGTCAGTAAATTGTCGCCGGAACATACAAACAACGTTAAAAAATAGTATAGGAATCAAAATTCAAGCTCTAAGATGTAAGACAGGGTCTCGAATTACTTTCTGCAAGGTGCTGGTGATGACCCGATAAGCATCATCTGCCACCTTTTTGGTCTGGATGTTATCTAGACCTGTAGTATCGTTCTGTTACAGTGGGAAGAATATTGAGCTGAACTTTACTGTTAATATATATAGCTGAGCAGGTGATGCAACGCTTAGATATCTATTTGATACACAGGAGAGAATAGTCTACTCCACCAATTAAATACATAAACAAAAAAGAGGATCGGGGTAAGGTATAACCAAAGGATCAAGAATAAGCAACACATGGTTACTGTAATTAAAAATCAACCTGAGTTTTTCAATCCAAGAACGTTTTAATAGATTCATGGAACCAACACAAGATACAATTTCGAAAAATTGAAGGATAGAGTGACTACGAGCCATCCAGCCAGCAGATTTCAAGTTCGCTTATGCTTTTCTGTCCTTCTAGTCTCCAGTGTAGCAATGCGTCGTTACTTGACCCTGACCTCACTATTCAGAGCGAGAGTTTCATGACTAGAATCGTCTCAAGGGAAACACGCCAATTAGGGACTTAACACAACGCATGTTCTCTAGAATGTTGGGATCCAGACGATGGTTTCGCGGACTTAACCAATCGACGGTAATCGGGCATTAATTTACACTCAAAAGGGACGAGACGACATAGATTCTAGAAATAATTTAAACTACTTCATCAACAGAATACTTTGTTTGGCGGGTCAGTCATGCCACCAGGGTCACTAGACCTAGGCGACTGAGGCAGAATCTCAGAGACCCATTCAATGATCTGGAGTGCCTGGAACGAAATCTTAAGACCGTTGTCAGTGACCTGCACTCTCTGCGTAGACTCTTCACTGTCGGTTTCCAGGCTCCCACTAAGCAACATTCTCGGTCAGTTTTGAATTCGTATAGTATATGAATTCTCCGAGAGTACGCACTCTGCTTTCGATCCCCATGTTCCATACTTAGCTTGAATAGAACTGTCGGTAGACAGCGCCTTCATTCTCTCGGTAATGTTCTTTGAAGTGGTTTTGAACCAAGTCATCAATCAGTTATTTGTTTGGGTGCGCGGAAGCTGGAGGGCAAACCTCAAACACCACAAGTCATACGGGTGCAAAGCATTTGCTATGACAAACGACGCACATCGTGGATAGTCAAGACTTCAGAGACTGGATCCAAAAGCGTGGATCGGATATCTTGTCGGATATCAGTCGACCAAAGTTTGTCGAGTCTGGATCCAATCTCTAGGGAAAGTTATAAGTACGCGAGATGTGGTGTTTGATGAGGACTCGAGCTTCGACGGCAAGACCAAGAACCTGATGGAAAACCTGATGCACAACACCCTTAAGAGATCGCGACCTGGGTGAAGACTGTCGAGCTTCCAGCATTACAGACAGAGCAACCAGAGACCGAGACATTCTACGAGGATGACACAACAGAAGAGAGCAGCCCCTCGCGCCGATCTTAAAGAGACTACACACTTGACCCCTACTACCGCGGGGTCGCGCAACCACTTGGGTGTAACAACTAATTCTTCAAAACGTAGTTACTATTTGTAATAGTAGCAGAGAGACAGCACGATTCTTGACACCTCGCTGCTTAAAGTACAGGCTATACCTTCTTCTCGTCGTACACCTTATACTTGTACTTTGATCCCACATGATCGTTCCTCAATTTTGCCTGCCCACGTTCATAGACCTTCTCCCTTGCCGTCCACCCATCATTGACGGACTGCTCATCGACCTCTGCATATATACCCCTATTTCTCAACTCAGGCACTAATAAATTTACAACATCCTCAAAACTTCCAGGTGTGGTAATATACGCGATATTGAACCCATCGACGCCTGCCTCCCTCACCCATAGTTCGAGCTCGTCTGCTACTGTCGCCGGAGAATCTACTACGACAGGTCCAAGTCTACCTATTGAAGCCTTCTCTGCGATGATACGCGGTGTCCATACCGGAACATCAGGACTCGTAACAGTGAACTGATCGAGCAAACTGCGTACACGATGGTCCTCTGTAGCATCATCCGGAGTAAGCACATGGTCTGGTGGGTATTTAGAAAGATTGATTCCAGTCCATCCAGAAACCAGCACAAGGCCTCCGACTTCAATGGCGTACTTCTTCAGCTCTCTGTACTTCTCTTGTGCCTCCTCATCTGTACTGCCTAAAATGGGTGCGAATGTAGCAAAGAACTTGATGCTTTGCGGTTCACGGCCTTTTTGAGCTGCGAGCTGGCGTATCTTGTCAATCTTTCGCCTCAGGACCAAGGGAGAGTGGGAAGAAACGAAAATGGCTTCGGCGTGGGTAGCTGCGAATTCGGACCCTGCGGATGATGTCCCAGCTTGGAAGAGAAATGCTGTGCGTTGAGTTGAAGGGTTGACGATATGGCGGGATTCTAGATGGAAGTACTTGCCATCGTGTTTGATAGTCCAAATCTTGCTTGGATCGATATATTCGTCATTCTCGCCATTTTCAGTGATGGCATCGTCAGCCTATAAGCCCTCCCATAATCTAGATCAAAATCAGTTCTAGGCACATTCATCAAGAACTGCTCAATAGATATGAAACTAACTTGTACAGCACGCGCAAGTACTCGTCCGCCTGGGCATACCGCTCGTCGTGCTCAATCGGTGTGTCGATTCCGATTGCTTTGAAAGCAGCCTTCTTCCGGCTTGTAACAATGTTCTAACCGAAACTTCCACCTGTCATCCAGTCTAAAGTACTGAAACGCTTTGCTAGTAGAAACGGTGGCTCGAACGATGTAGATGCCGTAATGGCAAAGGCAAGATTCTTGGAGACGGCTGCCATCGCAGAAATCGGCTGCTCTACGTTACTATAGTACTTCATGCTTGAAACTGCTGAATAAATAGTGAGCTCACAATTGTAGGGTCCATCATCGGTCACGGCGCAACTCTTCGGATACAGTTGTCTAGACTTCCTTCAAATGTGTCATATTCACCATACGTGTCCGCCAGAAATAGAGCATTGATTCCTCCACGCTCGAGCAGCTTTGCCAGGTTGATCCAGTAGTCTAGCTTGCGTTTGGAAGCGGAATGATCTTTACAATTTTTCCATTGTCCTGGACTCAAATGACCAACAGTACACATGTCGAATGCATTGAGTAAAATTCTCTTCGTAGACACGGCATGAATGCTGTCGCTGTCGCTTGTAGTAGTTTCGATCATCGTATTGATGGTTTTGATGATGCAGTGGCTTAGGTATCGAGCTTGTACCGACGGCTTAGTTGGTGTCCTGCTCACGGATATATATATGGTGACTTCGAGTTGCTGAAACATGCCAAGAATTATCCAAAGTTCTCGATGTTGGCCGTTGGGCACCACGAATACGCGCAGCTGTCATATGATAGATTCGCTTTGCAGGGGACATATTGCGCCATATGATAACAACTACTCGAATTGAAAACCATTGACGGGTCTAATTGGTGGTATATGCAGGCACCGGATGAACAAAGATAATACGCACGTATCGTAACATCCTGGCTCTTCTGAATACCGCTAGCAGGGAAAATAACAATGTGGTTCAACAAGGGTACTTAGCCTAGCAAAGGAAGATGGTCGGAAACGCTAAAACTCCAATTATCTTTAGCCTCCGCCCCCTGCCAGCGATGTTCGAATGAGCTGGAATTTCGCGGTATGGCATGCTTCAGCAAAGGTTCCCGAAAGATCGATGAATTTCTGGTCTATAATCGCAATTAACATTACTTGGTAATTCAACATCAATCTCTCAAGATTCACCTGTGCGTCCTAGCCCGACACAAATTTAGAGATTTATCATTCTGTCGATTACAAAATGCGTGGCAAAATAATTCAACTGCATTTATCAAGCCTTGTCCTAAGCCTCAGGGGATGTTCTTGCTTGAGGGTCTGTGGGATACTGTTTCCTCGATAGGAGTTTTACTATCATCCTCGGATTGCGGCGATGTAAGTCTGAAGAAGGTGAGTTCATAATCCATATCCAAGTTGACTGAGTACTCACCTTTGCTGTTTCTTTATGTAGTAGTCAATGATGTGGGCAAGGACGACCAAGCATACCGCGTTTGCAAGTACAAATGCATGGCCTTTGCGGAAGCTGGGCCCTTCAACTGTCTTGAAGACTAGACGTGGCGTCCAGGCAGTGGTAAACTGCGCGAACGCATTTGCGAGAACCAACGCTACCGATCTCTCAGCAGGTGAGTAGCTCATTTGGCTGTTGATACAACCGTAGAGCACACTTGACATAGCTACCGCTGAGTACGTCGTCATGAAAGCAAACCATAAAGCTGCTTCTGGAGCAATCAGAATGATCAGCCCAGTATTGTTCCAGATATGCGCAACAGTGATCGCCCAGAAAGGACCTAAGAAAAGATCCGACGCAAAACAAACTGCAAGCGTGCAAAATATTCCGATAGCGGGCGATATAGCGCCCAGCTCATTGATGCAGACTGAAGTGAATCGTTTTAAGGACTTCATCCATAGCAAATATCCACCAGCGAATGTATTATAACTTCCATTCCAGAAGAAACAAACGAGGAGTAAAAAACGCACACAGAAGTGGGGATTTAGCGACCTTGCCTTCTGTCGAATAGCCGGCTCGTCAAAGACGTTTTCTTGGCAAGTTTAACATCATGTTCTTCCAAGATCCACATGTTGGGTCGATCCGGTGTTCCCGGAACGACTAAGAAGCCGAGAATGCCTACTGGAATTGTAATGATGGCACAGATGATGTACATCCATCGACAACCTGCGAGATCATGGACGCCATCCAGGCTTTTCGATGCGGCGGATTGAATGAGAGTTACAGCGAGTGCGCCCAACGAGAGACCAACGTAGAAGACTCCGCCTCGACGTCCAACTTGGTCACCCCTATACCATAAACCTGGCTGGTAATCAACATATGTAGTACCTTACTAAACATGTAAACTCACCAAGACCATAGTGTATCGCGGGGAAAAAAGCGGCTTCAAACCAACCGACTAAGAATCAATACGCAGCTAGTTCCGCATACGATTGAGCGCGCTATTGAAGCAAGGTAAAGATGCCCCATGCGATGTCAAGGAATGGAATCATGTAAAAGAGAGGAACACTTGTAAGCAAGTACATAAAAGGAAGTTGTCCTAAGACAGCGCCTGTGATGTACATCGTTTGCAGCTGAACAAGTCAGTTACCTTAAAAGTCCAAGTCTTCTTTCATGCCGGCCACGTAGGCATTATCTAAAAGCATTAGTAAATGTCTCGATGATGTCGTTCCCAATCTCACTGATGTTGGCTTGATCAACATATTTAACCCAACACACCAAAAAGACATAGGGTACGATTAGAAGATCCAGCTTGAAAATCAACTTGCGCTCCTCGGGTGTGTTATGGCCCTGGAACCAACGAATACGGAACCACTTGCGGTTTTTGACAATCGACGACATGTCGGAAGACTTGAGATAACAGATAAGTGATATAACATGATGATCCGTTCTTTCATGCCTTCAAACAAGTATCCCCTCGGTCAACAGTTTCCAGCTCCACATAAACTCCGAGACGCGCATTTTGATAAAAGTTATGTAGCCAGTAGTAGCTAGTATCTGAAGTGACCTGACTTCAGGGTTTAATCACGACAGTCAAACGTGTTACCACTTGGCACATACCGTCAACAGGTGGGGAGAAGACGTGATAGCACTCAGATGCATGACATTAGAACCGTTATCTCTAGTAACCGATGGCGGAACATCTAGTCGCGTAATACAACTCAGGATAATATCAGCGGTTACAAAGGATGGCTTAATATGTCTTCTGCCTTTGAAATCTTTTGTCCTCAAAGTTGTCCATGTGTCTAGAGAATCGACCCTCTCCCGAAAAACGTCATTAGAACCTAGCCTAATCGAGGATGGCGCCAAACCCAACCATCGCGTCAGCATCAACACGACGCGTCGCCCAATTGACGGATCATCTCGATCCCGCAAAAGAAGGCGTACAGACTGTCACTCGCCCTACGCTACCTATTGAATATCCACTGTCTCGACACCAATTCGACTCAAATCACTGCATTGATCACGTACGCGAGCTCAGAGTGGCCGTCGTGGGTGCCGGCCTTTCTGGAATCAATGCTGGCATACTTCTTCCAGCCAAAGTTCCAGGTATTAATCTAACCATTTTCGAGAAAAACAGCGATGTAAGCGGAACTTGGCTGGAGAATACATATCCAGGCGTGCGCTGCGACATACCTGCCCATGTCTATCAAAGTACTTTTTCTCCTAACACGCAATGGACCGAGATCTTCGCCAAAGGCGCCGAGATTCGCGATTACTGGCAATCCCAGGCCAAGAAGCATGATATCTACAAATACGTTAAGCTACGACACCACGTTGATGACGCATTGTGGGATGATGCCCAATCTCAATGGTACCTAAGGGTGCTCAATCTCGACACCAACATCGTCAGTACCGAGAAGTTTGACGTCTTCATCACTGCACTTGGTCGTTTCAATGCCTGGAAGCTACCAGACTATCCTGGCTTGGATGAGTACAAGGGTTATCTCAGACATACTTCAAATTGGGGCTCGTATGATCCATCTCGCAAAAACGTTGCTGTCATCGGCAATGGAGCAAGCGGCCTCCAAATTGTGCCGAATCTGCAGCTAGTCTCCCGACAGGTGACACATTTCGTGCGAAATCCTACGTGGATTGCCACAAGTTGGGCGGGCGACGAGCGCACCTTTGAACCGCAGCCGTATTCTGAGGAGCAACGCAAGTCTTTCCAAGACCCGGAAACGTATTTGGCCTTCCGCAAAGACATCGAGGACAGATACTGGAGGCGCTTCCGTGCCATGGTCCGAGGTTCAAATGAAAATGAAGGCATCCGAGACCAATTTATCGATGTCATGAAAAGGCGGATTGCCAAGAAGCCACATCTACTGGACGGGTTGATACCAGACTTTGCACCTCATTGCCGGCGGTTAACACCTGGTCCTGGTTATCTTGAGGCACTCACCGAGGATAACGTTGAGCTGGTCAAGACAGCCATCAAGCGTTTTACACCAGCTGGAATTGAGACTGTTGACGGGAAGTCATACGAGTTCGATGCTATATTTTGTGCCACAGGCGCAAATGCAGACCTTGTCCCACCCATTCCCATTAAAGCAAGAGGAATCGATTTGAAAGAGGCGTGGGCGCCTGGAGGTAAATGGGGGTATCCATACACATATATGGGCTTGGCTACTCCAGGCTTCCCTAATCTCTTCTTTGTCGGTGGACCTCACAGCACTGGACCATCGGGTACTGTACCACAGGCCGTTGAGACAGCGCTCACATACATTGCCAAAGTTCTTCGCAAGGTTTCTTCTCAGGGCATTGAGTCCGTTGAACCGTCAGAAGAAGCGACTGACGATTTTGTCGACTATTGTGACGCGTTCTTTCCTACTACAGTACTCACTGACAACTGCTCATCATGGAATAATGGCGGCATACCTGGTCAGCGCATTCACGGCCTTTGGCCTGGTTCAGCCGCACATGTCACCCTTGTCAGGCGCGAACCACGGTGGGAAGATTGGAAATATGAAAGACGTGAGCAAAATAAAGTGAACCGGTTCGCCTACTTCGGTAATGGTTACACCCAGGCTGAGACGGAAGAGGATAACGATATGGTCTCATACTTGAGAGCTCCTGGGCAAGAGGTCAATTTGAAGGATGTCCACGAAAGCTGGTGGGATACGCCAGGCGCTACGAAAAAGTTGACGTGAAAATTCGTTGCCCTCAAATAATTGAATATAGTATTCATCTTCTCATAAATCCGCAAAGCACATGACAAAGTTTTGGACCCAGTAGTAAGTTGATCAGGTACCGAGCAACGAAGCAACACTCTTCATTATTTTCTGCAATATTCCTTATCAAATGACAATCTACCTTTGACTTCCACATAGTCCACGCCTATCGTATGAAGAAATCACGTCAATTCTTATCCTATTGCGTTTGCTTTTTTTCTACACTAAGACTTCGTCAGTAAAGGGTTTGCTCGTCCTTATCTTCATTTATGGTGTTCTCCGCGTCACACTCCGTCAAATACAATGAAGATTGCGTGCTGCCCCGCCCAACGGGCCGCGTTACATCGCGCAAAAGCAAGCATGCGCCATCTATTTGAGTCAGGAACGCAATTTATCGTGAATCCGGGCAGGGTACTTGGTCAAGTTACTCTAAATGCCGGAGGCTTACTTCGCGGACTTAACGGCTGTATACGCGGTGGGACGTGTACACTTACATATATAGCTGTCTCGTCAAGGGAGTGTATAGTCTTTTCATAAGAATCTTAGGACATATCACCCAATTTTACAAATCACATTCCGAACAGCTATCGACTTCCAAGCAATGGCTGATCAAGAAGTTGCTACAGACGGAGAGCGACGTGATTATCCAAGTATATCAACTTGATGCTAGCTTATCAACGATTGCTGATCTCTTGTAGCGAAATGGTACCGTTCATCGTTGTTTAACATAACTATCCTTGGCCTATGCAACTTCTCGGCTCCAGGCATCTGGGGTGCAATGAACTCACTTGGGGCTGGAGGATCACAGTCACCCAATCTAGTCAATGCTGGGAATTCACTTACTTTCTGTTTGATGGTTGTAAGCTGTTACTTCAGCAGCGTGCTTGTGCGTTACATTGGAATCAAAGGAGCTTTGATCTTTGGAACGTAAGTGAACCTTGGTGACTTGAGTGTTTAAACTGTATGCTAATCAGATTGTAGTCTTGGATACGCTCCCTATGCGGCAGGTAAGTCTCCCCCCCGAAACCTCAAGCGTAATGCTTACAGATAAAGCACTTTATTGCAATAACCAATTTGGAACCGAATGGTTCATCTATCTTGGGTCGGCTTTATGCGGCATCTCAGCAGGTGTCTTCTGGACGGCTGAAGCTGCTATAGCCATAGCATATCCAGAGCCTTGGAACAAAGGCAAGGCGCTGGGGTACTGGCTCACATACAGTCGTTTTGGTCAGATCCTCGGAGGTGCTATCAACCTGGGTCTTAACGCGGATCGTGACGAAGCAGGCCAAGTATCACATACAGTTTACCTTGTATTCATTGCACTACAATGTATCGGTCCGTTTGTTGCGTTTTTCTTAAACAGTCCAAGCAAAGTTCAGAGGAAAGATGGCAAAAAGGTCAATCTGGCAATTCTGCAGAATCCTTGGGCGGAGATCAAGGCGACTACGAAGCTCTTCTTTACAAAGAGATTCTTGCTGATTCTTCTCTGGATTGGGCAATCTGTTTTCGCTGAAGCGGTTTATTTCACATACCTTGCCTGTAAGTCCCTACTCGACTTTCTTTGCGTTAATCACACACGCCATTCAGACACTGATGTCACAACAGTATGGTTTACAGTTCGTGCTCGCGCCCTAGGATCCTTCTTGTCTGGTATTGTTGCTGTGATAATCGGCAACCTTTTAGGCACATGGCTTGATCGTGCGAGCGTCTCGCTTCGCACGCGTTCCCGCAGTGCATTCTGGGTGATTGCTGTTCTTCAGGGTGCCTGGTGGATTTGGGCCACGATACTCGTTACAGAGTTCAGATCCTCTCAACCAACATACGACTGGACGTCCCCAGGCTTTGGCCGCGCCTTTCCCGTATTCATTTTCCTTACCACCGGTTTTCAGATGAACTATCTATTCTTGTACTTCATCATCGGAAATCTCGCGGACGACGAGTCAGACGTGGTACGATATGCTGCTCTACTCAGGGGTACTGAGTCGGCGTGGCAGGCAATCAGCTACGGTATTACGTCAGTCACACTGTTTGCAGAAGTTGGGGCTGTTTATTGGAATTTCGCCTTATGGGCTGCTGCAATCTGGCCTGCCTGGTTGGTCCTGCGAGAATTTGGCAACAATGGCGAAACATCGATTGAGCAGTCTGGTAATGAGAAAATAGGCTCACCGGTAGATTCCGTCACCAACGTAACCCCACAAGGTGACAAGATAATTGTGGGTGGATATAGATGAAGGGATGTATGAAGATTTGTAGCACCTCTCTATGTAATAATCGTCTGTTTAAGACCTCACAAGTCTTCGGAGTTCATTCACGTGTTGTTTCATGAATGATTGACACAATCGTGCTTGTATCTTTCATCTATAAGAAGCCCATCAATCTAACGGACCCCAAAGTAAATATATACTAGAAATAGGTGGTCTTGCACACAAAGATAGACAGTATCGGTAAACAGAAATGTCAAACATTGCTCAGGTGTTACCCGCACCCGCGTAGTATTTGTTTCTTCGATCCTTGATTATCAAAAGATGACGTACATAAACGGAATGAAACTGTGAAGGTGGCTATCGTTTTGATACCATACAAACACGACGAAGCTGCATACCTCTTGGCTGAAGATTAAAGTGAATCACGGTGAATTTATACTCGAAGAGTCTGAAGGATTCTACCGCAACACAGCGACTAACCTTCCCCCACTAATCTCCCGCCTCCTCATCCTATCGAGTCCCTCATTGATACCCGTAAGTCCATCTACTGTTCCCACAACGTCTGGCGGAACAAACAGTCCCTTTAAGAGTAGCCGTTCGCACCATCCACTAAGAGCTTCTCCAACTTCCGGAACCTCATGAAAGAGCTTGATTGGCACGCTGTGTAACGCTAGTCCTTCGGGTAAGTCACCTTTGGGCAGTCCGGTAAGTCCAACGAGATGGGCGCGTGGTGATTCAAGGGAAACCACCAATGGCGTCGACGGAGGAGTAGGAAGTGTAGAGTCCTTGCGGTCAGTATTACGCTGATCCTTGGGCAGAGAAGTGATGTTTGAAGATGGGGGGGCGAGGGCTCGCAAAAGATGACCAGCTGTCTCTTTACCTATAGTATCGAATCCAAAACGAGCGCGATTGTTGGTTGCTGTCTTGATAATGTCAATGGCTCTTTCGGGATCATGGGAGTCGACAAGTAGATCTGGACGGGCAGTTGTATGAGTTGACAGCCGGAGACCATGTTTTGCGCCGTCAACAACAGAAATAATCCTCAACCCTGCGAGTCGTGCAATCTGCTTCATGGCATGTGCACATGTCGAACTGCCACCCCAGATGACGAGAAAATCATCGGCTTTGGCTTGTTCGTAGTTTCCGATTCCCTCAAGGCATTCTTGTCGCATGTCAACAGGTAGACTTTCAGGGTTGATGTTGCGCACAACTTTTAGGAGATCTGGTCCATCCTCAATTTTCTCAAATCCTACACCCATACATATTCCTAGCGCTAACGCTGCCGAAACGAATGCTACACCTAGTATGCTGGCAGATGCTGTTGAAATCTGTCGAGGCACGCGAATAGCATTAAACGTAGACGCAATGCTGTATTCTTGGAATGCAGCTTTTCGCAGGTCGCGATAGTCAGTTGACGGAACGATAACAAGATCGCCTTCCTTCAATCGCGAATTATGCGTTTTAGACACTTGTATTATAGTGCCAACAAACTCTCGCCCCGCAACATAGGGAAGCGTTGGTATGCCGAAGTTATAATCGCTGATCGTACATAAGCACTTGTACAAGAACGTTAGGACGCGTTTCACGCCCTTCTCTGAGACATTGCCTAAACTTACGGCGCTTTCCAGTCAATTGGATTCAACCCTACAGCCTTCACCATGACAAGCATTTCAGAATCAAGTTGTGGTACCGGTACTGCGTAGCTGGCAGTTGCTTCGTAGGGTTGGCGAATGGCGCGTAGCAACAATACCGATTGAAATTCGGGGGCTGATATATTTTCTTCGATATGTTGGAACTTGTATTGTTCGTCTTCATCGACCGGAAACGATTTTGTTGCGCTTCTTCTCCGCCAGCTCCAGGATACCATGGTGTGAAACCGTGTAATGATTGTTGGTGGTTGCTAAGAAGTATCTTTCCGGTCAAAAGAGTTGGTCGTTGAGTTCGAGCAGCGTAAATGATGCGAAATGTCTTGCAGCACAACAAAGGTCAATAGATCCGAGTCCCCGTATCCTTCCCAGGGTATATGTAAGCATGCATAGTTACATCGTCTGTGTTGTGGAGATGTTGTTCTATCGACATTGCGGGTCCCGATGGCGTCGTTGTGAAGGAAGTCTAATCCCGGTAGACGCCATCCCGAGTCGCAATTCGGATGAATTCAGTTTCTGAGAGGCGTTGCTTCGGAGGCATCGATGAGCGATAGTGTACCCGAAGTCGTGGCGTAACGGTTCTGCCTTGGAACGAACCGAAAAGATAAGTAATTGCGTCAAAGTACGACGTCAGCACATCATCCTCATCAGATCACGCAACCGATCCTTGAGCGACATCGGAAGAACATGCATTTCGTGACTGTTCTCTTGCCCTCCCCCGATAAGAGACAAACACAGCACGATACTCGAAACTCCAACAGACAATATCATGGCTCCTGGAAAGAAACTGATTCTAAATGCGTTCGTGGAGATGTGTAAGTTCACGTGACTAATAGAAGGGCCCTCCGAGTTGTATAGCCGTTGGCAAAGCGCCATTTCGAGCCACCATTGGATGAAGGCTAATATGCGAGACACCCACAGGTAGCGGCCATCAGTCACCAGGACTGTGGAGGCATCCTGATGACCACTCGCACGAATTCAATGATGTCGAACATTGGGTAGAACTAGCAAAACTACTCGAAGAAGCCAAGTTCCATGGAGTTTTCGTGGCTGACGTACTGGGAGGATACGATGTCTATAACGGGAATCTAGATGCAGCGCAAATATCGGGCGCACAATGGCCTGTGAACGAGCCGTTGGCTGTTGTTTCTGCAATGGCAGCAGCAACAAAGAGTCTTGGTTTTGGCGTGACTGTCTCGACTACATATGAACAGCCTTATCATTTGGCTCGAAGGTAAAGCCATACTATTCAAAACCGCTCACAAATGCTGATTTGGGAAGATTGTCTACTATCGACCATCTCACCAAGGGAAGGTGAGACGAAGACTCCCAAAAACACGCTCGAATACTAATCTAGGGTGTAGACTTGGCTGGAACGTAGGCCGCCGCATTCAAACCGCATTTGAATATCAATAACGTTTCCAGATTGTGACAAGCTATCTAGACTCTGCAGCGCGAAACATGGGGTTTGAGGAACAGCTTCCGGTTCGTTCTCCGATTGACAATCCTGGATGTAGCTAAATTCGGATAGCACGACGAAAGGTACGCCCAAGCAGAAGAGTACGTAAAGGTCATGTACAAGCTTTTTGAATCGTCTTGGAGAGACGACGCCGTCGTTATTGATCGCGAGAAAGGGGTGTACACGATTCCCGACCGGGTCAGAGAGATTGGCCACAAGGGCAAGTACTTCTCTGTGCCAGGCCCCCACATATGTCAGCCTAGCCCGCAGCGTACGCCGTTGATCCTTCAGGCCGGAACCTCCAAGGCAGGAAAGCTCTTCGCTGCGCAAAACGCAGAAGCAATCTTTGTCTCTGCACATGCACCAGCTGTCTGCGCCAAAAACATCGCAGAGATCAGATCAACTGCAGCCTCACAGTTCGGAAGGGACGGAAGCAACATCAAAGTGCTTGCTCTTGTGACTCCTATCATTGGAAAGTCAGAAGAAGAGGCGCAGGCCAAGTTAGCCGATTATCGTAAATACGCATCGTTGGAAGGAGCGTTGGCCTTGTTCTGTGGATGGACAGGTATCGATCTTGGAAGGTACGGAGATGACGAAGAGCTACGAGAAGTGGAAAGCAATGCCGTGAGATCGACAGTTGAAGGCTACGCTCGTTTCTCTCCCGGAACCTCGAAATGGACTAAGCACACAGTTGCTGAGCATGTCAGTATTGGAGGAAATGGCCCAATTTTCGTCGGGACGCCCTCTCAGGTAGCAGACGGATTTCAAGCCTGGGTAGACGAAGCTGATATCGACGGGTTCAATATTGTAAGTTGCGTTTCGTCGGCCTACCAAACTCATCGTACAGCATTCTCATTGATGGGTAGGCATATGCGTTGTTTCCGCAATCCTTTAAGGATGTCGCAGAATTGTTGCTCCCTGAACTGCAATCACGAGGCTTGTTCTGGGATGATTATTCTGTGCGGGGTGGTACTTATCGAGAGAACTTTTATAGCAAGGAAGGCCAGAAGGGCCCGCTAGAGGAGCACGTCGCGTATAGGTACCGCTGGAAGGCTGGAGTAGCTGCTAAAGACCACGAAATTCCGTAGATATAGAAGGTATCGCAACACTACAGTACTTCTAGACTTACGCCAAGGAATTCTAGAGCTTAGAGTAACTAGTTTACTACTCTAGAAATATTAGGTTGTTAATTATTAACCTAAAAGTACGTAAAAGTAGGTACGTATATACTAAGCTAGTACCTAAAATCTAAACTTAAAAATTAGGTAGATATAATATCTAGATATAAAAACTACCTATATACAATATACTAACTTAAAAATTAACTAGACGTAAAAATTAACTAAACTTAAAAATTACGTAGACCTAATATATAAACTTAAAAATTAACTAGATATAAAAATTAAGTAGACTTAAAAATTATATAGACCTAATATATAGACTTAAAAATTAACTAGATATAAAAATTAACTAGACTTAAAAATTATATAGACCTAATATATAGACTTAAAAATTAACTAAACTTAAAAATTAACTAGACTTAAAAATTAACTAGATATAAAAATTACCTAAACCTAATATATACTCTTTATACTAACCTAGATAACTATAAAGTATCTAATAACTTTTAGAATAGTTAGATAGATCTAGAATAGCCCTAAAGAAGTAGACTACCTTAATAATAAAACTATATAGAAGTTAGAAACTAGAAGTATATAATAAGAACTATTACTATACTACTATTTACTACTTAATACCTAATCTAAACTTATTATCTTTAGTATCTTAGACCTTATAAACCTTCCTTATTTAACTAGAATTATCTCTAAATAAGTTAGCTATATAAACATTTACTAGCTCTTTATTATTAGTATCTTTCTACTATATTTATTCTAGAGAAGCTTATTTATTTATATAAGAGATATATATTAGAGTAATAGTATAGGTAAGACCTATAGCCTCCTTATTATACTTAGCTAACAGCTCTATCTACTAGGCTAGTCTTATCTATATAATAGAATACTTAAGGTAGGTATTTAAAATTATTACTTAAAGTAATAATTTAAAAATTTCTATACTAAACTAGTTACGTAGTATATTCTATCTCTTTCTATATTTAAAATACCTACTATATAATATCTATTTCTTAGGAAAATCTTATTTTAATATAGTAGTTATAGGCTACCTAGATATTAGGTTAGTAAGTTACTCTTTATAGATAGCTAAAAATAATAACTTCTTAGCTAATATTATAAAACCCTAACCTCTCTTAAAGTGCTTAGCTTTACTTTATATTAACTTTTTAAGTTTTTTATATTCTATATAGAGAAAGGATATAATCTATTAATACTATATTTTATTAACTAGGGTAACTGCTTTATTAGACTATATAGTAAAGAATAGGTTTCTAAAATTAGCTATATCTAGTATTAAAAGTCTACTACTATTATTTAAATTTAATAAGGTCTAGGTTAAAGCTATCTAGGTATTTTACTATTTAATTATATAGTTTAGCTTATCCTCTAATTTAGATCTAGTAGTAAATAAAATAATAGAGTAATAATCTAGGTAGAAGAGTTAGGTTAAGGTTAGAAATTATTTAAATTTTCTATAAAGTGTAGCTCTTATTTAATATTTTCTATAACTTAAAGAAGTCTACTCTCTCTAGAGTAGGATATAGTAGACTACTAAGGTTTTCTATATTCTAAGAAAGTTTATTTCTCTTAAAGCAGAATATAGTAGTCTACTAAGGTTTTTTATAACCTAAG